TTTAAAAGTGTGATACAGTCAGAGTATATCAAAAGATTGATATTCAATCAAGTCGAGTTGATATCAAAACAATTGGCCAGTCATGTAAAAGAAAAGGGACTAACCTCATTTGATCAAGGTATAATCAATACATCGTTAAAGGGAAAAGATATTGCAAAGTTGCCTAGATTTGAAATGATTTCAAGATTTGCAATGCCATGGAACTTTATCAAACATTATCTTTCATCATCATCATCACAAAATGTTGATGGTGCCCATGTTGATGATGACTCGACAATCAAAGCAAGATTATTTGCAATCTCTCGCTACTGCGCACACCAAAACGCAACATTGGATACACTTGAACATCTTGTTGAATGGACTCCTGCATTTAATCCTCAACCACAACATCAAAAAGATGATCATGATGATTGTTACAGACACGTTCGAAAACCATATCGACCAGGAGTAAGGAACTGTGGAGGACCTTCTTTTAAGTATGAATTTGCATCTAATATTGCATCGGTTGGAAATGTTGATATTCTCAGATACCTTGTCACCAGATATCCCAATATCAATCTTGCAGGTGCAAAAGATAATGCTGCCAAATTTGGATATCTCTCGATTATGAAACTATTGGAACCATTTAAAACACCATCGAGCCCGCCGTAGTGGAGGAGAATACACTGAAAATGCAGTTGGAGATGCAGCAGGGAATGGGAGTTTTGATGTTATCAAATACCTGTTTGACAATGGATACACATCACTATTTTCAGACCATACTCTTTGTCGTGCAAATGGACATTTCGATATTTTCAAGGTAAATACCAAAACAAAACAAAATAAAACAACCAACAAACAACTAATTATTATTATTATTATTCACAATTATAATAGTATCTTGTAGAGAATCTAACCGATAAAAGCTATCTTAAAAATACCTATGGATATTTAGAAGGTGCAATCAGTAGTGGTAATTTAGATTTTGTAAAGGTATGATTGTCTATATATATATATTTATACAACGTTGATAATTATCATCCCAACTAATGAACGATCAATACCAATTAATTATCACATACACAGTATGTTTATGAAAATGTGACCAAAGATCCACGCTATTCAGGAATTGATAAAGCTGCAGGCAAAGGATCCATTGAAATTATTAAAGTATGAATTATTATTATTATTATTGTTAGATCATATTTACATTAACACATATTTATATATAGTTTCTTCATGATAATCAAGTCGGTAAATCTAATCAATGGAAAGGGGCTATGTCCCGTGCTGTAATGAATGGGCATTTATCAATGGTTGAGTGGCTTCATCATAATAGAACTGAAACAGGCACAACTAATGAAATGGACTATGCTTGCCGAAATGGTCACATTTCCATAGTTGAATGGTTACATTTTAATAGAACTGAAGGATGTACAACCAGAGCTATGGATTATGCCAAAACTTTAGAGATAGTTCAGTTTCTTCACATCAACAGAACTGAAGGTGCAACAACCAATGCCATTGACAATGCGTCGTCGACAGGAAATTTGGATATTATAAAATATCTTTACGCAAATAGAACTGAGGGTTGTACCACCAAAGCATGGGGAAATGCTATAGCGAACAATCATATCGATATTGTAAAGGTAAAATATAATTAAATATTATCCTACTGTCTTGTCTATAGATAATATTAATTAATTATTTGTTTTCTTTACTTTATATATTTCTATCACGTTTTAGTTTTTGTATGAAAACAAGATTGGACAATGGACAGAAGAGGTAATGAATCAAGCAATTGAAAATAATTGTTCGATAGAGATGATATTATTCATTGATGATCAATTAAAAGTTGGATGTACATCACCGACATCTGTTGAAACTGCTGCAAAAAATGGAAGATTAGATATCATTCAATATCTTCAACAACATCACAATACATCATTTATTTGGACATTTAAAATAATGGATAATGCTGTTGAATATGGACACATTGATATTGTAAAGGTATTATTTATTCAAAAAATATTTTATAATTTTATATATATTTAATATTTATTTATTTACTCTTTTTTAGTTTTTACATGACAATAGAAGTGAAGGATGCGGAGGATGTGCTCTATCCTCTGCAGCAGGAAAAGGTAATTTAGAAATGGTCGAGTTTCTTTACAAGAATATTGTCAACCAATCAAATGATAAAGTGAACCCTTACACACGTATTTCAAGCGTACCTGTTATGAAATACCTTTTGGAAAACAATATAATTGATATGAAAAGTGCCCAAAAAAATTGTAGGGATGATGATTGCGAAATTCAGGCACTCATTAAGAAATATGAAGCCACTGCCAATGAGCAACCTATCAAAAAGATCAAAAAAGATCCAGCCTATTTTGATGACCAAATGCTTTATCGTCTCTTTCCCAGAAAGTAATAATAATAATAATAATATATTCTAACAAAGCTGTGACTATGAATTAAAAAAAAAGGTTAGATTTAATAAATGTTACTAGAAAGATAAAAACCAAATAATATGTATACGATGAGGATGGTGCACTGAATAGGCATCACTTGTAGAGAAATATTCTTTGGCTCTTTGAATGAATAAGGTTTTGGAGGATTGACCATCACAAGATTAAAGAGTATCTTTTTGTTTATAATTTTATCAAGCATGTTGGATTGTTTTGTGTTGCTTGTTCTAAAAATAAATGGCAATTTTTTTTTATCTCGATAGCATTTTAGGCTATAATGTGTTATAAATTTGTATTTTTATTAATAATATAGGCTGTAATATTGTGTTGGTATAATTATTCAATTTTTTTATTACTGTTTAGTTGAAAATATTATTAATATTATTATTGATAGATGAAGAGAGAGTAGAAGAAGATGAAGGTGTTGAGGAGGATGACGCAAATATGGCACCGATCTTCTTCTAATTTTAGTACCATACTTGCCGTGAAACCTTGCTCGGTCAAAAACGCAAAATTTTTTTTTTTTTAAAGTAACTTCTTTTCCTGTTCTCTCTCATCGCAAAAACTCAAAATTGGGGTCAACCCCGAAAAATATATTTCGCCATCATCAAAAAATTGCTCGTTTAGCTCAGTCGGTAGAGCACGGTGCTAATAACGCCGCGGTCGCAGGTTCGATCCCTGCAATGAGCAATTTTATTGCTGTTATCTATGCTGCCGCTGCCTCCCAGTTTTTTTTCATGATATTCTAATAGTACACAATTCCCTACATTTCTATCCAATTTTCATCGATTTCCACCAAAACCACATCACTAAAACATGGTCTAGAAAAAAAATGATAGGAAAAAACCATGTTGGCACAAGGCAGCCCAAAGGCACCTGGTTTGATCTTTTTTTTGCTGCCGCTGCCTCTGATCCCAATTTTTTCATGATATTCTAATAGTACACACAATTCCCTACATTTCTATCCAATTTTCATCGTGTGGTTTTGGTGGAAATATCGTCTAGAAAAAGACCATCCCGGTACAAGGTTTTTTTGCATGTGGTTGCCACTTATCCAAATTTGTTTTTTTTGGAATCACACCATCTATAGATTTTGTTTGTTTCCTTTCTACTCGAGTGCACCGATAATGAAACACAATAGTTAATCAACCCCATCACATGATAGAGGCGACTACAGATCTAGAGAAGATTGATCATGCAGTACATTGCCTTTCAAATGAACATGTTTGTACTGCACCGAGTTGCACGTACTTGTACTATCTATAGTTCTTCCTCACTTGATCATCAATTAATTAAAGCATAAATTAATTACCAATTAATAGTATTTTTGTTTATTTCAATGGACCAAAAGAGGACCAAATAATAGTAGTTAAAAGTAACATTTGTAGCCTACAACTGTTAACAACAAATAATAATAATTATAATAATAAGAAAAAAATTGGCCTTTCCAAGGTTTTCTCAAATGTCTTTTTTTTGTTATCTCTGCATTCCTCACATCGAGATCTACATTTCTATCCAAGTTTCATTGATTTCTATCAAATTCTGATCATCAAAACATACCAAATATTGATACTTTAAAAAAAAAAATGGGTTTTTTTTTATACTGCAATCTTTTAGCCCTTTCCCTTACAAGGTTTTCTCAAATGTCTTTTTTTTTTGTCTCTGCCGTATTTTCCTCTCTGCTACCAACCTTTTTATTCAGGTTTCATTGATGTGTATTACATATAAAAAATTATTATTTTTGTTCCACATTCTGTCACCATCAGTGTATTAATGTTTAAATTACTTTTACAGTACAATCTATTCTCATTTATTTACAGTAATTTTCTTTTCATCGACTCTTGATTTTGGGATTCTAAAAGAAGGACAAATCCAATTTCCACAACTGCACTGACTACCAGACCAACTAAAAGAACCCAACTTTTCTCCACATTTTGGGTTATCGCAAAGAATCTTTCCATCGTTTCCGCCAATGGCAATATTACCACTTATCCAATCCGTCTCTGCCAAAAAGTATGAAGTACAACTAGAATGTTGAGCTTGGTCAACCTGTTGTTCTTGTTGTTCTGCAGAGTCTGGATCAGCAGCTTGTAAAGGATTGAGGGTAATATCTCTTCTACCCCATTTAAAGCTGCTCTGACCACTTCCCACATCATGTTGTTCCAAATCAATATCATTAAATAAAATCTTTCCACACTTGCGACAACAATATTTTAATGATGCTATTTTTTGTTCAATTATTTCTTCTTCTTGAATAATTGTAGTTGTTGTTGTTGTGACTTGTTCAGTTTCGGTTCTAGTTTCTGTAATTGAACTAATAGTTTCAATGACTTCAGTTGTAGTGGTAGTAGTAGAAGCACCATCTTTAATTCTTTTCAACTCTATTTCATATTCTGCAAGTTGTTTGACAAATCCATCGTTGGGGTCAATGATATCTCTTGCTTCTTTTAGAATTTCATATGCATCTTGATAAGTGATACCCAATTTCTTCATCATATAGGCAATGCAAACAGTGGCAGAACGAGACATGCCAGCAAAACAATGAACCAAAACAGCACCTTCTCTTCTACCTTCCTCTATAAAGGTAAATGTATCTTCAAAGTGTTTCTTTATATCAACTGTATATGAATCATAAATATCTACAACTTTACATTTATACATCTAAATAGAAAATAAAAGGTTTAGTTGTGAATGAAGGAAAAGAGAGTACTCTTTTTGTTTTATAGACATACTTTTGGCCATTTAGGTTTATAATCATTCATTACAGATAAAACATGTGTTATTTGATGGTCATCTAATATATCTCTTTTGATTGATGCCAATGATGATATATAAAAGCCAGGAAATATTCTATTTACATCTTCTGTCATGATTGAAAACTATTATTAAATAACTATTATTATTATTATTATTATTATTATTACTATTTTGAGCTAGAGTGATACAAGGTTGGTTTGATAACTTTTCACTATGGTGATCAAATAAAAAAAGATAGAGAATGAAACGAGAAAGAGGTCATGTTTTGTTTTTTTTTAACGTTTGTCGATGGAAATAGAGTATAAGTTTATTGGTGGTTTCTTTGAATTTATTTCACCAACCGTATAAAGATGATCACACATAATTTATTCTTCATAGTGTAAAATGGTGGGTTAGTAGTAGTAGTGAAAGAAGATCACATATGTTCTATGACAAAAAGAATGAATAGATTCATTTAAATAGAAGAAAAGAAAAAAGGTACTACTCTTTATAAAAAGGATAGATGTAATAATAGTAGAAAAGAAACATAGGTATAGTAGTTTTTTTTGTTGTACAAATAAGGTATTTTATAAATTCAAAAATCATTTTGGGTTTGGTTTGAATCCCGAAAGAGTCATCGGTCGGTGGTTGAAAGGTCAGCCTTCTTCCCTTCTTTTGTGGAACTTGCTAATCCCAATTTAGTCGAAAACAAAAACAAAATTAATTTAATTTAAATCATCTTACTCTCTCTCTCTCTCTTTTAGTTGTTGTTCCAATAAGCCCCCAATCTTTTTTGTATAATAGACGAGCGATAGAAAGAAGGAGAGAGATAGAGATAATAGTATCAAAACTTTTAAAAGATGACAACAACTACAACTACAATGACAACTAGAACAAATAATTTTAAACCTGTGGTTGTAAACTTGGCACAAGAGAATTCTTGTTTGGTAGTACAATCTTCATCTTCATCTTCATCATCTTCTACTTTTACTTTAAATATATTTGATTTACCAGATGAAATCATTTTATATATATTTTCAACAAAAAGACAAGAAGAAATGGATGAATCTTTAAATGTTGGTGAATTAAATAACGATAATGATGACCAACAACAATCATTAATAATATCAGTTTCAAGTATAATACAATTTTCAAGTACATGTAAATGCTTTTATACATTATTTCAAGATGAAAGGTTTTGGATGAAATTATATAAAAATAGATTTCAATTCAATTCAACTATTGATATGGATAATTTATGTTTAAACTTAAATCAACCAAATAATAATAATAATAATAGTGATAATCAAAATGTAATTTGGAAAAATAGATTTAAAAATAGAACAGATCCATGGGATATGACCAAAGTAATGACAAGAAAGGAAATTGTTGGATCACATCAATTGGGAGTGACAGCACTGACAGTGGATGATACATTTCTTTATAGTGGTTCACATGATACTAGTATTAAATTGTATGATATGGGTAGACTGGAACCAATTCATACACTTACTGGTCACGCCTATACAATTTGGGCATTAAAATCAAATGGATCAAATCGATTATATAGTGGTTCAAATGATCAAACCATTAGAGTTTGGAATTTAAAATTATTAAAAGATAATATAACCGATTTAATACAAGAAAATGAAATTGAAAAGGAAAAAGAGAAATATTTAGATGAAACTTTGACAACTCCACCATTTTCTTCATCCAATTCAACATCACCAATAATAATATCAAAACCATCACCATATTGTAAAAAAGTAATAGAAACCAATACAAAAGTATTTTCAATTGAATTAAAAGATAGAGCATTATTTTATTCAAATGGAGAATCGATTAGTGTATTGAATAATAAAACGTTTGATAGGATGGCCGAGTTGAATGGACATTTGGGTGGAGTCAATACAATGACAGTTCATGGTCACCATTTATTGACTGGTTCAAATGACAAGACTGTTAGAGTATGGGACACAAATACAATGCAATGTGTTACAACAAGAGAAGATCCAATGGCTAGAATACTGTCACTGGCAATAGTAGATCAAAACACTTTGGCAACTGGTTCCAACCTTTATCATATTCGTCTATGGGATCTTCGTAGTAGAGAAGTGATGAACACCATTGCAAATGCACATAAATGGGAGGTTTGGCAATTACACATGTGTGGTGATGTTTTATTTAGTGGATCATTTGATCATACCATTAAAACTTGGGATTTACGTAACCTAGTACAAACCAAATCTCTAACTGGTCATCGTAGTTATATACACGCTCTCACAAGTAGTTCATTTCATTTATTTAGTGGTTCTGCTGATAAATCAATTAAAGTTTGGAATTAAAATAAATATAGAATTTTATTTGGTTCAATGAAAATATTTTGATAAATCTAACTCATTGATTGTGATAATATTTGACGTTTAGGTTGTTGTTGAAGAGGAGGTTGTTTTGGTTCATAGAGCAGTGATTTTTCATACAACTCATCGTCGTTGTGTATTTGTCGTTGCATTAATTTTTGTTGAAATATTTCATGTTGTCGCATTGGATATGGTACCTTTCTCCATACCTTCCAAGTTTTTACTACATTATTTATCTGTCTCATCTTTTCAAAATTAATAAATATATATGATGATAGTTCCAATGGACTTGAAACATTATTTTCCTTCTTATTATTATTGCTGTCGTTACTTAATAAAGTTGGTTGAGAATCTGATACAACAAACATATCTTTAGTGTAGAGACCAAGGTATGGGAGTACAGGTGATTTACTTTGGGATAATAATTCACGATAACGTTTGTGATTAGATTCGGTTGAAAAGATTTGTTGAAGTAATTGGTATTGAGCCATTGCCTTTTTCGATACCTTTTCCCATGTCAAGTTGATACGACGAATGGCATAATGTCCCAACCCGGTACTAATGGCATAGGAAGCATGGAAATTCTTGAGATTAAGCAGTGAATGACCAATATCTATAAACTTTTCAATGACCAATGCACGATGACTGGCACTTGAACTACAAAGGATTTCTGATCCAACCCATGAACTCCATCGATTAAATAGTTTGACAATTGCTTGGAAATTGGGACTTGATTCTGGCTTTGTAAATCTTTGCTTTAAAAATTCACTCACAGGTAATTGTTTAAATGCCCTTTCATCCAACAATGTCATTTGAATGGCCACCTCTGTACTATCCAAATCAATTAAATTAAATTTCTTATTATCACTCAATGTACTTCTTGTTGCTGCTAATATAAAATTATTATTATTAGAAGAAGAAGAAGAAGAAGAAGTATTAGAATTTGGAGGGACTGATAAATTATTTGGTTGAACTGAAGATGATGAAGAAGAAGTGATAGTCATTCGTCTAAGTGGTCTTTTTAAAATTGAAACTGGAGTATTATTTGGTTGATTTGAACTATAAAGGTTTGGTGAAAGATTTGGTTGTTGAGCTGAGGATAAATTGGGAGAAGAGGTAAATGGAGAAGGTGATAATGGAGAAGATGAAGATGAAGTTGGTGATAATGGTGGAGTGGTTGCCATTGTCGTATTATTACTATTGCTATTAATGGTCAATGAAATTTCACCAGAATTATTTAAACTATTTGAATTACTATTTGGATTTGAATCTAATAGATATTTTGTAAAATCATCCAAATAGATGAGTTGTTTACTTTCTTCGTAGGAACTTTTACCAATAAATTCATTTGTAAATAATTGAATTTGTTTGGCAGTTTCTGAACCTTCCTCTGTCAACCAATACAATGGTTTAGATTCTACCAATGATTTGATGAGCAACAATATTCTTTCTCGTCGACGCGCAGCAAATAATCCACTATCCAAACCAATACCTTGATAGATACGTGTCAATTTGGATATATAATTGATTGTTGAAATAAAATAATCACAATGTGTAAGATTAAATGTTTCCAACAATGATTCATCCTTGTAATAGATATCTGTCAATTTTAATATCAATTTTTCTATAGTCACAATCTTTAATACTTGTTTTCCTTTTTTAATTATATATTGTATACCATTTTCTTCATCCTAAAAAAATAAAATAAATATAAAATTAAATAAATTAGATTAGTTTATAAATATTATTTTTCTATTTCTCTATTTCTTCTTACAAATAAAATATTTAAATGATTTTGAAAAATAAAATTAAATAAATCAATTGATTTTGATTTATCAATATCATTTGTAGTTTGTAATAATAATGGACCAAATATTTGACTCATTTTTAAATAAAATGATTTTTCCATTTCCAACAATTGTTTTCCATTCACAATTGTTTCTTGTTGTTGTAAAGATTTCTCTTTAACTTTAATTAAATGTTGAATAAATACAGAAAAGGTTGTCCAATGAATTTGAGATTGAGAAAATAATAGTGAACGTATACATGATGATTTGTAATCAATATCTTCCACTTCGCAGACAGTCGATGTTAATAATTCCTCACTTGGAAGAATAGATGATGGTAATTGTTTGAAAAAATGAACCAATAATTGAACAACTGTCAAGACTTGAATATTATCCATTGATCTATATGCATCTTCTTTACCTGGTGTCGTTGATTTGACAAGTGTTTCCAATTCTTCTGTCGATTCATTTAAATTTTCATTTAAATAAATATTATAAAGTTCTATAGTTTCAGATTCCTCCTCTAATTGTTCATCAAAATATTCAATGATTTTAGTAATGAATAATGGACATGGTGAATCATCAGATAGACGAGTTTCTTCAATGGGAACACCAAAGATGGCTTCGTTACGATATTGATGAACTGTTTCATTGGTAGAATGGGATCTAGATATCAACATCTTGTTGATACGATCCAATGATTCTTTGTTTTTTACAGTTGTAATCTTTACTCGTGTCATTAATTGACTTAATAATGTACCTGATCTTTCTCTTCCAGTTGGGGTTGGTGGTGGTGATGAAACTAGTGGTGGACTAGAAACCAAATTAATTGGTTGATCGAGCTCGGATGTAATATTTTCCAAACTTTTAGAAAGTTGATTTCTTGTAGATGAAGGAGTTGGTGGTGGTGATACTGGTGCTGGATGAATTGATGGTAATGGTGGTGGTGCCAGAATTGGTAAAAGTGGTGGTGGTGGTGTTTTACTTTCAAAGGTATCAAAAGTATCATTAGTATCTTCATGTCCAATTTCCTCATTTGCACCATCCAACTGATTTACAATTGTCGTCGTCGATTCTTTTTCTTGTTCATGTTCTTTTTCCTTTTCATCTTCTTCAATGATAAGAGGAGGAGAAATCTTTTCTGGTGATAATAGGTAATCTTCTTTTTGTTGTTTTCTTTTTGATAGTCTAAGAGTACCTCCAATAAGATTTGCAAGTGGAAGAGGATAACTTGGTAATGATCCACTTCTTGTTCTACCATTTGATTCAATAGTTTGTGGTTTCTTTGATACAGATATTGAAGTAAATCTAATTCTACCAGAAGAAGAATTGGATCCACCACCATTATTATTATTATTATTATTATTTCGATGATCCAAAAGATGTGAAAGGTTGATACTCAATTTCTTTGATTTTCTTCTTCTCTTTATAGTCTTTAATTCTTCTTCTTCCTCTTCATCATTGGTATCAAAATTTTCAGACTCTGATTCTGATTGTTCTTGATCTTGTTCAAGATCTTCATCTTCATCTTCATCTTCTTCATCATCATCATCATCTTCATTACAAGTATCATCTTCCTTTACTGTTGATAATATTCTAATTGGTTGAATATTTAATTTTGATTTCCTATTCAATTGTTGTTTACATGTATTAAATTGTTTTATCAATGACGTATATGCATTTTCTGTATTTTCAAACATTCCAAATACATACTAAATAAATAATTAAATATTAATACAACTATTCATAAATATGATTTCTTTTTTGATCTACAAACTTTTTTCATTGCCAAAGTAGTAATTTCAATTGAACTACCAATAATTATACTTGAAACTTTTTTAATACTTTTAATATCTGTAAATAATGATAATTTCTTCAAAATTTTAAAAAAATATTAATTAATTCTTCTTTTCATTTTCTTTTTTCTTTTTTCTTTTTTTTAACATACTTTAATTTCACTATTAAAAATCAAACTATAGAAACAAAAATAAGAAGTGGTAATATAGATTTTACCAGCTTTTGAAACTTTTCTTCGATAGGCACATGGATGTTCAGAAATGGCCCTTTCACTAGTTGGCAAATTAAAAATATTGATAATATCTGCCTCTTTTCCCATTGCTGATGATATTGAATGTGGTGAAAGGATTTCTTTTGTCTAAAATGAAATAAATATTTAAAAAGTTAATTATATAATTTTTATCACTCCTCAATCGATAGAGTTTTAAATTTCAATAGACAACAACAACAACGATAAATATTAATGTTTATATAAATACCACTTTGGTCTAATATTAGGGTTTGGAGTGGATTAACCAATTGGATGGTTTAAAAAAACATAAAAAGGGAAGGACTGAAGATCAAATAAAGTGAATTTCCAATTATGTAATATGTTGTTATTGATTAAAATAAAATCCCTTTCGTTCAAATCAAATAACTGTTGTTGTTGTTGTTGTTGGTGTTGTTGTTGATGTTGATGTTGATAATAATAAAAATGTAAAAAAAGGTTTTAAACCATTCGAATCTTTAAAATATATAAAGAGAGAGAGAGAGAGAAGGAGAGAGAAGGGAATCCATTAAAATAATGGCATTATTTTATACCACGTTCCGTCGTTACATTCTCCCAACCCATCATCATGATCAAAAGTTAAAACAACCAAGTTGCCAAGTTGATTTTTGATATGATCTTTGTTTGATATATACTGTTTTGGAACTGGATCGGTTCGTTTTCAATATCGTTGTTGTGTTGTGTTGTTGTTGTTGCAGGAGAGGTGATGGAAGCAGTTTATATCACACCAACACCAACACACAAGCCGGCGTGGTCATTTGTGTGTTTTAAAAAAAATGTAGTAGTAGTGTCGGTGATTCAATTGTGATTGTAATCAAAATTTTGAAGAAAAAAGTGAAATTCACCTCTTGTGTGTGTGTTGTGTTAAGATTGGTGGATTGTAGCAATTCTGGCATTGATGGTTTGTTTGTTTTTTGTTTATCTATCCTGTCTATAGAAAATCATTCATATGATATATCATGACTGACAATCAGTGTAGTGTAAAAAACAACAACAAAGTGATTGTATACATACCATTAATTTAGTAGGTGATAAAGGCGATGAACTAGTCATGATTGGTGTAGTTGGAGTTGAGGAGGATGATGTGGTAGTAGTGGTTGGATGAATAAAATCTTTAAATTTGGAAATGATAGTTTGTTTCCTAGCTCCGCGTGGTGATGTCGGATTGCTGCTGTTCCCAACTCCTCCTCCAATTGAATTGGATCTAATTCTAGTTGAACATTCTATAACTACCATATCTTCTTGTTCGTTTGCCATCATATTATTATTTTGATTATTTTGATTATTATTATTATTTACAATATCTTCTTTTTTGTTTTCTTCACATCTATTTGATTTATCAAATTCAATTCCAGAATCTGGATCACTACTACTACTATTGTTATTTATATTATTATTGTTTTTATGGTTATGATCTATTTTATTCAAAATAAAAGATGGCGCAGTATTATTATTATTATTATTATTATTACTATTATTAATGTTTTTGTTGTAATTAAAAGGCAAATGCTGGGGTGGTGAAAATGCAACACTATGAAGATGGTGGTGGAGGTTGCTGGGTGTAGCATTTTGCACAATGTTTATAGTAGTGCTACGAGTGGTGGTGGTAGTGGTAGAGGTATTTGTGGTAGAGGTGTTATTATGATTATTTAATACAAAAGTAGGAGGTGGTAGTGGTCTCTTGGAATTGATCAAGGAAGCCGCCCTTATTCTTGGCACACCTAATTTCCATCCATTCCCACCACCGTCACGTCCATATTGTTCGATTACTGCGTTATTAATTGTTGTTGTTGTTGTTGATGTAACTGATGAAGATGATGATATAGATGGTACACCACCGACAATGCTATCATCGTTACTAAATCTAATGCTATTGTTGTTTGGAAGAGATGAAGAGTATTGCTGCATAAGAGTTAAAGAAGAGGTTGGGGTTGAAGCAGCAGATGAGTCTCCTCCATTTATGGTTGTTGAAAGTAAAGGAGATGGTGGTTGTAACATTGTCATTTTTCTGTACATGTATATCGATTTGTTGTTTTGAGAGTATGTTTTAGGTTGTTGTTGTTGCTGTTTTAATGCATCAGATAATAAAGATTTATTATTATTACTATTACCTCTATTATGATTAATTATAATTGGGCTACTACTGCTACTACTACTATTATTAACATCAGGATTGATATTATTACTATCATCACCATTGTTATTATTATTATTATTACTATTATTGATGGGTTCCATTGTTGTTGTTTAACTTAATCTTCCTCTATGTATTTCATTGATAATATCGGGATAGGAGAAGAAGATAACGACGTCGTTTTCTAATAATGACTTGGTGGTTTGGTTTGGGGGTTGCACAAGTAACCAAGTAGAGATAGATAGACTTTAGAATAGATAGACAATAGATATATATTTCCCTCTCTTATCTCTTTCTCTCTCTCTCTCTCTCTAGATATCTATCTATCTATCTATCTAATTTTTGTATGTTTTGGAATAAATGACACTAATCTAATCTTGATCTTGTTGTGCCATTAGAATAAAAATCTAAAAAGTTTTAAAACTTTATTTTTTTCTCCTTCTCCGATGTGTCTCCTCGCGGAATGGTTATCCATTTTTAGAACAAGTTTTAGTATTATATAAAATTGAATCAATTTTGTTTATTTGATTGTTTGAGAAATAATGTACAAATTGGATGATAATTATTTTTGATATTGTTGTTGATATTTTATCAAGTCGATTTTTTGATAAATTTAAAAAGATTGTTGTTAATATTGGCCTCTATTATTATTATTATTATTATTTGTTTGTTTGTTGTGTTTTTAAGATTGATTTGAAGAGTTTGTTGGTTTTTGAGCCAAAACTATGATTCTAGGACCATCGGATATTGAACCTTGATATAAATCTTGAATACAATATTTACTGGTTGAACGAATATTTTGGAATCCACAACTAGCCAACAAGAGTTGTAGTTCTGGTAAGGTGTAGATGGCAAATTGGTGGTTTTCACAGACGTATTGTCCGTCGCCATACCCATTACCAATTTCATCTGGGTCCATGGGAGAGTCTACACTGAAAAAGAGGTCTTGGAGACGCCAAATGGAATTGTGGAAATCGACTTCAATATTACTGATACGTTTGACGGGGATGCCATTGACGAGTACCTTTTGTTCGGTTTGGTTTCGGAGTTGAGAGAGACCAACGAGAAAGTTGGAAACGTCCAATAGAACGACACCACCGGGTTGAAGCGATATCCAGATACGACGCAGTGCTTCGAGCTTGTCCTCGAGACGCAACAGGTATTGGAATGGACCGTGGACACTAACACACATTTTGTACTTGTTCTTGACAGACACGTCCATGAATCCACCGTGGATAGCTGTCACCTTGTCAGATGTGTTCATGGCATGGTCCGAGGCAAACGTCCAATAGTCGAGATCTGGCTCCATGGCATCAACATGCTTGAACACCTTGCGACGATCCCATTCTCCAAACATTCTACCCAATCCACATCCAATGTCGAGCAGTGTAATGTCAGATGTCAGACCGTAGAGCTGAGCAGCTCCCTCTACAAAGTTGGCAATCGTGGTAACCTCGTGATGACGTTGGATAAAACAATAGTATAAAAGATCACGTTTCTTCCACGACGTACTCTCATCGCCATCACTCACATCAATGTATTTTGATATGTATTGTGATCGTACAGGTTGTGGTGGTGACGATGGTTGTTGTTGTTGTGGTGGTTGTTGATATTGAATATTATTATTATTGTAACCTTGGTGACTATTACTTGGTGATGATGATCTTGATGTAGTAGTAGTTGTAGAAGTAGAGGTTGACCCAATACTCTTATTTTTTTTCTTATTATTATTGGTTGCTGCTGACAATAAAGGGAATTCCTCTTCAAATGTCATTTTAGTGGAGTTGCTACCAGCACTGGGAGTTGAGGTTGTTGTAGTTGTTGACAAAGTTTGTTTCATTTTTGTTGTCTGCTGCTGCTGCTGGCCCAAATGTTGTTGAATGATTTTGTTGTTGCTGTAGTGATGATTATCTTTCTTTTGTTGTCTTTGTTGTTTATTTATGTCTTCTAGTATGTGTTCTCTTGGTATCATTATCATGTATCAACTTCAAATTATACATACTGTGTGTAAGGTAATAAATTACTTTAAAAGGGATGGGGAGGAATAGAGGATGGTAAAAGAGATTATTTTGAACAGAGTTGTTTGTTGTTGTTAAAAACTAACAGTAGACTGTGATGTTGTGATAAAAGAAACAAGTTAACTATCTAAAATAATGGAGAGTTCTCTTTCTGTTTCTTGACAGATGTTCTTGTAATTGTTTGATTCTTTTAAAAAAAAACTTTGCAACTGCGATGATGACAAGCCGTTTGCGAATGAATTAAGATATTTCACAAAGGTATGATGATGTAATACAAAGTTAGTTTTAAACTGTTTGGATGTTGGAGAGATTACAATAAAACTATATAGTTAAAGTTATATATGTATGGTTTGTTTGTTTAAGTACTATTTAATGTTTACTATTAAACTAGTTAAAGTTAATGAATGTTTGAGTTGACAAATTTTGAGCAAAGCAAAGCAAAAACCCAAACCCCCACCTTTGCAGATGCGAAAATTGCAAGAATGGGAAATATGAGTTTTGATTGATGAAAATTGGCGCATGAGTCATTATGATTCCAATACAACCCTTTGGTTTAAAAGTTGGCAATTGCTTTTATTTTTGGTCTAAACATAATTACAGTTTAGAATAAATCAAGAGATTGAAAAGTATTGGTTGATTTCATTTGAATCCAAGATTTATAAAGCGATTGTAAAAGCGATGGAGAGAGGGATAATTGTTGGTTGACCATGGTAGTTGGTTCTTTTCTTTGGTTTAGGTAAATTGATTTATAATCATTGTTGAATATAATTGATGATTTGTCAATATCAACAATCTTTACCAATCCATTTGATATTTCAATAAAATAAAATACTTGATGAATTCCAGATTTACAATATTTTGGATGCTAAAAAACATTATTAATTAGTATATTAATTGTTTTTTTAATATTATTTTTGTTACATACAGAAAGAAAAGAAGAAATACAATGTTCAGAACAAAGTAAAGCTCCACAACTTAGACACTTTTGATTTTTAATTTTTGCACATCCCAAACATATATAATCCTTTAATGATTTTGAATTTAATGGTATACTCTTTTTAACAAAATCCTAAAATAAATAAAAAAATAAATAAAATATTAATATACATATATTTCCTATTTCTATTTCCATTTCTTTTCTTTCTATTTCTTACAAAATAAATATTATGTAATTTAATAAATTTTGGAATATGATTAATAGATGAAGGAAGAAAGAAAGTAAAGTTTGGTTTTTTTAAAAAGTTTAAAGAGAATGCATGATTGAGGATGGTATCAAATGTTTTTGGATCGAGGATTGATTTGGATGATTTGATATTTGGAATGTTGGTAATATTTGATACGATGAAATCATAGTTTTGGAATTCGGTTTGGGTAAATTGGTTACTAGAGTCATTGGTGTTTTTCATTTGACTGGTGAGATAGTTGTAGAGAAAGATTTTTCGAATCACTGGGAATGTGTATTCAAATAGTCTTGGGTTATTGTCGAGATCGTTGTATACTGATTTAATACGAGAGTATAATTGGCCTGGGTTGTTTGGATCATAGTGTCTTTTGGTTTGTGGTAACTCTGTGCACAGCGATTCCAAGACGATGAAATTAAATAGATAGTATTGGAGAGATGTGACCATTGCTTGGTCAGGTGTCATTCGACGGAGATAAACCAAATAAGTACATAAAAAGATAGGGTCAATGTGGAAAAAGAACGCTGGAGGGATGGGAATAGAGTCTTCGGGAAAGGGTGGTACTTCGCAGATCATGATAGTTCGAAACAGTGATCTTAGAGTAGCCAACTCATTCTTGAATTCCAAGTCTGTGAGAGGGTAGTATCCAGAGGGATCCAATGCCAATTGTTCGGGTGTGGCACAGTATTTGATCTTTCGTGTCTTCATTTCAAAGACATCATAGTTGTTAAAGACCATTCCCCAGAGGTGTCTTTCAAAGACACTGTTGTTTTGGAGGTCGTGTGGATCGAGTTGAAATGATAAAAAGAATTGAGAAACTTCTTCAATGTTGAGAGATGGTACATTCTTGGGGATGAGAATATTGGATGAACTAGAGCATAGCGGGCAACTGTAACTATAGTCCAATTCACGTGTACTTGAAAGGATACATGATCGATGTGTAACATGTCTACAAGAAATAATGTAACTTGGCAATTCGTAACAACTAACAAAAAACTTGACCAACGATGGAAATTGTTCCAACATACTCTTGCTAATCATTTGTTTGTTGTATAGTATATTTGCCATGACATCTTCATCATCATCATCTTCATTATCTTGATCTTCTCGATACTGTTCATTTTGTAGATTATTCAATATTGAAACCAAATTTGATTTCTCTATTAATCTTTTTTTAATCTTTTTGATTGATGATAGTTTTTGATTTCTTGCCAATGAACAATGTGTTACATTTGCCATCATATAAAGTGGTTGAGTATTTGTTTTATCTCTACATATTATACAACATGATGAAGTATCAAAATTATCCATATCATCATCGTTATTATTATTATTATTATCTGTTGTTTCTTCATTTTCATCATCATTTTCTTTATCTATTATTTCTTGTTGTTTTAAAAAAAGATTTTGTTTTTCTTTCATTTGTTTCATAATTTCATCTCTTTTTTGTTGTAATAATTTCTTTCTAGATTCTTTTTCCTTTTCATCTTCTTGTGAACCATCATCTTGAAGATTAATACCATTTGATTTAATATATCGATCCAAATCCTCTGAATAGTTTGATAGACTTGTAAAGATATGAACCAAAAGTGGATTACGATCTTGATTTTTAGTTTTCCAAAATACAATCAGAGTATCCAACAATGATTGTTTTTGAACTGTTTTATCTTGGTATTCAATGGTTTCGAGTCGAATAAAATGGATTGGTGGTTCTTGACGTGTTTGTTGATTGTTGAGTATAAGAATAAATAGATAGAAAATATCACCAAGTGCAATAAGTGACGACGATGATACTCTTGATAGGATGGAATGAAGTGAGAGGTCTAAAGAGGAGGATGTAATATTTACAAATTCGGGTGTAATCATTTTGAGCAATACAAAATGCAATAAGTTGAAAAAAGAGTGGTTTTCTAGTAACGAGGTGACACTTTTAATATGTGTCGACGATGACGAGTCAAGGAGGAGTTGTGATTTTGGTGGTAGCCATGGATAGGATTCGGGAATACCTTTTGATTTTTGGTATTCAAATAGTCTGGTTCTCGATCGTTCGAGTAATGTTATACGGTAGAAATATTCAAAGTGCCAATAATATGGATCATATTGATCCCACAATTCTGGTTTTAAATTCATCTCCAAATCATTTACATTCACTACAACTTGTTCTATTAATCTCTTTTTTCTTTCCAAATCTATATTTTTAAATATAAATTTAAAATTTATAATCTAAAAACAAAAAAAATAAATAAATAAATAAGTAATTAAGTAAATAATATTTTTGATTTGTATATTTGTTTTTCTATTTCTATTTTTTTACCTCGGTATAATAAAAAAAACCAGTTGAAGCAATTTGAATTAAATGATATTTTAAATCTTGATCGGTTGGAGTGAGGGTAGCATGATCTTGAATGACATTGATAATAAATTCCAAAAGTGATTTTAGATTATCTGGACTCGTATTACTTTGAAGGAATGGTTTATGAAGAATGGTTTCCAAAAAGAATTGTGGACTAGTTGCACCCAACATGATTCTAGTAGTGAAAAAGTCCAACATCATAGACTTTGATGTATAGTATTTGATGGATCGATCAGGGTCTGTTGGAGATCCAATAATATGAGCTTCATCAATCATACGAGGTCGACTACTATGAGCATAATAGAATATTCTAAATGATGAAATATCACAAAGTGTCATATTTACAAATCCATCCTGTACTACTTTTGATTCTATTGATATTTGTTTCATATAATAATCAATTACCTCTTGTCTTATATTATTATTATTTTGATTATTATTATTATTATTATTTTGATTATTTGGATTATTATTTTCTGGTAATTGTAATATAATAGTAGCAATGATTCTAGAAAGTGGGAAAATATATCTTGCACCAATATCATTATCTGTATCACACCATTCTGGATATTTAACAGTTTTAAATAATCCAAATGATCTATCTATAATATATTTTGCCAATGCTACTATTGATTCTAAATGTTGATTATTTTGTTCACTTTCTTGAACTAGAGTTTTAAATATTCTATTAAATGTATTGATTAGATAAACTTCAATTTGAACCAATTCTTTTAATTCCTTTAGAATATTGTCATAGTGTTGAGAAGGAGTGACAAATTCATGAGTATATGCAGCCAATTGTAATAGTTTGTCTATAATGTGACGATTCGACGCAACATAGAGTGCACATTCCTTGAATTTAACCGATTTGACCAATAGTATGGTTTCAAATCTACACGTCTTTGGTTGTTGTTTGTCACGAACATAGGTTTGTTGGAATTGTTGTAGATTGTAAAGAGTAGAATCGACAATGGCTTCATAGAGATTGGGTTGTGCAGCTCCAGTTGCAAATGGAATGATCATTGACGATGGATGATGACAAAACATTTGAAAGTGAAAGGCAGACTCTGAGAATACCTTTTTCTCTTGTGGTTGCATCAGCTGTGTCAAGTTGCCAAGATAGAGTTGATAGAATATCTTGGCAAACAACTTGTGATGATAACAAAGTGAAGAGAATAAAAAAAATGATGTTGATGCACAACTTGGATGTGACTGAAATAATGTCTCCAAAGGTGTACTAACCACTTTTACTTTTTTCTTTCCTTTTTTAATTGATGATGAAGAAGAAGATGAAGAAGAAGAAGAGTTGTCTTTTAATTGTTGATGTTCTTGATTGTCAAGTTTAAAAGTTTCAAGTGTAAATTCTTGAGCTATGATTTGAGCAAATAAAGGTGATCGCATTGTACATTTCCCAAGAAATGTAATAATATCTACAATTTCAAGTTCATTTAATTTGTATCGTTTTTGATTCGACCCCAAATCTGTCAACCGTTGTATGATTGCAGATAGAAATGTTGTGAATGCTTCAACCAAATGTTCAGGTATTGCATCTACATAATGTTGTTTGTATTGATAGTTGTCGGCATGTCTATGATCCGAACAGAACCCACTTGATTTTAATGCATCAGGATTTCCACAATCACATAAACATGATCCACCAGGTGTATAAGCCAATGAATATTCATGTTTATCAATTACATGATTTCCTTTTAAAAAACATTCTACACCTAGAAAAATAAAAGTACAAAAGAAAAGTTAACAAAAAAAAAATGATTGACAATAATAATAATATATATTGTTACTTACAAATATTTGTTCTTTCTTTACTTTTTGAACATGTTAAACATATAAAGTAATATCTTCCTGATAAATCTATAAAAAAAAGAAAGAAAATGATTAATAATTGTCCAACCATTTATAATGTACAGTTGTTTGTTTCTATTCATCTTCTCTTACAATTTGAACATTTAATAGATGGTGTTGATGGAAAATGATGAGATATAAACTCTTCAATGGATAGATTCTTTTCTTTAAAGTAATGTTTAAAGAGTGAATCAAGATTGGTTGTATTTAATGTCATTGATTTCAAAGAAGCCTCTAAATCTGTCATTGGTAGTACTCTAAACTTTTTCATTTTTGTATTCTTTCTTTTCTCTATAAACCATGGTATTGATTCTTCATCTTCATCATCATCATCACTATTTATATCAATATCTTCATCATCTTGACTTGATGAAGATAAGTGTTGTTGTTGATCATCTTCTACCTTGTCTGATTCTTTTCTCTTTTTATCTGTTGTGTTTGTAGTAGTTGTTGTTGTAGTCGTTGTCGTTGTTGATGTAGTAGAAGTGTTATTATTATTATTATTATTGTTATTGTTTGAGGAAGTAGTTGATGAAGATCTCATTGATGACTTTCGTTTCCCTTTTGAAAGTTCTCCTTCTTCCTCCATCAATCTCTACTTCTACCTATACTACTATACGTGAATCGATATAGTATAGTATTATCTTATATTTTATCTCCCACAGGGTTAAATATATAATATTTTTATAGTGTTGATTTTGGGCAAATTCAATTTTCTGCATAAGTTAATTTAAACTAATTTAATTTTATTTTATTTAATTTATTCAATCTTTCTTTATCCATGGGTTATTATTGTTGCTGTTGATGTTGTAGATGTTGTTGATGTAGTACTGGTGTTGTTGTTGTTGATATAAGGTTTCAACAATTTAATGACTCTTTGTTGTAATCTAACTTTTTGAATGGCTGTATTCCACTTTTTCTTGTTTTGTTCTTTTGATGCTTCATCTTGGCATTCATCTTCATCTTCATCATATTTCTGTTCCATTTCATCATCACCAAGATCTATATCATTATCGTTATCATCATCATTATCTGATTCATTTGTAATTGCAAAATATTTGATATTATCAACTAGTTGACTTTCTTCATCTTGTTTGGTTGATTTTTTAGAAGAAGAAGCTTTTAATCTTTTTGTAATGTTTGAAAATGGTTTAAATGAAGATACTGTTGTAGTACCAGAGGATACTAAATGATATTTAAGTGATTTAGTTGGGATATCTTCCAATTGTAGTCGTCTGGTTGATTTTTTGTATTCAGAGTATGAATGACGAATGGTTTTAATCAACAGTCCCCATGGCAAACCCATTGATCCAAGACCCACACTAATAACCCATTCATAACCACCCAACGGAACCGTCTGTACAAAATTCTCTCCAAATTCAATAATGATCACTTGAACAATAGTACAAATAAATAGAATAACTGTAAATTGCCAATTACTTTTAATTCCTTCAAATACATTTTTATCACCTTTAAAATAAATAAAAAGTTAATATTAGATAGTTTCTATTATCTATTCTTTCTTTCTTTGTTTCTTACAAGAATGAATTCTACGACAATTAATTTCATTAAATAATTGTAAAAATATAAAAGTATTAAATAGTAGGGTGTAATGATGTTTACTGTATGGTACTAAACCAAGGAATATGGCGTCACCCAAGAAAAGGATGACAAATAGTACACAGAGTTGGAATATGGTTTGACCAACTATATTAAACCACATTGAAAAGGTGATGAGTCGTTTATCCTTTTTACTCTTTCTCTGTAGGATACTGTCTTTGGGTTCCTCGGTGGCAAGTGCCAGTGATGCCAAAGTATCCATAATTAGATTGGTCCATAGTAATTGAACCGCTGATAGAGGACTAGCTCCCGTGCTACTTGTAACAGACCCAACAAATGAAATGATAACTGCCACAAAATTAACTGTCAATTGGAATTGAAGAAACTTTTGAATTGATTCCATTACATTTCTACCCCATTTAATTGCATTTATGATTGATGCAAAATTATCATCTAATAATATTATATCTAAAAATTAAAAAGTAAAAGTAAATAAACAAAAAAAAGTAAATAAATAAACTAATTAATTATTTCTTATCTTTTTCTTACCAGAAGCTTCTTTTGCAATTTCAGTACCAGTAATACCCATTGAAAAACCAACATGAGCAAGTTTAAGAGATGGAGCATCATTGACACCATCACCAGTGACGGCGACAATTTCTTTTGCTTCTTTTAGGTATTTGACAAATAGTTGTTTGTCAAGTGGAGTTGATCGAGCAATGACTTGAATGTTTGGTAAGAGTAGGTCGATTTGTTGTGGAGTGAGTTCTCTAAATTGACTCCCCTCCATACAGTGTCCTCCGGGTGTGAGAATGCCAAGCTTGATGGCAATGTTTTTGGCAGTGTCTATATTGTCGCCCGTGATCATTCGAACGCTCATACCGGCTTGTTGAGCAATTGCAATGGCACGTGGCACCTCTTTTCGAATTGGATCACGTATACCGAGAATAGCAAGACATATAAAGTTTGAATAGGTAAGGGTGTCATTGTAGATTTGCTTCCATATTTGTTCGAGTGGTGTTGGGTTTTCCGAAGCAATGTAAATGTCAAAGTAGACAATCGTAATCGTTCGAAGTAGGTCTGCAGACATACTCTTGACACGTTGCAATAAATTAGATCGTTGTTGGTCATCCATCTCTTTCAAAGTATCGTGTGACGAGTGCCATCTCGAGCACCGACCTAATAGTACCTCGGCGGCACCTTTAATAAATATTCGGTATGTCTGAGTTTGATCAGTCTCTTTCAACTTTGTTATGGTTGCCATCATCTTGGTATCCGATGAAAATGGTACAACTGTACATATTGATTGATTTAATCGAAGTTTTGGTAAATCAAACGACAAATAGTCTCCATGTAAATTCATTGCAAATCCAAGTAATGCACATTCAGTTTGATTTCCAATAAACATTGTAGTTGCATTCTTTTTTTGATTTTGGTCGCTGTCTAGTTGAGCTGTAGAATTACTAACAATAGAATCTACTATTAACTTTTTGGTTGTTTCTGATAGAGTCGTTGGTAATACTGCATAGTCTATACCATCGGGTTGTTCTTGTAGGTTGATACCAGCAACCCATCCAGATACGACGGTCATTTTGTTTTCGGTTAGGGTGCCAGTCTTGTCACTACATATGACTGTTGCGTTACCCATCGTTTCACAAGCTTGTAGTTGACGAACAAGATTGTTTCCTCGAAGCATTTTGAGCATACTGTACGCCAGACTGATGGTGACTGCGAGTGGCAGTCCCTCTGGTACAACGACGACTACAATCGTGATGGCAGTGATGAGATAGTCCAATATATTGTTGAAATACTCTACTGATCGAATCGACTTGCTCGCATCAGACATGGTAGCGATGGTTGTTTTAACGAGTAGAATGGCAAATGTCAACACGGCAATGACAACGCCAACTTTACCAATGGTGCCTGCCAGACTGTCGAGACGCTCCTCTAGCGGGGTCTTGGCATTCTCAACACGCAGCGACATCATCGTCTTTCCATTCATGCTGTTGACACCGACACACAGTGCCATCATACTGCCACACCCCTCGGTCACGAGCGAGCCTGACAACATGCGCATGCGTCCCAGTACTGGGTTGGCATCCTTTTTGACGGCTGCACTCTCGCCTGTGCACGCAGACTCTTCACACGACACACCAAACCCTTGCACGAGGAACCCGTCGACCGGCACGATCATACCCGTCTCGATGACAATAATCTCGCCTACATTAATCTCTGATGTCGGTACGACACTGTATCGACCGCTACGTACCACCTTGACCATCACATTGGTACGTTGTTTGTTGAGTTTTTGGAACTGCTTTTCTTTGCTATAGTTGTTGAGTGAGGTGACAGTCACAACAATCAGTACAGCAGCAATGATTGATATGCTGTCGATCCATCCATTGTCTTCACGGCGCCACAACACTGCTATCACCAACGACACGATTGCAGCCACCGCCAACATGATCATCATATGATCCTGTAAGCTTTCCAAAAAGTAAGAGATCAATGATCTAGTCTTTACAGGTGGCAATACATTCTTTCCAAATGCCAGCTGTCTTGCACGAAACTGATCATACTCTTGCTCCTCTCTTGACAATCCCTCCAACCTATCAGTCTTGAGTGATCTCTCTAAATGTTTTAATCCATCACTCTGTACTAACAAATGTTTTAAAAATGGGTCATCTATATTAAATAAAGTATTTATATACTCTAAATCAATATTAAATGTTGATCGTTCATCTCTAAGTTGGAACAAAAAAAAAAAAAGTTGGTGGTGTGAGCAAAGAAGTGGTTAGCTTTTGTATGCAACTTTCAATGTCTTTGTCTTACTCTTTATCTTTTATATCAATGGTTATAGATTCCTCCTCTTCTTTCTTTTCATCATCATCTTCTTCTTCTTCATGTTTTAATAATTCTTTATTCTTTTTCTTTTTGTTTTTCTTTTTCTTATTTTTCTTATTTTTCTTTCCACTTGCTTCATCTTTTACTTTTCCAACCATTTTATCATTGTCTTGATGACGATGATCTTGATGATCTAATAATTCCAATTCAATTTCATCTTTTTCATTGTTTATATGATGATTTGAATTTGAATTTAAATTGGCTACCATATGTGGTACAAAAATTGTTATATATTAATAGATAAATAGAGATAGATGGATACAAATAATTGAAAATGAACACATATATAAAAGGAGACAATACAATAAGTATGTTATTAAATGTGGAAAGGTGGGTGTGAACTCTACCAGATACATTCACCACTCTCATCCATATATACATACCACCCAGTGAGTAAGTGAATAATTTAAATTGTCACTTTAAATTTAAAAGTTGGCATTTAGCACCACCACAACCAAACCAACCTGGTGGGTGTTACATCGTACATGTTTTAGTTTTTAAAAAGTACCAATCAAACCAAAGAAGAGTGAGTCTGAAAAACCAATGTCAGTTTATGACTCTTGCCCCTCCCCACCACCACCACTTGCATTAGTGCTACCTTTTCTGACTGACTATTCATCATCATCCACCCACAATAGTTTTACACTTTTTTTGAGAATCATCTAGATTAATCGAGAATATTTTTGATGTTCATCTATAATTATATTCTCGTCGACTAGAAATATAAATATAAATTATATTCCTCTTATCATGAAATTGAGGAATATTGTTTCCAATTTTTGAATTTTTTAATTTTTTTGCTTTTTTTTTTTTTCTTGTTGAGCTGAAGATTAAACTTGAACCCACATATTAATTATATTCGATAATCTACAATACTATATATATATATACTACTATAACTCTATCTATCACTTTTTAATATCTATTAATAGTTGAGAAGAGATTGATTGATTGACAACATAGTATACATAGAGAGAGAGAGGAGATGTCTGCACCAAACTACTTTGACGACGATCTATTGGCAACAGACGACCAAATCAACTATGAAGAACAAGAATACGATGACGATGAAACCTTTGGTGATACTGGTCCATTAAGTAACTATAGATAATAAAGAAAGATATAATATAGGTAGTGGTAGCTAATAATCAATCTCATTTAATAGATGACGAATGGGAGAATCAACATACATCATTGGCACATGAACATGAAGGATTTGTAGTTGACAATAAAATAAGAGATGGTGTTCAATTAAAGAGATACGACGACCAGGAAGATCTTGGAGATGATGGTAGTCTCTTGGAGGACGACGAAGATTATCGTAATGGTAACGGTAAAGATGCGGATGGTAGATCATCATTTTTTTCAGATCTTCCACCAGTAAACAACAACAACAACAACAACAAACAAAACCGTCAACAACAACAACAATCAAATGCACAAGGTAGAACTGTTGGAATGTTTAGTTCATTATCACTTTATGATGATAAAGAAAAGAGTCCCAATAATAATAATAATAATAATCAAGTAAAGCATCAAATGATATATGAAAAAGAAAGCAACATATTGTATTAAACTTTCTCTTTCTCTTTTTCTTTTCTCTCTTATTAGGTTGATAATGATCAATTAGAATCAATGTTTAAAATTGCAATGGGTGAGATTCCAACTACTAGTATCCCTCAAGCTCTAACACCACACAATTCTTTGAATAATGTTCCAACTACCCCACAGCATCATCAACAACAACAACAACCACAACAATCTCCAATTGATCCATTGAAAAAATTGTTCCAATCTGGTGTTCCTCAACAATCTCCAAATAGTATGCATATATCAAAACAAAAAGAAACATAATATCTAGTATCGTATCTAACCATTTTACTCTCTTAAGAATTGGAAGCATTAAAAGGAGCATATTCATTATCTGATTTGGAAGCTAAATTTGAACAACAATCACAACAACAATCCTCTGTTTCACAAGTGGTCGAACAACAACAAGAAAATGTACAACAACAACAACAACAACCGCAAACACCTCAAGGTAAAAACAATATAAACAATAATAATAGAAACTCGTCACCATCAAGACCAGGATTTACCCTTGGTGATGCTATACCAGGCAACAGAGAATACCAACAACATCAACGTATACTAAGAGATCAAGCAAGAGATGCAAACTGGAATCAACATCAATCACCCAGAGGCGATGGAGGAGGAGGAGGAGGAGCTCCCCCAACTTCACCATACAACAACAACAAATACAACAAAAATGCCCAGAATGGTAAAAGTCCAATGAAGCAACCACACATTCAAGACAAAAAGTACATGAGTGCCGATGAAATTCAAACTATTCATAGATTACAAGCTTATCAACTTCATTATACAAATCCATATATAGAAGATTTTTATTTTCAAAAATTAAAAGAAAGTATGTAAAATGTAAAAAGTAAAAGGAAATATAAATAGAAATAGAAATAGATCAATCAATTAAAACCATTTTATTTCTATATTTTTTCTTTTAGGATCAGGAGTTGTAATTCAACAATTTACTCATACACCAATTTGTGATTCACTTCCAAAAACAATTACAAAGAAACCAACTACAACAGCTGATCCATTACTTGGTGCTTTGGGACGTATTCCATCTCATTCAATTAGAGCTCCAAGACCAATCTTGCAAATTATACTTGATAAAGATGAAAATGAACAATATGATAAAACTGTAAGGAATCAAAAAAAAAAAAAAAAAACAAAAGTAATATCAGTTACTTATATATTTTTTATTTTTTTTTATTAGGTTCAATCAAGTGATCAAACTATTAAATTGGCAATTGAATCATCATATAATCATTTACTTGATATTGAAGATATTGATCAATTGATTAATAATCAACAACAATCTGCATCTACTGATAATCAACAATTAATAGATCTTCAAGCCAAAAAGGAACAAATAGCACAAGACCTATTTAAATCACTTCATTTGGATCCATTCCCATGTTTCAAATTTGAATCACCATTATTACCACAACAAACTCCTGATCAAAAATGGCCTTCTGTTTGGTAAATATAAAAAGAAAAAGAAAAAGAAAAAGAATCATGATTATTAATTTTTTTATTTTCCTATTTGTTTTCCTTTTAGCCCAGAAGATTTATTATTTGTATCATTATGGGTAATTGGTAAAGGTAGAAAATTATTGAATAGAGCCTTTTTATCATTGACATCACCACAATCGGTATCTGCGTTATTTGCAGTATGTAGAAATCTTCCATTATTATTAATGTTGCATTTGCCAGAGGGAAGTGAAGCTGCAACCAATGGAATCTACCGTACCGTTTCGAGATGGGTCATGGAAATCCCAATCCAATTCTTCACACTTGCCTTTCACTTTTTAGTCAACTTTAACCAACCCCAATTCCTGACCAAGGTGTTTAGCCACCGCAACGGTTTGGCCGTCATTGAACAATTCCTTCTCAGAGGCTATCTCGTTCAAGACCAAGCCTACCTCTTGCACAATAACCTCCAAATGGATCCAGTTGCAGTACTCCAATTCCACGAAATCTTTGGACGTTTCTTCCAACGTCTTACTGGCAACTTTGCAAATATCTTTAGCCAACAACAACCATCACAATCACCAAATATTCCTCCACAACCATACCCAGAACTCGTTAAAATTCATTCCCTCTTATTTCATCATTCAAATGAAGCTCAAAAGAATATTCTTTCAATGGAATTGGGTATGAATAATAATAATATGATGATGAGATAAAAATGGAAAAAAAAAAAACAAAAAAAAACAAAACAAAATTAAAATATAATATAACAACCAACAAACAACAAAAGAAATGAAAATAAATGTAAAATCGAAATAATTAATTAATATATAAAAGTTAGTTTGTTGTTAGTATATTTTATTATTATTATTTCCATTATTCCCATTATTATTATTATTATTTCCTTCCGTGTTTCATTTCCTATTTCTTATTGAAGTATACAACAACGACGATTTGCTTTTTTAGCTTGTTTTAAAAATAATTTACTTTTTGCAGATAGATCATTTGATTGTTGTAATAGGTCTTCCATTTTTCCCATATTTTGAAGTGCAGCGTCTATATTTTTATGCATGATAATAGTGATATCATTGATTTGTCCTTGAATTTCAGTAGTCTTGTCAACGTTGGCCACCGTTCCATATTTTGTCATGATATTTTGTAATCCAGGGAATGGTGATCCAATAATTCCCTGTGTCGTTTTCAAATATTCCATCATCATTTCACTTAGACATCTAGCTGCTACTCTATCTGGATATTCTTGATCCGTAAATACCACTCCACCAAATTCCTCTCTTACATCAACAAAACATTTATATTGTTCATAAGGTACCGCATTTTTTGTATTCACATTAAACTTTTCAACAAAAATCTTACTAGTCGCTACTAATAATTCTTTTACCCTAAAAAGTAAAAATAAAAGAGTAAGAAGATGTAATATAGATACGAATATATATTACTTGTTTGTTGTTTGTTGTTGACTACTTACGTTCCTCTTTCAAAGAAACCAAATTGATTTAAATCATATACACTATCAATTACATCACCTCCTTTTCTCCTTGTCAATATTATACTAATTATCTTCATTCTTTCTTTCTATCTATTAGTTGTTATAAGTTTGTTGTTGTTGTTTTAAAAATACACAATAAATATTATTATTATTATTATTACTACGTTATAATATAATATGAATGAATAAGTTAGTCTGTGTTTGTGTGATACGATTGAATCGAATGTTATTATTATACTTTTTTTGACCCCTTTTTCACTCGATTAGTGATTTCCTCAAATTAACTCGTTTCCGACATTCTCTGAATGGTTTTCATTGTTTTCCGTTTCTCTATAGGTAACATTGGAAAATGATATGATAGTTTATTTATTTATAATTATTATTATTATTATATTATATTTTTTGATTGATTGATTATTGAAATTACTCTACTTTTTCGAAAAAGTAATGAAGTAATTCGAATCTTATTACAAAATATAACTAGTAATATTAAATTTTTTAAAAAAACTATTATCCTTTTTCTCTTTTTCTTCTTTTTCTTATTTCTTTGTTAATCTAAGTAAACTACAAAGAGCAACTAATTTTTGAAGTATTTTTTCATTTCTTAATAATGGAACAACGATATCTGAAGCTTGACACAACATTTTATAAGAGGTTGCAATTTTAGATGGAGTTGGGAATGGGAAAAGATTCTTTACCAATCCATAAAATGCAACTGCAAAGAAATGCATTGCCAATACATGTGGTTTTGGACAAAGTCCTGATAATAATTTAACTGGTCCTGCTGTAAATTCTCCTCCTAAACTTAAATATCCCATACATGCTTTTCTTAGATTTTCTACAATTTAAAAAAGTAAAAAAAAGTATTAATAAAACAAATAATAATATTATCTATCTTTTTTTTCTATTTTCTCTCTCTTTTAAATTTACCATAATCGGCAGAAAAAACATTATAAAGAGCACCAGCTAAAACATTTAAAGTTGAAGCAAGTGGTTGACGTTTTGATTTGAATTGTTGAATGATATTATCCATGACTTTAGGGTTACAGAGATCGGCGGCTGATAGACGACCGAGTAATTGGGACATGTGGTAGACATCGGAAAGGGCGACAGTCATACCTGCACCAGTGAGGGGGTGACGCATATTCCAGGCATCGCCGAGGATGATGGAGCCGGGTTTGGTGCTTTCTTGGGGATGGAGACGAGAGTTGGGCATCTTTTTGAGTTGTTGCGTTTCGAGAGCCTGTAAAAAGGCGGTGCGGAGTGTTTCGGGTAGTTGAGGGGCTGTCTGTTCGCGGAAACGTTGTCTGAGTATATCATTGCTGGGACAGACACCTGGGACATCAACCAAGACTCTGATCTCATTACTACCGATACGATACATGAGGATGGGAGTTGGATCGACCAAAAAGACATGTCCATGATGATGGTATGGTAGGTTGACACCACGGATAATGAGTCCGACAAAGGTACTGGTTTGAGAGGGTGTGTTGGCAGGTGTAATGACACGACGCAGATTTGAGAAACAACCGTCACAGACAATAGTAAGTGGTGCACGCTTATCCATTGATACCTGTTGTCCAGTCTCGCTGTCCAATGTTACATAGGTTACACCGTGTACCTGATTGTCATCCTCAATGAGTGCTTTGACAGTACCTTCAACCACCGTAACATTGGGTGCAGACGACATCTTTTCACGCAACTTGTTGATAAACTTGCCATGATGAAACGAGTAACCAATAGCATTCTCACCAGTACTCTGTAATTTGGGGTAGGTCAACTTGGTACTCTTATCGGCACCCATAAAGATACCATAGCCATAGGCAGGTGATGCATCGATACCTTGAAAGCAGTCTCCCATCCCCAACATCTGTAGATGCTTGACACCACCAGGTTGCATCAACTCACCAACAATTCTATCAGGTTCGCTCATATCACGTTCCACTACGAGTACTTGTTTACCTGCATTACCAAGTGCAAACGCCATAGACGTTCCAACTACACCTGCACCTATAATGATTACATCATAATCATATATATCTTTTAATTCTATTGAAACTGAAGAAGATGAAGAAGAAGAAGTAGAGGAATCCATCGAAAAATAAGAGAATAAATTAAATAAATAAATAAGTTGTATGTTATCTCTTTTTTAGATGATGGTGAATGAATGAGTAGATTGATTGTCGAATCAATGAAAGAGAGAGAGAGAGAGTCGAGTACTTTAAAAGATTTTTTTTTTTTTTTTTCAATCTGAAGAATCTGATCCTAAGTTTGTTTCGTTTGCAACATCACCTTCATCAACAACCAAGAATCGACTTGTGGATGCTAACATAATTGTTTGTTCAACAACCCCTTTTAAGGAAAGAATGATAGATCATCATCCCTTTTTGAACAACTCACTACAGTTGTTTGTTTTTAAAAAAGATAAATTATTATTTTTATTTATTTATCTATTTTCCTTTAATCTTTTGATAAATAAAAATTAATATAATATTATATAGATATAAAGATTATAAATATTTAAAATATTAATAATATTCAAATTGAATTCCAAATTGAACACAATAAATATAAAAAAAGAATGTAAATTTTACTTTTTTTAAAAAATATGAATAATAATAACAATAATAATAATAATAAGAATGTTTCATTGACATCATCAGAATCATTTATATTTAATGATTTAGGTGATACACATGAAACTTTAGATGATGCTATTAATAGTACACCTGTATTATCACTTGTAAATAGTACTGAAGGTACAAATAATACTAGTAGTAGTCAACAACCTGAAACTATTATAGCTGCTACAACTAGTACAACAACTACAACAATAGAACAAGAACAAGAACAAGAACAAGAAGAAGAAGAAGAAGAAGTAGAACAAGAAGATGATGATGATGATGAAAGAGAAGATGAATTTGAAGAGGATGATGAACAAGATGATGATATTGATATTCATCCTACTACAGTCAATGTTATTAAAGAAGAAGAAGAACAAATACAACAACTATCACAACAAAAAGAAAAAGAAGAAATAGATAATCCATTTCAATTGGATAATAGAAAAAGTAGAGAATTATATAAAACAAAGATATTAGAGAAACAAAAAAGTTTGGATAATATTCCAAGTTATTATTCCAACAAGATACTCTATGACAAGAGACATATTTTCATTAAAAAGTTGGTCAATCGTGTATTTTCAACTTTAAAATCGGCTACTTCAGAAGACTTATTGGCATCTCAAAAGAATAAGATTCTAAAGGAATTATTTCGTAATTTATCCTCTGAATTGGATGATTCTGTTTTAGGTAATGGAAATAGAAAAAAAAAGAAATAGGATCCTTTTATTTATTTATTATTTTTTTTTTTTATAGAATATTTACAATGTGATGAATTTAAACAAGGATCACCAATTAAAGGAATACCTTATAATAATAATATTAAGGATAATCAAATGTTTGCATCATTTTCACCATTACAACTTTCAGAAACCAATAGATCACTTGAAATTCCACCAAGGATTACATTGGTCAATGAACAATCAAATTCACCAATGGATGTTCGTCATGCAAACGATCCAATACATTTGGAAATTGAAAAGAAATCTTATACCTTTGATTATCCAATACTAGATGACAAGGAACAACCAATCATTTATTATTATCAATTGGCTTCTCTCTATCTATACCATATACCAAATGAAGTTGATAAACATCGTCATCTTTTCCTTACCCTCTATAATAATCATTGGTTCTTTTTAATATTTTCAAGTTTATTTTATCTTTGGGTAAAAGGAAATGGAAAACAAAAAAAACAAAAAAAACAATATTTATTAATTTACTTTTTATTTTTTAGTTGCTAGAATATAGATTATCATTAATACCACAAGTAAATGTATTTATAAAAGCAACAAATAGATTATTTTGGCATGATAATGATTGTAATTATCAAAGATTTAAAGAGGTTTATATGGTTATTAAAAGTAAATTGTTGGATGGATCACTATGGTCAGGTTTAAATGAAGCAAATGAAGAGAATTCCCACGATCCAAATGGTATACTATCTAGAAATCGTCGTCTTTGGGTTGACTTTTATCATATTATCACTGTATTTTACTTTTACTATGAAGATAATGTCACTGTGGAATCTTTGGCTCGTTTTAGACATACTTTGGAACAACACTATACCAATTCTGTCATTGGTGGTAATGACCCTACTCTATCTGAACTTTCAATAGATGATATCTTTGTTCGTGGTGTCATTAGACATTTATATCAAATTAAAAGTGAAGAAATTTTAATTAAATATATTGAATATTGTACTTTTTTTAAAGGCAAGTAAAGAAAAAAAAAGAAAAGAAAAGAAATGAAAAAAAAAGAAAAAGAAATATTAATTAAACTCTCTCTACTTTCTAGATTGGAATTTAACAGCAGTAACAAAAATTAAATTACAATCTTGTTTATATTCTTTTAGTAAACCTGGATCACCTTGTCATATGCCAAGAGATGTTAGAGTTGCTAGTAGACAGGCTTTGGATATACTTTTCCCTCAGGGTAGTTTGTCTCGTCACACTGTCAATCTTTTCTTTAGACTTTTACATCCATACTATTCAACTGGCTCTATCGTTCATTGGATAAAAGAAACTATTAAAAAATATTTACCTTCTTTTTTTAATAATAATAATCAATAAATTAAATTTTAATCAGATGGCAAAAGCTCAAAAAATCAATTTAATTTTTTTTAAATGATTTTTTTTCATTAAAATATTGAATCAAAATCTTCATCACCCTTGCACACCAAACTTTTTCATTTTTTTTTAGTTTAAATATTTGTTTCAATTAAATATTTATATGTAACTTGTTATAATGTAGAAAGTAGTAGATATAGTACTCTCATCTTCTCCTCCTTCTTAATGGTAGTCTTTCTTGTCGCAAGCCATTCAAACTAGTATTGTTTCATGGAGTTGCAAACAAAGGGGAAAGCTCTACGTGGAGGAGCACATTCTGTTGGAAGAGCACACTCGGAAGCTCAGTTAGTCGTCTACTCTCTTTGGTCTCCCTCGGTGTTGGCAGCAAGGTTACCATCCACTGTCTGTCGGTGGCCAGTGGCAGCTAGGTTACCATCCACTGTCTGTCGGTGGCCAGTGGCAGCACAAAAAAAATAAAAAGTGGACGACCAATGTGGGGCTCGAACCCACGACCTGCAGCTTAGAAGGCTGCCGCTCTTCCAGCTGAGCTAACCGGCCACGGTTATTATGGTGGGTGTTTGAAAATATCGGCGTCCTTCGCAGCCCTTTTTTTCGATTTTTGGCCTTATTTAAAAAAAAAATGGGTTGAAATGATTTATTTAATCATAAATTTAATCTTGAAACCATTACATCCAACTGGTAAGGCTTCCTCTCTTCCGGCCTAGCTAACCGGCCACGGTTATTATGGTGAATGGTTTCCATTTGTTGATGCGTTTCTATTATTCTCTTTTTTTGGAATCAACTGTTTACCACCGAGTTGCCCACTGGTAAATTTAAAAAATAAAATTTCAAAAACAAAAAAAGTTCATATATAATAAAATTATATATATAAATAAAGTTAATTTTGTTCAAGCAACTTTTATCATATAATTTTGTTTCTTTAATAATCTACCACCTCTACAACATCCACTACTTCAGCCACAACAACATCTGCGACATCCACAACATCCACTACATCCACCACAACATTATCACTATCATCTTTCAGTGCCGAGAATCATTTTGATATCAGAGATTGTTTGTACGTACACGCAAAAATTTAAAAATAGATAAATAATAAGTAAACTGTATTTATCCAAAGTACCAAATCTATATACTCTGATATTACTCTTATTTGTTTATAGAAATATAGTCATTACCCCTTTAATTTGATGCTTGACCAAGCGTTTTGAATTTGATTGCATACATCTCTATAGGTGTATCTTTATCTTTTTTTCAAAGTTTCATCTTGGTGATGCAATCAATTTCATCTCTGCTCAAAGAACCCTCCCTCAACCCTCCTTTGATATATATATATATATGAAATGGTTTCCCTATCTCTTTATTTATCACCTCTTCTCACTACTAGTGTCGCTTCTCATATCTTCGCGAAGTCGTGGGTTGTGGGGGTATTTTTAATTTTTCATTCCCGAATTTCATTTTCATTCGCTGTCGCCCACATCCTTAATTCTCAGGTGAAGATGCACAACGTAATCATATCATATGTATAAGTTCTTTAGAATATGATTAGGGTGGGGGGTTATAAAGTAAAATATCATTGTTCAAAGATGCGATGAAATTTAATCTCTCTCTTGCTCGTAGTGTATGTAGAGAGGTTCGTTGAAAAAGAGATTCGATGAAAAAATGTTCATTCATCAGTGACCTCTTGACAAACCGAGCATGACGACAATGTTGCCACCCTAAAAAAATGAAAAAGTGAATATGACCGTTTTGGGACAGATGCAAGGATGGATTGCGCAAACGTCTAAAGACTAATTGGTCCATAGCGGTAATGACGTGATTTCTTTTGGTTTTGTCACCGGCTTTTTTGTAACCATCTTCTAAGCCCTCTAATCACTCTGAGAGTGAGTGGTTAACATCACACAATCTCCTCCTCCTCATTCTATTATTAAATTCTTTTTTAATCATACCCTATAAATACATAGTACAGTCACAGCAAAACTAAATTCATATGATCAGTCTCTTTTTAAATACAAATATTTTTATCTTTTTATTCTCTCTCTCTCTATATCTTTATATATCTATATCTTTTAAATGTCAAGTAATAACAATTCAACTATAATAAGACCAAAATACCCAAATCTTCATGGATATGATCCTTCAGTAGGGTTGGCAACAGCAGGTGTAGTTGGTTTTGCTGTTGTATCTATAATATTATTAGCATTATCTATAAGATTTAAAAAGTTTTGGTTTTTTGTTGCTCCTGTTGCTGGTGCTGGTAAAATAAAAATTAAAAAAGATAAGATATAAATATAGAATACTAATATAATTATTTCTTTCATTTTGTTTATTTTATATTTAATTTTTTTTTAGTAATGGCAATTGGATATGGAACAAGAATAATAAGTGGAAATGATGTACATAATCTAGGAAAATATATTACAACAACCCTTTTAATTTTATTGCCACCTACAGCCTTGGCAGCCGTATTTTTATTTGCACAACTTGGTAAAGTAATGAAAAAGACTGGTATTACACATCCAATCTTTAGACCAAAAGTTGTAAAATATTTATTTTTAATTGTTGATATTTGTTCAATTTTCATTCAATCTGGTAAGCAAATTATAAAATATAAAAAATATAAAAAGAGTAATAATGATCATTTATTTATTTTTTATTATTTTGAAGCTGGAGGAGCATTATTAGCACAATCAGCAGATAATATAAATTTACAAACACCAGCCAAAGCAGTAATGTTGACTGGTCTAACCATTGCCCTTACATCATTTACACTATTTTTCTTTTTAATTGTTTATCTTCACATCAAAGTACTTAGAGAAAAGTCTGACGAGGCTGACAAAAAATGGAGAGTCATCTTTATTGCCCTCTATATCAGTGGTCTTTTAATTATCCTTAGAAGTATATATCGTGTTGCAGAGTATGCAGGTGGTTATCATAGTGCTATAATGTTAAATGAAGGCTTATTCTTTGGTTTGGATGCTTTACCAATGTAAGATATCATACATTTTACAATAACAATAATATTCGTTCCATTTATTTATTAAGTTGAATCTTTTCTTTTTTTTTTTTTTCCAAAGGTTTTTATTAATGTGTGTATGGATTCCATTCCATCCAGGATATGTTAGTCTCAGTAACAAGGATAGTAAAAAGAAATCAACCACTACCGATGAAACAAGAGGAGGTGTTGAAATGGAATAGAATAAAAAAAAAAAGACCCAAACTTTTTTTTTGTAAAAGAAAGATTCTTCAAATTTTACTCTTGAAACCCTAAGCAATATATAATATTATATAATATAATAAATTAAAAATTAAAGAAAAAAACAATATTTTTTTGGGGTTGTGATGTTGGAAAAACAAGAAAAATGAATGTTAGTCAATACTAGTCAGTCACACACCACTGTATTGGGGGTTGGTACATAGAGTGAATTTGGGGGGGTAGATATTTACCAACTTTTTTTTTAGAATACGAATAACCAAATTCATCCAACACAATGTCTTGACAGTGGGTGTGTTGTGGTAAACACATGAATAAACTATCTATTAGACAAGTGTGATCATCATTTGCATGATTTTTTTTAATTGTTGTTAGTATTATTATTATCTATCTATCTATCTATCTATTATCCTATACATACTAGTTGGTTTATCTGTAAACCAAATTATTTGATCCAAAACCAAATTCAGTAGAACAAGTAAAAATACAAACTTGAACAAAAAAAAAAAACAAAAACAAGAGAGAGGTTAGTATCTATTAACAATCACAACATCATCAATCCAACAACAACAACATCACAATCATACATTAAAAATGGAATTGTAATAATATTAATACAATTATTTTAATCGTCATCATCATATATAAAACAAAAACAAAAAAATACACCACTGTTTTTTGATATTATTTATTAAATACTTGTAATTCTAAAAAACCTTATTTATTTTATAGAAAGAATAGAAAAAACCTTTAAAAAAAAATGAAAAGATCAAAATATATATATTTATTTTTAATTATATTATCCATAACGATTTTAAATACTTTTGGTTATACTCCAGATGAATTAATTACAAATGATAGTGGTAAGTCTAAACAAAAAGATAAAGTAAAAGATCATCTTTTTTTTGTTTTTTTGTTAAACATATTTTCAATTTAATTTAGGCGATTCAAATGATACAACGACGATAGATAATAATGGAACGATTAGTAATTCAACAAGTGGAAATGTAACAAGATTCAATACATCAGGTTCTGCTATACAGAGTTCAAACAATGAACTTAAATTTAATTTCCCAATAGTTGGCATTGCAACAAACAATCCAAACTCTACGGCTCCTATCATCATTAGCAAATATCAAGCTTTTGCAAATACCGATAGAATTGTTAAAAAAGATTATCAAGTACTTGGTGGTGAATCAAATGTTATGAATTCAATTGAAGTTACTCGTATGAATATAGAAAGAAAAAGAAAAAGATAAAGAATCATATTTTAGATTAACATTTTTTTTTTGATTTCTCTCTTTTTAGATACAGCAAGTTATAATGGATGTGTTGCATTGTTGAGTAAAACTGATAGTGGATGTTTAGTAATGACTTATAGTTTGAATGGTTCAAATGGAGAACCTGAAAACTCGATTCAAAATACACGTGAACTACCCGGTATCAATTGTACAAATATTGCAATCGATGATACTTATATTTGGTTACCAACTACTGAAAATAGACTTGAAGTTTTAATTCATAGAAATTGTCAAAGAAGTAAGAAGAATTAGATATAGACCTTTTTATATTTATATTTACTCTTTCTTTTTTCTTTTTTCTTTTTTTTTATAGTCGAACCAACCAATTTAACAAAACCATTGGGAAAGAAAATAGATTTTAATGGTACAGATACAACTATAATATTTGCAGATCCAAGAACCAAACCAAAACGATCATTATATATATTTCAACAAAAGACTAGTGTATTAACACAATACACCTATAATAATAGTCTAGAGGCTCTAACAGTAACTAGTACAACCAATATTGGCGAGGCATGTTCAGTTAGTACAATCAAAAATGGTCAAATCATGGCATCATATCATGATGGTTTCAAAGCTTTCAATATTTCAAATGATCAATCCATTCCTTTTGATTCTACAAATATTGATAAAGTTGATCTTTGTGGTCCATTTGTTTATAATAATGGTTCAATTGTAAGAAAGAATATAAAAAAGGAAAAAAGAATATTTATATATATTTCCTGTTATTAATTATTTCTTTTCTTTTTCTTTTCTAGTATTCAATAACAAATAATAATAGTTTTATTCAAATTTTACCTGGAATTGTATCAAGAGTTAGTTATCCATGTTATAATTCATCAAATGGTATCATTGAAGTAAAGGGAGCCATTAATCATTATAATATTAAATGGCTTGATAATGGTTCAACAAAATATCGACGTGAAGGTTTACAAGCCAAAAAGTATAGTGCTGTCCTAACTTCAACCATTTTCAATGACCCTACTTCAATTAAATTAACTTTTAATTTAATTGAACAAAAAAGTAAAATAGAAACAAAAATATAATCAATAATCAACAATCAATCTAATACTATACTTTTTTCTTTTTTAGATCCAGGACATCCATTAAAACATGGAGTATGTAGAACAGATTCAAATGGTACAGTTGATTTTAAAAATATAATGACACCTGGATTAAAATATTCATTTGTATTGTATGATCAAAACAAAAACTTTACATCGAAAAATGGTACATTCAATTATCTAAGATCAAAAAATTATACTATCGATATGACAAGTATTGATGAATATGGGTTTAAATGTTCAAATAGAATTAATATTCCAATTACTCAAGGAGGTAAGGAAAAAACAAAAATAATAACAAAAATAATATATTTACTTTTCTTTTTGTTTTTTTATTTGTAGCAATATTTGATCCAGAAATTAAAATTAAAAATCCAAGTTGTTTTAATTCAACAGATGGTGAAGTTGAAATTGTAGATTTTTATCCAGATTTATATAATTATGAAATGGTACCACATTCAATTCAAACATTCAACAAGTTTATTAAATTGGGTGTTGATAATCTTTATGAATATGTATTGTTTATAACGGAAAAGAATGATACTAGTTGTAAATTACCAAAGAAAATCAATCTAAAATCACCACCTCAAATGAAACCACCTCTCTATACTTATTCCAGAGTAAAAGAGTGTTATGGTGAACCTGCTATTCTCAAAGTACAATATATACCAGGAATGGATTATTCATTGATTAAAAAGGAAAATGGTCAAAGATACCAAAGTACAAGAACCGATGGTGGTTATTCATTCTTTACAAATATTCCAATTGGTAATTTTACTCTTCATTGTTCTGTTCCAAAAACAAATGGTACAAGTCTATGTAAAAATGAATTAACTCTACCAATTAGAATTATTCAAAAAACTCGTAAGTCAAACAAATAGAAAACAAAAAAAAAAAAGAAAACTAGTCTTTATTAATCTCTTTTTAAATTTTAGAAATTGAATTAGATCAATCAAGAGTAACAACACAATGTAATCCAGATGGAAAAGAAAATTTAATAGTTAAAGCAAAAGGAGGACAACCAGAAAGAAATGGAGATTATTATTATATTGGTAAATATGCAAATGCCAAAGGACCCTATTTAAATGTTAGTTATTGGGTTGATGGTGTTTACTCGGTTACTGTAGCCGATGCCAATGGATGTGCGGTAACCTACGATAACTTTACCGTCAGTAGACCTAGTGAATGCTCCATCTACTATGATCACAATGGCAATGTTGTTCACAAGGCTGGCATTGCACCAGTCATCAATTCACATTTGGCCCTTGCTCTTGGTATTGGTCTTGGTGTTGGTATCCCAGTACTAGTCGCTGCTCTCATAGGGGGTGTCGTATTGTATCGTCACATTGGAAAGGCAAAATCAAGAGCTCTTCCTCCTCCAAATAGTATTCCTGTTTTCATGGGTGGTAAAATTCAAAATATTGATAATTATTAAATAGATTAGAAAAGAAATAAAATAAATAAAATAAACAAATAAATATAAATATATAAATAAATAATTATTATCATTATTAAATATTTAAAGACAATTCTATTTGTTTTGTTTATATATTATTAATTTTTTATTTTTTAAAGTTTAAAAGTTTAGAGCTTAGCTTTTGGAGCAGCAGCAGTAATTTTACCCAACTTCATGGCGAGACCCATATTTCCTTTAATCTTTAACTTTCCTTGACCAAAGAGAACTTGACCATTGACCTTTCCAGACATTAAATTGATCAAATCTTCTTCCTTGATGGAGATGGTGCAGTCAGCCTTGGCTGGTACGCCAGCCTTGACGCTACCCTTTTCATTCTTCAAGTCGACAGTGTATTTCTTGGTACCAACGTCAAAGAGGTAGACACCATTGATTTGCTTGACAAGCTCTGGCTTACCAGCAACAGTCTTGGCCAATTCAGCAAATACCTTGCCCAATGGAGTTCCATCGTCGAGTGAACCACCAGCAGCGGCAGCTGGAGCAGCAGCAGTAGTGGATGGTGCAGCTGGAGTAGCAGCAGCTAATTTCTTTACAATAGCACTCAACTTCATAGCAAATGCCATATTACCACCAATCTTTAATTTCTTTTGTGCAAATGCCTAGTGGTAGACAGAGATAGAGAGATAGATTGAGTGAATAATGATGATTCAATCATGATGATTGATTGTTACATACAGTTTGACCATTAAGCTTGCCATTCATCAAGTTTACAAAGTCTTCTTCCTTCATGGTGATGGTGCAGTCTGGCTTTTCATGCTTATCAGCCTTGAGTGAACCTGATCCATTCTTTCTATAAAACAACAATAATAATAGATAGTAGTTTTTTAGCAATGTTCTAATTACTATTTGTATATGACTGCTTGCTATCTATCTATATCTATCTAACTATATATTATATCTCAATATGTGTATTAATTGTAAGTGTACATACAAATCAACAGACCAAATCTTTTCACCAGCAGCAGTAGCAATGTTGAATTGGTAGATACCCTTGATGGTCTTTACGAGTGATTCACCTTCAGTCTTGATGACGTTTTCCAAGTTGGTAAAGATATTTGAAGCCATAGCTATATATGTTGTTGTTGTTGTTGTTGTATTGTTAATACTGATGAAATATAGTACTATAATTGATGATATTGAAGGGATGAGTGAAATTGCAAACAAAAGAAAATTTGAAAAAAAAAGCAATTTTCTACAAACAGCTCTTGCGGAGAAATAATGGAAGATTCCGTCTATTCACCAGACATGACGTAAAAACAACCATCGCTATTGTTTACCGAATTGGTAATAAAGAGATTTTTTTTTTTGATATAGTAGACCTATCTATTCTCGGGTTCGGAATAAATCAATATAAATAATAACAATGAATTATTATTATTATTGTATACCAAAGATAAGTTCAGAGTTTGATGATCTTGAGTTGGAAAAAACAAAAAAATTTAATAAATGGTGGTGCTGTGCAGACCTCGTTTGAACATCAAATTAAATATGTGATTGTGCATCATCATTCATTGTAATTAATTATAATTATAATAATGTTATCAACATCATCATCTCTAATTACAAAAGGAGGAGGTAATCTTGTTAATCTAATAGGATCAAGATCTTTACCTTCTTTTAAACATATAAATAATAATAGCTTTATCAGCAGTAACAGCGGATCATGCAACAACTTTAAACTATATAATTTTACAACTGCATTATCATCATCACCATCAATTTATCAACAACACCATCAACAAATAACCTCTTTATTATCATCGACAACATCATTATTGTCATCAACATCATCACAATCAATTCAACAATTATGTTTTTATTCAAACAAGAGTAATCATTATAATAGAAGAAATTCATATACAAGACAACAAGATGTTAGAGCATCAAAGAAAAGAGAGTCCGTTAAAGAGGCTACACAAAGAGGAGAGGAGCCAGTTAAACGTCGTCACTCTAAATTGGCACATGAACATACCCTTCCTCTTAGCCACGAAGAAAAGGTTGAACTAAAGAAAAAGACTAAAAAGGTTAGAAAGGAGCAAATCAAAGCAAACAATCAAGAACGTATCAAACATGTCGAACAAGTTGAAAATGATCAAAAATTGGATCAACAAAGAGAGGAAACTGAAAGAAAGTCTAGAGATTTAAAGAATTCAATCATTAATCCACCACCAATTCAATTACAAAAACAACAAAATAATAATATACAACAAGATGAAGATGATGAATCTTTATCTAGCAGTAGTTCATCTTCATCCTCATCTTCATCTTCTTCTAGTTCATCTTCATCAAATTCATCATCAAATGAAGATGATGATCAAACATTTGAAGAGTTTGAAAATGATGATGATTTGGAACCAGAAGAATTTGAAGAAGATCAAGATGAACAGTCGGATGAACAGTCGGATGAATCATCGGAACCATTAACAAAACCAGCCAATTATGAAGAAGTGATGAAATTTTTTGAAGATTATAAAGTTTCAAAGGCCAATTTCCAAGGTACCTATACACCAGTACCAGTAGAGGAATTTGATATTTCAAAGATTGATCCATCAAAGATGATTACTCTTTCACCGGAAATGCTTCAAGAATTGACCAAAGACATTGAAGATGATGTTGATGATGACGAATTACCACTACCACAATTCATCACTCACGAGGACGCAAAGAAACGTTTTGGATTTACAGACGATGAATTAAAGAGTGCTGCCGCTGAAATCTCTGATGAAGTCTATGAACAACTTTTGGCTCAACAACAAGTAGAGATTGATCAATTAATCTCTCAAGGCAAACACATCAATATCCCACCAACCATTGATGAACAAAAGCCAATCACCCAAAAACAACCACCAATCGTCGTTGGAAAGGATAAAATCATCGATGCCAGTCTCCAATCGGTGGAAAAGAAAAAGAAAAAATCATCGTCAATGCCATTGATGGAAGAGGAATTGGAAGAAGGTGATGAATACGTAGACTTTAAGGCTGACAAGGAGAATGAAGAAAGAAAGAAAAAGAAAAGGAATCGAAAAAGGAAAAGAAAAAGAAACAACATGATCAAGAAATCAAGGAATTTGAATCCATGGAGGAATTGATCGTCTATAAACAACAGCAACAACAACAACAAATCAAACAAGACCCTAAAAAGAAACATCTCTTGGAAACAAAGAATGAAATTACCATTCATGAAGTGATGGATGTTTTGGCTGAAACCAAATTGGAAGATTTCTTTGTCGTAGACATTTCTAAAAAATGTACCTTTACAAAATATCTTATCGTTGCTAGTTCTGATTCAAATAGAATCCTTGCAAATGCTGAAGAAGATTTATTAACTACTGTAAGAAAGGAGAAAAGAAAAAGAAATAGATAAAAAAACAAAGATATATATAAATATTTATTAATTAATTTATTTTAGTTTAAACATAGATTCCCAGTAGGACATCAACCAATTAACTCTGCAGATGAATCTGATGATTGGAGAGCAATTGATTTAGGATTTTGTATGGTTCATTTATTTGAAACCTCTAGAAGAGAATACTATGATCTTGAAACACTTTGGGCAACTCGTCGTCCAAATGGAACTCAAGAACAATCTTGGGATGATGAAAAAACAGATCTTATTGGTGAAAAGGTAATTGATCAAAAATATATTAAAGAAGATTAAAGAAATAAAATAATTAAATAAATATAAATAATTTTTTTTTTCCTATTCATTTATTTATTTCCATCAATTAATAAAAATGATAGAGAACTATGATTATCATGAGAAATAGAATTGATGTATGAAAGTGAACCAGTACTAGTTTCATTATTATTAATATTATTATAATGATAACGATTGTAATCATAGAGTGCACTAGAGAAACTTGGGAATTGTAATAGTTGCACGCATTCAATAGAACGTTGAATGACTTGAGGATCAAAGTATTGGTGGTAACTTTGAACCTTTAAAAGACATAGAATGACACGACTAGTTGCTTCTGGCCAACGTGCTGCCAACTTGGTCAACGACGAAATAATAACCAACATTAATGTGACTTGTTCAGAGATGTGTTGATGTTGTTGATGTGGTTGACCCAACAATAAAATAGATGATTGTTGTTCTTGTTGTGGTTGTTGTTGTTGTTGTTGAGATTGTTGATTAAGTGATGAATTAGAGACACTAGAGAGTGATTCCATTTTCATCATATTGATACGTTCATAGGCAATCAATTCGAGTGCTTCGTGATAGTCATTGAAAATGGTTGGAGTAATTTCTGTACAGATACTTGCACTACTGTACTCTCCAATGATCCAACACAAGCATTGTGTCATATCGATTCCTCCACCTCTACCTTCGGTGATGATTTGTACCAAAAGATCCTTTTCATCTACTACCAACGATGGATATTGATTAAAGATGGACATGATCTCTGTAATAAGAGTTTGTTTAACAGATCGTTGATATGGTTCAAATGGAAACATTTGTTCGACACGTTCAAATACAACTGGCAACAACGATCTAAATATAGTCTTGTCACCATAGGCCAATAAAATGTCAAAATAAATATGTAACAATGCAGGTACCAATTCACATGATCCAATGGTTCTTGGCGTTACAGGTGTCTTTCTACAAAATTGTTGAAGTAGTGGCAATGTTGTAGTTGACCAAAAATTAATCGATACTCCACTTTCATTTCTTAATAAATAATTATATAAAACTCTATATTCGCTCCATGCTGTATCATTTAAATCATTTATATCTATTCCTCCCATTGTTGCTACAAAAAAAATAAGAAATAAAAATAAAAAATAAATTAATAAGAAATAAATTTTAATCTTTCTATTACTTTTTTTACCATATTTTCTTTGTTCAACTAAAACACTTTCCATTGAAGAGGTTAATAAAGGTAAATCCAAAAGTAAATGAAATACTTCAATAAAAGTATTTGGTGAAATTAATGATGGCAGCAATTCACTAAACTCTCCAATTAAACTATGAGGAAACCATGCCAAACATTTAAATATAGGTGGAAAGTATAATCCAAATACATTTGAATTCTCTAATAACTTTTCCTTATTTTTTAAACAAAAATTTAATGTTTCAAATGATACAAATGAATTCATATCTAAATTTAAAAAATAATAATTAATAAGTAAATATAAATATACTTTTTTCTATTTGATTTCTTAATAATTACAAGTTTTTGGTAAAAAAGTTTGAAAATAAGCTCTAAATAAAGGTTCTGGATCATAGATTAGAGTATGACTATGATTTACAAAAAATTGTAAAAGAGCTAATAATACATGACCAGAGTTTGCATTTGTATTCCTACTAGATGGAATATGAAGTTGATAGGCCTTTTGAACGGTTGGAAAGATTTTTGGTACCAAATTGATATCCATACAACAAAGGAAATCCAATATTCTAATACTCTCTAGCAATGCAATAACAGCTATATTATCAATAGCACCACCGCTTTTTTCATCTTGAATAGGTCTAAGTTTTGATTGATCAATAATTCTTAGACAATAGGATACAATGATGGATTGAAAATTTGGATTTAAAACTCTATTTGATAGTGCTGATCCAATTTCTCTTGGTGTTTGTGGTGGTGTTTCGCCTCCAATTTGTTGTTGTTGTGATTGTTGTTGTTGTTGTTGTTTTTGTGGATTATATAGATTTGTCAACCAAACATATAGCATAGAGAATGAATAAATATTAAATGATTGATCCTCTGTATAGACTTGAGAATTATTCAATACTGTAAAAAATTCAATCGATATTGATCCATCCATTTCTGTTACTGGTGCTGCTCCTTGTTGTCCAATTTTAAAAACTAAAAAAGAAAGAAAGAAAAGGTTAGATATAATTATTAGAGTTTAGTTTGATCTCTCTCTCTCTCTCTCTCTCTACATACATCCAGTATTTGATTGTTTTTGATCAGAAACCAAACTGGCATGTGAAAGAAATTGACCCAATTGACTTTCAATTGGTTTGATTTGAGACATTGGTATGCTATCGGAATAATGTCTAACAAAGGTTGATAGGAATGGTAATGAAGACGATCTTAATAATGGTTCCAATATTGATTGAGCGATGAATGGAATGGTACCAATAAACAATGATGCATTTCCACTACCACTTGTTATCATCAATGATAATAATAATGATAATACTTTATGATCATTAAAAAATGTTTTTAAACTAGAAAGAGAAAAGAAACATATAAACATTCTATTAGTTTGGAATGGAACCAATGATGTAATACAAACTTTTTATGTAATAATTGAGGTTCATTGGTTGATATCTTTGATATAATCGATAATGATAATGTTTTAACACGTAATGGTGAATTTGGATCAATCAAAACCGTTGTTCTATATAGATATAAAAAGATAGATAGATTAATATCACATACACACATTGTATTAGATATAGGTATATAAATCAGATGTACATACAACTTTTCTATAAATACAGGGTTTGCTTTTAAAGCATTTGGTAAAATGATTGATTGTTGTTGTTGTTGATGATGATGATTCCTTTTCTTATTGTGATGATTCTTTTTACCACTACTACTACTACTATTATTATTATTTGTTTTATAGTAATTGATTGTTATTCTATACAATAGTTTTAACAAGTCAAGACATTCTTTTGATTTGGTATTCTTGAGTGCAACATTTTCAATCTTGTTTAACAAATCTTTAATATTAATATCTTGTTGTTGTTGCTGTTGTTGTGGAACAGGTGTTGTTAATTGTTGATCCATATCCTCCCTCCTCTCTTATATATATCTTCAAACAAAGAGAGATAGAGATAGAGATAATAATTAAAGGACTTATACTAGTTGGGTCCAAAATTTGATTTTAAAAAAAAGGAGATGAAACTTCAAAAATAGTTTTATTGTTTGTGTTATTCTTTCGTTTCATTTATACATATCTGATTTGATTTATTTATTTATGAATTTGAAGGAAATACATTAAAGAAATGATATATTTCATCTTTATCATAAACAGCAACTTTGGTAGTACAATTTGAACATTCAACTGAATAATAATCTTCTTCTATCTGTTGATCATCATTATCATGATCGTCTGTCGTTGCTATCGATGTTGGTTCTTTTCCATTTCCATTTCCTTTTCCTTTTGATTTCTTTGGATGTTTCTTTTTCTCTTCTTTATAGACCAATTTAGATTGATAATCAATAGTACAATTCTTGACAAACATTGCACGGTATTGATTCTTGTATAAATCATGTCTCTGACAATCAACACACAACAATGTAAAACATGCTGGACAACTTAAATAGGCATCTGTTTTATCTAAAGAAAATATAAAATAAGAGAGAGAGAGTAAATATATATCAAGGGTTGGGTTGGATGGGATGAGATATACATACTTGTAGATTTAAGATTCTTATCAACCCATTGTTGATTCAAATCATCTTCTTTATCGTCATATAACAGTTCATTTCTTTCTTCCTCTGTAAAATCATCCTTTGTATCAAAGTATCCTACTTGTTGACTGTCATCACCATCTTCATCAGATGATTCATCATCTTGAAATTCATCATCACTATGTTGATCAATCGTTTCAAGTCTTTGTTGTTGTTGTTGTCGTCTACTCGATGATTTCGTACTTAAATCATCATTCTTTTCTAGATTCATGACATATTACTACTCTAAACTAATATATCTATATCTATGATTATTTATATATATATACAAAAATGTTTATGTTTTATTTCAAAGTGTGAGACAACAACTTGTTATAATGTTAAGTTTGAACACAAAAAAATCAATTAATTAAAATTTATTTTCTTTTCTTTTCTTTTCTTTTTTTTTCAACAATATGATAATAGATAGATAGATTAGTTTGGTATAATTATTGTTTCTTTTCTTCTTGCTGTTGTTGATCTTTTGATGGAATATGATCAGTAAGATTCAATAAAGTAGCCTTTTGAATCCATTCTTCAGTTTCACGTTTGTTGGTCGATTGAATTGGTTTTCCGGTACGGATGGCTTCAATTTCGAGACGAGTCAACTTGACACTCTCAAAGGCATAGTCCATAAAGGCTTCACATGCAACTGGGACAATAGGACGAATGAGGGCAAAGATAGCATTGGCATAATCTCTAATCTCCTTTTGTGAGTGGCTGTCCATACGCAAACGAAGGAAATGGAATAGATTGTGTAGATCAATCTTCCAGTACCATTCAGTGTACACGCTTACCGGTAACCCAATACGTGCCAATTCTCTACTAACTCCTTTATCCAACAAGTTATTATAGGTCTTGTAACATTCTTCAGCTTGATCTAAATAATCTAAAAACTAAACAATTGGAGAAATAGAAATTACAAAAAAGTTAGTATATATATATCAAATATGATGTTTTCATCATCATCATCTATTCATACCTCTTGAGCAGTTTTAGTATCCATTTGATCTTCACCACCTTGTCTATTGGATGTTGATTGTTTTCTGACATCTTCGACCGATGGATGATAGAACTTGTCTGGCATGACTGAATAACGAGCACTGTATTCATTGACATTGGCAGTACGATGTCTAATCCATTGTCTAGCAATAAAGATTGGCATGACACAATGGAATTTAAATTCAATCATTTCAAATGGTGCTACAAATCAATAAAAAGTAAAGAGTATAAAGTAAAAGTTAATATTTCTATTTCTCTCTCTCTTTCATTCTACATACAAGTATGTTGATGACGATATAGGTATCTAATGAGACCAGTATCTTCAGTAACCTTTTTAGTTCCAGCACCATAGGATACTCTGGCAGCTTGACAGATTGCAAAATCAGCAGTTTGACCAACTGGTGCCAATCTTGGCATAGTATCAACGAGAGCTACATTTCCATGATCGTGTACTTTTACCTCCCAACGATGTGATCCTTTCATTACATCATAGTATTCTGTTTCATTGGGTGTTTCAATCACCGTAATACCGTCAGTTATAGCTTCCATTATTATTATTATTACTAATTATTATTATTATCTCTTTTAAATGTTTTTAATTATGATTTGTACTACTACTACTATAATAATATTATATATCTATGTAATTTATATACCTAGAAAATAGAATGAATGAATCATTGATTGATGGGGGGGTGGTTGATACTGACAATACTCCTCTATCAGGTGGTGGTTTGATTTCCCGCCATTTTTATTTAATTTTTTAAAGTGCTCCTCAACGGCAATTCAAAAGCTTTGGGAAATGGAGATGGATCCAAACACCCGTGCATATGATCAAAAGCTTTGGTGGTGATGAATCATTCACCCTGATGTATATACCAACAACATCAAATATATAACCCACTCCAATAGTGAAGTGAATCATCATTTTCTAAAAGAAGGAATTGGATTGTACAATATTGTTGTTCTCTAAAATGATTTATTATTGAGTTGTAATTACGTGTGTCATGTGGAATTATATTAGGTTAGGATTGGATAGGATAACTATGATCTATGACGATAGGGGGAATTGTGGAATGTTGTTTTTGTTGTATGTTTGTTGTTTTAATCCCAAGATCTATTTGGGAATAAAGCAGGACCGACTAAAGTCCAAAGATATAATAGATGAACTAGCCAACCAGATACGATTTTAACCCAAACTGATACGAGACCAGAATCGACATTGATCGATGCACTAGAGAGACCTCCAATGGTAGACCAATTGGTGAGAAGCATACCAATGTACATGGCACCAAATGCAAAGGTGATGTGGAAAAAGGTGTAGCTGTAGGCGACTTCATGTTTTTCATCGTCTTCCATTTGTTGTGGGACGTCATCATCGTCGTCGGAAAAGGCGTTGAGACTAGAGTATTGGGGACTGTCAGACTTGCCGAGTAACTCGGTCGAGTCGGATGCTCTAAAGGCACTGTAGCACACAGAGATGATGGTAAAGATGGCACCCATAATGACAGTGTAGTTTTTGGGGTCTTGATTGGCCATTGTCGAGCATGTTGAGGCTGGCTCACTCATAATGGCACTGTACACTAGATAGGTCGAGTAGAGCATGACTACACCCGACTGTAATAGACCCGATGATGGACGATACTCTCTAATTCTCTCATTGACCGACAATACACCGATAATGAGTGACAGGCCCAAATTGAAAACGACAAAGAACTGGTTGATTGAACATGTCTTGCCCCACAATACCAACATTGTGATGGTCAATGCTAGTGCCAGACAAATGGTACCAATCGAAGCCACCAAAAGAACGATATAGTAACGGTTGCTCGAATGTCCCTCATCTTCAATCTTGGAGACGAGTTTCTCGTTGAGTGTGTATCCAAATTCGATCAACAGTACCAATTGAATCAAGATAAATGCTGCTGCACCAAACAAAGAGATCCATCCATAATAGACAAAGAATTGATTGGGAATAAAGAACGATGCAAAGATGATACCGGCCAACAAAACAATCTTTACTGGCCAATAGCCATCTTGTATCTGTGCTCTTGGATTCTCTGTGTTTTTGACACCAATCAATATCAATGCCAATAATATATGATATACTGCCAACCCAAATGTTAAACGATATACTACCAATGCTCCATAACATTCATTATCTTGTTTTGAACAAATTTGTAATACTAAATAAGAAAAAAGAAAAAGAAAAGAAAAAGATAAATGTAAGTTTATCAAAAGTAAAAAGTAATCAAAAATCATTTACAAGTACAGATAGCATACCATCAATATCGGCAAACCAAGAGAATGCCCAATAACTAAATACATAAGATAATACAGATATGATTAAAAAGAATAAAATATACAAGGTTCTAGTACACGTTGACTTTTTTAAAGACAATACTGAACCACAACAAGAACAACCTAAATTAAATATATAACAATTCAATTAGTAAGTTAATCAAAAGTGTACATATTATATAATATAATATATATTCATTCATTCTTACCTGCACAACAAGCAAGTGTACTACATGCTAATATGCCACACATGGTATGATGTCTTTCTTTTCTTTCTTTCTACTGTATCCTCAATCGCGATTGATATTATATAGATCTATATAAAGAGAGAGTTTTAAACTAAAATAAAGTAGCACTGAAATACTGAGTAATAATATAATGATATAATATAAATATACAAATGTTTAGAAGATACAAAATAATTAATAAAAGTGAATCGGGAACACACACAAAAAATTTTCCTTTCCAACAGTCTTGAAAATAGGGGAATAGTTCATTCATTCTTTTAACAAAGAAGGGATATAAACAATACACTTTACAGATAGAGATATAATTGTAAAGACACAAAAGATCCCAAGATTAATATATATATATAGTTTGATAGTGAGGTGGATATGTAGGATGAATGAATATGTATTAATAATACATCTTTTGTGTTGTATTGTAATAAGTTTATTCATTCAGAGTCACATAGCACCTTATTACAATTGTGTAATATAACCATTAATGATTAAGTTATATTTATCAATCTATCACTCACACACACGCATGTGTTCAACATTGAACACACAATCTATAATAGAAAAGAAAAAGATACATCATCCATCTTATTGATTTATTGATTTATTGATTTTATTGGCCATGGTAGATGACGTCTTGTAGCCTTTTTATTATGACAACTCTTAATTAATATTAATAAACATATGAACAAAAGAGTTGTTATAACAAAAAGACTATATTCAAATCATACTGCCACCATATAAGCTACGACCAACCCATCAAACCCGGGTGACCCAATGTGGAATGGATTTGTTGAAACATATAGACGTGCGTATGATTCGTATAAAAATTACACCCCCCCCTCCTTCAATTGCCGATATGAATGCAGACGACCAGAGGCATTGCGCTCCTTGTAGATGTGGAACCCACGGCATTAGAACCCGAATGTCCTTTCTTTTTGTGGAATGTTGTCTTGGTTCCAGTGTCTGGTGCATAACACTGTCGAGCCAATAAAAGCAATACCAAAAGCCTCCATTTTGGATTCGATTGCCTTTCTTTTTATGGGTGAATCCTATATAATAATAATTGGAATGGAGAAATATCTTTTGGATGACCTCTCTGCTTATTACCGGTCCCCAAACTTGCTATAGCTACACGATGCAGAATCTGGCAGATCTTTCTGGAAAAATCATTACAACAAGCGAGTACGATAGAAAGAGTGCAAACTACTTGATGATTCTAGTTGGGTTCTAGACAGAGTATCAGTATCCATTGCTTTTGTTCTATAGGTGAATGGTGTTTAAACAAATGATTAGTAATTATCGATTGAAAGTTCATTATTATGTTTGACTTACATTGATTGTTGTTGTTGTTGTTGTTGTTGTTGTTCATTGGTGATGATTATATCTTCAGCTCACTATTACTGTTTCCCCTCAGGTCAACTATATATTAATAATAATGATTACTTTACAAACAACACAATAATTCCTTCTCTTTCACTTTTAATTGTTAAAAATTAAAAATAATATTGTCAAAACGACGTAATTTCATTCTGTCTATCAATCAATCAACCATATCTCCCTATCTTATCTCTCTATCTCTTTTCTATCTATTTTTTGGGTGGTTGATGAACAGTAGTGCTGGTAGTAGAATAGTTGGTGGCATTGTTGATAGTATAGGTAGTAAAAGGGTGCTTGTAAACTATTGGTCGATATACTTTAAGAACAAAAACAAAGAGATGATGAGCTACACTCCCTCCAACTGCATTCACCTATACCGTGACTTGCTCAGAGCTGCACGTCTACTACTCGTCGATAGCGCAAGAAAGGATAGATCCTTTTCACAAGTCTGCAGAAATCAAGTTCGCGATCGTTTTAGAGAAAACAAAAGCGTTGTAGACACACAAATGAAGAGATATCTCTTTGATCAAGCCCAAAAAGAATTCTCTCATCTTAAATCTTTATTGGAAAATGATAGTTTAATCAAGGTAAATAGAGAGAGAGAGAGAAAGAGAGATGTATATGTTAATAATTATATTAATTATGTTCAATCAATTATATATATTTAGTACCCAAATACAATTAGAGTTTTACCAGAGGCTGCAAAGAAATCAAAGATCCTTTTATCAACTTCATCACAAGAAAAGATTAAATCAAAGAAATGGGGTCTAATCGATAGAGTAATCTCAACTTTTACTAATAATAAATAATATAATAATAATAATAACAATATATAAAACATAAAACACCTGGAAACAATCGATTGTGGATTATTATTATTATTTGATAATTTATTTATTTTATTAAAGAAGAAATACTTTTTGGTAATGTTATTTATATTTATATATATATTTATAAAATATGTGTTTTGTATTATTCCAATTAATTATTTAATTAATATTTGTTTTTTATATGTTTTTTTTACTTGTTTTACTTGTTGTTGTTGTTTTTGTACACCTTTTTTTTTTTGTTCTTTACAATTCATTCTTTTACAAAGTGATCCTATTATTTGTTTTGTTGTTTAGGATGACATGATAGTTGTTGGAGCATTTGAAGAAATATTCAATTTGGATGGTAAGTCTGTTGATGAAGTGGGTGGTTGAGTGGTTGATGGTGTTTGTTGTTGTGATGTTGAGGTGGAATTGGAATTGATAATACTATCAATCATTTTGTTTTGTTGTTCGTGATGATGATGATGATGAACTTGTTCTTCTTCTTGTTCTCTCTCCTTTTCATCGTCTACTTGAACAATCATTTTCTTTGGTGTTGTTTCAATCATATCAACATCTGTAATGGTACTAGTGTTACCACCGTTATTGACACTGGTTGCTGGTTGCTGGACCAATTTACTTTGATTCTCTTTGGGAGGAGGAGATGAAATGGAAGAGATGGAAGCTTTTTCAAGTTGCAACAATGATGGTGATGATTGAGAGGGAGTAGAGGTGTTGGAGTGATGGTTAGAGAGCAGTTGTGAAAAGAAGACATAGAGAGGATTGGCACCAAGCGACGAGATGACATCAGAGCCATTGTGCATTGGAAGAGGACTGGGCGTTGGTGGGATGGTCGATCGGATGCCAACAGTGATCATTGACTGCACTGAAAAGAGACAGTCACGAATCGTAAACTGACTCTCTTGCTTGAGTGCAATCGGAGACTTTCGGTGAAGGAATCTAAACTCGAGTCCGCGAAGTTCAGGTGTTTCTAAATCCTCAATCTCCTTGCGCAACCACTTGAGGTCGACATCAACATTGACCTCCAAGAATCCAACCAATTGTTGAACTCTTTCATCGTGGATATTAATCTCTACAGTTCCTTCATCAGCAGTTTCTTCATCAAATGATTGTTGTTGACGTGATGATAATGTTGTTGTTGTTGTGGTTGATGTTTGATTTGGTGTCAAGTTGATATTGGTTCTTGGTACATATGGTGTGGTTGATGTGGTGGTTGATGAAGATGTTGTTGACGATGATGATGATGATGAAGATGTTGGTTTTGGTTTATATTTAATTGATATATTACCATTTCTACTATTATTATTATTATTATTATTATTATTATTATTATTGTTGTTGTTTTGTGATGATTGTTGATTAAATAATGGTGGAGTAGTACTCTCACTATTATATTTACGTTTGTTACCACTATTATCCTTTGTTGAAGGTGTTGACATATCCATACACATATCTTCAAATTCAAGATTATTATTATTTACAAAATTACTATTATTATTTTCCCCTCCTCTATTGTTATTACTGCTACTATTGTTGTTGCTATTACTATTATTATTATTATTATTATTACTATTAGTGTTGTTGTTATTATCCCTATTATTAATTATACCCATACTCATATCTTTAAATACCAAATCTTTACTTGATCCAACATTACTATTGGTATTACTGTTGGTAGTGCTAGTACTACCGATACTACTACTGCTACTATTGTTGTTGGAAGTATTTAATATTGGTTGATTGATTGTTAACTTCATTTTCTTTGTAATCTTTGCTTCATCATCTGAAATGATATTTCTGTCGTCATCATCAATAAACATATTAGAGTTTGAATTGGATGGAACCAAAGCTGATGAATTGGAAGAAGTTGAAGACAAAGAGGCAATACCTCCTCCTCCACCGCCACCACCACTCAATGAAACATGGTGTGATCCTTTTTTGTCATCTTGTCCAACATTACCCCACATATCTATAATTAGAAAAGAAAAAATCAATTTTAATTAGAAATCATTCAATTAAATATTTTCACAACAATTATAATTAAGTAACTTACTTCTACCAGATGAACAAAATAGATTTTTATACGATGATAAAACTCCACTAAGGTTCTTGTTCAAATAATCAACTAGAATAGAATAAGCAAGTAAGTATAAATATATATATATATTTTTTGATTTGTTTTCTTTTTCTCAACATACTTGTTTTACCACCTAATAAAAGGGTATTTGCATTTTCAGAGATAAAAGAATAAAGAGCTTTGTTTGAAGAAAACTTTTGACCACTTGTTAATTCCAAATTATAAAGAGTGGTATGAACAATGACCTTCCATGATTTTGGTAAATGTGAAAGGGTCGAAGCCTTTTTCTCATTACACTTTGAACATTGATAAATATATCTAAAATCAATATGACTTGGAATAATCATCTTTGGTTTACCTTCTAATAATTCAGATGCAGCATTTGGATATTGAACTTTACAAAGACTACATTGCAATGGAGTATATTTGGCTGTAGAAGTTTGATTTGAATGTTGTGGTTGTTGTTGACTATGATGATATGCTTGTTGAGTTGATGACGACGAAGAAGATTGATGAGATTGTTGTTGAGATGATTGGTGTTGACTTCCACTACCATGATGATGATGATGTGATGATGATGATGATGATGGTTGACTCTGAGAGGATGAGGAGTGTTGTTGATGATGTTGTTGTTGTTGTTGATGATGTGTATGTGATGATGAGGATGACGACGATGATTGAATAACAGGTGGAAGACCTTCATCACCATCAGTATCAGTATTGACAACTGCAGCACCAGGATTCAAACGTTTCTTGGCCACCTCTTTGCTAAGTACCAAGATACCTCTGCTATCAAACTCTACACGATCACGTTTCTTTCTATTACACCACAATCGGTTGTTCATGACCGAGTTGACAAACAGACTTCTGCCCGACGACAAGATATAATTGATGATTGGTAAACTCACATCTTGCTTTGGATCAGACACCAAGTCCTTTTGATGTGATGCAATATACTGGAATATATCCTTTCTAGCATGATATCTAACTCCCTTTTCCATCTCTAGATTATGTAATGTTGTATGTATAATCTTTGTCCTAAATAAATCAAAAATATATACATTAATTAATTAATTTGTTTAATCACATGTTATTTGTTTACATACCAAGATTTAGGATGATGTTTTAAAATACCGGGACCATTTTGACAATATTTACAAGAGTATTCATAGTTTTTGTCAAATGGACCGGGAAGTACTCGATTGAGACTAAACTCGAGAACAATGTCGTTTTTACATTGGTTGCAGGTGATAGTTGCGGTCTTGTCGGCAGGTGTCTCTTCTCCTTCGGATTCCGTGTCTGATGGAGATCGAGAGGAAGAACGTGACGAACTCGAGATGTACTCGCGACGGTATCGACCGCCACCTCCCGAGTCACTGTCCGAACCAGACCGACTGTCACTGCGACTACGACTTCTTGATCGGCTACGACTGTGGCTACTACTATGGTTATTCTTTCCACGGCTACCACTACGACCACGACTATTACTTCTACTCATCATTCTATGGTCTTTATCATTGTTGTTGTGACCAATATTATTATTATTATTGTTGTTAGAGTTTGTTGTAGAGGAAATAGTATCACGATGCATTGCACGTTCACGTAGTGTTTCACGATCTTGCTCACCGCCACTACTGATCGTTTCAATGGCGTTAATGTTACCTTCTCCCAATGGAGAATCGATGTTTTCATTGTCCAAACTCTCGACTTCGCTCGGTCTTGGATTAGCCCATTTTCCAGTGTATGGTCCTCCAGAAACAAAATACCCTTTGTTATTAAAAAATGCCATTGATACAGCTTTTGATATATCAGCTGAAATCAAAAAAAAAAGAAAAAGAAGAAAAAGAAAAAGAAAAAGAAAAAGAAAAAGAAAAAGAAAAAGAAAAAAGGGGAAAGTTAATCAAAACTATACAACTATAACCTATATAATACATTATACTTTTATACTTTACATACCTAAAGATTTATCATGAAGGAAAACATTTGGATATTTGACAACATAGGAAGTGACTTCAGTATGATGAAAGAAACGATTACCAGTTAACCTTTCCAAGTTGTACAATGCAGTATGAATGACACATTTCCAAGACTTGCCAAGATGAAAGAGCATAGGTGTTTTAGAGGAAGAGCAATTCTTACAAGTAAAAGAGTACTTGTTGTCGTGGAACCCTGGTATGACACGTTCCGACAGCTCTCTTACATCTTGAACAATCTTTTGATGACATGTAGTACAAACAAGTGGTACCGAAGACGATGGTGATGCCAAATTGGTAGTTGCATTATTATTATTATTATTATTATTGCTATTGGTACTATTTGAAAGATGTGGTGGTGATGAAGAGTTGCTGGTCGATTGGCCGTCATTTGGTGTTGTCACTGTTGGGGGTGGCGATGTTGCTGTTTTTGAACTTGACATGTTTAAAGAAGTAGATTGTTGATGATTATTGTGATGTTTATTACTGTTAGTATTATTTGATGGTTGTTGATGATTAACTGTACTATTACTGTTACTACTGCTACTACTTGATGATGATGATGATAAAGAAGGTGATGAAATCAAAGTTGTAGATGAACTTGAAGGTGAGGTTTCAATGATTGTATTGTTGTTGTTGTTTAGTTGATGATTTTTTTTAGTATCTTCAGTTGTTGATGTTGATGTTGATGTTGATGTTGATGTTACAGTACTAAGGGTTAAATTGTCTCCAATATTACCTCCGCTACTGATCATAATTTCATAATGATCCCTTTAATAAAGAAGAAGAAGAAGAAGATGATGATGATTGATGTTATTTGATGAAATAAATAAATAAATAAGTTAAAGTTGTTGTACTACTACTTTTTTTTTTTTTTTATAAATAGAGCAGTGTAAAAGAAATTTAATTTAATCTAAAATTGATTTGATTTTGAATTGATTTGATTTGATTAATCTATCTATCTATCTTTTATATTAATATATATATATCTCTAGTAACACACACACTAACTTATAAATAAATAAATAAATAAATAAATGAATAACCAAAGTCAACCAACTAACTTAATCTTTTTTTTTTAATGAATGAGAAAATAAAAATATACACTTGCTAGTAAGAAGAAGAAGAAGTTGTCCTTCCTATTATAAAATTTTGTGATCACAAAAAATAGATAGCTCACTAGAAAGAAAACAAAATAAATATTATTAAACCCCCACAACCAATCATCCATCTTTTTTTTTAGTTTTTGATCCAACCACCCCACAACCATTTCTATGAGAGCTTTTTTTGTTGTTGGTATATCTTATTAATTGTTTGAAACCTTGAAAATAAAATTCTTAGGATTAATCTCATTCGGATATTATAATAAAAAAAAAAAGGGAAATTTGTCACAGATTATACAGACCCTCTTCACCCCGATGATAGTTTGTTTATTTGCCTTCTCTTTGAGAAATAAAATATGAAGTTCCCAAATATTGCATCTCTCCTACCGACCTCCTCTACCTTCTTTCTTTTCAATCAACAAGCTTTACTTTGTTGTTGGAAGAGGGGGTTTAATTTAACCCTACCCAACTTCTTTTTAATGTGTGTTAACCTTTCCTTTTCTTTTTTCATTTTGAGGGGGGCAACCAAGATGGAGAGTGGTGGGTGGTCATTGTTATTCACTCCCTCACCATCATATAATAATTTAATACCTAAAACTTTTTAATCGAACAATCAATCATCATTATTACTTCAGATCAACAACAACAACAACAAGAAAGAAGAAGACAAGACGGAGATGATTAATAAATCGACAGATGCGTCTTCAATGGCAGCATCTGCAAATAACAACAACAACAATCAATCATTGAATATTAATGATATCATACCTCTTTCAACTATCATTTTGGTATGTATCTCTGGAGATAAAGATATGATATCTTTGCAAAGAAGAGAAGAGTTATATTAATTTCCTTTTTTTTCAATTTTTGTTTTGTTTTCTTTTTTTTTTTTAAACTTTCAAGGGAAAAGACAATATTGAAGATGAAAGTAAATTATTGTTAACTGGGTTAATTGGAAAGATTGAATGGTCAACTTCACAACAAAGTAGAGTGAATGTACAGAAACGTAGAATCGGTAAATTCAAGTCACTCTTGGTGATTGACATTTGCATCGAGAAGCAGCTTCAATCGTCGACGTTAAAGTGGAATGTCGAGGAAGATCAGTTTGACAAGTTTCAATCACTCTTTCAAGAGGCGTTCAAGTACTTGATTGACAATGACCCGTTGCTAGTGGTTGGCAAGTTTCGCTTAATTGTCGAGTTTTATGATAATCATCCATACTTGGCTTCATTCTATATCGATGATCAATCAACAAGTACTAGTACGACGACAACGACTATTCGATGTCTATTGGATTTGGATTGGTTAAATGAATGCAACAATGTAGAAGAGTTTGATCATTCCATCAAGATATTGACTCTATCTTTGGTACTAAAGTATTGGATAGAGTGTCATCGTGCAGTATCCTATCCTGCCAATGTTCAAAGAGATGCTCTTCATTCACTCTTTGGCTATATGTATAATTTACAAACATCAAATCATCCAAATTCAAATTCAAATACAAATACTTCCAATACTTCTACAACTTCTACAACTAGTACAACAAATAATAGTGGAGATGATCAAATAATTAAAAGATTTAGTAAATTTTTAATTCAATGTAATCAAAGGTTGATTATGGATTCATCACTTTTATTTCATACAGTCATGCAAGATATATTTGAATTGTATGATCAAATTCAACTATTGTTTAATCATTATAAATTAGACTATCCAATCAATTCATCCATGATTGAATATCTATTGTATCAAAATGATACTCCCCTCATTGTAAATAATATCAACCAAGATCATACACATGCCACCTCATCAATATCATCATCAACATCAAAATCATTATCATTTTCAAAAAATGATAGACAAGAATTAATTGATTTACTCGACCGAGTAGATACAAAGATATCAATGTATTTGGGACAAATACATATTGATTTACCATACGACCGTAATGCACTACGTCAAGCACTCGAGATTGGTGATACGACTGATCGTCGCCAAGCAAGTTATGAAGTGATCAAGACATTTAGTTCGAGTATCGAATCAAACAATGCTATTAGACTGTCGAGCAAGATTAGAGAGAGTTGGCTCAATTCTCCGGAATCGTCTGTTCAACCAGTGATTGTGGTTGGTCGTGAGAGTAGAGCCTTTTCAAACCAGGCTTCTCTCTTTGCCAGTGCTGGATACATTTGTATCAACGATTCTATTCGTGATGCCATTGCAACTATTGACAGATTGGCATCAGAAACAAATGTCCGTACCATTCTCAAGGGTTCTGAAGACGACTATCCATCTAGTATCCGACAGGATATAGTACAGGTGGTTGACAAACTAGCAAAAATGACTGTGCACTTGTCACCGGCAGTTGCACGTCTTCGTGGTCTCGTAGCGAGTGTGCATGGAGGGTTAGCACCATCGACACAGATTTACGGTGGTATCCAACATTTGCGTGAAGCACTCATCATCGTGACACAAAAGAGTATGGCGTCAATTGAAGAACTACAAAAATCAACACTTGCACGTTTGGTTGAAGGAGTACATCGTAGAAAAGGGTACCATTACCAAACACACAACTCTCAGCCGGGTATACTCGACTCTACCGGATTCAAGACATTGTATAATATCTTGGAATCGTTGTATAGTCGTGCAAGGGGTGCTATTTGGCTAGAAGTGTATCGTCTGGAAGATGCAATTGGAAGTGTGCCAACTGTACCATCAAGCTTTAGTGTTCTCCTCCAACGACCAAGTGTCAGTGGATCAGAACGTTTCAGAGCCAACGAATTGGAAGCCAAGAATGAACAAGAACAAGTTTTACAAAAATTGGTTCGTATAGGTGGTGCCAATCTCTACATGAGTCCGAGTAATGAATGGGTTGAGCATGCAACCGATATCATCGAGGCGGTACCACTCTTTATCTATGAAAAGACAATAGAGGTCGATGGTAAACACACCACCGTCTTTGAAGTCGACCAAGAAGGCTTGGAGCAAACCATCAGACAATTGGCCGAGCATTGGACCAAGAATATTCGTCTCACCATCCTCTCTGAACACTGTGCATTTGCCCGAGACATCATTTCAATTGCTCAAAATCAATCGGATCCATTTAGATTGTCGTTGGATGATATCATTGCTGTCACCTATTACATTGAATCAGAATATGATAATCTTGCTGAAAAGGTTGAAGAACTAATAGAAACTAATTGGAAACAATCAAATTTTATTACTAGAATTGAATCTTTACGTTTATTATTATTACCTTTAGATTTAACAAATGATGAAAAGTTTGAGTATGTTGAAAACAAAAAAAAAAGACAAAGACAAGATATTTAAAATTATAATTATATTTATTATTTTTCTAGATTATGTAAAGAGATTGTAACAAAATCAATTATAATATTTCAATCAATAACAAAAGAAAACAAAGACAGAATATCATTTATGGCATTTAAAAAACAAAGAAATCTACCTGCTTTTCATTTATTAACTACAGAGGCTCCTGGTCTAGTTGAAGGTTTTATTCAAGCAATTTTAGAAGAAGAAATGGTAAATATAAATATATCCTTTAATTAATTAACAATTAATTCTCATTCTCTTTTATTTATTTTTTTAGACATTAAAAAATATAATTGAATATCATAAATTAGAGAAATTGGTAAATGAAAAGATTAAAGAATATAATCAAGAGATTTCAAATTTTGGTAAAAAGGTTATCAATGAATTCAACTATACACCAATTGTTGAACAATACATGTCACAGCTATCAATCGATGAAAATACTGCCATTCTCAGAGTTGTAAATGATCATGTAGTCATTCAAAAACAAGTTTCATTATTAATCTTGTTAAATGATTTGGATAAATTAAATAACAACAATAATAATAATGATAGTAGTTTGGAATCAAAAAGAGTATTGGATATAATTAATCGATTAAATGGAGAGGAAAAGAATTTATATAATATTAGAAATAATGCAATTGAAACTATATTTAAACAAAATATGAATGATAAGGAATTCCATCGATTCAATCCACAACATATTCAAAGAGATTTGGATGATATCTTACAGGTGATACAAACCAATCAAGTCTATTTGGATGAATACAAAAATTATTTGGTTTGTGAGGCACGTCAAAAAGCATTGGAACAAGCTTCTGAAAAAGAGTATCCAGATCTCTGTCTGTTGGATCGTCAGACCAAGTTGTATCGTTCAAGAACTGCTCTCTCTCGTACTTGTGCACGTCGTGAAGTGATCTCTAAATACCAACTACACTATCAAATGACTAATCCTAGACTTTCGTGGTCTTGTGGTGCAGTCTTTTTAAACGAGAATTCAGATGAAATGTTGGTACGTCCAACTGGCAATAGAAAGAGATACCACTTTATCTACGGACCATCACGTGTCAACCTTGGAAAGGACGAGCGCAAGAGTGTCGAGATTTGGCCACAGTTTGTCGGTGCAACCGATCCACTTTGTGCCAAGCATGCCAAAGCGTTTTACTCGCTCATTAATCACCAACCGATCGTGCGAACCATCACCGCCGCTGAAAACCTCAAAGTGTCAGAGAACCAGTGGACTGCTCTGGTGCGGGCCGTTCGAAATGTCCAAGCTCTGTTTGTCGAGCGGTTGGGTGTGGGTGACATTGAAGATTTGGCATTCCAATTCAACCAGCGTGGAGGATTGGCAACTGCCGCCCAAAAAGAGTCAGAGGCATACATGTCTGGGCCGACTGCCGGCTACTGTATTCCAAAAGATCTGCTCTTTAAACTGTTTGTAGTCACTCATCAAGACACACGTAAACTGTCTCATATTGGTATTCCAAAACATCTACATCCAATGATTGTACAGTTGATGGTCGATGTCGCTTCGAAACAAGGTCAATTCCAATCGGCCAACGAATGGGAGAAATGGGTATCACAAACAATCTTGTCAAAAGAGTCGTTGGAGAAACGATTCTCATCAAGTGGTACCACCACTAGTGGTGACGATGCAGCTCAACAAATATCAACCTACTTTAAACAATATGTCGAGTTGAATGGTGGTGTTGTTTTGTTCCACTTGACAAAGTTGTGTCAGATTTTGGGATCGGTTGGTGTGCCATCGCCACTCGTTCGATTCGGTCGTGATTTGCATTCGGCGTTGTGGAGTGGATGGGCAGAGAAAAAGATTACGCTGGGTGGCGAGCAGGTCAACCGGTCGGTGGTGTTCCCCATGACACGAGAGATACCCGAGTCGGGCAAACTGTCGTCGCGACTCAACCCGTCGGCCGGTATTGCCGCAGAGGAGCAGCTGCGCGTACACTTGTTTGGCGTGTACAAGGGTGACGACGACCAAAAACCACCTCCAGACGTAAGATTTGCCTGGGTGATGCGAGCATTCCTTATTATGAGCGGTCACTATAAAGAGGTGGCATTGTCACTCGACGAGGAGGGTCAGACTGTTGCACGACTCAGTTGGCACGGTTTCCACCCCGACTCTACCGACATTGAGGATATCAAAGCACGTCAGTACTTGGCCCAACACTTTTTAGATGTAAATGACTTTGATCGTGCTGTTCCACACCACTGTCAAATGATCCAACATCTTCAACTACAATTCCCAAAGCATACGACGGTTGGAGACATTACAGTCACTGCCGTACCGGGAGTCAGCAGCGACGACCTTCTCGGGTTCTCTGCCGAGACACTGACACTGCTTGGCGAAGAAGCTGATCGCGCACAAGATATTCTCCGCGGTCGTGCGGGTATGTCGGTTGACCAGATGGCCGCCAACTCACGTCTGCACAACACGCTCGACGACTGGGCCGGCCCCCTCGCCAACCTCCCCCACAACGAGCTTAAAATCATCAAAGATGCCGTGGGAGCCCGTGTACACCCTCTCGCACTACGTTTGCGTGGGCCAGGCGACAACTTTTTGCGCGATCTTCAGGCTCAGGATGTTGTTGTCTTTTCCATCATCCATCCGCAGCTGCTCGCGCTCAACCCAGCACATCTACGCGACTTGATGCTCATCGGACGTCCCAACAGCGCCTTGTCGGCACTCGACCACATTTCGCAGGGTCGTCACCGATGTTGGTTCGAGAGAGACGTGATGTTGTGGTATGCTGCAGCACGTGCAATCGACCAAGACGGCAACCGTGTCGCCAAATGGACCGACCGAAACAAACTAGGAAGAAAAGCAGTCTACAAGGCATTTGGATGGGGTAACGATCATTACCAACCACTCCTAGGAACTGATCTCCGTGAGGAGGTCAATCGTCTAGAGAACCGTGCCATGTTTGTGTATGCCATGCTAGAGCAGATTGTCGGTATCGATGCATCACGTCAAGATTACAAGGACCGATTGGTGGCAATGGAAACAATGATGCAAGAGCAGTTGTTTAATCGATCCGCTGCTAACCGTGTAGGTGCGTCACCACTTACCCTTGCACCCGACCAGCTGCAACAAGAGATTGAAATACAAATACAATACGAACAACGTGTATTATTGGCAAACCGATTTAAAAAGCGTGATCAAACCATTAGAGAGTCGTTGGAAGAGGTGAGAGATGCTCCATTTATCCGTTCGATCAATCCTATTCGTTGGTTGGCATTGGGTGGCTATCTTTTGCTAAATGGTGCAGCTCCAAGATTTGCAAATAGAATATTAAATGTTGTTCAACGTGCATTTAGCCGTCTCAATCAAAAAGACCACATCTTGGATGAAACCAAATTAGAGTCATTCTTAGAGACTGACAAATCGGTTCAGTCGCTCATTGTACCAATGTTGGCAACATCAAAAGTACAACTAAAAGATCGCAAAGGAAAGATGTTTAGTGTCAAGGCAAGTGAAGAACATCTAGAGACTGCAGTCACTAGAAGAAAAGAACTCCAAATTCAATCTAAAAAGAATACAACTCTTAAATGGAGAGAGAATGGGTATCTCGCATCTGGACTACCACTCTATAGTAGTTTGACAAAAGTAGCCAGTCTAGATGTCATTGAAAAGACTTTATTAGCACCCATTAGAGATAATATAAAGTCACTTACAGATCACTTGGAAGTTAGAAACAATGAACATCATACATTACAAGAAGAAAAGATTTATAATATGATTGGATCAACACTTAATCAATGTATAAAGACATTATTGGCATTGGTTAAATTATCGAGTATGGATCATGCAAATGAACAACTGTTGGTTAAAACAATTGAACAACTTGGTAATCAAACCAAAGGAAAGGAAATTGACCTCAAATCTTGGGATCGTCTTATAGGTAGTTATGAAGAATTTGGTCTACTCAATCAACTCTATGAACAAGCTTACAAACACTTGTTTGGTGGTGACCAAGTTAGATGGTTGGAATTTACGGCAATTGGTTGTGAAATCATGTCGACACTGCTACTGTTTGAAAAGATGGCTGCACAATATCTTCTGACACCACTCGAAGATATCAATGAATCGGCATTATGGAGATCATTGGCAGAGTTTTATGCAAAGACTATTGATGATCATTACAGCGAGTATACTCCATGGGGTTTGGATCCAAAACGGTACCCTCGATTTGCCAATCTCTATTTTGACGATGTTGGTATCTTGAAGAAGCAATTCCAAGAGGAACAATACCGTCTCTATTGGAGTGCACATCGTCATCTCTATCCATTCATACGTGCTATTGTAATGAATAAGGTTTCGTCGATTAAAAATACTCTGTCAGAATCTGATCAAAACCAATTATTTGGTAAATTGTCGTCCAATGAACAAGTAGAGATTCAACCAATTGGAGCATCTGCGCCACACCAATACGAACAATTGTGGAGAGTGTATGGTCAAATACGTGAAATTGCATTTATTAGAAATGATGGATTCCAAATCCCACGTGTCTTTTCTAATCTCGATGCCAAAAAGGTATTGGATGTCACCAACAAGGTCAATCATGCATTCCTCAGTCCTGTTGGTAGAACTCATTATGGTAGAGCTTTAATGGAAGGTCCTACACTCAATGATAATCTATTTATAACAAGAGATGGTTCAATGGCTGAAATTCAAAATAACAGCAACAATAGAAGAGTTTTAACAATCAATGATGCATATATTTGGATATCTTTATCAAGTTATCGTCAACTTTTGGAAGAAGGAGAAGGAAATCAAAATATTATTGAATCAATAATAGAAAATGAAAAGAAAACAAAATATTTAAATATTTGGAGTGAATCTAAAGGTGTAATGATTGCAGCTAGATTCATTTCACCTGTTATTATTGGTAGTGTTGTAACGTTGCATCATCATCGTTTAGAACATCAACTTTCAAATGCTGGTTATCCAACCACCGACAAATCACCTTTCCTTTACGAGTTGACATACAACAAGTCGCTCTATCCATTGATATTCAATCCACCCGACCAGACTGGTGTTTTATTGCCACCAGAAATCGACTGGTTGCAAGTAGAGACACACAAGATCAACAATGACCAAAAGATTATCGAACGAATCAAAGAACGTCTTTTACCTTTTGTTCAGACCTACCCTATTATCATTGTAAAGGGTGCCGCTGAATCTGGTGCTAGAAATTTACAAAGATTCGATTTTAACAAGGATGATGAGAATGGTGGTGGGTGGGCAGAAACACTAAAGACTTGTTGTACATTTATTTTAAATGTATCTCGATCCCAAAATGTGGTCATTCAAAGGGCAATCATCTCATCACCATTGTTTTGGATGAGTCAATCGGCTATTGACAGAATGGTAACTAGACAAATCAACGATCATGGTGTTAGTGTCGAGTTGAATCGTCATCCCAAAGACACTGTCTATGGTACTCTTCGTATCATCATGTCTGCATCATCTCCAACCTCTGAACCGTCGTCGTATCAAGATAATATATGGAAGGCATCTCATCCAATCGCACTCAATAGTCTGCAAATTGCTACCAATGTCGGTCGTCAAGGTTCACTCGAGATGTTAACACCCGACATGCTATCAGACGCACTCAAAGACTTGTTTATGAAGCGTCTTGAAGAGGCTGGATCCAAAGTCATGCAATCAATGGTGCGATTTGGCCCAACCTATTGGAACGAACAGATTAAACTGATTGGTGACAACACGCTCGACAGCTACCACAAGAGATTCCCACATGTCAGAGAAAAGGATGCCAACGGTGTACCCATTTGGTGGCCTAGATATTTGATGTTGGACTTTATCGCCGAACCTATCTGGAAGGATAAGCGAACTGATCAACTGGTCAGTACCGACGACATTAACAATTGCTCTATTCAACTACTCGATATTGTACCTGCGTCGTCCAAGACTAACCGTGTCGAGTCTGTCTTTACACTTATTGATAATCGCAATGGAGCAGAGTTTGAAGCTCAGGTGGTAGACGTTAGATTCTGGCAATTGGAACCAAATGTCGGTATTGGTCTTTGGCCAAATTATTGGAAACGTGAATTAGAACATCAACAACATCTCGTTAAAACTGGTACCCAACCTGATATCCAATGGTCTCAAGTTGGTAAAAGTGATCGTATTGTTTTGGAAAACTTTTTAATAGTTGGTAAACAATTCATCTCCTCAATCCCAAATTTAAATAATGTAGAATTAAATTTTAATCATGATAATGAAGATGAAAATCAAAATCTACCAATTGAATCATCATCATCATCATCAAATCCAACTACTACTAGTACTACAACAACAAACATTTCTTCATCTTCCTCATCTTCAACAACTACAACTACAATTGATAAAATAATTAATAATAATGATTTAAATTTAGAAAAAGGTAAATAAAAAAAATATATTATCCTTTTTTTATATTATATAATATGTTTGTTTTTGTGTTATTAATCATTTTCTTTTTAATATTAAGGATTACCTGAAATTTATTTAAAAAAAGGGATTGATTTTATAAATGAAGGAATATTTGGAAAGGATTTAATTTCTTTAAATGATAAAACCAAGGAAAGAATTGTACAATATAGTTTGGATAGATTGACAAGTTTTAATCTACTTCCAACAAATATCGATATTTTAAATAATCCACTTTCCAATCCATACCATAGTTCTATCATTGAATTGGATGAAAAGGCACCAACTCTTGCCATCATTGTTGGAAAGTTTAAATTAATGCATAATCATTTCTATCCATTCATGTCTGTTCGTTGTCAAGAAAATAGACAACTAAACATAATTGGTATACATCATAGTTGGATTTAAAATTGAAAATAAGAAACCTCATGTTAACCGATGTATCACCATGTCAAAGGATGGAAACGAGTTGATTGAATTTTCATCACTACGACCAATCCCATTTGACGCTTGTTATCTCGTGGAACTACCAAATAATATTGCAGGTGAAGAAGTAATGTTTCACAAGAAACTAGATAACATGTTGGGAAGAGAATGTGGAATCCAAGTACTCAACCCAAGTGACACTAGTAATGAAACATGTGATGATAAATATTGGATGAAATCAAAGTTTACAAATCTCTTACCAGTCGCCACACTTGAAAGAGATAAATGTTTGACTGATTCTCATATCATCAAATTATTACCAGATTCAACAACTGGTTATATTGTTCAAGCTAGAAGAGGTACTACAGAATCTGAAAGTGTTCAATTTATTGGTGAAACGGATAAAGAATCGGTAGCAAATCAAATAATGGATAGATTCGATGGAAATGATCAAATATTGTCAGACGTGGAAGATGATGAATTATTAGTATCACCATTTGTAAAATCAATAGGATCAACTCCATTTGTTTTAAGACTAAATGCTTGTATTGGTGGATTAACCACATGTGCTGTGGTTCAAGCTGGTAGTAATCGAGAAACTATCATATCTCCTCATATTAGAGGTTCAAAATGGATTAGATTCTCATCCATCAAAGATATTCTTCAAGATCACAATGGTAAAAAGTTTAATTCTCAACATTGGCAAAGATGGTGTGACTTGGCTCAATCCATTCGATCACAAACCAATCTACCAATTGTTGGAATTGATTTTATTGTGATTGAAAATCAACTATCAATCATCCCACTGGAAGTTAATGCAAGACCTGGTAGTCTTGTAATGTCTGAACAACCAGAGTTTGATCAAAATGGTGATTTTATAGATTCTAAAATGATCTCTCCTATTTCAATTTCTTTCTTTTCATCTATAAATAATATTAATAATAATAATAATAATAATAATAATAATAATAATAATAATAATAATAATAATAATAATAATAATAATAATAATAACGATTCAAACACCAACATTACAATTCAACAACTACTTTTAAATCAATTATCAAATTTAGAAGAATTTAAAAGATTAGAGATTATTAATAATAGATATAGTTGTAATGAAAAGGAAAAGGAAAAAGAAGATGAAAGATATTTGGATAGATTTGAAATATTTAAACAATTGTGTCATGGAGCAATTGAAAATGGATTTGATCAAACTGTGAAATGTGTATTAATAGCTTCAAATGGTAGAGATCGAGTATTTATGGGTCATTCAGATCTAAAAGGTTTGGGTGGCTATACAATTGATGCAACCACTCCAAATGAAATTATATGTATTGCTCAAATTATCCAACGAACATCAGGAATGGGTCAAGGAGGAAACATTATATTAAATAATCAAGACCCTAATTATCCTTCACATCAATTCACAGTGCAATCAATCATTGAACTTGTACAAAATGACAAAGAGTATTTTTCAACTCACAAAATCCTACCAAAATTATTTGATAAAAATAATTGGTACAATTATATCAAGTCTTGTTTATCTTTTATTCTATCACCATTGTATGTATAGAAAACAAAAAAAAAAAAAAATTATATAATACCACCAACTAACCTTTTATACTTTTTTCTAGAAATAATTATAATTTAAATGATAAATTTAATTTAGATTTAATATTTAGATTTTCAGCAATGGGTAAATTAGGATTATCAACAAATGGTGGAGTTAGTTCAAGTTCAGCATTGACAGGTGCATTTAGTTTGGCCCTGAATAGTTTATTACAATTGAATCTTGGTATTGATGAATTGTGTAGAATGGATTATGGGGAATACTATTTGGGCAATAATGCTGGTGCTGCAGACAAGACATCACAGCTGTATGCAAAAAAGGGTGGTATATCAGTGATTGGATCGAATCCTGAAAGATTTATTAGAGCATTACCTTTGGCCCCTTGTATCGATGTTTTCATGGCAACTAGTCCAACACCTAGACTATCAACTGTTAGTGGTAGAAAATGGTTACAACTTCAATTGGAAAATGGGTCTCTCAAACCCAATAATGGACAAAGTACTGATGAATATTTAGAATCAATAGTAGAATGGGCCAATGGAATAATGAAATCTTTTGGATCAGATGTATTTATTACTGCTGTCAATATTTTAAAAGAGAGTACATCATCAAGTCAGATTGACCATAGTATAGTAACGAGTGGAATAGATAAAAATACATTGGAAATGATTCATACAATTCTCAATCGTTCACCATTATTGAGAGAATTGGGAAATAGAGGAGAATTGGAGAATTTAGATCCATCATACAAAGATAATCCAATCAAACGTTATAAATTAATTTATAGATTAATGAAATTATTACCAATACGTTTGGAAAGAGATCATAACAATACACCATTATATGTTAGACAATCAGCATTGTATGGATTATCAGAATTGGAAAGAGGTGATTTATATCAACAATTGATGAATCAATTAAATCAAAATAGTCAAGATCAAACATATGTTTATAAATTAATTAATATTATAAAATTAGCACATGATGGTGACAGACAAATATTGGATTACAGAAATTCATTCAGACCAACGCCCAATCAATGGTCAATTAAAGTAGATAATGACAGTATTGACGAATGGATAAAAGGATTGGATGAAAAGGACCAAGAGGATAGCAATGGACTAGCATATCGTGTTGGAGGATTCCAAAGATCACTGGTAGAGATTGATGAATTGGCAGATAAAATGCAAACACAATTTGGTGGGTTGGCAGCCCTAAGAATTGCAGCTGCAGGACTAGGTGGTAGTGTTTGTGTACACTGTCATAAATCAATTACCAATCAAGTTGTTCAATTCCTCGTTCAACACAATTATCAAATTCGTAAAGTTGATCCAAGTTGTTCATCCAATCAATTATTTTAAAATAAAATGTTTATTTATATTTCTTCTTATAAAAATATAAAGGTCTTTTGGTCGTTTTTTTTTACAAAAAGGTTTCTTTCTTCTTTCTTTTCTTTTCCTATTTCTTATTTCTTATTCATCAGTTCCTTGGAAAAGAGTTTCAATTAATTTAATAGAAAATGCAGATGATGCATATGGATGGAAATCAATAATAGTCGATAATGCTTCATCAACCTTTGGAATACCATTATATTGAATTGGAGTAAATGAAACTTCTTCCTCACTCTTTAATACTAATTCACCAATAATTGCTTAAAGATTAAAAAATAATTTTAATTAATATATTAATCCTTTTTTCTTTTTTACTTTTTTTTTTCTTACTATACATACATCTATCTGAATATTTTGGATTTGGATGTTTAAGAGAAATCTCAAATTTAGAATCTTTAATATGAGATGCTTCAATACAAGTCAAAACACGATAAAGATCAATTTCCTTTGAATCTGAATGAACTAAAAATAATATAGATAAATTTGGTTAATTATATATATATTCTATTTCTTAAATATTTTCTTTTTTTCTTTTACCTTTTTTAGAGAAATTATCATTTTCTGATTTTAATTTTTGTAATTTATCATTTAGAATCTTTTGAGTTTTAATTGCTTCTTGATTTTCTTTGATTCTCTTTTCCTCTACTTCATCCAATTGATCATTTAATTTCTTTTCAATGTCTGATATTTCAGCATTCTTTCTATCGATTAGATCGTCGCCAATAGACTTTGCCTTTCTCTCTACCAATTCAAACTCTTCTTGGTATTTACGTTTGCTTTCCTCAAACATGTGAGAGACTTGTTTTTCATAGGTAGCCTTCATCTCGCCAACCTTTCTTTCAAATTCCTGTTCTTTGAGTTTCTCTGATGCCAACCAATCATCGACCAATTTTCTTTTCAACACTTCAAATCCATTCTCTCTGTCGTGGTTTTCTCTAATCGACTCTTGAATACGTTGTGACAAGAGACCATTGTCCTCTTGCAACTTGGCAATGATGTTTTGAGACTCTACCAATCTATTTTGAGCCTCTGATGTGTTGGAATGAGCCACCAATTCAAACTCTGAACGTTGTTTCTCCATTTCACCTGCCAACACACTGTATTGTTTATTGGCTTCAGACAATACATCGGCTTCGTGTTGTTTGACCTCTTTGACTTGGCCCTCCAACTGCTTGACACGTTCAATGAGACCATCACGCTCCTTTTTAGTCTCTTCAATCACCTTGTCCAACTCTACGACCTTGGCACCCCATACCTCCTTTACTTGTTCAATCTTAAAGTTGGCTTCCATCTCTTTGTCCTTGGTAATCTTGGTTTGGTACTCTTCATAGTCACAATTGAATTTTTGTTGGAATGCCTCTCCCAATAATTTATTCTTTCCTTGCAGCACATCAACTTGTAATTTTAATTGTGTTATATATTTCTTTGAATCTAAAACAAAAAGATAGTAAGTATATTAACATAAAGTATAGAGAGTTTCTTTTCATTTGACTATAGTTACCAGTATCTCTTTTTTCAGCAGCAATTTTAAAATCTTCAAATAGATTCTCTGTATCTGTAAATCTCATCTTTTTAATTTGATTTAATTTTTCTTTTGTTTCAAGATACTAGTATGATACAAACAAGTAAGTAAATGTGAATATCATATTCAAATGTATTGTCTTCTTTTTTTTTCTTTACCTTTTTTTTATAATCTGTATTTGATGATAAAGATGGATTGTATGATAAAGATGATGATGAAGATGAAGAAGATTGAGATGATGAACCTCCATTTAATGCATGTAATAGATTTCGGAGTATATTTTCTTTGTTGTTTTGTTGATTTTCTTTAGCATTTTGATCGGCATTCTTGTGTAGAATGTGATCAAATTTAGATTGTAATGATGTTACTACGATCGTTCCATCGCCGTCTTGTTCCATTTCATCATTTTCATGATCTTCGATATGACTAGGTTCCTCGACCTGTTGTTGTGGTGATGGTGGTGGAATAGGTGCTTGTGTCCTTTTAGCTGTTGTCTTTCTAACCATTCCTTTCTATATTACTATAATACTATATGTATATTATATCTCCTGGAGATTAAAATGAACAAATATACACAAGCAAGAGTTGAAAACTCATTTAAAAATTTTAAAAAAGGAGGGAAAATATTCAAAAAAAAAAAAAAAAAAAAAAAGGAGCCAAAAATTGGATGATAATAACTTATTTGATTACTAATAACTAATATTAAGTATATAAATATATATCTATAAATATAAATACTTTAAATATAATTATTATTATTCATGTAAAATATTACTAACTATTAATCATTTTATGTCACACATAAAATCAATCAATGAATGATGGACTATACTATTATTATTATTATTTTTATTAATATGTCCTCCAAAGTCAAAAAGAGGGTGTTGATGGATTATATTACATTCAAGTGATAATGATCGATGGATGGTTTTGGTTTGCTCCATCGCAATCAAAATTATTAATAATACAACTCTACTCTAGCGAGTTGTGGTTTTGAATAGATAAAGAAGCCAGCCAACAACCCGCATCGAGATTTTTTGCCAAAGTAATTTTGGCTTTTGTTTTGTTTTTTTTTTTTTTTTTGATCGAACGCCAACAAAAGGGATCAAGATTTTTTGCAAAGTTATTTTAGCGCATTTATTTGTATCATTATCATCCATCTACTATCTTTTTATATAATAGAAATAATATTTTTGTTATATATTAATATATCAACTCTCGATTGTACCATTACCCCTACCAGATTAAAACTCTAGTTTTTTTTTTTTTCCTCCCACCCCAACAACAAAATATTATTAAAATGTCAAAGGTATTGTATAAGTATACTTAGAGTTATCAAGAACACAAAGAACACAATCAATCATCAAATTCCAAACAAATAAGAAAGGAGGAAGAAGAAGAAGAAGAGGAGGAGGAAGAAATGAATAAGTCTATTTTTGACATCCCAACCGATTCCAACACACAACAAACACATAAAGAATCTCAAACCAAACAAACAAACAAACGTTCTCCAACAACACACAAACTAATAATTTAGAGGTTAGAATCAATCAATCAATCAAATCAATCGATCAATGTTTTTCAAACACACAAAGACAGGCAACGCAAAAGTTTTGGATCTAATCGTCGTGCGATACTACTCAACTCTTACTCGCTCGTCAATTTTTTGTTTTTTTTTTTTTTTCTAATACCACCAACCCCAATTTTCCAATCCAACCCATCTGAAACTACCCCGATCCATTCGATTTCAAATCAAACCACTCAGTGTTTCCAACACACACAATCTGTCATTTCATTTGAAAATACAAATAATTGCCCATCCTCCACAATAATCCTATGGAATCGAATTGGTAGTCCAACCCAACCAACCAAACCACCCACACACTCGCATACACAAATGTGTAGTACACACACACAAAGACAAGTTTGTCGACTGTCTCTTACATTGTTTTAAATTGTAATCCGAAATTAGATTCTCACATTTATTTGTTTATTCTTTTTCCTCTTCCTCTCTTATTATTTTCATTTTTTTTTTTTTTCTATAAATACAAAATATATTATTTATTTTTTTTGATCAAAATATTTATATTAATACTCTCGAACCCTTTTTTTAAATTATATTTATAATATGGTGGAAATTAAAAAGTCATTTGGATCACAAGAAAAATGCGTTGCATGCTCAAAGACTGTATACCCAACCGAACGTTTAGCATCTGATGAACGTGTTTACCACAAGGCATGTTTCCGTTGCACTCTTTGTAACAGTACCTTGAAGCTTGGTAACTATGCCAGTATGGAGTCCAAGGGATACTGCAAACCATGTTTCAAGAAACTCTTTTTCACCAAGGGTAACTACAGTGAAGGTTTCGGTAAATTGAAGCCACAACACGAACACGATCTCAAAAAGGGTACTCCAACCGTCACTGAAGTCACTCCAGTCCCACCACCAGTCAACTCTACCAAGACTGTTGTCGAACCAGTTCGTGCTTCACCAGATGTTGTTACCAAGACCGCTCCAGCTCCAGCTGCTGCTGCCTCTACCCCAGCTGCCTCCTCTGCTGCCACCACCGCTCCAGCCAAAAAATACGTACCAAACACTTTCCAAGGTTTCACTCCAGCTCCATCCAAGCCGGTTGCCAAGGTTGCTGCTCCCAAGCCAGCTGCTGCCACCCCATCCAAACCAGTCGAAGAAAAATTATCCGAATTGGCTGTTCAAGAAGATGCTCCAATCGAACCAGAACAAGTTCAAGAAGATGCTCCAGTTGAACCAGAACAAGAACCAGAGCAAGAACAAGAACAAGAACAAGAAGAAGAAATTGTCGAACCATCAGTTGTTACTCCAGCTGAACCAGAGCCAGTCCCAACTGCTTAAATATCAAAAATTATAATATATATATATATAATATTTACATATGCTCCATAACAATATAATATAATAAATAAAATCAATTTGTATTTTTAATAATAATAATCGTAATAGTAATCATCATTAGTAGTTTGTGTATTTTTCCAAGTTCCTCCTCCTTGAAAAGTGGATTTTTTGTGTTTGAAAAAAAGGGATGTTCAAGAAAGAGAGACGAGGTACAGACACATGAATTATAATTCATTGATTTTGATATATTATAGATAGATAGAGATACGGAGAGAATGGGAGATCCTTTAACATTATTAAGAGATTATATCTCTACTAGTCAACAAATAGTACAAGAAGGAGATGATTATGTATTTGGAAAGACTAAATTCAACAAGAATACACCTACAGCCTTTAAATCGAGTACTGGTGGTAACTATACTCTACAAGCTGTTCATTTCTTTTATGTAAACCGTGATGTAAGTCGTGGTGTTTATGTTCTTCAAACTACTAGAGTTGGTACAAATGCTGTTGCTGTGTATGTATTAGATAGAGAGAGAAATAGATAGATAGATAGATAGATATAGATGATAGATGATCATTAACATCATATTCTTGTTCTTCTTCATCTTCTAATAGAAATGATAGAAAGAAATTATTAGCATATCTAGAGGGATCTAGTTTAGATATAGGTGAAGATATGTTTCAAGCACCACCTATTACTCAATCTATACCATCCTATACCTCTGATGCAATGGATATTGAAGATGTAGATATGAATAAACGTATTGGTGGAGAGATTCAAGAAATTGAATTAACATTGGATTTACAAACTGAAAAGGATTCACTTGCACTTAGAATTGATACTGTTAAATCAATCTTACCCGAAGGATAGTAAGAAGAACAAAACAAAACAAAAAAAAGAAAAAGATTACTAATAACCTTTTGTTTTGTTGTAGTAATGAAAATGAAAGTGATTTTATTGAATCTATAAAGAATAAGAGAAAACTTGGAAACTTGGAAAAGAATGGATTTGTTTTGGCCGATGAAAATGTAACAAAGAATATTGTACAAAGAGAAAAATTGGGTTCAGATAGAAGTTCTATATTATCAATTACAACTGTATGTTACAACACAACAGAATATTATAATAATATAATAATAATAATAATAATATAATAATAATAATAATAATATTTGTTATTTTCTAGAATATTGGGGATAGTATATTGGAAAGTTATAAAAAGTTTAAAAAAGAAGAAGAAGAAGAGAAAAAGAGAAAATCTCATGGTAAATCAGATCATCATCATCATGGTAAACCATCATCTTCATCACAATCATCCTCACAACAATCTTCATCTTCATCTTTGACTTCATCATCATCATCATCATCATCAACAAATATAAAGAATAGAACACCAATTATCATTGTACCATCATCAATGACATCACCAATTTCAATTTACAATGTAAAAGATTTACTTCAAAGCTCAAAATACATTTCATCGTTGGAGAAAAAAGAGGAAATGTCTGCACAAAATATTTCAAAACCATCCATGTCGTCGTTTGATCGTTTGGTTGGTACACAAAAGGTTGCCTACGAGGTATTTGATAATACCAGACTGCTGAAACCAGAGGATTGGATGAGAGTGGCAGCTGTCTTTGTTCAAGGTGAGGCTTGGCAATTCAAAGATTGGAAGTGGAGTAACCCAGTCGATCTACTTTCAAATGTAAAGGGTTATTATCTAAAGTATGATGATCATGCCACTCCAGATGTTGTTAAATCTTGGGATGTAAAAATTTTAAATGTAAATTATAATCACAAAAAAATAATATAATGATTAGATGATGATGATTCAAAAAATGATTATTAATAATCATTCCCTTCTTTCGTTTATTCAAAATTAATAGATTAGTAAACAAAAAAGACATTTGGATCAAACTGCTCAAATTGAATTTTGGAATTCATTTGATGAATATATTTTGACAAAGAAACCTTATTTAAATCATTAAAACAAAAAACAAAAAAGTATAAAGTAAAAAGTAAAAATAAATCATAAATCTTGATGATAAAAATAAGTAACAAACATATTTATAACAAATATTTGGAGAAAAGTAAAACGAAATAATTTTAATTTCTTTTTTAAAATTTCATTATTAATTTATTGAATTTGATTTAATACAATTTTTACAATTTTTAAATATTTTTACATTTTGCTTTACTGCAGTGTGCACAAATAGATTTATTTATATATATATATATAATAATAATGGATACAAATAATCATATCGGTATTACCAAGTCACTGGTGTTTGATGGTAAAACACTGTCTATCGGAGAATTACCATCATTACAATCATTAAAGTTTAGTGAGGAATATAATCAACCTCTTTCAGTTGGAGTGTTGCCATCATTATTACAATCATTGGAGTTTGGCGATGACTTTAATCAACCAATATCAGTTGGAGTGTTACCATCATCATTACAATCATTGACATTTGGTTATGATTATAACCAACCTCTATCAGTTGGAGTATTACCTTTATCATTACAATCATTAAAGTTTGGTGGTGGATATAATCAACCTCTATCAGTTGGAGTATTACCTTTATCATTACAATCATTGGTGTTTGGTTGTTGCTATGATCAACCTCTATCGGTTGGAGTATTACCAACATCATTACAAGCATTGAAGTTTGATAATGAATATAATCAACCACTATCAGTTGGAGTATTACCATCATCATTACAATCGTTGGTGTTTCATTGGAAATTTAATCAACCTCTGTCCCCTGGAGTATTACCATTATCATTACAATCATTATCATTTGGTGATGACTTTAATCAACCAATATCAGTTGGAGTATTATCAACATTATTACAATCATTAAAGTTTGGTGATGCATATAATCAGGCAATCCCAGTAGGAGTATTACCATTTTCGTTACAATCATTGGTGTTTGGTAATGGATATAACCAACCTCTATCGGTAAGAGTACTACCAACATCATTACAATCATTAAAGTTTGGTCTCGGATTTAATCTACCCCTATCAGTTGAAGTATTACCATCATCAATACGATCATTGACATTTGGAGGTAGATATGATCAACCACTATCAGTTGGAGTATTACCATCATCATTACAATTATTAGAGTTTGGTGGTAGATATAATCAACCTCTATCAGTTGGAGTATTACCATCATCACTACAATCATTAAAGTTTGGTCCAATGTATGCCCAACCACTATCAGCTCGGGTATTACCCTCATCATTACTATCACTAGAGTTTGGTGATGACTTTAATCAATCACTGTCAGTTGGGATATTACCAACATCATTACAATCGTTGAAATTTGGAGGTAGATATGATCAACCTCTATCAGTTGGAGTATTACCATCATCATTACAATCGTTGAAATTTGGTGATAGATATAATCAACCTCTGTCAGTTGGAGTATTACCTTTATCATTACAATTATTAGAGTTTGGTCGAGATTATAATCAACCACTGTCTCATGGAGTATTACCACCATCATTACTATCATTGGTGTTTGGTTGTTGTTTTAATCAACCAATATTAGTTGGGGTATTACCATCATCGTTACAATCATTGACATTAAGCAGAGACTATGATCAACCATTATCGATTAGAGTATTTCCGCGATCAATAAGGTCGGTCATATTTCATTGGTTTCTTGTAAAAAACCCCTATCTAAAAAAACAACAAAGACCATTAACCATCCAATCCGATTTCAAGAAATCAATTAAAGTTGGAAGATACTATCTTGAAATAGGACCTTATCAATTATTAAAGCTTCCATCAAAAAAGGATTCAATCATCTTTACATATACTGGATCACCGAGTGATATCGATATTACCAATTGTTTTAATCAACCATTGCCACTTTTGAATGTGTTATCTAATCCCAACTCTATCAACTACGATCCAAAATATGTAGTGCCTTACCCATTTAAAAAGTGTAATTTTGTTACTGTCAACAACCACAAATATTTCAAACTATACTCATTTCCATGTACATTAAACAAAGTATTTTTAGTAATATCTGCTTCTTCTAGTGAGTTGGTATGTTTTTGATTTAAAACTCGAGTTGAAAGATCAACCTCCTAACCCAATTTTCATTCCAACCAAACAATAGTGCGTTTACAAAGAAATAGATTACTCTCAATGTCCCAAAATATATTCTCGAGCATTGTTGGAAGTAGAGTGTATGAAACTATTCATCGGTGATGATTTGTTTGTCCAATACAAAGACCATCAGGATTGTACAGATAAACATATATTTTGTTTGGTGACTCTTTATTGTCAAGGCGGTGATCTTGAACAATTATGTCAATCTAAAACATTATGGTAAGCTACATCATTCCAATTTAAATTATAGCATTATAGATTAAATTATTTGTTCTTTTCTAATTCTGGATGATACTTAAGGAACAACACGCAGATCCAAAATAATAATCAAGATCTTGGGTTTAAATATAAACATATTAAAGAAAGAGTCATATGGAGTTACATTGATCGATTATTCCTCATACTTGAAAAACTAGCTCAACACAATCTTGCACATCTTGATATCAAACCACTCAATCTATTTATTGGAAACAATGGTGAAATAGTTCTTGGCGATTTTGGTTGTTGCCGATACGTCATGGAACGAAATCAAACCTTACCAACAATTATTGTTGAAAATAATCCTTTGACAAATCCAACAAATCGTATAATCAAACAAGAATCAATTAGCGTTACCCCGCTTACTGATTTAACTCGTGGGACACAAGGGTATTACCCACCAGTAAGTATTATCATGTTTAAAAACTATCATTGCCAATTTACTAAATTAATTTTTTTAGGAATCAAAATTTAAGGAATATCACTCTAAAAGTGATGCCTATTCGGTTGGAAGTACCCTCCTCAAGCTGCTTTCGTGGTAAACAAAAAAAATAGTATTATTATTTTGATTATTTTTAACACTCTCAATATTATTAAATAGTCATCCAGATGATGCTTCCAACAGGGATGAATTTGTAGAGAATCATAGAAATAGCAAGTATAATCCAGATCTTGTTAAAATATCCCCAATCAGATACTCTTTAGCTTTGATTCAATTTGTCAAGAAACTATTAACTGTCACACCTCAAGATCGACTTTCATCAGATGATTTAACAGTTGAGTCACTAGAACCAGGCACACAGATAATCACATCGCCATTTTTAGTTGACAAAAGTAAATTTCTTCCAAATACCACCAAATTGATATTTGATGGAGACTACAACTGCCCTCTCAATGGGCTACTTTCACCTACACTTGTAAAAATATTATTACTTGGAAAATTTAATCAACCAATCAAACAAGGTGATATTCCTCGACTAGCTGAAACATTGATATTTGGACCATCATTTAATAGTGAAATTGAACCCAGGTGTTTACAAAATAATTCCCTAAAAGTAGTTGTTTTTGGTAGATCATTTAATCACCAAATATCTGTTGGGCATGGTACATATTGGTCAGGTGGCCCTTTCAACAAGTCCAGATATTTTCCTTCCAGGCCTACCATTAATATAACCACTGATATTTGGAATCAAGAAAAAGAGTCAAATATCTTTTCAAAGAATTCAAAAGAGGAGTATAAACGAATTAATATTTACCATACTGGGAGATTAAATGTACATTACATAGACACTATCAATTCATTTACAAAAGTTTATTTGGAATCTAAAATCATTTTGACAATTGGTGAAAAATGTTATGGAATTGGAGAAATTAAAAGAGAAATCAATTTATTATCATGGAAGAATAATGATATTGAATTCAAGATGGATTTAAAAGATGTTAGTGTCATATCATTTGTAGAGTCTTCAATTTATCAACATTTATTTTATCAAATTGAAAAGAAAATATTTAAAGAAATGAATCAAGTGGATTTGGATGGACATGTCGTTGATGGATATCCATTAAAAGATATGGAGCAATTATTTGAATTGGACAATGATAATATTCATCAAATATTTCAGCATAATAATCAATATTTAAATATTAGATTTATTCCATTTCCAAATTAATGGAAATACAAAAATAAAAAACATCTTTTTTCCTTGAAGAATTTTCAAGCTATTTTTTTTAAAAAACAACAATGTTATTATTACTTGTTTCGAAATTAATAAACATAGATCATAAACTAGAATCTAGTAGTATATATAACCAATCTTGGGAAAAGATTCAAAAGAAAGAGGTCTGAAAACCCCCAAACGGATTTTTTAAACTCTGAATTATTTTTGATCAGGTTTTGTTGGATATCGATCAAACCTAGTCCACTCTTTAGCCAACTACGAGTAAAACCAGAATACAGCAAAAAGAATGAAATCCATCCGAAACACGGCAAAAAGTGTGGACCAGGTGAACTGGAAAAAAAAAAAAAAAACTGGAACAGATTTTTTAAAATTATTGTTTTGGTGATCCAGTTTTCTTGGAAATCAACCAAACCTAGTTCTTTCGATAGCCAACTACGAGTAAAACCAGAATACAGCAAAAAGAATGAAATCCATCCGAAACACGGCAAAAAGTGTGGACTAGAAGGGTATCGATCCCTTTACCTCTCGCATGCTAAGCGAGCGCTCTACCATCTGAGCTACAAGCCCAATTTTTTGGATGAGATCAAAAACAGTTTCGCGGTATTTATACCGCCAACAAAAATACATATTGTCCCAGTTTACAAATGGAATATATATGTCGCATATCATTTAGCAATCTAGCTCGGAGATATTGTTCGTTGAATGATTCATCTCTTTGGTCAGGTAGATTAGAACCAGTGTTGCAGGATCAAGTTGAATTAATAATTATTTATGATGGCAAGTCAAACAACAATCCCTTTCCTCTGGCACGCCATTTTTTTTAAGGGAGTGTTGCATTTACAGCCAGTAAAATAAACCGATCTTTTTAAACTGATATTTTCTGAAGAATTAATTTGTCAGACTTACAATAACAATCATGCAAGGCGATAATGAAATGAAGGAAATTCATAACAATAGTTCAAAGAGTAGTTTTTGCAGGGACGAAAAGAATCAAGTATTACATCATGTCGAATCTATCTGTTTAATTGCTCCTTGGAAAAGGGCGAGCATGTTGACAACGCTAATAGTAATTCTATTCAAGACAAAAGAGATCATGAATTTTTTGAAGTAATAGCAACAACAATGACAAGGGTATTGGTCGGAAAGAAAGTCAACTAAAAATGGTATTGACAGGTTTAATCGTTTGTATTCAATCTGTCTGGTGCATATAATATCTTTGATGGATGCAGTCAGAAAGTCTTGGAAAGGATTTTGAATTGGTTTTTTTTTCCCAATACTGAATTATTATTTTTTTAACCAAAAAATAAATGAACAAAAATCCTAGGAGAGACAACCAATAAATCTATTATTGAATTGGCAAAAGATTCCAACAATTTGAATTAATGACTCTATAGGTTCAATAGTGGAAAAAGAAAAAAAAGGAAAGAAAAAGAAAAATATTACTTGTACTTCAATGGAACTTTTTCTGACCATCTCTGAGACATTCCTGATAAGTGTAATCATTAACCAAAGGGGGATGAACATCTAAAAGATTTATAGTGCCTTGGGCAAAAAATAGTTGTATAATCATTCAATAATAAATCGATCAATGAATTTTGGTAGATTAGAACATTTAATATAAAAATAAAAAAAGCATTTTCCACCCCTTTTTAATTTCATTGATACTTTTCGTACTTTGGCTTGAAAGTTCATTTTATTTGTTATAAACAGAGAACCAACATGAACAGCAAACCAACAACAAAATAAAAGAAAAGAGATATGCTAACTAATAATGATACTATGACGTCGATTAGCAACAATAGTAGTAGTAGTACTAGTAGCAACACTAGCACAAATAACCAACAGAATCTGAATCATCATACTCCAAGTCGAACCAACAATCCAACCGTTCAATTAAGGATATCAAAGAAACCGACCATATCTCTATCAATTGCAAATACATTGTCGTCTTCTTCTTCATTGTCCAACAACAACAACAACAACAACAACACTATAGTTACAAGCAGATCGTCTATCAATGATAAACCAACTACAAAGATTTCATTGTTGAATAATAATAATCATAACAACAATAATACCAATAATAATAATAATAATAATAATAATAATAATAATAATAATAATAATAATAATATTAGTAGTAGTAGGATACCCGCAAAGACATTTACATCTACACCAAAGCTATCACTCAACAACAACTTACAAACAAACATAGCTAGTAATAGTACTACTAGTAGTAATAAGGTTACACCACCTACTGTGAATAGTCCACTTTCGACCAATTCTCCACAACCTCTGATTCAACCTACTACTACTTCTACTCCTCCACTTAAACAAACACCCGGAACGACTCGACTTTCACTCAAAGGTACATCTACGCAGACAAAGCAGTGGAATAATACACCTAATAATAACAATAACAACAACAATGTTGTTTCTAGTAATGGTATTAAAGGTAATACTATACCCACACCTATACTTATACCTCAACCTACGACAATGGCTCCAACGATGACATCAGCTGCTTTGATACTCGAAACCACAACACCTCTTAATAACAGCGATGAAGATGAATTTGAATGGGATCTCACAGATTTATCTCAACAATCAACAGCAACGATAGCTAGTACATGTTCGACAGTTATACCTAATAGTTTTGACGAAACACTATTACAACAAGAACAAAATCAACCAACTACATCCACTACATCAACTACGACATCTACTACGACAACACCTGCTGCTACTACATCCACTACATCAACTACTACCACAACATCATCATCAACAACATCTAGGCATACCGATTTTCAAAATACCAATTCAAACAATTCCAATATAAATAATAATCAAATAGCGCATCAACCAATAATACAACCGATACAACAACAACAACAACAACAACAACCAATTCAAATACAAAATAATAATATTAATAATGGTCAATCTGAAATTATAAACTCTGCCATCACAACAACAACAACAACAACAACATTACCTAATCCACCTCAATCATTAAAATCCATTTTAAATAATCATTTTCAGCAACCATCACCTCCACCATCACCTCAAAAGCCCAAACCACCACCACAACAACCCAAACTATTATTTCAAGCTAGTACAATAGCTGCACCAACAACGACATTAGAAGTTAAAAAAAGAAAACAAGAAATAGTTCAAGAAGAAGATGATGGAGATTGTTCAATTTGTTTGGAATTATTTTATTCATCATCAAATCCCAAGGAAGATCATGGAGCTGTTGCATTAAAGTGTGGACACGTTTTTGGTAAAAAGTGTATCAATATATGGATCAGTGATAAAAAGACTTGTCCAATATGCAAGAGAAAATCACTTTCCAAAGATGTTTTGACACTTTTTTTGCAACCTGGTACACGACAGATTTCACTAAACGAAGAGACTATCAAATTGAGAAACCAACTAGCACTATTGGAAAAGGAGAAAATGTCACTCAAGAAAAAGAATACAGCATTAAAATCAATTATTGAACAAAAGAATATTCCTCAACTATTTTCAAACAATCGTAATCCAAATGAAGCCATTGTAAGACCATACCAAATGTCTGCGCAGTCATCGGCTCATAGAGTATCTAAACAATTGGCAGCTGTATTGCCACCTTTAAAAACAACTCCATTATCCTTTTCATCCTCGTCCACGTCCAGCTCCAACTCACCACTTGCCATTACACCTATAAATAATAATCAATCATTTAGTGTCGATGGTAGTCTAAATGGAGACCATACAATCAAATTTGAACCACTCTCCTATGTCAAACTCAAAGGAGCCAATGTATTTGATTACTCTAAAGGTTTTGGTATCATTGTAACTAGTTATTCAAAAAGTTATGATGAATTTTGTCTTGTAACCATCTCTTCCTTGGATTCAAATACTTCAGATTTTATTCCAAGAGTTCATAAAGAGTAAATAAGAAAAAAAACAAAAAACAAATAATAATGTTTTATTAATTTATTTATTCTTTATTTTTTATTTAGTATTATAAGAGATGTTAAAGTTAATTATCATAATCAAGCAATAGTATGTTCAGTATCACAAGACAAGACAGTTAAACTTTTCAACATTCATACAAAGAGTTTGGTTTGTAACTATACTCTTGATGTTGCGGGTAGATCATGTGAATTTGATCGTACAGATCCAAATATTTTCTATGCATCTGGTGATAAAACAACCTTTGTTTTTGATATTAGAAATACCTTTAAACCAACAGGATCATTTGATTCACCAACAACGCTGGGATTAACAACATATAGATTATTATGTCAACCAAATGCTGAAAGTCAACCAACACCACCACTTTCAGCTGGTTCACAAACTGGAGAAACTGGTCTTTTTGTTGCAAACAATGATTTAACCTATTGGAATATTGGTATTCAAAATAATATAAATGAAATGACAGACAATGATAATAATAATAATAATAATAATGTAATTACAAGACCTTATCCACTTGGATTTAAAGGTCAATGTATAGATGTTGGCTATGACCCAATATCAACCAATTATTTTGCAACCTTTAGAAGTACACCTGGATACCCTAAAAATAGTCATTTTATTTTTAAACATTTGGGCAAGGGATATACTCAACCCATCAAAACCATCTATACCGACTCTGTGCAATCATCATTGTCACGGTCCATCATTTTCACCTCTTCGAATCGAAATCACAACAATCACAATGACCCATCGGAAAAGATGTGTTACACGGCATCGAGCAACGAGTTGATCAAAGGTGTCAATATTTGGAATGTACATACTGGACGATTGACACAATCCATCAAAACAGGTGACACTCCATGTGACCTTTTATTTTTTAATCATCATCAACAAGAAGAATTCCTCTTGACATTATCACCTCAAATGCTTCATGTATTTAAAAATAATCCACAATCATAATTATATAATAAAGATAAAGAGATTAGTTGAATTTAATTATTTATAACTAATCCAATAAATCAATCCAAACCAAGTCAATCAAATCAATCATAATTATTTCCTTTTTTTTTTTTGAGCGTCAAAAAAAAAACATCGTCGATTGCCCTATTTTGTGAATCATTCTGATAACAAGTTAGATATCTAGTTTTAAAATATCTTACTCTCATACTTGTATTACTACGTCCTTTCTTTATATTTGTTGTAGCAAAGTTTGTAGTTTTATAAAGTAAAAGAGAGAGAGAGAAGAGAGAGATAGATTGTTTCAAAAAATGACAGTAGGAGGAGTTGGTAGTTATAATTGGACTGTTCAAAGTGCAAATGCAGCAGCAACATCAACTATAGCAAAGATAAAGTCAAAAGACTTTAAAGATAGAATGACGGGTTATGAAGAGATGTTGCACATGTTTATGACGTTGCCCGATACCAACGCTCCCGAGTTTTCTCGTCTATCACCTGCCTTTGAAAAGATCCTCTTGCCCGATCCGATGGCAACCAACAAGGAAAAAGGACTTCAAGTGTTATTAGTATTCCTAGATAGAGCTTCATTCCTTCAAAATCCTTCAACTCCTCAACAGTATGTACTAAAAGGAAAAGAAAACAAAAAGACATTGACTCTACATACATTTGCTCATTCTTATTTCTCTTTTTAGATACTTTATTGATTTATGTAATGGTATAATTGAAAATGGATTATCAGGTAGAGATACTATAAAAGCAAAGGCTATAGATTGTATATTAATGATTGTTGAAATCATAGGTCCCGATATTATTTTGGTATGTTGGCAACAACAAAAAAAAAAGATAGAGAGAGAGGTCAATCAGCTGATATTAACTTGTTTTAAATTTGTTTAGCCTGTAATATTATCAAGTTGTTCACATAAAGTATACAAGATTGCAACGTATTCAGTGTTTACAATCAAAGAGATTGTTAGACAATTTGGAACGTCGATATTGAGTAGTGCACAAATCGATGCCATCCAGGTGCAACTGTCATTGGCATTTGAGTATCAAATCAAAGAGGTTAGGGCTGAAGCGTTGACTTTGGCAACCGAGTTGTATGCATGGCTTGGTGATACAGTACTCAGTCACCTCAAATCATTGCGTCCAGCTCAACTTAAAGAACTAGAGACTGCAATTCAACAAATCAACAAAAATGTAGCTCCAACACCTTTGAGAACTATTAGAAATAATAGACCTAAATCTGGATCCAATGGTACTAGTACGAATACTGGATCACCTGCAGTACCAACAATGAGTTTTTCACCTCAATCTCCAAATTCACCAACTCTTGCTTCTCAAACCAACACTACAACTGTATCACCACCACCACCATCTCAACCATTACAACCATCACAACCATCACCAAATGGAAAGAAATCATCTGGTATACCATTACCACCATCTGGATTAAATCCAAATCAACAAATACAATCAAACATTGCAACAACCATGTCATCATCTCCAACTTCATCGACATCATCCAATTCCTCATTGTCATCACTCAATGATAGTATGCAAATTAAATTGAGTGATTTCTATAAAATGTCAGAGGAATCGAGTTGGAGTGCCAGAAAACATGCAATTACCGATGTATTTATACCATTAATATCACACGACAAGATGTCATTGTTGGGAGACAAAGACTATGCCAAAATATCATCCACCTTGGCCAAACTCCTAGGTGATAACAACTTGTTTGTAGTCCTAACTTGTATCAATGCTCTCGAACTTTTGGTTAAAAAATTATCAAAAGATATTTTCTTTAATCATATTATTGTATTAGTACCAATTATGGTAAGAAAACAAAAGAATATATATACAAAAGAGGAGAAGTATATAATTAATCAATTTTTATTTTTATTAGTTGGATAGTTTTAAAGAAAAAAGACCACAATTATGTGATTCAATTCATGCCTGCTTAAATACTATAATGGATAAACAATTACAAATCAATGATGTCATGGACTTTATATTAGAGATTTTACTAAATAGTAAAGTGTCCAAACTAAGATATGAAATTTTGTTTTGGTTTAAAAGATTGATTTTAAATTCTAATCAAATGTTGTATAAAAATGAATTACCAATTATTATTAATGCTTTATTTATGGTAAGAAAGAAAAAGAAAAAAAAGTTAAATTATACTATATTAATTAATTTATTTATTTTTTAGATTTTAATTGATGAACCACCAAAAGAAAATAGAGATATCTGTCTTGTAAATATATGTACAATTTATTTAATTTTTGGAGAACAAGAGGTTATACCATTATTGGAACAATCAGGTTGTGATGAAGCAACATTAAACATTATCAAGGAAGGGACAAAAGATATAGTTTTCCCTTCTCATTGGTCAAGATCTAAAAAGGAAGGTTCACCACTTCAATTTTCTCCAAATTCAACATTTAAATCTAAAATACCAAGTCCTATTACTCCAAATAACAACAACAATAACAACAATAACAATAACAACAATAACAACAAAACAAATGGGATTTCTCCTACTACATCTGACAAGACCTATTTAAATATTTCACAATATAGAAATGCAAGAGCATCTTCTATAGTATCAAATAATAATAATAATAATTTGAATTTGGTAACAGGAGATTCAAACAAATTATTAAAAGATTTACAATCAGAGATTGATCTATTTACACAAAAGATGAATATAAAGATAAAAACACTTACCAAGACTGTTCAAGAGGAAAATGAAAAGGAACAGGCAAAGGTAAAGGCCAACAACAATAATAATAATAATAATAACGCACCAAATCAAATTGCCATCCCACAACAACAGGATAATAATCAACACAATACAACTCAAGATACCAAGTTTTTTGAAACCTTGAATATGGAACTTTCCAAAGAATTACAAATGGAAAAATCTAAAAACAAGGACCTATTACAAAAATTAAATGAAATGGAATCAATCATATTTGGTAAAGAAAAAGACAAAAGAAAAAGAACAAAAAGAATAACTTTGCTAATTATTCTTTTTTTATTTATTTATTAGATATTCAAACAGAGAATAATGAATTTAAAGAACAATCAAAATCAAATGTAGAGAAATTGGAATTTCAAAAAGAAGAGATTGAAGAATTGAATGAAATGTTGTTTAGTGAGGAACAAATGAGAGAAGAGCTGATGGATGAAATTGATAGACTTAAAGGCAGCACTATTACAGTGGGTTCCATCTCTGACCCCAATCGATTCCTTGTTGAAGTGCCAAAGCACCTCATTGAAACTTTACCACTTGATGAATTGGAATTATTCGAAGAAGTATATATGGAGAATCTTCGTATCATTCGAGAAGCAAAGAAACTTCATCAATAAACCGCGTAAACCGTAAACTTCAAACTACAATAATTATTTATTGTTTTATTTATTTTTTTGTAAAGTTTGATTAATCACTACTACTTGAACCATCAACAATAAATGGACCATTCTTACCAGGAGTATTACAACCCATTCTTTGATTGGCACTCCATGCACCGCAGTAAGTGTTGTATTGGAAGTTCTTGCCGCCAGTGGGTGAGCCACTGCAGGAAGCGTCGTTGCCAAATTGTTGAGCCTCGGCCATATTTTGGTTCTTGGCGCATGAAAAGATGGCGTAGCCGTCTTGTGGTCTATCGGCGTCATAGACGATGCATTTGCCAGTCGTGTAGAATCCAGTATAGTAGATGGTCTGGTTACACTTTCCCCATGCATTGTCATAGCTGACCCACCAGTAACTGTTTGTTGGGAACACAACATCATCGATATTGGCCATCGAGTAGGTTGTACCATTATAGTCTTGACCAATCTTGTAATTGTCAGAGTGCAAGTAGACACCACAGTCACTAAAGTCATAGACTCTCTTCTCTGCCACATTATTTCTAACAACCCATTTCTCCATACCAAAACAATAGTCTGGTAGAATAAACTCTTCAACTCCTTGTGATGATATTGATAAATATAATTGTCCTTCTGTAACTGATAATGTCATCATCATGATAACCATCATAGTTGCCAATACTAAATAGTTATACATTTTTAATTATCTGTTTGTTTGTTTGCTAGGTGATTAAAAAGAAAGAGGAATAAGAAAAATAACAACATCATCTCTCTCTCGCGACCTCTCTCTCTCACTCACTCGGAAGTAGTTACGAATAGCGCGGATCTCTCACTCTATTCATAAGGATTCATCGAGGTGATTAAGTTATTTTGAGTGATCCACCAAAATATCTGGATTGCTTTAAAAATTTTATAATAATCATAATATCCTCTCTACAATGAATAAAATTCGTTGTGTACAAACCTTAAAGTTTACATGTATCCTTTAACAATCTTGTTATTCATAACTGATTTGGTTGATGTAGGTAGTATGTAGATCTGTTTTACAAGATATATAATATATCTCTGCTGACAAAACCTTATCGATGAGCTTGGAAAACTTGGAGGGGGAAAGACCTTTTTGGTTTTTTTTTTTTTTTTTTTTCTATTTTTTTTTGAATAACGACAAACTTTTGAAAACATTGAAGGAGAAAATTTAAAGGGATAATAGTATTAGTAGTAGTAAGAATAGGATAGAGTTTTGATAGATAGAGTATACAAGTACACAGACAGATATAGTTTTAAAAAGAATATATAGACCATTTCTTTTTTTTAAACTTTTTGTAGTCATATCATCAATTTTCGATTTAGGCGCCAACATTATCATCACATCATCTCCTTCCTTCTTCATCTTCTTCTTCTTCTCCTCTTCTTTTTGTCAAATTGCGATAAGATTGATCGACAAGTTATAATAACCTTGGAGTAATCGAATCGAATCGAATCGAATAGACAAATCAACCAATCATCATCATGTCTAGTCACTCAAAGAAAAACAAGAATCGTATCTTGAGAAACAAAGCAAGAATATACTGCGATGCAAACTATAACAAACCAAAAGACTATTGGAACTATGAAGCTTTAGTAGTTGAATGGGGGTAAATATACATACAACAACTAAACTACGATGAAATATTTCATATGATACGTATATATTAATCATTTATTATTATTTATTATTAAATCTTTTCTTTTAGTCAACAAGATGATTATGAAATTGTTAGAAAGATTGGTAGAGGAAAATACTCTGAAGTATTTGAAGGATTCAATCTAAAGACCAACGATAAATGTGTCATTAAAGTACTCAAGCCAGTCAAGAAAAAGAAGATCAAGAGAGAGATCAAGATTCTTCAAAACCTTAGTGGAGGACCAAACATTATCAAGTTGTTGGATGTTGTACGTGACCCACAATCAAAAACACCAAGTCTTATCTGCGAATATATCAACAACACCGACTTTAAACATCTTGCACCAACCCTTACAGATTTTGATGTCAGATATTATATATTGGAATTGTTGCATGCTCTCGATTACTGTCACTCTAATGGTATCATGCATCGTGACGTCAAGCCAAGCAACGTCATGATTGATCATCAAAAGAGAAAATTGTATCTTATCGATTGGGGTCTTGCCGAATTCTATCATCCAAATCAAGATTATAACGTTAGAGTAGCTTCAAGACCATACAAGGGTCCAGAACTTCTCGTCGATATGGAAGATTATGATTATAGTTTGGATATGTGGAGTCTTGGTTGTATGTTTGCTGGAATGGTAAGAAAAAAGAAAAAGAAAAAACAAGAAAAGAAAAGAAAAGAAAGGCAAATAATTAATTAAATTGATTGTTGTTTCTATTTATTTTATTTAGTTATTCCAAAAGGATCCATTCTTCCACGGACACGATAATATTGATCAATTAGTTAAAATAGTCAAAGTTTTGGGAACTGAAGATTTCTATGCCTATTTACAGAAATATGGAATCGTCATTGATAATACTTTACAAAATATTTTAGGAAAGTAAGTAAATCATATCAATGAATAATTATTATTAGATAGACAGATAAATTAATTTATTCTTTTTTTTGTTTTTTTATAGACATCCAAAGAAACCATGGGCTAAATTTATTACCCACGAAAACAAGAACCTTGCTGTTCCAGAGGCCATTGACTTTTTGGATAAATTATTGAGATATGATCCAGCTGAAAGATTAACAACCAAGGAAGCTATGGAACACCCATACTTTAAGTTATTAGTACACCCACACAACAATATTTAAACAACAAATACAACAAGTAGCAACAACAACAACCAAGCAATATTAGTAGTAACACCACACCATACACAAAAGACAACTAGAACCATGAACAACAATATAACAACTAGAATTAAAATTATACCAATAACTTTTTCATTATCAATTAACTTTTCCATAAAAAAAAAAAAAGCAAGTCCCTCTTAAATTTGAAAATAATAAATCAAAATATTTTAAAAACATTAAATATTATTATTATTATTATTAAACATCCCTTTCCAAAAGGATGATCTTTTTACCAAGTTTTATTTCCCCACAAAGTATTTATATATTATATGATCCCACAAAATTATTTCCATTTATATATCTATCTATCTATTTCCAATTCATTTTTTACAATTCCATTGATTCATTATCAGCAGAGAGTGGTACAGTTGCATAACTGTCTACTGGTCCATTATTATCCTTGTATGCTTGATATTTGACAATTAACAAACCCCAAATCTTTAATATTAAAGAGAGAGAAGAGATTAGTATTATTATGTTGGATTATTATTATTTTTAAAATTACCAATGCAAAACCCATTGTTGTAAGAGACCAAGCAATATATTTGTATTGAGTGAAATCAATGTACCACATTAAAGAGATACCACTAATTATAATCAATGAAATACAAATAAACAACTTCATATTGATATATAATCTAAATCTTGATGGATGTGCTGTCAATGCATCATATCCAGGGTTGGTTCTAAAATAATGCTGTGAATGATGATTATGATGATTAGTAACCATACTACCTCTGCTATCCTGTTGTTGTTGTTGTTGTTCATACCCAAATATCATATGTTAAAACCAATGAGGCTATAGAAGCCATCAAAGGTAAATATAGAACTCCTGTATTCCCTGTTACTGCATAATACAAGAATGAAATAAAACATGATATCTATATAGAAAGAAAAGGAAAAGAAAAAGAGATTGAATGTTTAGACCAACAAGCTTGTTTCATATTGATTTTTTAAAGTAAAGAGTACTTACACCCCATGCCAAAGGTATACCCAACTTGATTAGATCAAGTTTCGTTAAGTTGTATGGTAATTGCATTATATATTGTCTATATTATCTAATCTAATCTATCTGTATGTTAGTATCTATCTGTTTAGTAAAGTAAATTAAAATGAAATTATTAAAATTTTAATTAAAGTTTTTGAACTTTGCATGGCAAAATTCCTCGCTTGGTGCCCAGAGAAACAGATGACTCAGGTCAAATGGCCTACCTTATAAAGTTTAATAATTAATTAATTATTTCTATATACTCTCAACTCAAAGGAAATAACCGAGTGGTCAGAGTGAGTAGAGGTGGAACAGGGGAAAAAGGGGAAACGTAATTGTTTATCAACCAACCAAAGTTTAAAACATTTCTACCAGAATAATTATTTTTTTAATTAAAAAAGATGGATTGATAAACTATTTAACAGAGAGAGTTTTTAAACAAATGAAATAATATCACAAAGGTAAAATCTAAAACCTGTTACTCAACTCTCAATATAAGCAACAATCTCAAGATCTTTAAGATTCGTGACTTAATGCAAACAGTTCGCGTCCGAAGCACATTATTTTTAAACGAATAACAATTGCATTATTATTTTTATTGTTGTTCAAAACGACTAATTATTAAAACTTTAATTTGTTTGTTCTCTTTATCTATCTATTTATTAGTATTAGTAGTTGAAGTATAGTAAACGACAACATATAAAGATAAATATATAATGTCGAGTAATAATAATTCATCAAATGCAGCGATTCAAGGCGCAAAGGATAGTATAGCAGGTACTATAGCAGGTGCTGCTTGCTTGTTCACAGGGTATGATTAAACACACTACTCATAGAATCTTTCTTTCTCTCACTTATTAATAATAAAATGATCCTCATCGATCACGAACTGATTATTCAATTCTTTCTAGTCATCCATTTGATACGATCAGAGTTAGATTACAAACATCTAGAGCACCACTTGGTATTATGGAATGTTTAAGAAATACAGTTCAAAAAGAAGGTGCCATGGCATTATACAAGGGTGTAACATCACCATTGGTAGGCATGATGTTTGAGACGGCTGTACTATTTGTTGGTTATGGACAGATGAAAAATTTACTTCAAAAAGACCCAAACATTCCACTTACACTGCCACAATGCAGTCTTGCTGGTGCTGGTGCTGGTATATGCGCATCGTTTGTATTGACACCAGTCGAATTGATTAAATGTAGATTACAAATCCAAACTACTGGACCTCAAAAATACAAGGGTTCATTTGATTGTTTGGTTCAGGTCATGAAAGAGTCTGGACTACGTGGACTCTACCGTGGTTTGGGTCCAACTCTCGCTAGAGAAATCCCAGGTAATATGGCTTTCTTTGGTGTATACGAAGGTTTAAAGAGACACTTTAGAAAAACTACTGGTCAAGAAGATTTACCATTACGTTATTTAATTGTCTCTGGTGGTATTGGTGGTATTGCTTATTGTATGTAAAATTTAAGAAAGAAAGAGAAAGAGAATAGTCGTGATGAATCAATTAATTAATTTATTTATTTTATTATTTTTTTTGTAGGGAGTATTTTTTATCCAGCAGATGTCGCAAAGTCTAGCATTCAAGTGTCAGAAGGAGCTGTATCACCAACTTTATTATCAACACTTAAAAATATTTATCGTGCTGATGGTATCAAAGGTTTATATCGAGGTTATATCCCAACAGTACTTAGAGCTTTCCCTGCCAACGCTGCCATGTTTTCAGTTTACGAGATTGTATATAAATTTTTAGATCAACAATATCCTCATAAATAATAACAAAAAAACAACCGAGACCCTTCCAAATGTAATAAATCGATCGAAAATATATCGCAATATTGATTTTATTATTATATGGTTAGTAATTATGAATTATTATTATTATTAATTATTATTTTTAATTTGTATTTACAAACCTCCAACTTCATCAGCTGATGCAAGCATAGCTTGAAGTCTGAGGAAATGGGAACGTATCCAATTTGGATCATCTAAAAAGTGATTGACAATGTCGACGGGTTCAGAGTCTTGATTGTCTTGCATGAATCTCTTGACTTGGCCACGAATATTTATGTACATGGTGTAGGGATAATGATGTAGTTGATGAAAGATTTCCGAACGCTTTAGACAAAATGATCCAACTTCGTAGCGAGTATGATCAGTCTCTGCATCATCATCATAAGACTTGGGTTTGGTAAAATCACCCTTCCAATATTGTGATACTTCGTAAGAGGGGCCTGCCAATGTAGCAGTAAAGGTTACAGAGTGAGTAGCACGTTTGCAAGATTGACATCTATTAGTGGTTGCCTCATAAGATGCAGCCTGGTAAATGGGTCTATACAATAAATCATCTACAAAATTTTGTTGCCAAACACTACTTCTAACTAAAATATCCTTTTTTCCAACTACTACATCTTCTATTCTTTGTAATGATTCTTTAAAATAATTGAAATCCTCTAGAGAAAAAAGAAAAAGAAAAATATTAATATATTTTTATTTAATCAATGACTTTTTTTCTAGATTACATACCCTTATTACTTTTAACTGATCGAATAAAATCTTTATCAACAATACAACTGACAATATATTGTAAAAATACTTCAAATGATTCTTTGATTGTTAATTTCTTTGTAAATAAATAATCAACTAATAGAAAGAAAAATAATAAAATTAATATTAATTCCGAATATATCTTGTAAATATTATACTACTAACCTTCTTTTTTAATAGATAATGGATCTTGACCTCTCCATTTTTCTTTTGATCTTTGTTTCTTTTTCTTTTTCTTTTTTTCCTCTTGATCCGATTCCTCTTCTTCCACTTGTTCTTCTTCTTTACCATTAACAATAAAATCATCCAAATCCAAATCATCATTATCATTTTCTTGATCATCATCAAATTCTGATACTGGCTTTTGTTTTCTAAGACTTTTCTTTCTTCTTTTTGGTTTTTCTCCTTCTTTCTCGTGTTCAGAGTCATCTTGTTCTTCATTTTCTTCTTGACTTGATAAATCAATGTCTGATTTTGTTTCTGGTGATTTCTTTTTTGGTGGAGCTTTTGGTTTTACAATTTCATCAAGATATCCATCATCGTCGTCGTCGTCATCATCTTCATTTCTTCTATTTCTTCTTGGTGATACTTTTTTTGTCTTTTTTACATTCTTTCTTTTCTTTTGTACAATTTCTTCTTCTTGGCTAGTATCAGAATTTGAAGCATCTTGAACAACAAAATCATCCAATAGATAATTTTCATTGTCATCCTCATCATCACTTTTGGCATCATCAAAAAAGTATGCCCTTCTTTTGAGAGGAGAAGTTCGACTAGTAGGTTCTTGAGTATAAATCATATCATCGTCATTATCCTTTTTCGATTTATAATTTCTTTTGGTTGGTGTCTCTTGTTGTTGTGGTTCTTTTTCTTCTTGTGAATCCAAATCGATATTATAAATATCTACAATTGGTTGTTTATCCATTGTAGAAGTAGACTTGCCAGACGATCTTTTTCTTTGTTGTTGACTAGCCTTTTTCCTTGCTTCTTTGTTTTGTTGTTTGTTGTAAGCATCTTGTTGCATTCTTTCCCTTTCTCTCTCTTGTTCAATCTCTAATTGTTCTTCATCAATATCACTAGACGATGAAGATCTTCTTATCGACGACAAAGGAGGGGGGTCGGGTTGCTTTTTTTGTTGTTGGTACAAGAATCTCATTGCTGAAGATACTGTTGGTGATGGTAAAATGATGTTGCTTGAATCGATAGAAGATGGAATAGGATCTACAAATACCAACTTTTTCTTTGGGCTTTTAAATGGATTGGTGACCTGTTGTTGTTGATCTGCAAATCCACTATTCATCCATTTCATCTTTGAATCTTCAATATTCCATTTATCCTCTTCTGTCAACACAAATGTCACTACATCTTTTTTGGGTGGTGGTGTCAAACTTTGTGATGGTCGGAATATCTTTTGGTTTGCTCTTTTTTGTTGTGTTGCTGCTTGACTTGACAAATTATCATTTAAAAAGTTGTCCATATGGAATAAATCATTATAATGATTTGTATCGGTTGATGACTTTGTGGTATTTGTAGAAGTTGGTTGACTTGTTGGTGGAGAATCAACATTAAAGTAATCGTGTGCTGGTGGTGGTCCTTTTTGACCGTCATCATATTGTAATATTCCAACTCCTTCATCTTCATCCAATTCAATAGGTGTTGATTTTTGACCAAGATCTTGAGATGGTTTTTCTTGTGATTGTGGTCTTTGTAAATGTTCCTCTTTTTCTTCTTGTTGTTCTTCTTGTTGTTCCTCTTCTTTTTCTTGTTCCATTTCCTCCATCTCCTCTTCTTCTTCTTTTTCTTCAATAATCATCTTTTTTTTAGGTGATTTAATTTCAATTTTTTCATCATCACTTGAAGAATCCAAAACTAAAATTTCGTTATCATCACTATCGTCACTATTATGTTGTTTCATCAACTCCATATCTTCTTGATCACCTTGCTTTTTTAATCTCTTTTTAGATCTCTTTTCCTTTAATTGATCGAGTGCTTCTTTTTTCTTTGATTTTTGTCTTCTTGATGATTCCAAAACACGATCCAATCCTTCAATATCCATTATAGCATTTTCTTTTTCTTCCTCGTCTAGATTTTGAATCTTTTTAAGTCCATTGAATGCATCCATTTTTTCATTTTCTTGTTTATCAAATGATTTCATTATATCATCATCATCATCGTCGGTTTGATCCATAGTTGTAAAATCTAGAGAAAGAGAATCCCTTGTTGTTGTTGAGGATGATTGTTTCTTTTCAACATTCTTTCTCTTTTTTCCAATTGGTAGACTGATACCTTCAGAAGAATTGAAAGATTCCAAACTTGAACTGACATTTGGTGGTGCTGGTGGTGTAGTAATATATGGGTTTTCATTTAGAGGTTGAAGAGGAATGGTAAAAACACCATCATACTCTAGTCTTTTGAACCCTTTAGTCATCATGATTTCATAGTCTTTGTCTTGACAATAAAAGGAGTTTGGTGGATAACTAGTTCTACTCATCCATTGCGTGTATTTCTCTACTGTACAAAACATCATCTTTCTAATAGTCGATATCTTTTTAATGACACATTCTATCGATGGCAAGAGTTGTTTCTCGCCATGATACGCCTTTCTTCCAAGTGGTGTCTCTTCTGGTCTCTGTATAGGTATTAATTCTATAAAACATTGTGATGATTTATCTTTTGTCTCCCAAAAACTTGATATTTTATAAACTCTATCTTGACCCCTAAAGATAAATAAACAATCGAAACAAGTTAGATATATATATTTATATATAAATACTTATGATTTTGATTTACTATTACTTACGGATATTGAGTATCTTGAATCATTACAATTGAATCAGTGTAATAATCAACTCCATTAAATTTCATGATTGAATAGAATATCATTGATTTTACAGATGCTACAGGTGGTCCAACCCAAAGAGTATTACTACCACGACTCTTTAATACTTGTACACCTTTTTGTTGTTGTTGTTGTTGTTTATGTTGTTGATGTTGTTGTAAAGATTGTGTACTTCCAAAATCAATATCAATGATATCAGTTGTATCGAAATCCAATGGTTGTGTAGGTACTAATTCCTCATTTGTCGTATTTGTTGTAGTTGTAGTTGTATTAATCATTGGTTGGGTTGTTACCAATTCTTCTTCTTCTTGTTGTTGTTGTATTATTGATGCAGGTAATCGTATTGGTTGTGAAAATGATTGATCGTTAAGAGTAACAGCACCAACAGTTTGACTACTTGTTGGTGTAGTAATCAATCCATCGTCCATATCAATAGGTGGGCCTGTAGGTTGACCTATATCACTAATATTCTTTGCTGTGGTTGTTGTAGTTGTCATTATTGGTGTTGTTGATTCTAATAGTACATCTTGTTGTTTCCTACTGTCGCCAATGTCATCATCTTTAAAACTATATAAATCTATATCATTTGTCTTTGTATCACCCAACTTTCTTAATCTTCCCATTATTATTATGTGATACTATATATATATGAGATAATCTTTCTTTTCTATCCGTACATGAAAAATACGATATACTATATTAATTAAAATATCGACAGAATCATTATAAAATGCCAAATTCGAAGAAATTAATATGGTGGCGCCAATCATCTTGGCACTTTGGTTTGTTTTTTTTTTTGGATTGATTTTTGAATTTTATTTTATTTATTTATTGATTTAGTATTGTGATTATTATTATTATTATTATTATTATTATTATTATTATATTAATATATGTTTTATGTATTTTGGTTAAAAAAAAAAAAAAAAAAAAGTGTTTGTTTAAAAAAAAAAAAAATAGTATTAAAATGTATAGATTGAAATAAATAATAGATCAGTTTGATGAATTATTATTATTATTATTATACAATCTATGGATTAATACAAAAATAAAAAAAAAGGATTCACTAAAAAAAAATTAAGATAGGTATTTTTTAGGCATCAGTTGGTGGAGTGGTTGGTTTGGTTGAACAATTGGTGTTTCTGGAATTCTTCCAATCGTCAAATGATAAGATTGGGGATGCATTGATTGACTCGGCGGTTTGCTTGGTGTTGTTCTTCTTGTTGACCTTTTCAACGTATCTTGAATAGTTTAGATTCAATTTGAGTGTCTTTTGTTCTTGACTGACTGGTGGTTTGGTAACAACAACAACAACATCATCGGATACTGGATAAAGTCTATTGTTATTCTTTCTTTCAAACTTTGCCAATTTTCTATCTTCCTTTTGTTCAAGACGTGCCAATTGTTTGGATTGTTTGGTTTCCAACTTTTCTTGTTTTCTTTGTTCTTTGATCTTGATTCTTTCCTCTTTGGTCAATCTATCCTTCTTCTTCTCCTTCTTCTTTTCAATACTTGGTTCTTCTTGTTCAGTAATCACCTCCAAAGTTTCATGGTTGTCTCTGTGATCCAATTTAACTCTCTTGATGACTGGTTGTTCTAGTTCTAGTTCTTGTTCAGATACAGATGGCTCGGTAATAGTAGATACGATAAGTTTGTTATTCTTTCTTTCAAACTTGGCCAATACCTTTTCCTCCTTTTGGCCAAGACCATTCAATTTTCTACACTTCTTGGTATCCAAATTAGTTTGTTTTCTTTGACCTCTGACCTTGACTCTATCTTGCTTGTTTAATCTCTTGCATTGATTAGAGATTGATTTGGTGATCAATTGGTCATTCTTTCTTTCAAATTTGGCCAATACCCTTTCCTCCTTTTGACCAAGACCCTTTAACTTTCTAGATTGCTTAGAGTCCAACTTTAATTGTTTTCTTTGGTTTCTAATCTTGGTTCTTTCTTCCTTGGAGACCAACGATGATCTCTTCTCAATCGAGTTTGTTGGTAGTTGTTGTTGTTGTTGTTGTTGTTCATTGTTAATTTGAATGGCACTCAATTGACTTTCAAGTTGATGAATTCTATTCAAAAGAATTGAACTATCTTGATCGTTATTGTTATTGTTGTTGTTGTTGTTATTATTATTGTTGTTGAAGTAGTTGATATGATTAATTGTCATTTTCAATGGTTGGTTTGATTGTTGTTGTTAATTAAAATTGATGTTATTATTAATATTTATTTGATTGATTGTTTGTTTGTTTGTTAATGGAAATGTTGTAATGAAAATAGATTGATTGATTGTCATCCTTTTAATAGACACCATTCCTTAGTTTGTGAGTTATACAATAACTTTGATTTTGAAGAGTAGTGGTAGTCTTTGCAAATAATAATGGGCAAACTTTGAAGTTCTCTCAAGTCTCAAAAATGGAAGAAAATTAAATTATTTTAATTTAAATTTAATTTTCTTTTCGATAGAGGTAGTAGTAGTAGTATATGTTATGTTATGTGATGTATACATATGTTTATAAAGTTAATTTTTAGTTATTTATTCATCATCTTCCATATCACCATCTTGAGATGGTTCAGCGAAAGCTTCAAAAGCATCATCACTCCAAACTCCGACAACTCTGAAACTAAACTCTGAAATTTTCTTGTCAAACAATTGCTATAAAATATTAAAAGAAATGAATGAATGAATGAATGAATGAATTAGAAATGATATGGTTCATTCATATATTATATATAAATCGATCGATAGCTATCAATCTATCAATTAGTTGTAATATAGTTTCATACCATTAACTTGGCTTGGTCTGGTGTAACTGGGATACCTTCTTCACAAAGGTTAAAATCTGACTCGAGAGAGATGATACCAGCCTTTAATAAGGTTGGCATACCGAGTTTACGTAAATATGGTTCTTGTGAGTGAAGCATGTCGATAGTGCCAGCTGGAATGACAACAGTCTCCTTTGGAACAAAACCAGCACGAGCATGGTCCTCTTCTTTGAAATTTTCAAAATATGTCATAACAGTATCCTTTGAATCATTGGTAAAGAACAATGCACATTCTCCACTTAAATACTAATAATAATATTATAGGAATCGCAGATAGATATCGATATCGATTGGATTGATTAACCATTCATTATAGGATAGATATTGTGTGTTGTTAATGTAACAATTATTATTGAAAGAGAGGAGGAGTAATAATTGTTAATATCATTCGATGAGTTTGTTTTGTTTCTATCTATCTCTTATTTACCTTTGTAACCTTTGAAAGATTTGGTCTTAATTCTTCTTCGAGGGTTCTACCGAGACCGACGGCCAAGACCTGCTTCTTGCCATAGAGGAACTTGCTTGCTGGCCAATCGGTACGAGCTTGCTTTAAGTGACTATTTCTGGCATTGTCAAAAGAGACAACATAGATACTCTTGTATTCGTCTATCAATTCTCTGACGTTTGCTACTAAACGCTTCTTCTTTTCTCCTGGGTTCTTTACGACGGTTGTGAGTGATACAACTTTACTTCTCTTTGATCTGGCCATCTCTTAATATATATATATATGAATTATTATTATTTATGTGTGTAAGTAATAATAAACAACAAAACTCGATCAAAAGAGCACAACGAGGTTTGAAAAAAACGAACGAAGAAAACGTTATAAAAATTTTTTCAAAATGACAAGAGAGAGAATTGCCCAAATCTTATAAGAGTGAGAGAGAGCATGTTGGAGATACATTGTTCATTCTGTCTTGTGTGTATTATTTATATATATATATATATATCCGATCAGACAACATGATGTGTCATTCATTAATTCAATTTCTCTCACTCTATTCCATCTTCAAAGATACATTTGTTTGTCACTGATCCGCGGATGCAGCTGATAAAGTGATATATCAAGACAGTCATCATATATTTGCACAGTCAATGTGATAGATACATCTTGACGTACAGAGAATCGAGCTAGTTTTCAAAGTAGATGACGTGGGTTTATTCGAAAAAAATGATATCTTCTTTCATTCCGCCTTTTTGAGTGTTTGTCTCACAAAAAATAAATAAAAAAAATTAAAAAAAACAACCTCTCCCTTTCTCACTTGAACAATTTAAGAAAAAAAATTTTGAGTTTTATTTTTATTGTAACACAATATAACTGTAAGTCAGAGAGAGATAGATAAATAATTAATCTATAGCAACAACCTTTTTCCTCCATCTTCTTTCTCCTCTTCTGCGAATCAACTCAATCTAGGCTTAGCTCATCGTTTAAAGGGGTTAAATATAATATAATCTACTGCTATAGAAAGCTAAAAACCTCTTCCTTCATCCTTTTTTCCTCTCTCTCTTTCAACTTCACCAATTTAACAATATAATATAATCACACAAAGCTTTCTTTTCATTTATTCATTCACTAACTAATATTGTATACATATTCATCTTTATATTCATATATATAACAACAGACAAATATAATATAGAATGTCAACCATTAAACTTGAATCTGCCGATGAGAAGGTTTTCGAAGTCGAACGTGATATCGCCTGTATGGCCGTCACCATCAAAAACATGTTAGAAGGTATGTGTCTCAAAACAAAGCAGTAGAGTTTTATTCTACAGCCAATCAATTCTCCTCTTTACAAGTCAACAACATTCAAGTTCCTCAATCTTCTTATTCTTTCCCTCCAAAAAAAAAAAACAATTTAACTTGGTGTGGTGGTATTCGTAGTGGTAGTGGTAGAGAACCACTAAAAAGACAGTTTTATTTTATACACGTAAACCCACACCTCTTCTCTATCTAGATAGATTGATCATAGTCACTACTATCACACATTCATCTCTCCTTTCTTCCTATTGTCGATCTTTCACACGTTGTTGGACAGTCTCTAGAGTGGTGAGGACGGCGAGGTTTTAGTTTGCAAAAAGATTTTTAGGAGAAAAAAAAAAAAACAAAAAAAAGATATTTTTGTGTGGACATCAATGCTGATCTCAATTACCATGTTTTATCTCTCTCTAATCCTTTTCATTTCTTTTTCTTTTTATTTTTTTAGATATTGGTGAAACCGATACTGCTATCCCACTCCCAAATGTTACTTCTAACATTTTGGAAAAGGTTCTCGAATACTGCAAGCACCACAAGGAGCACCCAACCCCACAACAAGACGAAAAGAAGGACGAGAAGCGTTTGGATGACATTCCACCATGGGATCGTGAATTCTGCAAGGTTGACCAACCAACCCTCTTTGAATTGATTTTGGCTGCCAACTATTTGGACATCAAGCCACTCTTGGACGTTACATGCAAGACCGTTGCCAACATGATCCGTGGCAAGACCCCAGAGGAAATCAGAAAGATTTTCAATATCAAGAACGACTTTACCCCAGAAGAAGAAGAACAAATTAGAAAGGAAAACGAATGGTGTGAAGACAAGGGTAACTAAACTAATAGTAGTTTAATCAAACAAACCTACAAACCTACCAACAAAACACAGATAGACTTATATGGGACGATATATTATTAGTAGTAGTAGTTGTGCAAAAAAAATATTGTTATCTTATCTTTACTTCAAAATAAAAACTTGATGTTGATCAAGTTCTTGTATTTAATATAAATAATCGTATTGTTTTAAGAATATTTTGAAACATTTCTTATTATTATTACTATTTATTTAGTTATTTAGTTTATTTTTGAGCTTTTTTATAACTAATAAATCTTGTTAGATTGATTCTTGATTCATCTAGACGATCTAATAGGTGACGATCAAGAGTCTTTTTCTCGGTTTTGATTTTGTTTCTGAGGATTGGAACAAATTGTTCGAGTACTTGGAGCATACCCAATTGCTTAAAGATGGCATTGACAGGTGGTTCGGCGTAAATGTCAAAGATAGAGTTGAGCGTTTCACCAACTACTTGTGCGTTGCTATCTTTGAGACATTGAATCAATAATTGTCCAATATCAGACAACATTGGTTGACAAATTGGTCTTTGACCTAAAATACCAACCATTCCAATTAAATTGGTCTTGATTGAAACTGGTGCACTCAGAGTTAAAAGGAATAAATTCTTAATTTCTTCAATATTATTCTAAGAGTGGAAAATAAAGGTTAGTATATATATATTACCTATTGTTAAATGTTATTTGTTTGTTATTTAGTTTACATACAAAACCAATTTGATTATTAATTCTTAATAATGACCAAAGAGATGCGGTAGCAGTTTCAAATTGATCCAAATCGACCTTGGCTTGTGAAAGTTGACCATTCTTGATTGAATGGGAGGCAATCTTGATTAATAGATTCCAAATGGTTTCTTGGTGTGGTTGTACCATTGCTGGTTTATAAGAGATTAAAAGATTAGAAAGACAGGTAAGTGATCTTTTATGACAATTCTTGAGTGCAACAACCAATGATACCAATTCACTATATTTCTTTGCATATTCATTTCCATCAAATTCATCAATCACTTTAATAATTTCGATCAACTAAAATAGAAAAAGAAAGTAGGTTAATAAATAAATAAAATAAGTTCATTTCCATTATTTTATCTTTCTATCTATCATTTTACTTACATTTTGTAATAAAGTAGTAGAAGCCAAATATTTAATTAATGATGATTCAGATTCTTCAACCATGGTAGTATTACCATCCTCAACATCTAAAAACTTATCATCATCATCATAGGTATTATCCATTTCATCATTATTTGATTCTTCACCATCTTGTGAAACAATATTTGTAAATAATTCAACGGTCGATTGAATGGCTGCTACAACATCTTTCCATTGTTCTTCAACCGTTTCAAGTTGTTTTTCCAATACTTGAATCTCCTTTAATATGTTATTTTTACCAGTCAATTTGTTGTTGTTATTACCATTCTTTTCTCCACCACCCATTTCTTCATCTTCATCTTCATCATCGTCATCGTCATCATCTCGTTCATCGATTTGTTCTTGTTCTTGATCTTCAATTGGTTTCATCTTCATGATGATTTCATCTTTATCTTCTTTTTTAATGTCTGCCATTTCCTTTAGTTTCACCATGTTGTCAACGATTTGACTGATTTCAATGAGACCTTGAACAGGGTTGGTTGAAAAGGAGGTCAAAAGGATGGGAGTCAATGTTTCAATAACCTTGTCACGCGATTGATAGTGAGCACCAATATTTAACAACGATGAAGATGCCAATGATTTGATACGGATTGACATGGTGGTCGATTGTGATACACTTTGATACAATCCAATCAACACATCTTGACCAATCGACAATGCCAATGGTGGATTGTTTTCAGTAATCACTGCCAAGAATTCAGCAACATGATATGAAAGGTTTTCAATCAAACCACCATCTCTACCCAACACCTTGAATAATAATGGGAATTGTGCCAACAATGATTTTGATACAAATTCAAATGCTTTATCTGATTCTTCACTATAAAATAGAAATAAGGAAATTAGAAACTATTACAAAGCATATATCTTTCTTCAAGCATACCAAATATTTGTTAAAAGTGAAATAGATTGTAAAAGAATATGTTGAGCACCAATAATGTTATTATTAGCCCTAAGTTCAATTGATTTTGAAATGGTATCAATTGAAATGGTAATATTTGATAGTGTTGGTGTAAGAATATCAAGTTGTAATAATGTTTCAATTGATTTTGGTTCAATGATTGTTAAGTTTCTAGAAAATATTTCATAAATTGTAAATATTAGTATCATATATATTTGTGACAATTTAGTATCTTCTCTCTCTATTCTCTATTTACCTAAGTGCACCAATAGCAGATACTCTAACTTGAACATCAGAATCTACAAAATGTTGAATAACCTTTGTAAGGTTCTGTGCGGTGATTGATTTCAAGAATTGAGGGTTTTCGAGGATAAGTTCACAGAGTGTACGGAATGCAACATCTCTTTCATTTGAACTTGGGTCATCCATCAACTCGAATACTTGTTGTGGATTAGCAGTTGAACAATTGTAGAGAGCTTGAGCAATATCATCGTTTCTAATGGCATCAACCAATGATGAATCTTGTTGTTGTTGTTGATTGTTGTTGTTGGTTGCTCCTCCCAATGATGTTGGATCTACTCTATATACCTTTTTATTTGTTGGAATTTTACCCATTCTCTCTCTCTATCTCTCTATCTCTGATTCTTTGTATGTAAAAAGATACTAAACAATAAAACAAAAAGCAATTAATCGATAAGAGACAAAAAACGAATGCGACGACCGAAACAGGTAGTTTTTTTTTTTTTTTTTTTCATAGATTATTAGTTTGGCTATTATTACATTTCATTCATTCCTTTATTGTTATTATTATTATTATTCAATCAAATTCGATTGAATTTAATATATCTATCTATCTATTATTATTATTACTTTTTTTAAAAGTTACAATTCATTCATTATTATTATTACTGTTATTATAATTGGATTCCCCAACATGTTGTGTTTTTGATTATTATTATTACTATTATAAAAGATGATTCGTTTTCTTCTTTTAGGAAGCTTTATGAGTCATTTCTATGATTCCTTGTACTTGGAAGAATGGATTTGAAATGAGATTTTCATCATTGTTTTCACGAGCCTTTGAAAGTAAACGAGTTAAAATGCTTCTATATTGTTCTGGACTTTCAGATTCCAATTGAGTTAATAAAAAGTAACTGGAATGACTATTATTAAAAATATCGAGGTTAGTTATATTTATATTTCCATGAATTAATTATGTTATACATACTAGGCAATTTGAGTACAAGAATCATTTAATAAACTCTTGAAAAATCCAATACCTCCAACACGAGCCAAATCTTCTGGATCATGACAACGAAGAATCAAAAGATGAACCAATACCAATCTTTGTTCGCTGAATCTTTCAATTGGACTAATATTATTAAAAAGATATTGAAGAATACTAATGTTGATCGATTTTAATAATGGCGCTGATATTATAAATTGATTCTTTAAAAATAATGAAAAATTGGTATCTGGTGCCCATGATTCTCTTATATATAATTGTTTTGTTCCTATAAAAAAAAAGAAAAAAAGAGAGATTAATAAAATATATTATAATGTTTTTAATTTTCTCTTTCTTTCTATTTACCATTGCGACTATAAATCATATCAAAAATGATATCATTTATAGTTAATAGATTATTTTCATCCTTTTCACCAGAGGCAGTGATTCTAAGTATACATTCGTTTAACATGTCAAAGACTTCTTGACTCTTTGTTTCGCCAGTCTTTAGTTTGTACTTTGACATTAAAATCAATCTTTCAGTCAGCGATATATAAACCTTTCTAACCTTTGGATTTGGATGACTGGCCAATTGTACAAATAGATTGACTGAAAAATTAATATTTGCATTATTATCCTTATCAATTAATACTCTTTTTAATAAATTAAATAACCAATTCTAAAATAGATAGATAGAAAGTTTAGTTTGTTAGTTAAAAATTCTTATGATTGTTTTTCTGATCTATTTATCTTACTTCAGCATTAAATCTTAAATATTCATCAGCATCATTTGTTATCCAATCATAAAGAAGAGAGGTTGTTTTTTCTATACTATCTTGTTGTTCAAGTACGAGATACTTTTCGCATTGTTGATCTACCATTTGATGTCTGATGGCATGTTCGCGAATCTTCATTGTGAATTTAATAATTAGATCTTCATAGGAATAGGATGCATCGTGTTTGGCACTATCATTGGAAGTGAAAAGGAAGAAATCCGATACAAAGTCCTTTTCTGGTATACATTTAAATATTTGAACAAAGTAATGTGGTGCATCTGCTCTTTTAAATAATTCTAATAATAATGGTGATTCCTAAGAGAGTAGAAATGGAAAAGGAAGGAAGGATTAATAAACTGCTATATAATATTGTTAATTATATTACTTACTTGAGTTAATTGAGTATCTACAATAGTTTGAGATTTAAGAGCAGTTTGTAATACATAATCAAATATTACAACAAATAAATTATTTTTAGCTTCGTTTGATCTGATACTAGTATAGAGATTTAGAATAAAATCAATTCCACCAATCTTGTTTAATTCCTCTTCATTTAAAAACATATTTGATGTTGATGATGAATTTGTATTTGATTCTTTGTATCTAAAAAAATAAATAAAAAAAAGATATATTAGTTTTTTAATATTTGTATTATTTGTTTTTTTTACGTACAAGAAATTACATAACATTCTAACCAACATTCTTTTAGTTTGATCACTTGAATCTTGAATAAATTTAAGAAAACAACCAATGATTTGAGAATTTAATTGGAGTAGTCTGTGACGAATGACATTTCCTTGTTCGACGATAAAAACTAGTACGCAGTTGAGAGCCTCTGCCCAAACGTCATTATCTTTTTCTCCAACTTGGGTCATTTGATTGAGACAGTCTCGAAGTAGAGAGAATACAGAATCTTGTAATTCTCCAATAGTTCCTTGTGTTCCATCCTCTAATCTTAATTCGCTATAAATATTAACATGTACTGAAAGATTAAATATAATATTAAAGAGATGGATTCTTGTATCACGATTTGGACTCTCTAATATTTGTTTTAAATAACCAAAAATGATCTTTTCTCCATCTACTCCATTTTTACAATAAATATCAGATATTATCTAATATAAACAAAAATAAGAATATTGAGTAAGTATTAATCATATTCATTTCAATATATTCTCTTTTATCTTTTACATACTTTAATAAATATTTTAGTTGCAATTGATCTATCTTGTGGTGTTGCAGGATTAAGTATAACTTTTAAAACTTGTTGTTTTTCAGTATCTTTAATCTTTAGAGGTTCTTGTTCACTATAATACTTGTATTGGAACAATGCTGGTGCTTTTCTTCTTCTCAATGTGAATTGTAAAGTTAAATCTTTTTGTTCCGCTCTAAAAAGTTGAAAGTGTATATAAGTATTTCATCAATTATATTATATATATTATATATATTTTGAGCTTACTTCTTTTTTGCTTGTTGTACAATATTAATTGATTGAGAATTGACTGAATCATCAGGACATTTAAACAATTCTTTTCCTTTTAATTCACTTGATTTCATACCTCCAAATGGAGAATGAGTTAATAAGCTTTGGATTTCTAAATAGAAATAAATAAATAAATAAATATGGAATGGTTAATATTATATTATATTATATTGATCTAATCATTTAATCTAATCTATATTTCTACATACTTGGAGATTGTTTTGAAGAGGAAGAAGAAGATGAAGCAGAAGATTGATTGATATTGATGTTGTTTGTTTTCATTGACATTAGATCACAAATATAACCATCTTCATTGAATGCTCTTCGTAAGAGGGTTGGGGAGGTGGAGAAACCATTGCTACTTGAAAATACAGTGTTGCTACTCGACGCTATCGATGCGTTGCTATCTCTAAGAGTACCGGCTAGATTCGAGACACCCAGCAACTGTGGATGATGGAGTGTGTGGTGAACCGATCCAATACCAGCCGGCGCAGATGCAGTCGACGTGGTGAGTTGAGGTGCTTGTTGAAGATCGTGCAAGATTGAGATGGGGTTGTTGGGTGCTGATGATGCCAAGTTGGGAGATGTTAAATTGTTGTTGATGTTGTGACCACTGCTACCGCCACCACCACCACCTCCAACACCACCATTACTATGATTCAATAAAGTCGTACGTATAGGTGAATCATTGGCAGATTGTGGTGAAGAGGATGCAGAGGATGAAATCGAATTGGTAGTTGTAGTTGTCGTGACAGCAGGTTGTTGTAGCATATTAGTGAGGTCTAGTGATGTACGTGGTTGAAGGGAATTTGCTATGTCTTGGTCTCGAGGACTGCCAATCGTCGTCGATGCCGATTGACTACGTGTACGCAACAGCCCTACATTGTTGGCCCGTCTCGTACTCGGGTCTGTCATTGATCCCGTACTCGACCCAATCCCAGTCGACCCCGCATTCTTACCTCCCATTCCCATATCATTTACATAGTTTGGATGTTGTTTAACTTGATTTGCAATCAATGCTCTAATATATGTTATTGACTAAGAGTGCGAGAAAAAGAGAGAAAGAGGGTAGAAAAAAGGTTGTTAACAACTTTTGAACTGTACTACTACTACTACTACTACTACTACCAACTATGTGTCATTACCTTTTGTAACAATATACTAGAGGATGTAATACCAAGACAAAAAGTATCGAGATCCAACAGTATTTGAAGAGATGGTGGATGCAGTGCTATATTATTCTTTACAAGTTTCAATATTCTTGATAGTACCTGTTCATAGTGTGATTTCTCATTTCTAACTCTTTCCATCATATTTAAATAAACTATAAAGGAGAAGGGAAGGGAAGGGAATAGACATACATATTGTATGTATGTTAGGGATGATGATTCTTTTGTCTCGATTGATTGAACATACCTAAATCAACAGTATTTGGATCATCAAAGTATTTGTTGAGATTGAATTGGGCATCGGCGGATGGCATAGTACCATCAGGTATACTATTCTGTTGAACTACATTTCTAATGATATGATTCACAAACTTTCTATTGGTTGTACTCATTTTTGATCGTGTCTAGTCTATCGTGTAGTGTAAAGAAAGAAGAAGTGTAGTGTAGTGTAGTGTAGTGTAGTCTAGTAGTTAACTACTACTTTGTCTATAGTGGTGTTTATCGTCGCGGTTGTTGTCGTAGTATTATCAGTCGTCGATCTATCCTATCCTATCCTATCTAATCTATTATGACCCTCCTCAAAAGGAAGGATTGTTGTAATGGTTATATATGTAAATAATATGAATGACTGTGACGATGATGATGATGACGACGAGATGTGATTTATATCTGTCTACTATAGAATAATAAATAAAGATGATAAAGATGATATTTTCGCTTGTATATGTATGTGTATATGTATAGGTTATTCTACTGAAAGTCTAAAGAGAGAACAGAAACAGAGGAAAGCCAATAAATTGGTTGGTTGTCCCTTTAAAAAAAAATATTTGGATTGTCACCAAAGGTTTGCATATTTTCCTCTTTATGTAATCCTTGCTTGATTATAATATATTTATAGTATATTTAATCATATGTAACATAGCTTATAAATATAAATCAAAGAGAAGAGAAGAGAAGAGAAGAGAGAAGAGAAAAGAGAGAGATGAAATGTTTAATTATTCTAGATCCTAGTACAACTAGTGCACTCTATATCGAACACATCTTTGAAGGTGTATTGGCACCACAACTACAAACAATCATCAACTTTATATCAGGTACGATTGGACAGAGACCTCAATTTATTAAAGCTGGAAAGTTGAAGTTTGTATTTCAATATGTATGTATAGAGAGAGAGACATAGAGAGTAGAAGAGAGAGAACACTCAAATATGCGTTTCAGATCTCTGAGATGTTCAGATTGAAATTTTAATCTTATCATCTCCACAACTTACACTTTATTCTTCTTCTCCTTTTGTGTTGTGTTATATATATATATCATTAATACAAATATTCTAGAATGATTACATTAATAATAATCAAAAGAATTCAGATTTATTATGGTTTGTTTTGGTATCAGACGATGATGATTCAGAAACGTTGCTTCGTAATAGATTGACACTTCTCAATCATCTCTATTCAATGGTGTTGGGAAACCAACTGATCGACAGAAAGAATGGAGTCAAGATCAATATGAGAGTACTCAAACAAAAGATGTCTACCATTTCAGCAACTGTCAATGCACTCTTTGACGAATCTCAAAGTGTCCTATGTCAAGCTTTCGAGTACTTAGAATTAAATGAAAGAATTCGTACTCGTGTATCACATGCTCTAACTGATCTATTAAATGAATATCCTCAAGTATGTTGTTATAATATAATCATATGGAATATGATGGTGGAAACCAATGGATGAATGAATGGAAAAGTTTAAGGAAATATTATTTATTGACACCCCTTTATTTTTCTTTTTTTTTTCTTTTCCATTTTCACCAACAAAGACATCTTATGCAGCCATTTATATTGGTCAAAAATTAATCACCTTTCATTGTAAACAAAAACCTCATCTTCAAAACTTTGATTTATTCCTTTTATCTATTTATTGTCAAATTCAACTTAAACCAAGAGGTTTGTATAATAATAATAATAATAATAATAATTATTTAATTTATTAATATATTTTTTATTATTTATTTATTTATTTTTTAGAAAGATTTACTTATAAAAGAGAAGAAGATGAAATTTTGGAAGAACAAACAACACCAGCATCGATTGCACAGGAAATATCATCATTTGAAAATGTATCACCAAGAAATTTAGATGAAGGAAATCAAAGTTTTAATTCACCACCAACAGGTGGTCTTGGTGACGATCGGTCAAGTGGAGAAGATGATATGTTTGAAACGGCACCAGAGGATTTTGAAGAGCCAATATCATTTTTAGCTTCTCCATTCCTTAGTCAATTAATAGATGATACCAATAACCAAAATTCAGATAATATCCCTACATTATCAAAATCAAAGGTAAAAAAAAAAAGACAAACTAATCATTTATTCATATCTCTTTAATATTAATAATGTGATGATTTTATTTATTTATAGAGACATAAATTATCAATATTGATGGATTCATTAAAAGAAGGAGTTAAATCATCATCACCACCAGAAGCCATATCAGTTTTAAATTACTCACTTTTATTTATTGGGTATATGGAAGATACTTTATCAAAGGAAATGTACACTTCAAATACAGAGTTTGCCATTAAAAAGTTCCAACTTGACAATGGGTTCCCTGAAACTGGTATTGCAGATTTCCCAACAATGAAATCAATACTTTATAAAGTTAAAAATTCACCTGTAAATATCTTAAAAAAGAAAGAAAGAAATTGATAACAAAAACTTTTATTAATAATCAAATCATTATTTTTCTCTTTGTCTCTTAGACATTATTAACAAGAAAAAAATTAATGTCAGCATCATATGAAGATAACCTAAGTAGTTTAAAGGATATTAGTTTAGGAAGTAAAAAGAGTGATAGCTCACTTGATGATAATACATCAACAACTTCTACCAATACCAATAACAATAACAATAACAATACTACTTCTACTTCTACTACTTCTACAGCTACACCAACAACACCATCAAAACCAAATCCATTAATGGCAATGTCATTTGATGAGAATTGGGTATCGGCAGCATCAACATTGGAAATGATTTATTTTAGAAATGCAAATGCAACTCCAACACCAATTTGGGCCTATTGTGCCGAGATTCAAGAAAACACATTCCTTTTACTACTCAACAAGGAAAAGATACAAAAAGACACAAAGCAAGAGATTGAGCGTCTAGAAGCATCCAAGCGTATCCTATACGATCGTATTTGCAAGCAATATGGAAAGTTTTTGCTCGTCAAGGAAAAGACCAATATTGCCATCTCGAGATTCTCACATATCCCAGGTCTCGTCCATTTCATCTTGATCGATCGTACCAACCATCGAATCAAGGCACCCACGATATCTCAGTTGAACGGTCCACGAAACACACTCAATGTACAGCCAGAGGACATGGTCCAGTTTATCAAGAAACGTGTTTGGAATATGTACAGTCACTGTTGTCATCAACTCAAAAAGGGATACAGCTACCAAGTCATCAAAGACAAGGATTTCCAATACAGTTATCGTCTCTGGGTAGAAGACGATGAGAGCAAAGAACAAATTGTTGAACGTGACACTCGTATCTACAACTCTCGTTCAATCTACTCTGAATTGGTCAAACGTTATTATCCACAACCCGTCAAATGTCTAGAGCTTCTCACTCTCTATATTGGTGCTCTTCCAGTTTCTTTAATCTATAAAAATGATCGTGTTTTATGTTCATTATTATTTGATAAAGAACAAGAATAAGACAAAAGTAATAGTAATAGTAATAGTAGTAGTCGTAGTAGTAGCTATAGTTTTATATTAATAATAATAATAAATATAAAGAGAGAGGGTTATTTATTTATTTATTTTTTAAATTGTTTATTTACAATTCCCCTTTATTTATATACCTTATTAATTCTCCTGCTGTTGTATCTAAACTATAAATATTATATATTAAATTAAATTAGTAAATATATTTTTATATTCTATATATTCTATATATTTTATACCTTTTAATATCACCACTAATTAAAAGATCTTTTAATAATAATGATATGGACATGTTTGAATACCTTAATTTCTTTTTATTCAAATCCTTTAATAATATTTCCTTGTATTTTAGTTTTGATATCATTCCAAGTAATTCCTTTCTACCTTTTGATAGATTTGTTATGTATCCACCCGATCCAGGTACATTTAATAAATAATTTCCATCATCATTTAATAATAATAAATTAGATTGTACTAATATCCTATATAATGAATAATAAATTAAAAGATTAGAACAATACGTATTGTATACAAAATACTTGTATATATCTCCATACGTTATAGCATTTTCAATATGTTGAGGAGATAATTGTAAAATTTGTTGTAATTTTGATCTGAATATACTAACATCTGTAAAGGATGGTATTAACAAATTGATGAATTGATCCAATACTTGGTTATGAAAAGGTTGTTGGTGGTGGTCTTGTGTAGCTGTAGAAGTGGCAGTGTTGGTGGTGTTTAGTTTAAGTGATTCAATCTTCTTTATATAATCACTTGTCATCAATATTCCATAATCATTTTGTCCTGTCAATAATTTCATTACTCTTATTTTTCCTTGTTTCTTTAAATTAAACTATCAATATTGAGAGTGAGAAGTTAGTTATATAAATAGAGGTTTCTATTATGATGATACAAATTATTTTACATACTAGATTCTTATCAACTTTTGATTTATTTTTCTCTACATAGTATAGATGTGATTGTAATATAAAAGGAGGACATTGTTTATAGAGTGTCTTGTCAAACTCGATTTCAACAAGTGATTGTATAGAAGCCAATATCGATTCTTCTTCAGTTAATTGAATTTCTATTTCTCCAGTAAATGGTTCATCATTATTATTATTATTATTATTATTATTATCATTTAGATCATCATCATCATCATTATCTAAACTATTATTGCGAGTAGTTGTAGATGCTGTAGATGTTGTCGTAGTTGTAGTTGTTGTTGTTGATTTATATCTCTTTATATCTTGTACAGCAGTTGATTGTTCTTCATCTTCATCTTGTTCATCTATATCTTTTGGAGCTTGAGGTTTATCATCATCACCATCCAAATCATCTAAATCTGTATTTGTTCGTTTTGTCATTGTTAGAGGGGCAATTAAATTTACATACAAGCATAAAAACCCAAGGTTGTCTAGCTCTAGAATTTCTAATTTATTATTATTATTATGTAATTTTAATTCATTATGTTATACTAGTATAGTATATCTGTATAGACAAGAGATAAGAAAGGAATGGAAGAGGATGATGACAATAATAATAATGATAACAATGTTGTATCTATGCCAATCTTTATAACATTTCAAAGTATATTTAGAATAAGTGTTATAAGAAACAAAGTGTTTGGTATGATGAAAGAATTACCACATGGTTGTAACAGAGTTGATGATAATAATAATAATAATCATAATGGCCAGTATATTAAAGGAAAGGAGTTACTTAGACTATCACCAATGACATGGCTCGCAAAGTATGGTTTGTCATGGGACTATGTTAAACATTATCTACCGATAAAGACACTGGACAACATCGATTTGGAGTGTCGTAGTGCAATGATAAATGCTTATATATGTCACAAGAATGCAACCATTGACACTCTCAAACAACTATTGCAATGGTCACCCGACTTTGCATTCAATGATTACGTTTGGCAAGAACAGTTGTTAAGGGGTAACGAGGCGATAACAAAGTTTCTCGTTCAAAACTACCCAGATCAAGTCAAGTTTGATCATGTTCAAGCAATACAAGCATGTGCATCTGGTAGTGTTCCATTGGTTTGTTGGTTACATGAATCTATGCATTTAAACGACGAATGGTTTTCACTTGATTGTGCTTGTACTGGTAGTAGTACCAGTACCTCTTGTTCAACCACGTCGTTGGAGATGGTCAAATGGTTACACTTTAACATTAAACGAGCAATTTGTACAGTGCGGGCAATAGATGCAGCTGCCTATCATGGAATGTATGATGTTGTTTCTTTTCTTTTAGAAAATCGTACAGAGGGATATTCAACACGCTATCGATGGTGCAGCTGCAAATGGTCATATGAATATTATAAAGGTAAAGAAAACAATAGATACAGACAGATCTGTAGATATACACTCTTTCTTTCTTTATTAAAACATTAATGTTTTTTTATTTAATAATGATGGATGTATCTAGTTAATTCATAATCATTTTCTCTCTAAAGGTAAAGATCTTAGTAAAAAGAATCTTTGGTCTCAAAAGGGATTGGATATGGCAGCATCAAATAACCATCTTGATATTTTAAGATATCTAGTAGTAAATAATAGTAGTGTAGATTGTACAACTGTTGCATTTCACAATGCTTCAAAAAATGGACATCTTTGTATGGTGGAATGGTTGCATGAGAATCAAAGTCATGTTTGTTGTGAACCTAAAAAATCTATTGACCAAGTGGCTAGAAATGGGCATTTAAACATGATAAAGGTTTATATATATATATCTGTAGAAAATCAAAACATTATTATTATTATTTATTTACCTAAATTTCTCTTTTAACAAATTTTAGTATTTTTATGAAAAATTAAACTGTACAGGAGGACAACCTCTTCTAAGTGCTTCTGTTGGCGGACATTTACATATAGTATCGTATCTTTTAGAAAATAGTAAAACAAGTACGTGTTTGTTTAATTATTGATCAAATTGATTGACGTTCATTAATCCTTTTTTTTTTTTTTCTACCAAGATGAAAATAATTTAAAAATGGATGCTATAGCTGCTAACGGACATTTACATATTTTACATTATTTATTAGAGAATGGAATCAAGTTATATGCTTTAAACACTATTGTTCATGCTATTCGTGGTGGTCCACATTTAGATGTTATTCGATTTATAGTTTCCAATCATTTGCAATGGATTTGTCGTTTGGAAGAGGTAAAAGAAAAGAATAGAGCAAATCATGCATTTTGTTTGGCTATCATGAGTGGTCACCTTGGCATGGTCGAATTTATTCACTCTATAATCCAATCAACCGAATTATTATCATTGACCGAACCTTTAGATATTGCTTGTGGTAGTGGTCATTTTGAAATTGTAAAGGTAGTTAAATCAAAACATCATCATCCATTGTATTATTATTATTAATATTATTAATATTACTTAATTATTACTGATTTTATTTATTATTTATTATTTATTATTTCAGTATCTACACTCAAAAGGTTTCAAATGTACAACTAATGCAATGGACAATGCAGCTAGCATAGGTGCCACTGATATTGTCAAATTCCTTCATGAGAATAGGAGTGAAGGATGTACTATGAAAGCACTTGGATCTGTAACATTGGGACGTTGTTGGGATATTGAAATTGTGAAATTCTTGCATAGCAATAGGTCAGAAGGTTGTTTACCTGATGCTATGGACAGATCTTTACAACTCGGTTTCCTACATATAGCTCATTTCCTTTATAATAATAGACATCAAGTCAATCTACAAGTACACAAATAAATATATTTTTATTTCAACACCCATCCACCATTCCATTCCAAACATTGTCTGCATACCAAATCATATGATAATTTGTTCTTAATAGTAGTAATCTAATAATTTATATAAATAAAATTTAATTCAAAAATTTTCTAAAGAGTAACAAACATTTTTAAATGTTTATTTTTAATTTGATTTATTTAATTTTCTTCCAAGTTTAATTTAACAAATTGGAGGAATTCAGATAAATAGATTTGGTTTATCTTGTTTTTCTTCTTTGTATTGTTGTTGTTGTTGTTGTTGTTGTTGTTGTCGTTGTTGTTGTTGTTGTTGTTGTTGTTGATACATTGTATGGATGAATCCATTTGTAATGGTATTCTTATGAATGTTGTGATTATAGATATCATGAACAAACCTAACCAAATCCATATCATTTTTTATATATACCAGTCGTAGTATGGAAGGTGTTATTTCAATCTTGTTGCCTTGATACAAATAGTTGAACAAATCCTTGTTTGGACATTCCATCATTGCTACTATATCATTATCTGTTAAAATGTATGGTTTCCTATATATATATATATTTCTTTGTTGTTGTTGTTGTGGTAGTAATTATTTTCTTTTTTCCTCCTTTACTTTTTGTTGTTTGAAGCTTTTCAACTTTCTTTTGTTGTTTCTCTTGAAATGATTCTAAAACTTTATAGATTTCCAAATCACCAGTCTCTACAATTCTCTTGAAATCTACTTTTTCAAGCCAATCAACAACGTTGTTGTTGTTGTTATCGATTGCCAAACAATCTTGTAGTACTGCTTCCAACACTTTTGTGCCACGTGGAAGAGGAATGAGATGTCTGTCGACCACATATTCCTTTAGATGGTTGGGTGTTGTTGCCAAACGTATCAACAGTAATCCAAAGTCAGATTGGGGTGTTGGGAATTCAATGTGACCACAATCGCGCATATATTGGTAGAATTCAATGTTGTTTGATCTGACTGCTTCCATCCAAAATTCGTAGCATTGTGATACATCCACTTTCAAATCTTGTTTGAGTGTAACCAGTACTTGTCGTAACAGTGCAATGTCAACCCTTAGTATTGGATTCCGAGCCAAGTAATAATTGATTGGACGTCTTGTGAATGGCTCGACGCCCTTTACTGCAATCATTTGTTTAAAATGATTGATATTTAACAATGGACATGTTAAAAAGTCATACAATGCATTGTATCCGCCGTCAACGTCAGAAGGTGACATCCTATTTTTGAGCTTTGGTAAGGTTGCTAACAAGTGTTGTCTATATGGTACTGTCTCTTTGATCCAAGAGAAAATGGATGCTCTCAGTACTTTATTCCTCCATATACATTGAAATAATCTTTCTTTTGTTATCTCTATTTCTTTTCTTTGTTCTTGTCTTTGTTGTCGTTGTTGTAGTTTCTCTTTCTTTTTTTTAACATTATTCTTTCGTCTTGCCATCTAGAAATATAAATATAAAAATAGAAATCGATAACCTATAAGAATGATATCATATCACTGATCATCACATCATTGTTCTCTTTATGCAATGTGAACAAAATAAGAAATTAATCTTCACTGTTTTGTGCACCGAAAAAAAAGAGAACAAATAATATTATTCATTATTTAATTATTTATTTAATTATTTATTGAATTATTTATTTAATATATTATTGAGTAATATAAATAATCATATTTCTTTGATATGATGTTTGGGATGGTAAGATTGTGAATATTTGACTATTATTTGGTACGATTAACATGGGTGTTAGGGTGTCAATGTGGATAGAGTACTGACCAGGCGAAGAGACTGTAAAGTTGTAATGACCAGGATTATTTGGGTCAAATGAACCTGCAATGATTAGTCCACTAGACAATTGCTTTAAACTAAACTGACACTCTGTAAATATCTTGTCGGATGGTGGATTAAAGAGATTGTTGTAATCTGATTCTCTCCAAAAGAATCCATAAATACTGATGGGAAGAGAGATGTTGTTTGATAGTTGACCACCAACTTGTACTTGAATATTTGTAATCGAGGTGAGGTCTGTCGAACTATAATGGACACATTGGGTAGTAGTGTCATTAAAGTAATAGTTGTAGGGACAATTAATTGATGGTTTGTTGTTGTTGGAGTAGTGGACAATCGATGCCGAGCTAGGGTTTATCGAATACGGTGGATTCTCTGGTACAAGGTTGGTACCACGAATAATATAGGTTCCGCCGATAGCAACAGCATGTGAAATGGTTGGAGGAGCATAGGAAAAGGTTATCTTTGATGGAAGAAGTATTTGACCATTGACAGATGCATTGATCACCATATTACCTCCTACTCCACGTGGAACTCTACACTCTACAAACGTCTCAAATGGACGACAGTTACCTAGTATGATTGGAGGTTCGCTGGTCAGAGGTTGCTGGATAGAGACAAAGTCAATGCCCAATGGAGAATTACCCCAACCATATCCACTAAATGCAATTATACCACCGGTATTGGTCGACAATAGTGAAGAGACGTTGGTGATAATTGGAGCAAGATACTTGAATTGATTAGATGCACCTGCAGTCATACCACCAGCTACAACCCATACCTTTGGTGCGATTGGGAATGGTTTTCCAATTGGTACCTTTGCCATTACATAATTATTGGTGTAATTGACAATATCCAATATAGTATCTTCCAGAGCTACGATTGGTGCTACTCCTTGACCACTATCAACAAAAGCATCACCATGAATAACAATATAATCTCTTGGGTCACCTTGTGAAGGGAGGACATCATCGATTCTTGGTGGTTCGTAGAATATCAATGGTGATCCGATTGATAGTTGAGTGTGTTGGTTGGCTACACCGACCGATACAAGTGTAAACTTTGTAACCATTGGTGGTGATCGACAAAGAATAATGTATCGTGAGACAGACTGTGGCGTGCAAACATACGTGTTGTCAAACAATACTTTAACATCTGACAATGAGGTTCCAAAGTTATCTCCGGTTACTGTAATGAGTTGATTACCATTACTGTTGATCATATTGGATGGAGTCACTGACTCTATTTCAGGTGCATTTAGGTCAAATGTAAATGTTGATCTTTGTAGATTATAACCTCTAATCTTGACGAGATTGTTTGTTCCGACCACCGACAAGGGTAGTTTGACGTGTGCACTGGTCGAATCAAACAGTTGGACGGATGGACTTGGCACACCTCCCACTTCAAACACATGCGATGTGTTGAACCCATTACCCATGATGGTCAGAGTAGTTGACGCGTCTCCAGAGGGCGGGTTAATCAACTCGATGACCGGGCCTGTGAATCGCGTGCAAATAGGGTAGGTTGGATAATTGTCAAATTGCGAAAAGTTGGCCATTTGAATATCACATAGTTTCGAGTTGAGTGTTGCAATAGCCAGTCCCTCATAATACTTTATGTAACCACTTCCACTGTCTTGGTACGATGATGCTGGTTTGGGGATATAGTAAATCTCCAAGTCTCCAAACGATAATAGATCCCAACTGTGTTGATTAGATACCATCATTTGCTTGAGTAGTTGAGTGATGGTGTAGATGGACATTGGTGAGCATATTTGGATGGATCCAGGTGTTTGGTCATCCAACACACCATCTCGATAACACAATTCAATTGGATGGGTAGAGATATGGTCACGATTCATCTCCTCGAGGAATTTGATCACCTGGTTACCAGACTGTGTCTTTGGTTCAACTAGTAATAGTTTGATCGCTTGATTGACTCCTGCAATGGTTTGCCAATCATCAAGTGATCCAACAAGCTTCATAATATTACGTTGACTCTGATTTAAAATATCAGATTGTTTAATATAATCGGTTGGATCATTAAACAATTGTACAAGTGCTGGTGTTACTAAATCTTCTTTTAACCAATCATACATTTGTATGTGTTCTTGATTATTTTTACCAAGGTGGAGTGAAGAAAACATTGTTGTAACCGTTGTAGTTGTAGTTGTAGTTGTAGTTGGTAGAGGTGGACGAATTTGAATATACCGATTATAAAGAATATTTTTGTTGGTTTCAGTATGAGTTGGTGCTGGAAGTGTTGGTAATAATAGAGTCATACTATTAATATTTTGAGCAGTGGTAAGAGTTGCAATGGAATTGAATAGATCAACCCATTGAACATTAATATCACCAACTTGCTTGCCTACAGATGCTCCATGTTCATCGGCATAGTCATTATTTAACCAATCCCATGCTGCACTTGCACTTCTATAGAATAATTCCTCGTCACTTGGATTATTCATATTTGGTTGATTCTCTTCATAACCAAAAATATTTAAAATGTTGGTCGTAGGTGTTTTAAATTTATCAAAGTATGTAAAACATACTTGGAAATCTGTTGTCCCAATAGTTCCTGTTAATTCCTTTAAAAAAAAAAAAGATAAATATCAGTTAGTAAAATAATAATCAATATGTTTTCTTTTAAAATACATTAAAAATGAATTTAGAAATAGCAAATATAATTCCATTTGCCCAATTTGGTTGGATTTCATCGGTTTTGAATATAGATTGAATAGCTTGTTGAGGGAATATAGAGGCAATTTTGAGGAGTGCTAAATAGGTCAATTCCTCTGGACAATAGGTACCAGTGTTTCTCATTAAAACCTTGTGTGAATGTTTATAAAATGGCGAGTCAATGTCTGGCTTGACGATGGTTTGGAATTGAGTATTTGTCAAGTCAACAGATGCAATTAATAGAGGTTGGATGTGATCAACTAGTTTCTCTAAATAAACGATGGTGTGGTAGTCGGGGATGAGTGTCACGTCATAGTCACGGGTATATGTTTGTAGACGAAGATAGCTGTATTTGTCAACCCTTTGATTGGGTCTAGTGTTGGGAGGAAGAAGAGGGTAGTCTGGAATAGGGAGGGGGGTGGTCTCGGTGATTTGTGTAGTTCTTGCTTGTGATAATTGAACACATTCTGTTTGATCACCATCAATGTCAAAAATACCATCATAGTAATCACAAACAATGGCTCTACTATTCTTTGCTACAAAATCCAATGCCATGGTGTCGTGTGCGTGAAAGTCGACAATATCCCTGACAGCTGTTCCAACTGGCAAAGTTGATTCTTCTTGACCAATTTCATTTGGATCGAGGTGAGTACGAATAGCAAGTACTTTAACTTCATGCACCGGTGTTGTAAACCCACTGTCAAAGTGTCTTGGAATCATCCTCGTACTCGGTCCATTGACAAGTACTTCTTTCACCTCGACTGTGATTTCTCCCTGGTCACCAACCGGACGGTTTAATTGAACCGGTTGACGAATCCAATTAGAGTAAAACAATCCGTTGTTTTTAGTATGAGGGGTACCCAGTATACCAGCAGAGTTTGGAACTCTAGTCGAGTAAATATGGACCATTCTATTGAGTTGGTATGACAACTCTGGATGTTGAATACATAGTGCACCACCACCTCTTCTACCCTGATTATTATGACGATTCAAATCACCAAAACAAACCATGTTTTCATTTTCGTCATGCCAAAAAGCAGGGTCCATTTGTGGCCGCACTGGAAAAAGTAATTTGACATGACTTCCTCCTTGATGAACATGTGGTTTATAACCAGAGGGAGCTGTTACATCTTCGGCAATATAGGGAGCATAACGAATGGTTGAAACATCGACCAAATACTCTGTTACAGGGGTCTGTTTACCAGCCAAATAATAATATGAAAACATTTTCCTCTGGAATTCACTAGCTACAATACTCCAAAGATCAATTCCATCATAAAACTAAATAAATATTGATAATAAATAAATATTAATATTTAAAACTATGGTCAATTATTATTATTAATTAACTTCAATTTTATCGTTTACATACCTGACCACGACGACTACCACGATTAACAGATAAATAATCTGAGAGAACTAGGCCAGCAGGTATATTATTTAGATCTAATCTAAAAGTTGAAGTAGTCTTTGAAATTAAACTAGTCTTGTAGAAAAGTTTGGCTCTCATTCCAGATATTCTAAATTCTGGTGATACCCAATAACAAATATCGAGAAGATTTTGTTGGATGGGTAGTGCAGCTCTACAGAGATTGATTTGGTCTTGTCTGTTGGGAGCATACACCAGAGGTGGGCCAGCACTCAGAATACGTCTGTTCCAGCGCCCAGATGGTTGCAAAAAGTCATATAAATAGGGATTGGCATCGATACGTTGTTGGTCCCATGACTCTAACCCATTTTGTACGAGGTGAGGGATATTTGGATACTTTGAGAATGGTAACATATAGACATCATTCTTGAAAAGATATTCACCCGCATTATTTAAATCATCTATTCCATAACAAAAGAAATGTTGATTATTTCTTGCTGTTCCAAGCCAATATATACCTTTATCTGGTGTTCTAAAAAAATTAAAATAATAAAAATTAAAATAATAAAAATAATTAATATTATTAATATGCATATATTTGATATATATATTGTTTATATGACATACGCAAATTTTAATGGACCATTTGAATGAGATGAGGGGAAACCAGGGTTAGAGTGAATAATATGAATACCACGTATACCAGCACCATTTGGTAAATCCTCCCAAATAAATATTCCTTTTGAATGACCTATAAGCTTCTCTGGCCATTCATGAGCGAAATCACCATTGGCTGCTCTTTGTGCAGGTTGGTCATTGTAGAATATGTAATAGTAACCGTCGTCTGTCAGCTGATCAAAGGTTGCAGCTAGTAGATTGTATGGTCGATGGTCGCTAGTACGTTCAGCTCCAAGGTTGTAGCCAACCGTCAGTTCTTTGGTCGAATCATCTATCCACATATACTTTTGTTCCGATGATGCCCAATTCATCTTGAGTACCAAGAACCAATCCCTTGAAGGATTAGATCCATCCGCTTCATCTTGACCCAGACAAGACAATGTTTGAGCGTTGAATGTCACGCTGTCTCCATCGGTTGCTACGATATTGGTGGTAGGATGAGTGACGGTTACTTTAACGTCTAACGGTCCAATATCATCTCCTCCATCTCTTGTACATTTGACATTTGTATCGGGTATCGTGATCACTGGATTAGTACAAACATGACCACCAATAGTAATTTGAATTAAATTATTAGCAGTTCCAAACCCTTGACCTACAATCTCAACCTTGACCTTTTTCCTTCTTGGCCATTGTCTTGGTGCGACAGAGTTAACGATCGGTCCCGCATACACAAGTGTTTGGGCTGCTGTAACTACAACTTGATTGTCTTGTAATTGTAAGGTAACTGGATAGTTACCTGGACGACTTGCAGGTCTCTTACATTTGAGTGTTGTAGTAGTTTGTAATGTGCAATCGGTTGCAATAGGGATTTGAATCGAATTCACAACTACACCCAAAACTTGATCCAAACTTGTTCCAGTCATTGTAAAATAATCACCTCCTGATGGTGATTCCGAATCTGATACAATATTAGTTACAGTCACATCTAATTGGAATTAAAATAAAAAATGATTAATAAATTGAGTGATCCTCAAGTAGACCTTTTAATTTGTATCATACCATAATAAGTAAAATCGATAAAAGTGTTAAATGATTGACCAAACAAATCAAATGTGATTGGAAAGGTACCAACCTGACGGTATTGAACATCTGCCAATTTACATTTAAATTTGGTGTCTTCACCGTCTGCGACGGGAGCCATTTCAATCTCTTGACATCCCTGTCCATTGATTTTAAATTGATAGTATTTTTGTAAAAGTTGACTATCAACAATAATAGTAGTAATGTCTGGAATAGGAATAAAGTTTGAAACTTGAATGACAATAGATTTAGATAGAGTATTGATAAAACTCTTGTCATTATCAATATTCAAGATTTTAGGTTCTAAATAAATAAATAAAAATATTTTTAATTCATTAATAAAAAAGGTAATAATATAATATAATATTATTCAATAATTATTGAATTCATACCTTTAAATAATAAAGATAAAGTTGAAGTGGAAATTTGATCATCAACCTCACCAGTGATAAGGATTGGTTGATCTAGAATAGCATTTGTTTGTAATGAAGAATCTAGTTTAACGGTCAAGAATCCACCACTACCTTGATTTAAAAGATCATCATGATCCAAATCATCTCTTGTAAATTCTTGTTGACCAACTATTAGTTTTGTCAATTGATCTAAATTCTCTCCACGTATTCTAATTGATGTAAATCCCTTATTCACCATAAACAAAGGTTCAATTTTACTAAAATGAGTTTCTTTAAAGATAGATAAATATAAATATTATACTTTTTGTTTTTTTTTTGTTACTTTTCTATATTTTTACAACATACCAAAATAATTAAATCTAACTTGGTCTGATGATTGAATATCAATACTATCAATAGTTGCTTGAATATTAAATTCTAATGAATAAATATCTGTTGGGAATGGTTGAGTGTAGGGACCAGTCGTACATAATACACTCGTTTCAGATACAGATAGTGTATCAATATCGCAACCAACCCCACCAATATTGATAGATGAAACTAATTCCAAATGAGCTCCTTCAATTTGAATTTGTCTACCTTTGGTTTTTAATCCATTTGATGGATTGATTTGTGAAATAATTGGTACTATAATTCAATTAAATAATACTAACATTAGATTATAATTAGATGTTTGTTATGTTTCAAAAATTTACATACCAAATGATTTATAAAAAATATCACCAACAACTCTAATGGTTGGAAGAGGACTTGGTTGAGGTACAGATACAGCAATTTGATATAATTTTTGGTGACCGGCTTCGATACCAGTGATGATTGGAATTATGCATTCAATCTGATCAAAACGATGATTGACGATTGCACTTTCACAAGCTACCGTTTGGGTACTATCCAAACTATCAATAAATGTTACTGTTATAGCATCAACTATACTAGTATCGGGAACAATAAAATGTTCTCCAAATATTGTAAGTGTATGACTATTTAAACAAATTCCATTTTTTGATACACCTTGAATAATTGGAACTAAATAAATAATAATTAATTAGTAAAATACTTTAAATTTAATAAAGAAGTTAAGATGTTGTTGTGGGTACTTACTGACATAAGAGAATGGATCATATGCAACAACAGTTTGACCGGTATAGACAGTCAAGATAATTGGGACATCTTCAACTTTTTGAGAGACGGGTGCTTCTACCACAATCAAATTACTATGAGCTATTTGGACGGGTGCATCGTATCCTCCAATCGTAACGGTTGGATCATCATCAGTTGGATTAATCTTAAAGTCATCTCCTATAATAGTAACCAATCCACCAAATGGTTTTCCACCAACATAAGCTCTATCATTTTCAACTTCATCAATAAATGGTTCTTTTTTTTTTTAATAATAAATATAAATAAACAACTTTAAAAGTTAGTATATAATAATATTATTTTGTTTAAAATAGAGAATAAATGTGTCATACCAAGATAAATGAATTCTCTTTGATCGACAATAGCAGAATTGACAATGATTTCAAGTTTGAGTGTTGCTTTTGCCAAACCATTGAGTTTACGCTTTCTATTGATCGAAGTTGGATCTGCCCAAATACCTGGTGGAGCAGGTGGCGAGCTATAGACTAGCCAACCATCAACCGATGTTTCTACAAACGTACAGAGATATTCTAATTGTGCAAATGTGATTCTAACCTTTTCAATGGTCGATTGATCAATACCTGATATTTTAATCAGTGATCCTCCATTGGTGTAGGCAGCTGCACTCTGTACAACGATTTGTGCATGCACCAATACTAGTACTTGACTACTTGACAATAATCCTATTAGCAACAACCCTAACAGCCTGTGTGCCAATAAAGATATCATCTTTATTCTCTCTATAACTCTTTTCTAATGTAATGTAATTTACAATACAAGAAATATATTTTTGTTTGTTCTTCTACTGTACAACTAGAAATGATGTGATAGGAACCTAGGTCCTATCACATCCACCTAACTGCCTACCAACCTACACCTAAGAAGATATGAGGTGATCCTTGTCGTTTGTACATCTTTTGCCAATCTCCCAACATGGCCACCAACGCTATGATGATGTTATTGGATGGGTATAATCTTTGCTCTGGTTTGTTAATCTACTTTAAGGAAACAAGATAGTAGAGTGCCAATCCGCATTTGGATGATTGATTGGCCATTAGCACTAGCACTTCCTCTTTTGTCATCGTCCTTGTCGTCCATGGGGAGATATTTGCATCATTCATTGAATTTTTGTTTGGCCATCGTTTGGTTTGTTTGTTGATTGATGGAACATTCGTTGCTTGCATTTTCTAGTTGTGTCCCATTAAGTTGGTGTGGCACTTAACTCTTGCGTCTTTTGATTATCTCGTTGTATCTCGAGAGAATTATAAGGAAGCAGCTGACCACCAAATCTAATTTGATTTACTACTACTTTGGTGGCGCATGATAATGAATATGAATGCAATCACCATCTACTCGCCGCATGATGGATGCTGCAGCTACTAATAGTAGGTAAGTTGTAGATTCGTTTCTACCCTTCTCTTTCCATCTTCCTTATTTGATAGTACTATCTATCATAATTAATAATTAATAATAAACAAACAGACATACAGAGCAGAGATATATAATAATATAATATAATAATATAATAATATAATACAAAGAAGCAATAAATAAATTAAAAAGGGTGAACTTCACAATAGAGTGCTTTTGAAAAGAATTGACAAAAATGAGGTGGGGTACATTATGTTCACCGCCCTTTTCTTTTGCACTATTATTGTTTAATATAGTTATATTATTATCAATAACAAATGTAAATGCACGTATGTAATCAAAGTCGGTTGAAGAATGTATTATTATTATTAACTTACTCTGTTCTTATCATTTGAAGAAATCAAATGTATATCACCTGGTGGAGACAAGGTAACATGGTGGTTAGCAAGAAAACTACCGTTTACACAAAAGTATATCTATTGGAGTAGTGCCAGCAATGATATTCAGGTGTACAACTCGATTAGTGATGATGACAGTTGTCTCGGACGTACACTCGACCAGCTGACAAACACTGTCATTGCAAACACTTCGTCTACAGGGACCGCCTATTTGGCATTCAATAATGAACCATACTATGACGACGGCTCGGGTGACATTGCACCTGCAATGATGGGTGTTCTACCCTTAGATACACAACAATGGGGAAAGGGTCTACTCATCTACCGAAAGGAGCAAGGTGGAGGTGTCTTTATCAAACATTCTCTGCCATCGTTTCCCATCCCTATCAGAGGGTCTATCACATCTGTCAAGAAACCATCAGATAATCCTAATGGATTATGGTACCCTAAAGAGTATTTAGTCGGTACACCACCACTAGAGTTTGATCAACAAGATGATGTATCTCTTGGTCACTCGTTTATGTGTGCACCCAGTGCCCCGATTGCCGATATGGCCGATATCATCAAGTATGGGTATCCACATGTCTATGCCTCTAATCTCGGGCTGGCACCTACCGCCATTCCAGAACTAGACACTATTATTCGAAATGATCCAATCAACTCTTATTCAAGAGCAACGTCGACTGTCCAATTCTATTATATTGGTGCACTTGGGTTCCCAGGATTCTATAGTACTGCTCCAAACTTTAATGTTACTATTCCAGTATGTTTAGGTTATAAACTCCTCAAAATATAAATATACATATATGTTATAAATATACTTACCACTATCTATTATCTAACTAATTTAGAGCAGATATAATATTAAAAGTAGTATTAATGCAATCACTGAAATAAGATTACCAGAGGATTTTATCAAACAATACAATATATCAAGATCACTGGCTCATTGGAGTATGGATGTTGATATGTCACGTCTAATGTTTTCAAAGGATCAAATTTGTATTATGGATTATACAAATGAAGGTGTAAGTTAAGTTAATCATATAAACCAACAAGATCGATATTAATATTTCTATTTTTATTTTTCTTTTAGAATGGAAATTATATGCTTTGTGTAATTGGGTTACCATTTAATGATAAAGGAAAACCTTGGTCACAGTTTATTCAACGATCAACTGTCAGGTATATTACTGGTTGTGTGGGTACATCATGTTCAACCAATCAATTGCTAGTCAACTTTTTAACAACGTTTAGTGGAAAGGTATTGTTTGATATTAGTGCATTCACCACCAACTCTGATGCCGAGCAAATTGGTGATATTAGATCATATGCAAGACTTGTAGAAACCACCTTTTTACCAAATACAACCATTACCATTGGTAGTAGTGATGTGCAAGCATGTGACGAAACATGTTTGAGTAGATTCTCTGAAAGATATATCTACCAAACAGACTCTACCGGTTTATTGCATTTTGAAAAAGCAATGGAGAAATCAATACTCTTTTCATTACAATTGTCAAGTAGTAGTAATGGTGGTACTGGTAGTGTCAGTGTCTACTGGAATGATAATAGAGAATCTCCACAACTCGTATCAATTCCAATCGATCGTTCAACAGGAGTTGCCATAGTTGGCAGTCAATCGTCGTTGACCTATGCCATATTTATTTACAAGGTATTATGTATCTTTGAACCAATTCGTCAACAATGGTTAAGTACTAGTAGTGGTGTTGGTATTAATATATCAACTGTTCAAGTTCATCTTGACCGTATCAATCATATTGGCTATTTTGTTGATGAATCAGTTTGTCCATCGTTTAGTATTGCCGAACCATACTCTATCGAATCGTTTATGCGGTCATACTCTTGCCAACTTATTGTCGCTGCATTGGTTGGCAATCAAGGAGCACTGACATCCCAACCCATTACTTTTCCTCCAACTGACCCAGTCGATACACTATCACCAAACAAACAAATGGCATTGATCAAAGCTCTTGTAAACGTTGTCACTATGAAACTTCGAGAACTTTCATTCCCAACCATCAGTCAATCAACAAGACTATCATTAATTTATAATTCAGAATCAATCAATTTTGAATCATTTAATCAATTGTATGTAGCTAGCTAGTACCATACTTTAAACAAATAGATATTATTATATTCTTATTAAATATATTTTAACAAACTTAAATATTTAAAGAAAAAAAGATAAAACATTATATTCTGAAGGATGGATAACAGCTTATCTTTGGGATTTATTGGATGAAAATAATGAAGATATTCAAGATGGGTATCTCAAGAGATCACCTTTTTATGATGGCAATAGAGGTAAGACTATCTCATTGGAATTGTTGTTAGCAACATTGAGTAGTTTTTCATCATCATCCTCTTCATCTTTATCAACGATTGATATTTTATCATTTACCGATCGATTAATTGAAATGGTTCCACACAATGATAAATCAACGGTCATCCCATTAATCAAACGTAATATGGTTTACAATTACATTTATGAATGTCATTGGTGTAAACAAACCAATTATACTGGGTTGACAACAGGTGGTGGTACCAACATTATTGACCCAGTCACCAAGATTCTATTGGAAAAGGGTGTTTGTGAAAACCAATTGGTCGATGATGAAGCTGCCGAGTTATCTTTGACTCGGTTGAAAAAGACATTAATGAATTGGGTATCCAACCAAAGTAATACTAATACTGTCCTCGAATGGTCAACCAATCGAGGATTGGTATTCCTCTACTCTGAAACATTCAAACAAATGTTAAAGACTAGTCCATTGCTCCAATCACTTGTTCAGGCTGTCGACCCTACTCTGTGTCACTTCCCATTGATTGGTGTGGCTAGTGGTGATGTGTCTGACGAACAAGCAGACAGCTACCCACTCACACCAATGGCACTGGATATTATCACAAAGATAATGGTCGCACAGACGAGTATTGCCAATATCGTTCAACACTACAACCAAGATGTCACCTCTTACTATGTCGAGAGAACTGAATCTGACAATGGCCAAGGTCTAGGTATTATCACATACAAGAAACGTCTCTGTAGCTTTGCCATCATGACTCGTCAAGAATTTGACATGGGAACGTTTATATCTACTTGTCCAACCGGTTCACTAGTTAGAACAATCCAAGTTTTGAATAATGGATCTATACCAACTTGGTCAGAAAATAATAGTGTCATTATTACAGGTCGTAATTTGGATGATCTTATTGTCCAATTATCACAAGATTATATCAAAACTAATTATATTGGTATTAGACCGTCGACCGATGATGCAATTATCGTCGACCAAGAAACTGGCGAACAAACACTGACTGTGTCGTTTGGTTCTGGTGTTGGTATAAATGACATTATTTTAATAGAAGGTGGTGCAGATAGAGTATTACCAGAAGAATCACGTCTTCATCTTGCAGTTGGTGACCAATTAAAATTTAAATATGCTCCACCTACCATTGACTCTGTATCAAATATCAATAGTAAATTGGATGCATTTGGACAACTCATCACAATCGTTGGCAATAACCTTCTCACTAGTAATGGTGACAATATCAACTATACCTATATTTATCTCTATGTTGATAATGTTCAAATGGAAATTAACCAAGTTTCACACAGCGTTGATACTAAAGATACAATTATTTTTAAAACAAATAATACTGGTTTAAATAGGTAAATATTTAAAATCATATTATAGATATGATCATCTTTTAATTAATTCTTATTTATTTATTTATTTTATTTATTTTTTTTTTAGAAAATTAAAATTAATAATTGGAAATCAAAAAGATAATCAATTGATTGAATATATTTTAAATTTTAATGAACCAATTATCAATTCAATTTCAGTGACTAGTGGTATGACAAGAGGTGGTTACGATGTAACAATTTATGGTAAACATTTTGGTGTTGTTGATGAAAGTGCTCAAATCAGTATTGGTAATCCCAACACTACCTTTACCGAGTGTGATGATATGTTTATCATTGATGATCAAACCATTGTATGTGTTACACCTGGAATTGCTTCAAAGGACATGCAATTTGTCATTGTAGTGGCCAACCAAACAAATGACCCATCCCTCTATCCCCCATCAGCCCTCTTTTCAGCATACAGACCAGTTGTCGATCACATCATTTATTTGCCAACCAACACGTCCAATGTTGATGCCAAGTTTTGGATATTTGGTCGTGATATTGGTGTCTACTCTGGTATTTTCCCAAATATTACCATTTTTGGTGAAATTGATAGCGCCGTGTTGACATGTGAACCTGATGCAACTCAGTACATGAACAAACAATACTACACTGACGATGACCCAGAGAATCTAATTGAAACACCAACCAATACAAGCCATCCATACGACCCAATCAATGGCGAGTATGAACCATACCTCCAACTCGATGTTACCTACCGTACAACCGTGGATTTTGAAAGTATTGTTTGTTATTTTGGTCCAGGTTACAGTAACATGATCCGTGTTCAAGTTCAAGCTGAAAATCAAATATCCGATCCCTCATTGGAACCATTTACCTATTTACCACCAGTTCTATTGAATGTTACAAAAAGTATTGTCAATGACACATATTATAATGTGGAATATAGTACTGATGGAGGTGAAAATATTACATTTATTGGATACAACTATATTCCAATGGAATACTTTACAAACGATGAAACCTATATCGACTTTTACAACATTCAAGCCGAGGAATATGGATCGTGGGTTGAAAGTATTTGGAATCATACATTGTCCAATGTAACCATTGGACATACCCTACTCGACAATATCACATTCCATAATAGTACCGAAATTTATGGTATCGTTCCACTTGGTATTGGAGCCAATCTACCTATTCAAATTATGATTGGTAATCAGTCTCTTGTAGGAGACCACAGTATTACATTTAGTTATAGTAAACCAAATGTTTCACTTGTCAACTCGGTCGATACTATCGGTGGAAATGTAACGATTTTAGGATCAAACTTTGTGCCACTTGGATACAACTTGTCAACACTCGATAGCAATACCACCTTTATCATGATAAATGGAACCATTAGATGTGCTTTGGAGCAATGGGTATCATCAAACCAAGTCATATGCCAAGTGTCACCAGGTCTTGGAAAAGATTTGAGTCTATTGGTTATGATTGGTAATCAATCAAACAGCGAGAGCGGTGTAGACTTGTTCTCTTTCAATGCACCAAATGTCACATCGCCAATTGACAATGTTTCAACCGATGGATCTTCTGTTATTACAATCAAAGGCAATAACTTTGTTCCTCAAAATGTTGATCCTCTAGACTCTACCATATTAATTGATAACGCTACCCATGTGCAATGCCAATCAATCGAATGGGTTGATCATCAAACCATCGTTTGTCAAATACCCTATGGTGTTGGATTAAATCATCCTCTAACTATTCACATTTCAAATCAATCCACTATAGTTTATTTTAATTATGCCAGTAAGATTATTATTATTATTATTATTATTATTATTATTATTATTATTATTATTATTATTATTATTATAGTCATTTTAATTATTAATTAATAATAATATTCTATTCTCTTTTAGAACCCACTTTAAATGAGATTTATTTTGAAGGAAAACAAGGTGATAAGATTACAGTTCTTGGTAATCATTTTGTACCTATTGAAATGGTTGCAGAAATGAATTCACTATTGAATGGACAAAATGATAGTTATTCAGTTACGATCAATGGCCAAATCTGCAATAATGTTATTTGGATTGATTCTCACTCATTGGAATGTACCGTACCAGATGGTTCGGGTGAAGGATTGTCAATTGATGTTACAGTGGCAACCCAAAAGAATGATGTAAATCAATACTTCTCCTACAAACAAGATTCAAGTAGCAGTCAGGAAGGTAGTAGTGATAGTGGTGAGGACTCAACTACAACCACTACAACGACAACATCGGATGGATCCTCGACTACAGGTGGATCTCAATCCACAACTACTACATCTGGTGGTGCTACAACTGCCGGAGGTGCCACTACTGCTGGAGGTGCTACAACCACAACCACTGGAGGTGCTACAACTGCTGGAGGTGCCACTACTGCTGGGGGTGCTACAACTACTACATCCGCTGGGGCAACAACCGCTGGAGGTGCCACTACTGCTGGAGGTGCTACAACCACTACAACCACTGGAGGTGCTACAACTACTACAACCACTGGAGGTGCTACAACCACTACAACCACTGGAGGTGCTACAACTGCTGGAGGTGCCACTACTGCTGGAGGTGCTACAACCACTACAACCGCTGGAGGTTCTACAACCACTACATCAGTTGGCGCCACAACCGCTGGTGCTACAACTGCTGGTGGTGCCACTACCGCTGGAGGCGCTACGACAGGAGGAGGTGATGGTGGAGGTGACGGTGGAGGTGACGGTGGAGGTGATGGTGGAGGCGATGGTGGAGGTGACGGTGGAGGTGATGGTGGAGGCGATGGTGGTGCCACTACCACTGGAGGTGTTACGACAGGAGGTGGTGATGGCGGAGGCGATGGCGGAGGCGACGGTGGAGGCGATGGCGGAGGTGATGGTGGTGACGGAGGTGATGGTGGCGGTGACGGAGGTGGTGATGGAAGTGGAAATACGACAGGTGGCAGCGATACAACTGGAGGTTCTGCCACAACCTCTGGTGCTACAACTGCTGGTGCTACAACTGGAGGCACTGCAACAACCGCTGGTGCTACAACTGGGGGCACTGCAACAACTGCTGGTGCTACAACTGATGGAGGCTCTACCACGACTACTGCTGGAGGTGCCACAACTGCTGGAGGTGCTACAACTGCTGGAGGTGCCACAACTGCTGGAGGTGCCACAACTGCTGGAGGCGCTACGACAGCTGGATCCACAACAGGAGCAACTACAACAGGATCCCAAACAACTGGAGGAAGTGGTGAACCAATTGGAAAAATTCAAGGTGTTCTTTTCCATGATGCCATTCCAAATGGAATATATGATGTAGGAGAACTAACATTTAGAGGCATCCAAATTATCTTGTCAGGTGCCATAGACTCAACAACCACCACAGATCATAATGGAAGGTACGATTTTGAATTACTACCAACTGGACAATACACCATTACGATCTCACAATCACTATATCCATACACCAATGTGAATGTTCCTTTATCAGCCACAATCTCCTTTACAGGTGAGACTGTCACTCGAGATATTGCAGTAACAGCAAATTGCTAATAAATAAATCTATTTCCCCATTCTTTTCAAACTCTTTTTTTCTAATCTCTTACATTTATAAATAATATTGGTTATTTTATTAATAATTTAATTATGGATTGTCGTTGTACTATTACTATTACTACTATTATTCCCATTTCTATTTGAATCCAAGATTCATGTTTAATTTTTTCATAAAGTTTAGTTCCTCTTCTGATACATCCTCTTCTAAATGTTTCAAACTCTTGTTTGCACCATTACTGCCAGGAGGTGTAATAGATTCTGAATAAACCTCGACCAAGTCATCATCGTAGATTGGCATTTGTGGTACATTGAAATGTTGCAATTCTTTGGGTTGCGATGGACGTTGCTTTTCGGGTTTTTGTAATATGATTGGTTGTACAATTGGCTGTTGTTGCACTACCACTACTGATGGTGCTTGTTGTTCGAATTGTGGTGATTGGTGCTGTTGGCGTTTAACTTGATGATTATGAATGATTTCATTGTTTCTATAAATCTCTTGTTGTTTTTCTCTTTGGAGTTGTGATAATTGTCCAGTTGGATTTAACAATTTTTGAATACCATTCATTTCACTTTGAACTGATTTAATAATATCTCCATTTTCAGATCTAAATAAATAAAAAGAATTCAATTAATAAATTATAATTAAAAATGATCATGTGACTCTTACGATTTAATAGAATCCAATACCAAAATTAATCTTTCTAATTTGTTGGCAGCAAATATTTGATTTTCTCTCAACTTTTCAATTTCTCTTGATGGATCCATTTCATTCAATTCATTGATCATTTGTTTTACAGTTGATGTAATAGATGAAAATATACCAAATGATGATTGTTGTTGTTGTTGTTGACTCTGTTGATTTTGCTGAACTGGTTGTTGACCTTGATATTGTTGTTGTTGTTTTTGTTGTTGATATTGTTGTTTTTGTTGTTGGTATTGTTGTTGTTGTAATATTTTTTGTTGTTGTTGATGATGGTGATGTTGTGGCAATGGTTGAGAGGTAAGTGGCACAGGTGATTCATTTGAAGCCAGTGGGGTTGGAGCAATTATTTTGGTTGGTTGTTGTGATTGTTGTGGTGGTGAGTATGATGAAGAAGATTGTTGCTGTTGTTGTTGTTGTTGTTGATCAAATGTGTAATGTGTTTTAGTTTGTGCAGATGGTTTAACAACTCGCTTGTGCGTGTTGATAATCTCACTGTCCACATCCTTGCTATAGTTTGTAAGATTCGATGATAAGTCCTCACTCGACAACATTTTTAATTTCTCTTGTACCGTATAGGCCGTATGAAGTGTTCCCTTTGGATCATTCACCATTGGGAAATTAAATAATATTTGTAAACAATCTGAATAATCTCTTCCAATTACTAAAAAATAGAACAAGGAGACAAAATAAATAAATAATTAAAAAATATTTTTGTTATTTTTTTGTAACATACTTGCATCTTTTATACTTAACATCATAGCAATACAAATATAATCTAATAATTCAATACCATGTTTAAATATGGCATCCCAAAGAATCATTAGACTGTTGAGAGGGAAGATTTGAGCCAGGATGATACGAACCCATCGCAATGAATAGAGGTGTGGTTCGATATTGAGGTCTTTGAGGTAGGCGTGGAGATGTGCGTCGACAATACCCAACGTTTGGAAGATGCTGTGGCACTTGTTGACAACTTGAATGTTTGCAGCGGCATCGGATGCCTCACGCTCTGAAATATCATACAACTCTTTGCGAATACCACTGAGTCGTGGGGGTGGCAGCGGAGACGAAGGTGGTGAGGTGAACCACTGTCCGACCAGAGTCATCAAGGCATCGAAAATAAAGTAAGTGTCGTGTTCAAAGTATCTAGGGTCACGCAACACAATCGACAAATCAGAGGTGTTGTCATAGTGATCGATGGGTTTGTATGGGACAGGAGATTCTGGATAGAATGGAACGATGAGTTTGTCACGCTTGGTTGGTGACTGTCTGTGAGAGTAACGGAAATCACCCCAATGAGAATCGGTAAATGTAGAGAATAACACAGGTGCAAGAATCTCATTCATTCCTTGCAAGTATTTGATCTTTGGATACTGACGTGAAAAGATAAACAAAATACGTGTCATGCAATCCTGGATATCCTTTCTTTCGAAAAATGCCAAATCTGGATACGTTCTACTAACATCATGTCCAATCTCTCTTTGAGTTGTTTCATTCTCAAAAAATTGATTCCATATACTCTAACAAAATAAAATAAAATAAATAAAAAGTATTAATATCTATCTATCTATCTATCTTTTTGTATATATATATCTATATCGACTTACATCTTTGTTTTGAGATAATGGATCATCTACAACATCCTTTGTAGAACGTGGATCGATGATATAACCACGTTTAAGAGTATCATATTTTTGACGTTGTTTTTTGGTTTGTTCAATCCATTGGTCAGTCGAGGTCTTTGATAGTACACCAAGTGACACCTTCCAAAATACACCACGAATTGTTGATTGAATGGGAAGACCATAAATAGCAGATTCAAAGTCAATGATTTGACTTGGTGTCTCTGTAAGCAATAGATTCTTAAAATCTTTTTCCCATTGTTCCAATACTATATTTGGTATACCATCAATTAATTCAATTTTTATATCTTCTTCTTCTTCTTCCGATTCCTCTTCCTCTTCGACATGTGGAGGTGGTGATTGTTGTTCAATCACTTCTTCTTCTTTTGGTGGTACAATTACAATATCTTCTTCGAAGACTTGATTTTCTTGAACTATAGTTTCTTGTACTATAAGTGTTACAGTTTGTTGTTCTTCGGTTGGTACTTGGTCTACTTCTTCTACTACTACTTGTTCAACTTGTTCAACTTGTTGTTGTTGTTGTTGTTGTTGTACCTGGTCATCCTGGTGATTTACTTGTTGTACAACATCTTCGAATGGAGGTGGTGTTGGTGTATTATCACTATTACTATTACTATTACTAATATGTTGTTCTTTTTCTTCTTCTTCTTCTTCTTCTTGAAGAGGAGGTGGAGTAGCCAGGAAGAAATCATCTTTAAACAAGTCATCATGATTTGTGTTTGTCAATACAGTTGACTTTGGAGATTCATCAAGTGCTACACCTCCCTCTTCTTGTTCATGACCATGGTCATCACCAAAAACATCTGTCTCCATTCTATCTATACTATACACCTATACTACACTACACTACTAATATATATATATATATAAAATATAGATCTATGTTTTAGGTACTACTTTATCACTCAGGTGGATGATTAAAACAAAAAAGGTAGTTGTAAAAAAATAAAAATCAAGGGGTGCCCCTGAAAAATCCAATGACCACCTCGAAAACTCTAATGAACTTTGCAGGTTGTCTCGGCATAAGCTTAACACGGAAACTCTATTATGTACTCAAAGCAACAACTTGTCCTCACTGCAGATAGTGTTCACTTTCGAGCCACAACGTTTCACAGTTGACAATTTGTCACCTAAAAAACATAGTTCATTAGTTTTAAACACACAACAATTTTACTTTAAAAATATCTTGGTGTTTGTAGTTGTTGTTGGTAGTAGTATTGATATTTGTTGGGAAATACGAGCATTTAATTTACAACAAACAAAGTGCCGAGTCAATCCCTCAAAGTTGATTCTTGTTGAATTCGTTGTTGTTAGATATTAAGTAAGTTTTACACTTGTTATTTCAATCCGGATGATTTTCGTTTCAATTTTGATATTATTGTGGTTGTTGTTGACAACACTGGTCGCACCTCTCTCTGTTAAGTTTTTCAAAAGTTGTTTTTTTTTTAACAAAACCTCATTTTTACATCAAACTGCAAACAAACAACAAATAATAATAATAATATTAGACAAGAGTGGAGTGATAGAGAAGAGAGAGAGAGAGAGAGAAGAAAGAGACGATAGGCAAAAAAATCAAGAAACAAAGAAGATAAACAACACAGTTCAACATTAACTGAGAGTCTTGTTTCACTAGTAAAAGACATGAAGATTGATATCGTCATCTTGAGTAGATAGATTAGATAGATTAGATAGTAGTAATAATAGTAATAATAGTAATAATAATAATAATAATATTATTAGTATTAGTATAGTACCATTAAAATATGAAACGTCCATCTTCAATAAACAACATCTTCAAAAAGAAGGAAAAGGAGAAGGATAAGAACAAAAAAGAAGAGAATACAACAACGCCGGGAGAACCTACTTCTCCCGAACAACAACAAGAGAATGATCAGTCTTCAGTTCCCCAAACAGATGTAGTGGTGGTAGTTGAAAAGACAGAGTCGTCAACTTTGGCAAAGACTGAACCAGTTCCAACAGACATACATCCGCTCCTTCAAAGTGGTGGAGCAAGTCCAAGTAGTAGCAGTAGTAGTGTTGAAACATCACCACCATTGATTAGTAGTAGCAGTAGTAGTATTAGTAGTAGTAGCAGTAGTATGAGTAGTATTAAAAGAAATGGATCAGATAGTAATCAATCAAGTATCACCAATTATTCAAGTATAATTAATAGTATAAAGAATAACAATAACAATAATAATAATAGTAACAATAATAATAATAATAATCAACAACAACAACAACAATCTAATAATAATAATAATAATAATAATATTAATGGAATAATTAAAAGTGCTTTAATCATTTCAACAGAGACTGTATCACCTGATAGAAAGCCATATACAGTGTACAAGATACAGGTAGAGACAAGTACGCACGCCATCTACAACATTATAAGAAGATACAGTGAGTTTTTAGAGTTGGATCTCAAACTGCACAGCAAGTATCCGTTGGCACGTCTACCATTCCCGCCGAAAAAGACATTTGGCAAGATGAACAATGAGTTTATTGTGCAGCGTAGAGAGCATCTGCAGCTGTTTATGAACGCTATCTACGAGCACAAGGAACTGCCCTTTGACGGACTGGTCGTCGACTTTTTCACACAGCGTCCAGAAGACACACGTGCCATGTTGTTGGCCTCTGGTGCCGGCAACTCGCAGCAAGGAGGTGACAGCAACACGTCAAATCAAGTCATTCGATACATCATATCGACGCTACCCTTTTGGTCAGACTATTTGGACTATGAGTCGTTGCTGTCACTCACCGAGACATGCAACTACCTCTACAACACCGTGTCGTATTATAGCGATGTCTGGAAAGAGCTGTATTGGCGTCAACACCGTCTGTTGCACTGGGGGTCTCCCAAACCGGTCGTTTGCATATGTACAGTCGAGCTGCACAACTACCACACCGAGCGATCCAAAGGACTCAAGCGAGACATGAGTACTGCCAACCTCAACCAACTCCTCACTTCCTCCCCCACCACCCTATCCACATTGATGGGTGCATTGGAAGAAGAGACCAACAACTCAACATCATCTTCACCAAAGATTGGAAATAATATTGCAATTCAACAAAAACAACAGGGTACAACAGGATCAGACCATCCAGTCAATTCTTCTTATACAAGTGATACATCTGCAGCATCTCCATCTTCATCACCTGGTGGATTGGCTTTTGGTGCTGCTGGTAAGAGTATAACCTCGTCGAAACCAACAAGAACAACAGAGACAAAGTTGGAATCGATGGAATATTCGAGACAAGTATTTTTACAATTATTGGCAGCACATTCATTACTCAGAACTTCAATAGAGAGTCATCTAACACAATCCTATTGTGATTGTTTGGTTCCAAAGTTTAAAGGGTGTATCATTGGTCCACCAAATCTTTCACAATCTTTTCTTTTATCTTTTAAAACAACTTTTACAAACATTAATAATCAAAATAATCAAAGTAATAATAATAATAATCAAAATAATAATAGTTTAAGTAATAGTACAAATTCAAGTAATACTTCATCACCTTTAAATCCAACTATTGGTTCAACATTGTCGGCTAGTGATTTGGAATCATTGACAACGATGGAAAATTTAAATATTAGTGCTCAGACTTCAGATACTGCAGCCGCTGCAGCTGCTGTCCTTGCACCCACCTCATCTTTGTCATCTTCTACCACTTCATTACCACAAAAGAATGTTGTATCACATATAGTATCAACCAATAGAATGTTTTGTGTTGGTATAACAGACACTTCAAACGATGAAACCAAGGAAGAACAAAGATTCCACCTATCACAATGTCATTTTGTAATGATTACCTTTTCTCTGATCGATCAGAGCACCTTTGCAATGATTGATAAATGGGCAGAAGACGTTAAATTAATGTGTCCAGAAGCACCAGTCGTACTAGTTGGACTTGAACGTCATCTAAGAGATGCATCCAATACTACCACCTCGGTATCCTATCAAGACGGACTCGAGAAGAGTAAACTCTTGTACAATTGTGTTGGCTATATCGAAAGTCCAAGTGCTAGTGATGGTGTTGGAGGTTATCGTAGAAGTGTCCTAACTGAAATGGCTTCAAATTTATATAATCATTATCGTCCATTATTTACTCGTAAGTAGTAGAAAGAATAGAAAAGAAAAAAAGAAATAATAATATATTTATTTATTTGATTTATTAATTTTGATTTATTTAATTTTTAATTTTTATAGACCCAACAAAAAGAAACAAATATGAAATTAAGATTAGTTTCTTGGCAAAGATATTTCCAAAATATACAGATGAAATTATTTTTAGAGGGTTGTCTAGTTATGAGGGAGATGTAGAAAAGACAATTGAATTGTTGGCAATGGATTACGCTAGTTATAACAATGTCGAAGGTGAAGGTCAAATATTAAGAAACTCACGTCAATCGATGCACAGTCGTAGTCAGAGCAACGATCATTCACGTAACCCTTCGGCTGCAAGTTGGTCACTCAGACAAAGTTGGAATCAAGAGATATCAAAGATGGACAAGGAACAAAGAGACCAATTGATCGATGGATACTTAAACCTCGATCGTTCAACATCACCTCCCAACAATGGTACCAATAATAATAATAATAATAATAACAACAATAGCAGCAGTTATCATCGTCGATCAATTGCTCTTTCATCGTCAAGTGTAGAGTTGCAAGTCAATCAATTGGTAGAGAAACTTAAAAAGAGTTCTGTCGATAATTTCATAAAGGCATTTTTAAAGAAAAAGAACCTCAACCAAGACCAACAGGCCGAGATGGTACTATCGTTCCTCAGAGAGATGAAAATCCAACTACAGTCGAGTCAACTATTCAACAATCCACAAAATAGCGAAGAGGATCTAACAGGTCCACCACTATCGGAAATTGAAAATTATCTATATCAAAACGTTTACAAGTCAGTCTTTTCAACTACAGAGTCACTTCAAACCGATGTAATTCTCTCTGATAGAATGTCAAAATTGGTATTTGTCGAACCTCAACATTTAGAGATTCGTCATGACCACTGGAACAAGGATTTGTGGGCAGCCGCCGAAAAAGAGTTGCTCTCTGTAAATGATCTATACTCACCTTCTCAAAAATTGGAATGTATTTTAAATTGTTGTAAAATAATTTTATGTATGTAAAAAGTGGAAGGAGAAGTTAAGAGGAGAAACAAATTAAAATTAAAAAACTTTTAATTAAAAAACTTTTTTTGTTTATTTAGTTTTATTATCAAATTCTGATAGTCCAGGAGGAGCAGATGATTTTTTACCTCATCTTATTTATGTAGTTATTCACGCAAATATTCCAAATTTATATTCAAATTTTGAGTATGTACAAAGAAAAAAAAAGAGAATAATATAATATTTGTTTTTCTTTATTTATTTATTTTTATTTTTATTTTTATTTTAGGTTTACTTCAAAATTTTGTAATACAGAACTTTTAAAAATGGAAAGATTTTATTATTTTACAACTTTTGGAATTGCAGTGACATTTATTGAAAATATTGATGGCAAACATTTAAAGATTGATGCCGATGAATATAATGCTTACATGTCTGGAAAGAAGAAATATGTAAAGCAAAACGACGACGATGATATCGAGCCAATCAACGAAGATCCACCAACACTGGGAGAGGTGTCACGTGCAAAGATTATGCAAAAACTTGGCATTGACAATGACACTGCGACCAAGATCATTACAATGAGTCCCAAGAAGGGCCCGTTGCGCGACAGCAACGAAGACATTGACAAGTTGGTTTCAGAGAGAAACAGTCATAGTGAGGATATCCCCAACAGCTCGTCGTTTAAGAGTGGTGCCACCCCAACCACACAAAACCCATTCACTGATGTGTCCGAGTTGGACTCTCCACTTTTACCAGCTGCTGCCTGGACTCATTCCTCAATTCCACAAGCCACCGCCAATGGAAGTGACTCCTCAGCAAAACGTAATAGTTTCAAGCAGCATCATCTATCCCGAACACCACCCCTACCACATCAACAACCACCAACAACCTCAGACTCTACAAGTTCATCTTTGGAGAGTACACACGTTGAAGAGCATCCTCTGTCGGCCTCCAAACCAAAGGTCAGACGTCAATCGGTTCTTGAAGAGAGTGAAGATTATTCATTGGACGATAATACAGCCATCGATGACCCTTTGAAACTTCAATTCGTTGAAAAGGATCCTTCATCTTCCCCATAATAATAAAGCGATGAATAAAAAAAAGAAAACTTGTGAAAGTTTTAGTATATTTATTAATTAATGCCCTATCGAATTGATATGAAGTTCAGTCATTGAGGTTTAATCCAAACATCGTATCAAAAATCAAATTTGAGAAAAATACTGGAATTTTTTTGATACAAGAGAGAAACAATGTTGTTTAAATACCCTCAGTTGACACTACATTATATTTACAAAAACCAAAACAATTTTTATTTATCTATTTATCTATTTAACATTTAATTTACTATCTAGTATTTTTTTTTCAGGAAAATGAGTCTTTACAACAATTGCTCCGAAACTACCGCGTCCGTACCAACACAAGCTTCTACTTTACGTATTGGAGGCTATGTTTTAGTGGGACTAAATCCATGCAAGGTAGTTGAATATTCATCTTCCGGAACTGGTATATTATCAAACCTAAAATAACAACCATTTTATCTCTTTTTTTTTTTCTAATGTTTTGTTTTTTTTCTTTTTCTTTTTATCATAGGTAAACATGGAAAGTGTAAAATTCACTTTATTTGCCAAGATTTATTCTCAACCAAGAAACGCCATGAGTTTGCAGTCTCATCCACCAAGAACATTGAAGTGCCTGTAGTTGAAGTAGTCGACTATCAATTGATCAATATTGACGAGGAAGGATACTTGTCATTATTAGATAAAAAAGGAGTTTTGTACACATCGCTTGCCCTCCCTGGTAACAAAGACCTATCCCAAACCATCACCAACTATTTCAATCTAGACAAGACATTGCAATTATCAGTATTGAAATCCATGGGAATGGAAGAGGTAATCCAATTTAAAGTATTAGACGGATAAATTACATTTGATTACCTCTAGGATTTTCAATTATTCCAATCGAGTTCCTCTGTAAAGAAAAAATAGTAAAAAATAATAACAAAAAACAAAAAAAATAATTAATCTTTTATGGAAATCGAGATAAAAAATAGTTGGAAACTGGGAACTCCTAGAGACGAATTCTAATGATTTTGGTAAATCATTAGAATTATTAATACATCATGATGTATTAATCATTTAAAACCTTTTTTTTTTTTTTTACAAAAATAAATTAAATTAAAAATATATATAAATATAAAAAATACATCTTCTGTTTTATTTATTCTTTGTTTATGTATTTGTTGGAATGAAAAAACTTGCTACAATTGGCAAAAGCCACTTTGGAGAAAAATTAAAAGTTAATTAAATTGAATGACGGGGAATGAAAAGTTTAAGGTACTTACAATAAAATATAAATATGGTTTACAAGGTTGAGAAGAGAAATCTGTTACACTGGGTTTAACAGAATTATTCTCTGACTTTGAACTTGTCATAAATTGATTGAATTTACAAGATTTACTTTCTTGATTCTTTACCATGTGCAATAAAGAGTTTGATTGGAATATCGATGTTGAAGATTGAAGACATTTAAGATTGACAGGTGTTAAGAGAGGAGAGGAACTTTTGATCGCTGCTGAGGGACTAGAAACTTTGGAAAACATTTGAATTGAAGACATTATTTGATTGATAATATAAGAAAGTGAAAAAAGCAATCCATTTGCTAGAGTTTAGTTTCTTTCTTTTTTTTTTTTTTTTTTTGATACAAATGTTTATTGATTTATTAATTTATTTATTTAGATAATTGAGCTCTCATTTGATCAATAATATTAGAAGCTTCTGGATTTGTACATCTATAGAGAGAGAGAGAGAAAAAAAAATAGATTAGACAAAAATGTATTATTAATTTTAATCTCTTTTGTACATACTTTCTAGCAATAAAATTTAATAAATCTAAATTCTTTTCTTTGAATGCAGTTTCAGCAGCCTCTCTAAAGTAATTGATTTGAAGATAAGCTTGGGCTCTATTGACATGATCTTGAATTTTTGGAATATATCTAAGTGCCTCTACTGGATTACTAAAGTCCATACAGACTTCGACAAAAGGTTCATAACCGACGGGTGATTTCTTTTCCTTGGCAAAGTTGTGCAATTCTTCCCAATCACCAACTTGTGACAGGGCCTTGATTTTAATCCACCAGAATCGACGATCACTAACCTTGAATTCTGATTTAATCTTTGACACACGCTTATGTTCGCCGAGAAGGATCAATTGATAGATGGTATCGCTCAAAGAGATACCCAAAAACTCCTTGCCTTCGTGTTGGTTTTCCAGTTCCTTTTGCAAGAGCTCAAGCTTGGCTTGATCCTCGCACAATTTGGCATAGACCAAATCATCCTTGTCTTTTGATTGTGAGTATGCAGATCCTGCCATCGCAAGATGCTTGTGACGAATATCAAATTCGTCAGTGCTAAATGCTTCAGAGAGATGCAAGTGACCAGTTTCCTTGACTTGTCCTCTAATACTATAAATTTTCTTTAACATTACAACATCTCCTTTTTGTTTACAAAATGAAATCAATAAATCCAACGCAACTGGTCTTGAGAATACAATCTCTAAAAATCCATCAGTTAATCCAGATTGTCTCTTTAATTCTAATAATACTAAATATACAAGATCTAAAAATAAAAATAAATAAATAGTTAATTAATAATCAATTTTGATTTCTTTTTTTTTTTTTGTTTCTATTTTTACCAGTATCACCAGATTCAATAGCTTTGTTTAAAGCCATTTCATGTTGACCAATTGTAATGAGAGGAGGAACTTGATCGGCAGCTCTTGGTTCATAATCTAATAATTTGATGGCTAGATTTGGACGACGAGCATTGTGAGCGGCAGAAGCAATGTTGGCATAAGAGATACCTGGGACAGCTTCAAGCTTTTCAATGATGACCTGGGACAAGACATCTTCTGGCAAGTTGGTACGCACCTTGGTGCAAGCCCAGTGATTGAGAACAAAGTCAGACTTGATCTTTAGATAATCGCAGATTCTCCACGCCAACAGATGTTTACGACGTTCAATGAGACATCGAATGACAGTCTCTGGTCCCAAAAAGTTGTATTGACGCATGGTCATTGGAATACCAATTTCAAAGTGTCTGATGGCATTGAGTACACGCAACGAACGACATGTTGCGACAAAAGCGTCGGGGTTGTAAGAGTCGAGGAAACATTTACCAAAACTAGCTGCCTTGAGGAGACGACTTTGTTCGGCACGACTAAACTCGTATCCGGCCGCTGAAATACAAGTCCCAACAGCAATATCTAAATTTGCACGAATCTGACGGATAGCTTCGTCGGCTTTTGGATCGTGGTTGGCAAAATCGGCAGCAGCCGAATAGAGAAAGCTCGATGGAGCACCACTACCAAAGTCGAAAATATCACGAAGCTCGCTTGGAACACGTTGGAAAAACTCGGATATGCCTTCGCTGATGATACGAAGACCGTCAATCTCGGTGACGACAAACACTGGTGCACGACTCTCTGGGTCGTGTGATGGGACGACGATCGATTCGCCAGCCTCAAAATATCGCATCGAATGGTTCCAAGTCATCATGACACCCTCGCTTCCTACCCATTTGAGGGCGTGTGGTGTACGCTTTGCAACACCCATGTACTTGGCCAATTGACTTGAAAAGTCAGTCTTGTAAATGTACAAATCATATTGCTCGCCGTTTGGGTTGGGTGACAGACACGCCATCTTTTTGCCACATGGACTAACGACAATACGTACATAGTGTTGAGCTGTCAATTGATTGTCGGCACGACTGGCATCGACATTATAGACAGAGTTTCTAGTTGCTACAATCAACTCTGCTCCCAATGATCCATGTTGTGTACTATACACAGATTCCACCACTGCCCATGCTGAAGGTCCCTCTCTATCCAATTCTTCTTTATATTGATCTGCCATTTTTGTTGGTCTTTCACCTACAAATATATAAAACAAAAAAGAAAAAGTAGAAAAGAAAGTATAAGTAATCTACTCTAATCAACATTCATGTTTGTTTACATACTCTTAAATAATTCAATATGATAAAAGTTGAATTGATTTGTTAATACTACTATACCACTATTACTAATTCTACAGTCGATAATATCTTCGTGATCAATTAAATCATAATAATTGTTTTGTGATAATGTCTCTCCAAATATATTGTAAACTGATATAGTTCCATTTGAAGTAACTGTAACCAATCTTTCATTCTCTATCCAATCCATTGCTATAATATTACCATCATACTATTAACAAAAAGAAATAACAATATTGATTAGTTTGTTTGTTGATCATCAAATCAATCTCTCCTCCTCCTTGTTGTTGACATACGATTAATTGTGAAACAGGTTGACCTGATGCAGTATATAAAAAGATAAGTGGCTTTGAAGTTTGAATGTTTGCTTCTACAATTTTAGTTCTATCTCTAGTCACAGCGATAGGTCCTCCATTAGGTGCTGCAATCACTATATTCTTTTGAAGATCAACATCCCACGACATTGTGTAAATCTCTTTCTTTGAGACATACCATTCACCTATACTAATCCAACTACTAGTTACTTCCATTTCTCTCTATCTCTATCTCTATCTATCTATCTCTTTTCGAAAAGAATAGATTGCTTTAAACAACAAAAAACTAAAGTAATAAGAAAATATGAAGTGTTGGTGAGAGGGCAAACTAGATTTTTAATCAGCTTTTTCAAAGTCATCAGACAGGACAAGAAGACTAAAATTTAATCTTTTACCAACATTTATTTAATTTATTACATATAATGTGATTGACCAGAAGGATCATATTTAAATTCAAGTTTGTGATCACGCCATTCACCATCTTCATCTTTTGGTTTCTCTTTCATTACATTTTTAAATTTGTTGAGTCGGTCTAATATGGCTTGTTCTCCGCCTCCCTTTTTTGATACTCTTGGTACAGTAGACTCTGCTCCTTTTCTAGTTGGTTTGAATGATAAACTACCTATCACCTTTTTCTCTGGTTTGGCTTTTTTAATTGCCACTGTTGCGTTTGGTAAATCGGTAGACTGCTGCTGCTGTGGTCCAGTTGTTCCATCTGCCTGTTGTACTGATGCAGTAGCTGCACCTTCTCTTTCTCTTTTATATTGTGATGCCTTTTGTAACATTGATTCTCTCATTTTATCTTCAAATACTTTAGGATTATGTTGTTCATTATTTGTTCCAATATCTTGAAAATTAATCGGTGTCTTTGTTGTTGTTGTACTACTACTATTTTTTGTTATCTCTTTAGATGTATCATTATTATTACTATTATCTTTTTCAATTTCCTTTGATTGTTTTGGTTGTTGCTTTGGTTTTGGTGCTGGTTTTGGTTTAGATACTGGTACACTACCACTATCATTATCTTCATCATCATCATCCTCGCCAAATGATAATAATCCTTTATTTCTATAGAATATAATATAATTATTAGTAAATGTATTATCTTGTCTAAATCTATTGTATTGTCTTTCTTTTCTTACTTTGTTGTAGCGGCAGCTGGTTTCTTTTTCTTTTCAATTGGAGATGATAGAGTAGAAGGTTTGACGGTTGTGACCTTTTTTTGTCTAGGTTCAATATCTTCAAATGGATTTGATATAACATCTGAAGAGATGATCTTTGGTGGATCAAGAGGCATATCATTTTCACCAATCTCCAATTCATTAGCTTTGAGTATATTAAAGAGCGAGTCACCAATGACACGACCAAATACAGTGTGTCGTCGATTGAGTTGTTCTGCAGCATCGAGTGTAATAAAGAATTGTGATTGATTGCTATTAGGATCTTTGCCAGATGCCATACCAACTATACCTCTTCGACTGAACCTTAGACGACTGTGAAACTCGTCTTTAAAAGGTTTACCATCGTATATTGATTCTCCACCATCACCAGTGTTTGTAGGATCACCAGTCTGTGCAATAAACTTTGGTATCACTCTATGAAATATAGATCCATCATAGTACCCTTCCATACACAATTGCATGAAATTACGTGTTGTCAGCGGTGCTTCTTTTGTCCATAACTCTATCTCTAAATCTCCCAACGTAGTCTTTAATATAACCTTTCCATGTGTTGTTGGTTCACTTGACATGTTCTATGATCTATCTATCTATCTATTTAATCTACAAATAGATTAAAGTTGTTGTATCTGTAGTTCTTGAAAATGAATGAATGAATGATCGATTTGTTAAATTAAATTTGTTTTTGTGAAAATCGATGAATGAGCTTGAGATAATATTATTAATTTGATTTATTATTATTATTATTATTTGATTTTATGTTTTCAAAAGATTACAACAATGAAATTGAATCAATCCAACGATTCTTTTCTTTTCTTTTTTTTGTTTTGTTTTGTTTTTGTTTGTACTACTATTATTAGATTTGATTGTTGATTTGTTTTGTTTTTTAAGCACTCAATTTACCAGCAACGGTATTTGTGACAGAGCCAAGTTGGGAAGCCCATTTGTGAATGGAACGGTATTTCCAGTAGCCAGCAGACTTGGCAGTATCGAGTTCGAGTTGTTGGTTGACTTGATCGATGGCACCACGAATCTTGTTGTCGAGGATGAGAGAGACGAGCAAGGCTTCGACTTCGTTGGATGGGATATTGAGCTCCTTGGAGATGAATGGAATACGGATACGGGTGTATGGCTCGAGCAACTTTAATAATACTTGTGTACGGATATTCTTTAACAAATCTTCAATGTACATACGGATGAATGGATCCTCCATAATGGTCTTTCTATTGTCTCTCAAAATCTTTTCAAATGCATAAATGTCGTTTCTCTCGTAGGCACTGACAAGATTGGTCATTGCCAAAATATCTGGATCATTTTTGTAGGGTTTGGCTTCGGTAGAATCAAATGGATTGATCGAGGAAAGCATCAACATATTAGCCAAAACCAAGTATTTGAGACATTGGATTCTTCTAGGGTTACCGGCTTCATCATAGTTTTTGAAAGCTTCAAAAAAGTCAGAGTGTGCCTTTTCCCATTCCTTCTCTGCCATGTGCATCTTACCACCACATTCTCTAATAATACCCATAATACGTGGATGTGGAATTGCACTTTTAATCTAAAAATAAAAATCAAATCAAATCAAAATAAAATGTATTAATATCTATATATCTATATCATATTATTATTTGATCATTTATACATACATCTAAAGCCTTTTTATATAATTCCTTAAGTTTCTTATTGTTTTTAGTGGCAGTGTACATTTGAATTTCCAAGGCATAAATATCAACAAGTTGACTTCCCTTCTTTTGATCATCGGAACCATCTTCATTTTGACAAGACTTTTGCAACTCTCTAAGAATCTTTGCCAATCTACTGTATTCCTCCTTTTCAAATAATAATTTACATAATTTGAGATTAGTTCTAAACCAAACTCTCTAGAAAATAGAAAAATAAGAAAAAAATAGGATAATAATCAATGATATGTTAGAAACTTGAAATAGTAGTAGTAGTTTTGGTTTGGGATTGAATTCATAGTCTTTCTATCTTTTTGTCAAAACATACTTCATTCTTGGCTTCCAATAAAGTCTTGAGTGTCAAATCATAGATTTGTTGGACGAGATCCAAATCGATATTGGTATTTGATGCTGAAACGAGATCTAGAATTGAATTGATACCCTTTTCAGAGGTATTACTTGTTACTGCAGACTTGGTGTAACTAAGGAATTGTTTATAGATACTAATCATCTTTTCATATTTCTGAATTTGAAAGTTTAATTTAGTAATCTTTTTTAATGCTTTGAAACCCCTGTGATATTATATAATAGTTAATCATTATCATCGATCAATGAGAAAGAAAGAGATAAATATATAAGATTGTTTTGTTAGCTTTTAATTTAATTGATTTTCTTGGAATGTTATTATTATTATCTTCTTGTCTTGTTGTCTTGTTGTCTTGACATACCATTCACCTTTTTCACCATTCTCCAATTCTATAACTCTTTCGTATGATTCTATAGCCTCTGGAACTGAATCTTCAATGAGACCTTTTGAGTTGTAGTATTGATTTTCAATTTCTACCGATGGATCTTCATCATCGTTGTTGTCATCTCCATCATCATCGTCATAGTATTCATCGTCGTCATAAATCATATCTTCATCGTCTGACATCTTGTTCTACTTTCTATCTATTCTAGTTACTATTAACTACAACAACAATAAATAATCTCTACAAAGATGATGGGTAAGGAGGGTTTGGTAGTTCATCATCACAAAAATTTAATTTACAAGCCTGTTGGCTCACCAAAGGAAAAAAAAAAGAAATTAATAAAAATCAAATTTTTTTTTAGATTTTTCATCCACTCTGATGTTCCTCACTGTGTCCTCTGATTTTTTTATCCTTTATTAATTTATATTCATTACATAAATAATTTATAAAGTATAATATAACAACAATGGCATTAGGAGGAGTCTCACAAGAAATCAAGCAAGCTGATAACGAAATCAGAGAAATCGTCAACAAGGTCAAGTCTGAAATCGCTGAAAAGCTCGGAAAGACTGCTGAAGTTGAACCAATCTCATACAAGACTCAAGTATGTGTTATACTCTTATATTTATTTGATCATGTGATGAATAATGATTATTAACCAACAAACACTTCACTCTTTATTAATTATTATCAACTATTTAGACTGTTGCTGGTACCAACTACTTTGTCAAGGTCAAGGTTGCTGATTCATTTGCCCATCTCAGAATCTACAAGGATCTCTCCCAAGCCGTCTCTCTCCACTCTGTCCAAGATGGCAAGACCTCTGAAGACAACATTGAATACTTCTAAATAATTTATTAAAAATGTATTTTCATCATCAAACATATATTATAGTGCTTATCATTGTTGTCTTGTTTCTTTGCGTCTTTGAGGAAATTTCGATGTCTTTTTTTTTGAGCCTGTCCTTTCGACTGGGGCATGCCCTCAAACTATCAATATGAGAATAATAGAAAAGACAAACCTATTAAAATAATTTAAACTTTAAAATCAAAATGGGTTGGTTTATTTTAGTAATGTAAAGTTGAAAATTGGTATTATTATTATATGATTATTATTATTGTTGTTGATGTTGATTGTTGATTGTCGTTGTTGTTATTAGTACTATTTATTTATTATTACTATGAATATATATGATTATAAATATTATATATTGTTTGTTTGTTTGGGTTGGAAAAAAATGTGGTGGGATATATATAAATATATAAAAGTAATAAATATTTTGTTTCAATTAATTATTGTAATATATTACTATCAACAGAGATGATAGGAATTGATAATAAATTGGTAGCAATTTTAAATAAACATGGATATTCTCTTTTGTGATCGATCCACCATTTCAAAGGTGACATGTCTGAGAATTTAGCGTCTTTGTTGTCCGACCGTTGGAGAGAGGTGAGTTCGTCCATCAACGAGGTTGATTGGTCCGAGTCGTCGTCGTCGTCGTCAATGATGGAATGATGATGATGATCGTCATCAATGTCGCCAAGACCATGGTTGTGAAGTGATGGAGTGTCACAGATGACCAAGAGTTTGGTGGACTTGATTTGGGTGTAGTGGGCTCTGACCATTTGGTCAAAGTGTTGTAAAAGCGTGGGTGTGAGGTGGGGAACGACGTATTGTTGGCGATGCGTGTGGTTGAGGTAAGTGGCCAAAAGGTGGATCGACGCCATCGAGCTTGTGTATCGGCTGACAAGGTTGCCAACTATATGATTGGCATTGATGAGATTGGGGGCATCCTGTTCGTAGTGTGCCAGCTCTTGGGCAATCGTATTGACCACTGGGATCACATCTCCCAAGGCAACAGTCTTTTGCTTGTCCTTGAGCATACTAATCTGTCCTTCAAATACCTTGCTCACTCGATACACCATCTCAATGTCATCCAAACTTTCTTTTGTTACCTTGAAATTTGGTTGAAGTTCTTGTTGTTCTTTATCATCTTGAATTTGTTGGAAATAATTTATTAAAGTATCTTTTAATAATATTATTCTTTCCAACTAGAAATAAATAAATAGAAATATAGTTAGTGTTTTGTTATTATTATTTTACTTTTGTTTTCTACTTTTCAAGTTTACATACAATATTACATAAATCTAAAGTTGAAATACCTTTCCAATTTTTTAATTTCTTTGGAGTTTCTTTTGGATTGGTTTCAAGTTGATATTTGATAAATGACAATTGATTGAATTGAGATTGATGAAAGTAACTAGAAATATCGTGACAGAGTTGGAGGAGTTGACAGACTTGTTCAGACTCGATAAACTTGGCGTGACATTGATTCAAGAGGTGAATAAAGCACACGTCACTTCCAACAATTGGATCAATCGTTGATCCTACAAGACAATCACTGTCAGAGTTGGTAATATAATATAATATTCGATTTGTAAGTCCATAATCTGACAATGTAGATTCAACCAATTGTTGTGTAGTTGTTGGATCTCTATTACTTAATGTTAAATCACATGTAAGAAAATATGTTTTAATCTAAAAATAAAAAAGAGAAAGAGAAAATAGGTAAATAAAAAGAAGTAATAGTAGTGATTATCTTTGACTTACAGAATTTGTAGTATTTGTAAAACCTCTAACTGTAATAGTACTAAATTTATCGTTTGTATTCCAACCATCAGAAGTGACTGAAAGCCAATCATAAATATCCAATTCCTTTTGGAGATCGCGTATTCTCCATCTATATCTTTGGTTAATTTCATCTTTTAATTCACTTTTGGTTAACTTTAATATTGGTCCTCTATATTGAGATGATGATTGTAATAATTCCCTAAAAATTAAATAAAAAACCAATTAATTAATCAAAATAACAATCTTGATAATAATTTGATATAAAACTTACAAGAATGATTTAGATTCAACAATGGCCAATGGTAATTCATGTTCGACAATTAAGTCAACCAATTTACCATAGATTTCTTCCATATCTTTTGATTTTGGTAATTGATTTTGAATCATTTGATTTGATTTGGATAATGTTTGTTGTTGTTGTTGTTGAGTTTGTTGAGGTTGTTGTTGTTGTTGTTGTGGGTATTGTGGATATTGATATTGTTGAAGTGGTTGTAGTTGTTGTTGGATTGGTTGTTGTTGTGGTTGTTGTAATGGTAAAGGTGGTAATGATTGAAGTTGTTGAGATGTTTGTTGTTGTGGTTGTAATGGTGGTGAAGATAATGGATGTTGTAATTGTTCCTTGACAGTCTTTGTTGTTATGGTTGTCATGGTCGTATCATGGCTTGGACTAACACTGAATTGACCAAATAGTGGGGAACGGTTACCACCATTATTAATGTTTGGACTATTGGCACCGCTACTCATATGGTCACTATCAGTATCCATGGTGTTACCATTACCGTTACCAATACCGTTAGAAGAACCATTCAAGATATTGTTGAGTTGACTTGGCGAGGTATTTATTATATTGTTACCACTGGTTGTCAACTTGACAGGTGTGTTGGATCCCGATCCACTTGCACTTCCACTTCCATTGCTACCACCAGTACTACTTCTAGATTGACGACTACCCTTACAAAAATGCTTGTTGAGATTCGATTTACTCTTTCCGTTGAGAGCTACTCCGCACTTGTCGCACATGTGGGTTTTCGACTCATCCAATTGTTGCTTGGCCTTGGTGTTGGGTGTCAGCGGACTAAAGATACGTGGCGATCCACCTGGTGTGAGGTACTTGACGACTTGAGGGGCATCCGATTGTGCAGACTTTCTCTTTTTGTTTCCTTTTTTGTCGGCGTCGGTCGGTGACAATTGACCTTGTTGTTGACTTTGTTGACTTTGTTGTTGTTGGCTCATAAAGTTGACACTACTAAGAGAGGGTAGGGTGGGAACGGGTGGACGGTGTGCCAAGGGAGTGGAGAGTGACTGGGTTGGCTGATACTGATGGTGGGTACCATTTCCGATGCCATTTCCATTGATAGTATTGTGGATGATGGCATTGAGGGTCATTGGCGAGGTGGGGGACGAGTCGAGTGGTGGCGTGGAGATGGGAGTTTGAATGGCACTGTTTCCATTGGCAATACCATTGCTACTGCTGTGCAAACTATTGCTGTGTAGACTATTGCTGCTACTGCTCAAACTGTTGTTGATCAAGTTGTTTATACTGCTGATTTGTGGTTGTGGTGATGTGCATCGTTGCTCGACAATGATGTCTAGACTTGCGCTGCTGTTGGTCAAACCATTATTGCCAGTATTCTTGAATGGTGAGCCGGGAATGGGAGCAGCAGCAACCACGGCAGCAACACCGCTATTCAACAATGCCAAAGGTGGGAGAAGAGGTGGAGGAGAAGAAGAAGAAGAAGTGGATTGTTGGTTATTGTTGTTATTGGAAAAAGAAAAGATTGGAGTAGATGTGGATGATGTGGATGTTGATGAAGGTGAAGTAGAAGTAGAAGAAGAGGTGGGGACTATTTCACCCTCACCTTCATTGTTGTCGATTTCCATGTTGACCCAATTCAATTATAAATTGATATAGATATAGATATATAGATATAGATATATAGATATATATATATAGATAAATATATAGATATGATATATAATAGATATATCGAATGAATAACAATGATGATATTTATGATGGGTGGGTAGTGGGGGGCGTGGGTAGGAAGGGGAACGAAACGACAAACGAACGAAACGATTCTTTTTTTTTTTGGTATTATTAAATTAAAATAGTTCTACTACTAATACTACTCTCTGCTGCTACTACTACTACTAACTACACAAAATATTAAAAGCGTCGTGCGTATGTTATTCAATTGAAAGTTCTTCCTCTGCCCCTCAAAAGTACCAATATTCAAAACAAACAAAAAAATATGCATAAATTCTCGGTCGATAAATTTTATGTTTTTTATTACTTCGTCTCTGTGGTGGCTTGTTTGACACCCCCACAAAGCTTTTGTTGGCTCCCAGTCCTTGGTCAACAAAAAAATTCTACTTTTTCTTTTTTTTTACGAACAATTTAATAGATTTTGTTTGAAGGGATATATGTACTCCAAAGGGACAGGTACCTGTATACTTGAAATATAAATAAATTATTTGTATTTAGACAACAATCTTGCTTGTCCCCCACCACTTATGAACAACCAACAACCTCACTTTTGGCATAATTGGTCAAAAGATTAATATTAAGTTCCAAGGAATTGCCGCATTTTTAAGGAGGGAAAAAAATTGTGGTGTTAAGTTATAAATATTTATAAAATATTGTTGTTCTCATCTTTGCATTGAAAATTAATATCTGTCCCCCACATCCACCACAATTCAATTTCTTTATAGTAAAATATCTTTTTCATTAATGGTAATTAATTTATTTATTGTTATTTTCACATTTCGATAGTTGTTGATGTGACAATAATATAATAATCGTTTATAATAATAATAATTAATTGTTTCTATTTATTATTATTTGATAGAGGTAGCTAGCGAAGTGTAGTGTCGTGTAGCGGAGTAGGTCATGAGAGTACTGAACAGGGTGTGTCGGCATTGATTTTTGTATCCCTCTTCAAGAACTAGACATCTGTCTCCTCCCCAATGAATAAACATTCATTCTTAAAGAGGAGGAGTGTCCTTGTTGTTGGAGTTTCAAAAAAACACTCACAAGATCTAGAGATCCAAAAAAGGAAAAATAATAATGTCATTGACCTCCCCTTCACTTTGAGTGGCGGCATGGTCTTGAGAGATTAAAAAAAACAAATGTTTAAAATAATTAAATTTACAAAAAGGACTGTTGTTCAATTCAAACTACGCAAATAATAAAATCACTTCCATTCCATTCATTTACACAAACTTATTTTATTTATAAAACAGATATAATAATAATAATTATAATTTTAACCACTGACCAACCAACCAACAAACAACTTTTTATAAAAAGTATCAAATATATCAAACAAACAAACAAACAAAATCATAAAAAATGACATTCATTAAAGGAGCAGTTTACGACCCAGAAAGAGCAAGAGACAGTGTTCTTCAAACCAAAGAGCACTTGGAAAACATTGAGGGTGCTCTCAAGGAATCGGATGCACTCAACAAGGAAAAGGCCAAGGATCTCTTTGAACAATATCAAAAGTTACCAATTACCTTTCAAATTAATTGGTCTTTAGCAAGTATGTTATAAAAATACATGTATATTATAAATCTAATATATTATATACTAACCATTCATTTTTCTTTAAAAGATGAAGACCCCTCTGAAAATCAAAAAAAGGCTGATTTTTGTAGAGACAAGTTAAATGAATTAAACCATGAGTTTAGATTCACTCAATCAAAAATTCCACGTGCTTTTAATGCTGATAATTATTAAACATTTTAACAACATGTTTACATGTTTCAACTATCAACAAAAACAAAAATTAACAAAAAATAATCAAATAACCTCAAACAAATCATAACAACAACATTAACAACACTGGAAATATGGAATATGTATAAATCAGTTTTAAAAAAAATAATAATAATAACCAAAATAATAATATTGTAGGCAAACACAATAATAACAAATGTAAATTTAATATACCCTCACGTTTTTTTTTTTGTAAATATCACATAATAAATAATTATATATATAGAGACAATTAATATTGTCTCATTTTCACATTCAATATATAGTTACAATACATTATTTAAAAATTAATTTAATTATCTTTTTTTAGGATGAATTTGAGTTTGAGTTGGGAGAACTCAATTTCTCTTTTTGTTCTTTTAATATAGCAATGATACGTTCAGTATCAGGTCTCTGTTGAGGATCAGAATCCCAACAAGATTTTAATAATTTAACTAATCCTTGTGGTATTTTATCATCCAATAATGGTCTTTTGTTCTATTTCATAAATAAAAAATAATTAGTAATTAATATTATTATTATTATTTTTTTAATAACGTACAAATTTACTAGTTTGATGAATAATTTGAAAATCATAATCCAATTTAATATCAGAGAATGGAGTTTGATAACTACCCTTTAAACATCTTTCAATGAGTTCCCACAATACAATTGAAAAACTATAAATATCTGATTTTATACTATATTTAACTGACCTAAAAATAAAATAAAACAAATTAATATTAAATAGATAGATGGATAGTTTTGTTTAAATAATTTACTTGAATAATTCAGGTGGAGAATAAATATAACTTCCTTTAATTTGAGCAAGTGAAAGTAGATTTTCATGAGTATTAAATCTTGAAAGACCAAAATCACCAATGGCAAGCATGTGTTGTTCTTGACTATTGGATTTGAATACAAAGCATTCGCTAGTAATGCCTCTGTGTAAAATAGCAGGTTTAAATTGATGCAGTGTGTGTAGACATTCTGCAACTTGAATGGCAAGGTCAATAGTATGTTGCCAATTGAATACAATGTCAGGGGTGGTGTCGGTCATATGTTGGAGTAGTGATTGACCATAGGTACTAGTGACAAGAGCATATTCATCTTCATTGTACACTACACCATGAAATGATAGAATCCTCGGTGATTGAAGATTGGCCAATACAGACAGTTCCTTTCTTTCAAAATCCTGTACACTCTGTTGAAATGTTTTGAGTGCTACCAATTCACCCTTGTACATACCAGAAAACAATGTATAGGTTTCTGTCTTTTTGATAAATGTTAATTGTGATATTTCACTATTATCAATCTTCCATTCATATAATTTTTGATTCTTTACTTCTTCCTTTTCCTTATTATTATTATTATTATTATTACTATTATTATTTTCATCTTGACTATTATTTGATTTGTTTTCATTTTCCTTTTTAATTACAAACATTGATTTTAATCTATTTATAATTTGTGTAAAGTTTGGTCTTTGTTCTGGTGATTTTGAACAACTAAAAATTAAATTAAATTAAATTTAGTATTGATATTATGTCTTTTCTTTATAAATATTTAAATATTTACCAATCTTTAATTAATTGAGCAAAAGGTATTGGACAATCAGGTGGAATATCAGGATGACCATTGGTAGAACCAGCAATATTACCAGATGGTGTTTGTCTTGTTAAAACTTCCCATAAAACTACACCAAAACTAAATACATCTGCTTTTGTTGAATATCCTGATCTTGTAAATACTTCCTACAAAATAAAAATTATACATTAGTACTTTATATTTTTGATTTGTAATTTTTATATCTTTCTTTCTTTCTTTCTTACAGGAGCAATCCAAGGTAACGTACCACAAAAAGTACGAGCTTCATTACCAGTTGAAAAACGGGATAAACCAAAATCACTAACTTTAACGTTATAGTTATTATCTACCAAGAGGTTGAGTGATTTGAGATCACGATGAATGATTTTTGGATTGTAAGAATGAAGATAGTTCATTCCTTGAGCAACATCCAACATCATTTTGATTTTAGTGTTCCATGACAAATGTGATTTTGAGTTTAGTACATCGCGGAGTGATCCCTTGTTTAGGTACTCTGTGATGATGGCAAGATTACCCTTGAGCAAACAAGTACCCATAAAGAGTACGACATTTGGATGTCTGAGACACTTTAATATTTGAGTCTCCTTTTCAAACTCTCCATTCTTTTCCTTGTGAATCAATGATCTGAAAATGATCTTGACAGCCACTTGTGTACCTCTCCATTCATATTGACTAACCTCTCCACATGAACCTTGTCCAAGTCTACGAATATATACCAATTCATCTTCAGATAAATTAACTCTTGTATCATCTGCAATATAAATTGGTGAACTATTTGGTTTACTTTGAGGTGCAACCATTTGTTGTTGTTTTTGTGGTGTTTGTTGTTGTTGAACAGTTGTATTAATTTGAATTGTATTATTGTTATTTGTAGTTGTAGTAGTAGTAGTTGTTGTAACTGTTGTTGCTATTTGTACATCTCCGGGATTGTTTGCATTGACAGCAGGTCGTGTTGCATATTTAATCTTTTTTAATCGGTCTTTTGTTACTCTACCTTGTTGTTCATAATCACCTCTATCTCTTTTCTTTAATAATTGATCATCTTGATCCCCTTCACCATCACCATCACCATCATCACCATCGTCTCCATCTTCACCATTATCGGCAGATGCAGCTTGAAAGTCATCATCATGGAATAAATCTAAATCATCTACTTGAGTAGCTTGATCATCTTCAATACCAGTTTCCATTGGTTGTATTTGATCGTCTTCAATGATGACGGTCAATATGATATCAGTGTGATCGCAAAGATAGATAGTATCACCATTGGCCAGTAATGTTGCAGGTTGACCCTTGACCAGTTTGATTGGTTTGTCACTACTTGTTCCATTAGAGCTACCACCACTACCAACACATCCACCACTTCCACCACCACTACCATTATTATTAGCAGCCGTAGTGCTATTACTTCTAAACAACTTTCCAATATTCTGACCCAATTGAAGGTATGTCACAGTCGATGTTTCTTGAGACACTATGATTTCTGCATGTTTTCGACTACACATAAATATATACATATTCACATGTTAGACATTCATCTCAAATAATAATATTATTTCATTTAAATTAAATTAGAATGCAAACCTTATTCTTGAATCGGCGATGATCGGAGGACATGTTCTTCCGATTGAATTGGTTGTATCTTCAAGAGGATGATAGTACTCTGATCCATCCTTTGTATTATTAACTCTTAGTCTAACATTGATTGTCATCTCTATCTCTATCTATCTATATCTATCTGTCTGTACATGTACAATGAAGGCACTACAGGTTGACAATCTATATCTTTTTAAAAATTAATTGTTTTTAAAAAATTTAGTCGAACTTCTGGTGGGGTCAAATTCGAAGTATTATCTTTTCAATATCTTTGCGCAAGGTGGCACATTAAACATGTTGAAGTATTTCTATTAGATATCTAATACAAATAATTATAACAAATATTATTCATTCATCAACACAATGCGATCATCAATCTATGGAACTGGTCGATCAAGCACACCTGAAGCAACCATGATCAAAAGAGTTGTAAAGTCGGTCGGTGGTTCAAGTGTCTCAGCTAAAGGTGTTGCTGTTCTCGTTAGTATGATTCGGTATGTAATAATAATAATAATAATACACATCTCTATCTCTCTAGACATATTACATTACATGATTCTTATTCTTCTTCTTCTTTTTATTGACCTTTTTGTTTTATTACTATAGTCATGTTTTTGTTGAGATTACATTGATGACATCAACCTTTAAGGAAAGAGCACCCAAACAAACTCTTACAGCTAGAGACATCCAATTTGCAGTTAGACTTGTACTCGGAGGTACTGAATTGGCCAAACATGCCATCGTACAAGGTATGGCTGCTGTCCAAAGGGGTATGTAGTACAAATCATATTAATATATAATATATAATTAATTAACTGTGTCTTTACTTTAAAGGATCAACCCAAGGACCAATGATTAAAGTTTCATATGTCAAGAGATGTCTAAAGAGTAGTATGCTTTATGCTAGAATGGGTAGAGGTACACCCATCTATTTGGCAGCTGTCCTTGAATACATCCTTGCAGAGGTACTTGAACTCTCTTTAAATGTTGCCAGAGAACAGAAAAAGACAATCATTGCTCCAAATCACATTAGAACCGCCATTCAAAACGACAATGAACTCTTTGGTTTGTTTGATAAGGTTATCATTGCTGGTGCTGGTGCTGTTAGTCATATGCCACTCAATGGTAGAGACCATTTTGTTTCATCCCATCCTTCTATTCCTCCACCAAATGATCCATCAGACTCTTTTAGCAAACTTTCTATTCAAAACTATTAAATCAATCACACAAAATCATCCCCAAAAAAATGATTTAAATGGAATATATCAATATATATGTAAAATATATATATGAATATATATGTATGTATACAAACATTCATGAACAATAATAATCAATACTTTTTGGAATTCACAACAATGTAAATAAACCAACTTGTCCAAATATGTTTGGTTGATCCAGTTCATCCATCAAAGATCATCATCAAAAAAAAAAAAAGTATTAAAATCAATTTAGATTGTACAAAACTGATGAGATAGAGAGTTTATATATTTTGATCACGACGACCAAATGTTCGAATTTGGTCCAATCTAAACATGACCTCTTCGGCTGATGGACGGTCTCTGTAGTTTTCATGTGTACAGTGTTGGTACAACGATGAAATCTCGTTCCATTGTGGCCATTCTCCAATATAAGGTAGCTTGGGTAACATTGGTGTTTTTAATTGCGAGCGTGGATTATAAGCACTTAAATTCTGTTCGATATTAAGTGTTAAAACATTATACATTGTTATTCCAAAATTATAAACTAAAAGGAAAATGGAAAGGGTGGATTAATATTTGATACAAATATTTGTATTTGTAATATTGTGTTTTTTTTTTGTTGGTACATACTATCTAATTTAAAATAGGGATCATAATCATTACAATTATCTATTGGATTGATTATTCCATTTTGATAAATATTATTATTATTATTACTGGAATGATTTCGATTGATTTTATCGTCAATATAAAAAGATGTAAACATTCCATTTTCAATTGTACAGTTTTCCTTATTATTATTATTATTGTTACTATTATTACCATTCGTATAATTATTATTACTATTATTACTGTTATTATTATTGCTGTTTCCGCCGCCAAGTAGTTTACTATAACTTCCACCACCACTACCATAACTATTATTTTGATAACTTCCACTACCATTACCACCACCACCTCCACTAACGCTACTGAGGAGACTGTTGGTTGGCAGTTTAGTGCTATTGTCGAAATCACCAATCTTGCACTCTGAAAGTTGCGACGACGCAGTGAGCGACACAAATATATTGCCTGGTTTGACATCACGATGAATGATATTACATTTGTGAAGATAGTTGAGTGCCATCGATATAGAGTGGAATAGTTGAATGAATTCAGTAAAGGTGAGGTAGTATGGTCTGCCAGGCGCATTGGCAGAATTACTAGCGTATCGATCAATATGTGTCAAGAATGATTCCAGACCAACCCTGTTTTCACATACCGATCTAGCAATGATATACTGTTCGAGTGTGTATGGCATGTACTCCAAATACAATACAAGTTCTTCTTGGTCTTGGTAAGAGTAGTATCTAAGGATATGTGAACAGTGCACAGTCTGATAAATAGCAATCTCATTGCGAATCTTTTGAATTTCAATTGGTTGTGAATCTCTCTTTGACATTACCTTGGCTGCCAAATTCTCTATTCTACCATCATTCAATGTTAATCTACATTGATAAACAATAGCTCCACTACCACCATTATTAATCTTTCTAATCTTTTGCATACTTTTAACTTTCCATGATTCTACACAAACAATAAATAAAAAATAAAAGAAAAAATATATAAAAGTTAGATTTCTTTCTTTTTTTAAAAATATTATCTTTTTCTTTTAATTTACATACCTTCATTATTACCAAGTGGAGTATAAGATTCATCATGATATGGTAGTAAGAATTCAATGGTTAGAATGGATAGTGATGGCATGATCTCACCGATCAAATAATAGACAAATGATAAGATTGCTTTGGTACGACTAGCATGTACCAATGTAAAAGATATATTGATACTACTTGGATTCAATAATAATAATATACTTCTTGCTGCCAATAATAAAATTAATGATATATGTAATATATTTAACTAAAATGAAAAATACAAACAATCGTTAATAATAGTCTCTCTTGCTTGTTGTTCTCTGCAAATTCTTTTACTTACTTTTAAACCAAAAATATTTTGAAATCTCCAAAATGTTTTGTAGAGTACAAGACAATGACAAAAGAGGACGATTAAAAGATTGGAAAAGAAAAAGTATTCCAACAACTCGACGACGACACCCGATGATTTAGAGGTGGCATTGTTTCGTTCGGCAATACCAAACAATAGAAACGCTGTAAAATACATGACCAAATTGAGTGTAATCAAAATGTTTGATCCCCATTTAACCCAAAACCAATTGTTTTCTCTAAATCTACCATCTGGATGTGTTAAACTAACTGTATCACTTGTTGAAAATTGAATCCTTTAAAAGTAATTAGTAAATTAATAAAATAAATAAATGATTATATATATGTACATTTGTAGTGCAATTAAACCAACATAACTAATAAAGATTAAAGCTGGAAAGTTTGTATAGAATTGTATACCACCACTATTATCCAACAATGCAGTAGATGATGATGACGCTGCTGCCGACGATGACACTGATATGGAAGAGAATTCATCCGATTCTACTTGATTCATATCCCAACCCAATACGATAGCTCTGCAAAGATTGTGTAAAAAGAAGATCGAGTAGAAAAACATTTTAAGAGAATTCCATTTGGCTCGATGATAGATTAATTCGATGCATACCGATGTCAATGCTAATAACCCCATAAATGCATATGCTATCATTAATAATAATGTTACTAATAAGTAATAATAATAAGTAAAAACAATATGATTAATAGATCTACATGTGATTAAATGTGCAAAGTATTTGATGACAACAACACATACATATATCCATTGTTGTTTTTGTTCTTCTTTTCTTTTTGTTATTTCTATCTCTATCTTCTCTCTATCTCTCTATCTCTCTATCTTTCTAAAGTAGAACTAGTAGTAGTAGTATAAGTTTAAAGTTGAAGTTGAAGCTGTTGTTGTTGTTGTTGTTGTTGTGTTCATATGTTATGTTTTTTGCAAAGAAGGGGTATGAGAGAGTGATTGAATTGAATTGAGTAGAGGGTGTGGGTGAGAGAGTAAACAATTAATATTTAAACTTAAAAGCACTATGAAGAACGTGTGCGTATAAAAGAATGAATGAATGAACAGAAAACTAATAATAAATAATTATAAATAAAGATGTGTGATTGATTGATTGGTTTGTTTATAGTTAGTTTTGTCCTTTGCGCTACTAGAAGCCAATGTTGTTGTGTTGTGATTATTGTCGTGCTAAAACGGAATTCATGATCCCACCTTTTTGAGAGAGCGCAAAGATTCGTTGCTAGTTTCATTTTTAGAGATCCAAGTGGTGAAATCGACCCTTGCACCACCTTCCATTCGTTTTAATTTGGTTGCGAGCTCATAATAATAATAATATTAATAATAACCCTTCTATCTATCCTATCTCCCCATTAACCACCATACTTATAATAATAATAATACACAAACATTACTTACTTACTTACTTATGTTGTGTTATATTTCTTAGCAAGACGAGAAAGAGAGGCAGGCAGTGTGTAACTTCACAACACGTTATAACATTACATAGAAAGAGAGAGGAAGAGAGAGAGAGAGAGAGAGAGAGAGATAGAGATACTTTAGAGTAGTTGGAGGAAGAGTAGTAGTAGTTTGGAAGGGAAGAGAGGAAGAGAGATGAACAACTTTTACCACAATACCTTTAATAATAATGGAGGAGGACATTACTTACACAACCATTCGAATAGTACAAACTCATCTCCTGTAACTAGAAAGACGAATGGAAAGACTTCTTCTTCTTCTTCTTCTTCTTCTTCTAGTACAAGTAAAGGAAAGCATAATCATAAATACTACCAACAACAGCAACAACAACATGTTGCACTTGACGACGACGATGATGACGACGATTCAGATGTAATGACAGATTCTTTAGATGAATACTATAAAAAGAATAATAATAATAATAATAATAATAATAAGAAAAGGACAATATATACTAATAATAATAATAATAATAATAACAACACCGATAAACCAACAACAACAACAACAACAACCAATGTACATTCAAAGTTAAAAAAGAACAAGAGTTTAGATTCCATCGTCAACAATATAACACTATCCATCAATACAAACCCAAACTTTTATTCAAGTGACGATGATAATATAAACTTGAATCTAAATAATAATAATACAAATAATAATACAAATACAAATAATAATAATATAATATCAACTGATAATAGTAATAATACAAATAATAATAATAGTAATAATAATAATGAAAGTAGTATAAATATTAATATTAATATTGATAATATTCAACAACAATCAATTATTGATATACCAACGACATTACCAATATCACCAAGATCACCATCAATATCTGTTAATACACCAAGAGGTGGAGTCAGCGGTGGTGAAAATACAAATGGAGGAGTAGATAATAGTATGATAGACTATGAAGCAGATGATGAATTTGAGGAGGGAGGTGAAGGAGATGGTGATGGAAACAATGAATCAGATGAAGAAGATGCCAAAGAATTTAAAAGAAAGTTATTGGCTGCTATTGCATCACCAAAGAAATTGGGAAGAGGTGGTAGTGGTGGAAATTTCAAAGGATCCTATGGATATGGATACGAAGAAGATGAAGATGGTGTTAATGTTAGAATTACCAATAGTACAAGTACCACCATGTTTAATCAACATTTTGATCATATGATGGAGGAGGGAGACCAAATGGATTGTGATGAAGTAGAGGATTTGCAACCACAAGAATCAAGACTCAAACATATCTTGACTATGGATGCACTCTACTTGATCATTTTCATTCCAGTTTGTTATTTCTCTTATTACCTACCATCCATCTATTTGGGTTCCTCTGACGCACTAGTCTATTGGGATTATAACTTTCAATGGAGTAAATATATACTTTGGATTTCATCTATTATTTTGGGTTTCTCTTATGTATCGCTGGTTACAGAAGCAAGATCTTATCCATTTCATTGTAGATATCAAAGACATAGAGTATGTAGACATAAAAACAAAACAAAAACAAACAAATAGAATAGACTAATAATACTTTTATTTTGATTTATTTTCAATTTGATTTAGGATTTCTTTCAATTATTATTTGCAGTTTCATTATTATATTTAATTGCACCAAGTCGTACTTTAATGGGACCAAGTGATGGTACAACCATACAAGAACGTAGTGGAAGTAGCAGTAGTCAAGAGACGATTACACCAGGTCAACCAGTCAACCACAACCAAAAGACCATCTATGAGGCATTTGTTTTCAACTACTTTTCATTTATCATCCCATTTGTAGTGGCGTTGCACTATACATACTTGGACCATAACCTTTTCCTTCGTAGTGTTGGTGATAAATTTGGAACACCTTCACTTTGGAAAACATATACATTCAAAGAGGTCATTGTTATAATCCCAATCGTCCTATTTATCATTTCACTTGTAGTTTGGCATGTATTTTTAATTGTATGTTTAAAAAAAAAACAAAATAGAAAAAAAAAAAGAATACTAATATTATTATCTCTGTCTTTTTTAGATTAAGGATCATTTATGGATATATTATTTAATTGCATATGGACTATTTTTTGGAATATTAATATCAGTGAGTTGCGCAATTCACAAAAACTACTATCTTCATCTTCACCATTATTTCATATTTGGATCATTGATCCCATTTGCAACATTTAATAATCCTCTAACATCTATATCTCTTGGTCTCATCTCTGGTATCACAGTTGAAGGTTGTGCACGTTGGAGTATGGGCTGGATTTGGTATCGTGCTCCTGATGGTGTACGTATTTTATAAACAATAATTAAACAAAATAAATCGAATTTACAAATTGGAAACTTGGAAATCGAATCCAAATGTTTCATATATATATATCTTATAAATATGCGTGTTTAAATTAGTTCAATTTATTATTATTATTATGTGTACAAAAAAAAGGGGTGTGGAAATCATAGATATATGTATCTCCATTTCTATTTTTACTAATATCTATTATTATTAATGGATGATGAATATTGGTTTGATTTGATTTGATTTAGGTAGGGTGTTATGTTATTAATTATTATTATTATTATTATTATTATTATTTACAAAAAAAAAAAAGGAAAAATATAGAAAGATTATCAAACAAATTGTTTAACAATCCATCCAACCATCTAATATAACTGTATATATATATGGAGGGATAACAAGTTGATATTCTTTTTTCTATGTTCTATTATTATTATTATTATTATTAGTGTTACTATAAAAATACAAAATCATCAATTTCCTTTTTCAAATGTTCTTCCATGAATATTGGTGATGGAGGTGCATATTGGTATGTTGGTGGAGGATATGGTGAAGGTGGTGAGTTTTTGTTGTTGCTGTTGTTGTTGGTTTCATTTGTAGAAGCATCAATTATTGATTGTTGATCAATCTTTGTGTATTCATCGATATCGATATTGGCAGCATACTGCTCCAACTCTTTAATTTGTTCACTCGATAGTTTGATATCGTCGTCTTTTTCTCCGTTGGCCAACCCAGGTTTCTCGATAAATACCCATTCCTCCATCTCTTCTTCTTTGTGTTCCAATGCATTTGCACCTCCTCTCATACCATTGTACGTTGCTTTACATATATATTTTATACCTTGGAATGACCGACTAGCAGCTTCTCTCACAACCATCATACAAACAGCTAAAATAAAAATAAAAAAAAAAAGTAAGTAAAATGTGTAAATATTATGCATATATATAGTTGTTGTTTTGTTACATACTCTCAGAGATTTGAATTAATATATAATAGGTTATTGAGGTTACTAGAGATGTACCTCCTGTACCCATCACCACAGCCAGTGGTGCATATGATAAAGATGTTCTCAATACTCTAACCGCTCTAACCGGTACATATCCCTTGGTTGCTACATTTACAGCTTGATCTATAATCTTTGGTCCTGTATATTTACCAAAAGGTTAGTTTCTTTCTTAATTATATATCACATACTATCATGTGTAGTGCATATGTATGCATGTATACATACCTATTGACAAAGCTACATAGTTTGCAAGTCTCTTTACACCAACAACTTTAACTATGTTGTTGGCTACAAATCTCAACAAGTAATTACTCATTTATCAAATCTCTCTTCTTTCAGCTCTACTAAGCTCTCTTCTCTCTCTTCTCTTCTTCTCTTCTCTTGTCTTTCTAGTTTAATTAATATCGATGATGGTGATGATAAATATGTATACAAATATTCTATTATTATTATTTTTTCTATCTCTTTTTCATTATATAAAACTTTTGAAACTAGGCATACCCAATTTTGTGCGAATACTGTGTTGAGTCATTTTATTATCAATAAATCATTAAAAATTAAATAATTTTCAAATTATTTAGGTTTTCGAGATTGGGAATACAATAATAATAATTTTAATAAAATAGGATCCTGAATTGATCAAATATTCCAAACACCAACAACTATCCAACTATTTTGTTTATAAATTTAAATTATATTATATTATATTATGATTGATCATTCTTAATTTCTTAACAAATTAATATGGATAATAATATATATAAAAGATTGAAAAAGTTCGATTATAATGAAATTATTAATAATCATAATAAATATAATAATCATAATATTAATAATAATTATTTATATAGTTTTGGTGGTCCACCAAACAAAATCATCTCTCTTTATTAATATGCATCCACAATCGATTTTTCCATCAAACGCAAAAAAAAAAAACAAAAAACATTTTTTTTAAACAACGAAGACCTGAACCCCGCTTTTCTCTCATACAACTGCCCACCCACATACTTGACACGTCCACCACCCACTCACTCACTCTCATTGTAGTAGTATCATCACCATCAAAAATATATCATACACATAGATATTGAACACAAACACAACAAAATAGATTTCATTCTCTCTCCTTTCTTCTCCTCCTCCTCCTTTTTCTAGAAAAAAGAAATATCAATACACACAAAGACGAACGAGTAGGAGTGAGTGTAGACAGCGTGCACCAGACAACCAACAGAGACTATAGTACAATAATATATATATATATAACGGCGGTGGTATAGATTATAATACATACCTCGCCGTAGCTGGAGAAGAGAGAGAAATAATGTCTCACGAAACTATTAGCAACAGTAGTTTGGTCACCGAGTCCTCTTCTTCTTCCTCAACTCCTCCTCCTCCTCCTCCTCCTCCTCTTGCATGTGGTGATACAACAACAACGACAAAGCAGCAGCAGCATGAACAACAACAACAACAACAAGATATAGATTCAACATCCACTACGACCAATATTGCAGAAACAGTAGTAGTATTAGTAGTAGATGAAGCGGAAAAATCAAATGGCACCAAATCAGGTCAAGAAGGTGAACAGGTAACAACCCCTTCAGCATCACCATCTACCTCTACCTCTACCACCATTGATAAACCAACCTTGACAACTTCAACGACCACCACCATGATCGTTGATGAACCAGAAACAAAAATGATTATTGAATCAACCTCGGCAACCTCGACAACTTCAACATCAACATCAACATCGACAACCTCAACAATGACTACTACCATGATTGTTGAAGAAGAGGAAGAAGAACCAACCTCTACATCAACAACTTCAACAACAACAACAACCAATGACAATAGTAATAATAACAATAATATTAGTAATAATAATAACAATAATAATATTAATAATAATAATAATAATAATAGTAATAATATTCAAACACCATTACAAGGATCTTCACACAAAAGAGATAGAGAAATTGAAAATGATAATAATGGATTTAGTTTTATATTTCATGTTGGACCAAAAGTGAAACCAGACAAGACTCAAAAGAAACAAAAGAGAGATAGTCTGTTATCATTGTCCACCACGGTTTTGGCAACTCCGACACCCGCCACCAACAAAAAGAATCCAGCTTACAATCTATTGGCATCACGACAAGCACATCAACCTCGAACTCAATCATTGTCTAGTAAAAGACAAAACCAAGTGACAGACGCAAATGTTGGTGCAATGGCAGATCAACTTGGTGAGATTGGTGGAACTGACTTTTTCATCTCTTTGTTTAGTGGATCGACAAACTGCTCAAAATTACTCAAAGATTGTTTCAGAGTATCTTCTACCAATGTACCAACAACTCCTTTTGGATCAATGGATAATATTAGTATTGGTAAATCATACGACTCTCTTCATCTTGATAATGATTATTATGATCAAGATGGATTCCATTTACAAAATGGTGGTGGTGTTGGTGGTGGTAGTGATGATGAGTTTGAAGATAAACCACTCACAACATCAACAACATCAACAACAACCAACAATCATTATGGTCTTCAAAGATTTGAATCAATTATTGCAGAAGAAGATGAATCCTCTAGTGATGAAGAAAAGAGTTATATTAAAAGTTTAAAAGAAAGAAAGAATTTAGAAGAATCTGAAAAAGGTTTTAATAGAGTAATAAGAGAGAAAATTGAACAAGTAAATATGAATGGAAAAAAAGAGAGAGACAATGATTAGAGAGAGTATTAATATCATTTAATTTAATTTATTCTAGGCACATGTAAATAGATTGTTTTTCGAACCAAATAGAAAAAGGGTACCGGTTAAAGACCAACAATTACAAGATTTTTTGGAACAAAATATTTTTACACAAACTCCCATTCCAAGGGGGTTCAACGAGGGTGATTGTACCGACGGACCATACGACACGCTCTTTTACACCATCCATCCACTGCGACTGATGGGTGAGAGTGTGGACGGCCTGATGAAAAAGAATGCAGAGGATGTGATCAAGGACGGTGTGCCAACTCCCACCTACAAAGAGGTGCAACCATACGTTCCCTACAACATTAATATTAGCAGACGATTTCAAACTGCCTATAACCAAGGTTACATTGTTTACAATGGTACCAACAATACATTGGCTTCTTCATTATCATCCATGACTCCTGCCAAACAACAATCACCACCACTACCAAATGTAAAAGGTGGCTCAGTTATCTCTTCTCCACCATCTACACCTTTGACATTATCTTCCAGCAACAACAATAATGTAAACAGTGCATTATCACTAGTACATCAATCATCGTATCCTTGGAAACGTGTATCAGAGATGTTTAATACAATTACATGGTTGCCCGAAGAAACAGCGATGCTATGTGAACTATACTTTATCTATGGTTCAGATTGGTCAGAGATTTCAAGGATATTGAGTGGTTCCAAATCACCTCTTCAAATCTATCAAGCCATCACCAAACAAAAAGATTTGATGTCGATGAAACCACATACCACCTTGGCTCAAGACCTAGAAGAAATCAAAAAGCAATGTGTCATTTGTTTCCTTTCAACCAGCGGTGGAAACAAAAAATTCTATCATCAAAAGACTAAAAAGAATCAGAATACAACTCTAGTCACTTGTTTTGCATGTGAACGTTCATTTCATCAAGATTGTATTACTGATCAACCAAATAGTAATAACAACAATTCAGAATGGTATTGTTCAATTGATTGTTCAATGACTTGTCAAGTTGTAAGTAGAATTATATATATATATATATATATATTAAATCATCAATCACAATCAATATATTAACCATTATAATTTTGATTTATTTATTTATTTGTAGAGATGTAATGTTTGTCAAAAAGGGGATCATGAAGATTCATTTGTATTATGTGACAAGTGTTCAGATGGTTATCATATTTATTGTTTATCACCACAACTTTCAGAGGTTCCTTATGATCCTTGGGAATGTTCAAATTGTTGTGAAAACAACAATACCTCTAAAAGTATAGGTAAAATTGTGGAATCACCTTCTCCTCTTACTGCTGCAGTAGAAGATACTTTGTCACCAATGAACTTGGAAGATGTACCAAAATTAGAAAGAGTTTCTAAAGATGCATCACCAAACGGTACAACAACAGAATCAGTAGCTGCAGAGGGTAACCATTCATTAATTAATTCACCTAGATCAAAAGAGGAAACTAACGGTCATAATGATAGTAGTAGTAGTACTACGACTGCTACTGTAGTTGTAGTTGTTGATACTTTGAATCAATCAAATACAACAACACCTATTATGGAACCAACAACTATGATGGTTGTTACATCAACTGCAACTACAACATCAACATGTCAAGCAATGGCACCAATTCCAACAACTCCATCATTATCAGAGGCTAGTACACCGGCAATGATTAAAACACCACTTGCTTTGGGTTTGAAAAAGTCTACTGCAAATGCACCAATGTCTCCTGCAGCACCACCAGCATTATCATTGGGTTTACAAGTATATCAACATCCAAAACTCCATTTCCAACACATCAAGGGGTGTCAGAATGCATCAGACAGCTCATCAGCAGACAACAATACTACCGCACACAAGGACAATGGTGGAGAGGAATACAGTTCATCATTTGCAAGAGTACTTGGAAAGGAAGGAACAAGATTGGCAAGCTCTGCCACGTCCAAGCCATTCCATACACTCAAAGCTATCAGTTCAGTGTGTTTGGCGTGTCTGACGTCGGTTAGTATCTTTGATGATTCAGATTATAGTCTTGGCAATACAGAGATTACCAATTACAAGGATATGATATCATCGGAAGACATTGGAGAAGATGACTATGAGCTTGAAGCAGTTATGGCTAAAAAGTTTGATTTCATTTTGGCTGCCATCCCAATTGCCGTTCAAAAAATGATCGATGAACCACTTCTTATGGGTTCTGAATTACAACAACAACAACAACATCAACAACAGGAATCAAACAACTCTTTGTTGAGTGCATTTGTAGCTGCTTCCTCATCCTCTTCACCACAGACAACAAACGAGAACGATACTATTGTATCATTGGCAGGATCAAAACGAAAGAGAAAACAAAAATTACAAGATTTACAAGACCTTCCAGATGTACAAGTTAAAATTCAATTGGATGATCAAATAACACCACCTACCATTACCAATACATCACATGATGAACAAATTGATACTACTATGGATAATAATAATAATAGCGCATTAAAAGAATCACAAGAATTTTCCACTCAATCTGCCATTGATATATTGTCAACACATATGGAAACTGAATCACCAATACAACCATTACAACCATTACAACTCAACTCTTCAGGAACTCTGGAGGGATCAAAAATACTTTTACAAATGGCCAATGGCGACCATGAACAAAATGGGTTGGAATCACCATCTACACCACCACCTATTACTACTTCTACTACTACTATGACGCATACAACACCACCACCAACTATACCAACTTCACCACTCATTCCATCATCCATTTTAAATGCAGACAATATTATTCAAAAGACGACTGGATTGGCTCAATCTACCATTGTTGCACCACCACCCAGTCTGCCATTGTCGATCACTCCGCCAATGGTACCAGCTATTCCTCAGCTAGTGACAGCGTCTGAAGTGCCTGTTGGCGTCGCACCCACGTACGATTATGGTGCTTCGGCCATCGCATTGCAACAACAGATGCTCGCCAGACAGCAGTATTCGATGATGGTCGAGGGAGGTGTTATACCGCCAACCGATCCAACCGCAACCAATCTTGTAAATTTACCAACTTATATCCAGCAACCACAACTTTTATCCAGTCTTAATAATACGCCAATAGCCAATAGTACCATTATCACTACCACCATGACTACACCCTCTAAACCAACCAAACGAAACACCCGAAAAGCCAAAATACCAGCTACTGAAAAGCCACCTCAACCCACCTCACCCGCCACCTTCACCACCTCGACTCGAACCATTGTTCAAGCCAACCCACCCTCCGAAGACACTTCGCCACCAACCTCGTCGCGCAAAAAGAAGCGGTCGACCATCAGCGAGACGATCGGTATTGCCCGAGGTCGCCGCAGCAGGCTGACCGACGGCATGGCCGGCTCGGCGCGTTGGTGGATCTTCTCTGGTAATCCCAAGAACCGTCCCGAGCTCAACGCAATGCAAGAGGGTAAGCAGCTCGAATGGGGCGTACGTCAACACGCCGACAATATCCGCAAGAACGATCTAATCTACGTGTGGTTGTGCGGAAAGTACGCGGGTATCTCTGCCACGGCCATCGCACTCGAAGACCCCGTGCGTGTCGATGCGCCGTCTGGAGACGCTGTCTTTGTCCCTTCTTCCAAACCCAACTTGATCCACAATGTTCAAATCCAGATCACCAAGATCTTACCCAACATCCTTCCCAAAAAGACAATGGCAGAGAACAAATTATTGTCACGAATGACCATTATCCGTGCACCACTTGCCACCAACTTTTGGGTGACTGATGAAGAATCTGAAATGTTGTCAACAATGGTCAGTCAATTGGAAAAGGGTGAGTTGGATACTTTAATCGTTCCCAATCCATCAGCTTCATCTTTTAACAATAATAATAATAATAATAATGGAGATGATTCAAATGATGATGATTCTATATCAACTACTAGTACTACTAGTACGACTACTACTACCACCTCTTCTTCATCTACTTCAATAGTATCATACTCTTCTACCAAAAGAGGAGGAAAGCATCAACAAAATGATCAAGATGATGCAGATGATGAAGATGATAGTGATGATGACGATGATGATATGGCTATTGTGACACCTTCCAAACCAAGATCCAAAGCATCTGCCAAATCCAAACCAAAAGCTGCTCGTGGCAAGAAAGCAGCAGCCAAACCAATGCACAAATGTACAATGTGTGATGAACAACAAACAGTCTCTAAACATTTCTTTAGTTGTGATTCATGTGGTCGTTATTACCACAATCATTGTTTGTCTGATCCAGTTGATAAATCACTTTATTCTTATTGGATTTGTTATTTATGTTGTATGACTGAACAACAAGTATGTAGAAAATCAAAATCAAAAAAGAGGAAAGGAATCAAATGAATATTAATTTATTTTTAATTTTTTTATTTAGATTATCAATTGTAAATTAGTTATTGGATGGTTAGAATTAAGAAGCAAGTGTAGAAAGATATTACATGACATGTGTGAATCATTTTACATATCACACAAGAAAAATATTTATTCTGGAAACAAGAAAAAGGCATTGAATAAGATGACCCAGGCAACATGTCAATTAAACACCATAAGAGTATTATTAAGCAAGGTTGTAAATCAAAGATTCTCTATTTGGTATCAACATTTACTGCAACAACAACAACAACAACAACAACAAGGCAATAATCAAACAAACCAATAAGTGGGGGGAAAGAATAGGAAATAGGAAAAAACAAACGTATATAATATAATAATATAATTTCCTTTTAAAACTAAATAAATACTTTTTTTTTATTTATTTTCAATCAACACCACTACTAAGTCTTCATATGATACATATCTATCATTCATTTCGATCATATTGAACATTGTGGTAAATCTACCCCCTCTCACAATGACAATCATTGTGTTAAAACCACATTACCACAATGATTTCAAATCGAATGAATATGCAGGAGGAAGTGGAAAATGATGGAATCACACCCACTGATCCTCCTCATCCCTCCTTTTTCCTAATCCTCTTTTTACAAAGAGTTGATATCAACAATCATCATAATCATATTTTTCATACATCATTTTTTTATTTTCTTTAGTCTCTATTTTTTTTGTAACTAAATAAAAAATGATAATAAGAAATTGTTATATTTTATTATTTATTCTAGTAGTAAATATCTTGAATAGAATAAATGGACAAATTCCTTTTAGTAAGTTGGCAAATTAATGTTACCCAATCCATCTTACCCTTAAAAATATTTTTCTTTTTAAAAAGCATTAAAGCAACATTTTATGATACAACTGCATCGAGAAATGTTGATTTTGGACATTTATCTACAGGATCGGGTATAATCGAAGATGTATCAACAGGTGCTACTATATTTAATGATCAACTGGGTGCTGATGGGAGACCAGATTACTGTTGTGGTGAGACACCAACTCTTGATCCCAATACTGGAGAGGTTGTGATTCAAAGTGCTCACACTTATTGGGACTGGATCAACCCATCTGGCTGTAATAGTTATATGGAGCATTTGGATATTGAGTGGACTGAAGATGGAGGTGGTGGGTTCAACATGCAAATGGATGACCCAACCCAATTCAGTGGTCATGGATTTGACAACCCTGTCTTGTTCCCTAACGAACCTACCCAAGCACTCAACGTTGACTGGTGTCTCGATATAAGATTCTCGCTGCTTGCCATTACACCCGATCCAGACTTCCATCTGTTTTCCAACCAAGACTACATCATGTACCTGAATGGTACGTTGTTGGGTTACGGTTTGTTGATGGAACGTCCAGAAAATCTCAATTCAGCCCTGTTGCTTGGAACTTTGCAAGCAGGAGATGTGGTAGATGTCAACCTGGTGCTTTGTAACAGAGTGCAGGATACGTTGGACTATTTCTACGTCATCATCTCGACGATGGGGTTCCAGCCATACTGTAGATTCACCGATGTATGTGGTGTGTGTAACGGCGATGGTTCGACCTGCGTTGCTCCAGCTGCTGTCAATTGTGACGACGATCTGTGCCATACCGCCGTTTGTACTATTGGTGCAGGATGTGTACGTACCCCAATCAACCCCGATGACGGTAACCCTTGCACCATTGACACTTGCGATATCCTCGTCGGGCCCGTCCACACTGACATCCTCAACTGCTCGGCATGTAACGACATCCCATGTATCTCGGTTGATCCATGTGCACCTGCTTCATGCTCGATGGACGGCTTGACATGCCAAGAAATCCCATTGATCTGTGACTCGGCCGACTCGTGTATCGACTCGTTTTGTCAGGATGGAGAGTGCAAGTTTACCATCATATGTGATGAGCCAGCTACCACAGGCGTCGTTTCAACCACCATTGGTGATATAACTACCACCGCTGAAATAACAACCACTGCCTCTACCACTGCCTCCACGACCGCTTCCACCATCGCGTCCACTACTGGAGCTCTAACCACGGGTACCCCCACAACTACCACCACCACTGCCGGCACAACTGCATCCTCCACCTCTACCACCGCAATCTCTACGATTGGCACGACCATTGCAACGACCACTGCAACCACTACGGCAACGACCACTGCAACCACAACAGCTGAAATCACGACCACTGGTGACACTACATGGGAAATTACAACTGGACATGTGACCAATACTCTTGGTATCATTACAGGCCATACTATTGGCGGTCATACGAATGGCCACACTATCGGCGGGCATACCATCGGTGCCATCACTGGATGCGATCCAATATGTCCACCCATTAAATGTAGTGATAAACAACCTCCTGGTTGTCCACCCATCCAATGCAGTAAACAGTAAATAGAATAGAATAGAAATATATTTATAATAATAATAATCAAATACCATTTTATATAAAATGAAGCCAAACCTATATTAAATAAATAAACCTTTTATGATGTAAATAATAATATTATTTTAACGACTTTCTTTAATACAACTTGTGGCATTGATACAACTTACCAAGCTTGGTTGGTTGAAGAGAGTTAAAGAACCAATCTCTTGTTTGTTATGTTGGAGAGAGTATGATGATAGTAGTAGCAGTAGTGAATGACTTGTACAACACCAACCAACAAACAAGAGACTGTGAACCAAACATACTCGAAAATAGAACTATTTGATGATTATCACTAGAAGACTTGCTTTGCAATGATTTGAAAAGGAGAATTTTTGTGTATCTTTGTCTCACCAAAACCAATCCATAACCTTAGCTAAGGAGTCCAGAGGAACATATTTTGATGGATCGAGACAGAGAGTCCGTTCCACTGCCAGTCCTTTGTTCTCTGACAATAGCATCATTCGTCTTAACATCAATAATGTAGGTTATCCTCCTCCTTCCATTTACTGACTCTCAGCAAATTCATACCATCAACTCCAGTTCCACTCACATGCGAATCATGCAACACTGCACCTGCGCCAAGTACTGCACCCCCTGCCCTAGCTGTGGATACGCAGGCTCTTCAGCCAATACTGGTGCCTGCGACACTTGCAGTGGTCGCTGATGCTGCTGATGCTGCTGCTCCTCCTGTGGCAAATGAAATACACAATTGAAAGAAATCCTGTGCTGAAAAGAATGAAGCTTGGAAATTTTGGTGTTGTAACTGTTACTACAAACAACAACAAATAAAATAAAATACTCGATAGCAAACAGATGCTATGATATACTTTAATTAATAACTTTTGTTTAGAAAACTTTATTTACTATTGATAAATAAATATAATTAATTGATTAGATAATTTGATTTATATTTTTATTAGTGATTTATTCACTTGTAAAACCAAACGTTTGTCATTTTTCCCAACTGTAAACAGTAAAACCTCTTCACAAAAAAAAAAAAAAAAAGTGGGTTGGGTTCTATAGAGCTGCCCTTAGCTTGATGATGTGGATTTCCTCTTTCTCATCATGTTTTTTGACAAGATATTTCCCAAACGACTGTTCTTCGGTGAATCACGAGCTCACATAGCCACCGAAAACAAACAAAGGGGTGTCCCTTGGTTTTACTCTTTCCATGGAACTATTAGACATCTATTCCTTTCTTGTTTCCATCCCCCCCATCTTGGGTCATAGGTCGAAATTTACCATTGTGTTTCGAATAATCACCTACACAGACACACACCCAGTACTTGATTTAAATCAACAAGGAGATTATAGACAGATACGAAATATAGAAAGCATACTGATAAACACCTATCAACCAAACCAACCACCCCAACGAACACCAAAATTATTACTTCAAACAAAAAAAAAAATAAAAAAAATTATAGGTCTGCGCCTATAGAATCCCCAATCGCAACAAACAAACAAAAGATTTAAATATAACCTCTTAAAATCAAAGTCGGACAATCATTCATCGCAAAGTCAATCACCGCCATCACCAGCAGGGAAGGAAAAATCTGCTGCTCCTTGTACTTGCCCACAAAATATTTTGTTTTGACAGTTGAAATTCTGCAGAAAAGAACGGGTCCTCATACCACGCATTGATTGGTCTGTTGAGGGGCATGAAAATTGAACGTTAGAGAAGAGTAATCAATCAAGGAAACCACCCTTCCCCTTCCATCCCCACATTACAAAAAAAAAACAAACCAAACCTAGTTTTAGTTTCTAAACTTTATATATTTCTTTTAAAACAACATATATATATATATATATATATATAACACGTAGCAGCATAACAATCAACAAATCAAAAGAAAAGAAGAAATAGTTTAGATATAACAATAATAACTAGTAATAATAATCATAATAATAATTGCAATAACAATAATAATATAACAGATATCATTAGAGCCCAAATCCCTCTCCTCTTGTTGTCAACAATCATAGATTATTAGAAGAATCTTCGATAAGTAGAACTAATAGAAAGGGAAAGGGCATACAATAGTAGTAGTCGATCTATCTATCTATCTATCAATCTATTAAAAATGAGGTATCAATTAGAGATAGTTGGAGATGAGACTAGACTTGACCCAGTTTCATTCAGTGCTTTTACAGTGTACATGGTCAATGTTACTACTCAATACAAACAATGGAATATCTATAGGAGATATAGTCAATTTCATGAATTCGATTTACAAGTATGTATATCAACAATCAAATCAATGATCAATTATCAATTATTATCATCCAAAACAACAATCAAAGAGTAGTAGAAGAAGAAGAGAGAGAAAGAGAGACAAGAGAAACAAGATATTCATTGTTGATGGTTGACCATGAATAAATAGATATTTTCAAATGTGACTCACACCCACCCCCACAGACACACACAACAAACAAATCTTTTTTTTTGATTAGATTACTAACAGACACCCTTACCCTTACCTCTTTATATCATAATCTATAGATTAAACTAGAGTTTCCAAAGATTAAATTATCAAAACTACCAAAGAAATATATATTTAAAGCAAGCACAGACAGAAGTTTGGTAGATGATCGTAGGAAATTATTACAAAAATATCTAAGTGATCTAACAAAGAATGAATGTATCAATGATAGTGAGGTTTTAGCTCAATGGTTAACTCCAAAGAATGACGTATGTAGAAAATGATAGATATTTATATTTTAGATTCAAAAGGTCGACTAATTCTCAATTATTTCTATATCTATCTATATATCAATATGTAGCCCGCATTTACATCATTAAACAATCCTGATAAAGCAGGCTTTTTAATTAAAGAAGGACATGTGATTAGAAGTTGGAAGAAAAGATATTTTGTTTTAAAAGATGGAGTATTATATTATTTTAAACATCAATCTGTATGTAGTCAAGATATATAGAGATATATAGAGATATATATATATATATATGTATATTGTATGTTTGAATATTAATATATGTTTGTTATGTTTGTTTGTTTTTAAATTGAATTTAGGATCCAGAACCAACTGGTATGATACCAGTAATTGGAAGTACGTTAAAAAGATTAGGAGAGACGGACAAGAAATATGCATTCCAAATTGTATCAAAGTATGAGGTGTTTCCTACGTTTTCGATACAGGGACGCGATCAAGAAGACTGCGAGGAATGGATCGATGCCATTGAGCAGACACAGAAGCGATTTGAAATTGCAGAGCGAAAGAGACGTGAACAACAACTCTTGGAAGAGGAGCAACACAAACGAAACAATGGAACTATTATTAAAAAGTCGGGATCATTTGAATTCTCGACATTGACGAGTGCCTCGGCACCCCTGCAGTCTGGGACACAGTCGTCGTCAGTGCCAACACATTTTGCACGCGGGCCACCTCAAAAGAGCAAGAGCGATTTAAATCTTCCAAGTGTCACAATCACACTGCGTAACAAGAAGCCTGCGACGGGCAGCCAAGACGACCTCAACAGCATATTGACAGGCAAGACTGTTATTGTCGAGGAGGACTATATTGGCAGCAGCGCCACGACACCATACGATCACCAACAGTACCTTCAAAACAAGGTCAATGGTATAAAGTCGGTGCCGACCTCCCCCAAATCCTCCCCAACCATATCACCAACACCCATCCCTTCACCATCCAACGGTGGACACTACATGTCGCGGTCATCGTCTACATCGTCGACGTCGTCATCATCGTCGTCTATTTCATCGTCTGTTTCATCGTCATTTTTATCTGCTATCAATCATTACCTCAATCCCCAAAAACAATCATAGTAATAGTATTGGTAATAGTAATAGTAGCTCGTCAGCTGCATCTACTCCACAAGCCAACCCCCCTCCTCCAGCTGCAACAGCTGCATCCAACACACTTGTACAACCATCATCATCATCATCATTGGCATCTTCAACGAATAATAATACAGGGTCACCTAAAACATCACCTATTCAACATACACGTAACCGTTCATCACCATTGGTGACTGGTTTGCCACTCCCCAATTTCCTACAACAAATTACTGGTACCAAGTCGGACCAGCAAAAAGATAATACAAATACAACAACAACACTACCACCACTTTCACTGAGTGGTAGTGGAGGTATGGTTGCACGATCAAACAGCACGAATAGTATCAATACTACTAGTAGTGCAAGCAGCACACCTACGACGACCAGTCCTACACTCACACCAGCTCCACGTCCAACCAGCCCCATCTCTGTTAAAAAAGACAAAAACAAAAAGGAGACCAAGACAATATCAGAGTTTATCAGTAACCAACCTGCGAAAAAGAGTGGTAGTGGCAGCAAAAACAGACTACGTGCATTGACGTTGCCAGTCAAACCAAATGAATCGATTCTACAGAATGCCAGTTGTGCAGGTGACAGCAAGTCCATGTCAAAGGATCCACGCAAATACAGTTCGTCGCGAGCAACGCGATTCTCTTCAGACGGACGACCAACATTTGATATCAACCACAAACTCTTTTCGACCAAGGAAAATGTCGACAAGAAAATACAAGCATTTTTGGATTCAATCGACTCTTCATCACTGGTATTTCATCAAAATAGTGACGAGTCACAAAAGAATGAACAGGCATTGACGGCGATTAAAGCCATTTCACAACAGATTTTGACCATGACAGTATCAGAGATGCGCGAGCAGTGCACGCAGATTGTCCATTCGATCCAGGACTTGTTCCCCAAGTGCACCAAGCAGACTTCGTCGTTGGCGTCCAAACTGCTGTTTATCTTTTCAGAATTTTCGCGTGTTGTCGATGTGCTCAACCCAGTTTCGGCAAGCAACTCGGTTGGACGTGGCAGCGAGGGTGGTGCCGGTCACCACCACGGCATGACCAACTCGTTTGATCTCAATGACCCGGGTGCCATGACGCGGTCAATGTTGTCGATTAGTACAGACGTGTTCCAACCCAAACGCATGTCACGCAGTCTCCAAAACTTTGACAATATCTCGCCACCCACATCTATCCTCTTTTCGCCAGCCTCTACCACGCCCCCCACCTTTTCCTCTACACCCACCACCACCGACAACTCGCCACTCTCCTCATCCTCGTCATCACTCGTTTTATCATCCTATTCAACCACCTCTTCTTCAACTACTAATCCCAACGATTTTAGTAGTAGCATCAACAATCATCATCATCATCATCAACATCCAAACACCACGCTCAATTTGAGCCTAGGCAGTATAAATAGTATCCCATCCTATTCTGAAGATGAGATACTATCTCATAGTAATCATAGTAGTAGTAATAGTATTCATTTGTTATATAATCAACAACAACAACAACATAATCATAGTAATAATCATAATCACCTTCTCAACCAACTCGAAAATTCCAGTAGTATTAATATTAAATCCGGCATCAACCCTCCAACCAATTCTCCAAATAGACATCATCAACATCATGACACCATCAACACCCATTTATTTATTGACCCCACCATCACCACCACCTCTGCACAAAGACCATCAACTCCTCCCAATACGATCGTTGTAGATAACCAAGTCCATCAATTGGCATCGGTCGTTGAACAAAAACGATCTCAGCTATCAGAGATGTTTGGTCATTCATCGGTACCAGCTAGTTCAATTAATGTTGACAACATACCATTAAGTCCAATTCAACATGTAGTACAACAACAACAACCAACTGAAGAGGACAATGTGGAAAACAGACAATTATTAGTTTGTAGAATCTGCGAGGATACATTTACAAAATATCAACTAAAGAAACACACTCATCTCTGTGTACTCACCAACAAACATGATTTCAAACACAGCTCACATGATGAACGTCTCTATGTCATGTTGAATCTGTGTAAGGGTATTTTGATGGATTCGTTGGCATCTCCAGACTCGCGGTCAATTTGCTCATACTATATTGACGATGAAATGATTGGTCAGTTGGAGCAGATTGTCGAAGACGTGGTCTCGCTGCAGTACGGTAGCAAGGAATCAGTCGAACAGTGTCAGTTGGCTATTGACCGTGTCGTCAATATCATCTCACACAATATTGAAGATATGGCATTAGTTACATTTGGCAAGCGTATATGCAAGGTTCTCGAAGAGAAAAAGTCGTCGTTTATTCAGTACAGCGAGATCCAGTCGGCTGCCATCCAACAGCAACAACATGTACCTGCAGGCTCTAAACGTCCCAAATGGTCCATGTGGGGTTTGCTTCCATTTATCAAGTCAATGTCACCCAGCACACAGACTATCATCACCAAAGAGGTGCCATCACCCGTCACAATCACCCCTCAGAAAAAGGAAGGTCTGTCAATATCCGACTTTGAAATTCTCAAGCCCATTAGCAGGGGTGCATTCGGCAGAGTGTATCTTGCACAAAAGAAAAAGACTGGCGATCTCTATGCTATCAAGGTGCTCAAGAAACTCGACACTATACGTAAAAACATGGTTGATCACGTGCTCATTGAACGTAATATCTTGGCGACTGTTCAGAACCCATTTGTTGTCAAGTTGTTTTATGCGTTTCAATCGGCCGACAAGCTCTATCTCGTCATGGAGTATTTGATTGGCGGTGATTGCGCATCGCTGCTCCGCGCACTAGGCTGCTTTGACGAACAAATGGCGCGTATGTATATTGCTGAAACCGCGCTCTGTCTCGAGTACCTCCACAAGAACTTTGTCACACATCGTGACCTCAAGCCCGACAATATGCTCATCGACTCCAAAGGTCACATCAAACTGACTGATTTTGGGTTGTCCAAGATTGGTATCATTGACGATGCGATTAAACAAGCCGGTCAACAACCTCCCTCTCCCACAACCACTCCCATCCCCATGGCTACCAGTATTCGAAACAATCATTTTAATTTTATGACTGATCCTCAACAACAACCACCAACATCCCAACAATCTCAACAACAAGTACAACCAGTTTCATTAAGAAAATCTACATTGTTGCGTAAAAAACATACACCTCCTAAAAAGGTGGTTGGAACACCTGATTATCTGAGTCCAGAGATTCTCTTGGGTACAGGTCACGGTTGCGAGGTTGATTGGTGGGCACTTGGGATCATCCTCTACGAGTTTTTAACTGGCGTGCCACCATTCAACGACGACACACCCGAACTCATCTTTGAAAAGATTCTCAACTCTTCCAACCAGGAACTAGAGTGGCCCGAGGAGATTACACCCGAAGCAAAGGATTTAATCATTCGTCTGCTCAATCCCAACCCACAACTACGTCTTGGTGCCAACGGCGCGTTTGAAGTCAAACAACACCCCTTTTTCAAAGGTATCAATTGGGATACACTGATTGAACGTGACATGTCTGATATCTTTGTACCCAAACCAGAAAATGAATTGGATACAGATTATTTTTGGGATCGTCATTCAATGTACAACGATGATAGTGTCGGTGGTCGTAGTCGCGAAGACATTCAATCCACTAGCAATGTATCAGGTGTTGGTGGAGTTGGTTCTGAACACCAGTTTGTCGGAGGTGGCTCTGGCAGCTCTCTAGTTGGTGCTTGTTCCTCTCCCACCCTAAACTCTTCATCACATCTAAACAACAAAGACCATCATCCAACCAATGGAATGTTGATCGATCCAAATGGTAATGCAGTTGGTTACCCCATCGTCATCAACGAACGATCTCTACTCCACTCGTCAATGGAAGATTTGGAACATGCTCAAAGAGATCCAATCACATTTGGCAATTTCTCATTTACCAATCTCAATCATCTAAAAGATATGAATAATTTATTTTTAAACAAAGAAAAAGATAAAGATAAACTTTTAATGATGGAAAAAGAAAAAGAGAAATTAGAGAAATTAGAGAAATTGGAAAAAGAAAAAGAAAGTTTACAAGTAAATGGTAAATCAATACCAATATCAACTAGTATTAGTAGTAGTAGTAGTAATGGAGGAGGAATGTAAAAAATCAAATAAGCAGCCACAATATTAACAATAACCAACAACAACAATAACAACAACGGTCGGTACATTTTAAAACACAAAAAAAGGTGTATTTTTTTCACAATAACAAATTTTAAATAAAATGTGTATAATCACACATGTATTATAGAATAAAAACTAAAACTAAATTAAATAATATAGAGATATTTTATTTATTATTATATTATTTAATTCTTATTATATTTTCCCGCCAAGCACTTATTTTGAAACCTTTGTCCAAAGATTGAATAAAAACAATTTTCTTTTGTTTTTTGAAAACCGAGAGAGACGAGTGTGGCCCTTTATAAAAAAAATGGTTCATCATATGATTTCTTTATGCAAGCATTTTATCACGGAATTGCCTAGTTTAGTCGGTACTATCTGTCATTGTAACTTGCTATAAAGACGTGGAAATAATTAGCAACTGCTGATGATCGTCAGTTCGGGGGTATTCTCTGGCTGATGGTTAAAGGATTCTGTTGTCAGTGTTCATCACTACACTCTTATACATACATACCTTTAATTTAATTAAAAAAAAAAGACATAAACCATTTGAGCTGATATTATATAATATAATCAAGTCACACCTTGTTAATTGACAACAATAATAAATCTTCACCTAAAGATTTTTTCATTCAAAATCGTTCACTCTGTTTTTTTTTTGAACACAAATCTGTTTGTTATCAAAAAGATGTGGATGATCGCAAACCATTTTTAGTTGTTAGAAAAAAGGTTAACGAAATGATACTCAATAATATTAATTCAGTTGAACAACTGAGAGCATCAGGAAATAAAGTATGTTATATTGTATTATACTCTATAGAGTAGAGTCTGCCCTCATATAATATATTACTTAGGCACTGATATTTTCTTCTTGCTCGTTTGTCTTAGAAATACAGTGAAAAAAGATATATAGAAGCAATCGATATCTATAAACAAGCTATTGAATTATCAAGAGATGCAACATTTCCATCAAACATGTCTGCATGTTGTTTTGAATTGGGTCGTTATGAAGATGCATTAGAGTTGTCTAAAAAGGTGATAGACATGATTAAAGTGCAAGGAGAAGATCCCAAACAACTTGCTAAAAAGAATCTAGCACATATTGCAAGAATTGTACATTTAAAGAAATCAAAGGAAGAATTGGTACAATTGGTCAATCAATTCACAGACAGCGATCTTCAAGACAAATCATTTGATTTTGAAAAGATCAAGAAATCGGTTGATACTTTAGTTCAAGAAGATTGGACTAAAAAGAATGGTTCTGGTAATGTCGATGCCTCTACTTTGCCAGTTCGTTTGCCATCAAGATTACCAAATGTGAACGAATACTTTGTTGTCGGTCATGACATTCCAAAAAGTGCATTGAGTCCACACATCGATGGAGACAGAGTCGACTCATATGAAAACGATCCAATCATCACCCCTCGAATCAAAGAGATTGAATCCAAATGTATCCGTTTACGTGATAATCCATCATTATCATTCTTCTACGGTGGTATTGGAGATTGCCGTAATGCATTTGTCACACTCGCCGATTTGAATCGTCAACTCCTAGACAGTCCCATCTCACCAAAGACCAAGATTCACTTTACGCTCAACGATCATATATCTTCTACCATTGCTAGAGATATATTACTCTTCTCATTATTGGAAGAGATTGGAAGATATGAATCGATTGAAAAGGTGTATAAAGAAAGAGAAGCAGCCAACGCAGCAGTCATTCTCTACTATACCTATATTGGTATCGGTATGCCAGAGGCTATATACAAGATGTTGATAGCTAGATTCCACAAGCTCATTGCACTTGGGGACAAGGGTCAACTCCCCAAATGGATGTCAATCGAAACTGCCGATTGGCCAGGTATCAGAGATGCATTCGAGTATTGGACCACTGCAGAACCACTGACATGGGCAGAAGTAAAAAAGAAAGCAGGTGTGGACTTTACCGTACCCACCACGAAAGAATCTACTGGGAAGCCATTCCAACAGATGGAAGAATTAAACAAACAATTTAGCAACCCAGAGTTTCTAAAGAAGTATGGTATTGACGTAAACGATGAAGCTAAAAAGAAGATGTTAATGGAGTGTTTTACAGAAGCTGACATGTCAAAGACACTGGACGACGATGAAACCTCGTTGATGCGTTTGCCTGGAGAAATCCTCTGGACTCATGGCTATAGATACCCTCTGCTCCCCATGGTCAATGCCGACTATGACGAGCACATGACACCTGCCAAGGCACATCAGTGCATGCGAACATTGCGTGGCAAGTCTAAACAAAAAAGCAATGATTTTAATCAAGAGGAATCAGAGCTTATGAAAAGCTTTGCCAAAGCTGACAAGATCAAGGTCAATCCAACCTTTTTCGATTCCGTATCAGCCAACTAAAAGGTGATATGACATCAGAGTTGTCCTTTAAACCAATGAATGTTGTGGCACAATTCTATCAATATATATGGATGGGTAATCCAAAGCTCAAAAAGACATCGTTTGACTATTTTATTTATGCATTTTATCAAACTGCACGTGCTATAGTCAGATTGTCATCGAGCGATGCATTGACCATTGAAATGCGTGTTGGTGATTTTCAATCAGTTTTGGACAATGTACGTGACAACAAGGAAGAAAGAAAGGCTCGTGGAATGGCTGTTGAATACGATAGTATTGACCTTAGCAACGTACCTGATTACACTGGATTCTTGAATGAATTTTCAGAATCGATTGAAATGTTAAAACCAGTCAAACATTCATACATTGGATTCAGTGTTTTTCTCAACGTTGTAGTTTGGAAATCACTCAACGATGTCATCCACTCTTATCTCCTCGTGCCAGGTGAAAACGCATTACCAAGATACTTGGGTGTCAAATCGGTCGGTGAAGATGATTTGTGGGAAGGCTTCCGATTCTCTCGAATTGAAGGACCCATCCCATTGGATCAATTACTCGGTCGTGATGAATTAATTGCTTGGCTGTCTAGATTATTCGTCACTATTGTCACTCCATCGGCTGTCGAACCTGGTACATTCCCTATTCACAGTCCCAACAATATAACAATGTTTTTCAAACTCCTTGGTCGTCTGCTTCGTATTGGATACCCAACACATTGGATCACTGGTGTAGTCGAATTATTATTAAGTGGATCATTAACAACTGTTGAACCAACTCGTAAAAACAGAATGATACCTCTATCTCGTGTAGCTCCTCCTCTTTTAAAAATGTTATCAATCACACCATGGTTGATTGAAATTCGTACACAAGCTGCATTGTGGATGGACAAGTATCAAATTAGATTGTTGGCAGGAAGTATAATTCCTAGTGTGTCTGATATCAAGAGATATGATATTTCAATCAGAGGAACTAGGTCATACTCTGGTCCACCATTCTCATCGGTCATCATGATGGCCATTGAATATCCATCCAATCAAATCTTCTCGCCTTCAAACGGTGCAGACGATAACCTTAGATTCCAACTTCTTGATGCAACTCGCAACAAAACAACCATTATCACAACCATCTTGTTTGATGGAAAGACAGTATCATTTTGGATGTCTGAAACAGATTATAACAATCTATTGTCTCAAAATGTCACCATTAAACTATTTAGAAATGATACTTGGAAACCATTTACTGAACCTAAAAGTTTACAATAAATAATTAATTAAAAAAAAAACAGTAAAAACAATTAAATATATCTTTTATATTAATATAATTTTTAATTTATTTTTCTCTCACTAACTTTTTTTTTCATTATTTATGAACAGAAGATCATTCGTTTAAATTAAGATATCTTTGTTTATCGAAGAAATGTCAAGCAGCGGTAGTAGTAATAATTCAATCGAACAACTGAGAGCATCAGGAAATAAAGTATGTATTATACTTGAATATAATAGCTAGCGATTACTTACTCCTCCTTAATTACAATTGGTCAATCAATTCACAGACAATGATCTTCAAGACAAATCATTTGATTTTGAAAAGATTAAGAAATCGGTTGATACTTTGGCTCAAGAAGATTGGACTAAAAAGAATGGTTCTGGAAAGGTGAATGCATTGACATTACCAAGTCTTATGCCATCAAGATTATCAAATGTAAACGAATACTATGTTGTTGGTCACGACACTCCAAAAAGTGCAATGAGTCCACATGTTGATGGAGCCGAAGTCAGACCAAACGAAAACGATCCATTGATTATCCCAAGATTAAAAGAGATTGAATCTCAACGTATCCGTTTACGTGACAATCCATCATTATCTGATTAGCAGTATTGGATAGTGTACGTGACAACAGGGATGAAAGAAAGGCTAGAGGAATGATTTGATTGGATGGATATTCAATGGCCATCATAATGACCGATGAGAATACTGAACCAGAGTGTGACAGAGTTCCCGTGATTGAATCTGTGAGTTTGTTTATTTTTATATCGTATCTCTTGATGGCCGCAGCACTAGGTACATTAGCACCCAACAATCTAATTTGATACTTGTCCATCCACAATGCAGCTTGTGTACGAATTTCAACCATCCATGGTGTGATTGATAACTTTTTAAATACAGGAGCGACACGAGAAACTGGCATGATTCTCTTTTTAGGTGTTGGTTCGACAGTTGTTAATGATCCTGTGAGCAGCAACTCGACCATACCAGAGATCCAAGGAACTAGGTACAATCCCCATCAACAGTCCAAGCAATATAGCAATGTTTTTCAAACTCCTTGGTCGTCTGCTTCGTGTTGGATACAGGTGGCTTAGATTCCATCTTCTCGACCCAGCTCGCAACCAAGTTACCATTCTCACTACCATCTTTTTTGATGGAAAAAATGCATCTTTTTGGATGTCTGAATCTGATTATATCATACTTTCATCTCTAAATGCAACTATCAGATTATTTAGAAGTGATTCTTGGAAACCATTTAGTCAAGCTCAAAATTTTTAAATAAATAAATAAATAATATTACGGAAAAAAAAAAAACTAAAAAAAAGTAAAAAAAAAACTACTGGCTGGACCTTTTTTGTTGGTTTTTTCCAATGAGGATTTGATGAAAATTTATAAAAATAGGTTTGAAAGATAGTCATGAGTGTAAGGAATAAGAATATAATGGGATATGATCAAAGAAATTAGATTTAGTTGGATAAAAGCCAAAGCTGATTTTTTTGTCCGGAAAAACAAATTGGAAAAAAAGATATAGGCTGAACATTTTAATAGTTTTTTCCTGTGTGGTTTCAATTTTGAAATCAAAATTGATGAAACTAGGTTAGAGCGATAGCTTCGAGTGTTTAGAACAAGAATATGAAAAAAAAAATTCTTACAGTCAAAAACAATAAAAGATAGCCCTATGGGGGGCTCGAACCCCCGACCACAAGATTAAGAGTCTTGCGCTCTACCGACTGAGCTAACAAGGCGTGATGTTTTTCAAAAAAAATTTCACGGGTCTCGACCCGCCCTTGCTTTTTTATCAATTTTTTGGTTTCCATACCAAATTTTATTTATTTTAATAATTATTTTAATATATTTAATTTTTTCGATAAATATATTTAATTTTTGAATCACTTTCAAACCATGAGAGTTTTTCGAATCACTTGTATGTTTAAAGTAATATTAATTAAAAATGAAGATATCAACAACAATAATCATACTTTGTGTAATAGTATCAAGCTTTTCAGTATCAAGTGAATTGTTATCAATCACTGGATTATTGGGTGGACTGTTGGGTGGTTCATCATCTTCCTCCTCCTCATCTACATCCTCCTCATCCTCCTCATCATCAACATCAACAGGAGGAGGATCAGGACCTATTATTGATATTGACCTTGGACCAATTAGTTTAGAATTATATTTAGCAATTGGTGATCAAACCAATAGAAATCTATTCTTGGATTGGACACATCAATACAACAAGACCTATACAACTGCAGAGTTTCAAAAGAGATACAAGTTGTTTGTCAGTAATCTATTATTTGTCAACAACTATGCAACGTTAAACCCCAACAGTCAAATGATACTTGGTACAAATGAATTTGCTGATCTTTCACTCCAAGAATTTGTCGACATTAGACTGACCAAATTCAACATGTCTGAAATCACCGATGACTTGTTTAATCAAAATCAACCAGACAATCAAACATCATCATCATCATCATCCTCATCTCCTCCTTCATCTCGACAGATTCTAACGACAGGCCCAATATTCTTGAGTTGGAAGGAATTTGGACTAGTTACTCCAGTTAAAAATCAAGGATCATGTGGTATGGTGTAAAACTTGACTAGTTATATTAATTATTAATTGAATTCAATAATAGGTTCATGTTATGCATTCTCTGCAGTTGGAGCGGTTGAAACCTTGTACCTACGTACCTATGGAACACAACAAAGTATCGACCTCTCTGAACAAGAATTGGTAGATTGTAGAGACTACAATAATATTGGTTGTGGCGGGGGTTGGATGCACAACGCATTTAAGCAAATTTTAATTGAAAAAGGAATAACATTATCAAGTATAATACCCTATGTAGGTAGCAGGGATTACATCAACTGTTACAAAGGATTTAAAAAGACCAAAATTTCAAAATACACAATGGTACCCAGGACCGAAGATGGCCTGAGAGAAGCATTGATGGAAACAGCAGTTTCAGCTGCATTTGATGCAAGTTCTAGGTATGTAAAAAAAAAAAAACAAAAGAAAAAGACTTAATTAAATTTAATTTATCAATCAAATAAATAGAGAATTCCAATTGTATCAAAGTGGAATATTTTCATCACCAACTTGTGAAAAGCTAGCACCTACACATGCAGTACTTGTTGTTGGATATTACCCAACCTATTGGGTAATTAAAAATTCTTGGGGAAGTATGTATACAAAAAAAGTTCATCTATATATTCTTATTTATTTATTTATCCATCCATTCTAGCTCAATGGGGAGAACAAGGATTTTTTAAAATGGCAAGAAATACCAATGATCAATGTGGTATTGCTCGTTATGCAAGTTATCCAACTCAAATCCATGAATAAATAAAAAGAGTATTTCAACTTGTTGTCTAATTTGTGTTTATGTTTTTTTATTTTGATTTATATTATTTTAAAAAAAAAAATATGTGTATGTGTGTGTGTGCGAGAGTGTATTTATATATTTAAAAGAGAGGAGGGCCTAATGCTTTGATTTGATTTGATTTGATTTGATTTGATTTGATTTGATTTGATTTGATTTGATTTAATTTTGATTTAATTTTGATTTAATTTTAAAATTCATCATTATTTAAATCATTATCATTTAAAATTTGAGCGTCATCATCTTCGATACCAAATTCGTCGTCGGCCAAAGAGTTTGGTCTGATGCCAAGGGAGCTATACTTTTGGTCCTTGCTGAGACCCAATTTCTTCAAGATCTTTTCCTTGACCTCTGGGTTCTTGTGCAAGAAGAAGAAAATACCAATGCCAGCAAATACCAAGACGAGGATGATGATAAATGGAGCGAGCCACTTGTTCTTTTTAAAGACAGACGACGTTGGACAGTTTTTGATGGTTGGCATGAGTTCCGATGAGATGCCATTGATGCAAACGTCGCCAGCAATCATACGGTAGCCTCTGCTAATGGCATAGGTAGTGTCGAGTGGACAGTCGGATGGTGGGTCGGCTTGCCAGTCGTTTGGTGGAGTAAAGTTTGGATCGATAGCACAGATCAACTGACTGTCATTGTAGGAAATGTCAACGAAACCAAGGTCGCACTCAAAGTCATCAAAGGTACATACAGAGTAGATGTATTGTGGCTCGGGCAAGACACCGGTGAGAGTGCAAGTCGATCCTTGCTTGATACGGGTATAGTTGATTTGGGCACCAAGAATGTCATTGGTCACAAAATATTCGTAATCCTTGGTTGGATCGCAAACTGGGAGACCAATCGTTGAGAAATCGATTGAAAAGGCGTATCCATTACCATTGGCAGTACACAAAATAATAGCGACCAATGATGTAGTGTTTGGATCATTTTGAATATCTTGAATATCATACATTACACCAGTAGCAGTATCAAATGTATAATCAATAAATGTTAAACCACCATCAATTGAATATCTAAAAAAATAAATAAATAAAAAAATTAAATAAATATATAAAATAAAAATTAAATATATTATTTCCAAACATACGAGATATTATTAGTGTTGATACCAGTATCAGCATAAACAAGAATGGAACCATAGTTTACAAATTCATAGATGGATGGGTTATCGAAAACTGCATTCCAACTTTGACCACCATCTCTTGTTAAAAAGGTGCTAATTTTGTTTAATGGAGCAGATGGAGAGATACCATTGTTTACAATACCACTGGCAAATGCAAGACCGGGTGCATGATCATGTGAATAGAATGCACCATATCCTCTTTTGGTATAAGTAGTTTGTCCAAAAATATTTAAAGAGTTTTGCTAATAAATTAAAAATAAATAAAAATAAATATAAGTTGTTTCTTATTATTTCTTTTTTGTTTTGTTTTGTTTTTTGTTTTACCTTGTTTGGATTTGGTAATGGAGCAGCAAGTTGAGCCCAGTTACCACCATTGTTGTAGGAAATGAGAGATCTCAAGATTGGACTCTTGTTGGCTCCGGCTTGATATGGGTTGGTGACATTGTTGATAATGTAGACACCTGGGAGACCATAGAATGGAGTGAAATCATAGCTATCGAATCTGTTATCCATGTCGTGATTATGGTTGACATATTGAGCTTGAAGAGTGAAAATGTTACCATAGGAATTTGATACATAAATGCTTGAATATGGTGGAGAGGTTGCTGTAGACTTTGGTGAAATACCCAACCAAATAGCTCCAGTTGTATCATCCAAAACTGCAAATTCCTATAAAAAATAAAAAAAATAAAAGTAAATAACTAATAATAATAATTATTTTCTTTTTTGATTTCTTACATTAGTTTCAACAACTTTACCAAATGGGAATTGACATTGTAAGAAACCCATTACATTATTGCTGACTGGATCTTGATTTGAACGAACATAGAGACTGGTGCCAGCACCAAAAGTGGCGGCAACATATAAATAATTGTCAGTAGAGTCGATATCTTTGGCACCATCAATAATACTAGTGGTGGTCTTTCCAAAATCAGATGTATAAATCAATGATGAAGTTCCATCAGCCTTTGTTCCAATGGCAAAAATACCAACAAGTGATTCATCAGAACTAAAAAGGAAAAGGAAAGAAAATAGGATTAGTAGATTGCAACTCACCTCTTTCTTTCATTACACGTCTATCTTTACATACTCGGTACTTGCAGGATCCCAATAAGCTTCTTTAATCTTGAGAGAGGTCAAGATTTGATTCCAAGTGACACCAAAATCGGTAGAGACGTAGAGGTTCTTGTTGTTATTCATTGCAATCAAATTACCAGTGACTCTAGGGTTGACTTTGAGCGATGTGAGAGCAACATTGATAACATGGAGTAAAAAGGACTGACCGCCATCTTGAGAGATGAGCATATAGGTCTTTGGTTGAGTTGGTGGTGAAATGGTCATAACCATCATTGGATTGACAGCGTCAAAGAGAATATCTTGTACTGGTACACCTTCTCCATTGGGTAATGCCAATTTTTGAAATGTAAAACCAGAATTTACAGATTTGTATAAAAAGTTACTAGTATCTGAAACATAACATGTCTATAGAGAGAGAGAGAGAGAGAGAGAGAGAGAGAGAGAGAGAGAGAGAGAGAGAGAGAGAGAGAGAGAGAGAGAGAGAGAGAGAGAAAGATATAAAAAATAATGTTAAAAATACATGATCTATGTATATATAAACTACGACATACTTTAGAATCTACCCAAGTCCAAGCATTCCAATTTATTATTTGTTTGTTGGCATTTGAGGGTTGAGGGAAGCCATAAAGCTCGGCACTGACTGATAACAATGCTGCTAGTGCAATCAACACCAACAACAAGTGTTTTGAATTCATCATCTTCTTCTTCTTCTTCTTCTTGTTGAAGTTGCTAATATTAAGAATTAATATAATATATAAAAAGAGTCGAGTGTTAATGTTTGATGTTCATCAAATGCTAGAGAGAATATAAAAAAAAAAGAAAAAAAAGAAAACTATGATTCTATGATAGATGATGTATTTGATTGATTGAATTGACTACTAATAGTAGTAATATTATGTCTATCTCTATTTCTGTCTGTCTGTCTGTCTGTTAATGTAATTCTCTATCTCTCTTTTCTCTCTTCTTCTTCTTCTTGCTTGTTCTACTTTTTGTTGTTGAGCAAAGAGAGTGAAAAGTGAAGTAGGTAGAGCGCGCAGACAGTAGAGCAGGTAGATGTGTGTGATTGGTTGATGGTGAACTGCTGTAATAGAGTTGTTTTATCATCATAGTGGTGGTGGTGGTGGGTAGTGGTAGTGGTGGCTGTCAATGTAGCAGGAAACCCAACCCCTAACATATATACATGGTTTGGTTTGAATTCTATTTGAGTTTGCAATCATTATTATTTTATGTGTTATGCGTATCTTTAATATCAAAGAATTTCTTTTCTCATCTCTCTATCTCTATCTCTATCTCTATCTGTATTGAGGAGAATAGTTGTGAAGTTCATTTCATCTTTTAATCTCTTCCTCTTCCTACTTTGATAATATTGAAATTAAAAAAAAAAGATAAATGTAGTGATAAGATAACTAATAGCTATATACTTTACTTTATATATATCTAGATATAATTTATAATATTAATTAATAACAAAGAAGTTTTCAAAAAAACTCTAGTCTTAGTTTCACAGCAGCAGGAGAGAGGTGATGTCACACCCTCCAAAACTGAGGAATTAAAAACCAGATTTTTTTTTTAATATGACAGAGCAGATCCAAAAACGAAGGACGGAATGTTCACTTGCTATTTCGACCTACTTATATATTTGATATCATATCGAAACTTGTGTAGGGTGAGATATCTCCAGCAATAACAAGAGTACTCTGATTATTATTATTATTATTATTATTATTATTAAACAAAGTTGTATAATTATTTTTTTATTATTGTTAAAACGATGTGTTTACATTATTTATTTATTTTTAGTTGTTTGTTTTATGCAGAAGGAGCAGCAAGAGGACCAAGAATATGGTTATTATTTTGTCGATATACTCTTTCACGTGATTCTCTAATGGCTTCACGAGACTTTACACGCATTTCATGTAGTTTACTTGGATCCATTTGGTCGACGGGTGACTTGTACAGGTTGTCCCAACTCTCGAGATTCTTTGTAAGCGTTTGTTCAAAGAGTTTGAGGTGTTGTTCAATCTCTAGTTTGACACGATCCTTGTAGTCAAACTCTACTCCATACATCTTGGCAATAATGTGGTCTCGTTGTTCGTCGATTCTGTCAATGAGGTCATGACCTACGTCCTTGGCTTCATCCCAGATCGATTCACCCAGACGATGGAAATCAATGTTTTGTGGAAGCGGTGAATGGAAACGACCGCCGTGCAAAGGCATTGGGACGACTGGTGGACGGTTACCAAGATTATCGAGGAATTCTCGAATGGTACGTTGATGCTCCAAATCGACTTGATGTGGATGATGAATGTTTGGTTGGTTGTAGATATCTATACGTTCACGTTGATAGAGATGGTAAGAGGTGGATTCTGACTTGTTGGTTACTGTGTATACGTTTTGGGCAGCAGGTACAGCTTTACTGGTACCCTGGTCAGCCTGGTACGTGCCAACTTCGATGAGTGCGTGAAAGTGGTCTTTAAGCATCGACCACAGTTGCTGTAACTTTAGAGATGTCTTGTGTGCCAAATGTTCGGTTGCCAGCATTGGTGGTTCAGGAACTGGTTTAAAAACACTGGCATAGAGATTGTAAAAGATGAATGCAACTAGTATTGGTGCCAACACAGTAAATATCTTTTTAAACAATTCTCGTCCTTGGTGAGCTCGACCGTGACCGTGATGATGATGGTGTCCATGGCGATGATGACTCTGTTGTTGTTGTTGTTGTTGTTGTTGACGGGTTTGAGTGGGACGTAGTGGAATACCATCCTCGACCAAATTTTGGTAATCTTCAACCACACTATTTCCAGCGTGGCTTTGTTGTCGACTAATCAATGGAGGTGACATGATGGTAGTAGTCGACGACGACGATCCACCTATTGAGCTAGATGTTGCAGCCTCATCTGCTCCACCGCCACCACCCCCACCACCAGCTACTGTCGTTTTTCTTTTATTTATTCGACTAGTCATACTATATTCTATTATTATTATTATTTATTTTTCTTTTAAAAACATATATATATATATATATATTGAAACAAAAACTACTACTACTACTAGTATTTAAAATATTTTAAAATATTAAATGTGAAATGGGATAGGATGGTTTGTTCAAATAATAATATTATTTTTTTTTACTATCTATTGTTGAGAGTTGTGAAAAAAAAACTAGTCAAAAAACAATTTGAATGGTGAAAATACTCTATCTACTATATAGATCTTATAGATAGATAATTAATTTTCATTACTTTATAATAATTAATTATTTTCCAATTTTGGAAAACTCATAATTTTTTTTTTTTAGATTTCCATTTTTTTTTTTTTTTTTTTAATAATATTAAATCGAATTTTAGATTATTCTACAAGATTCGATATTCTCTTTCGGTCAGTCGGTTACCCCTAACTGACTGATTGATCAACTTTTTTTTTATACTATAACAACTTTCAAGTAAATATTATTTCCCCCTTGAAATGCACATCAGCTCTATCAACCATTTGAGAAAAAATTAATAAAAAGATTTTGTTTCCATTTGTATTTTTGAAAATTGGAAAATACAATTGTATTGTTTTTTGATATTTTAAATTCAAAATTGATCAATATCTTACCAATCCCATTGAATTGACAACAAGAAATTTATAAATAGATGATGTTTGGAATCATACAAATCAGAATTTTTAAAATACTCATTAGAGAAGTTGCAATCGTTCGCGATGAACGCTAAACATTCTCTTACTTTGCTTTGGCAAATCAAATTTCAAAGGAATGTTGGTAAATATTATAATATAGGCTGATGATTCAAATATTTGGAAGGTTCAAAATATTTAAAATCAAGTGAGGCAATTAAACCAACAAACCTTTAAAATCAAATATTAAATTAAAGATATATATATATATAAATGAGATTTATCAATATGATTGTTATATTATCATTAATATTTACTTTTTATTTTTTACTTCTTAAAGTCTTTTGTAATTTGTTTTAACAAATGGCATTACTACAACTTCTCCTTTAACTGGTTTGTTACGAATAGTAATAGTAACATTAGAACCGGCCTTGGAAGATTCGGTTGGGACGTATCCCATAGAGATGTATTGTTTGGTGACTGGGGAGACTGTGCCAGAGGTGATCTTGCCGATGGCTTTACCGTCATTGTCGACAATGACAGCACCTTCACGGACTGGAATACCACTTAAGAGTCCAACACGCTTCTTGGAGACACCTTCTTTGAGTTGTTGTTGAATGATCGATGCACCTGGGAAACCACCTTGTTCACGACGACGCTTGGTGATGAGCCATGCCAAAGATGCTTCAATTGGAGTGATAGTTTCATCCATATCGTGACCATAGAGACAGAGACCAGCTTCAAGACGCAAGCTGTCACGTGCACCGAGACCGGCTGGCTTGACGACAACACCGCTTTCAGCATCGAGCAACATTCTTGTAAATTGTTCGGCGTGTTTGTTTGGTACAGAGATTTCAAAACCGTCTTCACCAGTGTATCCACAACGTGTGACGATCAAGTCAATACCGTCAAGTGTCATGTCCATCTGTGTCATAAACTCCATCTTGGAGAGATCGCGACCCAACACTTGGCTGACGATACGTTCGGTTTCAGGTCCTTGCACAGCAACCAATGCGCTGTCACCCATCAACTCCATGGCAACGTCTTTACCACTGGCACGAAACTCGGCAATCTTGTTGTTCATGTGAGCAATGTCCTTATCGGCACAGCCGGCATTCACAACAACGTACAACGAGTCGGCCTTTTTAGTAATCATCGTGTCGTCAATGATACCACCATTCTCGGTGGTGAATACAGACAACTTTGACTTGTTCTCTTGAGCAGCTTGCAAATCGGCCACTGAAATCGATTCCATAAACTCGATACGGTCGCGACCGTGTAAACGCAACTGACCCATATGTGAAACATCAAACAATGCACTCTTTTGACGACAGTGCATGTGCTCGGTCAATACACCGGTTGGATACATCAAAGGCATGTCCCAACCACAAAACTCTACCATCTTGGCACCCAAGTCACGATGCAACTTGTTGAGTGCAGTCTTTTTCAAAGGTTGTTGTGTTGTAGTACATTTGAATCTGCTCGAACAACTAATCGTTCTAACACTACTGCTCATCAAAGTCTTTGATGTTAATTGACTAAATATTGTTACTGATGACATTATATCTAATATACAAATATATATTAATAAAAATAAATAACAAACACACTCTTCTCTAAATAATCATCAAAGCCGACCAAAAGAGGTAAGAGTTGATGATGAGTTGAAGATCAAAAATTAAAAAAAAAACAAATAATTTAAATTTAATTTAACACCAACCCCTATAACCAAAGTACTTCATCTTACCCAACATTCGGAGGTGTCATTTTTAATATCTGTATTCTATCTTCATACATACACATATTTATATATTATTTATTCTTTTATCAATCTAAAAAGGATGTCATTAAAAGAGGTTTTATTATCATTCCTTCAGATCATTCCTGATCTAATCACATTGACGGTTCAAATCATTGGTTGTCTATTATTCTCCTTTATTTCACCGTTACTTCATCTGATCAATTTATTCAAAGTTAAACAATTCCCTTCACCTAAAACAATAGTTATGTAAGTTTGATTGATTGATTGATGAATGATAGATTATATATTATAATATAAATATATTATATATCATCGGATTACTAATAATATTATGGTTACACTCTTTGTAGAACTGGAGCATCAAGTGGAATTGGAAGATCATTGGCAATTCAATATGCTGATAAAGGAAAGGTTATTGCCATTACCGGTAGAAACAGAGATAGATTAAATGAAGTTGCCAAGAAAATAGCTGACAAGGGTGCTATCGTTGAGATTGGTGAATTTGATGTAAGCAATCGTTCAGAGATGTCTAGATGGTTACTTTCACTAGACAAGAGATCTCCAGTCGATCTTGTCATTGCAAATGCCGGAACAAGTGAATTTGTACTTGGTGATGAAGCTGGCACCTTTGAAGACAGATCCTATCAAATTGTAGAAACCAATGTATTGGGTGTCCTCAATACAATCAATCCACTCCTTCCAATCATGAGACAAAGAAAACATGGTCAAATTGTAATCGTTGGTAGTATGTCTACTTATTTCTGTCATGTACTTGCTCATTATGTTGCTTCTAAAGTAAATATACATAATATATACATATTATATAGAATAACCAATAACTAATAATATATTAATTATTAATTATTAATTATTAATTTCAATTAGTGTTGGGTACATGGATTAGCAACAACTCTTAGAAAGGAGTTGGTTCATTATGGAGTTGGAGTTACACTATTGACACCTGGATTTGTTCAAACTGGTATGACCACTTCATTACCATCGTCCATCAAGACACCAATGATTATAACGGCCGATCAAAGTGCTGCCATCTTTAAACAAGGTATCTCTGAGAACCGTGCACAAGTCATCGACAATTTTGGAACATCTCTTATTGGTACTATCGTCCAACGTGTTCCATTGAATCTTAAAGACGCCTATCATGTCATTGCCGAGTATATCTATCCATCTGGAGAATACGATATCTTTGCTAAATCTGACCCCTCTTCATCGTCTGTTCCTCCAACCACCACTAGCGCTAAAAAAAATCAAAGTAAAAAATCAAAGTAATTTGATGATGGCGATCCCTCTAGATTCTTAGTTTTCAAATTATTATTAGTTTAATAAATAAGAGAGATATCTCAATAGATATGTAAATAGAAATAACATTGTATTTTAAAATCAACTTTATAATAATCAATAATCAAACATCACAAAACAAGAATAGATACAACAACAAACAAATGAGTAGAAGGGCATTAAGTCAAAGAAATGAATTATCAGCAAAAGTTAAAGATACATTAAGTAAAACACCTACAAAGGGATCGGCTCCTTCTTCATCCACTTCATCATCTAATGATAATCAAACAAGAACAAAGAAAAAGATTATTGTTGAAAGTAGTGACGATGATGACGATCAAGATGAGAATGATGAGCCAGTGAAACCTGTAAAGAAATCTACTTCTACCACTACAAAGAATACTTCATCATCAACCAACAAACCATCATCAGCTTCATCATCATCATCAACAACTAACAAATCTTCATCATCTTCATCAACAACTAATAAACCATTGTCTTCATCCTCAACTTTAAAACCAATATCATCATCATCATCAATAACTAAAACAAAGCCATCATCTGTGGAATCAACTTCTGTTTCATCAAAACCTGTACCGACATTGTCATCGACAACAAGTACTAAATCTAAACCTACTGATCAAGTTCAAGTAGAAAGAACCAAAACAAAGGCAAATGAATCAACAACGATTTCCAAAGAAGAGGAAGAATTCAAAAGAATGGTTATGAAAAGATATCAAGACGAAGCAAAGAAAAAAGGTTGGTCATTTAATCCAGATAAATCATACAAACATATTGATACCAAATCTATGTCAAAAATGATATTATCTCTCATTTTATTGGAAGATCAACAACAACAACAACAAGAGGAAGAGGAACAACAATTATTGGAAAAAGTACACAATGTGAATCTTGGTAATGATTCACAAAAACAATCAATTAAACCGACCACTACTCCAAAAGGTGGATTGTCATCACAATTAAAGCAATTGAGGAGATTAAGTTCATCCTCTTCTAATATTATGACAATGTTGGAAAATGTACCATTATATGATACAAATCATGAAAAAGTTAAAGTAAAAGAGGAAAAGACAACCACAATCCCAACGAGCACTCTTCCTCCTCCCCCATCAAAGAATAATAATAGTGTAGATGATTTGATGCAAAATATTAAAAGATTAAGTATTCAACCTAACAACAACAAATCCATAAATTCAACAACACCTTCTTCTTCTTCACAACAACAAATTAAAATTGAATTTGATGATAGTCCTCATCTTCCAGCAAAACCTAAACATGTGTATGTATATATAGAGAGAACAATATTTATTTATTTTTATTGACCATTCCAATTTTAATTAAATTTAGATATATTGATGAAATGAATGGATCGATGGGAAAAGATGATACAAATCCAAATGATATATTAAATGTTCCACCTTTAAACAATTTTATAAATGCTACAATACGTCAATATGAAAACTTTATAATGTTTAAAAAGGAATATGCTGCCATTTATTTTGAAAGAATGAATACTACAATCTTTCAAAATAGATTCCCATCACATCAACAAATGATTGAATTTGAACAACACTCTGGATTAGATAATCCACAACAAAGTGTAGCACCAGCAAAAGTATCAATTAAAGAAAATGAATCAAAACAAAGAACCGCCATCATCATATTAAATTTAAATGAAATTAAAACTATTCGTAAGTTTATATAAACCGAAATAATAATAATAATAATACCAATCTATTTATATATATTAACTGATTTATATTTATTTATATATTTATTTTATTTAGAAAAAATGGTAAATGTATTATGTCATCAAATGTGTCATGCAGCAACATGGATATTTAATGATAGTACGGTTCCACATGGTACACAATTTAAGTATTGGGTACGATTGGCATTGGCTATATACCCCGATTTATCGATTGATCTTTGTGATAATTACAACTCCAACTCTAAATTCCACTACAAGTGTCAAAACAAACAATGTACAGTCACCTTTGGTAGACCATCTAAATTGACAGAGACCATTCTGTGTGGTCAATGCAATTCACCTATTGTACCAATGAGTTCGAGTGACTCGACTGGTACTGGCACTGGCAACAACCATCTGGTTGACAAATGCGATGACGCTGAATTCAAAGCATTCTACTATGAACATTTAGAGGAAATCGAGAAAAAGTATGGCAAACAAATCCCAAACGAACAGAAACTTTCAATTGCCAGATTAAAGTTTAAACAATTGGCAAAGATTCAAAAAGTTAAATTAATCAAATAAAATCAATACTATCTGCTGAATGGATTCTATTAAAATTTGTACAACTAATTTAAAAAGCCTTTTGGAACAAGATCGAGAAGAAAACAAAAGTGATGAACATAGATTTTTATTTAAAAAAAAGATAATTTATAAATCATGGATGACGGAAGAGAGAGAGAGACCAAAAAAGGTAAAAACTGGGTTCCCGAAAAGACAGCCCTTTGGAAGCCAGGTCGAAAAGTAGACACGAGGTCGTGTTCAACTTAGGCCAAAAACCAAATTTCACAGCGCATCAATCGATCATGATGATGGCACCCACCCAAGTGTCCTCTGTCAGCGGGCTCTGGCTGGTTTCACTCTATTACCACACCACTAATAAAACAGCTCAGCTGACAACCACCACATCACCATCGTAATGCGCTTGAAAGCGGTACAACAACAACTATCACATCAAGTCAACTCTTACATTCATTAAAAACACACACAACAACAAACAAACAAAGAAATAGAGATTTATCTCTTCGCGAGAGTAAATAACATAAATTCAACTTAGTTTACTTCTTACCTCTATCCTTGTGTATTTTACTTTAGAAATAATAATAATAATAATAAGGAGAGGAGGAGTTAACCAACCACTACAATTTTGTAATATATATATATATCTATTAACATACTAGCAACCAATAATATTGTAAAACTAAAAGAGATAGGTAGAGATCATCTATACCTATACATCCTTTTCATTTTCATTCAAAATACAGTAGTACCATCCAACGAACCAACGAACCAACCAACTTTACAACAACAACATACAAGATATTTATAATATATTATAATAATAATAATTACTTTAAACCTTTTTTAAATATCTTCTTCTTTATTCATTCATACTATACTATATTCTACTTCTATTTATCTCTTCTCTCCTCTCTCTCTCAGAATGAAATTTTCAAAATACTTGAATACGGTTAGCATTTGGAATCAACATTGTATACCATACCAAAAACTAAAGAGAAAACTAAGACTATACTTTTCACCAAATGCGCAATCACCCATCAACGATCAACGTCCACCTTCCTCTTTAGGATTGTCACCACTACCAACCAATGGTATTTCTAGTGACTCTCCATCATCTCATTCTTCATCATCTTCTACATTGTCACCATTACATTTAAATATTCCAATACTACACAATGGTAGTGGTAGCAATGGATCTGTTCAAACAAAAGTATCACATAAAGAATTCCTTACATTACTCAAGATTGAAATACAAAAGGTTGATCAATTCATAGTTGACCAGGAAAAGGAATTCTATCAACGATTCTTAAATCTTTTGTCTCGATTCAAAGCTGTCGATTTCTCATCACCATTCTCTTCGTTTTTGTATCCAATCAATCAAAGTGACCCTAATCATCAAAGAGAGGTCAATCCAATGCTGTCGTTCCAAGCTGCTTTTGAAGATGTCATCAAACAGTTGGCTGATTTGGACGAGTTTGCCAAGATCAATCGTTGGGCAATTCAAAAGCTTTTGACTACCTATACCAAGAAATATATGAAGTCAGAGTCACGTAGTAGAAAGGGTAGTATGGGTGAATCGACAAGCAACAAACCACTACTACCCAATCTCAATGGAAGTGCATTAAAAAATGGTGATGACTCTAATCCAAATTCTCCAGTTGTATTACATAAAGAGACTACAAATATTACCACCACACCAACCAAACAATTACATCAAAATGATATCGATAAATTCTTTAATGAATATGTATCAACATTGGAAATTGGAAATTGTAACAACTTAAAGAAAATAACTTTGGAAATTGAAAGAGAATATCAATTTATTTTATCAAGTGGTTTAAATTTCATTAATAATCCTTTTATTAATTTATTAAGTGTATGTACATAGTTTATAGTAAATCATGTGATTCAATATCCAACCCGTTGTATTTATATTTATATTTATATTTATATTTGTATATTTTAGGATAAAGAAAAAGAATTATCAAAAATGATTACAGTTCTTTGTCAATCAATTATAAATAATAATTTTAATTTATTAAAAGAGTAAGTATAGGTATAGGTATATTACAAGAATATAATCAATCCTCATACATAGATAGATAGATATTAATATATTATTTTTTTATTATTTTTTTTTAAGGAATATTTTAATAATTAATAATTTAATGAAAGAATTAAATATTAATATTAATACAAATTTAATGTTAAAAGAAGCAATTCATTCATGTATATGTAAAACGATTTATTTGGGTAGTATTGAAATGACAGAATATTTATTTTCAATGTACCAAGACATTGTTAATATCAATTTCCGTGACGAGGTTGATAAACAATTTATCCATATAGGCGCAGAGCATGGCCACGCCAACTTGTTGGAATTTATATTAAAACGCGGAGGAAACATTCAATCTAGAGACCATCTGATGCGTACTCCATTGCATTTGGCAGCGGCTGGTGGTCATGTGGACGCCGTTCGTCTGTTGGTCGACAGAGGTGCCAAGGTTGACGACTCTGACCGTTCCAAATCAACACCACTTCACTTGGCTAGCCGTAGTCGTGGAGTGACTGCTCCGACAGTGGTAGAGATTTTAATCGAACGTGGTGCATCGCTGGCGACGCCGGCTGTCCACGGGAGATTACCAATCCACGAGGCTGCTGCCAAGGGATTGGTCGATAACCTCAAACTTTTACTAATCGATACCGATATCATCGACGCACAAGATAGTTTTGGTAGAAGTCCATTGATTGAAGCTTCTCGAAATGGTCACAAGGAAGCTGTTCAAATACTTCTCGAGGCAGGTGCAAATGTCGATCGCGTCGATGAAGATCGTCGCACCTGTCTTCACGAAGCAGCTTCTTGTGGATCATTGGCTACGTTGGAGTTGTTGTTATCAAACATTCGCGATGGTGGTGGTAAAGAGCAGGTGTCTCGCATTGTCAACCTCCAAGACGACGATGGTTGGACTGCCCTCCACGAAGCAACCTACCAAAATTGGGTACCATGTGCCAAAGTCTTGTTGGAGCATTTTGCCAACCCATACACTCCAGACAAGGGAGAATGGTCACCCATCGTCCACTCTTTGTATCGTGGAAACATTCAATCGTCACTTGCCATCATCGATTACCTCAAAGCAAACCCATCCACTGTATTCGAACAACAAAGTAGTGTGCCAAGTACACCAAAAGGATTAAAAGATTCAAATGGACAATTATTTAAAGATGAAAAGGTGACCAGTGTTGAACCGCCCGCTCAAGATCTAGCTGGAGGAGAGACAAAATCACCAAAAACTCCCTCAGTCTTGTCAAAGAGTGGAGCTATCAATTTATCATCATCTTTATTATCTATTCTAAAAGATAAGGAAATTGAACAGCAACAGCAACAGCAACAACAACAACAAAAGGCAACATCGCCTGTAACAAAAAATAACAAGATTACCAAATCAATGATATCAACTGTAATATTTAAAATTATATCAAGTGTAAAGAGTGATCAAGGTTACAAGGTTGGCATTATTGGAAATAGAAAGGCATTGGGTAAATGGAATCCATTGCATGCACTGTTTTTGGAAAAGGTTGAGACTATTAATGGAGCATCTGGTGAAAGTATTTGGGTGGGTAAGGCATCAGTCCCAACCAACGTTCAAATCGAATATAAATATATTATTTGTCAAGGCAGTCGTTTGGATAGTTGGGAGACACTGCCAGAGAATAGAAAGTTTACACCAGAGGAGGAAAACGAACTCATCAATGACGGTACCTTTGGTAGCATTATCGACCCAACCAACGGTGAAATTATCAACACTCTTACCAACCAAACTAACCAACAGACCGATCTCCAGGAAAGTTTGGTCAAGGAATACCTTAACAACAACAATGAAAAGTTTATCGAAAAGGGGTACCTCGTAAACGACACGCAAGTTAAAATAAGATTTGGAAACATCTTGAGCACCGATCCACAACGACGCATCTTGCAGCCAATCAAAATGTTTACAGCCAACCAAAACCTTCAAGTTGGTAGAGTTGTAGTATCGCTCTGCACACAACAAAAGTTTGGAAGTGATTCGAATCTATTGGCTGGAACCGATCCAACCCAAATCACACTTCCAATTAGCAAGGATCAGACTATTACCTTTCAAACACCTAATATCCAGGAACTCTCGATCGTCCAATTCGATCTCTACAAGAGAGGAATGTCGAGCGTGTTGGTTGGTCGTGCCAGTCTTTTGGCCAAGGACCTGTTGTGCAGAAATAGCTATGTTTGCACATGTCCCATTATGAACTCGACGTTGCAGACGATTGGAGAGTTGACCTTTTTCCCGCTCGTTGTCAGTCCGTTCCACCATCCACGTATATCTGATGTGCTCTCCAATGTATTTTGGAAGTCGACACTTTTAATTGGTCATCGTGGAGGTGGTGCCGAGAATGCACGAGCTGTAGGTCGGTACCGTCGTACGCATATCAAGGAGAATACCATTCTCTCCTTTGTCACTGCTGCTTCGCTTGGTGCCCAGTACATCGAGTTTGACGTTCAATTGTCGCGTGAAAAGATTCCCATCATCTACCACGACTTTGAGGTTGCAACTGGTATTGGCGCCATTAAACTACCACTCAATCGTCTTCCAGTAGCTCAAATCTCTGAAATTAAAAAGGATCAACAAACTTCAAAATCTCAATCACCAATCAATAATAATAATAGCAATAACAGTGGCGGCGCGGCAACAAAACAAAACGCCAACCAACAGGCATCTCAACAACAACTAAAGAAATCAAAATCAATGACAGATTTGACAGTCAGCGAGATTGGATCAGGTAACACCAACATTAGCTCACCACCTTTTAATCCACATATGAATACTTCATCATCTGCATTCTCCAATCCAAATGTAGGAATTGGTATTGTAGATACGATGGCAACACTAGAACAGGCATTCAAATCAGTTCCAGCATCGACAGGATTTAATATTGAAATTAAATATCCAAGTGTTGAAGTTGAGGACATGCTACGTCTCAACAATGTCAATCGTAACGAATACGTAGACGCCATTCTCAATGTTGTATTTGATCATGCTGGATCTCGTCCAGTCATCTTTTCATCTTTTGACCCTGATATTTGTCTGCTCTGTTCTCTCAAGCAACCAAGATACCCGGTCTTTTTCCTAAGCAATGCAGGTCTCAGCCAACACTCTGATCCTCGTTGCAACTCGATTGCCGAAGCCATTCGATTCTCCAAATCCTCTCATCTCTTGGGTATTGTCACCAATTCAAGAATCCTAGTCGAAGGTACTCCAATCATTGGTGAAATTAAAATGGCTGGTCTTATGCTCTGTAGTTGGGGTGCTGAAAATAATGATCCCCAACAAGTTGACCTCCAAGAAACTCTTGGTGTCGATGCAGTCATTGTTGATCATGTTGCCTATGTTTCAAAACATTATAATAATTAAAATTATATAATAAAATATATACAATTGTCATATTAATATAAATATAAAACTATAAGCGCATTTATTTATTTTTAGAATTGGTCTTCTTCTGATATGATGGTAGATACACGACATTCAAAAGGAGAAAGAGAAGTATACATTCTATGAGGCATCATTTGAGAATCGCTGAATGGTCTTGGTACATAACTTCGTGTGATATATTCCTTTACACTTGGTCGAGTGGTAGAAGCATCCTGATACATTCCAAAAATGACATTGGAAACAAATGAGTGTTCGCTTTCTCGTATGTCACTGTATCCTTGATTGTACAAATTGTTTATGATTCGATCATGTTTTCTAAACTTGGATTTTAATGATGTCAACTTTGATAATGAATTTTCAATCTCTTGAATACTCTTAAATATTGGTTCATATTCATTCTTTTTACTAAAAGAAAAAGAGAAAATAAATTAGTTAATAAATTAAATTATTTGTAGAGAGATTGTTTTTTTAATTTACATTTCTTTTGGTATATGTAATGGCCAAAGAGAATTTAAAGATTCAATATATTTATCAATTAATTGTTTCAAATGAGGATGATTCATTCCAAGACAATATTCATTTGAAATATGTGATGATGATACTTCTGTTGAAAACATTATTGCCAATGATGATAATATTACACTTGTAATTCTAAAGAAATAAAGAAATATATTAGTACATTTGGTAGGTCTTATATTTTGTTTTTGTTTTTAGCTTACTGATATAATAAATCTGAAGGATGAACAGATTCTAAATATTGAATTGCTCTTTGGGCATGTTTGTTAAAATCAAAAAGTGGAGGTTGATCATGTGCGTGAATTGGTTTGGCCTCAACCCATGTCTTTCTCCAAATATTCTTACGATTCATTCTTTCACTCAATTTTCCGTCTCGTCCATACCCAGTCAAATGTTTTCTTCCATTTGATTCATCCACCATGATTTCATCCTCGACAATTCCAAATTCCTCTACAATGGTTTCAATTTGTGGATCGACTTGCTTTTCAGCTTGTTTGTTTTCATTGTTATTTAAAGGTATCCAATCTCTTGCTGAATGCCATCTAATAAAGTCTTCAAATACGCAACCCTTGTTTGCATGTTTGAAGGCTTGCATATCAGAGAGAAGGGATGGTGTTTGCATCTTTAATCTGATTTCGTTTGCCTCTTCAGAATCACCCAATCTGACCAATTCCTCCAACTGTTCATTTACCAAGTCATCAGTCATTGGACCAAATTCTTGTGTCTTTGGTATAACAATTTCTCTATTTTCATATAACAAGTATTGTCCTTTTAGAATTTCTCCATCTATTGCAATGGTTTCATCTGATGATTCCTCTAGTTCCTCCTCTTTAATTGTATTACCATCATCATCAATACCATCCAAATCCAAATCATCATCATCCCAACCTTCAGATTTTGAAACTACAACATTTTCCTTTGTTTCCTTTGATGATTCAGATTTTGAAAATTGATAATTATTATTATTATTATTTTTACTATTATTAATTGTTTCCTTTTCAATTTTTTTTTGAATACAATAATTTATCTAAAATAAATATAAATAAAAAATATTAATAAAATGATCGAATCAACTTTTAATATATATTTACCATTTGTAATTGTTGATAAATTAAACAACTATTCATATTAATATGAGAAGAGGTAAAAGTTCTTGGAATCAATAAAGAATTTTCCCAATGCCATTTAATTTCACCAATAAACTCTGTCCAAAATAATAAAATACTTGCCAAACTTGAAAAGTTTAAACAAATAATACTAAATGAAAAGAATAATGAATCAATTGGACATCTCTTGAATGATGGATTCTAAAAAAAAAAAATTAATATATTAATATTTATAACTTGAAAGAATTCTTTAATTTTTGTACATTTACTTACTTTATAATTTGGTAAAAAACTATTTAAAAGATCTTCTGTAATATTATTAAAATGTGATGGATCCTTTTTATCCTTTTTATCAAAGAATAAATCACGTAAAATGAGATCAATTTCACGATCACTTGGTATTACTGGTGTTCCAATTAAAGATTTTGATAAACTAGATCCCATTGATTTCATTAATGATTGTTGTTGTGGAGGTAACTGTTGTTGTGGTTGTTGTTGTTGATTGAATCCAGGTTGTTGTTGTTGACCTGTTAAATTTGGACTATTTCCAACACTTGAACCTCTTTCTTTTTCTTGATTGACTGTAAAGTTATTACGAATATTATAGTCTGACAATACTTGATAGGTTGAAGTTGTCTTTAAAGATTCTGAAAATGCACCAAATACACTGGCCAAACAATTTGACATTTGGAAAAGTGATGAATGAGGCTTTCTAAAAATCGATTTAATAAACCAACTCTTTGATTCTAATCCACTAATTTCATTCTCCAAAAGATGAATACTTTTTAATGGTGGATACATTACACAAAATTCCAATTCTAAAAAACAAATCATAAAATATATTGTTAACAAAAAGATTATTAAATTATCTTTCAATATAGACATACGTTCAATTGGATCCATTGGAAAACCCCAACTAAATCTCATTGATTCTAAAATCTTTGGCATTGGTGCATCTTCATCTTCATCATCTTCCTCATCGGTACTTTGATTCAATCTATCCTGATTTGTTGATTGTTGTTGATCTTGTTGTTGTTTGTTATGATTTAAATCATCAATATATCTCCATTCATATTCATCCCAATCACTCTTTATAAAAGTATATTTTGTTGATATAGTTGATAATGCTAAAAATTGATCCCAATTTCTATCATCTGGATCTGATGACTAAATTAATTAATAATTATATTAATATTAATAATTAGTTTTCATATATATTTATCTTATTAATTATTCATACCAATTTAGAATAAAATATACGAAGTTGTTTTTCAATTGATTCATTAATGTTTTGATGATTGTTTAATGTTGAAGGATTGATAGATTCAGTTGCAAATTTGATGGTAAAATAATTTGAATCTTTGTTTCTTGACATTGGTGAATACATATATCCAATGAAATTTTCTAATCTCTTTTCATCAAATCCAACAAATGCTGGTATATTTGTACTAAAACATAAAAGTAATATTAGTAATCTCAAGTCGCACCGACTTTTTATAATGAATGATCTTTATGTTTCTTGTTCTCACCAATTAGCATTATGAAGAGCAACAGTAAAAGCAGATAGAATAGTTGATAATTCAGATAATCCAGGGCCACTATCCTTTAATGCCAACAAAAGAAAATAACGTCCAACTCCAAACCAATTTGAAAAGTTTTCTACTTGATGATGTCTTTGTGTCGATATACTATTGATACTGTCAGCAGGTGCAGTACTAGCATATGGATTAATTGTACTAAACATTATAAAATCATTCTTTGCATCCATGAAACCTTTAAATGAGACGACAAAGATATTAATATATAATAAGTCTAAATGAATAAATGAATGTCTTATCATTTGATTGATATACATTACAATTTGGTTTAACAATATTATTATTATTCTTTGATCTTGCCGATGATGATGATGAAGGTGAAGAAGAGTTTGGTGGTAAAGGAGATCTATAAATGAATTGATAGGAGTGTCCATCATATTGAATAGTTGCATCAGATGATGATGTTGAAGCAGCCTCTTTTGATTTTGTACATTTAATGATTAGATTCTCTAGCTTTGAAATCAGTGTCTCCCAACTACTTGCAATAGTAAAGTCAATGATTTCAAATTGATCATCATGTCCATCACTATTATTAGTATTCATCACTCCACTACTTGTTTGATGAGTAGTAGTTGACATTATCTTTCTTTCTTCTCTCTCCTGTATATCTCTATATATCTATGTAACTCTTGTTGAATCAAATATTATTATTTTTGAACTTGATTTTTGCAACTACCCACTACAAATAATATTAGTGTGTTTTTCAAAAATATATTATTTTCCCTCTCTTCTTTTTGTTTGTGTGTGTTACTACTATTATTATTAATAATATTGTGTATTGTTATAAATATATTTTGTTTTAATTTTATTTGTTGTTTAATTCTTTTTTACATCTGGTACTGAAACTGGATTAAAGAAAAGATTTGGACCAAACCAACGACCATTGAGTAGACCGGACCAGTAGGCAGTTGGGAAGAGGTACTTTTTGAGACCCATGGCAAAGTAACTCTCTTTGGATTGGTCCCATGGAAGACTCTCCTTGGGAATGTTGCCGTAGACAAACTCGGCCAATATGACTTTGTTGCGACTGGTTGTAATGGGGCAACTCGTGTATCCATCGTACTTGGCGGCGAGTGGCTGGCCATTCTTGTGGCTGATGAGGTTGGCTACGAGGACTGGAGCTTGTTTAGTGATAGCTGCGGCAGTCTTGGAGGTTGGAATGTTGGAGCAGTCACCAAGCGAGAATACATTCTCATACTTGACATGTTGCAGTGTCTCTTTGTTGACACTGACAAACCCGGTGGCTGGGTCTGCCAATGGCGAGCTCTTAATCTCGTCAGATGGACCCATCGGAGGAGTGACATGTAACATATCGAATTTAACAACCTTTGGACCTTCAGCAGTCTCAAATACAGCTTCTTTGGTGTCACCACGTACTTCAACCAAATTATGTTTAAAGTTTGGTTGAACATTACGATCTTTGCAAAGACCGTCAAGTGCATCGGAATACTTTTTAACGGCAAACATGGATACACCAGCCGTGTTGAATTGCACCGATATGTTGTTACGTACACCTTCTGTTCTCCAATAATCATCGGCAAGCCACATAATCTTTTGTGGTGCACCTCCACATTTGATGACGGTACTTGGGAATGTAAAGATGGCAACACCTTGCTTCAAATTTTTGATAAAGTCGTATGTCTTTTCGACAGAGTCGAATGAGTAGTTACTTGTCACTCCATTCTTTCCCAATGTCTCTTTTAATCCCTTTATCTTGTCCCAATAGATTGTCAAACCTGTAGCAACCACCAAATAATCATATGATACCTTTTTTCCACTCTTTAATAATACTGAATTTTCCTACAAACCAAACAAACATCAAAGTCAGTCACAGATATATCATATATATTACACTTTCTATACATACATCTGGAATATATTTAATGACAGAATCCTTTTCCCATTTTGTACCTTCTGGAATAAGTGTAGTTTCATCTCTGACGCTATCCTCCTTTTTGAATAAACCTCCTCCTACCAATGTCCATAATGGTTGATAGTAATGCTTTTCACTTGGTTCCTAAATATAATTAAGATGAGTGTTAGTAAGCAGTCTATCATTGTGTCTTGTTTGTTGTATTGAATGACATACAATGATTAAAATATCACCATCCTTGTCAAACTTTCTTTGTAGTTGAGAGGCTGTTGCTAGACCACCAGCACCTCCACCAGCAATAACTATCTTTGTTGCTTGTTTAGGTGGTGATGGTGTGAATGATGTAACAAGTAATTTAACAAATTCCATGACTCTTTAATATAAATTTAAAAAGAAGAATGATCTTTTGCAGAACTGGTGATGTTCTTCAAAAAGAAGAGGTGCAGCAAAGCAATGAAAACAAACAAAAAAAAAGTTAATATCTATTTTATCAATTTCACACCTCCGCTTTGAGAGATAATACATTATAACATCACCATCGTCAAAAAGGTATTTATATATTATTATTATTATTATATTCTTGTTTATTACTTAGTTTATACTTACGATAAAAGAGAAAACTGTTTAGTGTTTGGTTTATTGTAGTTAGTTTGTTTTATTGTACAAAGTAACAGGTGTATCTGCAGTAGATATAGATATAGGACAGATAAATTAATTGTATAAGAACGAAAGAGACGAAACTATACAATGAACTATAGTTTGAGCAGTGTTGGTGTACTTTTAAAAGTTACCAGACCAACAACAACAGCAACAAAAGTAGTTTTACAAAACAAGAAGTCTATATTGTCGGCTTTGAATAATAGTGGTGGTAGATTCCATATAGATAGTACTAGTTGTGGTGTCGTCAGCAACAACAATAGATTGTCATTCTATACGAGCTGCCAACAATCTAAATCTACATCACATCTATTAAATAGGAACTATCATACAGATAATAAGGGACTCTGGTCAGACTATACACTAAATCAGGTGACATCTAACACAAGATCCCTCTATCAACCAAGAGGCATCGAACACCAACAATCGTTCCATAGAAGCTTCAACAGTAAATATTATCACCGCGTTATTATTATTAATATTAAAAAACCAGACAGATCTTTCAAGATCTCCAACAACCTTTGCATTGGGAAGAAGGACCAACGCTTTTTAATTTTTTGTAATTTCGATGTTGCCCGTCTCTCTTTTTCCTCAATACTGGATACGGATTTCTAAATTAAGATCTCTCCTCCTTCACCTCATCACATCTTATATTATTATTATTATTATTTGTATAATATTATTATAAATTATTTATTTATTTATTAATCATATTTTCAATTCAAATTAGATAAATATTATTCAACAACTACAACAATTTCAACAACAAATAAGAAGAAAGATAATTTAATAATGGAAAACAAAGCAAATGTATCAATATTTCCAGACAAGGATAGTGCAACTGGACAAGTATTGATAGTTGACGAAAGCACTAAAAAGTGTGCCATTTTAGACTCTGTACTCAACTATGCACAGGGTAGTGGTCGAACAAGCACCACATCGGTCGACAAGATTGTCGATGCCATCAAAGAGAGAGGATTGACTGTTGAATGGATTTTAGAGTCACATATCCATGCCGACCATCTTTCAGCTGCTTTTTATCTTAAAGGTCTTTATCCACAAGCCAAAACTGCTATTGGTGCAGGTACAACTGTCGTTCAAAAAACCTTTAAAACTATTTATAATTTAGATCATGATTTCCCTGTTGATGGTAGTCAATTTAATGTTTTATGGAAAGGTAAGTAAAACTATAAATTATATATATATTTAATTAATTAAATACTAATGAATTATTATACTTTTTAATTTATTTTTTAGATAATGATACATTTAAAATTGGAAATTTAAATGTACATGTTTATCATACACCAGGACATACACCATCATGTGTATCATATTATATTGAAAATGATAGTGTATTTGTAGGTGATACCATTTTTATGCCAGATGTTGGTACTGCACGTTGTGATTTCCCAAATGGTAGTGCTGCCACTCTATTTGAATCGACCAAGAAGATTTTATCGTTACCAGACCATGTCCAAATCTATGTCTGTCACGACTATCCACCTCCAGAGAGACAACTTTGCTATGTCACCACAGTGGCAGAAGAAAAAAGTACCAACAAACATCTCAAAGATGGTACGACCAAAGAACAATTCATCGAAATGAGAACTGCTCGTGATGCCACTCTCTCTACTCCACAACTTCTCATTCCATCTATTCAAGTTAATATTCGTGCTGGTCAATTACCAGAAGCTGAATCAAATGGTATTAGTTATATTAAAATCCCTATTAATTATTTTAAATAAATAAATAAAATAAATAATTAATAAATATAAGTTTTTTAAAAAATAATGGTTGATTATTTATTTATAAACAAAGATGGGATGGAAGGAAATAAAACTGGTATTATAAGGGTCAAGATAGATAGATAGATATATATATCTTCGATTTAAGATCCAGGTTTTGGTTTTGATTTAAATAATGAATCGAAAAATTCAGCACGTGATGCTGCCATTACTTGTTCTTCAATTTCATTTTCAGTTTCTCTCCAATCCGATGCAAATAATGAATCTTCAAATAATTGTCTCTCTAATAATTCCATATCTGATTTTTTAATTGCCTTTTCTATTAATGATTTATCTGCCATCTAAAAAAAAATAAATAAACAAACAAATTAATATATGTATATATTATTGATTGATTTGCATGTTTAACTTACACCAGGATGAAAATCAGGAAGTCCTAAACCAACACCAACAGAAGGATTATTCATATCATGAAGTGAGTCATAGTGATTTCCATTTCTATAATTTAATCTTAATGGAGTGTTTCCCTTGTAGGAACCTTGAAATATATTGATTGGTTCAAGAGTTTTGTGATAAACCTCTACAGGACGATTGAAAATCTCTGACAAGGCTTGCATTTCAACATTGTTTCCATAGACCTTATCATTTCTCTTTCTTTTTATATATTCATCGAAATCCTCTGTAATAAATTGAGAATAATGATCTCTTTCTGCCATCATATACTCCATACATTTTTCTCTAACTTGTCCATGCATTTCTTGGTCTCCATAAATTTGATCAGCTAAAAAAAAGAAGTAAAAAAATATAGTTTAGGAATCATTATATATAAATTTGATATTATTTGTTTGTTTGTTTTGTAATCAAACTTACCTATAGATCTAAATAAACAATTTCCATCTTCTTTCATTCTCTTTAGTACATATCCTTTTTTCTTTTTAATTATATCTTCAAATAACCTTTCATCTTGTATTACTTGATTATTATTATTATTCATGGCAATATTATTATTATTATTATTATTATTATTATTATTATTATTATTATTACTGTTTAAAATATTTCTATTTGTAGTAGTTGTTGGTACTGGTTGTTGTATTGGTGGAGGTTCATATTCATCTGCGCTATTATTCTCTTCATCAGAATGAGAGCTGTGATAATTTGATGGTGGACTATTATTACTACTACTACTACTACTACCTCCACTATTCCTATTATTGTTATTATTATTATTGTTATTATTATTATTATTATTATTATTATTATTATTAATATTACTGTTGTTGCTATTATTGTTGTTATTGTTGCCTCTTCTCTTTTGGTTTGTTTTATTATTATTATTGTTATTTACAGATTGGGTAGGATTATTATTATTGTTATTATTATTATTATAGTTTAAAGTAGGATTATAACTACTGCCGCTACCACTAGTAGCAACCATTGAGCCCATACCAACTCCCATTCCACTATTAGTTATATTTCTACTGCTATTCTTTGGACTAGTGTTACCGCTGGTACTAGTACTTGTTGTACTAGTGGTTGATGTTGATGTGCTACTCGTTGATGTTGTACTGGTAGTGCTAGTACTTGTTGATGTGTTGTTTACATGTTGATTATTTACATTTTGTACATTATTATTGTTATGATTGTTGTTATTATTATTATTATTCCCTCCCAATGCTTTTCTTTGTACAACTATTCGAGTCATTTTTCTATCTGTTTGTTTTCAAAGAGAGAGAGAGAGAGAGAAGACTATAGTTGTCTGTCTCTCTAACCACAACTATAGTTTCCTTTTATATGTTTGATTGAATAGTCTAATTTTGTTTTTGATGAATTCAGCCTAGTCTGACAAAAGAAAGAAAGGATCGATTTAAAAAAAGATAAATAAATAAAATGTAATAAATAAAATATTAACAAAAACTGTTAATCGAATAATGTAATAGTTTCACCAAGTGGGGGTAGAGTATTTTCAAACCACCTATTTTATTTTTTTTTTTTTATTTATTTTTATTTATTAATTATTTATTGTGTCATTAAGGAGGTCGAGTTTTTAATTCTTTAATTTATTTAAAAGAGAGACATAGAGTAGAGATAATAAATGAAAGAATAAAGATGGTAATAGTTGGTAATAACTTATGTGAAGAGGATGATGATGATGATGGTTGTTGTCCAATTGAAAATAGGTTGTTGCTTAAAGGTTCGATGATTTGAGAATTGGGGAGAACTGAAAGCGAACCATCCTGTGATAGGCTACATGACATACCACCAACTCTACATGTAACTTGTTGTGTTGCTGTACAGGTGATTTGATGTGCTGCTAAACATATGGTTGTAGAAGTTTGTGTGGCACCTTGACATTGGAATATTCCTGGTGAACTACAAATACTTTGACCTTGCGATGTACAATTGATGAATGAATCACCATTATAGGTAACTTTGAGTTTACCACGTGTAATACTACAAATCATTTCTTCTTCTTCTTCACCACTTGACGAGGATTGGGAAGAAGAGGAGGAGGAGGATGATTCAGAGGATTCACTTTGACGTGGACAAACAATGGTATTGATAGGATTGGCCATTGGACAAGACCAAGTTAAATCAATCTCGTTGGTACATGAATTGACAAGTTGACAATACTCTACACCACATTTAGAGGCAGAACAAGAGTTTAGGTTGTCAGAGTTTAGTGTGTTTGGATTACACTGGTTTGTACGTAAACAATTATAGTATGATACGGTGGCACTCTTGCATTGATTCCAATGCGTTGGATAGGGTGAGATACACGTTCCATTATCACGACTTAAACAATCGCAAATTTCAAACATATTATTACATCCAGTGTCATTGGTGCAAGAGGTGGTTACTGGAGTTGGAGTTGGTAGTTGAGCACAGACACCACCTTCACCGCAGTATAGACCTTTACTAATATCACAAGTTGTCAATTGGAGTAACGACTTTGGTCCGTATGAACAGTATTGACCAGCACTTTGTTGTGAGAAAAATGGTTGGCATGTACTTGTACTTGTATTATTATTATTTATAGTACACGATGATCCAAGTGGACATGCATTTGGTGTTAAAGTACAGTCATCATTGAATGCAAGTTGTGGAGAACAAACTGTTACATTGCAGAATGTTCCAAATGGACAGCCTTGTGATGATGGCACATCGTTGCATTGTTGACCAACTGGTAATACACATTTAGCATTTAAACATTCTAGTCCATATGAACATTGATACGATTCACTACATGAATCATTATATTGACCATAATACTAATTATTTTAAAAAAAAAGATTAATATTAATATTATTATTATTACAAAATAATTATTTTAAAAGGAGGACAACTTACAGCTTGGACACACAAGTCATTGATACAAGTAAGACCTGGATTGCAACCCCACAAAGATGAGCAGTTACCATTCTCTGGTACAAATGGTGTACAAGTACCATTCATATTGGTTCCATTGGAAGCATAACAAAAAGAATTGGCACATCTTTGAGATGGAGACATTACTTCACTAGATTGATAATTGAAGAAATTGAATATTAATATTAATATTAATATTATTATTTAATTGGTTTGATTAATGAATTGTTATCATACCATGATGAACCAACACTTAGACATTCTGGGAATTCAAATGGACAAGTAAAAGCAGAGGTCAAAGGAGTGTTGATGGAAAAGATAGCAATGATAGCTAAAAGTAATAATAATATTTTATGCATTGTGTTGGTTGAAAGATGAAGCAGAATGGAATGATCATCAAACCAAACCATTGATTGCATTTAAATAGGCAATGGTAGGTTCCTCGGGAAACCGAAATGGCCTATTGATCATTTTTTATCTGTTGGAAGAAAATAAAAAACGAGCGACTACAACAGTTGGTTGTAGTCCTTACCTTATAATCTGCCGATCGCAACAGCATCTGATTGACGTCAGATGGGGTCTATAAACCATGGTCCTCATCCTCATCGTCACCGTCGGTTCCAAGAAGGTTGATAAAACTTTGTTGTTTTTTTTGATGATCACACGTGCTGCATTTGAGACTTGACTTGTTGTATCAATCTTTTGAATTGAGTCGGTTGTTTAACTTTTAATCATCAATCTCGATTTACATCTTTGCTGATCCTAGTTGTTGTAACCTACTAATGATCATCAGAATTTGAAAAAGAGGAGGTAGGTTGTTTTGAAAAAATAAATAAAAAAAAGAAAGGTGAGGTGAAGCTAGCAAGCCCGTCTGTCTCGCTTTATTATTAATATTTTTTAATTAGATTTTATTTATTATCTTGTTCAATACACTATTATTTATTTATAAGAGTACTGATATGATACAGTTGAATTAACAATAGAAATAGCAATAGCTAACAACTGTTGCCGGTGATCGACCAATTTTATTTATTATTTATTTAATTAATGAAGAGTACATATACGAAAGTTGAAATGGCAATAGATAACAGTAAACCCAATACGAATGGTGATGATAAAGAGGGTGATAATGATGGTTCAGAGGAGTCCAGAGAAGAAGAGGAAATGGGACGTGGTCGACAATTAATAGTGTTGATCGGATGAGGAGATGGACATTTGAAATCATTATCAGTATTATAACAAGAAATGGAAAGGTTACAGTACTCGACACCACACTTGCTGGCAACACAAGAGTTTAGGTTGAGATAGTTATCAACTAGAGTGCAACGGTTGTCAGCCAAACAGTCGTAAAAGGACATGGTGGCAGTGGCACATTGACTGTTGACATTATAATTTGTTACGCATGTACCATTGTTACCCTTGGAGCAATCACAAACCTCGTAAATGTTGCAATCGTCGTCATCGGTGCAGATGGTGGAAGTATTGGTTGAAATGTGGTCACATACACCATTCCTTTTACAGTAGAGACCTTGTGAAGCATTACACGTTGATGCTAGGCCAAAGTCATCATGGTACAAACAAGGTTCACCTAGACCAAGGGAAAAAAGACGGGTACATCTATGGACACTGCTTGTTGCATTGACTTTGTTGCACAATGATCCATATGGGCATGCGTCCTCTTCATTGATAGAAAGATTACATTCATCACCAATAGAAAACTCTGGAGAGCATATCATAGTCGTGATGTTGCTTTGATCGGTTGAATTGATGGTTTGTGTAAAGTTACAGTATGAACCATATGGGCAACTTGATTTCGAGTCACATTCATAAATAGATGACCCATACATAGAGCTGTCTGGATAATCACATGTGTTTTTGATACTACAATCCAACATCCCAGAACATTCGTATACATTTTTACAATAATCACCATATTGAACATACCCCTAAATTTATAAATTGCAATTAAAAATGGTTAACATGAATCATCTTGATTTTAAAAAATCAATTCATTTTATATTAATAATATTTCTTACCTCTTGATAACAACGGGACCCATAGATACATTCAAGACCTGGTTGGCAACCGCCACGAATATCATCATTTTCTTTAGAACATGTTCCTCCCTCTGTTGAGTAGGGAGTACACGTCGCATTCCAATCAGATGTTTCATTCCCTGTTACAGAACAGAAAGAGTCGGCACATAGTACAGGAAATCCATGCATGTAATAAAATTCTGGTGTGCTTTATAAAGCCAATAAATAAATAGTAGTTGAAGAAAACGATGCATTAGTACAGAGCAAATGTATGATTGATAAGTTTTGATTACAAAATAATCGATTGCAATTGTTTGAACATTACCATGTTGATCCTACTTGTACACATCGTGCTGAGCATTCTGAGGATAAAACATTGGAAACTAGGCCTAGGCTTGCCAAGACCAATATAAACAAAAAAACTTTGATCATCTAATTATAAGATTAAAAAAAAATATGACAAATTAAATATTATAATATTATAATATTATTATTATTATAATATTATTATTTCTAGATGAAATTCCATCTTTGATCCCTTACAATTGTAAACATTAAAAAAACCATACTAATGATTTGGATGTGGGTGATTGATTAAGATCAAAAAACCCACAAACTATTTTGGCTATTAATACCCAAGTTTTTTTATTTATGGATTTGGTTCTATTTAATTAAAACGGGCATTGGCCACTACTTGATGCGGGTTCTGCTCTGCTCTGACTATGCATGAAGAGTCGGTTGTATAACTTTAAATCATAAATCTCAATTTATATCTCTGCTGATCCTAGTAGTAATAACCTAATGATCAGAATCGTTGAACAAGAAAAGAAGAAATTTTGTTTTGAAAAAAAAAAATAGAAGGTTCCTTATTTATTATTTGTAAAATATATTATAATATTTAAAAGAGTCCTGATATTTTTGAAACAATAGATAACTGTCGGACAATACATTTGTATTTGATGGTGACGATAAAGATGATGATAAAGATGGCAAAGAAGGAGAATCAGAGGAATCAAAGATGATGAGCACGGCCGGTTGTGGTGGTAGTTGTTATCAATTGAGAGTGTTTTAGGATGGGAAAATGGACAATCTACATCTCTATTGCCACCAATATCAATGATTTCACAAGATGTGGAGTTTTTGCAGCTATACTCTACCCTGCTCTTTTTGGCATGACAAGAGTTCAAGTTTAGATGATTATCAACTTGACGACAACACGATTGTCATTCAAACATTTGTAGTAGTAATTGGTGGCGTCCAAGCATTGACTGTTGTTTAAATTCATTACTAACTTTATTTAATAGAGGAATGATACTAAAGAAACAATCAATAAGAATAAAACCAAGATGGTTGGTGATGATAAAGAGGATGATAAAGAAGGTTCAGTAGAATTGGAATTTGAACCGGAGGATGTATCGTTCATAGAGGATGAAGAAGAGGATGATTGATCGGTTGGGCAAACAAGACTGTTGAATATGTCAGTGTCGGCCCAACACTCTGAACCGGGGGGTTTAATTTCTTGATTGTAACAAGAATTTTGGGTGCGACACCATTTGTCCCCACAATTTTTGGCAGCACAAGAGTTTAAGTTGAGATAATTAGGAACTGGAGCACAATGATTGTTAGTCAAACATTTGTAATAGGATAGGGTGGCAGTGGCACATTGTGTGTTGATATACGATACAACGACACATTTACCGTGTGGACCATTGGAGCAATCACAAGTCTCATCAATGTTACAGTCATTGTCGGTGGCGCAGGAAGCATTTGATGGTGATGGAATAGAGGCACAGATACCACTACCAGCACCACCGTTGTTACAATAAAGACCTTGTGAGACTGAACATGTCGATTGAGCTGGGTCATTTGGATTTGCCGTACACTTTTGACCGACACCTTGAGAATACAATGCAGTGCATCTATAGTCTGTAGAGCTGTATTGATTGCATATTGATCCATATGGACATGGATCATTGCCTTTTGTAGCGCTCCAACTAAACAAGGTGCAATCATCACCAACCATAAGTTGAGGCGAACAGATATTGATTCTTCCGGTTGTGTTACAGAATTTACCAAATGCACAGACTCGTTCATTAATGCTACACTCGCCAATGAGGGAGCATGCCCCACCGCATGATAACCCTTTGGAGCATTGATAGGCTTGAGTGCATCGCTCACCAGTTTGTAAATAATCCTATATGTAATTGAAATGATAATAATCAATATATAGTTTATTTTAATATCGGTTATAGAAGTTGCATCTAGATACATACAGTTTGAACGCAATTGCCGCCATTACATGAAAGACCCGGATTGCAAATTAAATCACTAGTCCCGCATCTACCATTCTCTTGTATAAAGGTGGTACATGTACCAATCAAGCTAGAGTTGGAAGAGGGCGCACAGAAAGAGCTGGAACAGATTTGGGTACTGTTGAGTTCACTATTTATAATCAATAGTCAATATTTAGTAAAAGATGGGTGATTGATTAATATATTTAGAATATTTATCGATAAAAAAGAATCTTACCATCGCTCACCCACTTGGATACATTGAGCATTTATTGATGGACATGTGTCGCCTTGGACCTGTGTGATGGATAATAGGCTGCTTATAAAAGCTAAATATAAAAATACTTTGATCTTCATTTTGACCAATTGAATTGTATAGGTGTGTGAGTGTGATTCTAGGTAAAATTATTATTACTATTATTATCTGTTCAATCTCTATCTCTTTAAAAGATTATCTCGAAAAATTGATCAATGAGGATCTCGTCGAAGAGAACCTAGTTGGGGTTTGCAACCGGTTGATTTGAAAAGCCGTCGAGACGTGTCACAGGTTTCCAAAGGAACTCAAAATTTCCCAAAGCATTTTTTTCAATTGGTCAAAACGAACAACTCTTACTTCACTATTATTAACTTAACCAGTTAAGTTAAATTTTTTGACTTGAAACCTTGAGTCTTCTCTTTTGATAATAAAATCTAAATACTGGTTGCAGTTGATACAGATCATGTTGTGACCATTCATTTTCATATAGTCCACCTTATTTTCAAAGTTCAACCTCCTATTTTGACTCACATAAAGAGTCAGAATTAAATCTTCATCAATCTTCGATACGCAAGCAACCCTTGGGTTCTGTCAAATAAGGTACATATATATAGTATTTTGCCTTTTTTGGGAACTCCCTTTAGAATAAACAGGTTTTTTTGTTGTGATCATCAATCGATTTACATCCTAGTCGTTGTAACCATTAAAAAATTAAAATAAAAAAAATAAAGAAAGGTGAAGCTAGCAAGTTTGTCTAACAGCTGCTCGATTATTATTATTTTAATTAGATTTTATTTATTATCTTGTTCAATATATATTATACACTATTATTTATAAGAGTACAATAGAAATAGCAATAGATAACTTGATAAGACCAAAATGATGAAGATGACAATGAAATACTTGACTTGAATTTAAATCCACGTGATGATTGGTGGTGATGAGTTGGAATCACTCGAGCTCGAATGACTAGGACAAGCAATATTGTAAATGGAATTTGGTAATAGACAAATGGAAAAATCGTTATCCCTGTAACAAGAATTGGTGAGGTTGCAATACTCGGCGGCACACTTGCTAGCAATACAAGAGTTTAAGTTGTCGGGGTTATTGACTTGAGTGCAACTGTTGTCGTCCAAACAGTTAAAGTAGGATGTGGTGGCATCTGCACATTCAGAGTTGATAGTAGTTACAACGGAACATGTACCATTGACATCACCTTTGGAAAGGCATGTACAAACCTCGTTAAAGTTACATTCCGATTGTTTAAACAAGGAGCATGGAGCATTTGATGGTGCTGGAAGTGGGGTACAGACACCACCATCCTTTGGACAGTAGAGACCTTGTGAGGCATCACAAGTTGATTGAGTAGGATTCTCGTCTCTTTCGTTGAATAAGGTACACGTTTGACCTAGACCAAGAGAATACAGTGCAGTGCATACATATGACGTCGAGTCGTTACCGACTTGATTGCATAATGATCCATCTCGACAAGCACCCCATGATATGGCTACTCCTGTGTTGTACATGGTACAGTCATCACCAATGTCAAGTTGAGGAGTACAGACATCGTTGTTATAATCGGTTCTATTACAAAATGTACCATATGGACATCCTTCTTGTGCCTCTTCACATGACAGTGGCATTTGACTATTACCAAATGAGCATTGAGAGTTGGAACAAGTTAATCCATAGGAACATTGATAATCTTGAGTACATGATTCACCATATTGTGCATAATCCTTAAAAAGATATAATAATATTAATAAATGTTGTAATGATCACCGATTATTATTAATCCGCAAAAAATGATATAGAAAAAAATTATTAACATACAGATTGGACACATTTACTGTCGTAGCAAGAGAGACCTGGATAACATGATCCCAAGTATTGCTCATCCTCTAAACAGGCACCATTCTCTGGAATAAAGGCAGTACATGTACCACTCCAGTTAGAACCAAATTTGCAGTAAGAGTTGGAACAGAAATGCAAATCTGATAGATCACTAGTGAATCGTCAAAAAAAAACAAGGAGAGATCATTAATATATGAAGATTATGATGATGATGACGATGATGATGATGATATGTATAAAGATTTATCTACTTACCATGCATCACCAATTAGTCCACATTTCATAGATGCACAATCTGCAGAGGCAAAAACCAATGTGGAAACTAGACCTATAGCTACCAAGGTACCAAATAATAAAACTTTAAAAAAATTCATCATTAAAAAGGAATAGAATAGGTAGAAAATGATGTTTTATAAATGACATCCGATCGGATGTTTTAAGTACTTAGCTATTCGTCCCTAGGGCTAGTTCCTATACTTTTAATTACGAAAAAAAAAAAAAATGAGATTAACACGTCAGCTGATTGCAAGCACCCAGGGCAAAGAGCGATTTATATATCTTTTATACCAAGAAGATCGAAAGGATTAAAGCCTGGGCCCACATGAATCGGAGATGTATACTCACTCCTATGCTCTTTATCTACTCTGGCAAAAGAAAAGAAATCATAAAAAGAAAGATGGATACTTTAGTTGAACCCACTTTATTTATTTTTCAAGAGTATAAAATAATCCGAATGAGAATAAAAATAATTGATAATTCTACACCCTATATAAATATATTACAAATGAAATAGATGGATATCGAGTTTTATTAATTAGAAAGGAATAATTATTGAAATTGATAATAGTAAAACCAAGACGATTGAAGGCGAAGATAAAGATGAGGAAAGAGATGGTTCCATGGTTGAATTGGAACTAGAGGAAGATGATGGAATTGAACAAACAAGACTATTGATAAGATTTACATATGGACAATCAACGATAGTTTCTCCTATATCTAAAGAGTAACAGCCTTCTGTATTACAGTATTCGACACCACACTTGCTTGCAGCGCATGAGTTTAAGTTTACAAGGTTACCGACTTCTACACATTGGTGTTTAGCCAAACAGGTAAAGTAGGACTTGAAAGCGCTGGGGCAATGTGCGTCGAGATTTGGTTTAACTACACATTTACCCCATTGAGAATTCTCCAAGCAGACACACATCTCGCTAAAGTTACAGTAACTGTCGTCGAGACACTGATAATTTGATGAAGCTTGTATGGTGGTACAGACACCATCTTTGTTACAATAAAGACCTGGATTACAAGTTGATAGAGTTAGGGGGTCATTTGGGGTTGAGCTACACGTTTGACCTAGACCAAGAGAATAGAGTGCAGTGCATCTCGATTTTGTAGAGCTGTATTGGTTGCACATTGATCCATAAGGACATCCGTTTGAATTAATGGTACAGTCTTGACCGATGGCGAGTTGAGGAGAGCAGATATTGTTGTTTATATCGGTTGTGTTACAGAATTGACCATATGGACAGTTTAGATACTCAGAGACACAACCATCTCTACCTAGGGCACATTGACCACCGAGACAAATTAATCCTTTTGAACATTGAGAAGATTGAGTGCACGATTCACCATTTTGAGTATATCCCTATATCGGATGAAATAATCATTAAATTAGTATGATAGGTGTATGAAGAATGGATCGATTAATCTTTTTACAATTTTATCAATCAATAATTTTAATATCATACATATTGGACACACTTGCCATCGTAGCACGAAAGACCTGGAGAACAAGCTACACCACCCGATGAACAGTTTCCATTCTCTGGTATAAAGGCAGTACAATTACCAGGCGAGGCATCGGAATAGAAGCAGTCAGAGTTGACACAAAATTTACTTGCATATAAATCACTAACAAAGTTGATAAAAAAAACAAATTGATTATTAACTTGAATAATGATATTGATGATGAAGATTTGGTATTGCAGAATGAAAAAAAAATCATCTTACCATTGTCCACCTAATTGGATACACTCTGATTTGGAAGGACATTTCATAGCATTAATCGTGGTAGAAATTAGGCATTTAAAAGCAATAAATAATAAAACTTTGAATATCATTGTTGAATGGTAGTTAAAGACAAGTAAAATAAATTAAATTGAAACTTTTAAACTCGTATTGCCATCATGACAATGTCACATCTGAGAAATTTTAAAACCATACCAAATTATTTAGATGTGGGTGATTGATTAGGATCGGAAAAGAAAGGGTTGCCCAAAACTATTTTTAACTTTATAGAGTATCTCAATGAAATTGGGATTTCTTGTTTTTATTGATCTCGAGAGACTCACAATGGATCCAATCAATATTGCAATAACATAGCCTTTTACAAACTAGATCCCAATAGTCTATTTTTTTATATATAATTATTTTAATTAAATCATATTTATTTAAAAGAAAAACAAAGTTGAAACAACAGACAATATTAAAACCAAAATGATTGGTGAGGATAGAGATGATGATAGTGATGGTTCAGTTGAATTTGAACTGGAGGATGTATCGTTCAAGGAGGAGGAGGAGGATGATGAAGGACTTGAGCAAACAAGACTATTGAAAGGATAAGTTGATGGACAAGAGAGGAGAGAGTCCAAAGCATCTAAATTGTAACAGATGTCGGTTTTACAGTACTCTACACTACACTTTCTAGAAGCACAAGATTCTAGGTTCATAATGTTACCGACTTCTACGCATTGGTTCTCTGCCAAACAAGCATAGTAGGCCTTGGTAGCACTGGCGCATTGTGTGTTGAGATTTGATATAACGACACATTTACCTTGTGAATTATTGGGACAGAGACACATCTCGTTATAGTTACAATCAGTGTCATCTTCACAGAAATCATTTGATGGAGATGGTAAAGGTATACAGTAACCATTGCGACAGTAAAGACCTAGAGTAAAATTACAAGTTGTTAGATATTGAGGGTCACCTTCGAAGGTTGGGCTACACATTTGATCTTGATCACGGGAATAGAGTGCAGTGCAGCTAAGGGTTTTAGAGTCGTAGCTGCATATTGATCCATATGGACATCCGTCTACATAATGTGTACAGTCTTGACCGATGGCGAGCTGAGGAGAGCAGATAGAGGGTGAAACGGTTATGTTACAGAATTGACCATATGGACAGGTATTTAGCCCAGAACTACAACGACTATTACCGAGGGAGCATTTACCACTGATACACGATAATCCTTTGGTACATTGATATGATTGAGTGCACGAATCACCATTTTGAGTATATCCCTAAAAATAAGAATATAAATTGTCAATTGATTATTAGTTTGGTAGCTAGTTCAACAAATAATAAATATAAAATGATTTAAACACCACTTACACATTGGACACACTTGCCATCGTAGCACGAAAGACCTGGAGAACAAGATGCACTACCGGAATCCGATGAACAGTTGCCATTCTCTGGTATGTAGGCAGTACAAATACCAGGATAGGTGCCGTTGGTAATAATGCAATCAGAGTTGGCACATAATTGATATGAATCACTAATAGTCAATAGTAATAAAAAAAAGAAATAAATCGATTAATAACGTTTGATGATCATTTGTATTACAGAAAAGTATCTTACCATTGTGCACCTACTTGGATACACTCCAAATTTGTATGACATTTGAGAGCATGTACCGTGGTGAAAACTAGACATGTTAAAGTTATAAATAATAAAACTTTGATCATCATGATTGAAGTATTTAATAGATGAACCTGTAGACTAATCTTTAAATTCTATTCTTTTGAAAGTGAACTATCTATTTTATAATAGATAGTGAAGATCTTCACTATTTGAGTAGGCAGAACGTTCATTGAGGTCAAAACAATTTCTAATAATAAGAATAATATTTGTTTATAAACATTGATAGCCGAAGACGTTTGGCGGGTGATCACGATAGCTTCAACCAATGAACATCGAGTTGTTCAAAAATATCTTTTTCCAACAAAAATATAATTTTTATTATTTTAAAATAAAGTTGAAATTGCAATTGATAACAGTAAAACCAAGATGATTGATGGTGATGATATTGATGGTTCCATGGTTGTCGTTTCATTTGAACTGGAATTAGAGGAGTGTGTGGGTTGGGGGTTGGATCGCTGGCGCTCCCAAAAAAGTTTACAAGAATTCGCCCTTGCAGGGCTCATTATATATTAAATAAGTTAAAATAGTTAATTTTTTAACCTTTATAATTCTATAATTTTTTAGAATTAATTATTAACTTTTAATATTTTGTAAAAATTATAGAATTATAAAGGTTAAAAAAGTTATTTTGGATTATAAATTCATAATTTTAACCATAATTGGATTGGAATTATAGGCAAACATAGTTCATAGAAAATGGATCAATGGAAAAAGATTGGTTGGTATCACAAGGTATTCCACTTCCATCACTATTTTGGATTATCAATTGTCCATCTAACATACAACAGATTCAACATGGGTGGATAAATAAAGTTGGAGATTGTTTTTGGTATGTTGACACTGTGACTATTTGAATATTGGGAGGTCTAAATCTTTCAGGAATAAAAACATCCGTATATACTTCTGAAGCTTCAGCTGTTGCTTGCATTGTCAATGTTGGAGGTGAATCAACACATAATGTAACTAATTTACCAATTCTTACGATATGCATTTGGTTGTATGAATAGACATATGATCCTCCAGATACATTGTATTTAAATTGAACCCAATGTGTATAGTATTCATAGAAATCCAATGGTGTTGGAATATAACCTGGTATTGGATTGACAAATGATAACTGATTTGTTTCTACAGATGGTGCATTGATAAATAATGATTTGATTGGTGTAATATTAATTGTTTCTCCAGTAATTTTGTTTGTGGCAAGAGATTCACATTCTATGTTGGAAATATCCAGCAATTGCATACTTACTTTGCCATTTATTTCAAGATTATTTACTGTTGTTGTTCCATTAATACCTACACCCGATTGAGGGGTAATTGTATTTGTTTTCATTTCATTTCATTTGATTCAATTGATTTGTCTACTTTTAAATTGTCACTAAATGTCTTGTGTCCATTAATTGTTTGATCTATTTCTGTCAATACCACTTGAGCAACCTTTTTAGATCCAATACTTGGTATGTCTATTGTTGATTGTGATGTTGTATCTACATTTAAAATTACTTGTAAATCTCCAAAAATTATTTGATTGGTTGTATTTTCTAGGACTAGTTGATCTGTAATTGTCAATTCATCAACTTGTCCAATGGCCACATCTTCAAATTCATTATTATAAATCTACAAATCTTGCTGTCATTTTTCTTTTTATATTAATTATTAATCAATATTTAATATTACTTTTTTCTAGCTCCTCTTTTTCTCTTGGCTCCACCATTAATCCCATATTGTGTTCCTCCAGCTTGTGTTCTTTTTCGTCTTGGTTTTTTTCCATATCCCAATTTATCTGTTACGTCTCCAATCTTGCTAGCATAAGGAACACCAGCATCACCAAGTGCCTTTGCTCCTCGTGATATTAATTTGTTTTCTTTGACAAAATCATATGCTCTTTTAAACCAATCTCCAAATCCATCTCCTTGTTGGCCACCCAAACCTGTTGTGTGAATACAAGCTCCATCATTTGAAATCCATACTCTGTTCTTGTTCATTTTTCTTTATATATAATTAAATCTATATTTTAATTTCGAGTTGTAAATTAAAATCCTTTCTATAATCTCCATTTCTACTTGTGTAAAGAAAATGATATTTCTCTTTGGTTGAAAATGAATAAATCTCTATAAATAATTTAAAAGGAATTGTCAGTGATAGTTCTTCCAACCAACTATGATCATTGTGAACTGTTGCGCAAAAGATTAAAACATTTGTTTGTTTGTTAGTACATTCATCTATAATCTTTTTAATAACAACAGTCTTGCCGCTATTCTTTGGAGCACATACCAATATATTTGCATTTAATTGATTAAATAATTCTGATCCTTTTACATTTTTTGGTGGTTGTGGTAGTTTGATTGGTTCCACAATTACATTATTGATTTTTGTTAGCTGTATCATTTTTATATATATGTTGATTTTAAAATTTGGTAAATTGAAATACAGCTGCAAATTCCAATTCATTTTCCAAATAATTGTTGTTTTGATCCACACATTCAAAATAATAAGCTCCTTGTATAATGGCCCCACTTTTGTTTGTAAAATGTAAATTACAATTGGTGGTGGATATTTTTGAAAAGGAAAAAAGGTTGTTGTCACTAATCAATGAAGTTCTAATTGTGCACACATCCCCAATATGAAGTGTTCCATCCAAACTATAGAGTTTTAATGTAATAAGATCTGGAACAAAATCTAAATTAATTTGAACCATCAACCTTGCATGACCACCAGGAATGATACCACTAATTGGGATTGTTTTAATAATTGTCAACATCACTTCCCACGGGATACAATTCACTAGCGGGGATAGAGGTAAAAACCATTTGGAGGGCATATTGACGTACATTACGAGGGGCTTTTACTCTGGTTTTGGTGGAACTCTTCTTACCATTGGGGTCAGTTTGTGTTTTGAGCTCCACATAATCTTGTTGAGGGAACGACTCGAAGCGTTCGGGAGGGACGACAAAAATGAGGTGGAATGTGGTATACTTGGTAGATGCATCACCCGTTGTTGTTGTGGATGTATCACCAGTTGTTGTTGTTGTTGATGCATCACCCGTTGTTGTTGTTGTTGTTGTTGATGCATCAGCCATTGTTGGTGTTTTGTTGGATCTATTGGGGTTAAGGGATCAAGGTTATAAGTGATATGAGTGAGTTCTTTAAAAGAGACAGGGTGTTGGTTGGTTTTGGTGATTTGAAATAGATATTTTCCTGCAAAGGAATCAATTGCTGGGAAGTTCAAATCGGTTGGTCTAACATAGGTTTCTGGTGGGAAACGATTGTCAGAGTTACGTCTTTCAACTAGCTCGGCAGTATTCTTTACAGAGCCAAAATTTGTGGGGAAAAAGTGAAGGTGGCTTTCGCAAAGATTGTCTTCTTCTTCTTCAAGTGATCTGATAATATATCTGCCTCCATTACTAAGAGTCTGGTGAGACAGCTGCTCAAAGAGTAAACCGCCAATCTGAGTTGTACCAACCAAAGAAATTTTTTTGATAACTTCTTCCCTCCAATTCCAATAGAATCTTTGAACCATCTTTTCTTTGACGTAGTTGGAAGCGAAGGAGACTCGTGGCACCGAAAAATCTGGACAGTTTGGTTCGACGTCCAAATGAATCACTATGTGACTTCCTGACTGTGGTGAGTCTGGCATGTTGATACTACTAACGCATGCTTCAAGGTCTGTACAGGAGATGGCATTGACGAGAAGTCCTTGATCAGATACAGTGTGTGTCTCGGGTGTTTGGATCGCTGCGCTCCCAAAAAAGTTTACAAGCATTCGCACTTGCAGGGCTCATTATATATTAAATAAGTTAAAATAGTTAATTTATTTTTAGAAATATTTATTTTTATTGTATTTTATTATTTTTTAGAATTAATTATTAACTTTTAATATTTTGGATAGAATTATAAAGGTTAAAAAAGTTAAAATTATTTTGGAAAAATAGAAAAATATTGGTTTGATTTAGATTTTGGATTATAATTTCATAATTTTAACTTTATAATTTGGATAGAAAATTGATATAAATTATTTCTTTCCAATATATATAAAATGGAAAAATTAATATTTGGATCAAATTTGGAAAATAATTTCAACTTGGAAACATTACAAAAAATGTGCTACCAGTGTACATCCAATGATAATTACCAAGACATTATTCATTATATCAAGCAATACTTTGTGAAATTGCATGATACACCAACGATAAAGGGAATGGATGGAGAACAAAGATTTATTTCATTGGCATATGAAGATGCTAAAAAACAATTCTTTTTAAATTCATTGGTGTGCAAAGTAAATGGAAATGACAATCAAATAAGAAAATGGTTCTTTGATGTTGATTGTGAAAGATATTCTACTACAATGGATCCAAAAAAACCAAAAGTATTTATAGAAAACCAAATAAAATATCTAAATATGTTTCATGGATTTAAATTTACTGATAGAAAAGAGTTTGACAAAAAAATGGTAGATCCAATTGCAGAAGCAATAGCAAAGGAAGGAGTAGAATTTCTTTGGAATCACATTGATATTGTCCTTTGTTCAAACAACCAAGAAGAGTATAAATATTTAAAAGGTCATACTGCCAAGGTTGTGTCTGGAAAGAAACAAGAAACAATGGTTTATCTAAGAGGTGTCCAAGGTGCAGGAAAGTCCTCTTTAATAGAAATAATTACTGCTTCTATTGGACACAATGTAGTTTATACTTATCTGATCCACATATTTGTCTTCCAAATGCACACAACGAAGATATTGTTGGTAAAACTGTAATTGTATTTGAAGAGATTCCAGTAAAATCTAGTAATGATTGGAACCAATTTTCAAGTGCACAAAAGCACTTTATTACTGGTAAAACAATAAAGATTAATCCAAAACATAAAAACCAATACTTTATACCCAATATGATTAGTGGATATGCTATTTCTAATCAATGGGCAATTAAAGTAGAAAATGGTGATAGAAGATATTTCATTCCCACAATATCTAAATGCAAAGTTGGTGACACTGAGTATTTTAAGAAATTGTACTCTTTTATACACAACGATTTGGTAATGGAAGCATTTTACTGGGAATGTATTGTTATTGAAAAAACCAATCCATTCAATGAGAGATTGATTCCAGATACCATACGTAAAAATGAAATATTAAATGATCATTTGATTTCTATTTATGAATTTATCAAAAATAAATATGTTTTAAAAGGGTTGGGTATCGAAAAAATAACAAGAATGGCTTTGTATAAATGGTATGAAGATTATTGTAAAACAAATAAAATTAAAACAATTCCAAAGAATGAAGCTTATATCACTCCAACCACTTGATTCTTTAAATGGTATACCATTGTATCTATTTAATAAAAATTTAATTGCATGATAACCGCATGTTGTACTATTTGATGCTTGAGCAATGACTTTGTTTACTTTGAATTTTAAATAATAATCTGGATTGATTTCATCAATTAAATCTTTTAATTGTTTCATAAAATCATCGGTTGGTTCTTGACCAAATGAATCATAATACTCTACTGATTTATCTTTATCTGCGTCAATATATACTGCAACCCAATGACTTCCTGGTTTGTTGTGTGGATCCAAATTCATAATAAATGACATCTTGTCTTTTGGTTCCAATAAATTTAATTGGTCACTTGCTATTACTCTTTCAAATCCCTTTCTATGATATGGTTTCATTATTCTTTCAATTTCGCTATCATAAAGACCTTTGTTTGATCTTCCACTACCAATCTTTTGTTTTTTTTTTCAAATCTTGAGCAAATGATACAATTAAATCAATGACACTAATTCTTTGATTCTTTACCATGTCTTTTAATTCATTTCCTAAATTTGTAGATAGTTTAGTAGAGGTCATTGTTGAATTTAAATACTCTTTTACAAAATCATTTGTAGCTGTTAGATTGTTTCTTGGGACCATTTCTATTAAATCATTTGGTAAAATTTGATCAACCATTATTTGTTGTTGCTGTTCTGTTTGTTTTGCTTGATTTACTTGATTTGCTTGAATTGTTCTTTCCAATTCCAAAAGATTCTTTTCTTTCATTTCATTGTTCATATCTATAATTGATTGTAATTGTTCATCTATTTGTCTTGTATTTTCATACTTGCCTTCCAATTCTTGTATTCTCTTTTCTGTCAACTTTTGATTGTAAAGTATTTCCATTGATCTATCATCTTTTTCTTGTCTTCTCTTTAATTTCTCCTCCTTTGCTTCAAACAACATTGACAATCTCTTTTCCAATTGATCAAATCTATCATTTTCTTTTTTTAGAATTGGTATCTCTTGCTGATCATCTTTTGTTAGATCAATGATCTTTTTCTTTGTTTCTTTATCCAATTCTTGTTGATTCTTGAGTACAGACTCTCTAAAGTTGGCATCCTGTATTGATTTGATCATGGCAACTTCATTTGGATTTGACCAAGCCAATACAGGGCTGCTTTCTTTAGAGAGCTGTTGTTGTTGTTTCCTCTCATCATCTAATGCTTCTCTAATCAACTTTCTAATCAATTTTTTATCATTCTTTTTTGATCTAATGTAAACTCTATCTACTCCATGTTGTATGTATCGTCCTCTTTTATCTTTTTTTAATCTTAATGGTCTCTGTTTTTGCTTCTTGCCTCCAATCATCATCTTGTATTATTATACAATATAATTATATTTAAAACTTCATAATCATTTTATTCTTTATAATATCTGATTCTTTAATACTATTTATAGGTTGTTGTTTTATCTCTTTCTCTACAACTTCATCGTTTACAATGAAATTATTTTTTTGTTCATTTGTTCAAAGTCTTTTTTGTTATTATCTATTACTATTCTTTTCTTTTTTACAGGAGCTTTGTTTTTTGTTCTTTTCTTTGTATTATCATTATCAGAATCATTATCAGAATCACTATCATAGATTATAAATTGATTTTTTCTCGCATCACGTGCTTTTTTTAGATTTAGAGCAGATGTAATTGATCTTTTATCTTTTTTTATATCTTGATCCATTCTCTTTATTATATATATATATATAGAATAATTTATTATATTACTATTTTTACACTACTTTTATAATACTTTTTCACTACTTTATTTAAAGACAAAATAGCGACAGCAAATCACTTTTATTAGAGTAATAGTAAATTATAGTAATTTTATAATAATGTTTTACTAATTATATATAAAAGTATGTTGATTACACATAAAAAGATATTCTATAAATTCACACAATAGAATCAGTGGTACTAATTCTAAATTTAAATATAATATTATATATTATCCTCAAGACAGGTTTGACAGAGTGGCATTATTACAAGCGACAATACCAAAATCATTTAATACAGTTGGAAGAGGATTAAATACTTTTGAGTTGATTGAAGATGATCAATCAACTATTATTTCTATTCCTGTTGGTAATTATTCTAGAAAATCATTACAAGACACATTGGAAAAGCAATTGAATGCAGTGTCACCAAACAATGTCAAATATGCAATTAGTTGGCCGACATCACAACAACCAAATACTATATTTACTTGTGCGTCAACAAGATCCAGAATATTCAACCAATCGTTTCTTTTACTAGTAACAATCTTTTGTTTCGTCATTTAGGTCTTAATAAAGATTCAACAACCACCCACCGGATTCTTAATATCCATTATATGTTTGTGTTGTTTGGTTTGTGTTAAAAAAAATATATATTTTATTTTACAATTGTTTTTGGATCAGAATTAATTATTGCATCCTCACCGCTTATCACAGGATACAAGACAGAGGGGGGGACAGAGCTAAAAGCCATTTTGAGTGCATATTGATGCACATTTTGAGGGGCTTTTACTTTGTTTTTGGTGGTGGTCTTCTTGCCAGGGTTATTGGCGTCAGGTTGTGTTTTGGCTTCCACATATTCTTGGCGAGGGAACGAATCAAAGCGATGAGGAGGGACGACAAAAAAGAGGTGGAATTGGGTACCAGCTGTTGTGGATGCATCAGTTGTTGTTGTTGCTGTTGTTGTTGTGGTTGTATCTGTTGTGGTTGCAGCGGGGTTTTTTGTAGATGGATCAAGATGGAAAGTGATAAAATTGAGCTCTTTAAAAGAGACAGGATGGTTGGTTTTGGTGATTTGAAATAAATATTGTCCCATAAACGAATCAACTGCTGGGAAGTTTAAATCGGTTGGTCTAACATAGGTGTCAGGTGGGAAACGATTTTTGGAGGCAAGTCTAGAAGCTAGCTCGGTGGTACCCTGAATCGAGTCGCATTTGGCGGGGGCAAAGTGAAGGTATTCGCCCAGATTGCCTTTCCCATCAAGTGATCTGATATGAAATTCACCGCCATTAATAAGAGTCTGGTGAGACAGCTGCTCAAAGAGCAAACCTTCGATCTGACTTGTGCCAACTAGAGAAACTTTTCTGATAACTTCTTCCCTCCAATTCCAATAGAATCTTTGAACCAGCTTTTCTTTGACGTAGTTGGAAGCGAACGAGACTCGTTGGCGCACAAAATCTGTGCCTGGTTCGGCGTCCAAATGAATCACTTTGTGACTTCCAGACTCTGGAGAGTCTGGCATGTTAATACTGCTAATGCATGCTTCAAGGTTTGTACTGGAGATTGCATTGACGAGAAGTTCTTGATCAGGTCTACTGATTTTATCAAGTACATATCTAAAGAATTAAGGAGAAAGTAAGGAATAGGTCAACAATGAATGGTACATAATTATAACTATATATTTTCGCATACCTAGGTATTCCACCCCATCTAAAGTATCGACTTTGAACATCTTGAATTGGATGATCAAATATCAAGCAGTTTGAAGCCAGAATCTCCAATGATGACCATAGTGGCATGATAATTCGACTTGTTTTTCCATCCTGAAGAAAAAAAAAGAATTGATTAGAACGAGTTTTAGAATCAATTAATTAATGGAATTAACGAACCTTCATGTACTCCTCATAATTTGACTTGTTTGGTGACGACACAATCAAAGTGGGTCTTTTGGATGGCAGTGGGCGCTGACCATCAACGAGGTAAAGAGATGATGAATCTGGTCGAAGAAGGATATCCTTGAAAGAGGATCTATCTCCTTGGTGAACGATTGGACTCCCATCCTCGGTATAAGTAAAGTGGTAGACGGGTGCATCAACAACATCGTATATTATTGATTTGACTAAAGGGTCGCTTCTCTTGCGGTACAGGTAGTAGAAAAGAAATACTGATTTGCCGATACCAGGATTTCCTTTTACCAGTACAATTGAACCTTGACCATGAAGAGCTTGGTGATTGCTGATGATATCATACACAGGGATATAACAATCTCGTACATAAATCTTGTTGTATTTCTCTCTCTTTGTTGGGAATAGTGACTCACTCAATTTGAGACAACAAATTGTCGAATCAGAATCCAGAGTAGATTCTCCAAGAGAGACTTTTTGTTTCACTGCTTCCTCAACTATTTCGGCCATGTTAAGTTTATTCCAAAATATATTCACATTTGGATCAGATACTAAAAAGAGTGAGAGTTAAATTAGTATGCCATACAATGGAAGTATGAAATGTTTTAAAAAAGGAATGCGATAGGAAGAAAGTTGTAAAAAGATGATAGTGATTTTTAATTATCTGATGGATATAGGAAGTGCTGTTAACCGGATAGGTGAGTGAAACAAACTAATAAAAGGTAGAGGTTTTGAGTGTCCAGTGATATGAATGGTTGATATAATATTAGGAATGGTTGGAGATGGATTGACCAACAACAATGAGGCAAGTGAGGGGCCTATAATGTGAGGAACAAACAAGCAAAACAAAATGACTAGATTTGAATGATGGTGATCGGTTGATGCACCAATTAGATATGTTTGACAAAAGGAGTGGATAAGATGGAAAAGAGATGGGTGATAAAAATAAAAGGATGTAGAGCGATAGAGAGTGGTGTAGCTTGGTGAATGGACAATGGTATTTGATTTGGATCAAAGGATTATAAATATATCAACGAACACAAGAGGTCAATGATATGTAAAGATGAACAAGCAAAACTAAATGACAAATGTTTGGTTGTACAACAATGAAGCAAGTGGTTAAAAGGAAAGAGATGGGTGGTGCATTGGTAATGAAAAAAAAAAGATAATCAAAAGAAATGGTGCAAAAAAGAGGAGCAATGATAGTGATTTTTAATTATTTGATGGATATAGGAAGTGTTGTTAACCGGATAGGTGAGTGAAACAAACTAATAAAAGGTAGAGGTTTTGAGTGTCCAGTGATATTAATAGTGGTTGATAATATTAGGAATGGTTGGAAATGGATTGACCAACAACACTGAGGCAAGCGAAGGGCCTGTAATATGAGAACAAACTAAACAAAATGACAAAATGACAAGTGATGGTGATTGGTCGATGGACAATGGTATTTGATTTGGGTCAAAGGATTATAAATATATCAATGAACAAAAGGTCGATGATATAAAATATGAACAAACAAAATGGCAAATGTTTAGTGTTTGGTTGGTACCGTCCAACAATGAAGCAAGTGGTTAAAAGGAAAGAGATGGGTGGTGCATTGATTGGTAATGAAAACAAAAAGAGGAGCAATGATAGTGATTGCAACATTGGTAATGAAGAAAATGTAAGGTTTCAAAAGGGAGAGAATTACAAATGAAAAAAATTGGTGAGGGATGACAGTAGAGAGGAAATGGTATGAAAGATAGTGCAATAGTGATTGTGACTGGTTACCTTGTAGGGGAGAAGGGTGGGGTCCCTTTTGAAACTGTTTAAACTAACAAATAGTTCACTACCGTAGATAGGCGAGTATTCCTTGAACAAATCACATGGCCACTTTACAAGAGACTCTCCTTTGGGTAAAGATTTGGTGTTGGAATCAAAATCAAAGATTGCTCCTGGTTTTAGTCTGCGTTGTGACTTGAAATATCCTATCCAAGAATCGATGTCTGTAAAATCCCATTCATTTGGGTCTAAATAGAATAGAATAGAATAGAATAGAATAGAATAGAATAGAATAGAATAGAATAGAATAGAATAGAATAGAATAGAATAGAATAGAATAGAATAGAATAGAATAGAATAGAATAGAATAGAATAGAATAGAATAGAATAGAATAGAATAGAATAGAATAGAATAGAATAGAATAGAATAGAATAGAATAGAATAGAATAGAATAGAATAGAATAGAATAGAATAGAATAGAAACAGAGGGTCATTAATTTTTTCAGGTCAAGGAACTAGAACAAAAAACATACCCTTTTCTCTCCAGCCATTATCCATTTCTTGAATATTTGTTTGATATAATATTATAGTAAGTAAGTTGCAAATAAGATAAGGGAATATAAACAAGAATAAAAAAGGTTCACGGCGAAATGAACAAGAGATTGAGTGAATGAATATTGAAAAGATGATGACGATGGTGAAGACGATTTCTCTTATGGATAACTGATGGATAGATAAATATGAAATATGTGGATAATAAATGGCAAAAAAAGAACAAATAAAATGTATCAGAAAGAATACATAGTGAACTGCTGCGTATGAGTTCTTTTTATCATCAGACTCCAAAAAAAAAAAAGATTATACTAGTAATTATAAACAAAAAATAAAATGTGTGGTTTTATTTTAAATATTAATAAAATCATTGGAAGATGGGTGAGCGATGATCATCAGACATGACTTTAATATTAGGGTTGATGGTTGTGATTAATAGATGACTTGAACCACAACACAGAGTGACTAAACGAGAGAAACGAGAATAATGATGGGTGGTGGTAGTGGAGGGAATCTGACGAATGACAATCATGTGCGAACAACAAGACGAATATGAGTGGTTAAATAGTAGATAGATGTATCATTACTTACCTCTACTGCTGTGCTGATGTGATAGCGATTGTTGAATTAAAAGTTGTTGAACAGCCAGATAGAGCTTCTTTGCAGGTGCTACGACTATGCCACATTTACCAAAATCAGCCTCTGTAAACACTGCTATACTCTCTCCATCTACATCATTATCAAGAAGCATCTGGGCATATTCTTCTCTTACTCGAACTTCTTTTGTAGCCCATTCTTTTACTTGTTTTGCTGACCATCGTTTGAAATCGCTTTGTGATGCAATTTCTGTTATTGACAAAGCATTATACATGTTATGATTAAAAGAGATGTCGTAAGATAATAGAAAACATGGGTTCTCCTTTTAATGTTGTTGTTGTTGTTGTTGTTGGTATTGAAATTCTTTGTTTGAAACACTCTGACACCACTTTTTTTTTTTTTTTTTTTTTTTTTTCATTCTCTTGAAAACAACAAGACCGACTCTTTGTCTTATGTGAACAAAGATTAGTACTCCTATAGATTCAGCTCAACTTTGAACGATAACAGCAATTTATATTTAATATACCAACATTCTATGATGACAGTAACATTCAACCTATTACATACAACATTGATAATCAATGTTTTGTCTATTGTAATTGCTAGAACCACTCTCACTAAAGCATTCTCGTTTATCATCCAATCCATGTTATATTTCAACTTTGTATGTCTATTCATACAACCAAATCCATTTTGTAAGAATTGGTAAACTGGTTACACTCTGTGTTGATTCACCTCCAACCTTGACAATGCAAACTACAGATTCAGAAGTATATACGGATGTTTTTATTCCTGAAAGATTTAGACCTCCCAATATTCAAATACCAAAAACAATCTCCAACGCCCAACCCACACACAGAGGATGCAGTAATGCCAACAAGAAAAACCATTTTCCTCTGAAATGGAACAAGATTGTCCTAGACCAAGAGAATTGAGAGCTATACATGAGTAAGTATCGTTGGTGTTTTTGTTGCACATTCCATGTGGACATGAATTTGGATAAGTGGTGCAATCCACGGCCGTGTCATTACCTATCGAGTATTGAGGCAGGCAGACTGGTGCTACAAATTCACTGCCGGTGCCACAGAATATCTGCATTACTTATCCCCCCTTTTTTCTACACGTGTACATGTACAGAGGTATGTTCAAAATGGAGGTTCATGCACACATACTGATCAATGTCAAATTGGGTTAAACTGTGTTAACTCCTTGTGTACTATAGTCGTTAGTAATGCAGAATATCAATATCATATTATTTTATTGTGAGACTCACAACACTGAACCACTGCCCTGCATACCCTACTTGTTAGTCATGCTGGTTCAGATCGTCATCTACTAGTGCGTGGTAAGGATACCGATCCTTACAAAATGTACGAATTGATCTATGTCTTTGAGTATTTTGTGATTTCTTCTCGAGAAAAGATTCACCATTTTCTTTGACAAGTGGACCTAGTGATGAATGAATTTTACTCCATACACTAGTATAGTGTTCCACTGTGGCTTGGCTTGGTTCTGGAAGGATTTGCTGGCTATGTCCTAGAGAATCAATTAAAAATCCAAATAATTCATTCCATGGTACACAAAGAGTATATACACCACCATTGACAATAGATTTACTGTTGATCTCAACTTGTCTATTATAGCTTGAGAGTAATAACCTAGCCTAAATTCGTTGAGAACAATTCTGATAAATAATAATAAAAAGATTATTAATAATCTTTAAACATTTGACTGATTGATTGATCATACCTTTTCCAACGATCTTCATTCTCTAGAACAGAGATTTCAAATTGTCTAGTGATTTTTTTATAAAAAGAGGTGTATTTGATAATAAACTTTGTTTTTTTGGGTTCAATGACAACATAGTCCCCTGACGTGGGTGTTTGATCAAAGGGGAGATGAGGTTCATCCCTTTTCCAAATACCAATAGCTAAAAAGTTATACAAAAGTTTGAGATGGATTTGGATCGACATCCATGATATTCCTGGTTGAAATCTCTCCAATATGATATCAAATTCGTCAATATTATTATTATCCAACTCGTTTTCCACATCTCGATGGATAACGTCCATCTGTTGATCAGTGACGTTTCCTCTTCCTCCTGCTCTTAAAAGACTATCTTCCAAACCAAGATTTAAAATTAATTCACGATTTTCATCTGTCTGTCTAGTAAATATTCTAATCTCTAATGTTGATTTGAAAGATGAATGTTGGGTTAATTAATGTAAGCTAGCTTTTTTGAAGAAAAATATTTATAGATAGTTCTTTTTATACATACGAGGAGTAAACTCTTCAACACAACCACGTAATTCATAAAACACCAAATAACCATTTGGGGTGCGCCTTTCAAAACAATCAATGGTCACCTGTAAGAGGACTGACCCTTCCAATTCTAAATCAACCAGATCATCGTTAAACTTGTAAGTTTCTTTCATTTTCTCTAACCATTCACGTGTATCATCTTTAGACCAATATTTAGGATCTTCAAGAAAGGATATTTAGGATTTTCAAGAAAAGAATTGAATAAATAAATAATGAAAGAGACTGATGTTCGAATCATGATCCACAACATACGTTTTTGATTCCAAAGTAAATTTGTAGTATTACTATTGATCAATAAATCAGCTGATTATGATAATCATAATAAAAATATAATAATAAAATTATTTTGAAGCAAGACAAACCTCTCTCACTTTCTCTCTCATTTGGTTAGTTTAGAAAGAAATAGAGATAAATAATAATAATAATAATTAAGTAGATACGACGAAAGTATTGAGTAAATTAGATCTACCGTCATACATTTCGATACCACAAGATTATTATGTTGCTCCGACTTTTATTTGAAACTAAAATTTTTTGGGGATTGTCTCAAACTATCTGTTTTGTGGTGGGTAGTTGTTTGGTGACCACCCCACTTTTAAGTGTCAACAAGACGACGTCGAATCATGATGGTTCGGTTGAATAGCCGCTCTCGTTTGTATTTCTTATATTAACGACACCGCTGTGTTTTGGATCCAAAAAAAGATCCTGAACAAAAATGTATTTTGGTACACTACCCAACTTTTAAGAATGAATCCAAACAATCCTATCCTATCCTTTGGTTCATTCATTCATTCTTAGTTATTTAATCAACAAACCATTACATATATTATTATCCATTCATTATTATTATTCTTTTAAAAAAAAAAACAACATGTATAGATCACAATCATTTTCGTTATTATTGGTATTATTATTCACAATCATTAGTATTGCAGTAGGAGCCAATATCATACCAGATGGAGAGTATGGCGGTACTATTGATTCAGGTAGTTGTAATGAGACCACTGTCCCATTTGTCATCAACTTTCAAAGTGGAGCATTTAGCACAAAGGGTGGATCAGGTCTCTCTTCAGCTGTAATCTACACCAGCCAAGTCTACAATGAATCAATCGGTCAAAACGACACCAATATCCTCTCATTGGGTCAAGACAACTGCGTACTCTTTACCTATGACACAACTAGCAAGAACGTTACATTGTACTTCCCACTAAATGCTCCAGGTTGCAATACAGAGACTGTTTGCGCAGGTGCCTATGTAGCCAGTGCTACCTTTGGCAAGTCAGTCGACCTTGACAGTTCTTCAGCATCAACCATCTCGATCATCTCCTCTGCCATCTTTGCTACATTTATCCTTTTATTCTCTCTTGTCTAAGGGTTTAAACTATAAAACTAAACTATATTCTGTTGTATCATAACCAATTAAAAATAAACAAACAAACAAATATAACTACTTATTTATTCAAAAAATAACTAAAGTAAATAATGAATCGAATTTTGCATCAAACTTGAGGTTCATTCACTCATCTCGATCTCATTTCATTCTTTTATTAATCTTTTTTTTTGTAAATAACATAACAACATACATACATTCATTATCATCATCAATCATTGTATTATAGTCATATAAATATATTAAAGTAATATCGCGTAATAATCATTATAACATTATTAGACATGTCAGACGACGAATATTTAAACGATCAAGAACCAAAAGAAGAACCAATCTTTATACCTCCTCTCAACTTTTCGATGGTATCTAGTGGAGTATATAGAAGTGGATACCCAAACAAAAAGAATCATCCATTCCTCAAGAAGCTTGGATTGAAATCTATCTTGTATCTATGTCCTGAAGAGTACAGTGAATCTAATACAAACTTTATCAGAAAGAATGGTATCAAGTTACTTCACTATAGAATCGTTGGAAATAAAGTATGAATCAAAATGAATCAATGAAGAAGAGTGAAGAGTGAAGAGAGAGAGAGATCAAAAAGAATGGTGATGAGTGATATTAACAAACCAAACACACTTTCAAAAAGGAACCATTTGTAGATATCCCAGACGAATATATTAGAGATGCATTGGTCGATTTATTAGATGTTAGAAATCATCCCATTTTAATTCATTGTAACAAAGGAAAGGTATGTTAATAACATATATATATTAATCATTAATTGGTTCATTCCATATTCATTAATCAATTTGTTATTTTTTTATTTGTTTGTAGCATCGTACAGGATGTGTTGTTGGATGTTTAAGAAAACTACAAAAATGGTCATACACTTATATCTTTGATGAGTACAGAAGATTTGCAGGCAGCAAAGTTAGAGTTTTGGATCAACAATTTATCGAACTTTTCAAATTAGAAGTACCATACAATAAGAAATATAAACCTAATTGGCTTTAATTAATTAATACATATATGTACATGATCAAGAATAAAGTAAATTGGAATCAAGTAAAAAGAATTCTATTTCAAAACCAATTAAATACTAGAGGTTCCTGGTCAGAAGGACAAACCTTTGACCAAAACAGCGGAGTGACCATCTAGGATATTTTAAAAGAAAAAAATCCAAGGAGCGCCTTTCCTTACCACGCGATTAAAACAGCTTTGCAAGGGTTGTTTTATTGGATGGACTGAACCTGAACCAAGACAAACAAAACAGAAGAGATTCTATTTCGTCATAGTAGATGTTTGAATGAATGATTCATTTGCATCATCATCATCATCATCAACAATATTGTCTTTGTCTCTTGTGCGACTAGAATAGGAAAAGTTGATTGTATGTATCATCATCATCATCATCGTCGTAATCGTCATGGTCAACCTTGTTGTTTTATTATCCTTTAAATGTCTTTGTGTTGTTATTTATATAAATATAAATAATTGTTATATTTAGGTTAAGTGACAAACAACAAAAAAAGAATTAAAATCAAATTACAATTTCAATAACATAACAACAACATCATCAATCATGTCATGTCATGTCATGTGATAACATAATATATATATATATATCAATAGATATTAGTACTATTCTAGCATAGAGTTGGCAGTCATAAAACAGGATGGATTGAAGTGATCACCCCCACTTGTCACTACATTCATCACACGAACCCCCCCACCCCCAATTGTTAGTTTCTCTTTCGTTCTAACAATCACATACACCAACAAGATTATAATTGGTGGATTATCATGATATGATGTATTTATTCTAATAGTCAACAACAACAACAAAAACAACAGTAGTCTATCTATTTATATGTGTGCATCAGTTCAATCAGTCAGTAAATAGATATTATTATCTATTATCCAATTGATTCCATCAATTCGCATTTGAATAATACTAATTCCTCTTTTACCTAGTTTAAGAGTGGTCATCCATACATCACCATCTCACCTCAATCAATAAGGTAATCGCTACCCATCTCTTGCTTTGCAATATATACAGACTGTCTGAGATTCTATTCTGCTGGCTGCCCGCCCCCTGGAATAATACAAACATATATTATTCAAGTTTAATGATTCTTTTTCGTAAAAGGTATATATCATAATCAACTCTATGGTAGAGAGTAAGGAGAGACAGAGAGAGAGAGAGAGAGAGAGAGAGAGAGGATAGTCAATAGTGAGGAATATAGTACTATAATAATAACAATTAAATTAATTATTATTTATTATTATTATTTCCAAACAACAATTATTAATAATAATAACAATAGTAATAATAATCTATTAAAAGGTATGAATGGTTTGTGTAGTCTGTTTGCAAAGACAAGAGAGTAGAGTGTAGAGGAGAATTTCTCAAATGCCGAATCGGCACTCTCTATCGATTGTCATATGGCAATCACTACCAATCTCCGCGCACTCACGAGATAGATAGATAGATACTTGCAATCACATCATCATTATCATAATTATCATCATACCCGCGGTCATCTAACAAAAAAAAAACAATCTAATTTACCATTTTTAGTTTAATCTAAAAGATTGATAGAGATATATAGATTATTATTTAATATTAATTAATTAATTGTAATTGTAACTGTAATAGCTGTAATATAATAATAATAATTTGGAAACCATACCTACCATGTCTACAAAAACATTGGTTTTAAACAAGGAAGGTGGAGGAGGAGAACCAACCAATCCAAAATGTGTAAATTGTGGTGAATTTTGTGAAGGACAAACTTTTGAAGCCTTTGGAAACAGCTATCATCCAAGTTGTTTTTGTTGTGCTGGTTGTAAAAGGACCTTTCCAACTGGTAGATTCTTGAATATTAATAGGAAACCATATTGGTATGTGTGACAAACAAAATATTATAGGTATTAGAATAAGATGATCATATTTATTTATAAAGAATCATTTGTTATTTTTAATTTTGTAGTGATGGATGTGGTAGACAAGCATTTATTCAAGCTCAGTTGGGAGGTAATTCTCCATTGTCAAAGGGAAAACAAAATGGTGGTGGTGCTGGCAATGCAACTGCAACCTCTCCAAAGTCTAGACGTAAAGACATATCTTCTCCAGTATCATCATCACAATCACCAAATGCCAACAACAAAGAGGAGAAACAGTATTCCAAGACATCATCGGAACAAGAGAGAATCATTAAAGATGAATTAAACAAAATTGAAAAAAGATACTCTGGTCAAACTGTTGATGAAGCTGAAACAAGTTGGGTTAATCAGAATGCAAACAACAATAACAACAGTAACAGTACAACAAGCTCACCATTATCATGTAGTGGAAGTGGTGGAAGTAGAAAATCAACACCACTTCAAGGTGCCAACAATGCCAATTCCAACAGCAATACTCAAAGATTATCAAAAAGATTTGAATCAATTTCAATTAGTGAAGATGATAATAATAGTAATGGTAACAACAACAATAATAACAATGGTGGAGGAGGACTTAGTAGAGCAAGTAGTATATCTAAATTTGATAGAGAAAGATATGAATTTTTAAATTCATCAACTAGTAGCAATAGTATTAGTAGTGAAGGTAGTACTCCTCCACAATCTCTATCTCGTGTTCAATCATTTAGAGATGATACAAGTACTTCATCCATCTCCAGTGGTAATAATATTAATAATAATATTAATAATAATAATGGTATCAAGAGAAATAGTGTAACATTGTCAATGAAACGTGATATCGAGGAGAGAGAGCAAAGGGAAAAAGAAGAAAGGGAAAAAAGAGATTATGAAATATCCATGAACAACAACACCTCTACAAACAGATTATCATTGTCTGTTGGAAAAATGGATGGATCAAAATTTAATTTCTTAAATTCAACTTCATCCCCTTCATTATCCAATAACCTCAACCTCAACAACTATAATAATAATAATAATAATTCTGGTAACATGTTGACAAAAAGATCAAGTGTATCAATTTATAAAAAGGAACTTGAAGAAAAGGAAAGAGAAGAAAGAGAGGAACGTGAAAGAAAACAAAGAGATAGACAAAGTGTTTCTAAATTTGATAGTACAAGATTGGATTTCCTCAATCAATCTACTTCTCCATTAAATGTCTCTCCACCACTTACATCGTCGTCGTCGTCACCTGCTCCTCTTCCAATTGGTCCAACCAATTTCTTGTCAAGATCCAATTCAACTCGTAATAGTATTTCCCTCAAAGACCAAAAAGAGGCTGAAAGAAAAGAAATGGAAGAGAAAAGGGAACGTGAAAGAAAAGAAAGGGATAGATTATCAGTTACCAAATTTGATAGTACTAGATTGGATTTCCTTAATCAACCTCAACCTCAACCCCAACCTCAACCATCCTCATCCTCATCACCAATTACTAGACAACAATCTGTTCAATCATTTGATAGAAATAGTATGTCATTGGATGTCAACAACAACAAAAGAAATAGTGTATCATTTTCAATTATCAAAAATATTGAAGATAGAGAATCATCATCATCATCATCATCTTATGAATTAAGTGGTAATAGTAGACAATCAGTTGGAAGAATTGATAGTTCAAGATTTGAGTTTCTTACACCACCAAGTGTCTCACCAAACATCAATTCAACTTCACCCAAGGTTACTTCACCACCCAACTCACAGTCTGTCAACAAGAGATCTAGTATCACATTGGCCTATAAAAAAGAAATTGAAGAACGTGAAAGAAAACAAAAGGATAGACAAAGTGCAAGTAAATTTGATAGTACAAGATTGGATTTCCTCAATCAAACTAGTTTATCTACTCCTCCCACTACTACCAATACCACTACTACTCCTTTGGTCAGTCCAAAGTCACCTGTACTTTTTGAAAGTAGAAAGAGTTCAACATTGACATTACTACTTGAAAAAGAGGAAAGGGAAAGACAAGAAGCTGAAAAGAGGGAAAAAGAGTTGGCATTGGAGAGAGAAAGACAAGAGGCCGAGAAAAAGGAAAAGGAGTTGGCCAAGGAAAGAGAACGTGTCAAGCTGTTGGAAGTACAAGTAGAAGCTGAAAAGGATAAACAAAGAAAACTACTTGATGAAAAGAACAAACAAATGGCAAAGGAGAAAGAGGAATTGGAGAAAAAGAAACAACAATTGGCAGTGGAGCAATTGGAATATGAAAAGAAAAGAGAACAAGAGAGATTGGAAAAGGAGAGATTGAGAGTATTGGAAGAGCAAAAGAGAGATCAGGAGAGACTGGAAAAGGAGAATGAAAGACAATTGGAACAACAAAGAAGAGAAATGGAGAGATTGGAAAAGGAAAATGAAAGATTGCAATGGGAGAGAGAAAGACAACTAGACGACCAAAGAAGAGAACAAGAGAGAAGGGATAGGGAACGAGAGAGACAATTAGATGACCAACGAAGAGAACAAGAACGATTGGAAAAGGAAAATGAAAGATTGGATCGTGAAAGACAAAGAAAGGAACAAGAATTGGAGGAATACAACAGACTTCAAGAAGACATTCGGTTGAGAAAAGAGGAGCGTCAAAGACGACTAGATAAACAACTAGAAGAAGAGGAACGTGACCGTCAAAGAAGAGCTGAAGAAAGACAACGTCGCAAAGAACAAATGCAAAGAGAGTTGGAGGAAGAAGAACGAAAACTGGCATTGGAAAGGGAAAAAAGACGTGCTCAAAAGGAGGAACGTGAAAGAAGATATCAAGAAGAAATGGCTGCCCTTGAAAGAGAAAGAGAGGAACAAAAAAGACGTAGAGAACAACTACAGCAAAGAGATCAACAACAGAATCCAAGTATTAGAGTTCAACATGTAAAATCAAATCATTCAGATATTATGTATAATACTGTTAATAGTACTAGTAGTATAAGTGAATTGGATAAATTGTCCAATTTGTATTATCAATCTAGCGCACCATCAATCAACACATTTTTAAAAGAACATGATATTAGTGTACCGTCAACTCCAAATGCTGGTATTACTCCATCTCAAAGTTTGTATTCTATAGCTTCCAGTACTCTATCATCATCTCCAATATTGTCACCAAGATCAGGTGAAAAGATTGATAGTGATCATCATCATTCATTGTCGATTGGGAATCATGCCACTTCACCCAATCAAGCATCTGTCATTTCATCCAACCTTGATTATGACCATTCTTCAATTCACTCTGTCGATGGTCAAGATCTTGCAATCAAGTATGGTCACCACCACCACTATGGTACTGTCAATAGTGTCAGTGCTGTCAGTTCAGTCTCTACTACATCTGAGCTTGGATCATATAGAAATAACACCAACAATAATAATCAAAACACTGGTGATATGGAACAAAAAAGAAGAATTGAAAAAATGAAACAAGAAAGAATCAAAAGAGAAGAAGAGGAAGAAAGAAGAGAAGAAGAAGCGAGAAGGATCAGACAAGAAGAAAGACAAAGAAAAAGAGATGAAATGAAGAGAGAACTAGAATTGGAAGAGAAAAAAATTGATCAACAAAGACAAGAAAGATTGGCTAAATTAAAAAGTGGTGGAGTCTTTTAAAATGATCATTTTTTGAAATAAATAAATAAATATTTGATTATTATTATTATGTATATATTTTTTGGTGTTTAATTTATATTTGTTATTATTGTGAAAGTAAACCTTCTTTTATAAATTTATTGGCAAATGGAGAACCTTTGGAAATAATATAAAAGACTGGAATTTGAGGAATAACATATTCTGGATGTGAAAGTACTGTTTCAATATTGGTAGTATGTTTACATCTAACCCATCTTTTCTTTTTACTATTATCTATATTATTATTATTATTATTGCTACTATTATTCTTTGTATTTGTATTATTATTATTATTATTTAAATCAATTGGAGTTGACCAATTAGTTTGGAAATAAATTTCGATATTGTCTAGTGTGTAACGATGATCTTTGTCCCAATGAGCAAACTCTTTGTTGCCGGGAGGGAACATGTATTCGAGATGATCACCAAAACAGTAACCTTCTTGGAAATCCAAAATGTAATCTGATTGTCCATACTCTGGATACAAAAATACAGTTGGAAAGTGTGCAATACCTTCGGCATCTACACTAACTGCACGATCTGATTGACCAGTGTAACGAGACATGTCAAATAGAGGGTGACCAAGTTGCATCTTTTTAGCGGTCAACTTGCCAACCAACTCTACAAGTTGTTCGTGTTTACGAGTTTGCTCAAGTTGACGTTCCATTTCAAGTCGTTGGGCACGTTCGATATGAGCAACTGCTTGATCACGCAATGTTTTGATATCCTTGTTATCGCCCGACTTTAATGCACGATCTGCTACTTGAATAGCTTTGGTATATTGCAATAGTGATAAGTGAGATTTAACTTGTCTGTAGAATGCCTTGATATTGGTCTCATCAAACTCTACAGCCACTGTACAATCCTTGATTGCTTTACCAAAGTTTTTCATCTCCATGTGTACGGCAGCACGGTTAGACAAGATGACACTGTTTCGTTTCATGTCGTCGCATTTAACATTCAGTGCCTTGGTGTAATAGTGTAATGCCTCGTTCATGAATCGTTTCTTGTCAGCCTCTGACGTCGTCTTTTGAACGACTAGTTTGAAACGAGTGTTACCTTCTTCCTTGTACGTGTCGGCCAATACATGTGGAGGACACTCGTCAACGATGGTTTGCAAAGCATCGACACCCAAGTTCTCACCTTCAGGCAATGATTCCATAAAGATAGGGAGATCCTTCCAAGCCGACTCCTCATCTTCATCGATTGTAGGTACTGGTCTTCCCTCGGCAATCGCCTTTTCCTTTTCAATTCTTCTACTCTCTTTAATCTCTTTCCATTGCTTTATACTATTATTCCAAATTTCATCTTCTTCCTCTTCTGTTAATGAATGATCTGTTGTTGACATCTCTCTCTCTCTCTCTCTCTCTCTCTATCTACACTATCTTGTATCTATCTATCAACAAACAATACTAAATTACATTCGTCTTTTTTGTCAGAGTTCGGTAACGTTTGTGTATTTTTTTTTATTTTTTTTTTTAAACAAACCAAACATGATGTAAACTAACTGTTAATATAGTTTCCAAATCAATACAATAGTATTATTATTTTAGAGATATATATATATAATTAAATATATATTTATTTTAATTTTAATTTTAATTTTGTACAATATCCTTTTCCATTGAATAATTCATATAATTTGATGTTTCAGATGCTTTATATTCCTCTATTAAATTGGTAACTGATTCTCTAGCCTGATCAAACTCTTCTAAAACATTTCCAAAACTTGATTCCTTTGTATAATTTACTATAAATGCATTTTTCTTTCGAAGTTTATCATATTCATTTACAATATTTTGGAATAACTAAATTAAATAGAATAGAATAAATTTGTTAGTTTTGATATTATTTGTTTTTTAATTTTGAATTTGATACAAACATGATAAACACTAGTATGATTTGCCAACATTAAACCATTAACTTTGTTTGCAGATTGGATATAGGGGGATTTCTTTGATAGGGCAACTTGAATAGAGGCAGGACCCCAATCTATAAAGTTTGCCAATTTTCTTTCTCTAATTCTCTGAAGACTGTTGTGTACTTGGGTCGGGTCAACCTCTCCTTGAATAATGTTTAATATAGATACGTATTTACCCTTTTTGAGGGGTGCTGAAACCATGATATTTTGTTGTTGCAAGAGACGACGCATCACATCGAGTACCGATGTCTTGCGGATTGAAAGGTTGGATGATATTTGGTTTTGGAGGTTGGTCATTGCCACACCGCCAGCTTCGGGGACACGCATCTCTCCAGAGATACCAATGTCGGTGATACCGGTGCTGACACCTCCCAAGCCGTGTAGCGCGAGTGGGGTGTACCCAGTGATCAAAAAGTGGCATCTTGGTGTGGGAATGAGCGATGCCAACATGCCGACGAGATCGTTGTTCATGTATCCCGGGTATCGCAGCGTGTTGGTGCTGGCGGCCATGACGGTCGAGACGAGCGAGTTGGTTTGCTCGACCGTCGGCTCGGCCAGGTGCAGCTGGTCGGCTGCGATCTTGTTGAGCGCGGTATTGTCGACGACGACCGTTGAGTCGACGTGTTCGGCTAGACGACGCAGTGTCAGCAGCGAGTTGTACGCCTGCACGACCACACTCGACGACTCGGGAAACACCGAGTACGTCTGCACAAGCTTCTTGGGGTACCTGTCATGCAGATGCTCCAACAAGTAGCTGCCCATACCGCTGCCCGTGCCACCGGCAATCGAATGACACAACAAGAAGCCCTCCAAGCTCTCACTGCCGTCTGCCTCACGATCAATCATGTCCAATATATGCTCGTACACGTTCAGTCCCTGCGCATACCCACTCGCCCAATTATTACCGGCACCGTTGCCTCCAGGCGACACATATATGTTCTCGGGGTTGTACAAGTGCGAGTACTCACTCGATCGAATACCCGATATCACACGTGGCTCCAAATCAACCATCAATGCTCTCGGCACATAATGATTATCATCTGATTGATAAAAGAATACATCCTTTCTATCTACTCCATTGATTGCATATTCCTCCAAGTATCCTTGAGGATTAATACCATGTTCTCTACATAACTGTTTCCAAAATTCAGATCCAACTAAAGTAAACCAAACAACAATCTAATATGTTAGTTATATACATATGCATGAGATGATCGATCATCTTCACTCTCCACTGACTCAACATACTCTGATTTCCACATTGGCCAACTTGCAATGTTATAATCTCTCTTGGCATTTATTACTATTACTATACTATCTATCTATCTCTATATTAAATATTTATCTATCTATTTTTAATTAATCTATCATTGACTCTTCGTTCATATCCTACATGTTCATTTTTTTGGGCGCCAAAATATATTCAAACTCTCATTTTTTTTTTTTAATATTAATCTTTGAATGGGTTGTAGTCATTATAATGATTTCAATTGTCTTGTATCAATTTTTGTTTATTTATTTATCTATTCATAAATATTTAGAGAATCATATAGTTTTTTGTTGTAGTTTCTAACATATTTTTAACAATTCCGATTGGGTAGATTTTTGATGTTTTAATCAAAAAAAAAACTAAAGACATGATGATGGTGATGTTTTGTCGAAAGTCATCTAGCTATGTAAAACACAACATTTCTATTGGTTGAATTTGTTTTTGACAAATGACCATCCAACAGATTCCACTAATATAAAAAAAAACAAACCAACAAAAAAGTATTTTTTCCCAATTTATCCAAAAACAGATTTCAATTATAGTTTTTTTTTTTTTAATATTTGGTTGGTCTATTCAAACAATTCTTTGACAGCTGAACAATCCTCCCCTCCTAACTGACAAACAAACAAACAAAATAATATTAATATTAATATTTTTGATCTATCAACACAACAATATGTTTCAATCTCAAATATAATAATATAGATAATAGTTAACACTTTTTTTTAAATTTGCAATCACTGATTTTCAATATTTCAACAACAAGATATTGAAACAAATAATATTTTTAATATATTTATATACAAATAATGAATTTCCATATTCTATTATTATTTTTAATACTTCCATATTTAACAAATGGAGATACTTGTAAAACTCTAAGTTGTGGATCGACATGGTAAGTAAAATTAATTAATTATCTATCTATCTATATTTTTATTCCATCCATCCTAATCCATCCTTTTTCATTCATTCAAATATTTAAATAATTTATAACTATTAGTAAAAGTGGATCAGACTTGGAATGTAGTTATGATAGTTATTGTAATAAATCAACATTTATGTGTGTAAAGAGAGTCAATGAAGGAGAGCCATGCTCAAACTCTATCCAAAATTGTCTGCCTCCATACTATTGTTACAACAAGGTTTGCATGGAACTTGGATTTGCTAGCTTGGGTGAAAGCTGTACAATGAACCAACACTGCCTCGGATTTTTATCTTGTGTCAACAAGGTTTGTGTTAATACCGATAGCACTGAATGCAGCTCATGGCAAAACTGTCCGGTTGGACAATACTGTGGTGACGATGGAAAGTGTTTGGCTAGAGTCGCCATGAATGCAACTTGTACCGATTCTCTTGAATGTCCACATTTCTCAGATTGTATTTCCCCAGCTTCGGGCCAACCGACTATCTGTGTACCCTATTACTCTCAAACACTCGTCGGTTCAAAATGTTCAAGTTTTGATAATGCTTGGAGTACATGTGCACCAAATCTATTCTGTTCCCAAGTATCTGGTACTTGTCAAATTGTGCCAGCTCAAACTTCAACAACTGTCAATTGTGTCTCGGCATCGGCTGGAACATCGTTATGTTCAGAATTAGAGACATGTGCATGTTATGGTAACTCTACTGGTGTGTGTATGCTTAAAGGTAACTCGGGAGATTCAGACTGCCAGGCCGCACTCAAAGTACTACATGGATGCGAACAAAGTAAAGGGTGCTACGACTCGGGTATCTATACTCCCAAAGGATGTGCACGTCAGAATTGTATTACAGAGTATTGTGATATGGCATCCAAGTGTACCTATGGACCAGACTCTGAAGAAAACAATATAGCTTGTGGAAGAGGTAATATCCAACGTTGTGATGGTACTCGTGCAACCAATGTTCCAGTCCTTCCACCTACCACTACTAGTAGTAGTACAACTACTGCCAGTAGTACAACTACAAGTGGTTCTACTACCACTACAGGAGCATCGTCAACTACAACTACCACAACCAAACCAAGTTCATCTACTCAAACGTCAACATACTCTTCTTCATCCACCTACTCCACATCCGCCAGTTCAACAACTGCTGGAACTACTACCAGTGGAACTACAGCTACAACCGCAACAACATCTGGTGCAACTACTTCCAATCCAACTACCTCTTCTTCGACAACTACCACTTCTCCATCATCTACATCATCTACATCATCTACATCAACTACAACAGATAGAGCAACAGGAACAGATACACAAACTGGAACAACAACTGATATGGGAACAACTACACTCGGCTTATCTCCAACACTCTCTGCACCCATTACAACTGTTGCTATCTTGATGACAGCAATATTAATACTCCTTTAACAACTTCACATTGATATCTCAAATAAATAAATATAATCTTTTGTACATATACATAATTTACCTTTTTAAATACCAGGGATAGATAGATAGACAGAGTCAGAAAGAATAACTTTGCCTAAATCGGAATGTTGGTTCCCTGCAGAAAAAAAAAAAAAAAAAGGGAATAATCAGCAGAAACATCAGCTCAAACTCCAACTCCAATGGAATCATCATCATCATCCTTCCAATGCATTGAATGAAGAGTTAGTTATCTTGTTGTGATATCTATATACAGTGCTTTTTAACTTCGTCATTAGTTTAGTCATCAACATTTAGAGAAGAGAAAGAAGAGAAAGATTGAATAGGATATATTTATAGAGTCAACATGATGAATGGATTGGACCAACAGTACTATATGAGAACAAGTCGGCATGGTCCTCCCTCTTCATTAACAAACAGTAATAATAGTCCATCAGTCATAGGTATTAATTACAACACCAATAATAATCATAATAACGGAGGGGGTGGAGGAGGAGGAGGAAGTGGATCAAGCAACTCGATAACAGGCGGATCAAACAACAACAACAACCAAACTCCAGCTGTATTTGATCGTGTTACTTCATTCTTTAGATCATCTTCATCATCATCATCATCATCATCAACGGATAATAACAATAATAATAGTGGTGGTGGTGGTAGTAACAACGGTAACTACAACCTATCATATGCTAGTCCTTCATCACCATACTCTAGTTACAATCAATACTCCAACAGCAACAACAACAACCAAAACTCAAGTGGTAGCAACAACAACTATAACAACTATAACAACAACACTAATACTAGTCACTATAGTATTGGAAGTAGTGGAGGAGGAGGAACAATGTTACAATCTCCAAAGGGATCTACATCCAATTATACAACGATGTCACCACATTCATCAATGTCAATTGCAGCCAACAAGAGATATAATGGAGACTGTATTGTATTATCAGAGTTTAGTGAACAGACTGGACCAGTTGCATTGACAGTGATACCCGAACAACTACCTCACTATGAAGGCTTTGATATTGCAAAGTATGTGGTCAAGATCATGTCTGTCGACTTTCAAAACAAAACCAATGACTTGCGAACCTACACCAAAGACAGTCAGATGTTCTTTACCTTTTCTGCACCCAACGATGCACATGAACTCTATGCCTACGTTCACCATTTCTCATTGTACGATATCTATGCAAGAGGTTATGTACGTCCATTGGTCATCAGTTACATTACCAAAGATCCTCACAAAGTTATTAAATTCTTTGACAAATTTGTTCAAAAGTTTACTCGTGTATGTATCAAACTAGTAGTAGTAGTATAATTAATAACAATATATATTAATACTATTTGTTTATATTGTAGGTAATAACTGTATTAAAACAACCAAATCATTTATTATTTGAGAATGAGTTTAGTCATAGAATAAGAGATTTGGAGTATACTTTACAATACTATCAATCATCAAGTATAGAGATTGATGAAAAGGAAAAAGATAGTCATATCTCATTTGCACTTGACTCCAAGTCAGAGTTAAAAGGTATCGAATCATTATTTGATGATGAAAGAAAAAAAGATCAACAATTACAAAACAATGTATTTAATAATGACAATAATAAGGACAAAGATAATAATAATGATCATAGTGGTCACAGTTCAAGATCGACTTCTGGTGGTGGTGCAGTTGGAGTATTAAAACGTAGACATATGGAACATTTATTGGGAAAGATATATTACAATGAAACGGTTACATTGGTTGGAGAACCAAAACTATTGGATCAATTACACAAGACTACACATCTCGATAAAGCATTAAGAAATGTATCTGATCTATGTCCAGATTCATTTGAACCATTTATTCAAAAGATGAAGAAATGTCTTGAACACTTTTCAAAATCTGCAATTCAAATGGAATTTGATACTTTGGATAATAATTTAACAAGTAAATATTAATAATAATAATATTAATTTTAATAATAATAATCGATTATTACACAATTATTAATACATTACTATATATTTTTAGATCCAGCAACTACATTATTATCAATTGGTCAAACTTCAATGTTAAACTATCATTTTAATCAACAACAACAAAATGAAAAGTATGTTAACATTTATTTGTAAGATGAATTATTTATACTTATTTATATTGTTTTTTTAGGAAACAAAACTATCATAAATCACAAATGAAAGATATATTAAAATCAAAATACAATAACAAGAACAACAAACATATTAATAACCAACAACATCACCATCATCATAGTGTCAATAGTAATCACAACAACCAAAATAATACTAGCTCCTACTCTTCAGATTCGGGCTCCTATGTTTCTGTATATTCCAACAATTCACTCAGTGAGCATTTCGATCAATTATCATTTTCACCAAACATCGAGGACAAGTCTCAATATACCAATTCTTCTTCCTCTTTACCTCCACTTCCATCACCAAATGATTATAATGCAACCAATAATAATAATAATAATAATAATAATAATAATAATAATAATAATAATAGCTCATTATTTAATAATTTCCTAAAATCTGTATCTGTATTTAATAATAATCAAAATAATCAAAATAATACTAATAATAATAATAATAATAATAATCCATTGAATAGTTCATCATTCCAAATTCATCATCAACAACAATTACTTCAACAATCACAACAACAACAATCATCACAATTACAAACAAGTAATGGAATTAGAAAGAATGGTGATATTAAATTGGAATCATTTTCAAACTATTTATGGGGAGTACCTAGACCAAGACATGGATATGGTCTGTTGAAATTGGCAGCACGATGCAATTGGATTAGACACGCTGTGTATTCACTTCTCAAGGGACGACCATTATTGGTGTTGGGATCGGTAGACAAGACCGCTCACATTGTATCGGTGCTTGATAGTCTGTCGATATTTGTAGCTGGACAATCTCGTGTTGGCAAGGAGCTAATCGAGTTTAAAAAGACACCTCTTGTGTTGTCGGATCTCGCTACACTCAAACTTATTGGTGTGACAAAGTCATCGCCCAACTACAAGATACCGACCAATATCAACTGCTATGTGAGCAAGATTGATCTTGATACGGATGAGTTTACCGGTCCGTTGTACAGTCAGACGATGGGAATCATCGACGAGATGCTCACTGTCAAGCGTCAATGGAACGACAATGAGACATTGTACATTAGCCATATCCAAACCATCCTCTATGAGATGTCACTCAAGTCATTCACCTACTACCATCTGTGCTGTGCACATCCTCATTCTCTATACAAGTTATCCCATCCTCTCCTTAGTCCCACTTCCCCCCTCTATGTAAACAAACAACAACCATCATCATCCTCCTCCTCTCAACCACAACAATCTCCAAATGCTTCGTCATACTATTCTCCTGGACGATCTACATCCAACAACTCGACGACACAACCAAACGAGAGTAAAGGTAATAATAGTGGTACTAGTATTCTCTCACTATCCACATCTAATCTACCCAAACCCGATGAAATGTTTGCGTCACCAGGTAGCAGTTTCCCCACCACCTTTCTTCCATTCAAACCAGCTGCGCTCTACAGTAGCAGCGGTAGTGCCAAAAAACGACCAGCTGCTGCCATTCCAAAAACCACCAGGTCACTTTCAGAGTCACATCTCACTCCACCAACCCCTATCAAGCCATCTTCATCGGTTGATGTTGAATTGACAGTTGATGCAAGTGCCGAACAACAAAATGCCAACACTGCCAACCAAACCAAACATCCAAGTGGAAATACAACACCAAAAGGTGCAAATCAAACTGTTCCACCTAATTTTGGTTTATTGGCTAGTGGTGGAGGTGGAGGTGGTAGTAGTGCCTACCGTGGAGGACACCAATCACCAAATCAATCACCACATCAAACTTTACATGGTCATGGTAGTCATGGAATGTCACGTACCATTGTATGTGATCCAAAACAACTATTTAAACGTTGGGAAGTTAATAATGTTGCCGATCAGCTAATCATCGAATACCTATGTGAAGTTGTAAAAGATCAACAATACTATGATTACTATCAATCAAAGAATCATAAAATGGCACCAATCATTAAATTAGATTTTTCATCAACCTCAACTATTAAAAATAGAAGATAGATAGATAGAAAGAAAGAAGAAAGAAACTTTAAAACACAAACAAAACAAAACAAAGACCAAACAAATTCCCATTCTTAATAAATATTAATAATATGTATTTTAGTTACAAATACACAAAAAACAAAAGAAGAGGAAATAATAATAGATATATATTATTATATATTTGTTTTTTTAAATGTACATTTATTCTATAAACCAAGTAACTTGTTTCCTATTGTGTGTGTATATATTTATGATGTGTTACCATGGCATGTGTCGTTGAGTGATTATGAATTATTATTATTATTATTCATATTTAATTAATAAATAAATAAATAAAAAGTGTTTATGTTTTAGGCTCTTTTTTGTTGTTTCAACATTGAAGAAACTGTTTTTTGGTCTTTGTTGGATAATGAACTACCAATGAAATAGTAAAATGTAAATATTACACATACTATCAACATGTCAAATGTCATATAATGTCTACACCACATTAATGTTAACAACCCAATTAGATTGGGGTGTCTCATATTCTTTAATATTCTATTTTGTCTTGACTCTTCTTCTGTTGTTGTAGATGATTTCATCGATGATGATGTTAATGATGATGTATCTTTGTTTAATATATATCTATAAATCTAGATTATTTAAATGTATTAGTTTATGATATCATATGATATGATATGATTTCTTTTCCTTTTTTTTTTTTGCATACTTGTTTAATACCAAAGAATTCCCAAATATCTAATAATGAAATAAACTCTATACCCATCAAGAGCAATGCGATGATTCTAAGATTTGAACAAATCGATTCGTAATCATTGTTCTTCCAAACCACAAGACTATCCAAAGGTTGCCAGAAAAAGATCATTGCCTCGATTGCAACCGATGTAGAGATGAGATAGACTGATCTTTCTATACTTTTGATGGCAGGACCACCAGCAGTAAATATAGACTTTACAATATCGGTTGCAAGTAAACTATGTTGTGCAACAAATGCAATAACAATAATGATATTATTAATTATATATCTTTCAATCGTTGATTCATCATCATCACCATGATTATCTTCTTCTTCTTTTATATGTTGTTGTTGTTGACCAGATTGATCAGCCCATTGTATAAAATGAAATATTGATAAGAGAGTGATGAATAAACCAAACAATCCAACCACCAATACACTTGATTTCTTAAAGAATGATATTATATGTTTGATCATAGCCGAACTCTTATTCAAAATCAATCTGAGATGAGATGAACTTCAATGTTTGTTTTGAAATCTCGACAAGACCATCCACACCAACTTTTGTTTATTTTGTTCTTTTCAAAAATAGTTATCATAAATTAAATAAATAAATAAATTTATATTCTTATTATTATATTTATTATTATTTTGGACCACATCATTTGGGAAAACATGTATCTTTTGGATCTACTTTGCTTTTTTTTTTATTTATAAAGGGGGTTTTGATTAAATAAATTAATAATAATAATAATAATACTCTATCAACTCTTTGGGAGTTCCCAAAGTTCATTGAAATTATCTTTGTCTGTCTGTGTCTGTCTTTTTTGGGGTGACAAATTTAATTATCGACCAACCACAATGAGTGAGTTCAGAGTTGCAGCGACCAAGTCGACTTTGAAAACTTCCTCGGAACTTTGTGGTCCCAAGATTTTTCGCTGTCGTTTGGAAAAAAAAAGAAAAAAAATTAAAATAAATCCAGAGAGGAGTGCGAGGTCTTTGGGAGAGGAGTACCGCAGCCGGCTCGGCCTCCGCTGACAGTCTTTTAAATCATCCCGTACACTTTATGTGTATATTTTTATCACCGCCCCAACTTATTTACTCCACACAACCCGAAAGCCTCGCTTTCAAAGCAACAAACAACACCAACAATCTATACTATATCTTTTTTGGTTGTACTCGCAAACAAAAAAGTAGAGGTACGGTAAACAAAAATGTGACAAAAAAGAAATAGGCGACGACGACCTACGATGACTCTTAGTCTGACGACAAAGACATAAGAAGATAAGAAGACATAAGAAGATAAAGAATACAGAGAAATCTTTGAATTTGAAATTAATTAGGAATAGCGGTCACTAATATCAAAACCTTTAAATACCTACTTCCCTCCCCCATTCATTTTCTTTTCCATTATATATCTTATTAATAATAATAATTATATATAACACTTCACTCTACTCAACCCTAACCAACAAAACACAGTGTCTTGTCTCATTAATTAACGATCCTCGTTTTTAAATATTATATTTTAAATCAATATCCCACCTTCTTTTAATTTAATATTATTTATTACTTTGACGTAGAACGTAAACTAATAGATAAGTAAAGGTAGGTCATAATAACAATACATATATATAACATAATATCTTGATCCACCACCTATCTCATCGGATCTGCAACTCCCGTCACACACTCACTCACCAGCAGCCGACCGAGTTATCTCCAATCCGCCAACTCTAGTTTTTTTTCTTTTGGTCAAAGTTTTTTTTTTCTTTCCACTAGCAGGTGTTTTTACTCGAGTTTAGACAATTAATAATAATAATAATATCTCTAATCACCATCACCACATATCTACTATCAGTGTTTACCAACACTTTAAGACCACACCCACACCCTCACTCTCCACCACAACATAATATTGCTACAGGATTGTACAACCATATATAGTGATTTGAATACCAACCAACAAACCAACCAAATAGTAGGAACAAAACGACAAATCAAACGAATTCGCTACTCCCTCATCCATCATATGATCATCCACTCGTTTCTCAACCCATCAACTACAACACACACCAAACAGATAACAAACAAACATATACTCTTTTCATATTTAAAATCACTTAAAATATCTCTTTAAGGAAGAATCTCCCACCCAACACACAACACATTGTTTTATTAATTGTGTGTTTGTGGTAGACACTATTTTAACAGCTATTGAGAATGTGGATTTACCAAGTCACACACACAATTCATCAGCTGATTGATATCAATTGTTGTTCGAGTGTGATGAACATTGAATAACGTAACCCAAACAAATCAAATCAAAAAAACTGTTTTTTTTATTGTTGTTGTTGTGCTGCTATTGTTTTGATTGTGATGGTTGTTGTTGTTTGGGCATTATGACAATCACAAACATATAAATATCCTATTAAAACTACTGTACTGTAATAATAATCATCAACATCATAGTCTCGAGACACAACTAGTTAGTTTTAAAAATCAAAATTTTTAACAACAATCACAATCAACGCAACGCAACGATTTACAACAATCACAATCCTTTTGTAATATACACTCCAACAACTAAAACTCAACAACACAACAGTTTCATATAATATTTATTTTAAAAGAGTTTCCTTACTTCCTTCCTTCCTTCCTTCCTACTACTATTTATTTTAACAACAACAACAACAATTGTAAGAAGCAAATTAATTAATAATAATATGACACATAAATGAACAGATCAAATTCATGAATCAATCAATTCAATTTAAAGAGACAACTTATCCTTTGTTGTTGAATATTCAATCGATATACTTTCTCTTTGTTTACCCACACAATTACTCACTCGTCAATCAATCGACTTTCCTCTACACCCACACACATCCCGACTGGTAGACCATGGTATCTACTATTTGTAATCAAACCGTGTGTTGGGTGATTGTTCTACAACTTTTTTTTTTTTTTCTTTTTTTTTTTTTTTAAAAAGACAATCTTTAATATTATTATTTGATTGGCAACCACCCGAATTCAAGACCTAACCCACCCCACCCTCTTTGTCAAGGTCATCATCCTCTTGTTGACCAAACATTTTGGATGATATCATCTAATGACTAAAAAATATTTCCAATTAATTTGTTGTTTATTGTTTTTTTGTGACTATTGTTTTTTTGAATTGCAATCAACAGCAATACAAAACAACAACAACAACAACCATTTTCAAGACCATAACTATCATACCATCAAATCACAAAAACCTTTCATTGGCATCACACATACACACAACACATATACAACAGATGCTCTCTCCCTCTCTTTGTGATAGCCTTTCCTCTCATTTAATTGGGAAAACTCTCCCTCTCCAAGAGATCCTCCTCATCCTCTCTCTCTCTCCAATCATACATAATGTCGTGTGTCAATTGGCATTCTCGCGACATTTGGTGATACAAGAGGGGGATGTATGTTGTTATTATTTCGAGTTTACTCTTTTGAAAATATGGGAATCAATAATTCATTCATTCATCCCTTCAATCCATCGGTCACCATCCAAATAATATTTAATGGTTTCATTTTTTATTTTCCAAAAATAATAATTATTATTATTCCATTCATTTCCAATCAATCAATCAATCAATTAAATATAATTCTTCTTCTTTTGGGAAATATGATAGATTATCACCAACTACAATAATAATAAGATATCTTAACATTCACAACGAAATATTAATTAATTAATTCCAATTTTATTTATTATTTATTATTTATTTATTTTTTCACATAAATTACAGAAATGAAAGTAATCCAATTCTCATTACTATTTGTATTATTATTTGTATCCTCTTCTTTGGCTTCTCCAAGTAAGTAATTTATAAAAAAAAATAATATTATTATTTTCCAAATGTATTTATTTTTTTAATTTTTTTTTTATCTACTTAGTTACCATTTATGAAAATGGTAGTTCAGGAGATTTCGATTTCTACTTGTTTGTTCAACAATGGATCTATTCCTATTGTGGACAACAAACCTGTATCTCGACCAAGGAACGTGAAGCCTTCACCATCCACGGTTTGTGGCCAGAAAACACCGACGGCTCATACCCAAGTTTCTGTAACGGACCAAGCTTCTCGAGCAACGAAATCTCTGACCTCCTCAACACCATGGACTACGACTGGCCCTCCCTCACTGGCCCAAACACTGATTTCTGGACCCACGAATGGAGCAAGCACGGCACCTGCGCCTTGACCGGCCCAGTCACCGACATCCACGACTACTTCTCTGGTGCCCTCAAGCTTTACGAGACCTACAACGTCACTGCCGCCCTCGAGCACAACAACATCTACCCAAGCAGCTCGGGCTCTGTCAACATTAACCAAGTCATCAGCACCCTCACCACCGCCTACGGTGGCAAGCCACTCATCCAATGCCAAGACAACCAAATCTCCACCGTCACTTTCTGTATCACCAAGGAACTCGAGATCATGGATTGTCCAACCCTCTCTGGCTGGACCTGTGGTTCCAACTCTGCTGGTTGGCCAAACTCTGACAACAATGATGTTGAAATTGTTGTCAAGTTCTAAATTTAGAACTCATACAAAAAAAAAAAAAGATGATTAACTCGACACCCCAACCCAAACATATTTTACTTTATCATCCAACAACCCAATCCCTTCCAACAACAATAATAATAATATATTTATTCATTTATCTTAAACACTCTCCCCCACACCAACTCAATCAACAAACCAAAATAACCTAAATAACAACAATAACCAAAAAAAGATTAAAACGAAAATGGAACAAAAAAAAAATGATACCAACAACCTACAACAACCTACAACAACAAACATATATTTTTTTTCAAGCTTGTCCTTTTTTTTACACAACTGGCACTATATTAATGGCATCTTCTTATCAAGACATGTCGTATATGGTCGTGTGTGTAAAAGGATGGCATTATCATAATGTTGATATTGTTTCGAAACATACAACCAACACCAACAACAAATAAATAAATAAATTATTTTCGGGTGCAATTCACGACACGAATTGTGCCATTCGAATCTAAATATAATTAATTATCCAAAACACAATATAAATATATAAATATTATTTGTTTTTTATAAATAAATATATTTTGTTTTCCTTTCCATTTTTATTTACCATTTTCATCCATGGTAGAAAGAAAGGATTCCAAAATTTTATTTCTTCTATTAATTAATATATCCATTGTTTCAGAGTCATATTCATAACTTGGTTCTTGATCATCATTTTCCTTGTTTTCATTATTACTATTATTATTATTGTCTATTATTATTAATTTCTTTTGTTGATCTATCATTTTAATTGCACCATTTATATCTTCTAGAGCATAGACTAGATTACCAAGATGATGATGAGCTTTTGATTTCCAAAAATAGGCTTTATGATTTGGTAGTGTTTCCAAAGAGAGAGTACAATAATCTCTAGCTATTTGCCATTCACCCATTTTTGCCTGTACAATTGCCATGTTACAGTATAGTGTAGAACCTACTTGTGCTACCTTGTCATAGTATGTTTCCAAGTTATCCAAATATTCGTTCCAAGTCAATATGCTTTTGTAAATCTTGAGTGCCTGCGAATAGAGATGATCACACTTTTCAAAGAAAAAGAGTTTGAATTTGGTTGATGCCCAACTCCGATACTCTGCAACGAGTTCCAACTTTTTTTCAATTGGCAATTGACATGCCTCCTCGATTGTATGGAAATGTTTTAAACTTTTACAATCAATGTATATGATGAGTGTGGCCATTGGTGGTATCTGATCCGATGGAGACCCTACATCACCATATCCATACGATGGTGGTACTTTGACAACACATGCTTCTCCACTTTGTACAGTTGGAAGAATCTTGATGAGTGCTGGAATGAATCGATCACTAGCATTTGGTTCTTCCAAATCACTTTGTTTAATCTTTTTTAAAAACATTCTTTTTTTAACTTTTTTTGGCTCTTCCAATAAATAAATAGTAACTTGTGCTTTGAGTCGAGTAAAATTACTCAATTTGATATCTTTGTTTCCTTCACGGATAATGGTTTTCTCTAATCCATCTGGTTGTGATATAACTGGTGACATACCAGGTTGTTGTAACAATCCAAAATGGTGGTCAAGTGGATCCACTTTTTTACTAGTTTCACGTCGTTTCTTTGCTTCTTCAATCTCTTCCAACTCTTTTTTAAAATCTTGGTAACTAGTATCACTGTTTACAACGAGTGGTTGACCATGAAGAAATGCATTCTGTAGCATCAAATAGTAACATAGTAGTTTATGTGCCAAGTTACCCTGTGCCTTTTTAAGTTGATTTGATTTACTCGACACAAACGATACCTTTCCATCTTTTTCATCCAATTCACAGAAACAGACAAACAACTGTCCAGGTGGAAATTCATATTTACAAGGTTGAAATGGAGGTAATTTTTTAATTGTATATAATTCATTTAATATTGATTGTGGTGTTTTCTTGAATGTCCATTCCTAAATATACCAAAAAATACAAAGATTATTTGTTTGTTAGTTTGATATATGATGATGATGAAGATTATCTTTTAATTTATACATACATCATTACAAGGTAGAGGATATATAAAATCATTTGGATATAAAATGGTAGAGATTAAATTTACAGTTGTATTATTGGTATTATTTTTAAAATCAAATATTGGATAGTTGCATGTGATCACTTGAATCAATCGATTGAATTGTACAACTGATAATGGTTTATATGATGATGATGATGATGATGATGATTTTGAACCTTCTTTTTGTTGTTGTTGTTGTTGTTGTTGTTTACCATCACAATGAACCAAGATACAATTACCATATACTTCTTTTCTTGGTCTTGTGAGTAGAGTTGCACGTTCATTCACTTTTAAATCACCATGATTGTCGTTATCATTGTCACCATATCCAATCACATAGAAAAATGATTCATCTCTCTTTGATAGATAACGTCGTATTACAGTTTGACCACCAATCACCTTTTTAATGTAATCGAAATGATCAATCACTATATCTATTTCACTAACCTCTATTAAACTATTCTCTGGTATATTTATACATGATATTCTATTACTTTGTTGTTGATGATAACTATAACTTGAAGTGGAATCATTCATTCTATAGTTATAATGTTGTTGTTGATGATATGGATGATGATGATGTTGATGTTGTTGATTATATTTATGATTGTTGTTTGGTGTTCTTGTAGTCGTATTGTACTCTTGTTGTTGTTGATGTTTGGTAAGGTCATGTGATTCCATGATGTCTTGCATTCATCATATCATCAAGTAGTCAATAATGTGAATATATACGGGTATGTCCAACCAATCATACAAATATACAAGAGAAAGAGAGGAAGATACAATACGAAACTTGACTAGAAAGATATTGGTAATGGGGAAGAGAGCTGAAACAAAAAGATATTAGTCTACTTTCAAATTTGGTCATCTGCAAAATTTGCTACAAAATTTCTCATATTTCTATTTTTAATCATCCACAAAAGAGTAGACAGAGACAGACAAAGACAAAGACAGAGATAGAGAGAGAGAGAGAGAGAGAGATAGGAGTGAAGGTGATAGGATTAATATATATATAGAAAATGTCAAATAATAATAATAGTAAAGAAAAGATAAATGTATTGTTGACAGGAGCAACGGGTTACATTGGATCAAATACACTTAGACCATTGATAGAGTCTGGTTTGTACAATGTATTTGTGTTGGTGAGGAAGTCGTCAAGAGTACCACCTATATTCAAGACACTGGCATCTCATCCATCGATGCAGATCATTACAAGTGAATTTGTGGATCTCAAGAATCAAGATCAAAAGGGTCGTATCAGCAACCTTCGTTATATTATCAAGAGCAACCGTATCAAGGTCATCATTCACTGCGCTGCATTGATGGAGTTTTACCCATCCGATAACAAAATTGTACACTTATCAAACGTAGTTGGAACAGAGAATCTTTTAAAAGCATCATTTACAAAAGATGATGATGAATCAAGTAGTGATGAAAGTGATAGTGATAGTGATAGTGAAAGTGATGAAGAAGAAGAAGAAGACAATCGATCGTCGTCATCATCAAGTTCACCATCATCTACATCATCATCTACATCATCATCTAGAAAATGTTTAATTGATAGATTCATATATATATCATCAACAGAGGCAATGGGAGGAGTTACACCAACTGGACAGTTGAGAGATGAAAAGAGTGAAACACATACAGACTATTACTATGGAGACACTAAAGTGGAGGCAGAGGCGTTGGTCAAAACCTACCAAACTCGATACCCAACTTTAGATTGTATTATACTCAGACCGACAGGTGTCTATGGCAAGGACGACGACTTTGTCATTTATGAATTGATGCAAGCAGTCTCTTATGGACTGTTGTTTTTCTTGCCATCACTTGCCAAAGGCGCCGTCATGTTTACTCACATTGACGATGTTGTCCAAGGCATCTTGCTGGCCATTAAGAGAAAGAAACTCGCCACCAATACAACCAGCACATACATTATCTGTCCCGACAAGGGTCTAGAGTACCGAGAAGTGTTGGTATTCCTCAACGAAAAACTAAATAGAATGAAACCAAGACTAGTCTTTCCAGCTGCCATTGTATTGCCAATCATAGATATTGCTGGTAGATTTATGTATTTATTCAAGAAAAAGAAATTCCTCTATAAAAAGGAAACTCTATCAAAGTATGTACAAAAACAAAAACAAAAACAGAAACAGGAAAATTAATCATATTATGGATAGTTTATTAATTTGATATTTATTTATTTATTTATTATTTTTATTCTTCTTGTAGAATGGCAGAAGATAGATTATTTAGTAATGAAAAGGCTAAAAAGGAATTAGGATTTAAACCAACCTATTCTTTTAAACAAGGTTTAAATGTTACGATTGAAGAATATTTGGAGAATGAAAGATTATCTTATTATCCAGTATCTCCATTATTTATCATCGTAGCATTATTTGCAATGTTTGTAAAATTTATATTATGGAAATAATAATCGATCAATGATCAATGATTATGATCCATCCAAAGAAAGAAAGAAAGAACCTTTATATATGTTTAAATAATAAATAAATAAATAAATAATTTTATTTGTTTGATTTCTAAAGAGCGCGCGTTGCTGCAATCCTATGATACTAAATAGAAAGTGAGTAGTAGTCTTCTATTACTTGATTTGACATCGTACCTATTTTGATACCAAATTTGTTTAAACACTTGGACTGCATGTGGACTCCTCTACAATGCCAATATTTTAGATAGATAATCCACAGGACACACTAGATGGATTCTCTTAGATATTGGCATTGTAGATTTGGCACTATTAAAACTAGGTATTCAATCGTGAAATTGGTCGGTAGTCTCTTAGTTAACAAAAAACTATAACCTAAAAGAATAATAATGATGTTGATGTTCTTTTATTAACAAACAGACCAATGATTTGATAAAGTGATCTCTACACGGCGTGGACGTTTCAAGGATTTGAATACTTCCAAGTCTGCAAAGAACATGATTCCTTTATACCAAGAGTTGCATATGTGGTAACTCCAAGAACCAATGATGTGGTGATAGACCACATACTAGTAACCTCTGTAGATATCTTAATCTAATGAATTTAACTTTAACATCTTCATTCTTCTTTTCTTCTTCTTTTGCTTTCACCTTTATACTCTTAATAGGTATGTAGTTGAAGAGCATTACTCGTCCTCTGTCAAAGTGACATTAATGTCGTTTGTATCTGAATGATGATTCCAAATCTCTAAATGCGACAAGTGGCTGAGATCGGAAACTTTAAAGTTGATTAATCTATCTATCCATCCATCTATCTATCTATCTTTAAAAAAGATTATTTATTTATTTTTTTAATTGTGCATCTAATTAATTTCTTTTTCTTAAATTTTTTTTATCTCACATAGACCAAAACAAAAAACCATCAAGATCATTTATTATTATTATTTTAATTATTATATGTGCGATAAAGATGACCACCATTCAACGATTAATCTCTCTGTTGTATACCAACAGCTAAATTTAAAATTCTACGATAGTCCAGAATGTATGTTTGTTACAACACACAAGTCAACAAGACAAGTTATATGTCTTGCACATAGGCTCTGTTATTCATTCATTCATTCATTCATTCATTCATTCATTCATTCATTCATTAAACTAATTATTGTTTCGTTTACATGTATAGCGACACTACCTTGTTGTCAAAGTTGGCATGATAATGATGACAATGATGTAGAAGATGTTGATGGGTATGATGGTGTTTGGATATGTTTGCATTGTTTGGATTCTACCCAGTGCAAAAAACATTCTTATAATCATTCTTGTCAAGAACAAACTGATGGTGATGGTACCCATCAACATCATCATTTGATGCTATTTTTTGATTACAAGACTGCATTTGACAAACAAATTAAAATATATTGTTTCAAGTGTGACCATCTATTAGATACCAATACTCTTATGTTGGTAGGGAATGATGATAAATCTTCTAATTCCACAAGCAATTATAATGTATGTTTAATCAATCAATCAATCAATTATTGTCTTTAAAGACAAGTAACTAACTCTACAACTATGTGTTTTTTTTTCAAGGTAAATGATATTTTAGATCAAATCAATGCATTTAAATTAATATTATATAATGACAAGAAATCTGAATGGTATAGGGAAAATGTACATTCAAATAATAATCAAAACAATGATTTGGAGAAAAAACAATTAAAAGAATCAAGTTTAAAAGGAATAGCAGATTATATTCAATCTGAGCAATGTAAGAATATTGTTGTATTGACAGGTGCAGGAATCAGTGTGGCTGCAGGTATACCTGATTTCAGGTCACCTAAAAGTGGATTGTACAACAATATCAAACAATTCAACTTGCCATACCCAGAAGCTATATTTGATATCGATTACTTTAAAGTATACCCTGAAAGATTCTATACCATCTCTAAAGACATTTTCCCAGATGCCGATAAATACAAACCGACCCAAGTACATCATTTCATTAAAAAGTTGTCAGACCATCATCTATTACGAAGAAACTACACACAAAATATAGATACGTTGGAAAGAGCTGCTGGTATTCCACTCAATCAATTAATCGAAGCTCATGGTGCATTCACCCATTCCTATTGTATGCAATGTAACAAACAATATTCAAATGATTATATTTTAAATATTTTGAATAGTAAATGTGAAAGTGAAAGTGAAAGTGTATCCTCTTCTTCTCCTTCTTTATCTCCTTTGACAAAACATCAAGTCCCAAGATGTAATGATAAAGATTGTAATGGATTAATTAAACCAAATGTAGTATTCTTTGGAGATGCGTTACCGATGGAATTCAACCATTGTCTTGTCAATGATTTTCCACATGAATCGAAACTCCAATGTGACCTTCTCATCGTTATTGGTACATCCCTAAAAGTACTGCCAATTGCGTCGATGATCAATCTATGTCATGGAAGAGTACCACGTCTACTCATCAACAACCAAGACGTCGGTGCCAATGACCATGGTGGTTTTGAATGGGACACCAACCCATTAATGGATGTTAAATGGATAGGTGATTGTCAACAAGGTGTAACTGAATTAATTCAATTATTAAATTGGTAATCAATCAAACAAACAAACCAAACAAACCAAACAAATAAAAGAAATTAAAAGAAATAATAATAATAAATGTAATAACAAAAAAAAAATGAACCAAAGATGCGATGAACTACAACTTTTGAATTTGTATTTTCCAAACATTGTATTTATTTATTTATTTATATTAGTATAGATAGATATATATATATTGTTGAGTACATTACGATAATGGTAAAAGAAGGAGAGAAAGCACCAACATTTAAATGTTTAGATGATAAGGGAAAAGAGAGAACATTACAAGAGTTTAAAGATAGGATACTAGTACTATTCTTTTATCCAAAGGATGAGACTGCCATCTGCACAAAGGAAGCGTGCACGTTCCGTGACCGTTATGAAGACTTTGTAAAGGAGGGTGCCGATGTCATAGGTGTGTCAGAGGACAACCAAGACTCACATCAACGATTCTCTTCAAAACATCGATTACCCTTTACACTGCTCACCGATCAAGACGGTCAGCTGGCAAAGAGCTACGGTGTCGAAAAGGAAGCATTCATCTTTAAAGGTAGAACTACCTTTATCATCGGTCCAGAAGGAAAGATAGCTTGTAAATACTCTTCTCAACTCAATTACAATGCTCACGTTGAAACTGCTTTAGAATGCATAAAAGATTTAAAAAAGGAATTATTAAATTTAAACAAATAAATATATAGAGTATATATAGTAATAATAGTTAGTTAGTGTATAGTAGTAGCAATAGTAGTCGTAGTAGATTCTATAGTAGACCTTACAACACAAAACAAACACACACACAACCAGTTATATATATAACTTAAGCCAAGTCAGTTTTCAGGAAACCGAGATTCATTTATAACCGGGAAAGGGTAAGATCACACGACACAACAACACAACACGCCAAAAAAGCCATCCATCTCTCAAGTCATCTGCACTTTCCGATTCATCACAAAAATGAATCAGGTGTGATTTGGGTATTAATCGCTAATTAATTTACACGACAAACATTACATTGTATACACATCTATTCATTTAATTTATTCATTCTTTTGTATTATTTATTTATTTATTTAATTTTAGATTAGATTTCATAGGTTATAGTTTCCTCCTTCCCAACATCTGTATATAAATATAAATATTATGGGAAATTCAACATTATCAAAAGAAGATTTACAATCAATTAGACAATCAACCAAATATAATAAAGGAGAGATTAAGAAAATATTCAAAGATTTTAAAACACATGATTCAGATGGCAATGGTACATTTGATAAAAAAGAGTTTATAACTTATTTTAAAGATAAATTCCCAACTTATACACAAAGTGATTTGGTTAAATTATTTCATACAATGGATAAAGATAATGTATGTCTAAATATTAAATAATAAATGTTTCAATAATTTATATTAATGATTTATTTTTATATAGAGTGGAACTATAAGTTTTAAAGAATTATCAGCAACCCTGTCAATTATATCAACTGGAAGCATCTATGATAAATTGGATTTATTATTTGATATTTTTGATGTAAACAAGGATAATCGATTAGAACGATCAGAGATTAAAGATATGTACGATTTAATGGCGTTCTCTGGTAGTCGATTTGGTCTGTCTTTTTCCGAGGCAAATGAAATGGGAATTAAAATAACAAATGAAATGGATGTAAACGGTGATGGAATCATAGAAAGAAGTGATTGGATTAGAATAGGTGCTGAAAATAGAGCTATATTAATATTATTGGGATTTCAATAAACTACATGTCAAAATTATTTAATATTATTTAATGCAATGAAAAATAATAATAATCAAAAGTGTATAGATTCAGTGTTTAGTTTAAAAATCAGATTTAGAGAGAGAGATAGATAGATGTTAAAGAATATAATTACATCTCATACAAGTAAATTAACAGTATTAAACTATTGTAAACGATTTAGTATTAATAGTTATACAACAACATCGACGACATCAACAACACTATCAACCAATGTAAATGATGATCCAATCTTTTATTTTAGACATCCTCGTTTAAATAAAGAGATATTTATTATTGGGACTAGTCATGTATCAAAGAGAAGTGCATATCAAGTAAAGAACTTTATCGCTGATACACAACCATCGACCGTTGTACTAGAACTATGTCAATCACGTTACGATAAACTCAAAGCAGAACAAAACGTCAAAAACATACAACCATACCAACAACAGCAACAACAATCGATGGGTACATTACTGCAACAGATACTAAAGATGTTGTCGTCGGGTCGAATGGACCCAGGTCAATTGTTTCAAATGGTGTTATCAAACTTTTACAATCAATTTAGGTTGATGGGAATCATACCCGGTTTGGAATTCAAGTTTGCCATCAATGAAGCTGATCGTATAGGTGCCAACATTGTACTAGGTGATTCACCAGTCAACCAAACAATGTCATATATGGCATCGGCACTACTAGAAGAATTATTACCTGTATTGACCAATGCTATACCAGGTTTCAATTTCAATTCAATGATGAATAATATGGGTGGAATGTTTGGAGGTAATAAATTACCACCAAATATGATGAATAACAACAATAGTAGTAGTAGTAAAGCAAGTATGGAAGATTTAAAGAAATTAAGTGAAATGTTAATGCCATTGGCAACAGTCCTATCCAAACCAACCATATCAGAAGAGGAATTGGAATATGAATTCAAAAAAGTAATGACTAATTCAAATCTACGTCAAACTCGTCATATCCTAAATACCTCTTTCCCCAAACTTTCAAATGCTCTATTTCATTCAAGAGAAGAAAGTATTACAAAGTATGCATAAATATATAAATATTAAATATTCATTTATAAATATTAATTTACATTTATTTATTACTTTTATTAGTTCAATATTAAATAGTAAAGGTGAAAGAGTATTGGCAGTAGTTGGAGCATTACACGTTGATGGTATTAAAAATTTATTAGAGAAATCAAAATAATAAATAATAATAAATAATATACATATTAATTAAATTAAAGTTAATTTTATTTAAATAAACTTTCTTTGATTGTAAAGATTTGATTTGATTTCAAATTTGTGAATGTTTGGATTTTGTTTAGAGCAGGCCACCAAATAGTTAGTTCCTGTATATATTTACAACCTCCGAGACCAAAATGGACACGGAAAGAGTTTTGTGCAGAGAAATGGACGCCATTGTCAATATCACGTTCCAATCGATTCGAACAGGCTTTGATTATGATACGACCACCAAATCCATGTGGATTATCTGATTTTCCAATGACATTGATTTGGATCCAATTACGATTGTACGGGAGTACGTTGTGGAATAGTTGGTTGGGACCAATGTCAAAAGGGGGTGATCCCTTACCATTGGTGATGAAAATGTCGAGACGACCATCCAAGTCATAGTCGGCAATCGATATACTCTCGGCACGTCCAAATGTACTGCCTGCAGCACCCATGCCATCACGTCTGATGCCAAATACCCCACGGTGATAGTTGTTGTCTGGGGAGGGTGGATTCTTGTCCATGTCAATGTTTTCATAGTGGTTGACGAAAAATACATTGGGAGCATTCGAGTAGGTGTAATAGGTGAGTAGGATAATATCTAGATCGAGGTCATTGTCAAAGTCACCAATACCAAGCGACCCGCACGATATACCACTCTCTCTAAATATCTCTACAATGTGCCAGTTTGTCAGTTGTTTAGATCCCTCTTGTTTGCCGAGATTGTAAAACACAGTGACAATACACTCACCATAATAGTTTCTTGAAAGTATAACATCTTGATATCCATTATTATCCAAATCACCAAATACAGTATCTGCAATCACTGAATAGAATCCAGTTTCAGGTGGTGGTGGTAACCATCCTGTTGATTGTAACTTTTTTGGTTTAACTTGTTCTTCTTCTTCACCCTCTTCATCATTTTCATCTTCGTTATTTGGTTGAGCATATATTTTTTGAGCGTATTCTGAAATGGCAGTTTGGTTGAGGTGAAAGAATCGAGTAGTGACATCTTTAAATGGTTTGGGATCGGATTCAGAGTCATCATCGGGCACGTGATACACTTTGAATGGAAATGAAAAGGATAGAATGAATAACTCTAATCGTCCATCATTGTCGATATCAATCATTCTTGCGTATAGTGTATTCGAGTCAATGTCAAATGCGTTGGTGACTGGTGCAAATGTTTTGGTGTTTCCGTTTTGACGGAATAGCATCGATCGTCCTTTACCATCACTTCTCTTTTGCGTCGCGATGAATGCGTCCAAGTGTCCATCCATATTATAGTCGAGCCATGATATAGTACGACCACGTCCAAATGGATAGTCGACACCTCTTGCCTCTGCTTCATCTGTCAGAATCTGTTTGTCGTTGCGGTAGAGGTTGTTTGGGATGGATGCCGTTCCGTACATGGCGCCGGTCGTCTCGAACAGGTCGAGTTGTCCGTCCTTGTCAAAGTCGGCCCACGCAGACCCGTGTTTGTCGAGGAACCGAAGTTGCTGCGCGCTTGGAAACACGTCTCTTGACATGTCTTTAAAGCTACCATCACCTTGATTAATGTATAGTGCCGGTGCCCAATAATGATTGTTGACATAGAGGTCGGGCAACCCATCATCGTTAAAGTCTCCCCACGCACTACCAAAACTTGGCGCCACATTCTTTTCATCCAAAAATACTTCCTCGAATATAATATATTCATAAGTATTGAATTTAAATATACTACCAATAAAACTACCCTTTGAGGTAGTAGCAGGTGTAGTATTATTACTATTATTACTATTACTAGCAATCATGTCTCTAGGAGAAGGGATTGAACCAAATTGAAAACGATCCATATAATTGAATTGAAACTTTGAACACATGAGTTTGATGGTTGGTTTCTTTTGTGGGAGTGCATCGAGTGGCGATGACTTGCATTGTGGAGGTGGGATGTCTGTTGTTCCTCTAATATTGTTTTCGTGTATTCTCTTTAATGTCTCGATGGGGATGGTGAGGGGTGCGCCGTTCCTCGACATGTCCTCGACAGCATGGTCGCCGTCTTGCAGAGTATTGTGGTCGATTGCGTCACACCCCCATTTCAACTCGTCGCCACCCATAGACACGAATCTATGGTCCAACGTCCGAGCATACAGTTGGTAATCTCTAACAGTGTCTTGTGCAATCTCCAGCTGCTGTCTCATAGACTCCACCTCTTTACTAGCCGACAACAAATCCCATTCCAACTTTAAAATAACCAAGAAGCTTATTGTTATAAGTAAAACAAATAATAATTTAATATTCATTATGTTGAAAAATAAATATTATTACTTCTCTCTCTCTCTCTCTCTATATCTCTATCTATATGTCTGAAAATAGAACAATGATATCTTGTCTCAGAGTATACACCAACGCTTTTGATTTTTTCGAAAGGTGGTTGAAAAATGAGAGTTTTCAATTTAATGTAATCTTCGTGTTGTGGTTGGTCTGGTGAGTTCATCATATTCACCGAGCTTTATTAGTTGTTTGAAAAGTAGATAGAAAAAGAGATAGAGAAAGTAGAGAAAGAGAGAGAGAGAGAGATGAAGTTCTATTTAGATGATTTATTAGTTTACTTTCCATATGCATTCATCTACCCAGAGCAATACAACTATATGTTGCATTTGAAACGATCTCTTGATAATGGTGTATGTGTGAATAATAATAATAATTGAATAATGTGATGATATGATTGATGTTAATATATTATGTATAGGGACCGTGTATGCTTGAAATGCCATCAGGTACAGGAAAGACAGTATCATTATTAGCATTGATTTCATCGTATCAAGTAAAGAATCCAAATGTAAAGTTGATCTATTGTTCAAGAACCGTACCTGAAATTGAACAAGCTGTAGAAGAAGCAAGAAAGGTACTTGCCTATAGAAATGCAGAGTTGGGAGACAAAGCACCAAAGACTCTTTGTATGGCAATGTCATCTCGTCGTAATCTTTGTGTACATCCACGTGTCAGCTCTGAACGTGAAGGAAAGACTGTCGACAGTCTATGTCGTGATTTGACTAGTCCTTGGATAAGAGATAATCCTCAAGCTGATAAATGTTCATTTAATGAAGTAGGTTTAAAAAGAGTAGACCTCTCTCTACTATACTACTCTATATAACAATCAGATTATTTACAGTTAACTACTTATTTTTCCTAGAATTTTGAATCAAATGGACAAGAAATATTATTAGAGGGAGTTTATAATATTGGAGATTTGAAAGAATTTGGTTTAAAGAATCAGATGTGTCCTTATTTCCTATCAAGACGTATTATCAATTTTGCAAACATTGTCATCTTTAGTTATCAGTATATGTTGGATCCTAAAATTGCTTCTTTAATCACTGCTTCTTTTGATAGTAATTCTATCGTTGTTTTTGATGAAGCTCATAATATTGGTATGAAAAAGCAAAAAGGAAAGAAAGAAAGATGATTGATTATTAATTTAAATTTTAATATTTTTTAGATAATGTTTGTATTAATTCTCTAAGTGTGAATATTGATAATAGAATACTTGAAGCTGGTTCAAGAAATATAACAAAAATAACAGGTCAAATTGATAAGTATGAATTCAAACATTCAATAATATATTTAGTATATTTAGATATTTCTAAACTAACTGTTATTTATTACTCTAAATTTAAAGAGTAAAAGCAATTGATGAAAAAAGATTAAAAGATGAATATTCAAGATTATTAGGTGGATTGGCAAGAACAGGAGCATCAAATAGAGATGAATTAATGACAGATCCAGTATTACCAGCCGATGTTATTAGAGAGGCTGTACCTGGTAATATTAGAAAGGCAGAACATTACCTATCACTGATGAGAAGATTTATGGATTATCTTGCCAATAGATTAAGATCACAAACTCTTATATCAGAGAGTCCAATGGCATTTTTACAGAGTCTCTATCACACCACTTCGATCAATGCCAAAACACTTAGATTTTGTTCACAACGTCTAAGTTCTCTACTACGTACTCTTCAGATATCAGATATCAACCAATTCTCTGGTATAGGAGTTATTGCCGATCTTGCAACTCTTATTGGTACATACAACAAGGGTTTCCTCATTATTATAGAACCTTTTGATCAAAGATCACCAAATCAATTTGATCCAGTATTTCAATTTTGGTAAGCTATTAGAAATAGAAAAGAAAAAAAAAATAGAAGAATCAAATGATGATTTAACTTTTTTTTTTTTTAATATTTATATTTATATTTATTAGTTGTTTAGATGCATCAATTGGTATGAAACCAATATTTGATAAATTTAAAAATGTTGTTATTACTTCTGGTACTCTTTCACCATTGGATATCTATACAAAAATATTAAATATTAGACCAACCACTGTTGAAAGATTACCAATGAGTCTTATTAGAGATTCAATTTGTCCATGTGTATGATAGATAGTTGGATAGTTTCAAAAAAGAAAAGAAAAATAATATATTAATTACTTTACTTCTTCTTTTACTTTTATTTTTAGATTTTAACAAGAGGTAGTGATCAAATTTCAGTTAGTACAAAATTTGATGTTAGAAGTGATACTACTGTAATTAGAAATTATGGATCATTGTTGGTCGAGATGTCATCGATTGTACCCGATGGTATTATTTGCTTTTTTACAAGTTATTCCTATATGGAACAGATTGTGTCGGTTTGGAATGAAATGGGTCTTCTCAACAAGGTACTCAGTAACAAGCTGATTTTTGTCGAAACATCTGATCCTGCCGAATCGGCACTGGCTCTACAAAACTATAAAAAGGCATGTGACAATGGAAGAGGTGCTGTCTTGTTGTCAGTGGCTCGTGGAAAGGTTTCAGAAGGTATCGATTTCGATCATCACTATGGTCGATGTGTCATTCTCTATGGTATTCCATACATCAACACTGAAAGTAGAGTATTACGTGCTAGATTAGAATTCTTGCGTGATCAATTCCAAATCAAAGAAAGTGAATTCCTTTCTTTTGATGCTATGAGAACTGCTTCTCAATGTGTTGGTAGAGTTATTAGAGGTAAAACTGACTATGGTATTATGATTTTTGCTGACAAGGTAAGGAAATAGAAAATTTAAAAGAAATATATAAAAACAAATATTAATATCGATTTATTTAATTTCAACAGAGATTTAATAGATTAGATAAAAGAAACAAATTACCACAATGGATAAATCAATCATGTAAACCAGAACATTTAAATCTTTCAACAGATATGGCAGTTGGATTGTGTCGAAAATTCCTTAGAGATATGGCTCAACCAATCCCAAGAAACCAACAACTTGGTAAAGTCTTGTGGAGTATTAAAGATGTTGAAAAACAAGAACCAAGTAAAAATCAATCATCATCAACTACAACTACTACAACTACTACAACTACAAATAATAATAATAATAATAATAATAATAATAATAATAATAATAATAATAATAATAATAATAATAATAATGGTAATACTGCACAAAATGGAAATCATTAAAATATATTTATGAAAGAATAGTTCATTCCAATTCTTTCTTTTCTTTTTGTTTTTTTTTAAAATTAATAAGTCTAAACTTTATATATACTATGGTTCAGTAACACCTTTCCATGATTCTTTAAATATACACAAAAGAGAAGAGATATTTTACCAAGTTTCACAGGTTTCTAAGGTTTGGAAATATCTGTCTCCCACACAAAATTTTTGATTGATTTCATGTCATGTCTTTATCAGATCTGATCGCCAACCATTTATAGTTATAAATGCAACCAAACACAGAATTCTTAGAGTTGATCATCAGGAGGGTGAATAGCTGTGCTAGTGGAGACACACACTACAATGATCAATTCAAGGTGTTATTAGAAAAGAATATGAATCAAGTGATTTCATGGTTAATCTATCTTGTTTCTCCAAGGAAAAGATTACCTACCACTGTAGTTATCATATCTACATTTGGATCGTATACCGACGATGACTGACCATTCTTCTTTCTCTCTCATTCAAATATAGGATTACATATCTAGAAACACAAATCTACTTCGAAAGGCAACACTTGACGCATTGTATCAAGTATTCAAGACAACTGTGACATTATCGATTTGGAAGGACACTATATCAGACCAAGTCAAACAAAAAATCAAGGAAGAGTTACTCGCAGATCTAAACAGGGACAACAAGAATGATCAAACATTTTTGAATGTTAGAATTGCTTCTAGTGTTGCAAAGTTAATCAAAGAAAATGGTATGTATATGTTGGAGCCTCCATAATAATATATCTCATTGATATATAATCTTCGTACTAATATTATTATTGTCCCAAAAAAAGGTGGAGAATGGAATGAATTGGATACATTTAAAAACGACTCGTCACTAGAGAATGATGCTGCCTATTTGTTGTCAGAGATATCAAAGTTTGGTGATCGTCGTGATGTTGATGAAATATCAAAGGTAAATGCCACAAGAAAGAAGCAGAGAAAGCCAGTTCGATCATGTGATGCAGTACTGGAATCTATGAAAATGGAATATAACCTTGGATCGGCCGATATGCAAGCAACAACAACATCATCATCGACAACGACAATACAAGGAAAGAAAAAAGATGAAACCATGCTTGTTAATCTATTGAAACTGGATGATTACTCTAGAAATCAAATTCCAAGTCATGATATCATACATTTGGTATTGTCTCTACTAGACTCCAAACCAATTCAAGATTTAAGTGATACCATTTTAGTGAATATACAATCTTTAATTACCCAATATAATAATTTGGTATGTTTATATGCGATCAATATTTATTTATTTAAATTCAAAAGATAATTAATTAATTCCTTTTTTTATTTTTTATTAATTTATTTATTATTATAGGATTGCACTAAATTGGTCACTCCTTTGGTTCAATTATTTAAACCTCCTCATTTTGAGACAAGTGGAAAATTATCACAAGGATATCAAACAGCTCTCAATATAATCAGACTCGCTTGCTCAAAGATTGATGAAAAGAATATTGTTTCAGATGCCATTTGTCAATTGTTTGAATTCACAATATTAGAAAACCAAAGTCACTTTAGTGTTATCGACATGAAAGATCTTGTCCAATATGCAGCTGGAGATTCATTATCAATCTACCTACCACATTTTACAAAGTATATTTACTCCATTTTGGATGATCCAAATAGACGTCTCAACGAAAAAGATCAAGATGACAAGGACAAAGAATATGACGGTTCTGAAGAGGAAGATGAAGAAGAAGATGAAGACGAGGAAATAGACGAAGACGAAGAATATGACGGTTCTGAAGAGGAAGAAGAAGATCAAGTTGAAAGAATAGACCCAAAAAATCAAAACTGCTTCTCGTTGTTGGATGCGATTATCAAAGTAGTGCCACCAAAGGCTATTTGTCCATACGCCAAAACTCTAGCCACCTCTATTTCCAAACATGAAAATATCTCATCGCTCTCTATTATTCCACAACTATTATCTGTGTTGTGTAACAAGGAAAGTGGGGAGGATGGAACATCAGTAGCATTGGAAATATTTGAAATGTTTGAACTTCAAATCTTTAAAAAGATTGAACAAATTCAAAACAATGGTGACGATGGTGTTGGTAATAGACAAGTTTCCCTCTTTATCAATTTATCAACGTCGCTTTGTAAACTCATCCGATCAATGGGTGCCAACAAGATGAATGACAGTCTAATTATGCGTAGTTATAGTGATGCATTTTATACTTTTGGTCATTTACAATTACTTCTCCACAACTATACCTATGGTGAAGTTGATGATGATGATAATGGTCAAAATGAAATCAAAAGAATTCAATTACTTGGTGTATCAAGTGGAATGGTCTGCACATTGATTGGAATATTGGAGGAAAATGAAAACCTGACTAAACTATCAAAGAGTATTGGAGAGTCACTATTCTCGGACATCCAAGATTGGGAAACCGAACAAGACGAGGGATACGAGACAAAACTATTATTTTATGCACCGTTACTTGTAGCATTAAAGAAATACACTAAAGGCATAGTCGTTGAAGAATTGGATGATAGTTGGATTGATATTAAATTCCTTGGTTTCATGTTGGGAGATGTCATCGAGATGTTTGAACAATTTGACCAGAAACTTTATTCAAAGTTGCACTCTTTCACTAAAATGATCATTCAATTCTGCCACAAATACATTTCATTTATTCCTTTGACCAATCGAAAACAAAAACATATCAACCAAGTAAACCAACAAATTGAAACCATCAAAACATTTATTAAATAAATAATAATAATAATAATAATGATAATAATAATAATAATGCAACCATTCTATATTTTTAATTTTTTTACTTTTTGATTTATTTTTATGATGATTAAGTAACACCTTGCCATGAAATGGAATGATAAGATAAAGAGTTTGTATTTGGATTAAAAGATGATAATAAAATAGTTTTTTTTACATTGATTGCCAATCTGGTCATAAATAATATATCGTTTGATTTAAATGATTCTTTAAAATCCTTTACAACCACAATGAAATCTGAATGGTGCAGTATGGGATCACCGGGATAAGCTAGAAAAGTGCCACCAAATTTTAATCCCATTGTTAGATGATATCCTCGTTCCCAAAGATCTCTAAATACAAGGTATTGATTCCAAAGCATTCCTGTTGGATCGTCCTCTTTGATCATTTTCTTGAATTCCTCTACTCCAACCAATCGATTGATTCTACCAGGTCTTTTAATCATACCTTCATCGCTTGCCTCTTGAATCGATGAATAAATGGTCACTGTTGTAGTACCCTCTAAATATTGTTGAAATTGTTTTTGTTTTTTTTCTTCTGTCATTATTGTTGGTTGATTTGTAATGATTGATGTTGATGACCCATTTGTTTCGTCAATAACATGTTCTTTTTTTTGTTTCTTTACTTTTCCTTGTTTTTGTTTGTTTACATTTTCTTTTTCTTTTTGATTCGTTTCTCCTTCATCCGTCGTTGTAATAGATTGATTTGTTTGTTGTTCTTCTTCTTCAATCTTTTTCTTTTTAAATTGTTCATCTTTTTGTCTTTTTGTTTCAATGATATCTTTGATTTGATTGTTGAGGTCTTGTTCTCTCTTGTCATTGAATTTTTGAAGATCACTTTGTGTTGGACATAGAATGAGTTCATCCTCTATCAATAGAAACCAACCTTTCTCCATTCCCAACAACACCTCTAAAGGATTCAATAAAAGAGGGATCGTACCAAATAAAATACGTGTATGAAACTTTGATTCTTGTGTACTTCCAATAATCTTTCCAACGATTCTATATTGTTCTCTTATCTCTTGTACATCTATAATCATTCAAAAGAAACAAACTTAATAAATTAGACCTTAACTAATTAATGTTCAGTTTACATACCTTTTGAATCCCAAACAAAGCAATTCAAATGATTACCATCTTGTTCATTTTGTTGTTTTTTAAATGGTTTATAAATCTTTATTAGATTCATTATATATATATATATATATAATATATATATACAATACACAATATATATATATATATATGCTTATCGATTCGGAGATTAATCTAAAGAAAATGAATTGGACTTTAAAAAAAAAAGAAAAAGAGGATCGATCTATTTTTGTATTTTTTTATGATTTCTGGTCTCATCCTTCTTAAATTCCGAGGCCAGTTAGATACTACCATTTTAAAGAATGAGTAGTACTATGAATGTTTATTAGATTGATTGAGATTTTAATGATGAAATGGTTGTTGTTATTATTATTATCTATAATAAAAAATGAAATGGCATTATTATTCTTTTTTTTTCTTTTTTTTATAATTATTATTTGTTTTGATTATTATTGGGAGGTGATAGTTGTTTCGATCGTTTGTAGTAGTATTAAATATGATGATGATGATACAATTAAATAATTATATAAATATGTTTGTTGCTTGGTGTTGGATTTAAACCCAAAGTGCAATGACAGATAAACAAGCCCAACCAAGGAATACCATTGCCAATTTAAGTCTTAACCAACCGGGTTGACAAAGACCAGATGGAATGAGTTCGATGAGTGAAATGTAAAAGAAAGATCCACAGGTGACACCGAGGATAATACCCTCGGCTAAATGACCACTGGAACCATTGTAGACAGAGGTGACAGCCATACCGATACCAATGCCAAGTGGAGTCATGGCAGCACAGAATGCTAGAGAAAGGGCAGTTTGAAGGGTTGAGAAATTGGCAAAATAGATTGGTACACCCAGTGCAAAGCCATCGAGCATTTTATGGGCGAGTACAGCAACCAAGAGACCGTAGAATCCGTCTTTGGAGGTTTCAGCACCTAAACCAAGACCGTCGAGAATAGAGTGGATGGATAGAGCAACCAAGAATAACCAAGCTTGACCAGTATTGGCAACATGTGATTTACCATTACCCTTTTCATGCAACTCGTCGTGTTTACCGCTATGTGCATGACCGTGACTGTGTTGTGGTGGGGCGAGTGCACCATCTGGGTTACCTGGGGTGGCACCATGACTGTCTTCTTCATCACTACTAGATTCTTGGCCAAATTCAAGGTCTGGTGCATGTGTGTTGGTGTGGTGGTGTTGGTTGTCAGCATGACTTGAGAGGTTCATATGGTTATGTCCCTTTTCACCTTGGAACCCACCTTCGATGATGAGTTTATCGATAGCTACAAGGACTAGTAAAGTAAAGATGGCAATGGTGGCAGCAAATGGAAATTCTCTGTATTTGTTTTCGGGGGCAACTTGATCAAAATAACTGGTAAAGGATTCCTCGGCACCTGGCAAGATATGGTTGAAACCACCAGCCAAAATAACACCACCTGCAAAACAAGTACCAATCGACAAGAGGGTGATGAAACCCTTTACCTTGGCTCTACCAAGAATGAATGGAATATAAGATGACAAGAGTGTAAGGAAGAATATACCAACAATCAAACCAATCTTGGCATTTAATAATTCACTTTTCTCATCATCGTTATTGGTTGATGTAGAGGTAGTACTACCGTCAGTAGACCCTAACAACAATTCCATTGCATTGAAATCTGAATTCGAATCTGTTCTAATTCTAATATCCATTCTAATTAGATAATAAATATTATATATTATATATTATATATTATATATATATGTGTGTTTGTGAGTGTGAATGTAGTCTTTTTAAGAGTTATAAAAATCTAGATTCTTGATCGATAATGACAACGAAAAAAAACAATGCAATGATGATTTTAATTATGCAACGTTGTAAACAGTAATAGTGTTAGTGTTTTGTTTAAAAATGAGATAGATAGATAGATATTATAATAATAAATAAATTTTGTGAATGTATGTGGGTAGTGGTTAGGGGTGTTGGTGAACAATGGGGGAAGTAGATTTTTTGAACAAACAAACAAAACAAAGACAGAATTTGAAGGAAAGATAATCAACCTAGTGGAAATAAATATACTATATCAGAGAGATGAGTGAGTGGAAATAATAATCAAAAAAAATAATAAGAGAGAAATGAAAGTAAGTAAAGTAAAGGGTACCGGTTAGAAAAAATTGGAATTTTAAAAATAGTATTATTTTTTGTTTTTGTACTGGTCTGGTTTGTTTGGTCATTCAACATACATTTTTTGTTAATTGGAAAGTACTGGTACTATGATTATGTATAAATCTATGATAGATGATAATTGATAGATAGATATAAATATTTAAATATTATTTATTTGTTTGGAACTTGATATAGTTTTAAATCAAAGGGACTGTGCTCTACCAGTTAGTTAGAGTGTGCCACTCACCCTCCACCACTGAGCGACACTCCGTTCCACTTCGGTACAAAATATTTTTTTTTATTTTTTTTCTTTTTTTTTCAGTAGTTCGTTTTTCATATTTCATACTCGGCTTGTACCATCCATCGTATTGCCCCTCTGTCTATCGGAATTGCCTCTTGGTTGGTGAAGATCCACCATCAATAATATTTGATCTTCATTGATGATTGATTTATACCCCTTTACGATTCTTATACCTTTACCTTTCAACTTCATTTTAATTTCATTTATCAATAATCTAATATATTTCAGACAATGACGATGTTCACCCCGGCACAGACATTCTCAATGGTACATCTAGAGAGATTAATAGTACTATTTTAAATGTGTAAGGTAGATGGTACACCTATCCAAACTTTCTTTTTGGCGATTTGATTTGATAAATTCAATATTTAATGGCAATATATATATTATGATTTGCCATTGTTACGTTACACTTTGCCACTATCACAAAATGATTCCTATTGATAGTCATCAATAAATAAATAGTAAATAATAATTCAAAAATAATTTAGATTTAAAAAAAAAGGTGTAATATCGAATGAATAAACTTTATTATTCATTTTTGTTGTTTTATATTATTAATATTGATACATTATACATTCATTTTATGTATATAAAGTAGGAATAGAGATATATATATATATTGGTATATTTACATTTATAATTATTATCTATAATATAAATTGTTTGTGTGTTGTTGTTGTTGTTGTTGATCGCCTATTATTATTAAATATTAATATTATTATTATTATTTATATTGTTTGTTTGTTTTGATTTAAACCCAAAGTGCAATGATTGCTAATAAAGCCCAACCAAGGAATACCATTGCCAATTTAAGTCTTAACCAACCGGGTTGACAAAGACCAGATGGAATGAGTTCGATGAGTGAAATGTAGATAAACGATCCACAAGTGACAGAGAGAATGATACCTTCGGCCAAATGACCACCGGCACCTTCATAGACAGAGGTGACAGCCATACCGATACCAATACCAAGTGGAGTCATGGCAGCACAGAAAACGAGGGCCATGGCAGTTTGGAGCACGGAAAACTTGGCAAAATACATTGGTACACCAAGAGCAAAGCCGTCGAGTAATTTGTGGGCGAGTACAGCAACCAAGAGACCGTAGAAACCGTCTTTGGAGGTTTCTGCACCCAAACCAAGACCGTCGAGAATAGAGTGAATGGATAGAGCAACCAAGAATAACCAAGCTTGTCCAACGTTGGCTTGATGGGTTTTACCATTACCGTCGTCGTGTAACTCGTCGTGTTTACCGCTATGTCCGTGACCGTGACTGTGACCGTGATCGGCGTCACCTCCATCTGGATTGCCTGGTGTTTCAACTTCGGCCATTTCAACGTCTGGAGTGTGGTTGCTAGTGTGTTTGTGTTGGGTGTCGGCATGACTAGAGAGGTTCATGTGATTGTGACCCTTTTCACCTTGGAATCCACCTTCGATAAACAACTTGTCAATGGCAATGAGAACGAGCAGAGTAAAGATGGCAATGGTCATGGAGAATGGGAAATGGAGGTATTCGTTTTGTCCCTCTGGATCAATATCGGCAAAGTACTCGGCAAAGGCTTCCTCGGCGTGGTGCGGTATATGACTGAACCCACCCGCCAGAATAACACCACCTGCAAAACAGGTAAACACCGCCAAGATGGTCAATAGATTCTTTACCTTGGCCCTGCCCATAATAAATGGAATATATGATGATCCAAGTGTAAGGAAGAATATACCAACAATTAAACCAACCTTGGCATTCAATAATTCACTTTTGTGGTCTTCTCCACTTCCGTGATCATGATCGTGATCGTGATTATGTGACATAATGTTATATTTTAAAAATTATATTATTATATGTGTAGAAATAAATATTTATAAATAATATATTATTATTATATTATATTATAAGTAAGTGTGTGGTATGATAGTATGAATGTTGTTATATATAATCGGATAAATATGGTAGTGATTGATGGATATGGTAAAAAAAAAAAAAAAAGGTGAAAAAATCAACAAAAAAATTCTTTGATTCTTTGCAGGTTTGTTGTTTTTTTAAAAGTGTAGTAGCAATCGTTCGGTGTGTTGGGATTGTGTGTGATGAAAGTGTGTGGGTGGGATTGTGCAAACGTTAAAAAAGAAGAATAATACTAAAGCGGACAAATCGATTAATTGATTGATCTATGTGTATGTGTATGTTGTTTAAACGATTAAACGATTGTCGTACAAATAAAGTTTGAAGATGGAGTGTGGTGAAATTATTTGTAGATAAAAAGAGGTAGAAGTTAAGTTATAAGTTCATATATTATATATTTATAATTTTATATCTATGTTGGTGGAGAGAGCAGCAAAGGGTAGGAGGAGTGATGGAAGACACCGCTGCTCCCCTTCGTTCATCACTCCGCAACACTTCGTTTAAGAAAGAACGTGTGATCACACCCACTTTATCCTTTAGAACAAAGTCACATGTGCGACAATTTTTTTTGATCATAGGGCGATTGCATTGATCGAGGGGGTCAGAATTCAACAAGGTTGCTTTTTAAAAAAAATCGGGTTCCAAAGTTGTGATGTCATCTCGCACCCTAAAGACTCGTAAACCCTTATGTTTAGTTATTATTTCGAGAAAACAACGCATGCCGAGTAGATATGAAGATATCTTGGTTTCGCCACATCATCCATCTTGGTGTTCCATAGCTCGAATTACCAAACTCTGTCAACTTTTACATCCCAATGTTTCACAACTTCTCTTTTAGATGAGGATTCGAATCCGATTGTCGGTTTAATGGCCCGCCTTTTGTCAGATGACTGAGACAAGATACTTGGATAAAATTTTAAGTTCATTCGGTCTACCGATAGATATCATTTAATATTATTGTTATTAATACTACTACTGCTACTACTAATATTATTTATTATAATAATCTTATTATTATTATTATTATATTTGTTTTGATCTATATAAACTTTAAGAAAAAAGATCAAATTGATTGGTTTTGTTGGTCCAAACTCGATTGTTTAAAAAAGTTGATCACTCAATTTCTTTAATACTTGTTTGGGTTGTTGTTGTTGTTGTTTTCTTTCTTTTGGTGATAGATCTATCTATTGTTGTTTGTTTTCCCCCCACTGCTTGTTTTACTTTAAAGGTCCGTATAAGATGAAATATTTTGTTTTGTTTGTTGATTGTTGTTGATGTTGTCCACGTCTTGTCCCGTTTGGTTGGTTTGGTGGTTATAGTGATTGTTGATTAAAGTTTATACATTTGATTCCATTTTTTTTTCTTCTTCATTATTACTATTATTATTATTATAATTATTAATCCCATTGAATTGGAAAAGATGTGACAACTGGTTTCTCTGCCAATATATTTCTAGACATTTTTGATAGGTCAGGTGTTTCAGGTGGATTCTTAAGAAAATGAAACAAACAAATAATTAATAACCAAACAAATAAAAAAAGTATTATATATGCTTACATCTCTCATTTCTTGATCTTCATATTCATTACTAACATAATAACCAACTCTAATGAAATCTTCTCCTTTGTATGCGCATACAAGGAATACCACGGTGACACCCAACAAATCATCCTTTGGAATGCGAGTGTGATCAGGTGGGTCCACTTCAAATACGAATTGGTTGTTGCCAACAGTAACAGGACCCAATAAAATACTATCCAATTGTTGATCATTCTTTTCACTGTCGGCAGATCCAACATAAACTACCTTCCATTCCAAATCTAAAAGGATGATGAGGAGCAAGCACATTAGATTTGATTTGATTTTGATTTGATTTGATTAGTAAACAGAGCAAAGTAGAGCAGATTCTCTTATCTCTTATACACAACATACCATCTTTAATAGGACTAACACACTCAAATGATATATCAAATATGAGCGGTGAAAGAAAGGTTGAGGGATTATTATGAATTAAAACTTGAGTTAATCTGATGTGACTCATTTTCTCTCTTGTTTGTTTATGAATCTGTTATGAATGATTATATATCTATAGACTACTACTACTACTACTACTACTAATCGCTAATTGTAAATAAATAATAATAAGATAAGAGGGGTCTAGACGTATGATAACTAAAATGAAACTTGGGTGTCTTGTTTTTTTGGCGCCATCCATTCGAATTCACGAACCTCCAAATTAATTCTTGTAATATTTAAAATTGAGGGTTGGTTTGGCTATCAGATAACATGATTGATGAAACATAATTATTAAATAAGTTGTTGTTTCAAAAGACTACTCACTGTGTGTTTGTTGTCATGATTAGATTTTCAATTAATTATAATTATATCTATAATTATATATATTTATATAATTATCTATTATCATTTTTATTATCATCAGAAAATAAAGTTCCAAAAATTTATATATCACGTGGGAAATAAGTCCTACCAAAACTTATTTACTTTGAATCTTGACAAGAGAAGACCATTGAAGAGGTTGGAAATGCACCAAAAATCACTTGAAAAAAAACGTCGATTTGTCCCTTTTTGCTTACTTACATCTCTCGCACTCTCGCAAAACTTATATTGTTTCATTATATTATTTATCATTATTTATTTATTTTATCTATCTTTCTTATCTTTTTTAAACAAACATACATATATTTATATTACATACACGCAACAACAGATTAACGACGAGAGAGAGAGAGATGAAGATTAGATTTGAAAACATAAACTTTAAGGCAGCATTGTTCCTTGTTGGTATGTTGGTTATTGTAATGGACAATAACAACAATAACAAGGTATCAGCTCAAAGCCCAACTAGAAATCCACACAACCCTGCGTGCACAGGTTTTACACTTGCTGAATGTAAATCAGCTGGTTCATGTTGTTTGTGGTGCGATTCTGTGGACCCAACCTCCCCACCAGTCGACCCAACCAAACCAACTGGTTATTGCTATGATTACACAGAGATGTTTGTCGGTGGTGTTTGCTCCAACAGCACTGCCAACACTGAATGCAAGACTATAAGATCAGAGAATATCTACTCTGCTTGCACATGTCAAATTCATCCAGAATCAAGTAACGATTCTTCTCTTTTAAATCCATCCTTTTTTACTGCTTTTATTCTTTCTATTTTCTCTTTCTTGTAAGTTACAAGTTAATATATATCAATCAACAAACAATTACTAATCATGACAAACCGATCCAATTTAGATTCATTTCATCAAAAAAGTAAACATGATAGATAGATAAGAGTACATTTATTTTACTGTAATAACAACAACAAACAACAAACAACATCAAACAACACATTTTTGCGCAAACCAATATGGCATTATTTGGAATCAATAAACCAAAACCATAACCTATAGTTTTTAAAAAGGATTGGAATAGAATAGAATACAGCAATATCCTATTACTATTCAGGATCGTGGATTATTTATTTACAAAAAAAAAGGTATCATGATGGCATGGATGATATTTGGAAAGGATGGTCCCATCCTTGAAGATACTACAGACCAAAACAGAAAAGTGGAGATTATCCGTGTATATACATTCCCTTTTCTATAATGGTATTATTACTTGACTGCCATCCAACCATCCATCTTTACCAATCATATGATTTGAACTCCAAATATATGTATATATATTGGACAATAATAGTTGTTATTTTGGTGGTGATCTAATATTATTATTATTATCAACATGTACACTATTGCTTGATCCAACACCAATATTATTATTATTATTATTATCTTTTTCCAAATCTTGAATCAAAACAAAGAATTTCTTCATAAATGTACTGTATTCATCCAAAGTGAATTCATCCTCACTGAATCTTGCCCTTTCATAAGTGTCTATATAGATACGAGCAAGTGATCGATTCAAATGCGAACAACGATCAGTCAACATATTTACATAGTCTCGAATACACATTTTAGACTCTCTCACCAGAGAAGGGTCATAATGTATGGCAGCTCTTTCGAGGATAATCCAAGACTTTGCAATCGATGTTTTAAAATGTACTTTAGCATACTCTGACGTTGGTGCACCCCAACCCAAATGTCCAATTGGATGATCACCTATTTGTGGTTTAATTTGACTTGCAGTTTGCTTTGATTTAACCAATTCATTCAATATAGTTGTTCTTTGTTTCTACAGAGATTATTACAATATTGTTGTTGGTTAATTAATCAGATGATTGTGATCACGATTGATTGTTGTAATACATACATGTGATAAATCACCTGGTCTTAAAAATGGCATAATCTTTCTTGGTATTCTATCAATCATGTTTGCTTTTAATCTTGTTCTTAGTTGTATCATTGAAACTGTTATAAATAACTACAGAATCAATTATGAGAGTTGGGTTAGTCGACTTGCATTATGAGTTGTATCTATCTTGTTTGTTTTCATACCATCCCAGCAACTATAAATATGATAATAAGGTAATGTTTGAATGTCATAGAGTTGAAATCATCTGCATTAACAACTCCATCGTCTACTCTTTGACCGTTGGCAATACCAACGTTTACTATCGATTGAATCACTACCCATATAAATAAACTACTACTCTTTTTCAATCTTTCAAATGATTGATATAATGGTGATACATTTGTCTTCATTGCTACTACTATTAATTAATGGTACATATACATGAGATATTTGAATACTTTGTATTATATCTCTCTTTGTTGATTAAATTAATCTTTTTAGTCTAAATCGAAAATGAAAGGGAGTTCGCAGCAGCTCTGCTGACAAACAAGCACCCAACTTTCATTTTAAAATTAGTTTTAGAACAGTCATTTTTTATTAACATATAGATATATATGAATATTATTATTAGTAGATAGTATTTTAATAGTATCTCATAATATGATTTCATCTCAAGACCCACCAACAACAACGACTACTTCAACAACTACCTCAACTGAAAAGTCAACAGAGTCTGATCAAGACGATATCATTGAAAACTCGCAGGCTGATTATAATACTACCTCGAAAAAGATTGATGATACTAGTAGTAGTAGTAGTGGAGATGATGACAATGACAACGATGACAATGGAAAAGAAGAGCAAGAAGAAGAAGAAGTTGACATATTCACAGATTATGCAAACAAAACAGAGATACCTGATTTCTTTGCGCCTGGCTTTGCCAACCAACCACTCAGCTTTTTAAACGCTGCCTCTCAGACTGTTGATGATTTATCGGGAACTGGCGTCGGCACACAACAACAACACCAAATATCACAAGTGTTTCTCTTTGACCAAGACGAAGAACAAGAGATGGACATTAACGTCTTTAAAAGTCGTCTCTCAAAAGAACAAAAAGAGAAACAACGAAGTTCTTCTACACAATCGAATCAATCAACTACCATACCACCAGCAACTCAAGACAATCAAGATGATGAGGATGAAGAAGAAGATGAAGATGAAGATGATGAAGAGGAAGAAGAAGATGATGAAGAAGATGAAGATAAAGATGTTGAAATGAAACCAACAACAACAACGACAACAAATTTTGGAATTAATAATAACAACAATAATAATAGCAAGAATAATAATGGTCTTTCAACTCAAGAATTCATCTCTTCGAAATTGACAGAAATGCTATCACAGAAATCACCTGCATCTGGCAGTACTATTGAATCGTCACAAGAGAGTACTGTTAAAAGATTCACTGTTTTGGCATCACAGTCACCAAATTCATCGCCATTCAAACCAAAGGTTGTTGCTTCTAGGTTGGCTCGTGTCCCACCACCTCCAGCTGACATGGATAGTCAAGATGAGGCGGAGCAAGAAGAGAATGAAAAGGAGAAGGCATCTGGTATACTACCACCGACTCCCATTGACAATCTAAAGATGCATACATCTATGCAACCTATGTTTGATCAACCTACCATTGAAGAAGACGAAGAAGAAGAGAAAATGGAACAAGTAGCCAACAACAAAAACAACAATAGTAAAGATGAAGATGAGGATGAAGATATGGATGATGACAATGGGGAAGAAGAAGAAGAAGAAGATGAAGAAGAGGATGATGATAGTGAAGAGGAAGAGGAAGAGGAAGATGAGGACGAATTATTTAATTCAAAGATTAACTATATATCTCAATCCAGACAAACTTCTGAACAACTTAAACAACAACAACAACAAAAGATACAAGAACAATCAAAGAACAAACAAAAGGAACAACAACAACAACAACAACAACAAGATATACATGACCAATTATTAAATAGTGAAGAGGGAAGCAGTGATTTAGAAGGTAGATTAAAACTAATGTGCGAGGCTTGTGGAAAGAATCCGCCAGTATTTATTACAAAGGATAATATTCAAATGTGTGCAAGTTGTTCAAAAGGAAAGCAACTTGGTCATGGTGATAACAAATATAATAATATTAATAATAATAGAAAAAGTTCAGAGAGATTGGTGCGTAGTCAACCTCTACCACCACACCAAAAAGCATTTCAACCATCATCCATGACACCTGATGATACTGGAATGGATCCAATTGAACTTGAACCTTGGATTATTGATTCTATTTTAACTGAAAAACCAATACCTAAACCAACTTTACAACTTATTGCTCTTGTATGTCAAATAATAATACAATATTTTTTAGCTATGATTTATTAACTCTTTATTTTCTTCTTTTTTTTTTCTTGTAGGTACCAGAACCACCAAAAGAATCAACATTGGCAAAGAAACAACAAGATATTAGTAATAGTAGAACAGTGGTTGTATCGGATGGAAAACATTTTGTTCATGCAATTCTTAAACTATACGATATGAGAAAACTAATGTTTGCAAAGAAATCATATATCTTTTCACATATCCTCGGATGTGTGTTTACATTGGAGAATTTCATCGTCTTTCCAAACGATACCTTTACCGACTTTATATTACATGTCGATGGTGTAAAGGTTAACCACTTTTTAAATCACGTCATCAATCGTGACGAGATCAAGGAACCCAAAGAGAATGAGCAAATCACAAAGATTCTGACTCGTATCAACCCTCTCAACTTTTTCGCCTATAGCCATCCACCCGACTATGCATCTGAATTTTTTGGTGCATCTAGAACCAATCCAAAGGAATATTCTGTCAACCCCGATGAATGTAAAATCTCTGATCAATGTAAAAATGATTTATTGGAAATAGATGATCAAGGTATGTAAATGAATGAATGAATGAATGTTATCATCTACTAGTTATTAATTCAATTTATTTTATTAAAAAAAGTATGGAAAGCAGAGGAAGAAGATGCTTTTAAAATTAGAATTGGTTTCCAAGCAGATACAATTGACAAGGATAAGGATAAACAAAACAATGTTGATGATGACGAAAAGGTGATTGATAAAGAAGAAGAAGAAGAAGAGAAAGAGAAAGAGAAAGAGAAAGAGAAAGAGAAAGAGAAAGAGAAAGAAAAAGAAAAACAATTACAAGAGGAAAAAGAAAAACAAGCACAAGAAGAAAAAGAAAAGGAAAAGGAAAAAGAAAAAGAAAAGGAAAAGGTTCAAGAAGAAACAGAAGATATTCAAAGTAGTGCAACAGCACAACAAAGCCAAACATTCGAAATTGAGGAAGAAGAAGAAGATCAACATCAAAAGAGTTTTGTTGCCGATAAAGAATCAACTCAAGATTTTGGAAATAATGTGCAATCTAGCTTTGACTATCAAAATAATAATCCATCTCTATCATCGTTTGCCGATGAGATTCAGGACCAAGAGGATAGGGTAGACCAGGATATGAGAGATAAAGATGAAGCAATGGATAAAGATGATGATAACACTGCGAAAAAGGATGGCAAACAATCTAAATCAACAGATAGTGATATTGAAGTATCAGATGTTGAAGATATGGCCTCTTGGATACCAAAGAGAACTAAATCCTCTAGCATGTTTAATTCACCACCAGATCCTTTGGGTTCACCTGCCATTGTAAAGAAAAGTAACTATAGTTATAAACCTGCTACCCCAAAGGGTACTGCATCCAAAAAATCGGCTCAAAAACAACAACCATTCAAATCACCAGCAATCAACAAACTACAAGATGAAAAGAAAAAGGTGGTGACAACTCCATCATCAAAAAAGATAGATGATGAAAAGGAAAAGAAAATATTGGAAAAGAAAAAACAAGAAGAAGAAAGAGAAGAAAAAGAAAGACAAGAAAGAGAAGAAAGAGAAGAAAGAGAAGAGAGAGAAGAAAGAGAAAGACAAGAAAGAGAAGAAAGAGAAGAAAGAGACAGAGAAAGAGAAGAGAAGAGATTAGAAAGAGAAAAGAAAAAAGCAGCAACCAAGAAACAAGAATTAGAAAGAGAAAAGAAGAAATTGGAAGAAAAGAAGAGATTAGATAAGGAAAAAGGGAGACTGAAATCAAAACCAAAAATCACACCTAAAAAAGGACAAAAGAGAAAAACTGTTGATGATGATGATGACGATTATGGATCAATTACTCCTTCAAAGAAAAAACAAACAAAGAAAAAGACAAAGAAATCATCAGATGATGACGATGATGATTTTGATTTTGGAGGAGTGGACCTTGATGCATTCTATAATTAGGAATGAAAAATAAATCAAAGGTTCCCAGCTATAGTTTACCAATTAATTTATTAACTAAATGATTGTAGGATTGGGATTCAATTTGTTTAGAGGATGAATAATTGCTCTTTATAAATTTGGTTGCATTGTCAACCAATTGTTGTGAAAAGGAGGGTGAGGAGGATAACAGTTTGTCCAATTGTTCCATACATTGATCTGGTGTATCGAAAAGTAATCCTGTCTTGCCATCCTCCAAGATTGCACAATTGCCATCGTTGATTCTGCCAACACAAGGTACTCCAACATCCATTGCTTCGAGTAAACATGTACTTACACCTTCACTCTTTGAACAATTAAGTATACATTTTGCACTTTTAAATAGACTCATGAGTCTTGTATGTGATATTCCAGGGTGATAAAATATTACATTTTTGACGTTTCCATTATTATTATTAATATTATTGTTTCCTTGATTTTGTAATTGATTTAAAAGTGTATCAAATGATTCATCCAATTTTGGTCCAACAATCAATAATATGTTGTACTGTTGGTCAATTGGTTTAAGTTTAAGTTTATCATTACTCCATTTAATAAAAGAATCCAATAGATAGGTTGGATCTTTAACTGTTCTAATACCACTTGGTAATAGATATAAATTAATTTCATCCTTTTTATAAGAGTTGAATATTGGAAGATTATTTTCCAATGACAATGATGGATGAGGATATAAATCATCTGATTGCAATATTGATTTTAAAACATCATCATCTGATGGTGATGATATGTCATGTGTTGTCTCGACAGATGGGAAAATAACAGCTGTTTTGGCTTTTAATGGCTCGTGTCCAACAAACCGATCAAATAGACGATAAGACTTATCCATCATCTCTTGCGTCAAACAAACTATTGCAGTTGCTCTTTCTACAACCCTTTCCATGACCGTCATCTTTTCTTCTTTCTTGTGCATTTCATTTAAATCAGTTCCACCATAAACCAATATATATGGAATCTTCAAAAAAAAAAAAAGAGTGTAAGGTTACAACGAGACTAGAACTAATCAAAGGTATATGGTATGATATATTACATACATCATTATAATCATTACCGCCACTACCATATAATGTATCAAGTAATAATCCAGCTCTATAAGCATGTACAGCAATAATAACCAATGAACCAAGTTGTGTAGTACTATTACTATTTAACTGTAACTGTTGTTGATCGACAATTGATTTGAATTGATCATATCCTTGTTTGTTTACATCAAACATTGTAAAGCTGGTGGTAGTACTACTGGGCTGACCACCATTTACCTCATCATTGTCGTCACCATCCAACAATCTTAATTTAATTCTTTCACAAAGTACTGTATTACCTGTATTCTCCTTTAATGATGATATAATCAATATGTTTCTTCTTCTTCTTTTCATTCTATCCTATCATTGTTGGATGAAGATATAAATATGTTGCATAGAATGATACTAAAAAAAATAAAAAAAAATAGAAAATCAGCAGAGAGACGATTCGTCGTCTTTTTTGAATGATCACCAAATTACATTTATTGAAAAATAGTATTCAAGTATCAATCAATCAATCAATCAACTACTGCACTTGCACTCATCAACATACTTCAAACAACCACATACATACAAATATATATATATATATATAGAAAGAAGAATGCAAAGAAGTTTATTAGGATCAATGTTTATGGCAGCAGCCAAACCAAGATTTGCTACAGCTACTACAAGTTATTATTCACAATACATGAATGTTAGAAACGGATTTTTGTACAGACCAACCGAACAACAACAACAACAACAACAACAAGTAGTCATCCCAGAACAAATCGAACAAGATGTCGAACAAGATTTAGAATTAATGGCAGTACCAAAGAAACGTGTCAGTTATACTAGAAACAGAAAGAGAAACTCTGCTGCTGACAAGAAACACGAAAATATCCATCATCATACAGTTTGTCCAAAGTGTAACAGTTTAAAACTTAGACATCATCTATGTATGAACTGTATCAGAAAGATTTAAACCCTTAATAATAATAATAAACACACAATCGACACTATAATATAATATATAATAATAATCAACAAACAATAATAACAACAAACACAACACAATTATTGATGGCTTCTTTTTGGAATTGGTAATTGATCATATTGTAGCATATAGTGTAGCATCTAGCACAGATAAATAATAGTTATGCAACCATTATCAGTTGTTTGGTTATCTACCACTGACATAGATGACACGAAACCATTTCTCTTTCTTTCTGGGTTCCAGGGGACATGGATGGATGTATGGGAGGTAGTGCAATAGTTTTAAATTAAAAACTAATCAGAAGGTTGAGGACTGATCGGTCGATTCAGTACTGAATATTTCTGTAATACGAAACAAAGGGGGAGGGGATTTGTCCTTGGAAATTCTCAGTGCTGAAGAAGGATCCTTGCTTGGAAGATATTTTATTTTATTGGGATTTTTGCGATGAGTAATCCTGTGATGACGAAAGGGGTCTCTTTTTGAACCCTTTCACTGTTCATTTCATTATCATTCGTTTCATTTCATTTATTTCTCTTTATCCTTTTTTTATTTTATTTGTAATAGTTTTATTGTACAATGTCTTTTAATAACTACCCAAGTATGTTACAGATACGATAGATAGATAGATAGATAGATAGTACTAGGCTAGCAACTAATCTCTCTTGATCATTTCTTTTAAAAAGATCCAAACGGCGGTGGTGCTCGTCAAGCTGTTAACCTTCTCAAGCCACCTACCACTAAACCACCACAAACTACCAAGCCTTCTAAACCAAGTTCTGGATTTACTCTATAAAATATATTTATTTAAAAGAAGAACAATTTCCCCCTCCCTTATCTCAACAACCTTTAAACATCAATATCTAGGACCATAATATCAAATCAATCAATCTCTTTATAATCAATCATATCATATTTAATTAATTGGAAACAAACACACAAACATTAAACAATCAATGAATGAATGGATAGACAAGAAAGACACACTCCCTCTTATAATGGTTCATTATATTTTTGTTAAAGTGTTGGTCTGTCAGATCACTTTTTGTAAATCAAAAAACAAGACAATAGATTATTATTATTATTATTATTATTATTATTATTTTGGATATAATTTATAATTTAATTTAATTTAATTAAAAGTAATAAGGTGTAGGAATTGAATCTCTTATGATTTTCCTAAATTATTTCTTTTGGTTGGTTTTTTTCTTTTTTTTTCCTTTTTGATGTTAGATGTTGGATGGATTGATTTTGGAAAGACCAAACAAAGTGATTTTACTCTTCTTCTTTTCTTTTCAATTTCAATTTCTATTTTTATCTATCTATCTATCCACCTAATATCCTATATGATATTATTGTTCTTATTTATAATTGAATTTAAAATATTGATACTATTCTTGTATCTTGATTTTCTTCTTTTAAAATCATAATTAAAACTAAATAAATTTAAATAGTAAACTTTTTAGTCTTTATAATTCTATATATATATTTATATAAATATTTCTTACCTTTTTTTTACAGTATTAAAAAATGTTACATGTTGTTGAAGTAATGTATCGGGATTATTACTACTATTAATTTCGGTATCACTGTTTTTCATCATCATTTCATCAAATTCTTGATGTGATAAAGTTTGGCGTTTAATAGGTACAAATGGTTCATTATCGATTGGTAATGGTTCGGTTGGTGGTGGTAGATAAATTCCATTACCTCCTTGCATCTAATAATATGATAATAATAATAATAAATCAATAATTCAATGGGTTTAATTAATTAAATTTAACATACATTTAATAATAGTGATTCTGGAGAAGGTTTTGTTTCATTGACCCATAATCTAAGTAATGTATAGAGTGATGTTTGTTGTACCTGTTGATTTGCCTTTTCATTGTATGCTGTTGGGTCAGATGCCATGGTAGATGCCATTCGAGGTGTCATTGGTCCTGATACTCCACCTCCTGCTACCGATGATGATATATTAACAGACCTTCCTAAACTTTCCAAATTAATGGTTTGGTTTAGTACAGTCACAGTATTATATTGTTGTAAATGATTATGAATATTATTATTATTCAAGTTATTAAAATTAAAATAATAATTGTTATTATTATTATTGGTTATTATTGCTGTAGTATTATTATTATTATTATTGTTGTTATTTAGTATATTATTGGTTGCTGTTGTTGTTTTCATTAATATATTAGTATTATTATTATTATTATTATTATTATTATTTTGATTAATAATATTATTAGTTTGACCATTATCATCTCCATCATCATGATGATCTATTGAATTTTCAAATTGTGAATATAAATTATTACTTGTACCATTGTTGTTGTTGTGGTGATGGTGATGATGATGATGAATGATTGGTTTTGGATTGCTGTGAACAAGGAGGTTGGACGGCGAATTGAATAATCCAGTACTCGACAAATAGGGAGATCCCGAGAAATCAATGTCTCCCAATCCATGATTATGATGATGGTTTTGTTTGATAATCGATGGTGGAGGCGATGCAAATGACAATGGCATATCGAAAAAATGGTCATGACTCACTCCAATATCGGGTGATTTTGAAATTGAATTTCTTTTTCTTCCACTATTTAAAAGTGATGGTGAATCTGGAAATGGGGCATTAAAACTTTCTGGAATTTTTTGGAAATTTTGAAAAAATGAATATTAATATTTCCAATCTTTTTGATCGTACTTTTGAATACTTACTTATTGCAGAGCCGGGTAATAATAGTTTAGCAGGACTGGCTTCAAGAAAATATGAATTGTCTGGAATGGGTGCAATCATCGTCGCCAATCCATTTATCTGGTTATTGAGACCGCTGTCGCCAATCATGAATCCTCCACCAACACCATCCATCTCACTGCTTACATGATTAATATCAGTTTGATGATTCGTTCCATTTGTTATGGTTGCTGATGTAACCGCCGGCGGTGTCGTCGTCGTCGTCGCCAAAGTAGTTGTCGTCAACGATGTTGATGATGCAATCGGCGATGTTTCCATCATTGATCAATCAATAAATATTTATTCAAATCTACTACTCTTTATAAATAAAATAATTAGTCTTCTGTACAGATTAGATCTACGTATCTGATCAAAAATAGTGACATACCTTTTAAATGATGATGATATTTGTTTGCTCTCTTGATATTAATTTTAACATTGATCTATGTGTCAATGTTTCTTTCGTCTTTTCTATTTATGTGTCTCTCTGTCTTTCTCTCTTATACCCTCTCCCTCTCTCTGTGTCTCTTCTCTCTTACACTCTATCTCTAATATCTTGTTAATGGTTGTATACAAGACAGGCCTGTTTGAATGGTAGAAGAAAAAGAAGAACAAGTAACTATTCCTTTTTAAATGAAGAACATCCAAAACAACAAATATTGGCGCCAACCAGCTTTTTTCGAAAATCATCGAGTTTGCGATCCTTGTGCATGTTCGACAAACAAACACCCATCCCATTCCTCTTTGTTCACATCGTTCTATCCATGTTCAAATCTACTTCATCATCATCAACAACATGCGTTTTAACACTACTACTAGTTGCCAACTTACATCACACTGCAGTATCCATTTAAATTATATTATTATTACTCGAGCTATTTAATTCTCAGATGACAATAATATCTTTGAGATGTATTGTTTAAAGACAGACAGAGACAGAGACAGAGACAGACAGAGACATACTAGAAACAAGAGATAATTAAAAATGATTTCATAATTAATTGGATATATTCGGTCGGTGCAATTTCTAAATTGTAGAATGTCTCGAGAGTTTCTCTTCATTTTTTCAAAGACAAACCGACAACGATTAAACAACAACAACAACAAACAGATAATTATAATTATTATATATAACAATAATAACATTTATCTGTAGATTATTAGTATTATGAGTAGTGAAGAACAACAACAACAACAAAGCAACAATGGATTGGTGACAGTCAGAGTCGTAAAGTCACTCGAATACAGAAATATCAAGAATCTAGTACTACGTGACATCGATTTGAATATGAAGGTTTCAGAGTTTAAAGAATACGTTAAAAATAGTTTGTTATCAACATCCCAAATATATATATATATATATATATATATATATCTCCCTCCCCAAATGTTCTTTTATACTTACTTGTCTTGCTCCTCCTGCTCTGCTTAGAAATCCAAACAACAACGGGATATCTACCATTTAGAACTTGTAAATTAGATTCAATGAAAATATTCTTTATTCCACACAAGAACAAGGTAACTCATAATAACATCAAATATATATAGGCAACATTAATGATGTATCAATGGTCATAGTTTACTTATTTATATAACAATCTATTTTTATCTATATTTAGCCAAACAATTTAACGATCAATTTGGAGAATGACCATTATTTCTTAAAAGATGAAGATAGATTAACAGATTGTGGAGTGATCAATGAGACAGAGATATCATTCTTTAATCTTGAAGATTACAATAATTTTAAAGCAAATCCAGTTGATAAATGGTGAGAGAGAGGACAGGACTACCTTACATAATATATGAGACCAAACCAACATATCATTCATATATACAACATCCAAACAAAAAAAAAAATATTTATATTTATATATATTATTTATTTATTTATTGCCAGTCATTCATTCATCCTTTCATTCATTCAACCCCTATTGTACACAATGGAATCATAATAATAATAATAGTTATCATTTCAATTCATTGATTCAAGGATCACAACAACAACAACCGTTCATTTCAAAAACATATAATAATTTCTTAAATCTATATATATTTTTTCAAAAGAGACAATGATGATAATTATATCATAGCTTTTAAATTAAATCGAATAGAATTAATAAAACAAAAATAAATTACCCATTGGCCTTTTAAAAAGAAATACAATGACTTTGTAGAGAGTCAACAACGACCAAGTACATACTTTACTTTGCTTTATTGTTTTCTACACTTTTTGGAACAGTCGACAAAAAATTCAGAAAAGTCCGTTTTAATCGCGTGATCCTTGATTTCTTGGATTGAATGGACCGTTGCCACAGTCAAAAAAACATCAAAAATATACCTCACACTGGTTAGGTCGATTTTTGGGTGTGTAACATAGATTATTCTATTATTAACTTGTGAAAGTGAGAGAGAGAGAGATAGATAAGATAAATATTATAATTTACACACGCACGCATTCATCATTCATTCATCACTCTTATCTTAATCGTCATCACTTTTTTATTTATCTATCTATCGATTTTAATGCTTAGTTAACATACAACAACAACAACAACAAAGTTAGCAACCATTAAAGATAGATAGGTAGATTATTATATTTATAAAGGTGATCACTATTATTATTACTATTATTATTCAACAACAAGAGAAGAAGAGAAGAGAATAGTAGTACAAAGATAGATAGAAGAAAGGAGAAAAAGGAAATATGACAACAACAAATAGAAAACTATTATTTGATCAGTTTCTTTTAGTATCTTTCAAAGAAGGTAAGAATAAATAAATAAATAAATAAATAAAGAAAGAAAGAAAGATTGAAGACGAGTCATCTATCAATGATGTATGTATGAATACAGACTTATATATATTTCTTCTATCAATCTATCTTTCTTTATATATATATTTTAGATAAAAATGGAGCAGGAGGAATTATACCATTTGTAAAGGATGTTTATCCACCAGATCAAGTCGATCCCAATGTACCATTGTTTTGTTTTCCAGAGGAGATTGATAACAAGGCGTTTATGAATCAAACCTATACACCTTCGAAATCGAGCGAATCCTTTTCATTTGTATTGACAGATAGAGAGGGAAACCAACAGTTTGGATTCACACGTCGTATAGTGACTGCTGTCCCTACGCTGGGACGCATCCCAGAGTCACTGTGTATCATATCAAAACATGCATGGTTTAGTACATTTATAGCAATCTTGGAGATACTCGAGGTGAGATATCGCGCATCAATGGAGGAGATTCACAACTTTTTGGCAGCTGCCCTTCTCTCTGCCATTCCTGCACCAGGTGACACCTTTACAGTCTATATATACAACAACCCATTTATATCTGCATCCTCTTCATCATCATCATCTACATCGACCACTACATCACCTTCAGCAACCACTATCACAGGTACACGCGATCGTAGTCTGTCAACACCTAATCTTACCATTTCAACTGGTGGTGCTGGGGATCCCCACCATCAATCTGATAAGAGTTCTCAACCATTACCTGTATCATATCAATTAAAGAGACCTTTGGCAACTGATAAATCATCGTTGCACGACGGAACATTATTACCATTGATAGAGTCATTGACATCACAAAAGATTCTATCATTGTTTATATCTCTGTTGTTTGAGCGACGTATAATCATCTACTCGGAGAATATCAGTCGCGTGAGCAAGTTTGTCAATGCGGCCGTCTCGATGATCGATCCATTTGTTTGGCAACATATATTCATCCCCATTCTTCCTCGTTCTCTATTAGACTATGTCACGGCACCGATGCCATTTATCATTGGTATCCATTCATCACTGTTTCCATTGATTCGTAAAAAGCCACTCTCTGAAATCATCTATGTCGACTTGGACAAGGATCACGTCCTTCCTCTACCAGAAGATATAGCATTGTTTCCTCCTCAACTTTTACAACCTTTAAAAGTTTGTTTAGATTTACAAATTGCTGATTTTAAAAGTAACCAAAGAATCCAAAAAAAACACATACCGATTATTAACCAATTTATTTATTTATTTATTTATTATTTTAGAAAACAAACATTATGATAACAAAGTAATAGTTGATACATTTAGAAAGTTTTTTGTTACTATTATGGGTACCTATAGAAGATTCTTTTTAAAGGATTTAGATAAAAGAAAATCAATTTTTGATAAGGCATCATTTATTGATTCTCAAATTATTAATCCTGCAAAGGTATGAAATCGACACAAAATTAATCAAATATTATTTGGATTGATATTAATTAATTGTATTTCTATTTTCTATTTTAGTTTTTTACAACATTTTGTTCATCACAAATGTTTGAAAGATTTATAGCAGAACGTGAAGAATATTTTTTCAAGGGAATTACACCACCAGGATCATTTGAAAAAGAGGTTATTCTTTATGATTTAAAGCATCCAGTAACTGCATCGATCAATAATACATTGAAAAACAAGGAAAAGGAAAAAGAAAAAGAGCGTGAAAAGGAGAGATTGGAAAAGGAACGTGCAAAATCCGTTGCCAAGGCAAATGCTTACAAGACGGTACTCGATCCAAAGAGATTGAGTGTTTTAAATCCACCAAAATCAAACGGTCTTAGTGTAGATCGTTCATTCTTGTCATCACTCATTGGAACCAATAATAATAGCAGTGCGACTGTGGGATCACTCACAGTTGTAAACACGAGTACACCATCTACATCACCATCACTACCACGTGCTGCGTCACCTACAATGACACGGTCTACCACGATGGGTAGTATATCGTCAAAGGCACAAACCATGACTGCTCTAGAGGTTGGTTCACTTGCTCCTCTAACCGATGTTCAATTACCAATCCCTGCTCATATTCAACAACAACAACAACAACAGAAATTACAACAACAACAACAACTATTACAACAACAACAAACATCAGAACAACAAGGAGGAGTATCATTACCAAAACCAAAATCACATACCAACCTTGCTTCATTGGCTTCAAATATTGTACAAAACGCAGCTAGTATTACAAAGTCAACATCAGCTTCATTTACATTGGGACATGGTCAATCGTTGTTACCACCAAATCCAACTCTTCCCTCTGGTAATCAATCGTTGTCGTCTGCCACTCACACTGGTGGATCTCATAGCAGAACTCTTTCAGATGTTGGAAATATCATTCTATCTGTAACAAAGAAATCTACCCAAATATTGTCTAGTGGCACTACACAACCAACAAAACCAATAGCATCCGATCAAACTCTAAATAGTAATAATGTTAATACTGCAGCAACAAGCAATGTTATCCCACCTACTACTACTGCTGCTGCTAATACTACTACTACCAACAATACTGTACAAATTATACAAACACATCCAAATTCTCCTACTCGTATGGGTATTGGACACCGATCTTTACCATTTACATTGATTCATCAAAAGTTCTCACCAAACGATCCAACTAGAATGACCATTGAAGATATATTTAATTTATTCTATCCAGGACAGAAACCAAGCAATGGAACAACAACACCTGTCGTCACCCCACACCAACCAGTGACCAGCACAAGTGGTATGAAAAAATCAACGTCACAAGAAAAGAATATATTCAAGATTCCAGAGTTGCCCGATAATATATCCATCCCCTTGTCAATCAACAAGACAAATAAGAATCAATTTATGACACAGGCTAGTGGAAGTGCAGGCAATATCAACACCCAGCACGCTACAAACACCAACTCTGGCATCCAATTGACGGCCAGTGCACCAGCCAATCCAACCATCATTTCATCATCCTACGCTGTTTCCGATAAATCCACCCTTCCACCCCCTCCCATTAGCGCTCACTCTATTCTTCATCGAAGAACACATCAGAGATCTGTATCTGTATCAACATCAACACCCAGTACACGAAACCTTACCAATTCACTCGATCCCAACATAATATCAATCCAACACCCCCACAAGCATCATCCAAACAAATCCCTATTCAAAACCATCTCGTCGCTCAACAACAACAAAAGGAAAAGGAGTTATTGGAAGCTGAAAAGGAACAATTATTATTACAACAACAACAAATTCAACAAGTTCAACAAGTACAAGTTCAACAGCAACCTATGGTTGTGGCTGCAGGAGGAGGAGGAATCCAACAACCACAACCATCATTAAGATTATCATCATCATCTGTACCAAAACCAATTACTACGTCATCACAACTTGAACAACAACAACAACAACAACAACATTTACAACCAATAGTAGAAAATGTTTTACAACAACAACAACAACAACAAGAACACAATGGATTACCACCTTTGACAAGTACTGTACAATTACCAATACCTGTAGCCAATGTAGATCATAATCCATTACCACCATTGAATACTGGTGCACCTGTGGTTGTAGATTTAAATACCTCTGGATCATCATTGATTCATCGTAGTGGAGGCACCCCAATGATGTGTCGTACGATGAGTAGCAACAACTTTTTCGATAATAACCCTCTCTCGACCAACATTGAGACGTCACCAGCCGTAGTGTTGGCATCGAGTACTGCTAGCTGCTCGAGTAGCAACAGCAACTTTTTCAATGAATGTTCATTGTTGGGTGTGCCATCTTCGTTGCCACACATTGCAGGCTCGACACCCCTTTCAACAGCAACATCATCTGTTGCAGCACTCAGCAGCACCTCTTCGTTGAATAGTTCCTATGGATCATTTACATCGGCAGTCTTAAACAATAGTAATATATTATCGGCATCGGGTATGATGATGATGCCACCATCAGCTGCAATGATATCAGCAGCTGCTGCTGCTCAACAAGGACAACAACAACAACATACACAACCACAACAACAACAACAACCACAACAACCACAACAACAACAAGTTTCTGTTCCTGTTTCATCTACACCAGTTGTTCCAGTGTCAGCAGCAGTAGCATCAGGAGGAGGAGTCCCATCTCAACAACAACAACAACAACAACAACAACAACCAAATAACAACCATAGTAATGCTTCATCTTTTTCATCCAATCAAAATGTTGTTACTTCTTCAACCAGCAATGTTTTACCACCTCTTATTCCACATGGAGGTAGTACTACTTCTTTGTTGCCTCCTCCCGCCTCACTCCACAGCAACCACTTTTTCGATCAATCACCTCTTAGCCAATCATCGTTTGTTGATTTTGGACCTCCAGCTCCATCCCTCCCCGGTCTCAATAATAATAGTAACGGACCATATAATCAAATGTTGGCATCATCCACTCCACCAACCTATACTCAACCCCAACAAGTACAACCACAACAACAACCACCGGTTCAACAAGGAGAAAATGGTATCGATGAATTTGAACTTTATCTAAAGAACCAAAAGAAATTATAATGTTAAAATATTGATAACAATAAAATAAATTATTTATTACCCAAAAGTAAAGTAAAGTTAAAAAAACCAATTGAAATTGAATGGGATCTCGCTATTGGTTGATCGTGAGGGTGGGTCATTCAGATCTTATGTTCGATTCGATATGCTGTTGAGATCTGTGATCAAAAGTCACCCGTGTCGACAGCGAGAGATCGAATCACACACCCAAAACAAAATAAATTTAGAAAAAGGGAGGGCTGCCAACGACTATTTAAAAATCTCTTTTCGAATAATGTTTTGTAGTACTAAAACCCCACAATCAACAATTATCTGATCAAATAATTTACACACACCAATTGTTGTTTTTGTTGTTGTTGTTGTTCACTTTTAAAAGACATATTTATTCTTTTTGTATAAAAATCACACATATATATATATATATAATATAAGCATATATACTACCCCTTACATAACACAAACACTTCACTTTCACCTAGCTTACTTGACTTTTTCACTCACTCCTCACTAATATATCACACCCTCTCAATCGCACCTCACCTCACCTCCCCCCTTTTATCGTCATCCACAGCTCAGCTCAGCTCTCTTATTGAATAAAATTTTATACAACCATCCTCCTCCTCCCTCCTCCCTCCTTCCTTTCTTTTGGTTTTCAATTTAAATCCATATTCGAAATATAAACAATTTATTTAAATTATATATAGTATCTCTAGAGAGAGAAATGGTTAAAGCAAATATAAAGGAATGTCTAAAGAATGAAGACACAGCAATTCCATTGGAACTGGATTTAAATTCATTGAAATTGAATAAATTTCCAAGTGAATTGAAAAAGGAAATATATAGAGACAAGAAGAAACTGGTCAAAGCAATGATAAAGAAACTTGATGTCAGTATCAACAAACTCAACGATTTCAAATGGGACTTGTCATCTAGTTTTGACCAATTGGACTATCTAAATTTGTCGGGGAATCCATTGTCATCGTTGATGACGATTGGGTTACCTGGATCCGTCTATCTCAAGACTATCACCAAGATTGATGTATGTGGATGCAAATTATTACGTGTTGGACAAAACGATCTCAGACAATTGACCAATCTTGCTCAACTCAATCTCTCCAACAATGAGATTGGCGAGATTCATCCAGAGGCATTGAGCTGTCTTGCCCAACTCGAGGACCTCAATGTCAGTGGTAACTCGTCTCTCAAGGCCATTCCAGAGGCTGTTTTAAAGTGCCGTCAAATCACTCATTTGGATGTCAGCGGGTGTTCAATCAATGAACTGCCACATGACCTCTCTCCCCTCGCCAAAATGCTCGAACTCAACCTTGGAAATAATAATATCAGCGAGATTCCAGATTCGATCAGTCTCCTCGTTTTTCTTTGTCGCATCAATCTCCAAGACAACAACATCCGCAATCTTCCACTGTCAATTGGAAAATGTAGAGGCATTGTATCCCAAATGAACGGTATCATCCTTCACGGCAATCCATTGGATGCTGAAATCAAACAATTGTACAATGAAAATCCAGCAAAGTTGGCAGCCTATCTCGAAAGAAGATATCAACTACAAGGTGGTGACACACTAAACTTTAAATTGGCAGCTCAATATAAACATCAACAACAACAACCAGCAGCAGCAACGCCAACAAAATCATCACCACCCTTGTACCCACAATCTCCACCAAATACAGGATACCCAATTGCTACTACTACCTCTACCACCACTTCTTCCAATCAAGCCAATTCAGCAGCTTCATCACTACAATCAAATACTCCAACTACATCAGTACTATCAACGAGTAATGGTAGTTCAATGGCTTCATCACCTCGATCCTACAAATTATCAGTATCAAATGAAGCATGGAGAGAATTGCCAAATCACATTCCTGGTCCAAAACACAATCTTGGTGGTGGTGGATCATCTGCTTCTTCTTCCCCCATTTCCTCATCTCCCATGACAAATCCTTTAAGACTCTCCCAACAATATCAACAACAACAACCACCACCATCACCACTACACCATAGTGCTGGTGGTATTAGAACTCAATTTCAATTTTCCGACTCCCCATCATCGTCACCCTCTACTCCATCACCTTTATCATCATCACCTCAATTTATGACGCAACAACAACAACAACATCCAGAAGACCCAACCGTTACAATGATGAAAGAGAATATTTATGGAATGATTAAAAATGAATTTAGACAAAACATTACATCAATCTATGAAAAAGTAAACAAATCATCAAATGTCAAAGAACTAATTCAATTTGCTACAATTGTTAGATCTATCCAATCTGTATGTATTTAAAAAAAAAAAAAAAAAAAGATAAATACATTTTATTAATCCTTTTTTATTTTATTGTATTTAGGAATTGGATGATATTGGAAAGATTCTGGCATATAAAAAGATTTATTTACCAAATATTGAAAAAAACATTGGAAGTAATGCTAGTGAAACCGAAAAATTCAATCAATTGAAACAACTTGTTAAATCAAAGATTGAAATATGTGTAATTTATTCAAAACATACAATAGAACATGTTGATATTCAACATAGTATGTCTGACCTATCTTTTGTCTATAGAGTTATTAAATCATTATCAAATAAATTGACTTTATAAATATATATATATATGGAATAGATAATTAATTTATTATTATTATTATTATTAGTAAAAATACATTAAATCATTTTTGATTAAGATTGTTGGGTTTTTAGTTTTATAGATCTATTTAGATTACCAAATTTGAATCTAATAAAGTTACTATCTCTTAAATAGAGGACGGCTCCAACTACCAATGCAATCAATACAGCTCCTCCAACTGCTACACCAACTGCAATCTTCCATGTGTTTGATGATTCCGATGAACAATCTTGCTCTTTGTCTTGTCCGACTACCAATGCTGAGAAATCTGGATCGAGTAGACAAAAAGTACATTGAGGTACATGAACTCCAATCAATGCCAATGAATCAGTATCACTTCCAACAATTCTGGTTTGATTAATTAATTCATTTCTCGAAAATGTCTTTCTTCCATCGGAATAGGAATAGGAAAGGAATCTACCATAGAATTGTGTGTCATTCTTGATGACTCGTAGATAACTATCACTTCCTAGTATTTGTTCAAAGGTTGGAATATCACTATTGGAACATGATTGAATTGATTGTTCATTATTGACAATGGTTGAGAATACAACTCTGAGATGTGAAAGAATCGATTGATATTGCCATCCAGTGACATTTACTCCTACTTTAATACTATTTGCTCCGACCGATACAATACTATCACCAAATGGTAATTGCCTATCCAGAGTCGAATACTCAATCAGAGATGTAACATTGACAATTGGTGATAGTGTTGGATACAGAGTTGAATTGATCAACAATCTATAATGAAGTGATGTAAGATTATCACCCGATTGATCGGTAACATTCCATTGATCAGTGATTAATTCTTGAACTACAATATCATCACCATCCAATTCTTGAATAGCAACCAATGAAAAAAAGAATTGATATCCATCCAATTCAAATGTTGCAACTGGTTTTGTATCATTTTGTACAAATGTTACATTTGGATTTTCTAAAAAAAAAAGGAATAAATTAATATTATTTTTTAATTGTTGTTATTTTGATTTACTTACTAAAAAATCTACAATTATCATAATAACCTTGATCACACTGACATACACCCTGATCATTACATTGACCATGACCATAACAATTTGATGTCTGATCGATACATTGTTGTTTTAAGGATTGTGATGGTGGGAAGGGAATAGAGATGACATTGTTGAGTGAAATGGAATAACCATCGACACTGACCTGAACCGAGGATACGCCTGGTGGTGGAGTTGCCAATAAATTGCATTCAATGTATGATACGTTTCTATTTGTAATAGTACAAATGGCAGTGTTGTTTAATTTTACATAATGATTTTGTGATACTGAAGGTCCAAAATATCCACTCAAAGTTATTTTTAATCCATTTAATTGTGTTGATGTTACTAATGGATATGAATTTGGTGATTCTAAAAAAAAAAGAAAAAGAAAAGGGATGGATAGTTAATAAATATTATGACAAAATTGAAATATATTCTATATTCTATATTCTATTACGACTTACGAAGAGTAAAGACTGTAGAAAATGAATTAAATTCATTGGACATTGTAAAATTGTAATCACCTCCATTCAATCCTTCTGTGGAACATGTTGCTCCCAACAAATTACATACCAATGAGACTCCCCTTTGGTCATTTGATATGATTACTCGATGTTCAACGTAGGGATTGACCTGTTGCGTGAATCTAAGTGTAATCGTATTGTTTGTCGAATGGATTATTGGTACGATATTTCTAACTGTTATATCGGCCACAATCAGTGATACTGGTATTGTTATATTTGTACCCAAAGAAACCATACGGTTTTGTATTGGTGATACCTCTGTAAATGGATATCTAGATTAAAACTAAGGTTAATAATGGCGGTGGTCTAAATTGATCAGTATAATATTTAAATATTTAGTATTGATACATACAATATAACCGAGTTTACAACCAATACTCTAGATGGAGCGACACCCCAACCAAGTTTGCTACCTGTTAGGGTTGCATATCCACCAATTGATGGAACAACTCCTGTTGTATTGAGAGCAGGTGTACATTGGAAGTTTTGAGGATAAGGTAAATCGGTGAGAATTGATTGTGGATAACACCAAAAACAATCGGCTACACTTTGAATGTTTGTGTTTCGAATGTCAATAGTGTGTCTACAAAAATCACTTGTGACAGGTGTAAGAATTTGGTTCATTGAGAGAATAATGTTTGTCGATGCTACTTGTTCAAATACCACTGCTGGTGGCATTGCCTTTAATAAATTACTAGTTAAATCACTAAAAAAAATAAAAACAAAAATGTTAATAATAATAATAAATGACATATATAATATCCTTCCTGAGAAGTCAGGCCAACTTACACTGTTGTTATATTGACTGGGAATCTTATTTTGTTTGATACTCCTGTTATTTTTGCATCTTTTATTATCCTAGAAAATAATAATAATAATATTAATAATGTTAGCTATACACCTATTTTTTTTTTAAAACTTACATTGACACTAGAGTAGAAGAAAGTGTGGATGGGATTTGGAAAGAAGAAAACGGAGTAGATTGTAAACTAAAAGTTACTAAATTTGTAAAAAGCCCAATATCATTTGGCAATAGAGCTGTTTTCGGACCTCTCATATCCCTAAAGAATAGAAAAAAATAAACAATCATTAGAAAATGAATCATCCATTTTTATAACTTTTCATAAATACATACAAGTTTCTAACCAAAGTTGGGTTTATAAAATGTAAACTAATATTGACTCTGAAATGTGACACATAAAATAAAATTGGTTAGAGCGAGTTACAACATTTCAGATTTCATTCATTCATTCAACAAAGAAAGATTATCTAGAGTTGTAATACTTACGAGGATATTCCAATGATAGGACAATCAATCTCAACTGCTACATTGTTTGCATGAGAGGTAGCTCCAAATACTTCAAGAGTTGGAAAACTTTTTTTGGTCATGGTGAAGATGGTATCATCTAACATAAAATCCACACCAAAGTTTAAAAGCTTGTCAAGTACCATGGTATCGTTGATTTGAAAAGATAGCTTTGGATTACCAAAAAGTGAAAGGAATTTGATAACTGATCCATTAAAGAAATTAACAATAGACTCTAAATTGGGATTTTCTGAAATTACCCTAAAGAGAAGAGAAGAGTAAAAAAAAAGTAATGTCAAACTCTTATTATTATTATTATTATTATTGTACATACAATGATTCTAATTTTGTAAATGATGGTCCTGGGAAGTTACTTTTAATCTGGGTTAGGGATGCGTCACCAACTATTTCAAGTATTTGAAGTTTCAAACAATTACCAATCAAGTCTAATATTTGGATATTGGGGTTTTGAGTAGGAGCATTATGAATTTTAAGAGTGAGTAACTCTGGAAATGATAACGATGTTACTGGGACGACATTGGAGGGGAAACCAGAAGGTGGAGGACTCAAGATATTACTATAGTAAACAAAAATGGGTTAAGTATAGGGTAGGAATATATATATATATATATAAAAGGAGGAGTTTAAAAACTTACACTTGAAGGACTCGCATTTGTCCTGCAACAATTGAACAAGAGAATACGGTTTGACCTTGCACAGCAGAATTGCAAGCAGTGTCATTTAAAGGAAGAAAAGACTGCAATCCATACTGATTAATCATAAACACAACACTTGCCAACTCATCTGCTGGTAAACTTTGTGAATCAACAAACGTACCTATGTTACTTGACCATAATAACAAGATTGAAATTACAATCAAAACAATTTGATTATAACTTCTTCTTGTTGTATTCATCGTCTCTTTTATCTTATCTACTATTATATATTTATGTGTATTGTACAATTGATCACATCACATTCTTTCTTTGCTTCTTGATAAAGGGAGAGGCACTTCTCTTCAGAAAAATAGTCAAAGGATATCTTTTTATCGTGGAAACAAATATCTAATTATCAAATCTTGATCTTTAGATAAATATATACTCTCTGATTGCGAGTGGGGGGGGGGGGTTATTTTTACTTAAAAACTTTTAAAACACTTTTATTTCTTTTTTTTTGATGTTTTTGTTCAAAATTATTATTATTATTATTATTATTTATAAAACGGTCAAATTATTTTTGTTGTTGTTTTGTGTGTGGGTGGGTAGGGGGTGATACTTGATGATATGTTGTTGTTGTTGGGATTTATATATACAAATTACATTTCTGGGTGAAGTTGCTTATACTCTTTGTAGAGGTTAGCAATGATGGATTCATAATGCTCTTTGAGTTGTGGTCTCTTTGGCTTGAACGATGGGGTCATGAGATTGTTTTCCTCGGAAAAGGCAGTGTCTTCCAAATGGATGTGCTTCATCTTTTCGAAGCTTTGGAGGTTGGCACCCTTGGCAGAGACTTCGAGCGAGTCCATGATCTCCTTGTAGAGTTCCTTGGACTTGACGAGAGCCTTCTTGTCGTTGAAATCGAGGTGTGGGTACTTGGATGGAATCAACTTTTCCAAGACATCGAAATCGGGGACGACAACACCGACGAGGAAACTGTTGAGAGAGTCACCATAGACAAAGACTTGCGAGGCAAGTGGTGAACGCACATAGATACCCTCGAGGTACTCGGCGGCAACATACTCTCCTTGCGACAACTTAAAGATGTTCTTTTTACGATCGACGATAGAGAGTGTTCCGTTGGCATTCCAACGACCAATATCACCAGTGTGGAACCATCCGTCTTGACGGAGATCTTCGGCGGTTTTCTCTGGGTCCTTGTAGTAGCCCTTGAAGACGTTGTAACCACGGATGGCAACCTCACCACGTGGGTTTGGCTTGTCGGTGGCGTAGTAGTTCATCTCGGGGACGTCGACGAGCTTGACCTCGCAACAGGCCAATGGTGGACCGACGTAGGCACTCTCTGGGTCTTCTGGGTAGCCGACGCAGGCACCGCCGACATTCTCAGTGAGACCGTAACCTTGGACGACTGGACAGCAGAACACAGCCTTGAGGAACTCACCAATCTTGGGGTCCAATGGAGCAGAGCCAGAGAGGATAAACTTGACACGGCCACCAATACGTTCCTTGGTCTTGGAAAAGATGATGCTATCCCAGATTGGGGTGGAACCACCAGACTTTTGAGCACTTTGCTTGGAGCTGAGACCCCAGGTGAACAAGGTTCTCTTGAGCCATGACTCGCCGTTGATGGTCAACCACATCTTGTCGTGCAACTTTTGCCATACACGTGGTGCACCGCACAAAAAGGTTGGCTTCAACTCGTGAATATCGTTAAAGAGCTCTGGAATGACACCTGAAAAGAATCCAATTTGTCCACCAACAAAACAAACCATCGAAACGACAGCTCTCTCAAAAGAGTGAGCCAATGGCAAATATGACATGTGAACATCATCACTGGTTAAACCAGCTGGTGAGAAATATGCACCTGCTACTTCTGATACCATATTTGTATGAGTTAACATTACTCCCTTAAAAATAAATAATAAATAAAATAAATTAGAATTAGAATCAAAATGTTTTTTTGTCAATCAATTTTCTTCTTTTTTCTTTCTTTCTCTTCTTTACCTTTGGATTACCAGTTGAACCTGAAGTATATAATAATGTACAAAGATCATCTGGGTTGGATGGAGTATGTGCAGTTGGGTTTTGAGCACCCAATTGTTCAAATTGAGCAAGAGTAAAGAATTTAATCGATGAATCCTTTAATTTGTTCAAAATGGCTTCAGTTGGTTGATCAAAACTGACAATAGTAGTCAATGATTGAGCATTTGTCATTTGAAGTAACTATAAATAGAATGAAATGAGTAAAAAAGTTGATTTTCAAAGAGTTATTATTAATTATTTACCTTGTCAATATTCTTGCCTTCACATAAAACCAATTTAATTTCAGCATGATTGATAACGTATTCAATGGCATTTGGACCAAGAGTAGCATAGAGAGCAACTGGGACGATACCGTGGTTCATTGAACCCATATCTGAAATAACCCACTCTGGTCTGTTGATTGAAAAGATACCGATACGGTCACCCTTTTGAATTCCTTGATTGAAAAGAGCAAAACCTACATTCTCGGCTCTCTTTGCTGCATCCTTGTAGGTGATCCATTGATATGGACCACGTGTCTTACCATCAGCCAATAAGCCTCTAATACCTAAAAATGGCTTCTCTGAATTTTTGTTCTTTCTACAATATTGTAATAAGTAGTAATATAGTAATAGATATATTAATATACTGACTGATACTGTATCTATATCAGGCTGTTGACGGAAATAGCAATCGAGTTTGAATGTGTGAGTTTTTTTTTTTTTCAAAACAACCAATTACACGTCACATAGACTTTCAACTCTTTCGCTTTTCTCCATCAAATTTTTGTTGCCATTGTTGTTGTTGTTTGATAATTACTGATAGACATCATAGAGAGTCTTGGTAGTGTCATCTGGTTGAGAGATCAAGTCTGGGTATTTAGTGTTTCTACGAGCTTTGGTTTCACCATTGGTTTCACCACCAACTGTAATTGATTGTGATGCAATCTACGAAAATAAAAAAATAGAAATAGAAATAGAATCGGATAGATAATATAGATAGAGATGAAGGTTTGATTAGTAATCAAATCTTATATGTGTATGTATGTATATATGATCCTTACGAATTTCTCATCACCTGAGATTCTTTGAATGTGTTGTTGATCTATAGATAGTCGTAGTGAGGTGAGTGGTTATAGAAAGATATAGTAGTTAGTTAGTTGTCAATCTATTGTATTCTTATTAGTAACATACTTGAGACTGTACTCATTTTGTTTTTGTGATAGATATTATTTATTATTATTGATACAAAAAAAAAAAAAACTATAAAAGATAAATAATTAGATTGAGTTTTCTTCAGCTGTGAGGATAGGGTAACAAAAAAACTGTTTTGAGTTTTCAATTTTTTTTTAATTTAATTTTTTTTTGAAGATATTTCATCTTTGATAAACTTAACTTCCTCTCTGTGAGGTTGACAGTTTGGTTTGTTATTCACCACCAATGATGTGGACACAGAGATTAAATTAATTGCTGGCGACGTTTACTTTTCTTTCCACTTCACCATCGCGGTGTGTCTGTCATCCCCCAATCCCCCTCAAATCCCATTGCGAGTGAGTGAACCGAGGGTCAACCTTTCTTCACCGAATAAAATCATCAAGAAAGATAGATAGTGGCGAGCGATTCAATTCAATTGGCGAGGAGTGGGGAATGAACAATTAAATCTTTAAAATATTTTAAAAACTATCACATTACTCGTTTAACTCTTTATATATAAAAAATATAGGTTTTTAACTTACAATATTAATTTAAATTAATTCCTTGGAATGAATATGAACATGACTATGAAAAGTATACCTTCTTCTTTTGTTTTTTTTTTTAATAAGAAAGATTTTTTATTCTTTCAATTGTACAATTGTTGTTGTTGTGTGAGATATATATATCTTTTTAAATTAATGTTTGGTTTACTAAAAAAAATCCAACACTACGAATAGTTTTCTATCTATCTATCTGTTGTTTTTTAAAATTGTGTGTTGCTAGCTAATTTAATTCTTTTTATAAATAATCTTCATACGAATAGCCAAATTACCTGGTAATGAGGGATCGGTAATATTGATTTCGTCAGCCTCGGAGACATTGAGTTCCTTGAATGTCTTTTCGAGGTTTTTGACGGTGGCTTCGTGCAAGAGACCTTGCATGTAAAGGTTGCGACCGTTGGAACGGAGCGATGGCTTTTTGAGTTGGAAACGTGGGTCTTGGGAGATGTTTTCCAAAAAGGTGGACAAGGTGATGGTTGGCTCGGTCTCGTATGTGACAATGTTGGTTCCGCAGACGGCACATCCCTCCTTTTGCTCGTACTCGAATGTGTAGGTGTAGACACCATTGACACCATTGTACATCATATAGTTGTTCAAGTAACCACTGCTCTCTGTGCAGATCTTGAAGGCTTCATTGCAACACGAGGCAGCAATAATAGCATTGGTCGAAGCAATAGCTGGAATAATGTTCTTGGCAACACCTTGAGTCAACTTGTAAGTAACACCATTGATATTGTGATCTTCAGCTCTCTTTTTGGCAGTTTCAAACAACCATGTCATATGTTGAGGATTATCATTATCAAATTTCTCTAAACAAAATAAAAATAAAAAAATTAATTAATAATCATAATAATATTATGTTTGTTTGTAGTTTAAACTTACTTGGATCAAATGGTTTAGTAAGATTTTTATCTTCGAGACCAAAAATAAGAGCCCATTGGATACAATGTTCTGGTACTCTTGGAGTGTTGGCAATGGTGCAAATAGCATAGGTAGTTTGTGGTGGGAAGGCATCGAGTGAACATTCAAAGCACGATGACATACGTGGAATGATGACTCTGGCTTGTCCCTTGAAACCTTCAGTTCCACCGTCGATCAATGGAATGATGGTGTCTGGTTCTGGGTTACCTTCATTGTCGACTACAACCAAATTCACCAACAAACCATTAATCCATCTTCTGGCTTCAATCGAATCCAAACCTGCAATAATTAATTTAAATTGACGATAATAATCTTCATCCTTGTCTTGAATTTTACATTTATATCTATAATCAAAAGAAAAGAAAGAAAAGAAATAGAAGTGAATATATATGAATCTTTAGATATATTTATAAACTACTACTACTTACGGGGTTACTTTACAACCTGCAACTCTTTGATTAATAAAAGCAGCAGCTACTTCAGCCTTTGATTTACCAACATCCTTTCTTCTATAATATTTTGATAATTAACAACAACAATAAAAGTAACTTCATATTAGTTCTCTTTCTTCTCTTCTTCATTATTCTTCTTTTCTTTTATATTTCTTTTTCTATCTTTTTGTTTTGTTTACCTAAATAAGAATTGTCTGTTTAAATTAGATACATCGATGGTATCCATATCGATGACATCGATATTTCTGAAACCAGACAAGGCAAGATTCTTTAACAACTCACAACCCAAACCACCAGCACCAATAACTAGGATCTTAAAGTCGTTTTGAATACCATTCTTGATGTTTGGTGTCTCTTTGGTGTCTGGTACAAAGTCGGCCATTGGACCTCCTCTATTTATGATCTTTTCAATGTCTGTCCATCTACCTTGAATATCTTGATACTGTCCTGCATCAGTTGCCATTGGTGTCTCCATTATATATATCTCTCTCTCTTTCTATCTCTATTTATATATAACTACAAACACTATAATAACAATAATAACAAGAATCAGCCAAACTTGTCATCATCAACATCAAAAATTAAATTAAATTTTTTTTTTTAGATTTTTTATTCTTTTCAAACAAATCAAAGAAAATTAAGAAATAACTGTGATTCCAGTGTGCGCTACAGTATATTTTAATATTTTAATAATAAAAAGTTTATAAAAAAAAAGATGAATATTTATTTATTTTATTAGATATAAATAATTTGAACAAATGAGTGTGAGTGGTAGAAATTTTGAGTAAGAGTATATTGGTGTCATTATTACACTATTAGTATTATTTGTTTGTTGTTTGTTTGTTTGTTATTTAGTTTAAAAGAATGGTTGTTGATTTGGAGGTGGTGGATAATTCATTGGTTGTTGTGGTTGGAGTTGTTGTGGAGTAAACATTGGAATGCCACCTGGTGGTTGCATGTATGGCATCGATTGTGGTGGTTGTCCCATGTAGGGAGAGGCTGGAGCAGGGAACTCAATGACGATGAATGACTTGGTGATGGCATGACCTCTCTTTCCGTTGGCGTCCTTGTGGAAGTGCTTCTTGGATTGCTTGTAGTCGAGACGGAGACTGATACGACGGTTCTCGAGTTCCATGTTGGTTTGTGCGAGGATACCATCGATGGCCTTGTGGACTTCACGAGCATGGATAAACATCAAGACACCGGTAAAGATGGCACCACCGACAAAGAAGATACCACCAAACACACCGGCAACAGTGCTCTTGGCGACAAAGGCGACAATGAAAAGAATGAACCCGAGAATGACAGCTGGGATAGAGATAAACAGTAATTTTGATTTCTTAATGGTTGCACTAGCAGCATTGATTCTACCGATAATAGAGTCAAACTCATTTGGTTGCATCACATTGTATAATTCATGTGGGAACTTTCTACTAAAGAATTGTGATTCTAAACCATCTTGTTTAACTTTGACGTGATTCATGACTAATATAATATCTCTTATCTCTATATATATATAAATAGAATAGGATTATGTGTTTGTATGTGTTTGTTGTCTGACCAAATGAAAGTGTTGTTTCAAAACTTCATCAATAAGTTGCCTCAATCACCCAAAATACGAGGAAATAGACAGAGAAGCTTTTAAAAAAAAATGATGAGGGAGGTGTCCATTGTCGCATCTCGCTTTCAAAAATGGAAAGTGTTTTCTGTTGGTTCAAAAATCGGCGATCGGTTTATTTAATGTTTTGAGTTTCGGTTTGGTGTTGTTGTAGGATTATCTCAAACCATCCCAGAAACGAGTCCACCATCTATAGAATGCTTGGTTGTCTTGGCTACTTAAACTACTGGTATGGTTCATCGTTGACGCTGAAGATGTATGTAACAATATTGATGATTGTTGAGATTGTTCCATAGATACATGGATACTATTTATTGATAGTTTATTAAAACATTCTAAGGAATAAGAAGAAAGGGGAAAAAATGATGGGTATTAATATTTTTTAAAGATATATTTGTTAACAATATAGAGATAAATAGATAACATACTATAAATCATTTTTTAAAATTTCTAGATTTTGTACAATAATATTAAATTTGAAATTGAATTAAATTCTGATAATTTATATTTATAAAAGGATAGAATGATTGATAGAGTGAACTGATATATTGATGATGAAATGGAATTATTTCCAAATTGATCAATTATTGGATATTTAAAATATATTTATTTATATATTTTTAAAATTATTTTGTTGATAGGAGATTGACAGATTAGAATAGATTGTCACAAGACAAAAAAGGGATGGATGAAGAGGAAATAGAGGTAAATTGATGTTAATGATGATGATGTAATTCTTTTTTAAACACCAAACAAACAATAGAGAGAAATTATTATTATTTTTTAATCAACAGACAGACAAAATGGAAAGAAGAGATTTTATATCCATCCAGAGACATATGTCTCCTCTGTTTGTGGAACAAACAAATAATTTAATAATTTATTTATTTTATTGGTAATGGAATAATTATTTTAAATTTGAACAATCACCCTCCCTCCCTCCCTCCCTGCCTACTCTCTACTCTATACTCTCTCTCTATCCAATTGACTGTTCAAGTTCCAAACAATAGTATTATTTCTATCTATTCATCTATCCATTCCTTCATCTCTATCTTTTTATCTTCAACATCTATAGTGAGTACTCTCCCACTCCACTTTTACATTATCATAATTTCATAGAATACAAATTGTAAAATCAAACAACAATAACAACAACAACAACAAAAAGATAGACAAATCCTACACAAAACAGACGAAAGAAATAGAGTATATAAATATCATCACCAATAACAAAATGTGTATAGACTACTCTGGGATCGAATTACATATGTCGGATATATGACTACTATTACATCATCCATCTACCTACATACACATCACACTACCACTACCACATTTTAAATCAAACAGATAATTATCCCTAACCCATTGATTGAATACCAATACTAAATAAATAGTGTGTGGTTGAACTACTTTACTTTACTTTTTTTTTTTTCTATATCTATTTTTTAAATGATTTTCTTATTTTTTTTGTTTGTTTATTATTATTATTATTGAGTTTTATATATATATTTAAAAGACTTCATCTTCATCAATATCTTCTTCAACATTGTCATCATGCATTTCATCTGCAGATTCATCATCACTACCAACGAAATCGGTAGCAAACGAGTAAGCTTCTTGAGAGACAAAACCAGCCTTTTTCTTTTCCTTTTTGGCTTGCTTCTTGGCATTCTTGTTGGTTTGTGGGTTGTATTGATCGGCTTCGTCGGTGAGGTTTTGTTTCTTGGCAGTCTTGACTTGGTTTCTTTGTTGTTGTTGAGTGAGCTTTTGGTCTTGTTGTTGTTTGAGGAGGGCACGGATATCGACTTGTTCATCGTCACCTTCTTCCATGTCGGCACCGTCCAAGCTGTCGTCATCTTCGTCTTCATCTTCGTCTTCGTCATCGTCGTCCATGTCACTGTCATCTTCGTCACTGTCGTCGTCTTCGTCCATATCTTCATCGTCTTCTTCGTCAAAGATAGAGGTGTCGACCTTGGTCTCCATACTGGCGACGGCGGTCGAGTCGACCTTGTCGCGGAGGTTCTCGAGGTCGGCACTTTGGTCGATATTAAACTCTTCGTCAAAGTTGGAGACGATGGAGGCGCCGACGTGATGGTTCTCCTTGGGTGGCACGGTGTGGAATGGGATCTTGCCGTCGGTCCAGTCACGCAACACCGAGAGGGCGGTGGCGTGGAGATCGATGATACCACCGGCTTTAATCTTGCCACGACGGTGAGCAATGAGGGTGAGGAACTCGGTGGTGCTGGTAAAGTTGGGCACTTGGTAGATCTTGATCAATTGGTTTCTGCCGCAACGTTGGATGATGGCCGTGACGGGGGTGACCGGGTCCTCGACCTTTTCAACACGCACGACGTTACGCAAGACTGTGTTGACGTCGATACCACCCTTGAGAGGGACGATACCTGGCGAGTCGATGAGCTTGACGTTCTTGTCCAAGTTGACGACTTGGGCAACCTTGGTGTGGCCGGGTGTGTTGGCAACCGACACGGAACGGGCACGCTTGAGCGAGTTGATGAGCGAGCTCTTTCCGACGTTGGGGTAGCCAATGATACCGACAGAGATCGATGTCTTCATATTGAGTGAACGACTGTAGTTTTTCAACAACTGTAACAACGATTCACCACCATAACACTCGGCAGAGTTTAATTGATTTTGTGTGGCCAATTCGGCCGATACATGTGATTGACCTGGTGTAATCTTGTGTTGCATCGTCGAACACTTGAATGCCAATGTTGGGAAATAATTCTTTAAATATTTAACCCAAACTAATACATTATCCTTTGGAATTAAATCTAAAAAAGTAGAATGTAAAACAAAAAAAAGTAAACAAAAAATAGTAATTAGTATAAATATTATTATTTTGTTTGATTTGTGTTTGTGTTTGATTTGATTTGTTCATACCAATCTTATTTAAAATTAAAACAATTTTCTTATTTGGATATCTTTCTAGAATCAATTTTTCAACATCTAAACAACGACAACCCATTGGATCACGAGCATCTAAAACTTGGAGAATGACATCACTGGCTTCAATGACCTTTTTAACTTCACGGAAGAATGATCTGAGTGAGTTATCTCTAGACTCCATGGCAGAGGTACGATCCAATTGGTTTGGGTTGGCAGCAGCCTCCTTTTGCTTCTTTGTAAATTCCTTTTCACGATCACCTGCTTGCTTTACCAAATCAGATACCGATCTTGCCTTCTTTCCTTCCTTTTTCAATCTTCTAACTTCTGCAATTGCATCTTTATGTGCTTGGATTTGATTCAATAAATCCTCTTTGAATGGATAAAGATTTGGAATACCTGGATCCTTCTTTATAGTTTCTATTTAATTTAAATTTAAACATTTGTAAATATTAATACTCTAAACGAAAAGGTATTTCAACGTTCGTATATATTTTTAACACTCTTATGATTCATACTTTTTACTTTTCCTTTTTCTTTATCTTCCTTTCTTAATTTTCTATGATGCTCGTTGACCTTTTTAACGATCTTATTCTTCATCTTGACTGATAATCTTCTACTTTCTATGATAGATAGTAATAGAGAGAGGAGATAAATGATAGGTTAAATAACCGTCATGTTAATATTACATTTTTACAAAGAGACTAGGAGTCTACTATCTAGTTGACTTCCTTTCATCTTTCATCTCATCAAACAAAGCTTGCTGTTGTATACTAGATGGTGACACATACTCTTCTTTGCCATTTTTTAATGTCTTCTTTTATATAAATAAATAATAAATAAATATATAAAGATATTGGTAGTACTAAAAAAGATAGAGGACGAGGAGGACGAGTTTTTGAATGAGAAACCGAAACAGACGAAGACGAAAAAACAAAAAAAATTTAATTAATTAAATTCACTATGAGAGATGATTGAGGAGGCATCTAACTTGATCAGTGAAACTAGATAGATCTTATAGTTGAATAGGAATGTTAAGAGGAGGAATATCTTCAATAAAGAAGATATCTTCTTCATCTCCATTATTATTGGTCGAAAATAATTTATTGTTTTTTAATCAACAACAACAACAATATTCAAGTCAACCGTCAACAGCAAAGACAAATACTAAATCATCGTCATCATCATCATCATCATCAGCCTTGGGATCGACAAAAACAAAGAAACAGAATGTTGTTCAAAACAAATCAAATGATCCGTATGTACACTACCTTTGTATTCTATTCTTTAACTTTGATTACTTACTTATTTTGTTTGTTTGATATAGTTTAAAAAGATCAAAGAATGATAATAATAATCATAATCATAATCATAATCATTCATTATATTTTGATAAAGAATCATATTTTAATGATATTTTGAATGATAGTCCAACAACTACAACAACTACTACTACAACAACTACTACTACAACTAATACAACTACAACAAACAATAACTCATTTGAAACTATTATAAATGATTATAGTAATATGTTGGAATTATTAAATGATAAACAACAATCAAATCAATTACTTTTAGAATCACCATTAAAAGAATTGGATCAACAATTATATAATACTTTATTAAAAGAATACCAACAACAAGAATCATCAACGTCGACATCGACATCACCAGAGATTGATGGTAAAGGTATTAGAAAATTAACCAAATCATTGTTAATGTCTGGTAAAGTTGATTTGGCAATTTCACAATTTCATTCGATTTGTGATGAATCATCTTCATCATCATCAACATCATCAAAGACCAACAAAAAGGTAGTAATAGAATCTACCGATTTAAATCATGTATTTAATTTAATTGTTAAATATTATATTTATGTTGGTAATTATACAGAATCACAAAAGTTTTTCTTTGATAATGTAAAGTTGGTGCAAGGACATGGGTATTTGGATTCTAGTCACTTTTTGGAATACCTATCGATTCTCAAGTTTATCGATCCCCAATCAGACGTATTATTACAAATACTGCAAGATCAAACGTTGGTCATTGGACAAGACCAAATCTTCAATATACTGTATCACCAACTATCTAGGAATCAAGTGCAACTAGTCGATGCATTGGTCAAGAGACTTCCACCAAGCAAATCATCAGAGTCATTTGAAACGCTTCTATACATTGCTTTGACAACCAATCAAAAAGCGTTGGTATCGAAATGGGGAAAGGAGATGTTTATTTCACACGGATTTAGACCACATATAGGATTGGTTTATTTACTGGCCAAGCATGCCATGGTAAAGGGAGGAGACGACAATCAAGTAAAGAGTATTTTAAAACAAGTTTGTAAGACTAGTCCAGACAATGCGGCCATTCTCCTAATCTATTGTAATTTACGTCAGACTGTTCCCGACGAACGACTATCAAATCTCATCATTGAATTGGAGCAGTCCCAGAAACGCTGGGATCTATGTCTGTCTATTGTCATTGAGTTTTATCTACAGGTGGGACTCTATGCAAATGCCCTCGCCTACTATGGCCAACATGTGAGTGGCAAGGCAGGCTTGTACCCACGACCATCGACCATCCAAGCATTCATAGCCTACCACCAACTTCAATTGGTGCAAGATGTTACCGAGCAATCATTGGAAAAATTCTGGGAGAAAAAGATGGACTATATGGACTATCACACCGACACTTTGGAAGCATGTGAAAGAAAGAAATTTGATATACTCAACAATCGCGTTGCTCCACTTAGCGAACAAGTCAATTCACTTGACAACTTTTTAACATCAAAGGAAAAACAATTTAATCAATACAAAAATAATAATGAATCATCAACAACAACAACAACAACAACAAATACTCCCTCAACTACTACTACTACTCCTATGGAATTTATAAAATCATATATACAAAAAGATTATAATATTAAAAAACAACAAAAGAAAATGTCTGATCAATTGGTACATTTGATTGGAACAGAACAATATGCTCTAGCATGTGAATGGATGGAAGACAAGGGCAAGGTAAATATGATCGACCCCATGGTATTGTTGTGGACAAGTCATCAATTGCTTGACCTCAATTTGGTGAGCCAAAAAATGATTGTCACATTGCCAGAGAATACAGTGTCGATTCTACTCTACAGCAAGGCATTTGATAGATTGGCTCTCAAAAACATGGACAGTGCAGTGTTGCTCTTGTCTGCATTACGGTCGTCTCGTATGCCTCACTTGTATCGCAACCGTTTGGTGAATGAGGTTATGACCAAATCACTCTCTTCACACTGTCAAATAGACCTACTCAACAAGATATTTATGAATCCTGTCATTCCCATCTCGATCAAGTCGTTCCAAGTGCACTGCAAATATCTCGTACTTCACAATCAGTGTCCCACCTATCTCATGTCACGTTTCCGCTCGATCTTTGGAGACAGCACCTATATTCGAAACGTCGAGCTCAACAAATTGATCCACGACAATTGTATGAAAGAGGCTATTGCCTATATCCACCCCTCCAATTTCTCAAAGCCCGATCAGTTTACCGAGGCCCTTATCGTCAAGATCTACGCCATTAAATACCCCACTCCAGGTTCCAATCCAGACCATCTCCATCAATGGAAGTCGTTCCTTGCCCGCGGTATCTCTCCTCAGACCAAAAACTTTTTCTACTGTAACCTGTTTGCATTGATCGATCCCCAAGCCAAGGGTGACAACATCGATGTCATCAACCAATTAATTTCATCAGATATGGCCTATTTCTACCAAAAGAGAATCAACTCGCCGACCATCCGTCAGTACGAAATTGCTTTTGAACCCAACCTCACCAAACGAATCCAAATGTACATTCAAGCACCCAACTCTACCAAAAAGTCACAAGTACTTGTCAGGGCACTCAGACAGGGTCTACGTAACCATAAATCAACGGAATTGGCCAAACTCAGTGGTGAAATTGAAAGATTTAGCCATACCAGCCAAAAGGTTACCAACACTGACGAATTGGATTGGTCACCAAAAAATAGAGACGTTCAACTCAAACCACTCAAAAACGAATCGATCCTTTTCATTTGCAAGGAATACATTCATGTCAAACATCAACCTGATCTTACCAATGTATTACAACAACAACAAGATGCTAGATTCAAATTACAATCCAACCTTTTATTACAATTTCCAAAAGGTTCCATTTAAAAAATAAAAAAAGATTGGGTAGATATTTATTTCTCTTTTTATAAATGTTTTATTTATTTATTTTTTCTATCCATTTAATTATAATCCGGTTACGAAGGTGATGGGAATAGTTATTTCACTTGAATTAAGATATAAATTGAAATACTTAATACTAATGAAATAACTATTCCCATCTTTAATTTACTTTTGCTAATCATTTGACACTCGTGGTAGTGGGTGGTTGTGATCCAAAAAAGGGGTGTACTTCCACAATAATCTACCAGGGAAATGATTAAAAGTATTGATTCTTCTTACCCTGCCATAAAAGTGTGTACTTTACTTTTAAAAAGGTAGGGCCAACTACATTTTAGAAGAAAACAATACGGTTTCGAGGAAAAAGAGGTAGTAGGGAAATGGATGAACTAATCAAAAGTATACTTGGAGAGTTGGAATGCAATGAACAAAGACATTGACCACCCAGATGAACATTGATGTTCTAAAAGAGGAATAATAAATGAAAAGAAGTATTTAGAGAAAAAATATTTATATATATATAAAGTATCTGTTTTTAAAAAATGAACAACACCAATTCAATTTTCACCTTTGGTTGCGTCCTTGGTTTTTTGATCTAAAAACTTATAATTTAATTATTTTTCTTTTTATAAATGTTTGAATTATATATTTAGCTTTATGATTTATTTATAATTTTACTTTGTATTCAGTCATTTGAATACCTTCTTTTTGAAGTCTTTCAAGGATTGGATTATAGAATTCTGGAGTGACTGGACCAATACAACCGAGGGCCTTGACTTCGTTGTCGAGGATGAGTTCTGTGGCGATACCAACTGGGAGACCAACAGTCAAAGAGGTGGCACTGCTTCCATTCTTTTGACCGTAACAAATGAGTTGAGAGTATTCCTTTTCGGAACGGTTGTCTTGTTCTGGATAGACGACAACCAATTCGTGTTGGAGAACGACGAGATCACGTTCGCCGTCCTTGTAGGCCAACTTTTTCTCGAGGAGAGCGCATACACTATCGATTGGGGTGAGCTTGTTGATGAGCTTGCTGGTTTCATCGGCTGGTGAAGCTTCCAACATGTCCAACCAACGAATACCTTCGACGGCTTGCTTTACATCGGCGTCAATGTCGCGCTTGATCACTGGGAACTTGTACTCTGGGTGTGATTCGACGTCTGCTTGGTTCTTGACAAAGTATTCACGGATGGTTTGTTCGAGACAATAGAGCAAGTCAGAGTCATTGTCATTGCATCCGAGTAATTGCACCAAGTAGGCACGCCACGACGAACACGAAGCAATACGTGCGTCATTTTCTGTGGAGAAGAGTCCGATAGCACGGAGAGCACGTACCATGACACTGAAACCATCCCAACGAAGGGTGCCACGGAACATGGTCTCGATATCCTTTTCGACCAAATGGTATTCTTTGATATATGGGAAAGAGTCACGATTAGCAACACCTTCAAACTTGAGTATTTCACCAGATGGTGATGTTACATCGACCGGTTGCATAACCGAGAACTTTGTTTGTGATGGTACATTGTTGGTGATCTTGTCCCAGAGAAAAGTGGCATCCAAAGCAGCACTCGACAAGACACCACGTGGTGACCAACTAAACTTGTATCCAAATGGATTGTTGCTGCATTCCTTTTCGGGGAGTGCTCCACACCACGATACAAACGATGTAACCTTGCCCTTGTGTTCCTTGGCCGAATCAATAATCTTCATGGCCGACATGTGATCAATTCCTGGATCCAATCCGAGCTCATTCAACAACAATACACCTGCTTCCTTGGCAGTACCATCTAATTCCCTCATCTCTGGACTGATATAACTTGCAGTTACATAATGTACTTTGTGTTCAATACACATCTTTGCAATTTGAACATGGAATGTTGCAGGTAACAAACTACAATTAAATTTAATAAATTAATATCAATGATTCATATGAATGATCCATTCCTTTGTTTCTTTCTTCCTCGATTATGCATACCTGATAACAACTTGTGATTTTGGAATATGGGTATTCAACTCTTCAATGTTGTTTAAAATATCTAATTCGACGGTAGTGATCTTTGATGCTGGGTATTGCTTTGAGATTCTTTCCAACTCATTCTTGAATAAACTTAATACTGTAATATGTACATCATCTCTTTTTAATAAATAGTCTACTGCAGGCTAATGGTAATAGTAATAGAAATGAATGAAATGATTAATAACTACTAATCGATCAAAACACAAGTCATTTCAAATGATTGAAACTTCTTCTTCTTCATCTTCTTCATCTTCTTCTTCTTCTTTACCTTTGCAACAAAACCTGATCCTAGTAATAAAACTTGTTTCATATTGATATCTGTGTGATAGTAAATATAATAAATAATAAGAATGAAAACCAAGGGTTAAAATATTTGTTGTTTAAGCTTCTTGCTTGGGAAATTGAACACACTCCTGGTCTCAAAAATTAATTAAATTTTATCGCGTTGCGCGACAGCGAAGGGGAGATTTTTCTTCTTTCGGACATTAATATTAATATTTATTTTCTAAAGACGTCATCATCCTTTCTATTATAGGGTAGGTTGGTTGATTTTATCTTCCAAATGATGTTCCTTGTAAATATGATAACACCAAGAAAACTATGAATAATAAATAATAACAATCATATATGATTAGTACTAATCAAATAAAATAAAATGATAGGGATTACTATAATATAATATATTTACCTTTATCTAATAATGTTACTGCATCATAAATGGTGGATTGATAAATGGATGGATCCTTGTTCTTTTTACAAATACAAACCAAGTTGGCAGGACCAACTCTGGAAATAAATACTCTTTGTGTTATCATATCCAATATAATTTCTTTTGTTCTATCACCTTTTGATAATACTAATTATTTGTCAAATTGTTAATATATAAATTAATCTATTTAATTTTCCAAAACCATAGACTTACAAATATCATTTGAAAAAGATAACATTGCCTGTAAATTTGCAATCATTCCAAGTTGATCTTCTGATCCAGTTGTCACAAATGTACCATCAGCATAAACTACAATTGCATTTTGAATTCCTCTATTTGTCCTCACTTTATAAAGAAAGAAAGAAAGAAAGGTTTGATTGATTGATTGATTGATTGGTTAATATTAACATCTCCTATCTATCCACAAGTATCAACAAGTATGTTGATTGATAATTGTATATATATATATATTTCATACAATTATATAATACAGATTTTGGTGAATTTGCAATGGAATCATAGATCTTATTTGAAAACGAACTAAACTTTGAAGTATTATGAAGAGGATGTGTAAAATCGGTATCACTGTACAACTCTAAAAACCCTCTCAACAATGAATTTGCAATCAATTTACCAAACTCTGGACCATCTTCTTCGTCATGAAATAGACAACATCTAACTAAACTCTTTTCATCATATACAATTGTTATAGATGCTAGAAATTTGTAATTGGTGTTAATAATGATTGATACATATTCTCTCTTGTATATATTATATAACATGTTTGAATACTTTACTATGACCAAATTCAACATATGAAACAAACATTCCTGTACTCTGTTTTGAGAATTCTTGTACCGTTGTCAACAATGATGAAAACATATTACCCTATTATATCCATAAATGAATGAATTAAAGATTAATATCATCACTATATATCATCACTATCACTATCGTATCGACAGTCTCATTCCCAACTATAGTTGCTATCGTTGTTGTTGTTGTTGTTGTTGTTGTTTGTTGAATGATTGAATCATACCTTTCCTGCCATAGCCGATGATGATACCCATATCTTTTCAAATAGTAATGTACCATTACCTGTAATAATGATAACACTCTTTAACATTCTTTATCTTCTATATTATATATATAAATCACTCTCCTATACTACTACTACTACTACTACTGTATCTTTGCTTTAGTTAGTTCTATTATTATTGTGTAGTGTAGTTTGTTAGCTACTGATCAAACTGTCCAAAAGCTGTGTTTCACCAAAAATTTTCTTTTAAAATCGACCTCCGATTCTTGTTTTTTTGTTTGTTCCAGTTTTGTGATAAATAATTATTATAGTAATATTTTTTTGTTTGTTTAATATACAAATATAAATAAAAGTTTATTTAAATAAAGTGGAGGGGGGGTTTTTTGTTTTTTTTTAAAGACTAAAGTGTGTTGTTTCTTGTTCTTCTTTTTCTTCTTTAAATCTTTTCGAGATTTTGGGTTGTAGTAGTTTGTTGTTTTCGATTTAATTGGAGATGTGATTGCATGAGGGTACCAGCAGATAGAGCAGACATGAGACTAAGTTCACCGGCCATGACAGCGGCACAAATAGTTTTGGCCAATTGATCGGCATTGGAACCGGCGGGCAAAGAGGTTGAACTGCCTCTTACACCAATGATATCGAGACAGGAAGATTGGGCTGGCAAAAAGGTGCCACCTCCAACTGTTCCTACTTCGATCGATGGCATGGTGACGGTCATGTAGAGGTCTTGACCATCGTTGCAGGCTTCCATAAGAGTGATGCAGTTGGACGATTCGACATTTTGAGCGCAGTCTTGACCGGTTGCCAAAAAGATGGCAGTGACAATATTGGAGGCATGTGCGTTGAAGCCACCTATGGAGCCGGCCATGGCAGAGCCGACGAGGTTCTTGGAGATGTTGAGGTCGACGAGACCCTGGACAGAGGTCTTTAAGAGTTTGCGGACAATGTCGCCCGTGATGACAGCTTCGCAGACGACCGAACGGCCACGTCCGTCGATCCAGTTGATGGCCGATGGCTTCTTGTCGGTACACATGTTACCCGAGAGACTGACGATTTCAAGGTCGGCAAAACGGTCGCGTAACATCGAGAGCACCGAATCAACACCTTTGCTAACCATATTCATGCCCATGGCATCACCAGTATCACATTTGAATCGGATGTACACTGAACGTCCGGCTACGGTTGTCTTGATGTTGGTCAACTTGGCGAATCGAGATGTGCTCTCAAACTGCTGCTTGATGGCGACAAAGTTGTCGGTGGCATTGACCCACTGCACAAACTCACCGACCAATGTAATGTTGGGGAAGCGGACGACTGGAGCACGGGTCATGCCACGCGACAATATCGTGCATCGAGCACCGCCACTCTCGCTGATAGCCTTGCACCCACGGTGCGTTGAGGCGACCAGACAGCCCTCGGTTGTAGCCATGGGGATGGTCACGGTCTGCCCGTTGAGCAAGAGTGGGCCGGCAGCACCGACGGGGATAGGCACGTATCCAATGACATTCTCGCAGCATGCGCCTTGAACCTTTTCAAAATCGTAGGTTTCGTGGGGCAACGCCTCAATCTGTCGTCCCAAATTCTTTTCCAAGATGGTTCGTCGAATGACGACGGCTCTCGAACAGTCTCCCAACTCGGCTTCGAGCTTGTACAATTGGATCATTCCCTTTTCTATTTTTTCTATAATCTCCTCATTACTTTGATCCGATATCTTTGAGGATGGTGAACTTGGTGAAGGTGGTGGCGTAGTTGAATTTATCTTCATGATTTCCGTATTATTTTCATTAATTATTTGTTGTTCTATATTATTATCAATCTTATTATTATTATTATTATTATTATCTTTTTTGTTTTGATTATGATTTTGATTTGCGTTACTTGATTCAGGAGATGAAGGAGAAAAACGATCTTTTTTTTCTGCCAAGACTGCTGCAGGTGAATTGGGAGTGGTATTAGAGTTGGTAGTTTGTTGTGATTTTTGTTCAGATATACATGTTGAATTCGATTGCTGCTGAGCCTTATCGACAACAACAATTTGGCTTGGGTCTCTTGCAGGGAGAGGTTTCTCAAAACTGACGGCCTCTTCACCTGTTACAATTATATTATTACTTAGAATTGGTACCAAAAAATTGGATCTTCTAATATTAAATCCCTACAAAATATATATAATAGTAAGTATATATTATTTATATTTTAGTTTTGTTTTTTGATTGTTTTGTTTCCAACTTACCCATTTGAAAAATGGAAATAATTCACGAACTGACATGATTGTTTTAAAGCCAATACTCACCAGAGCAAGATGAGGAATGATATAAACTAGATAAAATACCCAAAAGATTTCTTTAAATTCTAACTGTAATGGTATAATCATGGTAATTGATGATGATCAAAAGATAAAAAGGGGAAATGTAAATAAATAAATTAATTAATATTAATATAAATTTTTGTTTGTTGGTTTGGGTTCTATATTGATGGCAACAACAACAATAGATTGAAATATATAAATTGATAAGTGTAGCAGTTGATAATGCAGCTAGCAGCATTATTTGTTGGAAGATAGATTATTCTGAATGAATGAATTACGATGGTGACGGTACGCGTCGACATGTGGTGGGGAGGGAGGGTGGTGCAGATAAAAAGATAATATTGGGGTGTTATTTGTTCTAATTAGGTGTTTTGACTGTAGATCCAACAAATTTCGTGATGCTACTGTTGTCACTTGTCTAATAGATTAAGATTAAAACCACCATGACCAATCATACACCACGTATAGTATAATATTGACACAAGATAGATATCAAATGAAATGAATCTACCCCCACACGTCACACTCTCTCGCACAATAATTCATGTTGATGGATCAAACTCACACCAACACACACACACACACACAAATATTTTAAACAAACACTGAATCGTCAACAATACCAACAAATTCGAAATTGGTTATATATGGCTACGATGATGGTGTGGAGATGGATGTGTATATCTTCCAATTGATGTCTGTCGATGTCTATATATAGGTTGGTATATATGTTTGTTGATATGGGTATGGTTGTTGATGATGGTGCATTTGTATTTTACTGGTGGATTATTACAATTGTTTGATAGTTTGTAATACTATACTCTACGATATAGTTGGTACCAACAAAACAAATTAAAACACCAATATATATTCTATAGAGTGTCCAATGTCAAATTAAAATATAAATTATATACTTGAAAAAAAAAATAAGTTGGTTGGATGGGAAAAAAAGTTTTGGTTGGATTGGATTGGATTGGATTGGATTCCATGTTGTTGATATTTGGTTTGGTTATCATGAAAGAGAGAGGAGAGAGAGATAAGATGATGTAGTCAAAGGTGGTGATAGTGGTAATGGTGGTTGTGAACAAAGAAGAAAGAAGAAAAGAATGGATTGATATCCCGTATCCAGTTCCCCCCCTACTCTACAAAATAACATTCTTCTTCTTCTTCTTCTTTTTTGACATCCATTAAATATTTGATCGATTGGTTGATTGATTGATTAATTTGTTCTTGACCATTCTTAATTGTCACACCATTGTTATTAATTAATTAATTTGATTTCCATTGTTATATATATATATTGATATTAATTGTATGTTTACCAGTACTGTTTCATTAATTATTGTGATGACTAAACCAATAATTGGTTGATCAAATATATCCAAGTACTACTGACTTTTGACAACCATATTGTTGTGATTATTATTCTCTTCCCTCTCTTCTCCCTTTTTTCACCATAAATATCTATCTTTTTACCACCACACAATATTGATCACACCCCCCTTTTTTTCATTTCGTTTGTTTAAATTGCAGTGTTTTTTAATATCCATCTAACCATCCATTATATCGATCGATCGATCAATCAATATTTCTTTCTGCTTCATGTAATACCTGTATTTTTAAACTGTATACCTGTTATTGTTGATGATAATTTAAAACCTACACATATGATTGATAAACTAGTGGATGATAATGATGATTGACTAATGAAACAGAACCCAAGGATAACGACTATGCTTGTTGTGATGATGTTGTTTCTACTACTACTAATGTTGCTACTACTACTACTACACCTACTACTGCTTGCAGTTATAGTAACCTTTTTTCTTCTAAACAAAGAAGAAGATTTATATTTATATTTATATTTATATATATACATGTTGTTATAATAACTAACAACAACCATCAAATAACAACAAATAACAACAACAATAATAATAATAATAATAATATTGTTATTATTATTTACTGACACTCTTGAAAAAACACTAAATGATGACTACATTTATCAATCAATCAATCAAGTGGTGGTAGTAGTAGTGGGTGATAGTTTTAAAATAGTATACTATTTGATGGATGAGATGATGTGTGGTTGTGATTTTTGGTTTCATCTGATTGATCTGACCTGATCCCTCTCCTTTTCTTTCACTCTCGCTTTGTTAACCCTTTACAATTGTGTAAGAGTGATAGTGTGGAATTGGTGATAAGATATTTGATTGTGTACAAAAAGCACACATGACCGTGCTCCCTAACATCTCTCTCTCTTTTGTTCTAGTTTAGTTGACCAACTAAAAAAAAAAAAAAGAGAACAAAGATGATCGTATGTATGGTTCCAAAAAGTACACTCACTTTCAAGTGGTCAATTGTGAATTGAATTGATTAATTGATTAATTGATTAATTGATTGATTGATTGATACAAATTGACACCACCCACCTGTACCTGTGTGTTTGTGTGTATACACACAATACAAATATATTCTACGAGTGACACTTGGTTGTTGGATTTACTTGAATTGTATACTAAGCTTAGCTTAGTTTAGCTGTCTGCCTGCCTGTTGCTACTATTATTATTACTGCTGCTACTGCTGCTTTTTGTTTAAAGAGTGACTGACTTGTATAATATATAACCTTTTTGTTGTTGCCATGTGCCATTTCTATTCTATTCTAATTGATACATACCTCTAAAGAAATCCAAACACAATAATAATAATATTATTATAATTGCAAGAAAAAAGGAGGAGGGGAGTCTGGTCTGTGAACAAAAAGGTAATAAATAGACGTAGCGTGGTGTCTAGAATGAATGTGTAACTGCTATATAACTCCTGACGAATGATATTTCTTTTGTCTATCTCTCTAATTAAAAATGATACATTATTAAAAGTGGGTAGGGGGAGGAAAGAGATAGTGAGTACAAATGAAGAGGGAGAGAGAGATGTTTTAGATTAAATAAATAAACATTATATTGTGTTTGGTTGGGTTTGATATGTATATCCCATTGTTTTAATTTAATTTGATCTTACCTATTATATAAATATATAAATATATATTAAATTATTGTTATATTCTTTCGTCGTCGATGTTATATATAATCTCCTCACTAATAAATATAGATATAAATATAAATAATAATACTACTACTACTGTTTAATATATAATTATTATGTTGATCTGAGATTGGGTTTGTGAATATTATATTGCCCAGCAAGAAGAATAAGAATAAGAATAAATAATTTCTCTTTCTTTCTATCTATCTCTCTCTTTAAAAGGTGATGATCTTAGTGAGTGAAAACAATAATAAAAATAAAGTTTCAGTACCATGAGAGTAGGCTAACCATACCACCCTCTCACTCGAGACAGTTCGTTTTCCCTCTTTTTAAAAAATATCAAGGGCCGCCTTTTTTTAAAAAATAGTTTTTTTTGGAAGGTCACAGGCAGATGAGAGATGTGCCACAAAAAGATGCCTTCTGACACATTAATGATCGAACGGGGCGTTTCCCAAAGATTCTTGCCCCCCATTAAACATAATAAAAAGTAGTATTGGGTAAACCCACACCCTCATTATACAAGAGAGACGACTCGAGTCATCATCCTTTGCCTTGTTTGAATGGAACTCACCCTTTAAACAAACATTATTATTATTATACCCTCCTTACTCTACCCCCTTTTTATTTATTTTCTAAATTTATTCACAACAAATAAAAATATGTACTTTTTTAAAAAACTCTCTTTACCAAATATTTAATATGCAAGAATGATAATTAATTCCAATCTTTATACCAACAATACTTTGTTTTCCCAATCTATTCTCTATCTTATCTTTTTTGAGCTGTTGGGTGTTGTTGTTGAAGTCGATGGCACTATTAAAATTGTCTTTTTTTCATTTTTTTTTTCATTCACGACACTGCACCGAAAGTATTAACCAAGAAAGCTTGTTTGTCGTTTTAGAAGTGCAATTTGTAGATATATAATATTATAAATATAGAATGGGTTTAGATATTGTTATGTTCCGTGCCGATAAGGGCGGTAATCCAGACTTGATTCGTCAATCACAACAAAAGAGAAACAAGCCAGTAGAAGCTGTTCAAGAAATCATTGACCTTGATGGAGAAGTAAAGAAAGGTATGAAGAAGAAGAAGAGATAAATAGGATGAGATAGACAGATAGGATACAGACAGATAGATAGTAGGATACGATAGGATACGATAGATAAAAGAGAAGGGAAGAGAAAAGATGATGAGATTATATTTATATTAATACATTTTAATGTTTGTTTGTTGTTGTTTGTTTGTTATAATATATTATTAGCAAAATACGCAACCGATCAAGCAAATAGTGAATATGGAAAGATTAATAAGGATATTGCAGCATTAAAGAAGAGTGGAGAGACTGGAGCCAAGATTGATGAGCTCATTGCTGCCAACACTGCATTGGATGCCAAGATTCAAACACTCAAGAAGCAATCAGCCGACTTGGAAGAACTTCTCCGTAAGAAGCTCAAGCCAATCGGTAATATTGTACACGAGTCTGTACCAGTATCCACCACTGAAGACGACAATGCCGTCGTCAGAACATGGGGAGAATGCAAAAACACACCAGATCTCCTCAACCATCACCATCTTCTCGAGATGATTGACGGTTTCGATATGGAACGTGGTGCCAGCATTTCAGGTCACCGTTGCTATTTCCTCAAGGGACCAGGTGTCATGCTCAACCAAGCCATCATCAACTATGGTCTTGCCTTTTTGGCCAAGCGTCAATACACTGCCCTCCAAACACCATTTTTCATGCGCAAGGACGTTATGGCCGAGACTGCCCAATTGGAGCAATTCGACGAGGAGCTCTACAAGGTCAGCGGCGACGGCGAGGAAAACGAAAAGTACTTGATTGCCACATCCGAGCAACCCATCTCTGCCTTCCACCGCGGTGAATGGCTCGAGGAAAAGGACTTGCCCAAGAGATACGCCGGTTACTCTACCTGCTTCCGTAAGGAGGCTGGCTCACACGGTCGTGACACCTGGGGTATCTTCCGTGTGCACCAATTTGAAAAGATTGAGCAATTTGTCATCACCAAGCCAGAAGACTCGTGGGAAATGCACGAGCAAATGATCAAGACCGCCGAAGAGTACTACCAAGAACTCGGTCTCCCATACCAAGTCGTCTCGATCGTCTCTAGCGCCCTCAACAACGCCGCCGCCAAAAAGTACGATCTCGAAGGTTGGTTCCCAGGTTACAACGCCTACCGTGAGCTCGTCTCTTGCTCCAACTGCACAGATTACCAAGCCCGTGATCTCGAGATCCGTTGTGGTATGAAGAAGCAAGGTCAACAACAAAAGAGATACGTTCACATGCTCAACTCTACCCTCGCCGCCACCACCCGTGTCATCTGCTGTATCCTCGAAAACTACCAAACCGAAGGTGGTATCAACGTACCAACCGTCTTGCAACCATTCATGGGTGGCGTCACTTTCATCCCATTCGTCAAGCCAAAGCCAAAGATTAAGGCTGCCGTTCAAAAGATTAATGCTTAAAACAAAAAATAAGAAACAATAATCAATAAACCCTCTCCCCCCTCCCAACCCAATTATTAATATTAATGGAAATCCAAAACTAATCAAAACATTAAATAATAATATTTATATCCTTAATATAAAGTGTTTTGATGATAAATAATTGGATAGATTCCATCATGGATGAAAAGGAATATTGTATGAGCTGTTCATGTTTCGATCGGTTTAATCTCGATTCAAAACATGAAATATAAAGATTATCATGGATCTTAATCGTGAATTGAATCTATTATCAAATATTTCAAACAGACTGACAGAATGATGATATATCCTACCTACCTACATTAATATTATTAGTTTAATCATAGATGGAAATAATTCCAAACAATCACACTCACCCACTCACGAATCGATTCCACACACTAATGATAATAGCATCAGATAACTAAATACCCACAAAAATATTAATATGTGTAAGTGTATGTTTTTTTGACTCAAACAGAATGTATGATGGATGGAATATTATGATGAATGATAAATATAGATATCGACAAGACTAGTATTTGTTTGCCACCAAATCATCATCGATGATTACTCGTTTACACATTTCACCATCACACAATTCACACACAAACACATGAATATTGTATGTGTGTGTGTTTGATGAGAGATAGAGAGAGTGTGTGGGGATTTGATTTCCAAATAAATCTTTTCGTAAAACAACAATAAAACATGGACTATAATAAGACATATGTTTACTATAATCCAGCGACATACACCAACAAATCAAATCGCCAATAATATCATGTATACGTACACTCAAACACGTCCAGTCCAACATGTTTCATGGACATGGCTAGCAGAGAATGAGAGAATAATCAAATGTTATTTAAAATGAATTAAAAAATTATAATCACAATAATTAGGAAGAGAGACAGAGAGAGAGAGACTAGTAGTATTGATTCAAAACAATAGAAAATTAAAATTAATTTGTGGGTGGCAGTAGACTAGTAGTAGTACGAGTACAACCAAACCAGGAAAAGAAGAAAAAAAAAACATTCACCAACAAAAAAAAAAAAAGGGATCAATTATTTTCTCTATTTCCATCATCACTATTATATTATTTCGATTGATCATATATATATATAAATATAGATAGAATAAGACCAATTTATGTCAGAGGAGAATAGTAATAATAGAGTTTCCTACAAGAAAATATTTACATCATAGTAGTAGTTTTTTAGAGTGGCAGAAAGAAAGAAAAAGACATTGGAGAAGAAACCTTTATCTTTTTTCTTTTTTTTTTTGTTTTTTTTTTTGTTTCTAGAAATAGAATCTCATTATTATTTATATTATATATTTATATTATAGAGAAATGAGGTTTTCAGTTCTAGTTAAAAGATCAGCTCTAATAAGGTTCATTTCATCGTACTTTATTTTATTTAATTGGGTTTTATTTACATTCCCGTGTGTCCGTATGTTGGTTCCACAAATAAATCAATCTAAAAAAAAATAAATCAACAAAAAAAATCTTAACAATAATCCATACATTTATCCATATTCAAAAATCATTATTATTATTATATTCTATTTAGATTCATGGTATCAATTTGGAGATAGATCAATAGAAGGAGTTTATTATGAAATGAAATTATTAGGAGTGACTGGAATCAAATATAATGTTGATAGGACAGAAATCATTGAAGCACATTTGGGAGGATCACCATGGGACAGTTTCAAATATTTGAACAATATTTACGAAAATGTTTTTGTAGTCACCACAATATGCTTTACATTCTCGACAATAACACTCTTGTTGTTTATAGTTGATCGATTAATACCAGAATGGATCATCAAAGTGATTGCAATTCAAATTTTTCTATCAATCATGTGTGACATTTTGATAGTCTATGCAGTTTTCTATTTCCACAACAATGTCAAAACCATGCTACAACTAGATTTTCCAGATTTTCATTTTTCCGATCAATTTACAGACAATTATAAAGGAATTCCCGAAGGTCCTCGACACGCATGGTTTATTGCCATGTCAGCTGGTCCAACCACCTTTATATCTGTTTTCTTCTTTATATTAAACGTTTATTTTATACTCAAAGACCGTGCTAGTAAGGAATCGCAAGATATTGAAAACAACGACGACAACTATCTTTATGATCCAAATTCTCCACAATTAAATCCAACCTATAATTATTATACTAGTTATTATAGTCAAAAAGCAATAAGTCATCGAACAACTACAAATAATAATAATAATGATAATAGTAATAGTTTAAGTACAAGTCAACAAAATATAAATAATATTAATAATAATAATGAAAATAGTAATATTATTAAATTTATAAATACACCAAGATTATCATCATCAAAACAAGTCAATCCTTTAACAAATAGTTTTAATAATAATAGTTTAAATTTTGATGAAAGTCAAAATAATAATAATCCTTTAAGAAATAGTTTAAATAGAAATACTTTAAATCTTGATAATATTTTAGAAAATAATAATAATAATAATAATAATAATAATAATAATAATAATAATAATAATAATAATAATAATAATAATAATAAATCTAGTAGTAGTAGTAGTAGTACAAATAGTATTGGAAACAAAGAAAATAAGTTAATAACCGAAAAACAAGAACTTTCAAAATCAACTAGTAGTGTTAGTAATAGTAGTAGTAGTAGTAGTATAAATAATAGTGAAATTATAATCAATAATGTAAATATAAAAGAAAATATGATCTGTAACGACATTGTAAATAATAATAATAGTGATATTACTTGATCAAAAGTTATAAATAAATTTAACAGAGGCAAACAATAAAATATTCCATTTTTTTTCTTTTTAAAAAATTTTCGATTGTAAAAGAGATCACATTCAAATCTTTAGAAACTAAACAAAGAAAGAAAAGAAGGATTTCATTCATTCTTCTTTTCATTTATTTATTTGTTCAAATTTTTATAAATATAGATATATAGATAAACTATAGATATGGTAATTGAAAATGATTTATTTTTTAGAACGATAAGAAATGTATATCTTTTCAAATGTATATTTAGTCAAATACCACAAATACATATTGATATAAAGGCATTGACTAGACACCGATTCAGTGATGTTTTATATCAATGGGCAGCATGCTATGGTTTTCACAAGTTGGTGATTGAAAAGTTTCGAATCGATCCAAAATCACTCCGAGAGCAGCTGATCTCTCACGCCTATGCCAAATTCCCAATCATGGATGTCCTTCTTCACAACAAGTATCTAAAGTTGGACGATTTCAAAAAGTTGGTTGGTATTTCAATGGAAAGAGATTGTACCACTCGTCTATTGGACCGATTGGCGTTAAATCCTACATTTTACAAAGACGATGCATCACAGTTGATCCAAGCCATCAACTTTACTAAAAGTCAACTCGAGTTTCCACATCATCTTCCCACCTATTATAGTACGATCATCATCAATGCCACCATTCGATCCAATAATTTTGAAGCCGTTCGATATGTATTTGAACAACTAGTGTTTATCGACAAAAAGGTACCAAAGAGTTTTGTAGAATGTGCATCTGCTCAACCACCCCTTGGAGACAGTACAATCATTTTAGAGTACTTTATCGAAAAGTACAAATCTGAAGTACATCCAGGGTATTTTGATTTAAAGTCAATTGCAATGTATGGAAATTACAAGTTTATCGAGATTTTAAACAACCATTTCGACATGAAAGAATACATTACACCAACAATCGTAGAAATTGCATGTTATAATGGACAATACGAATTTGTTGTCAATCTTTTAGAAAATTTTAAACATTTACAATTATCTAGTTCATTTGTACTACTTTTTGCTGCTAGTAGTTATAATATAAAATTATTAAGGTATGAATGAAACAAAAAAAAATAGAGTAGCTTATGATCGATCGGTATACTAAAAAAATATTCTATTTTAGATATTTAAATGAAAATATTGATTGTGGACCAATTGAATCAATACTTCCATTATTTATATTTTATGAAGATACACCAGACCTTTATAATATTTATTATCAAGAGCCAACCCAAACACCTTTTTGTTTCTATCGTGAACCATACCAGCCACAATATTTCAGAATTCATGAGCATGTCAAACTACGCACACAATATCTAGATGGTACACCAAAACCAAAAGAAGACCAGGCAACTCAAACAAGAAAACGTCAAGAAATGATAGATTTCCTTAAAAGTTCAAATTGTTTTATCAATTCAGAAACTATTGGAATGTTAAGAGCTATTTATAAGAATGCACAAGATTATCGACAATATCACTCAAGTGTCATGGCGATGCATAATCTTTTTGGAAAGGCAAAACAATATCCAAAATTTGATTCTTTTGATCTAGAATAATAAATCAAATATTATTATCGTTTCGAAGTTATTTTACAATTGTTAAAAATATTTATTTATAATGATTGATTTAATTGATTTAATTGATTTAAACAAGATAGAGTAGGGATGAGAAAAGGTTTACATGTTGATTATTTTTTGTTGTTTGTTGTTTGTTTTGTTTTGTTTTTTGTTTTAATTATTATTTAAACTTAATAAAACATCAAAAGATTCAGCAAGATTATCAATATTTGAATCCAATAAATAGGCTTCAATGCAATTGAATAATAATGGAGAGTATTGGAATGCCATGGTCTTGAGCTTGGCCGATTTGAATTGATCAACCTTGCCAGTGGTTTTGAGTTGATCGACGAGGGCAATAGCCTTTGCAACAGACGATGCACCATCGAATCTAGGGTGACCTGGTGTCACAAAATCGGATTGTCTGTCTGAATAAGAGACTGGTTGTTGAGAAAGGAAAGCTGGGAAACTAGCCGAGTAGTCTGGTTGTGGTTGAGTAAAGCTAACTGGCATTGACAATGCTGGGAATGGTGGGTTGGGAGGGAATGATGATGATGATGGTGCACCAAAACTGAAACCACCAGTGACGGCGGGTTTAGCTGCCTGTGATTCGTTGACTATTCTCTTTTTGGGTGCAGCTGTCGAGCTATCACGAAGTGTGAGGTTGGCAAAGTTGAATACTGTTTCGTTGGCATCGAATTTACCACCCGATCCAAATGCAGAAGCTGGTTTCGAAACTGGAGACTTTGGTGGTGATGGTGGTGTACTGCTGCCACTTGAGGACTTTGATGGAGAAGAGAAAAACGATAGACCACCTCCCAAAGAAGATTGTTGTGGTGTTCCAGCATTTGACAAGAGAGAAAGGTGTGGTGGTACGATTGAATAATAGTGTTGTATGGAACAGTACACATATAACTACCAAGGAGAGCAGTGTTGTTGGAGCCAAAGTTATGCTCTGGGAATTGAGAGAGTAGATTCAACAATTCCTTACGGTAGGATGGTGGAACCAAGCTAGAAGAGCCGTGTGTCTTGACAAAGGCAAGTGGTTCGAGTGATCCCAATGCCATCTTGATGTAGTGGTGTACCGACTGGCCATAGGCGTTGAGTGCACGCTTGTCAGACTCGTACGAGGTGGCTGGACGATTGTCACGGATACACTTGAATACCTTTTCGGGAGCAGACGAAAAGACTGCATAATGGTAGAGTGTTTGTCCCAAAAGATCGACAGATGGTACCTTGGGGTCACGCATGTGACGTGCCAACTCGGTAACATCACCATTGAGGATTGCTTCATACACATTCTTGGAACCCGTTGTCAATGGATTGGGTAACTGTGTTTCGACAAAGAATTGACGGAATTGCTTACCAGATTTGAGACGACGAAGGAAAGCAAAGGTGGTAGAGAGATAGGCAACGATGGCTTGATGGTTATAGTAACGAGCAACAACCAAACAAGATACCTTGATATTGTTCTTTGAACGTAAATGTGGGTGTGCACCATTGGCAAAGAGGAATTTTACAACCTCTAAATTACCACCCATACAAGCATAGTGAATGGGATAGTAACCAGAGTCGGTTGGTACATTTACAAGACTTGGGAAGACTGGTAATAAAGATTTCAAGGAATCGAGATTACCATAGGCAGCGGCAATAGCTACCAAATGATTAGATTCTGCAATGAATGGAATATCCTTGTTTCTCTTTGGATTGTAATTGATGGCGGTAGTGTTGGTTGCCAATGCGACTGGTTCATTGTTGATGGCACTGTTACGATACTTGACCATATTACTGTATACTTCATCCTTGTTAAAGTTTTTGTAGGCAGTTTCGAGCCAATACTCGTTTTCGATGGGATGGAAAGAGCCGATCGACAGTTGACGACCTTGACTCTCGACATGCCATGTGATGGGACCAGTAACGTAGCTACTCTTTCCAGTGACATCATCACCTGGTTCGTTGGCTTGACACTTTTTGCACCATGAAGATTTACCATCCATACAATGATCAAAACCAGTGATGGCAATGTGACGATGTTGCTCAAAGGCGTTGGGAGTATTCTTTTTGGCAAAGAATTGTGAACGATCACGATAGTTGATGACAGAGACGGCCGTGTCGACTGTCCACATTTGACCCCATGGCACCTCGCATTCGGAATAATCACTTTTGTTGTCCAAGTTGACTTCTCCCTTTGGACTACGAGCAAAGTGGTACTCGAGTAATAAGAGACGAGCCAATCCACGTGCTCTGTTGACGGGAGTGGTGTAAATATCGGGATGGACACGAGATCTGTCAAAACCTGGTACGACAACGGCAAAACCACGCTTGGCATACTTGAAGAGACGCGTTTCATAGGTGAATGAACGACGATTCATCGAGACGACATTGTAACCATTGACAATGGCACGACGAGTACGTGGCAACGAGTAGACGTTTTGACCATCATAACCAACCGAACAACAGTCAATATCAAAGCCCATCAACACTTGAGCTGGTGATTGGTAGAGACGGAGAACAACTTGAATGTTACGGTTTGGATATTCATTGAGGAAGGTGACGGCAAACTTTGTACGAACTACACCCATCTTGGGGAACTTTCTCTTAAAGTATTCGTGGAGTGAACGAAGCTTCTCGGTAGATTCTTGTTCAGTGAGACCATACAAGAAAATATCAATATCTGATGAATCAAATCCTTGAGAGTTTGACAATGTACATCCAAGAATGGCACCACCAGCAACTACGAGGTTATTCCAATCAAAAGTACTGTCAAAAGCATTGTTGCTAAACTTTTTCCAGTTTTCATTGAATTTTGAAAGCGATGGAACAATCTTTGATCCAACACTACCACGATACATTTGATTGTGGACGTGTTGCAAGATCATATAGTCGTTTAATGGTGTGACGTATGGGGATGGTTCATGATAACCAGACACTTCAAATACCTTTTCACAACCGGCATACTTTTGTTTTAATCTTGGATCACTTGTATTCTTTACAAATGCCTCTCTGATTGAAGTTTCTTCATCAAATTCACCATACAAATCATCAAATAATACAGATGGTAATGTATTGGCAGATTTGTCAAATGTTCTTGAAGTTGTCAATGGTCTACTTGGTGAATTGGATGATTGAGAATAAATTGAATTATTATTATTTGGATCATATGCAGATGCTGGCTGTTGTTGTTGAAGAGCCTTTAATTTACTATTGGCATTGGTAGCAGAAGAGATTTTAGCCAAATTATAAGAAGTAAATGAAGTTGGTTTGGTAAGTGGAATGGTTGGATTGATGACTGCAGATGGAAGGATATAACTTCCAGAAGAAGATCCCAATGCTGTCGATGAATTGCTGCCAGTAGTCAATTCAACCAAATATTGTTGACGTTGTTGATTTGGATTATAAATGACATATTCATTGGTTTTGAAATCACTACCACCTTCACCCAAACCAATACAACTGTGATGACCAGTTGGTGGAGTAGTAAGACTACCATTGATCTTGGTGGTTTGGAATGGGGTACCAAGAGCAACTTCATTGACCAACATGAGACGACGTTGTTGACCATCGATTTGTGATGGATGAGAGTATTGGAGAGAAGTTGAAAACTTGTCTGCAAAGTAGATACCAGCACCAAGGAAACCAAAGTCGCTTCTTGAACCACCAGTATTGGTGATGACTTTGGGCAAGAGTAGACCACGAGACAAGAGACCTACAAAGTTGGATGGACGACTACCATGGAACAACAACTTTGTGTTTTTGATAGACTTTGTGTATGCTTGCTCGTCTGATGGTTTGTTGACACGATAAATGTTTAGAATACGTACATTTGGATCCATCATTTCAGATTGATTAAGGAGGTTTGTGATTTTGGTGTATTGAATCGAAGTTGGTTTCAAGACTTCCAAGTCATTCTTTAGAGCTTGGTATTTCATACCAACTGCACTACTAACCAAAGCACCACTACCATTAATTTTGAGCAAATCCTTCATTAATTGAAGCAACTCTACCTTTTCATTTAGAATGTCTAGGTTTTTAATGATGGATTTGGCGACATCAGCCTTGCCACGACCCATCTTGTGTGGAATGATGGTGTAAAATTCAGAGGAAAGGGTCTCTAGTTTGCTTTGTAGTGGATAGTTTTGTTTGAGTTCAAGGTGAATCTTTTCCAATACCTTTTCACCCTTTTCCACTTGATCCATTGACAAGACACCTAGTGGTGTTTGAATACCCTTGTCTGTGATATAGGCAGAACAACTGGAACGCAATTGAGTAGTTGCTTCCTTGTAGATAAACTTTACCAAACTTTGAATATCCCTGTCCAACGTTGAATCATCGGTGAAATTTTCAGAAATATCATCAGCTTCCATTTCACCATCATCACTAACATTTAATGATGACATTTTTGATGTCAATAAACTAACTGGTTTATATCCTTTTTTATCTGATGTTTTTTCATTATAAATTAATGAATATAAGTTCTAAAAGGAAGTAGAAAAAAAAAAAGAGTTAGAAAAAAAAAAAAGAAATATTTATATTCTATTTACTTACCAAAGCATCATCAAGATTACTTGGATATCTAGCTTCAATTGTTGGTTTACCATCAGTTCTACCATACTTTGTATAAATACGATAAATATTCTTTCCAGAATAATCAGCTGCTTCATGTAATTCCATATAATAATATTTATTATTATTTGAATCTCCTGCAATATTTGTAAACTTAAAAAAGAGAGAGAGAATTAGATTTGATAAATATTTTTGTTTCTTTTTTTTTCTTACTTGTAAAGTATGACTTAATTGAATTCGATAGTTTTGTGAAAAACTTGGTTGACTCTTTGAATCAAAAGAATAGAGAGTAACTTTGACATTCTTTGGTGATGCAATTAAAGCAAATTGTGATGAGCTGGTTGGAACTGCAGGTTCAACGACAACTGGTGCTAATGCCTTTGAAAGAGTCAATGCTGGTCTTGGACCTACAACTGCTGGTTTGGTTGCAGAGTATGGAACTGCTGGTGTGGCTGCAACTACTGGTTTGGTAGAGAATGAAAATGATGATGTAGTGGTAGTAGTAGCACTGGTACTAGTCGACGATGAACTACTGGCTGGTTTATGAGTATCCAACTTTAATTTATAAACACGATCTGAAAGGTCATCGGCAATGTCTGAGGTTTGCTTTGGTGATGGTTTGAGGGGAGACGAAGTACCAAAGACAGAAGTTTGTTTGACAAGGATAAACTTGTAGGCAGCTTCTGGTTTCAAGACACCATCATTTAGAGAATCAAGTACAAACTGGTCATTGACGATAGAGATGTTGTGAGTGGCAGCCTTTTTAATGGAAGTACCTTGGTTTTGAAACTCCTTGTCAGTCGATACATAATGTGTCACTCCTTTTACAACCATAAACGATACTTGTCCACCATTGTCTTTGATTGATTTTGCTATTTGTACCTTGTTTTTTAGGTCAGATGTAACATAAAAGTTACAATTTTGAAAGATGTTCATTGTCAATAAGATAAGTTTATACTAAATATCTAAATAGAAAATAGAAAACAAATATATAAAATGGGAGAGAGAGAGGGAGAGAGACGATTAGTACTAAAGTTCTTTCTACTTTTTACTTATTATTTAGTTTTTGTTACCTTTTTTTATTTTTAAAAAGTTAAAGTCTGCACAGTCAAACCTAATCTCCTGAGCACAAATAAAGTGATTTTAAAAGATAAATCTTGTGATATCTGTACAGATAACTAGTAATAACAACAACACTAGACAACAACAAAAATAATGACCATCAATGAGTGAGGCCGTCAAAAAATGATGATTTCTGCGAAATTAAATTATCAAAAAATATCTTTTCCAGGCATTTTTCGAACAAATAGACTGTTGTCCTTGATAATTTTCTCTTATCTCTTTTTTGAATATGCAAATGACCACGATGATGATGATGATGAGATCATCAACAACAAGAACATTATCGATCGTTTCTAATCACTATGGATGGTACCATCAAAGGCTAATGACCTTTAGCTACAGTGGTACTTACACTTCTAGATCGAATACTACTATACTATCATCGTCATCATCGAGATTTATTTATAATAATCAAAATATAAGTAAACAACAACAACAACAACAACCATTATGTATTTGTAATAATAATTATAATAGATTATTTTGTACTTCTTCTTCATCATCATCTGAAGAGAAAAAGAATACAAGTAAAATCAAAGCAATAAGATCAACATTGAAAAAGTTCTTTCTTAAAGTTCATCCTGATCTATTTTATCAATATCCTGATGTTAAAAAGGTATTTATATAAACATCTCTCAAACTCTCTCCTTTATCTTTATTTACTAATATATTTTCTTTAACCTTTTTTAGACAAATGATAAATCATTAAGAATATTACAAAGTTTTCTTGAAGAGATAAAGAATGAAAAAATGACAACTAGATCCTATTCATTACAATTTTATTATTTGGATTCTGAATCTGCTGGTGCAACCGAACAATCACAAATACCTCACATCTCTGTATCATTTGATATAGATTCTTCAAATCCTCGTAAACTACAAACCTTTCTTAGAAATGCTGAAAAACAATTACAATATCTACTAAGGTATGGTATTCAATACATGTAAAACAAGAACAAAGTACTAATATCTTTCTACTTTTTATTTTTCTCAAGAAAAATAGGTATAAAAGATGATTTTATATTAAATTATTTAAATGATAAAGAAAGTAATGAAACATTTGAACCAAGTGATAGTTTGATTGCATTTATAAGAGATAATTCACATGCAGCAAGAGAATTGGCAAAGATTAAAGTTGATCTAGATCGATCACTTGATATCATGTTTACCTACTTTTTTATGGAACACAAGATACGTGTTTTATTTTCTGAACCTCAAGATCATGGAGGTACTAAAGGTGGTGGTGGTGGTGGTGCAAGTGACAAGACTGAAATGAAAAAACAAACATTAAGACAATTGGAACATATACTTCATACATTATCACCTCGTATTGCTGACGATCACCTTGTACATAAAATATTTCATCAAGATCGTATTGCAGAAATGGAAAAGATTTTTAAAAAACAATCAATTAGATATGGTGAGGATGACGATGACGACGAAGAATATCAAGATGAAGAATCAAGATTAAAAATATTAGAACAATATAGACAAAGAAAACAACAAGAAAAGGAAGAACTTGCACATCAACAAACAATGCATAAAAGTGGTTTTGGTTATCGTGTAAAACAACAACAACAAAAAGAAAAAGAAAAATTGGAAAAGGAAAAATTAGAAAAGGAAAAAAAGATCAATCAAATAATAATAATGATGATTCACATTCTTCTTTTCCTCCTCCTCCTCCACCTTCTCCTCCTCAATCATCTCCATTATTAAAAGATAAAAATTCATGGAAAGGATGGGACAAGATAAAGGCAGGATTTGTGACACCAGAAACTACTGAAAAGTCTGATGATTGTCACATTTCCCTTAGACTTGAGGGAATGACTATTTTATTCACCTATAATGGTAGTAGTGGCGTTGATCTTGAAGGAAGATTGATGTTGGACATTGAAAAGCCTGGTGAATGGTCACAACTACTAGAGTCGGTCAAACCATCGTTGGTTGTAAATAATATTAAAAAATGTAGAAAAAGAAAAGAGTTGGAAAGAGAGGTTTCAGAATTGTTTGGTGTTGGTTTTGTCTATACAGACTATTCTCAACAAAATAATCCTACCTATCTAGAATATCTAGAGAAAATCAAACAAACTCCAAAAGAACAATTTATTGGTCGTACAACTGTCTATCAAGATATCAATATTCGTATTATTTTAAAAGATGAAAAAAATAATCAAAAACAACAATCAGTTGATGATGATGACAATGATGATGACGATGGACAAGAAGACCAAATACATGGTTCATTTACATCGGATGAAAAACATGGAGTTCTCAACATTCCAATCGATAGCCGAGTAGAACACATTTGTAAATTTATAGATAGTGAAGCAAACTTTCTCATTAGAGAGTACCAACGACACCAAAACAATATTCGTAATCTCAATCAATTGGAATTGACCGTTAAAAGACAATTCAGATTAATGAAGTTATCAAAACATTCCGACATTGCTCATATCGACATGGTCTCTTGTTGTAGGAGATTATTAAACAATCAAGAATCGTTTTTACCATTTTTATTCAATGTTAAAGTCGTCATTGGAAAAGAAAATGCTATCAGTCAAGATGGCCAAATTACCATCAAATGGGATTTTGAATTATAATTAAATAAATATTAAATTAATAATAATTCTTTAAACTATAAATACTCAAATCAAAAAAAAAAAAAGTGAAAAAAAAAGTGAAAAAAATCAACAACTATACCTTTTGATGGTTTTTGACAATGAGGCATTGATGAAAATTTATAAAAATAGGGTTAAAAGATAGCAAATAGTGTAGGGAATAAGAATATAATAGTGACAAGACCAAAGAAACTGGAAAATTTGTAATAAACCCAAGCTGGTCAGAAAAAAAATTGGAATAAAAAAATAATAGGTCAAACCATTTAATAGTTTTTTCCTGTGTGGTTACAATGGAAATTAATGAAACTAGGCTAGAAAGATAGCCACTGGTGTCTAGAACAAGAAAATCGCAAAAAAAAAAGCAAGCAGTCAAAAAACAAAAGATAGCCCTATGGGGGGCTCGAACCCCCGACCACAAGATTAAGAGTCTTGCGCTCTACCGACTGAGCTAACAAGGCTTTTTTGATGTGGTCATGGACAAAAATTGAAAATTTGAGCCCCTATTCATTTTTCAGAGTTTGTAATTTTTCTGTAATAGAGAGAAAGAGATAGAAACAGAGAATTACGTATAGAGTACTATAGAACTTCACTCAATCATCAACTATCTTCAACTATCTTTTATCAACATTACTATTTCTTTTCACACTCACTAAAAGCCACAACTAATTGCCCTAGTGTGCCCCCTTGTTCAATTATTTATATCATTATCATTATTATAAATAAGGGGCGCGAGCGAGCACAACCACTGCCTATATCAAAGATCACCAACAAGAAAAAAAACAAAAAATAAAAAAAAATAACAAAAAAAAATATCTCGCTCCTTCCTCCATCTCCTTCTCTAATCAACACAATACAATAGTAAAACAGTATCGAAACAATAGGAATAATAATTTAGGTGGAATTTAATTATCATTACAACAAGTCAATACAGTTTGAAAACAGTATTCACATTACTATTACAATTGGAAATGAACATCATCAACATCCCATCAAAACATCAATCAACAACATAACAATACGAACAACAGAACGATATAAGATAGATAATCATGGTGTAGACACAACCACCAACCATTACTCGACACACACATACATATGGATGGTGACACTGGCACTCCCTCCAACAGTCACGATCTGGTCACTAACCTGACAAAAGAACTATGGATCGTAACTCACAGAACCGTTCAGCCCCCCTCGATTCAACAGGTAAAGAAGCTTCCCGTCGTATTGATGAACAAATAGAACTAATAGCTCCCACCAAGACTTGCCATTTTTGCTTGGATGGAAATAGAACAGACATTTGGCACCCCAAAAAAACAGATTGGACTTGTTTCTTCTTTGGAAACTCAGTTCCCATTGCTGGTCAAACAAAGACTTCAATCAATAAAACTTCGCAATCGAAAGAGTAGTGCTCCACCCTACAGGTGGATGCCACGAAATGAGATGCTTAAAAAAAAAAAAATTCATTTTTCACAATTTTTAATTTTTTATGTTTTGGGTCAAAAAAGCCTTGTTAGCTCAGTCTGTAGAGCGCAAGGCTTGATGTTATTGAAAGAAGGGTTTTTAATATGAAGATAGTTCTTGAAGAATCTACTAAAGATAACTATAAGTTACTGACTTTTATTATTGTATTTATATATAAAGAGATAATCAAAAGAATCAGAAATGATCTTCTAAAAACTCGGTTTTCTGGTCGTCTCGCACGACACTCATAATTTGGCAAAATCCAAAAATAAAGACACTCACTGAACTCCTCATTAGAATAAACCCAATATTCTAACAGTTTCCATCTTTTTTTTCACCGGTCTTCAAGAAGAGTTTTTTGGTTTCCATAATAATGTTTGTTATTTTTCTGAATTAAACAATTAGTACTAATTTAAAAATGGGAAAGTTGTTTGGAAAAACATGAGCATTGTTAGCTCAGTCAGAATAAGACACTTTATCTATTTATTATTTTTTATTATTTTTTAATTATTTAATATTAAATTAAAATAGAGATGAGTATAATTAGATAATAGGAATTGTTAAAATGATATTTTTTAAAAGAAACATAATTTTTTTATTTAGTTTTTGAGAACAAATAAATATTCATTCAGTGCACTGATCAGACAAACTTTAAAAAATAGTAGATAAATATTTATGGATTATATTTATCATAATGATTTATGGATGGTTTAAATGGATAATATTAATATTTGATTAAGCAACGATAGTACAATTAAAGGCATATTGCATTTCAATGTTTGAGCCACCAACACCAGTAGCACCATAGAGACGGATAGTATCACAAGCTGGGACAGTTGGCAAGTTACATACCAATGGAGCCCATCCATACTTGGCAATGCAATATGGTGCAATATCTGTAGTCAATCCATTGTTGTAGAGTTCATTCTGGAACCAAATCATTGTCATTGGCGAATAATTAATTGTTAATTTCTTTCCATCTTGGATTACGCTTGTAACTATTTAAAAAAACAATAGAGAAATAATTTTTATTATTTTTAATATTCATTTTGATTGGATCTTTTTTTTTTTCTTTCAATATTGACATACTTGCAGCGTTGGTAAATACAGCAGCACAAAGAATAATGGCAAAGACAGCAAAGATAGTTGAAGATTTGAACATTTTTAATAGATTAGTTGGTTGGATAATTGATTGTTTGATTGATGGTTTGATAGTTGATAAATCGATGGTTTAAATAGAAAATGAATGAATATATGCATTTATTAAATTGTTTGATATCGAAACCAATTAATATATCGAAACATAAAAGTCTTTCGAGATTTTGAAATTTGGATCACACCACACCGAGCCTAAAAAAAGGAGATAATATCATACCCCTGAGAGAAACAAAGATTGGATTGTGTCAACCATTTGACTATATATTACACTTTTAATAGATAAATTGGGTTTGGTATAATTAATTTATTTTAAAGCAGTTAAATGTTCAAATTGATCAATTTCCTTTTCTAGACCACCATAAACATTTCTAGAAATATTGATTGCATCCAAACCGATAAAGAGATGGGATGGGGCAGGTCTATCACACCGATTGACCATCTCCAAGAGAATGGGTCCGATATTGTTTGGATCCTTTTTCTCTATGCTTTTGACAAATGCTGGAAAGGGTTGATAGGTGGCAGCATATCTTTCCTTTAGATTGGCAGCAGCGTGTTGAGCAGCTTGTGCAAATTGTGAATCGAATCCTCCAAGGTTGAGTGTAGTACATCTGATACCAAGTGGCTCGACCTCTTTGGCATAGGAGACAACGAGACCGTCCATAGCCGACTTGGTTGCACAGTAAGCCCCAATGATTGGGCTTTGGAGCACGGCGACAATAGACGATGTAGTAAACACATAGGCACCACTTTCAAGGTGTTTGGTGACGTGTCTTAGTACAGAAGCACATGCAAAAAAGTTGATATTAAACACCTCTTTTAGTTCTTGATCTGATATCTCTTCTACAGTACCCAATAAACCCTTGCCAGCGTTAAATAGTACAATATCAATTCTACCAAAATGTTTCATTACTTGTTGAATGGTTTGATTAATCTTTTCATCATCTTGTAAATCATCTTCTAATGCAAGAAATGAAGAAGAAGATGAAGAGCCGTCTTGAATCCCAACAGCTTTGATCAAAGTCTCTTTTGATCTTGCAGTAGCAGCAACTCTATACCCATTATTCAAGAAATGTTTTGTTACTGCCAAACCAACACCTGTTGATGATCCAACTACAAATACTACTTTACTACTACTAATTGTCTCCATTAAGAATTATTATTATTATCTAGTTACAAATTTTGTTTGTTGTTTGTTTGTTGTAGTGTTGATCTCTCTCTCTATTTAAATAGGTATGTAAAAAAGAAACATTAAACGATAAAAAGAAGAAGAAGATCAAATCATTTGTTGTTACTATGTATTGTTTGTGAGGGTTATAGCCCTGGTCCGACAAATAAAAGATATGACTACGATTTACGAATGAATGATGGTGATAAAGAAAAAAAAAACAAAAAAATAGATAAAACAAATATGTTGGGGTGTGATAGATACTAGTATCTTTGACACCAACCACGATCACTAGTGATGATTTGTTTAAATGCTATTTGATCTGGTCTTACTGGTCAAAGACTACTATTAGTAGTCAATGAAAAAAAACGAATCTCGGATCTAAAGGACATGCATGCATATGCTCAACATTCCTGACAAGACGAGATTGATCAATCACAAAATTTATTCACTTTATTAAAAACAAAACAACAAAACTATACCATTATTATTTATTCTTTTATTCAAAAACAACATACATATATATAATTTAATAAAAAAGAGATATATAAGAAAATGGTATTTCAAATTATTCAACCAGGTAGAAATCATAGCGAAAAAGTATTAAAGAAAGCACAGAGAACATGTTGTGCATGTGCAGATAGTTTACCATGGCAATGTTTCTTTTGGTTATTCTCTATTGCATTGGTTATAGTAGTTGCATTTTGTGCTACAACATATAAAGAATCAAAAGATAATTGGTATAACAATCCATCTGATACATCTTTTGATGGAAAGGTAAACTATAAATATAAAACAAAAAATAGATATAAAAAGAAATATTAATATTTCTTTTTTTTTTTTTTTTTTTTTTATTATTATAGAAAATAGGATCATTAATAGGATTAATATTTTCAACATTTATATTATTTATATTTTGGATTTATCGATTTGGTTTATCATTTTGGGGAACTAGAGCTGTTACATTGAGAGGAATGAGCTCAATTGGGTATTTGGTACCCTATGTAGAAAGTCTTTGTGCAACCAAACCAGATATTTTCGTAGAGAGTGAATCGTACCATTGGGAAAGAAGAACTAGATCGGTTACTCGTCGTGTAAATGGTCGAACGACCACAGAGACAGAATCTTATGAAGAAAAGGTGGTTTCTCATCGTGAAAGTAACCAAATGTTTGTCTCTGATTGGATGGATGTATCACCACTTTTAGATAGTACCGTCACTCAACAATTACTACAAGTTTTCTTTACCAAAGAATTTACACATATGGATGACCAATCACTACAATGTTTAGAATCGGTCAAATCAGACATGACCAGAAGAAACAAACCAAGAGACACCCATTTTGAATTGGTCGTTCATCATCGTATCAATCAATTTCAAGAAAACAAATTATTTTGTTTGGATGAATCTCGTATCCCTTGGTTTGCTAATTCTTTTTGGTGGGCTATTGTAAATGTAAGAATAGAAAATAATAATAATAATATTAATAGACTCTTTGTTTATATATAAATTAAATATTAATATTTTAATTTTACTTTTTTAGATTACATTTTTATGGTTCCCATGGGAAGTTGCATATAGAAGGATATTGGCAATTAGTCAATATGATATATTGAAACATGTACGAGTTACAGGTACAGTTAATCCATTACCATTGGATGATAATATTCTTGTACCTGAACCAATTTTATATTTACAACTGCCAGGTACAACACATGGTGTTGCTCATGTCTTGGTTCCACCAGGTACTCAACCAATGGGACCAACAGTCTTGGCTCCAAATGGTCATCTTTATACTCTACAAAATAATAATAATAACTATCATACTATTACCATGGAATATCAAAAAAATGAACAATATCCTTTACTATCACCACCACAAGTCAATCAACAATCATCATCAGATGACTTGCCCTATGGTTCACCATCATATCAACAACAACCAAATTCAACCAATTCATTTCAAAAAAATAATAATGATAAAAGTTGATAACTATTAAATAAATAAAATAAATCAACCAACCAGAGAGATACTTTTTAGTATAACCCCTTTGTCGTTGTTTAGATGGTCCGAAACTATCAAAAATCTTGATCAGATTTTTGTATTTTCTTTTTAAAAATATCCTTGAAGACACTTTTATCATAACGTCTCATTAAAATACGACAAGACATGTAACGCAATGTGATCAAATACCCTCAACGTCGTCGTCATCAATCATTGTGTACAATTAACTCTTATCTTAGTAGAGATAGATATATCTATCTAAATAATAGAATAGTAATAGTAGTAATAGTAATATCTATATAATATTTTTAAAAGAAGTCTAGATATTACAATAATGGTATTTCAAGTGATTCAACCAGGTAGAAATCATACAGAAAAGATTATAAAGGAAACTGTAAAATCTAGAACATGTTGTTCTTGTATGGATTCACTAAAGTGGCAATGTTTCTTTTGGTTATTTGCACTTGCTAGTGTTGCTGGTCTAGCTGTATCTGCCATCATCTATAAACAAGCAAAGATTGAAACTGAAGAGTATTGGGACAATTATTCTGCCTATGATTCTGGTACAAGTCCTGTTGACAAGGTAAAGAAAAAGAAATAGACAATATATAAACCTTTTTTAACCTTTTTTACTTTCTTTTACTTTTATTTAGGAAATAGGATCATTAATGGGAGTTGTATTTGGATCAATTATAGTTGCAGGTATTTGGTTTTGGAGATTTATAATGTCATTTTGTGGTGGAAGAGCAAGTGGTTTGAGAAAGATGAAATCGGTTGGGTATTTGGTACCTTATGTAGAACAACTTCGTGCTACTAAACCATCAATCTTGGTCAATTGTGAAAGTTATCATTGGGAGACTAGAACTAGAACCGTTACAACCTATGTCAACGGTCAATCTACTACTCGAACCGAAACCTATCAGGAAAAGGTAACTACTCATAGAGAGGCAAATGAAATGTTTGTCTCTGAATGGGCAGACTTGTCACCACCACTCGACAGTAAAATCACCACTTTGTTACTAGAAGTATACTTTACCAAAGATTATACTCATATGGACCCTCTATCTGAACAATGTCTAGAGACTGTCAAATCAGACATGACAAGAAGAAACAAACCAAGAGACACTCATTTTAACCTTGCAGTCTCTTTAAATGTCGCCGATTTTTCAGATTCTAAACTATTTTGTTTGGATGAATCTCGTATCCCTTGGTATGCAAATTCTTTTTGGTGGGCTATTGTAAATGCAAGTAGAAAAAGTAAATCATAGATCTATTTAATTAAATATTAATTTTATTATTATTTTTTTGTATAGATTACATTTTTATGGTTCCCATGGGAAATTGCATATAGATCAAATTTAGCAACAAGTCAATTTGATATATTGAAACATGTAAGAATTACTGGTACAGTTAGTCCATTACCATTGGATGATGGATCTGCACCACCTGAACCAATTTTATATTTACAATTACCTGGTACAACACATGGTGTTGCTCATGTCTTGGTTCCACCAGGTACTCAACCAATGGGTCCAACCATCTTGGCTCCAAATGGTCATCTTTATACTCCACAACAAATGAATAATAATATGCAACCAATGATGATGATGCAACAAACAGGACCCATGCCAAATAATTATTATCCACAAAATTATATTGCTCCAGTCCAATATCAACAACCACCACCAATGGGTGCTGATCCAAATTATCCAATCTATCAACAACCTCCCAAACAAGTTTAATAAAAAACAAAGGAATTTACATTTGTAGATGCTCAATCTCACCAGATCCTTAGAATTAGTCAAAGCTGACATGTTCAGAAGAAACAAGTCAAAAGATGAACTCTTTGAAATCAAAGTTGCAAGTAAAGAATGAATCAATTCTGATTAAATTTGTACAATTTTAAATAAAAGGACACTGATAAAGAGATTAAACTATTTAATTTTTTTACCTGTAGGTGAGAGTTTCTTGTGGTAGTTTATATCACACCTATTTACCCAATCATCAACCAAATTAACCCTTTCAAAAATAAATTAAACAAAGCTTTTGCACATTTAAAAAATATTTATAATATATTTGGTAACTCTACTGTTTGATGACTTTTAATATACCAAATTTTTCATCATCTTGATAAGAGGACATTAACTTGATTTGTCACAACTTTGACAATAGAAGACATAGTAAAACTTGAGAATTGTCCTCTGGATCACTATAAATGGAGAGGGAATTAATTTTTGGGTCGATTGGCAACGACTGTCGATCAATCTCTGGTGATACTGCTGATGGTTGGTATAGACATCTGATGGACCATTTTCGATTTGGTCTGGTCCAGAATAGAACGAGTGTACCAACTAATATGGCCACATTGAAAGAGGAGTACAAAAAAGTTGAAACTGACCTCGTGCTCTCCTAACAAAGCTCTTTTTTTGTCTGTTTAAAGATATCACCTTCTTCCTCAAAATTAATTAATGTGTGTTTGTCTGCTTTTGTGATCAAACAGAAAATCTAATAAATTCAGTGGCGTCGCAGCTGCATCAAGGGTGAGGTCGGTTCAGTGGTAGAGCAGCAGCATCCCATTCCGGTTTTAGCTCAGTGGTAGAGCAGCTGACTGTAGTTTGTCAAAAGTCATCAGCTGGTCGCTAGTTCAATCCTGGCAAACCGGATATCTTTTTTGCCGCCTAAAAAAAAAAAGAAGAAGGGTCTTGGACCTCTATTGTTGTAGGTGATGGATGATCCAAGGGTCATAGGTTTTGAGCCAAGACCATATGTAGATGATGACCATTCATAGGTTCCAGAGGATGGCTCGAGGAACGTAGGTTCGTTGCTATAGTCGAGTCATAGGCTCAGATGATGTATCATAGATAGATGATGGGTCATATGTACAACATTGGTAGGGTCAGAGGTTCCAGATGATGATGGTGAGCAACTATGATGATGTATCATAGATAGATGTACAACATTCATTGTGATCTATAGGTCATAGGTTCCAGATGACATAGGGAGGGACATAGGTTCTGAGCTATATACATTGGTAGGTCATGGGTTCCAGATGATGGATGAACCAAGGGTCGTAGGTCATGACCAATTCATCTCCAATACATGATAATAACTGGGAGGATGTCTGTCTAATTATTTTTGATTGAGAAGACCTAATAAAGAAATAATATTAGTAAACAGTTATACTAGACAATATACTATAGTGGACATATTGTTGTCAGGAGATTATAATAATGTTGGAAATTAAGGGGTATAGATGAAGAAACAATATTGATAATGGAGAATGAATTAAAGAAACCAATAAAATTGACAAAAAAGGTTCCTTATAATAAATACTACAATAATAATATTACACATTGGTGATAAAAATGGAAAAAGGAAGCAGAGCAAGATGAACCATCGATACGAAGCATGCCTTATGATTATAAAATATGACAAAAGACCAAGGATATTGGATAACAATGTTAATAAAATGAAATGATGTGATAATCAATAATAATAATACATAGATATAAGAGAGGAGATAGATATGGATTATTGTATTATAAGAAAAAGAGAGGTTTTAAAATAACGATTGACAGTGATTACTTTAGAAATGTATGATGGTGACGGTGGTAGTTACCTATGACGATGCAGATGTGACAGAACCACCCATGAGTAGGGTCATGGGTTCCAGATGACCTATGAGACAAGGAGACAAGTCTTGATTAAATATCTAGAATAGACTAAAGATTAAGATTAATTTTAGTCAAATTACAGCTATATGAATAAAAGGTAGTGTAACTTTGGATTATGGTTGGTACCTGATAATAAAGATGGGTTGATGAGATACTGATATGAATGATAATACAAATAGAGTCATCATTATTGAGACTGACAAGAGAGAAACAAGCAATCGATATTAGTATCGTATAAAATGACGAGATTTAATTAATTTGACCTCGATCTGATCAAGATAATAGGTTGGGTAAATGATAATTACATCAATAGATTATGTAAAGATATACATTGTGAATAGTTGTTGTGAAGATGGCCTACAACAAGAGACATAAAGTAATGAGATGATATATAGATAGATAATAGTCTCTATCTCTTTCAAAAAATAATTGAAAAAATGAATTCTTTTTTTTGTAACACATAAGAGATGAAGAGTATTGTGATTCTTGTCACAATACGAGTTTCGAGACAACAAAGAGATGAAAATAGATGACAACTAGAAAGTAACTAGTATTATATTATTATCAAAATAGTTTCTATTACATTTTTATTTACTTTTTTTTTTAACAATACCATTTGGAGTTGGAGTAAAAGATTTAAAATACTCTATAAATTCTAATTTATGATCTAGATTAGAAGTGATGGCTTGTTGTGCAAAAAGATCAAAATCTAGTTGGGTGTTGTTCGAGCATACTTTGTTTGGTGAATAGATAATAGTATTGATCCATTCAATCGAAGCATAGGGACCCAATGGATACAATCGATCGAGTTGAAAGGGAATATTGAGGATAGATTCGAAAAATTGACCAATAAACGCAAATCTATAGTTTAAAATAGAATCGTCCAATGGCACGACAAATGATTCTAGATTATTCTCTCTGGTTGGAGCGAGTTGAGTGAATCGTGTGTACAAGTATTCAATGACACTTATACATTGACTATCGATTGCTGTCACTAGAATCTCCTCTGGTATGATTTGATCAGATTCCAACAATGGACTGGCATCGTATCGGTCAAGTATACAACGAACCAACTCTACATTCTTGATATCGTCGTTTGGTAGTAGAGTTGGTAGTAAACCTCTTACTCGGGAAGGATAGTAATCAATCATTTGAATACTATTGACTCGTTTTAGATTGGTCAAAGATTGACCAAGATTTGGATTACGTTTGGTAAGAATATCGGCCAATTCAAATCTACCTTCCAACAATGCATCGTGTAATACATATTCTGGCATATGACTAATAGTAATATGTCTAGCATTGATAATAAGGTATTCAACAATATCCCATCTACGTAGGGATCTTGGTTGATCAATACCTCTATTTTGTGATGCAAAGTCTACCAATAACACATGTCTGTTATTATTATTATTATTATTATTGTCAACCAAATATTTTATAACATCCAAATGACCAGATAATAAACTAATTCTATTTTCTTGTTTTTCTGTATCAAACTTGACCATTTTTTGAATCAATTCAAAAGCAATTTGAATTTGTTCCAATCTTCCATATTGACATAAATAATTAAATCCAATTCTTGATAATAAATAACCAACTCTTTCTTTTTGATTTTTAAAAAGTAAAATAAAATGACAAGAAAGATATTGTTGATGATTATATAATTTTAAAATATTGGTATCAATTTGAAATGCCAATTCACAAATCCAAAGTAACATTTGAAATGTTGATGAATCATTGGAATCAAAGATACTATTAATAGTATTATGAATAGTATCAAGATTGATATGATACACTGTTTCATCTTTTGATATCAAATCTTTACAACATTTGTAAACAGATTTAATATAATTTGAAGAGGATGACGAGTTTATATTATTTTGATATTTATGTTTAATGGTTTCAAGTGCACTTTTCAAATAGGTGTTTAGATTGGTGATGTATGAATAACTGTCAGTTTGTGATTGAGAGTTGTAGGTGGTGTTGGTTTGATTGTGTTGATTGATTATATCTACATTGTTGGATAGATAGTATGCCAATGTTGGATATAGAACAATATTTAATAGTGGATTGACAAGATGCGCCGACAAGACATTATAGAGATAGACAATGATATCTGGGTCTATAAAGTCTTGATTGATGGGTTGTCTTGATCGAATACTTTTTGGCATGATAGTGAAAAATGACGATGGTGGTTGTAAACAATTGGCTAGTTCCTTGGCACCAACCGATTCTACTATATGCTCGACCAATTCACGTTTGTTGTAGAGAATAGATTCCTTTAGGTAATCATACGGACTATAACTACTTGATGTCGACGGATCTTGTCTAGCTAGTATTGATAGAATCGATGACGATGACGTTGATTTACCAGTAATATAATCAAACCCACGTTTTAGATAACTTTGTTGACCGACGTACGGTGCAATGATGAGTCGGTTCATTGCGTCAATCACCATCTTCCAAGTATTGATATTCCCATATCTAACAATTTGATAGAGATACGTTGACATTTTGTCAAATGACGGTGATACTGGTGACGATGAAACCAACGACTGCGACGGTGACACGAATGAATTCTGTATTGTAAAGTAATCGATAAATGCTTGTTGAAAGTGTTCCAATACATAGGCCATCACCAATGGTGCGGTAATCTTGCTTGTTTCAGGTAGTAGCTTTTCAACATTGATATCTTGTCCATGACGCTTTAAAATATCAAGTAATAGTACATAGTGCTTGTTCTCTATAGTCCACCCCAACTTGTCTGTCTTTACCAACTCTTGATATCTTCTTGTTCGTACAAACTTGTCTGAACCAACGCTACTTGGAACACTTGCTCCCAACACTACTACATAATCACTTCTTACTCTACTAAACACCTCTCTAACTAGAAATACATTTCTAAATACTTTAAAAAATGTATCTGTACAATTCATTTTTAATTTAAATAGAATAGAATCTGATTCTCGGGAGTTCAATGAAAAAATCGATGTACTTGTAAAAAAAAAAAAAAAACTAAAATAATTAATTTATTTATTTTTCCACCAGACCTGGTTAAATAAAAATTATACTGGTATAAGAACAATATTTTAAAAACAAAATAAAGAGACAAGTAAATTTGGATAACTTCCTGGTGATATTTTTTTAGAGATGAAAAAAAAAATAATATTTTTTTTTTCCGTGTGGATTTATCAGAAATTGATACAAGTTGGATAAAAAGATAGAGAATCAAGAGGAGAACACGATCGTGTGGAGGCCGGAAAAAAAATAGTAAAAACCAAATATCAAGAATGGGATTCGAACCCATGACCCAAACCGTGTGAAGGTTTTGTGATAACCAACTACACCATCCTGACTTTGAGATGTTCAAAATTTGGCTCCATCCGGTGTCGATCGCCAAAAATTTTGCCCATTTCTTAGAGATAAAACACGCCCAATGCACCTATATTCATTGTTATTATTCACTAAACATTTATCAACTTAAATTTCCTGTCCCAACCAACTGAGGGGGGTGTAAAAACAAAAAGGTCCTGAGATCAAATTAATTTTAATATGAGAAAACAAAATTTAATGAGAGTGGAACTCGGGACCTTTTTTTATATGAGTTGGCTGGGGGAGTAAATTTCAGTGGTGATTCTTTATGTAAAGATTTTAATGACAACCAACTACACCATCCTGACTTTGAGATGTTCAAATTTTCCCAGTCCCATTTGCTTCAAAATATTTAGTCCTCCAAAAAAGTTTTAGAATCTTTTTTATTTATATAATATAAATATTATATAATATTTCAAAGCTAATTAAATATTAATAAGGTACCTTGAAATTTGAAGCTTAAAAAAAACAAAAGAAAATTTAAATTTTTTTCACTTTTTTTTTTTTTTTTTTTTTTTGAATAAAAAAACCCCCCAAACTTGTCATTCTAAAGATAACAAAACTTGTTGTGCAATATTTAATATATATATTTATATATTTATATTGATGGAATACAACATGAGTAGCAGCAGTAGTAGCAGTACTGGTATTCTGCCAACCAGTACAAACACTTCTCCTCCTACAAACAATAATAATAATAATAGTAATAACACACTCGCATCGTTAAGAAGTAAAGTAATGTCATCAAAAAAGATTGCCAAAGACAAGGAAGAAGGTGAGATTGATTATGTACCCATACTTGATCATCCAAGAGCTCAATTTAATCGATCTTTAAAGAATTATGTAAGTAAAAGCAAAGCAGATCATCACTATCATCTTTTGTGATGACCCTAACCTTTTTTTTTTTGACGATCATTTCTTTTTATGTATTAGGATGACATTTATGGTGATATTATTAGAGATGATTCAGAACAAAATGCACCTATAGATATGGAAACTGATGATAGTAATATTTATAATAACAATAATAATATGAACAATAATAATAATAACTATCACAACCAGAATAATAATAATATGATGATGAATAATCAATATAATAACAATAATGGTTTTAACAATAATAATAATAATGGTCCATTTATTCATCAACAGCAACATCAACAGCAACATCAACAGCAACAACTATATCAACAACAGCAGCAGCAACAACAACAACAAATGCAAATGAACCAAATGGGACAAATGAACCAGATGAATCAAATGCAACAACCTCCACCACAACATATCCTTCAAATGATTCAAATGCAACAACAACAACTGTATCAACAACAATTACAAAGACAACAGCAACAGCAATTACAGTTACAACAACAACAACAACAACATGGTCAAATGGGTAATAATATAATGTTTCATCAACCTCCTCCCCCTCCTCCTCCCTACTCTGAACATCCAAATAATATAAATTATCAACAACAACAAGGTCAAGGGGAATCAATGCCAATACCAATGAATCATTATACAACGCCACCACCACCACAACCTTCTCAACCTTTTTTCCTTCATCCAAATATAGTTGGAGTTGCCAACAACAACAATATGTTTAACGGTGGTACTATATCACCTTTATCATCATCATCACCATTGAATGAAACCAATTCAATGGGAGAGATTAATAATTCAAAACCAACCAAGAAAATCAAAGGGAAACAACTTGAACAACAACAACCACCACCAAAGTTGGTTCCTAAAAAACTTCAAAAGAAACCAGTTGTTACTCCAACTCTTCTTACTCCTACTACTCCTCCTCCTCCTCCTCCAACTCTAGTTTCAACTCTATCAACTCAACCTATTCAAGAATTATCAACAAGTATTAGTACAAATAATGATAATTATACACCATTAATCATTCGAGTAGATGAAAGTGATTCAGATAGAGATGAAGAAGAAGAGTTGTCCAATCCACAACAACAAATCAAACAACCAGAGACTGAATTGGAAACATTAAAAAAGCAAATTGGAGCAATGGAAGAAGCCAATCTAAGAAAAAAACTTGAACAAAGAATGAAAAAGTCTCTAACATCTCCATCTGTTACCAGTTCTCCAACCAATCAACAACAACTACAACAAACCAAACAAACACTATTAGATGATTCACCATCAACACCAGACATTAATACTGCCAATGTTGAAGATTCAATTGATCAAATTAAAACGCTGACCAAACAAGTAGTTGATATTGTATGTGAAATGGGCAACAAGGAAGGAGAATTGATAAGAAAAGAGATTGCCTATACTACCCTAGAGTTGAAACGTTCTCATGTCAAACAACAAATTGAATCATTGACTCAACAACTAAGGGCATTTGAACAAGAGGAAAAGGTACTCGATCAACAATACCAAGAACATTTGGAACACCTCGAACAAATCAAAAAGGAAACCAAATCACTTCGAAACAATTTCGAAATCAAAGTTGATGTACTCGGTATCAGAAAGAGAAAGTTGGATGACTTTACCAAACAATACATCATTGATCCAAGTCAACTAAGTGTTCTAGATCAAGATTATTCTATCCTTCTCACTCAACAAAATAGAAATGCTCTAGAACAATTTAAATCAAATCAACAAAACAAAAGATTTGAAAAAGAAAAGGAAAAGGAAAAGGAAAAGGAAAGATCACCAACTACTACAACAACATCGACGTCGATGGTTAGTTTAAATTCAACCAATTTAAATCCTGGTGAAGGTCAAGAAAAAGAAGAAGAACAAGGAGAGGAACAAGGTTTACAATTTGAAAGTTATGTTCCAGAAAGTAATCAAAATAGACCAAAAAAAGTTTACAAGGTTTTGGTAGCACCACAACCTAAAAAGGTCAATGTTTTGGATATGGTACTTGGTGGTAGAGATATTACACAATATATGAATCTATTGGCCAAAGAACACAAAAATATTTCATTTATAACCTCCTTGAGAACTGATGATATTCAAGTTGGTCTACCTTTACAATCTCCACTTCAAATGGTTCCTCTTAATCGTTTTGCTCTTTCAACAAATCATAATAATAATAATAATAATAATGATCATAGTAATATTAGTAATATTGATATATTATCACAACCATATATTTCACCATTGACATGTATAAGATCATATAGATTTTCACCAAATTTTACAAAATTATCTGGCAACATGTCACTCGTTTCACCAATGTATTCTAGCAAGATGGATCCAAAGAAACGATTTTGCATGTATGAATTGGATGGCGTTTGTCTTGACAATTCTTGTACATTCCAACATTTAAGAGATTACAAGATGAATACGCAAGAGATTTTGGAAGAGATCTTTTCCTATTCTAAAAATGCATCAGAACATATCATCAAGGATCTAGTGACCAAAGTTGAAAGTGCAATGACCGATGCAGACAAGGAAAAGGTTTTAAAACAAGTTATAAGAGTGGCTCATGCCAAGGTAGAAGCAGAGTTGGACAAGAAACTAGTTACAGATACTAGTCCATCACGTCTTGAATATTTGGAAAACAGAGACAAACAATTGTTAGAATCGGCTCTCAAGCGACACCAAGAATCAAAAAAACAAAAATCAAATCAAAAGAAAATGGCTCATGCTCAGAGAGATTCTCATCCCGTCTCAAGAGCCACTCTTGATTGGGATACTCAAGAAAGAACTGTATTGGTAGAAAAGGATGAAACTGATGATTTTATTCATCTTGATAAATATTTGGAAATTCCAGAATCAAAATCAAATGATCAAAATAGTTTTTTAGATCAACAACATTCAAAAAAGATTATGGAAATTAATGATTCAGAAGATGAGCAAGATGAAGAAAAGGACCAAGATGAAAAGTTAATATTGTTTGAAAATGTTAAAAATAATTTACCAAAATCTTCATTATCAACTATTGAATATCAAAAAGATCCACTTCCAATTCAAAATTGTTTTTCTTATTTATGTTCTTCTGTAAGTCAATCAAATTATTTATTTATTTTTATTTAATTAATTTTTTCTTTTTTTTTAGATTACAAATAATGATATTTTGACTTGTGAAAATAGAGATGAAATATTAGGAAAATTAGCAGAGATTGTAAAAAATCATAGTGTATCTGAATTATTTTGGAAGATTTATTTGGAAGTTTATTCACGTAAATACAATAATAGTAGTAAAGAGATTGAAGAATTAATCTCAAAGGCAATGGTTGGAGTTAGTTCGGTCATGTTTGCATTGATAAAGTTGAGATTACCCAATCCACTTCATCTCAAACTTGAATTTATTCAAGCAACCATAAAGACATTGGTTGTTCACGCCATTCCTCTTCAACCAGAAGAGATTTCATTTTGGTTACTCGAATTCCTTCTCATCTATCAGAGAACCATGTTAGAGGCTGGATGGCGTGACCAACTCATCATTGACCTCTTTTCTTTTTTCAATATTCACATTCATCGAGACATTTTCTTGTCACCCGACTCTAATCGATTCAAGCAAAGAGATTTATTCCTCTCTCGCTTCCAAACCACCATTCTTGCCAATCTACAACTACAAGAAACAAATATTCTCAAGATTTCATTCCTCTCGCTTTTGGTATTTAATCAAATACCAGACACTTCACAATTCTACCAAAATACCACCTCCTCCACCATGGTAGAGCCCACTCGATCATTTATTCTCAATTGGGGAAAATACTTTTCTTCGGAATCCTACTTTAAAAACAACAATCCAAAGAATTCTCAGTACATCAAAGAGATTATGCAACACTTGTCAAACTCTGACACTGAAGAATTCCATCTCAACGTTTTACATTTCTTCTCTTTTGACTCCTCAATCAAAAAACAACAACTCATCGATCTAACAAAAGATTTCCTTCGTCGTTATCCAAAACATATTTCAATGAATATATTTTTAATGAATCTTGTAAGATGAAAAGGAAAAAAAAAAAAAAGGTAGAGAAAAAACTAATCATTATTTTTAATTTAAATTTTTTTAGGATAATAATACAATTGAATCAAGAATGGTTGAAAATCCATTATCATTTAGATTATTTAATCTTTCAGTTGCTACAACCATGAAACAATTGATTGAAAAGAAAAAGGATGATTATTTCAAGGATATTATTAAAATGATTGATTTGTTTGTATTCCAATTTTTTGCTTTTGAAGATAATAGAAAAACAATCAATTCAAGTCAATACAAATCTTCTCATTTATTATCAACTTTGGTTGGTGGTAGTTCTTATGAATTTGTTAGATATCCTTTAAAACGTAAGTAAATAGAAAAAAAAAAAAAAAAAGAAATATACAATTAACAATCTTTTATTTTTTAGGTAAAGATTATGATCCACTTGATTTACCATATATTTGGATTTTATTTAGTACTTATTACCTAATTTCAAAAAAGGTAGACATGAGTATTAAAATATTAAAAGAAGCTTTAATTAAATTAAATGATATTTCTTTTAAAAAAATAATTTGGAAAGAGTATGTAAAAAAATATTAATATTAATAATAATAGAATAGAATCTCCTTATTTACACTCTCTTTTATTTTTATTTTTTTAGATTAATTCAAATATCATTAAATAGTTTACCAACAAATGAAATTGAAGAATTAATTGATCAATTCTTCCAAGAGATGCCAAATGAATTTAATTATCCATTTGGTCAATTCCAAGATACTATTCCATCAGATACACCAGAATCTTTTTCAAATGCTTTAAAGATTCCTTCTGTAAAGGTAAAAAAAAACAAAAAAAAAAAAGAAAAAGAAAAAAAGAAAAAAGATAATTATCTAATTTTTTTTAATTTTTATAGGATTATTCATTACATAATTTTGTTTATGATTGTTATTGCAAGATTAAAAACAATGCAATTCCAATTTTAAGAAAGTTTGCAACAATGTATCCTGATAACCCACATATGTTTTCCAGGTTTGTATTGATCAACAATACTTTTTTTGTTGTTGAAATTTAATTTTAAATATTTTATTTTATATATTTTTTAGATATGTACAATCAATAACACAAACAAGAAACTTTGACAATATTAAATCAATTTTGAAATCTATTAAACCAAAGAGAAATATCGCAGTATCAACATGGAAATTGTATGGGCTCTTTTAATTCTAGTACACCAACAACAACAGATGATTGGCAACTTTTATTTGGATAGAATCATGGCGATAAATGACAATCAAGTTGTTTTACATTTGGACTTGATTGTGGTAGTTAACATAAAACTCTTTCATTTCTTTTCTTTTTTTTTCTTTAGGTCAATCAAAGCAGCAGTTGGTTTTGGTATTCCTCCACAACAAATTTCCAAACTTTATAGAAATGCTTTAAGCTTTAACCCATACAACTATGATTTATGGATGGATTATATACAATTTGAAAAAGCCATACCAAACAACCAAACCCAAGTCAACCAATGTATCGAAAAGGCCTCGAGATATGGTGTAAATATGTGGATCTTGAATGATGCTGCAATTGCAAGTCAACGTAGCGAAAATAATACCAAATAGAAACAAGAAGGTTATGTATATTTTATTTCGAATCGTGATTTAACCCCTTTTTTTTTTTTCTTTATTCCATCCACCCACCAACATTCAACAGAGAAAGATAAAGAAATAAAAGAAAAAGAAACAAAAAAAAACCTTTATATTCATTTAAAAAATGATAAATTTCCAACATATTTATTTAATATTTAAAAGGGTTATAAATATTTGGGTTATTTGCAATGTTTGAACGAACCTCTTGAATTTGAGATAGGAACAAAGGTTAGGTATCTGAGTATGGCTTCAATAGCCATTTGGGTATCATCTGGATAGGTTCCGTTATAATCAATATCTGTCAAATAATAAAGATCTGATAATATTTCTATAGCATGTATAGCTTTGAACCATTCATCGTCCAAACTTAAATTTAGTACTTTTGTATGATGCTCAAAGCATACAAAATGGAACCTCCAAATACTACCAATTCTCGCTCATAACTACTATTGTGAAATGAACACTTGGCACATACTTTGTCTTTCTTTAAGTAACGCTGTCGACAATGATGATGAAAAGGTTTGTATCATCTGACCAATAAATGATTTAGTCTCGAAACATTCTGTTATCACCCGACTTGATTGCAAACTATCCAACTTTAAACCTTTGATAATAGCCAACTTGATATCAATCTTTTCGATTGCATAACAATTCGTATTGATTGAAACATCAACATGAAAGCATTATATCTAACAATCTTATTTTCATATTGATTTGCATTATTTATAAATTCAATCAATTCATTCCATTCTTTATCCAAAATAATAATAATTAGTATCAGTATGCCAATTGTGATTATAATTAATTAATATTATCATACCATGGTTATCTTTGAGCAATAATTGAGCAATCATAATAATATTTAAACTCTTACTATCATCATCATCATTATGTTTTGTTTGTTTCTTTAAATGTTGTAAGATCTCTTCTTTTACTCTTTGTTTGGGTTGTGATGATATTTGCTTTCTTGAATGTCGCATTCCAACAAACTAGCTAGTGCTTTAATAGCAGCATGTTCAATCAAAGATGGAGGTCCATCAAGTTTCATTTTCTTTTTTGAATGCTATAATGATGGGTGTCTTGTCAGTACATTCATGATGACGTTATCTCTTTTGATTGAATCATATATGACTTTTTGAATACATACATTAGGAGGCATACCATTTGAAACAAGATAGAGTAACCATATTACCCTTTGGGTTGCTTTCTTTTTAAATCCACCAATATAACTACCATTATATTTGAAATGATTGATTGTTTCTTTTATAAACTGATGAGTTGGTTCTTCTTCTTCCATTAAGTGTCCTTTGCAACAACACACATTTGATATCTGGTTAGTTCAACTGTGGAAAGAAAAAGAAATAAAAGAAAAAGAAAAAACCTTGTGCCCTAGGGCATTCATTTATTTTTTTAAAAAAAAATTATAATTATAAATTTATTGATTTTATTTGTGAATAGGGGAAAAAATATCTCTCTCTAAAAAAAAGAGATATATAAAGTTGTTATAAATCCAAAAAAAAAAAAAGCTCTTTACATTTTTTTTTTTGAAAGTTTTAAAATCCGATTGTTGTTGTTGTTTTAGAATAAAACATTATTATTCTAATTTACACTTTTTTTTTTTTTTTACTTTACTTTAAAAGAGGAGTAAAATTAAAAGTGATTTGATCAAAATAATTGACTGGACCACCAGAAAAGCCACCAAAAACAAATAGATTGTTTCCTACTAGAGAGGCAGTAGCCATATCTCTTGGTCTTGGTGTATAGGTATCCGATAGTGGCATGTTGATCCAATTCATTGATTTTGTATCCAATGCATAGGTATTGTTGCACACAGAGTTGGTCGATTGACATCCACCACCAAACAATACGAGGAAACGTCCGTACACAAAAGAGGTGGTAAAAGTACTAGTATTGGGTGCTGGACCATAGATGGAAGGTTTGGACCAACAATTAGTTTCTGGATCATAAATGTGAATATCGTTGAATCGTTGTGTCCAATCAGATACTGGACTCCAAATACCTCCACCGAAAAGATAAATCTTTCCATCAATCACTTCCATGGTATGACCACCTCTTCCACATGGAATATCACCAGTTGCATTAATCTTGTGCCATGTAAGTGTCTTGGTCTCTAAATAATAGAAATCTTCCAAGATCTTATATTCACCATCATTTGTTGTATTGTTTCCACTAAATATATAATATTTACTACCAATCACTGCACTACTATGATTTGATCTTGGATCTGGTGCCATTCCTTTAGTCTCTAAAATATTTTTCCATTTCTTTAATTCTATAAAAAAAAATAAAAAATAAAAAAAAAGAGAAAATAATTAATAAACAAACAATGTAATGTAATCTGTCTTGTCTATTTTGTACATACTAAGATTATAAGTTGATAAATTAAAATAGGTACCATTTCCATTGAAACCACCGAAAATATAGATCTTGTCACCGATGACTTGAGAAGTATGACGAGAGAATCGTGGAGGTTGATCACCGACAATCTTTGGTCTCGAGAATTCATTGGTCTTGGTGTCATAGTAATAAATGTCACCATAACGTTTAGAGTTTGATCTTTGCCCGCCAATGATAACAACATAATTTTTATAAACAGAGCTTGTGTGTTTATAGCGTTTGGTTGGAAACACACCATTAAATTCTAATGGGCTCCATTGTACTGAATCTAGTAATAATTGTAATAGTAATGGGGGTAGGTGGTTACAACAATTAATTAATATGGAAAAGGAAAAAGAAAAAAGATATTTTGTTACAAATTAGTCAATGTGTCAAGATGATGATGATGATGATATTCATGAGCGGGTGTGTGTGAATGAATGAAAAAAGTGGTGGTGCAATTGCAAAAAAAATCTAGTTTTGGTGGCCCGCATTGGGTGTGTTCGCGGGTTATTGTTATTGCTTTGCACAACTGATGTTGACGAGTAAAATTAAATATCACAGGCAAGGAAGCAAGTACTTGTTTGAATACTTTTTTGGATTGTACATACTTTTGGCGGTTAAGTTTTTAAGGTCAGAGAAATACTTTTTCAAATCAAGGCTACTATTGTCCCTGATAGAATCGGTAATAGAGAATCCATGGCTATTGAGTAATTGAAACCAAAGGAGACGGTCTTCTACCATGGCACGCATCTCTTTACAACTTTGAGATAATGATAAAAGGTCTTTGAGTGTCATGAATGAAAGAATATACATCTTTATCTCATCATTCATTAATGGGAAATATTGGAATAAACTTGAATTATTATTAAAATTATAAAAGTCATCTTGGTAAAGGTTATTATTATCATCTTCATATTCTCCATCTAGAAATTGGAATGGTACTATTGGTTGATATTCTGCCCTACTACTATTATAATTATTATTATTATTGTTGGTATTATAAACCTTTTTAAAAAAACTTAAAAAACAATTCATTCCTTTTTTTTTAATTATTATTATTTTTGGGAGATAAAAGAGAGAGAGAGATATGAGGAAATAAATAAAATAAAAAAAGAGATAGAAGATAGATATACTTGGGTACAAGTAAATAGAGAGTGAGGAATGAAAAAGAAAAGAATCTTTTAAAAAAGTCGTAATTAAATACTCGTCGTTTGTTTGTTTGGCACTCACTTCTTTGCCACCACACACCAAACCTTTCAGTAACGCTTCATTTGCCATGTTCGTCAAAGTCCGAAAAAAGATTCAATAATATTAGGGGCTGCCCTTTCTTTGCTCTGTGTGTGGTGCAATTTAAAGATTTTTTAAAAACAGCAAAGGAAACCAATTGAGTCAAAGGGCTGGGAATGGGTAACCGAAATTGATTGGTGTTACTATTTGTGACAAGTCATCTTTTAATAGATAAAAATGGAAGGCGATCTGATGACCTTAATTATATTCATCATGATGGCATACATACAGATGTCAGGTAGGCGAACAAAACATAGAGAGAAAAAAAAATTGACTCGTTGTCGAACTTGATATTATTTGAACATGTACGTTTATTCGTTCGTTGTCGTTATTCTTTTTATCACTCGCTTTTGTACTCGTTCGTTCGTTTGATTAAGAGTTAGTTCTGTTTCCCTCATCTGTTGTTTGTAATTAATAAACAGAAAAGAACAAGTCATAGAACACAAATCTTTGCAAACGAGATTATAAATAGACGCTTGACGAATAACTATTATAGACCGTGTAAAGCTCGCTAGTTTGAGATTATTACTCGATGTGAGTTACTTATTACTCGAGTCGAGTAGTAGTTTACTCGATTCTCTCTGGGGATTGAATTCAACCACCATTGCAGCTAGGGGGTGATGACGATGCATTGCTTGGTTACCCAAACTTCTTTCTCTCTCCCTCTCTCTTTTTTTTTTCCCTCCCTCCACCAAACCTTTTTGAACAAGATATCTTATTTGTTCTTGAAAGTTATCTGTTCATTTCATTCTTTTTCTTTTCTTTTTTAAAAATAGTAATAGTGAGGATCCCCTTTCTGGCCCCGATAAGTTGGAATGGATGGTTTGCCCACACCAAATCTAAAAATACCAAATTGAGGCATGCCACCTATCAAAAAATCAATACTTGTCAGATATGTTGTTTGTTTTTGGAACAAAATATTTGTTTGTTTTGTTTTTGTTTTTGTTTTTGTTTTTGTTTTGTTTTTTTTATTGTCTAACAACAGGATTTGGTAGAATCAAGAATTTATCAATCCTTGATAATTCATCATATGTTTTTTCTTTTTGCATTTGGATCATGATTTGTTTGAGGTAGGCATCGTCGACTGTGATTTGGTAGTTTTTACCAATCTCTCTCCATCGTTCCTCTTCCAGAGGTAGGTTGTTCATTCTATAGTAGCCAACGAATCGACTGATAATAAAGAGGGTTGGCGCGGCAAGACATTCGTCACGTCTGCGTTCAAACGCTCGGATGGCATGTTCTGGCTGGTCGTAGACGAGGTAGAGCTCAACCAGCTTTCCAAAGATCTGTTCCTTCTTTTGAGAGTGTTGGGCATCGGAAATCATTCGATAGAGACGTGGCACAAGATTGAGGGGGTCACCACGACTGTGCAGATAAAATATAATGGTGGCAGAGCCAACGGGCGTCGTTTTTTGTTGGAGGAATGTTTGGCAGAGAGTATTCATTTTCTTGGTAAAGTTTCGACGCGAGTAGTGCTGCAATAGCAAGACGTAGGAGCGTACCGACAAGACACTGGTGATGACGACGGTGTGATGGTCGACCCAATCATCGATCGACTTTTGGTCATTGACCGATGCGAGGTATCGCAAGAGTTGTTCGTGCGGTTCCGACGTCTCGAGTGTGAGTGGCGTGTGGTAGACGGTATGATAAAAGTAGGGAACGGCCACGTGTCCGTGACCAAGCTCGACAAACACGGTAAAGAGTTTGGTGAGTGTGACAAGATCGGTCTTGTAAGAGTTGAATATATCCTTGACAAACGGGATATTGCCCATCTGCACAATCAGCGACAACAAGCTTTTAAAGGAATCGATCGACAAGAAAAAGCCAGCCTTTTTCGTCTCTGGGTCGAGAATGATTCGCATATACTTGAGAATCTCTTCGACAGAGTCTGTGCTTTCGTAGATTTTGTTGACCAAACTATCAAAGTGCTTGTCAAATGGTAGGGCTGTCTTTTTAATGATCGAAATGCATCGATCAAAGTTTTTGGTGTGAATATAGTGTTGCAGGATGTATCCCAACACTCGATCCGAGTATTTGATACGACTTTTGTTAATCTCGACGACCATTTCCTCTTTCTCCACATGTAGATTCTTGGCCGTGTAAAAGTCCAACATTTCCTCGTAATAGATGATATTTTCCTTTAGATAGTATCCATAATCATCTCTAATGTTTTCAGCCAAACTATTTGCATTACTAAATGGTCTAATATACCTCAATATCGTCGACGTTGCCAATTGCATCAAAATAGCATCTTGTTTACAATAATCCATCACTCTATAATACATATTTTCGATATAATGATGTGATTCTTTAAAAGTTGTAGTTTCAACAAAATAACAAAATCTAAAAGTAAAGTTACATAAAAGAAAGTATTATTATTAATCATATAGTTTGTGTTATTATTATTATTATTATTTCTTCTTACACAAATACTAAATGTTGTAGACCATCATAAACTTGATTAAAGAATAATTGAACACTTTGTTTCGATCTTATACTATCCAAGACTTGTGAAATTGATTCCTTATCTAATTGTTTTATAAATTCATCGTATTGTGTTTCTTTTAAACGATAGGCAATAAGGTTTTTGTGGGATCGGTCATTGAGTTGGGCTATACCCTCCCTTCCAATCAAATCCTTTTCTGTTCTATGTCCAACAAACTTGTTATATTCTACTTTCTTCTTTTCAAGATAGAACTTTGGTAAAAGGGGTCGATTTACCATTGGTTCATTTGCCTCCAAATTATGATGTTGTGACCATCTTTGAAGTTTAATTTCTTCTTCTTGTTCTTGTTCTTCAAATTCTTCAAATTCTTCTAATTCTTCATATTCTTCCTCTTCTTCTTCTACTTGGTCTAGTTGTTTGTTGTTTCTCTTATTATTTGTATTTGAATAGGTTCTTTTAATAGTTGTAGTGGTCGTAGTAGGTGGTTGAAAAGAGTATGTAAAAGTAGTAGTAGATGAATGATGTGAATGATGTGACTTGAGCAGTGATGCTGTTGTCTGTTGTGATGCTAAACGAAGTGATCTACTGATCATCATCATATTTGCAAATATTAGATTTAAATATGTAATGTATGTCTGTATGTATGTGTCTAATACGATATAGATTAATTAATTAAATGACTCTAGATAGATATTGTTGTATCATTGCTTTTCACTGCTGGTGATCAAACAACAAACGATTCGTTTTTTTCATTTTAGTCGAAGTTTCGAAAACCTTGGGTTTTATTAAATTTATAATTTGGATGGTGTATTATTACCATTATTATTATTATTCGGATTGTTATTCGGATTACTATTATTATTATTCAATGGATTGATCTGTAAAATAATATTATTATTATTGGATAGTATTGGTGGAATTAAAATGGGTGGTGGTAATTGTTTGGTCTGGTTTAGTATTATTTTACCTCCACTATTATTCCTAGAATGACTTATTAATATACTGTTATTATTATTATTATTATTATTTGTTGTTTGTAAAGGTGGTGAAATGGTTGTTGTGTTGGTCGTAGTTGTGGTAGTTGTTATATGTGATGTGGATGGTGATGATAAAGGTGATGATGATAAAGATGATTGGCTTGATGAAGTAGTAGAGGAAGAGGAAGAAGAAGAAGAAAATCTAGCATTTCTTAAATATGGATTGATATTTCTATTTGATGGTGGTGTTAATTTACTGTTATTATTATTATTACTGGTACTAATTGAATGATTAACTTGGTTTTTGTTATTATTATTATTATTATTTGGAAATGAATTTTGATATTCTTGTTTAATTCTTTGAGATGCAATATCTGAATAATTGGTATTTAAAACTATAGATTGTGGTATTGATACTCTAAAATATGGATGCCTGAGTGCTTCAATAGCAGTCGGACGTTTAATAGGATCGTATCGTAGCAAATCATACATTAAATCAATTGCATCATTATTTGCATTTGGTAATATAGTTGATAAATGAATTGGTCCAATCTAAATAATAAATAAAAAACAAAACATTAATCAAAATGATACTCTTTTCTATTTCTTTTTTCTATTTCTTTACATTTGGAAATTTGAATTGTTTTAGAGTTGATAATTTAATTCCATCAGGCCATGAAGACATGGTTGGAGGGCCAAGTACATTACCAATTTTAAATAATTGATCGATTTCACTTGACCCTGGAAAGAGAGGTTTAAGTGAATAGAGTTCTGCCATGATGACTCCAACCGCCCAAATATCAATCGCCGAGTTGTAAGTCTGAGCATGCAATAGCACCTCTGGTGCACGATACCATCTCGTTGATACATAGGTTGAAAAGGGTGGTTTGGCATCAATCTTTCTAGCCAATCCAAAATCGGCAATCTTTACAGTATCATTTAATACCAATAAATTCTCTGGCTTCATATCTCGATGAAAGTATCCTCTTTCGTGCATAAATGCCAATGCTTGTAATATTTGATATCTAAGTAGTATATATATAGTCAATTGTTAAAATCAATCCATAGTCAAACCAACCTCTCAGTGAGTTGTTGTACTTACACCATATTCCTAATCTTTGATTCTGGTAACAATTTGTTTCTATCTTTAATCTTTTCATATAGATTACCATCAAGATATTCAAATACAAAGAATAGTTCATCGTTTTGTCTAATTACTTCTTTCAACTTTACAATGTTTGGATGATTTAGATTATGTAGTGTATTGATCTCTCCCAACTGTATACATTCCTCCCATGATTTATATGCTTTTTTCATTCTTTTGATCGCAACCTAATAACAAATTAGGTTAATTATATGTAATAGATCAACATAAATGTGTTGTTGTATATAACATACCACTTCATAGCTCTCTCTATTAACAGCTTTGACCACATCACCAAATGATCCATCTCCCAATTTCATTAATATCTTGTATTTATCCATTCTCTCTCTTTGTTGTTTCTATATCTTATTATTACTATTATCTATTCATCTATATATTTATCTCTTGTTGAGGAGGATGAGGGCTGTTGATCGGTGGTGATTAATATTGTACAATTTTGTTGTTGTCGTTTGTTCTGTGATTTGACTAATATGACATCTATATATTTCTATTTCTATTTCTATTTAACTACTACTACGACTACTATACACTAGTATGAACGGTCATACATACTATACTATAAATACTATATATCTTAATTTATCTTTTTTGTGTATTAATTAAAAAAAATGAATCGATCAGAGTGACGGAAGAGGTGGGTTCAAAGTGAGTGTGCACTTACTCTTTTATTATTAATTAATAATAACGTTTATAGTTTAGTTAGAAAGGAGGAAGATAGAGTAGAGGATAAAGGAGGATGAGTAAAAAGAAGATAATCAATACAGTTATATTAGATATAGAGGGTACGACGACACCCATCACATTTGTACATGATGTGATGTTTGTTCATTTCAGAAATAGATTGATGTCATTTATCACAGAGAGATGGGGATCGCAACCAATTGTAGATGATGTCAATGCATTGTATAGGTTGTATAGGGATGACAAGAGCAGTGGTGTCGACCATATAGTTGGTCAAAAAGGTGTGCTTACACTCGACCGTTTACCGGCCATCCTCGACCCATCCGACCCAACCTCATCACAACAAGACAAGATTCAATCCGTCTACGACAACTGTATAGCGTTACTTGACATTGATCGCAAAGCAACACCATTCAAACAACTCCAGGGGACATTATTCAAAGAGGCATTTGAAAGTGACGTACTTCGTGGTCAAGTGTATCCAGATGTATTTGAATCGGTCGATCTCTGGACCCAATCAAATGCATCGGTCTATATCTACAGTAGTGGTTCTATCGCTGCTCAAAAACTACTCTTTGGTAATTGTGGACCTACAACTCAAGCAGACCAAAAACAACAAGCCGCCATCAATCTATTACCAAAGTTTAAGGGTCACTTTGACACTACTATTGGCAGCAAGATTGAATCGACTAGTTACACCAACATCATCAATCAAATAGACAGTGCTACCGCCGACACAACCCTGTTTGTGACAGACTCGCAAAAGGAAGCTTTGGCAGCCTCACAATCCAACCTCAACGTTGCCATCAGTATCAGACCTGGTAACACACCCCTCGACGAATCACTCACTCAACAAATCAAATCAATCAATCCATCCGTATCAACCATCACTTCTTTTATCGATCTTTTCAACCATTATACTTTTCAACAACAATAATCAATAATTAGTAATAATAAACATAAACAAGAAGGACCACCCACATATATGTGACAGATAGGTAGATCATGATCTTGATCACGTCATACTATATTATCCTTCAGAGGCAAGACTATCACAACAATAATAATATATAAATAATTTACTCGATTTGTGAATATGATCTTCAATGAATCTAAAGGCTTCCCAAATTAAGTGAAAAGTAATTGTCAAAAACACAATAATAATTATGGTCATAATGATCTGGCTGTGTGATGACCAGATTATGACCAAGTTTGAAGTTCAATAGTGGTGATGAGGGTTTGCCAAAGCTTTCTGATGGATGACCCCCATTGCTTTAAAACAACCTTCTGAACCATTCATTTTATTTTATTCATACACATATAAACAAACAAACAAACATATAAATAATAATAATGTCATTATTAGTCAGAACTATTCAAAGAACATCAATCCTTGCTCCACGTATGGGATCAACTGCCTTTATCCTCAGAGCAAAGGATAACCTTAAAGAAAGAGAAGATGCCTTGGAAGAACAATATGTCAAGGAAAAGGAAAAGGATGACCTCAGAAAATTAAAAGACGTATGTAATCACATACATCAGATGACATAAAGAAAGGAAAGAAGAAAGATTGATACTAATAATAATAATGTAATCATATGATATATACTATTTCTTCTTTCTCTCTAGAAATTAACAAAGGATGAAGCTAAAAAGGTTGATACTAGCAGTGTACAAGGTGTACAAAGATCAAAGAAGGAAATTGATTCTGAAATTGTTAGCTTGGAAAAGAAAGTAAAGGAACTCCAAGACCAAATTTCAAAGTTAAAGAAAAAGTAAACAAAAGTAAAGAAAGTTAATACTTTTCTCCTCCTTTCTCTAAATATAAATAAAAAAGAATAATAATTGTAATATTTTTAAAAATATTGTTTGTTTGTCTCTTGTCTTGTGGTTTGGTTGTTTGTTGTTATAATTATTATATTATCTATACAAAATTTATTTATTTCTCTCCATCGATCAAGATCATATTAATCATCACTTTCTTCTTCTTGACTGTCTTCATCATCTTCATATTCATCTTCACTATCTGCAACATATTTATGATTTGGATTTCCAATTAAATCATCTAATCCACCATCACTGTCACTATCATAGTTGTTTATGACAATCTTGTTGTTATTATCGATAGACTTTTGTTGTTGTTGTTGTTTAGTATTATCTTCTTGGAATTCTTTTGGCCTATATAGAAGATATAATTGCATAAGTATAAGTATACTATCTTTTCTGTCGTTTGTTTGTTTGTTTGTTTGTTTGTTTGTTTGTTTGTTTGTTTGTTTGTTTGTTACATACCAAAGATTAACTTTTACAAGATGTTTAATTTGATCTTCACCCAAGATACTAACAATAGAGGTTCTAACCTTACTTGTTTCTTGTGTATCTTCTTGATCAATAATAGCATATGTACTACCTATACGTCACAACAAGATAGAAGTTAATAGTTAGCAACATATCACTTTTTCTATCTATATATTTCATTCTATCTGTCTATCTATCTATGTATGTTTACCTTTCTTTATCCATAACTTTTTATTAAATTTAGAAGGGAGGATAGCCAATGTAGTTGTTCCATTTGAGTATTGTACCTCTGTTAATTTGCCACCCCGAATGTCAACAACCTTGACGATGGATTGTGTTTCATTGGGTTCGACCAAATCATTCAGAGAGGATGTGACATGTTTACGAGCGTGACTCATTAAAATATACCCTAATGCTATGTATTATTACTAACAAACACTTTTGTTTTGTTATATCTAACTAAAATTGCTATAATTACACACAAAGCAAGATAGAAATCTTAAAGATTGCTCTGGTCAATCGTTCGTTTTTTTTTTTTTTAATTAAAATTAATTAATGCAACAAAAGGTCATTCTCTCTTTCATTGCTATATAGATTAGACATATGTAATAGTTAGTTAGATAGTTTGGTAGAATGGATTTATTTGACTTTGTAGTGTTAACAGTCATCGTTATCTTGTTACCATTGGTAGCAGATTTACTCAATGGCATGTTCCCACACGCTAAAATTGGTAGAATTGCACAGAGAGTAGTTGGATATGTATTGGTATTTTTTATAGCATCGCTTATTCTAGTTGCTTTCTATCTTTGGTATTCGGTCTACTTTCCCTATCTCGTGATGACACGCGATTTGGAGGCATCTTCACTAGTCTATCACCTCAATGTCTTTACTTGTGTATTCCTCGTATTCACAATACTCTTTTACTATTATATGGCAATCACAACAACCTCTTTTATGAAAATACAACCAATCAACAATAATAAGAGTGGTGGAGATGGAGATTCATCATCTGTTGGTGGAACCTCTAAAACACAACAATGTAAGCATTGTAATGCAAACAAATCAACTAGTAGTAGATCATATCATTGTAGAATATGTAAAAGATGTACAGGTAGAATGGATCATCATTGTCCATTTATTGCCAATTGTGTAGGTGTTCGTAACCACCACTACTTTATATCATTTCTAGTGTATGCTATCATGGGCATCTCATACGCCTGTTATCTTTCATATCAACCGTTCCGAGACTGTATACTAAACACGCCATTAGAGGATGCACTCTGTCACCAACTTGGAAAACACAACTATATATTTTTGTGTGCTTGTTTGGTACATCTCCCCATTGCAGCCATCCTCTCGTGGCAGCTATACGTAGTGCTCGCCGACACCATGACCGTAGAGATACTTGGTCACTTTAGAACCATCCCTTTCAAACGTTGGATCCCATGGTTATACACCAATTTTAAAAAGAATTACAAATTATCCAACTTATCCAATCTCTACAATAATCGTTGGAAACTTTATAATTTAATTGTACCATTTATATAAAACAAAGTAATAATAATAACAAATAACTTATTTATTTCTTTCTTACAAATTTTACAAATGTTTTTTTAATTTTAATTTATTTACAAAAAGATGATTTAATTTAATTTGGATTTAATTTGGATTTGTTTTGATTTACAATTCATCCATTTCATGTGCAACTGATATGGCACTCATACCAAATGTAGCACCTGAAGAATACCCAGATTCAGATTCAGAGTTGATATTATTTGGACCACCAGGTGTAATGGTCGACCCAGAGTGGTTGTTGGTAGATGAACCAAAACCGGTAGATGATGTGAAGTGGTCGAGTTTGGCACTAATAATCTTGGCAAATCTATTGTTGCACACAATGGATCCTCTCCAAATACTCCTGGTACGACTCGTCAATCCATAGAGGAGGAAGCTGAAAACACCAAAGATACGGATACAGAAAACAAAAAAGCCTATGCCAACTGCATTGGGACCTTGGACAATACATTCTGCAATAGGATCAACAGTCTTTGGATTTGTCAAACATGCAAAGTAGGTTGGAATGGAATCATAAAATCGATCAAGTGATGATACTACATATTGATCAAAAGAAAACAAATACAAAAGAATTGTATAGTATGCCAACAAACTACAAATTGGTTTGATTTCCATTTTTAAAATATTCCACCTTGATTGATCGGTTTTTGATATTTTTACTGATACAATCTAAATATAAAAGTATTTAAAATATTAAGTTAATCTAATCAAAACAAAACAACTACAAATATTTGTTTGTAAGTCTACTTACAAGATAGATTTCTCTCATTAATAATAATAAGAAAATAGTACCAGCAAATAAGAATACAGCCAATGGTCCCCAAAAGAATGCATTTCTATATTTTGGTGTTGCTATCCAACAACTATATAAAAAAAATAAAATTAATAAATGTAAATATTATTTGTTTGTTGGTTTGTTTTTCTGACATACAAAACATTTCCAGGACCAGCATGATAATCTCTAGCAGATATAGTAACAATTGGACAAACCAATGAAACTATACTAGTACCGATACAATAGTATTTGAAGAAATATTCATTTTTCTTAGATCCGACTGTCTTGATGGCATACCAAATTTCAAAGGTCATGATAGACCACCATGTCACAACGTAGAGTGCGGACAGATGGAGGATAAACCCTGTTGCAATACAATAGTCGTCGATGGGGGAAGCAGAACGACCTGGTTCTGGACAGAGATACTGGTCACCTTTGAATGCCTGGATAACACCTGCCAAAGCAATACCAAAGGCACCAGACATGACACAAATATTAATCTTGTCAAACCTTGTCATCTTTGGATTCAGTGGACCGTAGGTGATGATTAAAAAGGACGTACAAAAGAGTGAAAGGAACGATAAAATATCACCCATTGTATAGATTTGTTTCCAAGTCTTGGGTGTAAAGATGGGCGATGGACAAGGCGATACACATGAACTAGTGTTGGAGACATACGTGTAACCTTGGTATTTTGAAGCAGCATGGTCATCGGTTGGATGTAAAAGGAGTGGACTTGGACAAAGTGAATAGGTGACATTGGAATCTATTAAATATGGGTCTTGACAGGTAACCGAGTAATTGGCCGATCCCCCATTATACGACGTTAGATTATAATAGGATGTCTCTAGTGGAAAGGTTGAATAATTGTATACTCCATTGACAATGGTTGCATCACAGTTTACAAATGACTTTGGGATACTACACAAATTAGTTGTATTGACACAATTCTTTGAACATGGGTATTTTGGGAATGCCAATACAACCGATGAATTTGTTTCTTTAAATTCTACACATTCCATAAAAAACTATAAATATTGATATATTAGTTTTTTGGTTTGTTGGAATAGTTTCTTTCACTCTAATAATATTATACTTACAAATGCACATAGAGTTTTATAGGTATCTTGGATCTTACAAGCATCTGAACCACTAAAATCCAGAATTAACTTTAATTGTAATGCTTGATCTCTCAGATCGGTCTGAGTTGTTGTTGAATTGACATAAACAGAATCTAGTAGAAGATTAATAAAGAAATTAAATGGATCAAGTTAGTTTGGTTGGACAGAGGGGTTAGGGGATAAATAAATATTTCAAATATCTTTACTAGCATTGGCCAAAAGTCCGTCACAAATGGGGGTACCTATGGGATCACCTATATAAGGTTCACAACGACCAGTTGGATCAACAGGATAATAATCTTGAGCTGTACAATAAACAATTAGGAGAATTGATAAAATTAAATAAATGTAAACAATGAATTTCATCATTTTAGATATATAAATAAATAAATAAATAAATAAATAAATAAATATTTTGTGTATATGTACAATATAGATATAAATATATCTATTGAAACTATATATATCTCTCTCTTATCTCACAACAATGAAAGTGAAGTTGTGTATTATATATGGGTATGTGAAACTTTAATTTATAAATAAATCTTGATTGATGAAATAAAATTTTAAAGTATGCGGATAAAGATTGATCCGAATAGGAGATTTCTTGTTTGCTTACCTTACATTGTTGGAGTTTAATACCCTCCTCGAAATGATTTATAAAAAGTTAGCACTCACTCTACAACCGTCTACTTCTTTTACTGGGATAAAGAGTTCCCAAATGATGTTTGCTCTCTTTCAAACAATGCAACAACAACATCACCCACATCGCCATGAGGGTTACTATAGAGGTCTTGAGATGTATGTACCTTGTCCATATCCAAAAGTACTTGAGAATTGTAGATATTTTCAATATCCGCAAATCCATTGGAGCCTAGCCCTTGAAAAATCGTGATACGGGGATCATCGCAACTCCTGAAACTTTCCATCAGTATCCTCGTAAACCAAAAAAGATCGGCAATTTAAATATCCAGTTGAATGGAAAGCCTCCCATCTTTGAAAAGGTATTTCACTGTTTTGTCCGTGTTACTCTAATCCTTCAACCAACCCATCATCTTTGCATATATCTCGATGTGAGGGGAAACTAGACAGCCGATCTGTATTCGCTATTCTCTCTGGTTGTAGGACAACGGTATACGACATATCACCTTCGTCTTCATTTGCTTCAAGATTAGATAGATTAACCGATTATGGCTTTGATAGTAGTAGCCGCTTTGCTGGACTTCATCAGGCAATTCAATTTCAAGAAAGGTAGGTCATCAAACTAAAACTAAACTAAATTAACTTGTTGTAGCTATATGTTTGTAAATTGGAAATATAATATAATAATGATGATATGAGATTGAAGTTGGGATCGATCACCTCTTTCATAGACTATGGTTTCTTTGGTTACCTCTGCTCTACTTTGACCATTCACTTAATGTCATTAGGTGTAATAAACACTGACCTGACGTTTAATTAAACGAAATGAAGCAAATGAAGCTGCTCCGTTGTCTCTATTTGCTGAATTAATATTAACTAACAAACTACTATGTTGAAAGAATGCACCAAGCAACCGATACTGGATGACATTCATTGTTTATGAATCAACGAAACAGTCTTGTCTTGTCTCGTCTGTCATACTATACTATGCTTTTATAATGAAAAAATTTTTTGGAGGTTCTCCTCATATTGAATTCAAAGAATGGAATTCCATTCACAAACTATTTTTTTTGCGCAAAACTCATCCTCCATATTTAATGACAGAGGAACAAATACTTTAATTATTATTATAGACCAAAGAAACAAAGTATAAGCAATATTATACTACTAATTATTTATTAAAAGAAGAAGAAGAGTTAAATATTAACCTTTATAAACGAACGAACAAACGAACTAGACAACAACAAGTCTGAATTAAACAAGGGTAAGGCATAATTCAAACAAGCTGAACAAGCAAAGCGATGATACCATCCACTCCAAAATAATTTAAAAAAAAAAAAACAAAAACCCAAAACCCTTTCGCACTCTCTCTCCCTCTCACTCTGTGTCTGCACACCTGATCTATCATTGCTAGCAAGACAATCACACCCACACCCTACCTATCATATCATATTATATTATTATATTTCTTTTCTTTTCATTGTTCTTAAAACTAGTTAGTAGTAAATATCAATCAATAAGTGAATATATATATTCATCACTATCAATCAAAAGAGAAGAGAATAGATTTATAGTCACAAATCAGATTTAATATACCTATAGGTGCAAAGCGACTGGTCGACATAGAGAGAGAGAGAGAGAGAACGATACTACAACAACTCACCATCGCCGTCGTCGTCTTATTGCTCACCACATATATACCGCCACCACCAGAACCACTTACATTTACACAACACACTACTCACTCCACTCACCCACCTACCAATAACAACAGCTGCAAGGGAAAGAGTGTTTGTTTATTTTTCTCCATTATCATAATAATATTATTGATACATGATACAATTACAACTACAAAACGACAACATAAATATCAATTTAAAATAATTAGATAGAGAGAGAGAGAGAGAAACAACAACATAATTATTATCTATCTATCTATAACAAAAAACGAAAGAAAAAGAAAAAGAAGAAATATTTAGATAATTTCACATGAACAGGTACAATAACGAATAGACATAAACAACAGCAGATAGAAGTGTTATTTCAAGATTATTTGGAATCATATTTTTAATTCACAAAGTCATTGTCAGTATAGTAGCAGTAACAGTAGTTGTTGTGGACAATATTGTAGTGGTAATAATAATAATAATAATAATAATTTGATGAGATAAAGACAATAGTCATCAATCACATCAAGAGATGTGTTGTAATCATTTTGTCAATCATTTAGAGTATCTCCTAGACTTGGGATGTCAGGGACTTGCTTGTGTGATTGTTGTGATGATAAAATTTTATTTATAATTATCGGTCTGCCCTCCTATTTTTTTTTTTTTTTTTTCTCGTTTGTGTTTTTTTTTATTAATTTTGTTGTAAAAAAAAAAAATTGTTGTTATTTCAAAATATTTCATTATTACTACAATTCAATTGATTGATCGACTATAGTTCTATTCTATAAATATACGATTAAAACTACTCCTCCTCATCCTCCTCTCAAGGTAAAAATGCTTGCAACAGTGGGATTGACACACCATAGGATTTGTTTTTGTTTCAATCATCATCATCATCATCATCATCTCAATAGTTTAGATTTGTAGACTAATTATAATTTACTAATACTCATATCTTGTCCATCTTAATCATCATCTAGATAAACAATATAAATTCAACAACAGGATACTTATTATTTATTTAGAAACTTTACATCAACATAATATAAAAAAAAGAGAAAAAGATAGAAAATGTCAAATACAGGTACTACAGCTTCAAACAAGAGCGCAGCTTATGATTATCTCATCAAGTTATTACTCATTGGTGACAGTGGTGTAGGAAAGGTATATAATATAATATCATTTAAATCAAATTTGATTATTGGATTGGATTGGTTGATTATTCTATTTACTATTTATTATTGGTATATTGATTGATTGATTGATTGGTTGATGACATTGGATTTGGCAATCGATGACAATAAGGACAATATATATGCTATTTCCCTAAACCTATGAATGGTGATCACCATCATCATCGTCATCGTCATCATCAATAATCAATGAATAATAATAGTTGGACAGGACAATCTCAATACCAATCTCATGACAAAGCAAGAAATACCTTCATTATTCTTTTGGATATTAATATTTGTTTGTTTGTTATTTTATTTATAGAGTTGTTTATTATTACGTTTCTCTGAAGATTCTTTCACACCAAGTTTCATTACCACCATTGGTATTGATTTTAAGATCCGTACAATTGAATTGGAAGGAAAGAGAATTAAATTACAAATTTGGGATACTGCCGGTCAAGAAAGATTTAGAACTATCACTACTGCCTATTACCGTGGTGCTATGGGTATTTTATTGGTATATGACGTTACTGATGAAAAATCATTTGGAAGTAAGTCAAAATAACCAGTTCATTGTCAATTTATTTTTTCCGGATATTAATAGTCATCATTCTTATTTATTATTATTAGATATTAGAAATTGGATTAGAAATATCGAACAACATGCTACCGAATCTGTAAACAAAATGTTAATTGGAAACAAATGTGATTTGCCAGAGAAAAAGGTTGTTGATAGCTCAAGAGGAAAAGCTCTTGCCGATGAATATGGAATTAAGTTTTTGGAAACTTCTGCCAAGAACAGTATAAATGTAGAAGAAGCCTTTATCAGTTTGGCAAAGGATATTAAGAAGCGTATGATTGATACTCCAAACGAACCAAATAACCAAACTGGTAACGCACAACTTTCTGATACCGCACCCGCTAAACAAAAGAATTGTAAGTTTACAAAACTAAAAGTATAAAAAGAAAGAGAGAGAGAGATCCTTTTACTTATATATATATATTTCTTTTATTTATTTAGGTTGCAAATAATTTGTTAGTATTATTTATGTTTTACAATTATATTTCTTCTCTTTTACAATTACCACCACCCTCCTCCTCTACTCATCACTACCAAATAACAACAACAATATAACTTATATTAAAAAGACCCCAACAACAACACTATAACAATAACAACAAACCAAAACTCTCTCCCCCTTTATTATTTAATAATTAATATATTAATAATAGATACATGTATTTATGGATTTTAGTCTACACCAACTTTTGTGAGGTAGATTGGACTTTGGAATAAAAATAAATTACCCTTTCAAAAAAAAATAATAATTTAAGTATTTATATACTAGAGTTAATTTATTTAATATTTTACTTTATTTAATTTAATAATAAAGTATATTTATATTTTTGTTTGTTTTGGAATTAATTGATTGTGATGGATTGTTGAATTCCTTATATTTTTAATAATCTTCATCAACCATTTTAAAACTATTGATTTTTTGATTTTTATACATATCAACGATTTGAGAGGCGGTGGTTGCATCTTCTGGATTCTTATCTTTACGAATTTGAATAAATCTTGGGAAACGAAGAGCTATGCCCTTGTTGGGATCCAACACACCGACGGCAGCAGTGTGAATGGGAGAGATGGAGAGATCGGCGGCCAATACTTCCCAGACCTGAGATGGATTGAACCAAACATCTGGTTTTAAATTGTCAGATACGATATAGGTGTTTTTACAACTATTGGTGACTTGTGGTGCGAGGATCTCAGTAAATTCTTTCAGTTGTTCATCACTAAACCCAGTACCAATCTTGCAAAGAGTTTGGAAATCTTCATTGTCATCGTCATAGCATGCCAATAAATAGGCACCATAGACACCAGTACGCTTACCCTTTCCGTACCATGCACCAATGGGAACAACGTCGACCGAGTCTGTCATGCCTGCCATGTAATCCTTTTTGATCTTGAGCCAGTTGTACGAACGCTTGGATGGTTCATAGATGGACTGCTCCTTGAGAGTTTTGACCATCAAACCTTCGCAGTTGCCGTCGATGGCTTCTTGCAAGTACAGCTGGATATCGTTGACATCTGAGATGTTGGCGTGTTTGGCGTAGGTGAGGGCACCGGGCGTCTCTTTAAAGTTGGCATAGAGCACTTCACGACGCTTGTAGAATGGCTCGTCAATCAAACTCTTTCCGTTGAGGTAGAGCAAGTCAAAGGCAAATACACAGACTGGAATCTTAATTTGATCCAACGAAACACCCTTTCGAGGTCTCGAAGAGAGGATTTGGAACGAGAGAATCTTGTTGTTGGTAGGGTCGTACGCAACAGCCTCGCAATCCAGGATAAAAGAGGTGACACCCTCTCCAATGAATCGCTTGACGTTGGCGATGATATCGGGGTACTTGCCAGTATAGTCTTCGAGGTTACGTGTGTAGATGCTGATTTTACCGTCTTCGGTGAGATGGATTTGTGCGCGTTCACCATCATACTTGAACTCGCAGGTAAACTCCATCTCTTGGAATCGGTCCAATACTTGGGTGATACCGGTTGTTGGCTGTGCCAACATTGGCTTGACGGGGATACCAGCCATCAACCGACACGTCTCGAGGATCGTGTCAACACCATCGGCCACTATCAATCGAGGTACGAGCAGGTCATAATTGGGTAACTGACTGTACGCACGTGTGACCTTGGCAACAGCCGCGTCTATCACACTTGCAAACTCCTCGGTAGTCTTACCCTTTCTAGTGTCCAACTTGCCATTGGGTTCCGATGCAATGAGTGCAGGTGGCGAGATGACCATGGCACGAGTCAACGCAATCAACACTGATCGCTCTGCCAACCCAATACGTAGTTTACCCTGCAACGAACGGATAATGTAGAGTGCTTCACTCTCTTTGCAACTGACCAACAACTTTGTTATAAGATCCTTTTTTTTGTTTTGTGAAGAGTTGCCAGTCATGTCGGCAATCTGCGAGAATATCTTGAATACACCTTGGATGGTGAGTGGTGGTGGTGCAAACATCATTGTCTGGGTCATTCTACTCGATTGCGCAATGATACCCAAATCACCAACCGTCTTTAACTCCTGTTTGATAAATTCCATTGTACGACCTGTACTTTCAGCGACGGCCTTCATCAAAATCGATTCTCCAATGCCCAACTCCTTGCCACCATACGATGGACCAATCTTGTTGATTGACATATAAATGGTATTGATCAAATCACCTGGTGTCAATGCCATAATCGATCTAAATAAATTGGTTAAATGTTCAATGATTAAAAGTCTACGTGATGTTCCTTCAATTAATTCAAAGGTTTTTGCTAATGCCATATATGGTACTCTAAAAAAGTAAAAATAAATAAATAAATAATAATTAATACACAAATAAATCAATCTTTTAATATTAATATTAATAATATACATACGGTAATCCCTTTTTCCATTGTGCATCAGTGATTGGATGATATTTTGAAAGATTAGTTAATTCTTGTTCCAATTGTTTGGCAGTTGATTTTTGTTTGACTGGTTTCTTTACAAATATTTTCTTTTTTAAAACTACAGTTTCACCTTTTTCATTCTCTTCTTCTTCTTCAAATTCTTCTTCAATTACTTCTTCCTCATCCTCTTCTTCCTCTAATTCTTCTTCTTCTTCTAAAATTTCATTTTCATCGTTTGATTTTGTTGTTGTTGTAGAGGTAGTTGAAGTTGTTGAAGTAGTGGTTTCCAGATTTTTTTTGGTTGGTAAAACTGTAACAGTTGGAATTAAGTTGTCTTTCTTGGTTGGTGAAGTTGTTTGTTTAATTGGTGAGGTTGATTTAATTGGTGTTGATGAAGCAGATGATTCTTGTGAATCACTCATTGTATTATTATTATTAGTGCCGACAGCAGGAATAGTGGAATTATTATTATTATTATTTTTCTTTGGATCTTCTTCCATCTTTTTCTTTTTAATTGATGATCGTTATCCTCTTCCTTTTTCTCTTTGGTTTCCTTTTCCTTTTCCTTTTCCTTTGTATTCTTTTTAGTTGTTGTTGCAGTCTTCTTTGTTGTTGATTTTGCAGGCTTTTTAGGAGCAGCTTTCTTTGGTTTGGTTGGTGTTGGAGTTGGTGGTGAAATCGACTTTTCCTCGAAATTTGAAGAAGAGGAAGAAGAGACTTGGCTTGCAACTTTATGATCGTCATCACTCAAATCAAAGATATCATCTTCAATCTTTCGAGTGCTGATATTACTGTCTTCCTCTTCCTCTTCTTCTACTTGTTCATCATCCCTATTCTTTCTTTTTAGTTTACTACTCTTATCATTATTATTATTGGTTGTTGATGATTTCTTCTTATCATCATCTTTACTTGTCGTACTCGTTTGTTGTTGTTTCTTTGGTGAAGTTTGTGAAGCTGATGTAGAATCAGTCTTCTTTGTCAAGAATGATAACATTGAGCTTTGCATTGTTAAAAGTTATCTATTGTTGTTGTTGTTGTTTGAAAGTTACTCTCAAACAAACTAAAACTCTTTGAATGGGATATCTCTCTTCTCTGTAATTCTGATTGTAGTAAACACAGTATGTTGAGTAGAATGATTGATTCAAAAGTTTCCCGCGTTTTTTTATTTTCAAATTTAAAAAGGTGTCAGCCCTCTTTATCATTGTCATTACCCAACGTGCATATCAATATATATATTTATATATCTATCATCTCTATTATTACAACAGATTCATTAACCAAACTTTTATATAAAGTATTAGTAGTAGAGGGTTTATATCAGTCTATATCCAATCACAAAAATGGATACTGATATCATTACAGAAAACAACTCTTATGAAGAGGTAAACTAAACTAAACTCTTATTCCTCAATCAACTGATTTACTAATCATAACATCTATCTAATGTTTACTACTACTACTTCTACTACTACTATTAGTTAATGGAATATAAAAGTGCTATACTTGAAAAAGAGTATTTGAACTCAAGTCTTGCACTTCATCAGCTGATTGAAGTTCAATCACACAGAAAAACACAATATAACATTTGTATGTTCATTATTTTATAATTATTATTATTATTATTGATATGTATTCATTCTAATTGAATTTATTTAATATTTAGTCTTAAAGGATATGGAAATTGATGATACAAAAGAACAATGTTATTCAATATTAACTCAAGGAATCCAAATATTATTGGTAGGTTGAGAAAGAGAGATAAATAATATTCTTTAAACTTATTTATTATTTAATTTATTAAAGGATGAAACAAATCAAGAAAGAAAATCAATGGAAGATAAAGATTTGGAAGAATTAAGAAATATTTATAATGAAACCAAGGAAATGCTTGAAGACAAAATATTGGAACAATACGAGGATATTGAGGTGTTGCACGAAAAGATTAGAGAGGTCAATGATAGAAACTCTATTCTCTTGAGTGAAAATAGTTCAATCGATTCAAAGGTTAAGAATGAATTGAATAGTCTTGGCAGTGAAAAGGAAGTGCTCGTGGAAAAGGTTGCCAAACTAAAGGCAGAGAGAGAGGCTCTAAAGGAACGCATCATTGCCTTGGAGAAACAAGTCGACAGCTGTGAAAAGCAAATGGCACAACAAGAAAAATTGATCAACCAAAAGGAAAAGAAATTTGACCAGTTGGAAAAGTCACGCCAACGCGAACTCGAAGAGATGAGACAAAACTTGGAAAACACCACCAAAGAGGTGCGTTCGTTGGAGACACAACTTGCAAAGGCCGACCAACACATTAAAAAGGAAGAGACCAAGTGGAAGGAGGAAAAGGCCGAGATGGTCGACGACAACAAGAAGCGTATCAAGGCAGAGCAGGTCAAGACCAAGGAGGAGCTCGCCAAGGTCCGCGAAGAAGTCTCTGACAAAAAGGCCGAGATCCTCAAACTCAAAGAGACCGTCGACTCGCTAAAAGAGGACAATCTCGATCTTTCAAAGAGTGTCAAGAACATGCAAGCAGACATTGGCAGCAAGGAGTCGGCCGACACCAAGTTGAAGCAACTCAATGAAAAGCTGACTGCCGAGGTCAAGTCGCTCAAGGAAGAGTCCAAGCAAAAGGTGACCGATGCCAAGGAACAAGCCAAGGAAAAGGTCAAAAAGGACCAAGCCAAGCACAAGGAAGAGGTCGAGAAGCTCAACGACCATCTATCCCAACTCGAGGGTGAAAAGGAGGAACTCGAGCGTTCTGTTGCAAAGTTGGAGGCTCTCAACCAACAATTATCCAAAAAGCAAGAGAAATCATCATCCATTGAAGAAAAGATTGAAAAGGAAAGAGAACGTTTGGCAGAGCAAGTGGATGTGCTCAAAAAGGAAATGAAAAAGTTGGAAAAGACAAATGAAAAATTGGAAGACGACAATAATACATTGCTTGGCAGTCAAGATGCCAAGACCCAAAAGATCGAGCGTTCCCTTCGCGATGCCAACAAACAAAATGATGAACTCTTGGCCAAGGTCGATCAACTAAAAGAAGAGATTGTCGTCATCAAATCCAACGACAAGAGCATTGTCATTGAATCCAAGGAAAAGGATAGAAAGATCAAACAACTTGAACTTCAACTCTCTGAACGTTTGACTGAAAAGGAAAAACTCGAAGAATCTATTGGTAAACTTGAAAAACAACAACAACAAAAAGATAAAGAAAGAGAAAAAGAAAGAGAAAAGGAAAAAGAAAAAGAAAAACTACTTCAACTTCAACTTCAAAAGGAAAAGGAAAAGGAAAAGCATGGTCAAAAGAGACAGATTCAAGAAGAGGAAGAGGAACAAGAGAAACCTACACCAGTTTTGAAACCACTTTCAAAATCAAGTAGAAAGAAAAAGGTTGAAGAACCAGTGGTTGAGGAGGAGCCAGAAGAAGAGCCAATGGAAGAGGAAGAGGAGGAAGTTGTTCCAGCCAAGTCATCAAAGAGATCAACAAAGAAAACAAAGTTGACCGAAGAAAAGCCAGTAGTAGAGGAAGAAGTTAAAAAACCAGCCAGTCGCCGAGGTGGTAAAAAGGTACAACAAGAAGAGGAAGAGGAAAAGGTTGTTGAAGAGGAAGTCAAAAAGCCAGCCGGTCGTAGAGGTGCAAAGAAGGCTCCCGAACCAGAACCTGTACAAGAAGAAGAAGAGGAAAAAGTTGTTGAAGAGGAGGTCAAGAAACCAGCCGGTCGTAGAGGTGCTAAAAAGGCTCCTGAACCAGAAGAGGAAGAAGAAAAGGTTGTTGAAGAGGAAGTCAAAAAGCCAGCCGGTCGTAGAGGTGGAAAAAAGGCTCCCGAACCAGAACCTGTACAAGAAGAGGAAAAAATGGTTGAAGAGGAAGTCCCCAAGAAATCAACCGGTTCAAAGAGATCAACAAGAGGAAAGAGATCCCAAGACATTGAAGAAGAGGAAAAAAGAAAAATGAAAAGGAAAAGGAAAAGGAAAAAGGTTGTTCAAGAGGAACCAGCTGAAGCGCCTGCCAAAAAATCTGCTGCTCGTAGAGGTAGACCACCAAAAGATGTAGTAGCTGAAAAAGAGGTCGTTGAAGAACCAATCGAAGAGGAACCACCTGTAAAAAAGACTGGAAGAGGCAAGAGAGTTACCATTGTCGAACCACAAGAGGAAGAAGTTGCAGAGGAAGAAATTGTTGAGCCCGAGGAACCACCAGTCAAGAAGGGTACCAAGAGAGCTGCCTCAAAAAAAGAATAAACAACAAGACAAGGAAGAAGAACAACCAGCAGAGGAACAACCAGTAGAGGAAAGACCAAAACGAGCATACACCAAGAAATCAAAAAAGAATGAAGAACCAGTAGTAGAAGAAGAAGAAGAAGAAGAACCAGAGAAACAACCAACAAAACCAAAGAGATCTTACACTAAAAAATCAAACAACAAACAGGAGGAGGCCACTGCCGCTCCAAAATCATCAACTTCTAAACCAACTCCATCAACATCTTCTCCAGCATTTGTACAGCCAATTAAAGTGCCATCAAGTAGCACTACCAGCACCAGTGGCAGTGGTGGTACCACTCTATCATCACTCCACTCAATTATGAAAAATGTTGCAGGTTTAAATCTAAAGATTCCAAAACTTTCCCAAATGGGTCATTAAAATCAAATCAAATCAAACAAATAATCAGATCTGTGTAAACCCTCCCTCAATACCTATTTAAATAACAATTTTAGATTAGTGTGTATTATAATAAATATACATATATATTAAAAAAAAAAAATTAAATTACAAAGTAGAGAATGTTTAAAGATTTATTGTTGTACAATTTCAATTTCCTTTTCCTTTTCCATTTCCACCTTTTCTTTTCTACGGAAAAGAGTATAAGAAAGATTAGGAATAAAGGAACCAAAATCATTAGTGTATTTATCAAGGTTGACAAATATTGGTATTGTTTTGGATCGATGATAGTGAACAGTCATTGTTTCAATAGTATTGCTCTTGTTGATGAGAAGGAATACATTTTTAAATAATTCATCCATTTCTCCAGCCATTAAATGTGCATCATGGAAATCATAGGGTTTGAACATGACAAACTTGATTTTTAGTCTTTTAAGTGCTCCAAACTTTGCCAACAATTCTACCATATCCAATGTAAGAACGGTATCTTTGTTTCCAATACCCAATGTAAGGGTTTGAATTGATTTGAAACGATCTTGATCTGCAATCTGTTCTGTAAACTTTGTATTGACTTTTGATAGACGATACGATAGAGTAGTGATCGAGTGGAAGAGTTGATTGTTTGCAATCACTTTAAAATCGGTGCTTGCATTCATATGCAAATTTGAACAATACCTTAGGTATTTTTCAAATCCACTAGCGTTTTGTGAAATTAAATAGGATTGTGATACATAATCTCTATATTCTATTATTATTTCCCTTTCTCCATTTGGATTATTACAATTATTAATATTGTTTTTAGAATTAAATTTAATATTTTTAGATTTTAAATAATTAAATAATAAATCTAAATAATCAATATGATAATAGAATGAATTGATTGTCAATCTTTTTAGATTTGGACAAGAATCTATATAGCTTTTGATGAAATTGAATATTTCGGGAGGATAGATAGGTGTGTTTTTAAAAGTCAATGTTAAAGTTTCCAAGGTGGTACACTCCTCGTTGTTGAAAATGGTGTCGAATGAAAGAATGTTGTGGAATGGATGAATTTGAATATAAAGGTCTTGGAGTTTTGGAAAATGTTTTGGAAGGAAATGTTTTCTAAGACCTCGATACTCTAAAAGTAAAAGTCGCTCCAAACTAGGCATAACTTCTTTCTTCGTGAGTTCTACAAAGCCTTGACCTTTGAGTGATTTGATTTGACTTGTTTGAACCAAAGACATTGGACTCTGACCATCAGTACCAGAACCCATAAACTTATCATATAGAATGGATCTATATTTGTTTGTTGCACCGTCGTTACGATATGATACCATCTTGAAAAAGTATTTGGATACTTGTGCGAGTGATCTTACAATCCATTGATTTGAACATTCAATATCTTGAAATAATAAATCAACTATTTTAGAGAATAAATAGTTTGGCAAGTTCAATGTTGTTGCAGTAGTATTGTTATTATTATTAATCGCTGGTATTTTCCCTTCTGGTAGGAGTTTGAATAGTTTGGTATTTTGAGTGGCGGTAATATGTCTTTCAATGTCATCGAGTGTGTCATCTGATAGTCGATAATAGATACTCTCCCAGTTGCCGATACGGAAGAAATCATCTGGATAGGTAAACAGGTAGTGTCTGAGTGTAGGTATGTTGCATGTTGACATGATGGCTTCTAATAGCACGGAAAAGTCAGCTGTTCTCCACGCTCCAGTCTTTTCCAAATCGATCATTTCATTGTGATGGAATTGATAGTGACAGTTGATTAATTGGACTGCATCCTCGAGTCTCATACAATCTTGTCCAATACGACCACCCTCAGAGTAGTGATAGTGTAACATGTCAAAGATGTATTCAACATTCTTGGTGGTTGTGATGTGTCCCAAAAGGTGATGCAACCCCATACGCAATGAACTTTGCATCCAATCGCCAAACTCTTCCTTTAGTTTACCCTTTAGATGATCAGAGAGCATTCGAACCAACCGAGATACCTGAGGATGAGTTGGAAGTGAATCGACGATTTGGTCAACCAGCTTGATGACCAGGTTGGAAGAAGAGATTTTGAATTTAATCTCAAACTGCGAATAGAATTGCAAGAGATGAACGGCGGACTTTACCGATTGGGTGCGTTCCATGCTTCTGAGCATTCTTGGATTGAATTGCGATGCATTGATGAGCTTTGTAAAGCCAGTATCGTGCCAAGGAACAAAGTCAAATACTATTGTTTTGGCAATATCGATTGATACCTTCCATCTAAAGAATCGGTGGTTTGAAAAGAGATTGTGGGCCAGTCTGACAAGCTCTCGTTCCAACTCTGGACGTTCGTCATCATAGTCTAAAAAGTGACGGTAATTTGATCCAAGTACCTTTTGGAGTTGCTTTAAATGCACCTTGGTAAATGGTAGAGTGGATATGCAGCAGGTGGCCAAATGTCTAAATGCCTCCAAAAATAGAGGAAATGCTTCTTGATCAAACTTTTTAGCCTTACTCTCCAAATGTCCATGAATCTTGAATAAACTTTGATACACTAGTGGTGATGATCTAATCGTATCTATTTTGGTAATGATTCTCTCTTGCAATTTAATTTCCTTTTTTCCAATGGTAATTAAATCAAATACCCATCGTAACAGTTTTTCATTCAATGTAGAGGTAGGGGATGAAGAAAAGGAGGATAAAAAGCCAAAATGATAATTGGAGTGGTTTAATTGTACAAACTCGATCAAATAGCTAATTGAAACGATAATGTCGACATTGTCACTAAAAAGCGATTTGAATGAAATTGCGTATTGGTTTAATTGATCGGCACAAAGTATAAAGTTGGAGGCGACCACTGGTTTTGGAAAAGAATGAGTATCCATTTTAATATGTTTGAATATGATATTGAGCATATGCACGTCTTTTGCCTCTATTGCCAAATCTATGAGTTGTACAATCGTTTGTTTACGTTGAAAAGAAGAATATTCTTCTTTTTGTGTATATGCATCTTTACAAATGTGATAGATGATAGTGTTGCAAATAGAATAAAAATGTCGATTCTTGTAAATAAATCCTTTTTGAACCAAATACAAATAAATAATTTCATCTTTTACATGTCCTTCTTTTATAAAGGCATCCAAATGTCTATGAATAATTGAATATAATTTCTTTGATTTTACATTTTTTAATATTAATCTAAAAATATTAAAATAAATGATAATTATTATTAGTTTTATAAAATTAATTTGAATTAGAAGAAGGAAAGAAAACATACTTTGCATATTGTTGAATGATTGGTGAATTTGGACTTTGTATCATTGACAAATGATAAATCATAAGTTCATTCTTTCTATCATCTTCAGATGCCATTAACATTAATTGTGAGAACCGTTGTTCAGTTGATATGGTACATTCATTACCTTTTAAATTTGAAATGGTTATATATTGCTAAAAAAAAATAACACATGTCAATATTATAATGGATGGATAGAGACTTTACAATATTTACTTAGGTTACATACATCAAAATTAAAATCAAATAATAATGGAATGATTGATAAAAGTAAATCATTTAATTCGGTATGGGTTGGACGAGGACTATGATCATAGTTTGTCAATGATGAAATAAACCAACCAATAATTTGTTTGTATTGCTTTTTAAACTCTGAAGTATGATTATTGAGAGATATATTTCGTTCATAGATACTCTTAATCTTTAAATATGTAACATTTGAAGCTTTTACTTGTTGTTCATAACCTTTAATAAATAATAAGATTAGTCTAGGCACACACAACGTCACCTTTTAAAATACATGTGTTACATACTATCATAAGTTGGATTATTTATGAATCGAAACAACTCTGCTTCGTCTTCCTCTTTTACTTGTATTGTTTGTTGTTTTTGTTGTTTTTGTTGGATCTTTAGTATTTGTTGTAATTTTTGGTTCTCTATTTGTTCAATGGTGTTTAATATGATTGATAAGTATAGTTTCATAATGTATGTAATGTAATGTTAGATTTAGTGGTGGTATAGTAGTAGTAGTAGTAATAGATGATATTAATATATACAGATAAATAATTGTACAGATAATTTAAGTATACATGTGCGAATGTCGTAAGAATTCAATTTAATTTAATTTAAATGGACAGGCTCAGTTCCCGATGGTCTGCAATAAAAGATGAAGTTTGGAAAGATTTTTTAAATATTTATTTTTAAATTGTTATACCCAATATTGCGTTCAAAAAGGGAAAATTCATCAAACTTGTTTTGTGAACAAGTTGTTGTTAATAATAGAGTTGAGTGAGGACTGTGTATACTTTAGTCTTTTATAAATATATAGAGGAAGATTATAGAGATAGAGAATATGGGTGTAAATAAATCAACGTTAAGAACAGAGGAAATAGAAGAAGTCCAACAAATAACAGGTGTTTGTATGTGCATATACATGTGCATGGGATCATATGATGATTGATCAATATCACAGTGTCTATACAATAGTCTATTTGTTATATATATATAACTAACAATCTATCTTTTATATGACAGTTTCACAAAAAGAGATAAAGAGATTATTCAAGAGATTCAAAAGACTAGATAAAGAAGAAAAGGGTGTCATAAATGTAGAAGATTTTCCAGGTATACCAGAGTTGTCAATGAATCCTCTTCTACCTCGTCTCATAGCTATATTCGATGTCAATCGTGACAGTCAACTCAACTTTGCTCAGTTTGTAAATACACTTTCAGTCTTTCATCCAAATGCCAAAAAGGAAGATAAATTAAAATGTATGAATTGAATGATGTGATGATGATGATGATGATGATGATGATCGGTGGATCTTAGAGACAGATGATTGATTGATTTGGTCACAATATACTTACGAAACCATCACACCTTAGTATTATTTAGAGTATATGATATCAACAATATTGGATATATAACAAAAGGAGATATTGAAACAGTTTTGACAATGATGGTTGGTAATAATCTATTAAAGGATCAAGTTGCTACCATCGTTGCTGAAACATTTGAAGATGCAGACAAGGGAAACAAAGGAAAATTATCATTTGACGATTTTAAAAATGTAACTAAACAAACAAACAAACAATCAAACTATCATATATAATATTGACCTAATCACTCTTACTTTTTTTTAGTCATTCCAAGATACAATGCCAGAAAATCTTTTATCAATTCAATTTAGTAATCCTTATGATGTATAAATTTAAAACTATTATTAATAATTACAACTAGTTAGCTATTCAATCATGATGATTGATTGATTTGGATATATTATATGTGTATACAAAATATTGGAATGATTATAGTTCTTCCTCTTTGGTCATCGTTTCGTCCTTTTCCTTTTCCTCCTTCTCCTCCTTTTCCTCCTCCTGATTGACCGTCTCTTTTGATTGGTTGGTATTTATTTTCTTTTGATTGTTGTTGGTAGTCATCTTTGTCTCATCCTTTTCCTTTCCATCATCCTTTTTCTTTTGTTTCTCTTTCCACATTGTTTGATTGAATTTTTCGATTGTGCTACTCTCAATGACAAGAGAATGACTGTTACGACACTTGGCAACCGATAGATCCACTCCAATAGAACTCAATCCCAATAAATTGGCAGTTCCCAACACGCTTCCTTTACCACAGAAGCAATCCAATATCGATGTAGATCCAACACCACGAATAAACCGCACTGCCACCAGACATGCATTGAGACCCATTGCTTTTGGCCATACCATCGCACCTCTTGGTGCAACATCTGGAGTGTTGTCTTGATGCATGATAGATGATGGGTTCTTGGCAATACAAATCATATGAGTAAAAGATGCCTTGTTTCGTGTTACAACCTCTGTCTCTACAGGATGAGATAACATCAGTTTGTGAAACAATACTTTACACTCTGACAACTCTGCACCTTTTTGAACCATATATCCTTTATCAACGTATTCTTCTGTAACTGATTTATCCTTTTTCCATTTCCTCTTGATATCAGTTTGATAGAATATTGCTACATTATTATCACTTAACTAAAGATGAAAACAATCGTTAATTAAGAGTATCAATTGACATAACATTATTTGTATACAAACCTTTGAAGTTATTAAACGAACAGCATTTACAAACCATTCTTTATATTGAGGTAATGTATAACCAGACATTTCTACGATATCTGGTAGTGATGTAATAACAGAGGTATTTGGAGACAATTCATTGTTCTTGAGCCATTCAATTGCATCGATACAATAGACTTGTCTTGTTACTTTTAATCTATCTTTTGGTACATGTATCTTGTTTTCTTTGATTGTCATATCAATATCATATTCACTTTCAAAGTATGTCTGTGTATCTTTTTCATTGTTCTTTGGTCTATCCTCTTTTCTTAATCTGTTGTTTGTCGTAGTTGTTGTCGTCGTTGACGTTGTAGATGATGGTGTAACCTCTGTACTAGTAGTACTAGTACTAGTACTAGTACTTTTATCTGTCAATGATAAAGATTCCATAATGATGATGATATAATGATAATAAATAATATATATATGCGTGTAATTTATTTGTTTAAAAGCCAATGAGTTGACGACGAATAATAATAATTATTAATATTTTTAGAAAAGAAATGATTCATTCTTGTTTCGGTCGATTTGGGGCAATGATTAACACTTTGAATAGAGGGTGTGTCAAGTCGATGGCAGTGCGTAGTGGGTGCTAGGTGCGTCGTTCAGCAGCTATCCCAATTGGGTCGTAAAAAAATAAAAAAAAAATGAATTTCCATTTTAGGAATTGTCGGTTGGCAGACTTTAGAGCACCAACCAAGCCACAGTAAGTTTATTATGAGTCAATAAAAGAGATAAAGTATAAGATAAATGAAGAGATAGAACATAGTATAGTTAGAACATATAGTATATAGTTATATATATAGATATATCATTGTATTTTGTGGCTCGTTAGTGCCAAATGCACAAGAAAGGATAAGGAATAAGAGTTCACAATATTGTCAAGTACTGAATCAACACCAAGTCTATTGCTGTTATAACATTCACGAGTTACTTGTACTTATTTGCTCCTCCAATCCACTCTTGATGCAGAGAGATACAGAGCTGTTCAAGTAAATTATCATTGTTTAAAGATATTGCCGCAGTTGCGTCTTTGTATGTTTAAATCTGCCACGATTATCGATCATAGCATTGGTCCATTTACACTCAACTACCTGACCTGTGTCTCTTATCGCACTAGCTAGTTGCATGTTACTATAGTATAGAACTACCTACCTTTTTTTTATCTTCTTTTTTGGTTTTATTTATAACTATTTATTGGTGAATGGATGAATGGATGGATGGATGGAATGAACGGAGTTATCCTTGTCGTTGTTGTTGATGTTGATGTACTATTGCCGATAGAAGCAGTTTGTTTTCTGGGAGATGTGCTATAAGATAGCATTCATCGTGAAAGTTAACTTTACATTGGCAACAAGTCTTGGTGGTTCTTGTTCTACGCTTTACATCAAGGACTTTGCAATACTGACAAGGATTTAGATCACCTTGAACCAATGCGTGGACTACAGTTTGAGGAGCAGCAGCAGAAGTGGGAGCATATTGGCCTCCATTTCCACTGGTTACGTATGTGGATTGTGTAGCCAATTCTTGTTCCAGTTGTTTAATCCTATCTCTTTGATCCTGGAATACTTTTGATGTAATTGGATTCAAGTGTTCCAATTGTTTTTGAATAGGCTCCTGCAAGCCAAGCTTATCTCTTACCACGTTTTGAGTGAAATCACAAAATCGGTATGTGCTATTGCCTTCAAGGGATTTGAAGATGCAATATGCATTCACCATTGCACGATCCAACTGCGCAAATATGTTAACATGTGTGTATTTGCTTTTTCGATGGGGATATGACCGACAATTTGATGATAGTTGTCCTGACAGATCGACTCCGTGGGTAGTTGCATTGTATTGAGTCTGCACATCGAGCTTTGTGAGTTTTCCTTCTTTTAATGTATATGGATTACAGGCATTTGATAAAAAATATGTTACTTTGCTGTCATTGATGGCGGTGGCACAAATGTCCTGGGGAATACCAGAGTCTTCTTTTGGAAATGCTATAGCAGCCAACTTTTTCTTGTTGTCCTTTTGTACCATGCGTCCTAAACCATCTTTGAAAAGGTACGTTGGTCTAATGGACCTTACAGTCATTACATAATGAATCTTATTGTTGGGATTGTTATCGTCGTTGTTGGAATTGATGTTTTGACTAAAGTTTGATAATACAGTGGCAACTTGTAATGATGTGTAATAGTTATCCATTGCAAACAAATAGTGACTCAATGGTCTATCATCTGTAGCTACTTTTTGTCTGACCCACTCTGCAAATTCGATTGGGATTTTAAGAGGACTATTTGGTGGAAAAGAACTAACCACAGATGGATCTAAATAAGACAATAATAATGATTAGACATATGATGATAATGATGATATTTGTAAATTGTTATAAAACAACATACCTATTGTTACAGATTTTGTTGTAGATTCATCACTACCTCTGTAAAGCCATTGGGTCAATATAAAACCATTTGAGTCAGATAAAACGAAATACTTTAATCCAAATTTGTGTGGTTTATCTGGTTCATACTGCTTGAACCTTACCAAGCCTTTATAAGGGGCCATATATTCATCGATTGATAAACGTAATGATGGGATATAGTGGTTGTTTGAATTTTTTTCAATCATTTGAATGACGGAATCTTCGTCATAGTGAAGGAATTTGAGGATGGACTTAAATCTTTTTCTTGACATTAATGGGCGGATAACAGATGGAGGATGGAAAGGGCTCTTTCTATTCCAATGGTCTTCCGCCCGTGGGAGTTTGACAAGACCCATAAAAAAGGCAATATAAAAGAAATTCTCCAATTGTTTATAGGTAAACAACTTGGTGTTGTCAACCAACTGTATTTCCTCTTGTTCTAACTGTTCTTGAATAAAGCTAAGCCTATCTTGTGGAGATAATCCTTGTGGCATTGTTGATAGAAACCCACGCTTCCAAGTCTCAAAATCAACCATTCTTCCAACAATTTGATTGTACTCAGTTTCTACTGCATTGGTTTGATTTGAGGTAGATGTGGTAGATGTTGTCGATGATGATGATGATGATGATGATGATGATGATGATGATGATGATGATGATGATGATGATGATGATGATGATGATGATGATGATGATGATGATGTGGTCGATGTTTGCGAGTGGGAGGGTGTTTTTTTCTTTGTATTCTTTTGAATGGGTGTCTTGCTTGACGAGTGCTAAACGATGCCGGTGGTCACTGCATCGAAGGAAACTATTACCTTTAGCAGCGGATTGACATGCTTCGCTGATAGGTGAGCACTGTTGGACATTGGTCGGTTGGCCTCCATCCTTTTCTTTACCAAGCTTGAGATGGCATTTCTCCAGATGAAAACCATCCTTTGGATCCTCATGAGGTTCGTTGAGGTCATGATGGATCAAGTTTTCCTCCTCTTGGTGGAAAAAACAATCAAAATGTTGCTAAAAAGTTTAAAGAGAATTAATAAATTTAATTAAATGTTTAAATAAAATGATAATTTTAATTAAGAAACTTACTCTTGACGTGTTGTATTCATTAATATAGACAACGGAATATTGTTTGGACTTTAACTTGTTGGCAACAGTCTTGGCTGCAAATGTTGTTACCTTGCCACGAGTGTTGTGTCCAAATTTGGCATTTCCAAAAACTATTTTAAAAAAAAAAGGAAAAGGAAAAAAGGAAAAAAAAAATACATATTAATATATATACACTTTTTAATACATTAATATTCTTTTTGAAAATGATTTATAAATACATACATATGATTGTATTGTCTTGAATGTACTGATTCCTTTCAGAATCGTTCATACTTGAATACTTGGTTGGGAAATGATCTTTAAAGAGATCAAGAATGTAGTTGTCAAATTGTTGGTAAAAGAATAATTAAAAATAAAGAAGACCATAGAGAGAAATAAGTTTTACAAATAAATAGATTCTGAGGCGGTACTCCCAACCAAAAATTTTCAAAACCCCCAAAGAAAATAAATATTCATTTTAAAATATGTACAGTTTGTTGTAAGTTGAGTGATATAGAAGCTTTAACTTGATTCATTTGGTTGCTGTTGTTGTTGATCGCCGTTAGTGGTGGCGGTAGTGGTGTCGGTGTTGTTGTTGTTGTTGTTGTCGGTAGTGTTATTGTTATTGTTATTGTTCTCCCTTAGTTTCTTCTCTTTCTCTTTCTCTTTTTCCTTTTCTCTTAATAATTTTTCTTTCTCTCTTTCTTTTTCTCTTTCTTTTTGTTTCTCTAGTTCTATTTCCTTTGCTATTCTATCTCTTTCTGCTTCTTCTGCCTTTGTCTTTTGAATGGCTACTCCCAATGTTTCTTGAATTTTATCCAACAATTTGACGGGATCAATTCTACTATCATACTCTTCAATAATCTAGATAATTGATAGAGAGAGAGAGTCAATAAAAGCTACGAACCAACCATTTATAAATAATCAATCGTCCAACCAATTACTTACAAGTTGTAATTCTACTTCAGTAGTTGGTGCTAAATTCAATACTTGAAGTGTTTCTGCTTTTGTAAGACCTGCATCCAAACAAATCTTTGAGATGGTTCTAACAGAATCGACGTCTACTTTTGATGCTGGTGTAATCTTTAGGTATCTCTCTACATTGTTGATGAACTCATTGAGTAATGCTTGTCCCTTCATTCTTCTCTTGTGTTTAAGTAGTTCAACCACTTCAAAGTTGCTAATCAGTTCATCTTTTACTGTTGGTATACTAGCAGTAGTAGCAGTAAAAATAAAGGATAGTTAATACTAAAGCTCTATCATCTCTAATCTCTTTCTATTTATATATTTACATCTTCATTCTTGAATCGTTTGATTAATTAAAATAAAAGAAGATGCAATTCAACGAGTTGGAATGAAAAAAATTTTTGGATGAAGTTGTTATAAATATATATATTTATATATTTTATTGTTTTAATGGGTGATCAATACCATCGTCATCCATTACCAATACATTCTTTTCAAATTCATCAATCAATTCATTTGTTAAAGCGTCCAAATCATGCTCTTGACTGTTCCAGTTGGAATTGTGAATTGAAAGCATAGTGTCTTCTAATTGTTGTTGTTGTTCTCTTATTTTTCGATAATCACCTGTAGATGTTGTCGATGTCTTGTTATTATTATTATTATTATTTTGATTGTTATTATTATTATTATTATTATTTTGATTATTATTATTATCATTTGAAACATTGAGGTAATAGTTAAAATCATCACCATTATAAATATTGCTACCATCCGATTCGATTGTATACACCATATCATCTGCACTGTTTTCAGCACCACCTGTATTTCTTCTTGCCTTTCCAAGGAAATTTTTAGGTTCTGCCATTGATTTCTCTTGCCACGATCCAAATGCTGTAGATGTTGAAGATGAATTTAAAGATGATTTTGATTCACTAAAAATAAAACTATTAATCACCAATTCTATTCTATTATTCTCTTTTCTATTTCCTTTTTTACTTACTATAAATTTAAATCTTCTGTTGATTTATAAGCAGTACCAAATTTAATAGATAAATCTTTCAAGAAACTTGTATAAATCCTGTTGAATGGTCTAAATTCGGTGAGAAGTGGTTGAGAGAGTTGAGCATGTGGTATGTGGAGTTCGGCAACGAGGGTATCTCGAACATTTAATGTACTGGAACGGAACCAGAGTCCAATGGTGAGGTCGGCAGGTGTAGAGTCATAGATTATAAAATCACCTGCGTATTGAAAGGTGGGGTTGTATTTGATGGATTGGTAAGAGGTAATATCGCGCTTTTTACCCAAACTCAACGTGACATAGGTGATCATATCTATTTCGTGTGTTGATTCGAGCAACGAGTTGGATGCAGAGTCCATAATATTGGGATCGATCGTATATTTGGCTTCTAAAATCTCGATAAAGAGTCTACCACTTTCTTGTACCAATCGCTTGACAGATCTTAATACTTCGGCCCATTCTTCCAAATCTCTTTCATTCTCTGCTGCTATAAAATACTGTGATTTCGTTGTGATCAATTGGAAGCAATGTACGAATCCCTCTCGCACCGAGGTTTCGTCACCCATCAATATGTTTTCAATCTCTGCTATGGGGATGGTGCCGGCAGGTGTGGCATCCTTGGGCGACTTGTAGTACGCCAATGCGTTGTCTTTGAGCACAAACCAACGTCTTCGCCAATTCTTAAAGTTGTGTCCTTTTTTAAAGAGGTAACCGCTGTGGACACCGGCTGAGCCCTGTTTGCTTGCAATGTCCTTGGCCTGCTTGATTTTTTCAGAGTTGTTTTTGGGAAAGAAGAGGATTGATCCGTTGCGTGGCGCACGTTTGCTCTCGTGTATAATCCACTTGATCTCTTTTTTGATCTCCTTTTGGTACATGAGGTTCTGCTGTTCGGTGAGCGGGTTGACAGTGTCCTCAAACTCGAGTTTAAAGTGAAAGTCATTCGAGAACCGCTTGTCACCGTCGGCACCGTCAAGCTCAGACTTGCGCAGGATAAGTGTTGGCATTTGGAACATCCCCGTGTGGAAGTTGAACCGGGCAATCTGCTCGACCCGATAGAATGGTGAGATGTGTGAAAACACAACCAATATGTCTCCTCGCACCACCTTTCGCACTTCAAACACCAGCGTAGCATTGCCTGTTAGATAGGTTCGTGTCTCTTTGGTATCGCCATCCATTGGCGCACTCGAAAATATTCTTAATCCTTTTTGTGTTGCTGAATATATATTTAATACTGGACATACTCCTTGTTTTAATGGTCCCAAGAAAAACTATAAAAAAAAGAAAAACAAAATTAATAACCAATCAATAAAAATATTTATATTAATATATATCTATATACCTTTGGAATTGTGTGCATTGTAATCGATCTTAAAAATAAGGCTTTTTGATTTGGAGCTTGATTGCCAAAATAAATATTGGAAAAGTATTGTGTATATCGGATTTGGGATGGTCCCGTGACACCAAAGTTATTCGATGATCTCTTGACTGCAAAATATCTCATTGCATCCTCTGAATTATCAAATAATCCACCATATAATAATAAACATGCAATTACAGTTCCTATAAATATATAAATACATCATATTAATATCGAGTACTAGTTGTCTGTTATATATATACAAACCTGTTCTCCCTTTTCCAGCAAGACAATGTACTATTGCTACATTTTGTGAATCTTCACTTAACCAATTATACATGGAAGTGACAATTTTAAATAATAAAGCCAATGGAGGAGCATGGTGATCTGGAAATCCACACCAATCATAAACCTATTTGAAAAAAAAAGTTAGTTAGAAAGACTGGATAATCATTGTCGTTTTCCAAAAAAGTCAAAGACCTTGACGTGTCCTTGGGCGTGTATCTGCAACTTCACGACCTTTCGCAAAAGGTTTGACAATTCGATCATTTGAGTTTCGAGAAGCCAAGATTTTTGCTTGCAAAGAAAAGAATAAAAATAGGTATCGCGTTGTGAAGTTGGTCGCGCCTACACATTTTCTGAGTCGACTTGGACGAGTAGATATATATTGTTGTTGTTGTAGTTGTAGTTGTTGTTTGCTTGCTTGCTACCTACATTATTATTGAATAAGCCATAATCATATTTTCTTTCACTAAGATTGAATATTTTGTAATGATCCTTGTGATGTTCGTTTAACATTTGAGATACATCATGAATCGAGTTTCTATATGCGCTTTCTACTCCATCTGCTGGAAATGACATTGCTAAAAGAATGAATGAAAGAGAATTAATACTACTTTCTTTTAGCTCCTAATATGTTCATGATCATACCAATCACTCTTTCACAAATATATGTAAGATCCAAGTCATAGGTTTCATTTTCAAATCTATATTTATATGTGATGTGGTGTATAGGAGTATTACAAGAGTTTGGAATGTGGTTAGTTCAAAGACTGTGATGTGATGTGTCGTAGCTTCTGATGGTTCCGCTTAGTGTGGATTTGATCATACCTTTGTTTATCTGCAGATATCGTTTTCCTGACAGCTTTAACAATAGAGTTGTACATTGTTGCAGTTGGTTATTGTTGTTCACTTGCAGATATATGTAAATAGTACAAAAAAGGGTGGGTAGGGTTGTAAGAGGAGGTTGATGGTTGTGTTGTTGTTGTTGTTGTTTGGTTAAAGTGTAGTATCAATGAGGATGTTGAGGATGGTGATGGTCATTGATCATAAAAAGATGATGAATGATGACTGATGACTGATGACGGGTATACAAAATATAAATTCTATATATATCTTTTGTTTCTTTCTTCTTATTATTATTATTTATTACTAGTCTATCTATCTATCTATCTATCTATGAATATGAGTTTAGTTTGAATTGAATTGTTTTGTTGTTGTCTCTCTCTTTCTCTCTCTCTCTTTTTCTTTGCTGACCATACACCTATAAAATGGGGATTTAAAACGACTCTATCCAGCTGCACCTCTACTCATAATAATAATCTTTTTTATTTTTATTTTTTTTTTGTTTTTATTCAAAACCATCCTAACATCACTCCTCTTACGCAAGTAATAAATTAATTACCTGCTCTACCTACTCAAGTTTTCATTCTCATCATCATCATCATCATCAATCATATTTATATTTATAAACAAGAGATACAACTAACTTTTGGTGTGGTGCAATCATCAATCATCAACTCCAAAGAATAACAACAACAACAATAACAACAATAACAATAACTAGTATCAACAAAAGGGACTGATATTATAGATATATATAGATAGAATAGGTAGATAGATAGATAAAGATGTCATTCTTTGATGATGATATAAAGAGATCAGTATGGGATGGAAAGATACCTGTTATGTTTTCGATGAGTGGCAATGATGTGACGCATCATACAATGCCTGCACCATATATGATGATGGTTCCTCGTAATTCATACTTTCCTCTAGTTACAGGTGCCGTCCGTGACTACTTTTCACACAGTACACTCATCATGTCAGACAATGAACTCTGGCTCGAGTACAAGGGCATACCGATCAAGTGGCATCTACCCATAGGTGTATTATTCGACGTGCTAGTTGGAAGTGAAAGTGGCACTCAGATATGGAATCTAACCGTTCACTTTCAATCATTCCCAGAGAAAATATTATTAAGATGTCCAAATGAGGAATCCGTTGAAACTTATTATAAAAATGTATTAAAAGAAGTATGTACATAAATATATAAATATATCAGAGATACAAATTTGTATATTAAATTTATTTCTTTTTTCTTTTAGGCAAATTATATTAAACAGGGTGATATTAATAAATTAAATAATTTAAATATTAATCAATCAAATGAACTTTGGGATGGGTTAAGACAACGTATGTATATAAAGTATAAAGTATTCCTTTTTTAATAAGTTAATAGTTATTAATATAGATATATTTCCTTTTTTCCACGTAGATGATTATGATAAATTTTGGTCAATTAACAAATTATTTTATAATGTAAATGTTGGAGGATCTTCGACTGGGATTGGATATAAGCATATTCCAGTTAGATTAATTCAAAATAACAGGCCATATGTACAAAATCTAATAGCTCCATATAACGAATCGGGTGCTGAGCTTACATTGTCTGATTATTTCTCAAAAATACCATTCTATTCTATATTTATCGGTGGTGCCACCGAACCTTCATCCTCTTCACCAACAACAACCAATACTGGTGAATTATCAACATCTTCATCATCTACATCGATGGCCTATACAAATCTATTACAATACATTAAAGCTGGTGCTGGCAAATATCTTATACAGGGTGTTGAACCACCTTTGGAATCTTCATTTTTGTGGTTGGGTGAATACTTTAGTCATCCCGATAACTTTTTGTACATTACTTTAATCGATTCTACCAACCAACTCTCCTTGTCCTCTTCTTCAATTCCAACTTCACCAAAACAACAACAAACTATATAGAAACACAAAAAACAAAAACTATAGTTTTTTTTTTATATTATTATCATAATAAATTAAATATATCCGCACAAATTGATTGAATTCCATCAATTCAATTAATTATCCCCCATTTCCAATGTTAAATGTTTAATTTTAAATTTATCAATTTTATTATTTGGTTAGCTTGAATTATCGGAATCATCATTACTATCATCACTACCATCATCATCTGATGATGATGATTCTATGTTTAGAGTTTCTAAAATTATATTTTTAATTTTTGGATGTTGATTAAAATGCTTTTGAATGAGGTTAATAAAACTTGGAGGTAAACTTGTTCCATTGTACATTCCAAGAACTGATTCTATATTTTCGAGAATAGATTTCTCTTGAATCGGTTGGTTGTATGTATCCAATAGAAATTCGGCAAAAAGAGAAGGGTTGGTCCATCGTTTTTCGGCTGTTTTGATAAAAGATAGAGAATCCAATTTTGATTTGTTGGCATGATTGAAACTAATGAATCTGAGGCAGTCCATGAACCCCATTTCTCCAGAGTGACTAGATTCCACATCCAAACTATTGGGATAGTTATTCAATTGACCAATCTCATCCAAAATGATTAGACTTTCAACCGAGGGCAAGTAATTTGAGAATTGATAGACTTGGGTGATACCACCAGACTTGAACAAATCTTGAAAATATCTTTTTTCTAAATGACTGATAGGGGACATGAGTGACAGTCCCATTGTCATTGGTGTTTCATCTTTATATTTGTTGTACAAGTATATAACCATTTCCTTTGCTTTTGTATGTGTTTGTAAATACCCCATCACACCAAGCAAGTTATTCTTTATATAATCTCTTGGTAATCGAATGCCGTCCTTGTTATCCTCAGGGTTCTTTCTTTTTTTGTTATTAACATCCTTTTTGGCATGTGATAGGACGTATTCCAAAGTATCAATATCGCCAGTATGAATGGCAGCAGTTATGAACCTATTCGATACTGGTACCTTGACCATTTCAATAAGATATTCCAATTCTTCTCTTGTCAATTTAGGAGTAAAGGAAGCCAATAGAACCTGAGGTTCATATTTTGGATGACTATGAATATATTTGATCAATTCAAATCGATTCTCTTTTGCCAGAAATGCATCATCTATATTGTAACCCTTGTCACCGGCTATATTGTCTTCAATCCATTTGACAATTTCCAAATGACCGTCTTGAACCGCCGACTTTACAATATCTTTTAATTTCTCTTTGGCAAGTGGAATTAAAAAGTAAATCAAATCGTAACTGTCTCGAGTCATAAGTGATGGTCTTTTCGAGAGATGATTTTCCAAATAATAGAAACAATTACGTGGTTTGAAAAAATCTTGACGACAAGAATAGATAAACTTTACAATCTCCAAATCACTCTTTTCAATTGCGTGCCACACCAATGCATCATTTGTAAAATCTATTTCCAATTGAGACTTGTTCGCCTTTTTTAAAATAAATTTTAGTGAATCTAAATGATTAATCATTCCTTCAACTGATACTAATGTAAAAAATAAAGGTAAAAGGTTTGTTAGTAAACATGTTTTTGTCAATGGTATAATTGAGAAATTTGTTTTACTTACCTGAAAATGATACAATGTCTTGACAAAATGGAGTGAGATACTCTAAAACTTTAATAGCTCCTTGATCAAGAGCAGGTTCCAAAAGAAGATCAATTACATTTGAGCTTTTAGTGTGTTTACCAAAGTCGAGTCGATGGTCATTATCAACCAAGAATTTGATTGTATCCATGTCCTCTAATTTGACACAATGTCCAAGCCAATCTATGTCACATTCAATTGCCGAGTCAACTGGCAACTTTTTAAATTCTTCTATTTTGAATCGGTAGTATGTTACAAAGTCTGAGAAATATTTCTCATCTATATAGTTGGTATAGAACGGGATGGTGTTTGATTCTTGTTGAAGTTGATCACTTTTAAAACAAAGTGATACCAATTCAAAGTTGCTAGATTCTCGTAACAACCTAGAGGTTGATCTAAAGATCGGTGTCTTTGAAAATACCTCTTCATAAAAGTATTTAAATATTTGATATCTATCACTTTTAATAGAATAGTATTCTATAAAATATACAATCTCTTTCAAATGATTATATCTATTATATATAAATTTGAGTATTTCTAATCGATTTGATACACATGCTTGTTGAATGATTTGTTCTAAATGTGGTATAAATGTTTGATTATTCTTATTCTTATTATAATTATTATTCTTCTTATTATTCTTTTTGTTATTATTATTATTATTATTATTATTATTATTATTATTATTATTATTATTATTATAGTTGTTAAAGTTTGATTGACTATGTTGAAACCATTTATAATGAGAGTATTCTTTCTCAAAGTCTATTACAACTTGTTTAAAGATATCGAGGTAACCAAAGTATACTGCTAGTATGGGTGATTGTTTGATGTCACTCCATTTATGAATACCATTAACTTGTGGGTTATTGTCTTGATGAGTCTCTTGATCATCAGCTGAAGATGCTTTGTCTATTTGTTGATGAATAGATCGTACATGACCAAAAATAGACTTTTTAATGAATACATTATTGATTATCGACTTGATCAATCCGTTCAAATGAACATTATCTTTGTGTTTGTTCATCTTGAAGACAAAGAATAATGATGAAAAAAAATTCTGGTCAAAAGAGTTTGTTTTTGTTTTATTTTTTGTTCCATAAAAATTCTTCTTTCAATAATTAGAAGAATTATTTGTTTGTTTGTATAATTAGTGTCAGCGTCATTTTAGACAATGTCTAGTGTTCATATTAAAGTTTAAATGGAATGATATAATCGATTTGATTGTTAAATATTTAATTTAAAAAAAATGTAATTGATTTCAAGTTATCCTTTTTATAATATCAATTCTCTACTAGTCGACCAAATACATATTTATGACTGTCATAGGAAATTAAAATTACTATTCCAAGATATGCATGAATATATGTTTTTCCAATTAAAAAATGAATTGCAATTGGATTATAATAGAAATTGTATTTTGAAAATAAATTAAAAAGAGGTTCCAACCATTCCATTGGATCAGCTTTTAAGTTTCTTTTGTTGTCTGTTGCTGCTAGAACTATTTGATTGGATTTGTTGAATATTTCTTTTTTTGTCTTCTTCATCATCACTGTCAACTGAAATGGTTTCCTTTTCTTTATCCTTTGATTGATGATTGTTTGTTTTTGATATTACATCTTTGTTATTTTTGTTGTTGTTGTAGATTTTTGAATTATTATTAGTAGTGGTTGTTTCTTTTTGTTTATCATTTTTCTTTTCTTTTTCTTTTTCTTTTTCATCATCTTTTTTGAGTGTTGTAGCAATATTTAAACCAAGTGAAATTGCAGAGTTGTGTGATTTAATTAAAGGAAGATGAATAACTTGATGATGTAATTTTTGTGGTGATGCGTTTAGTGTTGTTGAGTTTCTGTACAATTCATTCTAAAATTAAAAAAATCATAAATTATAAATACTCTTCTTTTTTTTTTTTTTTCCATTTATCCTTTTTTTTTTTAACATACACTAAACCAATTATGATTTAAAGCTTCTTTAACTAGAATACGTTTTGTAGGATCGACATTTAATAATCTTGTAATTAAATCTTTTGCTTGATCGGTCACTGTTGACCAAACATGATTATCAAAATTAAAAATACCCTTACTAATCTGTTGAAAGCTATTTGTTTTATCTACATCAAATGGTGGTCTACCAGACAATCTAAACAAATAAATAATAATAATATTAATATATATATATAAATAAATAGATATATTTAAATGTTTTCTATTATTTTTTTCTTACAAAATATAAAGTATACAACCCAAAGACCAAACATCTACTTCTTTTCCATAACCCATCTTTTCCTTTTTATCACCTGATCCAGGCATATTACCCATTAAACAATTTTTAATAATCTCTGGTGCCACATAGAGAGGCGTTCCGCACAATGTCGTGGCCATTTCCTTTTCGCCGATGATTTTGGCGAGACCAAAATCGGTAATCTTAATGATTGGCTCTCCGCTATTGGGTGATGAACCATAGAGTATATTTTCGGGCTTGAGATCTCTGTGTGATATATTCAACTGATGCAAATAAGATACTGCACTGAGTATCTGTTTAAACACGTCCTTTGCCTCAGGTTCTTGAAATCTTCCCTTTTGCTTGATCTTGTCAAATAGTTCTCCACCGGTTGCCAACTCTAGCACAATGTACAAGTATCGCTCCGTATCAAATATCTCAAAGATAGAGATGATGTTTGGGTGTTTGATTTGCTTTAATATATTGATTTCACTCTCTGTCTGATTTCGAGAACTCGATAAATGCCAATACTTTTTCTTGTCTATAATCTTTACTGCAAAGTTTTCTCCCGTATCCCTCTTTGTACATTTCTTTACAACACTAAAGTTTCCTCTAAATAGAAATAGAAAATAAATATTTGTTTAATAAATAATAATAATAATAATGATAATAGTTTGTTTACTTACGTTCCCAATATACCATGTATAATATAAAACTTTTTGATTTCACCCTAAAATAAAAGAAGAGAGAGAAGAGAGAGAGAAGAGAGAGAAAGATTACATACATACATACATACATACATATTAATATTTATTATTTATTATTTATTATTATTAATTATTTATTTGAATTGAATCTATTTTAATAGTTATATGACTTACATCATCACCATCGGAATCAGATAAAAGTAAATCTTGAAATATAAATGAAAGAGTACTATTGATCTTGCTCGATGTAAAAGAGACCATATCACCATTTTGTAGAACCGTTGATTTATCTTTACCCAATAGGTTACCTTTGATGAATGTTCCATTGGTACTATAGTCGGTGATCCAAACCGACCCTCCACTAGATGATGACGACGACGACGATGAGAGACTATTACCTTTTCTTTCCATCTTGCAATGAATGCCACTAACAGTAGGGTCTTCCATGACGACAGCACACTTTTTAAAGTTTCTACCAAAGAAGATTTCCTTGTCAATGAGATCAATGTGCTTTGAGTCTGGGTGACAGCTGACTAATCTCCCCCATACCACTGATGATGGTTGTGGTTGGTCAGATGGAGGAGGGACTAGCTCATCAGACGGTTGTGTTGATTGAGTACAAGATACTTCTTGATCTCCCATCTCTCTATCTATCTCTATCTATATATCTATTACTAAATGATCTACTAGCTAGCTCTATCTATTCTATTCCCTGAGTGTATTCTATTTTGATTGTTATATATATATATATAGAGATAAATAAAAGGAGTGTATATGTTTGATAGAAGATATGAAATGATGTCTACAAAGACAAAAGACTAAATTAATCTTTAATTTGCTCGTTTGCGAGACAAAGACAACAAAAGACAGTTGAATGTTTTTTGGAAATTAAAATATCTGAAAGCAACCAAAGTAAACAAAGAGATAAGATAATAGTATTGATAACAAATATCTGTGCTGGTACGAGAATGAAGTGATGTGTCTTGTTTACAACAATGAATATGCACAACCAAAATACTTGGTTTTAAAACCACCCGTACTCAATCTTTTTTGTTTTTTTTAAATAAATTAAATAATTTAAAGATGAGAACTGATCTTTGTGGCAATATCGAGGTACATGAAAAGGACAAGACAAATCTGATGGATAATATCTTTAGTTAATTTTTTGGTTTCATCTTTTTTTATCAAATGGAAATTTTTTAATAATGATAAAATAAATATTAATAAACTAAATTTTTTTATTTGTTTGATGCCATTTTACTTTTCTCAAAGTACTTGCTAATCCCATAAAAATTTTCATGATAGTTGTCTATTTAAGCGCGCCAACCTAGTCCCCAATTTTTCAAATTTTTGAAATCATTTGCTTTTTTTTTTTTGACAATAAATAATCATTTTTATTATCTCTCTCTAGATACAGATAGTAATCATATACAAAATATAACAAGAGTGTTGTGTGTGTTTACGTGTGTGTGAGTTATCTATCTATCTATCTATCTATTCTAAGAGTTATCAACATACAACATACTACATTGTGCTTGTTCGTTCAACCATATAAAGAGATACTACTGCAATGTCTGGATTCGATGATTTAGATCATCTCTTTGATGAAACTTCAAATTCAAACATCGATACTGAGAAGCTCAAAGGTCTTACAGACTTTTTAACACAGTCCAATCAGAATAGAAATGCTACTCCTCCTACATCCAATACTACCCCTCCTCAACAACAACAACCACAACAACAACCACAGCAACCTGCATACCATCCAACTCAACAACAAAACTATCAAAATACACCACAGACAATACAGAATATACAACAAACATTGCATGGCATACCATCTCCACAAGGAGGTATGACGACCGGTACACCAATGCAAGGTATGGTGCGACCAAACGTCAACAACCCATCGACCATCTCTCCTCAACAACAACATATGCAAAACACCCCTCAAGGTATGATGGTTAAACCACAGCCAAATCAAATGGGAGTAGGTGGTGTTGGTGTTGGTGGGATGCCCCCACAAAGCAGTATGATGGCCAAGCCTCAGCCAGGCCAACAACAACAACAGCCTATATACAATGTCGGTGGATCAGTGGTACCATCGCATCCCCAGCAGCAGGGTATTCACAAGATGACACCGATGACACCACAGCAAGCTGCCTTGATGAAGCAACAGGCTCAGTTGGGTGCTCAGGTTGCCAAGACTGCACCAGGTATGCAGATGAATACAGGAGTTGGTGGTGTTGCCGGCGTGCAACAAGGAGGAGTTGGAGTTGGAGGAGTGGGAGGTCAACAACCACTACAACAACAAGGAATGAATCCACATGTAATGATGCATAGACAACAGTCGGGTGGTGTCATGCCAGGTGGCCAAGCACCTACTGGACAGATCACGTCGAGTACTACCATCGGACCAAATCACATGGCTGGACAGGCGGGTGTCGGACAGCAGATATACAGACAAATGGTTCCTCAAGGAACTGGTGCTCCCGTTCCACCTGGAACACAGCAACAGCAAGGTATACACCGTCCAATTGGTCAACCAACCAACACTCAAATGGGACAACAACCTCAATTCCAACCAAACATACCACAAAAACAAACCATTCAAGGACAACCTCTTGGTCCAACCAATACCCAACAAATGGGACAACAACAACAAATGAATCAACAACAAATAGGACAACAACCAATGAACAATGTGAACACTGGTATTCAACAACCAATGAATAATAATGTAAACACTGGTATTCAACCCCAACAACAAACACAACAAGGTGTATCGAATATGAGTGGTGGTGTATCTGGTGGTATTCAATCATTACAATCAAATATGATGCAGCAACAACAACCACAACCAATGCAGACAAGTAAACCACCTGCACCACTTTCAACGGTTGGTGGCGGGGGTGTGATTAGTACTACTACTGCAACTCCACAACAATCTGGTGGAGGAGGTGTAGGTGTAGCACCAACAGCAGCAGCACCTGGAACAAATGTGATTGGAGGGGGAGGAGGAGGAGGACCACCAACACAACAACAAATCCAACAACAAATTCAAAACCATTTCAATGCACTTGCATTGGCCTATAGAAACGATATCTTGGGCAAGGAGGTATTGATGAAGCATTTGATCATGTTGTTTGGTGCTGAAAATGCTGGACAATACACTGTCAAGATTGACGATATTAATCCTGCCAAGGTACCAAAACTGCCAAGTGATTTCAACATTAATGCAATCTTGGACAAAACACCTCAACTTCGAGAAATGACTGTACAATTCCAAAAACAAAAACAATCACTCAAACCTGCGCAACCAGCCCAACCACTAACACCACAACAACCATCACAAACGCCACAAACATCACAGCAGCCACCTGCATCCACGCCATCATCAGCAGCACTCAGTGCAACACAGCAATCAACCACCTCCAAATCAACTACATCACAAACATTCCGTCAATTACCACCTACAGTTCCAAATGGTCATACTGTTCCACCACCAATTCAAAAAGAAGTTAAAAAAGAACCAGCTAAAAAACCAGAAAAAAGAAAAAAAGAAGAAGAGTAAGATTTTAAACAAAAAATATTATTTATTACTATTACTTTATATATATTTACTTTATTATTATTATTTTTTATAGAAAACAAACAGATGATGATAAACAATCAATTAAAGAATTAAATGATGTAACAAGAATAGCAAATATTGATATTAGAAATGAATCTGATCATTTCTTACCAGATGCCAATGGAAAAGAAGATGATGAACATTATCAAGCTGAAGTTGAACCATTATTTTTAAATTCAGCTCCGCTTAAAAAGAAAATTGCAAATATTAGTAAGATAAATTTAAAATATATATATATATTTATATATATATTAATTTTCTCTTTTTCTTATTTAGTAACAAAAAAAGGTATAAAATCAATTGATGAAAATATTTATGAATATGTTTCATTGGCAGCACAAGATTATGTAAAAACAGTAATAGAATTTTTGATCAAAGCCTCACATCAACGTGTAGATATCAACAAGGAAGATCTACCATTTACAATCACCAACGACATTAAAAAGAAGTTGTTGCTCATTGAAAAGCGCGAGAGAGATGAACGCATTAGAAAGGAAAACGAAGAGAATGAGAGATTGTTGCGCGAGGCCAAGCAGGCCGAAGCCCTCCTCAAGAAAAAGATCGAGAGTGGACAGGCATCAGACGCCAAACTCCAAAAGTTCTCAAAGGCCAAGCAAGAAGAAGAGGACAAGCAACGAACCATCTCGGCCAACAGCACTGCCTTGGCTGCCATTGGTAACATCAAAAAGAAGGCAACTCCCATGATTGGCAAACGTCCTCCTCTTGCTCCAGCAGCACTCACCCAACTTTTAAATCTTGTCAAAGAGGGTCAGACTCTAACAGCTGAACAACAAACACAACAAACTCAACTACAAGCACAACATGATGCTGCTCTCAAATTACATCAAGTTCAACAAGCTAAATTACAAGCTGAACAACAAGCTAAAGCTCTTGCTGCATCAAGTTTACCTCCTCCACCTATTCTTGGTGCTACTACTACATCATCGTCTTCATCTACCTCTACAACATCAATGGATATTGACAAGGTTACACCTTCAAAGACACCAGCAACACCTACTTCTTCTTCTTCTTCATCTTCTACTACTACTACTACTACGACTACTGCAACTCCATCAACACCATCCACACCAACAGCTCCAACTTCAGGATCATCTACCTCTACCTCTACATCTACAACAACACCAATGGATATTGACAAGGCAACACCTGAGAAGCAACTTGCTGTCTCTACCGATTCGAGTACGACCACAGCCACTACAGCAGCAGGTAGTGGAACAAATCCTTTGCCCAGAACCTCTTTCTTGCCACCTTCCAGTTTGGAAACCACCAAATCTAGACATTTCAACAGAAGATTATGCAAAAAGGATGTGTTCTTTGCCACCAACTTTATCGGTCAACATGTAATTCAAAAGTTTGATTTGAGGAAACTTCAAAAACGTCCATACACCTTTTTCTAGAAAATTTTTAAAGGATAAAGTTATTCATAAAAAATAAAGAAGAAGAAGAAGAAGATTATATGCCCTTCAAGAAGCATTACCTTTTTTGATGAATTTATTTTGAGGTAATATTTCGGGTCTAATTGGAAATGATAGAATTTAATAGTTGGCCATTGGCAATACTAGTATCTCTTTCGTGGTCCAACTTGATTAATTTTTCTTGCCCTCTTGCTTCCAAGTTATCAAAATCAGCCTTTGCTTCAACTCTTTCTACGCATAAAATTCTTCCATAATTGTTGGTTCCATTTGTTCCATTCCAATTTCTTCACGAGGAAATTGTTCTGTGTCAAGTTCTTCTAGATCTCTGATCATTTCTCTTTGTTCAGTGTCAATTTCTTCATACTCTTTTCTAATTTCTTCTTGCTCTCTGACTATCCTTGCATTGACGCTGTCAGTTTCTGCTTGGGTTCTCCTAGTCTCTGCTTTAATTCTTTTATTCTCTGTTTGTTTTCTTCCAATTCTTGTTTGTTCTCTGCCAATTCTTGATTTATCTCTGTTATTGTTTGATTCCAATCTGAGCAGAGTTGCTTGTTCCTTTCTATTTTTGATTTTCTTGTAGGTCAAAGATATCTTGATAGTTTTGGAATCGAAAACTTTGTAAAAAGTTTGGTTTGAAAAAGATGAAAATTAAAGATTTAAATGCCCTTCAGAAACAATATCTTTTAGCAATTAACCAGTTTATTACCGATCGTTCATTAATGCGTAGCTGCATTACAACTGAAAAGGATACTATACCATTGGCAACTGAAAAATTATCTCATTTCCTCGGTCATTTCCAATCGCGTAATACAATGAAAACAAATACCAATCAATTTGATAGTATGAATTTTTTTTTATTTTAAGGTATGTATGATTTCTATTAGACAATTTCGGTGATCTTTTTTTGGGGTTGGATCTCTCTACTTTTGATAACATTTAAGAGTTGGTCAGCGGATTCTGTGAACATTTGTAATTCACTCACCAGATTTGCCATTTCTATAATCCTTATATTATTAGCAATACTAGTATCTCTTTCTTGTGCCAATCTGACTAATGTTTTTTGCTCCCTGGCAAATTCAGATAACAAGTCGTCAAAATCAGCTTTTGATTTTACCCTTTCTTCTTGCATTGCATCATTTTCTACTTTAATTTCTGAAATTTCTATATGTTCTGTTCCAATTTCTTCAACCACTTGGATAATTTCTTGTATCTCTTTGAGCAATTCTGTTTGCTCTGTGTCAAGTTCTTTTAGATCTCTGGTAATTTCGTTTAGCTCGGTTTCAATTTCTTCATACTCTTTTCCAATTTCTTCTTTTTCTCTAATAGTACCTGCTATAACTCTGTCAATTGAAATTTCTGCTTGGTTTCTGGCAATCTGAGACCTATTTCTCTTATACCCTGCTAGTATTCTGCCCCATCTTGCTTGTTCTCTGACAACTCTTGCTTGTGCTCTGACATTTCTTGCTTCAGCTCTGCGATTAATTGATCGCAATATTTCTATTTCCTTTCTACTTTTGCTTTGCTTGTAGAAAATAAATGATACTGTAACTACAAATACTGATGATAGCGCAAATCTTGCAATCATCTAATCTTGTCTGAGTTTGTAATATTACAAATGAATAATAAATATAATGATAGATATAGAGATTGAAAAGAATAAAATAAACACTAACCAAATGGCCTCAAAATTGGAAGGACTCGAGATTGTGTTGATCAATCTCTTGTTGACCCAAAAATTCAAAACTAAAAAAAAATAATCTTTTTCTTTTTTTTGGTCTTGTTTTTTTTTAAATTTCAATCTTTTAATAAAGGTAATATTTCTTTCAATGTTGAGATACGATTAGGGTGTTGAGGATGTTTGCCGTATCGATCGAGTAAAAGAGCCGAGAATCCATAGTTGGTAGCACCTTGATAATCTTTTTGATCAGAGTCACCAACATAGACAATCTCCTCCTTTGTTAGCGACGGATCAATCTCTTTGTTGATTTGATTGAATCCATGTTCAAATATATTCCAATGCGGTTTTTGGTATCCACTATTGAGAGATGTTGTAATTAGATAATTTGGTGGTATAGAATTATTATTATTACAATTACTAGATTCACTTGAATTAATAAGATTATTTGATTTGTTGATATAATATTCATTATTATTATTTTGATGATTATTTTGATTATTATTAAAAAGTTTTGATCTTTGATTTTTTATACAAAAATATTTAATTAAATCCAAGTCTTGTAGGATTGAAAAGATTCTTTCGTCAAAGTTTGAAATGACCGATAGGTATTTCTTTCTTTTTTGCAGTTCCTCTAGTGTTTCAACCACCTCTGGATACACTTCCCAACAATCGTGATGACCAGACACCATTGATGGGACACCTCCACTTTTACCTTCGAATCTTTTATATAGTTCCATGTATGCTTGATCGGGTAGATTCTTTACCAATCGTGATGCCTTTTCGTCGTTTGGGTCGATCGATTTAAGTAGTACCAATTTAATTAGATCAAACCACCACTTTTCTCCTCCAACTGTATGATGTGATGTTGTACCAACAACATTACTATTGTCTGTTTTGATTCGAGACATTGAAAAAGAGATATCTTTTTGTTCTTTTGAGTGTCCAAAACAAGGTTGTTCTTTTGACAAATCTGAAAAGACCTTTAAAAAGTTCTTACTAACAATATCATCTTTTAAATATAATCCATAGTTGTTTAATACTTTATTCTATATTAAAATAGAGAGACAAAAGAGAGAGTGCTATCAGTACAGTAAAGTATAATATCACAGTTGTAAAAGAAACCAAATAATCATTAATCTATATATATAATGTCCATACATACATAATGAAACCCTGTAGTTCCTCTTACTTTGAATAATGTACCTGTTGCATCAAGTGATATTACTTTCCACATTCTTCTTTCTTCTATCTGTAGTAACAGTAGTAATAGTACTTTACTTATTTGTTTGTAAAAAAAAAATGTATTTTAAAACAAACAAGATGAACATCCTTTTTTGGGGTTTTATTAAAAGTTCTATTTTTGGATAAATAATTAAATTAAATTTCAATTTTCCATTGTTGATGAGACAGATAGTAGTAGATATGCAATTTTGATATAATAATAAATTACCTAGGTCTGCAGTTTAATCATTAATGAACGGGTTGGAAGTCCAATGGCTGGAAGATTTCTTGACAGCAATCATGATGATAGCAAATGGCCACTATAAAGAATCTTCCAGCCATAGAATATTCGGGCAACAGATATTGGGTCATCGGTCACGAGTTGCATTACGATACTTGCTTTTGGTGAGATTTGATTGAATTGCAAACGCCAATAACTGTATATATCTACATGCATGATTTGTCCGCGATACCACAGACATATTTAATTTCATGCACAAACCAAACGATCCTTTGGGATAGTTTGTTAAGCCTCATTGACAAGTACGCCAAACCACATGGAATGATCGTATCTGGTGACTTCAACGAAACCACTAGACTCTCAGATCGCTCTCCACAAAGACCAATCTTTACCACCGCCAACCTTCCTCTCTTCCTTAGACGCCACCTTCTCTTTGATCCAGCTCCTCTTGATTCGCAGGAATCACTTTCATTGTTAGACTAGAAAACCTAATAGAAAGTTTAGAAATTAAAGGTATTATCATCTCTTCTATCATGAATCACTCAGACGTACAAACCATAACGCCTTACGGTCTGACCAATCACTACATTGAAACACCAATGATCTTGACCGTGCTCTATCAAACCATTGAATAGTTACATCTACATTCCTAATATTAGTTTATATATTTATACTACTCTGTCTTTTCTTTTCATTGCAATTAGTCGACTCGAGGGAAGTAAAATAATAATAATAATGAAACTCGAGATGATAGACTTTATCAAACCCTTCCAAAGAAGACTTGTCAGCGAAATTAATTAAAATTAAATTATTGTTAAAAAGTAATAATTGTTGTACTAGCAACAACAACAACAACGACTACAACGACAACAACAACAACAACAACTGCAGCACAGTCTCAGAGGCAGCTTAGTTGAATCGACGACCATGGCAAAAGGGTCAGCTGCATCTGCTACGACTAAATACTATGCAATATCAAAGGGCAGAAAGGTAGGCATTCTAACAAACTGGGATGATTGCTTGCACTCTGTCAACGGGTACTCTGGTGCTACCTACAAGTCTTTCAAAGACCCAATTGAAGCACACAACTATCTCATCAACCAACCAGATTATATACAAACATGTTTAAAACGATTCGAAAAGAATAGTCCTACCATCTCTTCAACCTCTCCTCAACCAATCACACCAGCAGCAGTACAAGTACCTGCATCAATACCAAAAACATCATCTTTATCTCTTTCTATTGTACCGTCAACTCAACAACAACAACAACAAGTTGGATCAAAATCATTCAAGACTGTTAGAGAAGCAAAAGATTATTTTCTTGAACAGATTAGTCCAACCATTATTCATAATCCTCCCCAACAACAACAACAACAACAACAAGTTCACGATACCGATAATAATAATGGTATAATTATCAAAAAGGAACCTATAGATAATGCAATAATGGAATTTAATGTTGATGATCTTTTTGATCCAAACTTTAAAGTAAATAGTTGTGGTGGTGCTGGTGGTGGTGGAGTAGGAGGAGGGAAGAACCTCAAACAATGCTCAATTGATAACTTTGTAACCTCAAAATCAAATTCAATTGATAAATATATTGTACGTGATGATCAATCAACAACTTTGGATACATTTGTAAATGATAATGGTGAAAGATTAGAGTTGACATACAAATTGACTATAATTAAAAATAACTCTCCTCCAATAACTCCAACCATTAATAATATTAATAATAATACTAGTTCAACAAATAATAATAACAATAATAATAATATTCCTCCACCAATATTTATTGCTGGTAAAATAACAAATCCATCAAAGTCTATTACTACAACTACTTCGACTACAACAACATTGGCAAAAACAAAATCAATGAAAAGAAAAGAGATGCTCGTGATAGAAAATGTATTGGACAATGAAGACCAATCAGATGAAAATACAACAGATGATGAATGTTTTGATGATGATTTAACAACTGAAACATTATCAGAAGAACAAAGATTTGTATTGGACCATGTTTTAAAGGGAAATAATATATTTCTTACTGGCGGTGGTGGTACTGGAAAGAGTTATCTGTTGCGTATCATGATCAGTTGTTTGAGGAAAAAGTTTAAAGTCAATGAATTGTATGCTACTGCCAGTACTGGTGTGGCAGCTGTCAATATTGGTGGCACTACAGTACATAGTTTTGGAGGTATTGGTCTTGGAACCAAACCGGCTGAAACATTATACTATCAAATTTGTAACAATATGAAAGCATTGAAAAGATGGACTAGTTGTAAATGTTTGGTTATCGATGAAATATCAATGATATCAAAGACTATATTTGATTTATTGGACTATTTGGCAAAAAGAATTAGATCAAATCAAGAACCATTTGGTGGTATTCAATTAATTGTAGTTGGTGATTTCAGTCAATTGCCACCTGTCGTAAACGATCGAAAAGCATTACAACCTGGAGAAAAGAAACAATACATGCATCAACAATTTTGTTTCTTGTCACCCGCATTTAAACAATTGTTTACTCAAAATTCTTTTAATCTTACACAAGTCTATAGACAATCAGATACTACATTTATCGATATTCTCAATCGTATCAGATTTGGTATTGTTAAAGATGAAGATATTCAACTTATAAATGATAGAACCTCAAGACCTTTATCAATTACTGATAATATTATTCCAACTATTTTATGTATGTAGAAAAAAAGAAAAGAAAAGAAAAATAAGTTTATATTTACTCTTTTTTTTTTTATTTAGATCCAAAAAAAGTAAATGTTCATGAAGAGAATATTAAACAACTTGCATTGATTAATGAAAAGGAATATACTTTTAAAGCTGATGATTATGGTGACCCTCAACATATGGGTTTTACAAATTGTCAAGCCCCTGAAATTGTTAAATTAAAAACTGGTGCTCAAGGTAACCAAAAAAAAAAAATATTAAAATTTAAATAATATTTTAATCAATTTATTTACTTTTATTTATTTTAGTTTTACTTATGGTCAATCAAGATTTTAAGAAAAAACTTGTAAATGGGTCACGTGGAGTCATTGTTGGATGGGAATCATCTAATGAAAGCAAAGATGAACTGTTGTTACCAATAGTCAAATTTAATAGTGGTATTCAAAAAACAATTAAACGTCATACATGGGAATTGGAAGAACGAATCCTTTACAGAAAAGAAGAAAAGGTTCGAGAAGTAATTGCATCGAGAACTCAAATACCTCTTATTCTAGCATGGGCTATATCTATTCATAAAAGTCAGGGTATGACCATTGATAAGCTATCAATTAATTTGGATGGCGTTTTTACTGTATGTATAAATATAAAAAACAAAATGAGAAAAATTGTTTATTAACTATATTAATCCAAAAATTTTATTTAGTTTGGTCAAACCTATGTATCATTGTCTAGAGCAACAAGCTTGGATGGATTAAATTTACAAATTCCAATTACATCTGCACATGTATCTACTCATGAAAAGGTGATTGAATTTTATGATCAAATGAAAAAAAATAATATGATCAAAGCACAAGAACCAAAAAAGATTGAAGAAGAAAAAGAAAAGATTGAAGAAGATATTGTTCAACAAACATTAAAGAAATCAAAAACAGAGCATGATATTACAAATGACAATCAAAAACTTTTACAATTGGATAATAATCAACAATCATCAAATTCAACAACAGTAGTACCTGTTGCAGACTTTGATTCTTTTGATTTTTCAGATGACAAATCATTTACATCTGATACAAAAGATGATCAAGATCAAGATCATTCTTTTATAGACTCTGATCAAGATGATTGTACAGTTCAAGATGACGATGATGTTCCTCTTACTTTTCAAGAATGTGCCAATAATAATAATAATAATAGTAGTTGGGCCAAAGTAGAACAAGAAAGTCAAATAGATAAAAATACTAATATAAGAATAAGCAACAACAACAACACAACCAAAAAGACGACTTCACTGGTGATTTCAAAACAAAAACCATCTGACACGACCATTAAAAATAATATTTTACCAACAACTAATATTAATAATGATAATAATAGTTCACCAACAACCAATAATAGTTTACCAACAACTAATATTAATAATGATAATAATATTTTGCCAACATCAACAATTAATATTATTGATATTGATGAACCAGAAATAGTAGCAACACAAGAAATGGTAGTTGGACCTAATAATATTAATAATAATATGGATATTGATTTTGATTTCGAACTTGCCAATGATAATAATAATAATAATAACAACGAACCGGGAATAGTTCAAACATCAGCTCAACGTGAAATTGTATCTACCAACTCTATCAATAATCACAATGACCCAGAAACAGTACCCAAACCAACTCCATGCGAAATTGTATCTACCAACTCAACCAATAATAATAATAATAATAATAATGATAATAATAATAATAATAATAATAATAATAATAATAATAATAATAATAATAATAATAATAATAATAATCAACCAGAAATATTTGGTCCTAATAGCTTGGAATTCGATTTTGATGACCCAGAAACAGTACAAACATCAGCTCCCTGTGAAATTGTATCAAACAATTCAATCAATAATAATAATAATAATAATAATAATAATAATAATCAACCGGAAATAGTACCAACTCCCTCGAACAATATTAATAATTTAGTCGAACCCCCAATCAATAATAACAATAATAATCAAAATAATAATAATAGTAATAATAATAATAATAATAATGATATGGATATTGATTTTGATTTTGAGACAACAGTTGGCCCTAGTGTAGAAACAAATCAAATCAAACAAGCCAAACGACCAGTTAGACTAAACCTGACTTTATCCAAAAGTAAAACATTGGATAATAATCAAACAAAGTCTAACAACAACAACAACAATAGTAATAATTTCACACAAACCAATGATGATGATCATGACTTTGATTTCAATTGATTAATTTTCAATTTGAACAATAAACTTGTATATTATCCTATATAGTTTTGACAGTCAGTAGTTCACTTGTAATCTTAATCAACCAATCCAAACTAGTTAGTTCACAGCAAACATGGAACACTCTAAATTCATATGACAATTTAAATCAAAAGAAAACCCCACAAGTCATCAACACAACACCCCAACTTGATAGCTGCTGTTGCTACATCTATCTGTCGTAAAACATGATGATGATGGCGATAGTATACTTACTACACACAAGATCATACTAAACATCAAAGGTCGACTCTGACAATAGAAAAAATTCATACCACCACCCAACAAATCATTCTAAACAGATTTTTGCATATGCAAGTGATGGGGGTCAACTTCACCACCGTTTCTGTTTATTATTGTCCACATTCCATTGCTCATTACACAATGGATGGTATGGGATGCAGGTATAGATAGAGTTTGGGGTGGTAAAATGAAAAGTGATCATCATTCATTGTAGATGTTCTGTTGGAGATGGATGGATGATATTAAGTAAAAAAATATCATATCATCAATTACTAGTGTATACCATGTGTCAGTGGATCAATGTTTTGATGATTTTTGATGATGATGATGATGATGAATATGTTCATGATCAACAGTCAATTGATTTATCAATTGTTTTTGGGTAACAGCCAACTTTGCCTACACCATACAATATTTTTCATTGTGCATTCTCCATACCGATTGATCAATTATATTTATTTATTTATTTATTGACAGACACTAGAATAATTAAAATAATCACTATAACATTATAAATATTTCATAAATATAGAGAGTAAAAGGAAAATGAATAGAGGTTTATTAGGAATTCTCCTAATTGGTTTATTGATTGTTGCTGTAAATTTTAAACCAAATTAATATTTTATAAATAAAATACTTTATTAACCCCATCAAAAATAATATAAATTTAAAAATTTAGGTAAATGGTTCAAACAGAAACAACAATAATGAAGATAGAGAAGGAATTTCTCTCCAAACTTCAATAATCTTGAGAAAATATGCTTTGGCTCAACAAATCCAAGAGTTGAATAGAATTTTGAGAGATTTGTCATTATCACTCGACGCTGAACAATTAAGAGCCTTGGAAGAACATGAAAAGAAAATCCAAGACCAAGAGGCAGGTGGTATTTTTGGATTTTTAAATGGAGTTGACAAGACTGGTGCTCAAACTGGAACACCAACTCAAGCTCAAGCATCAAACCAAGCTACAATCGGTAGTGCCCAAGGTGTCATTGGTAACAATATCGGTGACTCTACCGGTGCTCGTCTTACCCTTCATCAAACCAGTGCTGGTGATGAAGGAGGTATGGGTGGAATCCCATCCTCTACCGGTGAAAATCCAAATACCGGTGAATCAGTCCAAACAGGTAGAAATACTCAGGGAGGCCAACCAGTCGAAGGTATCACTCTCTTTACCACCAAAGCTGGAAATCCAAATGGTTTGTTGTCAAACACTGTAGTCACTGCTGCCCATACTTTGGCCAATGTTATTGGTGGTCGTTCAAGTGGAGGAATTGCTGCTTCTTTGGGTGCTATTGATCAAACTGGTATGATTTATTAAATACATTCGTAGATTTTGAATAATATTTTATTAATAATTTTTGTTTTTTTATAGTTGGACAGGTACTTGGAGGAACTGTAGGATCAATTGGCCAAACTGGAGTCACCAACCAAGCAACCCTTGCCAATTCTGTTGCAAGTTTATTGGCTGGATCGAGAACCGGTAGCTCTTCCCTTGGCCAGTCTATTGGAAATGCTATTGGAGGTCCTGTTCAAACAGGTATGAATTTAAAAAAAAAATAGAAAATTAATTCGAGTTATTTACCCTTTATAACACTTTTCTTTCTTTGGTAATCATTCCTTCTATTTCGTTGTGATATATATTAGTTGGAAATGTCATATCTGGTCCAGATGGAACTATTGCCCACTCTATTGGACAAAATCTAGGTCAAACTGTAGTTGGAGATGGTGGATCGGTAAGTTTTATTTTAAAACTGATATTGTTGCACTATGATTAATATTTTAATTCCTTTATCCATGTGTATGTATACACACAGGTAGGGTATGTCATTGCAGGAAACTTCCATGTCTTAGGAAACATTCCATTCCTCAATCATGCAGTCATGCAAGTCACTGGAGTCACTCGTGAGTTGTCCTGGGGTTATGAGCCAAATGGTCCAAATTCATTGTTGGAACATCTCATCCAAAACTATCCAAAGGAAAATCAAGATAATAATAATGAAAATAACAATTAACTCTAAAGAGTTGATTTGGTTGTTGCTTTAATTTAAAAAAAAATATAAATAAACTTTTTTTTACATTTTTGTAAAAGAATATTTTTTGGGAATTGGAATGCCCTAGAGCAGGTTGAAACTCTCTGACTTTTATTCCTTTTTTCTGTATCTTGTTCAGTTCTAACAAAGTTCTTGGTCAGGAAAATCTTATCAGAATATGAAGCTGGAACTTACAAAATCAATCTCAAACTGTGGATCGGTAGGAAAATATTATCAAAACTGATAATACTGCACTATGAATTAAAACTGATCTTGTTGCAGTAAGATTAATATTTTAATTCCCTATATCCATGTGTATGTATACGCACAGGTAGGGTATGTCATTTCCATTCATTAAAAAAATCAAACACCACCCCCAGCTTACACTTCTTTCTTTTTGAAAAATCAATACATTCCCCCATATTTCATCAATTAGTACTTCAACTTTTCTAATTATTAATAACCAATAATATTCTTAAGAGTCAACTGCTTACTATCTTTTAATCATAGAAAGAGTAGAATATCATTTTGGGTTAATAATCAGAATAACTGTATATAAGGTTTTAGTTTATGTTGACTGTCAACAGCAGACAAATACAGAGAATACTGGGGAGATAATTTCTTTTGTTTATATTCTAAAAGAATGATATCAATGGTAAGAACTTTATTTTATTAATTATATTATAACGATCTAGAATCTTTTTAAAATAACTAACTTTTAATCATTCTCTTCTACTAATTAGTTTTGTGGTCTTTAACATAAAAAAGATAGTTTTATCTTATCATGCATTCTGATGGAGGATGGAATCACTGGTGCATTATACTCTACAAAAAATTAGTAAAAGAAAAATTGTTAACAACGAATACAAGTCCTATCATAATTATTTGGTGTAGCAAGCGCATGCCTCCACAAGTCAATGTATACTTGAATGCAATCCACCAGTATTGCAAAGTTTCCATCTCTACTCGTTTCGTTACTCAATCAGGCTATCTCATTGCATTGAATAGCCAATTTCTCTGGAATCTCATCGTTCTCGTCATCTTCATCATCACATTCATAGTCATATTATTCTTTATCGCCTACTTCTCCTGTCTCATTGCTGAAACAAAAGAGTTACCTTCGTCCTAGCACGGCCCCAGTCTCTTAACCAAGCGGTGTAGAGGTGGCTCAAGATTGTCAATGCCTCACCCTAACTTTTGCACTCCATTCGAAAAGGACACCGAGACTAAAGAATATTAGTAAGTTATTAAACAATTACCAACTTTTTGGGAGTATTACATCTCTAATATTAATGTTTATTTTCTAGAAATTGAATCTCACTTTGAAAACAAATCTATCTTTCGAATACAACATTTTCTCTGTTGCTGGATGACACAGTTCAATCTTGTCCAGCTTCTCAACAAAAAGTACAAGAGTTCGAAATGGAAGGAGACGATATTTATTTATATGGTTTTGGGATTGGATTCAACAAGAATAGTATGTTTAATTAAACCCATTTCTCACTTAGGGTTATGGTCCTATATTTATTAACAACTTATTTAATATAGTTCCCAAAAAGAATGGTTTGGTGAATTGTCATCATCTCCCACCCTCCTCTTCCAACCGGCATTGGTCTCATAAGCCAATTTATAAATTACCTGTGTTGGACTAAAGAATACATGTGTAACAGTGGTTATGGGCAGACTAGATGCAGATACTCCAATAGCAACACGTGATTATCAGTCTGGACCAGTATTCAATTCTCTCTTGCAGTAATTAAAATGTGAGCATTGGTGTATTTTCTAGAGATCCCTGTTTCCTTGTTTTGGTCCAGAAAAGACTTTGAAACAAATGGTAAAAGATTCGAAATTGTCAATGCCTCACCCCAACATTTACACTATTTTCAAAAAAATAAATCAACCAAAAATAACAAAGATAAATCACCTAAAAAGGAAAAAGAAGTCAAAAGGAAATAGAAATCAATTTCCACACAAGTTTCACCGTCAAAGATTGATGATTCTGAAGAAATTGTTTTCACTTCATCTTCTCCACCAACATCATCGTCGACCACAGCGAAAAGAAAACTTTTTGGCGATAATACAACTGTTGATCCAACACCTGCCAAACCAACGCCAAAGGCTTCTGGAAAGAAGGTGACCCCAAAGCCAAAGCCTGCCAAGAAGGCTGCCTCACCTTTTCCAACAGCATCATCATCATCGTCCACAGCCACCTCATCATTATCCTCTACCACTCCAATGGATCTTGGTGATGATCAAACCACCTCTACAACTACAACTATTTCTGGTTCAAAGGAGTATTATTATGAAACAATTATCAGCTTTTTAGAGTCATTTAACTCTTTTTATTATGTCGCCGAGATGAGAGGTATGATTATCAGAGTAGAACAATCAATATTGAACATTTCTAACATTCATATAATTATAATATTATTATTTCTAGAGAAATTGAATCTCCCATTAGAATGCAATACTTTCTTTCGTACACTGGCAAACCAAAAGAAAATTGAAACATCAGTGTGTATAAAAAATATTAATAGTACAATTTGTATACTGACACTTGATTGTTTTAATTTATTAGGGTTGTAATGAGAGAACAAAAGGGTTCTTATGCCTTTGGAAAAAAGGATCTCAAGTTTGATGCTACAACAATGAACAACAGAATTGCATTGGAGCAATCATTTAATATTTTCTCCAATGGATGGAGCGCCATCCACCATTCAGGCTTTCTTTTGGGATTGGGTGGATAGTCTGGATTGTTCACTGCATTGGTACGGTTCGTAAAGGTTTTACACCTGTGTCTATGTGGATTGTGTCCTTTCATGGATTCCACAAGCCATGAGATTATCAAGTTGTTGTTTGATAATATTGGTTGTGGGTACAGTGGAGGGAAATTAGAATTCGAAGATCCAGAACACATGATGTTCCCCTCCATTGAACGAATGAATAATAGAATTGGCAACGTCAAGAACAATATGGAAGTGGTATATCTGCTTTTCTAGGCATTAGATATGTTCCGTAGCTGTTGGTATGGATCAAAAAGGTAATAATCAAGATAGTCTTTTGATTGTTTCGATCCTCTATACCGATACCAAAGGTGGCCATCCAGAATATCCAAGTCCATATTCTCTTGACACACACAAGTGACTATGACCTTTGAAATCTCATGTGATGCCCACCTTTGGCATTGGTATTCTACCAAAGCCCGGGCTCTCTTTTTGCTCGAAATAAAAACAGTCTCTAATAAACCAAAAAATAAATAATAATTGACAATATTAATATTCACCATAACAAACCAAGTCTTATTATTTGAGTTGTTTGACTTTCTATTGATTTTGAATACCATAATACTGTCTATCTTTTATTTCTCTTTAATCATCCTCATCGTCACTTGAATATTGGAATAAACTAGAAGATGTAGATTCATTTGTCTCCTTATTACTATTATTACTATCATTATTATTACTATTATTATTTATATTATTATTAATTTTTACAACTTTAACATTAGAACCAAGTATACTTTTCTTTGGTTCCACTTTTTTAGTTTCCATAATGATAGCAGTAGTTTTAGAATCAACATCGTCTTCATCGATTCTCTTTACCGTTGGTTCTTTTTTACTATAAAACATTTCTTGAATGACAAGTTCTTCTTCTTGTCTTTGTTGTTCCTCTATTTCTTGTTGTTTCTTGAGACTATACTCTAGTAGTTGTTCTGTGTTTACATCTGCATTTCGAGCATTGAGTGCACGCAATTCATCCAAACCATCCAATATCTCCATTTCTCTTTTTGATTCCAGCGTTCTATTCTCCAATGCCTTCATTGAATCTTCTTTTTCCTCTTGTTCAACCTTTAATCGTTCAGCCTTTTCCTCTGCCGTTTCTTTCCACGATTCATAGTTTCTGGTTGCACCAGATTCGCATACATATTCAGAGTTCTTTGGGTCGGTCTTGATTGCAAGTTCAGCAGCACATCTTCTACACCGAATGTAGAATCTAAACACCTTTAAACCAAGGTATTCTTCTCCATCGACTGTTTCCTTTTTCGAGTTAAACTTTGTTCCTCTACCAATATATTCTCCACAAGTATTACATCTGATGCTCATAGGTAGCATCATAACAACCTTGATTGTATTATGTTTCTTTACACCCTTTGCTCTAGGTATCTTACTAGGATCAAAGTCTGGTGGATAATATTTACTTATTACTTTACGTTCTCCCATTCTTTTATATTGTGTATTATTATTACTTGGTGAAATAAACTATAAACTAAAGTTGTACAAGTTTCATTAATGAAAATTCAAAAAATAAAATAAAAAATAAATTAATTACAATACCAACTCTGTATATTATATATTTGTGTTTATATATTAATATTTATTATGAATTTTATTTTTATTTTGTTATTATTATATTTTAAAGGAAAGTTTTTTGTTTTAAGAAGATTGTTATTATTATTATTTGTTTAGTGCTTTGGGGCATTATCTACAGTTGACTTGCCAGAGTTTTCGTCGTGCTTTTGACGAGAGTAATATTCCTTGATGGTCTTTTCTGTGATACGCTTGAGCATGTTGCTTGGGAAAGTACGGAGGAGAGACCAACCGATTTCCAAAGAGGAGAAAATGTCTCTGTTTTCATAGTAGTTTTGTTGAATGAATTTGCCTTCAAACTTTTCCAAAAATTCGAGGTACAACTTATCTTCAGAGGAAAGAGCTTCCTCACCAACGACAGCCTTCATGGCTTGGACATCCTTACCGATGGCATAGTTGGCATACATTTGATTGGAAACTTCAGAATGATCGTCACGAGTCATACCCTCGCCAATAGCCATTTTCATCAAACGGGACAAGGATGGGAGTACGTTGATGGGGGGATAGATTTGACGATTGTGGATTTGACGATCGACGTAGATCTGTCCTTCTGTAATGTAACCAGTAAGATCTGGAATTGGATGGGTAATATCATCGTTTGGCATAGTCAAAATGGGGATTTGAGTAATTGAACCGTTACGACCAGCAATACGACCGGCACGTTCGTAGATGGTGGAAAGATCTGTATACATATAACCTGGGTAACCACGACGACCTGGTACTTCTTCACGAGCAGCAGATACTTCACGAAGGGCATCAGCGTACGATGACATATCAGTGAGAATGACGAGTACGTGCTTCTCGCATTGGTAAGCAAGGTATTCGGCAGTGGTCAAGGCAAGACGTGGAGTAATAATACGTTCAATGGTTGGATGATCAGCAAGATTGAGGAACAATGTGGTTCTTTCCATAGATCCAGACTCTTCGAAATCTCTCTTGAAGAAACTAGCAGTTTCCATATTAACACCCATAGCAGCGAAAACAATGGCAAAGTTATCATCATGATCATCATTGACACCCTTTCCTGATCTCTTTACCAAACCTGCTTGACGACAAATTTGGGCGGCAATCTAAAAAAATAGAAAATAGAAAATAGAAAATAGAAAAGAAAAGATTAGGATAATGATGATTCTTTTTCTTTCTCTCATCTCCTCTCTTACTTCATTATGTGGAAGACCGGCAGCAGAGAAAATTGGAATCTTTTGACCACGAGCAACAGAGTTCATAGTATCGATGGCAGAGATACCAGTTTGAATCATTTCTCTTGGGTAAACTCTGACGGATGGATTGATTGGTTGACCTTGGATATCAAGGTAATCTTCTGGGAGGACTGGTGGACCCTTGTCGACTGGCTTACCAGAACCGTTGAAAATACGACCCAATGAATCTTCAGATACTGGCATCTTCAAAACGTCACCAGAGAACTCGCAACGAGTGTGCTTGGCATCAATACCAATGGTACCTTCAAAGACTTGTACGACGGCTCTCTTTCCTGAAATTTCGAGGACTTGAGCCTTTCTTTGAGTACCATCACCAAGGGTGAGGGTGACAATTTCAGAGAACTTTGGTCCCTTAATATTATCTAAAATAACCAATGGACCATTTACACCAGTTACTGTTCTGTAATCTAAATGAATATTAAAAGTAACAAAAGGAAGGAAGGAGAAAGGAAGGAATAATCAATCGATTTGATGAATGAATGAATTGTTAGATAAATATATATATAACTTTTTAATTTAATGTCGTCATCATGTTGTTCATTTCATTTGTTACATACCCAAACGTGGATTAACATAGTAATTTCTGGTAACAGCAGCAACATGTTGATCAAAAGCCGACATTATTATATCTATAATATAGTAGAATAATAATAATCGTAGGGATAGGATATTAAAGGGGGTGAAAGAGGAGGAATGTGATGTTAGTGTGAGTTGGCTGACGAAGGAACAGCACAGAGAGAAAAAAATTTAATTTTTTTTTTTTTTTTTCAAAAGATATTATTATCACACATAAACTAAAGTGAATGGAAGAATCTCAAAGATGAGTTACTACTGTAATGAATTGATCGATAGAAATAGATAAAGATATAGATAGATATATGTATAGTTTAAACATGAACCTTTGAACAAGATATCTAGACTGTTGTTGGATGTGGTGGTGGTGGTGGTGGTTTTGGGGTTGGTCGAGAATATGTGCCCTGGGACTGAAGTTGAGTAGTGATTGCATAATATGATTAAATAGTTGATAATATGATCATAATCTATCTCTCTTGGTTATTCTTTTTGTCTTTGATCATCCATTCAAGTATCTATTCTCTTGATAGTGTTGGTGTGTGATAATAATATCTTCGTTTGATTCGGTTTCAACGATTGTTTCTTTTTCTTTCTCTCTGTTTTGGTTTGACTTTGTATATATATCGCAGAGTGAGACATACCACTGTATTAACTATCTAAATAATATAAAAAAGGTAAATAATTTATATAATATAATAATAATAATACAACAAAAAACAACAATAACAATAAAAAAAGAACAACAGCCTCTATGAATGAATGCACTCATCCTCCAAGCAAAAAAAATCGAAAAGGAAGAAATTTTCTTTTTCTAAAACCTGGGCGTGCACAACCGCATCGTCTCAACAAGGATTCTTCAGTCGAAGTTGTTACCAGTCCTCGACCACTCTCTAATCTACATTCCCCAAATCACCAAACCTGTTTGATGATGATGTTGGTTGTTGAGTCGGTTTAGGAAAAGATATAATTATATTTAATATTATAAATAGGCGTAGGCAGTATTTGATCGACACGACTAGTTGTAGGAGCTTATTATTAATATGATTCGATTGTCCCTGGGCAATCTTTGGGTTCCCCTCGTCTCATATTAATATGTTTAACAAAAGGAGATAGAGATAGATAGATTGAAGTTACTTTTAAAAAGAATATAATTTAATTTATAAAATAGAGAGAAGCAGTAGAGAAGTAGAGTCTCTAGATTTATTCTTATACCAACATTCTATGGTGTATGCAATTTTTTAAATAAATGAATTAGGAGAAGAAATTGAATAATATTGATATTTTTAAGATAATAATAATAATAACAGGCCAACATCGTTCCCAACTTGTAAATATTATAGACATATACATTTATGTAGATATATACTTGTGATCAGAGTGAGGTACTGAAAGACTTGTTTCTTTGTTTTTTATTAAAAAAAATAAAATAATAAAAAAACAATGAAATAAGTACTCTTTCAAGTTTCGGGCGACTGATTGTTTGTTTCTTCATATCTTTTATATTACTTGCACTCAGATAGATAGATAGAGATAGAGATAGGGAGGATGAAAGAAGATATAAAATCAGAATTAGATTTTATTAGTATTGGATGTAATTGTATAGGCGATTCGATAAGTTGGGGTAACAATGGACTCGTTGCCTATGGAGCTCACAACTTTATTGCATTGTTGTCACCAAGCATTCCAAAGGTGCTTGCAACACTACCAGGTCATAAAGATAGAGTCAATCATGTACAATGGATCCCAAATTGTACTCGTAACACCGAAACAAAGCAATTCAACAATGAAGAGAATGAATTGGTTTCAGTATCATCTGATCATACTATTATCATTTGGAAAAGAGTATGAATATATCAGATAGGATAGATATGAGATATATATATTAACATTCATTTATTTTCTATTTTAGAATGAAAATAATAATAATACTTTATTTTCTATTAAAGAAACATTAAAAGGACATAGTGATAGTGTAACATCATGTTCAATTGTTAGAAATGATAGAGATGGATCATTGTTGTTGTGTTCGACATCGACAGACAATACAGTAAATATTTGGAAGAGAGATGCTGGTGTTGATAGTGTGTTTGCATTGATTCAATCGATAGAGTTTAAACCTCGTATGATGACATGTTCAAGTCTTGGTTTCATCCCTGGCACCAATACCGCTATCCTAGTGTTGGGTGGCGTCGAATCAAAAATACATCTATACGTACAAGACTTTAGAAAGGAGGGTACAATCTTGTTTAGAAAGGTTGTTTCATTGCAAGGTCATCAAGATTGGATTAGATGTCTCAAATTTAGATATATCCCACAAACCGACGAGTTGTTCCTCGCATCTTCATCTCAAGACAACAAGATTAGATTATGGAAAGTTTCACAAAAGATTGATCAACCTGCCAAACAACAGGAGCAGGAGGATGGGGAAGAGGATGAAGGTATCGATACCAACACATTGATAGATTCGTTAAAGAGTTCATCGATTACTGGTGTCAAGTCATTGTCTTCAAAGGGACATATATTCAATGTTAGCGAGACCGAGACGACCAAGGTCAAGGTGATTGTCTTGTTAGAGTCGGTCATGTCGGGTCACGAAGACTGGGTGTACAGCGTCTCGTGGTATCCCGTCAACAACAAACAGGATGGTACGCAAGAGATGTGTTTGGTGTCGTCGTCGATGGACAAGACTATGATTGTCTGGCGTCCCGACCCAAAGAGTGGTGTGTGGATGGACGAGGTGCGTATCGGAGACATGGGTGGCAACATCCTCGGTCTCTATGGCGCCGTCTTTTCACCAACTGGAGAGTACCTCTTATCACACGGATACAATGGTGCATTCCATCTTTGGGGAAATGAAAATCATAACAATAACAACTCAAGCAGAGCAGTGTGGAGACCAGAGATTATCACATCGGGTCATTTTGGTCCTGTCCAAGATCTCATGTGGGCACCTGATTACAACTACTTTATCTCTTGCTCAACCGACCGTACGTTGCGTTTGTACAGTCAGTGGGATTCATCACAAAACCAGGATCGTGTAAAGGGATGGTTCGAGATTGCACGTCCACAAATCCACGGATACGATCTTGAATGCTTCACCTTTATCCACGGCAAGAACCACGCCATCGTGTCGGGTGCCGAAGAAAAGATCTTGCGTGTGTTTTTGGGCTCACAAAACTTTATCGATACATTGTCCAACATCTCGGGTGTCGTCTATGAGGATGACGGACAGATGCGTCCGGCTGCTGCCAACCAGCCATCTCTTGGTCTCTCCAACAAGCCATTCTTTACCACCGCACAACAGGACGGTACGACTGACGGACAAGAAATGATGATCGCCGCCACAATGGCCGAGGACAATGAAGGATTGGGAGAAGGTGGTTTCGAAGATCCCGTCCCATTCAACCCAGCTGTGCTCGCCACACCACCATTCGAAGAGCATCTGTTACAAAGCTCGCTCTGGCCAGAAGTCCAGAAACTCTACGGACACGGAAACGAGATCATCGCAGTCGCCGCCAGCTACGACGGCAAGTACATAGCATCCACCTGTCGTGCCTCTTCATCCGACCAAGCAACCGTCCGTATTTGGAGTGTTGCCAACTGGCGTGAGGTTGCCAACCTCAAGGGACACCAACTGACCGTCGTCCAACTCGCCTTTTCACACGACAACCGATACCTACTCGGCGTGTCACGTGATCGTATGTGGTCGTTGTGGCGTCGCACTTCTGATGAAACCAACCCATATGTCCGTGTTGCCGCATTACCAAAGTCCCACGGTCGTATCGTATGGGGTTGTTCATGGTCCTACGATGACAAGTTATTTGCAACAGGTTCACGTGATAAAATCATCAAGATTTGGGCAAACCAATCCGAATCATCGTCATCATCAACAGTTGAACAAGAGAATTGGAAGGCAATTGCAACATTACCAACCTTTACATCTGGTGTCACAGCAGTAGAGTTTGCACCAGACGTTGATCCAGAAAATTACATATTGGCCGTCGGTGAGGAAGAGGGTCATATAACGATTTGGAGTGGTCCAAAGACCATCACCTCTACCGATCCATGGAAAAAGATTCATACTATTGATTCAAATCAATCACATATTTCAGATGTTAGAAGAATTAGATGGCGTTTAAATAAGAAACAAGAAGATGATAAAAATAATAATAATAATAATAATTCAATTCAACTAGTTACATGTAGTACAGATAATTCTGTTCGTCTATTTAAATTAAATTATTAAAAATAAATAATAATAATAATATCTTTTAGAAATAGAAATTAATTAATAATAATGCACAATAAGAATATCTTGGAAAACAGGTAAGAAATAGGTTGAACCAAAAAAAACAATGATATCACGCATATATGCACCGACAGGTCCACGTTTTGAGACTTTAATATGGTTCTTTTCTTTGATCTGTTGGGCGATCAAGATTTTTTTTAAAAATAATTTGTTTTCATCAACCTTCACAGCAATCAAGCTTCTACTTTATTATTTAACCGCTAAGTCTCGACTTATTCATTATTGTATTATTATTAATTTGTATTATATATATATAGATAGAGATATGCAAGTTGTACAACACCCAACTTCAAAGGTAGAACTTAGATTTCAATGTACTAAACTGACCAATTTAGATACATTCTCTAAAAGTGATCCACAGATCTATATCTATCATCAACAAAGAGGATCAAAGGTTTGGGATTTATTAGATAGAACTGAAAAGATTCAAAATAATCTTAATCCAATCTTTAGAAAGGTTGTCAATGTTGATTACTTTTTCGAAGATATTCAAAATTTGTATGATTGATGAAACATATAATGATACATAAATAACAAACACTTTATACTAATAATTTAATTTAATTTTAATTAAAAGAAAAATTGTTGTAATTGATGTTGATAATGATCATACATATGATTTAAAGAAACAAGATTTTATTGGTGAATTGGATACTACTTTGGGTGAAATCATCTCAAAACCAGGATGTACTCTTATCAAAGACCTTAAATCAAAGTCTAACAGTTTTGCTGGTACTATTCAAATTGTTGCCGAAGAAATTAGAGCTACTGGTTTAAACATTAAGTTTAGATTTGGTGGTAAGCATTTTGATAAAAAGGATCTTTTTGGTAAATCTGGTATGTCAAACACAACACAAAAGATAGTTATATATATATATATATATATATTAATATATATGTACTAATATTTATTTGTATTTTTATTTAGATCCATACTTTGTACTTGGAAAATATTCTGGAACTGGATATCAAACAGTTTATACAAGTGAAACACACAAGAATACATTGGATCCAGAGTTTAGAGAGGTGATGTTAAAGTTGGAGGAATTGTGTGGTGGCGATCTCAACAGACCTATCCAATTTGAATTTTATGATTGGGATTCTGTTGGAAAACACGACTTTATCGGCTCGTTCAACACAACCACTGCCGAGTTACTTGCTGGCAAGAAGGACTTTGATGTGATCAACCCCAAGAAAAAGGAAAAGAAGAGTAGCTACAAAAACAGTGGAGTTGTACACTTTCACAATGTGCAACAATGCAAAGACTATACATTCTTGGACTACCTCATCGGTGGTTGTGAGATTAGTTTGATGATTGCTATTGATTGCACTGGATCGAATGGTGACCCCTCGTTTGCAGGTTCGCTCCATTACAAACATCCAACCGAACCAAACGAGTATGCCAAGGCAATCGTCAGTGTTGGTAATGTGTTGGGTCCATACGACGCCGATGGTATCATCCCAGTCTATGGGTTTGGTGCCACTGTTCCTGGTGTCGGTCGTGTCAACCATTGCTTCCCAATGTCACTCACTGATAATCCAAATGCACTCGGTGTGCCAGGTGTACTCGACACTTACTACCAAAACATCACACGTGTCGATTTCTCGGGTCCAACTTACTTTGCACCTATCATTAATGCAGCTGCTTCGTTTGCTGCTGGTGGTGGTGCACAAAAGTACACCATTCTCTTGATCATCACCGACGGTGAGATTTGTGACATGGAAAACACAATCGAGTCGATTGTCAAGGCTTCCACCTTGCCCATGTCTATCGTCATTGTCGGTGTTGGTAATGCCAACTTTGACAACATGAATGTATTGGATGGCGACAATGGTGTTCTCATTGCCCCCTCCAAAGCCAGAGCCGAAAGAGATATCGTCCAATTTGTCGCTTTCAATCAATACAAAGACAAAGACTTTATGCTCTTGGCGAATGAAACACTCAAAGAAATACCAGGTCAACTTTTGGGTTACATGAAATCAAGGAATATTCAACCAAATCCACCAAGAGTTGCTCAAGCTGTTCCACCAGTTGTTGTTGCTGCTACTCCAGTTCCACCAAAATAAATAAATAAATAAATAAATCATGTTTGTACTTGTACATCTATCCTTTCAATCACATGTATGCATGCATTGTGTGATTGATAGGACCCGTTGTCCATTATTATTATCAGTTTTAAAAAAATTGCAACATGGGTTTTGTGTGAATCATGAGGTCATACTTCTATTCATTTTATCTTGATCTCTTTTATTTACACAACCAAGCATTACAACAAAATATGTAGTTTGGACAACCATCAGCCGCAACACAACTTATAATAATTATAATGTCATCCATCACATTGTCATCCACAACAACAACAACAACAAAATAAAATAGACTTGTGTTTTTTTTATATATCCTTGTAAATTAGACACTATACCATCAAATGTCATATCATTTCCACACACACACACTGTTTCAAACTCTTTTATAAGAGGAGAGGGGATGTGAAAAGAATAGATGTTCATATGTGTATATGTTCATGAACATCACGTGACAACAATTGCAACGTTTCACAGAGTTGGTAATGAGTGAATGGTTCCTTTAAAGTATTTGGTCATATGTTCAAATCAGATTGGTTGATAGATTAATTGGATTGGATTGGATTGTATTGTAGGATGACATTCAATCATTGTTGACAACACAAGTTATTGTTATTATTCTATCTGATTGCTGTCCAAGTAATCAATAGATGCATCTAGCAGTCAATGATACCAATAATAGATTTGGCACATTGTAGATTGGCATATCTACACAGATTCTTTCTTTAATTTTAAATTGTGGATAATATTCATCAAAAATGTTGTAGACCAAAACTATAAATAATGGACCATTCCAAAGTTTCAAATCATCAACTTCAATCAATCAACAATCAACAATCTAATCTAAAACAACAATATAATAACAAATAATTATTGGTATCAATACTATAATACAATAATAATAATAATAATAATATGAAATTTATAATAGTATTACTATTAATAACATGTCTGGTGGCAAATGCTACAAGTAAATTTGACAATCGAAGAAAAAAGTCGGCTGGTGATATCGTAGTTACTACTGATGGTCCAATTCGTGGTGTTGTCGCTCCTACTCATCGTGCATTTTATGGTGTATGTATTATTTATAAATATATCTTAACTAGACATCTCTCATCATTTGAATCAATTATTCTAATTATTATTGTTTTTTTTTTTTTTGTTTTTTTTTAGATTCCATATGCATCACCACCAGTTGATCATTTAAGATTTAATGATCCAGTAGATGTACCTGTTTGGACAGAGGTTAGAGATTGTCTTACTCCATCAAAGGGATGTGTTCAAAATTGTAATTTACCATTGGGAGCATGTCCAACTGAATACTCTGAGGATTGCTTGTACCTCGATGTATTCACCCCAGCCAATTCCTATCTTAAAATCAATGAAGCTCCACGTCCAGTACTTGTAAACACTCCAGGTGGTGCATTCCAGGTTGGTTCGGGATCAGTCCCACTCTATGACGCCTCGTATATGGCCAATTCATCTGGTATCATTGTGGTTGTGATCAACTATCGTTTGGGTGCACTTGGTTTCCTAGCCACTCCTTCGACATCTGGTAATTTTGGATTCGTCGATCAGGTCAAGGCACTGCATTGGGTGCGCGACAATATTCATGTGTTTGGAGGTGATCCCGACAGAGTTACTCTTTTGGGTCAGTCTGCTGGTGGTTTGTCTGTCGCCGCTCATCTTGCCTCGCCATTATCATCCAACCTCTTCCACAAGGCCATCATCATGTCGTCTCCTACGACGCTTGGATTCAAGCCACAAGCAGACGCCTTGAAAAAGGGACTCAAGTTTGCTCAAAAGTTGGGGTGCCCAGACCAATCACTCGCCTGTCTCCGTTCCTATGATGCTAGCGATGTTTTGACCGCTCAACTTGCCGTCTCCGGCGTTGACCCCACCGACCTGCTCAACTCGTTCACTCCATTTTCTCCAGTCCTCGACGACCAAACCTTTATGATGCAACCAATCAGCATCTTTAACACGACCAACTACAACGACGTTCCAGTCATCATTGGCCATGTCAGAGATGAGACACAGCTCTTTATCTACCTTGGTCTCAATCGTACACTCAGTAACCTCGAGTACCAGTTGGCCACAGTTCAAATATTTCCGGGTAATGCTATAGCAGTCCGAGCCATCTATCCAGGTCCTGTGTGGGCCGACAACCGTCCAGTCATCACCACACTCACCAACGACTACTTGTTTGCCTGTCCCACACGTCGTATCTTGCGTGACTTGGCCATCAACTCGGATCACCCAGTCTATGCCTACCACTACAAGCATCTCAAGGAGGCACCACGCATATACCCATGCGAACAAAAGGTATGCCACGGAGAGGACCTTCCATACCTTTTCAACACATACGAAAAAATGGGCTTTTACGCCAGTCCAGGTGAAATTGAAATGTCGGTCCAAATGAACAACTACTTTGCCAACTTTGTTGTCAATGGTGACCCCAACATCGGACTCGAGGTTGACAAGGATTGGGACCAGTATTCTGAAAACCAAACGTACCTCTCTATCGATGTCAATGACTTTGCAATGGTCGATGTCGATGGCTTGTATCCAGGCTGTGATCTATTTGATACTCTTCCAAATGCCTATAGTCCAGGTACCAATCCTCCAGCTAGCAGAAGAAGACCAAATCCAAATCAAACTAAAACTGTCACCAAATCAAAACATCAAAGAAAAAATTAATCCATCCCAATCCAATCCAATTTAATCCAATCCTATTCTATTTTCTTTTAACCAATTCTTCAGTAATTGATAAATTATTAAAATAATATATATTATACCTTTTTTTTTTTTTTTTAAAAAATAATTCTTAAACAGGCTGGCTGGCAGGACACAGTAGGTATTAATTCATTTCAAATAGACAATCAAGTTTTAAAAAGATATGTATATAGGGGATTGTCTAAATGTAATGAATTAATACCTACATTTTGGAGTTGAGAGTGAGTAATACAGCGGGTAGATGGTGATGATTGAAAAGCACCAAGTCATTGGTATGCCAAAAGGTGCATTCACCATTCAGAGGTCAAGATCTTGATTTGTATAATATGTTCTTCCTCTGGGTCTTGTAAGTACTTCTTGACAGAGATGATCGATACCTATAAAATAAATTGTACAACGCACGTAAAAGAACACATACAAAATTAAATCGCTCTACATGAGAATTGATCACTTGTAAATAGTTTAAATTGGTTGTATAATGTTACCTTGTTGCTTGAGAATCATAATTTAAGACGAGAAGATCAGGTTCCACAACACCCAATATTCATAGACCAATCAATAAAAGATGTCTATGTTTGATACGTCTGTAGCCTGCTTAATCTGATTCTTAAATATCAAAGTTAATGGTTTTGCTAGAGTTACCTATTGATGTCGTTGTATATGTATAATATAATATTATTATTCTTCATTTATCTATTGTAATGATGATGGTGGCGATGATGATGATGAGATCTTCACAAAATATCATAACCAAAATTAGAAATAAAATAAAATAAAATTATACCCTACAATGAATGAATGGTCATCATCATCATCATCATCACAATAGATAAATAGATATATATATATATCTCAACAGACACACACATTCACATTCACCTTTAAAATGAGCGGACAAAGAATATTAGTAACAGGAGCCACAGGGTTCTTGGGCAAGTCAATTTCAAAGTCATTTGCAAACAGAGGACATCAAGTATTCAAGATGGTGAGAACACCACCAAAGAGTGACAATGAAATATCGTGGAATCCTGCTACCAACCAAATCGACACCAAGACTCTCAACGACGTGTCTCCCAATGTTGTCATTCATCTGGCTGGTGAGAATATCGTCGGTCTGTGGACTGAAGATAAGAAAAAGAGAATATTTGAAAGTAGAAAAAAGGGTACTGAACTATTGGCCAATGCTCTAAACAAGATTGATAATCCTCCTGGTGGTATGTATTTAATTAATATAATAATAATAATTATGATATCATTCGATTAACTTGTATGTCATATTATATTATATTTAGTATTTATTGGTGCATCTGGATGTTCATATTATGGTGATAAATTGGCACAACCAACTGATGAATCTGCACCAAAGGGAACTGGATTCTTTCAAGATTTGGTTCAAGTATGGGAATCTAGTTGTGACCCATTAAGAAATAATGGAAAAACTAGAGTATCACATATGCGTTTGGGTTTAGTGATGGATAGTGATGGAGGGTTCTTGCAACAGGTTAAGCTCCCATTCTCACTTGGTTTGGGTGGTAGAATTGGAAGTGGAAATCAATACTTTCCATGGATCAGTTTAAAAGAGGTAAAGAATATAGTTAGATTCTTGATGGAGAATGATCAATGTTCAGGTGCATTCAATGCAACCAGTCCACAACTAATCACCAACTTGGAATTAACACGTGCCATTGGTAAGGTGTTGAATCGTCCAACCATATTTCCATTACCCGAACTACTCCTAAACACCATCCTCGGCAAGGAAATGTCATCTGCCACCTTTTTAGCCGATCAACCAATCGTACCAACTAGACTACAAAAGGCTGGTTATCAATTCATTGATAGTTCAATTGAAAAGGTTTTAGAAAGAGAATTAAAGTAATACAAATATATATATAAATATATATATATCATATCTTAATTTAAATTACACAAATAAATAAATACTTTGTTATTTTTTATTGTTACAAATATTATACATCTTTCTTTAATATTTAAATAATAGTTAAAGGATAAGATAATTTACAAACTCTACAAGATCCAGTTGTAGATGATATATGGTCAGGTACCAACATACCTCCATTACATCCACCTTGTTTGGGACAACAATACATTCGGAATTCATTCATTTCAGGGTTGTCTCCACCTATCTCTAATTCCTCTTTACAACGACGACAGTCACAGTCAAAGAGCCAAAGTGACTTTAGTTGGTTTCTTCGTTCCTTTAGTTTTTGGTCCAAGGGGATGTAGGTGATGAGTAGCTCCTCGTCTACTTGAATGTCTCGCAATGCAACAATGTAGAAGGTGAGAGGATTGAGACGTCCCAGTTCCTTGTCAATCATATAGTCTGGGGCAACCACTGCCATTCTTTCATAGTTGTTGGCAGACGACCCTCTATCAAAATCCTCTGATTGGATAATAGTCGAGCAGTTGGGAAGACAACTATGATTAAAGAGTGACAGTCCAAGATAGACAGCTGCACCGGCCCAATAACATTCACCTCCAACATCATTGTCATAATTCCATAAACCAAAATAATTGGCTCTTACCTTTCCCAATAATTTAAGTATATTTAAATCAATCCTTGTTACTATTCTATAATCGTCTCGTATACCAGTGTCAGAGTGACTACCAAGATTCGAAGATTGAGATTCTGATTCAAGTGAGTCTTGTTGATCACTTGCTCCTCCTTCAGTTTCATCACTAACCGTACCACTACTATTATATATTTTGGTGATATAGGTATGTTGAGAAGGTTGTAATATATTTTGAATGATTCTAGAAATAGCCAACAACTTACTAAAATCATGTTTCCAATTTGTTTGATAATCATCCTTTTCCATTTCTGTTTCATGTCCAACCATTGTACCTTCAATTAATTCATTTTTAATTGTATATGTTACATTATTATTATCAATAGTATTGTTATTATTTTGATTGATATCTAAAGATACAGAAAAATAATCATCTATATGATCACATAAATCAATAATATCTTTTGGTGTTAATGGAACTGTGGTTGATGAAGATGAATTGGATGACGGTGATGATTGATCCATAAATTCAAGTGATTTCTTTTCTCTAATTCTTCTTGACAATACTCTTAGTATTAATATTACAATGTTTTTGTCGTCTTCGAGTAGTTGGTGTTTATAGGTCTTTGAAAAGTAGTGTAACCAACGACATTCCCTTTCATCGTGACGTGTCTCTGGGAAACTTGAACGTTGTTGACAAAAACTATCGCAATAGTACACTTCTCCACATCCAGGACACTTCTTTACATTTTGTTGATTCGAAGGTTTAAAGAATTTAAAACATCCATTACAAATATTCTTTTTATATTTATTATCAATTACTAAACAAAAAAAAAAAGAAGAAAGAGGGTAAGGTTAATTAAATTAACAAACAAAAGAGTATTACAATGTGTGTATGTATGATTGTTTGATAACCTACTAGATATATAAGGTTTATCTTTTAATAGAATAGAACCTCTTGGTATGAATGATTTAGCATGTATTGAACGACCTTTAAGAGGATTGAATCTTAATTCAATAAAAGGGTTATCATCAATATTGATACTATTATCTTCATCTTCAGTCGTCATAAATGTCGTTGTTGTTGAAGATCCATGTTGTTGTTGAGGTTGATACAAGTATGAGTTTAAATCAAATTCATCTTCATCATTATCTATATCTTCCATTCTTTGTATGAGTAAGATAGATAACTATGTTATCAAATTTGGATCTTTTGGTGAAAGCTTTCAAATTTTAAAAAATAAAAAAAAGGAGGGAAAGGAATGAAGTTGTTTTGAGTATAGTGCATATTAGTTAGTTACTCAAACAAACAAACAGATAGGATAAGAGGTAGAGAAAGAGATATAGATTATATCAATTTACATCATATCATGGATACTATGGAAGATGGAGACACTACCATGAAAGATCAAGATGGTGATTCAAATACAACTACGACGACATCTACAACTACGACTTCGACGACAACATCAAATATTGCTACACCATCTAAACAAACACCAAAAAAGAGAAAGAAATTAACAGATGAAGAGATAAAACAAAAGGAAGAAGATAAACGTAAAAAGGATGAAGAAAAGGAACGCAAGGAAGAGGAAAAGAAGAAAAAGGATGAGGAAAAGAAAAAAAAGGAAGAGGAGAAAGAGGAAGAGAAGAAACGAAAGGAAGAGGAAAAGAAAAAGAGAGAAGAGGAAAAGAAACGAAAGGATGAGGAAAAGGAGGAAGAAAAGAAAAAGAGAGAAGAGGAAAAGAAGAAAAAGGAGGAGGAAAAGAAACGAAAAGAAGAGGAGAAAGAGGAAGAAAAGAAACGAAAGGAAGAGGAAAAGAAGAAAAAGGATGAAGAACGTGAAGAGGAAAAGAAACGAAAGGAAGAGGAAAAGAAGAAAAAGGATGAGGAAAAGTCTGCCATTGATAACAAGCAGTCTCGTCTCACCAGCTTCTTTGCCACTATTACACCTGATGCACCCAAGACTAGGTATCAATCCGATAGCTTCATCCAACCAGTCGAATTGCCACCACACACCGTTGTCCATCGCTACCAAGTTCCCTCTTACACATCGTCTCATGAAGAGTTTGACCGTCTTTTAATGCAACAATCGATGCCGTTGCCCAGCAAGTTTATCCCATCAACCTATTTCAAACAGAATATAAAGACTAGATCTGGTGGTGATGAGGGCAAGAAACGTGTCTTGACAACGCTTCCACCTTCCATTTCCAACTTTCCGCATTTGATTGGCAACTTGAGTGGCCTCAAGCTGCTAAAGTTCCACGACAATGTCAGACCTTCCTATTATGGCACCTTTTCACGTAGAACTAGAAAGATCAATGGACGTAAACCATTCAATAAGGATGAAGAGATATTTGACTACAACTATGACAGTGGTGATGAATGGTGCGAAGAAGAAGAGGGTGATGACATCAAATCAGACGAAGAGACTGATGAAGATATGGGTGGTTCAGATGATGATGAAAAATGGATTGCAGATGAAGATGATGTAGATAATGATAGTGATATTGATGATGATCAACAACAACAACAAGAAGAAGATCAACAACAACCAACAAAAAAACACAAAAAGAAAAGAAAATTAATCAAAGAAAAACTAGTCATTACCATTGATTTAAATAATAATCCAATTCATCCTGAAATAGATCCAATTAAAAAGGATTTATTAAATATTTTTACAATTCAACCTATATTTTCTGGTATGTTAAAAAACAAACAAACATACATAAATACATACATGTACAAATTTAATATTAATATTAAATATTTAACATTTAAATTATTCTAGAATTCCCAATTAATCTTGGTCAATTGAAAAATGATGATAGTAATAATAATAATGATGATTCATCATCATCATCCAACAAAAAAACAAATGATGTTGATGGTGAAAATGGACAAACAAAGAAAGAAAGAGAAAAGACATCATTCCCAACTAAAGCAATTCCAACTTTGATTCAAGTTTGTATCACAATTGAATTTAAATATTTCACAATTTTGTTAACTTTTCCTTTTCATTTATAGTTTGTAAATGTTAATAACAAATTGTCAATTAAAATATTGACAAATGTATTTAATCAAAATTATCCAACTATTCAAAAGAAATTAATTACTGAAAAGATACAAGAGACTTGTACGTTTACTACTCTGTGGACTGTTAAACCAGGGTTTGACAATTATTTAAAGGAATTGGTTGATTCAAGCTATTCAACGGTACCAGTCATTGAAATTCAAAAGAAAGAAAGAAAACCAAGGAAAACAAAAGAAAATAAGGATCAACCAAATGGCGATACAGAAATGAAGGATGATGATTCAATTCCAAACAAACCATCATCATCATCATCAACGACTGTAGATACAGAAATGAAAGAAGAGGTTAAAACACCACAAAAGAAACCAAGAAAACCAAGAACAAAGAAACCAAAACAAGATGATGAAAAACAACCACAGCCTCAACAACCACAACAACAGGATGATACTATTATTAATAATAATGGTGATAAAGGAGAATCGACTTTAATAATGTTACCACAACAGCAGGCACCAAAGGATGATGAAAAAATGAAAGATGTTACGCCACCACCAACTCCACTTTCATCCTCTTCTGATAATTGCCAAAACTCTACTACAACAACAACTACTACTACTAATAATGATATTAATATTAATCAACCAATACCACCAATCGCATCAAAGAAATTAGATATAACACATTCATTATCCTCACCTTTGAAATCGCCGACCAAAAAAAAGGTAGCAGCAGCTGTTCCTGTACAACAAAACAATCTCCTCAATTATTTTTCAAAGATTGAACCATCTTCCAAATAAGATTGGTAGATGCATAATTTAATCAATTAATACATTTCCATAGAATTAGTACTATTTTCATTGCAATACTTAATTCAATATCTCTTTAAAGGGATATTCCCTTAAAAAATTTTAAAAAATGTATAATTGCCTTTCATTTCAAAAAATACTTTTTACTTGCAGTACTAAGTATTATATTCATTGCCACTGTTTATATGGTATTATCAGTGTCGTTCCAATGTACATACAATTAATGAACCATATTCAGTACTATGATGCTGGTGATTAAAGTGTAAGTACTATATAATTGTTTCAATACATTGTTGAGTATTAAAACTATTATAAAGTACTCCCAATGTTTCCAAACACCCTAGGGAAGATAAGTACAACAAAATCATCATTTATCATTTTTATTGTCAATCATTTCTTTTAGAATAGTAGAAGCAGGACCTGACAAACCATTTTGGTTACTTAGAGAACTGAGTAAATTCTTTACAAAGTTGAAATCCAAATCTACAGGTCGGTTTATATCCTCCTCTTCTTGTGTTGTATCTTGTTGATTCTTTTCATCATCATCGTATTTAACCTTTTCAAATGATTGTCCAATCGTTGATTGTGATAATTCTAAATCCATTTGTTTCATTAAACTTGATAAAGATGATGGATTATTATTATTTTGATTGTTTTTGATAGTATTATTATTATTTCCTTTTAAATGTCCAAGATAAATATTATCATAATCTAATAATATTTCATCTTCATCATCCTCTTCTTCTTCTTCCTCTTGTTCATCTTCATCTTCATAATCACCAATATCATCATATAATCCATCGTCGGTACTGTCATCATCATAATCTTCGTCATAGTCACTATCTTCCATTTCTAATTTCTCTGTAATTCCAACTACATTTTTCAATGTTGATAAGAATTTATTTGGATTAAATTCTACACTAGTATTTGAATCCCTAAAAAATAAATAAGAGATCATAGTCAGTCAGTCAATCAATTTAAATATTGTTTTTTTAATATACATACTTTTTCTTATTATTGAAATCTACACCATCAACTGATGATTTTTGATTCATCATTTTCATAAAAGAGTTTGATAGATTATTCATCATATCTACTTCTTGTTTTTTCATATTATTAAAATTGTTTTGTTGATTATCCTTGTTATTCTTTGTTGATTGTTTTGATTGTTGTTTTTGTTGTTGTTCTTGTTCCAATTTTGAAAATTCAGATAATAGATCTTCAAATCTACTTGGAATTTTATCCAACCATTTATCTTGACTTGGTTCTCCGTATTGTTTGTCCATTTGATCAATCAAATCTTGTTGATTTGTATTTTTTAAACATTCATCTATTAAATCACAAATATTATCTATATTGGATGTTGATTCTTTAGTTTGATGTTGTTGTTGTTGTTGATATTCTAATTTTGCTTTTTCCAATTTTTGTTTGTATCCAGAAGATGTTGGAATATTATCACCAAAATAATTGGTTGATTCCAATCTTTTCAAATACTCTTTCCATTTTTCATTATTATTGTCTAGTTGTATGATGGTACTAGTATTTTTTTTGACCAAAGATTTCTGATACAACATTTCCAAAGAACAATGAATTTTAATACCAAGTGTAGTTGGATGATAGATTGGTGAAGTTGGTTTGGGGAGTGGAGGAAAGGATCGAGGTTGATAGAATTTTTGTTGTTTGATTTGTGCATAGAGACATCGGGTGAATCGAGCTTTGGTTTGAATGTTTTGAGAGGCTGTAGTAGGTGCTGGGAATCTTGTCATTTTCGATGCCGCCAACATATCCTTTTCATCTCTCTCACAAAATGTACTGACCAAACTACTGATCAATCCTGGATACATTTTCAATACATAGGCAACTTGAGTAGGTACCACGATCGATGCAATATGATTTTGATCCTTTTCAAAATATTTCCTCGATTCGAATCTTGCCATTCTCTTGTTTAAAATATCCATTGTCTTTTGTGAACACTTTGTATCGTATTGATTCAACGAATGTTTGATCACATCCAAAGCAATGGGTAGAGTCATTTTAAAAGGCAGTGATTCCAATTCATTGGGAGACGACGGTTGAGGAATAACGTGCAAGTGTCCACCACGAATAAATACACGGTTCACCGTCGACGCTGGTTTCATCCATCTAGGTAGACTCTTTGCCGATTCAATCAACATGAATTCCCCATCATTATCTCTAATAAAGATAGTACAGTAATTAAATTGTTTAGATAACCGTAACAACATATAAACAATAAACCATTCATCATCGATTGCATCACCAAATCTTGTTCTACCATATAAATATTCAATTGGTTTACCTAAAATTAAAAAGAAACAATTAGTATAAATATAGTATTACTTTATATATATATAACATACCAGATATATTTAAATGTTTTGAATCTTGTTTAGATTGTAAAAAGAAAGGATCTCTTTGCCATAGATAATGATCGAGTTTAAAAGTATGAGATAGATACTCTTGTATTTGATCTCTTTGTTTTGATAATTGTCGACCACCACTTGCTTCCAAATGATCTTCATCAATGTATATACGATAGTCTACGTATAGGTCTTCGAGGTCTATTGACCCATCACCATCAGCGTCTTGACCCAATGGCGGCATTTCGAAATCTTCATGATTGAATGATTCGTATTCATCATCATCATCTTCTTCCTCTATTCTTGCTTTGTTCTTCATTCTATATATACAAATGAAATAATATGTATATATATTGTGGATAAAATGAAGATATAGTCGTAAATTCAACAAAATCGATTTAAATTGAATTCAAAATGCAATGAAATTAATTAAAAGCAAACAAACGAACGAATACTTTATAGTTTGTTCAATACAGATATTTATATTTGTATAAACCAAAAGATATGTTAAGACAATGTTGTACACGAATTAGGGTACCTTCTGTCAATCATAATAGTCTACTTTCATCATCCACTCAAACTTATTTACAACAACAACGATCAAATAAGAACTATAGTGATGGAGGAATTAGATCGATGATATCATCAACCAACCCAACAAGATATGTAAATTATACAAAGATGACTGTATTTGATACACAGTTAAAGAATCAACACAAGAGTAATATCACTAGAATACAAGACCCACAATCATACGATTATCTTTTCAATGAAGTTGGTTACCGATTGGCTGATCGTATTCTTGATATCAAAGACGTTAAATTAAACAAGGTATTAGACTTTGGATCTAGAAATGGTTCATTATTACCTCATTTAAATACTATTAAACAACAAATAGATCAACATAATCAATTTAAAAGACAACAACAACAGAATAACAACAATCAAGTTGATAATAATAATAATAATGAAGATGATTCAATGGAAATAACAATGGTTGATTCAAGTAGAGATATGTTGTATAGAGACGAACAATTGGATTCAAATTATAGTTGTATGTACCTACCCCTACCTAATACTAGACGTATTGATGTAACATATGATGACTGACTAATATTTGATACGACCGACAGTTAAAACAAATAGAGTATTGGTTAATAGTATGGAAGATCCATTACCTCTGGAAAAGGGATCATACGATTTGGTTATTAGTAATCTTTCACTTCACTGGATAAATGATTTACCAGGTGTATTTAGTCATCTTCATCAATTGTTAAAACCAAATGGTATTATATTGGCTTCCATGTTGGGCGAGGAAACATTAACTGAATTAAAGTATGGATAATATATTTATAAATATTAACTTTTATATTCAATATTAATATTTATTTATTAATATTTATTTATTTATATTTATTTATTCTTTTTTAGGGACGCATTATATTTGGCAGAGATTGAAAGAGAGGGAGGATTTAGTGCACATGTTAGTCCATTTGCAAAGTTGAGTGATGCTGGTAATTTATTGTCACGTGCAAAGTTTAATCTACCAACTATCGATACTGAAGTGTTAAAGATAAAGTATAGCAATATGTTTACACTCATGAAAGATCTACAAAACATGGGAGAGAACAATGCAGTTCTCAAGCGAAGATTGTGGACTAGTAAAGACACCTTTTTGGCAGCCAGCTCAATCTACAGTGCCTTGCACGGAAACAAAGAGGATGGCACTGTCAACGCCACCTTTCAAGTAATCTATCTCATCGGATGGTCACCACATCAATCTCAACCAAAACCATTGCCAAGAGGAAGTGCCAAAAAACATCTTAGTGAAATTGGTACAGGAATTAAATTAGATGATCATGTAAGCAAGTCATCATCACCCTTTACAAGTGGTGATAATAATAATAGTAATAATAATGCAGGTAGTTGTAGAAAACAAGAGTCTACTGCTGGACAAGAAGAAGAGAAAGAAACCAAAAAACCTCAATTGGAATTTGATCCAACTTTAAATGAACCAGTTCCAGTGACTGAAGATTTTGTCATTAAAAGATTGGACAAACATGGTAACCTACACGACACATCAGCGAAAAAAGAAGATGATAAATAAATCAACAACAACAATAACAACAACAACAACAGCAAAGTACAACAATGTCAGTTGGTCAACTGATAATATCAATTTATAATAATAGTTTTATAATTATTATTCGTAATAATATCCATTAGTATTATTATTATTATAGAATTCGAGAATGGAAAAAAAAAGGTATACCAAATATATAACTTGCGATGTGATTGAAAGGGATGATGGCATCATTGAATAATATAATTATATTATATTATCACTTCGTCGTTTCTTTCCATTGTGTAGAATGAGACAGATGATGTATTATGATAATAAGGAAAATTTTCAAGTTACGACATCGTTTAGATCTAAACCCCATACCTCACCTGCTTGTTGGGATGGGGGGGGGGGGTGTAGTACCAAGGTGAACATAATGTTGTTTTGTTTTTTTAGAAACACCCACCTCTCTATCTTGTCCCTCTGTACAAGATAATCGAGATATAAAATATATTCAACCACACAAACACTCCTCTCTTTACTTGTTTTATTTCTACCTACCTATGATTATTATTACTATTATTATTACTTTAATATATAAATTATAAAAAAGTATTTATAATCACTTTCCTACCCCTCCATTTTTGTTTATATTTAATATTTAAAAAAAACAACCAACAACAATAATAATAATTAATATTTAAATATGGCAAAGGACCAATCTGGAACAATACCAATAAGAATTAAAAAAATCAAATTACAAGATGAAAATGGAGATGTTTCTGGTAGATTACAAGTTTGTGGACAATTTCAAATGTTGATGATTACAAATTCTTCAACTGGAAGTGAAAGAGTATTTCCAAAAGGATCGGTTAAAAAATCAGAATCTTTGAAAAAGGCAGCCAAAAGAGAAACTATGGAAGAATGTGGAATCAAAGGAAAGATTTTAAATAGAGAACCACCGATTGTAGTGACTGATACATCAAAAGGATCAATCATCCATTACTATCCAATGTTGGTCACAAAAAAGAAAAAAGAATGGGATGAAATGGACAAGAGACAAAGAATTTGGGTACCACTAGACCAATGCCTATCGCAATCTGATCAACTACAATTCAAACCTTATATTCACCAAGCTATTCTATCTTTGGCAAGATTTATATCAACCATTCCAAGTTGTACAAATATTAATGTTCAAACTCCAATGAACCCAGACGAATGGAAACAAACAAAGAAAATGGTAGAAAAATATTTATTATTTGATCCAACCAAACAACAAAAAAAACAACAAAAAAAAGACAAACAAGATCAAGAGGACAATAGTAATAAACAATCAAGTAGTAATGAGAGTGGTGGGATTATTGTATCTCCAACTACTGCTTAATATTTAATATCTATTTTGAGTTTTTAATATACATATATTGATTTATGGTTTATTTGGTTGTTTTTTGTTTTTTGTTTACTCTGCTCTAATACTCATAGTATCTAATAAAGCTTCAAGATGCTCAGAATTATTTTTAAGGGTACTGATGATATCTATGGCTTGTTGAGTGATTTCTGAATCCATGTGATCTCTGTATTGGTCCAACAACTTGATGCCTTCAGCCTTGATGAATCTTTCTTGGTATTTTTTGTTGTTTGGTCCTTTAGCAAACAATAGAGCTAGTGCCTTGAGCAACTCTTTGACAAGAGCAGCAACGGTGGAAGTGGTTTTTAAGATTTCAGCCATTGACTCTACAACACCGGCCTTGACGAGATAGTCAGACTGAGAGGCCTGAGCACCAGAGGTAGCGTTGACCAAAGCCCATGCAGCCTCACGTTTAGAGTCTTCGTGTCCCGTAGCAACAATGGTGATGAGCTGGGGAATGATTTTAGCATCGATGATCATTTGGATCTGGCTTGGTGGACCGGCGGCAAAGTTGCTGATTGTCCAAGCCGACTCTTTGATCAAACCTGTCTTTTGACTATTGAGCAGAGCGGAGAGATTGGACAACAAACCAGGTGTAAGGATCTTCTCGGCAATATGGTCATCGCACGAGGCAATATTACCGACGACACGAAGAGAAGGTGTTTTGATACTGTGAGAGGTGTGGTTCATCAACTCGAGAATACGAGCAAAGATGTTGAGTGATAGGAAATAGTCGATTTGGAAGTCGGGATAATCGGTAATATAAGAGAGACCCCAACAAGAGTCGACAACAACCTCTTCATCTTGAGAGTAGATGAGTTTGGCAAAGATAGGTAGTGCCTGCTTGGCCACTTCAAATGGTGGGAATGGCTTGTTCTTGACAAGGTTTTGGAGTGCCCATGTAGTGTTTCTAATGACACTAACTGTTTGTTCAAATGATGACTGTAGGATGGCTACAAAGGTGGGAATCACACCATGACTAATCACCAAATCTCTACACTTGGTACCGTCACCTGCAATGTTACCCAATGCCCATACAGCCTGTTCTCTAACATCTGAATTGGGTGATTTTAATAATGGAACCATTGCAGCAATAGCTCCATGTTCAACAACAGCTCTTGTTTGTTCTGATGTACCAGATGCTATATTAGTTAATGCCCATGCTGCTTCAAACTAAATAGAAAATAGAAAGTTAATATATATATATATATATTTATATTTATATTCTACATACTTGTAAAGCATAACGATCCTTTTCTTCCAAGAATTTAATTAATCTTGGGATGACACCAGCTTTGACAACTTCTTTAATTGGTGGATTTCTTTCAATAGCCAACAATTTTCTTAGACCAGTGGTAGCAGCAAGAGTCACTTCGTAATCTGCACTGTAAATATCGGCCACCAATATTGGTAATTGTTCTTCTACTTTTTTAGTTGTTGGGTTTGTTGATTCCTTTGCTGCATCTACTTCAGCCTTGCTAAAAATCTTTAACAAGTTTGCCTAAAAAAATAATATTAAATCATGTGTTAATAGAGATAGATAGATAAAGGTGACAAGCTGTCCTGGTACATACGTCTTGAACATTGAATACAATTAATATAGCCAAAGTCTCTAAAAGTTTGATACGAAGAGCATCACGCAACTCTGCATTGTCATGAAGTGAAGAGGGGAGGATTTCAAAGATCAATTTGATAATATCTTGACACTTGGTGTTTAGAGATGGGTCTGATGAGAAGGGAAATACAGCTATCAAGAGATCTGCCAATGATGCAATCAAAAACTCATCACATACTAATGACTTTTGTTCAAAGGCTTTCTGTAACTGTTCTGTAACTACCTTTAGATGATCTACCCATACCTTTCTTTCTTGAAATTTAATATCCTATAAATAATATAAGATGTATAAGTAATAATAATAATAATAGTTTATTGTTAGATTCTATAATATAAACCAACCAACCAACATCAACTACACAAAACATACATTTAATAAAGTTAAAATCTTGTTGGTATAATTCATTTGGCAATGTGTATGTATGTATGTGTGTTTAAAACAAAAAGCTAACTATATTTATCTGTATCTCTCTCTACTTCTATCTCTTTGACAAAAAAATGATAATGACAGCAGTACTATTGATAGATATGGTTGACTCAGTAATGAAATTGAGGAAAATAGCACAATTCCAAGAAGCAAAAATCTCGATTATTGCCAGAAGTTCTGGCAGATTTTTATTAAAGATGGAGCTTTTGATCGGAACTTTCGTGTCAAGCATCTGACTGAGACGCTGTGAATTAAATAATACATACCTCTTGGTGTGTAATGAACATGGATGTACATTATTGGACTACGCCGATTTAGTCTATTCTTTGACATAAATTTCATTGCAACCAAATTTCTTTCATGTGACACGCCAATCATGTCAATGAATAGACTAAATGGATATGGGCTAAAAAAAAGGTAGACCTATAATGGCAAGAAGACAAGTCCGAATGGTTTAATGCTCTCTCCTTTGGTTTGTCGGATTATCGTATTGCCCAGGAAGCTTATCGCGAAGCTTACAAAAGCCAACATGTTGGACGCACAATTGCGTAACCAACGCCATTTCGATGGCACTCGAGCAACCTTCTCTGTGACACCTGGTCAGATGGTCAAGATTACTAGATCGGCTCTCGACACCCACAAGGTGGAGTCTGGGAAAAAAGATCGTAGTTTCAAAACCATAGAGAATTTGGTTTGGGGAGTGTTCGGTAGATTGGCTAATGTTTGAATTGATGGCGGCTTGAATCATCTTACAATTAATTGACCAATCGTCTCGGCCATCAATCATCTTACGAATTACAGAAAGAATATCTCTATTGATACGTTCAGTCTGACGCTGTGGATGTGGAAGTCACAATTTAGAACAACAATGATGGAAGAATTAATAGATGGTTACTAAACTTAATCGTTGTAAAACAACCCTTTTAACATTAAAGGTGAAGATGATAGTCATTATTACAGATGAAAAAATCTGAATTAGGTCACAATGATTCATACAAATAATAATTTATGCTGATTCTAGATTCTCCAAAAGTATACTATTAAACATTACCAATTTTATATGCTATTTCATATTCCTGTAAGATCGATGATCTGAACCATATATATACACAAATATCTCTCTCTCTCTCTCTTTTCTGATACAATGATTTAAAAAGTGGGTTCATCAATGATTATGAACCAAACGACCAAGTTTTTAAAATTATTATTAATAAAAATTAATATCAATTTAACCTTTTTGTACATAGATAATATAGATATAGATAGATATATAGATAGACATACATATACAATCAATATCATACCGCAATTAAAAATAGTCATAACATTTATTATATCTTGATTGATTGATTCAAGATTGGAGTTGCCCCGTATTGTACAATACACTGCACCCCTTATATAGTCATATATAGAGACACAATGTTAACGGCAACTTCAACATCATCTTTGACCCCTGGAACATCCTCAGCAACAGCTGTTGATATAAACAACAATAACAATAACAATAATATTAATAATACATCGCCGGCGACTAATCATATAAATGGAACGACAACGGCAATGACCACGACGACGACAACGACAAGTTCATCTCCTTTAACATCTCCGTCAAAGAAACAACAACAACCACATACACCATCACCTCCAACAACAACAACAACCACTACTACTGCTACTTCTATATCATCATCACATACAAAACAAGCTACATCAACTTGTAGTCATGTGGAAGCATTTAAAACAGAAAATGATGGATTAAATACATTGTCAATCGTTCAACAATATATACTATATTGGAAATCTGGTCCAATAGGTGATGTTAGAGTAAGTCTTTTCTACTTGTAAATTCATTCATCGTACTCAAGCTGACAAACATATCATTCCCCATCATCTTGTAGTTACCATCTCTGAGTTGCTCAACATGTCATTGTTTTAATGGTCGTATTCATCTATGTCTTCAATGTTTTCATTTGGCTTGTTGGAAAGACAAACATATTATATCTCATTTTGATAAAACCGGTCATTATCTAGGTAAACCCAATCAATCAATCAATCAATCACGAATCACATGTGATTCTAATCATTCTATCTTTTTTTTTTATATTTAGCAATGGATGCAAACTTGAATCAAATATACTGTAACAAGTGTAATGATTATATATACGACAAACAATTTGAAGATATAATGGAGAATGTTCGTTTAGAATATGCTGTTTCATTACAAGATTATTCAAGTATGATTGATTGAGATAAGAGGGTAATCAACAAATCAATGATTGCAGACTAACCAATCTTATTTACTCTATCTATAGATCCAACACCAAAAAGAGTAAAGTATCATGTTTGGAAACCATCAGAAGAGGAAACAACGATTTTAGAAAAGAATTCAGTGTTGAATGAATCACCATTGAATATGTTGGGACTACGCGGTCTCAATAACTTGGGCAACACTTGTTTTATGAATTCAATCCTTCAATCTTTTATTCATAACCCATTACTTCGAAATTACTTTCTATCTGATATGCATTGTCATCGTAGATGTATTAATCGTCGTGAAAGAGAATTAAGTAATAGTAATATTAATAATAATAATAATAATAATAATAACAGTAGTAATAATAATAATAATGGTGGAAGTGATGTAGAGTTTGTTGGTGGTAGTGGACACAACAGTCCAATGACAAATACAGGAGGAGGAGGAAATGGAACAATGAGTGATAGCGATAATAACGATGGACACTCTCAATCTTCAAACACTAGTTTACTTGCATCACAAACGTGGACTTCGACATCTATATGTTTTGGATGTGAGATGGATATATTGTTTGGACAGATATTCAGTGGTGCAAAGATGCCGTTTACACCACACCAGTTTTTGTACAGTTGCTGGAACTATAGCAACTATTTTGCTGGATATGAGCAGCAAGATGCACACGAATTCCTCATCTCGTTGCTCAATGGTATTCACTCGCACTGTGGAGGCTCGAGTAATGCCAAAGAGCCGTGCAACTGTATCGTGCACTGCACGTTTGGCGGTCAATTAAAATCAGAGGTCACTTGTACAAATTGTAAATTCACATCATCCACCACCGACCCTTTTATTGACATTTCATTAGATATCCCAAAATCAAAACATCATCATCATCATCATCACGATAACAATAATGAACAACATTCAAACAATTCTAGTGGACATCATCACCACCAATCAAATAACCTATTGTCTTGTTTGGATAGATTTACACAACCAGAAAAACTAGATGAAAAATATTTTTGCAGTAATTGCAACTCCAAGCAAGAATCAACCAAACAACTTTCATTTGGTACACTTCCAGTTGTCATTTGTTTCCATCTCAAACGGTTTGAACAATCTCTATCTAATCGAAGAACTCACAAAATTGATACATTTATTGAATTCCCTTTAACAGTTGACATGTCACCATTTATTTCAAGTACAAGAAAGTATGTAAACTAATATTAATTTTTTTTCAAACAAATTATTTATTTATTAATTATTTATTCCAAAAAGACAAAAATTAAAAAGAAAATTCGATAGTCTAAATAATATTATTAATGAACAACAACAACAACAAGAATCAGATAGTAATAATAATCAAAACAACAAAATGGAAACATCGGAATCTTCAACAGATTCAACACCACCAACAGTGATACCAATCGATGATTCATTTGTTTATGAATTATATGCAGTTGTCAATCACACTGGAAAGATTGATAGTGGACATTACACATCATTTGTCAAACACAACGATCAATGGTATAAATGTGATGACTCTATGATAACCAGTTCATCACTTCAAGATATAGTTCAAAGTAAAGGTGCTTATTTATTATTTTATTTAAAAAACAATTAGAATATAAAAAGGATAATAATCAAAATAATAATCAAAATAGCCAAAACAGTCCAAAATAATAATAGTACTAATAATTAACGAACGAACGAACGAAAACAATAAACAAAAGAAGAACGAATGATTCCAAATACCAATAATAGAATACATAGATGTAATCCTTTGTCCTATTACTATTATAATCCATCCATTAAAATATCTAAAGACTCGTTTCGTGCAGCAAAAAAATATTTTTTTTTAGTTTTCCTTTCCACGGACGTCGGTGTGTGATGATCGCATCGAATTGCATGAACTTACGAAGTACATTTCTTTCTTGTTATCTTTTACCTTTAACAAATAAAACAACTATACCAACATCTAAAGTTATTTTCTTTACTCGAAAAGACTTTTAACATTAAACATCATCACATCTCTCTTAAACAACAACAACAACAAGATAAAGATATCTCTACCACACCAACAACCTTTGGATAACAATCTCCTTCTTTTTCCTTCTTTGTTCTTTTTATTATTATCATTATAATTTAAAGGTATGTCTTGTCAATTATCACAACTACAACAAATAGCAATAGAAATCTCAAACAATCTCTTAAAAACAACAACCCCCATAATGAATGAATGAATTCATTATACTTTACATCGCGAAATCATCTTATTTCTCTCCTTTCTCTTTGTTATTGTTGTTATTTTGTGTAGTTTGTTTCGAAACAAAACTTATACTAATAAATTGTACTTATCATATATATAAATATATATTTATATAACCCTATCTATCAACCTTTTATCTCTCTATAAATAGGATATAAATAGAAAAAAAGGTTCAAACAAAACCAACTTCTTTTACAAACAACAATAACAATCAACAACTAGAACCATTCCTTTTTAATTTTAACTTAATATAAAAGTAGATTAGAAAATGACTATTCCAGAGACTCGTATGTAAACATATAATAATATAATCAATCAATCATGTACTTTCTATACTTTGATATTAATACATACATTTACTTTTTACATCATGTTTAGCCATCTTTAATCAACTAAGAAAGATCTTGGATGAGAGAATTATGATATTGGATGGTGCCATGGGTACTGAAATCCAAAAGTATAAATTAAAGGATGCTGATTATCGTGGAGAAGAGTTTAAAGATTTTCCTCATGAATTGGGTGGAAACAATGATTTACTTGTCCTTACCAGACCACATATTATTAAAGAAATTCATCTTGTATGTGTAGAGGAGACAAACAATAACAACATATAATATTTATAATATATAATATAATGTATTAATATTTTCTTTTGATTGTTGTTTTTTTAGAAATATTTACTTGCAGGAGCAGATATTATAGAAACCAATACATTTAATGGAAATATATTTTCACAAGCCGATTACAAGATGGAACATTTGGTAAAGAGATTAAATATAGAAGCTGCTAAATTGGCAAAAGATGCATGCATAGAGGTGATGGCACAAGATCCAACACGTCAGTGTTATGTTGCCGGTGCAGTTGGTCCAACCAACAAGACTGCATCCATCTCACCATCGGTCGAGCGTCCAGAAGCACGTAACGTCAAGTTTGACGAGTTGGTCGACGGCTACTACGAGCAAGTTGAAGCATTGGTAGAGGGAGGTATCGATATCATCCTCGTCGAGACTGTGTTTGATTCGCTCAATTGCAAGGCTGCCCTTTTCGCAATTGAAAACTACTTTGTCAAGCACAACACGGTGTTGCCAGTGTTTGTGAGTGGTACCATTGTCGACAAGAGTGGTCGTACCTTGTCGGGACAGACAGGCGAGGCCTTTTTCACATCGGTGCAACATGCACGTCCCATGGTGTTTGGTTTGAACTGTGCACTCGGTGCTACCGAGATGCGTCCGTTCCTTGCCAACGTTAGCAAGTGTTCAGACTGCTATGTGTCGTGTTACCCCAATGCAGGTCTGCCCAACACATTCGGAGGGTACGATGAGACCCCTGAAATGATGGCTGGCAAGATCCTCGAGTTTGCACAGTCGGGATTCTTGAACATTGTCGGTGGGTGCTGCGGTACCTCGCCCGACCACATCCGCGCGTTTGTCGAAGCGACCAGAGGCGTGCAGCCACGTCGTATCCCCACGATCGCACCCTACACCACCGTGTCGGGTCTCGAGCCACTCGCCTTCACCCCGCAACTCAACTTTGTCAACGTCGGTGAGCGTTGCAATGTGTCGGGGTCGCGTCGTTTTGCCAACCTCATCAAGGCAAACAAGTACGAGGAGGCCATCTCGGTCGCACGTCAACAGGTCGAGGCCGGAGCCCAAATCATCGATATCAACATGGACGAAGGTATGATTGACGCCGTGCAGGCCATCCAAAAGTTTTTGTTTTACATTGGTTCCGAGCCCGAAATCTCCAAGGTGCCCATCATGATTGATTCGTCCAACTTTGCGGTCGTCGAGTCGGGTCTCAAGTGCGTCCAAGGTAAATGTATCGTCAACTCGATCTCGCTCAAGGTTGGCGAGGAGCTCTTTATCGAGCAGGCGCGTATCTGCCACCAGTACGGTGCGGCCGTCGTCGTCATGGCCTTTGATGAAAACGGACAGGCTGTCGACAAGAACGACAAGGTGCGTATCTGCTACCGTTCCTACAAGATCCTCACAGAGGTTGTCGGATTCAAGCCACAAGACATTATCTTTGATCCAAATATTTTGACCATTGCAACGGGTCTCGAGGAGCACAACAACTATGCCGTCGAGTTTATCGAAGCCACCCGCGAGATTAAGCAGTTGATGCCACTCACCAAGGTGTCCGGTGGTGTGTCCAACTTGTCATTCTCGTTCCGTGGCAACGAGCCATTGCGTGAGGCCATGCACAGTGCCTTTTTGTTCCACGCTATCCGTGCCGGTATGGACATGGGTATCGTCAACGCCGGTGCCCTACCCATCTACGACGACATTGACAAGGACCTCTTGTTGATGTGCGAGGATGCCATTTTGAACCGCTCCAACGACTCAACCGAGCGTCTGCTCGAGTATGCCCAGCGCAGCAAGGGGTCAGAGGGTGCCGGCAAGGCGGCCGAGGTCGAAGAGTGGCGTACCAAGCCCGTGCAAGAGCGTATCTCGCACGCACTCGTCAAGGGTATCACATCGCACATTATCGAGGATACCGAGGAGGCCCGTCTCACCATGCCATCGGCATTGCGTGTCATTGAAGGCCCATTGATGTCGGGTATGGATGTCGTCGGCGACTTGTTTGGTGCCGGCAAGATGTTCTTGCCGCAAGTCATCAAGAGTGCGCGTGTCATGAAAAAGGCCGTCGCTCATCTCATCCCCTTTATGGAGGAGGAGAAGTTGGCCAAGCGCGCCCGTGGAGAGGTTGCAGAAGACCAGGAGAACGCCGGTGTCGTCGTGTTGGCCACCGTCAAGGGTGACGTGCACGATATCGGTAAGAATATCGTCGGTGTCGTCTTGGGATGCAACAATTACAAGGTGATTGATCTCGGTGTCATGACACCATGCGAAAAGATCTTGCAACAAGCTATCGAGCAAAAGGCCGATATCATTGGTTTGTCGGGACTCATTACACCATCGCTCGACGAGATGATCTATGTTGCCTCTGAGATGCAACGTGCAGGTTTCAAGGTGCCATTGATGATTGGTGGTGCTACGACATCGCAGATCCACACGGCCGTCAAGATCTCACCTCACTATAGAGAGCCCGTCGTGCACGTGTTGGATGCCTCGCGTTCTGTCACGGTCGTCAGCTCACTGCTCGACAAGAACAACAAGGAAGCATTCTTTGAAGACATCCAACACCAGTACTCTGAGCTCCGTGAGAAGCATTATGCATCACTCAAGGACCGTAACTACATGTCGCTCGAAAAGGCACGTGCACTCGCCCCCAAGACCAACTGGAACACGGTTGAAATCACTCGTCCCACCTTTATTGGCAAGCAAGTGTTTGCCGAGTACCCCCTCGAGCAGCTCATCCCCAAGATTGACTGGAACCCATTCTTTGCCACCTGGCAGTTGCGTGGCAAGTACCCCAACCGTGGGTACCCACGTATCTTTAACGACGCCACTGTCGGTGCCGAGGCCAAGAAGCTCTTTGACGACGCCCAAGCCATGCTCAAGCTCATCGTCGACAAGAAACTCCTCAACGCACGTGGTGTCATTGGGTTCTACCCCGCCAACTCGGTCAACGAAGACATTGAAGTGTACAGCGACGAGACACGCTCGACTGTCGTCGGCACACTCCACGGTCTCCGTCAACAATCTGAAAAAGAAACTGAAGAACCATACATTGCCATCGGTGACTATATTGCACCCAAGTCAACTGGCAAAACCGACTATATCGGTTTGTTTGCAGTGTCTGCCGGTTTTGGACTCGACGCATTGGTCGAACAATACAACGCCCAAAACGACGATTACTCATCGATTATGGCCAAGGCTCTAGCCGATCGTCTTGCCGAAGCTCTTGCCGAACACGTCCATCTCGACGTACGTGTCAAGCACTGGGGTTACCAAGTCAACGAACAATTGTCACCCGACGACTTGTTCAAGATCAAGTACCGTGGTATCCGTCCCGCTCCAGGTTACCCAGCTCAACCAGATCACACTGAAATGCAAACCATCTGGAACATCATGAACGTCCAACAAGACACTGACATTGAGTTGACAGAGTCTATGGCCATGTTGCCAGGTGCCGCCGTCTGCGGTCTCTACTTTGCTCACGAACACGCCAAATACTTTTCAGTTGGAAAAATTACCAAAGACCAAGTTGAAAGTTATGCTAAACGTAAAGGTATTTCAATCAATGAAGCTGAACGTTGGTTAAGTCCAATTCTTTCTTATGATAGACAATTCAATTAAAATTTAAATCAAAATTAAATAAAAAGAAGGAATGGATGTTTTAATAATTTAAATAGTTGTTTGTTTGTATTTGATTTATTGTTGATCGGTTGGAGGTTGCTTTGGAATGAGTAACTTTGAAACTATATCTACAATCTTTTGACCACCACATAATACACGACGACCTTCCATATCAACTGGACCACCACTTGGATCAACGACAACACCACCAGCTTCAGTAATCATAATAGATGCAGCTGCAATATCCCATGGATGAATACCCCATTCATAGAAACAATCTAAACGACCACATGCAACACTTGCCATCTCCCATGCAGCTGTACCAGAGAATCTAAGTGATTGAACATTTTGTGACATGATTGATTTAAAGTTACTTGAGGAGTAATAATAATAATTAGAATATGTTCTATCAAAATATTATTATTATTATTATTATTATTATTATTATTATTATTATTAATATTTGTCTATTTCTCTTACGTTAACATGAAATCAATACCATATGGAGTACGATCATAACCAACATTGGTGGCAACAACAGCTTGTTGAAGTGAATCGACAGAAGTAACAGACATGCGTTGACCGTTGAGGAAAGCACCTCCACCTTTGGTGGCAGTGAATAATTCGTCGAGTACTGGACTGTAGATACACCCAACTACAATCTGTTTGTTGATTGACAAGGCAATGGAAATGCAAAACAATGGGAATCTGTGAACAAAGTTGGTTGTACCGTCGATTGGATCGATGATCCAGGTGGCCTCGTCAGTCCATCCATATACACCATCCTTTGTTGATTCTTCTCCCATTATCTTGGTTTCTGGGTATTGTTCTGTTAATCTCTTTATAATATGTGCTTCCACAGCTAGAATAGAGAAAGAAAGTCATATATACATTAATATATATTTGTTGAGTCGTTGTTGCTGAATTTATAACATACCCTTATCAGTCTCTGTAACAAGATCTACAGCACCTTTATATTCAACTTTCTTATCTCTATTGTTATAGTTTTCGAGTACCATTGGGCTGACCTCTTTGGCAACTGCAACAGCTGATGCCAAGTATTGTTCAAATGTAGGTGTAGACATATTTATTATTATGAAAGAGAGAGATTATAAATAAATATGTATGTATGTATGTATGTGTGTATTCGCGTGTGTGTGTATGTGATATTATATCTATCTAACTATACTAATGTTCAAAACGAACGAATGTGAATGATGTATGTTCTTGAAATTGGGATTTCGCTCATTTTAAATTGAATGAAACTCGTGACTCAGAGCTGGTGGTTTAAATAATTTAGCATAAGCCTCTCTACTATTGATGCCCCACACAAATGAATGAAAAGAAATCGAAGAACCTATGATGATGATCAGATAGTAAAGTGACCATCATTCATTCACTCATATGACTCATTACTTTGAACAGTCATCAATGTCACTCTACTCTACTCTATCCATCGTCCCAAGTAATCGAAAAACATAAATATCTACTATGATCAAAGCAACGAAACTTGTCATTTAGATAGATACACATACATGTGAAAGCAAGACTATGACAACAACAACAACAGCTATAGTAATTGATAATGGATCATATATGTGTAGAGCTGGATTAGCAGGTGAAGATGCACCAAGATCTGAACTACCAACTGTATTGGGTCAACCAAAGTATGTAATGTAATCATTAATTCTATTATACTATTGAGAGGTATTAATATCTTACTGGTTTGTGTATTTAGATCATTAAATAAATACCCTATATTGGAAAAATCAAGAATGATTGGTAAAGGAATGAAAGACCCTTACTTTGGATATGGTGCATTGGAGAATAGAGATACATTGAATCTATCATATGATACTATCAATCGTGGTTTAATTACCAACTTTGATGAAATGCAATTTATTTGGGAAAGTATATTGTATCAAGAATTGAGAATCAACTCTGCAGAGGAACAACATCCAATCATACTAAGTGAATCACCTATCAACCCAACAATCAATCGTGAGAGAACTACAGAGATTATGTTTGAATCACTTGGTATACCCTCTTTGTATATGGCACCTGCACAATTACTCTCATTGTATGCTACCAGTAGAGACACAGGTATTGTATTAGACTCGGGTCACCAAATATCACATGCAGTACCCATTTACAAAGGTCAAGTCATCAATCATGCCATCTCTACATTAGAATTGGGTGGTATAGATATTACAAAAGAATTGGCTAAACTAATCAATCAACAAGCCAACAGCAACTATCAATTCAATACATCTAAACAACTTGATCAAATAGTTAGAGATATGAAAGAAAAACATGGTGATGTTGCAACATTTAATGACAATAATAATAAAAATAATAATAATAATAATAATAATAGTCAATCGATTGGTTATAAACTACCAGATTCAAATGTGATAGTTCCTTTGACAAGTGAAAGATTTAAATGTACAGAACCACTCTTTCAACCATCACTACTTGGTATCAATGGTGGAGGTCTACATCAACTAGTGTATGACTCTATACATAAATGTAACTCGATCGAACAAAGAAGCACCCTACTTGACAATATCGTATTGTCAGGTGGCAACTCATTGTTTGGTGGGATAGCGATACGTATGCAAAAGGAATTAACAGCTCTCCTTCCATCGGGTGCAAAGAGTATTACGATTATTCCACCACCAAACCAACAATACAACTATGGAACATGGATAGGAGGATCTATTCTTGGAAGCATTTCATCATTTGATGATATTAAAATATCACGTAAAGAGTATGACGAGCATGGTAAAAGTATTCATAGCAAATGTAATAGTAGTAGTGCTTCGACCAGTAGAGTAACTATAGATTCTCGACATTGATAGATTCGATATACCAGATCTAAATATTGATCAGATCAGATCTGTATTGTCACTGTATATATGTATTGTAACAACGAATTACTCTGTCTGTCTGCTTACTGTAAGTTATTGTATTCCATTGCTAAAAAACTAGTTCCGAATCTCGTTCCATTGCTAACATAAAAATTAAATAAATATATAAATTAATTTAGTATTTGCATTCAATTTGAAATCTTTTAACTTTGCTTTTGCATATCTCTCTTATACATCTTAATCTTATATATATATATATAGATATAGATAATCATCATTTAAATATCAGTATATCATCATTATTAAATATATAATTGAAAGAGAATGAGTGATAATCAAAAGAAAACAACTACATCACTGTCATCATTTGATAGTTTGAAGGCAAGTCTATCGGGATTGGCTGTAGGAACATTATTTGGCTATGCATTACAGAGAAGTAAGGTATTCTTACCTATTGTCATTCAACAACAAATGCAATTTACCAATTTCACAATGTTAAAGGTAGGTTAGCAACAAAAGAAGAGAAAGAAGAAGAAAATAATAAATAGGATCATTATGAATGAATCATATGATTATTATTATTATTATGAACATTTATTAATATTGATAGTAATATTAGATGTTTATGACAGCAAGTTTAACAAGTTCATTGACGATTACAGCATTGAATAAAGCAAAATTGATAAAGTTTGAATATCTACCAGTGATGTGGCATAGAAATCTATTGGGTGGTTTGTTGATGGGTGCTGGTATTTATGTGACTGGAGCATGTCCGGGTACAGTACTTGCCCAAGTTGGAAGTGGTGTGACAAGTGCCTATTATACATTGTTGGGTGGTCTATTGGGTGCCGTTCTCTATGGATACGCTGATCCATACGTCACCAAGTTGATGCCTGCCTCTCCACCAACCGTCAAACCAACACTCTTTCAACGTCTAAACACCAGTATGGAAAAGACAACCATTCCATTTGCTTTGATGGCAGGTGCCATGTTGTATGGTATTGAATCTTTGATTCCATGGCAAGCAGATAGTAATGTTAGTTTATCCATCTCGGCCATTCAGTCCCTTTCAACTAGTGTCTGGTCACCATACGTTGCAGGTGTCTTGATTGGACTATTGCAAGCACCATCATACTTTTTGGCCAATAATGGGTTAGGATGTAGTTCTGCCTATGTCACTATGAGTGCCAAGGTATGTGATGCCTTTAACTGTGGTGTTTCCTATTTCAACAAATTCGCCAATGGAGTACGTAGTGTCTATGGACCAATGCTCAACATCGGTATTATTCTTGGAGCCTATCTTTCGTCACAAACCTCACCAGTTCCAGATAGCCAAAAATTACTTTCCCATTCTCCACTTTTCCATATTGGTGCTGGTGCACTCTTGCTCTTTGGTGCACGAATGGCAAATGGTTGCACGAGTGGCCACGGCTTGACAGGAATGGCCAAAATGGAATTGGGTAGTATCATCACTGTCGCTGCTTTGTTTGGTGGTGGTATGTTGACGGCTGCTTTAACAAATCTCTAAAAAAAAGTAGATAAATATTTAAACTTTAACAATTGTACAAAAATGAATATAATAAACATCATCAATAGAATCAAGGTCATATGTATTGTCCCCAAACAGACAAAATTTATTCTTCATTTGCCATATTATTCTTTTTAAAAAAACTGTGTCTCTCAATTTGATTTTTTTAAGGCAAGTCTGTCTGGATTAGCTGTGTTCATTGGTTCTGGTGCACTCTTTCTCTTTGGTGCACGAATGGCAAATGGATGTACCATGGCTTGACAGGAATGGAACCAAAATGGAATTGGAAGTATCATTGTCGCTGCTTTGTTTGGTGAACTAATCATATATAAATAAATATTTAACCTTAAATTTGTACAAAAATGAAATCATTGATTAAAAAATAATAATAATAAAACAAATAATATTTATTTATTTATATATTTAAAAAAAACAAATAATTTCTTTCTTTAATTATTTAATTTTTTTTTTTTAGCAACAACAACATTATTATTCTTTCTAAAAGTTAGATTAATTCTTGGAGTAAGAACCTTTGGTTGTTTGGGGACTTGGTGTTTCCAGGTACTTTGAGTATCTCTGTCCATGACCAACAACGATCCATTATTCAAAGAGTATTCTACTTTTTCCTTGTTGTCTTTGTTGTTTCTCAAGATAAAACGACGGGTGGTGCCAAGACTGACCGATGCTATTACATTGAATGCTTCTTTCTTGGCTTCACCATCGGAATGGTATCCAATGTAATCATTGCCATCACGGTAATAATTAATCAGCACATAATCAAAAGTCTGACCCAACAAGCTTTCCAACTGGTGTTTGAGATGAAGCATGGGTACTGACCATTCACGAGCAGGTTGTTTCTGAAACAATGATGGTGGATTGTCGGTTGGACTACTCATCCACGATTGTAATCTTGGAATGAATATCTCCTTGCCATACATTTTGATCTTTGAATGTTCATAATTCAATCCAAGATCTTCCCTAAGATGTTGATACAAGTAGGTCGATAGTTCAGACGTAAGAAATCTTGAACAAAATCTAACTCTTGCATTATCTTTTAACAGGGTTTCTTTTAAAATTATATTATTTAAATTTATAATAAATTTAAATTCCTCATTATTATTAACATCTTTTTTTATTATTTCTTTTACTACTTCTTCAACTTCTTCTTCTTCTTCTTCTTCCTCTTCTTTCTTCTCCTCTTTCTTCTCTATCTTTTCTACTTCTTTTTCTTTTTTCTTATCTTTACTAATCTTTGTTTTTAATTTCTTCTTTTCTACTTTTAATACTTCTTCTTCTTCTTTAACTACTTCTTCAATCTCTTTTCTTTTTAAATCTTTTTTAAAATTTTGGTTATAGTTCTTATTAACTTTAGTATTAGTTGATGATGTTGACATGGTTGATTTGATATATTGCGAATTATTATTATTCTTGGGTTGAATGAAATGATGATCGGTCACATGACGTATTTATCATCTACGAGTACTCTCATTTCCTAGAAATTGAGAAGATTGTTGGTAAAAAACAAAGATAAAATATCCAGATCGGATTTTTGATTGAAAAATACCATAGTTTTCGTAAACTAAAAGTAAATTTTTTGTTAAAACCAATCAACTATAATTAAACAGAATAATATTTTAATTTATTTATTTATTTATTTATTTATTTATTTATTTATTTATTTATGGATAGATCCAGAAGAGATCAAAAGTTATAATATTATATTATTCTTTCCAATGATGTTATATTTTGTATACGTATTTGTTTTTTTTGAAAAGGAATACTAATAGTATTATATTATTCTTACTTTAGGGATCAATAAACTATTATTATTTCATTAAACTAAAAGAAACAAAAAATGATTAAAATAATTATTCTATTTTGTCTATTTTCAATGATCTTTGGATCACCAACTATTGCTGATGAACAACAAGTAGTTCCAAAGTCAATTTATATCTACCGATCCGGTGTATTTGGACCAGCTACTGAAGTTACTTTTGGTATTGAACAACACCTTGCCAACGGTCAAAGAATAAGTGATGACCTTTACTACCAATTACTGAATGCTCTAAAGAATGAATTCCAATCAATCCCTGACGGTGCAAATTATAGACCTGAAACTCCTATTACTGATCAACATGAATTCAGTGCCCATTCATATCAACCCACCAAGAAATTTAACTGGTCTCAAGCAGCCAAAAAAAGACCTCATCTCCTCATTCTTTTAGAAGAACTAGTTGAAAGATATGGTGTCTTGGCTTAAATACATCTATCAATTCCATCCAATTCCCTATTTTTTTTTTTTTTAAATAAATATAGAGAATAATCCACCTTTTTAAACAAAAAAGGTCAATCAAAGAATATGTATGTATGTATGTATTATTATTATTATTTTATATTTGATTTTATTTTCTTTTTTTTCATTTTTAAATGTGTTGTAAATTTGCAGATAAACGGTGTAAATCACCATAGACACCTGCAGCAGTAACTACGGCACCAGCACCTGGACCTTGAATGACCAATGGTGTCTTGTTGTAACGTTGACTGCTAATTGATACGATATTATCACATTCTGTTAAATTGGCAAATGCATGTGACTTGTTGTAACGTTGAAGTGATACTGATGCTGTCACCTTGGGATAAGCAACAACTCCTTCGACATCCGAGTACTCGACTTGAACCACTCCACTATATCTCAAAACCATATCCTTTTCTCTACACTCTTGTTTCATCTTTTCAAACGATTCATCATAATTGGTTATATATTTAGTCATAAATTCGTCTAGTGGTGCCAAACTTGCTTCCTTGTCAATCTCTGGGATCAATCCAATTATTTTAATATCTGACAATTCAATAGTTGCTCCAATTTCTCTTGCTAAAATAACAACTACAAAATAATTTAAATATAAATAAATATTATTAATATTATTAATTTGTTTGTTTGTTTTGTTTTTTTACATACTCTTTCTTGCAAAATCTTTTCCATTTAAATCATCTCTTGGGTCGGGTTCAGTAAATCCCTTTTCTTTTGCGAGTTTAACAATATCTGACCATTTTTGGTTAGATTCTAGATTTGAAAAGGTATTAAAGATGTATGATAGAGTACCAGAGAATATACCTTCAATCTTTGTAATCTTGTCTCCAATTGATACCATTTGTTTAATCATATGAATAATTGGTAATCCTCCACCAACTGTAGTTTCATAAAAACAATGACTGAAATGCTTTGAAGCAGCCAAATGAATCTCTTTGTAGAGATCAAATGGACCAGAAAATCCTGTTTTGTTTGGTGTTATAACATGAATACCCTTTGATAAAAACAATGGGTAATACTTTGGAATATCACTACTTGCACTACAATCAATTATAACTGAATGTTTTGGGAATCCAATTGAAACTAAATCCATTATCTTTTCAATTGATAATTCTAGAAAATTAAAAATAAAATAGAAAAGAAAAGAATAAATAAATAATATATAATAAATATAATATTTTACATACTTTCTTTTGAATCAATTAATTGTTTTTTCCAATTATTATTCTTTAATTCAATACCAGATTCATTATAGATTGATTGTTTTGAATTTGATATAACTCGCACTTTGTAGGTATGATTTGCGTTTGGTTGAGGATTTGATAATTGTTCCAATAGTTCAGAACCTATTAATCCACATCCAATCACTGCAATAGAGATGACATCTGGATCGAATGGTCTGTAGAATGCAGAATGTACAGCTTTGAGTGCTGCAGGTGTATCCTTTTCACAAACCACCGCCGAAATATTTCTTTCCGATGAACCTTGAGCAATTGCCTTTATATTTACACCAGCCTTTGTCAATGCACTAAATAATTTACTTGCAACACCAATTGAACTAACCATTTGATCTCCAACTGCTGCTATAATACTACAATCTTTTACTAATTCAATCTAAACAATAAAAATAAATTAGAATTAATTAGACTATTAATTACTATTTCTATCTTTTCTCTCTCTTACAGTTTGAACATGACCAGTATAAGTAGTTTCATTATAAAATTCCTTTTTTATAGCTTCCAAAGATACATCACCATCCTTTTCAGTGACACCAATACAAATTGAACTTTGTGATGATCCTTGTGAAATCAAAAGCACCGATACTTTGACATCACGTAATGAAAGGAATACTCTTTGTGCTAGATTCGATATTCCCAATCCTGCACCTTCAATATTAATCAATGATACTCTCTTTATAGCTGAAAATCCTTTAACATTATAAATTGATTCTGATATATCATTACTCTTTGAATGACTATAAATAAAAAGAATGAATATTAATATTAATATTATTGATATTCGTATTGTTTTAAATTTGATTTGATTCATACATTAAAGAACCCTTATTTAAAAGATTAAAAAAGTTTCTAATTTTGATTGGAATATTGTTGATGATGGCAGGTGGCATGGTATGGGGATGTAGAATATTGGCACCAAAGTAGGAGAGTTCAGATACTTCTTGATAGGATACTTCTTTGAGAATAGTTGCTTTGGGGACTATCTTTGGATCGGCTGAAAAGAGACCGTCGACATCTTTCCAAATGGTGATGAGACTAGACTTTAAGAGTGCACCAAAGATCGAGGCACTATAGTCACTACCATTTCGACCGAGTGTCGTGGGCATACCTTTGGCATTTTGTGCAATAAATCCAGTGACAATGAGTACATAGAGGTCTGATGGAACCGTCTGTGCAGAGGATGATGCGCAGGGCGACTGGGTCTGATTGAAATTTGATTTCATCCATTTGTCCATCTCGGCCGACGACCTCTTCCAATCTACGACTGGACCACACTCACCTTTTCCAACATAGAGTACTTTACGTGTATCTAACCATGCACAAGACACACCTTGTTTTGATAGATAGAGATGGAGTAGTATAGCAGACCACAACTCCCCATGACCTACAATCAAGTCTTCCATTTCCTCACTCATACTTTGAGTGATTGAAATGGCTCTAAGTACTTCCATAATCCTTGTCAAATGTTCCCTGAGAATTCTTTCAAACTCTCCAATGGCCGATGGAATAAGACGGGCTGCACACTCTAGTATTTTAGCCAATATCTGATCCTTTACCTGTGCGTATTCAGTGTCCTTGGATGTGATGGCCAACTGAGTCATTTTCAATAATTGGTTGGTCACACCCTCCATTGCAGACACTATAATCGCCTGACATGACAATGCACCAACACGATTACTATCAGTCTCTTTTCTATACTCCAAATGATCCTTCATACTACTAGTAACAACTTGTAATACATTTGAATAGTTTTGTGCATTTCCCAATATACTACCTCCAATCTAAATAGAAAAGTAAAAGTATAAGTATATTTACATCATTCATTAAAATAGACAATAATAATAATAATAATACATACCTTGTGAACATGCCAATAATGATCGAGGTATTCTAACTCTTCTCCTCCTGCTTTACCATTTGATACTGATGTTATCATTATCTATCTGTTTCTGTATCTGTTTGTTTATCTTTTCTATCTTTATACAAGAAATATATAAAGTGATAATAATTATAATTGCTTAATGCAATGGTGTGTGTGGTTGATTCAAAAGAGGTCAATGAATAAACCCCCATTAATATAACTCTTTCTGATACCCACACATCTCATCATATGCACCCCATTTGATTTGATCAATGGTTTTTTTAACATTGTGACAAAAAAAGGAAAACCATGATGAATTAGGACAAAGGATAGGATATAATCATTATATATTTATTATTTATTAATAACTATTTTGTATGTTGTATGTACAACTTTTTTTTAAAAAAATATGTTATGGATATTGATTGTATTTGTATTGATGATTCTGTTGAATATTTATTATATATACTATTAAATATTTGTGTGATTGATTTTTGATTGGTTTCAACAAAATAGTAAAAAGAAGAAGAGGATGAAGAAAAGGAGGATATTGATATTAAAATATTATAATTTAAAACAAGATTGATAAGATGGCAAGAACAATAAATAAGAATGCTGATACAACGGATTGGCTGGCACTGCTAAAGGATAAAAAGTCTTCGATATCTTCATTGAGGTCGGTAAGGAAGCTGGTTGAGTTGCTTGAAGATCCAGTAGAGGTAGAGTTGGTGGTGTGGTTACGTCTTACCCATCCACCAGTGATAGTGTGATTTCCAGAGGTGGTATGGTTACCAGTAGTGGTCGATGATGTGGTCCATCCACCAGTTGAAGAGGTAGAGTTACCAGAGCCTCCAGTAGTAGAGTTACGAGAAGTAGTGTGGTTACCAGTGGTCCAACCGCCAGTAGTGGTCGAGTTGGCAGAACCGCCAGTAGTCCATCCACCAGTGGTGGTAGAGTTACGAGAGGTGGTGTGGTTTCCAGAGGTAGATCCACCAGTAGTGGTAGTCCATCCAGTAGTTGAGTTACGAGAGGTAGTGTGGTTACCAGTGGTGGTGGTGGTAGTCCATCCGCCAGTAGTTGAGTTGGCAGAACCGCCAGTAGTCCATCCACCTGTGGTGGTAGAGTTACGAGAGGTGGTGTGGTTTCCAGAAGTAGATCCACCAGTAGTGGTAGAGTTGGCAGAACCGCCAGTGGTCCAACCACCAGTAGTAGAGTTACGAGAGGTAGTATGGTTTCCAGAGGTAGTCCATCCACCAGTTGTGGTCGAGTTGGCAGAACCTCCAGTAGTCCATCCACCGGTGGTGGTAGAGTTACGAGAAGTAGTGTGGTTACGACCACCCCATCCAGATGTTGAGTTGCCAGAGGTAGTCCATCCGCCAGTAGTTGAGTTTCCAGAACCACCAGTAGTCCAACCACCAGTAGTAGAGTTACGAGAAGTAGTGTGATTGCCAGAGGTAGTCCATCCGCCAGTAGTGGTCGAGTTGGCAGAACCACCAGTAGTCCAACCACCAGTAGTAGAGTTACGAGAGGTGGTGTGGTTACGACCGCCCCATCCGCCAGTGGTAGAGTTTCCAGAACCACCAGTAGTCCAACCACCAGTAGTAGAGTTACGGGAAGTAGTGTGATTTCCAGAGGTAGTAGTCCATCCACCGGTAGTGGTGGTAGAGTTTCCAGATGTTGAATTACCAGATGTAGTCCATCCACCGGTAGTGGTAGAGTTGCCAGTATGGTTACGACCCATCCAACCACCAGTAGTAGAGTTGCCAGTGTGGTTACGCCATGAGACTGGTTCCCAACCAGTGGTAGAGTTACCAGAGGTAGAGTTGCCAGAGGAAGTATGGTTACGGTTGATCCAACCAGCAGCATTTGAATGGTTTCCGCTAGAGTGGTTTCGTCCACCTGTTGAATTGTTGTTGAATCCAGCACGTCCCTCATCACCAACAATCAACCTGGCTCCAAGAGCATTGGTCAATGTAAACAATACCAATAAAATGGTAATTGAAATGATTAATCTACTCATTCTCTATTTATAAACTAATTATTATTATAACTTTTTTTTTACTCGATTTTGTTTAAATGATGTTGATCCAATTAAATATATATATAGAAATAGTTATTATTATTATTATTATTTATCTGTTGGTGAATGTATATGTTGTGTTGTGATGCAAATGAAATACCTTTTCAATCCTACTTTTATACTAGTCGAGTTGATTGGAAATGGTAGAGGAACAATTTGATTAATAATCAAAATAAAATGGTTGTTTACCCGATGGTGGTGTAGTCTACCTACATACATACATATAAAATAAAAGTAGATTGAATGGTTGGTGGTAGAAGAGGCGAGTGACGTCACTCACTTGAAGGGCAGAGAATGGATCAAAACAAAGACGGGGCGGTAATCTAGTTTGAACTTTCGTTGATGCATTGGCAGGCACTAAATTCTCGAGGCAGACACTAAATTCTCGAGTCAGTTCCCAAACCACTCTGAAAATCCATTGGAGACAAACAGTTCCAGCTCTCCTGCTACCACTACAACTCGTACGTACCTACAACAAAACATGGTTGTACGAGTTTTGTTGCCAACAAGGTGGGTGTGTGTGTTGGTTATATCCGACCCTGTTTAATAGATTTTCGGATGGCCCCACAAAGAAAGATCTGGGAACCATGGTTTCGATTATAATACATCATCATCATTGTCGACGTTTTCATAAAATATTATTACACACTTTTAAATGGATACTTTTTAAAAAATCTAGGTCGAAACAGTGACACTTTTTTAAAATTAAAAAGTCCGACAGATACTCTCGAATGTCTTGTCAATCCAAGAGGCCGTAAATAAAAGGGAAGAGGAAAATATTGCATTGTCGGACCTATGAGAGAGGCAACTCGTCTCTGCTCGTGTGGTATCCAATTCATTTTTGGTGTCATCTAGATGCAATGATCGATTGATTGGTTGTTGTTGTTGTTGTACAGGGTTACCTCCCCATTATATTGATGATGTGTTTGTTTAGGGTTACTACTCCCTCTTTTCCAAACTTGTTTAAAAGAAAAAAACAAATGATCGATCTGGCTGTGGCTACACCAATTACAATAGCCGACTTTGATATTTGGCTCTAGAGTGACTTTTAAACAAAGTTGATCAAAGAGAGAGAAAGTTAATGTTAATGTTTTCTTTCTTCTTTTCTACTACACAACAATCTTAATCATTATATAACATACCAAGTCGACTATGAATCACATATCATATAATCTTTCACGTTTGTACAAAAGAAACTTTCACTGATTGAAAAGTTAATGTTTTAATATGTGAGATTGACTTTTCCTATGCTCTTTTCGTAGTGATGAAACGCTTATTGTTGTTGGTGCATCTATAATTTGTTAAACATGATTGAGTATATGTATGAATGATACTCGATCATGTGGTTGATACATTCAGTTCTCAGATTAATTATTATTTTTCATTTAATTTAAATTTATAAGGGGTTTAGAAAGAGTATTAGTAGGACAGCGACGCGGGTAATTCGTTTATAGATGTCAATTCCAGCATAGCAATTTCCTACTCTTCGATCTACAGCTACTAGTTTACAAGGGACACAAAGTTAACCGTTTGTACAGTAACTTTCACTGATTGAAAAGTTAATGTTTTAATATGTGAGATTGACTTTTCCTATGCTCTTTTCGTCGTGAAACGCTTTATGGGTTAGCATAGACACAAATCGGTCAGTCATCTGATACTCTTTCGTTTCGTTCGTTTTTTTTTTTTTACTAAGACCCTCGGTAAGAGGTCGGATGATCATGACAATATAATATATTTAAATATAATTTGTACAAGAGTTTACTTTTTTTTTATTTATTTATTTAGAGTGAAGAGATACTATCTTACTTTATTATTATTATTATTATTATTTCTTTTTATCAGAACGTTCAATGGGAAACTTTTCCTTTTGTTGTTGTAATATTTGTTGTCTTTTGTTTAGTTGTTCTTCGTATTGTTTGAAATGAGGTGAATCTGGTGCGGGGACCATGTGGGCACGGACGATGATCTTTTGGGCTGCTCCTCCTTGTGCATCGTCGACTAGATGTATCTTGGTGAGTGATGGGGGACTGTTGGGATTGAGTTGTCTCTCTTTGGTGGTCAGTGGCACGAATCGAACATCACCACAAGACTTAACCTTTATTTTACCATCGTCTTGTTTGTCGATGACCAATAGCTGGTGGAACGATTCGTTTGGACCTACTGGAATGACCATTCTACCACCTGGTTTGAGTTGGTCGAGTAGTTCGGTTGGTATCTCTTCAGAGGCAGCACCAACATGGATGGCATCGTATGGAGCACCTTCTTTCCAACCCTTGTATCCGTCGGCACAATGAATCTCTAGGTTTTGAAAGATTCCACTGTCAAACGATTTGAGATTGGCCAGTGATTGATCTGTCAGTTCTTGTATGTGGTCTACACCGACCACGTGACCTCGTTTTCCAACTAGTCTCGACATACACGCCGAAATGTATCCAGAGCCCGACCCAATGTCCAAAGCATTTGCACCTTCGACCAAATAGTCGTCCAATAGATCCAACATGATAGCATGCATGTGTGGTGCAGATATAGTTGCTTGGTTACCAATTGGTTGTGGACTGTCATAATAAATATCACTACATGATTTTGGTAAAAAATGTATTCTATCAACTTGAATCATTACATCTGCTATTCTATTTTTTGCCAACATTCTTCTTCCTAAAAATAATTAAATAAATAAATAAAATAATCATAATATTATTAAATCCAATCCAATCATATTTTTATGATTGATTGTAAATGTTCATCAACATACTCTGCATTAAAAACATGACCAACTCTCTTTGAGTTTTTGGGTTGATTGGAACATCATCAAGTGAACGTGAAGACGAAGAGGAATGATTTTTGCCTCCAAACATTCTCGTCAATGTCATAGTTGTAAGTATGCTACATATAGCAAGACCAATAAAATATAAGTAAATGTTCTCCATTTAACAAGTCAAGTTTGTTTTGTCTTAAAAAGCTAACAGAAAAAATAATAATAATAATAATAATAATAATCGAATATTATTGGATAATCCAAAAATGGAAAGTTTACAAAAAAGGTATTTCTTTTGAAAAAAAAAAAAGACAAACAATCTTCTTTTGTAGTATTTTAAAATCTAGTTACTTGTACGATTGTCCAACAGTACTATAGCTCAATGATGATGATGATGATGATGATGATGGTAGTGGAGAAGATGAAGATGAAGATGGAGATGATGGGTAGTAGGAAGAGAAGAGGGAGAGGATATTTTTGTTGTTCTTGTTATTCGATAAAGTTGACAACAATGATCGAGTAGTCGTAGTAGTAGTACAAAGACGAGGAACGTTAATACTACTAGATAAAGATATTATGTATCTAGATGAGATCATCATTTATATAAATGTGTGTGTCGACGGTATTCACTGTGTCTGTGTCTGGTTCTTCTTTCTTTAAAAGATTGAGTGCGCACATACTCAACTGAAAATGGTGTTTCTTGAAGGAAATTATTTGAAAACATTTCTTTTTCATTTTTTATTGTTTTTTTTGTTCACGAAGAGCAAGTGACTCTGACAATAGCAGAGTCTCCCTACTACCTACTTCTACAATACTAACTATAAACTCGACGATTCACTACTACTTCTAGACTATATACCCGAGAGTGTTTGAAAAAGTAACGAGATTAAATATTTAGGAATAATACAATATATTGTGCACTCATCTCATCATCGTCATCGTCATCGTATGGCAACAAACAAACAGACAGCAAAAAAGGAACTACTCTATTTTAAAAATAGATTTCCTCCTCCTCCTTCTTTTTTATTTGTTTCCAAACCAACAACAGCAGCAACAACAACAAGCCATCTTATAAGATTTACTTGATCAAGATCAAGCAAGCAAGACCAACAGGAATACATACATAACATACAACAACATTTATCATATAAAAATAGATAGTATTGTATCAACGAATGAATAACCAAACAACTATTATTCAGTTTTCTAGAATCATGACAGATAAATAACAACGACATATAATATACTATTCTTTTAAAGATGATAGTCTCACGTTCACATCTACATCGATAGTATCACTACATACAGACAGACAGAGAGACAGGTTGGAAGGTTCTTTGAAAAAAAACAAAAAATTCCAAACCCTACTACATGGTACTATGCAGAGGGTTTTACCCAATTATTATAATTTTATCACATTTTAAATTATCATCATCACAATCCTTGCATCACTGTTATTTCTATTTCTGTATTTGTTTGTTTTGACATTTTTAAAATAGACATCTCTTATCTCAATTCAATCTTATTTTTATAAACTAAACTTATTGTGTTGTGTGTAACAGTAACAGTAACATTGATCAATCGATTTATCATTCATCACTCAACTTCTTTTGTACTGCTGTATGTTATATAAGTGTTATTATTATTATTGTTAGTTATATAATTAAATTAACAATCAGCTGACTAACTTTTATCCTATTCTTTTTTACAATCAACAGAACTAAAATTTGTAAATAATTATTTATTCATAATATAATCAATCAATATTAATATAGAAAATATATAGATAGAAATGTCAGAGGTGAGTAATGGTAGTAATAATAATAGTAGTAAAACATTTAATTAACTTTTGTTTTAATCTTCATCATCATCACTTTGTGTGTGTTTATAGCAAGATTCAGGAGCCACTCGTGTAAAATTGGTAGTTGTTGGTGATGGTGCAGTCGGAAAGACTTGCCTCTTGATCAGTTATGCTCAAAACGAATTCCCAACAGAGTACGTACCAACCGTCTTTGAAAATTATACAGCCAGCAGAAAGAGAGGTGAAGAAGACATCAAGATTCATCTCGTATGTACACATAGACAGATAGACAGATAAACAGATAAACATTATTTATATATTAATTATCGATTTATTATTACCAATCAACTAGTGGGATACTGCAGGTCAAGAAGAATATGATCGTTTAAGACCACTTTCATACCCAGGCGCAGATGTTGTATTACTTTGTTTCAGTACTATCAGTCAAGCTTCATATGAAGCCATCAGAGACAAGGTATGGAGAGAGAGAGAGAGAGAGAGAGAGAGACGATTAATCATCATACTCATTCAATTTTATATTAATATATTTATGTTTAGTGGGCACCAGAAGTTAATCATTATATTCCAGATGTACCACATATTTTAGTTGGTACCAAGGTTGATTTGCGTGAAGCTCAACACCCAGATCCAAACTCTGGCAAGTTTGAACCAGTCACCCCAGATATGGGTCTTTCCATGTCCAAGCAAATCAAGGCTGCCAGCTACTTGGAGGTATCTGCAAAGACCCGTCAAGGTTTGGAAGAGATTTTCAACGCTGCCATCGATTTGGTTCTTAGCTCTCGAGGTATCGAAAAGAAGAATGATGCCTCTACCCCATCCTCTGCCACCACTGACAGAAAAGACAAGTCAAAGAGCGGCGGCAAGAAGAAGTCTTCATGTATCATTTTATAAACAAAAAAAAACTGCGGGAAAACCAAATCTTATTTAACTAAATTTACACAACAACTAAAAAAAAAAACAAAATTTACCAAAAAATACTAAAAAATACAAATTTATATGTTTAAAAATAACTTTTAAAGGAAGAAATATGGGTAATAGTAATGGTAATAATAATAATGTTGGATAATTATTATTTAATTAATTAATTTCTTTTTAAAAATTTTTATTATAAAAAAGAGAGAGATATATCTTGGTCGTTTGGGGTTGGTTTGGAATAAATAAATAATTAAATAGGATAAGTAGGGTAGGTAGGGTATGTCTATATTTCTATCTAGTGTCGATGATTACTTGATAGGGAACTGGTGATAGAGTTACACCAAAGATGGTATTGGTGCCAATTGGTTTATCGCTTGAGAATTTGAAGGTTTTAATCAATGTGGTTGTGATTAAAAACAATTCACTCTCGGCCAGAGACATTCCAAGACATACTCTTGGACCGCATCCAAATACAGTTTTATACTTGTTGGAATCATTGTTTAGGAATCTTGATGGATCAAAAACTTCAGGGTTGTTCCATTCCTTTGGTGACAGTCCTGTTGCATAAAGGTTTTGAATGATTTGATCACCTTTACGAATAGTGTATCCTCTAATTTCAGTGTCTTCCGTTGCAATATGTGGAACCCCAAGTGGTGCCACTGAAAAACGTCTAAGTGATTCCTTGATAATTGCATTTGCATATGGTAGGTTTGATTTATCAGCAAGTGTAGGAAGGCGATCACCCAATACACCATCCAATTCTTTACAACATATCTTTTGAATTAAAGGATCGTCACATAATGCTGAAATTGTAAATAATATCGTATTTGCCTAAACATAAAAATAAAATAAATAATTAATTAGGTTATCTTGTTACACTAGTCTTTTGTTTTTTGCATACACTTGTATCAGTACCAGTTAAAATTAAATCAGTCATCATATAGACAATAGATTCTAATTGGAATTCACCACGATAATGTCGAACAAGAGTTTCCTCTAATAAATCAGTTGGTTCAGTTGATTTTCCATCAAATGTTTCCATTCTTTTTCTAATCACTTTTTCAATATACCCATTTAATTCTTTATATGATTTTAAGAATAATTTTGCTTTTACTAAAGTTTAAATGAATGTTAATATTTTCAAAATGATAGTTTTTAATTTACTTTTTGAATGTATACCATCTAATTTACTTGGAATACTTGGGAAATAATCTTGTAAAAGTGGGTATCCAGCAGCTCTAAAAAATTCATGAATTAGACCAACCACTTCATTGGTTTCTTGACCATTATAGTTACAATGTAAACTATCACCAAATAAAACTCTTAGAATGATATTAAGGGCACAGGTTTTAATAAATTGATGAGGTGCTACCAATCCATTTTTTGCTTCTTCTTTTAATGCATCACAAAGACACCCAATCTCCGAGCTAATATTATTTTCCATCTTTTTAATAGTTGTATTTGATACAAAAGAACCAATGACACTTCTAACATTTTTACTATATTCACCATTTGATGTTACAATTCCCAGACCCTTATTTTCCTTTTGTCTACTTGGTCTTGGGAATCTACTTGCAAAAGCACCGGCATTATCTACAAATGCCTCTTTGATGACATCATACTCTGTCAAAAATATAGTATTATAATCACCAAATTGCATTTTAAATACTGGTCCATATTTAAAGTAGAGATCTTGTGCCAAAAGATGTGGAGGTTTTCTAACCATCATTAAGAAATTTCCAAAGATTGGCCATTTAAATGGTCCTGGTGGTTCATTCTAAATAAATATAAATATAAATATAATAAATAAATAAATCAGATTGATTGATCGATTGATCTATTGACAATTGATCTTTTATCATTCATACCTTTTGTGAAAAGTTTCTTTTCCAAATACTAATGATTGCCAAAAGTAGGCATAGAAAGAGTAGGGTTGAAGTGGTAAACATTGTGATCGATCACTTTTTTCTTTGGGAATGGTAAACAAACAAACAAAAAGTCTATAGTTTGTTGGTACATAGAAAATTAAATTAATTAATTTGGTACATTGAAATAATTATTTATATGTATAAAAATATTAGATGATTTAAAAAATGATATTATTATAGCAACAACAATTATTTGTAGTAAACTACCCCTTCCCTTCCTTCCTACTCCCATCTGAAAACCTATACATAGTGGTTGAGTAATGTATAACCTTGAGAGAGAAAGAAGAGAGAGAGAGAGTTTGTGATGATAACAGATGATAATAAATAAAACTCCAAACTTTGCTTTGGGGACATTTATGTCGTATAATAGAATTTAATTCACCAAGAGACAATTAGAATGCAAATACAATCTGACTCGACACCTCACCTCCCACCTCTCATCACCATGCTATTTAAATTTATATAGAGGTAGGAGGGTCGTCAGAAAAGTTAGATTCTTTTGGGGGGATGAGGTGGTGGTGGACATGATATTTTGAACACAAGTGTTTGTAGACAAATGTGTTTAATCTGTAAAATTGCAATTACAGTTTACAATAGTGTTTATTGGTAAAATCTATAAAACATTACAACAAATAAACAGATCAAATAAATAATTGTCAAGAATTAAATGTAATTCTATCATTTTCAAACAAAAAACAAAAACACAATGTGTGATTATATACAAAAAAAGAGAGAGAGTATTAAGTCAAATAAATCTGAATGAATGCTATTTGTTAATATATATTACCAATTGGAAGAATGAATTGGTCAGATTTTCCTTTCCTTTTTTGTAAAATTGAAAGATCATTGCCACCAATGTAATAAATTTGAGCGTACCATTAGAAATACATTGTCATTCAATCAATTGAGTGTGAGTGGATATTTGGAATAAATAGTAATAGAAGAATTTTGAGGAATATTGTGGGGGAGGAGATGACATCAAACAATGGGCAGAATAATGAATATTACCTTTTTAGGGAATTAATAGTATTGGTATCAATAAAGAAAGGACCCTCCCTCTTTTTTGGTGTTATTAATAGTACAATAAACAAATAAATAAAAACTAAACTAAATAAAAAATAATTTCTACAATAAATAAATATATATATATAAAAAAAGAGAGAGAGGTGTGACCCATCTTGTGGAAGGTATTGATTGATCGTTTTTTTATTATTCATAACCAAAACTGTTAGCTGTTGATGTGTTTACTGCCCGATACCAAAAAAGGCAATGAAACTATCCTGCCCGTCAGAATCTTTAATTTAATTTTTTTTTTTGATTTTTCAAAAAAAAAAAGTGAATCCAATAGATTTGATTTGATTGGATGCAATTATTAATATTATCTGTTTTCAATAAATACTTGATAGGATATTGGTGTAAGAGTTATACCATAAACAGAGTCATCCCCTATTGGTTTATCACTTTTAAATTTAAAGGATTTGAACAAGGTTGCAATGATCATGAATATCTCGCTCTCTGCAAATGCCATTCCAGGACATACCCTTGGTCCACATCCAAATACAATCTTATTCTTATTGGTTGATAATTCATTGTTTATGAATCTTGATGGGTTAAATAATTTTGGATTATCCCATTCTTTGGTTGACAGTCCAGTTGAATATTGATTTTGTATTACTTCGTCCTAATAAATTTAAAAAAATAAATAAATAAATAATTAAAAGAAAGGTATATATATTTTGTATCGTGATCAATTTTTGGATACAAACTCCTTTACGAATAGTATATCCTCTAATATTAACATCCTCAGTTGCAATATGAGCTATACCAAGAGGGAAAAGGGAAAAGCGTCTCAATGTCTCTTTTATAACTGCATTGGTGTAAGGTAGGTTTGGTTTATCATTAATATTTGGTAATCTATCTCTACCAATCACTTGAATCAATTCATTATAAAGTTGATCTTGAATATCTGGATTATCACATAATGATGAAATTACAAATAATATTGTATTTGCCTTAATAAATAGAAAGAGAATCATTAATTAATTAATATTAATAAATTTTATGTAATATTGATTGAACTATCTTACTGAACTATCGGTACCAGCTAGAACCATATCAACAACGATAAAACCAATAGCATCTAATTCAATTTCACCCTTTTTGTATTTGACAATGTATTCTTCTAATAAATTAGTTGGTTCAGTTGATCCATCATACACTTGAAGTCTTTCACGTACTAATTGCATAGCATAGGTATGAAATGGTTTGAATGGACTGACGTCATCCAAAAATTGTGACACCCTTTTGGCAATAGGTATGATATAGGGAAAGTAATCTTGATAGTAACGAAGACCACCAGATGCAACAACATTTCGTATCAGTCCAGACAACTCACTGGTTTCATTCCCACCATAATCCAATCTAACACCTTTACCAAAGATTAATCTAAAAATGATATTAACAGTACATGATTTAATGTATTTATGTGGTTCTATAGATAACTGTCCTTTTGAACTGTCCTCTTTTAGTGATTGACAGAGAAGATCTATTTCACTGTATACTTCATTTTCCATTCTTTTAAACTTGGTGGCTGTGAAAAAGGTTGATATCTCACCTCTTACTTTTTTATGATATTCTCCATTTCCCATTATTAATCCAAATCCCTCTAAAATAAAAGAAAGAATAAATAAAAATGTTATCTTTTTCTTTTAGTTTTGTTTTTGTGATTACTAACTATTGACTGATTCAATTCTTGGATTTGGGAACCGTTGTTCCACGATATGACCCTTTTCAACAAACACCTCTTTGATTATATCGTGTTCAGCCAAATATACAGTGTTGCGTTCACCAATTTGCAACTTGAAAATAGGTCCGTACTTTTGATACATCTCCATGGCTACATGGTGTCGTAGCTTACCTCTGATTGTCAAAAAGCTACCAATAATAGGCCATCTAAATGGTCCAGGTGGTTCATTCTATTTATAAAAAAAGGGAATAAATAAATTAAAGTGGTTTGTCTTTGTTGGAATAACATCTTTAGATAAAGATATACTATACTAACTATACCTTTTGTGAATAATTTCTTTTCCATATACTGTAAAGTGAACCAATTGTTATTATTAAAACTAAAATGTTTCCAATCATCATTGTTTATAATACTAATAATATTGTTCGCAACAACTATATATATATATATATAAATCCCAAGTTCAAACAAGATGTTTGTTTGTTCTTCGCAACATGGGTGCATGATTAAAACATGTCTTCTTGTTAAAAGTTTCCTCTACTAGATATACCAGTACTATAGTATCTTACAAGATAACCAATAATGTTTAGTTCATAAATCAATAAAAGTATTCATGTAATGTATATTAGTAATGATTTCTTTGTAGATCAATTTTAGATCACGAATGAACGAATGAGAACTAACACAACAAAGCAAAAAGATGTGTTTTAAAAAAAAACAATATTAATAAAACACAATTCTTCATAATACACATATTAACATCTACATGTAATTTACAAAGATATAGATCTAGATTTATAAAATAAGTAAATATTATTACTCTTTCCAAAAAGTTTAAAAATATTAAATAAGGAAGGATCCATATTTATTATTTTGGTGGGTATTTTAACAAATTGAAATAACATTACATTTAATTGCCACCACCTCTCTCTTTACTTTTTAGAATCTAGAATACATAAATATTAATTTATTTTTAAATGATGAATACTAATTAATCATCATCTATTTAGCTCTCTATCTTGTATCTACAGAGACTTGATAAGCAACTGGTGATAGAGTTACACCAAAAATAGTGTCAGTTCCAATTCGTTTATCACTTTTGAATTTGAAGGTTTTGAATATAGTTGAAATGATTAAAAACAATTCACTCTCGGCCAGAGACATTCCTAAGCATACTCTTGGACCACATCCAAATACAGTTTTATATTTTGTGGAATCATTGTTTAGGAATCTTGATGGGTCATATTCTTCTGGGTTGTTCCATTCCTTTGGTGACAATCCAGTTGCATAAAGGTTTTGAATGATTTGATCACCTTTACGAATAGTGTATCCTCTAATTTCGGTGTCTTCCGTTGCAACATGTGTCAATCCAAGTGGTGCCACAGAAAAACGTCTAAGTGATTCCTTGATGACAGCATTGGTGTATGGCAGAGCTGATTTATCAGTCATGTGTGGCAATCTATCACCAATGACACCATTCAATTCTGAAAATAACTTTTCTTGAATATCTGGATTATCACATAACGCCGATATAGTAAATAATATTGTATTGGCCGATGTATCTGTACCAGCCAAAATCAGATCAATCATAATGAATCCAATAGCATCTAATTCAATTTCACCCTTTTTGTATCTAACAATGTACTCTTCTAACAAGTCGGTTGGTTCAGTTGATCCATCATACACTTTAAGTCTTTCATTTACAATTGACATTGTATATTCATGTAATGATTCAAATCTTTCAAAAAATACTTTTGGTCTTCCTACAAATTAAAAAAACAATTAAATAAATATTAATACTCTTATAACCTGGTGTTATTATTATATATATATATATATATATATATATATATATATATATTTATATATTTATACTTACCATCTAATAATTTAGTTAAATAAGGAAAGAAATCTTGAAGGAATGGTCTAGCAGCAATTTGAACGACTTGATTGATTTCAACAACCAATTGATTTGTACTATTATCACCATAGTCACATCTAATACTTTTACCAAAGAGGAATTTAAATATTATGTTTAGAGCACACGATTTAATGTATTTATGTGGGTCGATGAGTGTTCCACCATTTGAAGTTTCCTTTAGCGCATCACAAAGTAATTCAATTTCGTGTGAAATGTCTTCTTCCAATTTCTTGAATCTTGATTGAGTGATATGTGACGATGCAATACCTCTTGCCTTTTTGTGAAACTCTCCACTCGTTGCAATAATACTCATACCTCTGAATGCCTTTTCTCTACTAGCCCTTGGGAAACGAGGTGCGAATATCTCTGGTTTGTCAACAAATGCCTCTTTGATGGTATCATATTCCGTCAAAAATACAGATGAACAATCACCAATCTGTATTCTAACAACAGGTCCATACTTTAAATACAAATCCTTTGCAAACAGATGTGGTGCTTTTCCTTTCATCATTAAAAAGTTACCAACAATTGGCCATTTGAATGGTCCTGGTGGTGAGTTCTATTGATGAATAAATAAAATCAATCAAATAAAAGAGGATTGTAGTTATTAGATATTATAGATATATAGATGTCTATGATATCATATAAGTAAGTACGTACCTTTCTTGCAAAGTTTCTATTCCAAACACCTATTAGGAATAGTATTATTGCACATACTAATAAAGTTGATGTGATCATGATTGATTGATGATGAAGTTTATTTATATATATCTCTCTCTCTCTCTCTCTCTATCTCTTTCTCTTTCTAAAGTAAAGTGTAAAAGGATTGATGGTTTGTGGTTTTTGGTTTGGTTTGGTTGTTATTTTATTGTTGTTAATAATACAAGGGTTAGGTTGAATAAGTCATTCAGCATCTGATCTGACAGATCCAACCACTCCTTTCGCTATAATCATCCTGAAAAGGCTCACCATTATGTTAGTGACTTGAAAGAGAAAGATGGTGATTGGTGTGTTTTCAAAAAAGATAATTTTTGTTGGGTGGTTCAAAGGGATGTTGTTGGGGTGAATCAACTGATCGTTCGGTCCTCGACCTGACCACAACGATGAAATTGACCTTCAACTTCCATCAGTATCATCAAAGATGTACGTTGATCAATAAAGAAGAACAAGAATACCATTTCATTCTATACTTTTGATACTACATCTTTTAGAGAGAGAGAAGGGAAATACTATGATTCCAAAACTATCTTATCAAATTAATTTACACATAAATTCATCGAATTTGACACCCTGAATTGAAATTCACCACTCAAGCACAGAATCACCCGAAATTGATCATAATTTTTTGACATGGTGTCGGTATCATCCATCTTAAACTATGGAATATTAATATTAATATGCCGAGCATTGATTGATTGGATCACTATAAATATATAGATTACTATATTCATTATTATTATTATTATTATTATTATCTTTAAGCTATATATTAATTATTTGATTGGCTAATCCCACCAATAAATTGTAAGTTTAATCTTTCTTTTTGTTTCCCATTTAAAGATCGATAGATATGAACCCAAGATAAGATTAATAAATAATAATATTAATAATTGGATTTAAAAAAATATCTTTCTTGTTTGTTTGGAGGATAATTTTTTTTTAATATCCAACTATACTTTGCAGCACCTACTCCCCAAAGTATAGTTTTCTTTTTTTATAGTCTTGTTTGTTTCTAATTTATTTAATAACTTTTTTCGATTCACCACCCACATGTGTAGTTTAAGTTTAAAGCTAAATAGACTATCATCATCATTATTATCATTTACAACAGCAGCCTCTCGAGTAAACAATACATTAATAACTAATCAGATTCCTCATTCTTCACTCTTTTGCTGTAGTAATAGACAACTATCATCATCGACATCATCGACATTCTTTAAACTAGACAATACAAACAATAGTAATAAGAAGTATTATACAACCTCATCATCATCATCATCAACTCCATCATTTGTTGATTTACAATATAAAATAATGACATCTCAAACCAATACACAAAGACTATTACCAGTTGAAAAGCAAGCAGACTGGAGATTCAACACTCACGAACTCCCCGGTATCTTTAGAGGTATTCCTGATATTTTCGATGGTATCACTGTCAACGATGACACTCAATATCCAAATGATGTTGATACTTTTGAAATTCATCTTAAAAGTATGTTCGAATGATGGATGGATGAATGTAAAGTTATATATAACGCCTTTGATATTTATTATTCTGTTCTTTTTAATTTATCTAGATAGTATTGAATATTGGGTAGAAAATAAGAGAAGAGGAGTATGGATTAAAATACCAGAATCAAAGTCTGAATTCATTCCAATTGTTGTTAGACAAGGATTTTCATTCCATCATTGTCAATCGGATTATATCATGTTGACAAAATGGTTGCCTCAAGACAAGAATAGATTGCCAGACTATACATCTCATTTCATTGGTTGTGGAGGATTGGTCATCAACGACAAGAAAGAGATTCTTTTAATCACCGAGAAACAACGTCCCAACAAATGGAAGATTCCAGGTGGTGCTCTCGACTCGGGCGAGGATATTTGTACTACTGCAGTTCGTGAAGTTTGGGAGGAAACTGGTGTAAAGACTGAATTTGTTTCGGTACTTGGTTTTAGACAACTACACAACTATCAATTCAATAGAGGTGATATTTATTTTGTTTGTGCTCTCAAACCTCTATCTTCTGATATTAATTTGGATCCAAATGAAATTGCTCAATGTAAATGGCTTCCTGTATGTATACATAAAAAAGAACAACAACAACAACAAAAACAAAAGAACATCCCATTCTCATACTCTTATATATATTTATTAGATTGAAGAATTTGTAAAGAACCTTGAAACATTCCCATTACAAAGATCTATTTCAAGATTGGCTTACGAGTATGCATTCAATGGATATAAAGGTCTCAAGGCATCAGAAGTTTCAAATTCTCTAAAGAATGGTAATTCATTTGTTTATCATGGATCTGATGCTGATTTTGATGATTTGATTTGGGTAAATCCAGATAAAAAAACAAATGGTACACATTAAAAAGAAAAAAGAAGAAGAAATAAAAAATGATCCAAAAGAAAAGATAATATTAATTGAATTGTTTCCAATCATGTACATATGATTGTTTGTTTTTTTTACTATTTACAATATAAATAATATTATTTCAAGAGAGTTTTGTGTTTTAAATTGATTAGTTATTAATTGATTATTATTTGTTATAACTCTCCATCTTCGATATCCATTTCATAGTATTCTTGATGTTGAGGTGGTTGATCGGGAGGTGGTGGAGGTGGTGCCTGATAGTATTGTCGTTCTTGATGGTAATTGATCGGAGGTGACACTTGGTAGTGCTGTTGGGGATGTGGAGGAGGAAGTGGTTGATATACATGAGGAGGAGGTTGATGAGGTGAATAATGGTGTTGTGGAGAATAATGTTGTTGTTGTTGTGGTGAATAATGTTGTTGTTGTGGAGAATCATGTTGTTGTGGGTATCCATGTTGTGACCGGTAATGTTGGGGAGGAGGAGGAGGTTGTAAATGCGCTGGTAAATTATGTTGTTGATAATGTTGTTGTTGTTGGTGATGTGGTGAATACTGTTGTTGTTGTTGGTGATGTTGTTGTTGTGGTTGATTATGATGTGATACAAATTGTTGGATATAATGTTGGACCATTTGTTGATGTTGTGAAGATCCATGTAAATAGTTGTAATGGTATACGTTTTGTGGTGGAGGACTGTAATTACTACTTGGAGAGTATGGTGACTCGTCGACAACCTGCTCATCCAATTCTTTTGGGAATGGTAAAAAGTCGCTATTATGATCATACTTTTTTAACAATTGCCTACTATTACTATTCTTATTATTATTATTATTGTTATTGGTATCATCTCCATCATTGGAACTACTACTTAATGTATTTGAACTTCTATTTGGATTCTTTTTAATAATATCAAATGTTGATACAGATTTTATAGGCTGTGGAGTAGTATCATCTGTTATTCCATTTTCAGTTTCATTGTCGTCTTGGTCTCTTTCTCTTTCTCTTGGTTTGACCTCTTGGTTACCATTACTCGAACTACTACTACTACTACTATTCATTTTCTCTTCTAAATTGTCTAATCTTTCTTTTAGTCGATTTAAACTATCATCTCCAGCAGTCGATGCTTTAAAGTATCTTCCTGCTGGTAATGGTTTTTGTTCCATGAATATTCTTCTATTTCTTCTGATTCTTCTATGATCAACCGGCTAATTATAACAATATCCTTGTTAGTTCAAATCAATTGATTCCAATACTTTTTGTTTCTATTCTCTACATACATATTGACACTCGGATACGCTATGACCAGTTTGTGAACAATTAAAACAAGTTCCACCAAATTTTTTCTCCTTTTCATCCCTATTGATCGATAGATTGTATTAGTAATGAATATACCTTTCTTTTTTGATGTACAACAATTGTATTTAACATACTCATCTTCAACCAAACATTTTCTATCTTTTTCATAGTTTGGTAGTTTGCCAAAACTATAAGGTATGGAAGTTGTTGCATGAGCCAATTTTGGAACACCCAATCTTGATTGAACAAATAAATCGTCGTAATAGAATATCAATGGATTATGATGTTGTTTTGAATCTTGTTGATCGTCGTCATCGTCGTCGTCGTCTTGTTCTCCATCTTCTTTCTTGTATCTACCCATAGATTGATCTCTTTTCCTCTTATCAGTTGCTATTCGTTCATGACTAGGATAGGTTCTATAGTAATCTGATACAAAATTCTCCAAATCTTTTATCTTTTCTCTAAATATATATATCGTAAAGATATTGAAACATTAATGATTTGTTCTCAAACTATATAAATATATATTCTTTTTTTCTTCTCTCTCTCTCTCACATACTCTTGTAAGAATGAATGATTCAATGCAAACATTGGAGTTGCATCACTAAAACATATATTCTTTGATTGAAGTTTACGTTTGAGTTGAATGATGGTTGTTTGAAGTTCAATCACCAGATTATATAGTTGTTTGACAGGATTTACTTTGGTTTGATGATGATCAAATATACTTTCATCGATCTTGTTTATATCATTTTCAGTTATCTCTTCAACCACTTCTTCATCGTCGTTCATAACTCTAACTTCACCAAGTTTCTTGTCATAGTATAATCTAACCTTTTTTCTTTGTATTAGTATTTCATCTTCTAAATTATCACTATTATTATTATTATCATTATTATTGTTGTTGTAATATTTGCTATTATTGTTGTTATTGTTATCGCTACGAGATGATGATTCTGTATTACTAGTCATCATCATTTCGATCAATATGACATAGTGTGTATTATTATTATTATTGTACTTGTTAATCTGATCAGATTTATAAACAAACAAGTGTCAATACAAAGTCTTCTGTTCACCCTTGAAAAATCATTAAACCATTTATTTATTTTTATATTTATTTATTAATAATAATAAAGTATAATAATTAATTAATTTTTATTAGTATTGGTATTCCAATGATTATTATTATTAAATTATTAATAAATAAATAAAAATATTCTTGGGTAAATTAATTGATTTCTGATCATAGTTGATTATTGCCAAACCCATCACTTTAGAAAGTAGGTTGGGTTTTAATTTTATTTTATTAATTTTATTATTTTTAATAAATTGATGTTTGTTAATCGATCCGATATCCCAGGTCAGGTGATGATACTATGATCCTGCTTGTTAGCTTTCTGTCTGCTAAAGAGAAGCTTTTCATACCCATTTATCTTATTAAAAACAATTTTTTATCTCACCCACCTCCACTCTCTCACTCTCATCTCACTCCACTCACGCTTGCTTGCTTGCTCATTAAACAAGATACACACTCACACACAACACCAAGAAAGATAAAGAACAACAAGACAACAAAGAGGAAAAAGGAAAAGAACTGCTGCTGCTGCTGTTATACATAATATAATAACATTTATATATCATAGTTAATACTCGTTTATATTTACATATATTTACATACATATATATATATATATATCTTAAAAAGAAAGAAGAAGGAAAAGAATGGAAATTGACAGTCCACAGCCTGTCAAACCAAAGGTTAGAGTCATTAAAAAGGTTATCAAGAAGAAGCCTTTGTCATCATCCAACAACTCATCACAATCAACTATAACCACTGCTGGTGTCGCTCGAAAGAATGCTCCCTCCTCTTCCTCGACGACTGAACCAATCATTCAAGAGGACGGCGTTATGCCTCCCAACCAAGGACTTGAAAGAAAAAAGGAAGAGTTTAGAAAGCAACTGACCGAAAAGGTCAAGGTTGAAAAGAAGACCTTTGAGATTCAGTCCTATCTTATTGATATCTCTGTTTCTGATGCTGAACTTAAACAATATGTATGTACATAGACCAATAATCGTCAATACTTTATAACTAACAAGTTTTGTTCTTTCAATAGGCAATCTTTTTACAACCAAATCATTATGATGATATAGTATTGGAACGTGCTATATCTAAACTTTGTGGATTTCCAAATTGCAAGAATCAAATCAAACCAGTATGTTTATTCTCATAGAGAGAGATAATCATCAACAGCACTTGCTAACATTCATTATCATTGACTTTTTTTTTTCTTCTAGAATCAAAATACACATAAATATATCATATCAACAAAGGATCAAAAAGTATACGACCAAAGTGAACTATCCAACTATTGTAGTACCGACTGTTTGACAAAATCAAAGTTTTATAGATTTACTCTTGATCCCACACCTGTACATCTTAGAAATATCGACCCTGACACTTTTAGTATCAAACCAGAGGATAATATAATTGAAAATATAGAGTATGTTGATATGTCGTAACGAACCAAACCAATATTAGTAATCTAATCACTCCCTTTTTTTTTTAATTGTAGAAATAATTTAAAGATTGTAGAAAATGAATCAGCGTCCAAGACACCATTAAATATGAAATTTGGTTCAATTAATAGTGATACACCTGTCAATAGTAAAATAGTATTAAACAAGCCGCTAGTACCCATTGCTACTCCTGTTGCTCCTGCTGCTGCTGCTGTTGTTGTTTCTACGCCGCCGCCACCACAGATAACGACGACAAATATAGTAGTAGAAGATGTAGATATGAAAACAACACCAAAAATGACAAAAAGATTTGGTAATGGAGGTAGTAGCGGGTCACTATCATCATTGCCAAAATCGATTATTAGTGACGATGAACATTTGACGGCAGACGATAAATCATTTACCGATGCCATGTCTGATAATATGTCGTTTGGTGGTGAAGACGGCGATGAGGATGACGATGACGGCGCCGATGACTACTTGTCAACTGGTGACGACCAAGAATCAGACTCTGAGCAATCAATCTATTGTTTCTACGAGAAACCAATTACCTCTGTTGGCAAGAAACCAAACCAACCCATATCAAACTATCACTCTGTCTATTCACCACTTTCAGAATGGCGTACCATTGAAACTGAACGATACTTTAAATCCACAAATAACGATCATGAACCCGAAACTACAATCCCACAAACTCCTCAAATCAAACAAGCTTTACATCATTATTTATCTTTATAGTAAGTATAGTATAGTATAGTAGTAGAAACCAAACAAACAAACATTCAACTAACCATCAATTCCATTTCCATTTATTTATTTTGATTTTAGTTATCCTGCAATTTTAAATGATATGAATATACAAGAAACATCATCAAAGGAACATTTAATTGATTTGGTTGATACATTCTCATTGACCAGACCCATACCATCACTTTCAGCGTCACATTGGAAAATGGTTGTATTGGTACTTATTTATTCCCTCACTACAAGATTCGCCTCTCTCAAACAACACTTTGACGCCCACCAACAACGTCTTCAAAGACTACTAAAAGATTTTGGTTTTGACCAATATTATCTAAAGGTATTTGTCGATTTAGTTATCAATGGCTATCAATAATAAAATTAAAAACAATATATTAAACATCTAAAAAAAAAAAGTAAATTATTTAAATATTATTTGAGAAAAAAGTGGAAAACCAACGATTTTGATTTTCTCGCGCCTCTTTTTTTTAGCAGTCACTCTAATTAAAGTACTATAGTTTAAGTAGTTTCAACTCTAATTAAAGTATTATCTATGGCGAAAGCATGTCCTCACTGTGGATGTACAGTATTTGATACATCACATGATGGTACTTTCTGTACTGGTTGCAGTCGTGTATGTAGTTAATAGTTCATAGTTAATAGTAGTAGTAGTAGTTTTCTTTCCCCTACTTTGATTCTAATCATCATCATTCATTCCCTATTACTATTATATAGGTAATAGATGGATCAAATATTGTATCGGAACTTCAATTCTCAGAGACATCAGGGTTGATGGGTACTTTTGTCAATGCACGTGGACAAGTTGGTAGAGGATCATACAGATCGTTGGGTGGTGAATCAAGAGCTCTCTCGACTGAAAATGCGAGAAGAAGAATGCACACTATTGCAGGTCAAGTTGGATTAAAGGATGTTCATATCGATATGGGTGTCAGATTGTACGAAACTGCAATGGATTTTAAATTCACTAAAGGTCGTAGTACTCAAATCGTCTCTGCTACATGTCTCTATACTGTTTGTAGAAGAGAATTAACTCCTCGTATGTCACATCATCAATCTATATTATATTATACATTATATATATTAATCATATCTTTCTTTCTATTTCTTTCTATTTAGATTTATTAATTGATTTTTCAGAAGCAATACAATTAAATGTATTTGTATTGGCTAGTACATTCTTAAAGTTTATTCAAACACTTGGATTTCAATTACCATTGGTAGACCCTGCTTTGTTTATTCAAAGATTTGCAGTTGGATTAGAGTTTGAGCAAAAGACACAAGAGGTTGCCAACACTGCCCTAAAGTTGGTGGCAAGAATGAAAAGAGATTGGATGAGTATTGGTAGACGTCCCTCTGGTATTTGTGGTGCCAGTTTATTTATTGCTGCAAAGATTCATGGTTTCAAGAGAACGGTCAAAGAGATTGTTCAGGTTGTCAAGATTGGTGAAGACACCATTATAAAGAGACTCAAAGAGTTTAAAGATACTCCTTCTGCCGCACTCACCATTGACGAATTTGATGCAATCGATGTCGAGACTGAACATGATCCACCAAGTTTTATCAAAAATAGATTAAAGGAAATAGATGCAGAACAAAAAATCAAATTACAACAAGCAAAGGACGAAGAGAAAAGAATGGAATGGAGTACAAGAGACACACTATTTGATTTGGATTTGGAAACCTATGATACAAAAGCAAAAGAAGATTTGAAAAAAGGTTTAGAATTAATTAAAGGAAAGGATACTGAAGATGAAGATGATGAAGAGGAGGAAGAAGAAGAAGAAGAGGAAGAGGTAAAAGAGAAAACAAAAGGAAAAAGAAAAAAGAAAGTTCAAAAGGAGAAACCAAAAAAGAAAAAGAAAAAAACTAGAGCTGAAGAAGAAGAGGAAAAGGAAGAATTGGAAAAACAAAAGGAATTGGAAGAAAAGGAAAAGGAAGATGGAGACAAAGAGGAAAAAGAAGATGGTGACAAGGAGAAAGAGTCAAGTGAGAAAAAGGATGGTGATGAAGAAATTAGTGGTACTATTGAACCAAGTCAAGATAAAGATAAAGAAAAAGATAAAGAGGAAAAGGTTGAAAAAGAATTACCTACTATTGAAGAAGAAGATGAAGAAGAAGAGGAAAAAGAAAAAAGTAAACCAAAGAAAAAGGTAGCAAAAAAGGTAGCAAAAATGAAAGCAACCAAAAAAGATGTAAATAACAACAATAACACTATCATTATCGATCCAATTGAAGATGATATTAGTAACGTTTTAAAAGAAAATAATTTGGAAAATGTTTCCATTCATAATCTATCTCAAAGTATGTACTATATCAAAATATTCCCTATAGTTTGTTATTATTAATATTTTTCTTTTAGTTCCAACTACACTTTCACAATCATATTTAAAGATGTTACAAGAAAGAGCAAGAGAAGATTATGACATGAATGCACCATTACCAGGTTTAGATGAAGTAATCGATGACTATCCAGTTCTTGAGGGTACCACTAGTACTCAACCAGAACAACCAATCAACCCAGAAGTTTTTGAACCAACTGCCACTTTGGATGATTTAGAAGATGATGAACTTGATCTCTATATTGAAAGAAATCAATCAGTTGTATGTAGTAGTAATTGAGATTAAGATTAATACTCATCTAATTTAATCTAATCATTCTTTTTCTCCAGAGAAATGCAAAGGAATTAATTTGGACAGAATTAAACAAGGAATGGATTGAAAAGAATGCAGCAAGAGAAAAGGAAGAAGAAGAAGCTAGAGCAATGGGTAGACCCATTAGAAAGAGAGCAAAGAAACAAACAGCTGCTTCTGCTGCCGAGGCAATGGCAGAGGCACTTAGAAAGAGAGTTAAAGATCAAAGAATTCAGAATTTGATTAATAATTTGGTAGGCGTCCCTGAACCAAAACAAGAAGAGGCTAGACCTAGAATGCAACAAAAGAAACCAACTCCTGCTGCAAACGATCAAGACGATGAAGATGAAGAAGAAGAAGATGACGATGATGATGGTCCCGAGAAACAACCCGCTTCAATGGCTTCTCTTCTCGGTCAACAACAATACAATGAATATGATGACTATGAAGATTACTATTAAAGATGGTGATGAAACCCGAAATATATATTAAATATGAATGTTTAATAAATTGTATATATATCAATCAACAAATATCATTAACACTATTGTGTATGACACAAACCTTTTTGAAATTCGTGAGACGAGTGGACGGGCGAAAATTTAGTTGGCTTAAAATTGAATTTAACGAAAAATCTAATTTTTTGGCACTCACTTGACGAGTGAGGCTATCCACGACGAAAGGAGCGTTAACAGCAACAGTACTCAATATCCCTGCAGTATCAGTAAGGTGTGTATCTGTGTAGCTATGTAGTTTTATACTATAAACCTATAATGTAGAAATATATAAAGAGACATATGTAATCTAACATTCTCCCTTCCTCCTATACCAATCATACGTCGTATCAATCTTCATTATTACCTATCATCATTTATCTTATCATTTACAGCCCACAATGCCTACCCCAATTGTCAGATCAAAGATCATCAAGAAGAAGACCACCCGTTTCTTCCGTTTCCAATCTGATCTCTTCAACAGAGTCGCCGTAAGTGTTTAGCAATACAAACAGATAAGAACAGGAAACGCGTGTCTAACATTCAATCACACCACTTCATTATCATCATTCAAATAATAATAGGGAAACTGGAGAAAGCCAAGAGGTATTGATAACAGAGTCAGAAGAAGATTCTCAGGTGCCGCAAGAATGCCAGATGCTGGTTACGGATCAAACAGAAAGACCAGAGACGTCGATCCAAACGGTTTCAAGCGTTTCGTCGTCAGAAACGTTGAAGAGTTGGAAGTCCTTCTCATGCAAAACAGAAGATACGCTGCTGAAATCTTCCACGCTTGTTCTGCCAAGACCCGTAAGGCTATCGTCGAAAGAGCTCGTGAACTCGATATCAAGGTTACCAATGCCAACGGTAGATTGAGAAGCCAAGAAAGAGAGTAAATTGAATAAAACTCGAGTTTTTACAAATATACACATAAATTGTAGCAATCTTAAAACAGCCAATGGAAGATGAAACTATAGAGATAAATCTAGATAATCAATCTTTTACATACTATATCTTATTTCATTTCATTCATATTTTTTTTTTCAAACACTAAGATCGATTGATGGATACATTTATTTATTTATTGTTATATAAACAACAATTATTTAAAAAGTTGTAAAGAGTATTTGTTCTAAGTGCTGAATGCAGGTGAAATGGTACAACCACCTTGATAACTTCATCTTCCTCTTTTTCTCTTTCTTTACTATATTGTTCAAATGTTTCCATTACAATCTCTCTCATAAATTTAATTGTTGCCTAAATAAATAAATAAAGATTAATCTTTGAGTTTTAATAATAAAATATAATTTAATTTACATACCATATATAACATTTCTTCAGCACCAAAAGATTGATCTTCCAATTTAATATTGATCATCTTTGTAATATTTCGAATAAAATCGATTGGAAAGGTGGATGGGTTTGAAAAGGTTTGTTGGTTGAGGAGTGTCATTGGACTGACAGCATCATCCCTTGGTTGTTTAGAATCTGGATCAAAGTTTTCTCCATATGAAATCTTGACCTGTGGGAATGAGCTGTTTAGTGTTGTATAGGAAGAGACAATGGCATTTAGACCACATTGTCTTTGTTTGGCATCAAATGTATCTGGTTGATGTCCACATCCACAATATTTACAATAGAACAGTGGATAGATACCAAGTGTCTTTTTAACTGTAGTAGTTGGTACAATTGCTGTTTGATTATTATATTGATGATGATGATGAAGTGTATTATTTTGATAATTATTATTATAATTATTATTATAATTATTATTGATACCAGAGGAAGAAGGTAATACTGTTGATGAGTTGAATGGTACAAGTTCATTATTGTTATTGATAGTAGTTCCTCCACCTGTTGTAGTTGAAGTTGTTGTTATTGTTGAAAAAGGAGTTGCAGCAGTTGTTGGTATTGTATGATTATTTTGATTATAAGAAGAACCTGATAAGGGAGCTAAAATTGGATCTTTTGCCATTGCAGATGAAGGAGAAAATAAAGATAATGTCCATTCTGGTAGGACAATAGGTGCATGTTGTTCTTGGGGAACATGTTCCTTTTCCTTTTTGATTTTTGCTTTGGCAGCAGCTTTTGCTTTTGCAGCAGCAGCTCTTGCTTCGGCGATTGCCTTTTTCTCTGCGGCTTCCTTTGCTTCCTTGTCTGCTTTGGCTTTTGCTTCTGCCTCTTCTTTTTTCTTTTTCTCCTCTTCTTTTCTTCGCTTTTCCTCCTCGTCTTCAGTGATACCACCAGTTTCTGGTAGCTCCTCTGTTCCATCTTTTTTGTTGCCACCATTTTCATTGTCGATATCATCAGTCATACTAGTATCACCATCTCCATCAATCTTTTTATCCTTTTTACTCAGTGTTCGCAATCCTTTAATAATAAGTAATTCTGCCTTTTGTTGATTTGTCAATGGTGTCAATTCATGTTCTCTACACCATCTCTTGATTTCTATAGTCTTGAATTTTGTTCCAAATTTCAAATTTAATAATTTACCAATAAATTTTGATCTCCTAAACTAATAAATAAATAAATATTAATAAAAAGAGATAGATATTGTTTTTTTGATTGATTTCATACTTCTGTTAATCTTTGTTTTCCTTCATTCCATTTCATCCATTCTGTTCTTGTTGTTGCTTTACGATACAATTCTTTTTCTTCAATAGTAGTAGTAGTAGTAGTAGTGGAAGATGAGGGGGTTGTTGTCGTTGAATCCTTTTCCTTTTCCTTTTCCTTTTCCTTTTCCTTTTCCTTTTCTTTTTCTTTTTCTTTTTCCTTTTCTTTTTCTTTTTCATCTGGTATAACGATTGTATATTTTTTAGCCAGTGTTGTTAAATATTGAGTTACTATTGGTGATTTTAAAGTTAGATCTTCTGGTTTGATGATTGGTTCTGGAGGAGGTTTTAATTTTTCTCTTTGTTTTTCAGCTTCTTTTTCCTTTTCCATTTCCTTTACATCGAAAAAGAGTCTATCTAGATCAATATCAATTGCAGTTTCACCACCCAGTGTAATGACATCTGGTTGAACTGGCAGCTGATTTAATTTTAGATTGTGAATAATATCGATTGGTTTGTTTCGATTGTCGTGAAAAAATAATTTGATTCTAATTGGAAATTCTCCCCATCCCCATCGAGTAAGGTGAAATGGTGGATGTTCAATATCAATTGTATCATTTGGTGCATAATCATGATGAAGAAAAAATCTAATCTTTTTTATAAATGTTGAAATATCATCCTATGCAAAAGAAATAAAAAGTAAATGTTAATATATGATAGAAATAACTTTCTACTACTACTACTATTACTTACACCATCAATACCTCTAACATAAACCATCCATTTATGAGTATGTCCAGTTGATTTTTGATTTGGTGGTAATTGCATGCAAGTGTTACCAGCAATGATTCTCTTTCTGATATAGAATCTTGAAGGTGATTCGTCGATTTTTGGATGTACAGGTCTAGATGCGCTATCTATATTCATTGGATCTAATAATACACTATCACTAACCAATGATGTAGTGATAGTTGGTGATGTTGTTGTCGTCGTTGTTGTTGGTGATGTAGTTGGAGTCGTCATATTTACAGTTGTTCCACCAATATTATTATTATTATTATTATTATTGATAGTTTCTACATTTTCTTTTGATTGAGCAACAGTAGCAATGAATTCCTTTATCGATGCCGATTGAAAAGTTCCAAGTTTTTGTTGGAATTGAGGAGGAACATCGCTTTCATTCATTTCTTTGCCACCACAAATCTCTGCTGCCTCTTCAATACTGGCAAGAGTCAGCTTGTGTCTAATTCTACAATGATTTAAAAATCCAGTAGAGTTTACAAATTCCTGTCTTCCGCATGATGGACAGGTTAGCAATACATATTTTCCATTCAACTTTTTGTAATACAATTTAGTTTCAATGGTTGCTGGTGGTGGAGGTAGTGGAATTGATGTTATTGGCATTGTAAATGAAGATCCAGAAGAAGATCCAGATCCATCAGTTGTCGTCGACGACGATGATGGTTTATGTTTGGTTGATGTTTTTGTTGCTTGTGAAGAAGAGGAGGTCGTAGTCGTCGTCGTAGAAGTAGAGGAACCAGTTGATTTTGTCGACGATAAAGATTTATCCTTTTTAGAAGAAGGAGAAGGAGGATGATCCAAAAGTATAGTTGATCTTTGTGTTTTTTGTTTAGAGGTTCGAGATGCCTTCATTTGATTCAACATTTCTTTTACTTTAAGTATTCTCGTATCAATCTCTACCAACTCTGTCTCTTTAGTTTTAATCTCTTGAGGGAATTCTCTTTCAAATATCGATTTTAATTTCTTTATCAATACTTGTTTATCTATAAAACAAAACAAAAGTAAGTAAGGTATATTTGATTTGTCGAATCTTTTCTCTTTTCTTCTTCTTCTTTCTTTACCTTGTTCATCATTTATAATCAACTTTCTCTTTAATTTTGAAAGAGAATCACCAAATAGTGAAAATGCACTTGATGGTTGTGATGATATTATACTATTTACATTATTATTATTATTATTATTATTATTAAAAGATTCTATTGTTTCATTGATACGTTGATCAAATTTACTTTCAAGTTCTTTGATGTGCAGTTCAAGTAAAGTTTGATACTTTTGATTCAACTTGTCTATTTGTATTTGATGAAGTGCTAGTAATTGATCTGTGATCAAATTCATTGTTTGATCATTTAATTGTATATTGCCGTTACTATAACTATTACTATTACTATTAGTTGTTGTTGTCGTTGTAGTCGTCGTCGATTCATCTTGATCATCAAAGATGCTATTACTTTTATTATTATTATTTACATTGTTTAAGGTGTTGTTATTGATTGTATTATCTTCTTTCTGACCATTGTTCATTATGCTTATTAATATCTATCTATCTATCAAATTTGAACAAACTAATGATACAAATATGTGAAGTTTCAGATGAGTCGTTGGAGAAAAAAAACAAACAAGGGCGGGAGTTTTTGAATAATAATTAAATTATTATCTTTGTACTTTTAGAATCAACTACATGAATATTATTATTATTATGTAAATAAATAAATATAATAATGAAGGGGATTTATGATATTTTGGGTTGAGGGGACTAATACTACTACTTTATACTTTATACTTTTATTTTATATAAATCCATACTTGGATGTGAAATTTTATGCGATGAGGGCAAGGACAAGGGCAATCAAACCCAAGAATGGAGCGGCAATGGAGGCACCGGTACCAGTGGTGGTTTCACCAGTGGTGGTGTTACCGGTCCCAGTAGAGTTACCAGTTGGAGTTCCAGTTCCGGTAGAGTTACCAGTGGTGGTGTTTTGGGCAGCAGCAAAGGCAAAGAGGGCAAAGAGAGCAAAGATAATAAGCTTGGCGTTCATTCTAGAGATATTAAAAAGTAAAAAATAAATAAATTAAAAAAAGAATTAGAATTTGAAATATATTTTTAAAACATAAAGATAAAGAAGAAGAAGAAGAGAGATAAAGACTTTTAAACATACTTTAGATGATATATTTTTAATTAATGTTGATTTGTATGATTATTTACAAACCAAACCTAGGTCCTTTTATAGGTAGTGATTAGAGGGTTTCTCAAAACAAAAGAATAAAATTTATTATTTAATATTTTATTGTTTTTTATTAAACCCATCGATTGATTGCCTTGTACGAAAATATTGGCCATCCACAATCCCCAACCACCCATGGGTATACCCAACCAGTATTCGGACACTCTTCAATATCGATTTGTCGGTGGAATAAGGTACAATTGGTGCCAATTGCAAAAAATATCTTCAATTGCGAGTGAATAAGAGCTCATCTAACGATTTTAAAATGTCTCCCCAATACTGTCTGGATCATTTAGTTTCCCATTCTTTTGAAACCTTAGATTCTGATGGCCATCATATTTTTATAACCACCTCGGGAACCACTTCCAGAGTCGGACGATTCTATTCTAAAAAAAAAATCTGTAATGGTTCTCTAGTTAGAGTTAGAGTTCCTAAAAGGTGTGTCACACATCAAAACTAATCAAATAGATACACGATATTAATAAACTGATTTTAATTTAAATTAAATCATTTTATTCAATTTATTTCATAATTTATTAAATCATAGTATTATTTAATTTTCCAATATATTATTTAAAGAAAGAAAAATTAGAAAGTACTTCTTTTTTAATAGGTAGATAGATAATAATTACGATGATCATTCGATAGAAATTGGGATGGCTACCTTGGTGGCAAACGATGGCGAAGTTTTTTTGGTTCCAACGATCAATAGCATTCGTGTGGCCTTGATTTTTTCACTCTTCAGTATTGGCACCAACTTCCCGTTTTTTTGATCTTTTATTATAAAATTTTAATGGTGATCTTTTTGTTTTGCGATTGTTGATGGTTGTTGTTCATTGTCGAGGAGACACTGATTCTTTGCATCATGTGTTGCCATTCTATGCCCCGTTGCGAGTGATCATGATCATTGAGCGAGAGAGAGAGAGAAACCAAGAAGAGAGAATTGATTCTCAAAGAATATTCATTTCCCTTTTAGCACTATTCACACCAACATGTTCACTACTCTGTGCATGTTCACCAAACCCTCGAAATATCCAATCTATCTAACAATCGATCCATTGTATTCAAAGTGATTCATTTAATTGGTTTGTTGGCATGCCTTAAGAAGATATCTTGATAGAATTTTTTTGAACAATAAATAAATGAAAAAGATAAATAATAATGTAATGTAATAATAAAACAACATCGATACAAAGAGATGTGGTAACAACACTACCTACCACAACCACAACCACAAAGTGAACGAGATTTAACCCACCCACCACCAACACCACCACTCGTATAGTCGGTCATTCACGGTTCTTCTTGAATTTTTAAATATTCCTTTTCTTTTTATTTCAGAGTGAGTTGAATCACTCACTACCTACACTAATTTTAATATTATATCATTCATGATACATATATAAAGCTAGTAATAAAAAGATATTTCCAAAAACAAACAATAAAGGGATACAGACAACCAACAATCAACTGTCAGTTTTTTACCCAGGGTTTCTTTAAAACGATAGAATTCTTTTCGAAATTCGTGTCGGGCATGATATACAATAACAAACCTACCCCCGTTTTATTAAGCTCAACAACAACAACAACAACAACAATATTTATTAAAGTCATATAAATCAAGAGAGAGAGATATATAATATATCTACATTTAACCTTTTACCCTCTCTCTTTTGAATATTATAGCTAGTATCTCCCCCCAATATATATATATCACAACAAGAGACAACAGGATATTTTTTGAAGCTTGTTGTTAATCTTTATCTTTCTCTTTCACTTTCTCAGTTCTTCTTCTTCTTCTTCTTCTTCTTATATAGTCGTCGTAATGTTTCAAAGATCTTTAAAGAAACTTATCACTACCTCTGCAAATAGAACCAAACAACTAGAATTCACTTCATCATCATCATCGTCATTAAGTTATACAACAAGAAAGTTTGGTAGTTCTTCTTCTTCTTCTTTTTCTCCCTTTTCATCTTCAAACATAATGATGATGGATTTTAAAGAGGAAGGGGAGATAACAACAATGGGGAATGACTCTTCCTCTTACTCCTCCTCCTCCTCTTCACCAAGTCTTTCAACATTGATGGTAAATTCTACGACTACTGCTACCACTACAACTACTCAACAAACAAGAGAAAGATTCTTGAATACAACAATTGATAGAGATGGTAGTGGTAACAAGACAGTAAACAATCCAAACAACAATACAATTAGAATAACGACGTTTAATATACTGGCACCTTGTTATGTCCGAGACAATTCAAAGTATGATGGTCAATTTGGAAACGATCCAATGAGACGACAAGAACAGATTACACAGATGCTCAAGCAAATCGATACCGATATCATCAATTTGCAAGAGTTTTTTTTTGGTCCAACCTTTCAAACATTCTACGAGGCTCAGTTGGGCGACACCTACAATCCCATCTATCTCCAACGAACCAATCACAAAAAAGATGGTCTTGCCGTCTTTATAAAGAAAACCCTACGAATCAAGAACCGTAAATATATTAAATTTAACGATCAAGGTGATAGAGTTGCTCTATTGTTACACATCATTTCTCCAAATGTAATGAATGAGAATATATAAACATACAATCAATCATACTAACTTTTTTCGTTTATTTCTATATATATATATAGAATGGAGAATTTTTATTATGTAATACACATTTAACATTTCCACATACACCTTTTGATGAGCGAGTGCTCAGACTATCACAAATTAAAATGGTCGATCAAACCATTGAAGCATTTATAAAAGAGTAATTAATATTAGATATAGATAAAATAGATAGAATGTTGTAGTATTAATTAATTAATTAATTATTTTTCTATATATTTTTATTTATTTAGAAATTCATTAAATAATTTACCTGTAGTTGTTTGTGGAGATTTGAATACTCCACTTGAAAACTGCGTTGTTAATCAATACTTGAAAAACAAACATTACATGTCCACTTTTAATTTGGTCAATCCACAACAAAAACATTTTGTTTCACATTGCAATCATTTGGATCAAGAAGTTGGAGTCGATTTCATTTTCCTCAAAGACTCTCAATATTTGGCACCTCCCATTCAAGATTCACAATCCATCTTGGGAATTACTGCTCCTCATCTTTATCCAATCGATTCTTATTTCTTTCCAAGAGATTTAAAGGTTGATGTATGTAATCAAATAAACAAATTTATATATAAATACTCTAAAATTGGTTATATATATTAATTTGTTATATTTTTTTTTATCATTTTCTAGAAATGGCAATCGATGGATGTACCTTTATCCGATCATAGACCACTAACAACCACTTTTACTTTTTTAAACAAGAATAATATTAATAACTAACTTATAATAATAATAATAATAATACTCATCATTTATAGTACCGAGATATATATAAATATATAAATTGTAATATTCCAGAATAATAATAATAATAATTAATAATAATTAATAATCAATAATAATTGAATAAACCAACATTATTTATAACAACATGTTTTATATAAAGAAAATAAACAAAACATACATTTAGGCATAAAATACAAAAATTATTAAATGATTATCTTTCGAGATTCATGAGCACAAGCTACTATCTTTTTCTAGCGACCTATGACTCGGCTCGATTGTTTTGCGATCATGATCCCCTGATCAAATGATACCTATCAGATGATACCTATCGCATGATACCCTGATCAAATGATACCCGATCACATGATCAAATGATACCCTGATCAAATGATACCCTGATCTTATGACATCGATCAAATGATACCCTATCACTTGATGACTGAACTATAAATATCTCCAATGAGTGACCTATAACCTGTCATGTGCTATAAATAGACGGGAGGACAAACGATACAGGTGGCTGACCGACTGACCTAAACTAAAAAAAACGACAACAAAAGCCCATAAGTATTTAGCCGACCATTTTTGCCATCAAAGAGTCGTGCTCATAGTAAAATTTCATTCAATTGCAAAACAATCGAGCCGAGTCATAGGTCGCTAGAAAAAGATAGTAGCTTGTGCTCATGAATCTCGAAAGATAAAAGTTGGTGATGTGATTGCATTTTATTTGATAGAAATTAATTCTATTGATTGACAGAATCATTTTCCTACATTTCTCTAAATCTTATAAATTTTAATTCAAAAACAAAACAAATCTAAAATAATATTATTGATGGTATCAATCATATGACAATCGTAAAAATACTTCTATAGTTTTAAGGGGTATACAAAATACAGTTTATTATAAATGATCCTTCAGGTCAGATGATCATGATGATGACATTAGGATCATTTTAAATATAGAATTATAACAATTAAAATAACCACCTTCTAAATATTTGTTACTTAAAACAATTATGTGGTTGTGGTGGTGTTGGCTAGAATTGGAATTGTCTTGTGTTGTTGATTTATCTTTATCTCTTCTGATATAAAAGGTTAAATCCTTTGTTGGTATGGTGACTCTATCTGCTTGTGACAAAAGATCGACATTATTAAATGAAATGTTGAGGATACTACTACTACTATTATTATTATTATTTTTAATATTTAAATCAATTTCAAAATGATATTTTTGATTTGAAATATAACGAGTGATGATGAGTGTCTTGAGGAAAGGAGGAAGAAGACAAGTATCAATGTTTTTGTGAAAGTATTCATCCAACTGTAGGTATTTAAGGTTTGGTGGAAGCATTGGTATCCAAGACAAAAGAGGGAGACTGATAATGGATTGACCAAGAATGAGACGTTTGAGGTTGGTTGGGAGGAACCCCTTGTAAAAGGGGATATCGTATCGAGATCCAAACTCGAGATGGACAAGTGTTGATGGAAGTACATTGGGGTGGATGAGGCTATGAAAGTGGTTGCCAAAGACGAGGTGTGTGAGACCTGGTGGGAGGGGGTGTTGGAGGTCGCAGTTGTAGAGTCGTCCAAGAGTGAGATGTGTGAGTGTTTTGGGAAGATAATCGAGTGGGATGGGATGGGAATAGTCATCAAACAATTCAAGACGGGTGAGATTAGGTGGAAGGATAGGAGGTGGTTGATTGTGTTGGACTACCAACACTAAATGACAAAGTGACTCGAATTGTGCCAATGATGGTTTGGCAGTAGTAGTGGTATCGCCGCCTTCACCCACAACCATTGGTAAATGGAGTATATTTCCAATATCCAAATGTGTAAGTGTATGAGGGATGGCATTGCAAAGGTCAGCATTACAATATCCAGAATACCCAAATGACAGTGATTGCAGATGTTCACACTCGGTGAGTTTGACCGATGAACATTGGTATCCGTCACCAAGACACAGTTGCTTGAGTGATTTGGGTAGATCCTCACTTAACAACGGATAGTTGAAATAGAAACCAAATGTTAGGTTTGTGATCGAGTCGGGCAACGACCCCTTTTGCAAAGCTTGGTTGTATCTCTTACCAAATACAAGGTGACACAATGTATTGGGTAAAAGACCGGGATAGATTGGATAGTCGAATTGATCGCTCAACTCGAGATGGACGAGTGCTGGCGGCAACGAGTTTGGTGTCAATGGTTCATTGTACTCTCCGCCGATAAAGAGGTGTGTTACATTGACCAGTGTATTGATCTTTAAATGTCCAATAGGATGGTGATCGTTAAACACTACAACCTTTGTTTTCCAAGGTTCCAAGGGTAGTGGCGGTAGAGGTGTGTTTTTGCGTGTAGCAAAACTATTGATGTCCTTGACAGGTGGTCGTCCCGCTGGCACACGATACACAGTCGACTGAATATATTGATGTGAACTAATAAAAGAATGTAAATGAAATGATGTACAATTTAATTTTGATGCATCAATCTTTGAATTCTTCTTCTTCTTCTTCTGATCAATAGTATCCAATCCTCCAAACAATATTAAACTTGATGACTTTGCATACAAGCTCTTGCAACTAGTCAATAAACATAATCTATCTATATCCTCTTTAATAAATTGTATTATATATAATGCAATATATTGGTGATTAAATATATGAATAGTATTATTATTATTTTGTTGGTTATTCATTTATCTTTTTTTGATTTTTTAGTTTTTTTTAAATTAAAAAGAGAAAGATGTTCTATGTGTCTTGTGCACTGCTACTCTTTGTGTACTTATTTATTAAAAGAATGAAAAGAAAAGAAAAGAAAAAGTCATAATTTATAATTAGAGTAATAGAGAGCATTCATAAGCTAAAAACAAAATGTCAATACCCGATTTGGAAGCCATCACCCACACACTTGCCAACCTCCCTTACCTTTGACTCGAGATTATGAAATAATAAGAGGTTTTCATTCGTCCTTTCACACTGTGTCTCTCATCTCTACCTTTTTAATCAATAGATTCAACATCAATCAGTCAATCAACCAATCAGGTACCAATCTCCTTCACTATCTCTCTCTCTCTACTACTTTCTATTCCGATGCGACATTTTGTTTGTTTGTTTATTTATGTTTTCTTTTTGACTGATGCTGATTATTATTAGGCGGTTGTTGTTTGTTACGTGGTTTTCTTTTAGATTTGGAGGAGGATCGTTGTATTGGAGGAGAAGGAGGATGTTCCTTTACATCATCATCTTGTTGTTCATCACCATCATCATCATCTTTTATCACTATTACTTCTTGTTCACCTTCTGCTGCTACAGTTGTTGTTACTGCAGTTACTGGAGGTTTAGCATCATGTGGATCATTTACAACATTATAAATAGAATGTCTTTGTCTAGCTTCTCTCTCCTTTTTTAATCTTTTTTGGATAAACAATCCACAGGCATTACAGACTTTACCATGTGCCTCGGAATTCCTCCATTCTGGTGTGTTGGAGGTCTTGCACAAGCCACATACCTCTGGTCTGGCACTTGGGGGACGTCCTCTTTTCTTTTGTGGTTCCTGCTCTGCTGCTTTGGTGGTTGTTGTAAGTTGGCTCCTTTTCCTTTCTTCCTCTTGTTGGCACATACGAGCAAACTCTTTAAACACTGGAGACTCTTCTTTGGGGGGAATCGGTGGCAATGGAGGCGGCTTGAAATGCTTTCGAGGATTTGGATCGGATTCAAATTTAATGACCCTTGGAGAAGGTGGCACAGAATAGGACGACGAGTCAGAAGATAAAGGAGACTCGGGAGAGAAAGGATTCAAAGAGGTAGACCATACTGGAGTTGAAAAAGGTGTAGATGTTAAAGAACTTGTTGGTGATGGATGATTTTGATGATGATGATGTCTGTTATAGTCAGATGTAGAAGTAGTAGAAGTGGTAGACGTCGATGTGGTACTAGTTGTAGAGGTAGAGGTAGAGGTAGAATTAGATGGAGTAGTACCATACCATGGTCTTGGTGAGGTGGTTGGTGATACTGATGGTCTGGATGAATTTGAATTGTATGGAGAAGTGGTTGTTGGAGATAATGGTGGTGGTGGTGGTAATGATGATTGTGGTGGTGGCGGCGGTCGGTATGGAGAACACAATTGTCCTGTAAGAGACAGAGTAGTTGGGGATGGAGGACAAGATAAAAAGGATGACGATGATTTTGAAAGGCTACTTGGTGACATTGGCAATAGGGGTTGTGGAGTAAAAGGTCGTGGCTGAGGTGGAGTAAAGGGTCTGTTGTTGTTGTTGGAAGCAGATGGTAATGTTGGACTGGTCATTGGAAGAATAGGAGACCAACTTGGTGAAATTCGAGGATTGGATTGGAGCGGAGGCAATAAATAGGACGGCGTCGTCAAATGGAATCTCTCTTGAATCGGAGATCCAGGTGATATAGGCGATAATAAAAGTGTGGCTGATGATGATGATGATGATGGTACATTGGAAGATGATGTTATTGGATTTCCTGGAACAGGTGGAAATTTATTATTACTTTGATCCTAGGTATTTATCGATTAAATAATATTAAATATATTAAAAAATAATACTAATAATTAATAATTAAAATATCAACATACATTTAAAGATGAATTATTATTATTATTGCTTTGATTCATTTCTGGGACCAAATCCATCTTGTTGTTGGAATTTTTACCAACAACAATATTTGGGAGTTTTAATGTTGTAAGTTTAGCTAAATCTAAAGATTTCTCTTGGATCTTTTAGATAGAAAAAAAAAAATAATTAATCATTGATCCTTTTTTTAAAAATTAATTTATTTTTTAGATCAAAAAATACATACAATCCATTTCGATTCTAGAATATCAGTAGAATTATTTAATGTAGGGTTATTATTATTATTATATCTAAATGACTACATGAATATGGACAAAAGGGATTGCAAGTTAGTTTTAAAGGTTTAAAAAAAAAAAAAAAAAGAATGGAATCATGGAGTGATTAGGGGCTGGAAGGGGGTGGATCATGAATCGAAAGTCTTTTTTTTTTTTTTTTTGTTTAATTCTTATTTTACCTTGTCCCAAACTTTTGGTCCATCATTTAGATAGAATGGATTCACCTTTAGATGTTGATGATATGGATTGACATTATCAACAAAATCAAAAGGGTGATCCAACAGTTGAAGACGATGAGGATGATGGACAAGTTTAAATTCTGCTGAAATCTGCTGATTCTGCTGGCAGAAATCTGCTGGATTGGTTAATAATATAGACACCATATTAACAAATATTAACACACACAAATGAATATAAAATTGAACAACAATGACAAAAGTAGGAGAAATAGATAGAGATGGATCAAATTTCCAGGAAATCTATTTTTTTTGGTTGGTGTTTGTAGCAACGAGCAATCAGCAGATTCTCTTCACTGGCTCATCTTTTGACCTCCTCTTTCTCCTTTTAGGGGTTGTTTTTTTGGTTTGATGATTGATATTGATTGAAACAAAAGAGAGAATGGGGGGTTTACGATAGAGTTTGGTAATGGTGGTGTGTGATAAACTATGAACAAACCCTATTCTCCATTATGTTTCTGTTATAACAATCGATTGACACTTTATAAAAAAAAAAAAAAAAAGATTAAACCACTGCTGATGTGTGATGTCTGGTTCTTCTCAATCTCTGCCATTCGCTCGCATTATACTGTTTTTTTCATCATCAGATGTCTGCCATTTTGTGCACCAACAGATTTGGCTATTGAAGAAATTGCATCAATAATATTGATAATAAACATTGTGTTATGGAAATGTGTCTGTGTTTTAAAAAGCATAGTGGATGGTGTGAAATAATAATGGAATGGTCCTCCCTCCTCTCTTCAATCTATGCAACTTACATATATTCTATTCTACTATTCTACTTGTCAATGGGTAATCTATATTTTGTAAGCTTTTATATTCTCTCTATCTTTGCTCTCTTGATATATTCTACCTTTTTATCAAAAGTGGTACTAATTAGTTAGACTTGGACAATTAGATATATAAATCAGTAAAAGAGAGATGGAGAGAGAGTTTAAACTGCAGTGGTGGAAGAAATGGAAGAAGAAGAAAGGTTGGTGATGGGTGGTGATACATTATTCAATTACTGTACTGGATCAGACAGATTTCTATCTCTATCTGTTATAGATAGCCAAACGTTTCACAAATAGATGGCAGGAGTAGCAGAACTGAAACCATTTGATCGATCCTTTTTTGGTAACCTTTTTTTTTTTTTTGTATGTGCGTGACACTACTTGAATAGCAACCAACCATTTCAATGGCATTGAATCGATTCGAATTGAATAGTGATCACTTTTTCTTTATACTCTTTCAAGCTAGAGGTTTCTCAATGAACAGTCGTTCACCCCAGTAATCCGTCCGTCCACATGAATGAGAATCTCTCCATCTAGGTAGTAGGTAGCCAGACCGACCGCCGCTCAATGATCAACGGTCCGTCTTCTTTTTTCCCAAATATATTGATAAATTGTTCGGAATTTAATAATAGAATAGAAAGTAAAATTTTCCAGCAACGAGGAGGAACTGGCTACATAAATTTATTTTTTTAGCTAGTTTAAATTTCCATCGATATGTTTGCAGGTCGACAATATGTATCTGCCATACATTACCACTCTATATTGTTATTTCCCCAAACATTTCTACAAGTAAATATAACATTATTATTTAAACCCACCACACCTCCCACATCCTCATCAATATTTATATATCTGTGGTGGGTGGGTACGTAATTAAAGTTGATCAATTCGTATGGATAAGCTAATAATGATATAAACCGCCGTTTTCGTAGTACTCACTACTCTCTCTCAATCTCGCACACCACACTTCAACTCTATCCAAATAAAAATAACAATGTTGTACATCTTAGTGTCTAAACACTTGATGAATCATTTCATTCAAATAAACAATCCTGTAGCTAATGGATGATGATTTAAAAGAATGGATGTATTGTTTTTTACTATTTATAGTAATATTTTCAATCACCATTTTAGAGGTTATAAGAGTGTTTTCCTGTTTTATTTGAGTGATCATCATTCCAACAACCACTTACTTTTTTATTTATATCTGTTGAGAAAAACAATCATATCAAATCAAATCAAATCAAATCAAAAAAAACATAATGGATTTAATAATGGAAAGATTCTTCAAGTTCCACTGTTGTTGTTGTTGTTGACTTGTTTATTTAGGAAATTCTTTGGTTTGTTTGTATTTAATATAAACATTGAATAGAAGAATTGATCGATGGTTTAATTGGTTCCATTGGTGGTGATTGCGATGATAAGGATTGGGCTCTTTCTTGTTTGTTTTTTTTCCAAATTTGAAGTCCGCATGCATTACAGACATACTCTCCATTGGGTGCCTTTCTCCATTCGGGTGTCGACGTTACAGAACATTTGGCACAACATTCTGGTTTCGATAAAGGTGGTCTACCTCTTTTTTTAGCTGGTATCATCACTGTATTTTGTGAAAATATTATCATTGATTCTTCGATATCCTTTTGGTAGTCGGAAAAAGGTGAAAGTGGAGATCGAGGAGGTGGGAGTGGTAGGGAATAATTGGGACTATCCACCTTCATTGGGAATGGTGAATGTCTTTGTACAAATGAATTTCCAACAGATGGTTCTGACATTTTATCGGCTTTTAATGGATCGTTTTGTGATTGAACTTTAATCTCTGTCAAAAAGGATTGGAAATCTGGTAAACGGATGTCTTCAACTGTCTGTTGATTTTCTCTCGCATGGAATGGTCCCATATTAACATCTAATCTTGGTAATGGATAGTTTAATTGTACCATTTTAAATGGAGGTGAGGAAGAGGAGGCGGAGGAGGAGTTTATTAAATGTTGCATGATTTAGGAAATGAACAAACAAGAAGAACCCTTTTTAATCAATGAAATGAATCAATGATTTAAGATAATTAATTAATTAAATTATTTCAAATTGGAATGAAATAAATAATTATTTGTTAAATGAATCATCTTTGATTGATTAAGATAAACCAACCATACTGTACAATAGAACAACAAAAAAAAATATGTATATAATTCATTTAAATTCATTTAGTGGTTGCAATCAAGAATTAAAGTAAATTTGATAGAAAAATATGGCGATGGATGGTAAGATGGTGGGTGGTAGTGGTAAGAAAAAAGTCAATTCAGATCACATTGCATCATACCAGTACTACTATATATCTCTCTGGGTGATTCATATTTTTACGACCCACTGTTAAACCATTGTTGTTTCCATCGTCAAAATCAAGTAGAAGAAGAAGAAGAAGAAGTCAGGTGTATGGGGGTAATATTAGTGAGAAACACACTGATACACAACAATGGTGTCTAAAAAAGATACACTGCAGATGTGTACACATATCAGGTGGGGGGTATACAGAGCTATATATTATTTATTTTATTATTTATTATTTTGATTTATGGAAATAGAGAAGTAGTTGAAGAAAAACTATCGTCGACTTTATGTGTGTAGTGTAATGTAGAGTGGCAGTTATATTTAGTATTATTTTTGGGAGATCGTCTGATCGTCGTAGGTGGTTTCATATTTAATATATAAGTTTTGTTAAATGTTGAACAAACTCCCCATCTAAAAGTATTATTATTTTTGGGTGGTTTGTACAAATGAAATGAATGGATGATGACAATGATTGTAAATTGAAATAAATAAATAAATGTATGCAAGATAAATGAGGAAGAGGATGAAGAAGAATTGATTGGCAAAGTTATAAGGTTATGTGTGATTTGATTTTCTGGGTGGTTATTACTAATGTTACAAAATAAATAAATAAATAAATAAATAATTATATTTCATATCTGGATTGATTTGTTTCTTCACCACTTGTATCATCATCATCATCATAGTCATCGTCATTATTATTATTATTATTATTATTATCTTGGTCATTGTTGGGTAGACATTTTTTATCAATTAGATTATTATCATCATCCGCTAGTCTTCATTGATTATTGCTGACTATTCTCTTTTGCTTTTCAAAAAAACCAATGATTTCCTTGTGGTAGAGAATCGACATGGCAACAAGACCAACAAAAACAGCTGCACCAATGACAATCCCTGCAATGGCACCAGCACTGAGCATAGCCTTTTCAGAGACACAGTCAAAAGAGACAGTAAGCGAAAAACTATCAAATGCCGATCGCACGTTGCAATCACTATCGATACTGTATCCTTGGTAGGTGGAAATATCTCCATTCTCCACATTGATGATGTTTTCTTCATCATATTGCATTGCTTCAACAGTTGTATTACCTTGAAGTTGTTCATAATTAACAACTACAATATCATTTGATCCACTTAACAAATTTCTATTAATCATTAAAATAACTCTAGTAGAATTTAATATTAATTTGTTTACATTTACTAGTTAAAATGAAATTGAATTGATTAGGATACATTTAAATGTAATCTTTTCTTTCTTTTCTTTCTATCTATCTAATTTTTAGCTTACAAATATTAGTTGCATTATTAATATCATTTAAATAAAATACCAAAGTTCCATTGGTACTTGATAATTGTCCATTGTTGTTCATTTCCAATTTGTTGAATGGTGAGAATTTAATCTCACCACCTTGGTTGGTGAATGTTGTATTTTGCAAGTTACCAGAGACGCCTGAAATAACTGAACCGGCAGACACTGTGATGGATGGAGAATCACCACTCATGACAAGAGAAGAGGTTGCTGGATCCATCGCCAAAGTTCCATTCACCTTTATGGTTCCACTCGTCGATGAAAATTGTCCTTTGATTTTGCTTGATCCATTCAATTCGAATACTGATCCAGTGTCTTCCAAATCATTGATATCAAATTGACCATTTGAAGTTATCTTGCTGTTTAACGATTGAATACTACTAGTATCTGTGAATGATAATTTACATGATTGATTAATAATAATCTTGGTTTGTGTTAAATTTAATATTGATGAATTCTAAAAAAAGAGAGAGAAATGATTAATTATATTTATATTTTCATTTTTAAATATTTCTTTTTTTTTAAAAACATACAGCAAAGTGAACAAATGAAGCATTATTAATATTAAAAGAAGATTGAGAGAATACAAAATTGGATGAACCATAAATATTATTTGATAATCCACCAATAATATTAAGTGTTGATAAATACTTGATTCCAACATTTCCATTCTATAGAAAAATAAATAAAATACCAACAAATATTATTATATTAATAAAAGACTATAATATAAACCAACTTGTCTTGACTTTGATATACAAACATTGGCAACTAAATTTTGGATATTAATTGAACTTTGGGTATCAGCACCAACTCTTGAATTCATAATTGATAATTTTGATTGATTGGCATTGAGTGATGATCCTACCAATATTTGAATTTCAGAATCATTCTATTAAATTAAATTGAATAATTAATTAACTTGAATATATATATATTTCTTTTCTTTTCTCTTTTTTTGTTACCTCAACATTAATTGGAACATTTGAATTAAAATTAAAATTTGAATTAACTAAACCAGATAATGTTGATCTACCAAGAATATTCAATGTGGTGGTGGTATCATTAAAGTTGAGTGTAGATGTTTTGAGACCAACCGATGAATTGGTCAACTTGACCAGATTAATAATATTCAAATCACTGTTTGTAATGGTGATTGTACTATTGGTTGAAGAGAAACTTGGAATAGAAGCTTGACTTCTCTTATCAACATTAAATATACGTGCACCTGAAATTAAAAGAAATGAATTCTATACAGAAATAATAAAATAAAATGTAAATATTAAAAAGAAATAATATATATATAAATATAATATATTGTCATACTTGAACATCAACAGAGAATAAAGATGATTGTACATATTGAAGAACACCAGATGATGAATACATATATATTGGAACATTATTACCAATAATATTTAAACTTGATTTGGAAATGGCAAATGTCGCATTATTCTTAAACTCCATTTCATTTTGTGATGTTACATTTGATTGAGCTAAATTTTATAAATGAATCAAAATAATATTAATATTATTGCAAACAAATTGATTGAAAGTGATATGTTTTGAATACATACTAGTTTGAAATAAAGAGTTTTCAAAAAATCTCATTGATCCACTAAACTGTACATTGGTAGTATTGACAGTCATTGTAGAATCTAGCAGTGTAGAAGATGATGATGATCCATAAAGGAATGGTCCAGTCGCGGGGTTGAAATAGACTGTAGAATTGTCAACGTTAATCTCTTGTTGTGCTGTGAGATTTCCATTCATATCGAGTTGTGAATTTCTTGATATTGTCAGAGTAGACACCTGATATTGACCATTGATGAGTACACGTGAATTGGATGTGTTGATATAGACATTGTCAGCTCCCACTGGAACAGACTGCATCGACCACTTGGTTTGATCCGAATACGATCCAGACCCACCATTCCAAACGATTTCTACAGCCCCTAAACCACCAACTGTAAACAGTAGTAAAAACAATAATAATAATAATGTTTTATTTAAAAAAGAAAGGATTTCCATTCTACTGCCTTTGGTACAAAATAAAAAAAAGAAGTTGTGTGTTAGTCATGATCGAGATGCCATCCCATCACATGACTCTAGAGACTTACTTTTTGTTTTGAAAAAGAGAATATATATGTGTGTTCGTTTATAAATAATAATTAATTAATTAATTAGAGATTAATCAATTCAATCGTTGGTTGGTTTGGACTACTCTACTGTACTGTAAGTGTATGTAATCTATCTATCTATCTCTCTCTCTCTCTCTCTCTATTCTGTATTGTTGTTATTAATAACTCTTTAAACAAGTGATGTATGGTTTTGTTGGTTTGGGTTTGTTTGTGGTTGTTTGTATAAATAAAGTTCATGTTCAAACCTACCTACCTATGGAGTGATAGCGAGCACAAGGATGAGGATGATGAGGAGAGTGAGATCTGATGAGGAGGAGGAGGAGGGAGAGACCAGCAAGCGATCAACTCTAAATCAATTTAAAGAGACACTCCTATAGTTGCTTTGCTGCTGCGGTAGCTTTGTCGCTAACCATTGACAATCTTCACACCACCCTTGAACATTGTTGGTACCGATCAATTGGGTTGTTTGAAACAAAGCAACAACAAGCTAAATTTAATCAGCTGATGCTTGGGAGATTGTCATGTTTTTTTTTTAGCCCCACCATCGATCCATCATGACATGGGCCATACACCCCCATCACCTTGGTATGGAATGGGCATCAACCGTCACGACACCCCCTCGTCTCATTGGTCACCAACGATTCAAAACGATGATCCCATCACCTGTCTCTTGGAATCAATCTAAAGTTCGAAGATCTTTGGTAATGAATACATGAAGTGTCGGTTGATATTCTGATGGATTCATTCAAGCCAAACATATAAGCATATGATACCCATACCCCCTACACACATGAACATCAGAATGTCTCACCCTGATTACCCGAATTGATTCATAAAGGTGTGGAGACATGTGATGCGATGTGTTGTTGTTTTCGAGATCAACTAAATCTTTTTATTTATATTTTGGTTTGTGGTTGTTTGGATTGATGATGGGGTAGTAGTCATTGTTGGACTGGTTACTGGGGAATTAATAGTCGTGGTGGTGGTGATGGATGGTGAAGATGAGGATAGGATTCTGGGATGGTTGTTTTGACCATTTGCCGAACTCGGAGGAGGAGAAGGAGAAGCTACCCTTTTTAATGTTGGTGGCGATATTAACAACGATGAAGAACCATTGTACAAATTGGGACCTAGTGGTTGTACTAAACCATTATTATTTTGATTATATTCACTATTATTTGTTGTTGTTGTTGTTGTTGTTGTTATCGTTGTTGGTGGGGTAATAATATTTAAATCCAACAATTTCTTTTGTTTTTTAGAATTATTATTATTATTATTATTATTATTATTATTATTATTATTATTATTATTATTGTTGTCTAATGGCTTTTTAGTTGGTGGTGGTGGTGGTGGAGAGGGTGGATCATTGATGACAATATCAAGACTGTGTTTTTGTTTTGATTCCTTTTCTTTTTTGACTCTTTTCATATGTTGGAGTCCACAAGCATTGCACAGGTCTACACCATTTTCTCCTTTTCTCCATTCCGGTGTCGTTGTCCTTTGGCATAGTGCACAACTCAGTGGTCTTTCTTGAGGTGGTCTACCTCTTTTTTTCTTTGTTGATGGGCTTGGTTTAGCTGGATTTGATTTACCCTTTGTTGTTGTTGATGTACTCGTTGAACTTGTTGTGCTGGTAGTGGTGGTGGTGGTTGTGGTGGTTTGTTGGTCTGAGACATTGTCATCAGTAATAAATTGTGGGGTTGGAGCTCTCGATGATGAACCTGAAGATTCATTGGTACTCTTGGGCATTAATGGACTAGAATTGGTGGCTTTAACTGTTTGACCTCTTTGAGGTATTGATGGTGATGATGATGATTCTGTATTCATTTTGACCAAGGTTGGTGGTGAAATGGAAGGTGGTTGAGATGGTCTTTGTAGAAGAGATACATTTGGAGAAGATATCACAAACATGTTGGGAGGTGAACTAGTTGTAGTAGCAGTATTGGCAGTGGAGGTTGAAGTTTGGGGTTGGGTACGTCCAGATGTAAATGGTGATGAAGGAGTCTTTGTCTTTTTAGTTTTGGTCGATGACGGTGGCGGCGATGTAGAGATGACTGGCATTGGTGGTTGCGTCATTTGATCCATCAACTCATCCATATAGTATTCAAGGATAGATACTATCGAGGTTGTCATTGCCAAAGCATCATCGACAGTTGCCACAAGATCCCCTTTGGTTGGCTTGATGTTTGACTTTAACCTTAACCTTTGAAAATTATCGATCACCTCTATCACTTGTACGGTGTTGGCTTTTACTTGATCGAGAACTTCTCTTTGTCTCATCATGTTGTAAGTGTCTGATCCTGGATCGGGTGGATATCTGACCGATGATGGATATTCCTCCTCCTCCTCCACTTCCGCCTCCTCTACGAAATTCTGGTCCATGTCTATTTCATAAGACTCTTCCACCAAATTGTCAGCCTCTTCAAATACTAGCCTTTTCCGATGGATTGTAGGAGATCGAGGGCGATTCTTTGTAGTATCTGTCTCTACTGGTATTTTGAGTGTGTTTCCATTCATTGGATTCACCAAGTTGTTCCTGTCAATGTCCATCTCGTCTACGCCTCCCCCTCCTCCTCTCTTACTCTTGGTGATAGTGATGTTACTGCTAATCGGATTCATTCATTTATTTATTCATCCTTTAACTTTTAATTCATTTGATACAAGGATTTATAAAAATAATAATACTAATAATAATAATAATAGTAATTATTGGGGTATAATGTTCGGAATGATGAGGTTGGAGGATGTTTGTTATTATCTTTCTGGATTGGATTGGGATTGGGTTTGTCAAACAAACAATTTGTGAAATGAAATGGATCCATTCATTCATCCACATTAAAATGTTGTTTTGTGGGAGGTTGCTGTTCAACAACAAGAAGCGTTGTTGTGTTGCCCAACGATTAGATAATGAAGGGGTTTTTGGTTTGGTTTGTAATAATATAAAATATTTATTTGCGTGCGTGCTCATTTACACATGTGGTGGTAGAGTTTTTTGAAGGTTAGATGCAGGATAAATCGGGAATGGAAAAGAGTAGTGATCACACCCCTCCTCGCAAAATTAAACATATTCTCGCACACACATATAAATATTCATTCACTCGTATATATAATTATAACTAATCAAATCAATTCAATCCTATCAAAATGAAATCGAAATCATTTTCTTTGATATTTTTCCCAACAAGAGGATATCCCTCTAAATTTATTTATTTCTTTGATTTATTATTGAATTATAGGCTCACAATTGATTGTTGTTGTTGCAATAAAGGTAAGAAAAAGGGGTTATCTGCGTTAAACAAATCACCAATAGTGCAAATTGCTTTGAAATTTTTGGATAAAGAATGAGAAGGAGAGGTAGAAGGAGAATTAGAAGAAGAAGAAGAAGAGGAGGGAGAAGAGTAAACTTCATTTTCATCAAGTGTATGTGATGAGTATATACTTTGGAATGGAGAAAATAAATAAATTGATGGTGATGATTGTGATATTGTTATAGGTGGAGATGATGATGATAGTAATGATCTATTATTATTATTATTATTATTATTAATATTATTATTATTATTATTAATATTATTATTATTAATATTATAATTATTTAATTTTGGAGGAATAATAAATGATTTATAAGAAGTTGATTTCTTTTTTGAAAATGAACATTGAATATTGACATTGGAGAGAAAGTTATTGTTGTTGAAAAAATCCATTGCACTTTGAGATGCCATCTCTCCATTTTCAGAATCCTTGAAATGAATGAATCCGTATCCTTCGTAGACACCAGTCTTTGCGTCTCTTGGAATGTTGTAATGTTTGATCTTTCCAAATTGCTGACATTTTTGACAAACCATTTGATGGAATCCCTCGGGTATATTACCGCTGTTTACATCAAATGTGATATGGATACTAGTTCTCTGGTCGCATGAATCGCTCCACTTTACCTTTAGATTTCTTTCACCAAATTTGAATCCATTGAGTTTGGCAAGTGCCTTTTCAGCGTCATACGACTTTGTGTATCGAATGAATCCATAGTTGTTGATAAACACACATTCCTTTGTTTCCAATTCACCAAAATGTGAAAACAATGCCATTACAACACTTCTCTTCATGTTTGGATCAATATTGGTTACATAAAGTGTTGAAATGGGAACTGCCCAAAATACTTTATAATAATTATTTTCTAAAAATGTTCTACATTTAATTGATTCATTTTCTTCCTACAATAAAAAAATAAATATTTATTTAAATAATTAATAAATACAAACAGAGAGATATTAAATAATATATATAATGTATTTACCTGAAATTCTATAAAAGCCAAACAAAAAGATGGATCAATTGGATTTGATTTAAAATTAATGGAAATTGGATTAAACCCTTTAATACTTTCACCAAAATGATAATTTGATTCCCATCTTTGAATTGTTTCAACATATATTACTCCTATTTTAATAAAATAATAAAAAAATAAATTAATTAATTAATAAATAAATAACTAATATTAATAAATAAATAATATTATTTGTTATACTCTAGAATTGTTGATTCCATACTTTTAAAAGCAGGTTTTTTAAATTTATCAATTTCATTATAGATTAAATAATGATCTATAAAGTTTTTGTGTTTTGGTGATATTGATAAAGAGGAAGAGGAAGAGGAGGATAGTTGTGGTTGTTTTTTCTTTGGATTTCCATGATCGGTTGTCATTTTTTTTGTGTTTTGGATGTTTTTGTTGTTGGAGATTAAATAAATATTTATGATTGGATAAATATAAAAAGAAAGTAGGATAAAGTAAAATTGAATGGATGATATCGATCGAGACGTCTTTTTATTTCCACTCTTACTCACTCTTTCATTTGTTATTTTTGTTGCTAACAGTTATTATTGGAGATCTCCAACCACCATACCATTACCACCACCATAAATGAATGCCAACTAGGAACTAGATCTAGTAGTAGTAGTATACGGCTGCCAGGTAACTATAACGATGGTTGCCATTGTTGGTTTGACATTGTACCAATGCCAAATATAGTAAACAATCGAATTCCAACAGATGATAAGATGACTATTCCCCACTCTCTCTCTCTGCCAATCAAACAACAATCCAATCACTTTTAAAAACAATTATTCGTCAACCCCATTCCAACTTTCATTCATTGAGTGGCGGCATTGAACAACACAAAAAGGGGACACGAGAGCAGCGGGTGGGTGATGTGGGGTAGTGGGGCAAACAAACAACACTTTTGTTGGTTATTTTTGGGACACGATAAAGCCTTGATATGATTGATGTTGTATGACGCTGTGAGGGCATCTACACCATCCCATATTAATTATACTAAAGTAGATTAAAGTAATTCCTTTTTAGAACCTCATTAATCTACCTCGAGATGGTCTAAAAATCGTTGATTCGAACCCCCATCAACTTTTACCCTTGCCTTCCTTTTAGAGTTTCCCTTGTCCTTACCCTATTAATAGGTATCTTTATATCTATCCATCTTGTTGTTGTTGTCTCTATTAGTGTAGCAATATTATATATCCCGTTCTCTGAGAACGAATGAATCACCCATGGGTATTGATCGATTCTTTTAAAAAAAATGAATATTAAAAAATTGGTAATCAATGCATGTTGTACATTTAATTAATATTGCCCACAAGTTACTTTCTTAAACCATGTCTGAAAATAGCAACAAAGATAATAATAGTAGTAGTAGTAGTAGTAGTAGGAGTAGTGCTACTGTTGGTGAACATCAAAATGATCAAGATACCGAACCGAAACAAACATCATCATCGTCATCTTCATCATCTCTATTCAAAAAAAAGATAAAGAACAAACCTTCACTACGAAAGAAAGATGGTGATGATGAATCGTCATTAACAAACGATACATCATCAATCGCATCAGAGAATGGAGATGATCAACAACAAGATCTATCAACCATCATAGAGATCACCAAAGAAAGACAAAAGATGAGAGAAAAAGGCAAAGGTATCATTGCAGGTGTATTGGCTGAAGGTCCACACATCAAAGCTCATCTACGTGAACTCGAACATAAATTGGATGATTCTTTTACAATTGCAACTGAAAAGAATGAAACTAATGTACATTTGTATGTGTTGTGAAATAATAATACTATTACTAGTATTATTAGTATTATTTAATCAACTACTTACTTTTTTTTTTTGTTGTTTGTAGAGAAAAGTTTCTTGCAAAAGAGATGGAGAAAAAGAAAATAGAAATTAAACATAAATTAACAGGTGGTTTAATGGGAACTACTGAACATAGAAAAGAAGAAGATGATGAAAATAAACAAACCAAAGATAATAATGCGAATAATACAACAACAAAAATCAAGACAGATGAAGATAGTTTATATGAAACACCAGAACATTTGGCAGTTAAAAAGACAAGAAAAAAAGAAGAGGATAAGACAAATTGGTTGGCTGGTATATCTGAAGTCAGTCTACCAACAAGTTACAAGATTAAAAATATTCAAGAAACTGAAGATGCAAGATCAAAAATTAAAGATTCAAAAAGATCTCATTATCAAAATAATCAAAATAATAATCAACAACAACAAAATAACCATGGACAACAACATAGATTTACAAGACAACCAAACGAAAATAGAAATGAAAAAGCAACAGATGATGAAGTTTATGAAAGATTCAAGAAAAGATTTAGAGGTTAAAAAATAATAATAAATAAATTATTTAAATCCATATATTATGGAATAATATAAATATATATAAAACAAAATCTTTGGTTTATTTTCTAGAGCTTTTCTTTTGTCTTGAAGAGTTTTGAACCTTTTTATGATAAGTTTTCTTTGGAGCAAATTCTGGTTTCTTGTTTTTGTTTTTTTTCTTTTCTGCATTTTTTGAAAGTGGTTTAGTGATACCACCTGTAGTAGTAGTCGTCGCTGTAGTAGTAGTTGATTTACTCTTATTTTCCTTTTCTTCTTGTTTCTTCTTTTTAATTTCCAATTTAATTTCCTTTTCTATTGAATCAAAATCATCCAAATCACCATGGAAACCTCTATTCTTTCTCTTGTTATTTTTCTTCATTTCCAAATAATCTCTATTTACTGTTTCTCTATCTTCTTGTTTAAGTTGTTCTTCATCCTTTACAATTTTTGGTGCTGATTTTCTAACTGGAGTTTTTGTCGTTTCCTCCTCTTCCTCTGATGAATCATCCTCACTATCTTCTTCCTCTTCTTCGTCTTCGTCTTCTTCTTGTTTAACTTCTTGATCTTGATCAGCTCTCATTAAAGCCTCAACTTCATCTTCTGATTCATCGCTGTCATCTTCATTCTCCTCCTCTTTAACTTGCTTTTTTCCTGTAAGATCCTCCATTTTCAAACCACTAATACTTAATATTTTCTTTACCTTTGCTTCTTTTTTCTTTTCTCTCTTTTCTTGTCTAGAAATTATAAATAAAATAAAACAAAAATATTAATAAATATATTTTTCTTTTTTCTTTTTTCTTTTTCTTTTTTTTTTGTATTACTTTTTCTTTGATTCTTTTAATTGTATTAATCTTTTAGCTTCTCTCTTTTTATCAACATATGGAACTTTTTCAATATCCTCTCTGGATACACCACTTGCCCATGTGTCGGGGTTAAAGAATCTGAGTTCTGGCATCTTTGGCATTCTCAAGAGACCGTATCCATGAGCGAGTGAACCAAAATCCAATTTTCTAGTGACAAAGATGTAGCTGCAAGTGTGTTCTTTGTAGGCACGAGCATACGATACAAAGGCAACGATACTACGCTCCATGATCTGACGATTAGAGAGAATAACACGACGCATCTCTTTGGTGTAGTGTTCCAATGCGAGGGTGTCTGGCTTGGGTGTCTCGACCATCGACACCTTTCTGAGACGCATAAACTCGAGGTAATCGTCTTCGGCCTTGGAGAGATAGAGCATGGCGTTACCGGTACGACCCATTCTGGCAGTACGACCAATACGATGAATAAATGTCTTGGGATCTTGTGGAGCGTCGTATTGGATGACCCAATCAACCGATGGGAAATCAATACCTCTACTGACGAGATCAGTGACAAAGATGACACCACTATCCTTGGCCGAGAACTTGTCAAATACAAATTTACGACGTTCATGGGGTACCTTTCCATGCAACGAGAAAATGTCTTTAACACGGTCCTTGAATTGTGACATCTTGGTCATCAAAGATGAAAAGTAATCAACATCGGCACACGTTAAAAAGTAGACAATGATCTTACTATTGTTCATATTCTTGTCCATGAAATCGGCCAACACTCCAAACTTTTCACTTGGTTCCAACATGGTGTATCGGTTCTCAAGTGTCGATGGGATAGCCGATACTTGATTCGTTCCCTTTTGTTGTACTGCTACACTAACTTTTACAGGATTACGCATCCCCATTCTTGCCAATTCTTTTAATTCTGTTGTTTGTGTTGCACTAAATAATCCCTATAATAAATTCAACAAACAAATAAAAGTAAGTATGTATATTTATGTGTATTTATATATATATTTGTGTTTAACATACAGTTCTTCTTTGTTTTGGTAATCTATCTAAAACAGCATTCAAAGCAGTATCAAACCCCATATCTAAAAGTCTGTCGGCTTCATCAAGGATTAACATTTCAAATTCCTTTAGTTTCATGTTACGTTCAACACGACTCAATACATCTTCCAATCTACCAGGTGTTGCAACTATAACATTGCCACCATCTTTGTTGAATTTCTGAACATCTTCGTATACTTCAGTACCACCAATTAATAACAATCGTTTAATATGATCTAATCCATGAACAAATTGTTCTAAAATACCAAATATTTGTACTGCTAATTCTCTAATATATAAAAATATAACAACAATAATGTAAGTAAATTTATCTCTATCTATCTATCGATCTATCTACATGTATAGATATATATTTATATCATACCTAGTTGGAGTAACAATAACAGCCAATACTTGATGTTTTGTCAATTCTTCTGGTTGTTTCTTTAATAGGATTTCAATGATTGGGATGATGAATGACAATGTTTTACCTGAACCTGTACATGCTTCTACCAATACATCTTTGTTTGAAAGGAATAATGGGATGGTGGCCGATTGAACGGGAGTCATTGTATCAAACCCCAACTTTTTAATGATACCAAGTACATGATCTGATATAGTTGGTCTAACTGTACTCCACTTTGCTCCTCCTCCTGTTAAATTCATTCTCTCTCTTTCTCTATTTAACTCTTTTAAAAAAGTAAATACAATCAACACAAAAACACAACAACAAGAGTCTTGTAAACTTTATAAATTGTTTTCGTTCGTTTTTTTATTTTATTTTTTTTAAATCATTTGTAAGTGTTCTGCTTTGGAAGGAGGTGAATCGATTAATCATTCATTAATTTTTTATATTACTTTTGTTATTATTGCTATTATTATTATTATTAGTACTAGTATTAAAAGGATGATGAATAGTTGTAGTATATGGTGGTGGTGAGTTGTTGGGACGGAGATAATTAAAATCTATATAGGGTAGTTGTGATATCACAGGTGGTGGAGGTGGTGTCGTAGTTCGGTTGGTATTATTATTATTACTATTATTGTTATTGTTATTTATATATATTGATTCTTCAGGTGGTGTATGATATCTAGGTGATGACTGTGTATAATGTTGGTACGTTTGTAATTGTGGTAATTGTGGATGTGATGTTTGATATTGTTGATGTTGATGTTGTTGTAGAGTTTGTTGATCGACAGATTGTTCACTCTGAAACTCTAATGAACCATCAACTGGTTGTTGTTGTTGTTGTTGTTGTTGATATTGAACATGTTGAAAACTACTTAATAGTAAATCAACAGTTTCTTTATCTTTTCTATTCCTCTTCATAAATTGAAGACCACAAGCATTGCAAAGATCTATTCCATTCTCTCCTTTTCTCCATTCCGGTGTATCTGTTCTTTTACAACGTGCACAATGGTTTGGTTTCGATTGAGGAGGACGACCTCTTCCTCTCTTGGCTCTCATACTAGTACTCATACTCGTACTGTTATCTGGTGCCATGTTGGTGGTGGCGGTGGTGGAGTTGGTCGTACTGGTGCCATCTGTTAAATGACCCGGCTCTGGAGGGACTTCCTTTACGATATCTGGAGGTTTGGCTGGGGTATCATCCAATTCAAATGGATTTGTTGTTGTTGGACTGTTGGCCAATCCATATGTAGTAGATCCTCCAAGAATAGCTTGTCTGGGTGAGTCAAATGGCGAATGATGATGATGATCCCTCGGACTAGGAGGTAACTTTGGTGGAGAATGTAAAAATGGAAGTGGTTGTAATGAAGAATGATGTAATTGTGTATGTAATGGTGGTAGTTTAAAAGATGTCAGAGTCGACAGAGTGGAAGAGGATAATGTTGGTTGTCCATAAAACTGGTTATTATTATTATTTTGATTACTATTATTATTAATATTATTTGGATTATTTACAGGTGATAAAATAGGAGAGTTTGTTGGTTTTTTTCGAGACGATGATTCAATATGTTGTTTGGAACTCCTTTGCTTTTTTTGATTGGTGGTTGTTGTACCAGTAGTTTGTGTGGGCTCATTGACTGGTTGGCCATTCAATTCACTGCCATATTCTTCAAGTACAGATAGCATGCCTTTGAAAATGGGTGTCAGATTTTCAACTAGCATTCTATAATCGGCAAGGGTATACCTTTTTTGCGAGTGGGTAATGTCCTTTCGTATTGTTTCAATAGATTGGTTGATCCTAAAAGTCTCGACATGAAGTTGTGATAAAACCCCTAAACAACGTGACTCTCCCTCACGTTGATCCTTTGTCGTTGAGATATTCCTAATCTCAATGTTCATTCTTGTATCCTCTTCTTCTTCTTCTTCATCATCATTTTTGTTATAACAACTGGTATCTCGAACCGGAACTTCATCTTTTATACTATTATTTTTACTACTATTTTCGTCATTATTATTATTATTATTATTCTGATTATTAATATTATTATGATTATTATTTGAAATCATTTGAGATTGATAATAGATACATTAAGAGGAGGGGGAGAGAGGAGAGAGAGGAGAATGAGTTTTCGATTATTATCTGATGATTATCTCTATGTGCATCCCAACAACAACAACACAAGCCTTACCTATAATGAAATGAACAAGTTGGGTCAAGTGAAGAGTAACCCCAACTAGCAGTAAGGGGGGGGGGGCTGCCAATTGACAATGAAAAAAAATGATTGGCTTATCTTGTTATGTGTGATTTAAAAGTCGAAAAGATCTAAACTATAGGGCCACACCCCTCCCTTGAACAAGTTGAAACTTTTTTTTTTTTGTTCATAGTCAAACCATACCTCGAGGCTTTGAATCAAACCGGAGGGCGGTTCAGCTGAACCACGATAAAAAAGAAAAAAAGGTCGCAACCAGTTTGATCGTTTTGGACTGATGCCCACCATTCCCTGAGTCATGCGCATACGCACCCACAAACAGTTTTTGGCTATTGCTCAAACCTGCTCTGTTTCATTTTGGACAAAAAAATATCGATTGATCAGGGTGGTACACTGTGTGGCCCATAGCCATAACCGCTGGTCGCACACTGCTTGCTATGATCTTACTGTATATTTAGCGGTATCTAAGTTTTAGTTCTAAACCATTAAATAGACGGGTGGGTGGAGGTTAGGTTTGGTTTGGTTGATTTACATGATGTCATTTATTTCGGTTTTAGTTTTGTTTTGTTAGAACAAACAAAAAAGGGTATAATATATATAAAATAAATATATAGTGTAGTTAATGTAGCAGAGGATAATAATAATAATAATTATAACAAAATAAATAAATTAATTTTAAATACAATAGTAGTAGAGTTGGTTGGTTGGTTGGTTGGTTGTACTCTAGTTGGAACCAACCAACTACCTACTATAATCATTGATCAATCAATAATATCTATCTATTATTGTTGATGTTTTTCTTTTTTGTTTTAAACTTTTGATTCGGCAACTTGTTGTGATCCAAATCGTAGCTTGTAATTTTCTTTTGCAATTTGAGAACGACGCTTCTTTAGGTAATAACCAGTACCTCCAACACATCCAACAAATACAGCACAGCCAACAGCAATACCGGCTATGGCACCACCAGACAGTTTTTTTTCATTTAGATTACACTGGTCAAAGGATATATAGACACGATCCTCTTTGGCCACAGGTACAACATTGCATTCGGCAGGTGGTGCAAACTCTTCTGCTCCATGATTGTTGCCGTCATAGATTAGAATATTGGTATGATTGTGATCAATGCTAAAAATAGCATAGCTTGGATCTGTCGTATTAAATGTCATCACTGTAAATGTACCATTTTCATTAAACATCTCTCTATTGATCTTTATCAATAAATGACTTGCTGGAATTGATACAACTGATGTAAAATTAACTACAAACAATAGTTGTATAAGTATTTGATTTGATTTGTTATTATTTTTACAAGTTTTGATACATACAATGAGTAAAATTAAATTTGGAATCAATAACAATGATTAAAGTTGAATCATTTTCAAGTTGAACAGTCTTTTCAAATACAAGTCTGGATGTAGTGTTGGCACCGAGTGTTGAATTGGAACCAATGTAAAGGTCAGACTTTATAGTTCCATCGCCTCCAATCGATCCTGCAAATAGGTTGAGACGTGGTTCAGACTTTATACTACAATTAAAATTCAATCTAATGGCACTGTCATTGTTACCTGCTTGTCTAATCTGTCCTTCAAAATCTGTTTCAAATTCTAAATATCCATTATTATGAATATATAACTAAAAGAGTAAAAGAATAATTTAATTAAAGTAAGTAATTGAATTGAATTGATTGATTGATTGATTTGTTAATTTCTATATCTATTCCTTACATTTTTAGGATAATTTCCTTGATTAACTGCAAGTGAACCTTCATTTACTATTCTACTTGTAGTAATATTGACTACATCTTTAATGACGATGTTTGTGTTGGCAAGTTGAAGAGAGCTGTTAAAGGGGATGTGAATGGTAGAGTTGAACATCTCCAACTTGACAGAATCAGTGTAGAGAGCTGGTTCAGTACCAACTTGTAAAGTAGACACTGACAATGACAATGTTACATTATTGATCAATTCACCATTCAATGCATTACTATCAACCAATTTAGATTGAATCACTTTAATTACTCCTCCCTAAAAAAATAATTTAACAATTTAATTCATAATGAGTCACGAGTATTATTGTTGGTTTATACATACATTAGAAGAGAAACGACTATTCATTTCTAAAAAGGAAGAAGTGAGGGTGATATCATTGAATTCAAGTGAGCCAATGACGTTTACACTGTTGGTTAACACCAATGTATCAAATGACAGTGCACCCTCAGAAGTGAATGAACCACCATCTACCGACAATACAGAATCTGATGTAATACTACTCTTATCATTGATCGTAATCGTTGAGTTTAAAAATGACAATGGTGACTATTTAAAAGGGTGGTGTGATGGGTGAGAGAGAGAGAGAAAGGAAGAGAAGTGTGATTGTGTTAGTGTTGATGTTCAAAAGAATTTACTTTTTTTTTTTTTCCTTTCTTGTGGAAGGAGGGGGGGGTTTGTGATGATATTAATATTAATTTGGTTAAATTGATTCTATCCTATTTAGGATATCTTCAAATTGGTTAACCAATTTAAAATCAATTTAACACCAAGATATGAAACAAATGAAAAAAAGGGAGGGAATATTATGATACATACTTTTTGGATATTAATTGAAGATAGAACCAAAGAAAAGACTGAATTAACAAATGTCATATTTGATGATGATAGTTTAATTTCAACATTATCAAACGGTAATTTACTATCCTTTATATTGATATTCGATGAGTTCTAAAAATAATTAAAATAAATAAAAATGATCAAAAATTAATATAAAATACTATTAAAATGGATGGTTGATCAAAAAAATGATTTCTTCTTCTTACACTTGATAAAGATGCACGACTAAATATAAAAGTACTATTTTGAATATTAAATATTGAATTTGGAAGGATATTAAATAATCCTATGTATGCAGTTGATAATTCTGAAAATGATGTTACTGATATTCCATTAATTGGTATAAAGGGGAATGTACCATTCTCTAAATCATCTGGATACTCTTGTTGGAAACAACTAACTGTATTGATAATATTTAATTTTGATTGCTAATTGAAAAAAAAAAAAGAATAATAACTATTAGTTTTTTTTTGAAAAAAAAGGATAAAATAGGTAGATATTATATATCAAAATTATAATTACATACACTTAAAGTAAGATTATTAAATTGAATTCTTTGAGAATCTAAAAATGTTAGATTTGAATTGATGGCATTTAAAGTACCAGGATAATATTCTGAGTTTGAAACTTGGAATGAATTTGCTGTATCTACAGTGATATTGATTGGTAGATTTAGTTTTGAATTGGTGATTTTATAATTTGACTGTTTTCCAACTGTAAATATTCTATTGACCCCTGATCTAAACTTGATAGTTGAATTATCAACTACAAAAGATGCTCCAGTATTTATAATAAATGGTCCTGCAATTCCTACTGAATCATCTAAAAATTATTTAATAATATATATATATATATATAGAATAGTTGTAGCGGAGAGGGAGGGAAATAGTTAGTTAGTTATTTATCTTGTTGTATTTTTATTTCTTTTTCTTTTTCTTTTTTTTTTTAATTTAATTAATCTTACCAAATTGAGTTAAACATGTTGGAGTTGAAATATTATAATATGAAGATAATTGAAATAATGAATTGATTATTCTAAATTCACCTGTAAAAGATCTGGAAAATCCAATGTCTGATGAGGTGAGGGCATAGTTGTTTTGGATTTTCATCGTTGATGGGTAGTAGACCAAGGCACTCGATGCTTGTAATCCCTCTGAATTGATTAAGAAGGTGGAGTTGACGGAGCCATCGAGATTCCCAATCTCGAGAAATGGTGTGATTGCCAGGGTACCGTTGGTTTCAACAGTGACACCTGTTTTCTTGATCTTTGCTGTACCCCATAACACATTACAGGTCCAACTGGAGATATCAGAGAACCGTGATGTGGCACCACCTTGGTAAAAGCAATCTTCCGACAAAACTCTGTTCTCGAATATAAAAGATGAAAATAATATAATATAAAGTAGTACTATTGACAATAATGTAGTTGAACTACTACTACGACTATTACTTGATTTACTATTCATTTTCTAGATGTTGTGATTTGGAATTAATATTGATGAATAAACAAAACAAAAAAAGGACAAATATACAAAGATGTGGAGGGGATGTTTAGTTTAAAAAAAAAAATGTTTTGGAAATGGAAATGGAATACTAGGCAGTACTAGGTTGGGTAGCTTGGTTGACGATTTAAAAAAACAGACAAGAAACTTATGGTTTGGTTGGTTGTTTTGTTTGGTTTGGTTTGAGTATCCAAACAAACAAACAAAAAAAAGAAGAAGAAAGATTGATTTTAATTTCTACAAAAGTCTTGCATGCTTACACCACCACTACCACCACCTCCACCACTCATATGATGTAGCTCGTTTACTATCACCATTAGCGAAGAAGACGTCTATTACCCCGCCACCACCACCATCAGCAGCAGCAGTAGAACAAAAAAAAATCAACACCCGTTGGTTCCAGGATCATATCATATTATATCCTATTTATTTAAATAAAAACAAAACAAAATTGGATTTGATTTTCGTCCTACTACTACCACCCCATTCATGATGTTGTGTTATACATCTTTTTCAAAAAACCGGCGATGTGTTTGGTTCGTTGGGTCCCACCCATTCACTCACTCACTACCCACCATCATCAGCGAATACACAAACACCAACAACATCGACATATATCTATCTGTGGGTGTGGGTGGTGTTGACTTTCCTTCAAAACCCAACAGCAGTCTAAATTTAGGATCGCCACGCTGATGGGAATGATGATTGGTGAGAGGGGGGTGACGTTCATTTCAATTGATTGAAAAATAAATATAACATATGTTGGGAATGGGTTAATGTTGATTGATTGATTGATTTCACGCACACAAACAAACACAAAACAATATTAATATTTAAACTTGTGTGTTGAACAAAATGGATTTGGCTTAGGTAGAATACATCGATTGATCTATTGGCATGGATCACTCCATATAATATATGGGTGTGCTGTTCAATATTGTGATCATCACCAAACAAGCAAACATCAATGATGCATCATCATCATCATAATTTGTGATGTTCTATTTTTGTTTATAGAGTTATAAAAGTTAGTTGATCTATTATTATAACTTTAAAATCAATAATAATAATAACTTTAAAAATCAACTATAGAGTAAAGTAGAGTGTCCATATATATATGTGTGTGAGTGTGTGTATTAGTATTAGTAGTTGGTAGAAAAAGAGAAGAATCTTATACAATCTAATTTAAATCGCAGAAAGAAAAGGAAAGAAGGGGAATGAAATGAAGCTTTCATTGCCATTTTCTTCATCGTTGGTAGCAACATCACTACTACTCTTCTTCTTATTTTGTTTCATTGCATTGATTGATCCTACTCTATCCCAACGTATGTATCGACATATATCATCATAATCCTCCTCCTCTACATATTGTTGGTATTAACAACACAATTATATGGTTGTTATTTTATTATTAATTTAAACATTAATTATTATACCCACAATTTATTAATAATAATAATAATTATTTATTGATTATTTATTTATTTGTCTTTCTAGAACAACCAAATAATGTATTTACAATTAATTCAATTGATCCTTCAAGGTTTATATTTAAATTATCGCCAGGAGCAAAGGTTAATTTTGAAACAAATGGTTCTTGGGAAATGAGATTTGCTTCTACCAAAATACTAAAAAAGGATAGTTTTACAGTGATTGATAGTGTCACTCTTTATCTAAACTTTACAAAGTATTTCGATGTTGTCAACAAGAATGATTATACTCAACGTGTCGATCTATTTGATAGTAGTACTGCCACTGTCCCTTCTGCAAGGGGAATGTTGGCATTACCAATGTACATTTATGAAGCAACACCATTGAATGTAAATGAAACTGTCGTCACAGTCATTGGTTTTGGATTTTTGAAATCATCAAGACCTAATGCCAAAGTATTGGATGTTCATTTTCTTGATAAAACTATGGCCCTTGATCCTAATTTGGTGTCTACCGCATCGGTCAATAAAACAGTGTCCGATACAACCATACTAGCAAATGTTCCTACCACTTTTCAAACTGGAAAATCTCATAGAATTGTAAATGCTAAAGCAAGTAATGGTGAATCTATTTTTGTTGCTAATCAATCAATCAATTTTTCTTATAAACGTAAATATAAACAAGTTTAGTTTGTTTCATTTAGTATTTACCAACTAATTGTCTATTTCAATAGCACCAACCATTACAAATATTGTAAAGAATTTAGATAATCAATATTTCACATTGACTGGTATAAATTATTTTGCTGGGTGGAATATTACACAAAACAAACTTAAATTAATTATCCCTAATAACCCACCCATCCCAGCCAGCAATACTGCCACCTTTATTTCAATCAATGAAAAACAAATCATTCTAAACCATCAATCATTAATGTCAATTGGAAAATATAAAATTCAATTGGATCTTGATTCTAATATTAGTGAAGAAAAAGAATTTACTTTTAGTATGTTTAAAAGGAAAATAATAATAATAATAAGTTTATTAAACTTTTAATTTATATTTAATTTTTAGATCCAATTGTAACATTTGTATCAAGTTCACCAAGACAAGGAGGTGATGTAACAATTAAAGGAGTATTCTTTAATAGAACTAAAAATGATGGATCAAATACACCAAGAGATATTTCGGTGACACTTGGAAGTGTGTCATGTCCAGTCGTTGAATCTGCGATTGATTCAGATACGGCTCTAGTATGTAGACTTGGACCAGGAAACAATCTAACCGATGTAATGGTCAAGGTGGTGATTGATGGATTCGTGTCCAATACAAATTATAATTTTACTCAAGGTGACCCTGTCATTGTAGAGTGTAGACAAGTGTCTCCCAAGGTGATTTGTAAAGGATACAACTTTAACAATATCACCGATATAGCAATGCCCGATGGACAAACCTACTCTGATCGTCAATCAAAGGAAACAGAGTTTACAATCAATCTCGACAGTGTCACGATATTCAAGAGTGGTTCGATTAAAGTTTTGTCATCTTTTAGAGACTCTCCTCTATTCCCTATTATATTTTTACCAATTCCAAAGCAAAGTACTACACCTCCAACAACTGGTGGTACCATTACAATCACCGGAAAGGGGTTGTCTCCCAAGACATTTGCCAATGAAAGTATTGAAGGTTACGGTATATTTTACAATTATCGTGGCAACGAGATGGAATGTAAAAATGTAGTAGAGATTGCCAGTACGACCAAAGTGACTTGTCAAGTTCAACCTGGTGGTGGTGCCAACTTGCAACTGTATGTTAGAGTATCCAAGGATGGTCTGTCGCGATCCAACAACATCTCTCTCAGTTACAACAAACCAGTTGTCCTATCATACTATCAAAAAAAGAATGGGTTCCATCTAAATGGAACTGATTTGGGATCAAGTGATACCAATGTTGGACTAGCAGCAAAATATGGTGGGACGGATCTACCAAGTGGTGCAGCTACATTTAACGTTGAAAATGGGACTGAACCTATAGTCTATTTAACATCAGATACACCAAATGGTAAATTATACTTGATTGTTGAAGGACAACAATCCAATGGAATCGATCTAATAGACATTAAACCAGCCATTGAAAATATCAACCCCATCCCAACTAGAGGTGGTACGGTCACTGTCAATGGTTACTTTTTCAATACCCTCGATCCAAAAAACATAACGTTCCTCTCGGGTAATGTTGAATGTACCAATCTAACGATTGTATCAAGTAATCAATTCACTTGTCAAGCAGCTGGTGGATTTGGCAAGACTAGACCTGTTACACTACGAGTCAACAATAGGAATACATCTGCATTGGATCCAGTTGTTCATCTATCCTATCAACCACCAACCATTGAAACCACTACATCAACCAATTACACTGGTGGTCTAGTGACCATCATCGGTACCAATTTCCATATTCAAGTTACCAATGTAACCATTGGTACAGAGAATCCAGTTGATTGTGCAGTTAGAAATATTATAGATTACAACAAAATCGTTTGTTATCTAAAGAAATGGAATAATGATGATGGTATACTTAAAAATGAAACTTATCTTGTTACTATTACTGTTGGTGATCAATCAATTAGTAAATTAGATTTTAAATGGGGTCGTATGTAAAATAGAAAAAGAAAATAGACACAAAAACAACAAATCACAAATATAGAATGCATACATTTAACTTGATTCATTTTCTATCTACCAATTTAGTTGAAGGATATAGTTATGGTATGAGTCCAGATAAACCAAAGAAATGGTTGATAGCAGCTATTGTTATACCTGTAGCTGCTGGTGTATTGGCAATTACAGCATTTAGTTTTATTCTATTTAGAAAACATCAAAAGTTTAAGAAACTTCAATCAATGTATAAAAAATAACAAAAATAATAATTATTGTTCACCAACACTTCAATCATTATGTACTTTTTTAATTATCTATTCTATATGTTATGAATAGAAATATTAATAATATTAACTCCTCTTACATTTGTTTTTAAATTTAAATAATAAACCTTAATTTAATATGTATATATATCTCTTTGTAATATTTATTAATAAATATTAAATTCTAAGTATTTTTAAGTTTCAGATTTCTTGAACTCCCAAATCTTCATTCATATTTATTTGCATTTTTTTTACATATATATGTATTTCGATCAATATATCAATGTACATCAGAGTTCACAAGGAGGTGAAGGAGTAAGTGCACTCGATCATTTGGTAGCAGATGCACAACCTCAAAATATTATCACCTTTTGTAGAGAGTTGGATAATATGTTGGGTGGAGGTATCCCTCTTCAAAGAATAACAGAGTTTTGTGGTGCTCCTGGTGTAGGAAAGGTAACAAACTATATAAATAGATAAATAGATAGATATCACATGAGATATATAGAAATCAAATGAACTAATTTATTATATTATTTAGACACAATTAGCATTTCAATTAGCAGTAAATTGTTGTATACCAAAGATATTATATGGTGTTGAAGGAAAGTGTATCTTTATTGATACAGAGGGAGGTTTCTATGTTGATAGAGTAAAACAAATGGCTGATAGTTTAATAGAACATTTACAAATAATGGGTCAAACAGGAACCGACCAAGAAAAAGATGCTGCCAATCAAATAACAGTAGACTCTATACTCGAAAATATAATGTACTACAAGATTCACCATTACATTGAACAAGTTGCTTTTATACATCATTTACCTTTAGTTTTGGAAAATGATAGAAATGTAAGAAAGAAAGAAAAAGAAAAAGAAAGATGGATTGATGTACTACAAGTTCTAACAACATATCTTTCCTAGATTAAATTAATTATAATTGATAGTATTGCATACCCATTTCGTAGACATTTTAGTGATATGGGAGCAAGAAAGAGAATATTATCATCAATGACACAGAATCTATTATCTATTGCCGAACAATACAATGTGGCAGTAGTCATTATGAACCAAGTTACAACTAAAATACTACCAAACAATCAATCGATGCTAGTTCCATGTTTTAATTTAGGCAATTATTGTGCTAACCGTGTATTCCTATACTGGAAGGATCAACAACGACATTGTCATATCTATAAATCATCTTTAATACAACCATCTGATGCACCATTTGATATAAATCAAGATGGTGTTCGTGGTTTTATTCCTGATGGAGAAGAAGCAGATGATAATGATAATAATGGTGATGGTGATGGAGGAGTAGGAGAAGAAGATGTTATGAATGACCAAGACCACCCAATTATTTTACCTATCCAATATTATTCTAATCAAATGGATACTACATAATATAAAATATAATATAATCTAAATAAACTTGCATACATGTATAAATAATTATAGTTTCCCGGCATTATTTTCAAAAAAAGTAGTAATTAAATTCGAATCAATCGGTCGTTCATTTGTATATCTCTCTTTTCAAAAATAGATTACAGTATAGATATTAAGATAGATATAGATATAGATAGAAGATGGGAGACTCTGATGATGATATGAATGATGTTCGAGATATACCACTCGATGAAAAGCATCAAGCATTATTACAGACATTTATCGATCGAAGAATCATAGAACAATCAACACTAGCTAAAATAGTATCATCGATTAAAAATTATTATAGAGGTATGATTGATTTGAATGAATCAGATGACATACATATATACACATTCGAATCATATTCTTATTCTATATCTTTCTTCATTTTAGAAACAAATGGAACACCAAATGATTATATAAATAAGATTAATAGTTCAATTATTAGTGTCAGTTTAAAGATATCGAATCTTCGTACTGCCAACAAACAATATTGGTGTTTGGTCAATTTAAAGATAGACGAAGGATCAAAACTAGCAACTAAATATGCACCTGTTGAAACCACCTATTTCAAGGTAATCGTAGAGGCAATGTTGGCCAATGGGGGTGAAGCTAGAACATCTGCTTTGGTCGATCTCTCCAAAGGTATCAAAGATATGACAATGACCAAAGCTGAAAGAATCATTAGAATATTTAAAGAAGATGGTTGGCTCAAAGAAACTTCAAACACTACCATTTCTCTTAGTGATCGATCAATCATGGATCTTGGTCCACTTCTAGTCGATTTACCTGAATGTTGTTTATGTCATCAACGTGTATTAGTTCAAAATGTAAGAAACCAAACAACAACAACACATTCAATGGACACATTTATATAATATATATAAATCTAATCACTCTATTATTCTTTATTTATTTAGAATCATATCGATGATTGTGAACGTTGTAATGCAAAGATGCATCCACATTGTTTGGAAACCTGGAAAAAGAAAAATAACAATTGTCCTTCATGTAGTCAACCACTTTAATAATAATAATAATATAATAACGCGTAACATCACAGACAGAGACAGAGAAAAAAGAACAAATTGGATTGGATTGGATAATCGCGAGTATCTTGGTATTATTGGCAAATTCTGTATATATTTATAATCCAAAAATCAATGGCAAATCATACCAACAACAAATTATTATTTACCCAGTCCAATACAAATACAATACAATACAATCTTTTTTGAAGATTTATGGAAGAATTACAGTAATTAACCAAAAGTTATATATATATGTGTATTATTTTGGTTTGTTTTTTTAAAAAGAAATAAATGGGTTGGTTCAACTTCTTGGTTGGGTAGTATTATCTAGAGGTAGTGGCGCATATCAACCATTTTTGGTTTAAATGCATTTATATATATATATGTGTGTTTTGTTCTAACTATACAATTGTTGTTTGTTATTGTGTTGTTATGGTTGTAATTGTTTGGTTGGTTGATGGATTTGTTTTTTAAAAAACGCAGTATGATCATCATACTATTTGTTCCAATCATCAAATAGTATAATGAATGTTTGTTGGTTTAAACCAATTATGTAAGTATATATTTAAAAAAGAAAAAGGGGTGGAGGATATTGTATTTATGTAAATTTTAATACAATTGGGATAATGATAATAGCCAAAATAATTAAAACAACCAATGCAATAATAAGTGTTATCTAATAATAAGAAAAAAGAATGGTAGATTAGTATAATTGAATAGATAATTCTCTCAATAGTAGTTGTAGTAAGTCATACCTTCATATTTCTGCACCACATCAATCTCTTTACTTCATTTGTCTTTTTCTTGAATTGAGCAGCACCCTCTTTCATATTTTCACTCTTTTGTTGCAACTCTGATACCTTGGTTTGATTATCGATCATTGTACCGATTGCATTGTGCATAACACCTGCAACTTGGTCAACTTGTTGTTGAGTTGAATGTACTTTATCCATGTTTCCGTTATATGTTCTGTATAGAATGATAATGACGACGATTAGTTATATTGGTCTCTCTGTTTATTGGTTTGTTTGCTAATATGCCAATGTTATGTTATCTGTATCTATTTATAATACTGTTGTTTCTGTTGTTTGCATGTAACTAAACATTCATTCTTTTATTCGTTCTCTTCTTTAATAATACATACGACATTTTTTGTTTATGTTATCTCTTTCTCTATGTTATCTAAATTAATTTGATGCAGGTCAGGTGCTGTCTGTATGAAATAAATTTATTTAAATATTTATATATATATTTAATTTAATATGAATAATAATAATAATAATATTTGTAATTGTGTATTGTGTGTATCTCTTTTATCTCTCTCTTACTTTTCTACTTTATATTAATGTTGTTTTGTTTTTTAAAAAATTAATTTAATTTAATTAAATTGACATGTTTTTGTGACGAGGTGGTGTGAGAAGACAGAGGAGAGGGGTTGGAGAATTCGCACTTAAGCGAAAATGCTATTTTGAATGTTACAACAACCTCGATAAAGGCCATTGTCTTTAAATCTCAGTATACCAAGGTTGTAATGTCCTTATACCACAAAAACAATACAAGTAGAACAACTATAACTATAAGAGAGAGAGGGAGGTTGTGAGAGGTTGTGAGGAGAGAGGTTGGAATTGAATGTCCTCAAGCAAGAGAGTGAGAGAGGAGAGAAATTAATTTTTGTCAATCTTGATTAGTGTTTCATCTCATTTATATTATATTTCACATAAACAATTGTATCTCAATATATTGATCAGATGAGAGAGATAATATATTATATTATTGATAATACTACCCTCATTAATACTTGTTTTAAAAAATAAATAAAATAAAATAATTAATTTAAAAAAAAAAAAAAAATTAAATTCTCTCTACTGAATCAAAAAACCGAACGAAACGAATTCTATTTGTATTTTATCAAAGTGTGTAGGAAGAGAATGGAGAAAAAGAGACAATTTGAAGATATAGAGTTTGAAGACTATGGAGACGATAAAGACGACGAGGAACAAGATAATATAGAGGAAAGCGACGATGAATTCGAAGGGGACGAAGTCATCGAAGAGGAACAAGATGATGACCAAACAGGTGGTGGAGAAGAAGGTGGTGATGCCGAGATGGACGATGAAGAAGAGGGTAAATCAAATGCACCTACCCGTGTATGGCGTCCAGGTGTCGATGCACTCGAAGACGATGAATATCTTACATACGACAGTACTGCATACGATATGATGCATTCAATGACTGTCGAATGGCCATGTCTCAGTTTCCAACCTCTCAAAGATACTTTAGGAAATCAAAGAAATAAAGTATGTAAACACAAAACTAAACAAACAAAAGAACAAACTAAACGTAGTAGTACAATCAATATTCATATTCATATTCCCTCTTTCTCTACTCTCTCTACTTTCTACTTTTTTCTTTTAGTATCCACATACAATGTATATGGTAGCAGGAACACAAGCAGATCAAGCAAAGAATAATAGAATATTGGTAATGAAAATATCTGAATTACACAAGACCAAACATGACGAGGATGAGGATGATGATGCATCAGATGTCGACCAAGACGACGATGAAGACGAAAATATAGATACCGACAGAGAGGTTGAGTTGGTGACCAGCTCCATCCCACATAACGGTTGTGTAAATAGAATTAGAGCAATGGATCAACAATCAAATATTGTGGCCACGTGGTCTGACAGTCGTCAGGTTTACATTTGGGACATACAAAACAATTTGAAACGTTTGGACACTGACGACAACAAGGCTGTCAAGGGTCAAGGCCCCATCCACGTGGTGTCGGCACACACCGACGAAGGGTATGCTTTGGACTGGTCGCCCATCGCTCTTGGTCGTTTGGCCTCGGGTGACTGCGCACACAACATCCACGTCACATCGGCGGCCGGCGCTGCCTGGAAGACCGACACGGTCGCCTACAAGGGCCACACTGGCTCGGTCGAAGACATCCAGTGGTCGCCAAGCGAAGAGAGCGTCTTTGCAAGCAGTTCTACGGACAAGTCCATCAAGATCTGGGATATCCGTCAACACTCCAAGCCCGCCATCTCGGTGCAAGCTCACGACGCCGACGTCAATGTCATCTCGTGGTCGCGTCGTGTCGAGTACTTGATCGTGTCTGGTTGCGACGACGGCTCCTTCCGTGTCTGGGATCTCCGTAACTTTAAGTCACACGAGCCCGTCTCACACTTTAACTACCATACCGGTCCAATCACTTCGATCCAATGGAACCCATGGGACGAGTCACAAGTCATCGTTGCCTCGGCCGACAACCAAGTCACCATCTGGGATTTCTCACTCGAAGAGGATACCGAAGAATTCCAAGGTGTCAAGGGCGAAAACGACCAAGACGACTACCAAATCCCCCCGCAACTATTCTTTATCCATCAAGGTCAATCTGACGTCAAAGAAGTCCACTGGCATCCACAAATCCCCCATGTTGCCGTCACTACTAGTTTTACTGGTTTCAATATTTTCAAGTCTTCAAATGCTGAAGAACAATAAATTAAAAAGTAAAAAAAGAAGTATAGAATATTTTTAAAAAAAAAGAATAGAATATGCGATACTTATTATTTATTATCTTCTTTTGGTAGGGTGGGTGGGTATATTTGTACAAATAATTTAAAAAATGTGGAGGAGATGGATGGTGATTATTAATTTTTTGATGGTTGTTATTATTTTTTATACATTGATTGAAGTTTCTTAAACTTTAGATGTTTCTTGTACAAGATAAAACCAATTGCACCAACTGCCAATACACCAGCAGCTACAGGTATAACAATAGCTGCTATCAACCATTTCTTTGGTTGTTCTTTTGAAATTCCATAATTATATCCTTCAACTAAAAATAGAAAAAAAGAAAATAATAATTAATATGTATACTATTCTATTTTCTATTTTCTTTTTCTTTCTATTTTACTTACGACCCCATTTATAATCTAATTTACTAATTGATTGATCACCAACAGTAATAGTAACAAGATAAGTTTCATTTTTAAGTATACCATCATCATTATTCCATTTCTTTAGATAACAAACGATTCTATTGTAATCTATAATATTTCTAATTTCACAATTGACAGGTACTTCTTCACCAATGGTTACATTGGTTGATCCAATATGGAAATTTGAACCGACGATGGTAATTAGACCACCAGTGTAGTTGGCAGAGGTTGTAGAATCAATAGATGGAGGTTGATAGGAAAGATCTACTATTGGATCAAATGTTGAAGTATTCTTGTTGTTGACTCGTAGTGTAACAGGTCTATTTTTACCAAATCCATCTGGTGCATTACAATAAAATTGTTTGGTTGATACAATCGTTAGATTGGTACATTGTACATCACCCGATAGAAATGTTATATTCTTTGGATCGATGGTATTGAAAAAGTAACCATTCACTGTAACAATACCACCTCTAGTTGGGACAAGAGTGATATTATCTATAGTTGGTTTAATATCAATCAAGATATCATTTGATTTTTGACCTTCTACAGTTAAATACATTTGTGCGTTTTGTGATTCCGTCGATATATAGACAATTGGTGGTGGTTCAAGTCCTGAACCAGCAGCAGTATCACTATAGGATACTGTAGTCAATTCAGTTCCACCATAATTGGCTGTAACATTTACAGCTGCCTCAACCGATCCTAAATTGGTTCCATTAATATAGAACCCATTGATTCTTTGATAATAGTCTATCATCTTGGGGGCAATATATCCAAATGGAATGGTTTTAGATTGTCCACCGGCAGTTTTAATGTACATGTCTAGATTTATACCTCCACCAGGTTGAGCATTACAAGATAGATGATCGACACTAACTTGGATGGCACCATCACAAACAACTTCTTGACCATGGTATTTGTAGAAGATTGAGAAACCTGCGACATCTGAATTGTCAGCTGCCTTTAGTGATAATGCACTTCCAACGAGTTGAATGACTCCTCCAGCAGTTGGACACAGTGACACTGATTTGATAAGTGGGATAAATGAAATTGGGTATGGTGTAGAGTTTCTAAACTCTGATAATACTTGAATTGGTCCATTCTTTAGTCCAACTAAATTAGTAAAATCAAATGACAATTGATTATCACTAGATGTTACAGTGATAACTGTTCCATTAGGAAGTTTAAGGTTGGTAGATGGATTGTTGAAATTATAACCTTGACATGTAACTAGACCAGGTGTTTGTGAACAACTTGCAATCATTGGAATTCCTTGTGTAAATTTAATATCCAAATTGGAGTCTAATTGTTCTATTGTAACTTTTACAGGTTGATCAACTAACCCCTTTGCACCTTGTAACATGCATACAATCAATGTATTTGAATCAATTGGAGATTTAACCATCGAGCATGGTTCAGTACCAAGTAATACAACAATATTGGTATTTGATCCATCATTTCTAGTTCTATTAAAGAATAAACCTTTAATTGTTACTTCTCCACCTGCTTTTGGTGCACTTGATACAAATGTTACAATTGGTTCTAAAAATTAAAATTAAAAATAAATAAACATATTTTTAAATGTTTTACTATTATATTATACATACTAACAGATAATTGAGAAATAGGACCAGGATTATCATTTAAATCTAATTTAAGTTGATGAGTTCCAACTGTTAGGATTGGTGGAGCATAAACAATCATATTTTTATCATTGATTTGGGTGAATGGTGTTGGGACTAGTTGACCATCTACAAAGAGTTTCAAATCTGTAGCTGCTTGTACCCCTGGGTAATAATTGGTACCTGTAATTGTATAAAAATTGGAATTTGTATTCCAAACTATTGTTGAAATGGTTGGTGCTAAATAATAATAATTATAATGGTAATTAATATTACAAGCTTTGTATGTGTTTTATTATTATTATTATTATTATTATTATTATTATTATTATTATTATTATTATTATTATTATTATTATTATTATTATTATTATTAATATACATACGATTAAAAGAAAAGGTAATATTTTCACCTAGATAGATGAAATCAGGTCTTTGAACGGTTGCACTTAATACATTGTATAATCTACCAGATTTAATGGTTGAAGGAACATTTGTTGTAAAAGCAGTACTATTGATGAGTGATTTGAATTGTGCTGTTGCATTTTCTGTACCAGTGCCAACGGGAAGTAGTGATAAAACGACTTGAGTAGGTAGACCAGAGATTGGTTTCCCAATTCCATAGCCAATAAATGTTATAGAGGTGGCGCCAATATCTGCATTTTTGGCTTCATAAATAAAAGATGGCACTGTTAATTGTCCGTTGTAATAGTTGGTGGTATCTGTTGCCTTTGGATAAAAGAAGATAGAGTCTAGTTCATTTGGTGACTGGTCCACTAAATTTGAGTTGACCTTAAAGTTGAAATATATTTCTTGACTCGTATAAGTAAAATGGGATCTATCCAGCATCTTGCCAGTTTGTTGAAATTGACTACCAAAGACTATGCCCCAATCTAAATCAGTTTGGAAGTTGATCTTGTCTCCATTGGAAATGACGATTACAAATTTTATTGCATTTCTAGATTCCACCTTTAATTCTCCTACTGAATTGATGGATGCAAGTCAGTAATAGTAGTAGTAGTCAATATGTTAATATTTATAAATCTAATCTAATCTAACCGAATCAAAGAATAGGATATGATGTCTTACAAATGTCAGATTGAACCACCTGAAAACCACTGATCATTAACAAGAGCAACGATAATAGAGACCAAAACCAAACTCTTTTCAACAAGGATTGTTGATAGTAATTCATAACTTTTTTCTTTCTTTCTTTTTTTTGAATCTATAAATAATATTTTAAAATTTACAATAACAAATATTTGAAGAGGAGGTTGAAAATGTATGTAAGAGAGAGAGAGAGAGAGAGAGAATAATTAAAAAGTTTAATATTAATAATATTATTGATTGACGTTGTACATTAAAAATTGTGTCACACAAACAAACCAATCTAATTTAAATTTAGAGTATCCAAGGTTGAAAATTTCAACAGCCAATCAATGTATGATGATCAGATTAAGCAGGAGTAAAGGTAGAACAGGTGTATAGGTAGAGCAGGTGGTGGTGGTGGTGATGGTCAGTTGAGTAGGTGGGTGGTTTGATTGGTTTTCGTTTGTTCTCTACGATCGATCAACCACATGGACACACAAAACTCATTCATTATTATAAATACCCCACCCCCTCTAAACACCACACACCAGACACACCACTCAACTTGTCATTTGGTTGCAATGATTGCACCTCTTGAATTGATTCTCCCCAAACCACCATATTTTGTTGTGGTTCCGACTCATCAACAACGAAAATTCGATGATGATCGATATTCCGACAACATCATTTGGAACTCTTTCTCCCCACTCACTCACCCCCACATCCCCCTTCCTTCACTTTTTGCAATATCTTTTATAGATAGATACTAAGATTGTATATATATATATATATATTAAAAGATAAAGAAGACTAGTTAGTGAACTTGAACAAAAGACTTGAAAAGTTGAACTTTTCAAATCATCATTCATACTTTCCAAGTTTATATATATATATATAATAACAGCACAATCAATCCCCGCTTGAATGTTAGTGAACAACACCTTAAGACAACATACCACCACCACCACCACTAGATATTTATTAAAGTCATTGTTGCTGCATCAATCAACTGCAGTAGTATATTACTACTCCTCATCTTCTTTTATCTTTGAAAAGAACAATCAATCAACTACTTCAACAACAACAAGTATAATAGACAAGAAGAACGAAAGTTCTACAATTCGATTGAACCAACCACAACAACAACAATATCGTTATTTTAGTAGTAGCAGTCTTCTTGGTACAAAGAATAAGAAGAATCAATCAAAAGAAAAGATGGTATTTGTAAAACCTTATGTAGGTGCAATCGATCAAGGTACCTCAAGTACAAGATTCATGTTGTTTGATAGTAATGGTCAAACCGTATTATCTCATCAAATCCTATTACCTCAACACCATCCAAATCCTGGGTATGTAAATTATAAAAGTAGAAGTAGAAGTAGAAGTAGAATTACTTTCCAGATTGATGATTAACTCTTTTCTTTCATTCTTTCCTTGATTCTTTTTTAGATGGGTAGAACATGATGGTAAAGAGATTATAAAATTTACAAATGAATGCATTGAAAATGTCATGCAAGAGTATTATAGATTGGGATTAGGTGAAAAGAGTGATATCAAGGCTATTGGTATCACCAATCAACGTGAAACCACCATTGCTTGGAATAAAAACAATGGACAACCATACCATCATGCTGTGGTTTGGTGTGACACTCGTACCAGTAGTCTAGTATCTAGATTCACTGAAAAGGCTGCTAAACTTGCCAAATACAAGGATCTATCAGACGAAGAAAGAGACAATCAATCAAAGAATCATCTACGTCAATTATGTGGTCTACCCATCAATAATTACTTTAGTGCTCTTAAAATGAGATGGTTAATTGAAAATGTAAAAGAATTAAATCATCTCTCTCAACCAAAAGATCAAAAAGAAGAGGAGGATGTAATAATGGGAACTATAGATTCATGGTTGGTTTGGAATTTGACAGGTGGTGGAGTACATATTACTGATGTAACCAATGCATCTCGTACAATGTTGATGAATTTAAAAACTTTACAATGGGATAAAGATATTTGTGAGTATGTATCAACAAAATGAAATCAAAATCAATCAAAAGAAACTATTCATTATCCATTATTATTACGTTTATTAATTTGATTTGTTTTTTCTTTTTCTAGATTTTTAGAAGTACCAATGAATATATTACCAAAGATTAAAAGTTCATCAGAGATTTATGGATATATAAAAGAGGGACCATTGGAGGGGATACCAATTGGTAGTGTATTGGGTGACCAACAAAGTGCAATGGTTGGACAAATGTGCTTTAAAAAGGGACAAGCTAAAAACACATATGGAACAGGTTGCTTTTTGTTGTACAATACTGGCAATGAGATTGTACAGTCGACACATGGTCTGTTGACAACTGTATGCTATCAATTGGGCAAGGACGCCGAACCATGCTATGCATTGGAGGGGTCGGTGGCGGTAGCTGGTGCCGGTGTCAAATGGTTGGTTGATAACTTGGGTATTGCATCATCGGCCGATGAAGTTGAAGAGCTTGCCGGCAAGGTAGAGAATAATGCCGGTGTTTACATTGTCCCTGCATTTTCGGGACTATTTGCACCGTATTGGAGAGACGATGCTCGTGGTGTCATTGTTGGTATGACACATCAAACTAATCGTTGTCACATTGCACGAGCAATGTTGGAGAGTACTTGTTTCCAAACACACGAAGTACTGTCGTCTATGGAAAAAGATGCTAATACCAAACTAACTGAACTTCGTGTAGATGGAGGTATGACCAAGAATGAACTACTCATGCAGATGCAGTCCAATATCTTGGGATTGCCAGTTGTCAAGCCATACAACTCTGAAACCACCTGTTTTGGTGCCGCCTTTGCTGCCGGTCTCACCGTCGGCGTTTGGAAACAATCCATGGAATTCAAAGTATCCCAAACTTTCACACCCTTCACCACTCCTGAATCCAATGCTATCAGAATTAAAGAATGGCATAAAGCAGTATCCAAATCAATTAATTGGGTTGAAAAGAGTTATTAAAAAAATCAAATCAAATAAATAATAATAATAATAAATAATTGTTGTATTTTGTATAATAATATATATTACTTTGTTTATGTTGTTTGATTGATTGTGTTGTTTTTGATTTATTTTGAAAGATCATTTAAAATTTCTTTTGCACCTTTTTCAATGAGTTGTTGAGCAAGTTCACGACCAACTTGGTGACATGATGCAAGTGGACCGGTATGAGAGAGACGAATGGCTCTACTACCATCCAAATTTAAAACGATACCTTCAAGTGTGATTAATTGGCGTTCAACGTCGATAGATGAGATGACACCGATTGGAACGTGACATCCACCTTCCAATTCACTCAACATGGCACGTTCAGCGATACAACAACTGGCGGTATCCTTGTCGTTGAGTGGTTCCAACAATGACATGATCAATGGATCATTTGAACGACACTCTATACCCAATGCACCTTGACCGACTGCATAGAGTGATACGGTTGGTTGAATAATCTCTGTGATTCTATCGGTCCATCCCAAACGTTCCAAACCGGCAACCGCCAGAATCATTCCATCATACTCTCCACTCTTTTCCAACTTTTCAAATCTTGTATTTAAATTGCCTCTAATGTCTTTGAATTGCAAGTGTGGATAGGCACGTTTCAATTGACTCACTCTTCTTAGTGATGATGATCCAATAATTGCACCCTCTGGTAATTCAGCCAATGTACATGTTGGTCTATGTTTACTTGCATTTACTATAAATGCATCCAAACAATTTTCTCTTTTTGTTATTGCTCCTAATCCTAATCCTTCTGGGAATCTAAAAAAAAAAAGAAACAAACAAATAAATAAGTTAATCATTAAACATATATATTATATATATATATATCTTTATTTATATACATACTTTGTTGGTATATCTTTTAATGAATGTACAGCTATATCGATATCACCAGATATCATTAAATCTTCTAGTTCCTTTGTAAATAGACCTTTGTCACCAATCTTTGATAGAGCAACATTGAGTACACGATCACCTACAGTATCCAAAGTCTTTAATTCAAAGTTGTATTTTGATCCATGTAATTCTTTCAATCTATCAATCACATGATGTGTTTGAACCAATGCTAATTGTGATTTACGTGATCCTATATAAACTGTTTTCTTATCAGACATTCTTTTATATATATTATTAAACAAATATATTTGTATGTTTATTATAATTATTTGATCAACTGATAATGAACAGCACTGATTGTGAAGTTAAATTAATGGGGTACAATTTAATATGATTCACACGACCCCCTCTGAATTTTGGTTTAAAAAATCTGTAAGACGAAAGAGGATCATGTATCAAACCATTCTTGGTTATAATTTGAAACAAGTGTTTGGATACTTTTAATTCAACTAGTAGATTGTATATATATATATATCATTCTTTTTAAAAAGAAGAGAGTATAGTATGTAAGATGAACAGTAATAGCCAAGCTAGATAGATAGATATAAAACATATAATATATCACTGGTTCCTTCTTGTCTGAAAGTAATCATTCTAAACTAGTGCCAACAGGTGGCTCACTCACCTAAAGATATATATAAGGTAAGGGGAGGGATTATATATTTTTAAGATTGTCTGATAGTGCAGGGTTGCGTGCAGAAGAGGACAGTATTGACCAATACTTTTTTTAGACCATTTGTCCTCAAACCTCCCAATTATAAGAAAAAAGTATTTTTTTGGATCGAAAAGTCTGACGATGAAAGTAATGAAAAAAGGTTCGATCAATATTCTGCATCACTTAGCATTGTTGAGCATTGTTATACTACTACTATTATTACCTACCGTTTATTTATTTATTTATATTTATATATTTATTTATTTGTATCATTACATCAAGATCAAATCTTTTGTTCTTGTAATCAATTTCTCTAGTTTAAGGAACAGCAGCTGCATCATTCAGTGTCAGTCAATAATACATTTGAGGGAAAAGAGAGAGAAAAACCATGGATACATATGTTGAAGATTTTACAATGCAGGTGATCAGTATTCGTGATACACTAAGATCAAGAAAACTAGGAGCCAAAAGTAAAAAGGTGTTTGATCTAATGGTCACTACCAATGGCAAATCATTCACTCTAGAAATCACTCAAAAAAAGTTGAACAAGTTAATGTCAGAGGTAAACAAGAGAATAAATCAATAGAATAGAATTATACCATTCGATATACTTAACTTTATTTATTTCTATATTTTTTTTAGATAAAAAAAGAATTATATAATGTACAATTACCAAATATAACTATAAATTCTGGAGCAACCGATGAATTGATAGCATTGTTTCATATGATATCAAATAATCCAAAGATGGCAAGATCAAATGCATTGTTAAAGTTTGTAGAGAAACATGGTAACAAGGCGTTGAGTAAGGCCTTTGTGACGGAAGAGTTTTTAAAGGACTCTAATTTTAGTGGAGTGTTGTTAAAGTTTAAAAACAAACACAAGGTCACTAAAAAGGAACGTCTTTGCTTTATCAAATACAATAGAATGCTGTACTATTACACAATGTCAAAAGAGGTAAAGGGTTCGATTTGTTTGGATGATTGTGTCGTTCAAAAAGAGTCTACCCCTGGATCATTCCTCTTGCAAACACCTACCAGTGGTAAATATCTTTTTGTTGCACAATCTGCTGCAAATGCTGATCAATGGATGGCAGCTCTCAAAGATGCAATCAGTTTCTGTGCAAAATCAAAGCTTTGTGTATCTGGTCAACTTTCATGTACCATTGTCAAAGGTAGAAGTCTAACTGCCAAAGATCTAACCGGTACATCTGATCCATTTGCAATTGCAAAGATCGAAGGTCAACAATCAAAAACTCAAACTATTTATAAAACTTTAAATCCATCTTGGAATGAAAGTTTTGTTTTGTATGTAAAAAGAGAAAAGAAACATTTATTTATTTATTTATTCATCTATTTATTCATCTATTTATTCTTTTATTTTTATTTATATTTAGTTATATATCAAAGAATCAAGGATATTTTTATATATTGGTATGGGATGAAGATAAATATAGTGCATCTGATTTTATTGGAAAGGCAGTGATTCCATTGTCAGCACTACCACAAGGACAAGATTCATTGTTGTATTTGCCAATGACACCAAAGACCTCTAAAAACAGTGTAAAGGGTGATATTTGTGTGCGATTAAAATACTCTTATTCAATGGACAATCCACCTCAAGGTGCACAATCACCAATATTTGGACAAGCACTTACCACTTTTGAGAACCGTCCAGACATTAGCAAAGATAGTGTACCAACATTTATCTATGAATGTGTAACATTTTTTGAAAAACATGGAGCTCGTGAAGAAGGTATTTTTAGAATTTGTGGATCTTCTCTGGAAATTAAAAGTTTAAAACAACAAATTGATATGGGTCAAACTATATCCTATACCCCAGATGCTGTTCATTCAATAGCAGGTGTTTTTAAATTATATTTTAGAGAATTACCTGAACCTATTTTAACTTTTGGTAAAGAAAGAATAAGAAAAAATAAGAAGAAGAGGAAAAAAAAATAGACAAAGTAGTTGGATACTAACTAAAATATATTTAATTTATATTTTTAGATAAATATGAATCATTTATGACATTGGGATCATCAATGAATATTAAACAAGCAACAACATTGGTTAAATCATTACCAAAAGGAAATCAAACATTACTTTTTATATTATTACCTTTTCTCAATTTTATGGGTAAAGCTGAAAATGGAAATATGATGAATTATGCCAACTTGGCCATCGTTTTTGGTCCAGCTTTTTTAAGACCTCTAGTAGAAACCAATGACTCTATTCTCAAAATCAACATTGTCAACGAGATTACAAGAAAATTAATTGAATTATCACCTCAACTTTTTGTTGTTTAAAAAGAAGAATCTTCCTTATTACCCTATATAACCCAAACCTGTCATATATACAAATATATATTATTTATTCCAAACCACCCACCACCCTTACACTTATATATTAATATTTCTTTTTAATAGTTAAAGAAAATAAATATACATTTTTTTTTAGAATTGTTGTATTATTAAATTAAAGGTTGTCTATTTATTTATTTTTGTACAATGGGGAAAAAAGCAAAAAAGTCTTTTGGTTAGTTTGAGATAAATTATTAATATTGCTATTATTTGTTACTATTTGTTATTATTTAAAAACAAGTGACGAGAAAACTGGTGATTGATTATTATTGGTGATTGTTATTATTAGTAGGAAGGAGTTATTATTATTATTATTATTATTAGTTCTATACATTTAGTTGGATTATAAATAAGATTGGGATTTGTTTTTTTTTGTTTGTTTAAAATAGTTTTCTTTGTAATCTTCTTGGTTGCTCTATTTTCTTTTTTGCTTCAACAATTTCTTTGACCTTGTCCAATTCCAATATTTGTTTGATGGTTATTCGACTGGCTGGATTAGTTTCCATCATGGAGACGATTAAATTCCTAAGTGTTGGAGAGACCTCGCAGTCATCTGGGAAGGGCACTTGCCCCTCACGAAGATTACGCCACCATTGTCCTCCCTGAGGCAAATCATAATTGGTGGCAGCTTCCAAAATGGTAATACCAAAACTAAATACATCTGCAGCCGTACTAACTTGATCATCCAATAATTCCAATGCCATATAAACTTTATCTCCTTCTGTATCACCATTTGTTGTTGATACTCCAAAATCTATATAGAAACAAAGGTAAATAATTAATTAAATATTTCTTTTTTCTTTTTCTTTTTCTTTTTTTGTTTTCTTATAGTTTACCACAAATTTTTAAATTACCATCATTTGAAAATAATAAGTTTTCTGGTTTAATATCAAGATGAATGATATTATGATTATGTATGTGTTCTAGTCCACGAGCAATATCTGCAATATAACGCCATAGTGTTTCTTCGTCGATGGCCTTGTCAACACGACGATTTAGTTCATCTTTGAGACTACCCTTTTCGCACAATTCTTGTTGGATGTATAAATGTGCGCCTTCTTCCCATGCAGCTTTTATAATGGAAATGTTTGGATGGTGTCCCAACACCATCCCCTTTTCAATCTCTTGTAGTTGTTCGTTACGTGTCTTGGTCTCCCATATTGGACGTTTGCTCTTTTTAATGGCATACATGCAATCGTCAATGAGTGACTTTGCTTTCCAAACCTCGCCAAAACATCCTTCTCCCAACTTTTGGATATATACAAAATGCGAAGACGAAGACTTTGTTCGTTTTCGTTGTGTCAAAAAGTGTACAGGGTTGACAGTATCACCATTCGAGTTGATGGTAAAGTCGTATTTTTCAGCCTTGTTGGCTGGAGATCGTAGCGGTGTCTTGGTCGGCGCTTTAGGACATTGCATCGATTTTGATGGAGTGATTGATATTTGTTGAGTGTATTGATGTTGTAGTCCTGCAGGTGGAACATTCTCATCATTATTGTTTTTGTTTTGTTGTGAATCTTCTAATGGTTGAGTTCCAGTTCCTTCATCATCTGTATCATCTCCATTATTATTATTATTATCCAATTGATTTAAACTATTTTGATTTTGACCAAATGTACCAATTGGTTTCATTGGTATTGTCATCATCATAGTATTCATATTACCATTACTAATATGATCATAGTTGTTGATGTTGTTGTTGTTGTTATTCACTGCAGAAGATAGATGATGCATTTCACCTAGCACACCACCATCGTGATTAAACTTGTCGCGATCAGTACCAATTGTTTTTGTAGCGACGTTTGATAGTGGTGTATCTTTCTTTTTTTTTAAAACCATCACCGGTTCATCAAACGCGGTTTGATCGGGGAGTATTCTACCAATCATCTCGTTCTTTAATGTTGTTGATTATTGTACTACTTTATTAACTATGTGTTTGTGTTGTAATATATATATAAACTTGTTAAATTAAACTTTGATTCTTTACTTTATCTCTGAAACGAAAATATATGCTTGAATCTATCTCTCTCTCTCTCTCTCTTGAAATAAATAAATAAATATGAAAAGAAAATAAATAAATGAATAAGAATTAAAAAAGCAAAAGTAATTAAAGAATCGTAATTTCCACCAAAAACAAAAAAAAGGCGCCAAAAAAAAAAAAAAAAGAAGCTGTTCATGGAACCACTCCCCCGAATTCGTTAGTTTACATTCTATTATTATGATTATTTACAATACGGTTTTTATTAATAAGTAGTCTTTAATTCTTTTTAGAGGATGATGTAATATTTGTAAAAGAAGGAGCAGAATACATGATATCGGAACGCATTACAAATTTGATACCTCCAACCACTTCACTACCTTGATGTAATATATTGTGTTGGAAGATGAGAACCATACCAGGTTTGGGTACTACATGATACTCTTTTCGATTGAGAAAGAATGTAGTCTCTCCACCTTTACATGCGTCATTTAGGTAAAGTTGAATGGTGAGATATGATTGCTCGCCCTTTTTAGGACCTGTCTCACGAACATAGGAACCATCATGATGTGGTTCAAATTTTTGTCCAGGTGTATAACGGAGGAATCTTAGTCTTTCGTTTAGTGATATTTTGTGACGTCCATTGATTTCATCGGGGATGAGATGTTCGATTCGTTTGTATATCTTGTTGGCCATATCATCACTATCGATGATACAACGATCATTATTTCTAACATCGGTCATCAATACTTGTCTGCCATTTCCAACATTAACCATTGCCTGTTCATATCCAGTTTTCTCGGTCAATGCAATCCATTCATCACACTCTTCTTTTGTGAATACATCATCCACTGTAAATGCCAACAACTTTGATTCCTTTGGTAAAACTTCAACTGGTTGTACCATCTCTCTCTACTTCTACTTTATGTATATAAATTAATTATGAATTATGTAATTCCTTTAGATTTGTGTACATATTTATAAATAACATTCATTAAAATCTGGAGTGCATAGTAAGAGTGATTCACCTACCCTTCTAAAATTTTTCTTTGTTTTTGGTTCGGTGATCAGCTGAAATTCGTTGAAGTCTGACCGAAAAAAATAAATTGGAAACAATTATAATATATATTGTTTAATATTATTTTTATTTATTATTTTATACTTTAATTATTACATGTATGATGATATGTTTGATATATTATAATAATAAATCGGTAAAGGTGTGAGTAAAGAAGCCACAATTTATAAATATATATTGTGAGTGTTGTTATGATATTAGTTTGTCCAAAGCCATGGGAGAAGAGGTTGTTGTTGTTGTTGATATGGTACTAGTGTTGGTGGATGGTGGCGAAGTAGAGAGATTTGGATTTGGTTGATTTGAGTTTGAAAGATGGTAGTACCCCAATAGATTCTTTCTGTTGGTTGGAGACAACGTCGATGATGGGTTGGTGTGTTGGTGTTGATGGTTTGGTACACCACTTGCCAAACACCAACACTTTGATTCTTCGGGAATCATTGGAATTGAATTTGGTAAAGGTGGTTTCCTAGACAATGATGATGATGTTGATGGATTATTATTATTATTATTATTTTTTTGTTGTTGTTGTTGCTGTTGTTGTAATTGTTGAAGATTAGATGTAGATGAAGCAGACCTAGCACGAGCTAAATAATTTGATGGAGAATTTAGATTTGGATTGGATACACTAAGAAATGATGGTGTTGGTAAATGATGGTTGTTGTTGTGGCGCTGATTCAATTTTGATTTTAATATTTCATTTTCAGTCAAAAGGGATGATAATTCCTTCTCAAGAAACTGTATATCGCTTAGAGTTTCTTGATTGCAACGTGTCAAAAAGGAAATACTCTTTTTAAGTGTCAATGTAGATAATTGAAGTTCTTGGCCCTTCTCCTCCAAATTTACAATATATTCCTTCTTTCTTGTTCTTGATAGTGCTGCTGATTGTCTATTTTTGAGTAATCTAACCTGTCGTTTTTTAACCTTATCATCTCCACCATGTTCTTTTGATCCGACCTAAAAATAAAAAAGATTAAAGAGTTAATATATATATATTATTGGATAGGATGAATTATTATTATTATTATTATTATAGTTACATACACTAAATATCATTGAGTCCATAGACGGAGATGAGGGAATATTATGGTGTCCATAACCACCATAATGGTGGGAAGGGGATGAAGATCCTGAACTGCTATACATGTATTTTATATATTATATATATATATATATATATATATATTTATATATTTTTAGATTGATAGATAGATATTTTATATTTATATTTGGAGATTTTTTTTTTAAAAGTAGAGTCTATGGTGAAGAAACAACAACAATTCAAATGTATGATGATATATGATATCTATCATAGATTCTGATTGATTAGAAAAAATAATAATAATAATAATAATAAACAATAATTTAATAACAATGACTGCTAGTTTGTGTGTGTGTGTGTGATAAAGTGGATGATGGAATCAATCAAACCAAAACCAAACCATGTATTGTTATTGTTGTTTGTTGTTGTTTTTGTTGTTGTTGTAGTTGGTTGTAGTTGGAGCTTTTTTGATGATGTTATTACCCTATTTATCTCCACGTCAGTTTGGTTTGGAATTTAATATATTGTTTCCATCATTAGCCAGCCAGTCAGATGGGTAGGTAGGTAGGTAGATAAAACAAACAACCAACATTAACAATAGGAAGATGAAGGAAAGCAGGAGTAGGTAATAGGACCACCACCACCACCACCACCACTATTGCAATTTCATCATCATCATCATCATCATCACCCCTTTGCCGTTGTTTCATCATCATCAGCAACATCATCATCATCATAAAAAACAGCAGGCAGCAGCAGCAGCAATAGCAGCATTAACCACTACCATTACCACCCCCATGATGATCAACCTGTGTGTAATATTATTCCTATTATATCCAAACACTAAATTTTAAATTTAGCTCTGGTGTTGAATTCTATTAGGGCAAAAAAGATGTGCTGTGTGAGTGTTTGATGGAGAGATAGTATGTGGGTGGGAGAGAGAATGAAAGTGTTTACATACTATGTTCTTCTTCTGTTTAGTTCTGTTAGTGCCTGACCATTAACGTATTAAAAGAAATAATAATAGGAAGCGGGCTGGGAGTTTGTTTGTTTGTTTGGGTGTTACGTGTGTTTGATGCTGCTGTATGTTCAAACAAAGATGAATCTCACTAGTAAATCCAATCCCAAGCATATCGATATACCTGTACTGTACCTACCTTCATTAAGTGGATGAATGAATGTGTTATGTGTTATGTGTTATGTGGGTGATCTAGATCGCAATGATGTTATGTTATGTTATGATCCCACCACCTATCATTCTACAACTTTACTGTACGTCTATATTGCAGTGTTGTGTTACACACAAACACACCTACCCAAATTTGATTATTGATGATCATTAAAAGAATCAATAACAGATCAAAGAATCTTTCATTCATTTGAAAAGGCACATGTTAATTAATTAATATTGGTATTGTTGCCTTGTTTGTTTGTTGAATTGATTGATTGATTGAGTTGTACAGAGTTGAGTGTTCATTATTAATAATAATGATGATGGTGACTTGGTACAAAAAAGGTAAAAGTAATGAAATTTCCTTTTTAAAAAAAAGCTCAGATATGATAAGTATCGAGTGAGCCCGATCAAACTCTCTATGATGATGACAACACCCCATTCATTCTTTCTTTCGTTCATGATTAACTAACAAACGTTAACCTTTTTAACAACAACAACGTAAGGTAACTTTCAATTCTTTGTACCTTTGTACTTCTTCTTCTTCTTCTTCTTCTTTGATCATCCTCTTACTCACTCTTGACCCCCTTTTAGATATAGATATGCCATACATTGATTATGTTGATATTCAAATGGGAGATGGGTTGGTTTGTGATGCCTATGTATCACTGCCAAAGGGAGTAGAGCCAGGTGTCAAAGTACCGGCCATATTGTTTTTGATGGATGGTATTGGATTGAGACCACGTCTTGAAGAGATGGCAGATACGATTGCTCAACAAGGTTATTATGTAATTGCACCAAACCTATTTTACAGAGCTGCTCGTGCACCCGTTGTACCTGATATTCAAGAACTGTTGGCGCAAGGACCAGAAGGACGTGAAAAGTTGATCACAGCCATCTTTAAACACATAGTAACTCTTACACCCGATCTATTCTTGCCAGATGTCACCAAATACATTGACTATATAGACCAACAAACCGATTATGTTGTCTCGGGTGCACCAATTGGTGTTGTTGGGTATTGTATGGGTGGTACCAACGCTGTACGTGTTGCATGCGCCCATCCAACCCGTGTGGCTGCCTTGGGATGTTTCCATGCTGCCAATTTGGTGACAGATCAACCAGACTCTCCACATCTCCAACTTGGAGCCATCAAAGGTTGTCGATTCCACTTTGGACATGCCGACCACGACGACTTTAACACACCACAACAAATCGCTACACTTGAAAAGACATTATCCGACTTGCACATTGATGCCTCATCCGAAGTCTACAAAGATGCTCCACATGCCTACACAATGAAAGATAGTGCAATGTATCAAAAAGAAGGTGAAGAAAAACATTGGGTTGAACTTGAATCATTATTAACTAAAACTTTTAAATCTAAATAAACAATCAAATAAATGTAATCTATATTTATATATATATATATAAAATTATAATAATTTATTTATTTTCTTTTCCAAAAGATAATAATAATAAATAAAATTGAAATTGAAACAATAAATAATAAATTGAATGAAGATGTGCTTGATGATATTAATACTTTAGAGGAAAGAGAACTTTGCAAGTTAAAGTTTTTTTTTATTTTAATTTTTTTTTTTGCATCGATCATTAGAAAGTGAAGATACTTAATACCGACATCTTGTTTATATTTATAATTAAATTAGATAATAATAATAATAATAATAGATAATAATAATAATCAATCATCAATAATCATAATGAGTGGAGGAGTAAAGATATTTATAGGTCAAATACCTAAATCATTTACAGAAGATGACCTTAGAGAGATGTTTGCAGACTTTGTAGATAGCATCGAAGAGATTAAAGTCATCAGAAACAAAGCAACACAAGAACCTCAAGGATGTGCATTCATCACAATGACAAACCCAGATGTTGCTGAAAAGTCTATTCAACAATTACACAACAGCAAGAAGTTTCCTGGTGTATCAAACTTTCTTCAAGTTAAATATGCTGATAGTGAACAAGAAAAACTTTGTATGTACAAATTAAATATCTTCTTTATCATATGATATGATACATTTATTATCATGATACATTCAAAGAGTTTCAAATCATATTAATATTAACATAAACATTCTATATCATATGATATGTATCGTATATTTTATATAGCAACAAAATTATTTGTTGGTATGTTACCAAAAGAATATAATGAAGATGATGTTAGAAAGTTGTTTTCAGATTATGGTGATGTCGATGAAATATGTATATTAAGAGGTCCAAACAATCAAAGCAAGAGTTGTGGTTTTATTAAATTTCAATCAAGAGAAAGTTGTCTCAATGCAATTTCTTCTTTAAATGGTATTCGAATTCCAGTATGTAGAAACAATAGAACAAATCTTTGATGATGATTGAGATTTATTAATCATATGATTATTTTATTTATTTATTTTTAGCCAAGTCCACATAATCTTGTAGTTAAATTTGCAGATACTGAAAAAGATAGAAAGAATAAGCAAAAGATGCAACAACAACAACACCAACAGTATTCACAACAATTGGCAGTGGCAGCATCAGTCAGTCTTCCAAAGATCAATCCTAGCAAGGGACAGAAGATGGATTTGTCCAGTCACTACAACATGGGAGGCTTTGGAATGAACTCACCCCCACCCTCGTTACTTGGTAACCATCCATCGTCGGGTGGTGTCGGTGGCGGCTTGTTGGGTGACGGCTCATCTTCTCACCTCTTTTCCACCATGCCCCAGTTTGATCCAATGGGAGGTATGGGTATGGGCATGATGGGAGGCATGAACGGAGGTATGGGCATGGGTATGGGAAGCATGGGAGGCATGGGAGGCATGGGCATGGGCATGATGGGAGGTATGGGTGGAATGGGTATGATGGGAGGTGGCAGTCCCATGGGAGGTATGGGAGGCATGGGCATGGGTGGAATGGGCATGGGTGGTCCAGGAATGGGCAACGGTTCAAGCCCAGGTAACATGTCAATGGGTGGTCCAGGATCCATGGGAATGGGTGGCCCAGGCAATGGCCCAAACATGGGAGGTATGGGTATGGGTATGGGCATGGGCATGGGCGGAATGGGTGGAATGGGTGGCCCAGGACCCATGGGAAATGGTGGCGGTGGTCCAGGACCAATGGGAAATGGTGGCGGAGGCCCAAGTGGTAAATTCAACGGAAGAGGAGGAAACAATGGCAACAATGGCAACAATAACAATAACAACTATTATGGAGGTAATGGTGGTGGTGGCGGTAACAATGGCAACAATGGCAACAATAATAACAACTATAACAATGGACCACAAGGTGGAGGTGGTGGTGGAAACCAAAAAAAGAATCAATCTGTTGGTCCTTCTGGATCCAATCTTTTTGTCTACAATATTCCAAACTTTTATACTGATGTCGAACTAAGTGTTTTATTTGATCCATTTGGTGCTGTCATCAGTTCAAAGGTTTTCATTGATAAGAATACTGGAACAAGTAAAGGTTTTGGTATGTTAAACAAACAAAAAACAAAAACAAACAAAAAACAAAATAATTTTATTAATTTTTAAATTTCTTAGGTTTTGTAAGCTTTGATAATCCAAATTCAGCAACAACAGCCATTACAAATTTAAATGGCATGATGCTTAATGGTAAAAAGTTAAAAGTTACTGTCAAAAATTCAAATTCAAATCCATATTAATGATTATAGTAAGTGAAGAGTAGTAGTAGTAAAAGTAGTATAGTCATGTCAGTAGTAATATCAACAACACCACCAATAATTGTAATTTTGTAATCACGACGACAATGGTAGGGGGGAGAAAAGTAAAAGGACTCAAAGCTCAAGATGACAGTTCGTAATACGTAATATTTGGTTATTTATTATGGTCCATTTTTTCATCAAATCGCTTGTAAACCAAAAACACTGTCGATTATTTTTTCGTCTCTCTCTTTGTCCTTTTCCATGTCCCTTTGCTTCTCCTCCCTCCATTATATTCTTTGGCAAACCAGTGGTGTTTTGTGGTATATTTTAATCATAGAGAAAAAAAAAACAAAACAAACAAAAACAGGAGTAAACATATTCCTCTACCCTACCTACCTTCCTAATTTATTGTAAATCTTTCCGAACCAACCATAATCATAATTATAATTTTATAAATATTGTATTTGTTATATTTTATATATTTGCAACACTTTTTTTTTTTTTTGTAATAATAATATTATTTATTTTGGTTATTATTTGATAAATTGTTATTCTTTTCATTTGATTTGTTATTTAGTCCACCACCTAAATTTGGATTGTAAAAAGTAACCTGTTTTGTAGTAGTATTATTAGTACCCAATCCTCTATTGTTTAAACTTGGAATTCTTAGACTTTGATTTTTTGAATTATTATTTGGATTATTATTATTATTATTTGTGATTGGTGGATTGTGATTTGATTGATTATTATTTTTTGTGAGTGATAATGTCAATGGTTTTGTTGTATTCTTTGGCTGTTGTTGTTGCTGTTGTTTCTTTTGTTGATTCTTTTTATCTTCTATTTGTTGTTTAATTCTATAGAAAAAGAATATATATATAGATTAATACATTTTAATTTAATTTATAAATAAATCTTACAAATCAATATCTTTGACTAACATTTCTTTGTTATTTTCCAAATGATTTAATTCTTCAGTCATTGGATCAATATCAATATCATACTTGATTCTTTCCTTTTCATCAACATCTTGAACCATTTCTCTTAATCTTTCAATTTCCTTCATCTTTTCCTTTTTCTTTTCTTCAAACACCTTTTTTCTTTCCAGAGATTGTTGAATTTTGGTTTCCATCTGTAAGTTTGACATTTTAATTGATTCTAGAGACACTAGTTCACGATTTCTCTTGTCTAAAAGTGCATCCAAATTCGAATTACAATCTTGCCATTGATTAAAATCATTTACTCTTTTGAAATATTCTTGACGATAATTTTCTCTTTCCGATTGAACCCTTTCAATTGACTGTACAAGCATATCTCTGTAACATTGGAACGATTTATATGTACTATTTGATTTATTTAATTGTCCAGTCATATAATCAATTTCTAAATTTATTTTAAATGTTTCCCTTAATATAAAAAGTAATTAATAAAAAAGATTCTCTTTCATTAACTTTACTTTACTTTGTATTAATTACTACATACTTTATCAATAAATTATTTTTTAGATTTAAAGATTCCATTGCCAATAGAATGTTTTCAGTTTCCAATTGAATTGGTGTAATCTTATTATTGATATCCACCAACCTTTGATTTAATCTATGAAATTGTCTATCAAAAGATTGAACTTGGTTTTTTAAATCTTTAATTTGTTCATTCTCTTGTTGTTGTTGTTTCTGTTGATTGTCTACTTTATCATTATCAAAAATTGATTTTAAAGTTTTAAAATCCTTTTCACCTTGATATAATAATGATTCTATTCTCTTTGATTTATCTGGTGATTCTATCTCTTCTGTTATGGTATCTTCTAATTCATCCAATTCCATCCTATTATTGTTTTCTATATGATTCTTGTAATATTGATTATTGTCAACATGATTAATCGAGCTTTCATTCTCAAAAGAACTATTATTACTATTATTATTTAATTGATTTAATCTATTTAATTCTTGATCAATATCAAATAAAATATCATCCATCTTTTTCTATCTCTATCTCTATCTATCTCTCTATCTTTATCTCTACAACTTCAATCTAAAAAAAAAGGGATTAAATAAAATTTTGAAATATTTACCAATGTATTATAAAGTTTACCAAATACTAATAAAATAAAGTACTTGGTGTGGTCTCACCCCCTTTTTTATTTTGATGGATAAAAAAAAGGTTTAGAAATCTTTTAAATTTTTACAAATGGTACAACCAAGAGGAACTTCTTCAAGATGAGGATGATCAATTTTAAGAGGACAATGTTCTTTACCTGGACACTTTGGAATCTCCTCAATTGGTTTTTTGGTTAGATAATCTCCACCTTGTTGTTTTTTGTGACAATCATCACAGAATCTAATTTTACTCCAACATACCCAACTTGCCTAAAACAAAAATAAATAATGGATTAATATTAATATTTCTTCTTTGTTTCTTTTTGTTTCTTTTTTTTTGTTTTTTTTACTTTACTTTTGAACAACAATAATGACATTTAAATTCCATATATTCAACACCATGAACAGTACATGTTGAACCAGTTGTAGTAGGTCTACAATTTTCACATAATAATTCGTCTAGTTTGTAGGTATCTATACCTTGATCACAACGAACCATACCTGCGAAATAGGGTGATTTACATTTGTAACAAGGATAATATTGGTATCTATCCATTGCAAAGCCTTCGGGGTTCTTGTACCATTTGGATGTTTTGATCTCTAGTTCTTTGCTACGTTGGAGTCCTTCATAGACGAGTCGCTGTGTGGCCTTGGCTTTGACGAGATCCAGCAATTGTAAATGTGGTTTCATTAAAAGTTCGAGTGCAGGGTGTTTCATTTGTTTGTTGCAGAGGGGACAATCGAGGTGTTGGAATGTGAGACGTGGTTGAGCCGTTCTTTGAAGGTCGGGTGCATTCAACCTGCTCTCAACACACGTATAATGAAATACATGCCCACATCCTGTGAGCATGATACAAGGTGCCGCCGACAATGTCTCTGACCAACAGATATTACAAAAGTCGCTGGCCGATGCCATTGGAATTGGTAGTGGTGGCGATGATAAAGAGTTTCGTTTGGTTGAAATAAGGTCTGCCTTGCTCTTGTCTATACACTTTTGCTTGAGACATGGCAAACATCTTTCTTCACCAGCGACACCCATGCAACGATGACCACATGGATGCACCTGTTTGAAACATGCCAATCGACTCTTTTGCTGACACTCTTCCTCTAGACACACATCTTTGGTGTGAGTTTCGCTCACGTTGCTGTTTGGTATCACCTCTTTACAATATCTACATTTCTTGGACACCAAATACAATCGATGTGATTGGCATGTAAACCCATAATGATAGGGTGTTGATTTACAATCTGAACAAAACTCTGTCGAACATTTTGTACAACGAAATCTAAATTCATCTCTATGTAATGCTGCTTCTTCTTTCATCTTTTTTCCATCTGGTGACATTAAATTTAATTTTCTATTCATAGGTTGCTGCTGTTGTGGTTGTTGTGGTTGCATTCTTTCAAAAACTATATTACATGATGCATTTGGACATTTAAAATACCCAGGGTTTGATTCAAATACCAATTCTAATGTTTTGTTTAAATAAGTTTCATATTCATTTTTTGGTAATATTTCCTAAAAAATAAATAAATGTTAATGAATAGATCATATATATATATTATATTTTATATTATTTACCTTTAAAACTAAATGAGATAATGATTGTGTACAATTTTTAACGGGACAAGTAATATTTAGTATACCATGTTGAATTTGATTTTTAAATCCAATTGTTAGACAATTGGTACAACAATTATGTAGACAATCATCCATTAGGTATAGACCCTGTCCAGAATTTGATCTTTTTCTACAAATGATACAAATAAATAACATATCATTTTCATCAACCATCTGGTGATTGTTGTTATTGTTGCTATTATCATTATTGATTTGATTTGATGATGATTGATGTAAAACATTTAATTGATCAATACCAACATCTTGAAATACTATTTGATCATTATCTCCATTCCTATTGTTATTGTTACTAAAACGGTCCAAAGTTTTTGATAATTCATGAAAAGTAACCTCTCGATAGTTACAATTTTGATCAAATATGACCCAATTGTCTAATGGTAGATCGTCGATTGGTTTCTTTTGTTTGATAGAGAGATGTAACTCTCCTCCTCCCTTTGTTGTATCCTTTCCATCTTTGGTTACTAGAGGCAACCATGTATCGTATACCAGTGTTGATGATGTAGGTACACCAATCTTGTTTACATCCAACACTATCGATCCAATGAAATTGTCTGTTAAAAAGAATACCTCTTTATCCCATACTGTAAATGTTAATGAATGTTCTTGGCTATTATTATCTAATTTTCTAAAAGTGACAGAGAGAAAGAAAATGAGTTTAAACATATTTAAAGTTGATAATTATCTATCTATCTATCTATCTATCAATCTTACATATCAAAACGATCATCCCAAAATGGAGTAGTTGTATTCTTTACAACCTTTGTTGAATGAGAAAGTTTGTTACTATTATTGTATCTAACCTCTACATAGGGATCATATTTTCCTGATTCTTTCTTTTTTAATCCTTTTGCTTCAATAACTATAGTATTGTATATGATTTAAATGTTAATATTATCTACATACATATATTTATATAATGATGAAGAAGAAGAAACATACTTGAAACGGATATGGTGAGGTCAACCATTTTCTTTCTTTAAATCATACTACTACTGACTGTAACACTCTACTCTCTCTCTACTATCTCTCTCTCTCTCACTACTTTGTCTAATAAAGTAATATAATATAATGGGTATGATGATATATATGTACACATAAAGTAAAGTATATCCGATGGTGTATGTGTGGTTGGTGAATAGTAGCTTTAAAGCAGAAACATGTTGACTTTGGTTCACCAAAGCAATACAGGCTTCCACAGATTTAATTTTAAAAAAAGAATGTTTTTTTCCCGAAAACCTAGTACCACAGTTGTGGTATTATTGGTTGGTCATTCCATCTATATCTTGAAACAAAGATCTTCCTCCTCCTCCTTGCCTGGTTGATCAATTCAATCAATAATTCAAATACCTTCCAAACTTTTTCATACAACAAGAATACATACTATCACAATGACCTGAAATTATATATTTCGGTCCCAAATATTTAAAACAATCCAGGCACTGCATGACCACCGATACCTCTGCTCATCGACGAATTTCCCTCCCATTTTATAGTGGGCTACACCCATTTTTTTGGTTGAACTCTCAAATCCCTTTTTTTTAGCACACATCCTCTTGGCAGCATAAACAATCATTCACCTTTCTTTTTGATACTCTTAAACGTTATATGACCAACTCATATAAATATGAATATATAGAAATATAATTACGGCATATATTACCAGACCCGTATTTATACAAAATAAATACTCCTTCAAGAAATATAAATATAAATACGGGAAGTCTCAAATCCCTGCCCTCTCCCTTTTTTTCTGCATGCCCTTTTTTCCCTTTTTTCTGCCCTGTCCCTTTTTTATCCATCGTCCCATTACTTTGTATAGATACATGATAAGCACATATTTATATAAAATCAATTATCTTTATTTCTTGGCCCCTTTTTTCTGCTCTTCATTATTTTCTAGATCCCTTTTTTCTGCCCTCTCCCTTTTTTCAGCACGAGTGCTCCCACTCAAAATGAGTCTTTGGATTCTATTTTTTTTTCTAGTAAACATATACATATATATACATGTAGATATATTATCTATAGATGGATGACAAATATTTTTGGAATGTATATAGAAATATCTTTTTGAATCACTGTATTCGTCGATACATTAGACATGAAGATGCTATGTTTAATCTTGTGGTATCACCTATGAAAGAAAGGGATTCGTTTACATTGGCTAAACATGGACACTATTCTATTCTAGCAGATAGAATAAAGAACAATGATGAATCACTTATTATTCATAAAGTTGTATTGGTTGGTTTGATCGTCTCATCAATCAATGATGACTACAATCTGGTTGTAAAACTGTTATCACTAAAGTTTTCAGAGTCTATAGTTCAAACTGTTATTCAACAACAACAACAACAACATATAGATAATCAACAACAAAATATAAATAATCAACAACAACAACAACAAGAAGATAAATCATTAAATCTTCTAAATGGTATATTGGTACAGACCAAATCAGTATTATCACATAAAATCAATTTAGAAGACATTACAACTGAATGTGTTAAGTTGGATAGATTGTTTGTACTAGACTACCTAATTGACAATGGACAGCATGCTATATCACCAAATATAGTGATAGAGACTGCTCTCAAACAAAGGGGTAGTAGTACTCGAGTTGACTATAGAACCAAAGTATTACATTGGGTTTTGAAAAGGTTCCCAACCAATGTAGAACAATTCAAGATGAAAACACATCCATTGTGTTTTAGAGTTGGTAGAATATTAGAGACTGGTGACGTGTCACTCATCAAAGCTTATACTCGTGCTACAACCAACGCCACGGTACCACCAGTCTACAACAAACGCTTTTTGGTTGTCTTACCAAACACCATTCGTCGACAATACGAACTGGCAAATGGAAATATTGGATCAACATTTGAACCTACCAAGATTGCAGTTTTAAAAAGACATCCATGGTTGTTGAATAATGATGATGATCAAGATGTATTGGATACACTGGTATTGAATCAATTAGAGTTGGAATATGGAGAGATGAAAGATGTCAAAAGATTACAAGATATTATAAGGTTGGAATTGGATACTGCAGTGTCTCGAGGTGGTGGTGTTGGTCGGGTGGAAGATATTATTCGTCAAATCATACATATCAAGACACAAACATCCGATCGTAACAAGAGAGCACTACCATCGTCGGTAGGGTTGTTGGATGCTGTTCCTCGACGAAACCAATACAACACTAAACTGACGGGACAGTCCTTTACACCGACCATCTATCATGCCATCATATCAATGTGTACACTTGACCAAGTCAAATTTGCCACCTCTTTGATGGACCCAACCACCATCAAACAACCAGTCTACCAAAAACACACCTTTATCATGATACTTGGAAGAAAGGATAGCCAAGCAACAGACGTGTTCAAATACCTAGACGACAATGATTTGTTAAACACTGAATTTTTGTTTTCAACTATGATGTCGTCTAGATTCTCTTATTTAAGAGTGTATACGCCCGATATGCTCAAATTGGCACTTACCAAAAGTAAACTCTTTTCAAGTTGGAGTATGTTTCTACCTCCGTCTTGGTCGGTTGGTCAATCTGGTAGATCCTCTATCATGACACGTGAATTGTTGGACTTTTTAATTGACAATCATGCCATCACACATGTCTCTTCTAAATTGATACTTGGACTCTCACAATTACGTGACCGTGGTCTATTAGAATACCTCTTTTCAAGATTCCCCAAACAACAACGATGCTTTGTCCCTATTCATCAACCTGGAGCAACCACATTTATCCGATTGATTTGTCAACGATTTAAATACATTCAGATTGGTATCCGAGGTATAAATGCAATCATTGCAATGAATTCAGATGAAATGTTTAAATTGGTTATACCTCAACTTCACAAACAAGATGAAATTAAACTATTGAATGATGGTATGTCTGAAAGACAAACAAATAAATAAATAAATTGTAAATAAATTAATTAACTATCAATCAAAGTGTCATGTCTTTTCAACTACAATAAATTCAGATTGTTGAATGTTTTGATACCTAATATGTCAACAATTTATTTATTTACTCTTGTCATACTAAACTTGGAAATCACCAATCAACTTGAGTGTGATTGAAAAAAAAAAAACAAAAAAGGTAGAAAAGGGTAGGTGGTAACCTATCATGTGTTTTCACGTGACAGCGACCTGTATAAAGATGTAAAAGTAGAAATGCACACATATCGACCAACAGCAATCAGTAATCAGTTAGAGATGGGTTAATAGATCAATATGTGTGAGTGTGAAAAACAGCATCTATCCATCCATCCTATCCAATTGCAGTGAGACAGAGATGTGGTTGAAACAAACATAAAATTGGAGAGTGTGTTGATATCACTTTTAATAACCACCTCTAAATTCTTTTTTACATGTTGTGATGATGGATAGCCGCCATCATAGATTAGATATAAAACAATCAACTCAAACACATCAGTGCTCCTCCTCTTTCATCTGATTGCATGTGGTTGTTGCAATATTGTTTCATCAACCATGGTCACCAGAGAGAGTATAGAGTCATATTACAACTCTATCTCAAGGTGGTGGTGGTGGGTATGAATGGATGGAATGGAATATATTATATTATAATATATTATAAACAATTAAAATATTTTAATTTAATTTAAACCATGGTTGGTTTGGTGAGGAATATCATCCAAATCAAATCACACAAACAAGCAAGTGGAAAAGCCAGAGTGTACAATAATAATAATAATTATAATATTTATTCTATTACAACTATAGTAGTTTTATTTATTTATTCACTCAATCACTCTCTCTCTTTCTATTTGTTTAAAATTTTATCTCTATTTTAAAACAAATAATAATGGAGATTACATTTTTTAAAATCATTTTAACAATACTATTGTTAAATAATATCAATAGATTCTATCAAAACCATGTTATGGCATCGATGATTTGGCACCAATATTATTCTAGTGGTGGTCATTCATCGATGGGTGGTCATCCAATAGTCAATGATTTTGTCCAATCTCAAAGACTTGCATTGAATATCACTGTTGATTGTAATCCCATCTTTATTGGTGACGACTATATCATTCCAGTACGTGTTAGTGACGGTATCATCTTTGAAAAGTATGACTTTAACGATATCAAGATCTGGTCATCCAACTTTAAATTCCCAATTGAAGTGACCACAGTCACCACTGTCGTCGGAGGTGATGTTATCAATGGAACTGGTGGTCCAAACAATACAGTTACCACTCAACAATTACAAGCTTCATTTAAATTCTCTTTGGCCACTAAAAATGGTAGAATCTTTATTCTCTATCATGATATCTATAGATTAATTGCTATTTCGTATGTAAAAAAAAACCAAACAAAAAACTAAACAAAAGATAAATAATAATCCTAACTTTTTAAATCTTTTTTATTTAATTCTCTTTGTTTACTAGATCTGAAACTGGAGATTATTTATGGCAAACACCAAATATTTCATTTAATGATTGTAGTTATCCACAAATCATAAAAGAGAAATTATTTGTAAATTGTTATCAAAGTGGTAAATCCATCATCTATCATCTCAAAGAGGACGATGGTAGTCTGATTAACCAGATGGATTTAGCTGCCAATTCCAATAGAACCATTGTTACTGCTTTCAACAAGAGAATGATTCATTTCAATCTAGATACTGGTGATGCCATGGCCATTGGTTCATTGTTTTTCGAGGATTCCTCATTGCCATCGGAAAGCAAAAACATCAACGATGTCAATACCACCAACAAAGTCTATGTTTTTGGTGGATCTGACACTTTTACTCCATGTATGACCGATGATTGTTTCTCCTTCTTTTCATGTTCCCACAATGATTCCACTATGATCAATACAGTCAACTTTAATGAAAACGAGAGACAAGATGTTAGATTGGATAATGGTGGTTGTTCAAAGATTACTGAAGCCCGTGTTGCCAGAAATGAACATGACCAAGTATTCTTTTTCTTTAACAAACTTCAAGATAATATCCCTTCATTCTCTCTTGGTATGGTTCATGCTGGTAAAGCTCTTCATATTTATAGTGCTTCAAATGTAAGTAGAAATTGAAAAACAAAATATATTCTATAAATATTTATTTATTTTTTCTTTATTTTCTTTATTTATAAACTTTTAGGAAAGAATATTAGATATTGCATTATCATATAGAGATGAATCAAGATCATTTTTATATGTTTGTACACCAAGAAGATTATTGATGGTTTCATTATCAGAGACTAGAGAAGATACAACCAAAGAATATGGATTTGGAAATGATTTCTATCTCAGTCAATGTCATATTGCAGCCGGTTCCAATCAACTCTTGGTCTACACTACCAATGCTACCGATGGTCAAACTGTAGTAATGAGACTACGTGACTCTGTTTGTATCGAACCATGTTCTGTCAATTCTACCGGTTCGTTCAAATGTACCGATCATGGATGTGATTGTATGACCAATTATTATCCAAAGGGTCAATGTGGTACCTATTGTCAAATCGGATTCACTTGTGTCAATGGTGAATGTGATGATCAAGGAAGATGTTCTTGTCATTCACAATGGGCTGGTTCCAAATGTGATATTTGTTCAAAGTATTATGTTGGTGAAAAGTGTAATATTCGTAAGTATCATCTGAAAAAAATATAAATAAGCTTGCTTATTAATTATTTTCTCTCTTTGCTATTATTATTATTTAGATGCTGCATGGGTTGCAACAATTACTCTAGTTGGAGTTGTGATTCTAATTGCTACAGTTATATTGATGGCCAAGTTTATCAAGGACAAGGAAGAAGAGATTGAAGAAAAGTTGAAATACACTGAAGAGTACCAAGGCAAGATTCTCAACATGGGCGAACAAGATGAGGATTGACTCTGCTATGATGACTTTGTTGTAGTTAATGGTCCTGTAAAGTAACAACTCAATACATACACCCAACCATATTAATATACTACATAATAATAATAATAATAATGTTTCCACAAATAAATTACTTTACCTATTTTTTTTTTAGTTTATCCATGGTCATGTGTTATGATTGTTCCAACAAACTGCCTCCCATGTTGTAGTGACTGGACAAATCTATCATCTGTGCCTTGCTGGGATTGATCTTTGGAAGACTGACTGATGCTACCACTGCCAATTGTTGTGAATACTGTTGGTGTTGTTGTTGTTGTTGCATCTTTTGCTTATTCTCACTCTCTCTCTTTCTATTTCCCTAACTCAAGATAATAATAATAATAATAAATAAACCTAGATTTGTTTTTGTTTTGATTTTAATTTGATTTTGTTTTGTGTATATAACCCTAACCTATTTATTTCAAGAGTACATGACAAGAGATCTTTAATCCTTCTTTTCAGCCTTCTTTGCCTTGGCCTTGAGTCTGATACCGCAGTACTTAGCCTTAGCCCAGGTGGCTCTGAGGGTGGTGTAGGCCTTGAACTTCTTCTCTTCTTCAGTAACCTTACGTGGGGCTTCAGTGACAACTGGAGCAGTGTATGGGAGGACGTTGAGGTTTTGGACGGCAGCTTCTTGTTGTTCCTTGGTGGCTTCAGTCTTGGTTGGCTTACGGCCATTGACTGGGAAGACAACGAGCTTGCTCATGTACTCCTTGAGACGTTGGGAGTTTAATTCCAAAGATTGCTTGGAGAGGTTGGTACGACGGAGATCGACAGAGATACCAACGGAACGAGCATAGTTGACGGAGATCTTAGCAGCCTATTGTGTGTGTTGACATTTAATCTAGTATTAGTCATTTGGTCGTTTTTTTCATTATCATCGACCTGTCCCCCTTTTTTATCGTATCTACTCTTCTCTCATTCTCTTCTTATTATCTCTTACCTTGATTTCCTCGAGGGTGAAGCCCTTACCTTCTCTGGACTTAATGTTGTAACGGACGGTTGGACAACGAACGATTGGCTTGAGGGTGGTAATTGGTCTTGGGAAGACCTTGGCGGCCTTGGCGACACGGGTGTTGTGACGTCTTTCGGCACGGGCTGGTTGGTTGAACCAGGTGCGGACACGCATCTGCCAGTGCTTACGGAGATGGATGTGTTGGATTACCTTATTGTGACGCATAGGCATGATGGGCGGCTATATCTGTCTGTGTGAGTGGGTGATGTAAGTAGTAGGTATAGGTAGGGATGAGAGTACGTAAGGAAGAAAATGTTAGAGTTTCGGGTCAAAATATTTCAGCCTAAAAGATAGAGATACACACCTCTTGGAGCTAATTACTAAGGGGCTATAGAATTACACGACGCTTTCATGTGACAATAGCGAGTCGTCAGCTGCTCACCCAATTGTCCATTTTTTGATTTTTTTTCGTTTTTTGAAAATGAAAATTATTGCCTCTCACTATAGCAGTGCACAATGATTGAATGTCGTTGTGTCAGTCGGTACTTCTTTGGAATGATCATTACGCAAAGTAATATTATTATTATTATTATTATATAATATATGTTTATATATTTATTTAAAGGGAGGGTTTTCGTTTTATGTATTTGTGTGAGTGAGAGAGAGAAGAAGAGGTTATATGATTATTTGTTGTTGAATGGATTGGGTAGAGATAAGATGATAGATTTTAATGGAAACCAAACTGGAATATTGAATTTAAATATATCATATGATTGTTTCCCAAATACTCTATCTATCTATTTATCTATTTATCGTTTGGGTTGTTTTGGTTGAATAATGAAAAGAGGTTAAATCTACAATGATAATGGTTTGGTTGTTGTTGTTGGGAAAAGGCTGTAATTTTCGTGTGATTGGTTGGTTGGTTATATTTTGAATTGCATTTCGATCCGATTGATTAATTGAATAAATAATAATATCAAATGTATATAATCTTTATCTATCTTCTTCTTGCTTGATTATTTTCAGAGGTTGGAGTATAGTTGAGTCTAAATATGAGGTCAATCGGTCAGGTCACTTGTTAGTGTTTTCTATATATTTGGGTTGTTGTTGTTATCCTATGATGATACGTACAATTTTTCGATAAGGTCGACATGAGTAAGCAACATACGTCTACAACAGTATCTACTCAAATTTAAAGCATCCAAAGCATCACTATATATTAGATTTGATGTGATCGATGATGATGATGATGATGATTATGAATGTTAGTTCTCTCTGTACACGTGATCTATTGTCTACCACTACTATATAGACTACTACTACTACATACCCTTCAGTATATTCACTATTCAACAAATTCAAGTAGGTCTCCCATTTATTACCAATAACCTTTCCACAAGTGAAACAACGAACTGGGATAATCATTCTTCTTCTTCTTCTAACCTACTACGACTACTACTACTACTATGCTACGAGTTCTAATTGTATCGAACTTGTTGATTCTAAATGGTTATAAAAGGAGTGAAGACGACAATGATATCGATACTCTGAGCAAGAGATAGTGATAGTCCGCTTATTCGTTAATTTTGAATTTTTTCGATTTTTTAATAAATTACAAAATGGAGAAGACGAGACAATTGAAAGAAAGTAGTCGAAACAAAACAATATTATTAATTATAGCAATCATATACTACTATAGTATATACTACTTATAATATTTATATATATATATATATAGTCATGCCAAAACCAAAAAAGAAAGGAGGACAACAAAAAGTTGTAACAAGAGCAGCCAAGTTTAGAAGTGGACATATAAAGATTAGTAAAAAGGTGAATCTCACCGAAGAAGAGACACGTTTTAGAAAGCAAAAGTTGGGTGGCAACAAGATTGAAGAGGATCAGAGAAAGTATTTCCTCAATGCCATGCAAGAGGTAAAGGATCTTGCAAAGTCATCGCTCACTAGAAAGGTCCGAAGAAACATGGACACTGAAAAGTTGATCGATCAAGGTAGAAAGGTGCCCACTCAACAGACACCATTGGCAACACTTCAACTTCAACGTTCAAAGGAACGTACCACCTATAGTCTTAGAATGCAAGATGCCATCGTTCATGGAAAACCAATGCCCGCCAAACCAGAGTTTATGAAAACAAAAGAAAAAAGAGATACTCGTGCATTGGATGTTCATGGTGGAAAATATACCAAAGGTACTTTACATTTGGGTAAAAGAGATATTAAATCTGCTTTCAAATAATAATATATTAAAAATAATAATAATTAATAATAATAATGTAAATAATAATAATAATAATAATAATAATAATTCCAACCATCCATCAATCGAGATTATCTTTTCTTTTTCCCCATCTTTCTATAATATATTTAAATAAATTATTTGTCATGTTTAGTTTATATATATTAATGTTTTATTTTAAAAATGGAAAAAGGATTTGTTGTTATTATTTAATTGATTTGATTTTTAATTTAATTTATCACTATCAAGGTTTTCAAATTGTTGAATAAGTTGATCCTTATTCTTTTCACGTAATAACTTGGCATATTCCAAAACATTCTTTTGTCTTTCAATTTCTTGTAATTCCATAGACTAGAGAGAGAGAGAGATGTAATTGTTAGTTTATATACATTCTATTATTATTATTTTGATAGTTTACATTAATTTCTTCAAGTTTAAGTTTAGCAAAATCAAAGAGTGGAGAATTTTCACCGGGTTGATAAAAGAATCTAGAGGTACGAGTCTTTTTGAGACGTGGATCGACATCTTGAGCAGAGAGGAGGTATTCACGTTGTTTGTATAATCTGTATTTGACTTCTTCGAGATCTTCGAGGTCTTGAGTAGAGATGTAGTCGCTGGTTTCTTGGTCGTCTTCACGTTCCTCTTGTTCCTCTTGTTGACGGATTTCAGCAATCTTGTTGCGGACTTGGATGATTTTTTGGGTGACTGTTTGGAGATCGACAATGTTTTCTGGAAGGTCGTCGGTGTACTTGGCGAGCAACTCGTTCTTTGGGGTGGATAGTTGTTCGTCGACCATTTGATCGAGTGACAATTTACCACGGCCTGGTGCACGATTGAGCATCTTTCTAGCGATGGCACGTGCCGACAAGGTGCCAGTCTTGAGGAGACCTTGACGCATCATCTTTGTCTTTTCCTCGGCCTCTTCCTTTTCCTTTTGTTTCAACATCTTTTCTTCGTGTGCGTCATACTTTACACGATTGATCATATCCATCAAATCAGAGCTGGCTGCTTCAAATGCCTCCTCTTGATCCATCGAGTCGATGGGACGATCTGTGTTGGGTGATGTCAAAACGCCAATGTCATCGACCAATGTCTTGATCTCTGGACGGATATCACCGTGCAAATTGATTTGTGGAGCATGTGTAAGACGTTCCAATATCTCTGAACTACGAATAGTCTCCCAATCTACCTTTTCTCTCTTTAATTCGTTATACACTCTTTTTGATACCAATCTTTTAACATAATATCTCTTTGATATCGATATTCCCATATCAACTGTATGATTTAATTTTAATACTGATCTAATCATCTTTTGAGTTAAACTAATTTTATATATATATAGAAAAGAGAAGGAGATGAAGAAGGTAGGTATAGTATAGTACACACAAATTTGATCTTTAGTGCTCTTCTTCTGCAAGCGAAAGCTGAATGATCATTGAATGCAAAAAAAAAAAAAGAAAAAAAAAAATTAAAAAATTCCCCTCTCCTCTCGTTTTTTTTTTTTCCACTTTTACTTTATCTAACTTTATTTTCTCTCTAGTTATTTATTTATCCTTTCTTATTATTATGATTTTTGTTTTTTTTTTTTAGATCAATTTCTTATTATTTTCATCATTATATTTTCTCCAAAAAACAAAACCAAAGATAAAGATTGCTTGAACAAACAAGAAATAAGCCCAGAAACCAAAAGAAGTTTGTTTTTCAATGGTGTAGGTGAGTTCGTTGGCGTTCATTTCAAGGTTGGAAGCAATCTTTTGGGTATCACGTTGAGTGCTATCGAGGATACGACGGAGTCCGTTTAGGTTTTGGGTGAGTGATTCGAGTTGTTTGTTGGTGTCTTGATCTTGATTGTTGAGACGTTTGTTGACAATGGCCTTCATATCATTGATCGATCCCTTTAATTCGTTAAAGTCCTTTAAAAAGTTGTTTTGCTTTTGATCATAAGAGTTTTTAAAGTCGTTAAACTCCTTTTTGGTCATGGCAGTGCCGGCCAACGATACCAAAGCTTGTCCAATGTTGTTGACTTGATCACGGAGACCATCTACTGATTTTTTGGTTTCATCTTCATCCAATTGTGAGTGTAGGTGGTTAAGTGATTCCTTTAATGATTCAACCTTTGTAATAAGGTATGGTAATTGTTCATCTCTTGGAATATCTTTGGCTGAAACTGTTGATTGTTGTTGTTGATTCATTTGTTGTTGTTGTTGTTGTTGTTGTTGTTGTTGTTGTTGTTGTTGAGTAGCTTGTTGTTGTTGTTGTTGATAATAATTATTACTTTCTTGTTGTTGAGCTTGTTGAAGTTTTAAAGCCAAATCATTGATTTGTTGTTGTAATTCATCTTGAGTTTGAGTTGGTTTTTCTCCATTATTATTACCACCCCAACTATCCTTTTGCTGTTGTTGTTGTTGTTGAGCTTCTTCTTCATCTTTAATTCTTTGTTGATGTTGTTGGAGTTGTTGTTTTTGATGTTGTTGTTGTTGTTCGTAAAAGTTGGCGGGTGGATCGAGCGAGTAGGTTTCGAGAGAGTAGACATCGTGGTTGTCGTGGAGACCACCGGTGGCGGCAGAGAGACCGAGGGTGAAGCCGGTGGGGATGGAGAGACGGAGGTCAGAGACACAGGCGTCAAACGAGCCAGACGAGTTGGGGTCGATTTGCACCGAGAGCACACCGTTAAAGTATCTGATCTTGGCCTTGGCATTCTTGGTGGCACTTCTAAACTTGCTGGTGCAGCTGCCCAACTTCATGTTGAGACCGTCCTTGGTAGTGTCAAAGAATTGGTTGCCGTCGTTGTAGACAACGTTGACGAGTGGGTTGTCGCCGTTGGCATTGTTGTCAAACGTGTCAAACATGATGGCCAAACCCTTCCAGAGGTTACGTGCGCCGTACACCTCCTTTTCCTTTTCGGGGGTGAGTGGCTCGTTGTTGTGGCGACGGTCAATCAACCAAAAGGCAATACCGTCGGCACCCAAACGCGAGGGTCCGCCAATACGCATGTCGAGGACAACCTCCCAGTTGACAAACTCGAGGTTCTCAGTGTTCCAAATGCTGCCATGAATACCCTTCATGTCAGACGTCAAACGAATATAGTCTTCGGCAATGATGGCATCACCGTAAATGTCCCAATACAAAATACCAGACGACGTGGGCATGAATGGTGACTTGAACGAATGACGATCCTCTCGACGGATAACCATCGGCTGTCCACCATTGTTATATTGTTGTTGGTTGTTGTAGTTGTTGTTGTTGCCAAAGTATGCATTGGCCGATGATTGCATAAATGCCACCAATGTGATTGAAACAATCAAAAGTGAATAAATGAATCTCATCTAAAAAGAACCATAGATAGATAGATAAGTGTATATAGGTTAATAAAAGTGTCAATCAAACAAACAAACAAACAAATCAACAACTGTCGATCTAAATTCTATTTTGTCTCTCCTCTCAACAATCAATCATAACTAAACATACCTTTTAGGATTGAATATTAATCTTTTCCTACTCTTTCTAGATAGATAGATAGATAGATATTGTTATTTTGATGTATACTATATATTGAAGAAATAAACTGGTTTTGATGATGATGTGTGAAGTTGGTCAAACTCTTTAAAAAAAAAAATTTAAAAAAAGAAAAAGGTCAAACAAGGAAGATGAGGATTAGTGTTTTGAGTGTGTACAGAGAGGAGTGACTCAGCATCACCTTGAAGGAATGTAATATTGTTGTTGTTGTTGGATATATGTATATATATTTTAAACAATATGTTATTACAACTAGATCAAGAATGTAAAGATATAGATATAGATGAAATGGATACCATGATCCAACAAGAACGTATAGACAATAAAAGAGATATTTTATCTATCAATACTTCTCTTGTACAAGATGAACAAGAACAAGAGGAAGAAGAAGAAGAAGAACAAAATATGATGATTCAATCAACAACAACAACAACAACAACAATGATATCAAGAGTATCAAATCAAAGATGGTTTCAATTTATATATGGACATCATTATGGACCATTTATAACACTTTTAGTTGTATTTCTATTCTCTGCCATCATGAATACCATTACAAAGTCAAAGACATTCTTTTTCATTCAAGTATTGTCATTGTGGGCTATTGGTGTATCGGTACATGAATTTGGTCATGCTATCGTTGCTGTTATCGGAGGTGACACCACAATAAAAGAAAAAGGTTATCTATCATTAAACCCTTTTGCTACTATTAATAGGTTTGTAATATTACAAAAAGAAAAAAGAGATATTTAAAACTATTTATTTATTAATCTTTCTTTTTCTTTTTCTTTTTCTTTTCTTTCATTTTAGATACTTTACAATTATAATACCAATACTATTAATTTCATTTGGAGGAGTTTCAATGGGATTACCATCAGGATCAATTGATTTTGATGAAACCAAGTTATATATTAGATCACCGTATTGGGTGAGTGCAGTTGGTATGGGTGGTATGGCCATGTCATTCTTTTTTAGTTTACTACTAAGTAGTCCTTTTTGGAGTGGTTACTATGCCATTGTTGTTGGATTACAGGAAAGTTATTTCTTATTTGCATTGGCTTGTTCAGTCTATTTAGAAGTACAATCCATTCTATTCAACTGTATTCCATTACCACCTCTTGACACTTATATTGCCTTGTCTCCATTCCTACCTCAAATAGTTCGTAATTTCTATCGTACACATGCACAAAAGTTAGATGTTGGGTGTTTACTAGTATGCTCAGTGGTTCTCTATCAATGGGGTGATTTCCTATGGGACTTTACACCAGCCATCACTTCAGATCTATTTGAAATTCCAAATCACTATATTCATCAAGCTCTCAATATATTCTATATACCTACTTTATTTGGTTCTGTTCCTCCTCCTAATTAAAATGGAATAATAAATAATAAATGATCATTTTAAACCACCGAATATCTCCCCATTAATTTAAATTTGGCAGAGAGGGAAGGCCAACTCTCATCATCGGATCGCCATTTTTGTTTTCTACTTTTATTTTTTTTAATTTAATTTTATATACATCTTCTTCTCCACTCCGTTTTCAAACTAACTAGTATTCCATATTTATTCAACAAAGAAGAGAGAGAATAAATAATAATTATTAAAATTTAAATCTCATCTTATCTCTTCCAACACCCTTCATACACACACCACTCATTGTAACTTTTAAAAAAAGTCATCATCAAATATATATATAGGGTTGGTTAAAGTAATTCTAATCATTCACCATTTTTATTATTATTATTATTATTAATATTCTATTTGAACTATGAAAAATAATTACAAGTGTCTAGTTTTCATTTTCATCGCTCATTTTGTTTTAGTTTCGAGTAGTAATAGTAATAATGATATAAAGATAAATATAAAAGATAATAATAATAATCAATATAGTGTTGATCAATTTAGTTCTTCGGGAACATTAACACCACCAGAATATGATATAAATTATCAAATACATTCATGGAATGATTTAGATGAATGGCATCAAATGTATAGAAAGGGTGTGGTGTGGAACAAGGTGGATTTACATTACATGTCACCAGAGTATTGTATCGATAGTAGTGGTCGTGGTAACCCATTGGGTTGTTTTATCTTGTCGCATGACATCCCTTCACCACTGACTGTACAGTACAATACATCGATTGATCTATTGGCATGGATCACTGGAGAAGGGTCCAATTACTATGGTACCGATTCCTCGACGATTAAACATATGGCACTATGTTTTAAATTGGACAAGTTGGGTGCTTGTGACTTGGGATCAAGTGCATTCCGTTCATTGTTGATCGAACTCATGTCCAACATTACATCGTTGCAAGAGAATGGTGTTGCACCCAACCTACGATTCCTACTCGACGGTAATGGTGTACCTTTAAACTGTCTGTCTCAGTCTCTCCAACCATACAATGCAACGTGGGTTGGTAAACCATGGGATGCACGTAATGACAACAATGCATCGCTTGGATATGATCGGTTGGTCGTTGCTGACTTGCCAATCGACTCTTTGGTGCCTGACTTTTGGCCAGATGTAATGTGTTCACGAGATACACCCTATTTCAAGTTTCTCAACGGTCAATACCCCGTTCTAGTGTGGGAGCCGTCCGATCAACGTACCATCCAATCGGTAGCATCAACCTATGTCGGATGCATGTCTCTACACAACACACTTCAATTCCCACAACTATTGTTTGCATCAAATATCGATCCCGCCCAATTCCAAAGTTACCTAGCAACCACCTCTTCCAACCATTCTTGGAATATTCATTTAAACGAACAAAATAGTTATGGTGTTACTATCAAATCAAAGATTGTCGTCTATACACTGACTGATGGTATGCAATACCATATTGTCTTGTCTTCCAACTCTACTACATCAAATTACTCGTACGGACTACTCATCTCCAAAGGTATCCACGGTCAAGTTGAACAAGTTGGTTCATACACACTGGAAATGCTCGATGGCAAGATAGACACGATCGTATCTTCTTCTATTATCTATAATGTAGATGGACAAGACTACCTCTATATCTATGATAATCTTGGAGGTTATATAATCTACTCGATTGATACTACCACTCAATATCTTGGTTTCACACCCATTGTATTTGGAGTTTTACAGGCAGATACACAAGACTTGTTTGTTTCTAGTTCGTTGGAATACCTGTCACACGACGCCTCCACCAACACTCTACAAATGCTTCAATACTTTAGTACTGATAGTTGTGCTCTTGGATCGACCGTATGGAACATCAGTCTCACTCCAGGTCAATACTACCTCCAACTATCACCAGTCACTTGTCTAGTATCAAATATCAACATTGATTCAAAATCCTTTATTATCACTCCCTCTACAACTATTTCATCAGTTACCACAAGCAATAGTCATACTAGTGACAATACTACTTTTACAAATTGTTTATATGATTCAATTGTAGTATTTAGTAGTAAACATTCAATACTATCAAATGTAATTATGGGTGGTCATGTTTGTATTTTACATAATACAAGTTACTCGCATGGATCACAATACTATAATATTTCGCTACAATCCAATTTAGTTGTACTTGATACTGGTGTTACTCCATCAATGTCGATTGCCTATAATCCAACCGATTCTAAACCACATTTTATGATGGTACATGGTGGAGGGTATTGCTACAACACCGAAATACACAACAAACGTTCATCGCCACGTGTATGCGAGTCTACTCCAACACCTTCTATCGACTCGCAAGTATTAAACTATATCTATGGTAGATTTGATGATTTGTTGGCACATATTTACAACGACACTGGGAATCAAATCAACTATATATCATCTTGTGATCGACATCTTGTACGAGGTGTCTATAACCATGGATCTAATCCATCGACCACTTTGTTTGTCACTACCGACCAAGACCAACAACCAACTCTGGGAGTCATTGCATTACACCAAGGTGTTTCTCCAACCTATCTTGACATGTCAATTTGTGGCTCCCCGATTCCATTCAATGGTTTAATTTTAAATAGTTGGAGTATATTCCCAAATCTTTTAGATTAAAAAAAAAAAAACCAACACATAACTAAATAATATTAATATTACATAATAATAATAATAATAATAATAATAATAATAATAATAATAATAATAATAATAATAATAATAATAATAATAATAATAATAATATTAATAATAATATTAATATTAATATAATATCAGATCGATAAGTAATAGAATAAACAATAATAATAATAATAATAATAACATTATTAATTTTTTTTATAAACCATTGTAATATTACACCACCACGAATACGATAAGTTATACAACATCTTGAGAACGAATGAAATTCAATTCAATTTGTCCATGTGGATAGACAATTGTTTGAACCAAAACCTAAGTTTATAAACACAAACAAATTAATTTCAAATAATAAATTTATAGTAATTGACTCTATTAGAGTTCTTTATACATATACATATATATATTTCTAGAATCAATTAAAGAACTTGAATCATGTCAAAAAAAGAACCAAGTATGTTTTTTTCAAGGTTCCCGAATGGGACCATTTCGAACATCAAACAAACAATTTAATTTAAATAAAGGGTTTTCATGAGGTGGGGTTAAAACGGGAAAAATATCACAGCACTCATTGATTGTGTAGAGAGTGTTGTTTGTTGTCCCTTAGTGTTAACATCACTTTACTTTTATTTCAAAATCATTTATTTATTTATCTAAATCTAATCTTCTTTATCTTTATATATACAATGTCATTAGATTTACAAGCATCAGAAGGAATATCAAAAACAGATCTAGAGAACCCATTGACTGTTGTCATTGTTGGTGCCTCTGGTGATCTGGCAAAGAAAAAGACATACCCTGCTCTCTTTGGTCTATACTGTCGTAATTTGTTACCAACTCACACTGTCATTCTAGGTTATGCTAGATCTCACATTGAAATTGGTGAATTTAGACAACATCTTCGCAAATAGTATGTTTTTATATATAGTTATAGTTATAGTTAGTAATAGTCTTATATATTAATATATATTTGTTTAGTTTAAAAGGAGATGAAAATCAAAAGGAACAATTCTTGAATATGTGTTACTATCATAGTGGATCGTATGATAAAAAGGAGAGTTATGATCAATTTAATTTGGATATTCTTGAACAAGAGAAAAAGCTTGGTCAAGAAACAAACAATCGTCTCTTTTATATGGCCATTCCACCATCTATCTTTGTTCAAGTTGCCAAAGGAATTAAACATTCTTTAATCTCTCCTGTAAATATTAACAAACAAAACTTGACAATCAAACTTGAATACTTATACTTTTTTCTTTTTCTTTTAATTTTTTGTAGAATGGATGGTCAAGAGTAATTATTGAAAAACCATTTGGTAAAGATTTACAATCATCACGTGAATTGATTGGAGAATTGAAAAAGTTGTTTGTTGAACGTGATCTTTTCCGTATCGATCATTATCTTGGTAAAGAGATGGTACAGAATCTGATGGTACTCCGTTTTGCCAACGCCGTCTTTGAACCATTGTGGAGCAAGTCTCACATTTCATCGGTGATGATTACCTTTAAGGAGGATATTGGTACCGAGGGTCGTGGTGGTTACTTTGACCAATTTGGTATTATTCGTGATGTCATGCAAAACCATCTTCTTCAAGTCTTGTCGTTGGTTGCCATGGAGCCACCTCTTACACTCTCTGCCGAAGACATTACCAACGAAAAGGTTAGACTCTTGAAATGCATCACTCCCATCCAGTTGAATGAAGTCGTTCTCGGTCAATACACTGCTAGTCCAGATGGAAAACAACCAGGTTATCTCGATGATGCCGGTGTTCCAAAGGACAGTCTTTGTCCAACCTATGCTGCCGCCGTCTTCCACGTCAACAATCCACGTTGGAGAGGTATTCCATTCATCCTAAAGTGTGGCAAGTCTTTGGATCAAAGAAAGACTGAAATCCGTATCCAATTCAAGAGACCTGACAACTTTTTATTCAAAGATGAAGATATCTCAAGAAATGAATTGGTCATGAGAATTCAACCAGGTGAAGCTGTCTATCTTAAATTATTAAATAAGAAACCAGGTTTGAATAATGTAAGAAGAATAATATCAATAATTATTATTATAAGTATTTTTCTAATACTTTTTTTTTTGTTTTAGAAAATTGAACAAACTGAATTAGATTTATCATATCGTAGTAGATTTGAAAATTTGGATTTACCAGATGCTTATGAACGTTTAATTTTGGATTCAATTAAGGGAGATCATAGTCTTTTCGTAAGAGACGATGAATTGGATGTTGCATGGCAAATATTTACTCCACTTCTTCAAGAGATTGATAGATTGAAAATTGTTCCAGAAAAGTATGAATTTGGAAGCAGAGGTCCAAAATCATCTGATGAATTGGCTAAAAGAGTCGGTTTCCTAAGATCAACTGGATACAGTTGGCCAGGTCATAGTAAGAAATGAACCACAAATAACAACAATATTCAATCTAAATTATAAACAATAATAATAATTAATTAATAATAATAATACACAAATCCACAAAACAACAACAACCAACAGGTTAAAATTTAAATCAAATAAAAACATGTAATTCTTCTTTATCCAAAACAAATTATATTTATATATTTATATATATGCCTCTATTTTTATTTGTTTATTTATTTTTTTTAGACACCTAAAACCATTTTAAGACCATAAAAAAAATCTTTTTGATCAATATTATTAATATTTAGATTTAATTCATTTGTAATGTATTGTAGAAATGGTTGATTGGATTCTTGAATGGCTTGTTCTACGAGATTTGTCAATGCAAAGGTAAGGATTGATATTTAAAAATGATTTTACCAAGGAACCAAGTTCTACCATACCGTAGACAAAACTTTGGTGATACGGCCGTACTATAGAGGTTATCATTGATATGGTTGATGAAAACACCAAAACGGTCAAAATCATTAACACCAATAATACTTTGAAGAGCCTTATCAACTCCACTTGTCATTGGATATTGCGTGTTTTGTTCATTTTCACTTGAAAGAGCTGCTATTTGATCAAACAATCTATAGTTGGCTGCTCTAATAGCTGCGCCCAATGCATACAAAACACAACATTTTTTGGATTCAACCAAATACAAGACTAGTTGATTGTTGTAATGGTTGTTGGATCGACATAAATCTGTTAGGTTTGAATGTTGATATGATTGGTGATATGATGGATGACCTCCTGCTTGAATGAGTGTCATTGCAAGTATACCAAATCTAGGATTTTTAAAATCTTTTGATGTTAGTGTAGTACTCTACCTATAGAATATATATTATTATTTTTTTATAATAATATATATTCTATATATCCAACTATGTTGAATTGTTTCTGGATGATTTTTGACCAAATACCTTATCGATGGCAAGTCACCAATTGAAATCGATGTCTTCCATTGTCCAATAACTACTTCCTCTGTCAGAATACCAATCTCTAATAGATATAAAAATACATCTTCCTCGAAACATTCTGGTTTTGTTATTCTAAAAGACGTGGCAATAGATGGATCAAGTTGAAGGAGTAGTTTGAGTTGATCCAATGTAATATGTTGATGTATAAAACTAGCAATTTGTTCCAATTTTGATATACTTTGACCTCCACCAAGAAGATACATGAAAACCAACCGACTAACAACTCCAAGTCTAACAACCGATTTAATTAATTGATTATGTACTAATCCAATAGTTTCCAAGGAATGATTATTTTGAAGAAGTGATTCATAACCAAATATCATATTGTAAATAGGTTGATATATATGACGATTATTACAATCAATTTCTTTCATAATAGTTCTAACTTGAGTATCCAATATATTGATATTATCTTGTTGTTGAAAAATCCAAGGTAGAGCTTGACAAACTTTTAAAAAGTATGATTCATTATTTTTTAACTCTTTGTGCATATTTTCTATTGACCAATTGTAACTGTTATTATTGGGTATAGCCAATAAAGGATATCCTTGAATGATATGAGATGGTTCAGTATTGAGAAACAATACTGGTATTATAAAGTTGTTGATAAATTTGGTTGGTTCAATTGTACTCTGTCTGAAATAATTTTTGATTAAATATGTGTCCAATGTACATATAATAGTCATTCCATCGATATAATCTGCTATTGAACCAACTCTAGAGCAAAAGTATGATATGACTTGAGGATTCTCTGATTTACATTTGTATTGCTCGTCGTGCCACGATAGACTTGAAATATGTCAATAAACTTGTCCAAATATTGAACCAATTCAAGTGATCCTGAATAGAACGCATTTTCAAGTGCATCTCTTGTGATTGGATTGCTGTTGTTACTCGTGGACAGTGATACCAATAACTTGACCACATCCAGACTACCACTAAAACATGCCAAATCGATACAATTATCTACTTGAAGGAATTCAGTCTTGAATCGATTGAACAATTTGACACTGAGTGCAATATCTTTTGTTTTAAATATATCTTGAATGAGTTGTCTTAATTCAATGATACGATTATCTGAAGACTCGTCCAATACCGAACCCATCCTTAGTGTATCATCTCTATCCAACTTGTAATGTAATAGAGTAGTATAACCATTTGATAACATCCATTGCACCTCGATTGCATTCTCGTATTTATAAATGATTGGAATATGTATCAGTGCAAGTGTACCTATACGCTCTACCGACACTTGATGAATAAAATATTGTATCCTCGTCAACAAGTATTTACTATGAATGACTCTTTTAAATGTCATCATCTTTAATTTATCATCTTCATTATTATAGTTTGACATTAAATAATATATAATATATATAGTTGATGAAGATAGATTATATAATATGTATGAAGAGATATAAATAACTACTACTTGAAAAAAATAAATTAAAATTAAATTGCTTTCTGTGAAGTGTCAAAACACGAACTATCTTTCTTTTTCTTTTTCATTATTGTCAAGTCGATTTAATGTTTAGATAGATAGACAAAGATAAAGATAAAGATATGCCAGTTTGTGGAAACAATAGTTGTGACAAGGAATATGATGAGACAACTTTAGATCAATGTTGTTATCATCCAGGTAGCGCTATCTTTCATGACGGTATGAAAGGTTGGAGGTAGGTCAGAGATATTGAAAACAAATATGAAAGAGGAAGATGAAAGAAGAAGAAAGGAAGAAGAGTGAGATAATATACAGTATATATAATCTACTTTTATGATATATATAACTAATACATTTCATTTCTATTATTATCTTCTATAGTTGTTGTTCAAAAAGAGTTATAGAGTTTGAAGACTTTTTACAAATATCAGGGTGTGCATCTGGGAGACATAAAGAAAAGCAAAAGAAAGAACCAACTACTATAGTTCAACACAATCCATCAACATCTTTATCTGCATCGACAGTTGAAACCTATGGCACAAGCAACCCAAAAAACGATAAGTTTGCACCAAAACCAATCTCACAAGCTGAAGCCAGCAAGAAAATTGTACTCCCACCAAAGGAATACGTTGAAGTCAATGACCCAGAAAATGCAGTCATTGCTGTCAATGGTCCTTGTCTCAGACAAGGTTGTAAGTCAGTCTATGTCGATGAATCTTCACGTCAACAAGAATGTATCTATCATTCAGGTGAACCAGTTTTTCATGATGGTTCAAAAGGTTATTCTTGTTGTAAACCTGTAAGATAAGAAAAGAAAAGAAAAGAAAATTAATATTTATTTGTTAATTAATTAATTTATTTTTCTTTCTATTTTTAGAAAGCAGCAATATTTGAAGAATTTTTAAAGATTAAAGGATGTAAAACTGGAAAACATAGATTTGTTGGAGAGAAAAAGGTTCAAGAAAATAGTATAGTATGTAAATATGATTGGTATCAATCGTATGATGCTGTTCATCTTACAATCTATGCTAAACAAGCCAACACACAATTGTCAAAGATCGAATTCACTGACAATCAAACTATCGACATTCACATTGTCTTGAGAGACAATAAGGAATTCAACAAGGTATTGCATTTGGCTGGAACTATTGATACCCAAAAATCAACCATTACCTTTTTATCTACAAAGATTGAATTAAAATTGATTAAAGATCCACAAGTTTCTTTTTCAAAATTGGAACAAGATGAATTGGATTTATTTAGATATCAAGTTTAAAAAAAAAAGAAAAAGAAATAGAAAGAAAAGGAAAATAAATGCACACTGATTAATATTTGTTATTATTATTATTTTTGGAAATAATTATTTATTAAATAATTTAAAGTGTGTAGAGAGTGAGTGGAGTATGTATGTATGTATGTTTATGTGTAGTGATTGATTAAATTAGAGTTTCATTCTCACATCTAATTATTATTATTGATTTATAGTATTATTTACAACAGATTACAAAGTAATTATTATTATTAATTATTATTATTATTTGATTTTTAAAAAAAAGGAAAAAGGATCATATCATATGATATCCTTTACTTCCATTGTTGGGTTCATGTTTTGTTTGTTTCAAGATTATTTTTCTTTTTTCTTCATTATATATTTACAAGAGGGAGGTGGTGGTGGTGGTGGTGGTGGAGGAGGAGGAGGATCAAGTTGTACTATTCTCTCTTTTCTTTTCTTTTCTTTTTTTTTTCTTTTCTATTTTTGTTACAATCCACCAAAAGTATTCTCTCCACTATAAGTGATATAGAGGAAACCATCTTCGTTTTTGTATAATTCATAAATGGTTGATATCTGATTGCTTGATGGCGGAAGGACATTATTATTTACAAAGAGAAAGATGGCGGTCTTGTCATTCATCTGGCCACCAGTCTCTGCAAGATGTTTACGAATCTCCATCAAGAATTTAGAGACTACCATATCGCATGGTGCCAAGAACTTCTTCTTTGGTATTTCGGGTATATTAGAATTTGGTGCTCTTTCAACAATAATCTAAAGGAATAGAAAATGATAGGATAGTAGTGTTAATTATCGAATTTATCATACTACCAACTACAAACACTAACTACTATTATCACTTACTGGTAATCTATCTTTGTATCTATTTCTGATCTTTGCACTAATATGCTTTCTCTTTTCTAGAGAGTATTCATTTTGAAATGATTTAGAAACTAGTGTCATGATGACGATGATGTATGTCTAGTCTAGTATTTATACAATGATAATAGAGTCTATCTATCTATCTTTCTATCTTTCTAACTTATTGAATGTTGGTTGTATGAATATATTATTTTAATATTAAATAATATCTCTTTCTTTCTTTCTTATTCTTATTCTCTTTGTGTAAATAAACCTTTACTAGCAACCTTAGTTGTTGTTGTTGTTGTTTGTTGAATGTATTAAAAAAAAAACAAAATCGTTGTTGACGTATAAATAATTATATATATTTGATATAAAAGAATGAAAAGGAATGCTCTAAAATCCTCTCTTTGTGTTGGTGTGTTGTTTTCTCTCTCCACCACAAATTTAATAATAATATTTTTTTCTATCGCCTCAGGATTTTGCTTCCGTCAGACACGGGAAAGAAAGAAGCAAAGGAAACTTAGACTCAGACCACACAATAATAATAATAATAACAATAATGTGTGATGATGATTATGATGATGATAGGAGATATTTATTATTATCAATTTAAAAATTATTATTATTTATTTTTGAATCTTGTTTGTTCTCGTTCCTCCTATCCTATCACAGTTCACTTTTTAAAACAAAGAGTACTCATTAGCTTGTGTATTTTATATTATAAATTTATAATATTATAATGAAGAGAGAGAGAAGAGAGAGTTGGATCGAGTTTGTTGTTTGCTGTTAAGAGATCTCTCATATTAATTAAAAAATAAATTAAAATTAATTATTATTTCAACGATTCAGCGTATCGATTTTCATTGAACATACCTCATACAATATTCAACAACACATACTCTGTATTTATTTATATCTTTTTTTACCCAAGTACTATATATATCCTCCTCTTGCCTATCTTTTGTAAAGAACTAAAACAACTATATAAGAAATAAGAAGATCGTCCTCTCCTCTTATTTGATTGATAAATAGATCTATTGAAATAAACAATAATAATAATAATAACAACAAACAAAGATTGAACAACCATGAGTACACATTCATCATCGTCCTCATCTTCCTCGTCGTCATCGAGTCATAGTAGAAAGGAGAGTGGTGGTGGTAGTAGTAGTGGTAGTGGAATAGGCAGTAGTGGAGTATCAAGAACTACTACTGGTACATCATCAACATCAACGGGGTCAGGTGTATTCAAGAGACCGACCAGTACGCTATCAAAAGGTTCAACACTCAAACCTACAACTAGTAGTAGTAGTGGTAGTTTAACAAAGGATGCATCTTCTTCAACTCCATCCAAGAATCCATTGTTGGCAGCTGCCTCTTCATCATCGTCACTATCTAAAACATTCCCGGGACCTAAAAAGACATCTACTACCGGTGTGACTGGTACTAGCTCTACATCAAAGGATACATCTGATGGTACAACATCAACAACATCAATCAAACCAACTGATTCTTCTTCTTCTACATCTTCATCATCTTTGACAAGACCTACTGCATCTACATCTACATCTAAAACACCAATTTCATCATTGACAAGGAACAAATCAACCATTACCAAACCAACAACATCTACAACATCAACATCATCAAAATCGACGGATACGACACCAGTTTCATCGTTAACCAAATCAAAGTCTGATTTATCAGGTGTAATGGCAGGAAAGTCTTCATCGACATCATCAACTATTGGAGGACGTACATTACCTTCATCTTCAATAACTACACCATCAAAGTTGACAACATCCAAATCTTCATTGTCATCGACAGCAACCAAACCATTGTCATTGTCATCTGGATCTATTCCTCCTCCAATATCCAACAAACCACCCATAACAACAACACAACACAGTGCAAGTGCATCAAATACACCTAAAACAGAATCTCCTGCATCTGCATCACCTGTATTATCATCTGTACAATCCAACTCTACATCTACAACTTCTACAACATCAACCTCTTCATCTAATCCATCAACTACTTCAACTATATCATCATTATCTAAACCAGCACCAAGTCCAATAAAGAGACCTGCTGGATCATCATTATACTCTTCAGGAGGAAGATCAACATCTATTAGTAGTCCACTCAGACCGTCATTGGGAAGTGGTAGAACACCAACTTCAACATCGGCATCGACTAGTTCGTCATCTAGAGTAACCGACTCTTCTATTCGTGGAGACCCAGCTCAACTACGAGAGAGTATTCGTGCACTCCAAAGAGAACGTGAAGAATTGATGAACAAGTTGACAGATCTAACCAACAAGTCCAACGAAAGAGACACCTTTATCAAAAATCTCAATGGTCAATTGGAAAAACTCAAACTTGATCTCAAGACTGTCACTCATGAACGTGATACTCACAAATCAAGAGCAACAAAATTGGAACAAGAAAAGAGATCATTGGAAGAGGAAGAGACTGACAAGTTGAAACAACGTGTTGAAGAGAGTGAAGCCAAGGCAGAGTTTATGAATGAAAGATTTGCACACTTGCTCACTCGTTATCAAGGTACATTGACAGGTGTCGAACAAAAGATACAATCATACAAATCAGTTTTGGAACAATCCAAACAAGAATATGAAGAAGCAGATAAACTAAGAATCCTATTTGAAGATAACCTCAAACTAAAAGAAAAGGAAAATACATTATTAAAAGTTGAAATGGAATCTATAAAAAATCATAATCAACAATTATTAAGTGATAAATTAATGAATGCATCAAATATTAGTAAAACTTCAAATGGACTAGACCAACAAGCACCTATTCCAATCATTACAACAACAACATCAAAACCAATACCTACACCAAATCAATCATCAACATCACCAAATTTATCAACAGCAAGTAATGCACCTCCATCACCAAAAAAGATATTTGGTATTTTCTAAGACTATACTATAGGCAAACAACAACGTTTAGAAAAGAAAAAAAGAAAAGAAAACAAAAAAAATATGTAAAATAAATCATTTTTAAAAAGATATTAAAAAAAATCAGATATTTGTTGGAACGATGTTTAAACGAATAAAGACAACCCTTCCTTTCATCTTTTGTATCTCTTTCTCTAGTTCTTCTTTCTCTTTGTTTAGATATAGGAAAAATGTCAATATTAGATATACAAAGTATAATATTATATCAAATTATCAATAATGTAGAGAATGATATTGATATTATATGTTTATCATTGACTTGTAAAAAGTTATTCAATTTTGTGACGAATAGTGATCTTGGATCAAAGATTAGATTCACACAAATTAGAAGATTCACAATTGCTGAAAGATTTGCAAGTGTAAACATTCTAGTTGAAAGATTAGAGAGTTATCGTAACTTTAAATCATATACTAAACTTGTAAAGAATGGTCTATCTCATCAAAAGATTATTGATTTGGGTCAAGGTGACATGGACAAAGTAGAGGAAGAGCAACTTGACAACAACAACAACATTACAGAAGTATTAATCCTTGATAATGTATTTTCAAAGGTTATACCAACAACTTCAAGAATCATTTATAATAGTAGAGGATGGATGGGTGATCAATACCCTAGACATTATGGATTGGAAGAATTGACATTTAGTCATGCTGGTAATCTCAAACCCGGACAATTACCAGAAACTCTAAAGAAGCTGTCAATTGGAAACGAGACTACATTGTTACCTGGATGTTTACCACAATCAATTGAATCATTTAGATTTGATTATGGTATAACTTATTCTTTTAATTCTGTGGCATTGGATATTACAACCCTTGCATTTGATACTTACCAAAGTCTCACTCGAATTAATATAGTCGGTGCAATTGCAAATATTGGTCTTAATAATCAACAACCCGTCTTTCCAAACAGTCTCAAATACCTCAACATTCAATTGGATAGTGGCAAGTTTGACGGCACTGCATTCCCTTCGAGTCTAGAGTCACTCACACTCTACTACAATATTGATGAGACGTCACCTGCTGTCACGGTCGATCTCAGACCACTCGTCCATTTAGATCGTCTAGATTTACAAATAGAGTATACTCGTGACGAGCGGGAATTAGAGTGTTTCAAACTACCAGACAATATTACCAAACTTGTATTGTCGGTTGATTGCGATCTCCCACTCGGATTCATTCCACCAAAAACACAAAAGTTACACGTTGAATTGGATTCTTCGGAGCGTCTTTTGACAAATGGACCACTCCCCCAATCACTTGTCAAGTGTTATATACCAGCTAGTCTAGATGTCATTTCATCATTACCATCGACTGTCACCAAATTAAGAATTACAGGTTCTGATATTCCCGTATTTGACTTGGGAATCATTCCATCAACTGTCAAAACACTAGAACTCAATGTAGAGGATATTACAGGTACACTGACAGACAGCGTAGAGACACTTTTTATCGGTCGATCTGATGGACGAGTAGAACCCTTTGACTATGAACTACCTAGACAATTAAAATCGCTCACCATCGATCCAGTCTCTAGCAAGCAATATGGTATACTACTCAAAAAGTTACCACCCACACTTGAACAACTAAACTACTTTGCCACTCTCCAACCATCATCTATTGAATTACCATCAAATTCAAACTTGACAAAGCTCTCTATACTATTGTCAAACAATCAATCTCTATCATCCATCTTCCATGACCAAATCATTCCAAAATCAATTCAACAATTAAAAATTGAAACTGTTATAAATACTCTTTCAATTCAAGTTCCTGATGATGAAAATGATGAAGAAGAAGAAGAAGAGGAAATTGAACAAGAAGAAGAAATTGAAAAGGAAATTAAAGAATTGGAAATTAAAGAAAAAGAATTAGAAAAAGAAATTAAAGAATTGGAAAAAGAAGAAGAAGAAGAAGAAGATAAAAAAGAAGAAGAAGAAGATGTTATAGAAGAAGAAGTAAATGAAAATGAAGAATTTGAATATAGTTACAAAATGCCAACATTCAAAATTCCATTAAATGATATTCTATTTGATTCGAATATTCAATTAATTACGATTTCTCATGATTCATTCCAATTTAATTTTAGTATTAGAAGATTGGATGATCATACTGCTCTCGTAACTGAAATTCACTCATTGTATGGTGGTATTATTACCAATGATAATGTAACCTCATTATCTTTAATATTAAATAATGAAAATTTTTGTTATCCAACTTTATCAAAACAATAATTAAATAAATACAAATAAATAATATATATATATATATATTAAACAAGCAATCAATAATTATTATTATAGACGAATAGTTGACATTATTCACAAAGTTTCTCTCGGAAGTATGATATTAGGATAACTCCCTTTTTTAGGGTCGGTGTGGGTTTGCTGAGATCGAAATCTCGAAGGTAGGTCAAGTGTTCATTTTGAACCCAAGACATGTGTTTCGATATATGTACTAGGTACGATATCAATTACATATATAGAATACATTTTCTATATAAACCATCAATTTACCAAATATCAAATCATCAATCAAATCATCAATCAATTAAATTAACCAAAACTCCAACTTTTAATTCTAAAATGTTCAAATCTTCTACCATTATTTTCACATTTGCCATTATTCTTTGTGCTGCTGTATTTACCAACGCTGCAAGTATGTCAATACAAAATGATCCAAACCTTTGAATACCTTCATTAAAATAATTATTATTTTCTATAAATAGTTACAAGTGTAATCCAAGATGGAAAGAAATTAACAATTAATTATTCACCAATGACAATGATTTGGTTCCAAAATGAGCTCTACAACAATGGATTATCAACTGATATTGCACCATATTGTATTGCCAAGTATGGATGGGCTCCATTGGTTTGCAACTTGCCAACTGTCCCAGCTTGTGATACTATCAGTCTCTATGGTGCTACTGGTGTTGGTGGTTCAAACATTGAAATGCAATATGCCTTTAATTGTACTGTCGTTGCTTAAACAAACTAAATATTATTCCTATCAGAAAAAAGTAAATAAAAATGATTAATTAATTTCTTTACAAAAATATCATCATGATCTTTAGGATCATTTGTTTTTGTTGTTCTTCTCTTTTTTTGCAAAAATAATAATAATAATAATGCAACCAACACAAACAAATATAATATAGTAATAATAATGAATAGTAGATCAATAATAGAATTACCGCAATTAATAATAGATCAAATCATTGAATTAATAAAAGATGATATAGATTTAATATGTTTGTTGTTAACTTGCAAGAGATTACTATCATTTAAGAAAAGATATAGTTTTAAAGAATTATGTAAAACTATACGACTTGACGAGAGTGACGTTGTTTCAAAGAGAACATTGTCAACAAGAACTTATCGATGGGATGGAGAATACTTTGATGGTAACAAGATTGAAATTGAAAGAATAGCTAGATTCTATTCAACCATCATACATAGAATACACCAACAATTTAGTATGCCTTTATTTCAAGATTTGTTATTAAATGCATTGGACAAGTATTTGTTGATCAATGATCTCAATTCAATTGGAATGTCAGAGATGGGAGACGATCAACTTGGACTTCAACTACAATACATTGTCCATTTCAACAATCCCTTTTTAAAGAGAATATCAATTGATTTGTTTGGAAAGGTATTGGTTGAACGAATACACACTCTATTCCTACCATCAAACTATCAATATTCATTGGATGGTTTGGATAAACTAGTTAATCTAAATACTTTGGTTATGACTAGTTTCAATAACAACAAACAAATTGAAAAAGATCAATTACCAAAATCACTCAAGAGGTTGTTCATTCGTAATCAAATGATAGATGGGTCATTTCAAGATGGAGCTCTTTATAAAGGATTAGAAGTATTTTCTTTTATTGGAGATACTATTTATTCTGATTTTAGATTTGGTCATCCTATTACTATACATACATTCCCAATGACACTACGTGTACTTTGTCTACCGTTATCGTTCAAGTATCCAACTGACCCTTTACAACCTGGGTTTGTACCACTACCAACTAGTCTAGAGGACTTGTGGTTAAGTACCATTCAACCAATTGCAACTGAAACATTCCCATGTCCACATTTGAAACGACTATCAATTGTCTCTGGATCGATCGTCTTTTCAAATACCAGTGTCATATTGCCATCCGATATCGAGTATCTCAGTTTAGAGTTTAATAGATGTCAAGATGTTTTACCTGGATTGATTCCACCTCGAGTCTGTCGGCTACATCTTAGACTGTTCAAAGTACCAATCTCTTCATTGACCATCCCATCATCAGTCACTCATTTATTCTTGCAAAATCAACAATCGAGAATACCCACCAACTACTTTATCTTTGGTCATCCAAACTGTCAAATTAAATATCTAAAGATACAAGACTATAGCTTTGAAATCAATTCAAGTACATTGGCAGGATACAACAATAGGTCATTGGAAAAGTTGGATATTGGTAACGGTACTATAGATGAGTACAAAGCAATACAAGTTGGTTCAATACCTTGTAATGTAAAGACACTCATTCTAAGAAGATATCCAATAGAGATTGTGAGTGGGTTGATTCCACAGTCTGTACGTGACCTAAGATTACACAGTTACAACTTTAGTCTTGGCAAGATTGAATTCCCAAAACTATTGGAATCATTCTTTTCAACAACTGAACGGTCTAGACCATTTGATACGACAGGTCTCTTGGCGACCTCTGCCACTTCCCTACGTCGTCTCGAATTGGATAGGGAATTTCCAATGGATGTTAAACCCGCCACATCAGGTATCATCATTAAAGATTTTAAGAATCTTGAACAATTACATTGTTGTGATATTACAACAGGGTTTAATAGTGATAATCTATCATCAACTATTATAGATTATCAAATACCATATAATACTACGGTGACTGAATTATTCAAATCACACTCACAATACAATAATAATAATAATAATGGTAGAATACCAAAACATATTAAACATATCACGTTAAAGAAATCAGTAGAGCAACTAACCGTTGGTGATATTGCCAATCTACACAGTTTCTCTATCTTGCACCATCCAGAGTTGTCGTCAATAGACATACGTATTCTGGATGATCATCACATACTGGTGTTTTCACAAACCACCAAAGAAGGAGGAGTACTTAGGTACACTGATCCCTCGGTATCAAATGTACCCATAGTCAACTATTTACCAAATCAAATCACCAAATTTATCTATTCTTTAGATTAATCAAAATAAATATATTGATATTGGCGGTTAGCTGAGAGTCTGGGTATGTGTGATAGATATAAACAATACTCTCCTATTCATTGAAAGGTTGAGAAAACAATAAATTCATATGATTTTATTGATCCATCTTGTGATACTATCCGTCTCTATGGTGTTTCTGGTATTGGTGGTCTCATCTAATAAAATTGATTTGATCCTCTATTCTTTTCGTTAAAAAATCGCTTGGGATGCCGCTAACCAGTCTCGAACTAGTCGCGCAATGTAAACGTTTCTCTGTCACCTGGGGAAAACTCGCGGCTCCCTACCCTATCCCTTCATTCTTGCTAGTAGAGGAAACTTGTATTTTAAACTCTTATTAATAATAAAACAAAAAAGTATATCACGGATGTGAATGGTGGTAGTCATAGATGTTAAAAAAAAAAAAAAGACCGATCCCTGCTCGTACATGCCCTGGACTTTACCAAACAGAGGGCACATCCACTCCGCTACATTAATGCTGTCGCTATTCTCTTCCATCGCTCATGGCGCCACCATGCGCATGTCTTTCTACACCAACAATGCCAACAACCAATATTCGATCGATACAAATGAAGTCGCAATCGTCACCAGTCGTTTCAATCTGTAATATACCTAGAGTACTAGGGTTTGCGCAAGTCTAAATGCCAACCTAATCATTGGCCGCTAACCGGTCAAGACCCGTGAAATTTAAAAAAACATCACGCCTTGTTATTGTTTTAATCACGTCTTGTTTGGACTTATTTGTCGTTGACGAAGACTCATTTTTATTAGTTACTTTTTGGAAGCGTTACATCACGCCTTGTTAGCTCAGTCGGTAGAGCGCAAGACTTTTAATTTTGTGGTCGGGGGTTCGAGCCCCCCATAGGGCTATCTTTTTTTCTTGTCGCTTTCATTTTTTTTTTTTTTTAACGCGTTATATAGCTATATTCTTGTTCCCTACAACATTTGTTACATTTCTAGCTTTGATTCATTTCTGTTGAATCCTCATCGAAAAAAACAATTAAATATTAAAAAAAAAAAAAAATCATGGTAGTCGTTTTAAAGATGATCAAAAAAAAAACAACCATGGTAGTCCCTCTAAAGATTTTAGATGGTTCCTTTATCTCCATTAAATATTCAATTATTTCTAGAACAATTTTATTGATTTTCATATTGATTTATTATATTTGGAAAAACACGGTTTGGAAATGGAACAATTAAAAAATTCATATCAATACTTTTGCCATCTATTAGTAATGAATGTCCTTTTTTTTAATTAAAATATATCTATTCCTTGGGACCTTTTTAAAAAAAACAATACAAAAAATAAATTAAAACCCATCTTCATTTTTGCTTCATTTCTTTTTTGATCAATTGCAGATAATCAATATATATTATCTCTATCTACAAACATGGAATCAATGCATATTTGCTTTTTAGGAGATGATGGTGTTGGGTATGTTGTCCAAATACAAGAATAACAAAACACAATCATCAATTAACTGTATCAACAACAATAACAATGAAGCAAATCAACAGTGATGATTCAATTGATAAATGTTCATTTTGTCGAAGAATGGGACCCAACTATTGAAGATGATTATCGACTACAAACCCAAGTAGATGATAAAGTTAGGCTTGTTTCAATGTTGGATTCTGTAGATAATGGTCCAATGTCTGTTTTAAAAAAAGATGTATGTAAACAATAATAATGATCATCAGATACATGTCATCGATAATTAATTCTTTCTTTTTATTTCTTTAGTATATTACAAAATCGATTGGATATATTATATTTTATGATATTACCAATAGAGCATCATTTGAGAGTATTGGTAGACACCTTGAAAGTATAGTTGATGCAAGAACGGATATTGCAAGTATTGGACAATTGATATCGACCAAATCTGTTGTATTGGTTGGTAATAAATGTGATAGAGAATGTGATAGAGTAGTAACACATGAAGAAGGTTTGCTCTATGCCACTCATCATGGATTCCAATTCTTTGAGATATCAGCTCGGACAAGACAAGGTTTCCCATCAAGTAATTCAAATATTGTAAATCAAAAATCATCATCACCAACAATATTCTTTTTTAATGAATTATTAAAGTTAATGGAATCAAAAATAACAGACAACCCTAGTCAACAACAACAACAACAATCAAATAGAACAAAAAACAAAACCTTTTCAAAATTTAAATCTTTCTTTTCAAATAATAATAGATAATAATAATAGATAATAATAATAGATAATAATAATTATCTATTATCATAAAACAATTGTACAGTAGTACCCCACCCAAATCAATTTAAAAAATAATCTATTTATAAATTATATTATTAATGATTATTATTTTGTAGCAAGTTCGCAGTTTTGTCTGAAAAAAAAAAAAAAAGAAATAATGTTTTTTTGAATTTTTCGCGAATATGCGGAAGGACTCTTGTATTAGCCCGAGAAAAGCATTCATTCCTCCTTTTGTATTACTGTTCTTCTTCTTCTTTTTTTTTTTATATATATATATAAATAGAATTTAGAGAGAGAAATGTCACAACTATTACAACCAGTAATGATGTTGGAGGAATTAAAACAACATTATAGAACGTCAGAACAACAACAAAGGTATTTGCAACAGTTGGACGAAGAGTTGGATGAGCCATGTAGTTGGAGTGACAGCGAGACTGCCACGACACTTTCATCGACAAATACAGAGTCGTCATCATCGATATACAACCTAGCATCGTGGGACGACTTTCTCAAACAAGAGAATGACTATTATACGAAAAAGTGCAAGGAGCTCAAGTTTGTGTGCTCGTCATTTGTGCAGAAACAACGTGCATTTGTGTCGCAGATTGACTTTAATCCCGATTTTGACAGAGAGGAAGCGTCGCAACTGGCGCAAGAGATGCACCAAGCCATCACGATTGTGCACACCATACAGGCATCAGTATCGCAGCTAATCAGACAGGCACAGTTTGTCGTGACACACAGTCTGACAAGCAAGTTGGCCGATCTAGAAAACATGGCTTCTCACATGGGTATCCTGGGTGTAGAGTTGCAGGCCATGGTACAGACTGGCACTGGGTGTCCGTCGGCAGTACTCGTGTTTGCACGTCAACCCTTCCCAGGCATCCTCAAACGTTACAAACAAATTGGAAGTGACGAGTTTGTGGTCGAGCTATTGACCACTGCCCAATTCCCATTCACCTATGGCAAGCTGAGACTAGTGCACTGCGACGAAGTTCAGTCACTCTGTCTTACCGACAAGCGAACCAACAACAAAGAGAAAACCTCTGCACCACTCACAACCCCCGTCAACTCGACGGCTGCACCTCCCAACATGATCGAACAACAATGGTTTGACATTCAAGTTGAAAATGGTAGATTCCTCGCAAAGATTCCTATAAAGTTGATGCAAGGTACCACTCGATTCACTTCTTTTAAATGTTCACTTGCCCTCATTCATAAATCAACAAAACATCAAGTAGCCATTGAAACTTCATTGTCTGATCGTTTCATCTCTTTTGTAAATGATCAACAATGGATTGAACATTTTGCTTTACTTGTTAAAGAAGAAATTTTTCTTGTAAGAAAAAAAAAGTAGAAACAAATAATATTTATTATTATACTAACATGTTTTATTTATTTATGTTTTAGTTGGAAAATGGACAATATTTATATGAACAAGTTAGTCATTCAAGAATTTTAGATATTCTTTTAAAATATTTCCATCTTTGTTTAAAGATTTATAAAAGAACAAATTCAAGTCATAGATCATTACCAATTGAACCTTTAAAATTATTATTAAATAGAATTTCAAGTATGTAAAATCAAAACTAAAATCAATCATTAAAATATTAATATTAATAATTCTTTTTTTATTTATTTATTTTTGTAGAAACCAAATTAAATATTTTACAATTTGATCAATTCTTTTCAATTTTGACACCAGTATTCAAGGTTATTAAATATCAAAGACATGCATTGGATTTATGGGGTCAAGGACTCTTATATTTATTTATTGATCAAGATGAAGTTAGGCAATTATTATTAACTTCAACCAAATTATCAAATACTATAGGTAATAGTATCATTGATAATAATAATAACACACAAAATAATCAACCAACAGAATGTATAAATAATAACGATAATAATGATAAAAAAGGAAAATGTAGATTTTTAATTCAATTTAGTGTTGAACATCCATATAGTTGGGTAATCAAATATGTTGAACAAGAAATCATCTCTTCATTGTCGAGCGAACCACCACAAATCAAAGAATTAATCATTGATATGAAAAAAGATCTCACTGGTGATAGATCCAACAAATCAATTGTTACCTATCTAGAAAACAATCTACCAAACTTTTCAGAGATTTGTCAATACGATTATAAACAAAATAATTATTCTATCATTCTTCGTGATGAAATATTTGCTCAAATTAAAATTAATAATTAATAAAAATAATATAATAATAATAATTATACCAACAAATATTATTATATATAATAATAGTTGAAAGTCCAAATCAAACCATACAATATATATATATGCATTAAAATTTTTAAGTTACTTTTATATTATTATTATTCTATCATTCTATTTCTTTTATATATTAAATCATTTGCTTTTTGTTTAAATCTTGTTGAATTTTGTGTGCAAGGAATAAATCGGTTCTCTTTTCAGTATTTAATCTGTTGTGGTATGCTTCAGTACCCTTATCTATTTGACTAGTAACCAATTTATAACAATATGCAATTGGAAGGAATCCAAAAAATGCACATGATGTTATTCTCCAATTTTGTGCTAAAAGTAACAATACAAGTTAGTCAAGAGTGTACTCTTAGAATTGTTTATCTCTCTTTTCTCTCTTTTCTCTTTTTAACATACTATGAATACCAACAGCAACAGTAGCAGCCATTGAACCAGCAATGATATTATAAGCGTCATCAGTTTCTCTGTAGTGTTCAGCAACACGCTTACCAGAAGCGTATGAAAGACCAATCAATGAACCAGCAATGATCTGACGACCATAGATACGATAAGTCTTTGTCAAGAATGCCTCTGTATTGTCGTTGGTGATGAATGGTGTCTTTGGGTAGGTTTGATTGGTTGCAATCAATGCACCAACGAAACCACCAAGTACTGTAGTCTTTACAATCTTTCCGTATGGATGATCGGTTGGGATTTCTTTGAGATCGCACATTCTAAAAGATCTATCTATTATAAACTATACTACAACAAACTTGAATTGTGAATGAATATGACACTACACTACAGACTCTACTACTACTACTCTCTTTACTCGAAAACTCTATCAATCATGTTTGCAACGAAGAAATTAATGATCACATTCAAATTTGAATTTTTTTTAATTTTTTTTTAATTTTTTTTTTTTATCTTCAAAAAGATCCAACAAACAAAGTACTACTTTAAACTTTGAAGGATCAAATTCTATTTATTATTCATTTACAGTTGAAGGTGGAGGAGGAGGAGGAGGGGAAGGTTGATGTTGAGAAAATGGTAAAAATCTTTTTGATGAAGAAATGATGGTATTACATTTTGGACAAATAAAAGATGAATCTATCATACAACTCGTCTTTATACAATAATAACAAAACAAATGTCCACAATCTGAAATGTATGGAATATTAATTGGATCTTGTAAACAAATAGGACATCTTTGAAGAACTTGTGGTGCCATTTGTTCTGGTGTTAATTGATTTGAAACAGCATTAACATTTCCACCATTATTACCATTATTTCCACGTTGTAAAATATTTGATGGTTTTTGAATAAATGTTCTATAAATAAAATTTTTAATTTTGTCTATATTTATCAATGGCATAATAAATAAAAAGAATTCCTAAAAATAAAATATAATCATAAAAAAGAGGTAAATATAAATGTACATTTTGTTGTTTTTAATTTCCCTTTCTTTCTTACAGTAAAACCATGCCAAACTAATTGTCTATTCATATATTCAAAAGAAATTCTTCTACTCAGAGATGGATGAGCATAAACTAGACGCATACCAAGTAGACGATTGGCAAGTGTTACATATTTGCCATCATAGAGAAATGTAAGGAAATTGAGAACCGACAATATTTTATAGAGTGATTCCAAACGATTGAGCAAGTTCCAAATCTTTTTTTTAATATCACTGTCTGGACGTTCACCCCAAGCTTCATTGATTGATATTCTATTGATTCTAGCCCATGCCCATTCTCCACCGATATTGATCAATCCAGATGCCCATTTTTGTCGCAATGTCAACTTTGTCAACGTATCTGACCCCTTTGATCGATCAAATGCAAATTCATTACGATAGGTAAGATTCTGTAATTGATTACCATATGTATTACCAAGATTGAATATAGAAAGTTTAAATATCGCTGCTTTTAATATTAAATTGATTTCAGGTTGAAATGTTTGTATAAATGTTGGCTAAATATAGAGATCATTAGTAAATTTGACGGTACTGTCTGTATAGATGTATCTATATGTATGTTTTACATACTTTAAAGAATGAAAATATTTTCATAAACTGTGTCTTTAATAAATCGAGTATCTCTTCATCAAGTTTAACAGAGTCTAATTGACTGACACGAACTATACTAGTTGATGGTTTCCTAGATGCTGTAATAGTCTTTTGTAATTCTTTTAATTTATCAACTTCTGATTCATATTCTTTACTCCATGGTGCATCAATTCGACTATTAAATGTTGTTGTAGTTGTATTTGTAGTAGTAGCAGCAGCAGCAGTAGTAGTATTTAGTTTTGGTTGTTGTGTTGGTGGTTGTTGATTATTCATACTGTGCTATTGGGTTGTCTATCCGATCTACTCTATAGCAACAATATATATATAAGTATTACTCTTTCGTATTGTGTTTGTGTTTATTGTTGTCTTTTACAAAACTTAAACAAACAGTAGTGGTTGTTCAGTCTTTAGATTGCTCATTTTTATTAATTTATTTTTAAAAATGAACCCAACACATACAGGTAATGTTTGATCTTCATCATCTTCTTCAATAGTATAGTACTCATAATTAGTAATGAATCTATCTAAAACTAGAATGACTCCTATATATGATGTTATAGAAGAAATACATTGACAATATTGTGTTGTGATCATTTCATTGGTATATATACATAAAAGTTAAAAAGTTGAACATTACACTTTATTAATATTTACTATATATTTATGCTACTCTATTATTTCTTTTATATAAAAGATGGAAAATGTTAAACAATGTATAATCATAGGATGTGGTTTAACAGGTCCTGTAATGGGAATGTTATTGGTTAAATATAAAGTATTCGAAGCAAAGGATATTATTATATTTGAAAGAGCAAGGGAGGAACAACTATCAAGTAGTCTTGGTGCGAGTATGTGTATTGCTTCCACTGGAATGTCGGTTTTAGAGGAAATTGGTGTAGCTGAACAAGTTGCCAATGCCGGTGTGGCCATTTCAAGATATTGTTATCAAAAATGTGATGGACAACAGCTGGGAGAGTATGACATTGGTTATTTCAAAGATAGATATGGTTCTATGATGTATGGTGTTGAAAGACATACTCTTAGACAGTTATTACTCGAATCTGCTCGGTCACTTGGGATAAAAGTCTTGTTTAACAAATCATTGGAAAGAGTCGAGCAAGAAAATGACAGTCATGTCACTGCGACATTTAGTGATGGTACTAAATACCAATCCCAAATACTTATTGGTGCCGATGGTATTCATTCAAATGTTAGAAAAAGTTTGTTTAAACAACAAGGTGGTGAACAAGCTTGTTTAGACTATTCTGGGTATAGTTTGATTTATGGTGTAGCAGAAAGGAAAAATGAAATGGACAGTACATTTCACTCTAGTATAGCATTGGGTAAATATATGATTACATATCCGTGTTCACCAACACATCAATGTTGGGTCATCAACAAGTCAGAAAAAGAGGAAAAAGAACAATGGAAAATGATGCACCAATCAGATGTTGAACGTGTCTTTAAAGAGAATCAAGAGTTTCAAAACACCTATTTCAAAGACACAATTACAAACACCAAGAGATTATTCAAGGTTGGAATCTATCATCATCCACAAGACCTACTCTCTCAACCATGGAGTTTGGGTAGAGTCGTTCTCATTGGCGATTCAGCTCATTCTATTAGTCCTCACCTTGGTCAAGGTTTAAATCTTGGTTTACAAGATACCAAACAATTAACTATTGTTCTTAAACAACAACAACAACAACAAGTAGGAGTAAGGGATTGTTCATGGACAATAGAATCACTCGGTAAGGCATTTAAATTGTACGAGATAAAGAGATCATTTCCAACTAAAATGATAATCAACAAATCCAATCAACAAATTAAAGATAAAATATCTTGTACAACGGATGACTTTGAAAAAGAGTGTCTTCAAACTATCAAATATTGGTCAAATCAAAATATTGAAACCATTCAAAATGATTTCGATCGTAGATTTGGTTATTCCCAACAACAAAAATAAATTAAATATACAATTATATATTATATTATATTATTACCCTGGTACAAAAAAAAGAGTAGTGATCAAGTGATTTACCTTGATCCTTGACGACCATTTCTCTCGGTTTTCTAAAAAAATCAAAAAATATCTCCTACACTTTGATTTCAAAGGTCATAAGAATGATTCTTTTTGTGCACCGAAACTCTGTTGGGTATAAAACACTGCCTCCATCATCATTGTTGTGGTGTTACATATATACGCACAATTACACGAGTACAGATTTCTTTTTCATCTTCTTTTTCTTCTTAATCTTCTTCTTCTTCTTCTGATAACAGTCTTTTTATTATACAGTGTTTCAATCAGACATTAGATTAGTTGAGAGATATATTGTAGAGTCAAGACTCTATATATAACTTAATAAAGAATGGCACCACCTAAAAATAATACAAATCCTCCAACAACCACAAATACAACGAAAAAGCAACCTACTACACTTACTACAAAGAAAACAGTATCATTTGTAACTCCTACACCACAATCTCCACCTCCCCCACCTCCCACTTCTACAACAACAACAAAAGATAATGATATGCATGAATCATTTTTAGATTTTAAAGAATCAATTTTTAATGATTGGAGAAAGGCTGGTATAGGATTAACTATAGTCTATATTATTGGTGTATTATTACTTTTACCATTCTTTGTGTCACCGGCAGTTGTAGTCATTTGTATGATTCCATTCATTCCATTGGCATATGTGTATGGATGGATCGAACATAAATTGCCCTATTTCTGGTTTGTCATCTTTTCATTTGTCATTATTGGTGGTCTTGGAGACAGTGTGTCCGATGTGATGCTCCTAGTTGAAGGGATCAAGGTATTATATTTTGGAGGTGGTGGAACAACTTTTGACAATGACCAAGATAGTTCATTGTTTTTTGTTAGATTGGCCATCACTTTTATTGGTCCCGTTTTAGCATTCATCGTTGACGTTAAAATATTTACCTATGGTACTAAACAAAAAGATCAATCATCTATGATGGGTGCTGGATCCCTTGCTGTCATTTTATATGCTATATTTTGGAAGGTAAGAAAAAAATATATAAATAATCAAAGATTGATTGTTAATTAAGCTTTTTTGTTTATTTTTATTTAATTTTTAGGCATTTGTGATTGTAGCAAGAGTATTTTATTTTGGTAGAGTTGTTTATTTGGCAATCAAAGAAAAGACTATGCATTTCTCAAAATCAGATGTTTATAAAAATCATTTGATCGAGACTCAATTATTATTGGATTTCATCTTTGTGTCATTCCCATTGGGTATATTGACACTTTTAGAGATCACAATGTTTGGCAAGGAATTGGATTTTGGATCTGAAACTTTTTGGGAATTGTTCAAGTTGACCATGTTGGTCATTGATATGTTTGGCCTAACCTACTTTGTATATTTCATTATTTTGGGTTACTCTAGACGATTCTTCCATCATCATGGACATCATAATCATGATGAAGAGCATCATTCTCACCATGGTCACGTTCAAAAGGAATCTCAACCATTATTAAAAGATGATCATATAGTCTAAAAAGAGACACATATTTAAAAAACACAAAGGGTTGAAAAAGAAAAGAAAAAAAGAATTAGATAAATTTGCAATTTAATCATTTCAACCCTTTTTTAAAAAAAATAAATTAATATTAATAAATAAATAAATATTTCCTACTTGAATTGGATTTTGTATAAAAAAAAAAAAGTAATAATAGTTATCATTTATATTTAATTTTTAAAAAAACACTTTAAAGTACACTTTCTTCAGCTTCCTTTCCACCACTTACACCTCCAAGTGATAAATTCTTTGCAATTTTGGCAACCTAAATGAAAAAAAAAATATTAATAAACTAATACTACCATTTCTTTTTGTTTTTTTGACTTACTTGATTATCAAGGAAATTAAATAAATATTGTTGTGATAATTTCTTTACAGCCTCAGCATCATTGGCATCAAATGCTTGAATTAATTGACCAGCAACCTTTCCTTCATTGCTATGAGCCCATTGAACATATTGTAAAAAGTCTTCATATCTCTTTTTAGCCATGACATTATCATCCATATCCAAATGTAAAACAATGACCGATAGACATGATTTGTTGAGTTCGTTGGTTTGATCCAATTTCGAAAATACTCTGTTTTGTATAATCAACAAATCAATACATTCAAATATCTTTTTGTGTCTCAACAGCATTGAGATGGTCATCTTGAATGCATCTCCAGAGAAATGTTCTTTATCATCCAATTCAAATAATTCACATGCATCATGTAATAATTGTAATGCTTGATCAACATCTTTTTCTTCAATCATTCTAGAAATAATAAATAATAATAGTTAATATATATAAACTCGTACAATATAATATGTTATATATTTACTTTGCAGCTCTAGTCATAGCATCGGCAGCAGCAAAACTGTTACCATTGGTTCTATATAATTTACTTGATTCAACCAACAACTCTACAGCTTCTTTGAGATGATTTTGTTCCTTTTCCATCATGGCAGCTGATTCTATACTCTTTGCAGCCAAATAATATACATCTTGGTTGGTTTGACACAGAGACAATCTCTTGAAACAATAAATAGCTTGATCGAATTGCTTTGCTGTTCTAAATCCCTTTGCTGCCTTTTCGTATAATATAGCTCCATTATCCCAATCACATTTCCATCTTGTAAATGATTTAGTTGTTCTAAATAATAAAACAAGTAAGTTAAACTCTATCTATCTATCTAAACAACAAACACTACTACTGTACATTTTATCAGCTTCTTTTAAAGCAGCTTCTGCTTCCTTTTTCTTTGAGTCGGCCATTTTTTCTGACATTCTATCTATCTATCTATCTATCTTTTGTCTATTTAATATTAATATTAATATTATCTTTATATATATTATTTGTTTTGAAGAATGAAAAAGGGAATTTCACTTTGAGGATAGTCGGTTTTAGGGGATGAGAGAATTAATTTAATTAAAAAAGATTTTTCAAAGAGAGGATATGAGGGGGTGAGATTCAGGCTTGCAACCTTCAGTTTATTATTTTTATTTTTCAATATTTATTCATTGTTATCTTCTTTTGTAGTAGTTATAATAGTTGAAATACAATAGCAAGACCAAATAAGATGATGGTTAATGCAGATGCAATACCAAGTTTATAGTTTAACCAGTAATGATTACCACGCCAAGCTTGTGCTAAAAAGAATGAGAACAGAGGCAGAGTAAACAATGAGAGTAGTAGCCATAGATTACCTGTAAAGATTGAAAGGAATACTATAAACATATGTGATCTTTTAAAAGGAAAAATGAAAGATAGATAGTTGGTAAGACGTAAGTAAATATGTTTACATAAAGTTATTTGTTTTGTTTTTTTTTTTTAATATGACTTACATTAAACAAATTGATATTAATAGGTAAAGAGAATATTTTTCACCGAGTAGGATTGATATGGTTAAGATACCGGCTTGACTATCTTCTTTAAGGTCACGATGATAATTGCCAATGATGGAGAGTTGGTAGAGGAGGACAATGACGACAAAGTAGAGTATGGAGGTTTGGTTTGGCATTTGATTGGTGTAGAGCATCGAGTACATGGTGGTCGTGGCAAATATATAGAGTGCATAGGCTATGTGTCCCATTGCCACATACTTGAGGTGTGTGTAGAGAGACCCGATTAAAAGAATGAGTGTGTACCCAAATACAAATGGCATGAGCCAGAGACGATCGAGACGACTACACTCGTACAAGATGACCAGGCCGACTAGAATGACTAGACCAAATGACACTCGGATGTATCTGACTAGTGTTTGAATCGATATACGATCAAACAGAGTACGGTCATACGATGTCTCTGGTCGATCCACACCACTGAAATAGTCAATGTAGGAATTGGTAAAGTAAGCAATACAATGTCCAAAATAAGATAGTAATAAGCATAGCACTGGTAATTCCAATAATTCCAATATCTTTATCCATTTAATATCAATAGATGGAAGAGATGACGAATCTATTAAAGAGGAGGATGAAGTGGATAGGGATAGGGAATCTGTTTCATTTGATGGATTGTTGTAATGAATATGGTTACCAATTTGATGGAATAGAGATCCATGATCCAATGAGACAGAGTACAAAAAGGTAAATATATTTATTGGTACAATGACACCCAGGAAACTAAATATTCTACATGATCTAAAGAATGTTGTTGTATCATTTATTAATCTATAATATTTATTATTATTATTATTATTATTCTTTAAAGGAGATGGTTTAGTGGAAGAGGATGATGATGAAGAAGTGGAAGAAGAGGTGGTTGGAGAAAGAGGAGGAGGAGTGTTGTTGTGATTGTCAATACTTTTATTTTCGTCGATTATAGTTAGACATAGTCCTACTTCTCCTCCTCCTTCTTTAACACAATTATCAGTGTTGGTGATACCATATCCACTGACATTATCATTACCATTAATGGTAATATTTAGCATTTAATATATTAAATGTTTCCAAAAACAAAAATTGGATAAAAAAAGAATGCAGGCGATCACCTATATTTAACTCTCTAACGAAGCTACCATATTTATATATATATGGTTGATGGTAACAACGATGATGATGATGATTGATGATGGATGGATTATAAATTATATAATTTAAATTTTTGCGTAATTTATAAAAAGATCCAGCCACCACTCTAGAATGCAACCAATGTATATATGCGCGCATATACCATACAATCAATTCAATCATCATCTATCTATAGATGTCGATTTGTAGGTGAATTATATCCCGTCAATTGATTGGTTATACAGCATGCTATAATTATCCTCCTCATCATCATCATCATCATTATCATCATTAATTCAATGTGAGGATAAATGGAAATGATCATCCTCACATTCACAGACAGACAACCAACCAAACCAATCGTATGACATCGCATCGTCTATCTGATCGAAAATGGAATGGTGCACGTATATACACACGCAAATTGCAAAAAAAAGTGACCGATTGATCAATCGTATATCTTACCTCTGGTAATTCGAATTTTCATTCACCACATCCCACCCACACCACAGTGCTGTTAAAATGTATTTATAAATTTGGTTGTGTTTCCATTATAAATGCGAACACAACAAAAACAAAACCCGCATGTGTGTGTGTGTGTTGCTGTCCCCCAATCACCACACACTGATTCGTATTCGTAACTAATCATACACACAACAAAAATATCTTTGCCAATCATATATTTCAATTCGTTTAAATCTTGATTGATTACAACATTCGTCTGTTTTATTTTCGATGGTTCCAATTACAACCATGAACTTCAACCAACCAATCATCCATAAAAGCTATTCATCAATCAATCCACAATCAATCAATCAATCATTTAATCTTTTTTTACTTTTGTTATTTGCCATCAAATAATATTTAATCAATTTTATATTTATAAATATATAATATTTCCATCATTTTAATATTTTTTTTTTTGTCTCGATAATAATAATAATAATAATACCCTTGAAAAAATATGACTGCACCTGGTAAAGCAAGGTAAGTTAATAGCTACCTCCCACTTTTCAATTCGGCACAGAACAAACGGAATAATCTTATATATAGATTTATTAATTCCAATTATTTTTTTTTTCTTATTCCCTTTTTTTTGTTTAGAGTTGCATTATGGTTAACTACATTATTTATAGTAACTCTTGGTAGTCTAGGATCTATTATATATAATAAACCATTAGGATTAAAAGGACTAGGAGTAGCCGATCCAATACCTGGTCAAGTTTGGTACAATGGAGTGATTGCTGTCAATGCCGCCTTGTTTGCTTGTATTGTCTTTGAACTTTTAAATAGAACTTGGTTAATGATGGTTGGAGCAACTTGTGTTGATCAAAGAAGAGATTCTGTTTTTTGTTTTGTTTATTCAATGGTAAGATTAAAAAAACAAAAAAAGACACAAACTATTACAATTAGATTATTTATTTATTTTATTTTCTATTCTTTTAATTCTTCTTAGGTTAAATGGTGGAAATTATTAATGATATTGAGTGTCATTGCAGCATTTATTTTATCATTAGGTACAGGACTCATATTTTTAATTGGCAAAGGTAATGCCAAAAATCCAATCGATATTCCTAGATTGATAGCCACCGATGCTGTTGCATTTATCGAATTATTCTTTTCAACATTTAGTTATCTTCAATCTCGTGGATTACAAAAGAAACAAGATGAAGAAGAAGAAGCTCTTCATGGTAAAATTTAAAGTAAACCTTCGCCGAAAACTACACTGTGTCTTTGTTGTTGTTGTTTTATCGATAAAGTGTTTAAAAATAATTTAAACAATAACAACAAGATAAAACATATATATAAAATTATATTATCATAAATATAATAAACAAATTTAAATCCATTTAAGTGATCTTGGTTTTCTTTTTTATTTTCATTTTAAAGCCTCCTTTGGCAAAGAGAGATACAATAATGAGAGAAACGTTAATGATTTAAAATGATATCATTATGTAGAAGAGTTGTTATATTTATATTATTAGTTAGTTTAGTTAGGAATGGAAGATAAATGTTATTTCAAATATAGAGAGATATCAGATATTATATTATTCAAGATCATTGGATTTGTAGATGACAATGTAGATATCATCTGTTTGATGATGACATGTAAAGCGTTCTATAATGATTGTAGATCAATGCTTGAAACAATGTATGAAACGAAACGTCAAGTCTTGTCATTGACACAACAACCGATAGTCGTATTTAAAAGAGTTGAAAGTACACCTGAATGGTTATCTTTTAAATTAAATATTAGACAAGCATTTGGAAATATATACAATACTAGTTTCTTGTTGGAACAAAGACTCAAAAAGGAGAAAAAGGAACAAATGGAAATCAAAGAGTTTGAAGTAGTGAATCAAAAGATTGACTCTTTTAAACAAATCGTATCAAGTAATGTGGAGTGCTTGGTAGTCAATAATTGCGAGTTTACTATTGACAAGAACGACTTTTACCCAAGTTTAAAGGATTTTATTATAACTTGTGATGTAGATCAACCAATATTTCCAACCATTCAATCGTGGCCACAAACACTTACCAAATTGTGTATTGGCACTCATTCCATATATCTGCAACCTGATATCCAAAAGAGTCTCCCACCATCATTGACCACACTCGACATCTCTTTTGACGATGAAGAACCATTTCAACTCGCCCATCTTGGTCATCTCACACAATTGACTTGTCTGAATGTCGCATCGGCAAGTTTCGTTCCTATTCCTTCCGACGATTTCAAGATACCTCCAAACCTAGAGAGGTTGGTGTTATACTTTTACCTTGAAGTAACCACAGACCAGGCCGACTACTATCCAACTAGTCTCACAACCATGTCTACACGTTCAGTCTTTAAAGATGATCAAGATCAGTGCCAACCTATCCTCCCATCGACCCTCACATCACTCTATATTGGGTTTTGTGATTGTTTTTTGTCGCTAGGATACATTCCACAAACAGTGATAGATCTAGACATCACATTTTCAAACGGAGCAATCGACAAGGTCATTCCAACAGGTGTGCAAACTCTACGCATCATAAACCAAACCACCCGTCACCTACCACCAGATTGCATCCCAGACTCTGTCACTCATCTTAAATACCATAGTATTTACCGGTCGGTACCAGTCGCCATTACACACAACATGCAACAACTATCTTGTCCGGGGTATGATCGAAATCAAGTGTTGGTACCCGACATACCTTCCTCCCTCAAATCGATCGACTACACCTTCCCATTGACTTTAGTTCAACCCTTTCCCATTTTCTATTTGCCAACTTCTTTAGAAGAATTAACATTGCCTCTTGTTAATATTTCCGACTATCATTCAAATCATCCTTTTGACCGTCTTCCCATCTATTCACTGCCCACCAATGACATTTATATCATCAACAATACCCAAGATATCAATGACCAACTATACAAGAAACAAGATTTGGTCATACCATACAACATCAAAAGGTTAACTTGTAAATTGGATACCGGACACGACCCTGTGGAATCATATTGTATCAGAATTGATCAAATCATTTACAACACTAGAATCACTTCCCTCTCCATCTATGACCAAAATCGATATTGTCAACTTGATTTTCAAGTTAGAAGATTGGGAAATGATGATATTAGTATCTACAATCATACTAGTAACTTTATTCTAATTTCAAATAATACTTTATTTGGTGGAATCTTTATCAATAATAATCATAGTGAAAAATTATATCTTCATTATTCTTTTGTTTTTAATCAATATAAAGTTTTTATATCAGAATCACCTCTACCTTTTAAATAATAATAATAATAATAATAATAATAATAATAATAATAATAATAATAATAATAATAATAATAATAATAATAATATCAATAATAATAATAATAATAATAATAAACAAACCCCTCACATCCATCCCAACTCAAACATCACCTCTTTCACTCAATTGGGGGTGATCAGATCCATTCATTGTGTGTGTGTATTTAAAGTAATTTTTTTAAATCCATTACCGCACTACCATTTTTACAGTGATCCAATTTTTTATTATTACTATTGATCATAGAGAAGAAATGAATCATATAATTATTCAACCAGAAGCAACAAGAACTTATTCGATCGAACAAAAGATTGGTAAAGAGAGAAATCAACAAAAGAGAAGGAATTATGGTTGTATTGGTAATCAAGCTCTGTCATGGATACTTGTACTATTTCTAGTCTATTTTACATATCGTAGTCTTTGGACTTTTTTGGTATTCTCTGTCATTGATTCTTTAGTTGGTGACGATTATAGGATGAGATCAACTCCTGATATGACTCATGTCTTTAAAGCTCTAGTAAGTAAAATCAACTAAAAAATATAAACAAATTATTTTAATTAATTTTAATATTTTAATTTATCTTTAGGATATGGATTTAACAGCCAATTTCTTAATTGAATTATTGATATTGACTATTGTTTGGTTTAGTAGATTTATAATATCAATCAATGAAAAGAAATTGTATGACCAAACCTATAAAAATAGTGACAGTTATATTCAACAATTGTGCAAGGCAACACCAACCCTTTCCATTGAATCAATATCATTCCATTGGCAAGAGAAAAAAGGAGGTTGGAGTGAAAAGGTAATCACTCATCAAGAGATTGTTGAAATTCCAATTTACAAATCAAAGGATCTATCACCACCTTTAAAAATTAATTCTAGAAAAAAAATTATCAAAGTTTATTTTGAAAAAGATTATGTTTTGGATGAATTCTCTCAAAATGTAAGAGAAAGAAAGAAAAATTATTGTATAAATGATTAATAATATTCTTTTTTTTAGATGGTTCATGAAATTAAAACACAATTAAAACAAAATAATAAGAAAAAGGATATAAATTTAGAGATTACTACTAGATTTGATATTGAAGGGTATTGTGAAGAAAAGGTTATTGCTCCAAGAGGAGTACCATGGTATGTAAGACCATTTTGGAGAATCCTGGCAAATACTTTGTTTCTATGGTATCCACTGGATTGGTTAACCAAGAGAAATTTGGCAGTTTCCAGTTTCCAAGTTATTAAACAAATTCAATGTTCCAAAGTTAAAAAAAATTAAAAAGTCATAAAAGGAAACTGTCACCAATTCGATGAAGTTATAGCATCGGGGCAGATATTTTAAAAAACCGGTTGGGCAAGTGAATCGACTGAGCCCCCTCCCGATTTTTCTTTTTACAATTTTTTTTTTCTCTTTTGATCAAAGGTTTCATCAACAGAAACTCGAAATGAGAAGTTACTTTATCAGACTTTTTAACATAGAACCAAAGAGAGAGAGATAGATGAAATCAAATATTCTATTAATATTTATTTTTATTCTTTTAATAGTAGTTATTAATTCACAATGTAAGAAGATATCTAACTCTAGCATATTATGTATTTATATTAATTTCTTTTTCATTTTCTTTTTCTTTATTTTCTTTTTATTTTTAGTTTTAATACCAACATCAATTATACCAACAAGATTAGATAATAATAATAATATAATTTATGTTACACCATATAAACATTATATAGGTATATCAGCTCAATATCCAGCAGGATTGGGTGTAACGAAAATAACCACTGGATACTACAAGGATGACCCATCACAAGGAAATGAATTTACTTTGCAAGCAACTTGTAACCCGACGACAGGAGTTTGCACATACTTTAATAATTCAATTTCATCGGCTGCATCACCACTAGGTGAAGCATGGGCACCAAAATATGGTTATTATCAATACAAAGTAGGATCCGATGCTCATTCCTATTTTTATGATACCGAACCTACAGAAATTGCTGCCTTGCCAACACCTACTTTTACAGTCTCACCATACGACACGATTCCACCAGAATTGATAGAAGTGCAACCATATGACTATGTTGAATATGATTCAGTTGATAATATTTATACCTATAGTTCATTTGATACTTCTGGAAATGATTGTCAGGTCAAGCTCATCGTTCATATCTCTGACAATTATTATGGCCCCTATCAAGTTGGCTATGGTGATACTCCCAACATGAACATGTATGCAACAATGTATAATTCAGCAAATTATAGAATCCAAGGTACCTTTACCAATGGTTTTTATCGAGTCACTCAAGGTCCATTTCAAACAACTGGTTCCAATATAAACAAAATGTGGTTAACAGATTTACAAGGAAATTTTAAATCATTTGATATTCCATTTAATATTGCTTGTCTTATAAATGGTAAAGAAACAAATAATAATAATTTTAAAATGAACTTTATATTAATTCTTTTTTTTTCTTTTTTTTTTAATTTAGATAATACATATTTACCAAATTCATATTTTGGAACTAGTTCATTATTTTCTTATAGTGATCCAAGTTTATTGGAAGAGCCAATGGTATTAGGTTTACTTTATGAATACACCAATTCAAATGGAATCAATACAGTTAGTAATTACCAAATGCAACCAGAAACACTAGATATTGTATATTACCAAAGAAAAATCATTTATTCTCCTAGTGGTAATATTACTGCCTATAAACAATTACATTCTATTGACGGTGGAACAGATTACAATGTATATGTATTTGTGGAAAGTATCATGGGAACGTTAAAAGTTACTCGTACTCTACCAACTCCACCTTCATTACGTCCAATGATACAAGGAACCAATCGAGTATTTGCCACTCCATACAATACTATGCTTAATTTAGATCCAACTGGAACTTCATTAAACATTAGATTAAAAATTGTATTGACTGCCACCACCTGCAATCTATTGGTCTATGTATTGATTGCAGGTGTTGATGGAGTTTTATTACAAGATCGTAATCCAACTGCTCTATGTATTGATGACAGCAACTATTTGGTTGAATTTAAATTCTATCGTAATATTGGAAATGTTAATATCTATCTATACGATGTCTATGGTCAGAGTGATTCTCTAGAGACTACATTTGACCTCGAACAACCACCAACCAGTATTATATTTGGTGACGATCCAGTATGCACCCAAACCGAGGCATTCTTGTTATCGAGTCCATCGACCAATGTCACTCAAATCAATGTTCAAGCACCATTTAAAACATTGCAACCGCAACTACGTCAAATCTATTTACGTCACTTTTTGGATGGGACAATTATTGGCAATACATTGTATAGCAATAATGATCCAGCCGATTTTTCCTATGGACTTATCAACTATCCATTTGGTTATTCTTCTGGTAATACTCGTGAAGGTATTATAAAGTATACTACCTATCTTCCAAAGTTGCCAAGATCCATTGCTGGAAATTCTTTTGATTTTGGTGAATCTCAAACAGAAAACACTCAATACCTTGGTGAAGTCTCTGGATTGGTTACAGACATTCATAATCGTAATCCACCCATGTTGGCTTCATTCTCTATGCAATTCAATTCAGGACTACTTGCAGACTATACCTTTTCAGTTGAAGATGTTGAAGGTATATTGTATTGTAATATTTCAATTGGCGCCTACACCCAAAAGTTTACAAGATCACAAATAGACACTGGATCAACATTTAGAAATCCTTCATTCACAGGATCATTCCAAGTGAATCCTGCATTTTGTGGATACCCAGTTGAAATTGCTTGTCGTAATACTCGTCTCGAAACATTGTACACTAAAAGTGGTGATCTCTACCTTGAAGGTTCGAGTGGAAACACTCTTCGTATCAAATTGGTAGATTGTTTACGTGCATCTACAAGTTACCCAATTCCAATCCATTTCAAGTATGCAACCGATCCAACAGACAAGTCTAAATATAATTTCGAAGTGCTTATATACCAAGAGGTATTGTCAACGCTGACATCTGCCACATTGACCCTTACATCTATTGACTCCTCAGAGGTACCACAAACCATTTCATTAAGCAGAGATGTTACATCTTTGAGTACTGAATGGATGGTTTATAAAGGTCAATTGATATTGTCATCCACTCCACAACTTTCATCGACAGCGGTCCCAAGTTTAGATTTAGAATATGGAAGTGGTCAATCAACAACTTATACATTTGAAGAATTTACATACCTTACAACAACACAAATTGGTGATTATTTCGACTCATCCAACGGATTGGTAAAGTTATATTCACCAACCGACCAACATGCTCCACAATTTGTTTCAGTCTATCATACCAATGGTGAAAGTCAAGGTGAAATCATAGTCTATGTCGACTTTGACGATGCTAGTGATATCGAGTATGCCACCATCAATGTATTTGATAGAAAGGAACCATCAGTTGAACAAGTCCTTTCACAATCAGTTGCAACTTTTGTCGATGGAAACATTAAAACCTTTATGTTCCAATTCAATGCCAATCTAGCTTGTGGAGCAGCCGACACATTCTACTATGTATCTTTTGCACGTGACGTTTACAATAATTATCAAACTTGGACACCATCAGACATTAGTTCATTCTCTAACCAAACTCTTTGGAATGGCAACCAAATTACCTATACCAGTCTCCCACCATCGCTACTTCAATTTGATTTTGAACCAAAAATGATAAACTCTGCCAAAGATGATGAATCGAGTCGATCAGTCTATTTTACCATGACAGTTATGACAAACGGTCAAATCATGTCTGAAACTAGCTCCCCCATTCTCTACCTATCGGAATTATTGTATATTGAACCTGTAACATGTACATTTACTCTACTGGGTCAAAACAATACGATTGCAGAGTACGAATGTTCTTTGGTTGTTCCCAAAAACTATGGTTTGAATGGTGTTACAATGTCAGTGTATGGAATTCAAAATACATGTGGTCAATTTGTTGGCTACAGTAATATTGACCTTGCATCTGGAGGTTATCCAAACTTTTTATCGATCAAAGATGTAGATCCTGTCAATCTAGAACTTTCCCAAATGCGTTACACTGATCGTGTTATCACAGTCTTGGGTGATGATCTTTCTCTCGCCACTGCTACCGACTTTTTGGTTTATGGACAGTCGGAAAATACTGTTATCCCATCTGTTTTGGCTCAACTTGGATTGACCATGACAACCAATAGTCAAAGTAGACAATCATACAACTTTACATTCCACCCAATCAACCAAACTACAGTCCTTCTCAATCTGACAGACGACTCTCCACTTTTGAATCCAGATGCACCAGTCTATGTAGAGTATCTTGGTGATGCATACCTATTACAAGTAAATGTATGTCCAAACAATTGTAATGGTTTGAATGGCGATTGTCAATTGGATGGTCAATGTCAATGTACAAGTTCATGGATTGGTGAGGACTGTTCGGTTGGTAATAATGTTAGTTGTCCTGTTGACCTATCGAACTCTGAAATATGTAGTGGTATTGGATTGTGTAGTCTATCGAAAACATGTATGTGTCCAGTCGGATACAATGGACCGGCTTGTGAATACCCCAATCCCGATCCATACGACATGACCATCTTGATTGATCAAACTAGACCCAAGGTGACCTACACCAACCTCGACAAGATCGATCAACAAGCCAAGTATGGTCAATCCAACTTTACAGTTGCCTTTGAGTCAATTCGTGAATTGGATCTTGACGATGTGATGGTCAAAGAAACCTTTTTCAAAGACATGCAATTCCAAGACAATACCACTACTGGCGCCAATCCAGTCTACACCTATACTGGGTCGTTGGCTGGATCGATTGTGATTGAATTGACACAATTTACCAATTACACGATTCTCGATTGGAGAGGAGAAAACACAACCATGCAATCAAACACTATTAAATACTCTATCAACCTATCCAACTATCCATTTGCATCACGTCTCAATCGTATACAACTTACATGGAGATCGAGTGCTGTCATTGATCGATTGGATGGATGCGAGTACACTTTCCCAACCCAATCAATCGTTGGTGGATCCATGCAAGATATGCGTTACTTTTCCATGCCACTCCATGCCACCTCTCTCTATGGAAGGTTCCCCAACACTATCTATCTAGACAATCGCGCAACCTTTGCCTCTAATAGAGTATTGGAACAAGTAAATGGTACCACCCAACTAGATGCAGGTTACTTAGTTGCAATTGAACTTCCATATCATCAAACGGCATCAATCGACCCTGATTTCTCGGTACTACTCGGTAAACATTCCAATCCAGAACAATATCTAAATTGTCAATCAGACAGCTCTGAGAATAATAGTATTACTTGGAAGATTGCTGTTGGTGTAGTTGTAGGTGTAGTTGGTCTTGCTGCAATCATTGCCGGTGCCATTTACTATTCAAAACATTCAACCAAAGGAAAAATATTTGTTCACAAAATGAAATCAATTTCAAAAAGAAAATTATCTTTTCGTTCAACAAATTTTAACGAACCCAAATAAATAAATAAATATATAATTACAAATATATATATATAATTTTATTACCTAAATAAATAAATAAAAGATTAATAAATAAATATTATTATTTACAAGTTATGTTTTTTTTTAATTTTTAAACATACAATTATTGTTGTTGATGATTTTTAAAAGAAATTAAATGTTCTTGAAAATAATCCAACATTTCTAAATTCATATCAATGAGGATGATACGTTTGAGGTTGGTTTGTGGATTGGTAATGAAATAGTTTGTACATGTAGCAATGATTGTTTTGGCACATTCATCTTTGGGATAGCCAAATATACCTGCACTGATTGCAGGTATTGCGATTGATTGAAGGCTATCACCTTGTTTATCATGATAATTGTTGACAAGATTCAAACTACTCTGAACTGCACCTGTAAGTGCATCTATATGTTCTTGATCCAATTTACGGTGTACGATGGGACCGACTGCATTTACGATTGCTTTAATATTACGAATGTTATAGTTTGACATGATCATTGCATTGCCTGGTTTAATCTCTCCACCATTCTTTTTCAGATAGGCAAATCCGTCTTCATCATACTTTCTACCAGCGGCCATTGATATAGCACCAGCTGCACCGCCACCATGTGCAAGATGAGAGTTTGCAGGATTAACAATAGCATCGACACTTTGTTTGACAATATTCCCACTCTTTACAATGATCGATCTACCATCTTGAAAGATATAGTATTCCAAGACATCATTATCTTGCTTGATCTCCTCTTCAATCGATTCAACCAAAGTTTGTTGAGACATTGATATTGATGATCGTTTGTTGTTTTGCTTTTGTTGATAGTTGTAACAAACTAATAATACAATCACTAAAAATATGATACTAACTATTCTCACCTTTCTAGTAAATTGTTCTTTACTTTGTTGTTTGTTCAACTTTCTCTTCATCAAAAAAAATGAATGAATAATCACGATTCATTAAAACTATACTTTTTTTTTTTCGTCAAAAAAGGAAACAAACACTCGTTGTGTGTTTATGATGATCAGTCTTACGAATTAGGTAATAACCGCTCGTGTGTGTGTGGTTATCTCTTCAATCTGGATTTTAGATACCCCTGTATGATCAATGAACTGATTGAAGGACTCTACTCACTTCTCAACTCCTCCTCCTCATTCCTCTAAAAATTAGTATCAGTTGTGTTAAGTTTGTTAGTTAGTTCCACCAATCAAAAAAAAATAGATATATAAAAGCTTCAAATGTATAAAATCAATTATTTAATAGTTTTCATCATTATCATTACTACTAATACATTAATAATAATATCTGTAAATGGAGATCATGTTATTTTAATGTGTGACAAAGTGTCTACATGTTCATCGACAGGAGAATATTGCAATTCAATGTTTGGTTGCTATAGTTATAGAAACAATTCCGATTGTTTTGAAGTATACGATCCATGTTCTCATTCATTTATTGGCTACCGAAATGTATATCAAGTCAACCAGATAATCTACCAAGAATGGCATTCAACTAGTGAGTGCTCAGACATCGAACCAGGAATTCATACTTCACAATGTGGAGAATGTTATGAAAACTCTTTTATCAATACATGTTTTGATGAGAGTAACTTTATAGCATTTTAATTAAATATTAAATAATAATAATACTTTTTGTAAATAAATAAATAAATCACTTTCCTTCCTGCTTTTCAAAGGAGGATACCAATGTACAATAAAACGGTACCCATACCCATCCAATAAACAATAAACTTTCAAAGTAGTTTATTAAATCCTGATCCATTCCGAGGAGGGTGATCATAACCATTATCGGATTCGCTCAACCATCGAAAAATAAAATATCTTCTTCACACTCTGAGAGTTTGCGCAATGAACAAACCTTGTTGTAGGGTTAGCACTTCTAATATAAGTAACAGGCAGCTGTCAGTTGACATTATTGTTATTATTATTTTGTATTACTCTTTCAAAGATACACACACAAAAGTAGGTACGATAAAGTCACACACACTACACACAATTTCGATTTACGTATTAACACACTCTCTCATTGTGTGTGTTTTTAAACAACGTGCTTTGGTATTTACTAAAATATCTCTTATTCATTTATCTTCTTTTTATTTTTATTTCAAACTATTGCTATTACTATTACTATTATTAACAGATAAGAAACAATGAGTACTGAAAATATCAATTCACTCAGTGAATTTATGAAAGAATTATCAACTGTATGTTTCATCAATTAAAATCGAATCGAATCAAGATTCCATCTATTCATCAGCATCTCTAACTATATCTTTAACATCTTTATCATTATCTAACTCTATAGGATGATTATTTAGGATTCAGTAATGTATCATCAAAGAAGGAATTAATTATTGATATTCAAGGACTTGATGGTAAGTAAATATATATATTTATTTTTAGTCACATGACTCTACTACTACCACCCAACACTAACAATGATCTTCTTTTTATTTTAGAGGATTCAAATTCATATGCCAATCATCATGGAAATTTCGAAAAGTTTATTAGTGGTTATATGATTGATCGTGTTACAACCAAAGGTAACATCATGTCCAAAAAGTGGTATTTGACCTTCGTAAAAGTTATTTGGTTTGTCATAAAAAGAAAGGTAATTATTAATTTAAACAAAATAATAATAATAATAATAATAATATTATTATTATTATTATTATTATTATTATTATTATTATTATTATTATTATTATTATTATTATTATTATTATTATTATTATTATTATTATTATTATTATTATTATTATTATTATTATTATTATTATTTAAATATTAATCTATTTCTTAACTTTCTTTTTTTTAGTTGGATTTTCTGAATTTGATGAAATTAGAGTTTGGGACAAAAAACCAATGTATTTAATAATTTCAAGACAAAGAAAAGATATACCGAGTCACCAGTTGATTATCGTGTATCATTTTCATTAATGTACAGTAATAATTTGAAATCATTGGATTTTGTTTGTACTTCAATCGAAGCAAGACAAGAGTTGGTATCTGCATTGTACCTCGTCATCAAACAATCGAGATCATCTGACAATGAACTTGGATTTATTCGTAAACAATGGAACTATTTTGGAAAGGATACTCTTGGTGCTAGTGATCTCCGTAAACTATTGTCAAGATTGAATTATTCCACCTCGCATGGAAAGGCTACTGATTTGATCGAATCGGTCGACAAGAATGGCGACAAGGTATTGGATTTTATCGAGTTTTCAGAACTCTTTAATCTTTTACGCCGTCGTCCCGAGATCAAATTAATTCTCACCAAGTATGCAAAGACATTGGATAATCAACTTTCAATTAGTGAAATGATTGATTTCTTTAAATACGAACAAAGTGAAGAATGGTCAACCAAAGATTGTCAACATTTAATTGAAAACTTTAGTCATGATCCATCTGCCAAAACCATTACCATCGATCAACTAGAGGATTATTTAACTAGTTCCAATAATGATGTTTTTGAACCAAAAGCTAGAAAAACTTATATGGATACAAATCAACCAATTTCAAATTATTATATGGTATGCAAAAAAAGAAACAAACAAATGAAAATCATAATATTAATATTATATTTTTTTTTTCTTTTAAAGAATTCATCACATAATACCTATTTAGCAGGACATCAATTACAAGGTATTAGTTCAAGTGAAATGTATGTTTTGGCAATGAAAAAGAATTGTAAATGTGTTGAATGTATGTATAAATAATTATAATATAATTATTACTATTATTTTTTTTTTTTTTAAAACTAACCTTTTTTTTTTTTTTTTTTTTTCTTACTGGACGTTTGGGATGGAAAAAATGGTGATCCAATTATTTTCCATGGTCATACATTGACATCACAAATTAAATTTAAACATGTTATTCAAAGTATAAAGGATTATGGTTTTGAAAACTCTCCCTATCCAGTTATTCTTATTTTGGAAACCCATTGTACACCACCTCAACAAGTCAAGATGATTGAACACATGGTTGTTATTTTTGGTGATATGTTGGCCAAACCATTCACCGAGGAAGATGTTGACAAGGTCAAGATACTTCCAACCCTCGAACAATTAAAATACAAGGTTATTTTAAAGGGTAGTTACAATTGTAGAATCGTTACAGACAAGAAGCAAATTAGTGAAATGCTCGAAGAAGAGGAAGAATCTAGTCTTACAGACTCTAGCTCATCGAACAAAAAGTCATCCAAGACACCAAAGCCACCCAAGGTGACTGTAGCCCCCGAGTATGCTAAATGGATCTACCTCTTGTCCAAGGGATTCTCTTCGGTTGACGACAGCAACAAGTTGCCTGTATGGGTGATGCACTCGTTCTCTGAAGACAAGATTATGGAGTTTATCAAATCCGATTATACTGCCAGCGTCGTTGAATTGGCCACTCGCAAGGAACTCCGTGTCTACCCTAGAGGCACTCGTTTCGGTAGCTCCAACTTTGACCCAGTACCAGGTTGGACCGTCGGTGCACAGATTGTTGCACTCAACCAACAAACGTCGTCCGAACCAATGTGGCTCAACGCCGGTATGTTTGCCGATAATGGTGCCAGTGGATATGTCCTCAAACCACCATGTCTCTTGCCATCAACCGTCCCAGGCGAATTCAATTATTTCGATCCATCCCAACTCACCCGTCATGCATCGTCCAAGTACAGCAAGTTGATTGTCAACATTATCTCTGCTCGTCAACTTCCAAAATACACAAAGACCGAAGGAGGTGAAGTCATCGATCCATTCATCACCATTTCAATGCATGGTGCTGAATTTGATAAACAAGAATTCAAAACAAAGGTCATCGATAACAATGGTTTCAATCCACACTGGGGAGAAGAATTTGAATTCCCATTGATTCACGATCAAGTTGCCATGCTCTTGATCAGAGTTGATGACAAGGACAAATTCAAACGCCAAAATAGAATTGGTCACTATTGTATCAAGGTATCAAATATTAGAAATGGTTATCGTATCATTAAATTAGAAAATGATTATGGTAATCAAATCCCAATGTGTAACTTGTTATGTAAGTTTACCTTGGTTCCAAATTCAAATAGAGCTGAATAAAAAAGAAAGAGAGAGAGAGAGAGAGAAAGGATAGATACATATTATTTTCCACATCATCACATTCTTCTAAAAGAACAAAAACAATAATAAAAAAAAAGAAATAGTCTGCCTATGTAATTTTAATAATAATACAAATATTTTAGTTGAATACAAACAAATAATATTTATTATGTGTGTGGAAAGTATCGAAAGATGAAAAGACAAAAAGAAACATGTTTGGGGGTGTTGTACAAAAATTATTGGTGTCAACTTTTTAAAGGTATGAAGTAGAGATTTATGCTTGAGGAATATCTTCTTAATAAAAAAGAAACACTTTATTAGGAATGTTGATGTTGATAACATTATTATTATTATTACACTTTTATATATATAGTATTATATTACTTTGATTTATTTATTTTTAAAAAAATATGCTTTCACTAAATGACTTGTCAATAGAAGACCATTCAAATGTATGTTTAAACACTCTGATATCATTCATTGTTTACAGTTTAAAGAGTTATTAACAATAGAATAAAAAGGATGAATATTTAGGATTTAGAAATAGAACAGAAAAGAAAGAGTTGATTGTTGATATCCAAGGTTTTGATGGTAAGCATTAAAAATAATGATGATTGCACAAACAACTTTGATCACCTTATTCTAATCTTTTTCATTCATTCTATATAGATGAAGATATAAATACATATTCAAATCATAATGGAGTATTTGATCAATATACTGATCATGGTTATATGATTCATCGTGTTACTACCAAAGGTCATCTTACCAAAAAGAAATTAGTATTTGATCTTTATAAAAGTTATTTGATTTGTCATAAAAAGAAAGGTAATAATTATTTTAAACAAAATAATAATATTATTATTATTATAGTTAGTTAGTTAGTTATTATTTAAATATTAATCTATTTCTTAACTTTCTTTTTTTTAGTTGGATTTTCTGAATTTGATGAAATTAGAATTGGACAAAAGACCAATGTATTTAATCATTATAAATCAAAAAAGACATCAGTTCATCATTCTGAAGATTGTGAATTATCATTTTCATTGATGCACAGTAATAATTTGAAATCATTGGATTTTGTTTGTTCATCGGTCAAAGAAAGAATAGAAATAGTTTCTGCATTGTACCTCGTAATTAAACAATCGAGATCATCAAACAATGAACTTGGATTTATTCGTAAACAATGGGATTATTTTGGAAAAGAAACACTTGGACCAAATGATCTAAGAAGATTATTGTCAAGACTAAATTATTCTGCTTCACATGGACATGCAAATGAACTGCTTAAAGCAGTTGACAAGAATGGTGATAGAGTATTGGATTTTATCGAGTTTTCAGAACTCTTTAAACTTTTACGTCGTCGTCCCGAGATCAAATTACTTCTCAACAAGTATTCAAAGACATTAGAAGGTCAACTTTCAATTAGTGAAATGATTGATTTCTTTAAATACGAACAAAGTGAAGAATGGACAGAAGAACAATGTAAACATTTAATTGAAAACTCTACTCACGACACAACCATTCAAACAATGTCCCACGAACACATGGAAGATTATTTATCAAGTCAATTGAATAATGATGTTCTCGATCCAAAAGCTAAAACTATATACATGGATACAAATCAACCAATTTCAAATTATTTTATAAATTCATCACATAATACATATTTAGCAGGACATCAATTACAAGGTATTAGTTCAAGTGAAATGTATGTTTTGGCAATGAAAAAGAATTGTAAATGTGTTGAATGTATGTATCAAAAAATACTTATAATATTTTTGATAAAGTAGAGTATTAATATTTCTTTTTCATTTTAATTTTTTTAAGTGGACGTTTGGGATGGACATGATGGAGATCCAATAATATTTCATGGTCATACATTGACATCACAAATTAAATTTAAACATGTTATTCAAAGTATAAAGGATTATGGTTTTGAAAATTCACCATACCCTATTGTACTAAGTTTGGAGACTCATTGTGCACCAGCTCAACAAGTCAAGATGATTGAACACATGGTAGCTATTTTTGGTGATATGTTGGCCAAACCATTCACCGAGGAAGATGTTGACAAGGTCAAGACACTTCCAACTCTTGAACAATTAAAATACAAGGTTATTTTAAAGGGACATTATAATTGTAGAATGGTATCTGAAAGAAATCAGGTAACTGAAGTGATTGAAGAAGAAAACGAGGAAGAAGAGACTGACAATATCCATGTCAAAGAGATGAAACCACAAAAAATGTTGGTTGCTCCAGAGTATGCCAAATGGATTTACTTTTTGACAAAGGGTTTCAAGTCTGTTGAAGAGTCAAATACTCTTCCTCCATGGGTTATGCATTCCTTTTCAGAGGCAAAGGTCAAAGAGTTGGTTAAAGCAAATGGAACCTATTCATTTATTGATATGTTTACTAGAAGGCAACTTAGAGTGTTTCCAAAAGGTACGCGAGTCAATAGTTCAAATTATGATCCTGTTCCTGGATGGACCATGGGTGCACAGATTGTTGCTCTCAACCAACAAACATCATCTGAACCAATGTGGCTCAATGCTGGAATGTTTGCTGATAATGGTGGTTGTGGATATGTCCTCAAATCACCATGTCTCTTGCCGTCAACCGTTTCAGGTGAATTCAATTATTTCGATCCATCAGAGCCAACTCGTCATGCATCGTCCAAGTATAGCAAGTTGATTATCAACATTATTTCTGCTCGTCAACTTCCAAAATACACAAAGACCGAAGGAGGTGAAGTCATTGATCCATTTGTCACAGTGTCAATTCATGGTTCACAACTTGATGATAGGGAATTCAAAACAAAGGTTATCGATGATAATGGTTTCAATCCATATTGGGGAGAAGAATTTGAATTCCCATTGATTCATGATCAAGTTGCCATGTTATTAATCAGAGTTGATGACAAGGACAAATTCAAACGTCAAAATAGAATTGGTCACTATTGTATCAAGGTATCAAATATCAGAAATGGTTATCGTGTCATTAAATTAGAAAATGGATATGGTAATCAAATCCCAATGTGTAACTTGTTATGTAAGTTTACCTTGGTTCCAAATTAGAAAAAGTATAAAAAATAAAAGTATACTTTTATTACCAAGTTTCAGTTATATATCTCTTTTGTTTTTCTAGAACTGTAAAATAATCTAATGCTCTTTGAGTTAATATTTCATCTCTATCGTTTCCTTCTTCTTTTCCTTCTTCTTTTTCATTTTCTTTTGTTTCTAAATTTTCTTTAATAATATCTAAAAGAGTTTGTTTTACATCCTTTGGCATTCTACCAGAAGAACCAGAAATATAAAACCAAGCACCATTTTCCAATAGATTCCAAATCAATTGGGCATCTCGACGCATTAAATGTTGAACATAAACCTTTTTGTTGTCGTCAGAGTCTCTTGAAAAGGCGACAGACAATTGTGAAATGGTTCCACTTTTTTCATAGTGTTCAAACTCTTGTTGATACAAATAATCCGAGTTTGCATGTCTACATCCATAATAAAATATTGCCTCTCCCAATGCACCATCCTTTTTAATCATTTCTCGATGCTGCATAAAAGATCTAAATATTGCACAACCTGTTCCAGGGCCAACCATAACAAGTGGGATATTTGGTGAGGGTGGAAGGGTAGCACCACTTTGTTTTATGTACATTGGTACCAATGCTCCAGTCGATAGGGTTTGAAACCATTGTGAACACAATCCCATTCTCAAAAGTCGTCTAGTAGGTGCCATATATGTATTTAAACCCGCGGATACATGCAACTCATTTGGATGCATTGTAGATGAAGAGGATATTGAGAATGGTCTTGGTTTGATTGGCATGATCAAATCAAATATATATTCAAATGGTATTGAAATATTTTGAAAATCTTTTAATACATCTATATAATTTCTTTTTTCTTTTTGATTATAATCTCTTAAATCGTCCTAAAAAAAGAAAATTAATAAATTAAATAGATTCTTTTTTTTTGTTTTTAACTTACTTGACCTTCAGTAGAAGAAAAGTATTGTAATCTTTCTTGTTCCAAAGGATCAGATGTAAAAAATTGTAATAATTCGAAAAAGTAACGTCTTGGTGAACCCATTATATCAAAATAATGTTTAAATAATATTCCAATAGTTGTTGGTAAATTGATTTGTGGTGTTGTACATAATTCTAAAGAAAAAAAGTAAAAGTAAGATTTAATTCTATATAAAAGTTTGATTGTTTTTGTTTTTATATATTTACCAGAATTAAAAGGTTTAATACTTGTAATAATTGTATTTGGATCAAATTTTAAACATTCTATTATTTCATTTACAGATTTTGTTGGATTTTCTGGGAGAATATAGGTTACATCACCAGATGAATATTTTAATAAATTACGACCATTTTGATTTGGATCTTTAATATCAAACTCTAAATGTCTAACATCTTGATTCCAATAGGGACATGTAATTCTTTGATTGGTTTTCAATTGAACTATAGAATATTGTTGTGGTGGTTTGAATTGCATTCTTTGACCTTCTTGATCCGATGTTTTAAATTCTACCATATATTTTGATTTTTGTCTAAATGTATAAATAAAATACTCATTTAAAAAACACTATACTTTTTAAATATACAATACTTTTTGTTTGTTGTTTACTTACAAAATATTTCTATCGATTGGAACAAAATCCAAAGGTAAAGGATAGAGTTGATGAAGTTTGGTTGTCAACTCCAAGGTCCATTTTTCGACCTCATAGTCAATTCCAAGGTCATGTTGATCGTCTGCATCACCACGACGAATAAGTTGTTGAGCACCAAGAGACAATAATCTTTGGTTTAACTTTTTAGAAGCAAAGTTGAAAGTAGTGTAGGATGAATCGCCAAGTCCAAGAATAGCAAATCTCAACCCACCCAATGCATTAGAAGGATGTGATCGAATCAATAAGAAATTCCAAAATAATCTCATTGAATCTGGTACATCACCATGTCCTTGTGTAGATACAACAAACAATATGATATTTTCAAATGGTAATAGTTTCTAGAAACAAATATAAATGAGTCATAATAGTCTTTGAATGATATCATCAAATACAAACCTTGTAATCATAATTTTCAATATCATCAACCTTTGTAATGATACCATTTCGTAAAAGATCTCTTGATAGTTTCTCTGCTACCTCTTGTCCTGTTCCTGATTGAGTTGAATAGATGATCTTGCAACCAAAAGATGATGAAGGTATCGTTGTCATTTTGATTGCTGTGTTCTAATGAGAGCTTGAATAAAAGAACAATTGATTTGAACCCGAGTTGGTTGATCAATTAATTAATTAAAAAAAAAACAAATTGTTTGTGATAATGATGACGACGAAAGAAGATTCTATCAAACAAAACAAAAACGATGTGTCTCTCTGTTGCGTCTGTGTATGTGTGTTGTGTATACAAAAGAGAAGAGAAGAAATGAAAAAGACAACAAATGATTATTTAAAGAGTGGAATGGAATGAACGAAATGAAATGAAGGTGTTTGTTTGTTGGAACAAAAAAGAAGGTCACCAACAACAACTTATAATTATTTTAAACAAATGTTTGTTTAGATTTAAAGAATAACATAGTTTGCACATTTCCTCAGATCTCTCTTGCTTCTAAAGTAATCTAATTATCTCATTGTCTTGGTCAATCTGCAGATCTTTCCCTAATTTGTGTTTTTGCGCTTGTACACAACAAAACAAAGACGGGCGAAAATTTTTTCTCAAGAGCAAAAAAAAATCACTGTGTTCGAGTTTTGTGTGATCACTCACTGACTGCGCAATCCCTCTCTCTCATAAATGATAGTGTTGATATTGCGCGCATTCTTCTAAACTAGATATCTTTAATTAAAATGAGCAACTTATTCAAACTCGCCAGAAGAACACTCTTCAACAACAGACAACAATTATTAAGAGGTGGTGACCACGGTCACGGTCATGGTCATGTAGGTGAAATAAATAGATAGTTGATCTTAAGAAAGAAAGAAAGAAAGTAAAGATGTAGCTAGTTAGCTTTGCAAAGCAATCAACAACAACAACAAAAACTAGTAATAGTAGTAATAGTAGCAGCAGACAGTAGTCATTATCATGGTTAACAAATAATGATCATTAAATGGATGTTGATCAAAAAAAGTTGTAGCATATGATGAAACAGACAGAGTTGTCATGAAAAAGATAAAAACACAAGATATACAACTAGACTATGATCGATCACCATCAATCATCATATGACCTATTACTTGTATTCAATGCATTGAATAGGTTCATATATCTATATAGACAATGGCTCATCTCATGAGTTTGTTTCAAAACAAAACAACACACACATCGACAAAAATCAGAATAGAATTATACAACCAGTTATAATTAGACTACCTACATCTTTACGATCTTTCGATAACAGAAGAAGAAGGAAGAAGAAGATATTAATAATCATCAATTTATTTTAATCATATTTATATATATATATAGGGTCCAGAATACGGTTTTTCACCATCCATCCAAAAGGGTCTCTCATTGACCACCAAGATTGTTGGTTGTGTTGTATTTTTCTACGTCCCATTCCTCTCCATGTCTCACCAAAAGTAATATTATATTGATCAATTATTTTAATTCTATTTTTTTATCTCAATTTACTTATATTCTTTGTTTTTTTTTTGTAGGGCCAAGAGAGAAGCTACCTCTGATTAAATTTAATTAATTAATTTATAAAACCCTCGATAATATTATTTAATTATTAATATATAATTATACCACATGGAACAATAAATAAATATAATAATACCCCTTCAAAATAGTTTAATTGACAAGAAATCGATCTTGGTAAGACTTGTGTGTATGTGTTGGTATTACCAAAATATGGTTATCTATATTATAATATTTATTATTTGTTATATTGTTGTTGTTGTTGTATTATTTTGATTATTTTGATTATTTTGATTATTTTGATTATAACCAGAAGAAATTAGATGAACATAATCAACATAGGAACGATCAGATTGATAACGAGCAACAATTTCTTTGATACGTGATTTTCTTAGTACATATGGTTTGGAGTAGTTTGGAGTTGCATTTCGAACATAACGGTAGGCATTGATGGAAGTTTGACGGACAAGTTGTGACAAGAGTCTCTTGGAGACGGCCATACCGTGGATGAGTGGACCAAAGAGGGGTACCTTGTTTTCCTTTCGGTAGATGGACACACGGAAGAGACCGTTGGCCAGTGGATAGACGACAATGTGGGCATCGTTGAATTGCGAGGTGATGGTGGTCGGTGAGTAGTCACGAACGTGCTCACTCCAGATAATGTTGACAATATCGTTTCCGACGTGACGCTTCTTGTGAATTTGTTGGGGATCAGAGAGATTAGTTGGCATGGCAGCCGTGTTGTGGAAGATGGTTTCAACAGTTGGCGTGGCATAGTATGGTGCATGTGTACCGGTCGACTTTTTTCGATCTAAACCACCCATGTACCCACGATGCGTCTGCAAGTCGACTGGCCATCCAAGACCGTCGGCAAACTGCTGATACAATGGTGTAATGGTAGTTGGATCGTTTTGGAGAATCTCACGTTGCTCATCTTGTCCTTCACGCACATAGATCAACCCAATCTTTAGGATCTCTCTAACCGGTGTAATGTCCAACTGTTGCAAGGCACGGTGTAGTTTTTGGTTGTTGTCTAGTTGTTTGAGACTGGTCGTTGGTTGTTGAATGGTTGGCACAAACATGTTCATGTTGAGTAGATTCATGTAGGACAATAGCAAACGACTGCTCTGAGCCACCACACTGGGTAAAGGAGCAGGTTTGGTCATTGCCCAAGATGGTCCTTGGGGTGGTTTATTGTACCTGTCAACCGACGCACTCTTTTCCTGTTCGATAAACAATGCCATCTCTGACTCTATACGACTGAATTCCTGAACAAGATTTGGTTTCAAATTTAATAATGGATCATTTAAATTTTCACTTCCATTTACTAAACATTCTGGTATTAATGATAATTTATCCAACATTCCTTTTAATTTATCATCATTTCTAGAAATAGAAAATAGAATAAATTAGTATCTATTGTCTTATTCTTTTTTTTTTCTTATTTTTCATACTCTAAATTTTTAATTGGTAAATTTGAAGATATATTATTTTCAAATTTATAATTTACATTGTCGATCAAGACAGAGGAGAAAGTACCATTGTTGTCATTGTAAAGCTTGATGAGATCGAGAGCGGGTATTTGGGAGAGGAGTTGTTGATCGATGGTTGAATGGTCAAAGTTCCAGACATACTTTCCAGTGGCGTCACGGATAAAGAGACGGGCATAATTGCCTTGTCCGTTGGGTTTGGGAACCTCGACGATCGAGAGGATGGCATTTTCATTTAATACAGTGTAGAGGGGAAGTGCGGTAGACTCTTCTTCGAGGAGGGGTGATGACGAGGAGAGTGATTGTCCATTCAAGTCAATATCGTCACTCTCATCGACCATTGATGTAATAATCTCAGAACCCTCTTTGGATGGGAAGTTATGTACATAGTTGAGACAGTGGTAGAGTAGTGTCTCGGCAGAATCCTTGATTGTCGATGGCTTGGTGTGTAGCGAGTGTGGGTCGTCATCTTGCTCACCACTACCAACACCACCACTACTGTCCTTTTTCTTGTTGGAGACGTTGAGTGATGATCCGCCAGAAGAGGATGCTGCGCTGGCCGTCTTTTTGGTCAACGTAGCTACCTTGCCAATATTCTTGAGGTGCTCTTTAAAGTCATCGGTCGTCGACGACGGACTGCTGCTAGCGACCGGACTAGACGCCGACGACAATGCAGCGGGTGACCCAGTCAACGACACATTTCCAGTGTTTGAAGCGCCACTTCCACTGGTACTGGTTGTGAGGGGACAGGTTGGGGACCACAACTCTCCCTTTTGACCGAGTGCACACTCGATGGCTTGGAACAGCAATGAGCGGAACTCACGGAAACTCTCATCATCAAACACAGAGTTGTCAATCGAGATCCACTCTAATAGACAGTGAAAGTGGTTTGAAATGGTCTGTTCGCTGACACTAGTGTTGCCAAACTCCATCTCGGTGATACCCTTGAGAATGGACAAACAGAGTGACGACATGATATGATTGGCAGTGACACGAGACATGTTGGGGAAGGAAAGTGCAAGTGACGACACTGCATCCAACGAAGTACGCGACACTGACAAATCCGAGTTGAGAGTGTGTGAAATGATGGCTTCAACAGCCTCGCCTGCCAACTCTACATTTCCAAGTCCAATAGTGGTTGCGCTAAACTCTTCCATAGCCTGTACCAACAGTGCCCACAAACAAATCAACTTGTTTTCTACAACCTTTTCAGATTTCAAAGTCGACACTAAAAGATCGAGAATCTCTTTCTTTAACTCTGACATTGTCAACTGATCCTTTGTATTGGGTGATTTACGTGAAGATGCAGCATTGCCACCACCATTGGTTTGAATAATCAAAGATGGGAATTGATTTGGATAAAATATTAATGATCCCAATATTATTAAACATTTCTTTCTAACTTCTGCAGGTGGACAAATTTCATTTGGATTTTTTAATGCCATCAACTAATATAAAATAAATCAAAATAATTAAAAGTTGGTTAGTTTTAAATTATTTCTATTATTTCTTTTCTTTTTTTTTTTTGGTTTCTATTTTTTTTACATTTGATTTAATTTTAAAGAGATAAGTTGGTATTAATACATTTGCACCTGGCATTGAAAGATTGAAAATATTGCTACTATATAAAATGACTGGCCAAGATAGATCGACTCCATTGACAGATGGTGAATCCAAAGTTTGTGAGATATGGTTATAAAAGTGTGTGAGGATGGGAAGTGGGTATTGAGGATGATGACGACAAAACAATCTACATAGACACTCGAGAGCCAACACTTTGCCCTTTATAAATTTACCCTCCAATGCCAATGCATCAAATAGTCTTGATCCAAAAATATTAATCAATGGTAGTGGTTGAGGTGTTGATTCTTTGAGTGTAGTTGCAAATTCCATCTCTTGTTCTGCCTTTAGATAGATATCTACAATATCTACCAATATACCAACTGCCAATTCATGAATATTTGAATCTTTAATACGATTACAATTTCTCAGCATATCCAACATAAAATGCCAAGTTGTTAAACAACTTTCTGAATCCCATTGTACTGATTGTAATGATTGATCACTAAAAAATAAAAGTAAAAGTAAAAGTAAAAGTAAATTAGCTTCCTATCTATTTATATATATATATATATATTTATATCTTACATTGAAATTTCAGGAGTATTTGGTTGAGTATCTGGTGATTTTGGTTCTCCACCTTTTTCAGCAGACTTTATATCTTTTCTCTTTTTAATATTTTCTTTTCTGACAATGGATATACAATATCCTTTAATATTAATGACATTTGTATTAATTTTGATTTTACTTGTTTTACAACTTCAACTCTAAAGAATAAATCCTAGAAATATAAATAAAAAAATAATAATATAATATAAAATTAGTCACACTATTGTATCTAGTTGATTTGTAAACTACTATTTGACTTACTTCGAAATGATAATGTAATTGACCCCACATTGATTTTGAAGTTTCTTTTGATTTTATCCAAGCAAAAAGAGTTGTTGAAACCATTGCTTGTTCCAAAGTGGATGATACAGATTTGTTTGGATTGGCTTTCCGCAAGAGAATGGTGGTAGCTTGTAACATTGCAGTCAATAAAATTTCCTTTGATCTTGGTCTCATTTGTTGATAGTTTTCAATCATTTGTTTAAATACTCCAATGACAAACATGCCAATCGACTCTCTTTCCTTTTCATAATTTGTTGCCTCTAATTCAAATACGCTAATCATCTCTTGTAAAATAAATGTTTGATATGTATAAAATTCATCTCCAAATATATTTTCTAAATCTGCATTCATCTAAAAGGAAAGGAAAAAAGGTTAGAAAAACTATATATATATATCTCTCTTTATCTTTTTTCTTTTTCTTTTTTTACATACTAAAAATAAAGAATGAAAAGTTGAAATTGATTTTTTGATAACTTCTGAATATTTTAAAGGTAATTTACAACTTTGTTTAAATATTTCCAAAATGATTGCTATTCTACCGTTGCCTGGTGTCGAAGTTGTTAGTAGTTGTTGTGAATTTGTTTGGATGTTTGGTTGAGGTGATGCCGCTAAAGATGATAATTGTTGATTAATATTATTATTATTATTTGGAGATGATGATATATTATTGTTACTATTACTATTATTACTATTATTACTATTATTACTATTTGAAAGAAAAGATGATCCACCACCACCATTGGAAGAACCTTGTTGTGGTGAAGTTAGAGCTGATGAAGCAGTGATGGCAGGTTGTTCTGGTACATTGTTTAAAAGGTATTCTTTAGAGGTGAGGGTCAACATCCATTGCGAGAGATAGTTGATGATGATGACTTGGAGTTCGTGTGGACAGTGTGTGCCAAACCCAGTGTTGTCGGTGGCCGGCAAGACACCAATCTTTTTACAGATACTTGGGTAGAGCACGGTAAAGTATTGTGACTTTAGCAACTCGAACCAAAAGCCAAACAGGTGCATATGGCTATTCATATAGATAAATATGTTTTCAAAGAGACGACAAGAGTCTTCGCGAGTGGGTGGATCGGTTGCTTGTATGACGATGAATCGACGAGCGTCGTTACCCGAGAATACCTTGCGTGCAAAGTGAATCTTGTAGGTATAGTCTGGGGTGAAAGGGGTGTAGTCAATGATCGAGGCAAAAAGGTCGACTTTGTAGCGATCGGGTTTCTCCATGACTTCGAGGAACCGCAGCAACACCAAAAAGGCCGATTGTCGGATCGAAGAGATATTCTCAATACCCAACATCTTTTCAAGGATGTTTAGGATACTCTTTACCTGCCACCCCTTTCTAACAAAGCCCTCCAAGTGCATCAAGATGCGTTTGAGTAGCTCCATCAACTTGTGAATCTCCTTTTCAGCATAGTGATGCTTGCCTTGCTTGAAGGTGCCCAGTTCGTACGTTGAGAATGTTGTCAGCAGGATCTGGTAGATCTGGTAGCTGTTGTCCTTGAACACCTTGTCAATGTCGGCGTCATCCGAGTGCGATATAAACGAAACCAAGCCTTTGAACCGTTTGACAGGCTCGACTTGTGTGTCTAAAAACGTTGCTAGCTTCTTCTTGGCCTTGCTGACATCCTTTTCCTTGATCTTGATCTCGCCGCCTGTCGTTGCCAACGACGTGTTGCTCACCGAGTGTGGGATGGTAGACAGACCCCCGGTAGGACTAGTGGTCGCGCTCGACGGTCCACTCAATCCTCCATTTTGTTTGACTTGATCATAAGACATTTGATTGTTGTTGTTGTTGTTGTTCGACAGTCCACCACTTGCACCTCCAACATTTGATGAAGATGAAGAAGAATTACTCATCATATAAATATATTATATTACACAAGTTGTTTTGTTTCTTAATTTGAATGAATGTGAATGAATAAAAGTAAACTAACTATTGACTTGTCTTTTTAATATATATATACACTTAAAATATTCTATCTAGATAGTGATGATGATGATATTAAACAATATTAAAGTGGCTTGATTATGATGATTCTGTGTTGTGGGTTTTAAAAAAGGATTTCTGAATGATGGGTGTTTGTGTGTTGTGTGTGATGAGTGTGAGTGAGCGACGAGAGGAGGAGGAAAATCAGTCTTCTTGTGTGATGATTGTCAACCCCTTTCTTTAATCTGATCTGGGCTCTTTGCACAAAAATCAAAATATTAAACCTGATGATGCGAGTGAGGTGGTACGCAGTGTTGTTGTTGCTAATTCTGATGATTCTATCTATCTCTCTCTCTCTATCGAATATCGTGAAAAGTAGTAATGAAAGATGAATGAATTATAGAACAATTGCTGATGGTGGATGGATTGGGACGGTTGGATGGGAAAATCAAAAAAAAAAGAAACTAAAAAAACTATTAAAATTACTGTGATGTAGGTCTAAGATGGAATCTTATCTTTGCATCGACCAAACTACTCTAACTCTACTCTACTCTACTCTATTCTTCTTTTAGTTGTTTGAAATAAATGAATGATGTAGACAGACGGACGAATTGAATTGTGTGTAGGAGGGGGATGAATGAATAAGGTACCTTAACAATCGTAGGAGTCTGAAAGAATTAAACTAGTTTGTTGTTGTGTAGAGAGCTCAATGAGAGACACCAAGTTATGAAAAAAAAAAAAAGAAGTGGTTTCGCAGGCCAACAGGGGGGACCCGAACTGTGAGCTCACCTGAGAAACCTTTGGGTGCGAAAAACGATTGTTCGACCTTTTTATTAATTTTTTAAAATTCATTTTGTTTTTCGTATACCCTGTTCCAAAGAGTGTACACACATTCTTTGGTTGTTTGGTCTACTCACCCATCCCTTTGGAACCCTACCACGTCCCTAACTACTATCTTTACTAATTTGACGGTTCGTCCACTGAGTGGTATTTGCATTACTTTCATCTTACCCTTTATCAACCTTCATTCCCAGATTCAAACGATTTTTCAAAATATCTTATTCATTGGATGATCATGAACAAAGGGAAACCATGTTCGTCTTACTTTTCAGATTTATAAAATAATTATAGAACCCATTAATTTAACCAATTCTCGGAGTATAGGAGAAAAACATCGACCCATTTCGAAATGGTTGGGTGAAGGTGGAGATCCAATTGGATATTTACCAGGGATCCGATATATGGCTCATGTCCGACCTTTTTTTAAAATCTCAATCCCGACTCGAAACCTCTAAAGAAGAAGGAGGAATAATATCTTTTAAAGATTTTATTCATGACCATGAATAAAGTATTGATTAAAGATAAAATATTTGCTTGGATTGTGATGATTGTCATCATGCATGGACAAACCAAGGATGGTTTGTTTATTTCCTTTTTTTGCTCTAGATCTATCCCATCTTTTTCCATTTTCAATATTTGTTCTAAAAAAATTGATATATTCCTGTTTGTTTGTTTGTTTGTTGTTTTTGTTGTGATTATTATTTACAAATTATCCATTATATTATTAAAAAAAATTGCACTTGTTTACAAAATTATTATTATTATTATTACTGTGACATTGTATATTATATGGTATATTCAAAATACTATATTATATGTCATATGATTATTATTATTATATTATTATTAATATTTCCTTGTTTCCTTTCTTTTTTGTTTTTCTTTCTATCTATCTATCCTCTTCTTCTACCACTCAACATCAAAGCAACTGTCGGCTCTATCTCATCCACCTCACCATATGGAGGTGTTGTCCAACTAGTTGGTAAATACCTTTGGACAACCAGATTGGATTCAACTACAACTACCATCTCAATTAGCGTTGGAGGAGTAACATGTACATCACCAGTGGCCATTGGAAATGATGGAACCAAGTTGAATTGTACTCTTGGTAATGCTAGTCAATATAGATCAGATATTCAATTATCGATTGACTCTGTCAATGCCAACTCTACAACCATTTACACTAGTATTCCACCAATTATCACATCGATTACATCGTCGTACTACCTCATCAAAAGTGTAATTTCTATTTTTGGTAATGATTTCTATACATCTCCCACAACAGTCTTTATCGGTGATAGTCCATGTAATAATGTTTTAGTTGTCGATCCACAACACATTACTTGTCTATTCGATAGTAATGACAGCAATGCCAATTCAATATTGGATGTGTATATCAAATCTGGTGAATTATCAGCCGTTCAAATTAGATTATTCAAATACACCATGTTGCAATGTTTGAATTCATGTTCATCACATGGAAAGTGTGTCACCTCTGGTCAATGTCAATGCAACAGCGGATACACAGGAGCTGATTGTTCAATCACATACGTTCAATCATTAGTTCCAGGTGATGCAGGAACACCATCAGGAGGTAGATTCAACATGTTTAACAGTTCAATGGAATTCTTCCTTTCACACATTCAAGAAGTTCGTCAAAACAATACTGTTGTCCAAACTATTGCTCTCACCAACTGGGACGTTTATGCTCAAGATGGCAACACAACCTCTTACAACTCAACATCAGCCAACCACAACATTATTCTCACAGTCAGTGAATACAATACTTCATCTGTTCAATCATATCTCGGCGATGATATTGTTATTCCAACCAACTCTGTCAAACACTTTATCACTCTCGGTAAATTCAACTTTGAATCAACCAACTCATCACTCCGTATCATCTATCAATTCAAATCACCATCAGAGATTGAATACAATTGCAACAATGAAACCACCAAACACCAATATGACACATCATCATCAACAACCACCATCAAATCATACACTATTGACACACCAGTCGGTACAATGATGGCATCATTTAGCAACCGTGCCGAGATTGATGATATCAATTCAATGGTCTCATCAATCCAAGCAATCACATCAGTTGACTCTTCCGCCCAATCAACCAACGGTCACCAATACATTGCCATCCAAGTTCCATCATTTGAAGACTATGTCCAAATGGATCCAATATTCTCAGCCACATCAAAGACTGCACCATCAACCGATGCATGTGTTGCATCTGTATCTTCATCCTCTGTACCACCAATCTTATTACTATCAATAATATCATCGATCGTTGTTATCCTCATTTTTTAAACTTGTAAACAAATAAATAGATAAATAAATTATTCTATTTATTATTCTTTCTTCTCTATACATTTCGACATTGTTTGAATAACAATGTGCTGTATACAGCACTGCTAAATAATATGATATTCCATCGACATATATATATCGCAACAGTTCCAACAACTAATACCCCTCCCTCCTGCCCCCCTCTCGAGAATACCATGTTTCATAAAAATTTCTTTGTTTTCATTTTGGTGAATCAGGCCTGGCCTGTCCTGTCATAGTAATTTAAAAAGTGGGACGTCACTAATAAAAAATAAAACAAATTAATGCTTTGGGATGACTGGAAATAGCATAAGACATCTTTAAAAACAGTGTAATATAGTAGTATATATGTTTTGATAAGGTGAGGTAACTTGGCCATAGGCTGGAATATTTAACTCTTCTGTATATTAATTTTTGATTGTCAATGAATTATAAAAATTAATTATATAGTAAAATGAGCTAAAAGTAAAGGAATCCGGATATGAAAAAAATAATAAAAGAAATGATTCTGAGCTATATACTCTTATATTAGACCATCTTTACTATCTTTAAAACACACTTTTTCATAGATTGATTTCATCTACAATCAAAGTTTTATTGGTTTTGGTTTTTCAAATCAAAAAAACAAAATGTATATTATCTTTCCTTTGGTGGTGTAGTATTTACAAAATCACGATCAACTTTAGCCCAGATCGACAAGTTGATTAAAACTGCAGACCAATTAATGTATCAAATGAAAAGAAATAAAATGGTAATTCATTAATTTGCAAACCCTAATATTATTATCCTAATGGTTTCTTTGTCATTTTTAGATTGGGTTGAAATAATTCTTAGAGAGTATTTGTTTTATTATCGTCTTCTTTGTCCTCCACAGGATCAAATACTTCTTCATCTTCATCTTCATATTCGTCTTCATAATCTATTAGATCGTCCTCATATATTAGAACTTCATCAGAACTTTCATAATCGACTTCATCATCTTCATAGTAGAATCGTTCTTCGTCAGAAACAATACCATCTTCCACAGGTACACATACCTCTTCTTCATCTTCATCTTCATCTTCATATTCATCTTCATATTCGTCTTGACCATACCCATGGAAAAGGCGCTGAGATTGGTATACATGTCCATATTCATCATCGCTTTCTTCCTCAGAATCATCACCATCATATCTAAAGTTACCACCAGAGTTGTAGTGATATCCATGTGATCGATCAGCATTGTATTCGTCCACAGCAGTTTGCTCTCTTCTTGTTAAACCATCATTATAATCTGCATCCTCGTCGTATTGATCCGAGTCATCATTGTTGTCATTTGAAATGATAATAGAAGACAACTCGTACATGATTCCTTCAACATCATCCGTGTCTAACACTCCCGCGATTTTAATAGCCGAGGACACATCGGAGCCATGTTCTAGTGCAAACTGAATTTGGTCCTTCCCACGAGGCAACAGTTGCTTGAGCTTTTTCATATCACAGCCATCCAATCCCTCTTGGTGGAGATGATAGGCATCTTTAAAATCGATTGTTCCGTCGGATAGGAGTTCAGAGAATGAGTCGATGGCCCCGATATTTTGTCCAAATAGGAGAGGGTCACTATCGAAAATATCATTGAAAGAAACGGTTTCAAATACCCTCAAGGTTTGGAATACCTTGTGGAACGTGTGGGTCAATGACGGGAACTCTTTAAGGATGTTGTAAATACCTTCAGCCACCCGATGGTGAAGAAATTGATTGATGACGGCCTCGGACTCTGCTTTAGGCGATTGGAGCGGCCTACCATATAAATTATGAAGGGCAAGGTTACAAAACGGTTTAAAGAGACTGATATGACTGAGGGTGCTTCCGGGTTGCTTCCAAGCCACATAGTTGGAGTTTATGAAAAGGCACTTGTGCCAGAGGAGTGGATTTGCATGGGATTGGTTGATACCCTTTAGAAGTTCAAAATCTTCATCCTTAATATCATGAGGGTCGACATATGTGGATATAATTTTCTTACCCGCTTTCTTGACTCGCTCCGGAATTGTGGTGATGAGAGGATTGGCGTCAACAAACAAGAAAGGGATTTCTTTACCGTTTTTGAATTGGTCAAATAGGTTGTGTCTGACCATCAAGTTGTAGATAAGAGAAGATGTTTCTCGTTTGGTGGGGTGAGTTGGGCAGATAAACGATGGTGGGTCGTCTCTGGCAAGGATGATGGTATTTGGCTCTGGGTAGTAGGCTCCAAACGGGAGGTGTTTACAAGTGATGATTCTGATGCTTCTGTCTAGTGTGCAAGCAAGCTCGAGCGGCTCTGATTTCTTCGCGTCAAACTTGTATCCTGTTGATATAACCAATGGTGGTTCTTTTTGTTTTCTGATGCGTTCTGATATGATGCGATCATACGATTCATAGATAAAGTTGAAGTCAACCGTGTCAGAGTCTATTAGGCTGAGGTAAACCAGTTTACTCTTGGCTCTAAACGATTCTAAAAGTTTTCGAGTACCTTGATTGTTTTTGAGGTGATCACGGAGTTTGTTAAACGGCACCTTACCATCTTTGGAGTGATCATCCCAAAGTGTGGAATCTATTTCAACCTGAAAAGGCAGCTTGGTATAGCTTATGTACTCTTCCCACTCCTTTATTTCTTTGTTTATTGGCTCCATATCATCTTTACGGTTGAGGAGAATCGACACTGCCAGACGAGACAGATCACCAATACGATCCCAATGAAAAGCTTGTCGTCCGAGTTTCTCCATCAGAGGTCGAACAACAGGAGCCCCATTATCTGGTACGTGGGCAATGATGTTGAGAACATAATATATGCTATTACTATTACTATTATTATTATTATTATTATTATTAGGTTGCATGTTAAATGTTATATGAAATACAATATTGTTGAATGTTAAATTGGGAAGAAGAAAGATTGACTTTTGGAGTTGGGGAAAAGATCAAAAATAAACCACCGATGAAAAAAAAATTTATTGGTTTAGACAAGGGAATGTACTTTTATTATATTGTTACAAACGGACCTAGGCATTTTTGAATCTCTATTTGCGTAGTTGTTGGTCGAAATGAATATTGTTACGCAATGTTGTTGTTACTTTATTTAAAAGATTAAATCTTTCCATTTCCAAAATCTCTTCTCTTACTCTTTGATCGATAGTCAATAATATTTCGCTATATGACCAAGTTGTTTGTAAGGTTTGTTATCAGCTCGAGCTGCATTGTTTCGTTCTTATTCTTTGTTATTCCAATTATTGTTGTTGTATGTTCCATTGACGATTGTTTGTTTCACTTGACCAAATAATATTATTAATTTGATGATTATTATTTTAAATATTTATTGTTTGTATATATTAATATTTTTTTTACATTCCAAAAAAGAGAGATGCGGCTTGATCAACATTACCTCTTGCTCTTGTCAACAGCTGAATAGCTTTTTGTCTAGAGGCACCCAATGACATCAACATTCCAATGGATTCTTCTGGAAAGGTTGGTGTTGCTTGTGTTTGTGCCGATGGTGGTGATGCAATGGTAGGTGCAACTGGATTTCTAATATTTGTATTGGTGGTTGGTGATGAGTTGGATGTAGAAGAAGTTGAAGAGGTGGATGATGGTCTATTATTGTTATTGTTATTATTATTATTATTATTTTCATTAGTTGGTGGAGTATAATTTTCAGGTAAACTTTCATCAAGTCCAAGGATTTCTTTGAGATCCTTTTCAGCCAAGAATGGTACATGTTCCTCGCCAATCTCTAAACAATCTTTTTTTAGATTGACCATACATTGATGACGCTTGAGCATATCAAGACCCAAAATAAACTCAGTGTCTTGAGATGGATTGTCGAGGATAGAGAGGGCAATTGAAAAATTAGAGTTTCCAATCTTGATGTTGGCAGCATGGACACGACCCAAGATCTTGGCGGTACCAACACCCTTGGCAACTCCGTGGAATCGCTTATCGAGGAGACGCATCAATCCACAACGTTCAGCACACTTTGCAGTCATGATGGATTGCTGGGCACCGGTATCGACAAATGTCTTGATGGGAATGTTGTTGATGGTAGTGTCAATGTACAACATAATGACACGTCCAAACACCTCTGGCGTGTGTTCGATGGCGTGGTGCATGTTTTGCTCGATATTCTCTCTTTGGATCTCTTCGTACAATAGTCTCTGTCCTTCCTCGTTCAATGGGTCGGCAGCCAACTCGGCCATTCTTCTTTGTTTTTTAACCGATTCAATAAACAATGTTAAAACCTCTTTATTCTCTGTCAAGATTGCATCTGCAAATTGTGGGTTTTTCTTTAATAATTATTGAAAATAAACTTATTATTATTATTATTGTTTAAATAATGTAACTTTAACGTTGCCTTGTGGTTTTGGTCCACTCTTTTTATGTTCCTTTAAAACTTTTGCCATTAATCTACCAGATGGTTTGGCATCATTAAGACGTGCCTTTATACCAGCATTTGAGTTTGACGATGATGAAGTACTAGAAGAAGAATATGAAGAAGAAGAAGAAGAAGAAGATCTTGGAGATGACGAAGATGAAGAGGAACTGGTATAGGTCCTTGAAGTAGTTGGTGAGGATGTAAACTTTCTAGGAACAGGTCTTGCTCTTGGATCAATAACCTTTATCTGTTTTGATTTCTTTTCAATATTACTATTATCATATTTCTCACGTAGTCTCATGCCAACCTTTAATTGACGTTCTTGATTCTTCTTTTCAAGATCTGCATACAATTGTTTCCAAGAGTCACCAAATATATTCATCGATTCAGAGTTTGGGAATGTTTGTATAACATGTTTATGCCACAACTCATTAGTATCTAATCTTCTACCTGTCGATGCCTAAATAACAAATAACAAATGAATAGTTAGAAATGATCGTTTACTCTATCATAGAATACTATTCTATTCTACTCTTATCCTATCCTATCATCATCGGACATACCAATCTATTTTCTACACTCATCAGTTGATTAGGTGAACATTTCTGTACAACTCTTAATAATAAATCATTATTTAATCGATTAAGATCCTTTAAACCTATATACATATACATAGAAACGATTAATTAATCTTTCTTTTGTTTCTTTTGTTCTTTCTTTTGTTCTATTTTGTTACCAATCATACCATCCAAATGGTCTCTTAATTTGCTTATACACATTTCCATTAAAGTAGGTACAAATATACCTAGACTTTCATATTGCTCTGCATTCTCTTGTGACGACATCATCATTTTCTTCTTCTTCTTTAATATTGTTTCTATCTACCTTGTCTTTTATTTCATGAACTTAATGAAACCAATTTATGTGTTTTTTTGTTTTTAACGACTGTTTCAAGACAACACACAAACAATTCAGCAAAAAGGGTATCAATATTTTAATAATTAGGAAATACGAATGTTACAATAATATTTATATATATTTAGGTAATTTAAATTAAACGCGCTTGAAGGGAGTTTTTAGTTAAAGGTTTATTTCTTTCCAGACTTTTTGATGCCTCCACCAGAGAGTGGACCACCAGCTTTAGCACGATCTTGCATCTCCTTTAATTTTTTGGCATCTTCTCTGAGCTTTTGTTGGAGGGCAATGTCATCTTCGTCCAATTCCTTAGAGTCCTTCTTTGGTTGCTTTAATGGCTTCTTCTTTCCACCTTTTTGTATTATATTTTGATTATCATTATTTTTGTTATTTTTAAGATTATTTGGTATTATAAATAGTGTTGTTAGAATTGAAAGATCGATATGCATTTTTTGTTTTGGATATATTATTATTAATATATTATAAATATTTATATTATTATTATTATTATTTAGTTGATTTGAGTTTTAGCAGTACAGTATAATTTGGACAAATAGATGGATATTTATATGTGATTTGGTTTGATTGATTGAATTTCAACTCGATAACGCGCAAGTTGGTTGGTAAATTTTAAATATTGATTAATTAATGTACAAAATTTTATGATTGATTGGGCCGCCGGATGTATTTGTTTTAAATTAACAAACAAATAAAGAAAAGCAAGACAAGCTCGGGAAATGGATATATCAATCAATATATTATATTATATTGATAAAATATATTGGGGATGTCGACAATGTTTAAATTAAATGATACAATGGTGCAGATTCCGCTGATGATGATATCGTCCAATATATATCTATCTTTAGAATTTCTATTTGTCGTCTGCAGAAGAATAAAGGTTGGGGTTGTTGAGTTGGATTGGATTGGACGTGATTGGATTGATTGATTGATTGATTGATTGATTGGTAGTGGTATGTTTTAAAAAAGTGTTTTAGATGAGATATATATAAATATAATTAAATCTAATCGACTGACAATTATCAATCGAGTGGTGGAGTGGGTAATGTGATGTGATTTACTACTCCCTACTACTGCTACTACTAATTTTAGTTTTAATTATTGTGTGTTTTGTCAAAGATGATGATATTTAATCCGATCGGACAAAAGTAAAGTAATGTGTTGTCTTATTATTATTATTATTATTATTATTATTATTATTATTATTATTATTATTATTATTATTATTATTATTATTATTATTATTATTATTATTATTTAAAAGTGTGTTTTGTTTAGATGATATATAAATAATGTGTATGTATGTATAATATAATATAATGTATGTAGATATTAATGTTTATGTTTGTTGCCGTAGTCGTCAAACTTGAATTGAATCGAATTAATGAATTACAGGTCTTTGTCTTTGACCGACCCTTTAAATATTTATCTAACCCAACGAACTACTTTCACACCTACCACCACCATCATCATCACGATTTATATTAAATTACTGTCATTCCTAAAGAATTGGAATATTTTTTTTTTTTTTTTGAATTCATTCATTCATTCTTTCGTTTGTGTTCCAGATTCAAAGATCTATTCTATACTTTCTATTCTCACCTCATCACACAAAAAAGTTTTTTTATATATGTGGTGTGGGTGTTAGGGTTATGATATATAATGTGTGCTGTGTTGTGCAGTTGGTTGGTGATATTCATCCTTTCAGTTAGTTGAATAGTTTATCTCTTTCACTTATCTCTCTTTGAACATGTTGTGTCGCAAACAAGTAATGTTGATATGAATTTATCCGATTCCTCCGACTGATCACCAATAGAGGTAGGTGTCCAATGCAAGAGGTTGTGCGTGTTGTTGTTGTTGTTGTTGTTGTTGGTCCGGACCGTTAATCCACATATCTTCTTTACCGAAGCAATAAATATAATAATAATAAAAGAGAACAAACTGTTACAGATAAGCGAACATCAACAACCAACATATGTTCGTGTTTAACTGCTCCGATGATGATGATGATTAAGATAACTGATACTGATTATGTACTGACTGCTATACTACGACTACTAATAATGATTCTATATTCTATTCTATATTGACATACCGTCTTTTCCTGTCATTTTCAATGCTGGTTATTAGTTATATATAATAAATATAATATAATTTGAATGAAGAAAACAAAGTTCAAAGGGGAGAGGGTGTTGGAAACGAAAAAAAAAAAATTACAAAAAAAAAAAATTTTAGGATAGTATCAGGATATCTGGATTGTATCAATAGAAATATTTGATAAAAGAATAGAGAATCATTTAGTGATATGGGGAATTTGAATTTCAATCAGTCAGGCCCAGTGAAGGTGGGTCTTGAGTTAATGAAGGATAGTAAAAATATTAATTCCACAGAAAAACCAAAGATTTCTTTCTTTTCAAAAAAACAATGTCCTTTAGATTAGAGAGGATACTTGTTTATTTATTTATTTATTTATTTGTAAATATATATATTGAATTAAATTATAAATACTAGTAAGTAATTAATTAATTCCATGATTAAATATTTAAACATTCCCTCCGAAAAAAAACTGTTTTCTTCAAAGTTTAAAAAATTTTCATCAAAGAGTTTGTGTGAGTGAGTATTTGATCGAATCTTTGTTGTGTATCTCTGATTTGTTATTATTCATTATTCATTGTTCATCTTTTTAAAGTTAAAACACGAGAGATACCTAGTCGAAATAAACATCAACAACAACAACATATATTGTCTACAATAGGATAAGAAATAATACGTATATAATGGTATGAATAGATAGATATATCAAATTTCAGCAGACTCATCTGACACTCGTCTCATAATCAATATCTATATCAAATATCAATATTTATAGGATAACTTTAAAAGGAAACAAAAAGAGAATGATTCAATCAACATTGTACATAACCACGATCATTTTCAAAGACAAGAGATTGAAAAACTAACAAGGTATGCTAATGACATCACATGAACATCGTTGTCGGGATAACAATCAACTAATGATGTTCTTGATTATTTTGATTTTCTACTAGAATATTAAACAATAACAACTTATCAAGACATATTGGTAACAATAATGATTTGATTGTAAAGTTGATCAAACATTATTTAGCGATTGAAGAGAGCACCGACGTGGAATTGGCTCAGTGCGAGCAATGGTTGAAAAGATTAAGATCTTCGTCATCCTACTCTAAAGAGACTAATTTGGATCGAGAACTCACTCTAGAGTTGTTAATCAAACAAAAGGCATACACCGATGCTCAAACAAAGGTCATCGATTACATCCAAAGTCATCCCGATCATTTAAAGTTTACTATTCTCTATATCAACATTTTATCATTACAAGAAAATTATCAAGAGTAGGTAAACAACAAAAGATGAAGATTGAAGAGTATTGATTCTAACCTTTTTTATTTATAATTAGATTATTTTCAGTTATTAAAGGAGATAAAACTACTTCTTCTACTACAACAAATATAAGTGTTAGATTTGATAGAGTGGTTGAATATTGGGAACATATATATCATACATTACAATCATTGTGGACACATAGATTGAAATCAAAGTTTAAACAGGCTAGTATGAAAAACAGTCAATTCCGTAGTTTCTTGGATGATACTATTGGATTTGAACCATTTCAATTGTTGATTGTCGAATCGTCGGATCGAGTGGTCAGACTATTACTCGCACAGTTGGACAAGACACCAGTCAGCGATACGATGATTTCATGTATCTCTGAACAAGTCAAAGAGTTACAAAATGCAATTGCAAAGACTGAATCTATCATTTCAGTCTATCAAAGTCATCAACCAAAGAAAACTAATGGTAACAGTTTGGATGCATCTGACCAAACCAAAGAAAGAATCAATCAATTGAAATCAAAATACTCTTATTATTTGGGTATAATGAAAGATTTTCAAGTTTTCAATCAAATTCATGATATTAGAGAAGGTTATCCTTTTATAAATTATGTTGAAGCATTACAAGGTAAAATTAAATATCAAATATTAAATATTAAATATCAAATCAAAACTAACATACATTTTACTTAGTTTCAAAAAGTATGTCAATAGAATCAAATAGAATTTATTCAGAAGTTACCAAACAATTGGTTTATTCACTTGGTCATCCTGGTCATCTTGACTTGTTTAAAAAGTATCTTGAAAATAATGATGATTTGATCAAAAAGAATGAATACTTTGTAGAGCTTGGTAAAACAAAGAAATCGTCATCATCATCATCGACAGGGAAGCTAGAGAACCGATTGATTAGCGACATGGAAAGAAATGACTTTGAACTAACGAGTCAATGCAAGTCTGATATTGCTCGGTTCATTGTCAACAGTCTCTGGTATATCAGACACTCCAACTATCAAAACTACTCTATCCTTGTACAATGGGCAACCAAGCTATTTTCAGGGTTCATAGATAGACTCAATCGTCAACAGCAACAGGGCAAAAAGAGTGAAATCACATTACTTCATGTTATTGTTTATTGTTTGAATATGGTCTATGAAGTGGACGAGGTTGCAAAACAAAGTGTTCAATTGGCAACCACCAACCTTAGAGTATTTGTTGATCAACATACTCTATGGTCTCTCCACTATCACAATCGATCAACTTTAAATCAAAAAATTTGGGATTCTATCTTATTCTATACAAACGATCAATCATCATCATCATCAACAATAGATGAAGAGATTAATAATAATAATAATGGAAAGACAAATCAACAAAATGAAATGATTAAAGATTATCAAAAAAGATTCCAACAACAACAAAATCAACCATCGTCTTCGTCATCTAGTACAACAACAACAAAAATATTAGTAACAAAACCAAAAGATATATTATCATTATCAACATTACATCAAGAATTAAAAAATATGTTGCTTGGTGCCGATGGATTGAATCAACAGATATCCTATAAAATTGCACATGTATTGCCAGACATTTACAACCAACTTTTGCCATCGAATCCACAACTTCGAGAGATCAACATCAACACGCTTCAAATCAAATATTACACTCACTCGTCTCAATACCCAAGACACTCGCCTTCAGTCATTGACAAGATCAACAATTCACTTGGACTTTTATACCAAGAAAGACGTTCCTACAAACTAGCCCTCTCTCATTTCCTAAAGGTCGATACTCCCAACAGTAATTTACAAACTTCAATCATTTGTCGTGACATTATAAATAATAATTCTGAAAAGTAAGAATAGATTCAAAAAAGAATAATAATAATACTAATATTTATTGATATTTATTTATTTTTTAGCCCATCATATTCTAAAGATTTATTATATTCTTTGGTAAATAGAATGGCACAGTCACTTGATAAATGTCAAAACTATAATTTGGCTCAAATTGAGGCATCTGGTATTGACTTTTCAGAATACTTTTCTCATGTACATGATTTGGAAAGAGAGTTGGTAGAGTTGCAAGAAAAGTATGGTGCTGTTGATTTGATGGCTTCAGCCATCCACGGTAATGGTAGTACTGGTAGTCATTTTTTCCCAACACCCTCAAAATCAATTTCGGGTTCAATGATGCTAGAGTTGCCATCACCCATGAAAACTCCTCTCAAAACTCTTACTATGGGAGGAGACCACACATCTACAAACAAAAATAATAATAATAATAATAGTTCAATGATGTCATCACTGATATCATCTCCATATCAACAACCTGGTACAAACAGATTGTTTAATTCAACAACATCAACATCAACATCAGCTTCACCATCATTCACTCCATTGGAAACGTCTGATTTAATTTCAATCAACAATAAGACTGAAACCCTTAGTCTAAGTCAACTACAATCACCACAACAACCATCACCAGCACTAGACTCATCCAAATTACATCAAAGTTTCAAGGATCGACAAAACAAGAGAAGAAGTCTTTTAGACTCTGTTAGAAACAAGATTAATGATTTGTCACTCGAAGATATAGTTAAAACACCTCCAACTCCATCTTATGAAATAACAGATAAATCAATTATTACCTCTCCATCAACTTCATCTCCATCATTTGGAGGTATTAGTTTTGGTAGTGCTCCATCAACAACAACAACCAATGCTTTGGATAAACCACCTACCCCAACATTATTTGGATCATCTATCTCTAAACCAGCAGCAGCTACAACTTTACCATCTTTTGGTACTGCACCCGCTAGTAGTAACAATACAACTATATTCCCATTCTCAACTGGATCCACTTCAACCACAGAATCCCAGTCATCTGGAAAGTGGAAGTGCCCATGTTGTGATGAACAAAATGATGACATTGCTAAAAGATGCAAGATGTGCGATATCAACAAACCAACACCCAAGGCAATCACAACTCCCGCTGCTCCTTCCTCTACATCAACACCAGCAATTTCATTTGGATCTTCAACTCCAGTCACATTTGGTTCATCCACTCCATTAAAGGTTGAGGATACTAAACCTGCTTCAATCTTTGGATCGACTCCATCGGCACCATCTGGAACATCTATTTTTGGATCAACTCCATTATCAACTGGTACAACAACATTCCCATTCGGTACACCAACAACATCTAGCAATACCACCTTCCCATTTGGTACTTCTACTACTAGTACTCCAGCTGCTTCAGCTGCAGCTGCACCAGGTAAATGGAAATGTGCATGTTGTGATACACAAAATGATGATAGTGCTAAAAGATGCTCTATTTGTGATGTTTCCAAACCAACACCCAAAGCAACAGCCGCTACATCTGCACCTGCACCAGTACCAGTATCAGCTCCAACCATTTCGTTTGGATCTTCAACTCCAGTTACATTTGGTTCAACCACTCCATTAAAGGTTGAAGATACTAAACCTGCTTCAATCTTTGGATCGACTCCATCATCTGGAACATCTATTTTTGGATCAACTCCATTATCAACTGGTACAACAACATTCCCATTCGGTACACCATCAACAACATCTAGCAATACCACCTTCCCATTTGGTACTTCTAGTACACCAGCTGTTGCTTCTGCAGCCGCACCAGGTAAATGGAAATGTGCATGTTGCGACGAACAAAATGATGATAGTGCCAAAAAATGCTTTGTTTGTGAAGTTCCCAAACCAACACCCAAAGGAACAACCGCTACATCTGCACCTGCACCAGCACCAGTACCAGTTCCAACAATTTCATTTGGATCTAGCTCACCTATTTCCTTTGGATCTTCAACTCCAGTCACATTTGGTTCATCCACTCCATTAAAGGTTGAGGATACTAAACCAGTTTCAATCTTTGGATCAGCTCCATCGGCACCATCGGGAACATCTATTTTTGGATCAACTCCATCTGGAACATCTATTTTCGGATCAACTCCACCATCAACTGGTACAACAACATTCCCATTCGGTACACCATCAACAACATCTAGTAACACCACCTTCCCATTTGGTACTTCTACTACTAGTACTCCAGCTGCCTCTGCTGCTGCAGCACCAGGTAAATGGAAATGTGCATGTTGTGATACACAAAACGATGATAGCGCTAAAAGATGCTCTATTTGTGATGTTTCCAAACCAGCACCCAAAGGAACAACCGCTGCATCTACACCAGCACCAGCACAAGCTCCAACAATTTCATTTGGACCTTCAACACCAAAGGAGGCAGTTCCACCCAAGTTGGAGGAAAAGAAGGTTGAAGTCCCTGTCGCTGCTCAAGCCCCTGCTCCAATTAAAAAGGAAGAGGAAGCCAAAACACAACTCCCAAATTTATTTGGAACAAGTGCAGGAACCTCACTTTTTGGAGCAAGTGGAGGAGGATCCTCACTCTTTGGTGCATCTACTCTTAACACTTCGTTGTTTGGTCCCAATGCAATCACATCTTTTGTCCTTGATCCTGCAACAAAATCTGCTAAATCAAACAAACCAAAACCAGAAGAGATTATCGATAGTGAAGACAGTGACCAAGATGAAGAAGAAGAAGAGGAAGATGAAGACGATTACGAGGAAGAAGAAGAGGAGGAAGGAGAAGAAGTTGATCAACCACAAGAAGATGGTGAAGAAGTAGAAGAAGAAGAAGAAGAAGATTACGAGGAAGATGAAGATGAAGAGGAATCTGATGAACCAGAGGAAGAAAAACGTGCTGATGGACCGGAGAGACCAAAGCCTACATTCCAATTTGGTTCATTTGGTGGCGATGTGTCCTCAACTCCAACTGTGACTACCGTCACAAATCCACCACCACCACAAGCCCCAATAGGTTCGATTTTTGGTGCTGCACCAAACCAAACCTCATCTATTTTTGGATCAAATCCATCTGCCCCACAACCAACATCAATCTTTGGTAAGCCAACCGGATCTATCTTTGGTCAGCAGTCCACTACTGCACCTGCCCCAACTGGCTCAATCTTTGGTCAAACATCCACGACCTCACCTACTCCAACTGGATCAATCTTTGGTCAATCATCTACTACTGCTCCTGCTCCAACTGCAACAGTATTTGGATCAGCACAAACTTCCACATCTAGCTCATCCATTTTTGGATCAAACCCACTTGCAACAAACGCCACATCAATCTTTGGCGCCAAGTCAACTGGGTCGATTTTCGGACAACCATCAACCTCAATCTTTGGTACTCCATCCACCTCCAACCTTGGTACTTCTTCAACTCCATCATTGTTTGGTACACCACCACCAAAAGATGAAGAGAAACCAAGGGTCCAAGAAATTGTAGAAGATGATGAAGAAGAAGAACAAGAGGAAGATCAAGATACTGAAGATGATGAACAAGAACAAGAAGATGAAGATGAATACCAAGATGAAGACGAAGAAGATCAATATGAGGATGAAGATGAGGAGGAAGAATCTGAGGAATCTGATGAACCAGAGGAAGAATCTGAGGAATCTGATGAACCAGAGGAAGAATCTGAGGAATCTGATGAACCAGAGGAAGAATCTGAGGAATCTGATGAACCAGAGGAAGAATCTGAGGAATCTGATGAACCAGAGGAAGAAAAACGTGCTGATGGACCAGAGAGACCAAAGCCTACATTCCAATTTGGTTCATTTGGTGGCCCAGCCGCAGCTGCTCCAACCACCTCAGCCGCTACTTCAAATGATACTTCCTCTTCCGTATCTATATTTAGTCAAAAGCCAACTTCAGTGTTTGGTTCTACTCCAACCAATTCTGTTTTTGGATCAACTTCATCTGTATTTGGTACCGCTTCATCGACACCAGCTGCCTCTACTAGTACATCTGTATTTGGCTCAACTTCATCTGTATTTGGTACCGCTTCATCGACACCAGCTGCCTCTACTTCTATTTTCGGTCAAAAGACCACTGTAGTCTCCCCAACCACCTCTGTATTTGGTAGTACTTCATCTGCACCCACTACATCCATTTTTGGTAGTACTTCATCTGCACCAAGCACATCCATTTTTGGCTCCAATCCCACCAACTCTGGATCAATCTTTGGAAATGGTCAATCGATCTTTGCACAACCACCATCCCCTTCCACTCCATCCATCTTTGGAGGATCTCCCTCTGCCCTTGCAACTGCCTCTACTCCATCATTATTTGCCGCAAAGGAAGAAACTAAAGTCGAAGAAACAAAGGTAGAAGAAACAAAGGAAAGCACCACAGTTGAACAAGAAAAGCCAAAGGAAGAAGCTCCATTAAGAAAGTGGGCACAAAAAAGAAATGAAACTACTAGATATGAAAGTGGAACCTTTTCAAGAAAGACTTCAACTACATCATTAACAGGATCAACTGACTCAACACCAAAGGTTGTTGAAGAAGAACCAAAAAAAGAAGAACAAGTAGTAGTCGTAGAAGAACCAAAGAAAGAACAAGAACAACCAACCCCTCTTGCTCCTTCATCTTCATCATCATCGTCATTGGAAAAGATGGATTCATTGGGTACTTCTATGATCTCTACTTCTACTACCTCTATTGGTAAAGATGATGATGATGATAATAGTAGTGATGATGATTCTGCTGCCCCAGCCACATCAGTCCAAACATCAAATCAACCAATTGTATTTGCTCAATCTAGTTTTTCATTCAAAACTGCAGGAAGCAATGAACAAAAACCATCTGCATGGGGTGCATCCAGTGGCTCAAGCAGCTGGCTTAGTTCCGATAGCTCTGTCAAATCAACACCATCCATCTTTGGTGCATCCTCCACATTTGGATCAACTCAATCACCACTCTTTGGAGTTAGCTCATCTGCCCCAGCATTACCACAACAAAAACAAGATAATGTAGCTTCCAAATTTGCTTCACCAAAGGAAGGATATGTATTTGGAGGAGGCTTTAAGAAACCAGAAGAACCTAAAAAGGTAGAAGTTGAAAAGCCAAAGGAGGAGGAGAAACAAGCTGCTGACCAGACCAAGCCAGCAGATGAAGCTTTGGATAATCAAAAGGAACTTGAAGCCCTCGAACAACAAGTATTGGAAAAGGAAAAGGAAATTGAAGCAAAGAAAAAAGAAAAAGAGTTACAAGACAAGAAAGAAGAAGAAGAAGAAGAACCTGTTCCAATTGTTGAAGAAAAGAAGGAAGAAGAATCTGCTCCAATCGTTGAAGAAAAGAAAGAGGAAGAAGAACCTGTTCCAATTGTTGAAGAAAAGAAAGAGGAAGAACCTGTTCCAATCGTTGAAGACAAGAAAGAGGAGGAACCTGCCCCAATTGTCGAAGAAAAGAAAGAGGAAGAACCTTTTCCAATCGTTGAAGACAAGAAAGAGGAAGAAGAACCTGCTCCAATCATCGGAGAAAAGAAAGAGGAAGAATCTGTTCCAATTGTTGAAGACAAGAAAGCGGAAGAACCTGTTCCAATTGTCGAAGACAAGAAAGAGGAAGAACCTGCTCCCGTTGTTGAAGACAAGAAGGCCGAAGAGCCTGCTCCAATTGTTGAAGACAAGAAAGAGGAAGAACCTGCTCCCGTTGTTGAAGACAAGAAAGAGGAGGAGCCTGCTCCAGTAGTCGAAGAACCTGCTCCAATTGTTGAAGACAAGAAGGATGAAGAGCCTGCTCCAATCGTTGAAGACAAGAAAGAGGAAGAACCTGCTCCAATCGTTGAAGAAAAGAAAGAGGAAGAAGAACCTGCTCCAATCGTCGAAGAAAAGAAAGAGGAATCTGCTCCAATTGTCGAAGACAAGAAAGAGGAAGAACCTGCCCCAATTGTTGAAGACAAGAAAGAGGAATCCGCTCCAATTGTCGAAGACAAGAAAGAGGAAGAACCTGCACCCGTTGTTGAAGAACGTGTTCCAATCGCCGAAGACAAGAAAGAGGAGGTAGCCTTTGTTGGAGACAACAACAACCAAGATGATGATTTTGTAATCATCTCCCAACAAAAGGAACAAGTCGAAACTGATCAAGATATTAGAGAAGAGATGGAACAAGAAAAACCATTGGACCAGATCAAGGAAGAGGAGAAAATCAAAGAGGCTGCTGCCAAGGAAACTGCAGAGGAAGAAGCACAAGATGAAATCCAAGCCGAAGAGGAACAAGAAATTTTGGACAGAATTGCCACCGAACAAGAAGAAGAAAAACTAGATGAAAGTAGCATTGAAGATTTATCCTCGTCTCAAGGTAGTACAATTGAAAACGAAGTTGACATTCCAAAAGAAGATGAAGATGATGAAGATGAATCAACTCAAGAAGGAAGTGTCATTGATCATGGTGAAGATGTTCAACAAATCGAATCATCTCCAGAACTTGCCCCAAGAAGAGGATCAATCGTTAAATTCAATACCTCTTTGAATACCACCCACAGTTATGATTTGGCAAGTGATAGTGATGATGAAGAAGAGGATGAAGATGAAGAAGAAGAAGAAGACTATGATGAAGATGGTGACGATGAAGATTATGATGAAGATATCTATCAAGTTGACGACGATTCTGATGAACAAGATGGTGACGATGAAAATATTGATGACGCTATCTATAGACCTCTTGATGCATATGGAAATGTGACCAAAACTGATAAAGATCAAGAATTGGAACAACAAGAAAAAGAACAAGAAAAAGAAGAAAAGGTCAATCAACAAGAAAGTAATGAAGATAAATCTGGACAAGAACAACAACAACAACAACAACAACAAGAATAACAACAAGTCAATCAAGAAGTTGGTGAAGATGATAAGATGAAGGTTATAAGTACCGTAAGTTCACTCACTCATACGCCACCATTAGGAGTTGGTGATGCATTAGGATTTATCTCACAACAACATCATCACGAAAAGAGAAAACAAAGAATTTTGGATCACCTCAACAAATCCATGGAAGATAATGAAGATCAAGATTCAATTGTACAAGAGGAAAGACCAGCAGAATCAAGCAACAATAATAATTGTGTATTTGACATGTCAACAATGAATGAACTCTCTAAAATGTCTGAAGAATCAAGAAGTGCACTCTTACCAACATCAACCTCTCAAAGTGATATTGATGATAATAGTAGTGATGAAGAACCAACTACTACCGTCTCATCGTCAACTGAACCAACCACAATCGAATTTAACAAACCATCATTTTCATTTGGTGGTGATTCCACCACCTCTTCTACACTTGGAAATGGATCATCCATCTTTGCAGCAAACAAAGGTACTAGCTGGATTCAAGATCCCTCTCAACCACCCACCACCAATCAAGTGTCATCAGACTCTAATCAACCATCAACCACTCCAGTAGTATTTGGACAAACCAGCAATCTTTCCACTACAACTAATAATGATAATGAACCAAAATCACCAACCTTTACAATTCCACAAGGAGGAAGTTATATATTTGGATCAAATACAAAGAATTAAAAGATAAATAAATATTATAAATTATTAAAAATAGATACATTTAGATTTAAAAGGTTTAATAAACCAATGGGTTATAGTTTATTTTGATCGTCGGGGGGGAGTAGAATGTATGAGAGAGAGAGATATAATTGTAATATTACTTTTTCTGTTTGCGTTTGTTTTTAAAAAAGTATTGTTGTTGTTGTCCTACTCTTTCCATTCTCTTGTCATTGTATTGTTGTTATTATTTTTTTTTAGATTTTAATTAATTTGAAATTGTATTGATATTGATTGTTGTTAGTAACCTAAATTATTATTATTATTATTATATTGTTGTTGGTGTAGAAGTATGTTTTGGTTGAATAGATATATCTATTCTATTTAATCAACCTTTTTTCTTCTTTGAACTGGTGATTTCTTTCCAGAGGCTTCCTTGTTTTCTTCAACTTGTGGGACTTCGTCGTCATCACTGTTTACTTCAACAATCTTTGCCTTTTTCTTTTTCTTGTCAACAGCAACAGTTTCTTCACCTGCTGGGATTCTAATGTTACCAGAGTTGTCTTCTGCAGCAGCTTGTTCAGCAGCTCCAGCTGGAGCAGCAGCACCAGCACCTCCACTTTTAAAAAGTAAACAAAATCATTATTATTAGTAATCATATTTTCATATCTACGTATATCTATATTTCTACATACAGAAGACTAGCAAATGGATTTTCTTCAGTCCATGGACGTGGGTACTTGGTCTCGTCTTCACCAAGAATGTAGAGCTTGAACAACTTGTTCTTGTAAAGGTTTTGTGGACCAAAGACACAGTTCATGGCCAATGGTGGAGCAATACCAAACTTGTAGAATAAAAAGAGTGGAATACCTGCACCCATAATCAATTGAGTAGCAGCCTTTTTAACTTGTGACATGTCATATTCCTTGGCTGTCATCTTTTCAACCTTTTCTCTAAAATAGATTAATAGTAATGTAAAGTAAAGTTTGTTAATATATACAACGCGATTGATCAAACTATTTCAGTTTCTCTATTTGATACATACTGAGAACCAAAAGAAGCAGGTGTAGTGATTTCAATTTGTGGACCAGCAGCCTTCTTTGACACCTTTTGGAAGATGATAAAGTAGCAAACAGCGCACAAGGTTTGAATGAGACCAAATGCTACAAGAGCGATTTGAATGTTGGTCGGGTTGGTAAAATCAACCTTTTGCATAATAAACAATGAACCAAATAAGAAAATGAAATCAAAACCTGCCATTTTTTTTTGTATCTCTATCTTTTTAAAACAATATATATATAAAGTAGATATCAAACTAACTAGAAGAAGAATAGGTGTTTTAAAATAAGGGGTAGGGAATAGCTCAAAAAAACGAACATCGACTCAGCAAAAAGTCAGTTCACCAAAGTCAAAATAAATAAAAATTAAAAAAAAATAAAACATGTCATGTATCGAGGAGATTGATGACTCGTTAGACATAGTATGTTTTACTGAGACATTGTAATTTCAACGGAAATTCATTTTTAAGATGATCAAAGAATGACTAGTTAGATTATATCCTAAAAAAAAATATACATCATCATTAATTGTCAATTGTTTTTGGGATTTCCCATCATAGAGTAGGAGAGTGGAAAAGAAATATATTATATTATATCTTTACCTAAAAAAATAGTTTAGTTGATTTTAGTAGACCTAAAATTGATTAAAGGTAAAAAAAAAAAAATTAAATTAAAAAAAAGAATGAAATTAAAAAAAAAAAAGTTTTGGGGTTGTGAAGATCATCAAAAAAAGAAGTGAAGTTGATCATCATGCAATTTTAATTTAGTTTTGAAATAATACAGAGAGAAAGAGATAAAAGAGAGAATGAATTGGAAGAAAGAGATAGAACATATTGTTGCAAATGAAACAATTGATCCAGAAGGAGCTATTCAAAAATATAAATCATTGATTACAGGTATATAAATATAATAGATAATATAAATAGATACATAACAACAACTCTTTTTTTTGTTAACATTTTTGTTTCTTATGATTTACTTTTTTTTTTTACATTTATATTAGAACAAACACCAGATGATATTAAAGAAGAAGCAATTCATAAATTAGCACAATTACTTGTAAAGGTTGGCCGTGCACAACAATTACCAGAGTTACTTAAATCAATTAGACCATTCTTTGAAAAGATATCAAAGCCAAAGACTGATAGAATCGTTAGAAACTTTATCGACTATGCATCACAAAAGAAGGGTAACGAAAAGTTACTTATCGAATTTTGCAAGGAAAGCATTCAATGGTGTAAAGATACCAATAGAACTTATCTTCGTCAAAGATTAGAAGCTAAATTATATTCATTGTATGCTACAAATAATAATATATTTATTTATTATATATCTTATTAATTTTTCTCTTTTTTTTTTTTATTTATTTTTTTTTAGAATGTTTGAAGTTGAAGATTATAATACAGCATTACAAGGATTAACAACATTATTATCAGAGATTAAGAGACTTGATGATAAACCATTGTTGGTAGAGATTCAATTGATTGAGAGTCGTATTCAACATGCACTCAAGAATATTGCAAAGGCTCGTGCTGCTCTTACTTCTGCACGTACCAATGCAAACACTATCTATTGTCCACCAAGATTACAAGGTGAAATCGATATGCAATCTGGTATTCTCCATTCTGAAGAAAAGGATTACAAGACTGCCTATTCCTACTTTTATGAATCATTTGAAACTTATGATACCCTTGAAGATCCAATTGCTACAAAGGCTCTTAAATATATGTTATTATGTAAAATTATGACTAATCATGTAAAGTATAAAAACAAAACAAAGAAAAAAAACAAATATCAAATAATTAATATTTCTTTTGTTTCTATAGACCGATGATGTATTTGCATTGATTAATGGTAAAATTGGATTAAAATATGTTGGAAAGGAAATTGAAGCCATGAAGGTTGTTGCCAAATCACATGCTGATAGATCATTATTGGCATTTGAAAATGCTACCAAAGAATATTCTGTTGGTATGTCAAAAAAAAAAAAAACAAAACTGATCTTTTGCTAATCTATTTTATTTTCTAGAATTAAATGATGATGTAATTATAAAGGCACATATTAGTGAATTATATAATAATTTACTTGAACAAAATCTTTGCCGTATCATTGAGCCATTCTCTAGAGTTGAAATCTCTCACATTGCAAAATTACTCAACCTTCCAGTTGCCACTGTCGAAAGAAAGTTGTCATTGATGATTTTGGATAAAAAGTATCATGGTATTTTGGATCAAGGAACTGGAACTTTAATTGTTTTTGATGAATCAAAGACAAATGTAAGATAAAAAAAAACCAAAAAGCATGATAAAATTAATTACTAATATTAATTTATTTACTTTCTATAGAAATTATATCCAACATCACTTGAAACTATCAACTCTTTAAACAAAGTGGTTGGATCATTGTACGAAAAGACAAATAAACTCAATTAAATATTGAAAAAAAAGGAAATAATAATAGATAGAAACAAAAAAAAAACAAAAGCAATAATAATAATAATATTATATTATATTTAGAGAATATATATATATATGTACAAAAAATAAATAAATAAATTGATTAAAAAAAAAAAATAACAAAAAAAAAAAACAAAAAAAGAGTGATTATGGGAAGATCTTTTTTTTCATTCATTTTTTTAAAAGCATTTATTTGTAGATAATACATATATTATCTATTATTAGTCTCTTTTGTATCTCTATCTCTTCTACTCTCTCAATCTTGATAAGAACTATAGAACTGCTGGTGTGATTACAAATATATAAATAGCAAGGGAGGGGTACATTACATACATTACGAATTTACGATCATGTTTACAACAAGAGCATTGAAATCTATAGATTGTCCATTTGGTATGCAATGCTCGTTTGGAGGTGTATGCTATTTCAATCATGAAACTATACTAGCTGGAGAGACAAACAATGCTTTGTTTAAATTATTTGAGTCTCTTGCAAAAAAGGACCAACTATTACAAAAACAAGAACAACAACAACAACAAGATAAATTTTCTCCTACATCTTTAAATGTACAATCTTCACCTCATCAACAAACATCAACTACAATGTTATCACCAAATCAAGGTAATAATAATGGTATTTTTCAAGGTAGTAATACGCAACAACATCAACAACCACAACCTCTACCATTTTATAATAATTATCCACAACAACAACCACAGCCACAACAACCATTTAATCAACAATATTATGGTAATAATTATTATGGAAATCAACCACCAATGGCTCAACAACAACAACCTTACCAACAACCTCAATATATGCAATATCAACAACAACCATATCAACAACCACCACCACCACAACCACCTCAAATATCACCTCCATTTGTTCAATACCAACAACCACCTCAACAACCTCAAATATCACCTACACCTCCTCCTCCATTTATTCAATACCAACAACCTCCTCCACCACAACAACAACCAATTTCCAATATTTATCCTACTACTACTACTACTACTACTTCAATTGAAGATCCAAGATTAAAAAAACAACAACAACAACAAACAAACAAACAAGATATTTCTGCAGAATTTAATATAAAGGATATTTTAACCGAGGCATTATTAAAAAACAAAGACTCTAATACTTCAACGCCAATACCATCGGCCACTGTTGTAAATGATTCAGCATTTCAATCTAGTGGATTTGATGATAATGTTTATTGGTCAGATGTAGATGATAATGATACTACAACTGAAGAAGATGAACCAAACAACAAAAAGGATAAAGATGTTGTCATGCAAGAAGATTCAAACAAGAAAAGAAAAGCATCACCCAAAAAGACATCAAAGAATGCACCTAAAAAACCTTCTCAAAAGGCAAAGAAACCAGCTCCTGCAGGAGTAGCAACACCTGCTGCCATTCCAATACCAGCAGTTGAACCTTTACCATCACAACAAAAGAAACATGTTAGATTTAATGAAAATGTTTCAAGCAAGGAGATTGACGATTCTCTATCAAATGGTGGAGGTGCAACTTCAACTGCATTACCTCCAAAGAAATTATTCCAATTACATCATCAACAACAACAACAACAACAGCAACAACAGCAACAACAACAACAACATGCTACACCAACACCTACACCTACACCTATACCTACACCAACTATTCCATCTGTTACACCGGTAGCAGCAGCACCAACATTAATTTCAAAATTAAAAACATCTATATATAATCCATCATTAAAGAATATTGCAACACAAGAACCAAGTCAAGAAGTCAAACATGCATTGGAAGACAAGGATCTATTTGAAAGTGCTTCTTGGTATTCAAAAGGTTTGGAACCATCTCAATTACCATTTATTCCAACAGATACAAGAGCAAGAGTTCCAAAAACTGTTAGACAAGCGTAAATATATTTAAATTAATAATAATAATAATAATAATAACTTAAACTTAATATTAACATTTACTTTTTTCTTTGAAGTATATTATTTTTTATTTTATCAAAATGTATAAATATATTGACAGATACAAACAAGGCAGTAGAAACATCAAAACAAATTGAAGATCATATTTATTCCATGTCTACAAGTAAAAAGGGTAGGTTATTATTGAAATGAAGATTAAATTGATCAAATATTAATCTTTATACCTTTTTCTTTTTCTTTTTCTTTTTTTTTTTTTAGCATATTTGGTGATTGTATCAAATGAACTTTCAAATTATTTAAAGGAATTAAAAGATTCTTGATTGATGTTTAAATTTATACAAGTTTTATTATTATTGATTACCTAAGAAGGTGGAGTTGGTGGAGTTTCGATCCTTTTTTTAACATCCTTTTCCCAAGTGTTTGCAGTAACATTGCCTCTGAATCTACTTCTCGTATCAAACTGTTTTGTTATCTTTTGTATTAATAAATGTCTACATTTATAAAAGGGTGGTGTGATTTACTTACCATATCCATTTTACATTGATAATAAGTGTACAAGAGATCTTTGCATTCTTGTTGGAGGTCATTTGCTTTCATGCATTGATGAAAAGTTCTATCACCAGGTTGCATACACTGTGAATCATTGATGCATTTCACAATCGCATCTTTGATTCTTTGACAAGGATGTCCTCCTTTAGAGGTATCTATTCTGTCTTGCGGTGATGACATGTTTGTAATAAAAAATGAATAGTTGATAAATACAACCACTATTGTATGATCTTTAGTTTTTTTTTTTTTGTTTTGGTTTTTTCTGATGTACCCATATTTAAATCCTTTTCTTTTTTTTTTTGATAGACAATAGATAATTTACAAAGATTCATGGACAGGCATTCGATCTTGTTAAGGGGATGATGGAGGTCATGACTGAGGGTTTTCACACCTTTGAAGGCTGATCCTGGCAATTGGTTCAACTTTAACGGCCTGTTGACCACTTCAGATTAGAATTTGTTGGCAGCTGTTCCATTTTTAACCAAGAAATTTTTACTATTATTTTAATTTCTTGGAGAACAAGATAATCTACTTTTGTGGAGAACAAGGAACTAGTTGAAATCTATAAAGGTATTTCCATGGTTGTTTATTTTTTATCTTTAAGGAAAAATGAAAAAAAGATAGCCCTATGGGGGGCTCGAACCCCCGACCACAAGATTAAGAGTCTTGCGCTCTACCGACTGAGCTAACAAGGCGTGATATTTTTCATAATAATTTTCACGGGTCTTGATCTAGGGGAGCGCAAGGTCTCCACTGGCAAAGGGTCGAGATCTGGTTTGGAAGTATGTAACCAAATGTCTCCCGCTCGTCAGGGGTGACCCAGTCGCTTCAATCTGTGTATCCTGTGGCAAAGATGAATCTTCCAAGCATTTGTTCTTTCAATGCAAAGAGACCACACTACCAGTAAAGATACTGAAAGAGGTTACTGCTTCCAACAACATTACACCACCAGTTTGGGATATCACCCTCCTCAACCTCAAACAACCTCCAATGGTTATAAACTTGATTGCTGCAACACTCGAACGAATATGGTTCCTACGTAATGATCTACGTCACCAAAGAGATGAACCATTCACTGAACAATACCTGCGAGCTAGATTGCTAAATGATATGCGACATATTATAAAAGTAAACTGGGACAAGACGTTAGAATTATGTAATCGATGGCACTTGGCTCTAATGAACCAAACCGATGAATCAGTAATACATACGATTACAGAACGAATACAAACTATCATCCTTCGATTCTCCTCCAACTACAACCATCCTACTGTCTACAAGATCGCACTACCTAGTCATTTAGAGAGGTACAAGACTGTGCGTACCCTTCATCTATAATTGATCACCTCAACCTCATTCTTCTCATCCTCCTCAACACCTTCATCATCCTCTTCTCTCTCTTCATCTATCAATAATAATATTAATAATATAATAATTTACTAAATAATAATAATAACATAGAATAATTATATAACACAATATTACAGCCTATTGTGCTGAGAAAAAAAAAAAAAAAAAAAAAAGCGATATCTTTAACCAATTTATTTTTAGAACAAGCAACAATCCAAAACAATCCAACATGCTCGACACTATACAATAAGATACATGATCAACGTCCATATAACATGTATCATAGACATGGACAAACCCCAGAACAAATTAACTTTAATTCTTCTCGAGATAATCTTTATTTCTTGCTGGTCAATTAATAATTATAATTAATAAAACTTTGTAACTTCTGAGTACTACTCTTCCCGATAGGAGAGAAAAGGAAAAGAATTACTTTAAAAAAAAAAAAACCCGTTTTTTGCCAATTTTAACTTGGTCAGGTGTTTATTTGGTTAAAATAACCTCCATTTAATGTTCATCCCAAGTATATACACGAATGAAACACCAAATACCACATATGTTTAAAATAAAATATAAATCAAACCAATTTGGATGAAATAGAATGTCATGGTTGTAAAAGAGCAATGAATCAAATTAAAAGTTATAGCCCAGATGAACAATATGGTATTTAAAGGCACGTGTTTTTTCAAAATAATTTTCACAGGGTTGCCTTGTCTTGGAATATATTTAGTAGGCTCCACTCCCTGTTTGTTGATGATGGTAAAGATAAAACATTTGTTGTCACCAGAGTATTCTTCATCTGAATTCCAAGATTGACTATTATAACCACCAAATACATTTCCATCTGATGATTTAATTAATGTCACTGTTTCACCTCTATCATTACATAATGAATGAAATTTGGATGCTTGGAATCCATCTCTTGTTCCCTAATAATAATATTATTAAAAAAAAGGATCATTAATAAAAATTTAACCTCTTTAAAATGTAAAATGATTGGATAAACAACTCTATAGATTAAATTTAAATCTTTAAACCTATAATTAAATCAATTTGTGTTGGATCTATCAATGTTGTATCATTTGAAGATTGGTTTATAAAATGCTAATTCTCTGTATACATCTAATTTGAAACCTTGTGGAATGACCGGTAAATAACCATCTCTAAGATAACTTAAAATGTATCTAAAATGTGTTCCATCTCTGTGAAATTAAAATAATTATTAATAGATCAAATAGAGATTGAATGATTCATTTTAAAATTTACCTATCAATAAGAATGAGTTTAATTTATCATTATTGGTTGATTTAATATCAACTTGACCAGACAACATTACATCAAAATATGATCCTTTAATTCTTGTTAAAGTTGATTTGGATGTTTGAAACTTAATTCCACCGATATTGAGAGTGATTGGATCTGATATCAATGATACATCAATCGCCTTTTTAGTTTCCTCTAATGATTCTTTTTTCTTTTTCATATCTTTTATTTCATTTTCCAAATCTATTAATTCATCTTTATAACCTTGTTCCACCTCTTGTAAAAGTGTTGATATTTGATTGATTTTAACTCTTTCTTGGTCCAACATATTTAAATGACTAAAGAAAAAAATATATTATTTGTCTTTATTTTGAATGATGATCGTAATGCCTATTGATAAAAGCTGGTTTTTTTTCCATTCAATTAATGAAAAAGAGTATTATGATAAATAAATAATTTAATTTATTCATCTATAAATCGTGGTCTGTTAAATTTAAAAAGACTATATAGTAGGATAGAGTTCTATTAATCTTATTATTATAAAAGACCTATTTGTATTTTGAAAGTGTAAATACTTTAATTTCATCAACTTTGAAACTACTTGTTGGTGTCAACGTTGCATTTCCTTTTCCAGTTGTATTGGCATAAGTAGAAGGGAAGCTTTGATAACTTGGTTGGTTCGAGTTGCATGCAATCAACAACCAATAATCAATTGATTACTAATACCAATGTCATTACCAGATCCTCCTCTAAATAACATACCTATCAACAAAGAATGTATTTGATTGATCATTGGTTGTTGATTTAATATCAACTTGACCTGACAACATTACATCAAAATATGATGCTTTGATTCTTGTTAATGTTGCTTTTGATGTTTGAAACTTGATTCCACCTATATTGAGTGTGATTGGATCTGATATCAATGATACCTCTATCACCTTTTTAACATCCAACAATGATTCTTTTGTCTTTCTAATCTCTTCAATCTCATCCTCCAACTCTTTGAATTGAGCTTTATAACAATCTACTACTTCTTGTAACAGTGTAGCTATTTGACCAAGATTATTATTTCTAGTTGTTATTGATCGTGTACTGATGATAAATGTGATTAGTCCTAGATTAAAAGATAATGAATTTTGTTTTATGAAAAAATCACACATGTGAACATGCAAAAAGATCTTGATTGGTATATATTTAATCGATTTATTTTAAAAATAGTAAGTGTATTAAAGGGGATATTCTAGTCTAGAAAGAAATAATTAGAGTATTTATAAAAATGTAAATACTTCAATTTCATCAACTTTGAAATTGTATGTTGGTGTCAAGGTTGATTTTCCTTTTCCAGTTGTATCGGAATAGGTAGAAGGGAAGTTTTGATAACTTGATTGGTTCGAGTTGCATTGATCGCTAATAAGAATATCATAACTTGAGCCAAATACTGGACCGTATCCAGCACTACCTACTGCATAATTAGAGTTGACTCCACTAGGAATATATTTAGTAGGATGTAATCCTTGTTTGTTGATGATTGTAAAGATAAAACATTTGTTGTCACCATAGAAGGTATTGTTTGTATTCCAAGATTGACTATTATAACCACCAAATACATTTCCATCTGTTGATTTAATTAATGTCACTGTTTCACCTTTACCATCACATAGTGAATGAAACTTTGATGCTTGGAATCCATCTCTTGTTCCCTATTTTAAAAAATGATGGTTGTTAAAACTAAATATAACCATTTTTAAAAAGTGATAACAAACTCTATAGACTAAATTCAAAGTTTTTGAAGTTCCAATCCAATTTTTGATGATTTCAAGTTGTGTTGAATCTATCAATTTTGAATCCATTTCAGTTGGTAATAATAGTTTATAAAATACCAATTCTCTATTAATCTCTGATTTTAAATCTTGTGGAAAGATTGATAGATCATCATCTCTAAGATAATTTAAAATGTACCTAAAATGGGTTCCATCTCTAAAAAAAGAAAATTAATTGATTAATAGAGATTGAATGATTTCAATGCCAACATACCTATCAATAAAGAATGTATTTGATTGATCATTTGTTGTTGATTTAATATCAACTTGACCTGACAACATTACATCAAAATATGATGCTTTGATTCTAGTCAAAGTTGCTTTTGATGTTTGAAACTTGATTCCACCAATATTGAGTGTGATTGGATCTGATATCAATGATACATCAATCACCTTTTTTGTTTCCTCTAATGATTCTTTTGTCTTTTTAATTACCTCTACTTGATTTTCCAAATTAATGATTTCATCTTTGTAACCTTTTTCAACCTCTTGTAATAAAGTTGATATTTGATTGATTTTAATTTTTTCTTGGTCCAACATATTTATATGAATGAATGTCTATTGTATAAATTAATAAAAAGTGTGATTGCTATAGTTGGAGTTTGAGAGGACTCTATTATATAGTTTTTTTTTTCTTTGATAAAAATAATATTATTATTATTACAATAATATTAATAAAATTTATTAAACTATTAATCTCTATCTCGGCGATTAATTAAATAAAATTATTTAAAAGATTTTTAAAACTAATTATACATATGAAAAGTTGAATACTACTACTACCTATTTTGAAAGTGTAAATACTTCAATTTCATCAACTTTGAATTGGTATCCCGATGCAAAGGTTGCTTTTCCTTTTCCAGTTGTATCCTCATAGGAATAAGGGAAGTTTTGATAACTTGATTGGTTATTGTTGCATTGATCACTAATATAAATATCATGACCTGATCCAAATGATGGACCATATCCAGCATGACCAAAAACAAGATGTTTCGCAACATGTTTTGGTAAATATTTAGTAGGCAGTAATCCTTGTTTGTTGATGATTGTAAAGATAAAACATTTGTTATCACCATAATATTCACCATCTGAATTCCAAGACTGACTATTATAACCACCAAATACATTTCCATCTGATGATTTAATTAATGTTATCGTTTCACCTTTACCATCACATAATGAATGAAACTTGGATGCGAGGAATCCATCTCTTGTTCCCTAAATGAAAAAAAAAATAGAGTTAATATGAATTGAATTGTTTGGATGTACGTTATAATAGATAGTTTACTTTATAAATTAAATCACGAACTTTTGAAGTTCCAATCCAATTATTGATTACTTCAACGTGAGCAGATTCAATCAATGTTGTTGGACATGGTAAAGATTCTATTAATTTATAAAATACCAATTCTCTATTAATCTCTGATCTAAAATCTTGTGGAAAGATTGATGAATCACCGTCTCTAAGATAATTTAATATATATCTAAAATGTGTTCCATCTCTGTGAAATTTAATATTAATATCATGATAATAATGAATAATAGAGTTTGAATTAAATCATTTCATTTTTAAACATACCTATCAATAAAGAATGAATTTGATTTATCATTTGTTGTTGATTTAATATCAACCTCACCTGATAGCATAACATCAAAATATGATCCTTTGATTCTTGTTAATGTTGCTTTTGATGTTTGAAACTTGATTCCACCGATATTTAGAGTAATTGGATCAGGTATCAATGATACATCTATCACCTTTTTAACATCTAGTAATGATTCTTTTGTCTTTCTAATCTCTTCAATCTCATCCTCTAGCTCTTTGAATTGTGCTTTATAACCATCTACTACTTCTTGTAATAATGTAGCTATTTGACCAAGTTTAAGTTTCTCTTGATTTAACATTTGTTATTATTAAATAATAATTTAAGATGATAATAATAATGAATTAAAATAGGGTTCGATGGTGGCAGCAAGTTCATAAACAAACTTTTTTTTAAAAAAATCTGGGCTTTGTAGGGTTGTATCTAAGGGTGTTTTTGAACTATATTGTGAACGGAATAGGAATACTTTGGGGAATATAGTTTAGATTTTAAAACAACATATTAATATTGTCTCTTGCCATGTTGTAAAAATGCCAAAATTTTTTAATTTGTTAATATTTATTGTATGGTTTTGATTGTTTTGTATGAAACATATTCCAAACGATAGGAAATAGGTCGGAGAATCAAAAGGCATGCAAAAAACACCGTTTGGCAGCCAACCTGGCCAAAAAAAACAAAAAGATATCCGATTTGCCAGGATTGAACTAGCGACCAGCTGATGACTTTGACAATACTACAGTCAGCTGCTCTACCACTGAGCTAAAATCGGGATGGATGTCCCTTTGGTATTTCCCATTTTGAAGGGGGAAATTTTGCCCTTTTTTTTAGTCATCATTAATAATATTAATAATATAATAATTTACTAAATATTAATAATAACATAGAATAATTATATAACACTATTACAGCCTATAGTGCTGAGAAAAAAAAAAAAAAAAAAAAAAAAAAAGCGATATCTTTAACCAATTTATTTTTAGAACAAGCAACAATCCAAAACAATCCAACATGCTTGACACTATACAATAAGATACATGATCAAAGTCCATACAACATGTATCATAGACATGGACAAACCCCCAGAACAAATTAACTTTAATTCTTCTTGAGATAATCTTTATTTCTTGCTGGTCAATTAAAAAGTATAATTAATAAAACTTTGTAACTTCTGAGTACTACTCTTCCCGATAGGAGAGAACAGGAAAAGAATTACTTTAAAAAAAAAACCCTTTTTTTTAGTCAAATCATTGGTAATTTAGTATCTAAATCCAATGAGAACCACTGAGCTAAAATAGGGATGGATGTCCCTTTCGTATTTCCCATTTTGAAGGGGAACATATTAGGAGATGGAAGTCCTTTATCCGTTTTCCTCTTTTGTAATTTTTTTACCCAGTTATCCAACCACAATACTCTAGTGTCTATATTAAAATGATTGTTTCTATATATTATCTGTTTGATCAGAAAAGATAAAAAGTAAACAGACAACAAAATTGGGGCCAAGAAGAGCATTGTGGTTTGTTTATTTTATTTGTATTTATATTGGATATTGACATTAAAAGAAAAAAAGTATACAGACAACAAAATTGGGTTGAAAAAAACAAACACACAAATTAATGTTTGAGGAAGAAGGTGATATCTTTAAAAAACACAAAACCGGATGCTAAATTTTGTCTCCTATTACCTAATTATAATAATTGTAATTTAGTATCTCTCTTCTCTTTACTTTAAATCAATCAACTTGGTTAAACAAAAACAATCATTTACTCTACCTTACCATGAATAGTTACCCAAAGTTGAATTGATTGATAAGAAACTAGTCATTAAAAACTCAAATTAAATAAATAAAATTAACAAAACAATTGATTTTTAAAACAGAGGTTGTGGGTTGATTTATTTCGGGTTTGTATTTATAGTGGTTTCAAGGAATGTTCCTTCGGGAAATACCATATAAAGAAAGTAAGCGACTGATGAGATGACCAAACATACCAAGGCAAGTAAAAGAATACCCTTTATGGTCTCGAGCAAGAGAAACCCTACAAAGTTGATAAAGGAACCAATTGCCTTTGCAACTTTTGATAAAACCAAACAAAGCCATGTATAGATACAGTCAAACATATTGAATGCAGCCTTTTTCGATCTACTATATTGTTTAGAGATTGTGTCGGGAACTGTGCATATCTTTTGTTTAGTTTCGTCAAACCAAGTTAGTACATTGATTTTGTAAAACTTTAGTTCTCTTTTGATATCCCTTTGAAGGTCTTTTGGGAATACAGATCTATCTAAATCCCAAAGATATCTGAGGATATACTGGAATAGCTCTCCATCTCTAAAAATAAAATAATATATTTATAAAATAAAATCAATATTAATATTTTAAAATGATTCATTGTGTATTTACAAACCTATCAACAAATATCTTATTAGATAGATCAGTACCAGGTACCAGTAAACGATCAAAGTATGATCCTTTTTCCCTAGTTAGTGTTTCTAAAGTAGTTGTATACTCTGGTCCCATCGCAAATGTTAGTGTCACCTTTTTTTTTAAATTAATATTATTATTATTATTATTATTCATTTTAATTGCTGCTGGTGTTTATAAAGATGTATTTGTTTAAAGAATAAATAGATCAATTGATTTCAATCCTTAAATCCTTTTTGGAAAAATTTTTTGTTGCTGGTGCTGTTGAATTGAAAATTTGAACCAACTGGTACTCAAAAATCTAAGCTAAATTGGGTGATGAAGCAAATGTTGGGCATGATTACTAGTTGTATCTGTTAATTGTCACGTTTGTCTTATACAAAGATTACATAAACCAAATGATCATGGGCCCATTGATACATGATCAACTACATATACACTTTGTTCTTTTTCTTTAATGTCGCCTGATCAACACTGACCATAGTACTTTTAAAGTTAAGTTTTGAACTTTTACAGATAGATAGATATATGGAAATAGATGTTATTAAAGATAAAAGGGGAAAGAAGAATCTGCATTGTTTTTGTTAAAAAAAAAAGGGATTTGATTTTATTACAAAAAGATATTCTATAGTTATTGTCGCATTCATACTACGATTAAAAGCAATATGATTAAGATTTCATTATGATTATTGATTATTATTATTTGTTTGTTTGTTTGTTTGTTTGTTGTTTTATATATATACAAAAAAAAAAAAAAGAGGAGTGAGGGAGGTTATAAAGAAGAGTGTTTAGTTTAGTGTTTTTTTTAGTTTTTTTTTTGTTTTAATTAAACTATGGCTTGGCTAGAACGGACTCTGTCTTTATCTCTTTCTCTCTCTCTCTCTCTCTTCTTGTCTGTTTAGAAGAAGTGGTGGTGACCGTGATGGTGACCGTGGTGGTGGTGACCAGTTTCATAGATGACGGTTGGTGGATAGACCATTGGCGAGACCATTGGGGCAATTGGAGCCATTGGTGAGATCATTGGGGCGACCATTGGTGGAGCAACCATTGGAGCCATCATTGGAGGTGGGTACATGACTGGTGGAACCATTGGAGCGACCATTGGGGCGACCATTGGTTGAACGTACATTGGTGCAGCGTAACCACTGTGATGATGATGACCGTGATGATGATGATGATGACCCATTTTTAGTGATTATATATATATGTTAGAGTTTATAAAAAAAATATAGAGATTTATAAAAGTGTAAAAAGTATTATAACTGTGTATTATTACTAGTAAAAAAGAATAGTGTTACTTGTGAGATGAAATTAAAGAGAGAGTAAAAAACAGTTGTTTTATGCGTAACTGATGCGAAAATTGCAAAAAAAAAAAGAAATTGAAAAAGTCAGAATCCCTCCCATTCTCTGATTTTTGAAAATTAAACACAAATTTTTTCCTCCAAGTCCACGACGACACCTCAGCAACTGGACAAACCAAGATTTGTTGTTTTTTTGGTGATCTGTTTTGTTGTACCGAAAAATCTTGATCTATAGATATTTCAAGACTTTTTTAATAATATTATTATTAATATAGTCATATTGATATATTTTTTTTTGTTTATGTTATTTATTTGTTTAAGTATTTTTATTTTTGTTTTTTTTTTTTGTAATTTTTTTTTAAAATGTTGAAGTTGTTGGATATTATGATTATTTTTCCCATTATTATTATTATTTGTTATCTATCTATAGTCTAGTTATTATTATTAATTTTGTTTTTTTATAAAATTCGTACGATTATTTGATTGTTTGATTTGATTTTTTTTTAATTTTTATGTTTTTAAGCACTTTCTTTAGAAGGAACAGTAGTACTACCACCAGTAGTATTTGATTTTTGATAATTTGTAGATTTGTTTTGTTGATTTGATCTATTATTGTAACTGTTGAATCTTCTATTTCCACCTCTACCACCACGGCCATTGTTAAAAGAACGTACAGAGGCGACACCAAAGGTTTCTTGGTCGAGTTTTCTTTGATCGTAAAGTGAAGTCTTTGGTTTGTTATTGTTGCTAGCCTTGTCCAATGATTCACATGAAATGTTATCAAAAAAGTTGGATGGTGTATAAGATGTTGAAAGACTAATTGATTGTACACCATTTCCAAGTAATTCATCTTCTTGATCAGATGATGATGATTGATCATTGTTATTCTCTACAACTGGTTCTGGAGTAGTAACAGTAGTGGTAGATGTAGGGTTACCCAATTCTTCGGCCAACTTTTCCTTGTTGAAACGTGAATTTGATTCTTCAAAGTTGAATTCTTCCAATGATTCTTTCTTTTGTGGAATTGGTTTCTTGTGATATCCCTTATTTGGAGCACCACCTTGGCTAGTTGTACCAGTGGTTTGATTATTGGTATGGTGACTAGTAGTAGTAGTAGTAGTTCCATTATTATTATTATTATTATTATTATATCTCTTGTTTACGTGATCTCTTCTTGGTTGATGTGGCTTATTATTATTATCTAAAGTGGTTGTACCATTTTGTTGTTGTTGTTGTTGATGTTGTGGTCTGTTATTATTGTTATTATTGTTATTATAATTATTTTGTCTTCTATTATTATTGTATGGTGGTCTTGACGATGATTGTTCGTGATGATTGTTTTGATTATTGTTGTTGTGGGTGGTAGATACAAGGGCTGGTGGTGGTGTTGGAAGTGATGCAACTGGATTTGGTTGAGTGGCAGCAGCAACAACAGAGGCAGCAGTGACTGGGACAGGTGCGGGCACAGAGAGGATTGGTGCTGGAACGCCTGGGGCTGGAGCAACTCCGACAGTCTTGGTAGTGGCTGGAGTGGTAGTAGTTATCGTGGTAGTGGCAGCAGGTGTAGTAGTGGTTGTAGTAGTAGTCGATCCAGTTGGAGTAGTAGAAGAAGCAGGTGCAGCTGGTGAATTTTGTACAACTTGTGGTTGTTGTGGTTGACTTTGTTGTTGTTGACCTTGTTGACCTCCTTGTTGTGGTTGTTGACCTGGTTGTGGTTGTTGACCTGGTGGCATTTTAAAGAAACCTTGTGGAGGTTGACCCATTGGATTGTTTTGTTGTGGTGGGTATCCGTAGGGTGGGAAGCCATAGCCCATGTTAAAGTATGGGTTGTACATTGGAGGATATCCTTGTTGTGGGAATCCACCTGGTGGAGGGGGTGGCATACCGTATTGGGGGAAGTTTCCATATGGGTTCATGAATCCTCCATGGCCACCTGGCATACCGCCCATGTGTGGTGGTTGACCAAATCCAGGTGCTCCACCTGCTGCTGCTGGGCCACCATTTGGTGCGTTGTTGGATGGAGTGGTAGCAGATAAAGAAGAGGAAGAGGAAGGGGTAGAAGCAGCTGGATTAGAGGGAGCAGCAGCTTGCTTGGAAGAGGAGGAAGAGGGGTTTGGTGTTGGGATGGTTGGTACAGCAGTGACTGCAGTTGGAGTTGGGATGGAAGTAGCAGCTGCAGCTGGTGTAGAAGAGGAGGAGGTGGAGGAGGTGTTGTTTCCAGCAGTTGATGGTGTTGAACCTGGGGTAGTGGTGGCTGGTGCTTCGTAAACACTTAGATCGCTAATATCTCCACTCTTAAAGACAATAAAATCAAATATTTCATTTGATGGTGCAATAAAGGGACCTGCTCTATCCTCTGTACCATATGATTTCACTAATGATGTTATTCAACAAATACTAAAAGTCAGTAAATCATGATCAACCAATAAAAATAATAATGACCACATTCTATTGATTGTTCTTACCATTTTTCAAAGCAATAGTGTTATCATTTGGATCGATTGTGTATAATACACCTTCATATTTGATTTGTTTCTTTGTAATCAAAACAATCTTTGATCCAATAAATTGAGTAGACATGTTGTTGTTGTTCTCTGCTGCTACTGTTGTTATTATCTATCTTTTCGATTACAAAACTACTAATTATTACTTATTCTTCTTATCTTCTTTATCTTTATATAAAACTACAATCAAAGATTTCTTTCTTCTTTCTTTCTTTCTTGACAACTAAATTTATCTTGACTTGTCGTTGTCTCTATCTATATATCTATCAATGTCTATAAATATATCTATATATCTTGATGAAAGGATGAAATGATTGATGAATGGTTGTTAAATGGGGGATGCAGTAAAAGGAGGGTTAGAGATGAGATGTAATAATAAACAAAAATAAAGAAAAAAGAGAGAGAAGGAAGGCTTGGTTGAACCTCAAAAAAAAATAAAAAAAATTGAAAAAAATTGGGTTTGTTTGGAGCCCTCCTCAAACGGAATAAAAAAAAAAAAAAGGTTGAGTTATTAATTAATTAATCCAACACAACTATAACTACTATAGTATTATTATTATTTATTAATAAAACTATTAAAAGTTAAAAAAGAATATTCATTGGATTAAAACCAAAATATTTTAAAATTTAAATTGAATAGTAATAAATAAATTATTGAATCGACTGGTTTGGTTGGACTCCACAGTTTTTATCTTACATTTTATTATCAATATATTTTTATACAACTAAAGATTGATATTTGTGATTTAATTTCTGTCTTTCAAAAAAAAGAACCAAATAATAATAAATGTACTTGAAAATTTTTTGACAACAACCAAAAATTATCTCTTTTTTTTTTTTGCTTTTATTTGTTTCAAATATATTATACTAGAGAGAGAGATAGAGATAAAAAAAGGAAGAAAGAAAGGAGGCAATCTTTAGAATAGAGTTTAATCATCAGATATATTAGTTGGATGATACATTAAGTTAATTAATCGATCTTTCTTTTTTCATCTTCATCTTCATCTTCTTCATTCATTCTTTGTTGTTCAAGTACATATAAATATAAAGTATACGACAGTGAGTGATAATAATATTTGTAAAAGAGCATGTAAACACTTCACATTGTTCTTTGTTTCTTTTATTTTTGGATCAATATCAATCAATCAATATATCTCAAGAAGAATCATCATTACATTAAAATGAATCCGCATCAACAACAACAACAACACAAGACAATGATGTTTCCTGGTGGAGCTATTCCACAACAACAACAGCAGCAGCAACAACAGCAACAACAACAGCAACATCAACACCGAGTACAACAATTACAGCAAATGCAAATACAACAAATGCAACAGCAACAACAACAACAACAGCATATGCAACAACTTCAAATGCAACAACAACAAATGCAACAACAACAACAGCAACAGCAACAACAAATGCAACAACAACAACAACCAAATAGAGGGATGGGATTCCATCCTTCATTTTCATCATCTTCATCATTGTCACGTTTGAAACGATATGAACTCCAACGACCTGATAAAAAGGATTTAGGGCCTGGACTTGGCCCACCCGAATTCTATCCGCTCGATGAACATGCCAAAGAAGAAAAATTAACAAACGAATATATTGTTGGTGGTTTTGCTGAAACTATTGTTGATGTAAATAGAAATATATATAGAAGAGATGATTGGATATTGATATTAACCCTTTAATTTGATTTAGGATGAATTTCGAACATCATCAGGTGAATTTAAAGCAAGTGATATTTCAAAATTAAAAGATAGATTATTACAAGGAGTTTATGAAGTTGAATGGAAAAAGAATTCTTGTCCTAGAAGAGTAAGAAAGAATAAGAAAAAAAAAGAATCATTTTTTATAAACTAATTTACTTTTTTAATTTATTTTTCTAGACTGCACCAGTAAAGGAAAGATCAAACAAAAGACATGTACCAGAACAAAGTGCATACTCGATATCACTTCGAGAGGCATGGGTAAACAAATTAAAAGAAACCAATGAGCCATTACAAAAACTAGCAGCGGCAGTTCCACACGGATACAAAAGTGATCAATTGATTAAAATGTTTTTAGAGTTTCATATTCCTGTTTTACGTGCAACTTGGTATACTAAAATTGTTTATGGTAATTTGGTAAGTAAAAAGAAGAAACAAATGAAATAGTATACTTTTATTCATTCCTTTTCTTTTTTTTAGCCAAAACATAAAGTAATAGAACCATCAAATGATTGGACAAAGACAATATTACAAAATTATTTTGCATTGATTAGAATTGTATCGATAGAATCTGAAAAGAAACAATCTATATTTAATGGATTATTGTATGTAGAGAGATTGTTGCGGTGGAACTATCACGAAGGTTTGCTCAACAGGGATACAATGTTGACAATGATGATTGATCATCTAAACGAAGCATCAAAGCCCGACGATGGAGCCATTGTAGCATCGATGATTCTTAGCTACACCGACTTGATGATTCAATCGACGACACTGTCATCAAAATTTCTAACAAAATGTTACGAAAGATTGGTTAGAATTACTTCCCCATCGACCGCACCCCCACCACCATCTCTATCAAATAATCCAATCATGGGAACTAAACATCAACAACTACAACAGCAACAACAACAACAACAACAACAACTATCATCCCTACCTCCTCAACCACAACAAAATCCGCTATCTTTTCACGAACTATCTCCTCCCAATCAAAAATGTTTTACTTTACTTTGTACGATTACAAAGCATGTGGCTATTGCTCTACCCGATGTTTTCATGTCGTTTAAATATTTCAAAGAATTAAAATTATTTGTTTGGCCAAGCAATAATAATAACATAAATAATAATAACATAAATGATACTACTACTACAACAAATGGAATAATTCAAAATTCATCACCATCAAGTCCAACATCATCCATTTCTTCATCTTCATCGTTGGACTTAAATATTTCTTCTCCTTTATCACCTCCATCTTTACATTTCTTAAAATTATCAATATCACCAGAAACTAAATTTTTAAAGAGATATAATACAGAACAATCATTTCAATTTAATAATATTAATAATAATAATAATAGTAATAATAGTAATAATAGTAATAATAATAATAATATATTATTAGATTATTCAGATTTAATCAATTTATTGGATAAATTTACAACAACCAATTATAATTTATATTCATTGTATAATGATATATTTGGTGAACATTTATCAATGGATGAAGATAGACAGAAATTATTATTAATTTGTGAATGGGCATCAACTTCATGTCGTAAATTTACTTTTATTCACCAAGCTGCTGCTTCTTTATTAAAAATTTATGAATTAAATTTAATTTCAAAATTTAATAATAACAATAATAATAATAATTTAAATGTATGTAAAAAAAAGAAATATAATAATAATAATAATATATCTTACTTACTTTTTTTATTTAGCCATTACAAAATTTATTAGTAAATTTTTTAGAAATATTTAAACCAAAGAAAAATGAATTTTATAGTATTTGTTATTTCTTTTCAGAGTTGACAAGAATAGGAGTATTTTCACAAAATTCATATGCTAGATATCTCATTTCAAGAGGTATATTGGATAATGGATGTGGTGATTGTTTTCTATCAAATCATCAGCAACCACCAACATTATTACAACAACAGAATAATCAAGGTTATCATAAATATTATCTAAGAGAATTTCCAATATTTAATAGTAATGATGTACCTACGGCAGCAACACATCAACAAAGAAATCAAAGAAGATCGATACTTTTCTCTTCTCATATTCAGTCTCAAGAAAATGTACAAATGGAGACTGTCAGAGAAGCAATCAAACAATTTATACTAGACACCAATACCAACCTCAAACATCAAGAAGACCAAAAACAACAAGTCCTATCAAAACTTGTTCAATTATCATTTTATTGTCAAACTTCTCTAATTGAATGGTTATCTTTATGTATAAGATTACATTTTAATCAAACTTTACAGTAAGTCAAAAAACAAAAAAAACAAAAAAAGCAATATAAAACTAATTATTTTTTATTTTTCTTTTCTGTTTTTAGGGCAATATCAAATAATAGTAATTGTAATAATATTAATACATTTTTCAAAGGATTTAATCAATTAACGATTCCAATGACCGAATTTTATATATCAAAATGTTTTTATTTAATGGAATCGATCAAGAGTTTTAGTTCAATGGTTCAGTGTTTGATTATTTTTTGGCAAAATTTTTCAAGCATCAAACCACTACACCGATTCATTTTCTACAAGACCTATCATCTCGAAATATCATTCATTTCTTGTAGAAAGATGGATATCCTCTTGGATACACTTTTTGAACAAGGTTGTAAAAAGATCTCTCCTCTTTCAACCTCTTCCTCTTCAACTCTTTCTACTCCAATGGATCTTGATCAAAATGATCCATCAACTCCTAGCAATAGTAGTAGCAGTAGTAGTAGTTCACTTTTATCATCACCATCCCTATGTGACTATTATCTATCACATTTATTGGGAAAATATTCTTCCATCAAATCATTTGAATCTTGGATTCAAAAACAAAATCAACAATTACCACAATATTCAAATTATTTATCTTTAATCTTATCATTAAAATCAAATTTGGTAAGAAGAGAAAACAAAAACAAAAAACAAAAAACAAAAAATAGTTTTAATATTAATATTTATTTATTTATTTATTTTTTTATATTTTAGAATTTTGATGAATCAATGTCTGATAAATTAGAATTAAAAGAATTTAATAATAATTTATTAAATAATTTAAAAGACTCGGATGAATCTATTTCAAATTCAATTCAAGAATTGAAACAATTTGTTCAACAAAAACAATCACATCATAATTTTAATCATCAAGATATTTGTACAGAGGTTATCAATTTAATATTTTTAATTAATCTTGAAAAAATGTAAGTAATCAAAGAAAAAAAGATAAATAATTATTGAATCATTTATTTATTAATTTTTTTTTTTTTAGAGAACAAAATGAATTTTCAAATCAAATGATATTATCATTATTTTTATCAAATTTGACAATTGAATATCCAATTGAAGGTATTCAACATCAAACATTATTTTGTAAATTATTAAAGGATCATTTGGTATCTGTAATTCACTCTACAAAATCTTTGGTAGATTTGACGAGATCTCTCGATTCTTTAATCCCACTTTTAGCATCTCTCATCATCTCTTTGTATATAGACCCAAATACAATCATTTTACAATCAATAATACCCTTATTAAAATCAATTTTATTTGATAATCCAAATGTAAAACAAATAGAAAAAGAAAAGGAATAGAAAAAAAAGATCTATTACTAATTATTTTTAAAATTTTATTTAGGTTCAACATTTATGGTATTTAATTAAGATGATACAATCATTATTATTTGATAGTTCATTATCAGGTGTAATAACAGAATTTAGATTAACATTGTCACAATATTATGGTGGTGACAAGGTAGAGACTTTATCTGTACTATTTCCATATATTTGTAAACTCTATGACTATTTTGAAAAGTTGTCAGATTCTAAAAAGAAAACCGGTGGAAATGTTTCAGATGATGATGGTTCTATTATAACAATGGTTCAACAAATTTTAAAGTCGATTCTAGAAGATTCAGATTTTAAATATCCATTCTTGTATGACTCTCAAAAACATATACTATCAATCAAACAAATGAATTTGGATCCCGTCACATGTCGTTACTTGTTTAATACGATTTGGCAAAATAATCAACTAAAGTATCAACAACAAGATCAACAACCAACAGAATTGATTTATATTTGTACAAATTATGAACGACTTCGATTGGATAATGTAATCAACTATTCCTATCAAGTGATCAACAATACACTATCCAACTCTTTCAATTGCTATTGGTATATACAACTATCTTATATTGAACTACAATTATTGTTGGATGAATGGCAATTGCTACCGCCAATCAATTCGACACCTCCTGTTCGATCACCAAACCAGTCACCCATCATCACCTCGCAACAACAACAGCAAATATCAATGGTCAGCTCGAACGGATCAGTCCCCACCAACTCGTTGGCTCTTCCGCTTAGTATCCCCAGTGCCAACAACTCTCCAACCGACCCATCTAGCAATGGACCCGAGTCTATCATCACCCAATTCATTCTATGTCACTTTGAATTGAATCGTGGTTGGGAAAAGATCTTTCTCTATGAAAAGTTGTTCCTCCGTCTACCACAAAGCGCTAGAAACGAGTTGATAAAGTTGACCACTGTTATTATGGAGTCACAGTATAGAGAGGATTCATTTGAGTCTCCTGAAACCAAACTCTACCTCTTTTCTCATATTCTCTCCAACTTGCCCGTTAGAAAGAGACCAACTACCATTGACAACAAGGACAAGGGTAATACCAAATACGATGAACAACTCCTTCAAGAATCATTTACAGAATTGATCATCAATATTTTGCTATCCTACGATTCTTCAAGTCCTCATCTACAAACTTTTGTTCTATCTCTATTGAAACAATTGAATCAATTTTTAAATTATACTCAAGTTTATGATGCTGTAAATATTGCTCCATCTCTAATAGAATCAATTTTAAATTCTTTATCAATGAGGTAAGAGAAAAAATAGAAAAAAAAATAGAAAAAGAAAAAAAGATACCAGGATTATTAAACGTTTTTTTATTTTTATAGAATATCATTTTTATTACCATTAATTAATACTATTAAATTATTTAAAACTGCATGTAAATTGGAGGAAATATCAATTACATTGTTAACATTATTGTCACGTAGTATTATTCAATCAGATGAAGAATATGATTTCTTTAATTCAATCTTGACAATATTGGATTTATTATTGTCTGATAAATATGATCAACCAGAAATTGCTAAATCAACCACAGCAACAACAACAACAAACCAACAACAGCAACAACAACAGAAAAGAAAATTGTATGAACATTACCAAAAGATCAAATCATTGTTCCCAGTATACTATCAAAACAAGATTGAAAAGCAAATCTCTTTCCTATTACAAGTTAATCTTTCCTCTTCTGTTTATCAAATCATTTTACCTCCAACACTTCAAACAGTTCAAAATTTACAACAACAACAAATTCAACAACAACAACAAAATTATAATACAACACCAACTCTAAAGCCTCAAGACATTAGACCAAATGTCATTCCAATGGATCCTTGGTCTTTGCTTGAGGATTATGCCGATACACCTCTATCACCATCAACCTTTGGAGGTGTAAGAATGGAACGTAAAGATTTGACTTATATTAAATCATCATTTCCTTCAAAATCAACAGAAATCTCTGGTGCTGCTCCTATGGATATAAGTAGCTCAACATCATCGACGGTCAGTAAAAAGAGAAATAATGAAGGAAATCAAAACTCTCCAAACATTGGTTCAACATCACCACAAACAACAGCCGCCAATCAACAACAAATAAAAAAGACTAGAGCTCTTTAAAATTTGAATCAAAAAAAATAATCAAAATAATAATAATTTTTTTACAAACGTTTGGGTTATTACTACTCTACTCTCGCGCCGATAAATTTTACGGTTAGTTGGGATTTACGATGGTTTGTTGGATTTATTATTAGTTTTACGATTGTTGGTTGGTCATAGTAGGGTCCACTGGGAAAAATTAATTCTCTACTTTGTATGGCCTGTTTAATTTTCGATTTTTTTTTCACGATTGATTTTGTAAAAACAGATACCAGGATCAGTTTTTTTGCGAGCTATCTGACCTAGACGTTTCCTTTTTCGATTTTTTTGTTTAATGTTTGGCCACTAGACTTTAACATTTTTCAAAACCCCTACCCATCACTATGGTAATGGGTTAGTTTTTTTATTTTGTCATTTAAAAACGAGCTGTTTAGAAAATCGCTAAATGATGGTTGGATTTTTCCGCACTTTGAAAACCAGTGAAATTAGCGACATCATCTGACCGAGACTGATGCAAATCTACGAAAGGTCACAATAAATTTAAAAAGAAAATAAACCAGGTATTACCAATCAGAAAAATAATTAAATATTTTGTTTTTTGTTCATTCTGGTCCTATAAATACTGGCCAGTGTCACAGTTTTAAAAAATCATCCCACTCTCTTTTATATAATCAAATAATACACAGTATTACTAGTACCAGTAATATCATCAACACTATGAAATTCTTAGTTCTCTTTACCATCTTGGCTTTGGTCTTTTCTGCCACCTCTGCCACCATCCAAAAGCAACCACAAGTTGGCAATGCTGCCTGCGATATGTGCGAGTACCTCGTCCACACTGCTGAAGATTTGGTCTTCCAAAACATGTCCAACACTCAAGTTACCCGTTATCTCCGTATGTTTTGAAAAAAAACAAAAAAAAAAGTGGAAAAAAAGTAATTTAACCAATCAATATTAATTCTAACCTTTTGTTTTAATTTATTTTTTCTACTCTCTAATAGAAACTGCTTGCAAGATTCTCCCAACCAAATACGCTGGTCTCTGTGAAGTTATGGTTGAGCAATATGCTTCCCAAATCATCAAGAAGGTTCTCGAATTCGAAACTCCAGCTGTTGTCTGCCAACAAATCCAAATCTGCGGTGGCCAAAAGGAAGTTGAACCAATCGTCAAGACTCCAGCCGTAGAATCTGTTCAAAATCTCGGACATCACCACCACCATCATCATTTTAACCCCCTTAAGAAATTCGAATGCAAAGCCTGCGACTACGCCGTGAAGCACATCGAATCCCACGTAATGAGAGGTGAAGCCATCCATGATATTGAAAGAGCCGTCGATCTTGAATGCGACCGTTTCGATATCCATGAAGCCATCCACATTTGCAAGAAGGTTGTCCATGAATCAATCAACAAGATCGTCGAACACCTCCTCAAACATGAGTCCCCAGAGAGAGTCTGTAAAGAGCAAGTCCATATGTGCTAAACAATTAATTGTAAATAATTTTTAGCTCTTTTTTTTTAATAACAACAAACAAATAAAACCATCAAAAATATGGTTTACTAAATCTATATAAATTAAAATAAATATCTAATAGTATGTATTTTTAAATCAAATCAATTTCATCAACCAAATATTATTATTAAACAATTAATACCATTAATTTATATCTTTTTTTTGTATGGCGCACTTGGAAAGTTTTTTTTTGTAAACCATTTTTCCCAAAGGGGCTCACTGAGAAGAGCTTTAAAACTCACTTGGTTGTTTCTATCAATAATGATTGGTTTCCCATCCTTATTATTATTATTATATTATGTATTATCCATGCCACTGTGATCTCTTTTTGTTTGTTTTTTTCTTTTTAAAAAAATTGATTTGTTTATTATCTATCTACAATGTAATAAAACTAACCACTAGGTAATATATGTCGGCGTTGTGTATTGTTGTTGGTTTAGTTTAGTTTTGTTGTTGTTGTTCTCCTTCTACTGCTGCTTCTGTTGGTTCAGTAGTTTCAGTCTTCTTTTCAGCCTTTTGGAATTCGTATGGGAAGGTGGTCCATTTTCTTTGCAAGATATCCATAACCTTTCTCTCTCTTTCGTCTGTCTTTCCTCCCCATGTTAAAATACCATATGCTGCTCCTCTTAGTGATGTTGTACGACCACCCTAAACATATATAAATGATAGTTATTATGTTAGTTGTATGATCTATCCATCCACACATCGTGATTGATGTGTGTGTAATCATCCATTACTACTATGATCATACAGAATTCTTTGTAAATCTAACTCTAGTAACTGTCCAATATGACTCTCTTTCTGGCCAAAGGGTCTTGGTTAGACGATGACCAACACCTTGATCTGGGAGACCAAAGCAAACATCCAAAAAGTTTCTTCCTTTTGATTGTTCTTTTGTGATTCTCTTAAAGATGTTTTGTACTGCTTGACTGGTTGGTGCTGACATCTTCTACTACTATTAACTACTCTTCTATAAGTCTGATGATACAATACAGATATTAAACGATGATCGTTTGCAATGAATGAACAAAATTCAAAAAAATCATTAAAAAAAAAAACGAATGATCACCCGAATGCATTGAGTGATTGCACTTATATTATACTTATTCATTCGTCTATATTGTTTTAGTTTGTTGTTATATGTCTCTCTCTTTCAATCTAGATCATTAGAGAGAGAAAGAGAGAGAGAGACAAAAAAAGAAATGATTTATTACAATTTTAAAAAAAAAAAACAAATGTTTGGTTGTTAAGAGTTTAGTTATCGAATGGTAATAGGAGGTAATCCTTGTGGTCGGTAAAGTGGAGGTGGAGGAGGTGGAAGAGGTGGTGCCATGAGAACTGGTGGAACGACTAGTTCAACCGGATCTTCTTCTACTACTACTACTACTTCATCTTCTACTTCTAATTCTTCTTCTAATAATTCTTCTATTGGTTCATCAATTGGTGCATCTAATGGTTTTGGATTATCAACTCTGATGGGAACCATCTTTCTAATTTTCTTCATACCCGATTTGTTCTTGTAGTGTTTGTATGCTAGGTGAATGCCAAATGGAATAGCACCCAATACAATGGCTGGTGGTGCAACAACCACACAACCTACTCCAATCAATATACCCAACCCAATCTTTTTGGCTATTCTTCGACCTCGATGTCTTCTATTATTTCCATTATTATAAATGTAGTCATAGTATGGCTGACCAATTGGTTTTTGAAATCTTGGTCCATGAATATGTGTTGTCATATTATGATCATGTGGATCTAAACAATAATAACAACTAAACATATAAATAAAAAATAAAAATTAATTAATATCTCTTTTTCTCTTTTTGTTTCTATTTCTATTACTTACAATTGATGACCACAAGTACCACAACAAACATATTCACAACCTTGATCTTTAATTGTCAAGATACCACATTTTGGACAAGGTTTCATTTGACACTCTTCAATGTATTTGAGTGTTTTGAGATCGTCTTCGGTTAAACTTTCTTTTATCTTTTTTTGGTGTTCATCACAAGTCTCTTCGGGATGAGCAAAGGTAATGCAATCTGGACAAATCATGGCACCACATTCCAAATTGTCACATACCATAAAATTTGGTTTCTTTGACGATTCCTTTTCCTTTTCTTTTTCCTTTTCCTTTTTCTCTTCACGTACCAATGGATTACTACAGTTTAAACAAAAAACTATAGTACTACCAATTTGTATTGACTTGTCAATAATCGATCTAAATAATTCATATTTTTTATATACATGTGGATCTAATATTTTAACCTAAAATCAAAAAGAATTATTATTATTATTAGTTTCCCAAAGAACTCTATTATATTATATAATATATAGTTTTCGTAGCTTACAAGAATAGTTGTATTTGTCATTCTTAATCTACAAGATGGATTTGGACAATTTAAAGATTTTCCTTTATGCTTCCAAACCTCTTCGGTCAAATGTTGTTTGGCACATTCCAAACAATATTTATGCAGACATGAGAATTCAAAGGTGTTGTATACCTCGTCCAAACAAATAGGACATTCGAAAGATTCTTTGTTTCCCGTCTTGATGATTCCAGATCCTCTTTGAACCGGTGCCACTCTATTTCTCCATCTAACCACTGGTGGTGGAACATTATTGTTGACCAATATTGGTGGTTCTTGTTGTCCAACAACATAGATTGGATTATCATCAGAAAATAATTGAACCAATCCATATTGATCTTCTTGTTGATATCCATCAATATCGGCAATCGTTGTAACAGTCGTTGTTTGTACATGATTTAATTGTTGTCTTCTATTTTTTAATAATTCTTCAAATCTTGTACCTCTATCATATATATTAATATAATAATTATTATTATTATTATTATTATTATTCGTAGTAGTAGTAGTAGTAGTACTACTACTACTACTTATTGTAATACTATTATTATTTGTAGTTGTTGATATAGTAGTTTTCATATTTGTTATTTCTGGTTGTTGAGATGGTTCTTGTTTTTTTATTTGTGGATGGTGATGGTCATAACCCAATTCCCAATCAGTGTCACTCCAAGCATCTTCATCTTCATCTTCATCTTCGTCGTCATCATATCTTACTACCCTTCGTTCATTTACTAAATTGACGGACTGTCTGAGAATGCAAGTATGGGCTTCATGAAGAATCAAGTCCAACAATGCATTTGTCTTGGCTTGACTTGGCGGAGATGCAAGTGAAGGTGAGGAGGTAGTCATAGAGTTTGTATCATGATTATGATGATGGTGATGGTGATGATGACCACCATTATTATTATTAACTACCACAGTTGCCATTGCTTGAGATGACTGTTGATGATCAGAAGTTTCCAAATGCATTTGTAAAAAAGGCTGCAAATATTAAAACAATAATATTGAATTGCGATGATTGATTGAATGATTGAATGAATTTAGGATAATATAATCCAAAAGAGAGAAAGAGAGAGATAGTAGAGGTTCTATACAAAATGTTTCAATCTATCTATATTCACATTGATTGATTGATTGATAACTAACTATCCTCTTCCTTATCTTTCCTTTCTTCTTCCTTGTTTTGTACTTTTTAGCTGCTGTTGCTGAATATGCAAAGATAGGTTGCAACAACAAGAACAAATTAAAACAACAGAGTTGAACTGATTGTACTACTTCTACTTTTACTTTTACTACTACAACTACAACTACAACAGTAAGTAACAGTTAATAACTAAAATCAATTAACCAAAGTGGAGTTGGATTCACACACACGCGCTGATTGGGAGATGTGGGTGTGGTGTTGGTCGTGAGAGTGAGTGAAAGAAAGAAGCTAGCTCACTGGTTGATTGCTTGCTTGCTTGCTGCTGCTTCTGTTGCTGTTATAGGTGTGGTGCAACTCCTCTCAACTCAATTGTGATGATGGATGGGTGTGGGATGGGATAATTAATATATACAACTGGGGAGAGAAATTATAAATATTATGTACAGATAGATATATATAATATAAGCAAGTGTGATGCAAATAAAGGTAAGAAGTGATTAATCAAGACATTAAAGTAACTATATTGTTGGTTTGGTTTTGTTAAAGAGAAGCATGTTGAGGGTTTCCAAAGATAATGAGAGAGACACTCAACCTTTTAAATTTTGCTCTGTTTTGCTTGCGATGAATCACAGCAGAGGAAAATTTTTCCCTGAAAGGCAATTTTCTACTTTGATGGTTTAAAGTGTGTGTGTTTAAATTAAACTAGAGTAAGGAGGAAGGAAACAAACGCTGTTGTTTATGATGTGGTGGTGGAGTGATTGATTGATTGTTCTATTTTTGTTTGAAAATTCTTGTCATTTTTTGTCAATGAAACAATTTCTCTTCTCTAAAGAATGACTGGGCGTTTATTATTATCTTGGGCACTTGAATCAGTATCAGTATTTACCCAATAGGGTGATGAAATATTACTTGATGATTGATATTCATTTTCAATTTCTTTTAAAAGTTCATCTTCCTCTTCCTCTTCTTCTTTTCCTTCTTCCTCCTCTGGACCTCCTCCTGCAGAAGTTGTACTATTCTTTAAATTACTGTTACTCGATTGTTTTAATTTATCTTGTTCTTTTAAAAGTTCTAATTCCTTTTCCAATTCTTTATCCAAGTCTTCATCACTATCATAGGTTGTCGATTGTTGTTGAGTATGATCTTGTTGATTATCATCATCGTCGTCATCTACTACATCATCATCTATTATTAAATTTGAATTGATTGATAAATCCATAATGATATCTGATTCTTCAATTTTCAAACCATTCAATTCTTTTTGTAATTCTTTTTCCCATCTTCCAATTTCACTATCATCTTCATGATCATTATTTGTGATAGTTGTTGTAGTTATTTTCTTATTTACAGATTGATCACTATTATTATTATTATTATTATTGGTTGACAAAGATAAAGGTTGTGATTGTGGAGGTGGTGGTGGTGGAGGTAATTTCTTTTTGTTTGATATTATATTATATTCCTTTCTAACTTCCATTACTCTATAATACCAATTTTTCCAAAATTGTTCTTCTGATATACTATGATAAACAATCAAAAGAAAGAGATACAAATTAATTAATCATATGGTTGTTTTAAAAAATATTTTTCACAAATACATACAATCTTGGAACTAAAAGGAATCTAACTCTTTCCATATTCTTGTCATATTTTAAAGTTGATTTTGCAATTGCAATCAAGAAATCATCAAACTCTTGAGTATAATCTGAATCGATTGGAGGAGAATTCATAAATGTTTTTTTGCTCTAGAATAAAGAGCGTAGGTCGTTAGGGGAATGAATAGTTGTTTGAATATTATATCAATGTACAAACCATTTTAAGATCCAATATTCTATCAATGATTTGTTTCTCCGATTCCTTGTCATCCAATTCAAAATCCATCCATGGTGGCAATAATAATTCATCATCATTTGATTGTTTGTTTTGATCTTCTGATTCTTCTAATAATTTCTTTCTTTCTTCATCAATCTTTGTCATAACATTACTTGCAAATAAACTAAATTTAGCTAAATCATATTTATATATATCAAAATCAATATCAATATTCATTCGTTCGTTTCATTTGTATTTGTATTTGTATTTGTATGCATACATCCAATCTTTTTAAATGTATCTGTAGTTGCTGCAACATTTAATTTGTTCAATCCAGTAGTAGTAGTAGTAGTAGTAGTAGTAGTACCACCATCATTTGTATTTATATTAGTTGTTTCATTTACATTATTGATATTATTGATATTATTTTGTTGTTGATCAGTTGCTATTGTTGTTTCATTATTATTATTATTATTATTAGTTTCAGTATTATTATTATTGTTTGAGAATGTTGATAATAATGAATGCTTGAAACTAGAAAACATCTCGTTGATTGTTGTTGTCTATATGACAAAAGATATTTCTTATTCTTAAGAATTATTTGTGTATTATTATACTTTTAACTGATCCTTTGTTTTCAAGAGAGAAAGATGAATCAAAAGTTTTTACAAATTATTAATTAATATTTTAGTTTGTTTTTGCAAAGCTTCACAGTCAAAGAAGTAATAAGATTTATTTATATCTCTTCCTCTATACAACTACAACTACAACAACAACAACTTTTCTATACACTCATACTCTGTATACATATATATATAATAAACATAAAAGATGTTCTCATTTTTAAAGAAACCATCACCAGAGGAAATGGTAAAGAAATGGAAACGTGAACTAAGGAAAGAAGATAGAGGTTTAGATACTCAACTAAGAGGTAACTAAACAAATATAGATATAGATATTGATATACTTTATATATATATCTCTCTAACACTTTTTATCTTCTTCCTTCTTCATTCTTCTTCATTTAGCAATTGATATGCAAGAAAAGAAAACAATTAGAATGATAAAGGAAAGGGTAAAAGCAGGAGACCCAAAAAGTGCAAAGGTGTTGGCAAAGGAAGTTGTTGGAAGTCGTAGAGCAAAGGAGAGAATCTATACAGCAAAGGCACAGATGAACTCTGTGAGTTTGCAATTACAAAGCAATCTGGCAATGGCCAAGGTTGCTGGACATTTGGCAAAGTCGACAGAGGTGATGAAGTTTATGAACGACCTCGTCAAGCTCCCCGAATTGAGCAAGATCATGATGGCAATGGGTGCAGAGATGACCAAGGCCGGTATCATCGAGGAAATGATCACCGACGTCTTTGACAAGGACGATGAACTCGAAGAAGAGGCTGAACAAGAGGTGAACAAGATCATGGATGAAATCTTGATTCAAGGTCCAAAAGTATCAGACTCTTCTCTCGAAATACCAAAAGAAGAGGAAGAAAAGGTTGATGAAAAGGATGATGAAATCATGAATCGTCTCAAAGCATTAAAGACTGGTTAAACTTCAAAACAAAACAAATCACATAATTAATCAAATAATAATAATAATAATAATCATAATAATTAATAATAATAATAATTTATTGTAAATAATAATAATCTAAAACGCCAAATAATAATAATAATTATAATTATAAATTTAGCAAAGTCAAGTTTAATGTGATGGTTGAGAACACAACCCTAACCCCTAACCTATATACCTCAAAACACAAACTAACGATAACAACCATTTTTTTCTAAAAACAAAATAGATGATAATAATAATAATCTTCGTGTACAACTACAAAAATAAAACCATTTATTTTTAATTATAAATAATAATAATAATAAGAAATTAAAAGAATTTCAATTCAAATCAATTCAATCAACATAATATATTATCCCCAAAAAATTAAAGAGTATGTATGATCACACACATACACACAAGATAGATTATACATTTCCTATCTTTTCCAATGGTCAACCGTGGCGGTGAACAATTATCTATCTCTATCTTTTTGAATTTCAAGAATGATGATTTGGCGAATAACGATGTCTACTTTTTGATCTATTAAAACAGATTGGATTGGATTGGATTGGATTGCCACGACCATAAATGATATCATCATTTTAAGATTATCTTGTTTTCTACAACAACTCTAGTACGAGGATGATTAGTAGTGGTATTTTGGTTGAATTTACAAATGGAAATTAATACAAATTCCAATTACAAAAAAAAACAACTACTACATATTTGAATAGGCAGATAAATATATGATACTACTTGGTATAATACGTACGTACATTATGTTTTAGTTTAAACTCATAAGATTAAATAGATCAATTGGGACAAGATAAAACATGATTCCAATTTCATCTATCTGATTGTCCTTGTTAAGAGACCCTTTAAAAAAGACATTTAAATTGGTAAAAATCATATATTCATTCTATTCTATTCAATGATCTTTATGCTAACATGACCAAAATTATAATAACAAACCTACCCTATCTATGATCATCCAATGCATACTAAAATGTCAATAATAACTGACATTTAAATTGCTTGTTTTGATGGGTGTGGGTGTTCAAATTGTACAATCAAGTTGGTGGGGATGGATCAAAAAAGAGGGTGGGAGGTTGACCATAGTGATGATGAATGAATGATTTTCTCACTGTGATCACAGTGCTGTCATTATGGTAATGGGGTGGTTGGTACATTGATGATGGTTGTGGTGATGGTCAGTAGGGTAGGGTAGGGTTAGGGGGTTGGTTTGGGAAATTGATACAAAAAGACAGGAAGACATGTACCATGTATATGAAATGAAAGAAATACGCGCAAGAGTATGGAGCAGCTGGATGAGGGTTGGTGATCACCATTACAAATCTAGTTGCGTAGAGTGTATCTATTTATTATAATGAGTGAGTGATCTTTTGTTTGATTGAAAAGAGAGCTTTAAATAGTAAGAGAATGTGATTTTGATTATCAGCTCTAACATCACCAATAACCAACAACAATCACAATCAATCAATCAAATAGATTTGATATAAATAAATTTTATATTATTATTATTAATATTATTTTTAAACACATCAACAACAACAACCACAACAGATTAATTAAAAAGTGATATCATCCTTTATTTATTCTGATTCTTCATATAATATAGGTACGTATTTATATCATTCACCCCATTCTCCTTTGTTTTGTTTCCATTTATAAATCTGTATATCCATTCAATAACAACAACCACACATTCATTCAATTATTTCCCACCAACATCAATTCAAATACTCAAATTTATCCAACTTGTATTTCCATCTGTCCACCCAAGCTTGTTTCACACTTGTCTAGGTTTGGAAAATTGGTTTGTACTCTCTTACTTGTTCCACTCCCCCAGATTCCAACGATCATCATACTAATAATTAAAAACTTGATAAATTATTGTTATTAAATTAATTGAAATCAATCCATCCCACGAATCATCGACGTCAATAATAACAACAGAAGAATAGACAGTGTTGTTTCCATCATTTACTAGTCCTCTTCTTCCTCTTCCTCATTATAACCCCTTTCCAATATCCATCTCTCTCTCTCACCGGTGTCCTCCAACCCATGTGGATTCTATTTTTTTAATATTACATCACTCCTACTACTTTGTTGTTGTTGACACTCACACACTCTATCACACACACTTAACGAGTGACCAACCTAGATTAAAAGAAAGAGATATCGAAAGAAAGAATGGAAAAAGTAGATGAGAGGAGATGGCATTTGTACACGAGTTCACCAAATTTGAACAATTCATCATGTGTTATTCTTCTGTTCATAATAATACGATCGTATTATCAATAATAATCATCATCCCTGTCTCTTTCCATCTTAAATGCTCGGATTCCCAGTTGATCCAGTCGAATATAAAATCCATCATCATTTTTCTAAATCACAAATCATCAAACTCATTTACAAATTTAATTTTGGTATTTACAAATAATATTAATATTAAATAATCAAATAATCATCCATCATATTTCCCATTTGTATAATCATCAATTTAATACTTCCAACAACCCAAAAGAGAACCAATTAAATTAACAGTCATTTTAAATTAATTATTATTCTAGAAAATAATAATAGAAACAAAAAAAAAGACTTTTAGAAAGACCAATCATTTTATCATTATATCTAGTCCAACATTTAGAATTACCAAGAACCAAAAATGAAATTCATTTATTTTATCGCATTTGTATTATTAGTTATAGCATTTAATAGTGTGGCACCTACCCATGCAAAATCTAATCACGTAAGTATTATCAAAATCTTAATTTATGATTTGATTTATTGATTGAGAATTAACCTTTTATTTTGATACAGAAATTTGTTGATTATTATAAATCTGTAAAGGCATTGCAAGCAGATTCTTCAGAGGCTCCTCCACAAGGAAGTGGAGAACAAGGTGCTGGAAGTGGAGAAAAAGGTGCAAATAGTGAGGAACAACCAGCTGCTGGTAGTCAGGGATCTCAAGCTCCAGCCGGCAGCCAAGATGCACCAGCATCTTCAACCACTGGCAGCCAAGAACCAGCATCTTCAACCACTGGTAGTCAAGAACCAGCATCATCAACTACTGGTAGTCAAGAACCAGCATCTTCGACCACTGGTAGTCAAGAACCAGCATCTTCGACCACTGGTAGTCAAGAACCATCATCAACTACAACTGGATCAAGTCAAGAACCAGCATCTTCGACCACTGGTAGCCAAGAACCAGCATCATCAACTACTGGAGGTAGTCAAGACCCATCATCTACAACAACTGGAGAACCAGCCACCACAAGTGAACCAGCCTCTACAAGTGGGGCTGATCCAACTACCACCACTGGATCAGACCCATCTTCCACCTCGACTGGAACTGATCAATCTACCACTACTGGAGCCGACCCATCTACCACCTCAACAGGATCTGACCCATCATCATCTACCACTGGATCTGAACCATCTTCTACCACAACCTCAACTGGATCTGAACCATCCTCTACCACTTCTACAGGAACTGAACCATCATCCACAACCACAACTTCCAGCAGCACTGGATCCGAACCATCAACTACTACTGGAACTACAGCAGCTCCAGGAAGTTCAAATGATTCAAGTCAAGAAGTACCAACCTCAACTACCACTGCAGCTCCAACAACTACCGCTGCTGCTACTACTGCCACAACCACTAAACAATCAACCACTGGAAACAATCAATTAAGTTCTAGCCATGTTACTGGTGCTCCAACCACCTCTACTGACACTAACCACGACCAATCATCAGGTTTCGAATCAATCAAAGCATTCACATCTTCGACTCTTATTATTTTAACGATTTCAATCTTTTACATTTGTTGAAACAAAATCATTTAAAATATTTAATATTTTTCAATTAATTTGTAAAATTGTTTAGTACCAATATATATTTATACTACTATAGTAGTATTTGTAATATAATAATCGTTTTTTTATAATAATAATAGTACTCTCTCATTGAATGGTCTAGAATATCTACCACTTTGCAATCCATTCCTTTCATTTCCTTTCCTTTCATTTCTTGCCTACTCCCACACAATCAATACCACTTGTCTTTTTTTCCCAATTGATTATAAAGATCCAATTGGATTAAAAACAATTGTTTAAAATAATTCATTAATAAACCCCCAATAATTATCTATTATATAAAGTATTTTAAAACATATATATATATTAATCTTTTGTTTTTTTATCTATTTATTGTTTCTTATAATAAAATTTATATAAATTATTTTTAAAGTTGATTCGGTCAAATAGAAATGATTTTAAAGAAAAATCATAAAGTGAAATGGTGGTAGGGATACTCGACTGAATATCTGGTAAAGTTGGGTTTGACAATAGTCTATTATCAAAAGATAATAGTTGTTTATAATCCTCACAAGATAGAATAAGCGTTTTAATATTATTCGAGTTGTGCATTATAGTTGAAATATCAGTTGGACTTATAATTGTGGATGGTGTACCTCCATTAAATGGAGGTGAAAATCCTGGTATATTTGTACCACCAGTAGTATTATTATTATTATTATTATTATTATTATTATTATTATAGGATTGATTATTCAATGTTGTTGATATATTTATATTTGTGGATTGATTTCCACTTTGAAAATAAACATTTGGATTTAATTGAATTTGAAAGTTGGTAATGGTTTGGTAGAGTGAAAGTAGGTTGAAAAAGTGGGTTGGAGGAGGAAGAGTATCGGTGATACAATATTTAACCGACCGTAGGTGTGGATGGAGTGGTGGATAGGTTTGCGTAGTCGGTACAAAATATGTAGTAGAAATCTTTTCCAGATTGATAAAAGCATCCAAATAATTTGTATCCACATTTCTAAATGACCCACCCAACGATTGTATCATGTGTTTATCGGGTAGATGTTGATACAATTTTTTAATTCCCAAATACTTCCTTTTGTAACCTCGCGTGTCTGGTAGATACTTGTAAGTTGGTAGAATGATTTTGGTTAAATGTGGTCTGGCCAATCTTGATTGGATACGAGAAAAGAATTCAATGAGAATGGGGATGGTCTCTGTGATCATTAAATTCTCAAAATTAATTCTCTGCAGTCGTGGCACATCGGCAATACAACTAAGAATCTTTGGATTGGTTTGGAGTATCTTGGACGACATTGACACTGATCTGAGATTGGGAAAACATTCCAAAAACGATCGTAACTCTGCAAGAGTTGGGAATCCAGAATTAATTTCCATGCTAATCTTTGTGATGTTTGCCAAAACGTAGATATGGGTCATTGCACAAGACACTTCTCGTCGAGCATTTTCAAACACCTTTACAAATGCTTCATCGCATTCCAACGTTGTAATTGATTTCATCAAACAGAATGGATTGGATATATGGCTAAACACTTGTAGGTTTCCATCGTCTACTCGAGTCACACCAATTTTTTTACGCAAACCTACAAATCTACCTCTTAAAATGAGGTTGGTTGCCATATAGTAAAAGACCTGTCGATTGATAGTTGCCAATGAAAATAGCCATTTTAAATATTGTCTATTAAAGTCTTTAGTTGAATCTTTCCAAACAAGATCCAATATTCTATATATGATATTGTTGTACAGAGGAGAAGAAGAAGGTGGTTGATTAAAATCTTGAAATACACGTAATCTATTCATGTACTCTATACTAGCTGCCTTGTCTCGCTCAATTGATTGGATAATGTCCTCTCTTGACATGCCTACTCTGTACTTTATGGTATATCGTAAACATATTTCTTCAAGTTGATCTTTCTTCATTCCATTCATTTGCTCCAACGAAGGAAATTCTTGATGACCTTGCTGTCCAGTCTGTACAGACTGTATTATAGGTTCTTTTTTTCTTTTTCTAACCATGTTTGATAAATATATAAAAATATATATCTCTCTCACTCTATGTATATAAAAAAAAGAGAGAGAGAGAAAGAAAGAAAAAAAGAAGCCTTGCCTTGTTGATTTCAAAAGGTTCTTTTGTCATAAATAGTAAAGATTAGGGATGTAAATGGTTTGGTTGTTTTTTTTTTTCACATGGTTAAATCAAAGGTTTCGTGTCTATGCATGATTAATTAATTAAAATTAGAATGGGTAGAGCCTCCTCCCTCCACCCATACACAAACAAGGCTTAAAAGGGTTTCAAAGCCGCCACTCTATTTGTGTAAAAGCCCTCATCGATTCAATTTTTTTAAAACATACCCCCCCTCTGACGTCGAGAGGGAGGGTTGATAATGTAAAGATAAGATCTTTGGAACAGAAAAAAAGAATAAAAGATCGCTCGCCTTTGCGGTGTTTTGAGTTTTTAAATCTTTGCACGATTGAACCATGAAAAATCCTTCAGCGGAGTTTTCGTCCAAGCCTCCTAAGATGAATAAAAATCTTTGGTGGCTTACGTGATTAGCATAAAGGCCTTTTTCGTTTCTTTGTTTTTTCATAGATCGCTCATAATGGATGGAGTCACTGTGATGTCGACACTTTAGCTAAAACAAGATCACTCTTCTTTATTTCCAAGGATTCATTGCGCAATAAGGCTCATATTATTACGTACGACACAACCTCCGAAACACATTGAACCAATTGGATGGTTTACCAAGGATCCTCTATCAAGATCCACGAGATTGATTAATTGAAATCCTTCCAATAGAAAGTGTTGGATGGATGTTTATTTTTGTCGACAAAAATGTTACATTGATTTATTTTAATTTTAAAAAATAAATTAGGGTGTTTGGTTTGTTTAGTTTAGGCTCTGCAAGAGTTTGTTTTGTAACTCCAAACACAGTTTTCAATGGTACAATCAAATTCATTTTTAATTGATGAACAATGGACTAAACGTATGATGTTTACAGATAAAATTAATAAATATAATATTAATAATTAAAAAATTATACATACACTTTGAAAGTAAACATGAACTTGAAGCAGCTTCCCAAGAACAGCCACTTTCGATTTGACAAGAGTCAACATCAATCATTTTTTGGCAATGTTGGAGCTTGTAAATATGTTTGCATACTTTGCCATCCCAAAAGCAAGGTGGCTCCTCACCTGCACATGTGAGTGGGTTAACATACTTTGAACAATCTAGAGCATTTGTTGATGCTACAAATAATAATGCAAAAACTACAAGTAATACTGATAAGATAACTTTCATCTTTTTTTTTTTTATAGAAATAATAATAATAATAATCAATGAAAATAGAGTTCCGATTCTCAAAGCAATTGAGCAAACCCTAAAAAATAGCAAATATTAGTTGGTCGGGAAATGCGTGGACGCGGTTAAACCCGAAAAATCCCATGGCACTGAAAAGCCCGAATATATCATTGAGAAAAAGACAATCCCTGGTATTGAGCAGATGCGATCTGCTTGTTGTTCTCAACTTCTACCTTGATCAACTACGATAGTCTTGAAGAATGATCAAAGATGGTTTCACCTTTAGACAAATAGAAAAATGGTAAATCTCCACCTAACCCTAAATCCATGATGTTGAATATAACATAACCAATAGTATTAATCTTTTGATAATATACAGTCACATTGATTTAAAATTAGGGCAGTTAGAGTTTAGTTTAGGCACTGCAAGAGTTTTTTTTGTAACTCCAAACACAGTTTTCAATGGTACAATCAAATTCGTTTTTAATTGATGAACAATGGACTATTTTGATTAATTTTACAGACAGAGAGAAATGAATAAATATACAAATAATAATAATATAATATTATATCTAAACATACATTTTGCAAGTGTACATGAACTAGAGGCAGCTTCCCAAGCACAACCATTTCCTTTTTCACTTTGACAAGAGTCAACATCCACCATTTTTTGACAGTGTTGGAGCTTACGGTGAATTTGTAAGCACTTCTTTCCATTCCAGAAACAAGGTGGCTCATAGGCAGCACAAGTGAGTGGACTGTCCAACTTTGCACAATCGATAGCCAACGATGATGCTACAAATAATGCGAAAATAACAAGTAATACTGATAAGATAATCTTCATCTTTTTTTTTTTTTTAGGTAGGAAATAATGAAACTGTGGAGATCCCCGACTTATAATCAATGAAACTGTTGAGATCCCCGTTGAAAATAAAAAATAATTAAAATATATTTGGTCTTTTGACCTAAGATTTTTTGCGTGGGTTCGAAAATCCTGTGGTATCGAGCCCTCCGAAATAGTATCCCTGGTTGAACCAATGTTGATGGTGTCAGCTGATTGATATTCTTTTCAAAAAGTGTCAAGATCTTCTTTATTTCCTTGAAGTGAGATAGGTTGGCACACCTCCGAGACACATTGAAGATTGGACCTATGATGAAGATGGTGATGGAGTTATTCCACAGTTTTAAGGTTATTATTTCTTCTTGCACCACCTCTTCCTCTATGGTTGCCACCTCCACCTCTGTAGTTATTTGAATGAGGTGGTCTACTACTATTTTGTTGTTGAGGTTGTTGGGGTTGTTGTACTATTGGCTGTTGAGGTTGTGGTTGTACTATTGGTTGTTGTGGTTGTACTAGGGATTGTTGTTTTTGTTGATTTTCTAAATACTTGTTGACAGTTCCTTGTTGTTGGGAGAATTGATTCGAAAAGGATGGATATTGTTTTTGATTATTTACTATTGGATTATTTCCTTGGAATAATTGTTGATAATGATTTTGTTTTTGAATTTGATTTTGATAATGACCATTATTATTATTATAGTTATTATAATTATTATTGTTAAAATTATTATTATTATTGTTATAATTATTATTATTATTGTTATAATTGTTGCTGTTATAGTTATTATAATTATTATTATTATAGTTATTATTATTATTATTATTATTATTATTATTATTATTATATCTATTATTATTATTATTATAATTTTGATTTTGATTATGATGTCTTGGTTTTGAATTATATGGATGATATCTTGGTTCCGAATGTTTACTTAAAAGTTTAGAGTCTGATGATAAATCATATAAATCGACGTCTAGACTTTCTGCCATTGATCTATTATCTCTTGATCTTGTTAATACTACACTTGGACTAAAGTTTAATTGCTCTAGTTGTTGGGGTGTGAGTTGTGCCTTTTCAGTTTCGATTGTATCATTGATATGTTTTAATAGAGTATGAACCGAGTCATCATTGAACCAAATCTGTTTGTTTTTATAATCAAAATGTGGAATTGAATCATACAATGAATGGAATATTGTTGGTACTGTATGTTTTGTCTAAAAAAAGAAAAAAAGATTAATTAACTATATTCTACATGTTCTATTTTTTTTTACATACCAAAGAATTTGATAAAGCAACACAAAATTGTAAAGGTGGTAAAGGATTATGATTAGTTAGATCAGTTTGAGGTTGAACTGATTTATCCTTGATACACTTGAGGTCGAGGATGGTAGGAGCTCGACGAAGTGAATAGTAGCAACTGTAGTTTTGTGATTCTGTCTTGAGGTAGTGAAGATTCCAAGTAACCACTTCAAAGTACTTTAGTAGTGCTTGTACATTCTTTTCTTCATTGTTGCTGTAACGTTGTTCGGTGACCGACGCAGTAGGATCGACACATAAAACATTTTCGATACGGTTCTTGTGAATCTCTGGTATTTGTTTGAGATACTTTTTCCAAAAGTCGTGGCCAATGTCAAGGAATGGTGCAACGAGGTTGGTTTTAGATTCTCTCTGGTTGGATGTTGTCGATGTATATTCCTTGCCATCAAATGTCATTTGAATGGTTGTTTTCTCTGGAGTGTTACAAGTGACTGTAAAGACGGGGAGTTCCAAACTCTTGATACACGATCGTATCATTGAGACGGCAGTATTGAATTTAGAGACTGGACTCTCAGTCTTTGGTGCAAATGTACGCATATGATCACCGACAATACTTTGCATAAACTTCCAATTGTAAGAATTCTTTTGGCCATCATAGAGTTTTTGATTAGACTTGTCTCTACAATATTGTTTCCAAGCAGTTGCAAATATAAATCCTCCAAACTTTGGCAAATAATCTGAACCACTACACAAACACAACATGACAAAATCCAATACTACTTGTTCTGGATCCTTTGTTGGACATGTTTTTGCAATTTCAGCTCTTAATTCAAAACTATCAATATATGTATATCTTCCTTTTTCATGATTAACAAGTAATGTTCTAACTTGTGATAATAATGCTTCAAAAATAAAATATAAATAGTAAATTAATTATTTGTTCTACTACTCTATATGTTTGATATCGTACCATATAAAACCAAATCAGAATCTGATGAAAATACTACAACTGTTTGATTTGGATTAGTTTTATCCAAATGATGATTAATATGATGATAAATTTTCCATTCTCCTTCACCTTTTGTATTTGCTGGTGAAATAACAATTGATCTCTTTAAAAATTATATAAAAGGTAAGTAAAAAGTAATGAGTACTCATTATTAAAGAGAGAATATATATATTGTATGACATACCGGATGAAAACTCTTTTTAATTGATTCTTTTGAGAAATCCATTAATTCTTGTTTTAATTGTTCCATAACCGATGAACCTGGAGTCAACATGACTGATTCAAAGTCATCTTCTGCCAATATTTTAAGAGGAATTGAAATGGATGGTGGAGTTGTCGACGTAGTAGTTGTAGTAGTAGTGGTTGATGATGTTGCAGCTCCTCCTCTTCCTTCATAATCATTATTTTGATAAACTATCTTTTCATCATCTGATGACGATGATAATGCATCCGTATCAGCCTTGTCTGGCATAATAGCATCTTCATCTAAATATAAATCATCTTCATCATCTTCATCATCAAAATCTTCCAATTCTTCATCGAGCTCATCTTGATCTTCTCCTCCTCCCTTTTGATGATCAGTATCTTCATCGTCTCCGTCTTCATCATCACTTGCTACATATTCATGATTACTTCTAACAGTTTTAAGTGCAGACTACAGATAGATAGAGGAATAATATTTTGTTAATTTGATTCATAGATGTGTTGTGTCTAGTATCTAAACTGTCTACATACATCCCATCTTCTCTTTCTCTGTTCTAGTAGTTTAGAATGTGGACCTGGTCCATCGATTGCATAAAATATAGTATCGGTCGTTTTAAAAAACACTAAATGTCTTCTAAGTGCAGCATGTAACTTTTTAAAGAATACTTTTTTTTAAATGGTAGGTAGTAGACAAGGTAAGTAACCTAATCTTTCATATCATATGATTGACATCATGTGAATAGAGCATATCATATCATTCATATCTTTGTCTTGAGCATACATTTTTTAGATTTACACTTTCTTGAACAAACATGTAATATATTGTTTAAATCAAAGTATAAATGAGTAGCTCTAAGTGGTTGTTGTGACTGTTGTTGTTGTGGTTGTTGACCTCCACCACCACCTCCTCTAAAGTTATTATCATTATTATTATTCCATTCACGTGTAACCTTGAACTCTTTTCGTATAAAAGTATTCAAACCATCTATACCCATGATTTCTATATATCTCTATCTTTCTATCTTTAAAATTAATAATAAACCGTAAAAAAGTGTAATTCCGGTAATTCAAGTTGCCCTCCCATATTTTTTTTTTAAATTCTTTTCTTTATTTATTTTTTAAAATTATATAACTTTTAAAATCGAACCTCTCCTATCCTATCCCAACTATACATCTCTCTCCCTCTCTCTCTCTCTCTATGATACACAACGAATTTTATTCATTGTAGAGAATCTTAAAATAATAGAAAATAGAAAATAGAAAATAGAAAAGAAAAGATTAGGATATTATGATTATTATAAAATTTTTAAAGCAATCCAGATATTTTGGTGGATCACTCAAAATAACTTAATCACCCCGATGAATCCTTATGAATAGAGTGAGAGATCCGCGCTATTCGTAACTACTTCCGAGTGAGTGAGAGAGAGAGGTCGCGAGAGAGAGATGATGTTGTTATTTTTCTTATTCCTCTTTCTTTTTAATCACCTAGCAAACAAACAAACAGATAATTAAAAATGTATAACTATTTAGTATTGGCAACTATGATGGTTATCATGATGATGACATTATCAGTTACAGAAGGACAATTATATTTATCAATATCATCACAAGGAGTTGAAGAGTTTATTCTACCAGACTATTGTTTTGGTATGGAGAAATGGGTTGTTAGAAATAATGTGGCAGAGAAGAGAGTCTATGACTTTAGTGACTGTGATGTCTACTTGCACTCTGACAATTACAAGATTGGTCAAGACTATAATGGTACAACTTACTCGGTGGCCAATATAGACAATGTAGTGTTCCCATCGAATAGTTTCTGGTGGGTCAATTATGACAATACATGGGGCAAGTGTAACCAGACCATTCTCACAACTGGATACTATTCAACTGGCAAATGCGTAGTCTTTGACGTTCAAAAGCCCCAACAAGGTTACGGTATCTACTCTTGCAGCAAGAACAAAGATAATGCAGAGGCTGAACAATACGGTAGCGACTCTACATGCAGCTCCTCACCAACTGGTGGTAAGAACTTCCCATACGCTTCTTATTGTGGTGCAAGATATATCAATCAAAGACAAGGTTGTGATAGTCCAGGTAAAAATGGTCCCTACATTGATGATGGATCAAGTAGTGATAATAATAGCAGTAGCAATGATGACCAATAATAATAATAAACAAATAAAGTATAAACTATTATTTATTTATTTATTAAAAAAAATAGAAATTAATAATAATAACAAACCTTCAAGGTGTGTGTCAATATTTTAGGGATTCATTATTTTTTTTTAAAATTTTTTAAAGATAGATAAAAGATACTTCTATGAATCATAGAGATAATCAGCTGATTAGTCAATTATTTAATAATGTTATTATTAGAAAAAGATTATTTTATTATGTACATGTTATCAACTCGTGGAATGAAGCATTACGTATGCATAGATTAAATTACAGGGGAAATGACTCTTACAACAAGTTACAATCGATTGATAGATGCAATTCAATCGAAGATGTACAATATTTTGTAGATCAGGATGAATTTGTATTATTCAAGTGGAAGGAGATTAAAGATAGTGTTATCAATCTATGTCGGTTTGGGTATCTTGATAGATTAAAACTGGTACTTGAACAACAACAGTCATCTGACGAGTCAACACTAGATCAATATAAATGGTATGAAGATGACCAAGATCTAGAAGAAGTTGCAGAGAAGAAGAAGAAACCATTCTCATCTTTCTTGGATAGAATGATTGCAGATGCTTGTTTTGGAGGTAAATTACATATCATTCAATATCTATATGAAACCTACAAACATCTTGGTGGAGAAGTGTTGGATCAAATTGAAAGGTCATCAATCGCATATTCTCGTTTGGACATATTCAAATATGCAATTGAATTGGGTTTGGAGACTGGTGGTAGTAGTATTGGTACTACTACTGACAAAGACACCAGAGTAGAAAGAACTAAAAATATAATGATGTCACAAGTTTATGTAAAGATGGGTGACACTCGATTTACAGATAGTGTCATTCGATATCTTGTAGAAATTGACCTGCAAAAGAATAATGGAGAGATTGGTAGTGGTGATGGACATTATTTACTAGACTATGATATAATATCAAAGAATTTTGGTGTGTTGGGAGCTGGTGTAATACAATTCCTATTCGAAAATGGATTCAAAAAGTTTGTTAAAGGAAGTAATGGTTTAAAGGATATGTCACAAACCAATAATATTGGACTGTACAGATACCTAAAGAGTATCAATTATGCTCCACTTGGACGATACGTACAGGTTGAAATGATGGTTGATGCAATGGGTAGTTGTCCAATCGATATTATTCAAGAAGCGCCACCATACAAAGATAAAAATTATCGTAATGACAATGAATTGAATCATTTTGCATCTCGTGGACACTATGAATTGGTCAGATACGTGTTTCTCGAACTAAAATGTAAACGTACCTATGCCAAGGTATTCGACAATGGTGGCGTTGGTAAATACCCAGACATCTTTTTCTTTCTACTAGAGCAGTACAGGTTGGATACTGACCCCAACAAAGAATCGATTACATTCACCAAAGCATTACTCGATGCCATTAAATTTGGACAACTCGAAATTATACAAACCATTGAAAAGGAGGATCCAGTTTGTTTTAAAGAGATTGCACTAGTTGGAGAGAATATATCAAAATGTATTTTAAATAGAAATTATAAACCCAATCAAAGATCAATCAACAATAACATTTCAACATACAATCAAACATTTTTCTATTTAATTGAAAAAAGAGATAAATTAAATAACAATCAAGACGAAGACAACAACAAAACAAATGATAAACAATTATTGGATATTTTATTAAAAAAGGCAGTTAGAAGAGATAATATACATTTGGTTGAATGGGTTTTGGAAAGATCTAAAACACTAGAGATTCAACTTGAAAAGATTCCACTTGAAAAAGCAAAACTTACAAGTTTGGAGATGATCGAGTTGATATACAACACATTTTACCTCGATCAAACAATCGAACCATTCAGATTGTATACAACTGATTTGGAAAGACTACAAAAATTGTTGGTCATCATGAAAGTGGAACCAATCGACTATTACACCAAATGGGTGACGCTCCAAGCTCATCTTCAAAATCAAATAGAAGCATGTAGCTATGACATGGTAGAATTCATATTCAATTTGATTCAACAACATAATCAAACTTGGAATCCTAACCCAGAAGGTTTCGACTTTCAAAAAACATCTTACTTTCACTCTGACTTTTTGAAATTGGTTATACTTCTTTGTAATCTTGGTTATCAAAAATATTTTAAAGAGTAAGAGGAACATTTTCATGATGCATTATTCATAACCAATCAATATTTATTTTTGTTTATTTAATTTTTAGATATTTATTTGAAGATTTTGCAGGTCACAAGTATTCTGGATTGAGACAAACACATCATTATATAGAATCATTTATTTATTTATACAAATTACAAATGAATGGAGAAATTGAGGATAAAAAATTCAATGTAACAGAAATATATCAAATTGCAAAGAAACAAAAGAATAATGGTATTGCGAGATTCCTATATTTTAATTCAAATGAAAAAGTACTTGCTCCAAATGATCCAATACCATTTAAATAAATATCATACCTTGTATTTATTGTAGTTGTAGAAAATGAAATTGAAACCCATTCAATGAATATCAACAATCAAACACTACCGACTATAGTTGCACAAGTATTGTGTTGAGCATTGTAAAACCATCATCCATGGTCGTGATAATTTTAATCATAACTGTTTTCCAATTCTTGGTTTTGATTTTGATCTTCATCATCTTCTTCATCCTCATCATCATTTTCATCGTCGGAAAGATAATTGTCACCAAAGGTATCTCTATCACTATAAAAGTCAGCGCCAACAAAACTCGATTTCAACTGAATTTGATGACGACGTCGACTATCCCAATAGAAATATACATAAATGCTCTCTCGTTCTTGATGCCACGAGCCCTGTAGATTGTTGATTGGTTTCCATTTCTGAGTGATAATGCCACCTTGAAGTGACGACTTTGTTTCCAATACCAATACATTGTTATTTTCAGAGTCCAATCTATGAATTGATAATTGATAGGATACAAGGGACATGACACAATCGATATTTAAAAATCTAACATTGGTGTGGTTGATAACTTCTCCCAAATTAAAGGCTGTTGAGCTATAAGGATCACCGTTGTATAGGTTGCAAGTGAGATGGGTAGTATTGGGTGGCAGCCATTGTGATTGGTCAGAGTTGGCTATGATTGAGCTGATTGAAAAGATTGGATAAATTTCTGACCCGACAGAGTACAATGATACCGATAGATATTTGGTGATTGGTGGTACATCGATCTTAAAGACCTCTTGGGCATCGGGTAGTTTGAGTGTTTCAAGATTTGGTGGATAAGAGGAGGAGGAGTAGGGAAACTCTTCACTTTTATCCATCGATTCTAAATCTGTATTGTCATACCAAACCAGTTTTTTCAAATTTTGAGGAAGTAAGAGCTGTGGAGTACCTTTGGTGGATCCCTGTTTTAGTTTGATGAGTGAGTCTGGAAGTTGGACAATCTCAGCTCCGCCCACGATGGATAGATGGGTGAGTGATGGTGGAAATACAACTTGTCCAAGTATATTTTCAGAGGTATATTTTTTAATGGTAAGCTTTTCGAGAGCTATGCTTGATGGGATGACATTGGCTTGTATGATTTCGTTGCAACCGAAAATAAATAGTTTCTTGAGGGATGTACACGACTGTAAACTGATTATTTCTTTGATAAATAACGATTGTTCCACATATAATTTCTCCAATTGTGGCATGACACATCTGGATGGGATTTCGACCCATTGATTCTGCAAGTAAAGAATCTTGAGTGAAGGAGGGACACTAGTCGAGATGGTGATGTTCTCGTACCTTGTAAGAAATATTGCAGTATTGCCTCTTATCTTGAGTGTCTGTAGGTTGGTTAGACTCTCTAGATCGATAAATAGTTGTTCTTGGTCCAGATTTATTAGTGGCTCATGAGTTATTTTTTCTTTCATGTGGATCTCGAGGTAGACTAGCGACGTCAATGAAAGGAATGTGTCTCGTGGAGGTATCTCTGTAAGCCTCAGAGTGAGTGATGTCAGACTGCTTGGAAATAGACCTGGTTCGATCCCAATACTAGTAAAATAACTGTTTAATTTCAGCTTTGTCAACGATACGAATTTGGTGAGACCCAAGTCGGCTAGTAGGGGTGGTTGTCCATAGGTTGGTCCAGCGAGTTCAAGACACTTGAGTGTTGGGTGAGGACCGAGCTTTATTTCGTTTAAACGCAAGGAAAGACGTTTGAGACAAAGTAGCTGTGAGATAGCATCAAGATCAATGACTCTCGGATCATAGGGGTTGCCTGATTGATCAATAAAAAGTGTCTCGACCGATGGGATGTCATAGAGTGGCTGTAGTGGTAGTGACGGTAGGCAATCATTCACCAATACTGTTGTAATACCACTTTTATCAGCTCTCTCTGTGGCATAGATGCGTTGTCGTACCCATTGAGGAAGGTGGTTATTTTGATAATGACTATGATCGACCTGATGATCAGATATACTATTCTCCAAGATATCTTTAAATGAGTTGATGTTGAAATGAAAAGCCGTTGCTATAAACTTGTCTGATTTGCCACCATTATCAGTAATAAACTCTATTCCCTTGAACTTTACCAATCTTCTTAAACCGATACTATTATGATACAACTGTTTACATGTTAACAACAAACACACCACATCTCCATTACTGTCAATAGATGATATAATTTGTAATAGTAATAGATTAGATAACTTTAATAGATGAAGACTAGTCATATAAATAAATAAATAAATAAATAATTAAATAAATATGTGATGGGGGGAATAAAAATAAATAATGAACAAGAACCAAGAGAAAGAGAGAGGGTACATGATTTATAATCTTGATCTGCAAACTCAGGCTAGCTATAAGCTTTGTACAAGTTAACAAATAAATAAATAAGTATAATAAAATATTTAATAAAAATATGAAATTGAAATTCATGAAATTGAAGAACCCCTTCAAAGCTTGTTCTATACTTTATATTACTTTCTATCTATCTTTTTTTTTATTATTTACAACGACAACAACAAACAAACAAATGAAACTTACAAAAGAACAATTAAAACAATATAAAGAGGATGGATTCTTGATTATACCAGACTTTGTACCTCACAATGAAATAGATCAAATAGTTACAGAGATGAAAAGGTTGGTAGATAATGTTGATTTACCTGATACAATACAATCAATATTCACTACAAATGAACAAGAGGTATGATAATGATAATAATAATAATAATAGTGATGATGATTTATATTTATTGTTTGTTTGATTGATATTTAGAGAAAAACAAATGATTACTTTATGAATTCAGCAGGTACAATTAGTTTCTTTTTTGAATCAGATGCAATCAAGAATGGAGAGTTGGTAGTAGATAGAGATGTAGCATTCAACAAGGTTGGACATGCATTGCACGACTTGAATCCAGTGTTTGAAAAGTTTAGTTATCATCCAAGAATCAAAGAGTTGGTCTATTCACTAGAGATCTTTAACAAGGCACTTAGTGTCCAATCAATGTACATATTCAAGAACAAAACAACTGGTGGGGAGGTTGGTATTCACCAAGACTCTACCTTTCTACATACCACTCCTCTTACTACACATGCCCTGTGGTTTGCATTGGAAGATGCCACCATTGAGAATGGATGTTTGCGAGGTCTAGAAGGATCACACAAACATGGTATCAAGAGAAGATTCGTTAGAAAGGAAAAGGGTAGTAATGAAATGACATTTGTAGGCGAGGATGACAAATACAAAAAGGAGGACTTTGCAGCACTAGAATGTAAAAAGGGATCGGTTATCTTGCTAGATGGAAGTGTTGTACATTATTCTGAACCAAACAAATCTGCCAAATCAAGACATGCCTATACTCTTCATTTTATTGAAGGTGATGGTTCAGCCGTTTATGAACAAGAAAATTGGTTACAACGTTCATCATCTCAACAACCATTTAGAGAATTATAAATAGAAAAAGTCAAGAGAAAAAGAATAAATCGCTCTAACTCTATTTCTTTTTATTAATCTATAGTAGTTGGACAAAAACTAAATAATTCCTTTACAAAGAGAACTCTACAATCACATGGATTGGGAGTATCACAATATAATTTTGAAGGAAGTGTTTTGAGGACATAGATAATTAAAATACACATTTGTATATAATTTAAAATCTCCCAAATAATATACATGACTCTGTTCTCTCTGTAAACTTTAGCAATCGGCATCTTTTGTGCCATTTCACCAATTAAACAAACTACATCTACTACAACATCAATTGCTAATTGTATTGCTGCTGATTCTATCAACTAAAAGTAGAAATAGAAATAGAAATAGAATATTAATATTGGTATTAATTATTATTAATGATTTGTTAATAATTACAAGATTTAAATTTGGAGGAGTTTCAGTAAAAGAAAAATTAAATACAGTTCTATGTTTCCAAAAGAAATGGAAAAAGAAAGGGATAGTCACGATCGATGCCTTTTCAACAATCATTGCATTGATGACACATTGAGCATTGAACTTTTTTTCTGTTTCATCTTCTGGTGCCAGTTCTAATTTGATAAATTTGGCTGCTAAATATCGAATGACATCATATTGTAGATTGGCAGTTACACGAAGAGCAATTTCTGTCAATCCAGTAATAACAGATGTTGAAAGAGTGGCAGCCTCTGAACCAGCCGTTGCAATTAAGAAACGACCAAATAGAGATCCCTCCAATACAACACCAAATGTGATACCAGCTGCCAAATGTGGATACTTGGCATTTACATATTGCTTACAAAAAAACTTTGTAACAAATAGATTGACCAGCGATAATACTGGATGTACCACCAATCTAATCACCGATCTTGTAATGGCAGAATCTAGTAATCGATAATATGGAAATATAACAAATGAATATAATGCTATTATAACTATATGTACTGCTAATGGTATTGAAAATATTCTTTGTAGTTTCTAATAAAAAATAATCAAATCAAATATTAATCATTATTTCAAAAAAGATTAAGTCATTTAACTCATACCTTGAAATTTAATTTCTTTCCAATCACTCGACTAGAAATAAAGAATATAATACCAACCGCAACATAAAATATTACATCCTACAAGATAAATAGAAATGATTATGGTTAGGTTGGATTTTGAATAATAATAATAATAATAATTTGTGTTTTTTTTTTGTAACATACAAGACCATAATACCAAGGATAAACATCAAATGCAACAAATATAAAGAACCAAGATGATAATAGTAACCCTGGGATGACAGTTATATAAAGGAGTGATCTGGTTACATTGAATCCATAAAGTAGTGTAAAAAAACCATATCCAATAAGTATTACCACAGTTGAAACTGCCAAAAAGAATATAGATGCCGCTGGAAATGGGTTATAATAGAGTGATGGATCTTTAATCAATTGTTGTGTATCGGTATTGGTGAATGGTATATATGATATTGCAATCGATGCAGCAATACCAAACAAAGAGATTAGAATCATCTCTATAAAAGAGAATAATTGTACCATGCCAACATCCTTGTACAATGACTTTTCTCTCAATACATTCTTGATTGATGTTATTGAAAACTCTGTCTCCCATTTAGCAACAACTTGTTTCTTTTCTTTTTTCTTTTCTATTGATTCTTTTATTTCATTGTTTGTTGTAATTGGTGATAGTTCTAAATCCCCATTATGATTATTGTTGTTATTATTATTATTATTATTTGCTCCATCATCGTTTATTATTATTTGTTCCATCATTGCAATTCGTCATTACTCGATAGAGTTTCTATCTATCTATTCTTATCTTATCTAGTTTAAACTATCTCTTATACAATTAAGACTCAAAGACGCATGTGGATCCTTCATCATTATTTATTTTTAAATTGATCAACGCGTGATCACAAAAAATATCGGCTCCACCTCCTCATCCACACCGCTTCATCGAATTTGTGAAATTGCAACAACAAAAGTTCGATCTTTTGCAATGAATCTTTGTTGACGAGTAAATTATTATCTTTATTCGTGTAGGAATGCGACAACAGGATAATGATGGACACAGTCCATGGACTCTGTTGAATATATGTCGTCACTCTTCTTTTTAGATTTCAATGGAAGGTACCAGGGGTGATGCAAAGATATTTTAAAAGATTTTACAAATAATCATTTTACTTTTTATTTTGTTTTTTAATTATTATTTTAAAATAATTCTTCTTATCTACCAGCAGTATAGTTTTGACTTATTACTGAAGAGATATAGAATACAAGAGATACTTCTAAAATGACATGAACAACTGAACCAAGTAAAATACAAGTTAGACCAATTTTTCTAGCCTTTTTTGATATTGATCTAAGACCTATTGGACCAGCAAACCAAATGGGATAGAATAGGAAACCAAGACAGATAACAAGTTTCATCATAAACTCATCATGTTTTACTTGTTTCTCCATTTTAGTATCAAATTCTAATTTCTCTGTTACTCCCCATTCCTTTCCAGGTTTTACTTGAAATAATGGTTGTTTGATTGGTATTGGTTTAGCAATATTATTGTTGTTATTATTGTTATTAATATTGTTGGTATTATCATTATTTCTATAAATATTTGGTGCTTGAACATTTGGAGTTATATCAATTGATATACTACTATCATAACTTTTATTTAATACTCCTGATCTATTGATTTTATCTTCTACTCCCATTTCTTTTCTTTTTTTTTTTTTTTACAAATATTTATTGTTATCTGGAAAATTATAAATATTAACAAAATGATTTTGTAAATATAAATAGGTATTTATGAATGTTTATAACAACAAGATGAAAAGTCGATTAATAATAATATATTAATAATATTTTAATATTCATTGTCCTCAGAGAGTGTCAGTATCCCTCACTCCCTTTCGAATTATTACTATCTTCTAACATGCAAGTTCAACAATTTCAACTTCACAAACACAAAGTTCTATTCTTTTTCCAAGCCCCAGCACCTAAGATATAAATGTATATAAATATGTATATATATGTATATATTTGACAAGATAAAGTTGTGAAACAGTCAGTCGGGGACAAACTGTGTTGAATGACTTCACAACCCCACCACACCCACCCCACCCCACCCCTGGAAAATCGACTTATTCTTTTGTTTTAATAATTTTCCAACCGGTGTATTTTAATTGTTTGTTTATCATAATTATATTTAATTTATCGTTATAATAAATAAATGTGAATCTATTAAATAAATAATTAAATAATTAATTATCTCTTTCTTCTTTGTTGTAAAAATAAAATAAAATGAAAAGAATGGGACCCACCTCTAAATTTTTTGGTGTGACAGATTTTAAATTAGTTCCCTCCAAAATTTCAAAAAAATGAACCGTTGTATTTTTACACTCTTCCAAGCTTGATTCATTGTTCAAGTGGCAGTATAAAGAAAGAGACTCTGTATATGTTTGAAATAATATTACTAGTAATCCATATCATAGCAATTATTATCATTATACTCAAGTTTTAATCACAACCATTTCTGCGCCAGCGAGATTGGAGAGTAAAGAAAGAAAGAAAGAAAGAAAGAGAGAAAAGGGAAGGAGAGAATGATAGAAGCACAACAACAAAACAAACATCAAGATCAATTAGATCAATTCTCTGCCGTCTTTCAAGAGAGAACAAATGAATCGATACGACAATTGGATCAATTCTACAACGACAACTTGCAATGGATTAGTGATGCCAAACGGTTTATGACTCAGTCATTGACATCAAAACATAATAATGCTAAAGAGTATGTGTATATTTATTTATATGCTTGAAGTGACAAAGATCAATTACTAATATATTAACACTAGCCATAGTGACTTTACATTACCAATCTTATCAACATCGTCATCATCATTACATCAACAACAACAACATATTAGATATCCACTTCAACCATTGAATAATAATAACCAACATAATATTAATAACAACTATAATAATATCATTAATAATAATAATAATAATGGATCAACATTACTTTACACTTGTACATTATTTAATTCATCAAAATTGTCAATGGTTATGAATGACCCTATTCAAACAAAGTATAATCAATTGGCTAATGATACAGATGAATATAATCAAAAGATTAAACAACAAATAATCCATCAACATCAACAACAACAACAATCAACCATTATTCAACCATCTGCTGCTACTGCCACAGCTACAGTTGCACTTCCAAAGATTCCATTAAAAAAGATCAATAGTAGTAATAATCTTTTACCAATCTTGACATCAAATACCAATACAGCTGCAATCAATATTATTACTCCAGTTGCCAAACCAACAACAACAAATAACAACAACAAACCAACAACCAATGCAATGGAAATTGATGAAAATACAGTTCCATCTGCTATCCCAACTCCAAAACCAACTACAACCACTACCACCGCCAAACCAACACTTGAAAAGAAATTAACTAAACAAAGGTTGGTACAAGAAGAAATGTCAATGAATATGGTCGATTGCACAAACATTGCCGACAATATGGACCTTTCTAAACTATTAGATGATAGTATTATTGTTGTTGAAGAGAAACCAAAGGAGAAACCACCTGTTCCATCAACAAACAAGGCTGCAAAGAAGGGTGCTGCTGCTGTTGTCCCCACAGTCACAGGCAAAAGAAAGGAAAAAGAGACACAACAAGATGAACCATTGGTAGAAGACCAACAACCAAAGAAAAAGGCTAGTTTGGAAAAGGAAAAAGAAAAGGAAAAGGATAAACCAACCACCACCAGCGTTGCTAATGCCAATGCCAATACCAAGAATGAAACAAATTCAAAAGTTCCACCAGTTGTTTCAAATATTGCCAAAGAAGTTGCAACCAAAAAGAAATTAAATAATTTAAATAATAATAATTTGACCAATATAATGAAGGAATTGGCAACTCAATCCTCTACTACTACTACTACTGCTCCAACTACAACAACTACTACCAAGACAACTGCCAACAACACTGCTACCAATAACACTGCCTCCAATGCTATTGCCAATAATAATACAAAGGCTAAAAAAGCAGAAGATAAAAGACAAGAATTGGAAAAAAAGAGACAAGAAGAAGAAGAGGAAAAGATGAAAAAGAAGGCAGAGGAAGCCAACAAAAGAGAATTGGAACTTCAAGCGCAACGTGAACAAGAAGCAAAGGAAAAGAGAAAAAAGATGGAGGAGAGACAGAAAAAGGTCGAGGAAAACATGCAATTGCAACGTGAAGAAGAGGAAAAACGTCGTCGTGAAGCAGAAGACCGTGAAACACAAAGAAAGGCAAAGGAGGAACAAGACCGTCGTCGTCGTGAAGAAGAGGATGACGCTAAACGTAAAATTGCAGAGATGGGAAGAGCCGAAGAGAGAAAACGAAAGGAAAGAGAGGAATTGGAACAAAAACAATTACTACTTCAACGTACTCTCCAAAATATTAAAACTCCAACAAAAGATACCAACTCTAATAACTCTGCCAAGACTACTACTGCTGCTGCTGCTCAAAAGAACAACAACAATGCTGTCACTCAAAAGACTCCAGTCAATGGTGCCAAAAATATACCCACCGCTGCCGCTGCCCTCCAAACTACTCCCATTTCATCATCATCATCATCTGCAGGTAGTAGCACTGGTAGTACACCCATTCAACCAGGCAATTATTTACAAAGTCTACTTGGTTTGGTATTTGGTAGTAATTCCAAAGCACCATCTGCAATTCAAGAAGCTCAAAGAAAATCTCAAAATCAAGATGAAGATGAAGATGTTGAATTTGAAGAAGAGGAAGAAGAAGAATATGAAGAAGAGGAAGAGGATGAAGAGGAATATGAAGAGGAAGAAGAAGAAGAAGAAGAAGAAGAATATGAAGAAAGTGAATATGTAGATGATGATGAAGAATATTCAACACCAAACAAGAGTATAATGAATACTACTTTACAAAAGAATAATAATAATAATAATAATAATGTCAAGAGTGGTGGTAACAACAACAATCGATCACTTCTATTTAGTGCAGCTATTACACCAAAAGCAGTTGCCAAAAACAACGAACCAGAATCACCAATCATGACTCCACTTTCACCAGTTAGACCATTAATGTCGGAAATGTCAATGAATCAATACACTCCACCATCTCCATTGACCAGTCCCAACTTGTCGACGGCATCGGTATCCATGACGTCTCCATCATCCATTTCAGAGATTCGTGAAGACTCTATCATGTCTACACCAAACAGTGGAAACCGTAACGCCAGTAACAGTAGCTCAAATGGCACCAATGACAGCGTCTCCAAGCCATACTTGAATGCCAACAAGTCATATGGAGGCTTATCATCATCTGATTTGACCAGTCCTCGTCCCACCGATGATCTTGCATCTGCATTATCTCCACACTTGTCCAGACGTACACCAGCCAAGGGGTCTCCAAACACTAGTCGTCTTGAACGTAGTAACAGCAACATTAATCTATCATCAAACAATCTTCACAATATTTTACTCAGCCACCATCATCAACAACAACAACAGAAACCAACTAACAATGTACAGCTTTATTCCCCACAACACTCCTCCACTTCTTTGCAACCATCGTTTGATGGATCTATGGAGGGCAGACAATACCCAGTCTTGGATGAACCCGATGACATCGATGAAGACTATAACGAATTTGACATTTCCATTGAAATTGACCCAGACAAGGTTCCAAAATGGGCTGCCTCCACCAAGCTAAAGGATAAATTAAAGAAACAATCCAAAATGGATCCAGATTTAATTTTCCCAAAAGTTAAAAAGGTTAAATTATCAGGTTTGTATCAAATATATATATAAGAAATTAAAAAAGAATTTTTCTAATATATATTATTATTTTTTGGTTTATTTTATTTAGATATTTTCCCACAAAACCATAATGTAGCGGTTAGAGAAATCATTGATCAACATCAATATCATTCAGCTCAAGGACATTTTAAAAATAATAATGCATCTCTTGATTGGTCAATCTATGGAGAAGAAGATGAAGAAAGTTATAGAAAGCGAATGGGTTATCATAAAATTTAAACAAAAAAAAGAAAAAGAGAAAATGAAAAAAATAATTAAAAAAGTTAATTCCTTTTTATTTTATTTTTTTGGGAAAGGAAGGACTCTTGTCTATGGGAATAAGTAAATGAATCATTTATATTTTTGGTGTTATGATTATAAGAAATTATAACAAATAAGATAAAATTAATAAAAAACTAAATTAAATTAAATTAAATTAAATTTTAAAAAAAATACATACCAATCAAATGTTGATGATAATTAACTAATTAAATTAAAATATCATTCATTTGTTTTAATTGATTTTCCAAATCTTTTTTAAAAGTTGGATGATTTTGTTGTTGTATCTTTTTTGGAATGATAATTGATTTTGATACTGGATTGTTATTAAATGTTTCTGGCCAAATCATTTTTAGGAAAGAGAATTTTTAAAAGATATGATTGATTGATTGATGATTGAATTGCTTTGAATTTTTAAATTAAAAGAAACTCTATATTTATAGTAACATTTAGTATCTTTTCAATCAATCATCTTACTAAATACAACTCTTCAATTCACTTACACTGTCGACATGGTGTGATCATTTATTCAAATTCAAACAAAAACGAGTTTACCATAAACGAATTTGTAATTTTAAAAAATCAGGTATTTGTAATCTGGATAAAATACAAAAAAAGTAAAAGATTTTAGTTCTGGAATGGTGCAATCTTTCAACAAGATTTAAATAGTTCTAAATTTGGTTAATCCATGAGATTTATCATTAAAAGGAGATTCAACTTCAAACAAATAATAATAAATAAAACACAACAAATACTAATAACTTAGGTGTTTTTGTTTTTTATGATGCAAATAAATATTATCCATCATAATATTGTACGACTTTATCTATTATTCCTCTGCATAATGGACAGAGTGTTAACTTTTGAGGGCATTCTATACATAAACATCTGTGGGCACATGGTAATAAAATGATACTGACTGGTCTCTCTGCGCATACAATACACATTGATGATTCTTTTTGTAACCTAATTGCTTCTTGTTGTGCCTATAGTAGAAAAAAAAAAAAGAATAAAGTGTAAGATTACTTGTACATTTGCATGATTCTTAATCTTTTGTTTTCTATTTTACATACTCTAATTTTAGTTGTTCTTTTTAATTGTTCTTGATGATAATGTTCAATTTTATCCAAATCAGAATCTGATAAGCTAGTTAATCCTTGACCCAATAGATGATCGATTTTAATGGTTTGATTGGAAAGACCGAAACGTAGACGTAAGTGGGAATTGAGTTCTTCCAAATCTCTTCCTTTTTGTTGTGATTCCTTGACGGTTGTAACCAATGATTGATTATCCTTTTTCATTTGTTCAATTTGTCTCTCCAACTCTTTGACACGTGAAGCACTTGTATGTTGATCATCAGCTCCATTACTACTTAGTTGTTGCATAATATTGTTGGTATGTATTTTCACTTGATTCACAGTGACTGCCTGTTGTTGAAGGTTTTGAATTTGCAAATCCTTTTCCTTGAGTGACAGTGATAGTTTGGTGATCATATCTTTGGATTTTACCTTTTCAGTTTGTTCTTTTTTGTAGGACAACTCCAATTTAGAGAGTGCCTTTTCCAACTCTTCGTATCTTGTTTGTTCCTCAATGATTGATTGGATGGCAGAGGTTTGTGCTTGCTTTGTCATTTGCAATTCATTTGATAGTATAGTCTTTTGTCTTTGCTCAGACACTAGCAAAGATCTTGCATGTGATAATTGTGATTCCAATTCAATTGAATTGTGAAGGTTTGGTAGAATTGGTGGTGGCGTTGAAATTGTACTAGTTGTAGAAATGGTCGAAAATACTCCATTTTCAGATGATGATGATGATGACGTTGATAATGGAGATGATGGACTTGATATATTATTATTATAATTATTAGTATTGGTGGTCGTTGTAGTTGAAGTAATATTATTAATATTATTATTATTATTATTATTATTATTATTATTATGATTATTATTAACATTATTATTATTATTTGATTGTATGTGAAGTTGTTGAGGTGATGGTAAATTTAAATTATTAACATTTGATTGTGATGAAGATGATAAAGATGATGATGAAGAAGATAATGATTGATTAAAATGACCAATTGGGAAAAGGAATTTTAAATCCAATTCACACATGTCACTATAAAGTCGACCACTTGAACAACCACCAAAAACAACCATCTCTCCTGAATCCATAAGGTTTGCAGAGTGAAAAAGACGTGGAAATAGAGGGATACCAGCAACATGAGGTTGCGTCCAATTCCAAGTTGTGAGATCCAATATATGTACATCGTTTAAAAAGGTAGTTTCGCTACATCCACCGTGGATGACAAGGTAGCGAGAGTTGACGACTACGGCGGTATGACCATGACGGGCAACCGGCGAGATGCCAGATGTCTGTACTTTGTTCCACTCCAAGACATCGGATGACGAGCAATTCAGAGTATGTACATCATTGAGTGATCGCTTGCCATCGAATCCACCAAACAAAACGAGTATGCCCGACTCTTTGGAAATGAGCGACATGGAGTGACCTGACCGCACCGACGGCGTGCTGCCACGGGTGGTTGGCTTGATCCAACGAATCGTGTCGTTTTGTAGCCGCGGAAATTCCAACGAATACAAACTATTTAGATATTTGTGTGAATGGAAGCCTGCAAACAATATCATTCTGTTGGAGGCTGTCTTGCCTGGTATCGCAGGCACAAATGTACATGTATGAGCTGCTCTTGAATCTGGTTGAACCTTGTCAAAGTGGAATGTACTCCATGACATGGTTGGCAACGAGAGACAAAAGAGATCATTCAATGACTTTTTGTTATTCTTGCCTCCAAATATCATAATCTTGGGTGTCTCTCCATCTTCTACCAGTGTTGCTGTGTGTCCATGACGTGCCGATGGTCCTTTGCCAAGTGTGTGAACTTCACTCCATATACTATTGGTGCAATCGTACACACAAAAAGTTGACATTAAAGACTCGCCCTGTCCTCCAAATACATATACCTTCTTTCCCAATGATACAGATGCATGTCCCCATCTTGCTTCAACTGTAAATTGTCCTCCTCCTGATTTTATTCCACTTGCAAATGATATTCTATTTGCTCTTATTACAGATTGACTTATTCTTTGTTCTAAAAAAAAAAAAAAGAAATATTAAATAGATAGATTAATAAAACTAAACCATTGATAATGAAGGAGAGAGATAGTAAAAAAGAAAACTTACCATCCATGATTTAATATAATTTGTTTGTTGATTGTGGTTGTGGTTTAGTTTTAGTTTGGTTGATTTAGACGACCAATGTGAAATTGTACTTTGGGTACTAAACCTGTCAACAAACACTCCTATATCCTCTTTCTCTCTCTCTCTTTGTTGTTGATGTTCTTTGTTTTTTGTTTGAATAAAACTAACTAAACTAGTGTTATTGTTGTTCTACTAATATCAAACTATTGTTGAAATGATTCTTATTATTATTATTATTATTATTGTTATTAAATGCAATATTCATTAATATAATATTATTATCCTATCTACTATAATAGTCTAGTAAAGAATTCTAGTATGTTTGTCTGTATGTTGAGTGTCTTGTATGTATGTATGTATCTCTGGTGAGAGAGGAGAGTAAGTATGTCAAAATGTGTAAATATAATAATAATAAAAGTGTTGTCTTGGTTAATGTGTGTGTGTGTGTGGAGTCGACGAGATGATATGAAATGATATGATATTTTATTATTATTATTATTATTATGATTATTGTGTGTTGCTTGGAGAGTTGTTTTTGTTTGTTTGTTGTTAGTTGGTTGCCACTCAAAAAAACAACAAATAACTAACAAAATTAATTTTTTTTAGTTTTTCAGACCTACGCTCTTTATTTCTTTTCAGTGTTTTCGACCACCACACTTTAATTCACAACGACAAAGGAATAATATTGGTAAAGGAGGTCACTATCATCATGCTTGCATCGAAACACAGCAAACCAAGAGATTTATAGTAGTAGTAGTAGTAGTGACTAGTAGACTTGTCAACCCCAACTCGTATGTCTCTGTCTCTGAATCATTCATTCATTCATTCGATTCGATTACACTATCAGATCAATGACACAGAATTGTGCAATGAACACAAGAAGTTGAAGAAGTAGTAGATAGAGCAGAGCAAGATAAAGGTGAAAGAGGAAAAGGGCAACTGAACGACGACGTAGAGTAGATTGTCAATCACATCGTTTAATATAATTCAAAGGTCTGATGATCATCACCATCACCATCACCTCTATTAATGTCAAGATTTAAAGAGTTGTGAATGTGTTTGTGTTACAACCTAATAACAATCAAAAAAGAAGTAAAAGTAAAAAAAGTAGGAAGATGAGATAATGACCTTTGTTTAAACAACAAGTAAAGTATGATAATTGTCACATGCCTCTTGTTGTTGTCTTTTGAAATTTGTTCTGCACTCATATTTGTAAAAGAGACTGATGAGATGTAATTACTCCTACTTTATTATTATTAATAATGATTAATTATTATCTGTATATGCATGAATTCGAGAAGAAGAGGGAATCGCCCTTTCGAATATCTCTAACCCTTCACTTTCTCGATGATAATAATCTTTTACAAAATATCACAAAATAAATTTTAATTAAATGCATTCATGAACATGCCTTCAGAAGCTATCAAAGTGCTTGAGAAGACAACTCTCGATACAAGCACGGACAGATTAAATTGGATTCCCCCGAAATCTATTTCCTATAAATATTGAACCATGGCAGTGGTTATTAAAATTAAATTACTTTACTAGTTATAACAAATAATTAAATTCTCTCTTTCTCTCTTTCTCTCTCTTTCTTTCTAAATCAACCAATCATATCTTATTAAAATGCCAAATGTATTAGTTTTAGGATCAGGACTCATCGGATTTGATGTTGCACTTGCATTTGTAGCCAAGGGTTACAAGGTTTATACTACAACTAGATCACAATCTAAAGCTGACCGTCTCAATCAATTAGAGAGTATGTATAAATTAAATTAATTAAAATTATAATACATTCAAATTGTATTTATTTATTTATTAATGTCTCTCTCTATTTATTATTTATTTATTACTTCTTTATAGTCCAACCAATCATTGTAAATACTATTCAAGAAACTGGTAAATGGGAATCAATTGCTAGAAAGGCCGATATTATTGTAGAGGCACTTGCTGATTACTCTGACCGTCAAACAGCACATATTGTAGCAGACCTACTCACCAAGATCAAGCAAAAGAGGGAATTGGCAGTTCACATTGTCTACACATCTGGCATTTGGATTTGGGGTGCCTCTCAAGTTGAACCAATCGAAGAGAGTACACCAATCCTTCAAAACACATTCACAAGAGGTAGACTTGACGTTCAAGATAAATACCTCAAGATTGGTGGATCGGTCATTCTCCCCTCATTGGTGTATGGTCGTGATGGTGGTCTCTCCAATGACTACTTTAAACAAGTGTTGGCTCAAAAGGGTGTTACATTCTTTGGCACCGAAGACACTTGGACTCCCTTTGTTCATGCATCTGACTTGGCCCAACTCTACGTACTTGTTGCTGAATCACCTCGACTCACCACCGGTCAAATTTATGTTGGTTCCGTTACCAATGAAAAGCGATCAGACATTATCAACGCCATAGCCAACAGTCTCGGTCTCCCCAAACCAGCCATCACCTATGTCCAAGGCTCAACCGACTATGAAAAGTGTCTTGGTCTCTCTCAAAAGTTCTCTAATCGTAAAGGCAAGCAACTCGGTTGGAACCCAGTACAACCATCAATCAGCGATGATCCCAAACGTTATCTCGATTCTTTCCAAGCTTTCTCTAAATCAAACTAAAACTACTAAATATATTATATTTATAAATTATCTAGATTGATTTATTCACACAAACAAAAGTTTGTTTAATATTGGTGGTGGGTTTGAAGTTCCCAAGATTTATTCAATATCTTTATATTTCTTTTTCTTTTTTGGGTAAAGGGTGTCGATCATCTCATCAACTTCAAAGTTTGTAGAGGGCAGATCCCAAGAGAGACCTAGGTTTTTGTAGCAACGCAAAGTCGGTCGGAGATTTTTATGTCTTTGCGTTAAACGTAAACGGCTATGAAAAATCTGACGAGAGTTGTTTTTTTTTCTTTTTACCGAAGTTTCTCTTTTGCTCCTCTTTTTTTGCAGCACTCAGCGAGGTCATCTTTGCTGCCTGTACCTTTGGTTGGGCCAGCCCACACACACCGATCAGAAAGGCACCTCCCCAAATTAATTTTAATATTTTTTTTAAATTTCTTTTGTGTGTGCTCAGTCGCTGGTGTCTGTTTCTCTCTCAGTGTGTCTCACAGGGCAGACATTTATTGATCTGAAGCTGGTTTCTTACCTTTTCTCATCATGTGATCACATACACTCTCTTACTTGTTTCAACAACAGCATACACAGTATAGGATATCTCTGTTTGGGTTCACAGTCAACTACTCTCTAGAAACTCAACCCCCCAGTACAGTTATCTATCTATATCTTTTTGAAAACAAAAGTAGATTCTTTTTTCCCCCAACTGTAAATATCACTCAACTCAAAATAATACCCCGTTTAAAGAACAACAACCAAACAGAGTTGACTTGATAACAACAACTCAACTCATTTTAAATAATGAATTAATATTAATCAATATTATTTTCCTTATTCTCTTCCTCAATCATTTATATAATAGTTTCATTGTGATCTAAAAACATCACTTGTAGAGTTTTATACCAAAAAAAAAAGAAAGACAAATTAAAGAAAGATTTTGATTCTATATTTATAAATATATACATATAAATCAAATCTTACTTTCTTTCTTTCTTTTTAATCATTTTTTTTTTCTTTCTTTCTTTCTTTCTTTTAAATTTCAATTTCAATTTCTTATTTATATAATTTATTTATTATTTATTTCCTTTCACAATGTTTAATTTAAAGATTTTTTAATTTTAATCATTTGTAATATTATTTTATTTACCATTGCTGCTGCTGTGTCAACTGAAAAGCTTGGATGTTTGGATGAAAATGGAAAACCAGTCGATTGGTGGGTCATGTCCAAACAACCATCTTTAAACACATCACCATCTGGAACAAGATTCAGATACGGTCTTGGATATGCCTATGCTGACGTTTCCAAGCAATCACTCGAGATTAGTAGCAATTGGTTAAACGAAACTACTGCCCTTTCCCACACTCTCAATCAAATTTACAAGCATTACCAACAAGATGGTGAGTCTGTATCGTCGTCCTCATCGGTTCCAGTCTGGCTCATGTATAATGATCAACCACCCATCTACAAACATTACTCTGCCGAAAACCAAGTCTATGAATTTGACTTTGAAGATCTTCCAGAAGATTTATTAGAGGAAATGTTTGGTAGTGTAAGCAGCGACTATGCACATTCAAAGGGTAGTTTGGCGTTTAATGATGATCATGGATTCTGGCTTATTCACTCGACCCCAAGATTCCCATGGGATGCCAAGTCGTACCCCTACCAGTACCCATCCAACGAAGTCAAGAATGGTCAGTCCTATCTATGTGTCTCTTACAATGCCGACCAGTTTGACAGTATCATCAAGATGCTCTATGTCAACCGTGCCTATGTCTACACGTACGATGTGCCAACCGAGACCAAGCTTCCCATGACCGAGCTCAAGAACTTATTGTCGGGTGGCTTTGAAGCGTCGCCTACTGCCACATCCAAGGTACTCACTTCTAGTGCCAAGACCGAGGTAACTGTCTTTGCCAAGAACAAACAGTGGTACAGCGACCTCTACGAAGACCTTCTCCAACCCACCATCCAACAAAACATGATTGTCACGACCTGGAGAATCGGTAGCAACAGCTCTGTCATGCCATCGTTCTGTCCACCACAGTACAAGTACGACTCGATCAACACCGTCCAACTCACCATCTCCGAGGGTACCGACAATGTCATGACGTGGAAGTACACCAAGGATCACAGCAAGTGGGCCATCTCTATGCCCGACGAACCAACTTTCTATGTATGCATCGGTGATATCAACAAGACCTACAGTCAATACAACCGTGGAGGAGGTACAGCTTGCATCGTCAGCAAAACTCTTTGGGAATCTTATTATGCAATGGTTGCTGCAATGAATGGGTGCCCAACTACTGACTAACTCGAGAAACAACAAACAAACAAACAAACAAACAAACAAACTCCATCAAATTCAAATCAAATCAAATAAATATTAATAGTAGATAATTATTAATAACACAAAAAGAGACAGAGTATTCATTGTAGTCGTATATTGATTGTTAAATTAAATGTTTGCTTTTATTAAAGGTTTCGATTAAAAATTAATCTTTAAATAATCATATTGTCCAACTGATGATACTGCAAAGTGGGCATTGTTATTGTTGTTGTTAGACCAATAGGTACAAGCTGAAGTGTCAATGGACAAGTCACCATTTAATTGAAGAATGTAATAGGTGGCGGATGGATTGATTTGGTTGGAGCCAAGATTGAGTACATTGAATTGTTCACCAGCAAATTTAAATTGCCCACCAACATTGATTGGAGCAGAAGATGTAGTGGAGGCGAGTTGCTCAACTGTAACATTAAAATCGGATGGAATAAGCAAGTTTCCACTAATAGAAAGTTGGGCTCCGTTGGAGAATTCCAAAATGGATTGGTCCAATTGCATGTCACCATTAAGTTGGCTGTTTTGTTCGATACTGATGGAAGCAGAGGTAACAAAGACCGTTTTTGCAGTGATGGTCGAGTTTTTCAAGATCAATACGTTTCCAACAGGAGGTTCGATTTGAATGGATGAATTACCGGTTAAAGAGACGACGTTGTTTTGGAAAACCTCACCACCACTGACAAGAAGAGTACAGCTGACAGCATTGAGGCTGGTGACTTTGGATGTGCCAAGGTAGAGTTCGAATGGTTGTTTGGCAACACTGGTTGTAAGGCTACCGATGGTAGACATTGTAATATCGGCATATTGGTTGGGATTGTTATTTATAATAGAGGTGGCGGCACCGTTGGTCATGAAAAGGTTGAGATTGTCAAAAGAGGCTGTTGAAATGTTATATTTGTGAATCGAGCATCTTTGATTTTGAACAATAAAGGTGGATTGGTCATCGGTGGTGATGTTGGAAATGGTTGTTGTGAAATGTGAGGTTGAGCCAGTTGGAGTAGAGATGAATAGTTTGGATTCGTCTTGAACTGAAATTTGGGTGGCTTCAAAGTTGCCATTGACCATCATGACGGCAGAGTCTAGCGAGACATCGGCGTTGGAAATAAAGTCGCCTGTAATAGTGACAACTGAACCACTGACAAAGGAGAGGGTACCAGTGCTATTGATCGTGCCAATGATGGTGACATCACTTGTGAAAACAGAGTATCCTTCGAGGAGGATGTCGACGTTTTCTTGTGAAGTCAACGAACCAGCAACCGATGTGGTGACAGTGACCTTTAGATGATTGTTTTGACCAAGAGAGAGTACGCTGTCTTCAGAGGTGGCCAAGGTCATAATGACCATGAGGACATTCTTGCCAGTTCTTAATGGTGCATCGAGTGTCAATGTCGAATAGATGTAAATCTGACTGTTGTCGCCTACATTGACCACGACATTTCCCGATGCTTGGAAATTGTCGGTAATGAGGTCATTGTTGATTGAAAAGGTAAAGTTGGTATGTGGTGCAGCTCCAATAATAGTGATCGAGTTGACGTTGATATATGCGTTGACAAAGACATTGGCGCTATTCGATAGAGTATATTTCGAAAAATCAATGAGAGCGTCGTCAGTAGGGCCTGGCACAACTAGGTTATCCCAATTGCTAGGATTTTCGAAATCACAACCACCAGCACAGTTTATATCTGTTCTAAAAGTTACATAGTTTTGTGCTGAAGCAATTTGACAGATAATTGCTAATACTATAGTTATAGCTATGAATTTCATTGTTACTCGTTTGTTGTTACTATTATGTTGAATAAAAACAAATGATGTGTTTAAATAGTAATTGAAGAATTGATCAGAGTCGGTCTGTACTCCTTTCAAGAAAGATCGTCGTTGTCTAGGAACAAAGATCCACCTCATCAAGGTTTTACGAGCTGCCAAAAAGTAATGAATGTCGCAAGGAAAATATCCCAACTCGTTGTGTCAAAAACCGACGTCGGTTTTTGAATCACAAAACGAATTGGGGTGAGTATTTTTTGCAAAATCGAGGAGTAATTGTTTTTTGTCCCAATTCCTCTTTCCTTTTGTTTTCTCTTTGGCTATTCCATCTCTGCAATTTTACGTTTAGCTTAAAGTTCCAATTCTCTTTAGTTGGCTTCCTCTGCTTTCTTTCATTTATTTATTTATTTATTAATTATAATTTTATGCTGTATTACAAACTACTGGATGGACAAGGCTATATGACACACTGGATGTTTGTCTAGTAGCATAAACCCATCTATAGTCTTCGTGGGGAATGATAGTTACATTTTTAGGGAGTGATAGAATAGTTGACTTTTCGGGGGTGACTTCCATGTCCATTCCAATTACATTGACGATACTGTCCAAGGTTGAAACAATCAACGAAGTTACAAATGTTGAATTTGATTGGTTGACAATATCTACTTCATACCATGTCACTGTACCACCATCCGAATCTCTCCATTGATATCCTTTATGTTGGTTGTATTTAAGTGAGCATGCTTAAAAGGAAATAAATTATAAATTAGAATCTAATGATGATTCTTTTTTTTTTTCTTATATACATACGAACATCAAGAGAGGAGAACTCTTGTCTAGATTGTTCAATTTCTTTTGAAACTGGTTTTTGAGCAGGACCAGAGTATTCAATACCTTCGGTGTTATTTCTGTGGATGGATTGTAAAACCTTTGATTGTTCTTTCTCTTCTGCTTGGATATTGACAGAGCGAGTGATTGAGACGTCATAGTTGTACTCATTACACTCCATCAAGTCTGGGAAGCCGACAAAAATGGGATCCATGCCACGTGCAATATAGTGGAATGAAAAGTCAGTCTTGGCTGGGATATCCATGGGGGGTTGTAACTCGTGTGTGACAAAGTTGTATCCAATCTCTAGAGACACCAAGTTATTTGACCAAACCATCTTTAGATTATTCAAAGGGGTATCCTTTTTGTTGCTAATGGTGAATATCCAATGACTAACTTGTTCATTATCCATCTTGCTTGTGGCAATCATAGAATGACTAACATGAACACCGCAGTCCTTTACCTCTGGTGGTTGTTGTTGTTTTGGTTGATTGGTGGTTGGTTTAGCATCAACCAATGAAACCGATGGTGATTGATCTGTTGGTTTGAATAGATCTTGTTCTGGATAAGTAGCACTCTTTGTTCCAATACCGATTCTATTATGTTCTTTATCAAAGATTATATAATTGTCTAAAAAATAAATAAATAATAAAATGATTAGTAAATAGATAAAAATATTTATATTTATGATTTTGATAACATACTTCTTAACCAACTCAAACCAATAACTGATTTCTTTTCAAGAGGAGATTGTCTTACTCCTAGACAACGGAATCTAACACCATTTTGGAAAACTGTTGCCATATAGGTAGAGGGTGGAATAGATAATTTAGCTCCTCCTAGTAACCCCCAATTCAATGGTTGGGAATAAAGCAGCTGCATCATCTTTAAGATCCATACACTACATTTAAAAAAATGAAAAAAATTAGAGATTATTGTTCAATGATGAATAAATTATTTAGTTGTTACATACGTATCCATCAAATAGAGTTTGTGGTCCGCAAACACCTGGCAAAGAACAATTAAGGGAAAGGAAGAAACGAAAGGCAAGATAAGCATCACGAGCCAATAAGGTATAGGAAGAACCAGTATCAAGAATTGTGACACCAATATCCTTTGGTGAAATGACTACGGCATTTCCATCAGGTCTTGTAACCAATGCATAGCTTGGAAGTACACCATAGTGAATAGTATCAATAGCCAACAGTGGTGTATAATGTAGTGACCCCGAAATGTATTGAGGATCTAGATCTCCCAATGTCATAACACCAGTATACTCCTCATCCAACCACAATGCAAATGTTTTTGATAAATTGAAACGTGTAAATACTTCATCAATTGGTGTTTTTGTACATTTTGAACACTAAATCAAAATAAAATAAAATATAAATATATATTTTAAATATTAATTTATATTTTTTTTTTTATACCTACAGTATTACCCATACCCATAATACCATATTTTAAACTATGACCAGCAGCATGATAAATTGAACCAAAAATAAGAGGAACTTCTTCCATGTCTTCTGATAATCTAAAACTATCACGAACAACATAGGCATCAACCTCGGTTGTATCTACATATCTAATATTGATACCACAAATACCTTGGGGATGATTTCTAGTAGTTCTACAATAGTTTACATTGAGTGCACAATCAGTTGTATTGCAGCCAATATATTCGACGTTTTCTGACGGTTGGTAGTATGGTTTTGCTTGTTCGCAAGTTGAACATGCAACAGATGGTACCACCAATAAAATACTTCCACTGTCAACTACAACCTCTTGTTTAATGCCTCCAACCCATACATTGGTTCTAATTTCAAATGGATCTCCAGTCATCTTTGCAATATGCATTCCTCCTAAAAATAAATTAACAATTAATTGTTTTGTACCACTACTACCAAGTTTATATATATATATATATATTCCTTACCATTTGATGTTTGATTTGAACCAAGCATTATTTTTTGAGAATGAGATGAAGATTCGATGGTGAGTGATTTTTGATGTGGATAAAGATCCATTGTGACAAATGATTGTCCTGGTGGTGTTGTATTTTTATCACATGTTGATGATTGAACAATATTATTTGAGAATATTGTCAATACTATGAGCAATAGTACTGCTAGTATTATTTTCATTATTGTTAATTACTTTTACAAATGTCTACAATATAAATATAATGAAATCAAATTTTGCAGGAGAGAGAATCTATAATTTATAGGTTTGATGATGATGATTGCACAATGGATATCATTTATATAAAGATTCGTGAATCTATCGCGGTTTGACAGTGAATTACAAACGATTCGTACACCACATATAAAACTACCCCCACTGCAGTGATCTGAATGATTTGATTTTTTTTTTCACTGTCGTATGGGTGGGTGAGGGGTTGACATTTTACACCACTGTTGTTTGAGATTCTATTCCAATTCAATAATAAATCTGATATGTACGTATCAATATCATAGCAGAATGATATAACAACAATGGGATGGGTGCCGTGGACTTTGGACTGTCCTTGTAAAATAATGAACCAATTCCATTATTTTCTCCATCTCTGTTTGTGGCTAGTTGAAACTAAAACCATGAACATATAAATCCACTACGTATTTTAATTCATCTGCACGTATTGGTTTGGCGATATAACCATCAAATCCTAATAAAGAGAGATAGAGAGAGAGAGAGAGAGAGAAAGGGAGAGAGAGAAAGAGATTAACAAGTTGTTGTAAACTGCAAGATTCTTTTAAATATCATTTCATCATACCACTTGATAGACATTTTTCTTTTGCTCCTTTGGTAACATTGGCAGTCTAGATAGATTATTTGATTAAATTAAATTGTATTAATAAAATCATTTATATATATTTAAAATCATTGAATTTGATTTCGCCGTTTGATACATACAACTGTAACTATTGGAGTATGTTTTAAACTACCTTCGATTTGTCGTATGATATTGGTAGCTTGATATCCATCCATTCTTGGCATGAACAAATCCATTAGAATTAATTTAAAAGTATTTTTTGAGGATTTGTAGGCCTGTACTGCTTGCAAACCGTCTGTAACCAATATACATCTCTTTTGATCGACTCCAAACTTTTCCAACAACTTCATCAAAAATTCTGCATTCATTTCATTGTCTTCTACCACCATTACATCTGGTCCATTTGATTGTATCCATTTTGGAATTTGATTTTCTCTTGGTGTCGTTGGTAAAGAAGATGGATTTGATGATGATGTTGGTGGTGAACTTGGTGGTTGTTCATTATTATTATTTAATAAATTATTATATAATCCATTATTATTATAGTTATTATTATAGTTATTATTATTATTATAATTTGAATTGTTATAAATATTATTATTATTATTATTATTATTATTATTATTATTATTATTATTATTATTATTATTATTATTATTATTATTATTATTATTATTATTATTAATTTGAGTTGGAGGATATGGTAAACTATTTAAAAATGATTTCTTTTTTAAAGTTTGTAATATCAATTTCTTACTCATCGAGAGTACTTTACGATTCGATGGTAATATACTTCTTCTATTTACATTGTCATTTTCAATTGAAGTACTATAATTTTCCCTTGAACCAGCTTCAATGATACTTGATATGTTTGGATCAATATCAGAATCTGTAGACAGTCGTCTGAGGAATGGATAATTGTCAAACATGGTAAGTGGCTGATTGTTGGGGGAAGAGGATGGCGATGTTGGTTTGCAAGCAGCTTCAGATTCCTTTGGTTCGACACTCGTCGAGTGAGGAGTATCATCAAAACTAGAATGTCTAGTTTGATAGACTATATCCTCTATTGGTTTAAAATCCATATAACTTTGGTCTGTGGTTGGTGAGAATGCCATATTGCAAATTTGACCAATATCATTTGGTTGTGGAGCATATTTTGTTTCAAACGATACAGGTGAACATCGACCACTCTCTACATTTCCACTTGCATTTGCACTTGATCCTCCTCCATTATTTGTAGTGGTAGTGGTAGTTGTTGGAATGGAGGATCCATTTCTATTTTGATTTGCAGCCATTGAAGCTCTATGATTAAATCCATACATGATTCTATTATTATAATTATTCATATTAATTCCATTATTTATAGCGTTGTTGTTGTTGTTGTTGTTAAAAATATCATTATTATTATTTTGATTATTATTATTTGTTGAGGATGGAGACGAGGGAGGACCGATCGGCAAAATGGGTAAGGGCTCTTCTCTTGTTGTTGGAGATGGAATCAGTTTAATAGGAGGGATCGCCGATTTGACCAGAGGGGAACATGTAGGAACTGGTGGTGCAGGAGGAAGTTTTGAAGATTGTTGCTGTTGTTGTTGGTGTTGCTGCTGCTGTTGTTGTTGTTGCTGCTGTTGATAATGATGATGTTGATGTATCTGTTTATTGATAGAAGGTGCACCACCAGAAGGAGATTTGGGTTGTAACTTGTTTTTGGGGTAGATTAAACTGAGTATCTGATGAAAGGACTCTCTCTTGTGAGGTGGCGCGTCCGTCACACACCAATAGGCGCCCTTTAATTTTGAGGCTAGTAGTTTCTCGATTCGACGAGTGTGCACAATAGGAGGATTGGGAGAATTGGTGCAAACGACCACTCCATGTATCGATCGCTGATTGTTTGATATCTGCTCGAGTAACAGAGTTAAACATTCATTTAGGAAATCAATATCACCAGTCGTTAATACACCATTAGTTGTTGGTAATCCAATATATGTTAATATTATCATCGGCGATGATAATGATGAAGAGGATGACATATTGTTGTTATTATTATTATTGTTATTATGATTAAATCTAAACAAGTCAATGTTTTCATCTAACCTACTCTTTATCGTTTGATCAAGAGGAGGTGTATCTGAACGTATAGTAATACAATTTTCAACAGTAAATATTTTAAAGAGTTGTATTACATCTTGAATAATCTTGTCTTTATTATCAATGACTAGACCAACTGTCAATGATGAAGAAGATGAAGAAGATGAAGAAGAATTAGACGTCAACATAGAAGAAGATGTCGAAGTGGAGGAGGAAGTAGAAGAAGTGGAAGTAGAGGATGGGGGTAACCCTCGACTACTATCGATTACTGTATCTGCTGCCTCAGCAGGGCTGTGATTATGGTTCATCTCTCTATCTTATCGTCTTTAAATAAATAAATAATATGTACAGGGATGTTAAATGTAATTGTAAATATAACTTGAAATGTCTGTTTTAAACAGCTTTGTTGAAAGTACTACTAGTAGTCGACTAGTAGGTGGGTAAGTATTATTTGAAGAGAGAGATAATCATTAAAAATAAGTCATCAATAATAACACACGTTTTGAAAAGAGAACCGACTATTAATTATTATTATTATTATTATTATTAATGTTAATATATATTTTAGATAGAGGGACTTTCTAAAAAAAGTACTCTCCCAAATTAAGGTCGACTTGCCTTTCGAAATTGGAACAGGTTTTTAAAAAAGGTCGAAAACTAAGACTGGAGGATGCTGGAAAAAATACAATTAATAAAAATAAAAATAATACTATGTCAAAGCAATTAAAAGATCTTCCGTCTTCTTCTTCTTCTTTTTGTTATTATTATAACATGTTTTTGTTTGTTTGTTTAAATATATAATATAAATTAATATAGTTATATATATTAACAATAAATAATTATTTAGGTTTTAGGTTTATTCATGGGAATTGGTAAAACAGTCCTTATGATATGGCAAGAGACACTTGCTACACTTGTAAGTTGCAGAAGTAGTCGAAGATGATTGTTTACAAACAAAACAATTCTTTAGACTATCAGGTGTCGATGAATGATGTTGCAATAAGATATGGAAATTATTATGAGTAAAAATGTTGGGAGTGGATGAAGTATTATTAGTATTATTATTATTATTATTATTTGTATTATTGTTGCTGGTGTTTTGATTATTAATATTATTATTTAAAGTTGGTTGTTGATTATATACAAGTGATGATGTTGGTTGTTGTTGTTGTCTCATTTGATTTAATAGTTCTAAATTACTATTATTACTATTATTATTATTATTATTATTATTATTAGATTCAGAGATAAAAGGAGGTTGACCTTCAGAGATTGGACAAACTTGTTCTGTTAACATTTCAATCAATTGAACGATGGAAATGTGTTGGGAGGGACGGATATGGTTAAAGAAATCAGTGACATTGGAGAGACCGTATTCCAACATTAGATTAAACGAAGCAAGCTCCTTGGTAGAGTTGCGGTGCTTGACAGAGGTTCTAAACATGGTAGACTCCATCGACGAGGCGTTGGTGGGGACAACCGAGCCGGCTGAAGGGTTGGCACTGGCAAGTTGGTTAGAGAAAGCGGTGACATCGCGACGAAGGATGTTTTGGAGTGTGTCGAGGAGTTGTGGTGTCAGGACGGTGGACAAGCAAGACTTGATCTCAAAGTACTTGTTGCGAGAGAGGATACGTGGAATGAGTGCAACGTCTGGGAAGGAACGGGCACGAGCAGTTGACCAATAGTCAGAGATGCGCTCAAGAGAGTGAGAGTTTATAAACAACGAGACGACAATAAAGGACTCGATGAGTGAGACAGTGATGGGGAACCGGTTTCCAAGATAATGAGTACTATTGCTTTGAGTGGTAGATCCAGATCCAGTTGTATTGTTACGGACATCACTAATCTTATTAGTTAATTCCTCCAATACATTACCAAATACCTTTCTAAAATAATCAATTGGTGTTGATATTCTATTATTAAAATAATAAATATAATTTGAATTTGGATTATTATTATTGGTATTAGTATTATTATTATTATTATTATTATTATTAATATTTGTTGGAGATGATGATATATTATTATTTTGATTATTTTGTTGATTTAATTTTGATCCAACAAGATGATTTGGTGATGTACTTGGACTTGTACGATTACCTGATGAAATTAAAGGTGATTGGGGAGGGGTTTGATCATCTGATGATGGTGAGAGAAGGAGATTGTCCTCTTCGTTTAGTGCACTTACACTACTACAAAGTAAATATAAAAGGTTTGGATGATCAAGTAGTGATGATGAAGATGATGGTGATGGTGAACGGGTTGGAGTTGATCTGGATGATGATATTGGTGAAGATGGAATGGAAGAGGAGGTGGTGGTGGTGGTGGTGGTGGATTGTTGTTGTTTATGTTGAATATTTAATATATCAGATGTTTTGATTGAACGATGATAGGGATGATACGAGTTGGATTTATATTTCAAGGCTTGTTGGAAATCAACGGCGAGGTCCTCATTGCTGTTTATGAGATTATGGATAGATGAAAAAGATGGTTGTTTGCTTTCCGATGAAAGCTTGGTGGCGATACGAATTGGATCCTCACGAAATATTTTTTCCGAGGAGTTTGGAAGTGGAAGGGTTCTCATTTGCAACATTGAATTGAGAGTTGATGCCATGGTATTTAGTTGTTTGGTTTGTGTTGGAGTTTGTGGAGGGGAAAGAGGTAAATTACTAAAATAATGATAATCATTTAAAATGAATTTAAAATCGTTTGACATGGTTAATAAATAAATAGGTTTAATAAATAAATTAATAAATAAATAAATAAATAGAGTTTTAATAATAAATAAATAAGGTTTGTTTGTTTGTTTTAGAGATTTGAAAAAGAAAAGGGGAAACAAAATGTATAAAAAGTTTAAAAGTATAGATGGTTTGGTTGGTTGGTTGGTGACTTTTTAAAAAGATTATTGATTGTTTTGTTTTTGTTTGTTTGAAATAGTAGTAGTACTGATGTGGAATGTTGGTTTAAATGGTTTTTGGATAGGATATTATTATTATTTGGAATGGAATAGAAATATATATATTTTAAATAACCAAACCCTGTCCTTTGAAATACCATATGGTAGGTAAAACACAACCAACGATCAGAGCGATTGACAAAAGAGTTGTTGGGAAGGTCGGTACCTGTAAACACAAGCGATACGTAGGAGGAGGAGGAGGTGTATAATGGGGAAAGGAAAAGGAAAAGAATTACACGACAGCGTGTACTCTATTGATTGATGGCTGATGATTGTTTGATTGTTAGCCAAAAGTAAATACAAAAGCAGCAGCAGCAACAGCAGAATGAGGAGTATGGCAGGTGGAGGAGGAGATGTGGGTGGCAATGGGATTGTCAGCGCTCTGACGGCTTTTCAACTGCTAGCAGTAGGAAATAAACAATTGCGAGTAATTGGGAAATCATCCATCCCTCCTATCCCTCCAATCCATACCCAATAGGGAATTGATGTCTTTGTTGTTGGGTTGTATTGTAATAATAATAATGGGTGGGTTAGGATATAAGCACCATCCATCCACCCACCCGCTCATTCACCCCTCCTCCCACCACCCAAATGATGATGTATTTTGATGAAGATGTGGTGGTCAAGTGAAATTCTAACAATCAAACAATCAATCAATTCATCGCCTGTCAATTCATCAGCCCCAGCAGTACATGAATGCTTTTTTTGTTGTGTTTGTGTATGGTGTGTGTGTGGACAGACGTATGGACGGATGTGTTACCTTCATAGTGTGTGATGCCACAGGAAGCTTACTGTATACGACTGACGTAAGGTAAAGAAAGGGGTGTTTTGTATTTTTATGTTTTGTGTGTATGTTTGATGACAAGCAAAGAGTCATCTTATAAATATGGATCATCATCGCCATGCCTACCATACCATACCAAAAGTACCCAGCCAACAACAACATTATAATAAACGACGAGCAAAGTAGGACGATGTTCTTTGCTTGGATAATTGGCTCGGCAAGGTGGGAAATCCCTTTGAGCTCAAAAAAATGAAAAAGTGTAGAGCACAAGGAAACCAAGATATAAAAAAATATTTTACTTGTAGCAAACAAAAAAAAAAAAAAGGGGGGGTGCCATGGTTTTCATAGGTGTATTGATACATTCTAAATATAAATAACATCATTATTCATAATAATAAACAAACACACACACAATGTTTGCAATGATGAAATAATGGTGTGGATGTGGAGAGAGGGAATAAAAAAACGTCAAACTTTGACTTTGACATCATGAAGCGACACATCATCATATGATTTGAAAAAAAAAAAAAAATAGCGATGGAAAATATAAGATAGAAATATATATTTACAATTCTAAAATACTCTAAAATACTCTAAAATAATAATAATAAATAATTTACTTACGGAAAGGATGGTTATAGGGAAATATCGAATTTTCAATCTATATTTTTACTTTTTACTATAGTTTTGTAAAAAGTTGATTGAGTGTGAAAGATCCTATCCTGAAATGACGATTCTCTTTTTGTGTTTTCTCTGTTTATCTCCTTGTGTATGATGTTGGAAAAGATTACAAGTGCAAGAGAGAGTGGTGGTGTTGACGCGCAAAGCTCGATAGCAAAGAAGCAAGAAGGTATTTAGTGTTCGTGTACGGAAGACAAGAGGAGGGGGAAACAAATTTAATCTAAAGATAAATACTCTGGATTTAAATTTTATCCGGTGGTCTCGTACGTCTTATAAAACTGTTGACGCGACATCTGCTAGACAAAAAATCTAGCAAAAAATGATGATGCGACACACACTTTTTGTGTTGTCGTCAACAGATATTTTAGATTCCGGCTGAGTTTTTTTTGCTTGCCCTCTGTCGAGCACTACAATGAGAGGAACTCTGTCATCATGCGGCTTCAGGAAATCGGGAAACCCGCACGATTTTTCATTGATCAAGGCGAATGAAGGAATCATTCCTCAAGATTGGTTGGTCAGCACCAAGTGGTACCTTGAGCCATCCGAAGCCTCGAGCTGATCCGAGTCCTTTGCTTTGGCATCTTGAGGCTTCCCTGGCCAATCCCACCGCCATCTTGCTTGTTTGTTTAACTAAACCATGGTACCACTCATCATTGCCGCACACTTTTTCACTTGACATTTCATCGTCATCATTCTCTGCTTTGTGGTTGTAAAACTCCCACTTTCTAAAACGCCATACATGATATCATTTTCTTGTGATTGTTGTTTAGAAAAACCCTTGCCATCGATAATTAATTGGGTGCCAGTTATCAGAACTGATGGCAGATTCAGCCCCAATCTGCAGGTTATTGTACGTTGGGAACCCTCGTCGAATTTTTCATTTTTTTTCGGGATCCCATCCATCCAATACCGACACAATCGTCGCGAATAAAATTGCTTTGGATAAAAAATTAAAATTTTAAAAAAAAAATCTTCGAGTCCCTGGTCTCTTGCAAAACCGTGGCATTGTTGGGGATGACTCCTTCCTGAATATACTCAATATCCCGGGATTGTTCCGATTCTTCTTTGTGATTCGAAACCGAACCGATCAATTAATCAGAGAGAGAGAGAAAGAGAGACTCTCAGATCTTTAGAAATCATCGAATCAATAGTCACCTGCAAAGTTTGTTTTAGTTTCTCTCTCTGGGATCTGGCCCTAGTTGATAACTCCGATGCAATGGTCGTAAAGAAAGAAATAAAGTAAAGGTGGGAAATATTAGAACGAATTTCCTTGGTTTGAAGATTCACGACAAAGATCTTTGAGTCGTGGTTGCGAGAAATGAAATTGGTGTTGTATTTTTAAACCATCTTTTAAGATGGCTTGGAAGGGATGAGACCTTAATCTTGTATTGCGACACCAAAAGTCGAAATTGGTTGGTTTGGATATCTCTTTTTATTTCTTGTACTCTATTAAATCCTTTACTATAATATTATTTGGGTTAAAAAAAATAACAGTTTGGTTAGTACTGTTGTTGTTTGGGTAGGTGTAATACATTTTTGATCAATATATATTTACCATTTAATAATAGGATGACAAGATTAATTCCATCTTGATAAACCTTTTTTAAAATATTGTTGTTTATAAATGGAGAAGAGGAAGAAGTAGGTGTAGAGGTTTGTGATAATGAATCTATAAATGTTTGTATTGTAAATCTCCTAGTGTCATCATAATCCTCTATTCTATCTTTTAAATGATTTGATAATAGATTGGAAATATTATCATTAAAATAGATAACCTCCTCTTCTTCTTCTTCTTCTTTTTTTTCATTGTTTATAAATGTTGATAGATTATATAATATTGTTTCTCCATACTTTTTTAATTGTTGATATTTATGATTATTCTCTTTAATTTTAATTGTTTTAATCTAAAATAATTATAATATATATGTTAGTTTTAAATCTTCGGTACTATTTTAAAAAAGGTCATACCGTATTGTTATTGTTTGTATGAAAATAGTAATAATTGTTATTGTTGTTGTTGTTTGAATATTTTTTAACTGTATCGATTGTACCAAAAGAGATTGTTGTTGTTGTGGTTGTTGATTTATCAGTGTTATTATTCAGATCGAGTAATATAGATGTTGAGGAATATTTAGCAAGTTGTTTTAGTATTGTAGGGTTTACATTTTTAAATAGTTGTATATCGTTTAGATTGAAATAATGAAGAGCAATAGGATCCACCTCTCCAATAGTCATTACTATATCAATATTATTATGTTTGATTGTATTCTCAACATAATCTTTCCATTCTCTTTCTTCATCCTTTTTCCATGTTTCTATTTGTTCCAATGTTTGATACATTATTTCTTCTTGTTTTAATCTTTTACTTTTACTCTTTTCAATTGCAACATTATAAAATAATATTCTCCATTTTTTACTATTACTACTATTATTATTATTATTATTGTTGATAATATGATTACAAGGTATTAAAGGATAAATCATTCCATCAATAGATTTTATAATATTATTGATATTATATAGAAATGATGGAGGAGATGAAGAGGAAGAAGAGTCCAAAGATGATTCATCATCATCCTTTATAAACATAAAATAATCTTGTAATTGAGACCATTTTATATCCTTGTTATTTGATTTTAGTTCTATGATTGATTGATTTATAATTGTAGACATTGCTTTTTTACCAATATCATCAACTCCTCCTCCTTTAGACCTTTCCATTTCATCAATTATAATTATATCTATTAATTGTTTATAATCATTCTTTTCAATTGATTCTAATACGATTTGATGTAATGATGATGATTGTAATTGTAATGGTTGGTGTTTGTTGTATTGATCAATAAACTCTTTTGATTGTAAATAGTGTTGAATCAATTGAATAGAGATACGACAACCTTGTATGACACTATTTAAATCTAAACCTCGTTGCAATAGAGGTAAAGATCTCTTTAGCAGAGTAGATGCCAATATGATTGCATATTTCAATAGACCATTATTATAGTAATAGACATCTTGTATAGATTGAATATAATTCTTTATAAAGGTTGCTATTGGATGATTAATATCCAAGTATTCCAATATAACTCTAATATCAGAACTAATTATAATACTAAATAGAGTGATGAGTTATATCAATATTCAATTCATTCTCAAAAGAAGACGATAGATGATTCATTCATTTGCATCAAATCTACATACGATTCAGTATTATTATTTACAAGTATTTTAGATAGATTGTAATGTTTGCTCGATGTGTCTTTTAGAACCTCTGCAATCGATGATAGTATGATACTACATGATTGTATAGTTTCAAATTGTTGTTGATTTTGAGATGAACTATTCATCCCTCAAATATTAATACTTCAAAAGAAAGAAAAGAAATAAATAAATATATTAAAAATCAAATTTAAAAGATTATGAGTTGTTGCACGAGATGACGCATCGCTTCGGCTCAAAGTGCGAACATCATTTAATTTATTATTTTTCGCGCTAATACCAGCAACAGCACTATATAACACAAACAAATAAATCTTTAGATTTAGTAGTAGTAGTAGTATTAAAAGAATCATTGTATATATTTATAGTTTAAAAGAGTAAGAGAGTAAGAGAGAGAGAGATACCATGGTACTTACAGAAACAGAAAGAGCATTACAAGCTCTCATTGCATTTGGTACAAACTTGTCTTGTTTACCATTAGGTATCATGTGCGTCAAGAGAGGCACTGCATATGAAGCTATTGTAGGTACTGCGTGTGCATTGTGCAGTATGTTGTATCATGTGGGAGAGGTGTACGAGAAGACATGGTGGTTTAAATTGAGTGGTATGACATCTGGCCAATGGCATCGACTTGACAATATATTCACGATCCTCGCCTTTCAAGCATTGATGTTTTACTTGACCGATGTCAGTAATCCACAGATCATGGATCTTTTGCGTTGGACATTCCTCGTGTTTACACTATACTGTCAAGAACGTGCACCATGGGACATTACATACACTATACTCCCTATTGGAGCCAGTTTCTTGCTTCTCATAGTCTCTCACCTCTACCGACGAAGAGTACCTGAATGGATCAAGAACAGGTACTTTCTCTATGGATTGGGGTGTCTTGTCGTCGCTGGATTCTTCTTTGCCCGTGGTCTCGACGACGACACCGATTATTTACGTTGGAATCATGGTGTATGGCATTTCTTTATTGGCATCGCCTTTTTCTTCATTTTCCAATCCCGAGACAAGAGTGTCAAAGATCTTTATGTATGTAGTAGTAGTATTCAACGAAGAAGAATGAATATCTCAAAAGAAAAAAACAAAAATATCATCCATCGTCATCATCGACCTGACCTATTATTAACTGTCCTGTCTTATCCTATCCTATCCTATCATCGTCTTTTAGAAAAAATTTTAAACAACACTAACAACAAACAATTACGATTAATAAAAAAACCTAAACTATAACGATAGTTTGAAAATCAAGTAAATATCAAAAGAATATTCAACGACCAGACTCCATCCCAAGGGACAACCGTAGATAGACGATCGGAGGTAATAATGATTAGTTAGCATCTTACCCCCAACTTGCAAGGGATTTTACGAAATTCCGAAAAAAGTTAGTAGCGTGATCGCAACTCGTTGTGTTTGGCAACGGTATCTTTGCAGAAAACATTTTAAAATGTTTTAAAAAAAATTTTGTTTCCTGATCCCACCTCACTAATCTTATAACTTTTCTGTTTTGACCTACTCCTTCAGTCCTATCATTCATTCATCAAATTTACTTTAACTTTTTTTAAATCACATCAACACAATTCAAAGATAATACTTGGGAGAAAGAAAACAGAACAGTATAATCAAAATCCACATCATCATTATATATATTGTTTTTTTTAGTATATATATCTATTTGTAATAGTACCATTAGTAAACAACAGCAGCAGTAAAGATCTTCTTCATCTTTTTAATTATATATATATATATATCCCCTCTTCTTTTCTTTTTTTTTTAAAAATTATTATTTGTTGATTCAACACAACAATTCCAAACAACGATTGTAACACAATGATGATCAAAAACACCAACAATGTCCTATCATCAATTCTTGTAATATTAATTTTCACATCATGTACCATTATTCCATCGCTGTCTGCTGCAGCACTCAAGAGAGGAGGAGGAGGAAGACCAACAAAGGTCATTTCAAACACTGGTCCAACCGACGCCTACCAACAAACATTGGCCGAGACCTTTATTTTAATGGCCTACAACTCATACTGCGTTCAATCTGAAATCTTGGATTGGTCATGCACCAACTGTCAAAAACTTCCACAAGTCACAGTTGGTCAAGTCATCTATAGTAACAGTACCGATACTCAAGCTTATGTTGCTACATATAGTAATGAATATGGTAAGAAATGAAAAAGAATCAAACAAACAAATTTAATCCACAATCATATGTGATCATATACTTATTCTACTCTATATTTTTTTTTAGTTTACGTTGCATTTAGAGGATCAATGGATATTGAGAGTTGGATTACCAATTTACAATTTTTACAAGAAACTTATCCAGGTGTACCTGATGCACTTGTTCACTCTGGTTTCTACAATGCCTACAAGAGCGTTCAACAACAAGTCCAAGTTGCCCTCCAAAATGCAGTAAAGGCATGTCCAACTTGTAAGCAACTCTATGTCATTGGTCACAGTTTGGGTGGTGCTTTGGCTTCACTTTGTATGGCCGATGTCGTTCAATGGTTCCCAAGCATGTACACTGAATCCTATACTTTTGGCAGTCCACGTGTCGGTAATGCTTATTGGGTTTCCTACTACAACTCGATTCAACCAAACAACTATCGTATCGTAAATCAAGACGATCTTGTACCACATGTCCCACCAAAGGGTATCATCCCCATCTATGACCACGTTCCAACCGAAGTCTGGTACAAATCAAATGCCACTGAAAACTACAAGATCTGCGATGATTCTGGCGAGGATCCAACCTGTTCTGATTCAGTCAACCCACTCTTCTTTAGCATCTATGATCATCTCCATTATTTCGATCAACATTGTTGTTGTTGAGACAAAAATTAAACACCAAACATCCTTATTTATAATAATAATCCCCAAAGAAAATAAAATAAATGATAGATAATCGTTTTACTTTTTTTTTTTTATTTAAATAATATTTATTTATTTATTTATTTAAATTATCAAAAAAATAACAATAGATAAAACAACAAGGATATTTGATGTGGTTGATTGCAATAATCTATTTGATAATGAAACAGCACCAGTGGTAGTACCATTAGTTGTTGGGGGATCATTCTTTAGAGTTGTTGCTTGAACAGTTGATGTTGAACTGATCTCTGAAATAGAGTTGGATGCAATCACTTGAATGTAATAGGTTGTATCTGATTGTAATCCTGTGAATTGACAACTTGTAACATTTACACCTTGGCACACTGTATTCCATTCAGTGCCATTGATAGAGATACCAGAAACATAATTATCGGCAAATTGTACTTGTGTCCAACTAGCTGATATAGCATTAATATTAGTTGATGTTGTTATGGTTGTCTGTGCCATAGTTGGAGTGAAGAGGATAGTTGTTGAGTTTTGTGATGTCATCTCTCCATTGCTTGCAGTCACTTGAATAGAATAACTTTGTTTGGTTTGTTGTTGTGATGGTGTGAATGCATAGGTTGTCTCTCCACTTGTGTCTTGGGTTGTTGCTTGAAATCCATTGACTAATACATCGTATGTTGTAGCAACAGAAATATTTCCACCTATAGTTGAATAACTGATTGAAATACCGACATTATTTGGAATGATTGAAACTGTAACAATTGGTGATTCTAATATTGGAATATATACAATCGATGTTGAATTCTCTGATGTCAATTGACCATTGGTAGCAACAACCTTGATAACATAGGTGCTTTGAGTTTTCTTTTGTTCATCCGAGAATGTATATGTTGCTTTCTTGGTGGTATCTGCTGTTACAATGACTTGATCGTTGATTGATACATCATAGGTGGTTGTGATTGACTGACTTCCACCTGTTGAACTGTATGTCATATTTAATGTATCATAGTCCATCACTGTATTGATGATTGGATCATCAAGTTGGGTTGGCAATATCTTTTGAGTGATTGTTTGTACTGTTGACGATGATCCACTGTTGAAAACTGCCATATCGATTGTGACTGTCGAATCTGGTGTGAGACCGGTGAATGTGGCAGTGTTGGTTTTGGTGAATTGTTGTGCTGCTTGTTTGTTGACAGAGATATAGAAAATGGTATCGACATTTGGAATACCTCCAGTTGATTCAAATTGAATGGTGACTGAACTGTTTGTAAATGCAGTCACCTTGAATACAGATATAGTTGGAGCTGGATACGATACAATATTTGTTGATTGAGTCGTAAAATCAACATTATTGGTTGCTTCAACGATGATTGCATTTGATGATCCTGGAGGGACTGTGAATCTACAATTTTGAGCTGGACAATATGCTAAAACAATGACTGTTCCATTCAATTTAACTTGATATGTGGTTTGACCTGGTACACCTCCAGTAGCACTATAACTAAATGAGATGGTTGTAATCGTACTGACAATATTGTTGATTTGTGGTGTTGATAGTGTTGGGTATGTTGTAAATGTGTTGGTTGTCAATGATTGACTACGTCCATTATTATTGGCTGTAATATTAAATATATAATCAGTTGATGGTGTTGTTGTGACGGTACATGTTGTTGATACGATATCCTGGCAATTGGGAACAGGTGCACCATTGGCATTGACATAATAACGAGTGAGTGTTGGATCACCACCAGTACTTGAATAATTAATGACAATTGATTTTGATTTAATAACTGTCGATGTGACTGTTGGTGCATTTACCAGATCCCACAATTTAACTGTCACGATGGAAAAGGTAGTTTCTTGTGCATTACTTGCAGATACCTTAATTTGATAGGTCTGAAGAGTTGTCAATCCACTAAACTGATATTGTTTGACTTGAGTATTTGTAAATGAACTGGTACCATCCAACCAACCAGAATAGGTTGTTGTTGATTCTGGATTATCACCACCTACTGCATTATAACTAATGTCGATCGAGTTTGTTGTTGCAGAGTATTGGATAGCTGGTGACTCTAGTGATTTGGTCAATGTGACAGGAGCAGCATTTTTCACAGGACTTGTTTCTCCATAGTTGGTGGCTGTCACTCCAATAGTAATAGTACTACCTGGCGTTAAACCAGTGATATTACACACCATAGTTGTGGTTCCGTTACACTGTGGAACAATGACTCCATTTGAATAGGCGGCAAATGTAGAAACATTTCCTGGCATACCTCCAGTCGATGTCCACGATACAGCTAACCATGTACGTGAATATCCAATAACATTAACAGCTGATACTACAGGTACTATAAACAAGAAGAAAGAAAGAGAGTTAATTACTTTAAAATATTTCTTTTCACATTCTTTTTTCTACATACAAGGAACAAGAGAAAAGTTTGCAGAAACAAACTCTGGAATTGGACCGACAGTTTGACTACTGACTAAAAGTTTAATGAAAGTTTGCTTATTTTCGAGTAGAGGACTTGAAAATGTGCAAAGACCATAGAACGGGGGATTATTTATATTTAAATAGGTAAAACAGTTGGTCGAGGTACTGGTAGCACCATCCAACAAGTAAATATAGAGATTGTCAAGGTTAAAAGAGAAATCGATGGTGGCAGCATTTTTTTGAATAGAATAGCTACGATAACCAACTGAAATACCTATAGCAACGGTGGCTTTGAATTCGGTAGAGGCAATGATTGCCTTGGTAAGGAGGTTACCACCAATAGTCAATGATGACGTTGCTGAGCATTCGTTGGTGATAATCGATGGGTTGTTGGATGGACATGAGTTGTTGACATTGGATATACCAGTGATGGAAAGGGCAGTCGAATTGTATTGACTAAAACCAGAGGCAATTGGTAGGTATGGGGCATAGGCAGATACAAGAGGATCGAAAATAATACATTGTCCTGGTTGTGAGTTCTTCATTACATATGCAATTGGGTAGAGATCAGAACATCTATAAATTAAATAGATAAATACGTAAAGGATTAGGATTTATAATATGAGATGGTTTAATTGCTACTACTATACATACGATCTTTTTCTTTGAAAGTAAATACATCCTGGACATGGTGCAGCTTCTCCAGAAGTGTATACGTATAGTGTGTCTGTTGTAGTGTCACAAAGAGATGATGAAGGTGTTGTAACTTGAAGAATCTTTGGTGTGGTTGAGCAGGTCAAGTCATTTGTATAGGTGTATTTAAAAGAATTGGTTAACTGTCCAGTATAGGTAAACTTGAATGACCCAGTTCCATCCAACGAACGAAAACATTGGTTCATTGGAAATGTGGCAAGAGAGTTACCATTAAAAATAGACGATGAACATGGTGATCTCATTCCAATCCACTGTGCTTGCACATCATTACTCTGTTGTAATATTATTACAAATATTAATAATAAATAAATCATTATTATTATTATATTGTAAAGAAAGGGATAAATAAATAAATAAATAAAATAAGAAGATGATGATCATGATGATGTTTAATCGAATAAATATATCCTTCCTTACATTTACATTGGCCAACCATATGTGGAGTCATAGGACGATACCGACCTCTATAGAGAAAATATCAAACTACGAGCTCGTTGAAAAATCGAATCTAACGATCATGACCAGGAGAGATGCCAATTGTCGATCTAATCTTCTGACGCTTTACGAAGAACGAGAAAGGAACCAGTATTCTTTATCTGTACACTATATCTGTGTGTGATTAATTAAACTAAATAAACACACACACAAACTATAGTTTGATATCTAAAAATCGAAAAACAAAATGAATATTTTTTGAAAATTACAATTATTTATTTATTTAATTACATCAAGAAAATAACAAATAGAGTGATGATTATCATATTGGTTGATATTAATAATCTATTTGATAATGATACTGGTTCGGGTTTGAGTGTTGTTGCTTGAACAGTTGATGTTGAACTAATCTCTGAAATGGTATTTAATGAGACCACTTGAATGTAATAGGTTGTATCTGATTGTAATCCTGTGAATTGGCAACTTGTAACATTTACACCTTGACATACTGTATTCCAATCGACAGAGTCAGTAGAGATACCAGCAACATAATTATCGGCAATTGGTACTTGTGTCCAACTAGCTGATATAGCATTAACATTGGTTGATGCTGTGATGGTTGTTTGTGCCATGGTTGGAGTGAAGAGGATAGATGTTGAGTTTTGTGAAGTCATTGCTCCATTGCTTGCAATCACTTGGACAGTGTAACTTTGTCTCGATTGTTGTTGTGATTTTGTGAATGTATAGGTTGTGGCACCGCTTTCAAGTGGGAATCCATTGACCAATACCTGATAAGTTGTAGTAATCTGATTATTGCCACCAATAGCTGAATAACTGATTGAAATACCGACATTATTTGGAATGATTGAAACTGTAATGATTGGTGATTCTAATATTGGAATATATACGATGGATGTTGAATTCTCTGATGTCAATTGACCATTGGTGGCAACAACCTTGATGACATAGGTGCTTTGTGTTTTCTTTTGTTCATTTGAAAATGTATATGTTGCTTTCTTGGTGGTGTCTGCCGTTACAATGACTTGGTCGTTGATCGATACATCATAGGTGGTTGTGATTGATTGACTTCCTCCTGTTGAACTGTATGTCATATTTAATGTATCATAGTCCATCACTGTATTGATGATTGGATCACCAAGTAAATTTGGTAATAACTTTTGAGTGACTGTTTGTACAGATGATGTTGAACCACTGTTGGATGCTATCATGTCGATTTTGACTGTTGAATCTGGTGTGAGACCGGTGAATGTGGCGGTGTTGATTTTGGTAAATTGTTGTGCTGCTTGTCCGTTGACAGAGATATAGAAAATGGTATCAACAGTTGGATCACCTCCTGTCGACTCAAATTGAATGGTGATAGAGTTCTTTGTGAAAGCGGTCACCTTGAGTACAGATATAGTTGGAGCTGGATACGATGAAATAGTTGTTGATTGAGTTGTGAAATCAACATTATTGGTTGCTTCAACGATGATTGCATTTGATGATCCTGGGGGGACTGTGAATCTACAATTTTGAGCTGGACAATATGCTGCTAAAACAATGACCGTTCCATTCAATTTAACTTGATAGGTAGTTTGACCTGGTACACCTCCAGTAACACTATAACTAAATGAGATGGTTGTAATAGTACTGACAATATTGTTGATTTGTGGTGGTGATAGTGTTGGGTATGTTGTGAAAGTGTTGGTTGTCAATGATTGACTACGTCCATTATTATTGGCTGTAATATTAAATATATAACCGGTTGATGGTGTTGTTGTGACTGTACATGTTGTTGATACGATTTCTTGACAATTGGCAACAGGTACACCATTGGAATTGACATAATAACGAGTGAGTGTTGGGTCACCACCGGTACTCGAATAATTAATGACAATTGATTTTGATTTAATAACTGTCGATGTGACTGTTGGTGCATTTACCAGATCCCACAATTTAACTGTGATTGTTGAAAAGGTAGTTTCTTGAGCATTACTTGCAGATACCTTGATTTGATAGGTCTGAAGAGTTGTCAATCCACTAAACTGATATTGTTTGACTTGAGTATTTGTAAACGAGCTAGTACCATCCAACCAACCAGAATAGGTTGTTGTTGATTCTGGATTAGCACCACCTGCTGCAATATAACTAATGTCGATCGAGTTTGTTGTTGAAGAGTATTGGATAGCTGGTGCACCAAGTAAATTACTCAATGTGGCGACAACTGTTTTCACAGGACTTGTTTCTCCAAAGTTGGTGGCCGAAACTCCAACGGTAACAGTACTTCCCACTGCTAAACCAGTGATATTACACTCCAAAGCAGTGATCCCATTACATTGTGGAACAATGGCACTGTTTGCATAAACAGTAAATGTAGAAACATTTCCTGGCATACCTCCAATCGATGTCCATGCAACAGTCACCCATGTCTGTGAAAATCCATTAACATTAACAGCTGATATTTCAGGTACTTTTAATAAAAAAGAAAAAGAGAGAGAAGGAGTTAATAAAATAATAAAAAATATATATATATATATATATTTTCTCTTTACTACATACAAGGAACAAGTGAAAAGTTTGCAGAGATTAGATCGGGAATTTGACTGACAGTTTGACCACCCATTGAAAGTCTAATAAATGTTTGTTTACCGGTGAGCAGAGGAGTGGTAAGATTACAGTTTCCAAAGAATTGTGGATTTGCATTGGTTGGAGTACAGAAGCAACTGATAGACATACCGGTAAGTCCATCAAGTAAGACTACCTCTAGATTCTCTAGAAAGAAGGAGACATCCCAAGTGGCAGGGAATCTACTCAAAGAATAACTACGGTATCCAATGGCAATGGGAGGTGCAAAGGTGGATTTGAACTGCGTGGGAATGATTGCCTTGGTAAAGATATTTCCTCCAATCGTCAACGATGACGCTGAGCATAGGTCATTGGTTATGAGTGATGGATTGGCAGATGAACATGTCTGGTTGACATTGGACAGTGGTGACATTGATATAGCAGTACTATTAAATTTGCTAAAGGCTGCATTCACAGTTTGGTATGGTGCTGTCATCGATGAAAGTGGATCCACTATAACACAATTTGCAGCTTGGGTGATATTCACAGAATAAGAAATTGATGGAAGTACTTCATTACATCTAATAGGAAAAGAGAGAGAGTAAGTAATTGATTGTTTCAAGATCTTTTGAATAGATAGGTAGATAGGTAGTTACGTTTGTTTTCTGTGAAAGAAGAGTGAATTTGGACTTGGAATGACACCAACAGCAGCAAAGTTGTATACTGTATCAGTGGCAGTATCACAAAGGGTAGGCTTTGTAGGTGTAATGATTGTGAAGACTTGTGGAGTGGTAGAACAGGTCAAGTCATTCAAAGCATATACATTTTTGTAAAAAGTTGTGTATTGTCCAGTATAGGTAAACTTGAATGAACTAGTTCCATCCAACGTTTTATAACACTTGTTCAATGGAAAGGTGGCCAATGAATTGGCTGAAAATGATGTAGCTGAACATGGAGTTCTCATCGCTATGAATCCTTGTCCTTGCACTACATTGTTCTTTTGCTGTAATAATACAAATATAATTATGAATAAAATACTAAAAATTCTATTCCTCATATTGTTGATGGGGGTGTTTTGTTATTATTTTGAATAAAAAAAAAAAAAGAGATAAAAAGAAATAAAGGAATAGAGTTAAAGTTACTATTGCTTTATAGGATTCCTCTAATACATCGCCGTCGCTCATGATAGGTCAGAACGTATATACGTCGAAAACATAGTATCCCCATGGTATCTAGAATTACGAGCTCCTAAAAATCGTCAACCGAATCGGATTCTAAAAAAGTCTTTGTTCGATTGACTAAAAGTGTATTCATCTCTGTGTTATATGTTTTTTTTTAAATACATGCTAATTATTTGTATTATGTTGTAGGTTTTAAAAAGATAAATGTAACCACACAGACCACAAGAATGAAGACCTAGGGGATGTATGAAAGGACATATACACAAAATCTCAACAATCATCAACAAAGTAATATCATTTTATATCGAATCCTGGGAGCAAGTCTGTTTCGATACAGTTCGCTCTCCAACACTACGTGAAAATTGTAGTCATGCAATCTTCCTAGCTCTTGCTGATCTGATAGAATACATTTACCTGTATTGAGATGATTGACATAGTTTTTGGGCAGTACTAGGTACAAGACAAGAGTTTATAGGAGCGTAAAAGGAACAAAGCATGAGTAAAAATCATAATGCCTTGCAACACGAGAGCAAGTTTCAATAGTCGTCTCTAGAATTCTTTCATTGTTTCCTAGCAAGCTGATCAGGACCGGAGCCACGTTGTTGTATAAACTATATATGGGTTCAGTCCCTATCAGCTTGTTGGTAAATAATAAGAATGTGTGCCCCCCGCTTTGGCACCCCTATCATCATTTATAAATCTAAAGAGGTATGAAATTATTATTATTATGATTATTATTGTGCAAGATATTATTAATATTATAATTTATTAATTTAGATAGACCAACATGTTGCTACGATAATAGTAAATAAAACAAGAATATTTGATGTGGTTGACAGTTGTAATAATCTATTTGATAATGAAACTACAACAGTGCTAGATTCTGTTGTTGCTTGAACAGTTGATGTTGAACTACTTTCTGAAATGGTATTTAAAGAGATCACTTGAATGTAATAGGTTGTATCTGATTGTAATCCTGTGAATTGGCAACTTGTAACATTTACACCTTGACATACTGTATTCCAATCGATTCCATCAATAGACACACCAGCAACATAATTATCGGCAATTGGTACTTGTGTCCAACTAGCTGATATTGAATTACTATCAGTTGATGTTGTGATGATTGTCTGTACCATAGTTGGTGTGAAGAGGATAGTTGTTGAGCTATCTGATGTCATTGCTCCATTACTTGCAATAACTTGAATAGAATAACTTTGTTTGGTTTGTTGTTGCATTTTTGAGAATGTATAGGTTGTAGCTCCACTATCGATTGGGAATCCATTGACCAACACCTGATAAGTTGTAGTAATCTGATTATTTCCACCAATAGACGAATAACTGATTGAAATACCAACATTATTTGGAATGATTCCGACTGTAACAATTGGTGATTCTAATTTTGGAATATATAAGATCGATGTCGAATTTTCTGATGTCAGCTGACCATTGGTAGCAACAACCTTGATGACATAGGTGCTTTGTGTTTTCTTTTGTTCATTTGAAAATGTATATGTTGCTTTCTTGGTGGTGTCTGCCGTTACAATGACTTGGTCGTTGATCGATACATCATAGGTGGTTGTGATTGATTGACTTCCTCCTGTTGAACTGTATGTCATATTTAATGTATCATAGTCCATCACTGTATTGATGATTGGATCACTAATAGAAAGTGGTGATATCTTTTGGGTGATTGTTTGTTTTGTTGATGTTGAGCCACTGTTGGATGCTGTTATGGAAATTGTGACTGTTGAATCTGGTGTAAGATTGTCAAATGTGGCAGTGTTGATTTTGGTGTATTGTAGAGCTGCTTGTCCGTTGACAGAGATAAAATAAGTTGTATCAACAGTTGGAATACCTCCAGTTGATTCAAATTGAATAGTGACTGAGCTGCTTGTAAACGCAGTCACCTTGAATACAGATATACTCGGAACTGAATATGCTACAATATTTGTTGATTGAGTTGTGAAATCAACATTATTGGTTGCTTCAACGATGATTGCATTTGATGATCCTGGGGGGACTGTGAATCTACAATTTTGAGCTGGACAATATGCTGCTAAAACAATGACCGTTCCATTCAATTTAACTTGATAGGTAGTTTGACCTGGTACACCTCCAGTAGCACTATAACTAAATGAGATGGTTGTAATCGTACTGACAATATTGTTGATTTGTGGTGTTGATAGTGTTGGGTATGTTGTAAAGTTGGTGGTTGTCAATGATTGACTACGTCCATTATTATTGGCTGTAATATTAAATATATAACCGGTTGATGGTGTTGTTGTGACGGTACATGTTGTTGATACGATATCCTGGCAATTGGGAACAGGTACACCATTGGCATTGACATAATAACGAGTGAGTGTTGGATCACCACCAGTACTCGAATAATTAATGACAATTGATTTGGATTTAACAACTGTCGATGTGACTGTTGGTGCATTTACTAGATCCCACAATTTAACAATTATGATGGAAAGGGTAGTTTCTTGTGCATTACTTGCAGATACCTTGATTTGATAGGTCTGGAAAGTAGTCAATCCACTAAACTGATATTGTTTGACTTGAGTATTTGTAAATGAGCTAGTACCATCCAACCAACCAGAATAGGTTGTTGTTGATTCTGGATTCTCACCACCTGCTGCAATATAATTGATGCTGATTGAAGTTGGATCAGTGGTGTAGGTGATGACTGGAGAGAATAGGAATTGTGGGAGTAGTTGAGACATTGTCTTTTGTACACTTGTTGCTCCGTTGATCGTGACGGTCACACCAACAGTAACAGTACTTCCAGCAGTCAATCCAGTAATATTACATTCCTTGACAGTAATTCCATTACATTGCGGAACAATGACCCCATTTGAATAAACTTGATAGGTCGGTACAAACCCACTCATACCTCCACTATAAGAATATGAAACTAAAATTGAATCCTTTGCAATTCCAATTATATCAAATGATGCTATTTCAGGTACTATAAACAAGAAGAAGGAAAGAGAGAGAGAGAGAAAGAGTTAGTAAACTATTACTTTTTAATTTTAAATAAATATTATTTTAACATACCAGGAGCAAGAGAGAAATTAGATGAAGATAGATTAGGTCTTGGAGTGACAGTTTGACCAGCAATTTGTAGTCGAACAAATGTTTGTTTACCGATGAGTAGAGGGTCGGTGATATTACACTTTCCAAACCAATTCAAACTTTTCTCATTTTTGTAGCAATCAAGAGTTGCTCCAGTGGCTCCATCGGTCAAGTACATGTATGCATCAAAGGAGGTAAAGGTAACGGGGGGTTTTGGCAATTGGTATCCATTATAACCAAATGACAATGGTGCATTAAAAGATGGGTTATAATCAGTGAGTATAAGGGCAGATGTGAATATGCTTCCAGCAATGGTCACTGAAGATGATGAACACTGGCTAGTCACCACCTTGGTGGGTGCAGTGGAAGGACACGAACCATTGACAGTCGACAAACCAGTCATGTCCAAAGAGTTGGCAGAACTCTGAGTAAAGCTTGACCAATAAGTTTGAAATGGCGAAAACAACGCTGACAATGGATCCATTTGAAGACATGGAGTAACACCACTAGACAATAATAAAGCATAATTTATTGGATATTGATCATTACACCTAAATAAATAAAGATAAATATATATATTAGTAATTAGATTAGTTTATGTTTGTATAATTTATGTACATACGATCTTTTTCTTTCAAAATAAGCAGCACCAATAGAAGGAATGGCATTGACAGTGATGAGTTCATATTGAGTATCAGAGTTGGTATCACAAACACCCTTTTGAGATGGTGAGCTGATGATTATGGTTGGTGGAGTTGTAGCTGTGACGCAAAGGAGATCTTTAAATGTATTCTTGTACGTGATGGCATTGATTCTAGTAAACTTGAACGAACTGATTCCGTCCAACGAAGGATAACATTGATCGATTGGGAAGGTGGCAAGTAATAAACCAGTGTCGAATGTTGCCGTACACGGGGTTCTCATTGCAACAAGTCCTTGTCCTTTAACTCCATTATTACTTATCAATACAATGATCAAAGTAAGTATTGAGATTAAAATGTATCTATTCATTCTCTCTATCTCTACTATCTATCTCGATTAGTCTATCTGATCTGTCATACATGATGACAATCACGAAGTGTCTCGAGTTACTATGGTGATTCTCGTTTCATGGTTATTCATCTTAAGTCGGTTGTTTGTATCTTACAAAGATTGTTTTTCCGAGCTCGATGAATACCGTTGAAAACCTGGGCGTTCATTTTTTTCTTTTTTTTTAATTATTTTTTTTTTCTAATATTTACATTTATTATTATTATTATTACTATTCCAATTTTAATTTAGATAAATTAATATTTTCATTAATCATGTGTGTGTGATTTGTTGTTGTTTATGTTAATTGGTTTGACGATTTCATTTCATTACATTTTTTTTTTCTTTTTTCTTTTTTTTACTTCTTTTCTTTTTCTTATTGAATTCTGGTATAGAAAGTATATTGCTTATTTCTTCTATAAATAAACAAGAGAATAGTAAAGATGATGGTGAGAGCAAGAAGAGGGAGGAGAATACCAAGTACGATTGGGAGGGCTGGAGAATGATGTGGGTTGGATGGTAGGTTCTTTCCAAAATAGACAGCTTGAATGGATTGTGAGTACTGGTAGATGGTGAATTCATAGGAATCGAGTGATGGATCGATATTGGTAGAGTTAAAGTCACCTTCGATTCCGATTTGTGAGGAGATCAAGTTGTAGCCAGAGACACCAAATTCGGGGGGTGCAGACACATTGAATAGGAGGTCACCATAGGCACGGATTCCATTGACTACTCCAAGAGCAGAGTATGTGGTGTTGGGACCAATACCACCGATATTGATGACAGATCCATCAAATAGATCCAAGTAACCGGTGATGGAGATGGCACAGTCGGCCTGGATACTGATAGTACCAGAGTTGTTGACGTTGGAGTGGATAGAGGTCAATGTATTCGAGTTGATGACACCTTTGTTTTCGAGTATGTATGCCCACACGGCGGCAAGCTTGTCGAGTTGCATCACACTGTCGGCCGATGGCATTGTCAACTTGGCATTGTTGCATATGAGACGGTCGAGCAAATAGATACTACCGTAATTGTCGATACCCATGTAGAGTTGCAGTTCAACGGGGATGATGATACTGCTTTGTGGCTCGACAATGATATGCGAGTTGAGTTGCATCGTGTTGACAAATGAATTGGCTCCTACCAACGTGATGGTGCTGTAGATACCTCCTTGTGGGTGCTTAATCGTGTCGGTCCAGATGTTGGTAATGGTGGCGTTGGTCAGTGTAATGTTAGAGTTGCCATTGAGCATGATATAACCCTCGAGGTTTTGTTGCTCCTGTGCATCGTCTCCAGACAAGACAAAAGTACTGTTTATGAGAGCAAAGACGGATGATGGAGGAAGTACGAGCGAGTTTATATACGACGCACCATTGTCGATGATCAACTTTGCGTTTTTGCCGAATTGCAAGATGGTAGTATTAAAGGAACCGCCGGTCGAGGTGACATTGGCGTGATCATTAAGCGACAATGATGCACCGAGTACAGCACCGTTTATGATGGTATTATTACCGTAGATATTGACGGTGGTAGTGGCGTGGATCGACGCGTTGACACCAACAAACAGATTGTAAAAGTTGGCAATATTAACAATCAACTGAGAGTCGTCGTGGCAATTGACCATGCCATTGGCGATAAACAGAGATGCTGTGACAGCAGAGTCATCGTAGATGTTGAGTACAGAGGTGGGGTCGATGGTCAACGAGTTGTCACTGTTGAATACATAGGTGTAGAATTTAGAGTTTTGACCAAGATGCACGTTGGTGTTGTTGTTAAAGTAGACCTGGTCGGCATAGATGGTCGTGTCGTTGACCACCTCGAGGTTGACGCTATCAAATGTCACGTTGGCTGTGATGTTAAAGACAGAGACATCAAAGACTAGAGATGTCGACTGACCACCAAACACCAACAGACCTTCCATATCAAACTGAGTCAAGTTGCTAACAACCAACTTGATGACCTCTGAGTGTTCGCTCAAGTCGATACGGAAGGTATAGCCGACGCTGTTTTGAAATGCATCTGGTACATCCCAAAAGCTAATGTCACCAAATATATCACATCCTTCAGTGTAGGTGGCATTGATAACACATGCATCTGAGAATTGAAAGTTGGTTGTACTGAATGTAGCTGCTTCAACTCTACCTATACCTTGACTAGTACTACTGTTATATAGTGTTATTACAAAAAGTAATACAATTGTAAAATAAATACTATTATTACTCTTCATCTTCTTATTTCTTTATACAATCTAATTATATACTTTAAATTTTAAAGAATATTCATCTTTTGGGTGTGAAAGAGATTTTCACCAATTTCTTTTTTTTTAATATTTTTTTTAATTTTTTTTTTTTTAAAAAGATTGATGGCTATCCAAAATCCCTATCTTATTCTTGGTAACTAACAACCTATTATTAAAATATTGATCTTTAAAGTAGAAATGTCCAATGATAAAAAGAAATTGATAATGTTCCTCTTTGAAAGGGGATAGTGCATCGCTGTCACAAATTAAAACAATTATACTATTTCTTTATTTGACACAAGAGAGTTTCAAACAACTAACCACTTTAAAATTGACATATGATGGTTGACAACATGATAAACCAAGATGATGATGGTCAGGGGATGAAGATGGAAGATGATGGAAGATGGATGACAGAAGAAGGGATAGTGGATGATGAATGAAAGAGATCAAAGTAAACAACAGGTAGTACAGTATAAATAATACTTTGACCTTAACCTTTTATAATAATAATAATAATATACTACCCTAACTTAACTAGACTTATATTTCTATTCAAGAACAGAATAACAAAGTAACTCTGATCAAAAAGTCAGAGTTGTCAAAGTGGTGTGGTTGCTTTTTTATTATAAAAGTTTTAATTTTAATAAATTAAAGTTACAAACCCATAAACCATCTTTGGATGCATACCTTTATATAGACACATATTTCTATAGTTGTAATTTCACAAATATTTGTTACAAATAATTATTCTGGTGAATTAATTTATTTTAAATTCGTCAGAAAAATAATATTGATTTGGAGGGTAAAATAATTAATAAATAAATAAAAAAGAGAGGGAAAAAGAGAAAGAAAGAAATAGAAAAATATAGTTTTGGTTGTTCCCGTGGTTGTGTAGACCATGGGAACAGTCCAAAAAAAAAAAAAAAGCCCCCAATGCGATGAAACTCGACTTACATGGGGCTTGCGCACACGAAACGACGGCGGAATGGATGGACGATGGACTGGACACGGACGACGGCAACGGAACAAGGAATGTATAAAAAGAAAAGAGTAGGAAGAGAGGGAAACCACTTGGGTAAAAGTAATTAAATATCTTTTTTTTTTAGAAAAGAAGAGGATTGTAATTGGTTGTTGTTGTAATTATTATTATTATTATTAGTTATTGTTGTTGGTTGTTGTTATTATTATTATTATTATTTTTTTAGGTGTTGTTGTTGGTTGTTGTAACTATTATTATTGTTGGTTGTTGGTTGTTGGATTATTATTATTATTATTATTATTATTAATATTAAAATGTTGTTATTACCAAAAGAGTTGAAGAGAATGATTGAAAGAGTAGTGTACCTATAAAATAAAAAGAAAAAAAGAGTAAGTAAATTCATATTTAAATATCAACATTTGATACGGCGTTAATTATGTTGGTCTACGAATGGTGATTGTTGCTTGGAAACTGGTACTCTTGATCACTGGATTTGGGACGGGCGACTGACTGGCCGATTGGTGATGATTGAATGATTGATTGGTGAATGATTGTGGGTGATTGGTAAAGATTGTAATATTATTATGATTATTCTTTGTTGTAATTGGAATGTTATTATTTGTTGGTGAACAATGAGGGGGTTGTATGTGCATTGAAGAGGTAAAAAAGGAGTGGATTGTGACATATAATATATTGTTGTTATTATTTGTATTATTTAATGGCTGTGGATTGAAGTGATTGACAAAGATTGTAATATTATTACCATTATTGGTTGGTGAACAATGAAAAGGTTGTCTGTCTGTGGAAGAGGAATAATTGTTGTTGTTATTATTATTAATATTTTTTGTTTGATTGTTGGTTGAAATGAATGATTCAACATGGTTGAAACATGAGAATGATGATGGTGTGTTGTTGGTGTTGGCATAGTTATTATTATTGTTGTTGTTGTTGTTTGTATTTTTGAATTTAATGTTGTTATTATTATTTGATTGATGACTATGAAGAAGAATTGATTGGTTTTTAACATGGTCTAAACATGTTAATGAATTTGTGCCGCTACTGATACTGCTGTTCAATTGAACAGACACCTCCTGATCTAAATTAATATTGTTGGTGGTTGGTGAATGATTTGGTGATGGACAATGAAACAAAACATCACTAGAGTTTAATGGAATGGGTGACATGGATGAGTGAATGGAAATGATTTCGATTTGTTGATGATCGTGGTTGTTGGTCGTTGAATGATTCGATGGTATTTGAAAATGAGATTGAGATAAAACATTTAAACCAAAAGGAGTTAACATTGATGAATTAAATGATAAATTATTATTATGATGATTTTAAAATAAAATGGTTGATTGATGTTCAACATGGTTGAACAATGAGAATAAAGATGATGTATTGTTGTTCAATTGAATTGACTCCTCCTCTTCAGCTAAAAGAAAATGGTTGGTTGTTGAATGATTTAAGAGTAATGGTGATGATTGACAATAGGTCGAAACATCACTTGAATTAAACGGAATGTACATGTATAATGAACGAAGAAGTGAGACAGATTCATTATTATTATTGTTGATGTTAATAATATTATAATAAATGATTGAAATGTTGAATGGATGTTCATCATTGTTGTTGGACAATGAGATTGATGTTAAAGGATAAAATAAAATTGAACTCTGGTTCATTGATGGAAATTGAATAAACTTCTCCTCCTCTTCTTCTTCTTCCTCCTCCTCATCCTTTATTGAATGATTTAATATTAATGGTGATTGTGATGGAAATGGTAACACAACAATATCGCTTGAATTATATTGAATTATTATGTCATAGGACATTGATGGAAAACTAATGATTGGATTATTGTCTAAACAAGTGTTTGAAATTGTATTGTTGCTGGTGCAGTTTCTGTTCAATTGAACAGTCATCTCCCTTTCTTCTAAAAGAATGAGGTTGTTGGTTGTTGAATAATTTGAAAGTAATGGTAATGGTAATGGTTGTGATTGACATTGGGACACAATAATATCACTTGAATTATTAATAGATAATGCGTGAACAAATGAAAAGGATTTATTTTTATGAGCAATGGAAATGATTGGAATTGGTTGATGTTCAACATGGTTGAAAGATAAGGTGTTATTGCAAACATAATTATCGTTGTTGATGCTAATTGATTGAAGTTCAACATGGTTGAACGATGAGAATAAAGATGATGATGATGATGATGCGTTGTAAACAACACCATAATGGTTGTTGTCATGAGAAACAACAAACGAAACAAAGATTGACAAAATAAAGATGATAATGATTAAAGAGTGCATAATAAATTTGAGAGGAGAAAAAATATGGATTGATAGTAAATTGGTATTGATTGATTGATTGATTGAGAGTTGTAAAGGCTATAAAGGATGGTAGAAAAATAAAGAGTAAATTTAATGTTAATATTTTTTATATAGTACAGAGAGAGAGAGAGACAGAGATAGCAGAGAGAGAATTAATTATTTGTATATATCATACTATTTTTGAAACAAGTTTCATAAAAGAAATAAAAAGAATGATCACACTGATATAAAGAGAGTGAGAGTGAGAGCAAAGGTTGGTTGGGTAAAGCAAGAAGTGTTATTTATTTTTAATGAACCATATTGTATTAGTGTGTGCGTAGTGGGGGGTTTATATATCTGATACGAATAAAACTATTTTTCATTGATGCATGATCATGATGAAGTTTGTGGGGGGGGGGAGGGGGGTATGTCTCAAAGTTGTCTGAACGAGTTTGACTAAAAAGGTAAATGCAATCAACAGACCAATTAAAACTAAACTCTAACAACTCGAGAGACAGCAGCAGAAAGATACAACAATTTGAAAATAATTTACATTTACTATTAATTTATTTATTTTAGGTTTAATTTAGAAAATAGATAATAATATGAGCGATACTACAAATAAGAGGATTGGTGTGGTGGCTGATGAAGAAGATACACAGGCATCGGTTGATGGTGCAGTCTTTGATGTGGCTGAGAATATTGGATCGATTTCAACAAAATCTCCAAATGATGGAACTTGTATGCCAATGTATTGGATACCTGCTGTTGATTGTGTTGTTGAATCGACTGATGTGATTGCTTGGATTGATGTTACAATTGTGTTGGTGTCATCGATATTGGCACGGTTGCTGAATGATGCCATCATTGTACCGACTGGTGTGTCAATGCTATATGATTTGATGGTTGTTGTTGATGATGTATCGTATTGATATTTGGTGGTTTCATTGTCGCAGTTGTATTCAATTTGTGATGGTGATTTGAATTGGTAGATAATTCGAAGTGATGAGTTGGTTGATTCAAATGTAAAACGATCAATAGTCATAAAGTGTTTGATAGAGTTGGATGGAATAACAAGATCATCACCAAGGTATGATTGAACAGATGCTGTTGAATGTTTGGTGACATAGAGTTCAATGTTGTGTGTGGTTGATGTTGAGTTGTAAACGGTTGTATTACCGTACTCATCATATACGTCCCATTTGGTGAGTGGAATAGTTTGAACGATAGTATTGTCTTGACGAACTTCTTGAATGTGTGAGAGTAGGAATTCTATAGAGTTGTTAAACATTGTGAATTTACCTCCTGACACTGATCCAGAGTCACCCGACACCAATGATTGACTGTATGTGATTGAACAATCAGCTCCACTGTATCCATTGTTGCATTGACATTGTCCAGAGCTGACACAGGTTCCATGTGATGAACATGAGTTCAAACATTGTAACAATGTATATTTGAATACTCCTGCAAAGGTAATTTCATCTGAATTTGCAGAAATAATAGTGACATCCAAAGTTGAAGTGGCATTGTCACCGACATTACTATCAAATGTACAAGTAATATGTTGTGCATCGACAACTACAGCATTACCACATTGACTACCTCCAATGGTAACATCAGATGGTGGATAGAATTCATTACCAACGATGGTGACGACACTTGATACGAGGTAGAATGAAGATGAAATCGATGAGAGAACTGGTGGATTACTTGTGTAATAGGTTGTTGTGTACGCATAGACAGAATCAATTGATATTTCAATATCAGATTCAAATTGACTTGCATCACCAAGAGTACATTTCAACTTGGTTCCATCACTTCCATTGGCAACTGGTGATGTACATTCAGCTCCTCCAATATCAATTGAAATGATAGTTGGAGTTGAATCTAATCTTGTAGTCCAAAGGTATTTACCAACTAATTCAACAACACCTCCATATGGTGAGGTTGATGTGATAGAGTTAACCAATGCCTTGATTTTAAGTGGTTGAGTATTACTATCTTGACCATCTACATTGACTATAATATCTCCATTCTTTGATGGACCTGTCAATTTAGCAGACAAAGTTGTTGGGTTTACCAATGTTGTTGCAATGATTTGATTGTTGATTGTAATCTTTGCAATATCAACTCCAAGATTGGTACCTGTGATCATTATAAGGTCACTATTACCTTGTTGAGCAATATTGCTGATTAAAGGTGCAATATATGAGAATTGGACTGTTGATGGTGATTGAGCATCATCGATATAGACAATGACATTATGATTGACACCAGAACCTTGAGGTGAAGTACAAATAACTGATGCTCCATAGGCGAGAGCATTGGTACATTGTTGATTTTGATCAATGACTACTGTGACATTGGTTGGTGATCCATCCAATCTTGTTGGATATAAATACGATCCAACAATAGTCAATTGGTCACCTGTTGTTTTAACTGGCTTTGAAACTTGAGTGATGAGTGGCTTGAATGCATATGGTACTGGATTTGAAATACGACCATCAGCAAGCTTGACAGTGATTGGTGCATTTCTCAACGATGAGATTAAAGGCACCACTAGGAATGTACTGTTGACATAGACAAAGTTTTGGATTTGTAAATCAGCAAAGAAAATTGATACACCTGCTTGTGATACTCCAAAGTTCTTTCCAACAATAGATGCAGCTGAATTATCATTGGCGACGACGACCGAAAAGATGACAGGTGCACCATAGGCAAAGTTGATAGTGTCAATTAATGAACCGACTTGAACAGAAACTTGAATATTAATTCCATTGCCTGGTGGAGCTTGACAAGTGATATAACCCATATCTTGGTCATCGGCAATCTTTACGACATTGGTACATTGGGCATTGTTTGGGAATGTGACTATGATTGGAATGGATGATCCAGTTGCAGTTATATTATTAAGATAGAGACCACCAATCTTGATTTCACCACCTTCTGCATCAGCTGATGTGATTGATTTGAGGATTGGTCCAATTGGTTGCGAGTATAGACCTGATACTTGACCAGAGACATTGACCACGATGTAATCATTGAGGACAAACTTTGGTAGATTTGCAGTGATTAAAGAGTCACTGACAACTACTTGATCTAATTGAACAGTTGGTTGAGTGCCCAAATATTATTTGGACGTTTGTATTGACGGCTCCAAATGAAGTACCAATGATAGAGATTGTTTGGGTGTAGTGATTGGCAACCGATGATTGAACGATTGAAGTGATGACTGGGATTGGATACGAGAATACAAAGGTAGCACTTTGACCATCGATGGTTAATTTCAATGTATGATTTGCTCCAGTACCAGCTGGCAGTGGGAATGTTAATGTAGTACCTTGCATTGAAATTTGTGATGTGATTGGAGCACCACCGTCAATTTGGATAGAAGTAACTGTAGGACTTTGGTTGGCTCTAAGTGGTGTAAAGTAGTTACCAAGCAATGTTGTAATGGATCCTTGGGTTTGTGCACCAGAAATAGCAGCGATACGTGGAGTGACGACAAATTGAACAGAGCCTGACACTTGTCCAAACACGGTAACGGCGATTGGACCATTGGTGACTGCAGGTGGAACAGTAAAGATGATGGTGGTATCGGTGACAGATTGAAGAACAATATTTGTTAATGCTACAGATACCATTGATAGAGTGTTACCAAAATTCTTGCCAACAACAGTAACAGTTGCATCGGTTGTATTTTGAGTCAAAGACGATGAGGTAATGGTTGGGCGTGGGAAATTGACATACATTGTCTTTGGTTTATATTCAATAGAAACAGACAAAGTGACCATAATGCCACCAAGACCACCTGGATATTGACAAGTTAACGTGGCTCCAGTGGCAACCGGGTTGGTACATGGAGCGCCACCCAACGTTACTGTTACATCAATTGGTAATCCTTGGGAATCGACACTATTTAAGTATTGACCACTGATAGTGATCGTACCACCAAGTAATGAAAGAATCGAGACGCCAGTGAGTACCGGGTTCAAGGAAAATCTAAGGTTTGTTGGAGCCATTTGATTACCAACACGAACACTGACAACTCCATTCTTGAGGTCTGCAGGAGCACTAAAAGTTAATCCACCGCTGACTAATGAAGCTGGAACATATTCTTGACCATTGGCAACTACCGTGATGACTGACAAATCACTGCCAAAATTGGTACCCATGACGGAAATGGTAGAACCTGAGCCTTGGGTAACAGATGTGAGGGCTGGAGCAGCATAACTAAAGATGAAAGTATCGGATATGAGTCCATCGGACGTGACTGTCAATGGGAGGTTAGCACCAACACCTGCAGGTGCCGAAACAATTAAAAAGGAGGCAACAAAGTTGGCAGTAGAAGAACTGACCGAAGCTGGCTTGTTGTTGAATAAAACCGACATGGTAGTGGAGGTTCCATTGGCACGAAGCATTGAAAGGTATCTTCCAGTGATAGTAATTGGACTACCAGCTACTGGGACAATAGGTACAGAGGTAATGGCTGGTTTGAAATGGACTGGGAATGGGGTGGCTGAAAGCCCATCTACACTAATTGCGATAAATCCATTAGAGGTGAGTGCAGATAGAGTGGCGATGATGGTAGTATCATTAATGAAAGTGATGGTGGGGGAATAGGTGCTAACGGTCATGGTGACCACATTCTTGTCGGAACCAAAATTGAGACCTTGGATGGTGATACCAAAATCAGTGTTGCTTTGGATGACCGAATTGATCACTGGAGCACCCAAGACATAGTAAAAATTGGTACTGCCTAAACCATTGATGTTGACAACAGCATTTGTGGCTCCATATCCAGGAGGAGCACGACAAATGAGATAGGAAAAGGAAGCGTCCAGAGATGAAGAAAGAATGGGACAATCGATTCCGCCAATGGTGACCGACGCTGAGAGTTGGTTGCCTTGGCTGTTGAATGGATATATGGAATTACCTGTGATGGTGATGCTGGAACCACCAAGAGTATTAACTACACTCATTGAAAGGATGTTTGGAACAAAGGAGAGACTATATGGAGGTGATAATTGACCGTCGATCGATAATTGAGCTGGTCCATTCAAAACATTGATATTGGTCCATTTAAAGACGGCAGAGGTTTGAGTGAGGGGAGTTGATGATGTCGTATCGGGAGCAATAGAGGTATTGGTTCCAAGTGGAAAGGTGGGTGCAACTAAGCGAACCTTGTCAACATTGACACCAAAGCTTGTACCCGTAAAAAGGACCACGTTTGTACCTGTGGCTGTGTTGGTGATGATTGGAGCCTGGTACCACAACTGGTAAGGAGCAGAAGCATAGCCAGCTACCGTTTTGGCAATCACTGGCATTAATCCGGTTCCGGCTGGAGCGGACACTGTCATGGTAGCAAGAACGGTATCTGATCCGGTGGTAACAGCAGTCACTGGTACTACGACACCTTTTAAAAGGACTTGTGGACTGAGGGTGGGTCTGAAAAAGTAACCTGACAGGGTGATGGGTCCTCCAGTGGTAGGAGGTATGGTACACGATGAGATAACGGGGTTCAAATACAATAAAAACTGGTTAGATGCGGCACCGCCGACAATGACAGTGAATTGGAAATCTTGACCATAGGTTGGCATTGAAACATTTAATTGTGTATTGGGCACCAAAATGACAATATTGGTGACGTCGATATTTGATTTTAAAACAATGATCGATGGATCAGTTCCGAATCCTGTTCCAGTAATGATAATGCTAGTTCCATCTTGTTTCATATCGGAAATGGTTGGCTAAAATAATAAAAAAGAAAATGAATATATTGTTTTTTTTCTAAACTAAATCAAAATAAAGTTGGTTTAACACATACTTGAGCAAAAACTAAATTTAAACATGATAATAAAAGAACTACCAAAAATAAATTTTTGTGAGATGATATAATATCTAAAAGTTTCATCATTCTATAAATATATATTTGTATTGGAAACAGGAATAGAATTAGTAATCAAAAAAGATTATTATATGTTTGTTGTATCTTTTCTTTTTTTACCTTTATAAAAAATGAGATAGATAAATAAATAAATAATGATTTAATAATGAAATGATAATAATTTTCACGGTTTATAAGGTATGGTCGAGGGAAGTTCTTCCACAGTTTAAAAAAGATGAAGAAATCTGAAAGCCATAGTCATTAGTAAAATTGGGACGGATCGGTGAAAAAAAACAGAGACCATTCTACGAAAAGGTCATAGAACGGAGAATTTTGTTATGGAACAAGCCCCTAAATCCCTTACCATGTCTCCTGTTGATTGTTCTCCAAAACATCTTCCACATTAGATTTACGGTTCATCGAAGAATTTATCAATCAGTAGAATGTCTGTTTTTCTCTCTCTACGATCATCATCTTGATCAGCGATCATTATTTTTGTATCATCTGTAATTTACAACGAGATAAATGAAATGACATAGAGAGTTAGATTCTTTTGACAGTAATGCTACACAAATATGTACGTGTGAACGTAAGAACTCCTCTTAATGATACTTTCTATAATCAAGAGAACGAGGAGGTTAATAACTTTGATATTTTAAAGAACATGATCAGATAGAAAGAATTGTACCTGCCTCTATCTTTCTAGCTATCCATATGATTGACGAGTGAAACAACTAAAAGATTTTGATTTTTGCAAAACCAGAGTACTAATTCATTGGTAATATTATTATTATTTTATATTTACTAGTATTGATAACTTTATTATAATAACTATAAACTCAACTATACCTAAGTGTCTGATATCCGTTAATAGCAACGAAAAAAGCTATCCTATCATCTAGGATTTATATGAGACCAAAACTCGAGCTTTTTTCGTTTTTCAGTGGTTTCCTAATTGGGGTTGGTGGTTCCTAATTGGGAATCGATCAAATTTTGAATTATATTTTTTTATATTTTGAGACATTTTCTAATTATTTGTTTGGGCATTTATTTAAACAAAGATAATAAATTAATTAAATTAAAAGGTGTATAGAATGATTTCCTATCAAAAATGGAGAAGAATCATTCATTATAATCATTACCAAACAATTATAGATTATTTTACATATAAATTATTGACTTGGCGCGAAAAAATTAAAAAAATTAATATGGAGGTAAGTGTCACCATATTTTTAAGCTATCATGTGCTGTTCAACCATTCTAATGTATTTTCATTATAGATCATAGAACAACAACAACAACAACAACAACCACCACAACAACCACAACAACAATCATTTGAAAGCATTATTTGTGACATTGAAAGAGAGGATATTAATCAACAAAACGATGTATTGGGTCGCAAGATTAGATTAGACTGTTACAAAGCACCAACAGTAGATTGTCTCGAAGATATTGTCATTAAAGTAGATAATTTCATCAAAGAATCAACAAGAAAGGAAGGAGAAGAAGAAGGAGAAAGAAAGGCTGTTTGTCGTCTAAGAGATGGTCTCATTCAAATCAAAGACAACCTCAAACCTCTCTGCAGCATCGGATGATAACAGTACTCTTCTTGGTAAACTTTTCTTCAGCACAAAGGCAGCAGGAAACCTTTTCCGTATCGTAGCAAAGAGATCAATCATTGGTGATTCTGACAAGGTAGTAGGAGTGGAATATTTGGTAATCGTTTATCATACAAGAGCTTGGATGCGTCCTTCAAAAATGCCTCACCATCGTCCCGAGGTCAATCAATTCAACAATCCTTCACAACAACAACAACAACTCAAAAGAAAAGTACGCGAAGATAAAACCATCATCAGAGACGAGGAGGAATCGGTAGATGAACCAGCAAAAAAGAAACCCAACTACCCTGCAACAATCTTCTTTGACTGTATTGAAGAAAAAAGAGAAGTAGTAAGAGTAGATGGAAAGAAATACGAAGATGAAGTCGCATTCAAAGATGTTGATGAACTAATGGATTGGTATCACTTCATGCGCCTCAGAGATTTCCTTACCATGTCACAAACCATCATCGCCGATCGTTTATTCAAAAGTGATAACAAACAATGCACATTACAACTTGGGTCTGCACCAAAATATCTAGGAGACTTCCTCGAGGAACAGAACCCAGATAAATGCAACACAACCTATCACAAATATATGTTATCGGAAACAAGAGTAAGAAAAGAACATCTATCTTATGCAGAGGTATATAATTACCATTTTAGTGCAAACTATTCAAATAAGTTCCTACCACCTCTACACGATTCACTTTGGCATGGAACAGTTAAAACGGAAATGGATGGAGACATTAAACACAGATATTTTATTAGATATACCAACGCAATCTTTCACATCAACACTGCAACAAAAATTGTTTCAGTTACTTTAAGATTTGATGTAGAACTAATAGTACTCCAACCAAATCTAAATAAATATATTATGGTCAAAGCTTAGATATTATCTGAATTAACTCTATTAGATATACTTCCACTTGGTCCTTTTTTAGAAGATCTTGTTGTTCTTGGTGATCCTCTTGCAGGTGATGTTATGGTCTAAATCAGCATCCAATTTATTAAATGCATTGAAGTTCATGAATGAACTATCTATTTACTATATTATAACATATATATAAATCATCTATTTACTAGTATTAGATAATAATAAAACATCTCCTCTGATAACCCTTTATTACATTGTGAACTTCTATTACATGTTGGAGATCTAACAGAGTTTTATCAATCCAAAGTAAAAATTATAAGGTGAAAATAAAAATAAAAAAAAAATAAAAATTCCAAAAAGAGGAAAGGCGCCAATTGTTGGTGTCAACATTCGTCATGCACGGTTCGACAAAAAAAACGACAATATAATATTAATAATTAAAAAACAATTTATTTCTCTCTCCTCTTTGTAGTTATAAAAGTTGGAAGTAGTAAATGAAAAATGACTATCAAATTTATATTTACAAGTTTATATAATATTATCCCTCCTCCTCCACCACCACCGAATCGTCATCGATTGAAACAACAAAAAAAAAAGGAGAATCATAGTTGGAAAATTTATTGGAGAATGGAATCCTTTGAAATATTATCAAGGGAACTTTTATTCATGCAAAATGGTCTTTATAAATATAAATATCTTTGATTCAAGAAGAAGGAAAATCTTCAAGAGATAATGTACAGTAGCCTCCATTATATGTGTCTAGAGAATTATATAATGTTAAATAAGTAATTATATTTTATTTAAATAGAGTATAAAAATAATCGATAGGTAAGTTTTTAAAAATACATGTAAAATAATAATATTATTATTTTTTGTTTGTTATTAATTATAATATTAATAATTTTTTTTTCTAATATTATATAGATTATCGGAAATATATTTAGTTTTATAATAAACGTATTGTGGTAGTTTATCAGTCAATGTATATTGAACAAATCTTAATTTAAAACCAACAAATTGAGTTTTATCCAAAAGAGCAGCACCAAGATTGATAGTGATCGATTCAAGATTGGGAAGATTCTTGAATAGAGTTTGTTTGGATTCGTAGTACCAATCGCCAGAGAACCAAGTATAGTTTTCTTTGAACCATCTCAACCCAAACATCGTCTTGATATATGGTTCCCAATAATAGGATTCACTACACAAATAGACTCGTTGTAACTTCTTCCAATCAAAAGAGACAATGTCATCTCTTTCACGTGTGGCTCCCCATCCCATAGGTCTCTCTTGATGGTTGCAGGTGAGAAATAGTGTTTTCACGTTGGGGAACTGTTGGAGGAGTTTGACAGTTTGGGTGGTGATGGCTATGGTTTCAAGTTGCTGTTTGACATAGTCTGGCATGAAGGTGAGTAACCCTGGCAAGGCAATCGGGTCGAGTAGAACGAGCTTTCGGATAGTTTTTCGAGTGAACAATTGTGGTTCGATAAACGCGCCCTGGCAGCCATCGAGAAACTCGAAATCAACCAAGTTGGGCAACACCGTGTCTTGTTGGAAAAAGAGTTTGCACATGGTCTTGGTGATTGGTCCAGATGTGGTGATGCTTACACTGGTCAAATTTGGCATGAGACGTGTCATCTTTTGAAGATGTACCATCGTAAACGTGTTGGACAGTGTCTGGAACGACTCGACGTGATGCAACGTGGATTCAGCCAGATGCGTCTCTTGCAACACTTCTTCGGGCTTGTTAATGTTGAGCTTGAGTTTTCTCAGTCGCTTGATGACCGACCATTGCTTGGCCACCGATTGCCACAAATACTCGGCTTCACCAGTACCCTTGATCGTCAGACAGGTGAACAAGTTGTTCGAAAAGAATTGGTACATTTGCTTTGATATCAAACTCAGATCCATTCTCCAAGGGGTGTATAACTTGACCCCCTGGTTTGGTACTTGTTTGTGGATATCGAGGCCGTTGAGCATTATATTTGGAACACCCTTTTTAAAGTGTACCAAACATGGTGTTTTCAAGATGGCTGATGGTGGGTTTGCCTTGTTACCTAGTGCACCAGTAACTCCTCCAGCTCTGAACGTTAAATCCTTGCAAATACATTCATTGCTGCTGTGATAGGCATAGGTCAATATCTTGGTGATCAAGATATATGGCAACGCATAATCGACGGCGCCTCGGTGATACTTGTTGAGCGGATTATCATCAACCAACTTTGTTTGATACCATTGTTTCTCCTTTAACCTTTGTACAATAACTGATCTCAGATTCGATCTATTCCTTGGTTTTGGTATTGATAGATTTAATTCTCCACATATTTGAATTAGTTCTTCTATATCATAACATCCTAATATATAATCTGTATACATCATTTTTTTAAAAACAAAGAAAGAAGATAAAACAGTTTGATTAATGAATGAGGATATTTTAACCTTTGTTGATCGTGTGATCAATCGAAAAAAAAAAAATTTAGAAAAAATCTTTCTAAATATAGAACTAAGCAAGATGAACAAACAATCATTTAAAGTATAACGGCGCCGCGAATACCAGTACATATTAATTAATTATTAATTATTTTTATTTATTGTATTTAAATGCATTAAAAAACAAGTGAGATAATCGAAACGACAATGGATAGAAGTAAGATTGGTGTGGTGATGGATGAAGATGAAATAACACATGCATCGGTTGATGGGGCAGTCTTTGAAGTGGCTGAGAATATTGGATCGATTTCAACAAAATCTCCAAACGATGGAACTTGGATGGCAATGTATTGGACGCCTGCTGTTGATTGTGTTGTTGAATCGACTGATGTGATTGCTTGAATGGATGTTACAATTGCGTTGGTGTCATCAATATTGGCACGGTTGCTGAATGATGCCATCATTGTACCGACTGGTGTGTCGATAGTATATGATTTGATGGTTGTTGTTGATGATGATGTATCGTATTGATATTTGGTGGTTTCATTGTCGCAGTTGTATTCAATTTGTGATGGTGATTTGAATTGATAGATGATACGAAGTGATGAGTTGATCGATTCAAATGTAAAACGATCAATAGTCATAAAATGTTTGATAGAGTTGGATGGGATGACAAGATCATCACCTAGGAATGATTGAACAGATGCTGTTGAATGTTTGGTGACATAGAGTTCAATGTTGTGAGTGGTTGATGTTGAGTTGTAAACGGTTGTATTACCGTACTCATCATATACGTCCCATTTGGTGAGTGGAATAGTTTGAACGATAGTATTGTCTTGACGAACTTCTTGAATGTGTGAAAGTAGGAATTCCATAGAGTTGTTAAACATTGTGAATTTACCTCCTGACACTGATCCAGAGTCACCCGACACCAATGATTGACTGTATGTGATTGAACAATCAGCTCCACTGTATCCATTGTTGCATTGACATTGACCAGAGCTGACACAGGTTCCATGTGATGAACATGAGTTCAAACATTGTAACAATGTGTATTTGAATACTCCGGCAAAGGTAATTTCATCTGAATTACCAGATTCAATAGTGACATCCAAAGTTGAAGTTGCATTGTTACCGACTTTACTATCAAATGTACAAGTAATATGTTGTGCATCGACAACTACAACACCACCACATTGACTACCTCCAATGGTAACTGAAGATGGTGAATAGAATTCATTACCAACGATGGTGACGACACTTGAGACGAGGTAGTATGAAGATGAAATCGATGTGAGAACTGGTGGATTGCTAGTGTAGGTGGCAATTGCATTGGCACCGACAGAATCAATTGATAATTCAATATCAGATTCAAATTGACTTGCATCACCAAGAGTACATTTCAACTTGGTTCCATCACTTCCATTGGCAACTGGTGATGTACATTCTACTCCTCCAATTTGAATAGAGATGGTTGTTGGAGTTGAAACCAATCTTGTAGTCCAAAGGTATTTACCAACTAATTCAACAACACCTCCATATGGTGAGGTGGATGTGATAGAGGTGACAGATGCCTTGATGCTGAGTGGTTGAGTATTACTATCTTGACCGTCAACATTGACTATAATATCTCCATTCTTTGATGGACCTGTCAATTTAGCAAACAAAGTTGCTGGGTTTACCAATGTTGTTGCAATGATTTGATTGTTGATTGTAACCTTGCAAAATCAATTCCAAGATTGGTACCTGTGATTACGAGATCATCACTACTACCTTGTTGAACAACACTGCTGATTAAAGGTGCAATATATGAGAATTGGACTGTTGATGGTGATGCCTTTTGGTCAATATAAACTCTAACATTATGATTGACACCAGAACCTTGAGGTGAAATACAAGTAATAGATGAACCAGTAGCGACAGCATTGGTACATTGTTGATTTAAATCGACAATGACTACTGTGACATTGGTTGATGATCCATCCAATCTAGTTGGATTCAAAAATGAACCAACAATAGTCAATAGGTCACCTGTTGTTTTGATTGGCTTGGTGACTGATGTAATGAGAGGTGTCAAATGCATTTCGACTGGATTTGAAATACGACCATCAATAAGCTTGACAGTGATTGGTCCATTCTTATTTTGTTCATCAGCATTGAATGTGAGGAATGTACTGTTGACAAAGGTGAATGTCTGAGTGTTGGCACCAACATAGACTGAAACACCCGATTGCACAGTACCAAAATTCTTTCCAATAATTGAAACGGTATTGGAATCAGTGACAATAACCGATGAGATGACAGGTGCACCATAGGCAAAGTTGATGTTATCAGACATATCACCGACTGTAACCTTTACGTTATTGGTGATACCGGTACCTGGAGGAGCCATACACGTGATATAACTCATATCGAGGTCATCGGCAATCTTTACGACATTGGTACATGGGGTGTTACCTGGGAACATGACTGTAATAGTGATGGCTGATCCAGTTGCATTGACAGTATTTAAATAGTGACCACCAATCTTGATCTCACCACCTTCTGCATCGGCAGAGGTAATCGATCTGAGGATTGGACCAAATTCGAAAATGGTTTGATTAGAGAGCTGACCAGACACGTTGACGAGGGCAATATCGTTGAGAGCAAACGATGGAAGTGTGGCAAAGATAGTTTCATTGTTCATTGTATCAATTGGAATGACGACGGATGGTTGATTCTTGAGAATGACTTGAACATCAGATTTGACAAAACCAAAAGATGCTCCAGTCAACTCTAAAGAACGAGTAAAGTGGAAGGTGGAAGAGATATCTTGTTCGGCAGCATACAACTCTGGAACTGGATAATCAACGTAAAAGGTAGAGGATTGACCGTCAATAGTCAAAACAAAAGAGTGGTTGGTACCAGTACCTCCTGGCATTTCAACAATCACCATGTTGGATCCAACATTATATTTGTCAGATGAAATGATTTGAGAGTCATAAGTGAGGACGACGTCAGTGTCGGTACCGTTGGCACGAGTGGTAAGGAAGAACTGTCCAGACATGATAACACTGGTTGGGAAAGACTGGAGATCAGCAACAGTAGTGATGACAGGGCTAATAACCAAAGGCATTGAATTGGAAACAAGACCAAAGACAGTGATCGAGACATCTCCAGATTTGGCATTACTTGGAATCTTGACAATAAGAGTATCGCCATTGGTAAATTGGTTTGGAGATAGTGCAGTTTGAGAACCTGGCATATTGATATAAATTTGATTAAAATCTTGTCCAAAGTTTGAACCGACGAGTGTAATACTATTATCAGCCAAGTTTTGAGTTGGTGACATTGTGTTGATGACGGGTGCTGGGAATGTTGCAGCAGAGGTAGCCGACTTGGTTGCGATCGTGACGACAATGTCTACATTACCACCAAGACCACCTGGAGCAAGACATGTTAGTGTAGTACCGGTTGTAGTTGGATTGGTACATGGCAAGTTGCCAATAGTCACACCAACGTCGAGAGCAGCACCGAGATAATCTACATTGTTGAGGTATTGTCCGAGGATAGTAATACTACCACCGGTGAGGGAGAGACCAATGTAGGAAGCAATAACTGGTGTCATTAAGAGTGGAATACTTTGGATAGCTTCTTGACCACCTGCAACAATACTGACAATACCATTCTTGAGTGATGGCACGGCAAGGAACGATGCCTTGATATGTGGAGTGACAAGAGCAACGGCTGGTTCAGATTGACCATTGACCAAGAATGAAATCGATTCAATATCTGGACCAAAATTGTTACCAGATACAGTTACACAGTTATCAGCACCTTGATAATAGGATGAGACGGTTGGTGGGCTATAGGCAAACAAGTTGACAGTTGCCGATGAGATATTGTCAATGGTTACATTGATAGGTAGGTCCTTTCCAACACCGATGGGTGCAGTGACAACCATATAGGATACAGTGGTACCATTGTAAAATGAGTTGACAAAGGCTGCTGGGTTACCGCCAATAGAGATTTGTGTGGTGGCAGATGTACCGTTTGAACGTACACCTTGGACAAAATTTCCAGTGATAGTAACAGATCCTCCTTGAGTGCTGGCAGAGGTGACAGACACGATGGATGGAGTCAATGAGAGATAGATGGTATTAGAGACCAATGTATCGACAGTCACAAAGACAGCTCCATTTTTAGTGGCTGCATCTTGTGTGATGGTAATGGTGGTATCATTGGTTGCAAGAGCACTATAGGTAACCCCAGCCAAAGATACTGAGGCAAGAGAGGAAGATGGACCAAAGTTACTTCCACGAATGTAGAAGCAATCTCCATCACTCGATTGTTCGATCGAGGTGACGATGGGAGACTGATACTTGTAGTCGAATTGAGCAGTTTGACCGTCTACAAAGACGGTGGCCATTTTGTACCCAGTTCCAGCTGGAGCTGTACACACGTAGAATGTATTGGTAGTGCTGTAGTAGGTGTCGGTAATGGGACAATCAACACCCTCGATAGTGACCGATGTAGTGAGAGCGGCTCCAGTAGAGTCAATGGTATTCAGAGCAGTACCCATGATTGTAATACTCGAACCTCCGACGGTTGGTACTTCGGTCATGGAAAGTACGTTGGGACGGTATACGGCTTTGTATGGATTAGACACTTGACCACTAACACTCAAAGTGACAGGACCGTTCAATGGAAGTTCTTTCAAATCAAAGATGACACTCTGATCATTGGCTGGAACCTTGGGGATGGTGATAAAGGTACCTGGGAATGGAAGACCTGGGATGAGGATATAGGCCAATGCATTACCAAAGTTTTTACCGACCAAACTAATCGATGTATTAGTGGTGGTCACACCGGTGATGATTGGGGAGGCATAGGAAGAGGTAATGACAGCAGACTTGCCTGCAAGGGTAACGACAATAGTGATAGCACCAACGCCAACAGGAGCTGCACACGTCAAGGTGGCATTGGGTGCATCAGTACCCATAGCAGTGAGTGGACAATTGAGACCATTGACCGTGATGGTTGGTGATGGCGATGAACCTTGGAGATAGTAACCCCAGATCTTGAGTGCTCCTCCAGCTGCAAGTGGACGGTCGGCCGAGTAAAGGATGGGAGTGAGTGTCAAACCATTGTAAGGATTCGAAAAGACAGAGTCGATAGAGACAAAGAACCCTCCATTTTGAGCAACGGCTGGCACATTTATAGTAAATTCGGTTTGAGCAACTGTCATGACTGCACCAGATACTCCGCCGTATGCTGGAGCATACAACTCTATTCTGGTTGGATCAGTACCGAAACCAGTACCGACAACAGTGAATGACTGACCATTTTGAGTGATCGAGGTGATAGTTGGACTTTGGTAGGCCACCGTGAAGCTGGTTGAACGACTGTCAATAAAGAAGACACAAAGAATACTGCCTCCTGTGCCGGCTGGCAACATAAAGCTCATGTAGGTGTTGGTAGAATCAACGCTGTAAGCGTTGACTGGTGTTGTGACACCGTTTACAATTAAATTGGTTACGGTTGGTTGACCGGCAGAGTTGAGTTGGTTCAAATAGAGACCCTTGACAGTGGTCATACCACCAGTGGTTGGGGGTTTCACTGTTTGCGAAACAATTTGTGGAACCAATTGGTATGGGATGGCTGTGGATGTTTGGCCGCTGACTGTCACTTGTATGTTTCCATTGAGTACTCCAACATTGGGCATTGTCACGATGATACTTGTTTCAGTGACTGAGGTTGCGGTAATGCCGGCAATGTTGGGTAGTTTGACAGCGACAACACTTGGTACGGTACCGAAATTGACACCTGTCACGGTGAGACTGTTCAAGGTGTTGGAAGTGGTCGTGACGATGGGAGCGGCATAATTGACGGTAAAGGTATTTGGTTGGAGTTGCGAGTCGACAGTGACACGAACAATCTTGTTGGTACCAGATCCAGCAGGAGCATCACACACTATTTGATAGTGGTTTATACTGACGATTCCACAGTCTGTGCCACCAACAGTAACAGAGACCAAGGCAGTATTAGTACCAAAGTTGAAACCATTCATAGTTACACGACCACCGGCAGTTGGGATGACAGAGGGAGTGATAAAATCAAGGAATGGTCTGTTGTAAGATACATCACCACCATTCAATTGAATGGATCCTTCAAAGATATATTTCATCTTTTTGTTGACACCAGTGCCAGCGGGGATGACTGGATACACGGCCAATGGAACTCTAGACTTGGTGGCGGTAATGGCTACACCATCGATGGTGGCACTGACCTGAGTGTAAATGAAACCGACGGTCGTGGCAACGACCTGAGTCACAGTACCACCAGTAGTATTGACATAACGAACGGTGGTATCAGAGATGGTTGGCAAGACACCATAGGAACCGACGACGGAACGGGCAGTGGTGGATGTCTCTCTGAAATAGGCACTGTTTACAGTGGCAAAGTAAAAGTATTGGTTCATTGCAGTAAAGGCTGGGAAGGTACCTGGACAATAGATCATGGCACTGCAAGTGGTACCAGTGGAAACAAATACTTGAGCACCGTTGTTTGGTCCACCCTGATTGTCAATGGCAACTTGAGTGGCAGAAGAAGACTTTAAAGCGATCCACATGGTCGATACAGAGGTACTAGGTACAACGGCTCTAAAGTTATTGTAACTGGCCAAATTAGTAAAGATTGGTAGGTATCTCAATGTAACTCCTTCAACTGGATATGAATTTAACCATCTTGTTGTTGTTGCTGAATTAACTTGTTGAGTTGCCGAATGAGTTGTTGAAACTCTAAATGCTGTTAAACTATTTTTATCATCTAAAAAGAAAAAGTTTGAATATGTTAATAATTAATTATTATTATTATTTACATTTTTACTTACAAACAGTTTGCATTGTACTAATAAGTGGTGGAACAGTTCCAAGAGAGATGGAAGCAGGGATGGTAAAGTCACTTGCGACAGTACAAACAGCAGCGATATGTGGAACAATGATGGATGGACTGGTACAAACGGCACCGGCAACCTTGATATTGAGTAGACTGGCGTCACTTCCAGTACCAAAGTTTTTACCAGACAGAGTGATGACAGTGCCTGAAGCGCCGGGGTACACCATATCAATTTGTGGCATTTGGTATCTCCAGTACTTGATGGTGTTGGTGTTGGTTCCATCGGTTTGGATAATGTCATAGGTGATGGCACCGGTACCTGCTGGGATGGCACAGGTTACAGCGGACATACGTACACCACTGCAAGTAAAGATCTCGGCAGCCGAAGAGGAATCGATAAACTTGTAGGTCATGGTGCTACCAGTAAAGAAGGTTCCAAGCGGTGGGGCCAAGTTAAAGGTCTCTCCATTTGTGATGGCTGGTCTGACATAGACCTCGGATTGGGGTACCCACTCGATCAAGAATGTATTTGTCCCAGAGATGTAGGCAGTGTTTTGCCATAGTCTAGTTGCGCCGGCAACCAAGGTGTACACATCGGTCGTAACCAACGATGGTGAATTGACACCCCAGTTGGTAAAGGATATACTTTGGCCACTACCAGTTGCATAGTATTGAGTAGATGATTCACGGCCACTGTTAAAGTTAATACCATCACTACCGTCCTTTATACCAGAGATAAAAAAGTTTGTATTGATTACAAGATTGGCAACAATCCAATCCCATTCTTCTTTTGAATTAATTGTTGCTAATTGTCTAAATAAAAAATAGAAAATAGAAAATAGAAAATAGAAAAAAATAAAGGGAACTTTTGGTTAATAATAATAATAATAATAATAATTATTTAATTTAGTTTAGTGTGATTAAATGAACATACGGCATTTTGGTTGTTTCTTGTGCTGGTTGACCATTAATAGCAGTCATAGCAAGAGTCCAAGTGGAATATGAACCACTAAAGAATGAATACCAATGTCCATTGTTTGGATTCTTTTTTGCTTGTGCCAAAACAAAACTATCTTGGCATGCTAACAATAAAATAAATACTGCCAACATCTGTACCAAAAAGGTTGTTGATGAACCTGTATTTAATTTCATTTTGTTTTTAAATAAATGAATCTATAAATAGAAATAAAGAAATAAATTTATAATTCATAAATAAATACAATATATATCTTTTTGACAATGTAATATATATATCTTACTTTTTTTTTTTTCAATCAATCTTGAAATAAATAATAATAATACAATTGTTGTTTTTTGTTGGATGATATAGAAGAAGAAAACGAAACGAGGTGTTTAAATAAATAAATAAATTAAATCGATTGTTGTGTTGGGAAGTTGAACCACCAAAACAAGAATTGTTGTGAAACACAAGATCACACCATGCGAGTCTCAAATCAACTGCAAATACAGAGAATGATGGGCGATTGGTGATAAGAGATAAACTCTGCCAAACTCAAGCCATCAGCCATACCATTCGGGAATGATATCAAAGAATGATATGCTCGATCATCGAAAGGGGGCTTGTTCCGCGAATCGCACCTTGGGGGTGCAAAAAACATTTAAATGGAATTTTGCCTTTTTGTTGGCCGATCTTGATCGCCTCTTAAAAAAACACAGCTGTTGGTGTTGAAGGGGGGAAGTGGGTGGGATCGGAACCTATGACCCACCTGTTTGGTTTCCTCGAAGGGTCAGTTTTGTTTGGCTACTGGCTGGTATCTGGGCTAAATATATAACTCCGACGGAGAAATCTGATTTCCATCCATCCAACCGTTCGATTTCCATTGTAAAAGGGGGGTGTCTGGGTATTGAAGAAGGCCAGATAAAATAAATATGTTGGTTAATCGAGATCCATATTATAATGTTGTTGTTGTTGTTGTTGTTTGAAAGAGAGAGAGAGGGATATATATAAATATATATATATATTATTATTAACATACAATATAATATTCCATTCAAAGACTATCGATAATTATGACATTCTTCTCAACTCATCCTCGTGCGTGATCAAAATCAGGAGGAGAGTTATCGAGCTGGTTTCATTTACCCAATAAATCAAGCTGCAAATAGATGGAAGCCAGGAAGAAACAATGGCCCAGTTCCTTCCTCTCCTGATTTATTTTATCTTGCCTTTGCGATCTTGGGAAAAAAAAAGTGTCGTTTGGTGAGATTGAGCAATGCACACGTGCATAGTTCTCTGTTTGATCATCATTACGATGAAAACAAACACTATAGTCTACCGCTAATCACTAGTTGGGTTGTCGTTGTTTGTCGTATGTGTAGAGGTGAACAACAAGATACATAATTTAAGGATTATATAAGTGTGTATGAATAGTAGTATCTAGTAAACAAATGTGAGAGGGGCACATGTGATGATTCAAATGGTTGATCTATTAATCTATGAAACATATTATAAAATCTTCAGTTGTACTCGATGATGAGTTAACTAGCCAATATTACATGGATGTTATCTCTGTGTGCCTTTTTCAACAACACACAAAAAATTAATTTTATTTTTTTTTTGAATTAATTTTGACAAAAAAAGACGAAAAAGACGAGGACAATATTGTTTGTATCTGTTGTATTGTTATATTATATCTATCTATCTATTTATTTATTTCAATTGTTATATAATAATAATAATAGAGAAAATGAAACAAAACAAACAAATAGAATACGAAGAAGAGATTGAGGAGCAAGAGGAGGAACTCAGTCTCGAGCAAAAGAAAGCATTACTCAAACCAGGTCAAAAGTTAAACAAAAAGGGAGAGATTGACACAAGAACACCCAAAGAAAGACGTGACGGATTAATAAAGAGAATATGTACTCGTTTGGTTGAAGATGATCATGTCAGAAGAATGCGTGGTCTTCGTGAAGTCAAGGGTATTCTAAAGAATGACCTTGCTCTCTCTGAAATAGATATGTTAAAATTATGGAAAGGTTTATTCATGTGTATGTAAACATTAATGAATAGTTAGTAGATAGTAGATAGATAGTTATTAATAACAAGTCATTTAATTTATTATCTATTAATTTATCTATCTATGTTTAGTGGTATGGGCTACTGATGGACCAGTTGTTCAAGATCAAGTAAATGAAGAAGTTGCCGATTTATTATTACTCAACAAGAACCCTGCATTCAACATTGAGTTGATTAGAACCTTTTATATAACCGTCGATGAGAATTGGTCTAGAATCGATTATTTCCGTCTCGACAAGTACCTCTCGTTGGTTCGTAAAGTAACTAAACGTGCATTCCAAATTTTAAAGAATATTAGAACTATTGAAGGTGTTGAAGAAGAAGAAAAAGAAGGAGAAGAGGAACAAGAAGAAGAAGAAAAAGAAGAAACAGAAGAACAAAAAGAACAACGTTTATTATTGGAAAAGGTGATTGGATTACTTGTAGAGGCATTAAAGACAACTGTATTGAATCCAGTACGTGATGATCTTACCAACGGTCTTGTATTGCACATGTCTGATATCTATTTGGTCGAGTTGTACCATGTCACCAACGGCCAAATCGAACCGGCCCATCTCAACCGTCTCCTCCTTCCATTCATCAATTTCATCGCCCGTTCACCAGACGACCGTGCCATCAAGCGTATCAGAGAGCGTGTCTTCCAACGTCTCCTCACCACCTACTCTCCATTTGGCGAAACCGATCCATGGATGTTGGACGAAATCGAATACATTGACGACAATGGCGATAAAATCCCTCAAATCTTCCCAGTTGAATTTGATGTTTTGGCAAAGTTATTCTTTAAGGTTGCTGCTTCAAAGTATGTACAAAAAAAAGAAAACAAAAAAGGAAATAGATTCTAATATATACTTATATTTTGTTTATTAATTAATTTGTAGGAGTATTGAAGATCATAATAGAAAGGCATTACATTTATTACGTCAAAAATGTGAAGAGGCAAGCAAGAAATTAAAGGATTTGGAAGCAGACGCTGACAATATTTTGGATGATGATGAATTCGAACAATTTGGTGAAGATGATGAAGAAGAAGGAGAAGAAGAATTAGAGGAAGAATTAGAAGAGGGTGACGAGGATGAAGATCAAGAAATCGGTGAAGAAGATTTGGAGGATATGATTGAAGAAGAGGTTGTTGAAAAGGATGAAAAGAAACGTAAAATGCAACAAGATTTGGAAGATTTCGATGACGATGAAATCGAATTATCAGATGACGATGATCAAGAAAATAACCCAATTGGCAACAACCAATCCTATAACAAGAACAAGAAACCAACCAGAAAACAAATGAACAAAAAGATTATGAAATTAGGTAATCGTGCATTCTCTATCGACAAGAGAAAGAGAAAATAATAAATTTTTAAAATCAACAATTATCAACAAATATCAATCACATTTAATACATCATCATGTCTCTTCTGACAACGATTCGTATTCATGCAACAATCTTCTTAAATATCAAGGTGTACATGGTGATATCCCAATGATCTTCACAAAGATCTTTTTAAAAAATCAAAATGGATGGTATTCAAAAAGAGTGGGAGGGGGGCACCCATTGAGTTCAATAGGGGAGCACATTATTTGAGAAGCTTCGGAATCAATGCCACCGAAAAAAAGTGTAGTTGAAGAACTCAGGGATTCTGACCCCATTTTTAGAGGTTGATCGGGGTTGGTTGGGTAGTTGGCAGCTAGTTGATCCCCATTTCCGATAACCATGCACCACTCTTTCTTACCGCGCTTTCATAGTTTTAGAATCATTTTCTTTGCGTCCCTCACCAATCCTTATATATATTTATTTCTTTCTTCTTTTTATTTCTTTGTATCATTTATTCATTTGTATAAAAAAAACACAACACTAACTAACAAATACTAAAACAGATCAATATGTTTGGTATGTATGGATGATAACCACATTCTCATGATATTGATTTACAATTATACTTATTTTCTCATTTACATGTACCATATCATAATAATAGGAATTAAAGCATTTAGATTTGGTAGAAAAGGAAGCCATGCCAGTACTAGTACTGGCGGCAATAGCAGCAACAACTCATCAGAAATTAGTGGATCCAAGAGTGCCTATTATGGTTACCCTGGATTTGGTAGATAACTAACCAACCAACCAATCATACCAACCCACTCACTATGAGATGAATTGAAATTTCAAATCTATATATATTAATTCTTTTTTATATAGATCACTTTATATTATTATTAACACATTTAATAAACTTGTTGGAATGATAAACATGTTTATTCACACCTTTGTAAATAGATTAAAAATACAATACAATCTAACATTTATAGTAGGTAGTTAAAAATTGGAATGTGATGAATAGGCAGTCAAATCAAATGGAACACTACGTGATGTTATGGAACGATGAGAAGATTTTGGTTTATAATACATTACATCGATACCATTGGTTGGAACATATGGATTGATGATAGTGACACTAGTTCTAGTGGTAGTAGTTGGGACAACGATTGTAGTTGGTATGGTGGTTGGTGGAGATACTATGTTATTATTTAAATGTTGACCATAAAGAGTCATCTCCTTGATTTCTTTTTCTTGTTGTTGCTTTTTCTTGGCCTCTTGGAGTTTACTCTTTTTGTTTAAAATAACAATCGTTGCAATACTAGCAACTATAGCTGCAACGGCCAAAAATGAACCAACTGCAATACCAACAATGGCTGCTACCGATATAGATACACCAGCAGCAGTCGATGGTGTACTTTCACTAGCAGGTGGTTCAATCCCTTCAGCTCCAGTATAAAGAGTTAAAAATTCTTCAAAAGGTAAATCTGAAAATGAATTTAATGATTCTAAAAGAATAGATATTGATTAATTAATCAATTTAAAATATATTTATATTTATATTTATATATATTTTGATTTACATACGAATTGGAGTTAAAGATTGTTGAAATGTAATAATAGGTTGAACATCATTGATGGATAGAATTGATCGGTCGATTGGACTGCTGCTGCTGCTGCTGGATGGTTCATTATCTTGAGGGTATTCAATGTCGACCACTGGTATGGGATGTATAAAGCCTCCATTGAATTTATAAATCTCTTGACAATTGGATTTAAAATGATTATATCTTTGTTGCAACTCGTTATTTTCATAATATTTGTCGTACCCTTTCATCCATGACATAAATAGTTGCCATAAAACATCTTCATTTGGATATGATTGTCCATTTACAAAGTTTAAAATAACTATTAACGAAAATAATATTGTTAATAATTTTTTCATTATTTTTTTGACAAAAAAATAAATAAATATAAATAAATAATACAAATAAATAAATATCATTAAATACCTTTTCTTTCTCCAACTGCAAGACTCTCTACACGTGCACTGCTGATCAAAAAAGATTGGATGTTCATTCATTGCCTTGGCATTCGTCAGTTGATTGTTTTTGTTTTAGTTGTTGTTGGATATTCTTTTAAAATAAATGGATGTGATGGATGGATGTGATGGGTAGACTGCACCTGTCTATCTATCCAAAAATAAAAGATGTTGTTTTTAGACATTGTCATAAAAGGTAGATTCTTTAAATGGGGGTGCAGTGGTATTTCTGAACATCATTACCAGTGTTGTGTGTGGGAATATGGGTGGGGATTGATTGAAAGGAAAAAAATATCCGTTACATAGGGTGATCTTGGGAAGTCGGAGTGATGATGGGTAGATATATATTATATAATATAATACTAAACTGCCGACGAATTTCAAATCGATCCTATTGACACAGATTTGGTGTTGTTATTTTTATCTTTTACTCTCTCTCTATCTCGCTACGTCAATTGAAAGATTGATCAAATAATGTTTTGACGGTTTTAAAAAAAGCATACAAAACCTTTGAGATTATTTGAATATGAAACCAATAGTCTGATTAGAACGATGGTGAGAACAGCAGCAGTAGCTGTTGTTAGCACTTTTACTATAGTCGACATTGATCATATATTGATGATGATGATGATGATGATGATGATGGCTATACCAACTTTTTGATTTTTGATGATTTTTAACATCCATCCTCCTTTATACTACTACTACTAATCTATCCATTGTTTCCTCATCAATCATCTAAATTTACCAACTACAGTTACAATGTACCAACCAAACCTTCCCTTTGGATTTTAAATAAATAGGTCATTTCCAAATTGAATTCAATAGAAAAAAAATAAATAATATTTATCATTCTGTATCATTAGTTTTTGTTTGTATTATTGTATAGTAATTATAGAAATTTATATATACCTTTTTTGTAAAATTATGAAATTAAATAATATAATTTCTTTTGTACCATTTTTATTGTTGTGTTTTGGAATGATTGTTCAAGGACAATTAACAGAACAACAAATCAATGATATTGTTAGTGTTCATAACAAGTTTAGACACAATGCAGGTATATTGTATGGACCACCACCAATATCTCCTTTAAATTCGATTAAATGGGATGTCCACATGGCATCTAAAATGCAATCATTTGTATCTACTTGTCAATTGAATAGTTTTCCTGATCCCAAATATTCGAATTGGGGTTATACTTCTTTTAGAATAATAAACTCCAATTTCAATCCTTTTAATGTATGTAGTAGTTGTTATTGTTATTAACTATTATTTATATATCTATTTAACTAACCATATTTTATGATCTAGTTATTGGATAGAATATTTACAACAGCAGCATCATTGTATGATTGGAAGACTGCAGGTTGTATTAATGGATCTCGTTGTGAAATGTATCCAACATTGACATGGAATGCGAGTACTGCGATTGGGTGTGGAAAGGCTGTTTGTTCAGGTGACAAGGTTTGGATGGTATGTGCTTATAATCCAATCGGTGGTTTCGTAGGTGTTAAACCATACACACCAAAACCAAATATTATCACTACAACTAAACCAACTCCAACAGTCACGCCAATATCATCATCACCACCAACAACACCAGCACCAAGTATATCTACCAATGTTGCAACATCTTCTGCTGTCCAAAATACAACGTTTCCAACAACACTTGATTGGAGATGGAAAGGTGCAGTTACAAGTATCAAGAACCAAGGACAATGTGGTGGATGTTGGAGTTTTAGTTCGTATGTCTTCAACGTAGATACAAAGATAGATAGATAATTGTATCTATCTATCTAATCTTCTTCAAGACTAACCCATTCCATTCTTTCACCTTTCTTTTCCTTTTAGAGCTGCAACATTAGAATCACAATATCTAATAAAGAATGGGAAAACAGCCGAACAATATGATATTGATTTGTCTGAACAACACTTTATCAATTGTGCAGCCAATGGATGTAATGGAGGTAATGCAGTAGAGGCATTTAAAACTCTATTGTCCACAGGTGTGATGTATGAGGATGCATACACCTACAAGGCATTGACTCTTGAATGTCCAACAGCACTTGTAGGTCCTACATTCAAGTGGTCAGGATACAAAAACATTCCAGCCAACAAAGATGCCTTTATAGCTGAACTCCAAAACGGTCCAATCTATGTGTCCATCTACACTGACAGTGGATTCATGAGATACAGTACAGGTGTCTATTCATGTCCAGTGGCTAATAACCCAAATCATGCTGTCACTATCATTGGTTATGATTTAGTTCAAAACTATTGGATTGTTAAAAAGTAAGTAATCACATGTACGATAAATAAATAAATATATACTCGTTTAATTACGTACCAATACTAACAAAAATGTTTACTCTACTCTAGTTCATGGGGCCAAGGATGGGGAAGCTCAGGACTAATCAACCTCGACATGTCTGCTTGTTCAATATATAGGTATCGTGCATTTAGACCAATCTTGTAATATATATAACCTAGTTTTAATAAACTAAACTACTATCCAAAGGGAAGAGCAAGATGGTTGATGAATAAAAGGAAGAAGAGGGTGATGGTTGGTCTGATTATTGTAATATTCTAAATAAATAAGCAACATCACTTCGTTCTACTACTGATGATACTTTTGTTGTATGTTGTTATTGACTAGCTAGCTGACTGCCATATAGAGATTTTAACACTCCGCAACGCATTGATTCCGTATCTTACTTGGGAATATTAATATTAAAATTTAATTAATATTTTTGTCGTCGTGTTCTCGAACTTTCGTCATTGTTATTTTTATCTAATGCAGCTGCTGATTATTATTATTCTTCATTCTATTACTAAATACTTTATTATTTGTTTAAAGGATATGTAAAGAATTATTAATCCTATATTTAATATTTAATAGTTAGTAGTTAGTCAGCGTGACAGAGGATAAAGAATCTAAAAGTACTTACTTATAGTTATTGTTGTTGTTGTTTGTTTGTTGAGTGGCTTGTATACTAATGCATATTCCATTCTAATTATAGTATTATAGTAGTATTAGTAGTAGTAGTACAAAAGAGTAATGAGCAGATTAAGATTTGATGATGTTGGAACTGAACAAAACAATATGAATAGCAGTGATGGTGGCAATGGCAACGATGACCAACAACCAAAGAAGAAAGGAATGATTACCACTGAATTCAATATAAAGAAACAAATGGCTGCTAGTATAATGGGTGGTATGGTGACCGCAATGGTTGTTACACCACTCGATGTTGTAAAGACAAGATTACAAACCCAGATTGATATAAAGGCACCTACCTCATCTGCATCAACATCATTTAATTTTGCAACTTCAACTGCTTCGTCATCGTCATCATCAACCAAATCATTTAAAGGTACAATGGACGCATTCGTACAAATCACCAAACATGAAGGAATATTCACTCTTTGGAGAGGTTTAACTCCATCTCTTTTAATGACAATTCCTTCAACGGCAATGTATGCAATCAACAAACAAACAAAGATGATTACGTGGATATATTAACCAATTAGTTTTATTTAGATATTTTACAACCTATGAATATTTAAAACAAGAGGCAAATCAATTATACCCAAATATAAATAATGTATATATGATCCCTTTGGTAACGGGATCACTGGCTCGCGTCATATCGGCATCTGTTACCTCTCCATTTGAATTGGTGCGAACTAATTCCCAAGGTATCATTAAAAAGAATCTAAAGTTGGTACCACTCATCAAAGACATTGTCAACAATGTAGGATTCACTGGATTGTGGCGTGGACTAGTTCCAACTTTAATTCGTGATGTTCCTTTTTCTGCTTTTTATTGGGCTGGTTATGAAATTGTAAAGGTAAAGTATAGTAGTATATCAATATTATACATGATCATTTATATAAATGACTTATTATTAACTTGTTCTTTTTATTTTTATATAGAATTTTATATATACAAATTATAAACCAGAACATCAAACCATATCACCATTTTTAGTTAATTTTTCAGCTGGTGCAATGTCTGGATCAATTGCTGCCATTCTAACAACACCAATCGATGTTATTAAAACTAGAGTTCAAATGACCGTACAAGGAGGAGGAGGTCATTCTTCAACAACAAATGCATCAACAAGTTCCACAACAACAGGAAGACTTTTCAATCAAGCAAGATCAATCATTCAAAATGAAGGATGGGGAGGATTTACAAAAGGAATGATACCAAGAGTTGCAAAGGTAGCTCCAGCATGTGCTATTATGGTTTCAACTTATGAATGGGTTAAATCTGTAAATTTACCTGAACAACAACAACAACAATAAATGGATTGGTGGATATTAACTTATATATATATACGGATTTTGGAGGGGGGAGGGAGAGAAAGATCAATTTATTATTAATGTTTTTTTTTGTTTTCCAAAATTATCCATATATGGAATGATTAAAAAGGAAAAATGGTAGATTGACTTAACAATAACTATCTTTCCAAATGATTCATAAATTATCTGACTTATTAATTATTATTTGTTATTATTACTATTATTATTTGTTATATTTTGTTGTTGTAACTTATTGTTGACTTTGATTTGTTGAATTAAAAGTTAAAAAGTTTGTTGTCATTTTTGTTGATTTGATACCGCTACTTGTCCAAATATCCTTTGCACAATGAACGCAAACACGGACATTGTGTTGGTAACCTTGTGCAATGGCTTGGTGATCAGAGCATTGTGAACAAAATAACCTTCCACAGTTACGACAATGATGTCTTCTCTTGAAAAAGGAAAAGATTTGTTTGCATGCAAAACATGTTGTCGTTGAATTATCAGGATACCATAATACCATTCCATTTGGTGCTATTGGATATCCATGACCTTGTTGTTGTTGTTGTTGTTGTTGATTATTATTATTGATTTTATACATTTCATAGTTTTGTGGTTGTGTTATTAAATTTTGATTATTATTATTATTAGTAGAAGGGTTACCAATTTGTGAATGATTAGTATTATTATTATTATTATTAGTATTATTATTATTATTATTGTTTGGATCATTTTGATTATTATGATTTATATAATTATTATGATTTTGATGATTTTGATGATTTGGATGATTTAATAAATTAACTAAATTTGTATTACTAATATGAATTAATTTCTTTTTTGATTGTTCAACTTCTACATTGTAACGTTTAAATTGTTCTTGAACAATGTGAAGTAGGTTTTTAAAGTCTTGGATTGCTATTTTACATTCACTCTTCATTTCAGAGTGGTGTTGTTTCATTTCGCAGATTTGGTAGTGGAGTCCTGTGACTTGCTCCTTGATGTGTGCCTGTGAACAAAAGTGTGGATCGAGCTCCAAACTATTTCGGTTGAGTGTTTTTGAACTACGCTCTTTTTGGGCATTGGTAAACGAGATGATATGTGAATCCACCTGGATACTACGTAACCCTTGAATCCAATAATACATCTCTCCTTCATTGGATGCTCTCAATGTGTAGGTTCTAGGTGCCGTCGATATAATAAATATCCAACCATAATGATGATGTTCGCCATGATGATCGATACTACTATGTAGTGAATGTAATATATTGTTTAGATGGTTGTCCCCATCTTTTGTGTTGTTGTTGTTGTTGTTTGTTGTAGTGGTTGAAGTAGTCGTAGTTGATGCACTGGTTGTACTTCCGGTACTACTCGTACTACCTCCGGCACCACTAGTCGAGTGATGAAGTAGGTTGTTACTAGCAGCGTCAATAGGAATATTGTGGATAGACGAGGACAGGGGACGACCATTAGCACCGTGACTCGGTTGCAAATTCGATGTGGATCCAGTCAATGAAAAGGAAAGTGCCGATGTGGACGAACTCTTGGCATTGTGTGGATTGGTAGTCACTGGCTTGACCGATGTAATCGACGACAATAATATAGTACCCTTTAATAATGAATTATCCTTTGATTCATTTACATAATATTTTAATGTTTCTCCTTCAACTATAAACCATCTCCTAAACAATATATATAAAATGAATAATATATTAATAACAATATATCTAGATATATCTATATTTATCTTGTGTCTATACAAACTTTTTCCAACTTTTATAAATACCTCCCTCTTTGAAGAGGTATCCTTGTAATTTAGGTGATTCTCTTTTGGTTGTCATTATTATTATTGTTATTATTTCTTTCTATTCTATTTTTAGTTATGTTGTTGTAAAAGGGGAAGGGAAAGAGTATGATAGGATAGATAGATAGATAGGAGGATAGAGACAATAGTCTCTCTCTGTCTACTATTGATACAGAAGATTATAATGTACTCTCTCTTTGTCTTGCTATCCTATTGTCAATGTGTTGCTATTACTATTATTTTGAAATGAAGCTACAACGATAATACTTTCTTTTATGCTTATCGGTTATACCAGGGGGAGAGTTGTGAGATAGATAAACGAGAGTGATTGATCTCTTTAAAGTATCGGGGGTAATGAATGATGTTGATGATGGTGATGAGTGAGTGTGTTGATCCTGGGTGTCAAGAGTGATCTTTATGAACCAAGAATCCAAAGGGTCTCTCGGTGTTGTCTTTGCTACGAACAAAAGTGTGAAGAATTCTCTACTATTTGCGATTGATAGTCAAGCTCAAAGAACTAGGAGACCAACTCGTAGAGCTTGATGAGCTGTCATTAAAAAAAGGACAAAGAAAAAAAAATTAAAAATCTATTTTTTTTTATCTTTTCCCCATCAATCTCGAGTACGACTAATATCTTCGGACGGAAATTATAGTCTACGATATAAAAGGAGATAATACTATTCACAGTACGATAAATGGTCACTTTGCAATGTTGAAATATAAATGGTGGGTTAGTAGTATAATTATAACTAGTTTGTTGACCTACAAGTCGATTCACAACAACCACAAAGCATTAAACTGCTGAGCACAAGATAATATATGAAAAGAAATAGAATGGTCAATCAAAAGAGTGAATGATTAGCAAGACATGTAGGTGGGAAGTTGACAAGACAAACAAACATAGTATCAAGTCGCAGGTGATCAGAGCCTTTACTATACCGAAACTGATCTTATTCCCAACACCTTTGCTTTGTTTGATGGTTTGTATGAGAATTTTTACAGAAACAAAGATAACAACTACTTTTATAAAAGGAATATGGGTACAATAATAGTATTATTATTATTATTATTATTATTATTATTTACCAAAAGATACAATAATTAATTAATTATCTAAAAAAGAGATGACAACAACATCATTCAATTTATCAACTGAAAAGGGATTTGAAGATTTCAATTCTTTATTATTAAATCAAACATTTATTGTTGGGTATGTATTAATACAATTGGTAAATAATAATAATAATAATAATAATAATAATAATAATAATAATAATAATAATAATAATAATAATTTTGTTTATTAATCAATTATTTTTAAATTTAGATATGAACCAACCAATGTTGATGTAAAAGTATTCAAGTTGATTGTAGATAACAAACTTGATGCAAAGAGATTTACAAATGTTACAAGATGGTTTGATACTATTGCTGCCTATTGTACCGATGAAGATTTCATCTTGGAACAAATTAATCACCGCAATTTAGATTTTACGGTAGATTCTGAAAATGATGATGACTTTGATTTATTCGACGCATCAGAAGACATGTCCTCATTGCCAAACAAAGAGAGAGTGGTACCAGTAGCTAAAAAGGTAAAGGAAACAAAGTCAGAGGTAGTCATGGAGGTAAAGACTTGGGATGACACCATCTCAATGAAGGATGTTGAAGATGCTGTACGTTCAGTTTCGATGGATGGATTAAAGTGGGGTCATTCCAAGCTTGTCCCAACAGCATTTAAAATGCACAGTCTCTCCATCCAATGTATTGTAGACGACCATTTAGTTAGTGTCCAAGATTTAGAAGACACTTTAAATGATATCGAAGAGTTGATTCAATCAGTCGATATTATTTCATTTAATACTTATCGCTGACTATCATGCAACCTTTGCCCAAACACCATGTTTGTCTTTAAAAATAATCAACAACAATATTATAATTCTTTTAAAAGAATCATTATAGTATCGGTAGACAGGTCATCATCACCAACATCATCAATAATAAACAAATTAAAATTTCCTCCGAATTTGATAGATCAAGTGGTTCTTAAGTCCCCCAATCACCGAGGGTCAGAAGCCTTCTGTTCGACTGTAGGGCTTCCATTCGTTTTGGGGGTTTTTTAAAATTAAAAGTTGGATATTATCTTTGAGATATTATTTAGATTCAATCGCCTTCTATACTGCCTACCATACAATATCATACCATACAATATTTATTGTTCAATTTAGCACAGATAGAGAGAGAGAGAGGAGATAGATAAAATGATTAGATTTGATCGACCTTATTTATTATTATTATTTATATTTATAATACTTGGTTGTTCAATTCAACATGTTCAGTCACAACCCACATTACCTCAAGCAGAGTGTAAGTATCAAACTCTACTATAGTATACTACTACTACTAAATTCAATTATTTTTTTTTATGATCAACTATTATAGTGGAATCACTTGTATGGCTATCAAAACAATTTAAATTAGGATGGCCTATTACCAATATAACATCGGTTTGTTACACTATTTGGGGTGTTACATGTCAGTTGTACGAGAATGATACTGTGTTTCATGTCACTTTTATAGAGTATGTTTGAAACATTGAGATGACCTAGTATGATATGATAAATAGACTAACTCTAATTGCATTGTTTTTTCTATTAGACGAGTAGGAGATGGTGTATTTCAAGGGACACCTGATCCTATCATTGCACAAAAACTAGAGTTCCCAATGCTCGAACAAATATTCATAACTTGTGGAGTGACTGTGAGTGGATACAGTGTTGAAAATAATTCTACTCTATTATCATATATGACAGGATTACCATTATTAGAAACTATATACATCAGCAAATGTAACAACCTACACAACCCACCTATTACTTTTCCTTATGGATTACCATCTTTAACAACTTTGTAAGTTAATATAACAAAAATAATAATATAACAACAACTAATTTGTTTTATTTATTAATTAATTAATTTTAGACAATTAGATACAGTTGGATTGATACATGTACCATCATCATTTTTCAATACATCATCAATTATAACTTTAAATATCATACCTAATAATGAGTTACAAACGATTGATTTTGCAGAGAATTCTAATGTATTGTACTTTAGAACAACGATTCCAGTCCTACCAAACGAATCAAGATCAATTCACATTAAACAAAATCACTTTCTTCCTCTTTCACTCATTGCTTTATACTCTCCCAACTCTGGTTCAGTCAGTATCAATGTTGAAGCTCAGGTAACCAATTTGGTTGTATCATGTCCCGATTCAACCATTTCCTATTTAAATTCAACTGGTGCTCAATCTCTGTATGTATTACATATATATATATATATATATAACTACAACACGGTCATTTATTTATTATTTAATTTAGTACACTCAATGGTTTATTTGATCAACAAAATGTATATTTTGAATCAAACAAGTTTCCAAATCTAAATTCATTACGTATACAGACTTTGGAACACTCTGATAGAACCACTCAATTACAACTCTACATTACAGCATCTAAAATAACCAATATCAACTTGAATGGTATTCATGCTAAAGTTATGGCATTACCTTTGTTACTTGAAACTTTGTATGTAAACATAAACAATGATGATTGATAGAGATCATATTTATCAATACTTTTTATTTATTTATTTATTTATTTATTTAGTTCATTTGCAACACAAAATTATATTGGTGATTTCCTAAGTCCATATGATTTACTGCTTGGTTGTACATCTTTATTTGTTGTGACATTTGATTATATGACCCAATTAGTTTCATTGGGACCAAGTGTAACAATTGTCAATTGGAGTTATATGAGTAATACATTGGCATTGCCAGACACCAGTAATTTCTTTTTACCAAACGTACAATACCAATCTGTTAAAATGGCATCGGCAAGTACTAGTGTGACAGGACCTGTACCACAGTTTCTTTCATTTAGAGATCGTGGATCTTTTGATGTCAGTAAATCAACCAATGTCAATGGAGTTGTTCCAGATTCATATTGTAACCTCTACGACCTAAATATTGAATCAACAAGTATCACCGATGTACCAACTTGTTTTAAATGTAATTATGCTGGTTTCACAGGCATCATTAAATTACCACAAGCCATTAAAAATACAATCCCTTTAAATTATTTTTGTCGTATGTATATCAAACTCTTAGTATAAATATTAAAAAAAAAAAAAAAGTATACTTATTTATTTAATTTATTTTATTTTTAGCAACAAGGTTATTTACCTCTACGTATTTGTTTACAGTTGAACCTCTAGATTCAACTCAACAAATAGAACTAGTGGGAGAGAATCTTGGTTATGGACACACCAACATTACAGTCATTCATCCAATGACCAATATGGGGTTCACAATTCCAAATGTTCACAAGAAACCAAGAAGTTTGATGATCACTTTTGGAAATTTAAAAAACTATGGAGGAAGTGGTATAAATTCTGTTACTCATACTATCTCTTGGTATTTATTTTGTATGTTAAAAACTAATTAGGTAGATATATATAAATTTCAAAACTAATTATTTTTATTTTAGATATTACTAGTGCAAATATTATTCCAATTGGAAATACATATAGTTTTGAATTGATTGGATTTTTTGATGTTTCACAACCAAATGCTACCATTATGGGGTCTTTTAATTGTCAAATAACAAGTTTCAATACAACCTATATCTTGTGTTCAGTTGCACCAAATCCACCTCTCGTCTTGGCCAGTCTCATCGATATTACTTTGTCAGTATATACAAATAATACAGTTTATACAATGAATTTACCTAATTGTAAGTAACTCTAATATTAATCAAACGCCTAAATGAATTTATTAATTTAATTTTTATTTTACTAGTAACCAATCCAATTGTTATTAAAAATACAGAATTTACACAATCAATGGATGGAACTACATATGTTGTTGTTGGATATGATACTATATTGATTAATCAAACACTTGATCCATTTACCTATGAAATTCAAGTGGATGGTTATTTTTGTAGCGCTGAGAGACTGACACCACAGTTTTTAGGTTGTCTCTTACCTACTATTTTAAAAGATCAACAACAATATACTGTAAAGGTATCAAAACTAAATAATGCTCCATGGAATAGTGTTTCATTACCATTTTATCAAATATTTAAACAAGGTAAGCTAGAGTTGGTAATTAATAATTAAATGGTTCAACGATTTATTTATATTAATATTTTTTGTTTTTATTTAGCATACCCATATGTAACATCAATACCAGAATATTATACAAATGATACAATTATAACAATTTATGGTAATTTTGGAACAGATCATTTTGACAGTTCAATCATTACCATTCAATCTGTAAATTGGACCTATGTGAATGGTAATGCAAGTTTTTTAACTTGTCAGTATAATTTGGATACTCCTATTACACCTGGTGTAAAGTCATTGGTTATCAATACTCAAGGATGGATATTTAAAAGAGATTCTATGATTGTTTTTAAAACACCTCCCAACAACAATGGTAGTAGTACCACGACGACGACTACTAGTAGTACGACAACTGATAGTCAAGAATGTCAATGTGGTTTACATGGATATTGTATAGTGTTGAATGGAATAAGACAATGTCAATGTACCGATGGTTACAGTGGTGATCAATGTCAAAATGCACCATATCCAGGAGGAGAAATGACAATCAATACAACCACACCATCAGCATCGTTCAACACTAGTGATGGTGAATCATTTTCATTTAACCTAGTTTCAATTCAAGAACTAGGAATGGATGGACAAATTATTAAAGAAATGACTACATTCCAATGGACAGTCATTCAAAATATCTCAATGGATGAAAATAATAGTCAACGTCAATTAAGAATAGTAACATATAATCTAAATTCAACAAACAATAATAATAATCAAAATCAAAATCAAAATAATGTTTCAATTCAAGTTATATTACAACAATCAAATTATGATAGAATAGTTGAATTTGCAGGTGTAAATAGTAGTTTGGTAGCCAATGATATTAAATTGGCAATGAATATATCATCTTGGATTTATGAATCCACTTTGAATTCACTACGTGTTGTATTTCAAAGTGATATTGGTCAAGGAGAGGATTGCAATGGTAACAAAATCAATCCAACTATTGCATCGGAATTTGATTCTCAATCGGTGGAATACCTTCAAATTGTAAAGGGTAATATTATCTTTAATGGCAGATTTGTGGATCGTGTCCTTTCAGATCGTCGAGTATCCTATTCTAGAAATGAAATAGTCAGCCTCACCAATTCATCCATATCCATCGGTATCCATCTACCATTTGCAAACTTTGAATCCATCATTGACCCCGATTTTAGTTTGCTGGTCTCACATGACAGTGATGCCACATCCAATTGCAACCGGTCAACCTCATCCAACACTTGGAAGATTATCGTTGGAGTGGTGGTTGGTGGTATAGCAGCCATTGCATTGATTGGTGCAGCTGCCAAATACTTGCATTTCAAACATAAAAAGAATAGACAAGATCAACATTTACAAGCTAAATTAAAAAGATTAAATGATTAATAGCTTTGATCAGTAGTCTATCAAAAATTAAATAAATACCAATATATATATTTAAATATAAAGACTACCTTACCTACTCTACAATTAGAATTCTCAGGAGGTTGGTCTTGTCTTCATCATCTCTGGTTGTTAAAGTTTAAAAATTAAATTGCATTTCCCTTTTAGTCAAACTCGTTCACACTACTTTGAGACATACCCACACACCACAAACTTCATCATGATCATGCAGCAATGAAAAATAGTTTTATTCGTATCAGATATATAAACCCCCCACTACCCACACTAATATAATATGGTTGATTAAAAATATTTAAATTATTATTATTTTGGAGAAATAGCACTTCTTGCTTTACCCAACCAACCTTTGCTCTCACTCTCACTCTCTTTATATCAGTGTGATCATTCTTTTTATTTCTTTTATGAAACTTGTTTCAAAAATCGTATGATTATATACAAATAATTAATTCTCTCTCTACTATCTCTCTCTCTGTCTCTCTCTATAAAATATTAACATTTAATTTTACTCTTTATTTTTCTACCATCTTTTATAGCCTTTACAACTCTCAATCAATCAATCAATCAATCAACCAATACCAAATTACAATCAATCCATATTTTTTCTACTCTCAAATTTATTATGCACTCTTTAATCATTATCATCTTTATTTTATCAATCTTTGTTTCGTTCGTTGTTTCTCATGACAACAACCATTATGGTGTTGTTTTCAACACATCATCATCATCATCTTTATTCTCATCGTTCAACCATGTTGAACTTCAATCAATTAGCATCAACAACGATAATTATGTTTGCAATAACACCTTATCTTTCAACCATGTTGAACATCAACCAATTCCAATCATTTCCATTGCTCATAAAAATAATAATTCCTTTTCATTTATTCACGCATTTTCCATTAATTCTTCAAGTGATATTATTGTGTCCCAATGTCAATCACAACCATTACCATTACCATTACTTTCAAATTATTCAACAACCAACAACCTCATTCTTTTAGAAGAAAGGGAGATGACTGTTCAATTGAACAGCAACAATACAAATTCGAACACTTGTTTAGACAATTATCCAATCATTAGATTTCCATCCGTGTCCTATGACATAAATATTCAATATAATTCAAGCGATATTGTTGTGTTACCATTTCCATCACAATCACCATTAATATTAAATCATTCAATAAAGGATGAGGAGGAGGAAGAAGAAGAAGAGGAGGAGAAGTATATTCAATATCCATCAATGAACCAGAGTTCAATTTTATTTTATCCTTTAACATCAATCTCATTGTCCAACAACAATGATGAACATCCATTCAACATTTCAATGATTAATAATAATAATATTATTAACAACAACAACAATAATAATGAATCTGTCTCACTTCTTCACTCATTATACATGTACATTCCATTTAATTCAAGTGATGTTTCGACCTATTGTCAATCATCACCATTACTCTTAAATCATTCAACAACCAACCATTTTCTTTAGCAGAAGAGGAGGAGTCAATTCAATTGAACAACAATACAATCACATTCTCATTGTTCAACCATGTTGAAAATCAATCAAATACTATCAATAATAATAATATTTCTTTCCATCAATCAATCATTTTATTTTATAATAATCATAATAATAATTTATCATTTAATTCATCACTGTTAACTCCTTTTAGTTTAAATGTTTTGTATCAATCTCATTTTCAAATACCATCGAATCATTCAAAAACCAACAACCACGATCATCAACAAATCGAAATCAATTCCATCCACTCATCCATGTCACCCATTCCATTAAACTCTAGTGATGTTTTGTTTCATTGTCCATCACCAAATCATTCACCAACCACCAACAATATTAATTTAGATCAGGAGGTGTCTGTTCAATTGAACAGCAGTACAATCTTAGTTTCATTTTTCAACCAATCAATTCACAAAGACAATAATAATAATAATAATAATGATATTTCATTCTTCAATGACCATCAATCATCGATTCCATGTTTTAATTCAAGTGTCATTTTCACAGATTGTCAATCATCATTGCCACAATTAATCTTCAATCATTCAACAACCAACCACATTCTTTTAGAGGAGGAGGAGGAGTTTGTTCAATTGAACAACAGCAGCAAAAGCACACATTCATTAACATGTTTAGACAATGTTAAACATCAATCAATTTCAATTAATAATCAATCAAATAATAATAACTATTTTTCATTAATTTATTCATCATCATCATTATCAACATTATATTTATTATCAAATACAATTAATCCAACAAGATCAAAGACAAGCCCATTTTCAAGATACTCCAGCAACATCTCAAGAATAGAAAACAACAACAACGCGGTAACAAGCTCTGACAATTTAAAGCATTTTACTGATTCCTCTTCTTTTATTTTTATAGATACCAAAGTTGCCAACAATTATTTTGATTCTCTCAACTGTTTCGGCACCAATCATTCTAATCATACAATAATACAACAACAACAAAAACCATCATCATCACCAATCAAATATGATACAATCCTCACCACAATCCAAATTCACAATTCAACTCATAACAATCAATATTCACAAATCACTCCATCTTCAAATAATAATAATAATAATAATACCAATGAATCTGTCTCACTTATTCACTCATTAAACAAGTACATTCCATTTAGTTCAAGTGATGTTTCGACCTATTGTCAATCATCACCATTACTCATTAATCATTCAACAACCAACCATTTTCTTTTAGCAGAAGAGGAGGAGAAGAAGGAAGAGGAGACATTTCAATTGAACAACAACACAATCACATTCTCATTGTTCAACCATGTTGAACATCAATCAATTATTGTTAATAATAATAATAATAATATTTCTTTCCATCAATCAACCATTTTATTTTATCATTCAAGTGATACATTATATCAAAGTCAAAGTCAATCCAATCATTCATTCGTTCCTGACAGCAATAATAATTATTTATTTTTTAATTCATCCAGAGTGTCAATTCCTTTTAATTTTCAATTACCATTAAATCACTCAACAACCAACAACCACATTCTTTTATATCTTCAATCTAACAACAACAGAACAACAAATTCAATCCCATGTTTCGATCATCAACCAATCTTTTCCTTCAATAATAATAATAATAATAACAACAATAATCACAAAAAAACAAAAATGCAAATACAAAAAATAATAATAATTCCTCTTCCACATACAGACAACCCCTTCAATGTTCAATTAATATTAATGACAACATCACAACAAATAACATCTCATCCACATTCACATTAAACAATCCAACAACAACAACAACAACAACAATCTCAATGCATCCAAGATCAACGACAGGACCATTTTCAAGACACCCCAGCGGTTCAAAATTGAACAACAATTATTCTCTCAACTCTTTTGGCTTGAATCATTCAATCCACTTTCACCAATCAATCCAGTCTCCACACTCTGTCAATCCACTCACCGCACTCATTAATCGATCATACAAAAATAATAATAACAACAACACCAACACTACCAACTCATCATCATTTTCATGTCTCAACCATGAAGCATTCATCTCAGCCAACAAACAAACAAAAAATATTAATAATAATAATTCATTAATTCATCCAACATCCAACTGTTTCGGAACCAATCATTCAAATCATACAACAATACAACAACAATCATCATCATCATCACAAATCAATAATGATACAATCCTCACCACAATCCACACTCACAACTATCAATATTCACAAATCACTCCACCATCTTCAAATAATAATAATAATTCCTTTGCATCTATTCACTCATTATCCATTAATACAGATTTTATTATGTCCCAATGTCAATCAAAACCATTACTTTCAAATTACCCAACGACCAACAACCACGATCATCAACAAATGGAAATCATTTCCATTCACTCATCCATGTCACCCATTCCATTAAACTCTAGTGATGTTTTGTTTCATTGCCCATCACCAAATCATTCACCAACCTCCAACAATATTAATTTAGATCAGGAGGTGTCTGTTCAATTGAACAGCAACAGTAGCAGCACAAATTCATTAACATGTTTAGATCATGTTAAAAACCAATCAATTCTTCTTCATAGTCCTCAATCAAATAATAACAACATAAAATTCAAAAATCCAAGCAATAATAATAATAATAATTATGCCAACAACAACACACCATCATCATTCTCATGTTTCAACCATGGTGAATCATTCATTTCAACCAACAATCAAACAAAAAATATTAATAATAATAATAACAACAAAAATAACAACAATAACAATAATAATAACAACAACAATTATTCATCTTCCACAGACAGACAACCTTTTCATTGTTCACCAACTACCAATAATAATGGTAATAATATTACAATCTTTGCCAATCACTTCAATCCACAGTCATTAAATAATACAAATAATAACAACAATAATAACAATAACTACATTAAATTAAGAAATAATAATAGCAACACCAACTCATCATCATCATCACTCTCATGTTTCAACCATGTTGAAACATTCATCTCAACCAACAATCAATCAAAAAATATTAATAACAACAATAACAATAATGATAACAACAAAAATACAAAAACAAATAACAACATCAATAACACAAGACCAACAAATAATAATAACAACAATTATTCCTCTAACATAGACAGTCATTGTTCACCAACAATTAATAACATTTCATTTACATCAAATATTAATAATGATAATATCAACAAACAATAATCCAACAAACAATAATACAAAGAACAATACAAATAATAACTTAAAAAATATTAATAACAAGAGTACTCTTGTTATTAATATTTTTGATAATAACAATTTAAATAATAATAATAATAATAACAACAATGACAACAATATATTATATATTTCACAATCCAACTCTACCTCCTTCTTTTTTACCTCTTCAAAGCACATACAACCCCCTCATTGTTCACCAACAAATAATAGTATTCCAATTACAACAAAGAATAATCATAATAGTATTACAATCTTTAATCACTCCAATCCACAATCCTCATTCACCAATCAATCATTCAATCATCACCAATCGGCCAGTCAGTCGCCCGTCCCAAATCCAGTGATCAAGAGTACCAGTTTCCAAGCAACAATCTCCATTCGTAAACCAACATAATTAACGCCGTATCAAATGTTGATATTTAAATATGAATTTACTTACTCTTTTTTTCTTTTTATTTTATAGGTACTCTAATCATTATTCTCTTCAACTCTTTTGGTAATATCAACATTTTAATAATAATCCAACAACCAACAACCAACAACAACAACCAATTACAATCCTCTTCTTTTCTAAAAAAAAAGATATTCAATTACTTTTACCCAAGTGGTTTCCCTCTAATCCTACTCTTTTCTTTATACATTTTACGTTGCCATCGTCCGTGTCCGTGTCCAGTCCAGTCCAGTCCATCATCGTCCATCCATGTTCCACGTCTCCTTAGGCTTTTATACCCCAAAAAAGATATTCAATTACTTTTACCCAAGTGGTTTCCTTTACAAAAAGATATTCAATTACTTTTACCCAGAGGGTTTCCCAGGTTCGCCCCCGTGTAAGTCGATTTTCTTCGCATTGGGGGGGCTTTTTTTTTTTTTGGACTGTTCCCATGGTCTAAACAACCATGGGAACAACCAAAACTATATTTTTCTATTTCTTTCTTTCTCTCCTTTCTATCTTTTTCCCTCTCTTTTTTTATTCTTATTTTTTATTTGTTTATTAATTCTTTTACCCGCCAAATCAATATTATTATTCTGACGAATTTAAAATTAATTAATTCATCATCAGAATTTGTAATAATTATATGTAACAAATATTTGTGACACTACAACTATAGCAATATGTGTCTATATAAAGGTATGCACCCAAAGATGGTTTATGGGTTTGTAACTTTAATTTATTAAAATTTAAACTTTTATAATAAAAATAAAATTAAAAAGCAACCACTTTGACAACTCTGACTTTTTGATCAGACCATTTACTATTTTATTTTTCTTGTATTTATAAATATAATTAATGACTTGTTACTCACAACATATAAATATATACTGATACATATATAGATAGAGATAGAGATAGAAAAGATGATGATACGAATAAATAAATAAAGACTGTTTATGTGCACTATCTATTTCTTACAATCATTATTTAGCTTCATCATCCACCAACTATTCCTCGTGACCCATCTTCCATAGTCCATTGCCCATGATCCACAATCATTCCTGGTACAACCATCATCCACCACTGGTGGAAAATCAAGAAAGTATAAAGTCTTATTGTGACAGATGATTTATAATGTTTTGGTTAATATTGGAATAGATTGATCAAGATAGATTCTTCAAAGGAAATTATAATATTAATTTAAATTTATATTATTTTAAATATATTTAGTTATTTTAGAGACACCAGCAATGTACTTTTGTTGATACATGATAGATTAAGGATTGTGGATTGTAGATAGTGGATCCATAAACCATCTATCTATCATCCATCTATAGTCTATCATCCACTATCCATGGTATACTACCCTCAGCCATCATCCGTCTATGTCAATCTTCGTTGCACATAATCAACCATCGTCCAAGTGGAAAATCAAGAATGCATCATGTATATTGAGATCGATGGATCAATGCATCGGAATGATGGATCAATTAAAATAGAATCACAAAACTCCAACTTAGAATAACGTAATATTATTTTATTGACATCAACAATTGGACTATATTTGATACAGTTCATTTTGATTATAATGATTGTTTAATACAAAGAATCCAATAAACTTATAAGATCTTTTAAATTATAATTAAATCTAAGACTTGAATTTCTATCTCTTTCCACCATCCCTATCCATCCACCATCCAACAATCATCTATCCGTCTACCATCCAACCATCCCTATCCATCCTCTATCACTATCCTCCACCATCCTCCATCCAACCTCTATCCATCCTCTATCACTATCCTCTATCCAACCATCCTCCATCAACCATCCATCCAACCATCCACATCCTCTATCCATCCATCCTCATCAATCATCTATTGTCCATCATGGGATCAATGAGGTACTGGTTTTATTATTAAAAATAATCATTGTACAATGTATATTTTGGATAATAATAATAAATTTTTATTTTATTTAAAAAGATATAGAAATTATTGTTTCTTAGCTCTCCAAACTAAATATTAAGAAGAACCAAACTTGACTTTCTGCTGAGTAAACAAGAATATAAAATGATTTTGGTTCATGCACCAAAGTGAGGGTAAATACAAAGTAAACATTAGCGAATCTACTAACAAGGAATCCATTTTCTTTCTATTGATGAGCATGAAAATCCAATTATAACTACAAAGAGGAATTAATAAATAATATTATATAAATACTTATACCTAATCATTTCTTATAAAACATTATTTGTATTGGTCCAACACGATTTTCAACACCAAGCATAATCTACACCAATGATTGAATCAAACAGAAAATAAACATATATTTGTGAAGCATTTTTTTTTTTTTTTTTTGCACCTCCTCTTGATCAAAGTGCACATAAAGTCAATTCTTTCTATCTGATCATTATCTTCTTTAATATCAAAGTTATTAACCTTCTTGGTCATCATTCTATAGATATAGAGAAGGTCAGGTTCTTTCCTTTACAGTTTACAACCGTATTTGTGTCGTAGTGTAGTAGTAGTTGTGATAAGTAAATAGTGGTACACTGTTTGCTCCCATCAGGCCTACAGTAATAATAATAATAATGGTAACTATTTGCTTATATCAATTTAAAATATCAAAAGAATCTAACTCTCTATGCCATTTCATTTATCTAGTTGTAAATACAACTCATCAGATGATACAAAAAATAATGATCAACATCATCGCTGATCAAGATGACGATCGCCGAGAGAAAAACAGACATTACATTCTACTGACTGATAAATTCTTCTATGAACCGTAAATCTAAAGTAGAAGATGTTTTGGAGAACGTTCAACAGGAGACATGGTAAGGGATTGACCATAACAAAATTCTCCGTTCTATGTCCTTTTCGTGGAATAGGGTCTCTGTTTTTTTATGGTTTCACCGATTTGTCCCAATTTTACGAATGACTATGGCTTTCAGATTTCTTCATCTTTTTTAAACGACGGCGGACCTCCTGTTTAATTCCTTGTGGTGGTTTCCCTCCACCATACCATATAAACCGTGAAAATTATTTCATTATTAAATCATCACAATTATTTATTTATCTATTTTATCTATCTCATTTTTAAAAGGTAAAAAAAAAAAAAGAAAAGAAAAAACAAAATAATAATATTATTTTAGATTACTAATTCTTATTATTATTTCCAATATATATTTATATTTTTAATTATTTATAGAATGATGAAACTTATAGATTTTATATCAACTCCCAAAAATTTATTTTTGGTAGTTCTTTTATTATCATGTTTAAATTTAGTTTTTGCTCAAGTAAGTAATAATCAACATTATTATCTCTTTCAAAATTTTGGAAAAAAAAACAATTAATTTATAATTTTTTTTTTTTTTTTATTTGTTTTTTTTTTCAGGCACCAACTGTCACATCGGTCATCCAAAGCAACATTGATTATAGTATCACCATCCAAGGTGCCAACTTTTGGTGCCAACAAGGATGTGGTCTCTGTTACCATTAACCTTTATACCTTCTTTATCGCTTTCATCAACGATACTACCATTGCCACCACTGCGCCTGCATCCTCCTCGAATGGATTTATCCAAATTCAAGTAAATGGAGTTGCAGCCGCCCCATTCCCAATCAATTACAAACCAGCCGTTACATTTGCTCCTACCATTCCAATAGCTGGTGGTTTGGTTACTCTAAGTGGAAGATACCTTTCGATGCTTCGTTCCAATGGAACCTACACCAATATGTTGGTTTTATTCAACAACAAGCCAGCATCCCTCAGTTCATCTACTTCCAACTTTGTCGCCTCCTTTTTATCAGTAATTGCACCTGCAGGTGTTGGTGCCAACCTCCCATTGACAGTCATGGCAGATGGAGTTGTATCCGATACTTTCCTCTTTAGTTATGCTGCTCCAACCGTCACTTCACTGAACCAAGGTTCAGGTTCTATCATTTCAATCATGGGTACCAATTTTGGCAGTGATTTGTCAGTCATCACAGGAATAGTTGCCAACGGTCAAGAATATCTTCCAACCTCAATGATCACTGGTGGAGTAACTTTTAATGCTCCTTCAGACCTCAAGAATGGAGTTGCTAATGTTCGTGTTGGTAATCAATTGGCTGCATCAAATCTTACATTTGTTTTGACTCCAATACTCACAACCTACACTCCCCTCTCCCTGATTGGTGGTATCCTCACTATCAATGGTCGATATTTAAATAGTGTTGATTATTTTGGTAATCCAGTTGCTGTAACAGCAACATTGGGTGGCAATCAATGTACCAACCCAGTTGTCAACGGTGTCTCGTTAAATTGTCAATATCCAGGTGGCCTTGGTGGCATTTCTAATAGTTTGGCTGTTACTATTGGTACTAAACAAAAAATATTGTCGGTTGCTTTCCCAGCCCCAAGTATTACCTCATCGTCTTTGACTCAAAATACAACCGATGCAACTGTTACTGTTGTTGGCAAGAATTTTGGTAACACTGTAGTCATTATATCATTTGGTACTCTTCAATCTGTCAGTGATACCGCCGTCATCTTTACAGTTCCCACTACAGTCACCAATGCTCCATTCACCGTTAACGCTTTTGGACAAGTGTCAAACCCTGTTCAATTCTATGTCACTCCACGTATCACTGCTATTGCTGGTGCACAAACCCAAGGATCCATTACAACATTGCTTGGTAACTACTTTACACCACTTAGAGCCAACCAAAGTCCTACAGTTACTTCTATCCAAATTGACGGTGGTGCTCCAATCACATCACAAATTTCAATGCAAGGTACTACATTAACATTCCCACTGCCAGCTGGTACTGGAGCAAATCATGTGTTGACATTAACCATCGATGGTCAAAGTGCTACCTTTGTATTCTCGTATCCAGCTCCAACCATTTCTTTAATCGTTCAATCATCGGTTGCCAATCACTACACCCAAACAATCTCCATCATGGGTACTTCATTTGGAGTGGTCAATACAAACGTCCAAATAATATTTGCCAGTCAACCAAATGTTCAATGTGATCAAATAGTTGTCGCCGACTCTTTAATCACTGCAAATCTACCAAATTTTGTACTCAGTGATGACATTCGAGTCAACATCTCTGGTCAAGTATCAACTCCATTCTCCAGAACACTTGGACCCATTCTCAAATCAATCACATCAGTTGATCCAGAAGGTGGTAAAATCACAATTGGTGGTTTATATCTCAACAATGTAGATGCTTTTGGATTAGCCGTTCCAATCATAGTCATGTTCCCAAGTAATAATCCATGTATCAATGTTCAAAAGATTGCCGATGACCAAGATATGGGTTATATCACTTGTCAAGCTCCACCAGGCAATGGAATTAATATTCAAGTTTCTGTTCAAGTCGGTTCATTAATTGACACTATCAACTTTGCCTATGGTGCACCTGTCATCTTTTCGGTCGTCGTCGCCAATGATAATTCAGCTGCATCTATTGTTGGAAAGAACTTTGGAGCATCGCAAGCAGGTGTATCAATTTTCTTTGGTGCTTCACAAATCCAAAACTTTGTCTATGTCAACAGTACATTCCTAGCGGTGCCTTTAATCTCATCGTCGTTGAGAAATGCACCAGTCATTGTCAAGCTTGCTGATGGTCGTGTTTCAAATCCAATTCCATTTGCATTCAAGCCACTCATCACTCAAGTTTCAAAGCCAATCAAAACAACAGGTGACCAATTGACTATTTCCGGTTTCTCTTTATTCCCAACAAGATTGGATGGATCACCAACCAATGTCACAGTAGTCATTGATCAAAATCAACAATGTACCAATGCTCTCGCCTATGGAGCATCAGTTATTTGTACTTCACCTCAAGGTTCTGGTGTCAATCATAATGTCATTGTCTATATCGATGATGTTCAATCACCATCAACAGTCCAATTCTCATATATTGCACCTTTAATCAGCAATATTGCTCAACAAGGTAATAGTGACCTTATAATGATCACAGGTACCAATCTTGGAGTTGATATTGCAAAGATTACAATCAACAATCAAATCATTGCAACAACATTGGTAAACCCAACAACTTTGTCTGCTAAATTGACAGGTCCATCAAAGAATGGAGATATTATAGTCAATGTAGATGGTCAAGATAGTAATACTCTACCACTTAAAATCAAGGCATTGGTTAACTCTATCACATCAACCTCACCATATGGAGGTGTTGTTGAATTAGTTGGTAAATACCTTTGGACTACAAGATTAGATTCATCTGCAACAACCATTTCAATTGAAATTGGAGGAACTGAATGTACATCACCAGTCGCCAATGGAAGTGATGGAACCAAGTTGAAATGTACTCTTGGTGATGCAAGTCAATTAGAATCTGATATTGATTTATCAATTGATTCTGCCTCTGCATACACAACAACCTATTACACCAGTAATCCACCAGTTCTCTCATCGATTTCATCTTCATACTACCTCGTATCAAGTGTCGTCACCATCGTTGGTAATGAATTCTATTCACCATCTCACGTCACCATTGGAAACACTCAATGTGATAATGCTGTAGTTGTCGACGCACAACATATTACTTGTTTATTCGATAGTAATGTAGGTAATAATGCCACTTCAACTTTGGATGTCACTATGATTTCTGGAGATTCAGATGAACATACCTTTGCTGGAGTATTCAAATACACATTGTTACAATGTTTGAACTCATGTTCATCACATGGAACCTGTGTCAGCTCTGGTCAATGTCAATGCAACAATGGATACAGTGGAGCTGATTGTTCAATCACATACAGTCAATCATTGGTGTCGGGTGACTCTGGATCAGTGTCAGGAGGTAAATTCACAATGTTTAACAACTCTATGGAATTCCTACTCTCACACATTCAAGAAGTTCGTCAAGACAATACTATCGTTCAAACTATTCCACTCACCAAATGGGACGTATATGATGAGTACGGTAATACAACTATTTACAACTCAACATCAACCACACACAACATTCAACTCTATGTCACCAAACATTCAACAGCATCTGTTCAATCATACCTTGGTGATGATCTTGTTATTCCATCCAACTCTATCAAACACTTGATGACTATTGATAATTTTAAATTTGAATCGACCAACTCATCACTTCGTATCATCTATCAATTCAAATCACCATCACAAATTGAATACCACTGCAACAATGAAACCACCAAATATCAATACGATACATCATCATCAACAACAACCATCAAATCGTACAGCATTGACACACCAGTCGGTACAATGATGGCATCATTCAGCAACCGTGCCAATATTGATGACACCAATACAATTGTAACATCCATTCAAGCAATCACATCAGTCGATTCAACAACCCAATCAACAGCAGGTATCCAATACATTGGCATACAAGTTCCATCATTTGCAGATTTTGTTGAAATCGATCCAATATTCTCAGCCACATCAAAGACTGCACCATCAACCGATGCCTGTATTGTATCATCTTCATCCATCACCACACCAATCCTTTTATTTGTAGTATCACTCATATTATTATCTATTTTCTAAATTAAATATAAAATAAAATTTAATGTACTTATTGTTCAAGAATAAGAAGTTCGATCAAGGACAAAATCGAAACGACTTTTTCAAGGAAGAGCACTTTGTTTTTTTGTTCATTAGTTGATTTACCCATTTAGACGAACATTGATGGGGTTTGTATCTTGAGTGATCTCTTGCGCTTCCCTCATCAAAAAGAAATCAAAATTGTTGCTTGTTTAATTTAAAGTATTTTAATCAAAAGGTAACAAATAAATTAATTTATAAATGTTGAACAATTAATATGGGTTACTAACTCTATCATTCCATCCAATAATATTATTTTAAACAGTAATTTACAATGATGAAACTAGTAGACACAAAGATAAAGATATTTTTGGCGCTTCTTTTAGCACAAATAAATTTAGTTTTAGCTCAGGTATGTATTTTTAATTCTATACAAAACATATAGATATATATTAATTTTATACAAGATATAATTTATATAGCAACCAACGATAACTAGTGCAGCTGCAGATTATCAATCGATCAAAGTGGGTGGAACCAATTTTGGTACTGTAAAGAACAATGCAATATTGATTGCACCTACCTATCCACTTGGAACCAATACCTCTTTGACTGCAGCCTTTATATCACCAACCATTTTAATCTTTGCTTGGGATAATAATGTATTGAATGGACCGTTCCAAATATCTATCAATGGGCTGCTGACTGCCCCTTGGTATGTGTCGTATACTCCATATATCGATACAATGACACCTGTTGGTACAGCCGGTGGTTCCAACATCACTATAAGAGGTTATTCATTCTATCCATTCGACAGTCTCGGTAATGCACTTTCACAAACCGTCACCATTGGAGATACCAATTGTCCAGTACTCTCATCATCGATCGACGCCTCTTATACCTATATTGTTTGTCGAGCTCCTGCCGGGTCAGGTACCAAAGTAGCAATTGTAAAAATCAATAATTTAGCAAACTATTTCGATTATCTCTATGCTCCTCCAGTCATCACATCGGTCACTCAAAGTGAAACTGATTATGGTCTAATCATTCAAGGTGAAAATTTTGGTTGGAATATAAATTTAATAAGAATTTATATATCTACGTTGATGGCAACTGTTATATCATTTAATGATACTACAATCTTTGCAGTTGCCACGGCTGATACAAGCAATGGATTAATCCAAATTCAAGTCGATAGTATCAATTCTGCAGATTTTCCAGTCCATTTTAAACCAGCCGTTACATTTGTACCTACTATTCCAGTAGCTGGTGGTATAGTTACTATTTCTGGGCGTTATCTTTCAATGACACGTACTGATTTGACAGTATTATTCAACGACAAGCCGGCAACACACATTTCAGAGTATTACAACACAGTCTCTGCCTTTTTAGTAGTAATGGCACCTGCAGGTGTTGGTGCCAACCTTTCATTGACCATCACCGCAGATGGAATTCAATCCGAAACATTCTTATTCAGTTATGATGCTCCAACCCTCACATCAATGACGCAGGGAGTTGGATCTGCCATTTCAATCATTGGTACCAATTTTGGCACTGATTTGTCCGTCGTCACAGTCATTACCAACGGTCAAGAAATCTTACCAACCGGATTCATCTCAAATGGCTTGGTGTTTAGTGCTCCTGTAGATCTCAAGAATGGAGTTATCAATGTTCGCGTTGGTAATCAAATGGCTGCATCAAACCTTACATTTGGTTTGGCTCCAGTACTATCATCCATTTCGACTCTGTCATTGGCTGGTGGTACGATCACTATCAATGGTCGATATTTAAATAGTGTAGATTACCTAGGTACTCCAATTGATGTAACAGTATTGTTGGAAAACTTGGCATGTACCAACACAGTTGCCAACGGTGCCACGTTAACTTGTCACTATCCAGGTGGACTAGGTGGAGCTCAAGCTAGTTTGTCTGTTTATATTGGTACTAAACAAACATTGTTATTGGTATCTTTCCCACCTCCAATTATTACTTCTCAGTCTCTGACTCAAAATACAATCGATGGAACTATCACAGTGGTTGGTAAAAACTTTGGTGTATTACCCTCAAAGATTTCATTAATATTTGGTACTCTTCAATCTGTCAATGATACAACCGTCGTTTTTACAGTTGCCGATACAATTTCCAGTGCTCCCTTCACTCTTACTACATTTTTTCAAACGTCAAACTCTGTTCAATTTGTCGTCACCCCATTGATCACTGGTATATCTGGTGTAGAAACCCAAGGATCAAGTACAACATTGACAGGTAAATACCTTGTAGCAAAGAGAGCCAATCAGACACCTACAGTTGCTTCTATCCAAATTGATGGTGGTACACCAATAACATCACAAATTTCAATGCAACCTATACAAGGTACCTATTTAACATTCCCACTACCAGCTGGTACTGGAGTAAATCATACATTGGTATTAACCATCGATGGTAAAAGTGCTACCTTTGTATTCTCGTATCCAGCTCCAACTATTATTGGTATATCTCAACAATCAGTTGTCAATCACTACACCCAAACAATCTCCATCTCTGGTACTTCATTTGGAGTGGTCAGTGGAAATGTTAAAATAATATTTGCTAATCAACCAAATGTTCAATTAGATCAAGTATTTGTCAGTGACTCTTTAATCACTGCAACTCTACCAAAGTTTGTACTCAATGGTTTCGTGATGGTCAATGTCTCTGGTCAGTCTTCATCTTCATATCCCAACCAAATTGGACCAATTCTCAAATCAATCACATCAGCTGATGCAGAAGGTGGTGAAATCAAGATTGGTGGTCTCTATCTCAACAATGTCGATGCTTTTGGATCAACCGTTCCAATCACAGTCATGTTCCCAGGTAAAACTCTATGTACCAATGTCGTAAAGATTGCAGATGATCAAGATATGAGTTATATCACTTGTCAAGCTCCACCAGGTACCGGAATTGATATTCAAGTTTCTGTTCAAGTCGGTACATTAATTGACACTATCAACTTTGCCTATGGTGCACCTGTCATCTATTCGGTTATTGTCGCCAATGATAATTCAGTAGTATCTATTGTTGGAAAGAACTTTGGAGATTCACAAACAAGTGTATCAGTTTATCTTGGAAATGTGCCAATCATTTCATACAGTTATGTCAACAAAACCCTCATAGTGATGCCTACAACTTCAACAATGAGAAATGCACTCATCACTGCCAAGCTTGTAGATGGTCGTGTCTCCAATCCAGTACCACTTAATTTGAAACCTATCATTACATCTGTTTCAAAGCCAGTTAAAACAACAGGTGACCAATTGACTATTGTTGGATCGTATTTATATTCAACTAGACTGGATCGATCACCAACCAATGTCATAGTAGTCATTGAAGATCTCAATCAACAATGTACCAATGCTGGTGCATCACCAACAATGATTATTTGTACTTCACCTCAAGGTTCTGGTGTCAATCATAATATTAGTGTTTTTATCGATGGAGCACAATCACCATCACCAGTCCAATTCTCATATATTGCACCTTTAATCAGCAATATTGTTCAACAAGGTAGTAGTGATGATCTCGTAATCACAGGTACCAATCTTGGAATTGATATTGCAAGATTACAATCAACAATCAAATCATTGCAACAACATTGGTAAACCCAGCAACTTTGTTTGCTAAATTGACAGGTCCATCAAAGAATGGAGATATTATAGTCAATGTTGACGGTCAAGATAGTAATACTCAACCACTCAGCATCAAGGCATCTGTCACCTCTATCACATCCACCTCACCATATGGAGGTGTTGTTGAATTAGTTGGTAAATACCTTTGGACTACAAGATTGGTTTCAACTCCAACAACCATCTCTATTCAAATTGGAGGAGTAGAATGTACATCACCAGTTGCCAATGGAAGTGATGGAACCAAGTTGAAATGTACTCTTGGTGATGCAAGTCAATTTGAATCTGATATTGAATTATCAATTGATTCTGTCGATGCCAATTCAACAACCATCAATTACAGCAGTAAGCCACCAGTTCTCACATCGATTACACCTTCATACTACCTCATCTCAAGTGTCATTACCATTTATGGTACTGAATTCTATACATCAGCTACTGTCACCATTGGAGGTAGTAGTTGTGGTGGTGTTGTAGTTGTCGATGCACAACATATTACTTGTTTATTTGATAGTGATGTCGGTATTGCAACTTCAATATTGAATTTAACTATTGTTTCTGGAGAATTATCAACCACTCAAGTTGGAGTATTCAAATACACATTGTTACAATGTTTGAACTCATGTTCATCACATGGAACCTGTGTCAGCTCTGGTCAATGTCAATGCAACAATGGATACAGTGGAGCTGATTGTTCAATCACATACAGTCAATCATTGGTGTCGGGTGACTCTGGATCAGTGTCAGGAGGTAAATTCACAATGTTTAACAACTCTATGGAATTCCTACTTTCACACATTCAAGAAGTTCGTCAAGACAATACTATCGTTCAAACTATTCCACTCACCAAATGGGACGTATATGATGAATACGGAAATACAACCGTTTACAACTCAACATCAACCACTCACAACATTGAACTCTATGTCACCAAACATTCAACAGCATCTGTTCAATCATACCTTGGTGATGATCTTGTCATCCCATCCAACTCTATCAAACACTTTATGACTATTGATCGTTTTACATTTGAATCGATCAACTCATCACTACGTATCATCTATCAATTCAAATCACCATCACAAATTGAATACAACTGCGACAATGAAACCACCAAATATCAATACGATACATCATCATCAACAACAACCATCAAATCATACAGCATTGACACACCAGTCGGTACAATGATGGCATCATTCAGCAACCGTGCCAATATTGATGACACCAATGCAATTGTAACATCCATCCAAGCAATCACATCAGTCGATTCAACAACCCAATCAACAGCAGGTATCCAATACATTGGCATACAAGTTCCATCATTTGCAGATTTTGTTGAAATCGATCCAATATTCTCAGCCACATCAAAGACTGCACCATCAACCGATGCCTGTATTGTATCTTCTTCATCCATCACCACACCATTCCTCTTATTTGTAGTATCACTCATATTATTATCTATTTTCTAAATTAAACATAAATAAATATTAAATGTAATTATTAAACTATGTATTATCTCTCTGTATGCTTTGTGCACGTGTTTAAATCTAATACTATCGGGACAGATTGCCCCAATGTTGTGATCTTGAGGTCGATGGGTTCAAAAAAAAATTAATTTTGAAAAGAAATCGGTGGGAACCTTAGAAAATACTTGTACTATTAATCTACCGAGCTGTTTGTGCGACACTCTAACAATACATTATAACTATAAACCTCTACATACATCATCAAACACTCTCTCACATTTAATTAATACAATCATCATATATATATAATATCATATCATCGTACTACTATATAGCTCAGTACTGCTGTATAATAGTATAGTAGTAGTAGTTTATGATAACGAAAAGGTTAATAGCATATATCATAAGATCACTAAAACAATGGCGTATACTATTGATTCTTAGTTGCTTCTTGGGGCTTATCGCACCTACACTTTTAATCACTGCGTTTGCATTCCTCGATCCATCTATATCAATTGTACAAGTATCTTTGGTAGAAACATATAACAAGGCGGTAGTAGTATGTACAAACAAATAGAAATAGAAAATAGATAGATTAAACAACCGACTCCGACTGTTTTCTAACAAATCCTCTAATTCATTTAATTTAAATCTAAAAGGGATGGAGAGAGATATATAGGGACGAATTCATAGCATTTAAATATTTTGTAAATATAACATATCACAACGGTACTGATGACGGTGGCGGCGGCGGCGGCGGCGGAGGAGGAGGAGCAGCAGCAGGAAATAACAGTACCGATCAATCCATCAAAATGGATTTCTACACATCAAAAAACTCTGAGCACATGTCAACAACAGACACCATCTTGAAATATATGCCTCTCTCCTTTAATTGTAACATAAGTTCACTCATACCACCAGTCACCCTTCGAGACGCAACACAAAAATCACCTTATTTAAATATTAAATTGTACAGTTATTTTGTAAGTATTAATAATAAGAATAGAATAGAATAGATTAAATCTATTGATGATCATCAACACTTAATACTAATATATATTTATTATTTAAAGGAAAATAAATTATTACTTGAAACGACAGCAGACTTGTATCAATACTACCAATCAACTGGTAAGAAATTAAATGGAATCTGTTTGGTCTTAAATGGGAAAACAACAATCGATTCTCAACCATGTACTTTTGGTCAAACTGGTTATACCAAGTACGTAAAAAAGAAAAAGAAAAAAAGAAACAACACCTTTTTTTTTTTTTTTAGATTTATAAATTATTAATCAAATATCATATCATAATTTATAGTTATACATCACAATTTATACCAGTTATAGGAGATACAATAACCTATTCAAATGTTTTAATAAGAATTAAATATTTTAAAGACCCATATTTAATAGCAGCAGATATATCAAAGGGCACTTTTACTTTTGGAATGGCAAAAGTATGTTTACAATCTTTCTATGAATATTATTTATCATTTTGCTAATGGATTTATTTATTTATTTCCTTTAGGATTTACAAGAATCATTGGGAACATTTTTTTTAATTTTTGGAGGTGTATTTACAGTTTTATTTGTTTTAATTATTTTAATGATGGTCAAGAAAAAAGGACTATCCAAGTTAATGGGTGGATCAAAGAATTCGATGGACGAACATTCCGACCACTCTAGTAGCGGCGGTATGGATGGTATACCAATGTCAAACTTGGACATTATTCGAGCTCAAAACTATTTAGATTCACAACAATCATCAAATCAATTGTCAAATAATAGTAGAGAAAGAAATACTCTTACTCATGACATAATAAATGAAGTTGGTTAAACATATATTATATATGGTAAAAAAAAAAAAAAGGATTAATTTATAATTTAATTTAATTTATTGCCTGTTATTTTTAAAAAATATTATTATTATTTTACACATCTAAACAACTATTATTATTATTATTATTATTATTACTTTCTTCATTTTCTTCTTTGACTAAAATATCGTTATTTGGAAAAAAGTTTGAACTTGTTGAAATATCAAAACTGGTAGTTATATCAAGTGAATGATGATCATCTTGAATCGATTGGTTGATAATATTGGTGTTACTGTTGCTGTTGATTAAACGACCCAATTTAATTTGTGATTGTTGGGTATTTGGTTCACGTGGTTTCTTATGCCATTGTTTCAGTGGACTCGATGACGAGCCGGCCTTGTCAGAGAGTGATGAAGTTGTGTTTTCACGACTGCTACTGCTGCTGTCAGATGATCCATATTTACCACTAATCAAACTTGGACTGATCGATTCAAAGGTGATATAGTTGATAGGACACTCTGCAACGGCAACCATCATAATAGTAGCCGTCGAACATTCAAATAGCATGGTCAACATGTTGGAAAAGTGTGTTAGAGGATCGGTCAATTTAACCTGTAGGATGACATAAAATAAAAGGTCACGACTGAGGTTCAACACCAAAATGCAAATGATGAGCACTGAAAACACCTTGATACGACCGATCAGATTGGCCACCTTTCCAGTCAACAGATTCTTTTTATGTTGTATTTGACGATGCAAGAAGAAACTACCACAAAAGCAGACGACACCAAGCAACACCAACAAAAAGAGAAACCCTGCCGTGAAAAAGGTCGGTGCCCAATCCTTGGCATATGTTGCCAAGATTGAATATGTAACCTCGTAAACAATATATAATCCTATAATTGACCATGTGACTTTCCATACTCTTCTATGATACATTGGTTTAACTGTAAATAATGCAAATAATAATCTGCACCCTAAAACATTCAACAAGAGATAAATTAATTTTAGATTACAATCTAATCTTTTTGTTTTTTTGAAAGACTTACAATAAGTTCCAATAAAAGCCCAACACCACATTTCAAAAAAGAGACTCCACATTCCCAAATAATCACATATACTGCCAGTTGTATCATCATTTGTCTCTAATAGAAATGCAGAGTAAAATATTCTAACTTTAAAAAAAATAAATAAATAATAGGATTTATTAATATATTAATTACAACAGTCTGATCAATTTTAATATTTGGAGGATACATACATATTGCAAAACAAGTCAAACCTAGTAACGTCATACTACGAGGATTGATCAAATTCTGTCTTGCTTGATATTTGATTTCATAGCCTAGTTGTGTAAGACATGTTACAATGATTCCTATACACCATATAATTCTTATAGCTATATATCCTATTACAAGAGTATCATATGTTTCATCACCTGTAAAAGAGTAATATGTTCGCATTGCCATTATAATCAATTGATTCGAGCTATTTTTTACTTCTATTTATAAATTCGCACCTCTGCTTGCTTCTTTTGATCTCTTGACTAATAGTCTATCATTAGAAATGGTATATTTGATTATTATTACTACTAAGCTTTTATTTGTTTAAACAAACAAATGTTGGTTGATGGTGTTTGTGATCGTGGGGCGCATCAAAGTGTGGGTCAAGTTACATTGTGGTGAAGAAGTCCTCGTCTTTAAAATAAAAATATCTTTTGACCCATTTATTTTTATGTCTTTTTTTGGTCAATATCTCTTTTTAATCCAGAATGGTTACACAAGAACGGTGCAGACTTTCAACAACAAATGAACAAAAAATATCTCAAAATATTTATGGTACTATAAATAATTAAAGGTTTATTATTTTTTTTTTAAAAGGATATAATTTTGTACAAAGATCTTCTTATTTGATGATTGGTTGTTGTGGAGAATATATTGTTGAGAGTCGTCGGAATAGGTGATTCTGACAGTCCAATCACATCCTGAAGCATGATATTGATTGGTTGTTTGATGTTTGTGCCGGCAGATAAACTTATTATGATTTAATCTGATTTTGTTAATAAAACAGTAGCATTTGAATAAACGCCATTGAATCCAAATGGAGTCCAAAGTAATTCACTCTTTTTGATGGCTTTGGTAGCTGGTACATTGTTGTAAAAGGTAAAAAAACTGCCTCCACTAAGTGGATCAGTTGATGCATTTGTTGGAGCGCCAAATGGAGAAAACCAACCACGAACACCGGTTTGTTGGAGAATATATTGTTGAGAGTCGTCGGAATAGGTGATTCTGACAGTCCAATCACATCCTGAAGCATGGCAGTACCAAGCGATTGGGCCTACATTTGGCTTGATGGTGGCCAATTGTTCAGCGTTGGTTGGGTCGACCGATCTTCTAATGTTTCCAGTGTACTTTAAATATGGATAGATTTGTGAGGCCTCGGTAACACCTGATGTGCTATAAGACATGATGATAGTGTAGACAGGTACATTTCTAATCATTGGAGCACCAGAATCAAAGCCATAGAGACCGTTTGTCTGATTAGTGATGGTGTATGGTACATAGGCCTTGTAAATAGTGTCCCATTGACTATAAGTGTTGTTGGATGGATTGTAGACCAATGCTCCACCAGGTTGATGAGTTCCATCAGCTTTGAGTGTAGTGTTTCCTTCAAAGTAGTCTTGGATGACTGACATTTCGTAATCGGCAAACATGGAGAAACGGTATCCCCACGATTGGTCACCTGCACCACCTTGCATATCCGATTGTTTGTAACAGTGACCTTCAGTATCATTGACACGACCCGATCCACACGTTCTATTTGCTGGAATCCATGGAGCAAGGAATTCATTGTGATTTGCATCAAATCCCCATTGAGATCCTTTCAAACTACCTTGAATATATGGATAATATCCTGAATCATATGAACCTCCAGCCTAAAATTAAAAAAAATAATAATTAATATATAGAAAAAAAAAAACAATGTTTTTTTTTGTTTGTTTACATACATGTGGAAGACCAAAAGCATGACCTTGTTCATGAATAAAGATACCAGAATAGGCATAATCACCAGTACCAGAGGAACCACCACCCAAACCACCACCTGGATGAGAATACTTGCTTTGATTGTTAAAGGCAATGATGGGGGTGTAGAGTTGGAGTCTTTCGAGACCACGACCATTGACACTACGGAGACCACCAAGAACACCGAGGATGGCAGACATGACAGCATAACCGTCCTTCATTTGGTTGGTGTTGGTGACAGCGTATGGGGGGTTACCGTCTCTTGCTCCGATGATGATCTTTGACCATTGGATTCTACCGACGGGGTGAGTCTTGACGTCCAACTTGGAAATTGGCCACTTTTGTTCGAGTTCGGCAATAGCTTCGGGTGGTGGGAGGTCAACATCGGAAAAGTTAGTGTTGGCGGGTGTAGCACCAAAGAGATAGAATGGGACAATCTCAAGTGGCATAATAACAGTTTGACCAACGTTGACGGGGATATCAGTCGATTGTTCGTCGTTGGCAAAGGCAGAGATGACAAGACCTGGCTTGATCCAATCGGCTTCGGCCATGGCACTATAGTGAGTGGTGGAAAAGGCTGTTCCATTAGCTTCGGTCTTTGGCAAGTAGGTGGCGTTGACCAAGGCGATGGTTCCGACGACATAGGTTTCATTGGACGTGGTTGGTTGGGCGTGGACTGGGAGGGTGAATACCAAAGTTGGATTTTCAATCTTGAGTTCCGAGTCGCTTCCAAAGTCGACCATGACAAGTGTACGCTTGCCTCCAACTAAATGGTAGGTAGCAGACTGATTGTTCTTGACAAGTGTCCAACTCAAGCCTTGTGCTGGCATCACATGACTCTGAGCAAACAACCAATTGGGTACAATGGTACCAGTAGGTCCCGATGCACCGTCATCTTTATTGCTAAAAACAATAGCAATTGGCAATACAATAACAAGTACCACAATCACTGCAACAGTTGTCAATACTGGAATGATCACCTTTTTATGTTCCATCCAAGTGGATGGTTTTGTTAAAATATCAAAATGTTTCATTGATTTTTAAATAATTATTATTATTATTAATTATTAATTATTATTATTAATTATTATCTCTCTTTTTTAATATTATACAAAGTTGGTGTTGAGGGGTTGGAGATAAATATGAATGAATATGAATGTTTGTTGCAAGAGTTTAAAACAAGTCGCGGGATTAAATAGTTGGTCATAGGCTTCATGATTTCTTATCTTTTCTTTTGAAAGCCAATAATACCTGCCTCCATCCATTAAAGTGATCACACAATCCACAACAAACCAAAAATAAAAATCTAGACGGAGGATGCCATCCATATTTTGATATTAAAGAGGTTGAGGTGATAAAGTTTATAATAAAGTTCAATGTTTCAAAGCCACTTGCGGGCTTTGAAAAACAAATCTCAGCTCTTCCACTATAAAATGATCGCAATTGCTTACCGAGTTGTAAAGCGAAAAAAACCGTGGGCATGCGCCTCTATTTTGGGAGGTTTTTACCGTTCATCTTTAATGACAAACACTAAAATATCAGCACTGGGTGCGGCTTGAGTGTCTCTTAATTCATGATAAGTCAGTCGTTGCAATTACCAGATACACGGCTCGGTTCCTGACCTAGGTATCAATGATATCATTGTGCAAATATATTTATAAAAAAAGCGGTTGTTGTCGCGTGTGAATGATGAACAAGAAGGAAAGGTAAGTAATCTAGAATGTTGATTAGTTTGTCTCTCTCTTTCTTCTCTTTTCATTATAAACCTACAGTAGATTTTTTACAAAAGTAGTTGTTTTGATTCATTATAATTAAGATGGGTGACTCTAAACCTAAAAATATCATCACCTTACCAGATTATCTACTCGAGTATAGTAGTATAATAGATCTGTTTGGAATGCGAGCATTTCTTCTTTCCATTACACATTAATATCTTCTTCCTTATCATTACAATGATTGATTCATCGTCATCGCCAACGCGTTCGACATACGACCCATACATTAGTTATCGTACACCCCCAACTGTTTTATTGATAATAGTACTATTATTCTCTTTTAATTCAAATAACGAATAAATGAATGAATAAATGAATGAATGAATGATAGATAGATATAATAATAGATAATAACTTTATTGAAGAAAAGATATTCAAGTATTTCGGTCTCACACTCTGCAAACATCACAATATTATTTATGAGGAAAAAAAAATATTTTTTGAATTTGAAAAAAAGGAGGGAAAATGTATAGTTGTAAATTGCTTGCTTTGAATTTGTCACCTCGTTTATTATTAATCGATAATCAATCATCAAACTCAAAGAAAAGAGACAAAAGAAAGAGAAAGAGAAAGAGATGGATATGGACATTGAAGATGAAGTAGTTCGTCTATTTAGCAAATCAGGACTATCTGAAGCTGCTGATTTATTAAAGGGTATGCTTATCACATCATGTGACCCATATGGTGTTTGCATCACATCACATTTACTAACTAACTAGTCGTATCATTATTGATACAATGTAGTTCAAAATATCATTAAAACATTCAAATTGAATGCATTGGTTGTACATGATGAATGGGAGTTGTTTTGTGTCAACAATAGAGTCAGTTCTGATCATGCAACCTATCTTGACAAGTTTAAGATTGCTGTCAAAAAGAATGTTAATGAATTGAAAAAGAGATTGGGTAATACTAAAACGTATGTACTATTAATACAGTATTACTCATCAATATCATAACAAACCAACGTTAATGTTTAAATTCCTCTTCTCTCATAGAGACCAAACCTTACAAAACAAAATAGACAAACAAGATGAACAAGAATTTGATGAAATCTTTGATTTTAGTGATGTACCTACTGTTGAGATGGTTCCTCTACCTAATAACAACAATAATAACAATAATAACAGTACAGATAATAATACAGATAATTATATAGATGATGAATTTGAAATGGATTTAACAGAAGATAATAATAATAATACATTTAATGGAATATCATCTGGATTATCAAGTCATGATAAACAACAATCTCAAAGAGCTATTCGATTTGCACAAACCAAGGTTCCATCATTCCGATTTGACAAGAGACAAGGAGCCGACGAGATTGTACAAGAATACGTTGGAGAGCGGTTAAAGAGCAAGGATATAGCTCCACAACAAAAAATGATACCAAAAATAATTGAAATGGTGCCTCCATCCAAAGACAGTGGCAACGTAGATAATACTCCATACCCAACCAAATACATGTCACAGACACTAGAAGGCAGAACAAAGGCACTTGGTGACAGCGTTCTAAAGTACTATGACCAATTCCAAGTCGAATTTGATCCAGTTGCAAATGCAGACCCATCAAATGAAATTCAACGTGCTGTTGGTCGTATTTGGTTATACAAGACTGGTCTGTCATTGACCTCTCAATTCAAGTTACTTGGTAATAATCAAAGTTCTGTAAACACCTTTTCCATTCCAAATCCAAATGAACCAATCTTTTCCGGTCAAGTCGTCATGGTTGAAGGTAAAAGAATACCAGGTCAACATTTTGGTTGTTCAAAGATTTATTATGTATGCAAAACAAAAATAATAATAATAATAATAATATATTTAGATTACTAATCAAAAAAAACATTTCTTGTAGCCAAAACAATTAGAATTTTTAAATTCAAATCAGAGAAGTAAAAAAGATTCCAGTTGTTATATCATTGTTGCATCTGGACCATTTAGTGAATATGAAAATACTCTATATCATCCATTCAAGGAATTATGTAAAGTAATTGAAAATAAGAGACCAAATATTGTTATTTTGGTATGTATAAATATAAATATAACATAAATATAAATATATTTATTTATATATATTATTTTAATATTAATATTTTGTTTTTTGTTTTTTAGAATGGACCATTTATAGATGAATCAAATCAAAATAATCAATTTTTGGATAAATCATTTGAAGAATTTTTCTATGAAGATATTATTCAACCTTTGGAATCCATTACATCAACTCAATTCATTATTTGTCCATCTCTAAGAGATGTTCAACATGATTATGTATATCCACAACCACCATTTAAATCTAGATCTGTATGTCTATCAAAAAAAAAAAAGGATAATATTATAATATTCTAACCTTTTTGTTTGTTTTTTAGAAAAATACTAGTAGTAATATACATTTTGTTACAAATCCATCGACCTTGTTGATTGACAATTCATTTACCATTGGTCTTAGTAATACTAATATCATTCAACAATTAGAGTTGAGATTAGATAATGGTAAAAACGATATAAAGACAACTGGAACTCCACTTATTTGTGAAAAGATTATTCAACAACAATGGTAGGAAAGATTAGAATATTTATTCACAATCATCACAAAATGATTTAATTATTTATATTTTATTGTTTATTTATAATTATTATTTAGTTATTATCCTTTACATCCAGCAGAAGTACCAATAGAAACACAATTTATCGATTCAATTAAATTCCCATCAATCACACCCGATATTTTAATATTTGGAAAAGTTGATAAACCATTTATTGCTAATTCAAATGAAGTACTGTGTATTGGTTCAGGTCAATTAATGAATCATAGTGGAAAGACAGGAACTTATACCGAATTGATTGTTGCACCTGGTGATGAAATCATTGTCCATAGATCAAAAGTAATCACAAGAATAATTTAAATCAACCAACCACCAACAACCAACCAACAAACTAACAAACAAACATATTAAAATTATATTTATCAAAAAAAAAGAGTTATTTTTAATTAAATACTTTTAAAAATAAATTATAACTATTATTATTATTATTATTAATTATATTTCTATGTGAATGGTTTTGATCTACCATCTGATCGGATCGGTTAAAAAAAAATAATAAAAAATTAAAATTATATATACTTTTCAAGTGATGTTTGACAACCGTTGCCTGGTGAGTCATTCATTAATTAAAGAAGTAATTCAATTTATTATTTATTATTATTATTTAAATTTGTTAACAAAAGAGAGAGTAGAGTTATAAATGTATTAGTTAATTGAAATAACAACAACAACAACAAACAACAACCAACAACAAAGAACAACAAGAGTTATATTAAAGCAACTAGTTAAAACTTTTGTAGTCATGAATATACACAAAATCAATAAGATATTCTTATTCTTGATAGGAATAATAGTACTGTTCTATCTATATCTTTACAATTATATGTTCTTTTGTTCATGGAGATATAAAATGACAGAGTATAGCGCACAGATGGTTCTACTTGGTGATCCACAGATGGAAGGTGACCATAAGGCAAACAGAGGATTGGATGGACGTTACAATGTGTGGTTTAATGACAACTACTTTAGACACATTGTATCAAACATTGATTACTATTTGGCACCGTCTCATGTTGTTGTGTTGGGTGATCTCTTTTCATCACAGAATCTTGGAGACAATGAATTCAACAAGAGAGTAGGTCGGTACTCTAGTATATTTGAACCACTTCGTAACCATCATACCGTTCTCATCAATGTCACTGGTAATCACGATATTGGTTATGGAAATGAAGCAAGTAAGAGAAAGATTACTCGGTTTGAAAATGCATTTGGCCGTGTCAATGATAAATGGTTTATCGGTGGTCACATCTTTGCAGTTTTTAATTCAATGGTATTAGATGACACACCAATAGATACACAAGTCAAAGATGAAACATGGCAATTCTTACGTGACCTAGCTGAAGAACGAAAGTCTAGTGGAATTCCAATAGTCTTGGCTACTCATATCCCTTTATTTAAAAATTATACTCAACATGATCTTGTTTCAAATCCAACCGAACAACAACAACCAACAATTAATAATACAACAACAGATGAATCACAACCTATAAATAATGAAATGAAAGAATCATCATCATCACTTAAAATAACTTCAACAAAAAATACTAAACCAACAATAGTTGATCATTCAAATATGAAAGATTCAATACCATTTCATTTTAATGCAATGTGCATTGAACCATATATAGTTCATCGGTCAGGTGATCATATTAAAGAACAGACAATGTTGTCTCAAGAGACTACACAATTCATATTGGATGAATTGCAACCAGAGTTTATCGTAAATGGACACGATCATGATGGTTGCATTTATAGACACAATAACAAGACGGTGGAATATACAATCAGATCGATGATGGGTGGTTTTGGAGGCTACTCTGCACTCTTTGAAATCCACCCCAACGATGAACAAGCCACCTCTTTTTCCTACAGTTACAAGATCTGTCCTTTTGTTGAAACTAAATACATCAACATTTCATTTGGCGTATCTGCTGCCATCATTGGTCTATTTTTACTATTTAATCTAATTAGATTGTTATGGTATTCATCAAAACAACTCTATCAATATTTAAATGGTAAAAAATATATTTCAATCATTATACTTTACTTTAAATCTAAAAAGAATATTAATAATAATAAGAAATATAATAATATTAATATTAATAATAATAATATTAAAAAGTATAATATTAATAATAATAAATCATCAAAGAAATATGATTAAAAATAATATTATATTTCATAATATTTATATTTATTTATAATTATGGTTGTTTACAAAATAAGAAATCTAATCTACTTTTGGTTTAAATGCTTAAGATTGGATGAATGAATGGATTAATTAATTAGGTTTCGACTTTTTAACAGAGGCAGGAGCTTTGTGAGCTTTTTGAGGTGCTGCTTTGGGTGGAGGAGCAGATGATGGCTTTTTGGCAACACCAGGACTTGGTTTCTTTCTAGTTGTTGATGGTTCATCTTGTTCATCTTCACTATCTGAATTATAAATATATTCGTCTCTTTTTCTGGAAGAAGAAGAGGGGGTGGTAGAACTGGCATTGGTAGTTGAGGCAGCAGATTTTTTGGCTCCAAGTTTTTTGGAGACTGGTTTTTTGGGTACCGACTTCTTCTTTAAAGGTGCCATAACACCTTTTTTCTTTTTAGCCTTTTCTTTATCTTCCTCTTCTTCTTCTTCTTCATATGAATAATCACTTGAATATTCATCGTCTTGTTCTTCTTCTTCTTCTTCTTCTTCCTCTTGTTCTTCTTCTTCTTCCATTTCTTCTTCTTCTTCTTCCTCATAATCATCTTCTTGTTCCTTTCTCTTTTTTCCTTGTTTATCTTTTTCCTTTTCCTTTGTTGTTGATTTTGATGGAGATTGTTTCTTGTTGTTGTTATTGTTATTTGTAGTTGTTGTCTTTTTTGGTGATTTTCTTCTTACTTTTTCTAGATCTGAATAATCAAATTCAGATTCATCGGTGTATTTACCAGTTTGACCATTTTCAGTAGCGCTATGGAATTCCTCTTCTTCATCATCTTCGTCTTCACCATCGAGGTCAAAGTCATCGTCTTCCGATTCAACCACCTTTTTTTTACGATGTGAGCCTGAAAACTCTGCATAGTTTGCCTTAAACTCTGCACTACGAGCCTTGTCCTTTAGATTGACTGGAGTTCTTCCAGAAAACTCGGTGCTTGAGAAATAGACTTCATAGATCTTGGCCCATTGAGTGTCATACTTGAACATGCCACGCATCAACAAGAGTTCTTCTTCGGGTGTCCATTTGACTCGTGGTTTTTGTATAGTGCTTCTTGGTTCTATTTTCTTGTAGAAATTAATCATTTTGTTGTTTGGATAGATACGATCAAATGATGTTTTTGGCATTAATGCTCTTTGTCTGTATGCCTATAAAAAATAAATAAATAAATAAATGGTTCGGGACAGTTCTATTCTATAGTTTACATACAAGGATTAAAGATGGAGGAGGAATAACACTAATGAAATAATCCCATTCATCTTGAAGAGAATTAACAATAAAGTCTACGCCACCAAGTTTTTCCATTTCTTCTTGGGATTGAATTTGCCAATTCTTTTTGGTTCGGTTATACAATGTTTTGAAATAAGTACGAACTCTTTTAGATGGAATCAGTTTACCACTCATAAGTGAATCAATAGTAGTATTCTCTTCTAAAGCTTCATCTGATTTATATCTTAATCTCATCTTTTTTAAAAAAAAAAATAGAAAAAAAGAAAAGAAAAGATTAATTTTTTGTTTTCCATGTTTTCTATTTTTTATACATACTTCAATGATCCATGCTTCCAAAACTCTTCTATGACTAGTATCTCTTTTCTTTCCAAAATAACATAGTAAGAATACATAGTCTCTTAATCCTTTTGACTGAGTAAGTATAAACAAACAAACAAACAAACAACAAATAAATGAATGAATCAATTAGTATAGTAGTGTATGTACTAGTAACTATAGTAAATATGAATTTTGTAACATACAAATTCTTCTAATCTTTGATCATCCAATTCTGGATCGATTTCAAATTCCTTGATAAAAACTTGAATGTTATTAAGTGATTTAAGGATGGTGAATTGTTGAGTAAAATGTTGTGTTTGTTGATAGCCTTTTGATTGACCCAAAATGCTATGAATGTTGATACCATCGGCAAGTAAAAGGTGCAATGCCCAAATAGTTTCTCTTTGCTTCTCTATATCATCTCTGTTTTTAATCAGATCCAATGTAACATTCATTGTTTCATCTTCTATATCGTCGTCATCATCTTCAATTCTAGAAAAACTTTTTGCCATTCTTTTTTTATCTCTTTGATCTTTTTCTTCTTTCTTTTTTTAAAAGTGTGAGTTATGTACAAAGTGTGGTGTCTCTCTCTCTCGCTCTCTCTCTCTAAAGGAGATAATGTAATGTGCTTAGGTTGATAAATAAGTAATAGTGAAGGGGCTCTTCATCAGCTGACGAAGAGAAGAAAAAAAAAAAAAATGAAAAAAATTAGAGCCAAACCTACCCCTCACCTTAAAATGTTTGGTAACCCTAACCCTCTCCTTAAACTTTTGTCACACTCACTTGACTCTCTTAAGTTTGAACTCAACTTAAGTTTGGTGGTGAAGTTCGACTCAATCAAAATTCAAACTATTAGCGGGATACTCCTATCCCCCCGTTAATATTTGTAACTTGAAGAAATATGTCCTCAAACTTGTAAAAAGCTATCCTTGAAACCTTCAGCGTTTGCCCTTTAACCTTTCTACCCCGCTAACCACAACCATTCACAAAGGTTTCGCGACATCAAAGTGTAGAATGGTCGGATGGATACTTTTACTATTTTTTACTTTAATATCCACATTCTCATTGCAATCAACAACTATTTAAGCGACCATGGTTGGTTTCTCATTCATTCATCAACTTTCAAACAAACAACCAAACAACCAAACCAACAATCAAATATCATACCTTTTTTTAAAAAAATATAAACAATGTCTTACGTAACATTCTATACTGCTACAAACTATGGTGGAGAAGCAGTCCAGTACAATGAAGGTGTAACTGTTGATTTCGCAAGAGATGACAAGTACAATGACAAGGTAAATATTTAATATTCAATTAATTGAATCATTGGACTTTTACTAAATTGGTCTTTTCCTTTTCTTTTTATTCTAGTTCCAAAGCTGTAGAATTCCTAGTGGTCTTTGGGTCAATGCATTCCAAAACAATGATGCTTCTGGTACAGATACTGGAATCCACCAAGAGTTGCATGGTGATCAAACAGACTTGTCTTTTATGGGTGGTCTCTCCAATTTCCAAGTTCTCAGTGATGCATTTGGTTATGCCATTGATGTCAAGTTAGTGTGTGGTGGTGATTTGGCAAACACCCCAGCCAACTCCTACCAAATGGATTTCATTCCCTACGAAGTGACTGGTGTTCAATGCATTAATGGCAACGATTACATTCAATGTCCAATCCCAAAACTCGACCCACCCAATTCTGAAATTGTTTGTCAAGTATCGGTTAAAGAGTTGGCATGGCCAGGAGCTAATGTAGCCAACGGCTCCATCTATTTCCAGTATGACCCATCATCTGGAATCATTTCCTATAGTGACAAGGGTGGTTATCCTGCCAACATGACTATTACTCAAGATGGTTTGTATAATTCCATTGAATATATATTTATACCTAATTAATAATATTAATTTATATTTTCTTTTGTTTCTTTTTTTCCACATATTAGGTAAAACACAATTTTCTTTTATTTTAAATTCAAGACCATAAGGAAGGAGGAAGGAGGGAAGGAATAAATGAATGAAGAAAGGAAGGAACCATATATCTATAGTCAATAACTTTTTCCCTCAGCAAAAAATTAATAACAGTTTTCTTTTTTTATTTTCTAAATATATACCAACCAACCAACTATTGATTTATTATTGAATCAATCACTTAAATATAAATACATTTTCTAATTTTAAAAAATATATAAAAATAAATAAATACAATTGTTTTTTTTTCCTCCATCCATCTTTTTAGTATATTACCAAATTTATATAAATATAAATAGTATACTCTTCTTTAAAAGGAAAGTGATTGTAGATATTAACTAGTACAAAAAATAAATAATAAATTAAAAAATATGGTGGATGTGGGTTTTGTTGGTTGGTGTGATTGATGATCATCACAAGATTTCGTTCATTGACACTCACCCCCCTTCTCACTCTTCGCATAATCAACAACAACAACAAAAATAATGTTAATGTGGATCGAGTTGCTATTTGCTATTGGTTGCAACGACTTGTATGGAAGATACGAATACCATATTCGGTAGTGCTCTGGAATATCTATCACACACATATATGTGTGAGTGAGTGTCGGATGGACTATTATTATTATTATGTATGGATGTCAATCAATAGACTATCAAGTAAGAGAGAGGTAGGTGGGTAAAACTAGTGTAGATTGCAAGACGTTTCAATGAACGAGACAAATAAACCAACTAACCAACAAAAACAATGTGGCTGATCTTAATTATCTAACTACTACTACTGCTTTACTTCATAGGCAAAGTGTTTATCATCACAATTATACTCACTCATACAAAATGGATTCTAAATTTAGGGATGGATGGATGGATGGGTGATAGATACGTACATCGATATGTTTATTATCAATAATAATCACATGTGATATTGGATTGATTGACTTTCTGTTCTCTTCCTCACCTCATCTTCCTCATCCCCACCTACTCACAAACCAATCAAATTACCATATACGACTATAACAGAATAATATAGCTATTTAATTAATAACAATAATAATAATAATAACCTATAGAGAATAATAATAATAATATAGCTATTAATTAATAATAATAACCTATCTCTCTATAGTTTTCACATCGTAATATTAAGAATGTTTAATCACAATCACCATACTCTATTATTATTATTATTATCTTTATTTATTTATTTATTATCAATATCAATACAACTAGTCAATGGTAAATCTGCAACTTGGGAATTATCCAATGGAGGTAATGGACACACTTATAAATTCTTTGCATCAGAGCATCCCATTTCGATCCATGATGCTATAAAGAATTGCGCAACTGTCGACACCGAGTCTTTATCAACGATTAAATCATATCTCGTGACAATTGGATCAAAGCAGGAATGGGATTTCCTCGAGAAGGAGTTGTCAGACTCAAAGGTTTATTATCGAACTTGGTTGTCTGGTACTGACCCTGGTTTAAAAGGAAATTGGGTCTATTCAACAGGTCCACAATTAAATCAACCTTTATTTAATACTTTTACTGGTCAATGTTTTGGTATGTAAAATAATAATAATAAGAATAATAATAATCTATGTATGTTTAATTAGATTAATTAATTTTATTTATTATTATTTAAATTTAGGATATTGTGCATTTCAAACTAGTGAACCATCATTAACAATAGGAGAAGAATATCTTTATGCAAGAGAAAGATTCCCATGGAGTTTTAATAATGCAATGTCAAATAATACTCGTGAACCAGTATCATATTATATATGTGAACAAGAACCTTTGGAAGAAATATTTGCATCGTCGGTTGGTACTGTTGGTGGTCTAGTTATAATCAATAATTTAAAATCATTTAATATTGAATCGTTAAACATTTCATTCTTTAATCCAACAAATAATATTTCAAAATCATGTGACAACATTACATCAATTAACTCTACAAATGTATCGGTTACATGTCAAGTACCACCACTTGCAGGTATTCACAATATCATTGTTCGAGATGGAAACGGAACCAAATCAACTCAGTATGGATGGCAACCTTTTCCACCATTTGTCAAAGCTGTTTATCCTTCTCGCGACCTTTCAGGGTTGGTTACTCTGATTGGTGAGAATTTTGGAGATAATAGTTCGGATGTTCTAGTAGCAGTGACTCGTTCCAAAATACCATGCAAAGTTATCATGTTTTCTACCAACCAGATTATCTGTCAATTGTCAGCACCAATACCTTCAACTCTAAAATTCCTTCCACTTACAGTTCAAGTTGCAGGTGTTTATACTGAAACTTATAAACCAAATATTTGTAAGATAACTCTTCATTTAAATGATACAATTAAACATATTATTAATATTATTACTTTATTTATTTTAATCATAGATTGCATTGATAAATTTTATTCAAGTATTAGATTTACTGGTACATATGAAACGGTTAAAAAAATAATGAATGATAGTATAAAGATGGAAGCTACACCAATTCCACCATATCTAGGTGTTATTGATTCAATGGAACTTTATGAATGCATAAAGGATACAATTTATTTGGTTAAAGACACACCCTTTTATCTTTGGTTGGGTGTTAATTTTGATAAATACACCAACTCTTTTATGATTAATGACGGACCAAAGAATGGGAATGTGACCCAAGTATACTTTGAAAGAATAGAAAATGCCAAAACAAGTACCTCCACACCCATATACTATCATTTGGATACCAAACAACTCAACAATCCAAGAATTTCAGTCGAATCTGTTGTATCACCATTGATTGCATTTGGAGGGGGACTACCTCCTGTCATTACCAATACAACCTATCTTCAAGACAATAGTAGTACAACCTTGACAGTGACAGGGTTGAATTTTGGAAGAGACGCATCTTATGTTTTAACGACCATTCAAGGTGTTCAATGTATCAATCCAAAATTCACCGAAGATCTTCTTTACAACAAGTTTACATGCTCTCTCAGTGCTGCAACCTTAAACTATACTTCAACTACTCAAGTTGAAATCAAATACAATGTGACCGTTCAAGTAGCCGAGCTTGTTGGGTCAATCGTTTTGGTCCATTACAAATTTAAAGAATGTCCAAACAATTGCTCTGGCCATGGAGTATGTGATAAATACTATGGAACGTGTCGTTGTGAACCTGGGTATGACTTGACATTGGATTGTGCAAACTCTACCAAACAACAAGCTTTTATTACCAATGTACAAGAAGGAAGAGGTGTATCTGAGTTGGCATCTCCCCAGCAACCAACACCTCCACCAACACCAGCACCAACACCACTAAACAAAGATAAAGAACAAGGAGTCAATTTTACAACTGGGATTAATTATCTAAGAGAGGTAAATCATGAAGGTCGAGTTGTTAAATTTGTAAATTTAGATAATATGTCATGGATCAATCAAGTCTCTACAAATGGATCGGTTTTCATTGGTCATCTTGACAATGATTCGGTCAAGATGATTGTCAAGGTACATCAATTTGATGTACCGGGAATGATCACATTTGCAGGTGAGGATATCCCCATGGCTCCATTCTCTATCAAATACCACATAAAGATTGTCAATTGGACATGGCAATCACCACTCAATACACTTCAAGTCATTTTCCTTTCCTATCCAAATGCCGTTGTAACAGACAAATGTGGAAGAAAACAAGTAAAGGTAGAGGCATCTGACCCGGGTGACCAAGTACTATGGACAAAGGTACAAGTTGGAAGATCACTATTAAACTGTAAAATTGCAAGTCGAATGATTGTCGATGGTGACACTCTTCCCTCTAGAGTATCTTTGCTAAGTGAAAACGATGAATTACAAGACCAAATTAAAAAGGAAGGTGGTGGAACTGCAGGATTCAATATTCTAACTGCTTTTCATATCCCACATTTTCGATCTGTTGAAATTGATCCAGCCTACAACGCCCTCCTACTTGGAGAAGATGACAAGTTTAATTTGGGTGACGACATTGAATGCGACTCTTTTGCAAAATGGAAGATTATTGCCATTGTTGTCTGTGGAAGCTTTATCCTCGTTACATTGACCATTGCTTTAGTGTTCATTACAAAGAAAAGATTACAAGTTACATTTTCTAAAAATTTAAATCGAAATAGAACCACTCCCAAAATAACAAGTCCGAGAATAGTCTCTTCAATCAACCAACAACAACAACAACCACCAGAAATTGTCATCATAAATCATAATAATAATACTATCCCTCTAAGTCCAATACAAAAGAAAATTAATGATTGGGTAAACTCTCAGACATCACCACCACCTGATAATCTAAATAAATAAAAAAAGATGTATCTATTTTTATTATCCTATCTTTTTTAATAACAATCAACTCTATTTGAATCATCGTTTGTAGATGATTTTTTCTTTCCAAGATTATTGACATAATAAAATAATGAGATATCTTCTTCTTCATCTTCTGTGAATGTTTGTTTATCTAAATCTTCCAACCCTGATTTAATAGAACCAATATCAATCGATTGTAATAAAATTGTAATCTTTTCTATATAATCTTGATTATTTTTAGAGTTTTTTAATTTCTCCAAACATGTTTCAATGTTGGCAAGACATTGAATAGATTCCAATCTATTTACTTTATCTTCTAATATATCCTTTACATTTTCTATTAATAATTCTATACCTTTAATATTAAATAATCCTTCTAATCCCTAAATATTATATTGAATCAAATAGTAAATATAAATTGTTATTTTTTAAAATAATTATTATCACATACATTATCAATAGATAAAAATTGATTTAATAATTTAATTGTACTTAATTTAATATTCCAATTACTATCATTCATTAATCTATAAATCAAATGATTGAATTGATATTTATCATTACATTCTTGATTGTGTAATAATTTGTTGATAAAATCAAATGAATATTCTTGTTTAATCCATGATGAAAATAATTCAATTGATGATCTAAAAAAAAGTAAATATAAATTGTTATGGTAAGTATCTTTTTTAATATTTTGCATACAATTTAGGATATAAATCTTGATCAGAAAAAAATAATAAAATTGAATATGGGAATGGATAGGATGGAGGTTTTTCATCATGCATTTGTAAATCATTACTACTCTCTTCCATGAAATTAGTTGATGGTACTTCTTCTTGTTCTTGTGTCCATGCCAATAATTCTTGAAATTCTTCATCATCCCATTCAAAGTCATCATTTTCTTTGAGTGAACGTTCATCTGAATCGGCAACAGATGAACCTCCACCTGCAAAAGATAGATGATCGTATGTTGGTTGGTAGGTTGGTTGTAGTTTGAGATGTTGTTGTTGTTCCTTTTGTATCATGGTTGTGTATTTGATCAAATTGATTTGGTTATTGTTCATTAATTGATCACTGATTGATTTGGTTGGTAGTTGATCATTTACAATTGAAAGTTGGTCAATTCTAATCGAATCTTCTTTGATTTCCTCTGTCAATTTATCCCACATTTCATGTGACATTGTAGAAAGCACTTTGATGACATCCAACGCACTTGATCTAACATAGGAATCTGAATCTGCCAACTTTTTAACAACCACTGATGCTATACCATGATCCAATAAACATTTTCCAAAACTCTTTCCATCCTCTTTAAATAGTTTTACTAAAAATGTTAAACCAACTTCTCTAACATCACTATTTGGACTCATCAAAATTCTATTAATTGACTGAAATATTGATATTCCAAAATCCTAAAAAAATAATAAACAATTAATAATTAATTAATCATTTTATCTAGTTTTTACTACCTACTGAATCATTAAATAAATTTAATTGATTATTGTCATTGAATTTAATGATTGATTGAATGGTTGATAAAGATTGTTTGATAATAATTCGATGTTGTGATTTTACTGTACTGGTTAATAAATTTGATATTATTTCTGTTGGGGTTGGTTGTGCTTCAATTGTCTTGATTAAATGATTAAAATCAATAAATTGTAGGCAATCCAAAGCCTCTTTTTGTATTTTAGTTGTAATATTGATCAATGATCCCATTGGTAGAATCGACATGCATAATCTATAAATAAAATCAATCCATTTCTCTGGAAATATATATTTTTCATTTCTTTTTAATATTATTTTTGTTGAATATATTAATCTAAATAAATAAAAAAGTATTAAGATGTTTCCTCTTTTCTTTTCTTTTTTCTATTTTTTTATATATTTACCCATAAATAATTAATTCTGAATAAATATATTTACTATTTAAATAATCAGATTGTGGAAGAGATTGATGGTTTAATATTATATTTGTGATTGGATCCAATAAACTAAATAGATGATCATTGCAAAATGGAAATAAAAAGGTTGATTCTAAAATTGATACCAAATCAATTGCAGTAGCTATCAATTCCTTTTGATTTGATTTTAATAATTTATCAATTACTGTTTTAAATAATTGTTTCATTGCTAAAAATCATAAAAATAATAATATAATTTGGTTAATAACTATACAAATTTGGTAATGTAATCAATGCTCTCTTACAATTTAAAATATTTTTTAATATTATTGAATGACCATTATTATTATTATCTTTCTTATCATTTGATTGAATTGCCAATGTAAATAGATCAACTACTCTTTCTCTTACTAATCTATTATTTTCAAATAGCAAAGAGCAAGATAATTGAAGCAATTGATTTGATTCTAAAAACTTGCAACCCATTTCACTATCCAAAAGTAGAATCAATAAATCCAATATACAAATCTTTGTATCAACCATACTATCTGAATCAGATCCAATGGGTCCAGCAACCTCCAATTGTAAATGATGACAAACTCTTTTTGACAATATATTTTTAATATTGACTCTATTTTCATCATCTTCATTTAAATGATTGATAATTGTAAATAATAATTGAACTGATGTTCTACAAACCTAAATTGATTAAATTGAAAATATATTAATATCGTACTATATTATATATATCATATTTCAAACTTACAAAATTAGAAGGAAATTCAAATGAATTAAATATAGAATCTATTAAAATAGATAATAAAGATTGATTATTATTATTTTCTAATAGTAGGAGGTGATTTAATATTAAAGTTGGATTGTTGGATATAATAAAGTCCAACGAAGATAGAGCAGAGTTTCGTACTAGTGGTTCATTTTCTCTTGTGTATACAACTACCATACGTCTTATCAAACGATCAACTGTAGATCTTGTCGTTTCATCGTGATGAGTTTGATAATATTGATAGATTGATGGTTGAGAAAGAAGCATTGACAAGACCTTTAAATTGATTGATAGTTTTTGTGCGTGCTTTTCAACATCACATTGTTCCAACAACAAAGATGATGCTATTACATTTACAAGATCATAATCTTTATAAACTGTACTGTTCTTTGAAGGAGGTAACAACAATAAAGAGAATCTATCTTTTAATTTTTCAAATCTTGTATCATCATCCTCTTCTTCTTCTTCATCATCACTATCATCATTATCTTTTTTGTTGTTATTATTATTATGATCGTGAGTGTTGACAGATCTGACTCTTAAAGCATCGATCATCAGTTGTATTCTCTTTTCATTTGATTGTAATAATTTGAGTATTTCACTGCTTTCGGTCTTGCTTGATATCTTGATATGATCATTCATTATGATTGGTGCGTCCATCTATCATATGAATTATATGTATATATTTATCTGACCGATCTTAATTAAAACGAAAATTCGCTTGGATTCAGCAACTTGGGTTCCAAGAAGGTTCATTAAAAATAAATTAAATTAAAAAACTGTGAATTCAAGGGAGAGGAGAACAAAGATGATGGGGGTTGTGATCATTAATTTCATTAAAAAACTTATTTAATAATACATAAACATATAACACAACATACATACTATCTATAATATATATAACTTTTTTGTACAAAAGATATCTTTAAAAGAGAAAAAGAAGAAGAAGAAATGAATAACGATAGTTTGATTGAAATTACAGTTGTTGATGAAAATGAACAAATATATCAAGTACCTGTAGACTTGACTGGAAGTGTAGAACAATTTCAAAGAGTATTAGAATTTGAAGTATGTATTCATATATATAATAAAGATTATTTATAATTAACATTAATTTATTGTTTGTAGACTACTATTATAGTAAAAGACCAAATTCTATTACATGAAGGTAAAGAATTAGAATCTTCAAAGATTGTATCACAATGTAATATAAAACAAGGTGATCTTATATTTTTAAGAAAGCGTAGACCTGTTAACCCTGCACAACAACAAGTGGCTCCAGGACACCAACAACAGTTCCAACAACAACAACAACAACAAAGAAGACCACAGCAACAACAACAACAAGATCCATTTACTGATCCAAAAACATTGATTAATTACTTTAAAAATAATCCAACTGCTTTGGAAGATTTAGCAAACGTATGTATACACTATTGTTATTGTTTTTGATAATCACTTCATATTGCTAACTTGTTTTTTGTTCTAAAGAAAAACCCACAATTTGCTGATGCAATCTTGACAGAGAATGAAGAAGTTTTAACATTGTTTATTGAATCGGTTAGAAAACAAAGAAGAATGGCTGAGTTGGCTGCCGACCCATTAAACGAGGAGGGACAAAGATTGTTGTATGAAGAGATCCAAAGAGAGAATATCGAACAAAACATGCACCACGCCATCGAACATACTCCCGAGGTGTTTGGTCGTGTCATTATGTTGTACATTGACACTACCATTAACAACATCCCTATCAAGACATTTGTAGATACTGGTGCCCAGCAATCTATTATGACTGCCAAATGTGCTGAACGTTGTGGATTGATGCGTCTTCTCGACAAGAGATTCCACGGAGTTGCCAAGGGTGTTGGTACCGCCAAGATCTTGGGTCGTGTCCATGCTGCCAACATCAAGATTGGAAACTCTAATTTTTCAATTGCCCTCTCTATCCTTGACAATCCATCACAAGACACTGAGTTTATTTTGGGTCTTGATATGCTCAAGCGTCATCAATGTCTAGTCAATCTCAAAAAAGATTGTTTAGAGATTGGTGAAGAACATGTACCATTCTTGGCTGAAAAAGATCTCAAAGAAATCCTTGGTTTCGATGAAGCTCTACCTGAAAATTATACTCCACCAACAAATGAAAATAATAATAACAATAATAATAATAATAGACCATCATCAACCTCTTCAACATCTTCTACATCCAATTCATCACCAACCAATACAAATACTAGAAACCCAGTAGCAGCACCTACGATTGCATCACCACCATCAGCACAAACACAAGCAACACCAACCTTTCCAGAAGAATCTATTGGAATGTTGATGTCATTGGGTGCCTCAAGACAAAAAGCTATTCAGCTATTAACAAGAGCAAGAGGTAATGTTGATCAAGCTGCATCTCTCTTTTTTGGAATGTAAAAAAATAATATAAATAAATACAAATAATAAATCAATCTTGGTTGATGTGTAAAATAAATCAATAAATAAATATTTGTTTTTTTTTATTGTTATAAATATATATATAATTACAGGGTTTTGGTTAATTTAGAAAATAGATAATAATATGAATGATACTACAAACAAGAGGAATGGTGTGGTGATGGATGAAGATGATACAACGCATGAATCAGTTGATGGTGCAGTCTTTGATGTGGCTGAGAATATTGGATCGATTTCAACAAAATCTGCAAATGATGGAACTTGTATGCCAATGTATTGGATACCTGCTGTTGATTGGGTTGATGAATCGACTGATGTGATTGCTTGAATGGATGTTACCATTGCATTGGTGTCATCGATATCGGCACGGTTGCTGAATGATGCCATCATTGTACCGACTGGTGTGTCAATAGTATATGATTTGATGGTTGTTGATGATGATGTATCGTAGTGATATTTGGTGGTTTCATTGTCGCATTTGTATTCGATTTGTGATGGTGATTTGAATTGATAGATGATACGTAGTGATGAGTTGATCGATTCAAATGTGGAACTATCGATGGTCATAAAATGTTTGATAGAGTTGGATGGAATAACAAGATCATCACCAAGGTATGATTGAACAGATGCTGTTGAATGTTTGGTGACATAGAGTTGAATGTTGTGTGTGGTTGATGTTGAGTTGTAAACGGTTGTATTTCCATACTCATCATATACGTCCCATTTGGTGAGTGGAATAGTTTGAACGATAGTATTGTCTTGACGAACTTCTTGAATGTGTGAAAGTAGGAATTCCATAGAGTTGTTAAACATTGTGAATTTACCTCCTGACACTGATCCAGAGTCACCCGACACCAATGATTGACTGTATGTGATTGAACAATCAGCTCCACTGTATCCATTGTTGCATTGACATTGTCCAGAGCTGACACAGGTTCCATGTGATGAACATGAGTTCAAACATTGTAACAATGTGTATTTGAATACTCCTGCAAAGGTATGTTCATCTGAATTTGCAGAAATAATAGTGACATCCAAAGTTGAAGTTGCATTGTTGCCAGCATCACTATCAAATGTAAAAGTAATATGTTGTGCATCGACAACTACAACACCACCACATTGACTACCTCCGATGGTGACAGTAGATGGTGAATAGAATTCAGTACCAACGATGGTGACGACACTTGAGATGAGGTAGAAAGACGATGAAATCGATGTGAGAACTGGTGGATTACTGGTGTAAGTGGCTGTTATGTATGCATCGACAGAATCAATTGATAAATCAATATCAGATTCAAATTGACTTGCATCACCAAGAGTACATTTCAACTTGGTTCCATCACTTCCATTGGCAACTGGTGAGGTACATTCTTCTCCTCCAATTTGAATAGAGATGGTTGTTGGAGTTGAAACCAATCTTGTAGTCCAAAGGTATTTACCAACTAATTCAACAACACCTCCATATGGTGAGGTTGATGTGATAGAGGTGACAGATGCCTTGATGCTGAGTGGTTGAGTATTACTATCTTGACCGTCAACATTGACTATAATATCTCCATTCTTTGATGGACCTGTCAATTTAGCAGACAGAGTTGTTGGGTTTACTAGAGTAGTTGCAATGATTTGATTGTTGATTGTTATCTTTGCAATATCAATTCCAAGATTGGTACCTGTGACTACTAAATCATCACTACTGCCTTGTTGAACAATACTGCTGATTAAAGGTGCAATGTATGAGAATTGGACTGGTGATGGTGATTGTGCTCCATCGATAAAAACACTAATATTATGATTGACACCAGAACCTTGAGGTGAAGTACAAATAATCATTGTTGGTGATGCACCAGCATTGGTACATTGTTGATTGAGATCTTCAATGACTACTACTATATTGGTTGGTGATCGATCCAGTCTAGTTGAATATAAATATGATCCAACAATTGTCAACTGGTCACCGATTGTTTTAACTGGCTTTGAAACAGATGTAATGATAGGTTTGAAATTAAGTGGTACTGGATTGGAGACACGACCATCTACAAGCTTGGCAGTGATGAGTGCATTTCTCATTGTTGAAGTTGTAGGCATCACTATGAGGGTTTTGTTGACATAACTGTATGAAATGATTGGCACATTTCCAAGATAAACTGATACACTTGTTTGTGAATCTCCAAAGTTCTTTCCAACAATAGATACTATTGAATTGTCGTTAGCAATGTTGACCGAAAAGATGACAGGTGCACCATAGGCAAAGTTGATAGTATCTGATACCAACCCGACTTGAACCGTAACAGGAATATTAATTCCATTACCTGGTGGAGCTTGACAAGTGATATAACTCATATCTTGATCATCGGCAATCTTTACGACATTGGTACATGGAGTATCACCTGGGAACATGACTGTGATTGGAACGGTTGATCTAAAAGCATCGACATTGTTGAGATATAAACCACCAATCTTGATTTCACCACCTTCTGCATCAGCTGATGTGATTGATTTGAGAATTGGTCCAATTTGGTTGGGATATGAAGATGAAGATTGACCAGAGACATTGACCATCACGAAACCATTGAGTACAAACTTTGGTAGAGTTGCAGTGATTAAAGAGTCACTGACAACTACTTGTTCTAATTGAACATTTGGTTGATTAGCAAATATTATTTTAACATTTCCACTGACCACTCCAAATGAAGTACCAGAGATGGAGATTGTTTGGGTGTAGTGATTGGCAACTGATTGTTGAGAAATACCAGTAATGGTTGGAGCTGGATACGAGAATAACAAGGTAGCACTTTGACCATCGTTTGTTAATACCAATGTATGATTTACTCCAGTACCAGCTGGTAGTGGGAATGTTAACGTGGTACCTTGCATTGAAATTTGTGATGTGATTAAAGAATCACCATCAATTTGGATAGAACTACTTGTAGGAGTTTGATTAGCTCTCATTCCTGTAAAGTATTTACCTGTCAATGTTGTAGTTGATCCAATTGTTTTAACACCAGATATACCAGTGATCAATGGGGTGACAGAGAATTGAATAATATTTGAAAATTGACCAAATGAAGTAAGATTGAATGGAGCATTGGTAACTGTATCCGAAACTGTAAATATGACGGTTGTATCACTGACAGATTGAAGAGTACCAAATAATAATACAATCTTTGATGTTAATGTACCAAAGTTTTTACCAACAACAGTAACAGTTCCATCGGTTGTATTTTGGGTCAGAGACTGTGAAGTAATGATTGGTGGTGGGAAAGTGACAACTAATACAGTTTGTTTCGTTCCAATATAAACAGACAAGACAGCTTGTCCACCTAGTCCACTTGGATATTGACATGTTAAAGTGGCTCCTTTGGCAACTGTGTTGGTGCATGCCAAGTTGGCCAACAATACAGTTACAGCAACTTGGGTTCCTTGGTAATCTACACTATTTAAATAGAGACCACTAACAGTAAGGATACCACCAGTTAGCGAGAGAGGAGAGACTGTAAAGAGGACAGGTGCCAAAACAAATGGGAAATTGGATGCAGCCATTTGATTACCGACTTGAATATTCAAAACTCCATTCTTGAGCTCTGCAAGAGCACTAAAAGTTACTCCTCCAGTGATGAATGCAGTTGGTAGGATCAATTGACTGTTGGTCATGACTACAATGTCTGACAGATCACTACCAAAGTTTTCACCAATGATTGAAATGGTAGAACCTGTTCCTTGGATGACTGCAGTGATGGTTGGAGCAGCATAACTGAATAGGAATGTTTCAGATACTATTCCATCGGCGGTGATGGTCAATGAAAGGTTGGCACCAACACCAGCAGGTGCAATCACACCTAAAAAGGAAGATACCTGGTTGTAAGACGATGAACTAAGGGTTGCTGGTTTCGAGTTGAATAATACAGTCAAATCGGTAGTGGTACCATTAGCACGATTAATTGAAAGGTAACGTCCAGAAATAGTTAACAATCCACCAGCTACGGGAACGATTGGTACAGAGGTAATAGCTGGTTTGAAATGGATTGGATATCCTGGTGCAATTGATTGAAGACCGTCAACTCTAACTTGAATGAATCCATTGGCAGATTGTGGTGATGCATTGGTGATGATTCTAGTATCGGTGAATGAAACAACCGTAGTTTCAAATGCAGCTACATCAGTGGTGATTAGATCTTTGTTGGGACCGAAATTAGCACCTTGAATAGTTAGACTGAAATCAGTTTCACTTTGTATGATCGATGTGATCAGTGGTGCAGCATAGGAATAGGAGAACACGTTACTAGCTATATTGTTCATATAGACAGTTGCTGTTTTAGTTCCAGTTCCTGGAGGTGCTTGACACACCATATAAGTGTAGGTGGCATCGATCGATGTTGAGAGTACTGGACACAAGGTAGAGGATCCGATGATAACCTTTGGTGTGAGTGGAGTACCGAGACTGTCAAATGCATACAACGAAGTACCTCTAATAGTTATATTAGCACCACCAGTAGTACCAACCGGTGTCATTTGATCGATAAATGGAGAATATGATATAGTCCAAGGTTGAGTAAACACACCATTGACAGATACTCTAAATGGCCCATTCAATATATTAACAGACCACATAAAGATTGCAAGTGTCGGTGATAAATACGATGGAGTGATAGCTGTAAAGGTTCCAAGTGGATAGGTAGGTGCTACAAACAATACACTACTCACTACATTCCCAAAATTGGATCCAGACACTATAATTGTGTATTGATCTGGTGATGCACTAGTTATAGTAGGTGACTTTTATATATATATAGATAAATAACAATGATGATGGATACATTTATATAAAATGAATTAATATAAATATACATGTGTCTTTTAGATATCAAATAAAATGTATTTCATACTTGAGCAAAAACCAAATTTATGTAGGACAGAAAAAGAACCGCCAAAAATATCTTGTTGATCTTCATAATTATTATTATTTTAATTTATCCAACAAGTACTATTTGTTGTTGTACCTGTAAGATAGAGATAAAAATAATTATTTAGATTTAAATTTGACAAGTAACAGCCCTTGTAACAATATTCTTTTGCTACAGAGATTAATCAGGTGATTAAAACGCAAGTAATACGAAACCCACCAATGAGTTCACCAAATGTGGACAAATCGGCGAACAAAAGATCCTTCCTTGAAATGTGGAAAAAGTCGTTTCGATTTTGGTACAAATCAAAAAAAGTCGAGAGATAAATAAATTGGATTGACAAAAATAGATATTGAGTTTGGTTGGGATTTAATTAATTAAATTATTTCTTTTTTAGAATACATAAATAAATAAAATGATCATTAATAATAATAATGATAAAGATGAAGATGATGATAAGATCTTGGTACCAGTTGATGGTGTTACACCTTTGGTAGTTGAATCATCTGATGTGGAGGTTGTTGGTGAAGAGGTTGCAGTTGATGAGGAGGTAGTGGTGGTGGGAGTACCTGTTGTTGAAGTAGTAGTGGTGGAACTACCAGTTGTAGTTGATTGTGAAGATTTAATGACACGAACAAAAAGAATTTCAATTGGAGCAGAACCAGTCTTGACAATGGTGAAATCAGAATTGGATACTTGTTGATTGGAAAAGTTGGCGGTTGAGATGTTGAATGTAACTGTAAAGTTACCACCAGTAGTACCAACATTGACAGTATCTGTACTGACTTTGGTCGATCCATCAGAGTTGTATTCTAGTTTCCAGGAGGATGCAACCTTGTCCATGTAGGTCACCTTGATTTGCAAGTTGGTTTGAGCACCATACATAAAGGAATCGTCGAGATAGAATAACATTGATGTGCTTGTGATTCTACCTTCGAACGACTTGCCATTGGCAGCATCAGCCACACCAGTGTAGGTAGTTGTACCATTGGTCGTAGTGTACCCAGGTTGATCTAGTTGAACTAGGAATCTCTCGTAATTGTTGACCCATGGACGTGAAGGCCACACCAAGTCATTTCGATCCACCCAATAAGTATCTTGAGCCGATCGAAGAGACACCCAAGCATCAAAGGCATCTGATTGTTTACGACCCAATGATAAACGAACCCAAGTGTAAAACGATGAATACGGTACGAGATAACTGGCAGTTTTGACGACATACAACCAATTTACATTCATTTGGAGTGCTTTTAGATTAGACATTTTAACTGCATAGTATAGTGTGTTTTTAGGTACATTGTATCCACATTCATCATAACACTCATTCTCTGTTGCAATGACACGGTTTGGATTCTGTAGTAATGGCCATGACCAATTAGTCACCAAATGTCCATTACTTTTATCAATCACAGTACCGTAGGCAGGTATATCTGATAAATGGAAATTAAACAACTCTGTAATACCAGTTCTAATTCCCATCCCTTTTGCAACTGCATCACGTGCAAAGAAATCTTTCTTTGGTGTTGTCCATTTATCTAAAAAGATTATAAAAAGCACAAAAGTAAGTATCTTTCAATCAATTATTAATGTGTTATTATTATTCTTTTGTTTGTTTTTAAACACGTACCAATATCAAATGGATAATCTTCACCTGTAAATACAAGTTTATAAGCATAATCATCGTTTGGATCAGAGTTTTCACCATTAAAGATATTTACCAAATCTTGCATTCCTTGTTGGAACCAACTGTTAAACATATCAAATGTAAAGGATGTATTTACATTATTGATATAGTTTCCAATCTCTGTGAAATCAAATTCACACCAATTGAATCCACCTGGAACATAGATGAATTTTAGTCTAGGGTCTGCTCTCATACCCTTTTCTAAAAATATATATCTATACATCTTTTTCATCTCTCCCCAAACACATGGATTCCAAATTGGTAAATGATCCTAAAATAATTAAATAAATAAGAATAAATTAATAAATTAGAATAAAATAAAAAAGATAATTCTATTTCTATTATTTGTTTTGTTTTGTTACATACATGACCATCATAATCTTTACCAATTGAAGTAACATTGCAAATAGATTGGATGTTTGATGGAGCCCAGTCAACACCAGTTGTCCATATTCTCATCCAAAAGGGATTAGTTGTTGCATTTTGAGTTGCAAAGGTAGCAAAGTCCATCTCCAAGATGGTAGTGGTCGTATTGAATTGATAGACACCGACAGTTGGATTGATCTGTCTCCAAGACACATCAAATACACCTAGACCAATATTGACAGATGTATCTCTACTCTCTGAAAAGAGACCAGAGTTTGTTAAAGGTGTTACATGAGATGGCACATACCAATCATCACCTGCAATCTTATCATATGCACCCAAGCAAACATGTAAATGTAAACAACCAACTAAAATAAACAATAAAGTTTGATTTAATTGTTTCTTCATATCTCTCTATATATTATTTATATAAATAAATATAAATAATTAAAGTAAGTAAACAATGAGTGTTTAAATATATATGTACTGTTTTGTTGTCTTCTCAAGATATTCAAACCTCCATGAGGAGAAAGAAGATCTTTAAAAAAATCAAAAAATCTTGTTTTCTAATCTTATTTTCATTGAACAGTGAGGAAGATGATTGGTTGGGTTTGTCTTAAACCACCATTAATGAGGGTTACAACAGACATACAATATAGTGTTGTTTGTTGAACTGCAACAACATTATATTAGGAAAGTATGTCCTTTCCAATCTCTATCGTCGTCTTCTTGTTATTATTCGAAGCGTACACGTAATATCGATGTTGTTGTTGTTGAACTTCTTACCAAATAATAATAGTACACATATACAAAGTAGTATTATACACCTTCTGGTTTGTGGATAGATAGATGCTCTACTTGAAGAAAGAATGAATGAATGAATAAATATATGATTGGCTCATGTTAAGACATCTGTGATATTAATAAAAAATAAATAAAAATAATAAAACTTTATATTTGTTGGACGAAGAGGTAACTTGCAGATTAGTATTGAGTTCATTGTAAATTTAATAAATAAACGAATACACATACAATATGTCGCTATCAAATAGAATCATACATTCTGTTTTCAAACCATCATCATCATTAACCTCTCATTTGAGATTAATCAATCAGAGTAATAATAGTAATAGCAAATATATAATAACATCATCATCATCGTCTCTTAAAAGTAGCAGTAGTAGTTATAATGACAACAATCCTTTCTCTTTCGTGTTTGGGTGTAGCAGGAGTATTACGACCAATACTAATACCAATACAAAAATGAACAACCCTAACAACATATATATATCATCAACATCATCAATATTAACAAACAATAATAATAATAATAACTATACTCACAAAAGATTATATCATTCAAACAATACATTGTACAGCGATCAACATACACCAAAGAAAGGAAGTTTTAGAATCACGGTAGAATCAAAAGATGAGGCTCGATCTTTATACCTCAGTTATGTTGCAATGACTGGTATTACAATTGCCGTTGCGATGCTTGCCTATAAAACGTATCAAGATAAACGTAGGTTAACCAAATCAAACTATAATAATTGAAATCAATGGTGGTAGATATAATGATGATAAGATAAGATAGGATAAGATCGGAATGGAATCTCACTCTCTAGATCACAATAAAACCGCCTTATAGTGGTAAAAGTAACCCCAAAAGGATCTCTCTCTGTCTTCATTATGGAGTGGGGGTTGTCATGATCAAGAAGAAAGAGATTCGACTCGAGATTAATCAACCATCAATCATTTATCTTATCTATACAACTAGAGATATATAACCAACCAACTCCATATAGAGACATCGAACACGACACCAACAACAACAACTTACACTTACACTTCTTTTTTTTTTAGAGAGTTCCGATGCACTGGTCGATTATATGGAAAATTTGGATCAAGAAGAATACGAAAGACTCGTCAAGTTCTTTGGTGAACATATCAAGGGTGACAGGGAAAAGTTACCATTATTAAAAGAGTATGTTGAAAATATTCGCAAGAATAGAAAAAGGATAGAATAATAGATCTATAGATGGATCGGATTGGATTGAATTGAATTGAATGTGGTGTGGAATGGTGAATGGATGTACGGATGAACCGAACTATTTTTGAATGGATTTTGGCTATCAATGGATAATAGTAGTAGACAGACAAACAAACAAACAGACAGACAGATCCTGATCCATAAATAAACACGCTTAATGATGTTGCTGGTATAGCAATGAACCAACAACAACAAACAAAAGAATGAAGATCGGAGAGATTTTAATGTTGATTACTTGTGATATAAATAGAATAATCAATCAAACACCAAATAATAATAATAATAATAATAATAATAATAATAATAATAATAATAATAATAATAATAACCCACTCACACTCTCTCTATCTCCTCTTCCCCCCCTCTCTCTTCCTATTCACTACTTTCTATGATGTGTGTTTCAATCAATCAATCAATTTTTATTCAGCAGTCCCTTCAATCAAACAATCAAGCAAAAAAAGAGAGAGTAGGAGGTTTTGAGTCATTTAAAGAAAAAAGGGAACAACAACAACAAAGAGTCCTTTATAATTAGTTTTCTGTTTTAGTTGTTGTTCATTCATTCAATCGACAATCTAGATTAATCAATAAATCGCGGGGCAGCGCCCGAAAACAAATAATTTCACAACAACAGGCATTCTTGCAATTTAATTTAAATCGAAAGAATTTCAACTTAACTTTAAAGGCGTCGTCACACACATCACGCATCCTTTCACAACTATTCATATCATAGTATAGAAATAAATTTTACAGCAAGCAGAAGAAGAAAAGAGTAAGAGTATTTTGAAAGAAATTATAATTAATGTAAGTTTGTAAAAAAAAAAATAAACATCCCTTTTTTTTTTTAAAGAGGTTTGTGTTGCGAGAGGGAGTAATATTACTTTCACTATCACCAACACATAAATACATATAATAATAATAATAATAATAATAATAGCGCGGTTATTAATAGCATTCAGAGTTGCAGTATAGTAGTCATATATATATATCTCTCTACATTTAAATAATAATAATAATAATCATATTCATCATTCATAAACATATATCGATCGCAATAGTCGTTTAAATCAAATATTATACTTATCATCATAAATATATAAATATATATATCTATCATTTAGTTTAATTTACAATACTAGGAAAGAGATAGATAGATAGAGAGTTGTTGAGTAAAGGAAAGAGTCGGAGGAGGAACAACCAAGTAGGTAGAGTTGGTCTACTTTGTTGCTGCTTCTTCTGACAAAAGAAGAGAGAGAGAGAGAGAGAGAAAGTAGATAGATAAGATAGATAGAGAAGATAGATAGACGGACGAGATCGATCGATCAATTGATTGATACGGAAAGAGAGAGATGGGTAACTTGATAGGAGTGAGTAGAAATCCTCCAAGTTTAACAGAGTTACTTTTGTTACACGATCTGCGAGTATCGACGTCTCCCAAGGCGTTCACGACAACAACGACAACGACAACTACGACTACGACGACAACCACGACGAGTAGTAGCAGCAGTAGCAGCTCATCTTCATCGAGTTGTAGTAGTAGCAGTAGCAGTAGCAAGCAACAGGCATCATCGTCATCGTCATCCCCTTCATCATCGTCATCGTCACCGGCATCATCCAATATTACGTCATCGGCATCATCTCCAGATACACAGAACCATCATCACCATCACCATTACTTTAAATCACAACAACCAACCGTCGAATTATTTGCCAGTTATCTCTTTATGTGGCGTGCACACGTTGATACCAGCGATCCACTATTTACACAGTTTGATATCGTCGACCTGCACACCTTTAAACAATTCAACAACAATGAATGTTATATAGTTTTACATGTTATCAATAACAATGAAATTCAAAGACAACAACAACAAGGTATCCAACAACCACCGGTACAACCACAACCACAAACAGGAACAGGTTTATTTAATCAATTAAATAATATTGTTTTTCAACAACAACAACAACAACAACAACAACAACAACAACAACAACAACAACAACAACAACAACAACAACAGGATACATCTTCACTTAAAGAAGTCATTGTTTCAGCTCAATCAGAGCTTACGCCAAGAGGATTGTCATGTCCTGCCGATGTCAATTCCCTCGATCCAATTTCTCATTTTGAAACTGAAGAAGTAAGTAGTAGTAGAAGCCATTAGACATATCACTCTATTGTACCATTTATTGACATTATCATAATTTGTTTGTAGATTTCTCATGACGTTTATATATGGAATGGAAAGAATTCATTACCGATTACCAAAGCATTATGTTTTGCAAAGGGATTTGAATTGGTAAAGGCATTAAAGTTTAGCGAAACATTTATCAACAAGAACCTTGTGTTTAAGAGCAAGGAGGGATACATCGATCAGTCAAACGCACCCGATTCAAATTTCTCCTCGTCGTCCTCGTCGTCGGCGTCCTCCTTGTCAACATCACCAATTGCCACCTCTGTCATTGCACAGTCCAATTCATCGAATTCATCCAACACTTCTTCAACCAACACTTCAACCAACACTTCAACAACCAACAACAATGTAAATAATACAATTTGGAAGATACCAACTTCCTCTAGCCTTTTAATCCAACGTTTATTCCTGACTCATTCGTCGTCATCTTCATCGTCATCATCATCGATGATGATTTCATCTACAGCAACCAATAATAATAACAACAACAATAATATTAATAATAATAATAATGATAGTATGCTAGAATCCAGCCATTTTTCTCCACTCTCTTCATATTTTATTGATGATGTTACACAGAATCTTTTCAACACTAATCAACCGAATAATAATAATAATAATAACAACACCAATAATAACACTTTTAATAGTATTCATCTTTTTAAACAAATTCTACGAAAGAATTACCCAAGCCTTTTCAGACCTTCATTGCCATCATCTGTCATTGCCACCTCTGCATCCTCATCCATTCTATCGATTGGTTCCATGTTTGGAGGCAAGTTCCCTGCAAGCATTGAAATGGGTCATTTGGACAAGATCATTGAAAATAACAACACATCTCAAAAACAACAAAATATATCGTCGTCGTCCAATAGTTTTCCAAGTTTACCTACTTTTAACCCAAGATATGAGGTTTTAAAAAAGTTGTCGTCATTATCCAATGCTGCGACACCCGCAACTAGAGCAAGGTCATCGTCATCACCATCACGCCCTTGTGTGCCTAAACTACCGATGCACAAGGTGAGGAATATCCCAGTACTCGATATTCCCACTCTATCCAGTATGGCAATGACTCCAAGTCCACCTTCATCATCTTCATCGTCTTCATCTACAAGTAGCAGTAGTAGTATTTGTAGTAATAATAGTAGTATACATAGTAATCATAGTAATCACAGTAGTCATAGTAATAATAATAATAATAATATATCAGTTTTAACCTCCTCATTAACTTTAAATGATCATGTAAATCCAATCAATAATCTTAATCTAAATAATTTAAATCTCAACAACAATGGTAATAATAATATAAATAGTAGTAATAATAATCCAACTATGATTAAAAATCATAAAATATCAAATTTAAATATTAACAAACAGAATTCAATGTCATCGATACCATTGGTTCCTGGATTAAATATACCATCATCGGTGGCATTAAAATTGCCTAGTCTCTCTAGACTATCGAGTCTTTCATCGGCAATGGAACCTCCACCAACCGCTCGAAAGTCAATGAGCGAAATGTCAACCAAGGAAATCATAGATTACTACGACCCAATCCTCAACAAAATCACAGAACATCTTTATTTGGGAAGTAGAATACCGGCAAGCAACAGCAAGGTGCTCAAGGAAAATGGAGTTTCACATATTCTAAACTGTGCTGGCATGGTGTGCACAAATCATTTCCCCGAAGAGTTTGTATATAAAACACTATACATTAGTGATGGTAACGGAGAGGATATCACTTGTTTCTTTTATGAAGTATTGGACTTTATTCAAGATGCAATCGATCGTGGTGGCAAGGTTTTCATTCACTGTCATCAAGGTATCTCTAGAAGTAGCGCTTTTGTTATCCTTCATCTAATGTATAAAAATAATTGGGAATTTAATTATGCTTTTGATTATACAAAAGAAAGAAGAGCAATTTCAAATCCAAATCCAGGTAAGAAAGAAAAAAAAAAAAAAAAAAGAAAAAACAATTTATTTATTTAATTTTTATTTATTTTTAGGATTTACTGGACAATTATTATTATGGAGAAAGAATTCAAAAGAAGGATGGAAAGAACCAAAATTATATAGAATGGTTCAATTGGTAGGGAACAAGGTAGTTGCCAAGGTTTCAAAGATAACCTATTTGTCGTTGGATTCGAGATGCTGTTTTATTCTAAAGGTTGACAATTGTATCTATTTGTGGGTCGGTGAACAATGTTTTGGAACAACAGGTGAGGCCTATATAGAAGGAGCACGCATGGCAATCTCAAGACTACAAAGATACGAACGTGCATCGATCAGCATCAAGGAGATCAAACAGGGACAGGAAGACCTTGAATTTTGGCAACTCTTGGGGGGAGAAGGCGTTGGTATTGGCGACGACTATGAAAGAGATCTCATCAGACAACAGCAACAACAACGACTCTTGCTCTCACACAATGTAAATAGTAGCTCTCAGAGCATCGGTGAAAAATCTTATCTGTATAGACTTTTGGATGGAGATCAATGGGATTTATACGATGTTTTTGACGTGGACGATCTCGAAGATGATGGACTCTTTATCTTGAAATCCAAAAGCGAAAACATATTATATGTTTGGATTGGTAAAGATCTTAGTTTTTCGTCTTCATCATCGGAATCCAAAGAAACGATTGGTCTACGTATGGCCAATCGTTTTATCAACCAGAATCCATCGTCTTTTGTCGAAATGAAATCTGCCATTACCATCTCTGTCATCACTTCAGCTTCTCAAGAAACTGATGAATTTTTAGATAATTTCTAAAAACAAAATAAAACAAACCAATAAAACATATTTATTTTTTCTCCCCTAACCTTTTTTTTGATGATAAATAATAATTTAATTTATTAATACAGGATCGTATTTGTATACATTTAAATGATTAATTATTTTTGATCCAATGATGGGTTTGTTTTGGGCTTTGAAGTTGCAATGTTCACATCCTTCATTAGATATTGAGCCAAATTTGCTAGGTTCCTAAATTAAATTAGAATTAATATTATTTAAATTGATTGATTGATTGATATGTTACCATACCGTTTAATTTGTTCAATTTCATTTATATCAGTTGTAGAGTTTAATTTTTCTGCTTCATTTGATATCTCTTTTGCTATTTCTTGGATACTTTATTAAATAGTTAAAAAGAGAGATTGATTGAATTAATAATCCAAGTCTTGTCTTTTTATTTTATATATTTTTTTTCTATTTTTTTTTCATACGATGTCCAAGTTCTAATTAAAGATTCCTCTCTTGTAACGGGCGGAGAAGAATCCATATACAGGAGCAAGGCAGGGAGCAAACTATCTTTCAAAAAGCAAATGATCCATTTGTTTGAACATGTTGTTCTATAGAAAGCTTAAGGAAATTCTAAAATCGAAAGAGCTGCTTTTAGAATTATTTAAAGAAAAAAAAAATCGGCCTTGTTTGCGGTCATAGAAAAAAAGGAGGGTAGCAAGGAAGCATCCCATAGATGGATTAGATTCCAAAAGTTAACATGGTTTGCAAGGTTGACACTACGGTTCTGACAAAACAACGTGAGACGTGGTGGCCAAATTGACTTTTAAAGAAATTATAACAATTGTACCCAAATGTGCCAATGACCTTGTTAAAACTCTTTAAACTAAACGAGCGATCGATCTTTTCTAGATTGGTTTCTAGAGAGACAAAAACACAGAGTTGTCAAAAAAAAAACATTTCAAATATCGGCAGGTCTTCTGTTTTTTTGATCGATCGCACCACATGCGACTAGTGATCCAAGGACTTGTGGGGCTCAAAAAAGACAAAAGTTTTTGGTATGCTCAAGACGAACCGGCCACCTCCCAAACTCATCCCACCACGCAACGCACACACATTTAAATTTAGAGCTTATTGTCCTCCCTCCACCTCTTTTGAGAATGGCTACGAAGGTGTTGTTGGAGTAACACCCCAATTGGGAATATCGATTTTATTGTTTTGGTGCGTATTGTATCAGTACACACCTTTCACAACCCTTTACGATAAAGGTAACATTGCCAATGTCTTTGGTTTTACGTTGTATTTCAAAATTTTTAATCTCTTGGTCTATTTAATTAAAATTGTAAGAGGAAGAGGAGGAGGAGGGTTAGAGAACTATAGATCAGATAAAACCATCGCGATGGTGTAATGCTACACAAAGAATAATAATTACCGTAATTTTTTTTGTCAATTTCGCGTCCATCCTTGAACCATCGTAAATTTCGGTGTCTTTGAATAAAGGTAACAAACTTTTCGTATCCTCCTCCAACTCGAACTATAGAATAATTAGGGGGGGTGATAGAGATGATTAGTATAGTATAAAAAGAAAACCCTCTTTTTCGATTAATTTATCCAAAATCGCCAGAGTTGCTAATGCCACGTCTTGTACATACCGACTAGCTCTCCACTATGAAGTTTGAGGTTAATTTTAGTATTGCTGACTCGATAGTCGCCATTTTTGGCATCGATTTTTTGAACTGTCGTCGGTACTGTGTACAATCGCCTCTGTTGTTCATCCTTGAGGGGTGAATGATTCAAAAGTATTTTATCGATAGTATTGTTTGGGTGCCATGCTTTGGATGGTGAGGTCTTTCTTGGCGACGATTTATCTGGGTCTTCCAAAATATAATTCTTACCATCCTCCATACTAAATTGCTCTAAAAGGTTGTCGCTATCTTGCAACACATTAACCATTCTAGAATCCTCTTCTTCTTCTTCTTTTGTTGAACTTGAACTTGACCAATGACGTGATACATATTTTTCATTTTCATCAACATAATCCATATGGTCTTCATCAGTCATGAATGGATTGGCACTAAATAAAGGTGACATTGTTTCTTCCTTTGTTGTATATTTTGAATAAGATAAAGATGAAGAAGAACCAGTAAAGGATTTATCATCTTTTAAAGGTGTTTGGTAAGAGCGATAACTGTACTGTTGTGATGATCCCTCATTATTTTCTACAATTTCCTCTTCTTCAATTTCTTGTTCAATTTCCTCTTCTTCCTCAATTTCCTCTTCGTGTTCAATTTCCTCCTCTTGTAATTCCTCTTCTTCCTCCTCCTCCTCCTCCTCCTCTATTTGTTCTTCTCGTTGATCATAATCTTCAGTATCTGGTTGTTCTTTTTGGTTAATTTCCTCCTCTTCTTGTTCATGCTCTTCAATTTCTGGTTGTTCTTCTTGTTCTTCTTGTTCTTGATTTGTTTCAATTTCTTTATCCAAAGATTGACTCTTTAGAGTTGATAATAAAGAATCCCTTTTATCTTGGAATTCCTGTCTAATTGGATTTTTTAAAGTTGTTGACCCATTTAAATCATCGACGCTTAGACTTGATAGAGGTGGAGGTTTATAAGTTGATTGATAAATACTACTTGTTGGTTGTAATTTTTGTGAAGATAATGGAGCTTGTTGTTGTTGCGGTTGATGTGAATAAAAAAATGATGATGATCTTTGTTGTTTACTTGGAGTCAATGCTTCTATTGTCTCTTTTGATAAAGGAACTCTTGGTGAATCTTGAATGACAATATGAACTTTACTCAATCTTTCCTTCATATCATCGTTTTCCTCTAATAGTTGTGCAATTCTATCGTTGAGTTGTTGAATCTCGCTTTTCGTTTCTTCTTGTTGACTGATATGTTTTGTTTCTATATCTTTGATATGATTCTTTAGTTGTGTTTCACTAGATCGGAATTGTTGGACTTGGTGTTGTAGAGTAGACTGGTTTCTTGATAATTGGTCTATTTCCTTTTTATAAAATGTTTCATTGTATTCATAGGTATCCAATGACTCTCGAATATCCTCTAATTGTTTGTTGGTAAGAAGTACTTTGTCCTTGTACTGTTCATTTCTGACAATCTCTTGATCCTTTAATTTTCTTAGCTCATTACCAAGAGCTTCACATTCCTCTTTTGATTGGAATAATTCATCGCGTACCAATTGTAGATCCTGTGTCTTTTGATCCTTTTCCATTACAAGTGTATCAATCTCTGTATTTAACAAAGCAATATCAGATTCCATCTTTTGTTTATCTTCATAATATAGTTCTTCTTTAGCTTGTTCAATGGCTTGATCAACACGTCCTTGTGACGCATCCTCTAAATCTTGTATTTTATGATAGAGTATTGTCAATTCTTCCAATAGTACAAATGCCTTGCCTTGACTAGTTACTTGATCAGCCATTAACCTCTTGGCTTGTTCCATTGTCAATATTTGTTCACTACTCTCTTTTGATTCAATGTCAAAATTGAGGTGTTCCAATTTAGTGTCAATTGTTTGGTTGATTGATTCAACGTGTTGTTCCAACTCTATAAATAATTCAGTGTCTACTCCACGACTCTCTAATTCTCTACCATACTCTTCTATCTTGTGCAATAGGGTTTGTCGTTCATGTGCCAATTGTCGACTGTCTTTTTGAGCTTGTTCACAAGCATAATGTATCTCGTTTACACTAGACTCTAATACTTTTTTTTGACCTTCGACCAATCGCAATAAATCCTTTAGTTGGATGACTTGATCATTCAACTCCTTCTGAGTCTCTTTGATTTCACTCTCTACCAATGTCTTTTTAAATTGAACTTCTTCTCTTTCTCTTGATATACTCTCGTCGTTGAATATACTATTAATAGTCCGACTTCTATCATTACTATTTGTTGATCTTTTGAGATGTTCAAATTCATCCTCTAATATATTAACCTCTGTCTTTAATAATTGCATCTCTCTATTATAATCTCCACTAGGGTAGACATTATATTCAACTATTGTTCTTTTACCAGTTGGTGAAATGTAAGAGTGGTCCAAAGAAGATCCCCTTCTAGATGATGATGTTGATGATGACGTTGTTGTTGTCCTGTGCATTGTTGACATGGGTGTAACATTAAATGTCGCCGTTGGTCCAGTTGGGATTGGTGATCTATAATGTTTACCATCTGGTGTTGAGTAAATTACATTATTACCATTACTATGACCATTACTATGTTGTTGATGAGATGATGATGACGATGATCGACGTAGTAATGGAGGTGTAGATATAGGTGGCTTTTGATCACTAACTGGTCCACCACCAACTGAAGAATTACATTTTTGACAAACTTGTTGTTGTTGATGTTGATGATGTTCATCATGCTAAATATTAAATCAAATCAATCGATTATTAGTATTCTCTCATTAAAGCTATAGATTAATCATCATATGTTATACATACAACTACACAAGTACAATTTGCAGGGACTAATCTCCAACGTCTTGGTGTTTGTTTTGTTGAACCAACAGTTGGTTTGATAGGAGTTAAAGGTGAATCGATAAAAGGGGATGGTGACTCTGATTGATGTGGTGGAAACAATGCATCTCTGACCTCTATATCATCAGGTATGACCTCTTCCAATACAACCTCGCTAGGTGATAATGGTGGTACTACAATGTTGTTGGGATAATATGATGATCGAGGCGATGGTGAACCTGGCTTTATTTTGCCATATGTTGTAGTAGTTGGTGTTGTCCTTGTACTATAGTCACTTCTATCTTGTTGTTGTTGAAAGAATGATGATGATGATGATGATGATGATGGGGGAGTTGAATAATGAGTAGTAGGCAGCATCGTGACGGATGGGGTAATTAATAAATAAAAATTGCCTCCTACCCTATAATACAAGTTATTGATATATCTAACTATCTATCTTTTTACCTATCTCTATCGCCCTCTCTTACTAATGTAAAGTGAATAAATGAATCGATCGAGTGATCGGTAATTAATTAAGAATGCAATGCAATGTTTTAGATAGACTGATTTCAGATCAGATTGATTGGAGGTTTCCACCAAAAAATCGAAAACAAACTATTGTGCAAACTCATGACAGTTTTGGGTTTGCAGTTGCAAAAGGTATGTATGTATATATTGTAATAATTAATATATTAATTTATTTATTATTTTATTAGGACTTTGAAAATAAAACATAAGTCAAAGTTATAATACCTTCTAATATATAAATTGGAATGAATCTAGAGAAAATAAATAAAATCAATTTAAATGGAATTAATAAATGATTATTATTATTATTATTTAATTATGATAATTATGTTTTTCATTGTATAACAACATACATTATATAAAGGGGATAGTGATGATGATGATTAGAAGATTCTAAACTATGACATAAAAGAATCATCGAGATGAAAAATGGTGCCATTGCAATAAAACAGAGTAGAGGGACGATTGCGTGTCCAACTCTCGACTTGTACTCCATAAACAAATCTAATCTTTGTATCTTTTTCAACATTAGAATGACCAATGGATAGAATATTAATGCTAAATCACTAATAAATAATGGAATGAAAATATAATACCAACTAACATTTAAATCATTATTTATCTAAATTTAAAAAAAAGAAAAGAAAAAAGAAAAGAAAAAAGAAAAGAACTATTAATATCATGATTGAAATATATTCTTTTTGTTTTATATTTACCTTTTTATATAATAATATAACAAATATAAATATAAGAGAATTAATAAAAATCATAAATATTTGATCAAATATACATCTAGTGTTGTTGATACGATGTGGATAAAAGAATGGAAAGAAGAATAATGCTACACATAGAATGAGTAATGGTACAAATACACCACCCCAACTGACCAGCGCACCATCACTCAACTTGACAATAATCAAGATTAAAAAGGTGACAATCGTCAATATCGGAGTGAAAAAGAACAATCGATCCATATGATCCGCATCCCAAAGTGGTTCGAAAAATAGTAACTTTACAAATGATGGTACTCTTCTTTCTTGAATGATTCCAAGTTCATCAACATAATCATAATTATTCTAATAATAAATAAATAAATAAATAAATAAATAAATAATATAATTGTATTAATACTATTTGTTGAGTTTGAGTTTATGTTTATGTTTGTGATTTCCATTTACTTACTTTATATTTAAAATATTCATAAGTTATTGGAGCACCAACAGCAAGATAAACAATTGGAAGTAATGGTGTAAATATGGTAGCCCAAGGCCACTCGATTACACCTTCACATTGTAGAGGTAAAAGGATAGAGAAAAAGATGATGCATGCCAACCATAGGATATCGTACCATGGTTCAGCATAGAATGCGTATTTCATCAACTTGGCACTACTCTCTATATTTTGTTGGTATTTTGTGACACGTGCCATTTCCATGTGTCTCAACTCTGATGATTGATGTGCTTTTACCTCTGCTTTAAATCGTTCAACGTAATAGGTTCTTTCTCGAAGTGGATGGTTTTTGACTGTACCTCCTCCACCACCTTCTTCCATTTCCAATCCACCTTTCCTTCTTCTGCTGTGATGATGACTACTATGATGACCATGTCCATCATCTTCATCAAAATCACCTCTATATCTTTTATGTTTCTTTAAGTTCTTATTATACAATGATTGTGGTGATGTTAATTCCCATTGTTTTAATACATCTCTCCATAATGATGCATCATATGATATCTAGATAAATAAATAACAAAATTAAATTAAATAATCTATATATATTCAAACTCTTTTGTTTGTTTGTTTTGTTTGAATGACATACTTTATAAAACCTTGAACAAACAGTAGCAGCTCTTCCTAAATGAGCAGGGTCTAGATAGCCATAGATACGAGCCAATAACTCATCAGGAATCCAATCAATTGGAGACATTATATAGTCATCATCAACTTCTATCTCTTCATCATCATCATCCTCTAAATTTGGTTGTCCATTTGAACTTATATTATTATTATTATTACTACTACCGCTACTGTTATTATTATTACTATTACTATTAGTATTATTTAGTCTAAAGAATCTTTTATAATTAAATCTTTTCTTTTTCTTGTGATTATTATTATTAGTATTATTAATATTTGATGATGTTACAACAATATCAGTTATTGTATTTATATTATTATTATCTTGTTGTTGTTGTTGTTCATTTTGTTTATTATTATTGTTATTGTTATTATTGTCAACCTTTCTCTTGATCACAAATAAATCATCATCTTCATCATCTGACATATCTTTCTTTTCCTACTCCTCTCTCTCTCTCTTTCCTTTCTTCCTATCTCTCTCTTTCTTTCTTGATTATAATTTTTTTTAATCCAACATAAACAAACCAACTAGTATCACCACCCTCCTCATCAAAACAATATTAATATTATTATTATTTTTATGTGTTTTATTTTTAGATTTTTGATCACGATGATGACCATTCAAAGTTTTTGATTCATAGATCAAAGTTTAATCAATTTTAGAGATCGACAGGACTTGTATCCACAAATATTTTAATTAAACAGCCCACCTTTCTTTGATTCATCAATGACCGACCAGGCAGAGAGAGAGAGAGAGGGACAAAGAGGTGGTTGGGTTGGGTTGATGAGGTTAGTTGGCAGTTGCAATGAATTCTCAACTCAACTCATCATCAATTCGAATATCGTTCATCCATCTTTCTTTACTTTTGAGAGATTTAATTTAATTTAATTTTATATATTCTTTTCTTCACACTACTTTCTTTCTTTTTTTTAACGATCGTTGTTTAAACGCACCCCTCTTCTCTCTCTCTCTGCCTTCACCATTGAGCAACGTTCACGAGAATAATTTTAATTTTTTTTAATTTTTTTGTTTTTTTCAACCAACCTCTCCCCCAGCTCTCTCACGTTCATAACAGAAATCAAGTGGCGTTCGTTCTTTTACAAGCAAAAAAGTTTTTATAATTTGTTAAAGAGAGAGTAGAGATATCAGGATCTTAGTATTTATATATTATTTATCCCTTATTCCTTCCCTTCCTTTATAATATTATAATTATAATAAAAAAAACAAAAAAATTAGAAATATTAAAAACATAAAAAAAACATGGCTGCCTCATTCTCCTCTTCATCACTCTATGTTGGTGACCTCCACCAGTATGTATAAACCACAGATTACAGTAGTACAGATTACAGTAGATATAGTAGCAAGCAGTAGTATTGTAGCAGTACAAGTATAGATAGAGAAAGTTATAGGTCTAGTCGTTACAACAACAAAACCGAGACAGCTACAAAAAAAAAAAAAAAAAGAGGAGAGAAAAAATTGAAATTTTCTCGGTCGAGAGACCTAGAGTTCAACCGTTGCGAGTGTCTCGTGAACAGACAACCACAACCTATGGTATCCGGTTAAACTGATAAATCGAAAAGTTATATATATTATCAAATAATCATTCATATCAATATCAATATCATCAACATACTCATCAACAACAACAACATCATCATCATCCATCAACATGTGATCAACATGTTACAACATACTCCCCTAAAAACTAGACTGCGGATTTGAGAAGAAAGATAGAAAAGTTGGCACGTAGAGTCGACTTTTTTTTTTCAACCGATCAGTTGATGGACCTCTTTTCGACTTTTTACAATGGAAACCTTATACTATATACCAAAACTACGACTATACTATGACGACTACTGCTTACTACTACCTTACTACTATGAATCAATTGAAACAACAATAATAATAATAATATTAATTAAATCAATCAATCCATTATTATTTTAGAGACGTAACTGATTCCCAATTGTTTGAAATTTTCAACCAAGTTGGTCCAGTTGCCAATCTTAGAATCTGTCGTGATACCACCACCCGTCGTTCCCTCAACTATGCCTACGTCAACTACCACAACCCAGCTGATGGTAAATATCAATCTCAATATTATTATATATATATATATATATATATATATATAAATATATACCTATTTACACGCACACAGTTTACTAATCAAATCTATTTAATATTAACTTTTAGCTGAACGTGCTTTGGACACCTTGAACAATACCTTGGTCAAGGGTAAGGCTTGTCGTATCATGTGGTCTCAAAGAGACCCATCACTCAGAAAGTCAGGAGTTGGAAACATTTTCATCAAAAACCTCGACAAGTCTGTTGATCACAAGGCCCTCTTTGACACATTCTCTGCCTTTGGCAACATTTTGTCATGCAAGGTCGTCACTGACGAGACCAACGTCTCCAAGGGATTCGGTTTTGTTCACTATGAAAGCCAAGACTCTGCCGACAAGGCCATCATGAAGGTCAACGGTATGATCATCAATGACCAAAAGGTATTTGTCGGACCATTCAAGTCGAGCAAGGAACGCGGACAAACCCAAGAGCTCAAGTACACCAACGTCTACGTCAAGAACCTCTCTGAGGACGTCAACGAAGAAGAGTTGCGTGACTTGCTCGTGCCATACGGCAAGATCACCAACCTCACCATAATGAGTGATGAAAAGAGCAAGAGCAAGGGCTTTGGTTTTGCCAACTTTGAGACACCAGACGAAGCCAAGAACTGCGTCGAAGCCGAGAATGGCAAGCTCTTCCACGGCAAGGTCATCTATGTTGGTCGTGCCCAAAAGAAGATGGAGCGTGAAGCCGAGCTCAAGCACAAGTTTGAGACCAAGTACCAAGGCGTCAACCTCTACATCAAGAACATCGACGACTCGATCGACTCGGACAAGTTGCGTTCCACCTTTGCCGCCTACGGAACAATAACCTCGGCCAAGGTCATGCGTGACGACAAGTCAACCTCGTCCAAGGGATTCGGTTTTGTCTGCTACACCACCCCAGACGAAGCCTCCAAGGCTGTCGCCGAGATGCACGGTCGTATGGTCGGAAACAAGCCACTCTACGTCGCCTTTGCCCAACGCAAGGAGATCCGTCGTCAACACCTTGAAGCCCAACACAACAAGTTCAAGGGCAACCGTATCCAACCCGTCCCATCCATGTACGCCGGTGGACCAATGTTCTACAACCAAGGCATGCCAGTCGTCTACCCACAAATGATGCCACGTCCACGTCCAGGATGGAACCAACCGGTCCCACAAGGCCAAGGTTACCCAATGCAACCAAACTACCCCATCCGTAACCAACGTGGTCCAGGTGGTGCTCCAAACCACCCACGTGGTCCAGGTGGTGCTCCAAACCAACGTCCACGCGGTCCAATGGATCCAAACCAACAGGTTCCACAAGCTGCCAACCCACAACCAACCCCCGCCCCAGCCACTGCCCAAGAAGCCGTCGCCGTCCCATCCGAACAACCACAAATCACCTTGGAATACGTCGAAGCCTTGCCACGTGAGCAACAAAACCCATTCCTCGGAGAGTTGCTCTACCCACTCATCCACGCCTCCCAACCAGATGCTGCCGGTAAGATCACTGGTATGTTGTTGGACTCCCTCACCGTTCAAGAATTGTTCGAGCTCGCCCAAAGAGCCGACAAGCTTGGAGAAAAGATCAAGGAAGCTTTGGAAGTTCTCTCTGTTTCACAATAAATCGTCGTTTGTTTGTGTGCCGCCAATTAATTTGTCATCATCCAATCGTCACCATCGTTTAAATTAATTAAATCTGCCTCTTCTCTCTCTTTTTTTACTTTTCTCTCTCTCACACACTTTTTTTTATTGATATAATAAAGGAAAAAGGAAATATTATATAGTTAAATATATAATAATAAGGGTAAATCACCTTTCCAAAATCAAAAAAAAAAATACAACAAACAAAAGAATATAAAATTGAGATAAAACAATAATTATTAATAAGTTTTTGAGTAAGAATAATAGGTACTATTTTTATTTTCATCTATTATTCATTGACATTGGATATGCTTGACAATTGGTATTAAATTTACCACCATCCACGACCACGACCACCAAATCCATTGGAAAAGAAATAGAAAATAAAAGAAGAAGAAAAAATATAGATGGATGGAATGATTAATATATTATTGATGGTATAATGTAATAGTATTAATACTTACTAAAGATCATTTTGAAGTTTGAGGTTTGAGATAATAGAATTTTGAATGAGTAGATAATTGTTTGTTTGGATACTTGTAGAATTGAATAATTAATTTGATGATTAAAAAAGAGTTTTAGTTGATTATTTATAGTTTTCATTGTATAAAAAACTTGTTAAAATCAATCAAAAATCCTCTTTTCAAAGATGACTAAATTAGGAATATTATAATTTGGTTGGATTTTTGGTAGGATTTTTAAAGTAAAATGTTCATTTCTAAAACTATAAATAGATTGCATTCAAGACTATTCAATTCATCAAATTCAATCAAATATCACTTAATACAATACAAATAATTACTCTTTTTATTTACAGTTAAAATTCAATCAAATACAAATCAACAAAATGTTATTCAGTATGTATTTCTTAAAAAAGATTATAAACATAAAAGAAAGGTTATAATTCTAACAAATTATATATATTCTTTTCCATTTTCAATTTCTTTTTTCTCTAGAGAATCTTTCCCAAGTTTCTGCTGTCTCTACCACTGGTCTTAGCATTCAAAATTCATTGGTTCAAGGATTAGGTCGCTCAGGTGTTTCACTAGGTGAATCAACTATTGCTCGTAGAGGATGTTGCGGTGGTCGTCGTGGTAATAATATTGATATCGATATTGACATTGATATTAATATTGGTGGTGGTCGTGGTAACTGGTGTTAAAATATATAGATTAATATCTATCCACCAATCAACAAACATATATTCCACCAAAATAAATGGTTTGTTTCAAGTGTTCTATTGAATATAGACACCATCAAATTTAATTTAGATGATCACAATTGATTGATTTATTATTTTAATATTTATTATTATTATTTACTATTAATTAATTAATTATTTATCAGCATCTTGAATTTGTGAATTAACAAGTGAACGGAAATCAGATAATAATCTGTTTTCACGTTTGGCCTTTTCTTCCTTGTTCAACATGGCAAGTGCACGTTTCTCTTCGGCCGAATAAACTTGACCTTCCTTTCTGAGACGAATGGCGTTCATACGACGATGACGACTACCACTCATGACGTAACCACTGTCTTCAAAGACTGTAATCTCGTCACTAGTCAAACCAACTTCACCTCTACGTGGAATACGCTTGTTTTGTTGTACAAACTGTGCAATAGCCTCACCTTCACCTGGCATCAAAGCTCCACCATAACTTCCAACAAGTACCTGAGGCAATGGCTTTGGTCCAACACTCTGTGTCTGGAACGACACATTCTCTTGTGTCTTTTCCTCCCACAATGATTTATCGTTGAGGTTTATTTTTCCAACTGGATCCGTTTCCGAATCACTCATATCACTGTCACTATCGCTACCACTGTCACTGTCATCAAGTGATGATGATGATTTTCTCTTCTTTTTGCGTCTTTCCTTTTTATCCTTTTTGTCTTTTTTACGTTGTTGTTTCTTTTCTTTTTTCTTCCTCTTTCTACTTTCGTAATCGCTGTCATGTTCTTCTTGACTGGAACTACTACGATCACGATCACGACGACTCTTTCTTGGTGACCGACTTCTACTACGGTCACGTTTTGATGAAGATGATGATTTCTTGGATGATGAAGATGATCGCTTTTCATCTTGATCTTTATCCTTTCTTTTCTTTTCTCTTGGTGGAGTTGGTGATCTTTCCCAAATAGGACTGACATCAGCATTTTCTCTTAGATTTTTTCTATATTCTACAAATGATTGTGATTGGTCTCCAGCCTGGCCACCTCCACCTCCACGATGATGTCTTCCACCACCACCTCCACTGCCACCAGAAGAACCATATTTCTGATAAGATGATTTTGAATAAGTATCTCTTGGTACAGGACTTCTACTTCTACTTCTTCCTCTTGATGTATTGGTAGTTGTCGATGTAGTAGTAGTAGTTGAATAAGTGTCTTCATATGTCTTTACACCATTATCTTTCATTCCATTACCATTTCCATATCCATTTCCATTACCATTGTCTCTTCTATTTCTATCATATGATGATGATGATGATGAGTTATTGTCACGGCGGTTATCTCTATTATAGTTGTCTCTGTTATTATTATTATTTCTATCTCTATTATTGTCTCGATAGTCTCTATCACGATTATTATTATTATTATTTCTATCTCTATTATTGTCTCTATTGTCTCGATAGTCTCTATCACGGTCACCTCCTCTATCCCTTTCTTTGTCCCGGTAGTCCCTGTCTCTATCTCTATCTCTATTATTATTATCTCTATAGTCTCTATCACGATCTCTTTCTATATCGCGATCTCTATCTCTATCTCTATCTCTATTATTATTATTATCTCTATCACCCATATTTACAACTAAATTAACTAACTACTTTTATTCAATACTTGCGCTGCTTCATTTATCTTGGATGAAAAACGAAGTTCGTTATTGGTGGGAAAATGAATTTTTTTTCAATTTCTTTTTTTAAAAAAGCGAAGAAGAGGAACAGAATCACACAGAGAGAAAGATAGTGAAGCTCTAATAACGACTGCGACCAACAACATTCAAAGTACTTCTTTAGAACAACTAGTAGTGACGACACACAGAATGGAGTACGACTTAACTAAACAAATTTGCACCTTTTTGGATGCTCATCTTATGCTTCCACTCCTCGAATTTGTCAAGGTAAACAAACATACTACTATCATCACAAGATTGATAGTTAGATAGATAGATAGACAGCGATGATGATGATGATGATGACTAATCACGATCATTGATCACACATTACAAATCATCTATATATATAATTATAGGGATATCCAGAGGAACAAATCGATAAGGTAAAGGCCGATATTTTAGAAAAGACTAGTTGCTATTCATACGCCATCACAGTCAACCAAAAGATTGGCCGTGACATTACAGGTTTGGAGGAGAAGAAAAAGGTGGTCATTGAAGAGTTGAGCAAGTTGAAGAAGGAGTGCGAGGTTGTTACTCAATTCATCGAACAGAGAAAGGACTACTCGAATAATAAAAAGGGCTGCCGCTGCTGCTGCTGCTGCTGCTGCCACCTCTACCACTGCTACCTCTACCACCACCACCACCACTGAAAAGAAGGAAGAGGATGCTGTTGAAGCTACAACTACAACAGTTGTTGCTGATGGTGAAGCTGCTACAACCAATAACGTTCAATCAACTCAACCAAAGGCAGAGATGACAACATTTGCACAACTCAGAGAAAAGGTCAACGCTCAAATAGTCGATTCACTCTACCGTCTCGCCAAGCTCTCATACGAATCGGGAGACTATGGCAATGCCAGAGACTACCTCGAAGTCTTTATAAAGTTGTCGGACGACAAGTCCAAGAACTTCTCTGCCCTCTGGGGTATCCTCGAATCAGATATCCTCAGTTTGAACTGGGTGTCTGCCGTCGGTGACATCATGCCAATCAAGGAAGAAATCGATTCAAACTCTTCACTCAAACCAATCCAACAATTACACCAAAGAGCCTGGTTGATTCATCGTAGTTTATTCGTTTATTTCAATCATCCAGAATCAAGATCAATGTTGGTTGATTTATTATTAGATGACAAGTATGAAATTGAAATAGAAAAAAAAAAAAAAGAGATAGAAATATATTAATAACCTATTTATTTATTGTTTTAGATATTTAAATGCAATTCAAACCATTTGCCCATATATTTTGAGATATCTTGCTGTTGCCATTATCACCAACAGAAGACGTCCACAACAACTTTATCAATTAGTCAAGGTTATTGAACAAGAAGCATACACTTATCGTGACCCAATCACCCTTTTCATCCAAAGTCTCTATGTCAAGTTCAACTTTGAAGAGGCTCAACAACATTTGACACAATGCGAAAAGGTTCTTGCCCAAGATTTCTTCTTGGTCTCGTGTCTCAACGATTTTATGGAAAATGCTCGTGCTTGCATCTTTGAAACCTATTGTAATATTCATGAAAATATTGATATTGAGTAAGTTGAAAAAGAAAAGAAATCAAAACATAACATAACATAACATATTATATTATATTATATATATATATTAATGTTTTATTTCCTTTTTTATTTATTATTTTAGTATGTTGTGTAATAACTTGGGTATCAAGCCAGAAAATTCCGAAAAATGGATTGTCGAAGCCATTCGTAACGCTAGATTCATTGCCAAGATTGATTCGGCCAACAACCAAATCAAGATGTTCTCACAACACACCAACGCATATCGTCAAGTCATGGACAAGACCAAGGGTTTATTCAATCGTGGTATCGAGATTTTAGTCGGTATCAATGACAGTCGTGTCCAACAATCCAGAAAGAATATCGGACCAAAGGGTCAAGGAGGAAGATTAAGACAATCACAACAATCACAACAAACAGGAGCAGCAGCACCAGCCACCACCGCACCAGCCACCACCACCACACCAGCCACTACAACCACTACTACACCATCTACCACTGCACCAAAGGCACAAGAAACTGTATCTGCTTAAAAACTATAACAAATTTAGAATATATATTTCCTCCTCCCTCTCGCTCCAACAAAAAAATAATAATAATCTCCCCAAAAAAAAAATACATACTAGTAAAATAAAATAATTATACTTATAATTATATTAACTTATTAATGAATTAAACAGGGTGTTTCGTAACCATTACCCTGATATTTATGTCATTTTGAAGGGTTTGTTTTCAAATTTTATTGTGATGTTCATTTTCTTTTCGTAGTCAAACATATATATATATGTAGATAGATAGATAGATTTAACAAACAAATAATCATGATACGGCTAATTGGGAGTAAATCTACATCTATCATTCAAAGATCATTATCATTATCATCATCGAGTGCAGCGCTGTTGACCAATACTAGTAATCATGCATCGACTACTAATAGTGTTGAACAACAACAACAACAACAGAGGTATTATTCAATTACAAATCAATCAAGTAAATCAGTAACAAGGATATTCGATGATCAACATACTCAAAATAAGATGAAGAAGATTATGATTGTAAGATCATTAAATAAGAATAACCTAGAGGAAGAGGAGGAATTTACAACTGTTGAAAGCGATATTGCACATCAATTTGATCCATCAATCGTTGGAAAAAGACATTTTACATCATGGGGAATGAGAGTATGTTAATATTATCAAGATAGATAGATCAAGATAGATAGATAGATAGACTAATTTATGTATACTAGTTTATATTAGGTTTTATGATAGTTGGTGTAATGTTTTTTGCAAGACGATGGACACCTAGACAAATCTCTCGAATCATTGATACATTGAAAAAGGGTGAGACTGTAGACCCATACCTATTAAACATAAACAATCAGATTCCACGTGAAAAGGAAGAAGCCTATCTTTCATCGTTTTTGGCATCGGCACCTGTTGGTCCAGTTTGTATAGTTGGACCTGATGGATGTGGAAAGAGTCATATCCTAAAGAGAATAGTATCTTCTAGAAAGTTATCTGTCATTGTGGATATGCGTCAAAACGCCGTCATGAGTGGTGACGAACTATTGGTTTCATTCCTTAAAAGTTTAGGTTACCTTTTACCTTCAAGTGATCCAATATCATCTGTATTTATGAAACAAGATAAAAAACAAAGTTTGTATCAAAAAAAATTATAATATATGTATATATAAATATGGATAAACAAAAAAGAGACTAACATATATATATATATTGTTTTCCCAAAAGAAATCAATGTTCAAGAAATTATTCAAGGTTTGGAAACTATTTATTTATCATTGGTAAAAATTAAAGAGGATTATGAAGATATTCCACTTATTGTCATTAATAATATTGAAGCTTTACCAACTGTATGTATCATTGTTGAGATGTGTGAGTAACTTTACATTGACCATTTCTAACCTTTTATTTATAGTCTGAAAACTTTACTAGATTTATTGATTGGTGTATCTCTGTCACTGATAACAAGTTGGCAAATATTGTATTTTTAACTTCTTCTCAATTTGTTCATTTCCATTTAGATTCAAGTATGAATAGTATACATAAATATACAACCATTTTTATATAATATTAATTCTTTTTTTTCTATAGATTATAGTTTTAAAAAAAGAAGATTTCTTTTTAATATTCCATATCCACCAACTGATGTCATTTCTCAATATTTACATAATGTATTTACTAGTGATGGGAAAGATCACAAGTTTATTTATGGTGGAGGTGGTGGATCAAAGAATAGATCAGTACTGAGTAATCCCGTTTTACCTCTTGCCAAGGAAGATGTCGATGATATCATTCAAACATTTGGTTCTCAGATGAGAGATATCGATGCAATTGTTGGTTTGATATTCAAGGGCGAGTCATACGACTATGTATCGGAATTGTTTATTTCAGAGACAACACAAAAGATTAGTTCATTGGTAGACTCTATGTTTCAAAAGGCAAATCTAATCGACAATGACAGCGAAAAGAAAAACATCTTTGAAAAGTACCAAAGATTTTGGAAAATGCTAGAGATTTTGACAGAGAAACCAAATATTGCAGCCAGTAAACTCATCGAAGAGGTGTTTCACGAACAACCAGAGGAATTGGACGAATATTTTAAATCAAACATTGTCTATTACTGGATGAGACAAAGTGAAATCATGCCAGAGATTGAATTGTCTACAGTTGACCGAACCTATGACATCTTTGTTACCTTTTCCTCACCACGTATTCAAAATGCTGTCAAGAGAGTTTTGGTAGATCACCGTTTCGAACTACAAAGAAACTCGATTGACAAGTTCTTTAAAAAACATGATCTCAAAGACGAGAAAAAGGATCTAGAAGAGGAAAGAACAGAAAAGTTACAAGAATATGAAAAGGTATACACTCGGTTGGAAAATCTAATTGAAAATTCAACTCAATGGATAAAGTATATGGGTCAAGAAAAATTCGATGAAAGAAGAGTTTATTTTGTAACCAAAGAAGATGATTGTCTAAAGAAAATAGATCATCTAACTTTACAAATTGAAAAAATTGATAAAGAATTGGATGATTTATAAATAATAAAAAAAAAGAAAAAAAAGTTTGTATTTTATTTATAACTATTCATTTATTATTTGTTTAAAAGATTTAAATCTATTTCTTTTTTTTTTTTTGTTTTAATTCCATTGTTTGTTTTTGAAAAAAAAGGTTTTAGTTTTTAGTTTACTGGGATCATTTCTTGAAGTTTTGAAGCTTCAAGGTTGACATTTGAGAGTTCATTATTGTTGGCATCAGCACGGTCAATGTTGAGAGTGGCTTCGAGTTGGAGTCTTTTTTCAATGGTTTCCAAGTCAGAGAAGATATTTTCTTCAAAGTCGTCATTGTTGTTGGATTCTCTTCTGGCTTCACGTTGGAGTCTCTTTTCAATGGCTTCTACTTGGTCAACTTCATTCTCTTTGGCATTTTCATTATTGTTGTTGGTGTTGGCAATACGACTAACTTCTTGCTCCAATTCATTGACTATTTCTTCCAAGTCTGCTTGCTCTTGGTTGATTTCAGCCTGTCTCTCTTCCAAACCTTCCAATCTATTGATAGTGATTTCAAAGTCCTCGGCATTTTCATTGTTGAATTGTTTGAATTCATTGGCTTCATTTGCTTCCTCTTGGAGTCTCTTCTCAATGGCTTCCAAATCGACAACAATATTTTCTTCGGCATCTGCTTCGTTATTGTTGTTGTTGTTGTTGTTTGCTTCATTGTTGTTGGCAACTTCTTCATTCTCCTTGTCATTGTTGGTGTTGGCAATACGACTAACATCCTTTTCCAATTCAGAAACTACATTTTCCAAATTGAATTCATTGGCTTCATTGGCTTGGTTTGCTTCATTGTCATTCTCTTGTCTTTCTTCAAATTGTTGTAATCTATTGACAATCGATTGGTAGTCTTCAACATTTTGATGGTTGTATTGGTCGAATTCATTGGCTTGGTTGGCTTCATTGGCTTCCTCTTGGAATCTCTTCTCGATGGCTTCCAAATCAGCAACAATATTTTCCTCGGCATCTGCTTCGTTATTGTTGTTGTTGTTGTTTGCTTCATTGTTGAATCTATTCTCGATGGCTTCCAAATCAGCACCTACATTTTCTTCTGCGTCATTGTTGTTGTTGTTGTTGTTATTGGCTTCCTCTTGGAATCTCTGCTCGATGGCTTCCAAATCAGCGACTAAGTTTTCTTCGGCATCATCATTGTTGTTGTTATTATTGTTATTGTTATTGTTGTTATTGTTGTTGGCTTCCTCTTGGAATCTCTTCTCGATGGCCTCCAAATCAGCAACTAAATTTTCTTCGGCTTCATTGTTGTTTGCTTCGTTGTTGAATCTATTCTCGGTGGCTTCCAAATCAGCTACAACATTTTCCTCTGCATCATTGTGCTTGCTCTTGGATTTTGATTGTTTTTCAGTCTTTTTGTTTTGTTCCTTGAGTTTGTTTAGTTCTTTGGCACGCTCTTCCAATTCATCTTTGGCTTCCTTGCCCTCTGCATTTTTGGTTGATCTGTACTCCTCCAAGAGACGTTCACGGATTCTTCTAATCTCCTCGTCATGTTTGGCTCTCTTGCCACTATTTGCTAGATCCAATGCATCAAATTGTCGTCTAATGTTTGGTTCCTCAAGTTCCCTACCTCTTCTCTCTGACTATTGTATAAATAAAAGTAAAGTTTTTTGGAAAGAAGAATATTAATATTTTTGCATACAAATAATAATAATAATATTTATAAATCTTTATAAATTAATCTATACGTACTTCCTTTGCATAAACAATTAAGGTGGAAAGGAATAATACACAAATAATAAGTAAAAAAGATACTCTCATTTTTGAATAATAATAATAATAATAATACTATAATCTTTTGAAAAATAAAATAAAAGCAATTAAAATGTTCTGTTTCAATGTTTCTATTCCATATACATTGATTTATTTATTTATTTATTTATTTAAAATAATATTACTACCCTTTTTCAGTCTCAGTAAGCACGGAAGGTATTCCCACATCAACAATAACAACATCAACATCAATGCATATGCACACATATGATATGAAGTTGATATATACATCCATTTTACAAATACATTGTCAATTATCTCAATGAGAGTGGTAGTGGTGTTTGCAATCAACAATGATACATTGTAAATTTGGGGGTAGATATTCATCAACCCATTCCAAAGGTTAAGGTTAACCACACTCTACCACCACATGTATGCTCTCTACTCTGATCCGTATCAGTCATTAGAAAACAACACAATGTGTTTGTCCAACATCAATGGATTATTTTGAGTGAGTTCAAATATGGAATTTATAAATCTACTGATTTTGGATTGAATTGACAATGCCAATATCTGAAACAAATATTGAGAGACTACTACAAATTGAATAATGATTGAATTCTAAGGTAATTATTTTTTTTGTTTATTCTTTTAGTTTAAAAGTGATTTGAGAGTTGATTGGTTGATTTACAATTAGATACTGATGACAGCTGGAGATGTTTCACCACATTTCTCATTATTATTTATGACAGCGTTATCTACATTCTTTCCTCCTAATAAACCATTGAGAAGATTTCCAAGCAATCCATTAGTTTGAACTGATAATCCAACTTGATTGTGATTATTATTACCTAAATTTAAATTGAATGGGAGAAAAGAAATAAAAAATAGAATTAATAACTTAATTCTATCCCATCCATGAATATATATATATATAGATATATATTGATTTTGATAACTTACGAGTTCTTAATTCCTTTTCAGCTCTAATATGTTTTTCATTCTCTGGTACTGCTACATTGTGTTCCTTGTTTTGGTGTCTGTTGGTTCTAGCTCTCTTTTGTGAGTTTACACCAGTGCTACATTTGTGTTCTTTGGTTGATTTCTTGCTATCGACGGCATTATTGTTTTGTTCTTTCAAAAGGTTTTCCAATTCACTCTTTACTTGTTCGGTCTTGGCTGAATCTTGGACTTGTCCAATGGCGGCAGCTTGGTGTTCTTCTTTTTCCTTTTCCTCTGGTTTGGCCAATGTTGCAACCTTTTCCTCTGCTTTGGCTTGTTCGACAGCAGCTTGATTCTCTACTTTGGATCCACACTTTTTAGCTGGTTCTTGAGGTGCTTCGGCATCAACCAAATCATGGGCAAATACTTTGTTGAATTCTTCCATTTTAGCGGCTGCCTCTTCATCAATGTCTTCATCCTCGTTGGCTACTTCTTCGGCTGGCTTGGCAGCAGATTCCTCCTTGACAGCGGCTTCTTCCTTGGCTGCTTCAGCTGGTTTGGCTGCAGATTCTTCCTTGGCTGCTTCAGCCGGTTTCACAGCGGCTTCTTCCTTGGCTGCCTCAGCTGGTTTGGCAGCTTCTTGGTTGGTGACCTCTTCGGCGGCGAATACCTTGTTAAATTCCTTCATTTTAGCAGCTGCTTCTTCATCTATCTCTTCATCTTCATTGACAACCTCTTCTGTCTTGACAGCGGCTTCAGCTGGTTTGGCTGCAGACTCTTCCTTGGCAGCCTCAGCTGGCTTGGCAGCCTCTTGGTTAGCGACTTCTTCAGTGGCGAATACTTTGTTAAATTCCTCCATTTTGGCAGCTGCTTCTTCATCAATGTCTTCATCCTCGTTGGCTACTTCTTCCGTCTTGACAGCGGCTTCAGCTGGTTTGGCTGCAGACTCTTCCTTTACAGCTTCAGCTGGCTTGGCAGCAGATTCTTCCTTGACAGCTTCAGCGGGCTTGGCAGCAGACTCTTCCTTGGCAGCTTCAGCTGGTTTGGCAGCCTCTTGGTTGGCGACCTCTTCAACGGCGAACACTTTGTTAAATTCCTCCATTTTGGCAGCTGCTTCTTCGTCAATGTCTTCATCTTCGTTGACAACTTGTTCAGCTGGCTTGACAGCAGATTCTTCCTTGACGGCTTCAGCTGGTTTGACAGCAGATTCTTCCTTGACAGCTTCAGCTGGTTTGACAGCCTCTTCGTTGGCGATTTCTTCTTCGTTTTCATTGGCAAATACTTTGTTAAATTCCTCCATTTTAGCAGCTGCCTCTTCATCAATATCTTCATCTTCATTGGCAACTTCCTCTGTCTTGACAGCGGCTTCAGCTGGCTTGACAGCAGACTCCTCCTTGGCGGCTTCTGCTGGTTTGGCTGCTTCAGCTTGTTTAACAACTGATTCTTCCTTGGCTGCTTCAGCTGGCTTGGCGTCATCGGCTTCAGCTTGTTTCAATGAGTTGGCTTCAGCTGGCTTTGCAGCTGCCTCTTCCTTGGCTGCTTCTGCTGGTTTGGCAGCCTCGACTTGATTGATGGCTTCAGCTGGCTTGACAGCGGCAGCTTCCTTGACGGCTTCAACTGGCTTGACAGCTTCAACTTGATTGATGGCTTCAGCTGGTTTGACAGCGGCAGCTTCCTTGACGGCTTCAGCTTCCTTGACAGCTTCAACTTGATTATTAGCCTCTGCTTGTTCTTGGTTGGCTTGTTCTTCAGCAGCCATTTCCTCGTTGAACAAATCAGCAGCATCGATTTCAATATCATCAAAGTCAAAATGTTCGTCTACATTGTCTCCATCGTCAATGTTGTTATCGATTTCTGAAAGTTTGAGGTCAACCAAATCATCGAGATTGCTAACCAATCCCACTCTTGAATCTAATTGTAAATTATCAAGATTGGCACCAATATTAACATTTACACCCTATAAATATCATTTGATTTGATTTGATTATTATACATTAATATTAGTAATTGTTTTAATGGTCATAAGATTAGTTTGTCCAACTTACATTGTCAGGTGCCAAGTCAATACAATGTACCATATATTGTGCCACAAAAATTAGGCATAGAAATGCAATTATATATCTCATTCTCTCTCTCTCTCTCTGGACTGGAAAATTGATAATTATTTTATAGAAATGATTTAATGAATAAAAGATAAATAAAGGATGGATTGATGGATTGATGGATTGATGGATGGATTGATTGAGTATTATAACAATACAATAATAAAGGTATTAGGTAGAATAGGGGAGAGAAGAAAGAGAAGAAATGAATAAAATATGATAATAATATTATAATAATATGATGATTAATTTGTTTATAAATCATATGCATGCATAGCTACCTACCTCTCCTACGAATATTTTTTGGTTATTACCCATTATGATCACTCTCTCCCTCCTTCTATCCCTCCCTCTCTCTTCCACTGTAGTGCATGCAACAACAATTAATTGTAGGGTAGTGAGTGATGATTCTTGTATCCTTGAGCGATGATGACTGATCATTTCATTCGTATGATATTTATCCAACATGTGATGTGAAGCTGAGCAGCAATAATAGCATCACAACACATAGATATATGTTATTGGCAGCAATGATGATTCATATGACAAAGTGTAGGTGTAGTGTAGGTGTAGTGCAGGATAGTAGTATATCTATGGGTACTGTAGGAGGTGGAATCAAAAGGTGTGTTTGTTTCAGCAGTGTTGGTGGTGATGATGAAAACAATGATTAACCACCACCTCCTACTGACCGATTACATTATACTATAGTTAGTTCAATCTAAAGTGAGTAAAGAGTGTGAGTTGTGGGTTTTCAAAGGTATTGTTTGTTGTTGTTGTTGTTGTGTTTAGATCTGCAACGATTAACCATTCTATTATATAATATACGAACGATGGAAGGGATCGTCCCTCAGGTACCGGCCTCAGAGTAAAAGATAGGATTAAGAATCCCTTTGTATTACATATGTATTAAACCACGACAAACAGACTACTGTTACTCAGCCCTATCTTTTACTCGAGCCAAATACCTTGTCTCTGACGCCTTTTGCTCGAGACTAGCAATGCACTATAACTTTTCTCTCTTTGCAATGTGTTTGGTATGATGTGTGCAGTTGTCACTTGGTCGCTTGATGATTGAGTATTTCCCAGCGTCCCACCTTCTCTACTAGTTCACTAATATGTATGAATGTATTCTATTATTTTATTGATTCTATCTCTGTGCTCTTTTAGGTACGATACTGAATCATCAATACTCTTCTGTCAAATTCTTGTGACACATTTCCTTCTCATCTATCGTGTTCATCACAAAAGTACTTTCTCTTTATATATTATTATTACTATATCTCTGATAATACTATCTGCAAATCCCTGATAACATGTTATCTTTCATATTGCATACAAAAAAAAAAGGGTGTTATTGTTTTTAAAAAAAAAAACGAACGAAAGTATACTTGATACTAGTTGTGTCTGTTGTGTATTTAGTAGTATAGCAGCAGTAGTTTAGGGGGTACTGTGAATCGAATCAAAGATGAAGATTACAGATAGCTTTATAACAACAACCTATGGTGACAGTAGACGAGTGACAACACTCGACCTATCAAAGAAACAGATCGATTCCATCAATCTAACAGTTGCATGTCCACAACTCAAAAAGGTGTCAATCAACGACAACAAGATTACCTCTCTTGGAGGTATATCTAAACTATCAACTATGGAAATGCTCAATGCTGCTCACAACTCTATCGATTCAATGCTTGATGTTAAAACATTAACAAAACTTAAAGGTTTGTAAAGGTGTACATACATACATTCATACATACATTGCTTGTCGGCTCTTATACTCATTATGTTATTATAATTATTATTCTATTTTAGTATTAAATATATCATACAACAAATTAAAAAAGATTGAAGGATTGGGAAAGATGGATAGTTTGAATGCATTGGTACTCAATGACAATGAAATCACAGTCATTGAGAATTTGGAAGGTTTGACCAATCTAAATACACTGGTCTTATCAAACAACAAAATTGACAATGTACGTGGCATCGAACCACTCAAAGCATTGACCAAGTTGTCAATCTCACACAACCTCATCAAACAAATACCCGATCTCACCGCACACCCCAAACTAAAGGAAATTAGAATGGCTCACAATAGACTAACATCTATCGATGAAAAGATTAAAGATCTACCAAACTTGGAGATTCTTGACTTTTCACATAATGGTATTAAAACTATAAAGTATGATAGAATTATAATAATAATATTAATTGAGTTGGTTTTATTAACTTTTGTTTTATTATATATTTTTAGGGATATTCAAATATTAACAAAAGTTGGGAAATTAAGATCATTAAATTTGATTGGTAATCCAGTTGCTGCGATTGAAGGGTATCGTGATTTTGTAAAGGATTTATTCCCAGGATTAGACAGTCTTGACAACAAACCATTGTCAGACAACAAGACAAAGAAAATTCAAAAGCGTAATGCCAACAAGGAAAAGAAACAATCAATGGAATTAAAGAGAAAGACTAGAGATGAGGAAAGTGACGGTGATGAACAAGAGGACAAGGACAAAAAGAAAAAGAATGATGAAAAAGATTCTAGAAAGAAATCAACTCCAACTGGAAAACCATTGGCAAAGAGACCACCAACAACTAGACAACAACAACCATCAACAGACTCTGATTCTAAAAAGGCACCATCAACTAGAAAGACAAGTCAAGATGATGCAAACAAGAAATCATCATCATCATCAGTACCACCAACTAAAAAGACAACCAGTCAAGTTGAAACAAAGAAAGATAAACCATTAAAGAGAAAACAACAAGATGAGGAAGACGACAAACCAACATTGGAAAAGAAGAAGAAACCAACAACACCTGTTAAAAAAGAATCTTTGACAAAGAAGGCTGTAGTAGTAGAGGAAAAGAAACAACCAATTAAAAAACAAAAGACAACCAAAGAAAATGTACAAGAAGATGATAATGGATTAGGACAAGTCAGTTTTGGAGAACGTGTACAAAGTTTGAAAAAGGTGGATGTTGCACCAGAGATATCAAAATCAACCAAGGCTCTTGCAGCTGCATCTCTATCGAGTCTTTTACAAAGAAAGAAAAAGGACAATATCGAAGAAACTGCACCAGAAGAAGATAGAGCTTCTAAACCAGCCGATTTCTACCCAACCAAAAAGAAATCAATATCTCTCAACAAAAAACAAACAAGAGAAGCTCCCAAATTTGACAATAATGATATTACAACTTTCGCAGATAGTGATGATGAAAAGGAAACTACCTCATCTCCTGTATTCCAATATAAATTTAGTTCTCAAAATGACAGTAATAACGATGACAACAATAATAATATTAATAATAATATTAATAATAATAAGATAGAAGAAAAGGAAAAGAAACAAGATAGAATGGAAATTGATAAAAAGGAAAAGAAACAACAACCAACAACAACAACAACAACAACAACAACAAAACAACCAGAAAAAGAAAAATTACAAACAAAACCAAAACAACAAAGAGATGAAATTGTAAAAGAACAAGAAAATGAAAGAAAGGTTAGTTTGAATCTTGGAGATGAACCAAAACAAATCAAACAACAATCAACTCAAAAAGAAGAAACAAAACCACAAATCAAGGGATCAAACTTGATGGGATTGGATAGAGATGATGATGACGATGACGATGATTATTCATCTTTTAGAAAACAAAAGGAAGAATCTAATTTTGTTGTAAAGAAATCGACTGTTTCCACTTCTTCTAAAAAGTCTGGTGGTATAGGTTCATTCTTGACTCAACAACAAAAACAAAGTGCTTTTAGTTGGGATTAAATCTAAATCTAAATCTAAATCTAAAATAAAATAAATTAAAAATATTAAATCATATGGTTGGTTAATCGATTTATATATTTATTATTTATTAATATTATTTATTTATTTATTCATTTGTTTTATCTTACAATGTCAAGTCAACTTGAATTTCTAAAAAAGAAGGAATGAACAACAACAACAACAACAACAACAAAAACAAAAGACTTTAAAATCATTTACTTGTTGTTCTATAGTGTATTTATTATCTCTTGTACACAAACAACTGGATCAATAAAAGTAAAAGGGATTAAACATCTCTATAGTATTTGCAATTATCTTATTTGTATAGAGTACGATGAAGTTCAGTAGTAGATGATCTATACCATCGATCTACTTTTTAGATCAGAACAATTCTCATCCATTTCCCAAGCACATCAGGAGATACTCTCTTCGACTCAAAAAATTAAAATTGCGCACCGTGAACTTTGCTTTTGGGGAATTAATTTTTTGCGCAGCAAACTTTTGCTTTTTTATATTTATAACATCACATTGTAAATAAATAAACACATCAATCTTTAGCATTATCATCATTATCTCTTATCTCTTATTCTCCTCTTCCTTTTTTTAAAAAAATGTTAAACTTAAACAACAATATCGATGCTAGTCAACAATTGCAAGTACAACAACAAGTACAACAATTTCAACTACCTGAACAACAACAACACCAACCAATTCAAAATGTTTATACACATATGATTGGCAATCCAGCTCTCATTGGCTGTTACCCAACAAACAACCAAAGTGGTTTCAGTCTAAGAAACAATCAATCAACTTCATCTCTTCTTCCTCTTGCTGTTTCTCAACAACAACAACAAAAGTGTGATATCTATCAACAATATCAAATGTCAAATTCTGCTCCAGAGTCTGCTCTTGCTCCAATTGACTTTAGCTTTTCTTTGGATCTTGAATCGTGGTCGTCGCCATCAGCCCAGTCATCTCCTTGGGACTCTTCCTCACCATCATCGGTCGCTTCCATGTCCCCAATGGTTGCCCCAATCAGTATGACTGCTCCATCTGACTATATCCCAGTTTCTGACAACATGCCTTTGTTGAGTGCTTCTCAAATAGACTTTTTGGCTGCCAACACTCAATCAAATACTCTCGCTGCTGATGTAAATGTCTTTGATCCTCTAGTAGTTGATACCAATCATGCTGCTGTTGCTGCTGCTGCTGCTTTTGGTCAACAACAACAACAATTACAACAACAAATACTACAATTACAACAACAACTACAACAACAACAACAAATGGAATTATTGCCATCATCACCAAAGTCACCTGTGGGATCTGACTATTCTTCTTCTCCCTCATTTTCTCCGTCTTCTTCATTTTCCTCTGATGGTGAAGAATCTGATACAGAGATTGTCGTACCAGTATCACCTCGTGTCATTGCTAGTGCTACAAAGAGTGTACCAAAAAATGTTGTTTCTCCAAAACAACAACAACAAAAGAAACAACCTGCCAAGCCAAGAGCAAGAGTTGCTTCTTCTGCTTCTGCTGCTACTGATGCTCAATCCCAATTTATTAACCAAACGCTTGGAATGAATATGGTACTGACATCAATTGCCAATGTTGCAGTAGAGAATGGAAACATGAACCCTTGGAAACTAAAGTTGTCTGGTTCTTTAGTTCGTGACGACGGGTCAACCATCAAATGGCAACACATTGTTGTGATTGCATCGGTGCACTCTAGTTGCAGCGAGACTTACAACATTGATAACCAAACTGCCAATGTTTTGGATGACGGTACTGCCTGCATCAAGGGTATCAAGGTGACCAAGGCCGTACGTAGTCGTAGCCGTGCCTCTCAAGGAACTGCCAACGTACAAAGATTCAGATTGCGTTTTGTCGCCTATGACAAGTTTAGTGGAGTCTGTATTCCCATTCCCAACTGTACCGTTGAATCAAATGACATTACCTACTTGGCCAACACGAAAAACATGTTGCCTCCCACCATCAACTCTGTCGAGAGGGTATCTGCCGACCAGTTGCCAAGTGGTTTTATCACTCGTGACTCTAGCACCTACAAGTTTAATTGCAACAGAATCAAATGGGGCAAGTCAAACAACTTTGCCGTTGCATTCCAACATCCAGAAACCCTCGAGATTGTCCATTACGTCACAGAGACTGATGAAAATTGCCTCACTCCAACCCTTACCAAAAAGGAATCTGGTTATCTCTCTGTTCCAAATCAATACAAAAACTTCAACTTGGTTACTGGTTTTTATTCTCAAAAGGATAGATCCTTAAATTTGTCTACTTCTCCTTTCAAATTTGTAAATTAATTAATTAAATAATATTATACATGTTCTAATCATCTTTTATATTAAATAATCTGCCTATCTTGAAAATATATATTTTCAGAGGCAAAAAAAAAAACAAAAAGGTATTGTAGAACAGATCCCTAGGGGGTTTTCATTTTGATAATTGATTGGTTTGAGTTGTAGTAAGGGATCTTGAGAATGCATCCTACTCTCATCGATATACATTCCTTCACTATTTAACTTGAAACTATCATTTATGGGTGTTCCATGGAACATTTATTTTTTTTTTGAGAACAATGAAGGAATTAAGACATGGAATGATTTTGGAAAAATAACCCATAAATTTTGTATATGTATTTATTCAAACAAACAATTGAATGGTAAACTTTATGAACGTTCTCAAGATTCCCTTCCTACAAATCAAACTATAATATCAAAGAAGAAACCCCCCAGGGATCTGTTTATTCAAAATAATTATTCTATTTTTTTTTTTTTAAATCTTATAATAAATCATAGAAATAATCCAATCCCTAAATTTTCAAAAAAGATTAAATAATTAGTTTTCTTATTATTAATACTTATTATTATTATTTTTTTAACATACTTGACCAATTTCCCAAATTGAAATTGAAACTTGATATTGTTTGGCCAATTGAATTCTTTCTTGAATGAAAAGTAGGGAGGGATAGGTAACCTTTTGTTCAGTGTTACCAGATGCTTCGTCTTGATAGGTAAAGGTATGCTCGTGGGTTGTTCTACTCCAATCGATTCTCTTTGGTTTGTACTTTTTGATCATTTCAATGTAATCGTTACCCAAAACAGCAGGTGAATCTTTTAAAGTTGTTCTGTAACCATAGAATGGAATGCCCATCATAACCTTGTGAACATTGTCTCCACTATCACCTGCCAATACTCCCCTTAAATTATGTTCAACCCATGGTAATGGTGAAACCGATGCTTGTGATGGATCATAATCATAGGTCATCAATGAAAATCCATCAACAAATGATACCAATGAATGGAAATCTTCATTTGTAAATAATTGTCCTCTATCAATTGGCTAAAAAAACAAATAGAAAAGGTTAATTTATAAATTGATGATTTGATTGATTTTAATAGCTAGCTTACAGGAACAACAATAAATAATTGTTTTTTAATTGATTGTATCTTTTTATATAATCTTTCAATAAATTGATTTCTTGGTTTCTTATCAATCTTAAAGTATGGTACAATTCCTTCTAATACTAATCCATCATAATCATTTTTCCTAATATATAAAATAATTAATTAAAATTTTAATTGATGTGGATATTTGTATACTTCTTCTTCTTCTTCTTTTTTCCTTACTTTATATCATTAATTAATTGATCAATTAATATATCGTCAAGGACAACTTTGGCAAGAGCAGTATTCCAATTTTGACCATCAAATTGGTATCTTGGGACTACTTTGGTTTGTGATCCATCTCTAATACTATCGATCCATTTCTTGTCATAGTTGTTGTCACCTTGGATCAGAGTCTTTTTACCATCCCACTTGATCTGATGCCAAACGGGTGAGACATGAGTAAACTTGTGCTTGAATCGTTCAGCAATCTCGTAACCGTGCTTGTTCCATGGTGTTACATAGGCAAGTACATTGCCATCAAACAAACGTTTTGACGTATCCTCGTAATAGGACAAGTAGTTCTTGATGATACTTGATGGTCTGAAATTCTCGCGCACCAAGTTTCTCTTGACAACATTCTTTTTTGTACTCCAAGGTTGTGAGTAATCTACTGCTAGATCTCCATCATCACCTACTTCAAGTACACTATCAAGTGAATCTTTGTTTCTATCACCAATCTTTTTAGATGATGTTACATTTAATGTTACAATTACAATAATGAGAATGATACTAAACCATTTAGAGATTGATTTCATTCTCTACTATCTACTATCTACTAGTCTTCTTTTACTTTTATCTCTTCTGTTTTTACAAATATTATAGACAATGAAATATTGAGTTGATGAAATCCTCTGATGATAAAGTGCTCTTTGGGTACCTTTTTTTTACAGCATCGGGCCGAACTCCATTCAATCAAAAATAAACAGACTAGTCTCTTAATTAATTATCCACGTATCACTCTATAAATAACCAACAATACATATATATAGAGCAATTAATTAATTAGATAACCGGAGATAATTCAAAAATTATCCTTTTTGTTACGTTTTTCCTTTTCATCTTCACTGAACCATCAACAGTCTATGGAAGAAGGAGAACGACCCTTACATCGTCTGAAATGGAAAAATGATCTGAAGGATCTTGAAAAAGAAGCGGTTGGCAAGTACAACAACGTCAGATACTGACAGCGAGTGTGGCCATTGTTGATTTTTTTTCAAATTTTTGACAGAGGCACCAAGGACTGACAGCAGAGGGAGGGGGCTTTGGCATGGCTCGCATGTCTCGTCGTGAGATCCTATCAACTGACCAATCAGCTGTTGGTACAGCCAAACGAACACTTTCTCTGCTACTGATTCTCAACCATCAAGCCTTTCCTCCTATTCATTCGTTCTCAATCCGCATCATCACCATCTTTTACTAGCTAGTGGTGTCTGCTGCTTGCTTGGCGTCTCCCTCTACCATTAAATAATTTATAATTGTTTAAGGACACGAGACACTAAAGTTGTCTCCTCGCAACCCAACCTTGATAGCCTAGAGCTCTTAGTACTTGATTTGTTTCACTTTTAGTTAGTTGTTGCTATTGTTTAAACCATCACTTTCCTCTCCCCACCACCAACACATCAGATTATTATGGAGGTCAGTGTTTCATTGATGATTTAAATAAACGAATAACACCCATCCCCAAACACGCGCGAGTAATACCAAAGAAACAGAGAGACAGAAAGAGAAAGAAAGAGAAAGAAAGAAAGAGAGAGTTAATTACACTTTCCTCGCCTTTCACAACAACCATCATATAAACAACAAACTTTGTAGTATATATAATATATAATAAATATAAATGTTAACGTATATAAAATAACATTAGTAATAGTAATAGTAATAGTAATAATAGTAAAATACAATAATATAATATAATAGTAGTTGAGTTTAGAGAGTTCAATATAGCTGACTTTGAACAAGTATTATATTTAAAAAATAGTAATAATAATAAAAATAAAAATACAACAAAAATGGAGTATATGATGAGTAATCAATCGTATCGCATCAACTCTACACCTGACAGGTACAATAATAATAATAACAATAACAATAATAATAATAATAATAATAATAGTAAAGATGACCATCATCCATCAAACAACACCAACAATAATATAGACTTTTTAGAAGCGGGTAATTTGATTGGTTTACAAGTCAAATGTTTGCCTTCATTATTTCAACAACCACAACAACAGCAACCAAATGGCAAACAACAACAACAGTCATCTCAAAATGTTTACATGTTTCTTGTCAAGGACAAGAGTAATGGAAACCAGTACACTCTAGTACCCAAACAATTTGTATATAATATTCACAATGCCTCCCTTATCGAAAAGAGAATGGGTAGCTGTACAGCCGTACAATTAAAGCTAGACAAAGAATCCTTTAAATCCATATTCCCAAATGAACATCCTGATGTAATTTCTATTCTTTATCGTATGTCAAATATTGAAATAGAAAGATAAATATATATAAACATGTATTAACTATTTGATTGACCTATTCTAGCCGACAATACAACAAGTATAACAATGATTGATTCAAGATTCTATTTTTCACTTTTAGTTCTTCCATCGGGAGAATTATGTTATTCATCAATGCACGAACAACTATCCCGAAAGGCATTCCAATTGCTTTGGGATAACCTCGATATAAAATCAATTGTACAAAACAACCAACATCAACAACATCACAACCAACAACAACACAATAATAATAATATTTATATGAATGGACATCATGGTGGAGGTCATATGATGATGATGAATCACTCAGGAGGACAAAAGAACCAAAGCAAAATATTTAAATTATTGGACAATAATAATATTCATAATGGAAGTAGTGGGAGCAGTGGAAGCACTACAAATAGTACTACAAACACAAATAGTAATAATAGTGATGACGATGAACTTATCACTGAAGACGATGAGGATGAGATGGAGGATGACGAGGATTTTGAGATGGATGATACTCTTGATGGATCTGACCGCGGACAGATCTACTCGTCCGAAGATAAGAGTCGGATGATGGAGCAGGTCAAGCTACACAAACACAAACAGGAAGAGATTAAAAGACAGATCCAAGAGAACCTACGACAACAACAAATCATTGGAGCTCATCTTGCCATCCAGAAACAACAACAAAAATACCAAGACCAATATTTCATCCAAACCGTTCAAAATCAACATCAACTATCTCTACTTCAAAAAATTTTAAAAGAACAAAAGGCAAATGGCAAAGAAACTAATAATAATAATAATAACAATAATAATAATAATAATAATAATAATAATAATAATAATAATAATAATAATAGCTCATCTACCAATAATCCTGCGACTACTACTACTACAACTACTACGACTCCATCCTCTTCAACTACCACAGCTACCACCCCCAACACTGTATCTCCATCAACTTCAAATTCTTCTCTAAGTTCTTTATTATCTTCTTCAACTTCATCATCGGCAAATACTTCTTCTTCATCTTTGCCATCGGCATCATCAACTTTATCACCTATACTCACAACTTCATCTTCTTCCACTTCTTCTTCATCTTCATCTTCATCTTCCTCATCCTCAAACAATGTATCATCATCATCATCATCCTCAAATATAATTCCAGAATTTAAATTAACAACTCCACCACCACCAACAACCCAACCGAATATACCAAATATCATAATGGATGATAAAGAAATGAAAAAGAAAGAATCAATTTCAATTGTTGGTCACCCTACACTTGTTGGTATTGGTAATTTAGATAATAACAATAATAACAAGTCTAGATCACCATCACCATCACCAAGGCAACAAGGAGGAAGTGGAGTAGGAGGAGCCAATGGAAGTGAGGTACATCACCATCATCATTACTTTTATCATCCCTATCATCCAGTACTTCCACCACCACTTTCCAACCTCCCTCTACCACCATCACCACCAAATGGTCCAGTCGTATATTCGCCTCGTTTGGCATCTGGATCTCCAGGCGGTCTAAACTCTCCTCGAAACCACTCTATCAACTCTCCCAGAAATCAAATTGTCAACTCTCCCAGAAAACATAATTACATGACCAACATATCACCCAGACATACACTTATGGCATCTACTGGAAGCAATGGAAGTAGTGGATCACCATGTCCATCCCCATCACCATCGCCACCACCCATCCCATCACCTCGTAACCTAAGTACCATCCTTCCTCCTCTTATCACTCCAAACATTCAAAATCTAATCATTACAACTCCAAGAGAAAGAGATAGAGATCGAGAAAGAGAAAGAGAAAATAGAGAAAATAGAGAAAATAGAGAAAATAGAGAAAGAGAAAGAGACAACAAATAATAATAATAATAATAATTTCAAAAATAATAATAATAATAATCAAAAATAACAATATAATATTTAAATATAATCCCTAATTCATAACATTTATATATATATCGAAAAAAAGGATAGAGAGAGAGAAAAGAATGAAAAAAAACAATACAGAGAGGCCAACAATAACAACCAACAACCCAACAACAACAAAAGAGATTATGAATCAAAAGAAAAAGAATCACTTTTAAAAAATAAATCGATCAATATATATAGAGTATAACAATAATATCCTTTGTCTTTCGGTTTCGTCTTTTATCTGTGTCTGTTTTTGTGTTGTTGGGAAGGCGAATCGACTGGGGTTTTTGGAGGGCGCTGCCTGGTGGAGACCAAATTTTTTTCATGACAAAGAATTTTCTTGATGAAAAATCTTGGTGTCGTGAAGAGGGTGGGGGTATTGCTTGTTGTGCTATCAAATAGAGAGAAGAGAGGTCTTTTTATATTTATATATATTTACCCCTAATACTATAGTATATCATTGTATAATAACATTTTTATATAACAGTAACAGTAGTACTTATTAGAATAATATATATATATATAGGTAAGGTAAAAACAAAGACAGAGATGAATGATGATGATCAATCACAGATCATAATGAATGATCGTTTCATTCATTGTACGGTGAATAGATGAATAGATGGAATGAATGAATGGGATGGGATGGGATGGAATGAATGAAACGTGCGAATTCAACAACGACAGGAAACAATAACAGATAGCAGAGATATATAACAAACACAGGGATGGAATAGATGATTAATCAAATATACATATTATATATACTTTATAGAAAATGAGATTCGATGAATTAGCAGATACATCCAATGGAGTAAAGGCTGCCGAAGCCGCTTTCCGTGAAAAGGTTCTTGCTCGTCAAGTACCATGGAATGCTTTCTTCAACTCTAATGGCATGTCTGAACAAGAGTGTGATCTCATTACAAAGTACGATAAGAAGCCAGAAGCTGAAAAGCGTGAAAAGTTCTTGGCCGTATGTTCATCAATGAAAGAAAAGAAGAAAGAAAGCAAATGTGGATAACATACTAATCGTATATCATACACCTCTTATTCATCTACAACCATCTACTATCTATCTATCTTATCATTTTATAGAATGGTGAAAAACTTACTCATTTCTTTGTCAACTTTATTCATATGAATGCCAACTATGAAATCATTCAATATTTACTTACTTTGATTAATGAAATCATTCATAGTATGTGTTGGATATAGATAAACGTACAATGATCGATAGTGGATATATATACTAATATTTGTTTATTTTTTTCATTCTTACATAGTCGAACCAAAATCACTTCAATTCTTTGCCAAGTTGAAAAAGGATGATGATCCATCATACCCATACTCTACATTCTTTAGACTTTTGTCACGTGAAGACAACAACGCCTATATTAACCTCCTCACTGGTGTCATTCTTGGTAACATTATGAGTGCAGGAACTCCACAACAAAAGGATATCGAATATTTGTTCAACTGGATTCTCCCATTGCTCCGTAAGAACAATGCTCCAGAAGTTGAAGTTGGTCTCATTGCTCTTCAACCACTCCTCACCAGAGAAGAACACAGAGTTATTTTCCATAACTTGCAAGGTCAAGATTTGTAAGTCTTTTAAAAATAATAATAATCCTTAAATAGGTTAACTAATATGTTATTCTCTCTTTCTCTCTATCTTTAGGTTAATTAATATTTTGGCTCAACAAGTTGCTGCTCCAACTCCAAACCTTACACTTCTTTATGAAACTCTCTATGTATTATGGTTATTCTCTTACAATTCATCTGTTGCCACCTCTCTTTCCGGTAAGGGTGTTGTTGGTAAATTGGTTACTATTATCAAACAAATCCAAAAGGATAAGATTGTTAGATTATCAATTGCTACATTAAAGGTAAAATAGAAAAAAAAAAAAAAAAGAAAAACAAACATATATTAATATTTTTAATTTTATAGAATTTGATGGGCAAGGGTAACAATAATGAAGAAATGATTGAATGTGGATTCATTCGTATGTTAAACTTTTTAAGCAACAAGAAATGGGGTGATGAAGATATTGTCACTGATTTGACTGATTTATCAACTGGTCTCTCTGAAGATATTGCAATCATGAGGTATGTCAAGTAGATAAAACGCTTGCAACAAAACATTAAACTTATTCCTTTCTTTTCTATTTTCCTTTTCTATTTTTTTTTTTAGTTCATTTGATAAATATAAAGCTGAAGTATTATCAAATGAATTGGAATGGACACCAGTTCACAAGTCTGAACAATTCTGGAAGGACAATGCCTCTAAATTTGAAGAGAATAACTTTAATGTTCTCAAATTCCTCCACCTCATTCTCCAAAAGTCCTCCAACCCACTTCACCTCTCTGTTGCCTGTCACGATCTTGGTGAATTTGTAATCCATCACCCACGTGGTAAGCACATTGTCGAACAACTCCAAATCAAGCCAGACATTATGTCATTGATGGCCAACACCAACGAAGAAGTCAAGAAACATGCTCTCTTTGCTCTCCAAAAGATGATGATCAACAATTGGGAATATTTATCTGCTAAATAAGGAATCATAAAAAAAAAAAACGACGTTTTAAAAACAAAAACAACATAAAACAATTTAATAATAACTATAAATAAATAAATAAAAACATCTATTAAAAAAAAATAAAACAAAACAAGTTTGTAGAGGTTATCTAGAAACAAAAGATAAATTAATTTTATTTTTTGGTGTTAGAGTTGCTCTTTGATAAATTTCAAATGGTTGATTCAACTTGTCATCAAAAGTTAAATTAAAATGTTTAATAATTGATCCAATTATAATTTTTGATTCAATCATTGAAAATTTTTGTCCAATACATCTGAAAAGTAAAAGTAATTAGTATATATTTATCTATCTATTATCATATTCTATTTTCTATTTACATTCTTGAACCAGAACTAAAAGGAATAAAATTTGAATTTAAAGTTGATTGATTTAAAGTTTTCCAACGATATGGATTAAATTGGTTGGGAGATGGATAAACTTTTTCATTTCGATGTAGAGCATAGACTGAAATTAAAATTAAACTATCTTTTCTTAGTTTCCAATCTCCAGGTAATACAGTACCATCATTCATAACAGTTCTACCAATCATTGGTGCAGGTGGGAATAATCTTAATGTTTCTAAAATTACCCATTCCAATAAATCATTATCGTTATTATTATTATTATTATTGATTGAATTAAATAAATCATTTTGAATTTCTTGATGAACTGATAACAAATATAATGTAAATGTTAATAAATTAGCTGATGTTTCATGACCTGCTAAAAGAAATGTCATTATATTTGACATTATCTAAAGAGAGAGAGAGAGAAGAAAAAATAAATTAATTAATAAAAAGGAAGGACATCTTTTTTCTTATTCTTTCTCTCTCTTACCTCTTGATTATTTAAATTTGAAGGATGATTTAATAAATAATTTAATAAAGTATCTTGATTATTATTATTATTATTATTATTTGATTTATCAATTTCATTTTGAATAATTAATTCTAATTGTTTGATTGAAAGATTTAAAGCTTTATCACTTGGTAGAGGAATATAAGAAGATAATCTTCTAATGGGTCTAATCATTTCATCAAGTATAAAATGAAAGTTTGTTGAAGTTGTACCATGATCACTAAACTTTTGACCGATTGACAGAATACCAATAATATCAAATGTTAAAGTTGTCATTAATTGATGTATATCTATTGTCATTTTTTGACCTTCTTTTCCTTCTTTTTGTTTTAATGTATGAATAGTTTCAAGAGTAAATGATTGCATTGTAGATTCCATTGATCGAACTTTTGTATTTGAGAATGCACAGGCAATAATATCTCTTTGTTTTTGCCATTGCTTTCCTTCAGTCATTAGAATACTATTCCTAGCCAATCGTATCAAAACACCCGAACTATCAGGTGGTTTCTCATAATCACCAACAGGAGCAGTCAATACACTCTTACAAATCTCTGCATTCTTTGTAAAGATCATTGCTCTACCAAAAAATGATGAACTATAACTATCTTGATTATAATCTCTAAACCATTTTAATATTGTTCTTTCACTTGATTGTTCTGAGAATGATGAAGAATAAGAAGAAGATGAAGAAATAGAAGTAGAAGTAGAAGAAGAAGAAGAAGGATAATAATAATTATATAAATAGTTTATAAACCAAACTATAAATGATGGTCCATTTGGTACTTTATAATCATTATTTTTACCACCAAATAGAGATGATTTAAAATAAATCTAAAAAGAAGATAATGAATGTTAAACATAGAGTCAAAGATATTAATCTTCTTCTTCTTCTTTACTAACTTACAAATGTTAACCAAATGATAATACCAAATAATATCTCTAGAATCATTGCTTGATTGATGTGATTGGTTGTGAGGTATATAAATAAAATCATTTGATTCATTTTTAAAACCGTTTTCACAATGAGCAACATGTCGATAGAAAATTGGTTGTAAATTTGGGTATTAGCTTCATTTTATTTAAATTATATAAAGAATCATATATGAGATAGACTAGATAAATGTATTGTATAAGAGATAGATAGATATAGATAATGAATATACTAGTTATACTAATATTCATTCTTTAGGTTATTACAATTTAGTCAAATACCATTGATTATACAAAGACAGATTATAGGATTATGTTTGGATTATAACTCGTTTAGTACATTATCATTGGTATCAAAGACATGGTTTGAATCTGTCAGTGATAGAGTATCAAATAGTGTTACTATTAGAAGGTTTACTCCATTACATGGTTACTCGTTAAAAGACTACTATGATCATACAACCAACCCTTTTTGTGTTTTAAAAGGTATTACTTGTTTGGATACTTATCATCGTTCAAGACAACCAAGACCATCTATTTTAAATATTCTTGGTGATGAATCTATTAATGGTCAACAACAACAACAACAACAAAATAATTCAAGTTATCATTGTATAAATGGTTTTGATTTGTTAAAATTGGATCAAAATAATAATCATACAGATAATATTGATCAATATAAACAATGGATAATTAGATTTTATCAATCTATTAGATCATTACATATAGAGATTGATAAGGTACAATATTTGGAACATATGAAATACTTTCAAGAATTGGTACAATTGACCAATATGTATAATATACCAATCAACCTACACTCGCTTTCAATATCTGGTATGTCATTGTCAGACCACTCTATTGTGACAACTTACAATCAACTATTTGAACCAATCACGAGAAATTTGGTAGATTTAGATGTCGAGATTTACGATCAAACCTATCTATCTCAACTCGTTTTATTTCTCCAACGTACACCTACCATTACCAATCTCAACCTTCGAATCAACAAACCACTAGAGTCTGATCACTTTGGAGAGTTGTTTTCCAATCTACCAGAGGGTATTGTTCACTTTAATTTCTATGGTACTCATCCCAACGCAGTATTCCCTTTCAATCTATTGTCTCGGTACCGATCATTGTCGGATCTAGGTGTCACCATTACCAATGAAAAGAACAAGAGAGCTCTTTTGGAATCCACCATTGTACGAAACCATGACAAGAATCGTGGTTGTATCATTACCGACCTATTCAATACTAGTCTGGAATATGACGATGGGTTGGTTCGACAACTTTTAGAAACGGCAAATCATGTCACGTCATTTGAAATATCGTTTCCAGTGTCTGTTCCACCCAAGATTCTATTCCATTCCAATATCACGAGTATATGTCTTGGCTTTTATCACGAGTTTAGTCAGGATCTATTGGAAGGCTTGTCTTGTCAATGTCCCAATCTCAATAGCCTTACGATAATCTTTTACTCGTCCTTTTTTATCAATATCATCCCAACCGTCACGCACGTTGTCCAAAATAGTCATCGCCTCAGGACACTCATTGTCTATGGTATAGAGTCGCAACCAAGTGTCATTTCTATCGCCCACGAACTCGCTCAACCATTGTTTGACGCAATTGCAAGCCACCACTACCTCTACGAAATCTATTTCATGATACCCTACTTTTTTGATATCAAAAACTCTCAAGGCAAACTATCTCAACCTTGTAATAATTTTGAAATGACTTTTAATGATATCCTTGAAGAATGGAGTATTATTAGAAATAATAAATATTAAAAATAAAAAAGAAAAAGAAAAAGAAATAGAACTAGATGGTGTTTGGATTAGAGATAAAAAAAAAACAATATATGTTTTGTATTCGTCAACAAACAAACAACCAAACAAACAACAATTGTAATCCTTTATAAATTCAAAAATATTATTTCATTTATTTATTTAATTTCAATTTATTACACGACTTTCAACGAGAACTTTCTAAATTTGATTTCAAGTTTACTGGTCAAACAACAATCTTTGCATACAAAAGGAAATTTCGATTTTTTTGAAAAACAGTGTTTAAACTGAGCATTAATTTTAGTTTAAAAACAAAACACACAAAACAAATCAATATCTTTTTTTTTTATTACTATTATCAACATCACACACACAGAAACATAGATATATATATATATAAATATAAATAATGAAATTTAAATTATTAACATTATTTATAGTTGTATTATTACTAGCATCAAATTGTTGTGGTTCTCATCATGGTAAGAAGAAGAAGAAGAAGAAGAAGAAGAAGAAGAAGAAGAAGAAGAAGAAGAAGTTTTAATCAAATCAAAAAGTTGATAACTAAACTATACGATATTTATTATTCTTATTTTAAGGAAAAGGATCAAAGAGAAAAGCAGAACCAGGAGAATTTGATTTCTATTTATTTGTGACACAATGGATTTATTCATATTGTACACAAGGACAAAAATGTTTACCTTCAAAAATTCGTTCAGCATTTACTATTCATGGGTTATGGCCCAATAATAACAATGGAACTTATCCATCATTTTGTAAAGGTGCATCGTATTCATCGAGTGCTATTCAAGATATACTCGTTGAATTGGATCAGGATTGGCCATCACTCTTTGCACTAAATAATAATGATTTTTGGGATCATGAATGGACCAAACATGGCACTTGCTCTGTTGTCGGTCCCATCACTGACCAATACGACTACTTTGCTGCTTCCATCAAGACTCTATACAATCATAATATCACTTTGGCTCTTGAAGAGTCCAATATCTATCCAAGCGATACCCAACCAGTCAACATTCAATCGTTTAGCGATGCCATTCAACATTCTTTCAATGCCAAACCACTCGTCCAATGCTACAAGGAAAATATCTCACAGGTCGCCCTTTGTATGGACAAGGATTTGAATTTAATTGATTGCCCTCCTGCAAAGGGTTTCACTTGTCAATCTTCTTCTGCTTATTGGCCAAGTACTCTTCATAAATAAATTTAAATATATAAATAAATTAAACCAACCAACTACACTTTATTTTAAAAATTCAAGCAGTACTAGAAATTGGATTGGGAAAAAGAGGTAAAAAAAAAAAAGGACAAACCTAGTTTGTGAGGTGTGGTTTTGATCAAAACCATTCAAACCTTGATAGCAAATAGAGGGGGCCTGTAATATTGTGTATGGTGTATATAATATCTACTGCTAATAATGACAATGATGATAAACAAGATAACTAGATAACTGACAAGATACAATAAACTAGACTGAACAAGACTCTACACGATAGATATACAATTATAACTAGCTACACGAATTGGGGAAACAAGAATGATCCACCAAGCTCGTCGCGACTTCTATTTATTTGTGTTTTTCATATTTTATGTATTTTCGGAATGCAGGGTGAACCTTGTTCTCTGACACTCTCGCAGTGACACCAAAGGCATGCAGCGTACCACGCCTTCCTTCATTCCTTCTTATATTATTATCTACTTTAAAGTCCTTCCCCGAAGCTGGAGTATTGGCTAGCGAGGGAGAGTGAGCCTTGGCCGTGATGGATGGGGCAGGAGAAGGTGGTTTAGCAGTGGCGGAAGGAGAGACTGGTTTTTGGAGAATTCTCCGGAGCAGGATGGATGGTGGCAATGGTTTGGAAAGAACGGGGTTGGGTGTGGCGTCTGGAGCCTCGGTGATGACTGGAGATTGTGTAGTATTGAATACAGAGGGAACAAGGTTAACCGTGACGTTGGAGTCGGAAGAGTCGACGTGACCATTCGGTGTAGAGTAAAGGTTTAAAGTGGTGTCGTTTGAAAGTATGTCGGTTGTAGAGTCGTCGGTTGGACTCTTCTTGTTGGTGCTGTTGTGCATCGCATGCTCAGGGTTTAGCTGTTCAAACTCGTCGAGTATGTGTGTCGGTATTTGATCTCTAGTAGACCAGCGGTTGTTGTAGTTGTCGAGACCGGTCCACTTTACGAGATATTGTGGTTTGTTGTAATGCAACCTGAAATCGACAATGGCCTCTATGAGATGTTCCTCGATGAGACCAGAGGTAGGGATGGATACTTGATACGTGGTGTCGCTGAAACGGGATGAGTGGTGGAACGGTTTCAACAAAGAGGAATGGAAAACAGGGTGGATGGCCATAGTATCGGGCAACTCGAGCTTGTACGCTGACTTCTCATCGTTGTGGTTGGTTATGACACTGATAATCTTGAATGGACCTATCCACTTGTTGTACCATTTCCAACTGTGTCGACGCGAGTCGGCGGCAAGAGTGATATTCTTTCTGTTTAGTAGAACCATATCACCGACGTTGAGAGACTCTTGAACTTTACCACGGTCATGGTATTCCTTTTGGCTGGATTGGGCTTCGGCGAGACATTGAGTGGCATGTCTCCAAGACATGATACGGTTATCGATAAAGTCGTTGACGGCTGGTGTGTCAGAGTCGATGTCACTAGAAGAAAGTAAGCGAAGGGGGTTAATAAGCTCAAAACCATGAATGAGGTGGGCAGGGGAATGGTTGGAAGAGGAGTGGATGGTGGTATTGTATGTAAAAGCAAGAGTAGGTAACAATTCTACCCAATTGTCCATCTTGTAGTTGACGTGTGATCTCATCATTTCATTCGTCACCCGATTCATCCTCTCTGACTGCCCGTCAGTTTGAGGGTGAAAGGAGGACGAGAATGATAGTTTGGAACCAAGTAGTTTAAATAGAGCTTCCCAAAAGTTGGAAGTAAATTTAGCATCCCTGTCAGATACTATATTCAAAGGCAGACCATAGCGAAGATAGAATTGGTCGTAGAATAATACGGCGGTATCTTCTGCCGTTGCGTTGACGAAAGTAGGGATGTAGACTACGAATTTAGAGAACTTGTCAACAATTGTCAGTAATGCATTATGGCCGGTGCCTCTTGCTGGTGGGAGATCTACCATGAAGTCAAGTGTGACAGTGTGGAAAGGGCGATGTGGGATTGGCAGAGGGTGAAGTTTGCCCAACGCACCACTCGTCGGCGACTTGTTGCGCTGGCAAGACTGACAGGCAATCACGTACTCCTTGCAGTCCTCGTAGATACCACGCCAGTAAACCGACTGAGAGAGGTGCCAATAAGTCTTGTCGACGCCGAGGTGACCAGTATTGTGAGCCGCTTGAATGATATCTTTTCTCAGATCCGGGTCGTTTGGAATGCACAACCTGCGATGATCGTTACCTGTGAAATAAACTAATTTGTTTGTAGAAACATGAAAATGGAGACGGCTTTTGCCATTAATAATATCTGAATAAAATAAGTCTGATTTGTATCCTTTCTTGATACGATCGTTAAAGTGTGGATCAACTATCGGTGATGATATCGCCTCTTTGTAGTCGGGGCGACGCGAGAGAGCATCCGCCACAACATTGAGCTTACCAGGCTTATGCTTGAATGTATATCTAAACTCACCTATGAACCGGGCCCAACGACCAACCTTGTCATCGGTACCAACAGCGTCTTCAATTCGACTGATAGCAGTGTGATCAGAGAAAAGGATAAAGTCCTTGCCCACAAGGTAATGGCGCCACTTTTTGAATGAGTGGTATACCGCCAAAGCCTCCTTGTCACGCGTGGACATACCTCTCTCTGCTTTAGTCATTTTGCGCGATTCAAACGCTACAGGTCTACCATCTTGTTCGAGGACAGCACCGATCCCAAAGTCAGACGCATCAGTGGTGACGGTGAACGGGCCGTCCATATCTGGAATGAAGAGGGACGTGCACTCACAAAGCAACGACTTGATCTTGCCAAACGCGGCTGACAGCGAGTCGCTCCATGATAACGTCTTTTTCGTGGTGGCATCGTACAACGGGGCCGCGTGGTCGGCAAAGTGGTCGATAAAATTACGGTAGTAATTACACAACCCGAGGAAGCTTTGTAGTTCTGTGACGGTAGACGGTGTCGGCCAGTCCTTGACCGCGGCAAGTTTATCTGCAAGGGGACGGATGTACCCAGGAGTGATAAGGTGACCGAGGAACTCTACCTCCTTCACTAGAAACGATGACTTTGCTTTGTTGGCGAACAATTTGTTAGAACGTAGTCGGTCGAGAACTTGCTTGATGTGTTCGTAGTGGTCGTTTTCATTCTCTGAGAAGATAAGAATATCGTCGATATAAATAATTACAAAAGTGTCGAGAATGTCAGCGAATGCCGCGTTGATGGCACGAACAAAGGCGGACGGAGCATTACGTAGCCCGAAAGGAATGACAGTGTACTCGTAGTGACCAGACGGAGTACTAAATGCTGTTTTGTGGGTATGCTCATCCTTAATACGAATCTGATTGAAGCCGTCCTTTAGGTCGATCTTTGAAAAGATCTTGGCCTTTGCGATCTTCTCGATCAGTTGGTCGATTCTTGGTAACGGGAAACGGTCGGCCACCGTCTGCTTGTTTAGCGCGCGGAAATCCACGCACATACGGAGAGTGCCGTCCTTCTTTCGAACAAAGAGGACAGCCGAGTTGTACGGGCTCTTGCTCGGGGCGATCCGACCAGATGCGAGACCCTTCTCGACAGTGGTGAACATGACGTTATTCTCTTCCGATGAGAGGTGATTATTGCGGCGATAGACTGGCTTGGCACCATCCACCTCGACGATCTCCATGTCGTGCAAGCGGTGGTCAGCGAGGTAGTTTGGTAAAGCGTCTACCAAAACGTCTTGGTAGTCGGCGAGGAGTTTGGCGAACCGAGGGTTTGCCGACGAGACGCTGGCGACGTGGGCCAGGCCAGAGTTGGAAGAAGGGGAGGGATACAGTTTGACGATAAAGAATTCATCGACATCGTCGTCCACAAAGAGGCGTTGAATGGCCGAGACCGACAATTCGGGAATGACGGATTGGACGACGACATGAATGGGGGGTGGAACGGGTGGTGCGAGTGGCGACGAGGGGATGATAGGCGAGGTAACAGGTGGTGTGACAGACAAGACAATAGGCGGAATAACAGTTGAAACAATGGGTGGTGAAACAGGAGAAACAATAGATGGTGCAATAGGTGAAGCGGGTGGAGAGATAGAAGGAGTAACATGTATAGATGGTGCAACAGGTGAAACGGGTGGAGGGATATAAGGAGTAACATGTGCAGAGGGTGAAGTGGTGGTGTGAACAATAGGGTGGTCAAGTAAGGTAACCGATATAGGGCGAGATCCAGCCTGGGCGCAAGTGACAGGTGGCACCGGTACAGCGAGGGTGGCGACCGTGGCCGGGTCCTTGAAAGACAAAGTGCCAGCCGTCCAATCGATAGATGGATTGGTGGCCAGCAACCACGGCATGCCCAGTATAATCTTGTGTGGTGATTCCAAGATCAGAAAGGGCATGTTGACGCTACGTCCCATTACGCTAATGTCCAACGAGATGGAACCGTTGACATGGGTGTGGGAGCCATCAGCTAGCATGATGGGAATGAGTGACTTGGAATATGGAATGTTGTAGAGGCCTAAAATAGATGGGGAAATGACATTGACAGCTGCTCCGCTGTCAATGAGAGAGGGTGAATCAAATAATGAAAAGGATGTATCGACGTACATACATTTTATTGATCGAGAGATCGTCCCAACAAAGGGAGCAGGGGACGACACTAGTTTAAATTCGATGGGTTCTTTTTCTTTGACTTACGAGGGCAATCGATTGCAGTGTGCTTGTCAGACGAGCGGCAGAAGAAGCACAGTCGATGTGTCTTACAATAATCGTGGATGGCTGGAGTCATGGGGCCAGACAACGAGATGGCCGAGATGTCCATGGGAACGACCGTGGAAGGTGGGGCGACATTCTGACCGTAGTGGTGTTGGTCAGAGGCGATGCGGCAACAAACGGAGATGGTGTCGTCAAAGGTTTTTGGGCGGAACTCACCACCGAGCAAATTGAAAATAGACCTGACACCAGTCGAGAGACCATGGAGGTACCGGTCGATACGGTCGTCCTCCGACATGGATGGGCAGTTCGAAACTAGTTCTACAAACGTGCTAGTGTACTCTTGTATGCTGAGTTTATCTTGAGATAATTTCCATAGCTTGGCACGCGCCACATCGGCGGCGTTGACTGGGGAGAATCTGTTCTTGAGAGCCGACTTGAACGCATCCCAAGAATTTATGGATGCCTCGACTGAGATGAACCAAGACGAGGCAGGGCCTGTCAAGAAAGATCTGGCGAACGGGATCCTCTCGTCGTTCGGCGTTTTGTAATAGTTGAACTGGTTTTCGACGGCAGCGATCCATTGGCGCATGGAAGAGGCATCACCGTTGAACGGAGGAGGAGCACCTAATTTGAGACGCTTACCAGGAACAGGCGCTGGTGCTATAACCGGTGAAGGTGCTGAGGCTTGGGCAACGAGACGGTTAATAACAGCGTGTAGCTCATCGAACTTAGCTTGTTGTGTTGCACTCATGACCGACTGTAGTGCAACAAACTCCTTTTGGAGTGACTCTTTCTGTTCTGCTGAGAAACCTGACATGACAATGACAACAATAAACAACTATATATAAAAAGGAAACGATGATGTGATGAATGAACGAGCAATTGACCGATAGACAAAAGCTACCAATGTAATATTGTGTATGGTGTATATAATATCTACTGCTAATAATGACAATGATGATAAACAAGATAACTAGATAACTGACAAGATACAATAAACTAGACTGAACAAGACTCTACACGATAGATATACAATTATAACTAGCTACACGAATTGGGGAAACAAGAATGATCCACCAAGCTCGTCGCGACTTCTATTTATTTGTGTTTTTCATATTTTATGTATTTTCGGAATGCAGGGTGAACCTTGTTCTCTGACACTCTCGCAGTGACACCAAAGGCATGCAGCGTACCACGCCTTCCTTCATTCCTTCTTATAGGGCCCAAAAAAAAAAATCCTAACAAAGGATGATAAGGCCAAAAAAGTATCTCCCTTGCCGGGAATCGAACCCGGGGTGTCAGTGTGAAAGACTAAAGTGTTACCGACTACACCACAAAGGAATTGACTTGTTGTGTTTTTTGGTCACCTTTGGCCCGATTTATCGGGCATGTTATGAAAAATGGAAAGCGACATCGGCAACCGCCGACCAATCACACTGCTGAACGTGGATTACAAGATTTACTCTAAAGTTATCAACAACCGGCTACTGGCAGTCCTTCCAAAGGTCATCAGCCCCTACCAAACGGGCTTTGTCCCAGGACGTCTGATCCACGACAATCTGATCGTCATGAAGCAAGCACTCGAGACAAACAAGGACAACAAAGAGGCCATCACCACTCTCTACGACTTTTCCAAGGCATTTGATTCTGTCTCCCACCCTGCCATCCAACGAACCTTGACCAAGATGGGTGCTCCACCACTGATAGTCAACGCTGTTATGTCCATGCTAGCAGACTCTTCAGTCCGTGTACGAGTAGGAGACTGGCAGTCTGAACCATTCCACACCGTCAGAGGCACAAAGCAAGGTGATCCAATATCACCGACGCTATTTGCCCTCATCGCCGAGCCACTGGCGAGAAGCATCATCAATGACGGCCGCATACAAGGTTTGCCAATCGATACCACAACTGCAAAGCCACCAGTCTCTCTCTCTATGCTCCCACCGCCAGCTTTTGGAACCAAACAGAGAAAGCCACCGCCTCTTGTCCACCTCAACTGGGTAAAGCTACTCCAGTTTGCCGACGACACGTCTACATTTGCCAAAAACATCCGAGAATTTAAACTAATGGACGAATGGATTCAGCTATTCTGTAAAGCTACATCATCCAAAGTCAACACTGACAAATGTGTGATCATGTCACCTGGCAGTCCAACCAATTTACCGTACCCACTGATGGACAAGGAAAGCAAAGAACGTTACCTCGGCTACTACTTTAACCAGTTTGGTTTGGTACCACACCTTCCAGAGCGTATTGACAAGGTAATCAACGATTTGATTAGATGGAAACCTAAACACAACAACAACTATAGAGGTAAATTAGCTTTGCTCAAAACATATGGTCTGTCACAATTAAATTATTTCACGTACCTTGAATCACCTAGTCACGAGGCAATCACCAGATTGGAAAAGGTTATTGATTGGTTCATGTTCAGCAACGACCGTCAGTACGACCCAACCAAGCCAACCAAAAGAACCATGTCCAAGAAACGCTCCATACGATCGATCGACCAAGGTGGTCTCAACCTCTGGGACCTCAACGCTAGATTCCGTGCCCAAAAGGCATGGATGTTCGAAAGGTTCCTCCACGAGGTAAAGAACGACCGAGTTGCAAAGGTTTCCTTTGCCCAATCATGGATGGACCAACTCAACCAAGACAAACCAAACGATTTTGTCCGCCTCTGCCGCAGCGAGTGGGAAAAGCTTACCCAACCCTACGACGTCAGCAGAGAGGCTGTACCCAAGCCAGCAATGGAACCAGACAAAAGAGGAAGAGTACCTCTCAAACAAGTGTACCTCCAAAGGCTAACCATAGCCAACGAAAAGTGGAATGTGTACGACCCGACCCCAGGCCAAAAGATCTTAGCAACCGACGACAGAGTGTATCCAATGAATGCACTAGCTGCTCTCTCTACCATCGTACTACCAAAGGGTCGAGATCTGGTTTGGAAGTATGTAACCAAATGTCTCCCGCTCGTCAGGGGTGACCCAGTCGCTTCAATCTGTGTATCGTGTGGCAAAGATGAATCTTCCAAGCATTTGTTCTTTCAATGCAAGGAGACCACACTACCAGTAAAGTTACTGAAAGAGGTTACTGCTGCCAACAACATTACACCACCAGTTTGGGACATCACCCTCCTCAACCTCAAACAAACTCCAATGACTATAAACTTGGTCGCTGCAACACTAGAACGAATATGGTTCCGACGTAATGATCTACGTCACCAAAGAGATGAACCTTTCACTGAACAATACCTGCGAGCTAGATTGATAAGTGATATGCGACATATTATAAAAGTAAACTGGGACAAGACGTTAGAATTGTGTAATCGATGGCACTTGGCTCTAATGAACCAAACCGATGAATCAGTAATACATACGATTACAGAACGAATACAAACTATCATCCTTCGATTCTCCTCCAACTACAACCATCCTACTGTCTACAAGATCGCACTACCTAGTCATTTGGAGAGGTACAAGACTCTGCGTACACTACATCTATAATCGATCACCTCAACCTCATTCTTCACATCCTCCTCAACACCTTCATCTTCTTCTATTCTCTCTTCATCTATCAATAATAATATTAATAATATAATAATTTACTAAATAATAATAACATAGAATAATTATATAACACAATATTACAGCCTATAGTGCTGAGAAAAAAAAAAAAAAAAAAAAAAAAAAAAAAAGCGATATCTTTAACCAATTTATCTTTAGAACAAGCAACAATCCAAAACAATCCAACATGCTTGACACTATACAATAAGATACATGATCAACGTCCATATAACATGTATCATAGACATGGACAACCCCCAGAACAAATTAACTTTAATTCTTCTCGAGATAATCTTTTTTTCTTGCTGGTCAATTAAAATGTATAATTAATAAAACTTTGTAACTTCTGAGTACTACTCTTCCCGATAGGAGAGAACAGGAAAAGAATTACTTTAAAAAAAAAGGCATGTTATGATGATAGGAGAGAACAGGAAAAGAATTACTTTAAAAAAAAAAGCATGTTATGATGAGACAGACCATATGTTTTGAGCAAAGCTAATTTACCTCTATAGTTGTTGTTGTGTTTAGGTTTCCATCTAATCGAATCCGGTAAATTAGCTTTGCTCAAAACATATGGTCTGTCTCATCCTAACATGCCCTATAAATAGGGCCAAAGGTGACCAAAAAACACATCACCACCAACTATTAACCAACAAGCGATACATCAACAAATAATCTAGTAATAATGCAATAATAATATAACAATATAATAATATAATTTAAAAAAAAAAAAAAAATAATAACAATACAAGAATAATATAATAATAATATAATAATAATATAAGAAACAATAACACCCAACAACGGGGCTACAAGCCCCTATATTAACAGAAACTCTAACTATTTTAATTAAAATTAAAACAAATAAACCATAATTACTCTATTGTCCGACGACTAGAGTCCAGATTTATTAAAAAAAAAAAAAAAATTATAGGCCATTGGGCTCGGGGGAAAGAATGTTACATAGAAAAGAAATGCTTTCTCCCTTTATAAAAGCATCGATGTTAAAAAAAACAGATACAACCAATCATCATGTTTGTAAATACATACAACCATTTATATCCATCACTGCCTAAAATGTTTCTACAAAACTCTTAGCAAACTGTTATCTCTTGAGTAAACAGTTATTTAATAATACAAAAAAAGTAAAGAGTTGAAAATTTCATTTTTTTTATTTTTTTTATTCATCGAGACAATATGGATATGATAGAACATGGCAAGAGAAATGGGCCAAATCCTATCTGAAAAATCATATCCCTTCATTTCTTCATTGTTCTTTGGTTGTCCATTGATCAGTTGAATCCATTATTTATGGTGTGATAGTTGCAGAATGTTGAATGGTTAACCAAGCAACAATATCTAGATGATTGTTTTTACATGCCAAAGACATTAATTCTGCTGTATCATCTGTTGAAAAGAATTGTAAAGCAGCGAAATCATATCGACCAAAAAGTGTACCAACTGTATATTGTAATAAGTCCAATGCACCAAATCGACATATAGCACCTAGTACAATCATCATCTCATCTCTTTGAGACAAAGCATTTGGATTTCTATTCAATAGATAAAAGAATAAATGATTTTGTTCTATTTCTATTGTCTTTGCAATTGATGGTGCCCAGGCATTATTATTATCTCTAAATCTCTAGTTTCAATAGCCTCTACCAATAGTAATGAACGATTAGAGTCTGTCATTGGTAAATGACCAAACCTATCGATTTCAATGTCAAGTGTCTTTAATGCAACTTGACGTATATCTGGTTTCAAACGAATAGGAGAAACCTTTACCTCTTTGACCAAAAATTTGACCTTTTCAATCTTTGGTGGCTAATATATTAGAGAGAGCAAACGACCAAGCACCATCAAAAAGAGAATCTTGACTCCAACAACGATATTTTAAATTGATAGAATCTCTGTTTAGATACTTTTTACCAAGTTTGAACCTATAGAAAAAAAAAAGAAAAAAAGAAAAAAAGAAAAATTATTATTTGTCTTTTTGTCTTTTTAAACTTTGTATACAAGATAGATGTATGTATGAAAATAAGAACTTCCTAAATTCTTTAAACCAAATTCTGTTGGAAAGAAGGGATCAATTTCTTTTAAAGATTGAACATGTTGTACGCATTGAAATACTTGTCTCATCAAAAGATGATTTTTAAATATTTTTCTAAATAAACCTATATCCATTTCTAAAAATTTTTAATATAAATGATTTGATTGAATGAATAAATCCTTTTCTTGTGATGATTGGTATCAAATATTTAAGTTGATTGGGTGAACAATGAAAAACCATGTGGTCACACACACAATCTGGGAGATTTGAATTTGTAAAGGTTATGTTTATTATTGTCATTGAAATAATTATTTAAATTAATATATAATTGATTTTTGGATTGACTATAATTATAATATTACTATTGTTGTTGTTATTGAGTTATTATTATTATTATTATTTTTGTTTTAATAAATATATACTATTATTATTATTGACTGTTATTATTATTGACTGTTATTATTATTGATCGGTATTATTATTATTATTATTATTATTATTATTTGATTATTATTGGTTATTTTTGAATGATTGAATATAGATTAATTATTATTATTATTTACTTAATTTTTAATTAAAAAAGTATAATATGAAAAATCATTAATGAATTGATTCATATTTCGATTAAAAGTTGGATGATCCTTTTCATTTGAAAAGTTGGTTTTGATTATATTTTTTTGATCAACAGTCAATTCACTAGTTGAAAGGTATTCTACAAAATACTAGAGAAATAAAAAGGTTAGTTTTTTAATTTATTTTTTTTTTTTTTTTTTAGATTTCTTACTTGATGATAGAATTTAGGGAAATCAATACTAGCAAAATGATAAGTAGTATTAATGATATCCTCAGAATTAATAGATTGACAACCAGAGGTAAGAGATTTGAAAAAGTCAAAGATTAAACTTTTACTGAATCCAGGTTCTTGAATGATCTTTTCGTAGAGCTTGTGCTTCATGTTTAGCTTTTCAAAATACTCTAGGTTTTGTTTGAATAAATTTACATCGTTTTGTTGAAAGGTTTTTTGGAAGGCTGTTAGAATGGAAGCCAATTGTTGGTAGGAGGTTTGTTGTTGTTGTGATTGTCCATTGGCACTGTTGTTGTTGTTGTTGCTGCTGGCAATAGTAGAGGTTGGGAAAAAGTATCTCCAATGATTATCTAAAATGGTATACAATAGAGAAAAGAGGAGAGGCTTGATGGGTGACGTGCTGTCAATGATCACTGGATAGATCTTTTCCATGGCAAATGAAATGATCGGTGTCAATAATGTCTCAAATGAATGTCCATAGGTTTGAATTGAAAAGGTTAAAATTTCAATCAATTTTTGTACAATAGAATTTCCAATATCATTTGATGATGTTAATAATTGTTTTAAATTATCTCCTCCTAAAATTTCTAAAAATGTTCTAAAAGGTTGAAAATAAATAAAAGAGGTAAGTATAAAATTATTTGTTTTGTTTGATTTCTTTTGTTTGTCTTACGAAATAGTTTGTTGAGTAAAATTAACACCAACTTGAGTTTTAAGACATTCGAATAAAGTGAAAAAGAAGTCTAGGATTGAAGATAGGACACTTGGAACGTTGATATAGACTACAAACAATCTTAAAGTTACAGGTAGAATATCTTGGATGGCATCGTGCAAGATTCCTTTGGCCATGGTTACATCTGGCACTGTCTTCATGATCGACGTGACAATATTCAAAGTCTTTTGAATTCTTTGAATCACTTGACCATCCAAATATAATTTTGAATCAATAAATCCTTGGATTTGTGGTATCTCCAAGTATTGTGATGTAATTCCTTTTACAAATGGTGAATATTTTGGTCTTCTTATATCCCACTAAAAAAATAAATAAAAATAAAAGAAAAATTGATTAATAAAAGAAAAGTCTTTGATTTATCATCCTTATTATTATTATTATTATTATTATTATTTTTTCTATTCTTACTTGATGATTTAAATTAACATTTGAAGGAGGAGTAAGTATAGTACTACTAATGGCAGAATAAATAATTGATTGAACTGGAGTTGGTAATGAGAGGCAGATATTATGTATATTGGTGATAACAACCTCTGTTTGATTAAATAGACAAGATGGTTTGGCAACGACTGCAAGTGAGTTTAATAATCTACCGGCAGAAATACTAATTGTTTGTGGCACCGAGCCGTTAAACAATGGTACAATAATATTGATAGTTTCGGCAATAATCCGATCATAATCTGCTTGTCCTGCTGGTTTTACTCTTACTTCATTACCATAATCTCCAAGCCAATAACTAAATGATCTAATTGTACAAAGTATTTGATCATGTCTAAAAAATAAAAAAAAGATTAGAGAGATTTTAAATAAATATATATTTTTTTTTCTATTTTTTTTTATCTTACAATTTAATAAAATCAGAACCAACATTATAGACTTTATGAATTTCACAAACTTGACACATTTGTAATAGACCATTATAAACATAGATTGCATAATCATAAGTTTCACCAAAATTGGGTACAAAGAGATGAGTTAATCTTGCAAATAATTTTAAAATGGTTGTAATATCTTTAACATTTGATGTTAATGATGACAATGAATTATTTGCCTTTGCTTGTGGTATTAATTGTGCCAATTCCATACTTTGTGTAAATAACCATGCCTATAAATAATAAATAAATTAATAAAAAGATCCTATATTTTCTTTTTTTTTTTTTCTATTTCTTTACTTACAAGACTTTTTAAACCTTCTTTTGGATAAAGTTCAGTAATTTTTGAAATGATATTAATTGAATAATCAATATAAGTACTACAAGAGTTGAAATCAATTTCTTCATCATCGGCAGGTTGATCGTCATCTTCGTCGCCGTCTTGTAATTGGTCTAGGAAATCCTTGTTGAATGCAAAAAGAATACGTTTTACCAATTCCGATTGAAGTTGAATCAATCCATCTGTGTATTTGGCGGGTGAGGCGACACCTTGCTCATTGACATTGGTCAAGAGATAGTCCAAGAATGTTTTCCAAATGTCCATACAAATCTTGTAAGAGTCGGTGAGTGTGGTGGACTGGAGAAGAGTGTATTGAAATAGATTGGCCAAAAAGGTTTGGATCGAGAAATTGGGATTGTTTTCAACACGACGGAGGTGATTAGAGACAAACAGTGAAATTAAAAGTGTGAATTTGTTGATAAATTCATAACCGAGCTGTGATACCATCGCGGTATTCTTTACAATGTGGTTTGTCAACTTGTTAATCTCGTTAAACACTCTAAAGAGAAACTCTTGGAATTCTCTTGGTACACAATTCTTTGACAATATTTCATTCAAACATTTCAATGATGATATGTTTGACAGCTCCAAATATCTAAACAATGTCTCCAATAATGTTGGTGTAAGAAATTCATTTAATGGTATCCATGAAAAATAACTTAATAATGTTTCTAAAATGGGAGAAAATTAAAAAGAAAAAAAAAGAATGGATTAATACTTATACTTTACGTTTGTATATCTCTCTATTTCTCTATTTCATACCAAAAATTGAATTAACTTTAGTTTCATAATTATTTGTATCAGGATGTGGAGATGTTTGATCCAAAAGTTGGTTTAGTGAGGTTGTTAAAACTTGAATGATGGTTGGTACACGTTCCAAGAGTAATTTTCTTAAAGTGTTTTTGGTATTTTGACTAATTACTCCTTTGGATGTTGTAAATTCTGTTGATATTTCTTTTAATAATAAGATTCCTCTTAAACTTGTTTGTGGATTCTAAAAGTATAAAAAGAAAAAATAAAAAGAAAAAAGAAAAATAATGATATTAATAAGATTAAGAATGATGATGATGATGAGATCTTTTCTCTTTTCTCTCTCTCTCTTTTTTGATTTACATACATTTACTAAACTCATAACTTCATTTATATAATTTTGACTATTTGTTTGGAATTCATATCTACCAATATCTGCAATGAGTTGAGCTACTTTTGTTACATTATAATTAACCAATGCCTAAAAATAAATAGATAGATAGATAGAAATCAATCAATATGTGTGTTAATACATAGATACATAGATAGCTTGATTAGAGTATCTTCTTAACTTACATTGTGACGTAGGTACAAATCAAAAACAATAGTTTTTAGATCATTTTGTTCTTGTGCTGATAGATTCACCCAACGCTTATTGATTTTAGACTCCAAGATTGATAGCGAGAAATGTATTACAAACTGACTCTGTGAATGCCTCAAAAAGTATAACACATTCTCTTGTGCATCACTCTTTGATTGATATAATCTTAATTCTAAATAAAAAGTGATCAAGTAGAGAGTATAAAAGATAAGAAGGAATCTAATTAGTTTATGATCTCTATTGATCAATCGATCAATCGACATAGTATATTACTAATCTATACATACTTGAATCATCACCACCTTGATTATAGAATTGTGGTAATATAGTTTCCAATTCCAATAAGAGTTGTTCTAATCCATTATTATTATTCATTGTGTTGTTATGTGTATTATTGTATTGTTGATGTTATTACTACTAAAACTTGTATTATTATATCTATATAATTATTATAAATGTGTTGTTGATGTTGAGAAGTATTACTATAAATAATGTTTTACTACTACAGACTTTTTTTTGTTGTTTTTGTGTTGTGTGTGTGTTTGATGTTGAGAGGTAGGTTGTGGTGGGTGTTGATGAACAATGCAGCTATACAATAAATAAAGATTGATTGATTGATCAAAGTGAGTGAAGTTGTTTGTTTAATATTAAGTTGTATGTGTTGTGTTGCGTTGAAGAACGGTTGCTGATCTAAATCTAAATTTAAGTAAGCGGGAAAGAGATGGGGGTAAGCAAAGCTGCAGCCAACGAAAGTTGTTTCGGTATAGGTTGGATTGAAGATGATGTAGATGATGATGTAAGCGACCGTCAGTATCGGTCAGTCGGGTGGTTCGTTGGATGGGTGTGGGGACAAATGATAGGTAGGGTAGGGGATAGGTACAAAAGAAGAAATAAACGAAACCAACTTGCGAAAGAAAAGCCATCTGCTTTCAAGTGCCTTTGGGTTTGAAAAAATTGCGACAAAAAGGGAGTGAGGGGAAATGAAACATTTTTGTTGAGCAGCAGACATAGACCAGTAATGGTCATTATTATAATTACCTTTTTTAGAATGATCTAGATGTGTCTGTACTAATACTAATACTCCCTACCAATACCTAACTAACTTATCAAAGGACAAATAATACTTCCCAAACAGCAGAGAGAACTAAGCAGTCAAATTACACTTTGTTATTAAACGAGATAGATATCTATGTATTGTGTTTAGTAGTACTACTTTTTAATTATACTCTTCTCCTCTCTACTCTCTCTCTCTTTCTTATGACTATGACGATGACGACGATGATGAAGATAATACTGGCCAAGCAAGTTCCCTTTTATTGACACCGCTTTTCTGAATGAATGAATTTTTTTTTAAATAATAATATTGAATTTTGGTGGATCAGCTCCAACCGATCGGTGCTATCCAAGCTTGCAGATCAAGAGCAGAGGAGAGCAGAGTTGGACGATATCGATCGATATGTTTAATGCGTGTTATGTGTGTTCGCGCATACGAGTTCAAAGAATTTAGTAGACTCCTAGACTCCCTCCTTTAGACAATCAACCAATGATTAGGAAGTGATGTATGGACCAATTATAGGACAAATAATACCACGTATGTATTTTAGTTTAGACTTTGATTGTAATCTCGTTTCCCCTCACTCTCCCCTCCTACTCCCACCCTCTCACTTCTCTTCTCTCTTCTCTTCATCATTACGATGAGCCCCTCAAATGGGGCACTAGGCCTGACAAATTGTCAAATTGCTTGCTTGTGTGACACACATCCTTGGCACTATTTAGTAAATGGATGGATGGCTGGATGGATGGGACATTTACGATCTAGTAGGACCACAATAATCAAATATGCCCATTGCTCAAGGGACAAAGCCAATTCATTTGAATGTGTACTGGATTGGATTGGTCCCGTCATTCATTCCAAGTACGCCTAACTACGCCATCCTCATCCATCCTTGTACAATTGATCATAGTTTATTTTAATAGTTCACTAGATAGTACTATGCATCTATCTATCTATGGTGACATTTAACTCGGAAATCAAGATGCCCATCCATCCATCCATCACCAACCACCCAATCCAAAAAAAATATAAACGTATTTTATAAATGGTTTGAATCTACATCAATTACTATTATTATTTATTCAAATCAGTTCAGCATTAAATTAAAATTAATATCTTATATTATATTAACCAAACCACCCACCCACTCTTCTTTCTTTATCTGTTTAATCAACTAGTTCAATCCGATTCACCCCCTCTATCACTATCTATCGACAATTTTTTTTAGGATTGGTGTGTGTGTGAATTGATTAATTGATTTTTTGATTGATTAATAGAGGTGTGTGGTCAAGGAGGGGTTGGATGATTTTTTTGATTGATCAGTTCAACCATACACATTAAAGTGTGACCAGTCTATCACAACATCAGTTCCTCTTCTAAATAATCATGATTATTAAAAAATTGGATGATATTGCATATGGTAACTGCTCACTAGTGTGAGTAAGACTGAGAGAGAGAGAGAGAGAGAGAGAATATATTGTCGATGACAACATCGCAGGTGGTTAGGTAGGGACAATTGATTGCTTTATCAAGCTAGAGTTGACGGATATAGTATAGGCAAGAATGTTCATTTTGGTTAAAGAAAACCATCATCAATCAAAAATATTGGAATGATCCACCCCTATTGCATGCACCATCCACCTATACATCCATGCATCCATACATCTCCATCCTTACTTTGATTACGTTGATATCACCAACAAACACTCTCCAACTCTAACTTTTGTAAGTATCCTGTTGATGGATTGGATGAACTTGTTACATAACGACGATATTAATTCTTCACAACCAACATCAATCAATCTATTCATTGTTCATCATACAACAACTAAAACTGCAGCAATAATATAATCAACCAACCAACAAACCTCCCTCTTTCTTTTTTTTAATAATAACAATAATAATATTTCTCATTTTAAAGGGATAGATAACCTAAATCCTATATCCATCTATCTATCTTTATTTATTTAATTTATTTAATTTATTTATTTAATTTATTTATTAGTTAAAGAATGATGATGATGATGGACTCTAAGATCAATCAGATGATATTCATTTTAGTTGTACTTTGTATTAATATTTTACCTCAAAGTTGTGGATCGGTTGGGTTAGAGTTAAAGGTAGGAGTTGGCTATGCATTGCCAATAAAAATCGGAACAGGCGTATATTTTGGTGGAGATGATACTCGAACCAAACCACCACCAACCACAAGACAACAACCCAATGTAAATCAAACCTACACTATCGATAAACCACTCGACGTATCTGGAAATGCCACAGTAGGACCTACGTCATCTGTAAAGATGAACTGTGTAGGCAGAAAATGTTATCAATTGGATCTTTTTAATATTCTCGGAGTGGTTGATGTGGTTGCATCGACGGTACTACAAATCACTCAACAATTGGTTCTTGCAACATCTGGTACACTTAATATAAATTCGGATTGTCAAATTGATGCAGCCAATTCATTGGTTCAAGGTGACTTTCAAGTATCTGCACAAACAACATTCAACAATACATTGACAGTATCAAATAATGGTACAATGCAAGTAAACAACAAAACACTTAGTGTAAAAACTGTTAATATGGATCGAGGAAATATAAATATTCTAAAAGACGCTCAATTAACCATAGACAATGAAATTGAATTAAAAAATAACTCAATCATTTCAAATTCAAATGGTATTATTATTTCAAATATTATTAATAATTTAAGTGTATGTAAACAACAACAACAAAAACAACAAAGTTATTCATTTGATATCAATTTAATAAAATAATAATTTATTTCTTTTTCTTTTTCTTTTTCTTTTTCTTTTTCTTTTTCTAGGGATCATTATTAATTAATAGTGGAATATTTAAATCAAAAACATTAAATTGTAAATCACCATTTGAACAAATTATCAAAGGTGGATCAAATGTACATTTAAATAATTTGTATATTGATCAATTGTCATATCTAACAATTCAAGACTCTACACTAAACGATGAAACTACCAACGACGATGAAGAACCTCTAGAATTGGGTATACTCAATTTAATCAATGGTCATTTAAATCTTTTAAATTCAAAATCAAATTTAAATTATCAAAAAATTGATTTAAGTGTATTGTATTAATACCAAAACAAACAAACAAAAATAGAAGATAAAAAGAAAGAAAGAAAGAAAGAATCATATTTATTTATACTTTTCTTTTCTTTTCTTTTTCTTTTTAGGAATCAACAAAATTTAATTTTATAAAATCAAATATACAATTAAATAGTAAATCATTTAATTTATTTAATCAATCGAAAATATTATTAAATAATAATACACAAATTACTATATCTGGTCAATTTGGTTGTTTTGATGATTCATCAATCATTGGTCAAGATAGTCATTTAACATTTGATGATGGGTCAACTAGGTTGGATGGATCGACACATCAAATGAAAAATACTATTTTAAAGGTACTTGAAAATGCACAATTATCAATTGGTGGTACAACGGAGATTGGTGAATTATCACAACTATTTAATCATGGTAAAAACCTAATCATCGATGACAGTGGTCAACTATCGATTTCAAATAGTGATTTTATAAATACCAATTCATTTACTCTAAATGGTCAATTAAATATGAATGATCGACAATCTCAATTTATCAATTCTCCAACTGGTACTGTTCAAATACTATCAAATATCATATCAACAGATGGTGTATTTAAAAATAATGGTAATTGGATTAATTCTCATACAACTAATCATATAAATGTAAGTAGTATATTTATGTATATATTTTAGAGAGAATAGTATATTCAAATTATATATTAACATAATTATAATGTTGTTTTTAGAATTTTGATAATAGTGATGGAGGTAGATTAGAATTAAAAAATTCCTACTTTTATTTAAATGAATTAAATTGTTTTGGAGGTCATATTATTTTAGATCAATCTAAAATCAATTCAACAAAGGATATAGTATTACAAGCAGGTTCAAGTCTACAAGGTAAAGGTACAATTGAAACTACAACGTTTGACCAAAGAAATAGTACAATAGGATCAAACCATTCAATTTCACAATTAGAATTTACTGGTGATTTAATTCAATCAAATGATTCAACTACTATTATTTTAGTAACTGATAAAAATAATTCAAATGGTAAGAAAGAAAGAATGAGTAAAAACATAATATTTAAATTAAAGAATAATTTATTAACTTTTCTTTTATTATTTTCTATTAGTTAAAGTGAATGGTAATTTTAGTGTAGATGGTGAATTAATTATTTATGTTGATAATAAAAGATTGAGGAATGGTGCTGGTTCTGAACATGGATCTTTTGAAATTGAAATCATTACTAGTAACTCTGTAATAAGTGGTGACTATAGAAATGGTATCAAGATTATTGAATACGAAGGACAAGTAGTTGATGATCCATGTAAATACAAGGTTCAGAAAAAAGAAAGATCATTTGCAATGTTGGTCAATTTGGATCAATCGTGTAGTTCATCTAGTCAAGAAGCATCCAAAGCATTGTTTAAAGATACAAAAACAAAGATTGGTTTATTGGTTGGTGTATTTGGTTCCATTGCCATCATCTCTGTTATTTGTACAGTCATTATCATGAAGAGGCATCAAATCAATACCTTTTTAAAAATTAAACAACAATCACTTAGACACAGTCGTGTATTATAAAACTAATATATAAATAATAAATTAGAGTATACTATTTACAAAATGATTATTTATTTTATTTTATTTTCTTTGTTTTAATGTTATTTACAAATTAAAAGAATGTTTGTCATATTCCTTTGTTTTAAAAGACTATACCAGAACCAGTTAGCTTTACCTCCTTTTTGTTTTCATCCTTTACTGATTGGATCTTTTCTCTTTTTTCTTGTTTCTAAAAAAAAGAAAATAGATAGATATTAATATCAAAGTTAAAGGTTTGTTATTATTATTGAAATAATTTACTTGTAATAATTTATCCTTTGCTTCTTGCATTTTTAATTCTTTTGCAGCCCATTCAGATCTCTTTAATTCATTGTATTCATTGGCATCTTCAATATCTTGAATGGTACGAATTGAATAAAAGCATCGTCCAGATGACATTGGCTTGGAGAGTGGTGCTTTGAACCATGGAATTAAACCAACTAATCTTCTAGAGTTATTCATTGTTATTTTTATGAGGAAGAACTTGTTAAGTTATTGATAGATATTATTGAAGAAGAAGATATATTTATGTATGTATGCTTATATTAAAATATTTCATCGAGACAGAGAGGATGTTGTGAGCCATTATATATCGATGAAGAGGAGGATGAAAAAGAAAAAATTAAATAAATTAAATTCCGTGTGCCAATTTTCCTTTTTTGGTCCATCTTTTTGAATTGATTTTTTTTTTTCATCAATTAACAACATTAATTAATTGTATGGGTACACACCATACACCCCCAATAAACAAATAAGTTGTATTCATTCAGTTTCACACTCAGCTCTGCTAAACTTTTCACTGATGAACAATGAATTGAATGTATGGAGGATCAAATTAGATTTAATATTATTATTATTTATACAATTTTATTATTGGGGGTGTAATTATTATTTAGATATTTAATTACTATCACCATTAGAAGTTGAAGAATCAACTTCAAGTTGATTGATTTCTTCTTCCATTCTTTTACTATTATTATTACTATTATTATTATTTTCAATTATTTGTTGTTTTGAATTTGAGTCATCCATTTCAATAAAAACATTAGAGTTTCCGTCAAATGGAGCCACAGATTCTTGTTGTTTGGAAATAGTTATTGAAATATTTCCTGTACCTGACCCTCCTCCACCTCCTCTTTTATTATTTGATAAATCTATATGGTACGGAAATAAATAAATGTATTAATAAATCAAATACTTTTAAAATGATTTAATTTCTTTTATATTATTTACCTTTTGATGATGAATTTGATTTTTCAATATGAGTACGTTTAAATAGGAAATAATTTTTAAACTTTCCACCGGCGAGACAATAGAGTACAATTATCATTTGACCTCCATCAATGACAAATGTGATACTAACCTCTGATGGAAAGTATTTATAGGTGTGTTGGTCTAGGACAAAGACAAATGCAATGTCATGGGCAAGAGTCATTAAAACGATTGCTGCAGCCGTAACCAATAATATCTTGGTGTTTCTAATGGTACGACCAAAGGTTGATGATTTTTGTGAACTTTGTTTGAGTGCTTTAACAAACCCAACTCCATTTACTGCCACTGCCGATCCAAATGAAATCATATATACCAAGAATCCAATACCCTCTAACAAACTCCAATCCTCATGTGTACTGACACACAGAACAGTCACTGAAACCTCCCAACAAAAGAATATGGTTATCAAGAAAATAAAGAATTTTCTAACCTTGGATGTATTTTCAAAATGAATATCATCGGCAATATAAAATGTATACAACATCTTTGTCCAAAATTCTGTTATAAATATCCATGAACAAATTAAAAAGAATGTTCCTAAAAGAATAAAAAGAATAAAAAAAAAAAAGAAATATTAATAAATATATTTAAATTATTTTAGAATATAGATATACAAACCCCAAGAGAAACAAAAATACCACCAACTTCCAACTCTATATTCACATGGTTGATTATAATGTACAATATCTCCAATCACTCTGCATAAACAAAAGGTTCCTTGAAATGTAAATACCAATAATCTAGTTGATAGCTTTCTACCCTTTTCTCTAATTTCAAGATATACTTGACCAAAATTAATTAAAAAGAATAATGCATAAAAAAAGGTTCTAATTCCCCTATAATTAAATAACTGGTAAATTAATATTATTGACTTTTAAAAGTTGAAATTTCATACTTACCAAAATGAATACATCAACTTGTCGGTTGCAAAATTATCGGTATATGGTCTATTACATTCATCATCCAACAATGATGAAGTTAATGTAGTATTGTCATCTGCAGTATTAGAGACTGCCTGATAAAGATATTCAATCATTCTATTATTATTTAATTGTTCTGATTCTGATTGATTCCTTTTCCGACTCCGACTCTATCTAATTAATTCTATTTTTTGAAGATATTCTCTTATCTCGATTCTCCTTTTATTATTATTTTTATCGGGTTGGTGTTTCGAAATAAATATCGAGCGTAAGAAAGGGCGATGCGATTGTGTGTTGTAAACAATGAATTATTAGTTGTATCTTTAAAAACAAAAAAAAATATTAAAATAAACTTTCTTTCTATTATTCATTGTTAATCGACAGTGGTTTGTTTAGAGTATCGACGATAAGGTGGAGGAATGGGCAACATTGTCTTTGCAGGGTCATGAAAGTTGAACAAGGAAGACTCTTTTATCCCCAAACCGTCTCTACAAATTTTATAATAACTCCTCGCAGAAGAATATCATTGTACCCCTAGCAAACTCTTTTTGTCAGTTAATTGATCATGGGGCCGATGTACTTTTTCAACATTATTCATTTCTCTCTTTCTCGATCGAGGCACATTCTGACCCCCTTCGATAATAGTATCTTTTGATTTTTTTTGTCCTTGTTCGAAAAGTACCCGTTTTTTTATTCGGAGACGGTTCGTTAAAAACAACAAAAATTATCCAAGACATCTTTGCATTGTCCAAGGATATTTTAGATGTTGTTGTAAGCGAGCTGCAACGGCTCATTACTAGTAGTCTATTTTTGATGTACGTATCCGTCGAAAGGGTGAAGTCGTAAAAGAATGTTCGGCAATTGTTCCTCCGAGTCCGGAGAACGATAATACTGTTTAGATTTTAAAACACATGATACTTTTTTTATTATCGAAAAGGAGTATGAAATGTACTCCTCAAACAAGTATACTTGGTGTGAATATCTGATCGGTGAAGTACAAAGAAGAAGAGGATGATTTAAAGTTGAACAAAGTTTTTGGGGAAGAAACCAACAGCTCCATTGAGCTCTCCTTGCCACCATCCAGATGGATCGGATTGATCGAGAACCTTGATAGAATCACCTTCACTAAAAATAGAAAGAAATAGGTTAAATATAAATATATAAATAATAAATATACTTTATAATTGTACATACGCAAAAGAAAGATCACCTTCATTTTCACCTTGGTAGGCATAGAGAGCAGTGGCATATGGGTAATCACTTTGTTCGTAACCTTGTTGATCATCATATTGTTGTTGTGATTCATCATAGGCTTGCTCTTGGTGTTGATCATAACCTTGTTGTTGTTGATCATCATAGTGTTGTTGTTGGTCATCATAGGCTTGTTCTTGGTGTTGATCGTAACCTTGTTGTTGATCGTCATAGTGTTGTTGTGATTCATCATAATGTTGTTCTTGTTGATCGTAACCTTGGTCATATGATTGTTCTTGTTGTTGATCGTAACCTTGATCATATTGTTGCTCTTGTTGTTGGTCATAACCTTGATCATATTGTTGTTCCTGTTGATCGTAACCTTGATCATATTGTTGTTCTTGTTGTTCTTCATAGACTGGTTCAGGTTCTGGTTCTGGTTGACGAACGACGACTGGTGGCTTGGGAGCAACCTTTGGCTTGGGAGCTGGAGTTGGTGCAGCTGGAGCTTGTTGTTGTTGTGGTTGGAAACGGTTGGCAACATTTCCGGTAGTTCTTGGTGGGGGTGGTTTGACTGGCTCTGTTTGGGGAGCAGCTGTCATTTGTTGGAAACGATTGGTAATGGTACGTGAGGGAGGTGCCGATGTAGTCGAGGACGATGAGATGGGGGCAGATGTCTTGGGAGCGGTAGCATTATCCTTCCAATAGTTCTCACGTTCAGTGGTGATGTTGTACTCGGAACGGTCGGGACGGGCAGGTTCCTTGGTGGCAGGTGCAGAGTTGCTCTTCCAGTATTGAGCCGACTCATCCTTTTTGTTGTAATCGGTCTTGTCAAATGTCTTTTGCGAGACGTTGGATTGAGTGGCAGCAGTTCTACCCTGTGACACAGAGGTTGGTACATTGATCTTGGACGAACCTTGCACCTTGGCACCAGAGTCGTACGAGGCACCAGTAGCCTTGTTCAAAGCACTGATAATCGATTTCTCATCGACATCATCTTCGTTACGAGCGTTGACTTGGTGATGGAGTGGTTTGAGAATACGACCAATCTCGATGGCGTGACCACTAAAGCTTCCCTTGATGGGACCGTTGACACCGTCACCACAATAGGCAATGTAGACAAACTTGTTCATGTTGTTAATCTCGTAACGAATGTAAGCATAACGAATCGAAGAGTCTGACAACTCTTCACGCAATTCTTCGAGGCCACCATTTCCACTCTCATAAAACTTGATCTTGTTCATGCTCTTTGGTACGTATCCCAAACACATCCATCTCTCACTGCCATCTTGAACAGCTTTAATGTGTTGCATAATCTCTGGGTCTGATAAATCTGGTGTTGTCATTTTGTTATTTAATTTATTGATGATCTTTTAAATCTGATCTACTACTACTTATATACGTATATATATATTACTTTTACAAAACTATTTAAATATATATTTATATATGTGTGTGATTATATATATATATTAGATAGTACTTTTTTTGATGAATATCTTTAAAAATACAACAAACTACTTATTTTAAATAATGAATGAGGAGGATTTTACTTTAATTACCTTGTCTTTGTGTCCTCAAAATATTTAAGATTTTTATTTTTTTTTTCATTTTTTTTTCACGCAGCGTAAAAACAAAGAAAGAAGTGAAAGAATGAATAGGGTTATAGTTTTTTAATTTATTACTACACTTGTTTGACGCACTTCTTTAATAGTAGTTTTTATTTACATACAAACCACATTCGACAACATCACTATTGTATTGTTTGATGGTTGGATTGATCCATCCGCCGAAAGGTGAAAAGTCAGAGAACGATGGTATGTTATCCAAGTTGGAATACCAGAGTGGGAATGAGGCAGCACCATCCCATTGACCCATGATTTGGGACCATTGCTCAGCCGACGTGTATACACCGACAGCATAACCAGCAGCATTGGCTCCCATCACCATAGATTTAAAGAATGCTTGGTTTTCATCTGGGTAGAGGGACCAGTATCCTGGACCTTGTACATCAATCCATACCAATCCAAACTTGGCATTGTATGCCTTGATCGATTGGATCATACCAAATACTTGACTATATCCACTTCTACTAACGCATAAAGGACATGGCATTGCATAAACATCTACTTTGGTCATACCACCATCCCACTATTAAAACATAAACATAAACATAAATTATGTTAATTAGAAGTTGTAAAAATGTTTTGGTTTGTTGGTATTGGTCGAACTACTAAAACTACTTACAGCATTTTCAATAGATTCTGGGCCATTTGGATCAGGTTGACCATATTTTAAACCACGAATAATGACATATGTAAAACTATTTGATTTTAGACAATCAAAAGTAGAACTATTGGTTTGGGTAGAGATATCAACACCCAAAGTGGCTGTAGATAGACCAAAGATGGTAAAGAATAAAACAATAAATAATATGATTTGTTTGTGCATTTGTTTTTTTTAAAAAAAGAAAGAAGAAATAAATAAATAAATGATAAATGATCAATTCAACTCTTTAAATCAATATCACAAAGGTGCAACCATCAGGATATTTAAAAGGATAATTGGAAATTTCCATCCATACGCAAAATAATCTAAAATTTAAAAAATATCGGGATAAAGATTAATTAAATATCTGTTCACCTACAAACATTTCTTAAACACTCAAGCAATCAAGTTTGCAAAAGTAAGAGAGTCGTGGAAAACACAATAAAGGTTAAACACTATTTGATTTATTTTAGTTATTTAGAAAATTTCATCCAATTGTTTAATAGTAAATGGAAATTGAATTGATTTTAAATAATGAATGATAATATAATGAGTTGTACAATTTTCTGTGAGTATGGAGGGATTTAGAGTTACTTGATTGAATAAATAAGATTTGAGACTATTACTGTCATTATCTTTGGAGAGAGCCCATTGAATTGAAGGGACACTTCTACGTTGATAGGCATATCTAATTATTTCTTTTAGAAAATGTGTTTTGTTTGTATAGATTTCATTGTCGTAGAAATAGTCTAATACATGTAATTGATTATATACAACTGCCTCTTTTTGAAATTCCAATACAATAGAGAGAGTTTCGTTTTGATCATGTCCATCTAATAGTCTTGCTACAAGATTGACATTTCCATATTTACAAGCCGATGCCAATGAATAGGTACGAGCAGTTTCTAAACTAGTCACTGATATTAAGTGGTTGAGTATGGTGAGATCACCTCGATGTCCAACCGACTCCATTGCTTCAGTTGCTATTTTGTGTGTGGTTGGACATGGTTGGATATACCCGTCACTGAATAACATATTAATCACCTGTGGTGCATACGCCAACAAAGCCTGTTGAAGGAGTTGGTGACAGATGGGTACTTGCACATGTTCACTCTTTTCCCCGAGCAAACATTTTTGCAGCAGTTTTTTGGCAAGGTTGGCATCATCTAGTTTGAGAATAAAGAATAGTGGGGATTGGTCAAGATCAAGCTTGACATCACCCACCAAATCACAGAGATAGAGGTCTAGCATACGACGATCTCTAGAGTAGTTAGAGAGGCATGTGATGCGTGGTGGGTGTCCCAGTTTCATCAGTCTCGCGTATCCATAGACAGTAGGTTGGGTGGTCAGGCCCGACGATGTACGTAGTGTAGACTGTGGGTCTGATAACCGGGGATACTGTTCGAGTAGATACTCACTGACATTGTCTAGTCGGTCGACCGATGCAAAGTACGCTCTCACCAGTGTACGATCATCCATCTCTGGTTCGTCACGACCCAAAATACTCTTGTGAATGGCTACTATTTGGTCATACGTACAACCCTGTTCTATAAACATGGAAAATGAGTGGTTCTTTGAGAGGTAGCATAGAAACTCGGTGCTGTGCTCTGACAACTTGCCAAAGAATGATTCGTCACTAAGACGAATCGCTTTCGACATTTTAGCAATATAATGTGCAATCTGATCATCCAACGTGACAAAATGGTATGATTTGGGGTCTTTTGGAGGGAATTGATAACTTGCTTTGGCATGTTCTTCAGTGGTGATCATTTCTTCGACTTGGAGACGATCAAGAAGTAATTGAATGATTTGATGTTGTGTCGTGGGATGATGGTGGTGACGATACGTGTCGAGGTATATGTTGAGTTGATGCATTGGGTTCTTCTTGGTAGCGAATTGCTTGATAATGTCAGTGTCGCCTGAAACCAATTCAAAATGGTCGATTACTCCACGTCGATTGGACTGTACAAACTTGGCAAAACATTCTTCCGACACCTTCCCCCGTATGTATTCGTAAACATCTGTACGTCCAAAATGAGATAATGCACCTTGAAATGTATAGAATGGGTCGGGTGAAGTAGAAGATGACCACTCGACAGGCAGTTCCTTGAACAAGTATTCCAACACGTTGAGATGACCACCTTCACAAGCTTGCTCGATTGCAAGGTCACGGGGAAGCACACGAGGTTCAGTCTGAGCCATCAACAATTTGATGATTTGCATATTACCAGCTTTACAAGCATTGGCAATCACCAAACGATGTACAAACCATTCTCTACGACGATTGTAAATCTCTACAAACAATGAATAGTCTGTCAGAGTAGAACAGAGTACCAATACACCACTCTCAGTGACACGCATACAGGATGACTTCTTACTACTGCTACTACCAACTATCTTGTCATAAAGTAATCTATGATACCCATTGCGACACATATCTTCCAAATCAATCCAATCATCGTACTTCCACTTTCTAACAGTTGCAAATGCCTTGATTGTCAATGCAAATGTATGTCCCCATCTATCTAACCTCTGTTTCTTTTGTTCATTGAATATCTTTTTAGTTAGAAAGTTATTCTTTATTATTGAAAAGAATAATGTTGTTGTAGTTGTAGTTGTATTATTCTGATTCTTATGTTGTTCATTTATAATCTCTTTATTATTATTATTATTCTCTATTGTTGATGTTGTTGATATTGTATCTTTATTATTCATTATATTTAAAAAGAAAGATAAATATAAATAGATTAATAAAGAATGAAAATGAAACTTAAAGTTGAATGAGTGAATGGAATGACCCACCCTTCTTCCTCTCTCAACTATCTCATTCCCCTTTCTTTTGATAATTCCTTTTGAGAGTTTGAGTGGTTGAAGACCCTTTAAATTTCATTGTACTCAACTCCTGTCAAGATCGTCGATTCAAAAAAATTCCCCCTTAATTTAGTGCCCAAAACAATCCATCCAATTTCAAATAAAGACAAGGGTTTTTTTGGTCATGATTTTAACTAATTTTTGTCTTGTGATTAAGTACTAGGGTGTCTTTGCCTCTTTTGTTGCTACATTATATTATTTTGAATACTTGTATATAGTCAGAATAGAGATAGATAGATAATCATATAAAAATGTCAGGATCAGCATCATCATTAAAAAGTCACTTTGAAAAGGTACGCTATTGTTGGATATCGAATGGAAGGGAATTTCTCTTGTTGGTATATTTGATATATTCTAACAGTCATGATTGTTAATGCATTATAGGAAATTGAAAGAGCTAACGAACCAGCAGGGAGAAAGGAGCGTGTCTGGACGCCTAAATCAGACGATTCATACAATCGTCAAACTACAAAACAAGTGGCTGGAGGTCCACCACCAAAAAAATCAATCAGTGATTTACCATAGATTCAAGATGATCATCTTAATTATTTGTAACTTTACTTACTAGTTATAGTCAATTATTAGCAATAATAATAATAATAATAATACACATCAAATTTGTACATATTCATTTATTTATTTAACCAAAAAAATTAATTAATTAATTATTATTATGATTAATAATTATCTTTATTTAAATATTTTAATATTTGATGATTATCACTATTACTATTACTACGACTATCGATTTTATCTTTTTTTTTTTGATCTCTATGTCTTTCCTTTTCTGCCAAAACATTTAAATGTTCATTTTGTTGTTCCATCATTAATAATCTTTCAGTACTATTATTTAATCGATTTCTATCTTTTAGTTCTTTGAGAATCTTGAATTTCAAAATATCAAATGAATAGTTTACACTAAAATGTTTGTTTACATAATCTGATATTTCATCAAGAGTAAATGGGAATCCAATCCCATTATATAAATATACCAACATTGCAGCTTGATCATGTGCATTTACCAATACTTCTCTTTGATCCAATGAAAATAATATATTCTTTACTTTTAATCCTAATACTAATCTTGTTGTTTTTGATGGAGGATTCTCTGTTGCCATTTGACTAGAGTTGAAAGTTTGGTCCAATGATAATGATCTTGGACTAACAGTACGTAATCTTTTTTTTCTTTTGTTATTGTTGTTGATAGAGTTGTTATTTTTGCTGTCATAAAGTACATGGGCCAATAATGAGACATGTCCATGTTTAATGATTACTGGTAATAGTATATCCCAACGTATAGTATCAGCCGATGCATGATAGATTTGACAAAAGTAATCAAATACCTCTACACTACCACTTTCACATACTTGTTTCAAGAGGTTGGTAGGATCGTTTGACTCGTCTGAAAATGACTTGTCACCACCAATAATATGTTTGATCAATTTGATTTGGTGATATTTGATGGCATGGTGTTGAACGATTTGGCTATGCTCTTGATTCATTGATGCGAGTCGGTCGTACAACTCGACTGAAGCACATCGACCAATACCGTCACGAATGTCCTGTGCGACGGTACCAAACACCTCCCAATCACGGTACCCCAGATACTCGTTGAAAAGGTCGAGTACGTTGACCAGGTAACTCTCAGACTTTCCTTTTTCTATCTTGTCAATCTTGTGTTTTCCAATACTTGTCCATTTGGTCTTTTCCAATCGATCCAATTCAACCATTTCCTTTTCCTCCAATCCATCTGTTGATTGAGACGAGCAAGTTTGAAGTTCAACGATTCTTTCATCATTGGTTTGAAGTGTTTCTAAAATCGATTGTAACAAGTCAATTCGTTCAGATTCGACAGTGTATTCGAGTGCCATTTGTTTCTTTTGGTCACAGTTGTTTTCGACGGCACCGAGAAAGATGGATTGTACTATTTGGTCAATTGACATGGCATCTAGAAGAGTTGGGTGACATGCAAAATGATGCTTGTCAAAAAAGGATGGCAAATGAACACGCAACCATCCCAAAATATCGGTCATCTCTGCATCACGTCTTTTAAACAATACCTCGGTGTAGGACGACAGTTCATCTTCGACACTCTCCATTTCATTGTCTGCCAACCATTGAATCTGAGCTAAATTGCATACTGGCAGAATAACACGTTTAGCATCACCAAACAACGAGTCGATTGCATAATCCATAACCTTGTCCAAATCACCACTCTTGTCCAACAATTCAAACGATATAATATCCTCTTGACTCGTCCCACCTCCCTTTAAATAATTCTTGTATAAATATTTAACTATTAATTGATTTAAATATTCATATTGATCATTATCTCTATTATTTAAATTTGGATGACGATGAATAATTTCTAATCTTGTCTTTTGTATAAATTCATCAATTGTTGTCATTTCATTATTATTATTGTCTCTTGGAACAAAAATAAATTTAAAATAATCTATTTGAGTTGAAGGAGATTGTTGAAAGGTTGAATAGATGTATTTAAGTGTTGGATCGTATGACAGGTATTCATAGGGTAGGTCTTGTCCTCCGTTGGCTGGTTTGGGTAGTCCGATGATATCGTGTACTCGGACCAATAAGAGACGGTAGTTGCTAGTGTACTCGAGGTTACTGTTAAAGTTGGAGATGACCCATCGAATGGCATCTCGACATCCTACGGTCGGCTGGACATCTTCGAGCCATTCGTTCCACATGTGAAACTCGGTAAAGTCTGGTGGCTGCACGTCGGTCGTCTTGAGATGTTGGAGTATTGACAAATGACCACCTGCAATAGCACCGGCATACGCCAACGATCTGTCAAGTTGAATAGGCTCGGTTTGATGTAGAAGCATTTTGACAATATCAAGTGACCCACCTCTACAAGCGTTATAGAGTATCTTTGGTGAGACGAATAGTGGTCGTTGGTGATTATACACAACAGTAAAATCAGAGAGACGTGTCATCTTTAGACACACCATTTCAATAGCTCGTTCACTAAATACTACGTCTTGACCATGCTTGATCTTATCGACTAGTAGTCCAGTATGGTTGTACCAACACACCATATCCATCGCGTCGTTCCATTGATGGTATCGCATCAACTGCAAATACCTAGACCGATCGACACACTCTCCATTCCTATCTCTGTCTCTATACAATTGTCTATGTATCTCTCTAATATCTCTCTTTATCAATTTAAATATATATTGATTCTTTAATATTAAACTAAATGATCTAAAGATAGAGATAAAAAACAAATTAAAAAAAAAGAATAAAAAATAAATACAAATAATTAAATACAAATAATAATGTTTGTTTATTTGTTTCATACCTTTTTTTTATATCCATATTTAAATTTTAATTATTAATTATTTAATATTAAAATGTTTAAAAATTGTTTTAGGTTTAGGTTCACATTTAAAATAAAAGTATCAATGAAGGAGATGGAATAGAATTCTATTCTATTCTCTCAAAAGTTAATAATAAAAAATCGTAGTTTAACTTTATGTGAACCATTGCCAATGAGTAAAAACTAATAGTAATAATTAATTTACTATTTTTATTTGTAAAAAGAGTAAAAAATCTTGAATGAATCGTCACACTCCTTGAACTGAGATTTCATTCTTTCTTCTTTGCAGCCGACTGTATCATAGTACTACTCATATACTCTACTCTCTCTAGTATCGACACACTTGTTATAAACAATCTGTTACACTAACATTAGATTTCTCGTATGTGATCTCTGTCAAATCTAATATTTTGATATAAAGAATATTTTAAAATATATATGTGAGGAGTATTAATATTACCCTTTTTTTTTTGTAACAGAGATAAACATTTAAAAAGATAATGTCAGTAATACTTCAATTTGATTTTGAATATCCATCACATTTATTGGGAGATGTATTGGTTCAAAATGCTACACCACTTGCAGAGAGTATCAATAAGGAACCAGGATTCATTTCAAAGATATGGACAGAGAATACAAAGACTGGTGAAGCAGGTGGATTATATTTGTTTGATAATGAAGACAATGCCAACAAATATCTTGCCATGCATGTTGAACGTGCCAAGAGTATGGGTGCTCAAAACATCCGTCATAAAATATTCTACATCAATTCTACTCTCACCAAACTAACTCATGGTGATAAGTTTACACAAGGTTTCTAACTTAACAAATATCGTATAGTAATTTAAATTGTATGACTTTTTCAAAGACTGCAACTTCCTATCCTTTAAATCTGGAAAAGGTTGAAGTTGTTCAATAACTGGGGATATATGAATAAAATTTAGCATTCTTGGTGTCAAGATCATCATTTACCAACACACTCAAACTATTATTATTTGTAGAGTTTTGAAGTCTACTCAACTGGTTGATTGTCATTCTTAAAGTAAAAAGTGATTATTTGATTGCACAAGTGTTGGAACCATGTTAGAGGGGAGAAAAGAAATAAATAAAAAATAAAAAATAGTATTGGTAGCAGTTCCTATTTTTTTATATTGTGTTAAACGTAATTCGGATAATAATATGAATGAATGTTCATAGTTAATATAAAGTGTGGGTTAACTAACACTCGCACATTCAGTGTTTGTTATCTTTGATTCAAGATATACAGATAGAGTGAAAGATAGAGATATATTTAATTTTTATAAAAGTATGAATAGATTTAATAATAATAATAATAATAATGTTAATCAATCAACATCATCTACATCTACAACGACAACTACAACTACAAAGACAAATACTATTGCACCATCACATGCATTACTTGGATTGGCTGGTGCGATGTCAAGAGTTGTAGAATCATCTATTATGTTTCCATTGGATACGATCAAGACAAAGATACAATTCCATGCTCATACAACTGTCAATGAACAACTAAATAAGACTACAGCGGCGTCGGCAGATGCTGCATCAAAGAATCGTCGATTTGATAAAGGATTTTGGACACCTTTTAGTAGTATTGTAAAGACTGAAGGAATAAGAGGATTATATCGTGGATTCATGCCACATCTTTTATATGTTATACCATCTGCATCTATATCGTATGTATGTTTAAATTAAAGAAAGATATTGACAAAATATTACAATACTAACTAAATCTATATATATATAAATATATTTGTTAGATTTGTATGTTATGAATCAATATCAAAATATTATCGTCATTCTTCTTCTACTACTACTACAAAAGGTGAAGAAGAAGAGATAAATAAACATTCAGTATTGGTACCATTGTTTGGAATGACGATTGCTAGATTATCTGGATCAATTATTAGAACACCATTTGATATCATCAAGATGAGATTACAAGTATCACATGATGTTCAAGTACAACAACAACAGCAACAACAGCAACAACAACAAAAGATGACAAATGGTGGTACGATGAAACCAAACCATCGAATTGTATCTGTATCATATGGTCAGACACCGATGGAAACCTTTACAGAGATTGTCAAAAAGTCTGGGTATAGAGGATTATTTAAATACAGTTATGTGACGATACTTAGGGACCTTCCATTTAGTGCCATCTACTTTATCACCTATGATATGACTAAAAACATGTTGCTCAAGAAAAATGGCGGGCAGGCCAACCCTCTAGTCTATGTATTGTCTGGATCAATCGCTGGATCCACTGCAACTCTCTTTACCATTCCAATCGATGTCATTAAAACTAAACTTCAAACTCAAGTATGTATATGTGTGTGTGTGTGTGTGTGTGTGAGATTGTCATTACCATCAATGGTTTACACAACCAATTATAACTATAATATCATAATAATCATTTCATTAATCTCTTCTTCTTCCTCTCTCTCTTTATATTATAGGATAACTTACCAAAGCAAAAGAGATTAAGTGGTGTTGTGAATGGGTTAAAATCAATCTTTAAAAGTGAAGGTGTTAGAGGATTAACAAAGTTTGTATCAATATGAATATTCATATTAATCCATGATCATTGGAATAATTTAATATTAATATTAATTTCAACAATCCATTCAATCACAAATCAACCAACCAACCAACCAATCTAGGGGCATTTTTGTTAGAATGATACACATTGTACCATCAGCTTCAATATCATTTGCCAGTTATGAGTACTTTAAAATCTTATTGACTCAACAACAACAACAACAACAACAACAACAACAACAACAACAACAACAACAACAGCAACAATAATAACAATAACACGATAACATTGCAATCTAGATTCGCTGCTAAAAGAATACTAGTGAATGAATAATCGTCTATCTTTCCCCCACCCCACTTTCATCATGATTCCCCACTCCATATCCACCCCATTTCTCACACACACCACAGTGTTTTATATGGGGGGGGGTGGGTTGGAGAAATATATATATTGCCAAACACGCTTTGTCAATATAACAATAATCATAAAAGACACAAAACTACTACTCTGCAGATTTCATCCTCCTCCTCTTTGTATTACAAAAGTAAAATATTAATATAATAATAATAATATTAGAGTCATTGTCAAACACAACTAAAAACTACAACACTTATCATCATTCATTCCCTGCTATCTATCAGTTGGATCAACTCTCTTTCTCTCACTCTCTCAATTTCATTGTCAATCAATCAATCAATATATTACTCATCAATATATTTATAGATTGGTATACAGATAGACAGACAGGTAGACAAACAAGTCAGACAGTTATTATTATTATTATTATTATTTCAACACACTCCCTTTTAAATAATATTCCAAATCAACAAACAATCAATCCATCTCTTCTGTCATTTTTTCTCTTTTCTCTTTTTTTTTAAAATATCCATTTCATAATTAATTACCTGTATATATATATTATTAGTTTATTTATATATATTAGGAAGTAATTACAATTACAAAAAAAAAAAGAAAAAGAAAAAAGAATGAATATAATTAATTATTTTAGACATTCTCAAAATTATTCTTTATATAATAATCCAAATCCTATATTTCATCAAGTCAATGATTTAAATGGATCTCAAGAACCAAACAATAATAATAATAATAGCAGTAATAATGGTAATAACGGTAATAATAATAATAGTAATAATGGAAATCAAAAACAATCATCATCATCATCATCTCAATCATCAACCTCTCAATTACAACCATCACAAACACAATTATCAATACTTCAACAAAATGGAAAATATAATAATGGAAATACACAAGTAAACCGAACAAGTAGTTTTACACCTTCACCAGTGTTGTATATGACACCAATGGCACCAATCGATTATGGTATTTCAGACGATATGTTGATGGAAGAGAAATTGGATGGTGGTTGTTTATCTGCAACCTCTAGTCCTGCATTTCCTTCGAGTGAACAAGATGCAGTTGTTCCTGATTACATTTCAAGTATGATGATGTCTTGTTTAGACTCTGAACTCTCCATTAAATATGGTATTTCAAGTTTCCAAGGTACTCGTAGATATATGGAAGATAGACAAAAAATTAAAATTGGTTTTGATAATAATCCAAATGTTTCTTTATTTGGTGTATTTGATGGTCATGGTGGTTATGTAAGAAATGAAAAACAAACAAACAAATAATATTTAATATTAATCTTTCTTTTTATTTGTTTCTTTGTATCTTTTAGAAATGTGCAGAATTTGTAAAGAAAAGAATTGTACAATATATGAATAAATTTTTAAAAGAGAATAAAACTGGATACTCGAGTGGAAAGAATAGTAATGGGTCATCGGCAGCTTCGAGTCCAGCAATGTACGAGTCACCAAATTGGCTAAAGAAAAATGTGATTGGGTGTGGTAGTTACAATGAAATTCAACAACGAAGCGAGTTTCTTCAACAAGCGTTATTTAGTACCTTTCAAACACTGGACAATCGTTATTACAAGAAATACAGACAAAAGAATGAAAGTGGAACTACATGCTTGGTGGCACTATTATCTGCTCCTCCAAACCTTCAACCTCTGTTGATTGTAGCCAACGCCGGTGATTCACGTGGAGTACTGTGTCGCAGTGGCAAGGCAATTGCGCTGTCATTTGACCACAAACCTGGTAATCCAAAAGAGAAACAACGTATCAATACGGCTGGTGGAAAGGTCGAATGGGATTACTCTGAACGTATTTGGCGTGTAGCAGGTGTATTGTCAGTGTCACGTGGTATTGGTGATATTCCACTTAAAAAATGGGTTATATGTGATCCAGAGTTTGTAGTCATTCCACTTAAATGTATATCACCTAATAGTCAAGTAGGTGTCAGTAGTGGTGGTGGTGGTGGTGGAGCAGGTGCCAACCTTCGAAACAGTGGAAAGTTCTTTGGTTACTCTTCACCATTAAGTGTCGGTTCGCCACTCACCCCATCCAAATTATCGTCATCTCCATTCAGTCCCAAACTACTGCTCTCACGTAAGAGCAAGCGTCATTCATCCCCTCTCAATACCCACAACCAAACACCTGCTGGTTATGCAGCATCCTCTCCCATGTCTGGTGCTTCAAATCCTTTGTCACCAGAATCATCAATACCATCTTCACCAAATTTTAATAATCATTCAAACAACGTACCAACAACAACAACAACAACAACTAGTACATCAGACGATTCAGTTGTACCAGATATTGATAATAACAATCCAATTGAAATTGTCAGTCATCAACATCGAAATCATTTATCAAATTCTTCGAGTCCAAACTCATCACCAAAACTATCTAGAAGACAATCAGTTGGTGTTGTTAAAAAGTCAGCTCAACCAAGCTCCACGTCCTCTAACCAACAAGGAAGTTACAATATTAGTAAAAACAAACATTGTTCTCCAATGCAACCAGCCACACCAAATATAGAATTGGATCAATATTTTGTTGTTGCTACCGATGGTATTTGGGATGCGTTTACCAACCAAGAATTGATTGATTTCATCAACAACACCATCTATGATATCTACAGTACAAAGAGATTGGATTGGGATCCAACAGATATTGCTAAACGAGTCACAATGGAGGCTTGCATTAGAGGTAGTGGTGACAATAGTACTGTCATCATTGTCAAATGTTTATCTCAATAAATAAATTAATTAATTAATATATTTTAAATTATATTATTTTTTTGAATAATTATATATGTTTAGTTATGAGAGAAAAAATCAACATTCCAACACACAATTTATGTATTAAAAATCATCGATGAACAATCCATCACCATCATCACCTCTTATTCTTTTCTTTTAAAAAGAATAATGAATATACATTATACATTATACATTATACATTATATATATATATCTTCAGATCAACTCTATAAAACATCAACATTAATATAAAATAGAGAGAGAGAGACAAAAGACAAATCTTTAGGGATTGATTAACAAACTTGTTAATCATGGATGATGCAACCTTTATAGGATATATTCATTTCATTAGATATATTAATGTTAGGACAACACCAAAGATTAGATTATTGGTAGAGATATTCTGTTTGTTTGTCATTGCTATCTTTTCAGCTGCTCTATTATTATTACATACTCAATATGTTGGCAAAGTATGATCAAAGTTATAATAAAGAGAATGATTTATTTACTTATTCATAATATGTTATTATAGGCAGATTGTATTCTAGAAGTATTTAATAGTAATTTCCCAAAGTATAAATTTGATATACTTTCCATTCATGTAGGAGGAGAACAAGAAGAAAATACTTGAAAGAAAGAAAGAAAGAAAATATTAATAATAATTTAAATTATTGAATATTTAGATTAAAGAAGAAGATCTTGCATATAGTCATTTAAGAGATATTGTATTATCAGGATCATCACAAACTACTGGTAGTAGTGGTAGTAGTGATTTGGATGGTACTGAAGAAGATGGAGGAGATAGGGAGAAAAAAGATTATCATTGGGATCCAGTAAGTGGAACTACAATTGGAGGTAAAAGAGTACCTGGTGGTGGTGGTAGTGGATCATCAAAGATTGGAGATAATTATCCATTTTCTCAACCTATAGAAGATCGTCATCATCATTTGAAAAGACCTAATCCCAATTTATATGAATCATTACAATCAAAGAAAAGAGTGGTAGCAACACAAGAAGAGAATATGGAGCTATTGAATCTATTTCTTTACGAGACTCAACAGAAATATGAGTTTTCATTACAAAAAGGATTCTTACTTCTCTCACCAGACATACGGACAATGTACAACATTACAACATTTCAAATCAATATATTCACCAATCAAACTTGTCTTGGTGGACCATACCACAAGATGCTTATTAAATTACTAGGTTATGATATTGTTATTATCAATAATTTGGTTAATAGTTTTAAAGGAAATGGTTATTTAAAGATATTTGATGATAATTCTTTAATTAATCTTTCTCAATATTCTTCTCCTGAAAGAGAATTTTCTTATGGTATGTAAATATAAATAATTAATATAATTATATTGTTTGTTATATTAATATTCTATTTATTTATTTAATTTTTAGAATATATTATTTATTTAATTCAATGTATAGTCAAAGTTAATTTAATATTTTTTTCAACTATTATTGTTTTTGGAATTGGTAGAATTGGAGTATTTTTCTTATCACGGTGTATGTAATCAACTAAATATCAACAATTCATTCTATAATAATATTTAATTAATTAATTATTTTTAAATTATAGTTTTTGATGCAAGTCCTCGAGGGTTTCATGTTTTAATGATTCATAATTGTATCATTGGATTAATTTTTGTAATTGTACAGATTGGCAACATTTATTTATTCTCATATTTCCTATTACCAGAATATCTGGTATTTTTAATTTGTTCTCTTTTTTCTTCCTATGTTTCAACTTGGGGGTATGTAATATATACACTTAATCAAATGAAATATGAAACTAATATTAATTTTCGTACCTTAGATTAAGATCAAAAGAAAGTATAAAATATTATCCAATTATGTTTCTTGGTATTTTATATCTTTTAGGACACTATGTTATGATATTTCCATCAGGTTTTCATATGATATCTTTTTGCTTATCATATACAACCACCGAGTATCTACTAGTTTTATGCATTTTAAATTTCGAATTACCTGCAGTCATGAATAATCGAATACCATCACCCTATAATTACATGGATGTCGATATCAATCAAATAATTAATAATAATAATTTATACTCTGAAGAGGAGGAAGAGGAAGAAGAAGAAGAAGAAGATGATGAACAAGAAGAGGATGAACAACAAGAGTATGATGAAGGACAACAACAACAACAACAACAACAACAAGAACAACAAGTACAATAATGAATCACCAAATTTGAATAGTTGGAATTGGTTTAATTGAATAAATTCAAACCTCAACATATAGTTTATACTATATTACCAATTATAGTCATACATGGAATATAAAGGGGTGTCCTTGAATACAAGGCAAATCGATCACTTGAAACCAGAGACATTTTCCACCTTGAATGATTTTTTCAGATATTTAAAGGAAATTCATAGGTCATAAAAATTGATGACGTTGAAGACGCGGGTTCTCTCTCCTGCAAATATAAATATTGTAAAGGAATAGCCTATCTATCTTTTTTCTACATATACATATATCAATTTATCTATAGAGATGGAATCAATTTTAGAAAACTTTGTAGAGGTTACACTTGTACCTTCTGCAGTATGTGTATTTGTGTTTTTTGCAACATGTATTACATTCGATCTTATTGCAGCCAACAAGACATTAAGAAAAAAGTTTATGATTCAACAAGTAACAGAAACACCTGAAAAGATCAAAGAGATGATCAGTGTGGCAATGAGAAACCTCTTTGTCGGCATGATCATTTTGTTTTTGTTACATCCATTACACAAGCTCATCATTACCGTCGGAGATTATGATGTGCTCAAGGAACTTGGTGTATTAGTAGTCATGCTCTTTTTGGCAGACGCAGACTTTTATTGGAGTCACAGACTCTTGCATCACAAATACTTTTATGCCAGTTGTCACAAGCTCCATCACTCGTGCAAGCATCCAGTACCATGGACAAGTCTCTATGTCGATTGGGGAGAGTTTTTTATTGCCATTCTCTCTAGTTTCTTGGTGCCACTCTGGACTGCCCCTCTACTTGGTCTCCATCCACACTACTACACCTACAGTTTGTACTTGTTGGTCATCACCTTTTCATTGGTCATGTCACATGATGGCATGGAATTGCCTTTCCTATCGGCCACCCATCATGACGAACATCACCTTTTATTCACTGGTAACTATGGTTCGAGAATCGGTCTTTGGGATGTATTATGTTCTACAACAATCAAATCTAAAAAATCAAATTAATAAATTAATAATCAAACAATTACAAAACATAACAATGACATTCTTTTCTTTTTTAAACAATTTCTATTTTATTATTTTAATATTATCTTTAATTGGATTGAATATTCGTAATGTTTAAGAGTGGATCAATTAGAGATCAAGAAATATTAGATACACTCGAATTAAATAAAGAATATGTAAAGTCATTATTAAATAACAATGGTCTTCAACAACAAAGATCTGTAGTACTCAACAGTAACAACAATGATAATGATAAAGGAACAATCTCTTCAACGACAACTACTACAAAGGATGATAAAACAGTTGATGATCATGAATTGATGATGAGAGATAGAGGTACTGGTAGAAACTTTAGTCCTAGTATTGGTTATCTTCAAAATGTAATACACCATATGGTCGATCACAACACTTATCTTACAGATCAAGAATCAAAATTGTACAATTCAACAACAACAAATAACAACAAGAATCGTAATGATGATCATACTCCTTTTAAACAAGGTCGTTCCTCTTCATCATCTTCATCTTCAACTTTATTCTCTCCTTATTCAAGACATCAAGACAATCATAAAAGAAGTAGAAACGTTCAAAGAAGAGAACCAACATCACAGTATGATAGAGAAAGAGATGAATACAACAAAAAGAGAGAGCAGACATATAATAATCGAATGAAATCAATGCTCCAACCATCCCCATCTTCAACAACAACAACAACAAAAAGAGATCGTGACGATAATTATTATTACAACTCCTCTGAAGATGATCATTATAGTGATGATTATTCAATGGATTCTGGTTATGATGACAATGACGACGACGAGATCCCAGAGATATTGACAAGAACTCAAGTAAGAGGTAGAGGAAGGATTGGAAGCAGAGCCAATGATGAACAAAAAGATAAGGAATTGTTGTACAGATTAAAAGACAATTATGGAATTAATTTAGATGTGTATGGACCATCGGAAAGAAGAAGTAGAAGTAGGACAAGAAGTAGGAGTCCAAGTCAAAATAGGTTTAGAAGTAAGAGTCCAATAAGCAAAAGAGATCGTCACAAGACCCGCCAAGATCTAGATTGGAAATCTTCAAGTACAAAAAGAAAAGAAAGGAAATCGAGTCGATCAAGAAGTACTTCGTCATCATCATCAAGTGACGGTAGTAGTGAAGATGAAAAGAAAAAAAGAAAGAAAAGAAAAGAAAGGAAAAGAGAAAAAAGAAAAAAGAAAAAGAGTAAAAGGAAAAATAAATCAACAGATGGCAGCAACAAGGACTAAGCCCCCTAAAGTAATTGATCGACAATGATTATGATTAATTGTAAAACATTATATATTTATTTTTATTGATTGGGAATTTTATTCGAAAATGGTTCTATTGTAAGCAGATTTGAATAATAGACGATGAGATAAACTAAAGACTGATAAAGTTTCAGAGTCTGATTCCATTTCATTCTCGAGGAATTCGTAATCGTCAACACCAATTTCATTTAGGGCTTCATGAATTTTGGGCAGCGAGGATTTCTTGAATCCAATATTGTCAACCCATTCCACGAATTCTTGGTAACTTTGGATTGGAGTTCGTTGCTGGCGTCGTTCCTCAGCGTTGTTCCAAATGAGATTAAAATGGTTTTGAGACAAACGAGATGAGAATTTAGATTGAATACCATTCCCATCTTCGTCCATAAATGCAAACAAAATATCAAAAGTGTCTATAGAATTGCTTTCGAGATCCATGATAATTTGGTCGGCAATATTGTTTTCATTTGGAAGGTATGCTCTGATCCAATTAAATATATCTTCATTTCCGAAAACCTTGGGTCTTTGTTGACATCGTGTCTCGGCATCTCTCCAAATATAGTTGAATTTGGCTGCTTTCAAACGAGATGAGAATTTAGATTTTATCTTCTCGAGATCCTGGTCCATCGCCGAAAACAACTGTTCAAACGTGTCAATGCCTTCTGTTTGTAGATCTGAAATGATTTCATCAATACAGGCATCATTTTTGAGGGTATCTTTGATCCAACCAAAGAGCTCTTCATTTTTAAATATTAAAGTGGCTCGCTTGACAAGTGGTGTGGATTGCAGATGACTTGATTTGGATGATAAAGAAATATCTTGTTGTTGGTTGGTCAACGTTGTTTTATATCCTTGGATAAAAATTTTACTGTTGGGTTGGGAACTTAATTGTTTCTTTGGAGGATTGTATGTTGGACTTTTCAATTTCTCTGGTGTTTCATTGACAATAGGTGTGACGGCTTCAGGGGTTGATATCTTGTGCTCGTGTACTTTTTCATAAATCAACAACACACAATTTCTTGATAGACTCTCTTCAATGTTTGAAGTAATCACACTGTTAGTGGTTGCACATCTAAGATGAATATCTTGTTCTCGATGTTTGATATATAATACTGGTTTTTCTTTGTTGCTCAGGTCCTTTTCACGACACTAGATAAAGTTAAGAATAAATAATTGGCCACTGATTTGATTTTAAATATTTGATTGTTATATACATACTAGAATTGATTGAATATTATACTCATAAATGATTCCAGAGGAATTATGGTATTCATCCAATTTAATAGTCTCTTGATATTGTAAATGATGTTTTTCCTTTTCATTATTATCTCTCTTGAAACTGACAAACAAATATTGTGGAGCTTCCATTAATCGTTTGATTTGATTGACTGTCCCACATTGTTTGCAACTATAATATTTAAGAAAAGTATGTGTTAAAATATATATTCCTCATAGCCAATGATTTGATTAACTTACAAGAATGTATTTGAACTTTGATCTTTAGCAATGTCTTTGATTAGATCTTGGACATTGGTATCTTGACGTAATGGTAATACTCTTTCAAAGAGCATACTTTCATTTCTTTGACTGTCTGGAACTGTTGCTTTACATTTACCACAAATCGATTGAATCTTTGCACTGTAAAGTTTCTTGATACCATTATCATTTTCCATTTGAGCCAGTATTGACAATATTTGAATCAATAAATCACCTGGTAATGTAAATGTTACAATTGAGAATTGTAGATAAAGTTTAGAGATATCAATCGGAGATGTTTGGTTCTTTTGACATCTTGACCAGAATCTTTGAAAGAGTGAGGAGAGTGGTCCCAAGTCTTTTTGTTTGGAGATCATCATTGGGATGTTGTGATTGGCATATCTGATCCAATTGAATAGACAATGAACAATGTCTACATTCTTGATTGGAAGAATTGGTCTGAGACTAAAATTGAATTCATTTTCAATGGCTTGCTCCTCTTCTTCCTCTTTGGTATCATCCTCGTCCAAGAAACAATAATTGTTATCATAATATTTGAAATTGAGTTCTGGATTTTTCTTTTCCTGCTCTTCTTCCCCTTCCCCTTGTTTTTCCTCTATTGTTAATACTTCTTCATCTGATTCATCGAGTTGTTGTTTGGTTTTCTCTTCCTCTTCTTTTTCTTTTAGTTTCTTTGTGTGATCGTTGAATTGAGTGATAAATGGTTCGTTGTATTCTTTGATTTGGTTTTGACTGTTTTGAGAATCCAAATAGAGAATTGAAAGGATTTCATGTAATGTTCTCATAAAGTATGCATAGTATGACATTGGAAGAGTTGGTGATGTCATCTCTTCAACTTTGATGAAATCCAATGGCGTACTTGAGTTGTTGATATGTGAGAATAAGAGTTTGAGGTGATGGTCTGGTTGTGACTTTTTGATATCATTGATGCATTCTTGAGAACATAAATCTTGAACAATACCTTTGAGATATTGGATACCTTTGTATATCTGTAGTCCACCACCACCACTGATGGCTGTAATATAATAATTCTTCATCTGATTTAAGTGATCGATGAAGTCTGGATTTGGATCAGTTGGTTCTTTGGTTACATTTGAGTACAAATAACCATAGGAGAGATATCCTTGAATTACAATGTCTGCCAATGTCTTGATGTTGTTGATCTTAATGCTCTCCAACAATTTAGTGATTTGGGATGGGATGTTGGTGTTGTCAATTCCAAACTTTGAGTTGAAATGCATGATTGGAAGACCGATATCTTCAGCATCCTTTTCCTTGTGAACCAATCGAGTAATGGTTGATACCAAACTATTGGCAAATGATTCCAACTTGACTGAACTCAATTTAGATCGACATGTTGCTGTGATTGGAGCAAAGATGGACACTTCTATTTCATGAGCATAAATCCTTGATTCCAATTGATCTTTCATATCTATCAAGTTTTTGATTGGTTCTGGAACGAGTCGAGAGTGTGGAAGCTTTTCAATGGTTTGATCTTTGGATTCAGTAACTCTTTTGAATGGGAATTCACCAGTAAAGTTCTTGAGTTGTCGACCAGTACTCTTTCCAGATGCAAATTTGTAGATCAACTTTTGTTGAATGAGTGCCAAGTTTGGATGGAAATTGGTTCGTTGGAATTGGTGGTAATGAGAGACTGATTCGATGAGGAACTTTTGATAGTCTGCAACTTCAAAGTTGGATCCCAACAAGAGATAGTTGTCTCCATAGTCGAATGGTATTTCACCAATATCCATTGTTTGCAATCTATCTGTCATTTTTTCGAGAATAGATGCAAATAGGGCTGACTTTGGAGCAATAGTAATCTTTGATACAACCTTTCCTTGGGTATCGGTCATCCAATTGTTAATCAGTCTAATAATTTCACCACCTCCATTTTTAAGCTCTGGCATGTTGATTAGTTGACTGACTAGTGTGGTATCATCGATTGGTGGAATGATCTTTTCGTATTCTGGACGAGCACGACAACCACCTTCTGAGAACATTGAGATGTCTGGTGATTTCAATCCAACTTGATTTCAATTTGTTCCATGATTTGGTCATTTCTTCAATGTTGGATTCATCTTCGATATTTTGATTCTTGAGATATTCTATACATTCCGAGATTGTATTGTTTGTATAATTCTCTGGTAATCTTCTTGCAAACATTTGATAGAACAACTTGAGGAAACGAATCAGATTCTTGAAATATTTGCTGATGCAAATAGCTGATACATTCTTTGTGAAATACATTAACAAGTCCATATCCTTGGGTGACCCGTCTGTTTGACTTTCTTCAATAACAAACTGATTGACCAAGTTGTTAAAGATTGATTGGTATTCATAGAGTGGTGATGAAAATACGTTGGTGAGGTTTTGACGAATTGAGGCGATGAGGCTGTTGGCAACATAACCTTGGAGACGATCTGCTTTGAGTTGTGCGTATTGTGATCTGACATTCTTGATCATTTCAGTGAGATAGTTTTCATAGACGACCACTTCAGTGTGACCTGCAAAGGTTGACTTTTTATGAGGAGCACGTGAGTCGTAACAATCATTCCAAATGCTGTAGAGCAACTCAGACACGAAATGGTCAGCTTCGATCTTGTCGTCGATGATTTCCTTTGTATTAATGATGTGGCTGAACGATGTTAATGCACGGGAATGAATATAGTCAACCAACTTTTTGTGAGAGGGTCCACCAAATTTAGGTTCGAAAAAGTCATCACCGTTGACAAAATGACGTTCTTTTTTGTTGATCAACTTTTCGTAAACTCCTTCATCGCAAATTGAAACATACCATGCAAACGAACTCCAAAAAGTGACACCAACCAAGATTTTGTTGAGGTAATTGTTATTCATACAATCAGCTTTGGGTTCGATACCAATCTCGTACTGCATACCACAGTCTCTGAACATACCATCACAGGCAGGATAATATTCCCCAGCGACCAAGAATGGGTTATTGTCAACCATGTGGTAGAGATATGAATTGTTGTTTGAACCAATGGCAATGGCAACACTATTGACCCATATATGTCTGGCTGATGTATCTTGAGGTGAATCATCCTTTGTCATGAGAAGTCTGTCAAACACGACAGTTGAATCAAATTGTGCGACAAGAATCTTGTTGAAAAGTGGAGTATATTTGGCAAGTGAGAGTTTATCTATGACTGATTGTTTGAGTTGTCGTTTGATGAATTGGGTTTGAGGTGCTTTTTTTTCTTGATACATTTGATATGATATCAAAAAGAGAGACATTCTAAAGAATCCTTGTTGTTTAGTTGTTCCACTGTTGTGTGCCAATACTTCATTGAATGCATCCAATGAACAATCACAAACTGATTTCAATATCTTGTTGTAAACAATACCATCTGGTGAGTCTGGGTAATATACAAATGGTAAGAGACCTAGATTTGGAATGTTTTCAGCAGTGATATGGAATTCAGCCAATCCAAGTAGTTCAAGGAGTTTTTGGTTTCCGACAAGCTGAATCAATGTCGACTCATTTTGGATCTTGTTGAAAAAGAATATTCTATTCCAAATGCAACTGATTTGTGCTGTCTTTTCTTTGGTGTCCTCCAAATAAAGTAGGTCTTTGATAATTTGACCAAATGCTTTGTTCTCTGTTAGATTGAGACCTTCGACAAACGTATCCAATGATGATTCTTTGGCCAACATGCTTGTAAATACTTCTAAATTAGTGGTATTGAGTGCAAGAAGTTCAATCTTTGACATTGCATCTGTCTTTTTACAGAGATTGAGCCAATGGTCAACCAGTTCTGATTGTTTGGTGTCATCGAATCGTACTTTGTGTTCTTGAACAAAGTTGTAATAGATTGCATCGATCAATGGTGGGTTTCTTGGATATTGATTAAACTCTTCAATGTTCATCTTGAAGAATGCAAGAACTTGATCTGAAGGAATGAGCATGTCTGTTGATGTTGTAAATTCTGTGCTCTGTGATGAACATAAAGAAAGCATCACTGGATTGGCTTGGATCTCTAGATTGACAAACTTGGCATTGATTAGCTCTCTGTAATGTGTTTTGAGAGCTGGAATTGGTCGATGGAATGCAATGATATTACATAACCAACCAAATGGTATCTTTTTGAGATAATCTCTGTGTTGTTCAAATGAACCATCGATATTGATAATGCTGAGGAAATCTGTGAGGATGGACTCTGAGTGAGATAAAGGTCCGATAACATCCAAATAACAACTAATATCAAATGAATTAAAGTTGTTTGAGAATTGGGTTGTGATTTCGAGGAGACACTTGTCCAACAATGTAATTGGTCTGACTGAGTTATAGATATGTTTCAAACGATCTGGAATATCGATATCATCAGCAGTCATTGCGATGTTCATTACCAATTGATATACCATCGACAAGTATACGGCTTTGAGTTTGTCTTGTTTGTCCAATGTCTTGATCAATGATTCCAATGAAACTCGATTAAAGAGATCTGTCATTGATGACGCCCAATTCGATGTCCATTCTACAATATTATTTGGATCAATTGTTTTACCTTTAACAACATAATCGTAGATGATATCTATTGTTATTTGAGAGAATGTTGATTTGATGGTCTCTGTGTTCTTGAGGTTTTTAGCAGTCAGTTGGTTGATGATCTTGTTGCCTGGTGATAGTTGTAAGAGTGGAGTGGTCATATTGTTGACAAAGTTGATGGTTGATGATCCAAAGTGATGTGCAACTGTGTATTGCAAGATACCAGAGTGCTTGACTGAGAATAAACTCTCCATTACTGCAATGAGTGATGAATCATTTCTGTCAATGTTGAGTGTGTACTTTATAAAGTCTGATTGATAAGCCATCAAAAGATTGTTATCAATGTATTCGACAACCCTTCCAAATGGATCTTTCTTGACACACTTGACAAATAGATCATAGACGATGTCGATTTCAGGATCATTGCTTATTGTCGATTGTTTTTTTAGATTAGTTGATCGGTGGAGTACCTTTTCGAATAGTGATGAAAGGATTTGTGCAATCCAATGGTATAACGGAATAGATGTGTTGAGATCTTTGGATGGTGAACGAGAAAGAAGGATTGGTTCGTATCTTTGAGCGATATTGGATGATATCTTTGGTAGTTTGATACATTTGATGATTTCACATACCAATTGGCTGCTTGGTTCATCAAGTGATTCGATTGATGGATATGATTGATAATTGGTCACCAATTTGAATACTTGTGAGATGACTGGATAGAAGTATGATTCCAATGAACTTTTGATTGAATCGATAAATGAATGTGTCAACTTGCCAGTGAGAATCAAATCGGAAATGTTGGAGATAATCGTCATTAAAAGATCGTCTTCTGACCATTTGTTGGTGAATGATGTGACAACTGCTTTGTACCAAGATGAGTTTGCTCTGAATAGGTTCTCGATCATTTCACCACGACATTTAGATTCAAGGTAGAATAGTCTATGGTCATCCTCCATACCAAGGTAGTTGTTATTGCTTGCCAAGTTTGAGACAAGACGCAATTGAGTAAAGAACATTGATTCGAATGTGTCATGTAATGAAGTGGGATCTATTGGATAATCTAATCGATAAGCAGATGACAACCATGATCTGATGTTTGGATCCCATTCCATCAAATCTGAATCAATCTTGACTCCAAATGAATCGATATACATGTATTCTGTATCATTGAGGAAGATACTATTCAATTTGGCTTGATTTGACAATGAGAATTCAACTGGATAATGACAAATAGTCACCATAATCTTGGAGGATTGAGAGGTATCAAATTGTTCGTTGATAAAGTTGACTTGGTGTTGGTTGATTGATTCCATGTCTGCAATGACCAAACATATCTTTTGTCGGTCATCTTTGTTAAACTCGTTGATCATATCTTGACATTGTTGACTTGTCTTGATTGATGTCAGTTGAATGATTTGGAGTGTTGCCAATTTGTCAATCTCGAGTACTTGTTTGTCTTTCTCGGTTATAGACTGTAACAAGATATCATAGAATGATTTCATTGTTTTGTCAGATGCGATATCTTTGAGATGGTGTAATGTCAATGAAGATCGAGTGTACAAGATCCATCGATTGGAAACATTCTCGTTTTTGACAAACTTTTTGGAAAAGAGATCAGTGATGAAATGGAAGAGGTTAAAGTGTTCTTGACGAAGAAGGAACTCTTCCACATATGATTTGGGCATCGATAGACATCTGAATACACTTTCAGGTCTTGCAATTTGTAATAATTTCCAGTTGAAAAGTCGGAATTCAAAATGATCAACAGAGTTGAATGTGTTGGGTAGTTGAGCAACACCAACCAATGTATCAACTCGTTGTGGTTGGATGTTGATGGATCCAGATTCATAGAGTTTCTTGGCAATGGTGTAGATCAATGATGGGATGGTTCCAGTCTCTGAGAATCCACAAAGAAGTGACTCTGATGATCCAGTATGGAATTCGTTGACAAAGTGAGAGGCGGATGTCTTCATCTTTTCAAAGTATTCAATATGTTGTGGAAGGTTTTGAGAGATATAGTGGTCAACCATTGTGTTGATTGAAAGATGATACTTTTCAAATCTGTTTAACCATGGTAATGGTGTTTGGGGAAGTCGAGATTGTGGCAAGTGGACAATAATCTTAAAGTCTGAATGTACTTGGCAGAATACTGTATGTGTACCAAATGATACATTGGCCATTGTCAAGATCTTATCGTCATGTGGCATTTTGGTAAAGTAACGATTGAATACATCATAGAAACATGCATCAATCGATTGAGTATTGACCAACACAACAGTTTCACCTTCTGACATTTCATTCTTGATTTGAGAGACAACATCGATCAAACTGCTGGTTTGTGTGTCGTTTTCGAATCCACCAACTCTGATGACCTTGTGTTTGATACCTAATTCCTTGAGTACCATGAGTGATGATTCATTCTCGGTTGGATCGATTAACATGATGTATCTGAATGGACATGTTCCTGGATCTTCTGTTGGTTGTAACTTCTCTTGTAATGATTCTTGTATTCTGGTGATCGTGTTGTCATTTCTGTCATAGTCAGCATTGATAAATTGTTTTTGATTGTGGAAAGCCATTTCATCCATAAACATAGAAATGATTTTCTTCATCTGATCGGGTGGAACACCACCAAAGTTACGTTCGATACTCGTTGCCAATACTTGTGGACTGAGATAGTTGTTGTTTTGATGCATTCCTCTTGCCAAGTGATGTAAAAAGTAAACAAAATCTCGTTGATGGAACATATCTGGTTTGGTTGATTTGGCAAATGTGTTGACCTTGTTGTAGGCGGAGCAGAGAGCTTTGGAAACGTCGATTTGATTGATGGTATTTTTATCCTTGAACAGACATCCTTTGACCAACATCATCTTGTCATCATTGGAAATGGTTTGTGGGTGCATGAGCATCATCATACGACTTGTTTTAGCAGCATCGAGAATACGATTTGAAAGAATGATGATTGATATCTCTGCTTCTGATTGATCAATCTTTTTTGCCAAATTATCGAGATAGTCGTGCATAATCTTCATGGGTGAGTCAAATTCATTGACAAGACCTGCTTCATCAAAGAATGCTGTTGCTCGTTTACCACCAGATATGTTGTACACCTTTTGACGGTTGATAGCATTTTCAAAGTTGTTCTTGATCTCTATATCGGTGGTGTGTGGTGTGCATTGGTAACGGAATGGATCTGCACCAACCATCAATCTCCAAGGTGATTCATTTCCTTTGATGGTGGTGGCTGTGTTGTCATTCTTGTTGGCATTGATATTGTTGAGTACAATAGTGAATGACAGTGTCTTTGAAGAACCTGGTGGTCCAACGATACAAATCGGAATACAAGTGTTGATTGATACGACAATAGTAAATATATTGAGTTTGAGTGTATCTGTCAATGCAATACCAGCTGGTAGAGTAGTATATTCTGAACTGCAGAATGAGTTGATGACCTTGTTAAACGCTCCTAAAAACCCAATGTTCTTGATACCAACTTTTCTAGGTGCCTCTTGACTTAAATATTCATTGAAACACCAAAGCATAGTCGAACGTGAAGCTGGATCAACACGAATATAATAAGATAGTGCCATACTGACGATCATTGACCACCAATGAATGATTTCTTCTGAATTGTTTGTGTCTCCAATAGCAACATTGAGAATGGATATACCAACTTGATGAGTTCTAAAGAAACTGTAAAGATCAATGACACGATAGATATCACGGATCGATACATGTGTACGTGCTTGTTTGACCTGTCGAAGTGCATCTTGTCCAACAAGAATAAATCGTTTAAATTGATCCATGGGACTTTTGGCTGTTACAATGCGTAATCTTCGACCAATGGTGCTGCACACATCTTTGATCATTGGACAAATATTTGGACGGAGAGTGAACAATGATTCGAGGAATGGTGTTTCATTGTCTGTTGAAAACTCTCCATAACTGAGTGTGAGGTGACGCATCGATGGTGGTATGGGTTTGACAACAAATGATTCTGTCGTCGATTTGGTATCGATACCAGTGTGGTCCATAGTCAATTTGTTGTCGGCACTCGTGTTGTCCACCAATTTCTGGTCATCAGAACCTTGGACCTTTTTTGGTTCATTCATTGCACCAACCCAGAATATGTTATCTGGAATGACAGTACAACCATCCAATACACCATCAGTAAATACTTCATTGATCAATGCCAATGTATCATCTGGTGCTGTGTTGAATTCATCGATAAATACAACCAACTTGAGATCCACTCCAATCGATTCGAGAGGGTTTGCCTGCTCGATGATTGATTTAACCTTGTCAATGAATTGATCAGAACTATACTTTTGATGCATGATAATTCTTTCAAACAGATTCTTAAAGTTCACAGTCATGATCTCTTTGATGCATTGGAACAACTGATCCTTTTTGGTGATGATACCTCCCGATGGATTGGACTTTAACTCGGCAAGGAGTGCCTTTTGAGAGGAATTGATATCGATGAGCTGATTCTTTTCAAGTATACCAATAACCAACTTTTCCATTCCTTGACAAAATTCTAAAAATGAAAATTGTTTCTTTGGAACTGAGTCGATTTCCTGATCTGGGTCATAGTCTGCAATATGAGTAAGGAATTCCAGTACCATCTCGAGTGGAGGACTACCTGGAAGAAGCTTTAATAGAATCCTTTCCTTTCGCTTGTCAGACATTTTAACATTTTTCTTTTGCTCGTCTGTCAATTGAACCTCATCATCTACTTTGGCAACGACTGTATACTTTTTGAGCAAGTCAGGGAACTGTTCAATGTATCCGTTGATATATTCTTTGATATCATATGCGATATCTGGAAGAACCATCGCATTGATGAGAAGAGAGTAGAAGAGAAGATTGTGAGTCTTTCCAACACCAGTGTCACCAGTCAGCACCAATGATTTGGTATTCTTTGCCTTGCAATGGAGGATGATCAGACGAACTGCAAAGTCTGCTGTGATGACATATTTAAACCGTGTACAAAGTGAATAAATAAGATTGGTCTTGTCAATACCAAATGCTGTTGCAATGGCCAATCTAAGGGATGTTGTATCGTTTTTGACCTTGTCGTATGTGATCAAAGTTTCAACACGCTTTTCCAAGCCATAGTCTGATGGCCCAAGTGCAATGTAGTTGACAGTACATCCATCCATGAACCTACCAGACTCTTCATCGTATGCTTGCATTTCTTGTTTTGATCTTGCAGTGATGAGAGGAGGATTGGCCCAAATACTCGAAGTTGAAGAGTAAATTGGATCTGCTAATTTGGCAGATTCGTAAACAAAGAACTGGAAGAGTTCATGGGGAGGTAATAATGAGGATTGATTCAACAATTCTGGTTCTTCATCCACAGTTGGAATATTGATGTAAAAGGGGTAATAGAGTTTGTTGAGGAACTCTAATCTCTCGCTGAGCAATTTAAAGAATGTCTTTTTCTGTGTCAAATACAAAATATCCTTCAAATACTTTGGTTTGTAGTCAAAAGTATTCAATACACGCATCACAAAGTTGATAAAGTCTGGTTCTTTGACTGATAGTGCCTTTCTTTGATCTGGTAACTGGTAATAACCGAGTGGTTGTTCGTGGCAGGCAAGACATATGAGTTCGGCATCACCAATCTCCCAATCTGTCATGGGTTGGAAGTAATGCATCGACAAGTTGAAGATGAGTGATACAGTATCGAGGAGGTATTGTTCGTGTGATTGGTAGTGAGCATCTAACAAAGGGTCACCAATCTCGACAAAGATAGCCAATTTCAAGTGATCAGATACACTTACAAAATCTTTGATACCATCGCCAAATATGTATCCTTGTGTGATCAATGGATAGATCGTTGTGATGAATGCTTCAAAGTCACAATAGGGTGATAGTTTAAAGTGAACTGTGACCGTTTCTTGGCCTTTGTTTGAACGATTTGCATCCTTAACCAACCTCTTGAGCTTTTTGATAAACCCTCCGATTTGATAGTTTGGACGAACATGAACTGTGATGAACTGTGATGCAATCTCTTGTCGTTTTGAACGAATAAAGAAACTCTTTCCAGTGCCACTCGGTCCAGATACAAGCTGAAGGCTGTGTACTCCTCTTCGATTATCAACCCATTCATCTTTGAATGGTTGCCAATTCTTTTCAAACGATGTTGAATTCAGTTCAATAAACGAGAATAGGTCGAGCAATGTGGCATCTTTGGTAGCAGTGATGATATAAATTCGAGTCAAATTCTTGAAGTCACCAGAACTGTACTTGTCAGAGAGCCAGTTGAGCAATGATATCTTGTCTGATGGGATACCAACGAGGAATATACATGAACCTCTGTACTGTTCAACAATCTTTTTAAAGATTTCAAAGTCTTTTGAGAGAGATGATCCATAGAACAATTGTGATGGATGTGGTAGAACAAACCCATTCAATTGCATGAGACAGTTGTACAAGTTGTTTTTGTCTTGTAATGGAACCAGAATTGGTCCTCTCTCTGAAATGTCTTCCTCCCATGATATTTCTTTCTCTTTCGACTTTTTATCCAAATAATCGATCAACTTGGTAAAGAATTCGTTTGTAAGTGGAAGCTTGTTGATATCTTCAAATAGATTCAATTCGATCAATGCACTAAAGATCCCTTCTTGTGTTGTTAATGAATATGGATAGCAGTACTTGATAAATGGCAAGAGAGCGCATGCAAGTTGGTTTACTCGTTCAGTGAAAAACTCTTGTTTGACAGTGTCACTTGCATTGTCTACAATCTTGAATCCCTTCAAGAAGTAGTTATAGTTGAATATCAACGATGATATTCCTTGTATCTTGAGTAACCACAATCGACTGGGAAGAGTATTGATTTCATCCAACCAATCATCAAGGTCCTTCTGCAACTCTGATGCTTTTGCTTGAAGGCTAGCCAAGCAATGCGAATCGACTTTGATACTAATCATCCCATCAAGATATTTTTGATGATATAAACGATCGAGGTTGGTGTGCAACTCGTGAATGGAACGGAGTTGGATGACAATATTTTCAAAGTGATCTGCATGTTGCATTTGTTCTCCTTTTGAGAAAAACTTGAGACCTTGAACAAAATCATTGACTGCCTCTTGAGTGTGTTCCTTTTTCATTGCTGCATTGTCGATACCAGTGGCAATCAACCATCCAGAAGAACCACCGACAGATTTGGAGGTGGTTGATCTAAATTCCGAGCCTTCAAGAATAAGATTGACCGATGCTTTGATTGATCCAGAATCATATCCACCAGCTGATGCATACAATCCAATGATTTGTGGTAAATTGGTTCCAAATGATTTTAAATGTAACAGTGATTTGGCAAAGTTGGATCCTTCTGTCAACGATTTGACCTTTGAACAAATATCAGTGATACTTTTAAGTGTCACTGGTTTGGAGAGATACAATTCTACAAAACTCTCTATCATCTGAAGTGTGTGGACCGATGCATTCATCAATGCAGAGTTATAAGTGTCTGAAAGGTGATTGGTTGTGAGAATCTGATTCTTTGTTGAAAAGTTGTTCTGAACCTCTTTGATATCTTTTCCAAATTGTGAAAAGAATTGTAAAATCGATGGATTGATGTATTCAAAGATTACCAATTCGTTGTATTCCAATCCTGCTAATAATGGCTTCAAAGATTCCAAATTACTCTTGCTTTGACCCAATGTCATCTTTTCTTGATCAATATCTTTCAAAAATTCGTGAACATTGGCTATGTCTTTATCCTTGTTGGTGATAACCAGATAATTGTTTGTTTCGAAAAAATTATTTAAATATTTAATATTATCTCGATAACCAAACAATGACTTGGCTCGTTGAATAAAATCTTTCAATTGACTTTCTAATTCTAAATTGAATGGCTTGTGAGGCTCAAAGAATAAATACCTATTTTTGAAAAAATAAATAAATTAATATTTTATAATAATATTAATATTTTATATTAATGTTTTTTTTTTTTTAATTATTTTTAATACATACATTGATTTTAATTCTTTTTGTAAATTGATAGTACTTTCTTCCACGACCAACGATTTGAATATATTATTCAAAGGAATTTCACTCTTGGTGTCCAACAATTGCTTCATAAATGTTGAAACTTCTTTTACAATGTCATCCATTGATCTTCCATCGTACGACATTGCATTATCATAGTAATAAAAGATAATGTTAAAAAGATGATGTTGATCGGTATCGTTACTACTATTGGCACTGCTGCTGCTGGCAAAGTGACAAAGGAATTTAATGGTAGCATCAGTTTCTACTCTATACTTTGTGCCTTTGGTTTTAGTTGTAATTAACTCCTTTGTTGTTGCGATGATTTGGTCGAGTGGTTCATGGTTTGATTCATAGTCTCTTTTAACTTGAATAGGAATATGAAGTTGATCGAGATAATCAACCAATCGGAAAAGACCATTCAACTCGTAGACATGCTTGTAATATCGTTCACTTATGACCTCTGATGGTTCAATCTTTTTGTTGACAACTTCCAAAATAGTTTTAATGATAGTATATTGTTGACTAAAAGAGTCTTTCCATCTTAACTTCATCTTGTTGGCAATATCATCTATAGTTTGTATAAACTAAAAAAAATAAAATAAAAAATTAATATTAATATTATTTTTTAACAATATTCCTAAACTAAATACTAATTATTTATAATTATTAATTATTAATTAAATACCTTTGTTTTTTGGGTATTATAACCCTCGACCTGTTCATTCCAATGGTGATCAGTGTTAATCAACATTAATCCAGTGTGCCATTGGGCGACTATTATTTTGTGTTGTAAATTTAGTTTTTCAAGTTGATAAGTTGCCAATAGAATATAAATGAGTGTTGGAGGTACTGTTTGTTGTAGATCTGAGAATATCTTTGAAATGTTAACATTCTCTAAACTTTTCTCGTTGGTGATCGTTTCACATATAGTTTTGAAAGTTGTAAACTGAGAGGACGATAGTTTGGTGTCAGGAGGGCCTCGATGAAAAGATTCCTCAACCATTGAAATCTTTTTGATTAACTCTGATGATGTAGTGATTGTCTTTGGAACGGGGATGAGACACTGAGATCGCTTCAAAGATAAATCGGCCAATTCCTCGACTCTCATACGCTCGATGATCTTGTTTTGGAGAGTGGAAAAGGTGGTGTTGTCATGATGAGAAGGCGAGAATAACTCTTTTCGATCTTGTGGTGGGGGAGGTGATGTTTGATCATCAATCGATTGGGCCAAATTGTTTTCCAGACTCTCTAGAAACATTGAACAGTTGGGATTTAATATGAGAGGAATAAGTAGTCTCAAACCTTCATCTTGTTCTTTTCCTCCTTTGCCTGTTGTTGCCACTGGCAAAACTTTATCTGAAACCAACTTTAACAATCTGTTTTGTATTGTCGTGCTTTTGTCTGTACTCTCTTTGATGAAACGTTCTGGGTCTAGACGGAACAGTTGGAAAAGGCAGTTTTGAATTCCTCCAATTGTTGCTGTATCTTTGAAATCTTTTTCATTGTTGAGGAGTTGGCAATAAATATGGAATCTGTAAACAAGTGATTTGACTTGTTTTGGAACGATGGCAATTTGATCATGTAGTACCTGTATGTAGAGGTGTGGTTGTATCTCCTGTAAGATTTTGTTAAATAAATCGACATGTGGTTTATAATCACTTTTTATATCCTAATAAATAAATAAATAAATTAATAAAATATTGATTAATAATTTTGTTCAAAATAATCATGAAACTGAAAACATACATCTTCAAAAATTTTAAATTGTTTGATAAATGATTGTATCAAAATTTTTGTGTAGGCTAGAGTGATTCCAGAAATCTCTCTCTTTAGGTAATATAATACTGAGAAAAGAATGTTATTCTCTTCGGCAAAATGCAAAGTGAAACTAAAGATTTCTGGGTCAATCTTTAGAAATGGAATACCCAAGCAGAGAATGATATGAGGGTCTTGCCAAGGCAAATCAATTGATCTTTTGATGAAATCTTTCAAGATTGGAAGAAATTCGTTTCCATTTTGCCATGGTCTAAAATTGCGCGTCATACGTAGATAAAAATGATGAAATATCGATTGTCTGTTATTAATTCCATTTTGACCACAATGACTATATAATTAATAAATAATTAATCAATAAATAAATAAATAAATAAATAAATAAATAAATAAATAAATTATTTGATTTTAAATTATTTTCACAATTGATAACTACATACTTGTCAATTTTCATAAGTACAAAAAAGGAAAGCATTTCACCAAGCTCTTTTACGATTTTATCCAAAATGTATGGCTTGTTCACTTGATCTAACAAATTGTCATTGGATGCATTTATGAGGTAGAGAAATTTATCATTGTCTGGTAGATTAGCATTTAGAGGGTCGAGTAATGACATGACCAACTGTGACAATGGTTTGCTCTCCACTTGTTGTCCTTGTGGTGGTGAGGCTAGTTTCTCGGGTGTTGGTCCGATTGGAACATATTGGATTTTATTTGAAATCTTTGCTCCCAACTCTGAAATCTTGAATAAATCGAGGTCTCTCTTGCTCATTTCCTTGAATTGAACAACAATGTGATATTCTATTTGATTATAGGAGTCTGTGAAATCTTGAATATTCTTTCCACTCTCTAAATCAAAAAACCCGGGTAGACTGCTCACTCTGAATGTTATGTCAGCTTCATTGGCCATTAGGATTTGAGAGATTTGAGAGAATCCCACGACGATTCTCTTTCCTTCTGTCTGCCACTCCAACTCTCTCTTGCCAAAGTCGATCAAACATTTTTGATCGCCCTCACCTCGGAATCTGTTGATTTGAATTGTGTTGACCGGTAGATCCAAGTTGTTGGTTGATGGTATTGGTCTTGACCCTCCCAATATTTTTTGAATGTTGAGTGAATCGACTGAGGCGACTTTATAGTCTTTAAAGGAGTGAAAAAGGTTCATTGGTTCGAGGACAGACTTGAGATTCTGTTCTTGAGAAACCTTTTCGTTGAGCTTGTGGGTATAGTAACATCCACCGTTTGCTTTAACCAAAAACGTAACAAACACCGGAATGGCAGGGACTCCAATCACAGTATATGATTTCTTTGACAAGGGTATTTGATAAGTGACGACGGTGGTTGGATCAAACTTGATTTTTTCTGTCGAGATCTGTTTTCCGATGGACATTTGAAAGGTCGGAACACCATCCTTGACATCGTCGACAATAATCTTGCCCAATGATACCAAAACAATGCAATTTTCTACATCGGTGGCATTCTCCAAATAAATGTCAAACGGCATTTTGTCATCGACTTGATTATCTTGTTGAATTGATTTCTCTTGTTTTTCTTCTTCTTTTTTATTATTATTATTATTATTATCTTCTTGTTGTTGCTGCTGCTGCTGCTGCTGCAAAGCTGATGAATCTGTGGAAGCATTTGAATGTGATGATGGTGATGATGATGATGAAGTGTCGGTGGTTTGTATATCTGCATGATCAGTCTCTTTTGCTGACCCTTTGTTATTATCAGCTGTCACTGATGAAGAAATCATTTGCTTGAATATCTCTGATATAATTATATCAGATATTATTAATATATTATATTATTTATATTTTTTTTTTTTTGTTGTTGTTGTTGTTGTTGTTTGTTGTACAAGATGGTGATGAATGAATGATGGGTTTAAAAAATAAAATTAAATAAAATAAAAAAATTAAATATTACGAATGTGAATCAAATAAATATATAGATAGATATATATAATAAATGAATAGTGATGAATGAATTAATCTACCTGTCTGTCAAGTGTTTGTTCAACCCTTTTTTTTCTAGATTCTCAAAAAATTAAGTTGAACTTTTTTTTTTTTTTTTCTAACAAAATATTGGGGGGTTAACAGCGCCTAGTTAGGAGAGTGCACCGTCAGCATCAGTGGTATCCAAGACTTGTTCAGACAGATATTTTACAATGAGAGGTCTGATCGATTTCTGGTGCTCGGTGTAGCCGTGAGTGTGTTGCCCGGCAGAGGTTAACGACGCTTCAAGAATAGCTTCTGCTCTTTGACCTTTTACAAAGTCGTATCTGTCTTGCCAAAGATACCGAACCATATCAAATCGACCGTGTATGGCAGCCATCACCAGTGTCTCATCTTTTACAAATATTCCATACTCATCGTACATTGACACATTGATCTTGGGTGTATAATGTTTGACGAGGAGTTGTAACATTTTAATATTCCCATGTCTTGATGCCCAATTTAATGATTTAATAGTTGCACTAAAAAATTAAATAATTAAATTAATTAATTAAATTAACAATTAGTAAACTATTTTTAATTATTTAAATAAATTAATTTAATATTTAATATTTAATATTTACCTTTCAGTTCTATGACTTTGTAAAAATTCAAGTACTTGCATATTATTATGTTGACATGCAAGATCGATAGAATCACCAAGTTGATCTTTGTGTCTGTTGAAATGAAGGAATTTGATCATCTCTAAATCACCCTTTTCAGTTGCCAACTCTAGCAACCGAGGTCGCTTGTTGTAGACTGGTGTATATCTGTGTATCATTTGAAAACATGGGTGTTGGAGTCCCTTGGCAATGAGTATGTGAAATGCGTCTCTATAACCTTCAGTTCGATTGGCCAAAAGAAACTCCACTACATTGGCGTGACCGTGTCTGACAGCTTCATCGACCGCTGAAGTAGATGCACCCTCAGTCCTATTGAAATGTAAGAATTGTATTACATGTAAATGCCCACCTCTGCTAGCCATATTCATAGCTGCTGTATTACATAAAATAACATTATCTTTTGTTTCCGATCCATCACTTTGTGATAGCTTTTTTCTTTCATGTAAATATCTAAAAATAAATAAATAATGTTAGTATGCCTATCTCTTAATGTGTATATATATACGTTTATTTACATACTGTACAATATGTAAATGACCATTCTCTGCTGCCAAATCCATTGCATTATCATATCTAATCTTATTTGGTGGTGATTTTGATTCGATCAATTGGATTACTTTGAGATAACCTTTGATGGCAGCTGCTATGATTGGTTCAGATATAAAGCTGTGTCCTTGTTTAGAGAGATATGTAATGATCTCTAAAACCTTTTCTTCATCTTGTTGAAGACATTGAGTTAGATCAAACGACGTTCCAATATTGGTCTTGTAGGGATGTGGTGGGAGTGCACCCGATGCAATAGCAGATGGATGACAATGGTCTCTGAAATACCGAATAACATCCATATGACCTCCAATCAATGCTTGATCAACAAACGATCCCAACCAAGCTATAGTCGATGCAGGATAGAGCATTACTATTCTTTGGAGTAACACGAGGTTACCCCCTCGCGCGGCACCTTGACATGCAAACTGAAGCATATGACTGTTCTCTGTAATACCCATAGAACTACCCGACGAACCAGTCAAACTACCACTACCACCACCACCACCACCAGGTTTGATAACATTCCTCTCAAACTCTTCTATTCTCTTGAGTACTATATCATCAAGTTTAAAGAATGCAAGTAACTCTGCACTGTCCATGATCGTCGACCATTTGTAACATAGTCTCTCAGCATTCCTTCTTCGATTGACCCAATACACCAATGATATGATCTCTTTCTTTAATACTACATTACTAAATACTCTTGTAAATAACTCTTTCTCCAACATTCTTATTCTTTTATAACTAAAGAAAAGAAGAAGAAGATATCAAAAAGAAAAATTATTTTGGTAAACAACTTTTTTTATTTTTGTATGAACATCACCACAAGTACCCTCGAGCCTACAGATGACGACACGGTCGTTGGCAACAACCATCCCCTTTCAATTCAGTACCTACATTTGTTAGATAGTTTAGGTCTCCCACAACAAATATAGGCACTGAATTAAAAGGGGAAAGAATCAAATCAACCTTATTATTATTATTATTATTATAAAATCGTATCGTATTCTCAAGAGATTATTAAAAGAATATTATTATTATTATTTACTAATAATTCTATTAATAACTTTTATTTAATTTATTACGGGAATGGAGAAAAATGTATATTATTGAAAAAAAAGGTTGTTTTGCTATTTATTTAATTAATTAAATCTTTAAACAAACATTTTTAATTTCAGTATAGAAATCTATACTATATTCTCCACCTTCACGACCTATACCACTTTGTTTTTGACCACCAAATGGAGTTCTAAGATCTCTGATCATCCAACAATTAATCCAAACAATACCACTTTGAATTTGTTCGGCTATGCGATGTGCACGTGTAATGTCTTGTGTCCACACTGAAGAGGATAGACCGTATTGCACACTGTTGGCCAATTCAACTGCCTCTGCTTCATCTTTGAATGGGGTGATGGTGACAACTGGGCCGAAAATCTCTTCCATAATGACACGACTATTGTTGGCGAGTCCAGTGATAATGGTTGGTTGGTAAAAGTATCCATCCTTGTATTGGTCTCCCCAAGTAACATGGCTACGTTGTCCTCCGAGTTCGATCTTTCCACCTTCTTGACGTGCCAACTCTACATAGTACTCGATCTTTGCAAGATGCTCTTTAGAGACGAGCGCACCCATATTTGTATTTGGACAAGTTGGGTCACCAACAATCCACTTTTTAGAACGTTCAACAAACTCTTTGACAAATCGGTCATAGATACTCTGTTGAACATAGATTCTAGAGTTGCACAGACAAATCTCTCCTTGATTGTTGAATGATGAACGAACTGATGTGGACAATGTCTCTTCCCAGTTGCAATCTTCAAATATAACAGCTGGGTTCTTGCCACCCAACTCGAGTGACATCTTTTTAAGTGGTGCCATCTTTGCAATACGTTCACCTGTCACTGTGCCACCAGTAAACGAGATTAATGGTACATCTTTGTGTTCGACCAAAGCACTACCTGCATTTGGTCCATTTCCAAATACTATATTTACAACACCTGGTGGCACACCAGCTTCATTCAACACTTGGCCCAACAAATAAGCAGTGTAGGGTGTAATCTCGCTTGGCTTGCATACACAAGTGTTACCGACGGCAATGGCAGGTGCAATCTTCCAAGTCAACAGATATAAAGGCAAGTTCCAAGGACTGATCAAACCACACACACCAACAGGACGTTTGTGTGTATAGTTGATGGCACGTATTGGTGTATCCTGCATATAGGCATTCTCCTTTTCATAAAGAATCAATCCACCAAAGAATCTAAAATTATCAACACATCTTGGTATATCCAATCCTCTTGCAAGTTGTTGTGGTTTACCTTGATCTCTAGATTCTGCAATTACAAATTCTTCTAATCTCTTTTCTAAACAATTTGCAATCTAAATAAATAAGAGTTAGATTTAAATCTAAAATACATCATATATACCAAATAACTTTTTGTTACATACTCTTGTTAATACAGCCGATCTTTCTTTGACAGTAGTACGACTCCATGTTGGGAATGCCTTTTTAGCAGCTTCAACAGCCAAATCTATATCCTTTTTATTTGAATCTGGTACTAAACTATAAACCTATTATAATCATATTAGTATACATACATTGTATACTCTAATATATATTATATATTATACATACTTTACCAATTGAAGGATTATAATTATCCAAATACTTTAAATCGATTGGATCTCTGTACTCTCCATTGATAAAGTTTCTTATCTTTTCTATTGGTTGATTGTCATTGTTGTTAGTTGTTGTCATCTTCTTTCTCTTCTCTTCTTTCTTTGTGTAGTTTGTAGTAATATAATAGTGTTGGTTGTTTGTCTAACTACAAAGAAAATTAATTAAATTAGTGTGTGAAGGTTCAGCTGAACATAAAATGAATTTCTACGCAAATTGCTTGATATTTAATTTAATTAGTTTTTTGTGTAGAGAGAGAAATTCATTTTTAATTTTACCGCAAGCCGACAAAAGAAACATGGAATCTAACGAATGCAGTAGTATTAGTAATAATAATATAATATGTAGTAATAATAATAATAATGGATTGTTTCCATTATCGATGATGAATACAACTAGATATTATAATGATGGTGATATTCAATTCAGACCATTAGAAATTGATGACTATGATAAAGGTAGGTTGATTTGTCCACACCACCCATCATGTGATGATTATTATTGATCATTCCCTCTCTTTAATATATATATATATAATGTATTACAGGATACTCTGCACTATTATGTCAATTGACAGAAGCTAAATTCACCAAATCACAATACATTGAGAGATATAATCAAATGAAAAAGGAACTAGATAATTATTATGTAGTTGTAGTAGAGGATAAATCAAAATCAAAGATTATAGGTACTGGAACATTGATGGTTGAAAAGAAGTTTATAAGAGGTTGTGCATTATGTGGTCATATTGAAGACATTGTAGTCGACTCTACATATCGTGGAAAAAATCTTGGTCTAAAGTATGATTAATAATATTATAAAAATATTATTATTATTCCAGAGTCACTAATATCTCTATATCTTTTCTTTTTCTCTTTTCTCTTCCTCTTTTCTCTTCCTCTTTTTAGAATGATTGAACAATTAAAATATATAGGTACACTAGTAGGATGTTACAAGTTGATATTAGATTGTGATGAAAACAATGTAAAGTTTTATGAAAAGTGTGGTTTTGTCAAGAAACAAGCTATGATGGCTCTCTACCTACCTCCTCAACCAAAATTATAAACAAAACAAACTATAGTTATAAACTACACTACTCTACTTTATATCTATAAATAACAATATTTACAACGCGACTATATATCTAATCAAAAGATCTCTATTTTTCAATCGATCCGGGGACTACGCTAAATTTAACTTGTTTATTTACTTGAAATTCTATCGCCGAAGGGAGTTCACCTATGAAACATGACAGCTGCCAAATCGATGGGTAAAAAAATCATGGTGGAACAAACATTGAGAGCCAACCCCTCTTCCCTTGAAAGAAAAAAAAAAATCCAAAAAAAACTTGATTTTTTATTTAATTTTTTTTTTGATTAATCTTGGTTTGCTGTGAAGACACCTCTCTTCCTTTTTTTATTCTCCCTCTTTAACACTTTAACATCATCACATCATTGTTGTAATATCATACCTACCTAACACCCCTCCTCACCAAATATATATACCTTTTTTACACACACACAGTTTTAGATATCTTTAGTATCATCACAGTAGTAGCAGTAAAAAGAACAACCCTTTGTACAAATAATAATATCATCTTTGTAATTTAAAAAATCATATATAAATAATAATATAAATATAAAATCATGTCAGACAAACCAAATGTACTTGTACTCGGAGGTGTAGGATTCATCGGCAGAAACTTGGTTCAATTCCTTGTAGAGAAACAATTAGCCAACCGTATTCGTGTTGTTGACAAGGTGTTACCAGCCACAGCATTCTTTGGCAAGAAGCACCAAGAGGCCTTTGCCAACCCACAAGTTGAATACGTCCAAGGCAACCTCTCCAACACTGCCTCGATTGCCAAGTCGTTTGCCCTCGAAGGTTCCAAGTTCAACTATGTCTTTAACTTGGCCGGTGAGACCAAGTACGGTCAAACCGACGCCCTCTACAACGAAAAGGTCTTTGACGTCACTGTCAAGTGCGCCACCGAGGCTGCCAAGGTTGGCGTTGACAAGTTTATCGAGGTCTCTACCGCCCAAGTCTACGACTCTAACAAAAAGGCTAGCAAGGAAGATGCAAAGACTGATCCATGGACTTTAATTGCCAAGCACAAACTCAGTGCTGAACAAAAATTAAAGGAAATTGCTGGGTATGAAAAGAAAAATTAAAAAAAAAAAACAAACAAAGAAAAAAGAAAAGAACTAATTATATTTTGTTTATTTATTAATTTATTTAGATTAAATTATGTAATTGTTAGACCAGCAGTAGTTTATGGTCCAGGTGATATTCTTGGTCTTTCACCAAGAATTATTACAGGAGCAGTCTACAAGTATTTGGGAGAAAAGATGCAATTCTTGTGGACCGGTGATTTGAGATACAATACCGTCCATGTTGTCGATGTCTGCAGAGCCTTGTGGTTGTTGGCTCAAAAGGCCCCCAACGGTGCCGTCTACAATCTCGCCGACAAGGGTGATACCGCCGCCGAAGACATTAGCAAGATCCTCGAAAAGGTCTTTGCCATCAAGACTGGTTTCGCCGGTTCCATCCTCTCCAACTTGGCCAAGCTCAATTTGAAGGACATTTGCGAAGAAGCCAACAACAAGCATCTCAAGCCATGGTCTGATCTCTGCAAGGAAAAGGGTATCACCAACACCCCACTCACTCCATACATTGATCAAGAACTCCTCTACAACAACCATTTGAGTGTCGATGGTTCTGCCATCGAGTCGATCGGTTTCACCTATGAACATCCAAAATTGACCGAAGAAGCCATCAAGGAACAAATCGAATACTTTACCTCTCAAGGTTTATTCCCACAATTGTAAATTGTTTAAATTTAAAAATAATTAATTCCTTTTTTTTTTTAAAGAAAATAAATAAATAAATAAATTCTAAATCACCAAACAATCAAAAAAAATATAAATATCTACACTTCTTCTTTCGGTCGGCAATATAAATAAATAATAATATAAAAAAAAAAAAAAAAGTATAGAATATTCTATCGATATCTACAACAATGTAATGAATGATTGATAAATTATATATTATCTATATATAGATATTTGTTGTGAACGGATTAATTTAGTCCAATAATAATAATATTGATGATCCGAGTTGTGTCTTGATTGGTTATTGTTGATTGATTATTGTTATTGTTGTTGGTTGGTTGGGAATGATAGTAGTAGTAGTCCAATATTTGTTAGATCTTTCTTTAAAGGCTTTTAGTTGTGCGATTCAATGTGTTTATTGTTTAGAGGAACTATATATTAAGTGAATAAAGACCACATGACAGTGAAAAAAGAAAAGAGAGGATTGTTAGAACTATGACTTTTATATTACTACTACCAACTATGACAGTTGATTCATTTACATACAAGAGCTTCACCATCTTGTAAGAATTTATGCAAAAAGGGGATGAAACGGAAGAAATTGTGATTGGCAATAGAGTTTAAGAATTGTTCTAGACCCTTTCTACGTTCCTCGATGAATTCTGGTTCAAAACGTCCTTGTCCAAATAGAGAAGAGAGATTGTTGCCTGGCAATTGATGTAATTCACCAAACTTGATTGCCTTTGGTTTCTCTGATAGTTTTTGCTTCAAGTGTTCTCTTAGATTAACAAATTCCTTGTATCTTCTTCTAACTGTAAAGTCTCTTTGACTATATTCTGGGAAGGTTGTCTAAACAAATGAATGAATGAATGAATGATGTTAACATTTGACATGTCTTTGTTTTCACGCATGCGCGTGTAATGTAATAGAGTCATAACAAACATACCTGAGTTGTTATTTTGTATGAAATGTAATCATCTGTTCTAACAGGATCACTAACAATGATATTTATGTATTCTGGTTCTTGATAGTCACCCTCTATTCTCTTTGTTGATGATTTCTTGTCTGGTGTACTCATTTTTCTATATTAAACTCTACTATATATCTTTGTTGAATAAAAGTCTTTCTTTTCTTTCTTTTCTCTTATCTATTTTGTATATAAACACAAGTGTTTGAGTAAAAGTATGTATATATTTAGTTTTTATTAATATATAACTCTAACTATAATAATAGAATCAACAAACAAGTCAAAAGACAGAGAAAACTCCTCCACAGAAATAAAGTCAGCAAAAGATTTTTTTTTAAAATTGTAATTACTGAGGGAAGTATGTGTTTAAAGATAAAAGATCAATAAAGAATAAAACCACCACCACCTCCCAGGGTAATGAATGGATGAATGATAGACTGTTGCTCTGTATTTTTCGAGAAGACTGTCTGTATTCAATGGGTTGGGTATAAATAGAGACCTGATTTATTGAAATAATACTCTGGAGCAGACTTGAAAATTTAATACTCAAATATATCAGAGGTCTTGTGTCCATCTCGGCGATGAACTAGTTTCATTTTTTATTATTATTTTAAAATAATAATAGTACTCAGATAAAAAAAGAGAGAGACAAAGAAGAAGAAAGAAACTCACTAGTTATTATTATTGTTACTATTCGATATTTATCATCTTCTTTCATTAGAGATTTGATTAGAATCATACATTATTATTATTATTATTATTATTATTATTTCATCTTCATTTATCACATCTTTAAAGATCATTTATTTATTTATTTGTATTCTAGAAACACAACACACACATATATTTGTATATATATTTATCTATATCTCAATCAATCTACTATTAGTAGTAATTTTTTTAATATCTCGAGTAGATTGCATTTACAACAATGAGTTCATCAGATATGTTTGGTGTCAAAGCATCATTGAATGAAGACGTTGAGCTCGTTCCTCAACCAATGGATGCCAATGCACAACAGCCCGAGGATTCATCTGCATCGCACCACTCAAAACAATACCAACAATTAGACGATGCTTCATCACAACAACGTCAAGTAATTTTACAACAACAACAGCAACAACAGAAACAACAAAAACAACAACAACAACAACATGATCTAGAACAAGAATTCGAGAATCGTGATCTGATAGATAAGCTTGAAAAAGAAGAGAAGCAAAAACAACAACAACAACAACAACAACAACAACAACAACAACATAATCAAATTGATATAAAACCATTTGAAATTACCTTAAAAAATGAAACAGAACAAGAGTGTATTGTTTTGGTATCATCAGATATAAAGGCCAAGATTATAAATCATGAAGAAGATGGTGCAGGTGTTCAGACATTTTACATGTCCAAAGGAAAACAGGCACTGAAAGAAAAAGTCAAGTTTGATCCAACCACCGTCGTCACTTATCAAGAACACCTAAACAGGAAATCACATGTTGTCATTGGTGTCTCAGCCATTCCAGTATATGTTACATTTCTGGTTAAAGCAAAAGATGGATGGTACTATGTTCACAAGCTCAACAAAAAGGTTGACAAGAAAACTCTAAAAAAGACTCTCGAGTCTGTCCTCAAACCAAAGCATCTCAACCACTACTTTGGAAGAGTTACATCAGTCGATTTACTCAACATTCAACAAGTATTGGGACAAACAACTCAACTACCAAGCAACAACTTGGATCTACTGGTCAACACAATTCAAATCAATAGACACTTTGGTACTAAAGGCCCTCAAAGATGTTTGATTGACTTTGTCAATAGAGTATTGGAGTGGTACACAGAAGGAAAGAGAATCGTCGTTCAATTCTCTCAAATCTCTCAAATCTTTATCCAAGAGAGTGACAAGAGAATGACATTCCAAGTGAATGATCAACCCATGTTTTTCGATTTACAGAGTGGAAAGAGTATGAAAGATTTTACCGACTCTAAGCAAATAGAAAACCATTATGCTCAATTCAAGGATATCAGCAAGAGAGACATCGATATATTAAAAAAGTCGGAATTGGGAGCAAAGATTTCAAATAACCTCCAATATGTCCCAATCGGACCAACACCCGATAAACTAGCTGCACCACAAGGATTATTCCCTTTTAGAAAAGATGTAGAGAGCAAACCATTTTCAGAGTTGGTCATGTCATTGACTGACCTAAAGAGGAATCCTCATCTAACAGTTGATCATTATTTTCTCTACCTCAAAAGGTCATTTATTGACAATTTGGTGCAAGAGGTAAACAAGCCACACATTATAGCAAAAATATTTGAGCTTGAAGAACGTATGCTTTCCTTTTTTGTACTTATCCACCTTGACAAGTATGTAGTAGTGAACATAATCCAAACCATAATTGCATCATCATTAATACAAATTATCATTATTTTTTTTTTAAAATCTATGTAGTCATTGTGATAGTGGAATTCACAACAGAGAATCAATATTTAGCAAATTCCATGATCAGATGATGCAAATTAAAGATTTTAAACCATGGTTGTATGACAAGAGTTTTCTTCATATCCTGCAGGATTTCATTGAAAAGTCAATCAGATTTAAAGAGTGGAATCAATGGCAAGACCCTCATATCATTCTCTATTTGGGTATTCCATTTTTAAAGATTGACCAAAAAGTTTTTAGTTTCACTTTGCATTTTGCTGAAGTCAAAAACATTCTTTTTAACAACCAAAATGTTATTTCTTATATCAAGAATCAAATCCAATCTGGGAAAGCAACAATACTCAAAGATCTCTTACAACCTTTCATCGAACTATTCCAAATTTTTGAAGATGTATGTACTTTTTAAATGATCCAAATGTTTTTGCTCGATTATTAATATAAATATTGCTATTTTTTTATCAATTTATTAGGATATCCTAGATGATCGTCAACAACATGTCAATTTGTTCATTGAAATCATTAAAGTGATACCACAATACAAAGTGTTGGTAGAGCAACTACATGATCAAATTGCCATCGTTCCAAAACAAGTCAAATCACTTGTTTACAGATTCCATATTTATTGCCAACTTCTCAACAATGAAAACGATTTCAACTCTAAAGCAATTGAAGGAATTCAAAACTGCTTTTTCCAACTGTTCCGTCTCGACCCAGAACGTTTCATCGAAGAGAGTACAAACAAAAGCGATGAAATCAAACAAAGATTATTAGAGTTGGTTTCGAGTAAAGTTTTATCAGTGGCAACAAGCAAAGATGGTTTGAGACAACTTACCGATCTCATATCAAAACCCAACTGTTCAAAATACCTAGGGTGTCTGGTCGATGGAAAAAATGCCAAATCGATTTACACTCAATCATCGTCACAAGATCGAGAAAAGTTATTCACGTTTCCTCATGAAAACAATTCAATTGTCTCCACACTCCAAAACAATATTGTGAACCATCTAAAGATCGAGGAAATGGCAGATTTATCTTTGAGATGCTCTCATCATTCCTTCCTCTATAGTCCAAAGACAATCCCTACAACATCGGATCTAATCAAAAAGATTTCAATGATTGAAGAGGATTTCCGTCAATACTCTCCTAAAACCAAACTATCGTCCTCTCGGTTTACAGTTTTCAAAACTATATGTGATACGATCAGCGAGAAAAGTTTGGAGAAGGTTTATCTTTCAAAGATATTCTCAGATCTACAAACAGTACCTCCAACACTCATTTATATTCTATTGGCAACTCACCAACTCGAAAAACTAAATTCACAATATTGTGGTGATCGATCGACGCAGCATCAAGATATAACAGTTGCCCAATGGCACTTGAAATTAATGTTGATTAATACTGACCAAGGTTGGAATGAAGAGATCGAGAGTTATAATGCCCAAAAAACAAAGGTAATTAATTAATTTAATTAATTTCACTACTCGTAATATTAATTTTATTTTATTTTTAGTTTATACAAAAAATAGAAGCTATTTCAAACAAGATGATATTAAGATGGAAAAAGTCTTATCATCAAGAACAATATACCATCATTAAAACTATTTTGGAGGCTGTCAACAAAAAGATTGAACCATCAGAGGTCATAAGTGAACGATATTACAAACAGGTCAACGAGTTACATGGTCATTTCAGAGTGGTTGATTATCTCGATCAACTTCATATTCCTATTCAAGTTAAAAGAGACTATGAATCAAACCATGAACCACTCGACCAAATCATCGCAACAACAAAGGAATTAATTACAACTAAAACCAAAGGCACAAAATACACAATCACGAATGATGATACGATAAGATTCCTTTGTCACTTTGCCAGCAGCAGCAATAATAGTAATAACAATACTACTGATCAACAACATCGTATGTTTGACATTATCTTTAAATATTATGATAATGCAATGTCGCAAGATGGAAGATCAATGGATGGCATTGTAAAGCAAGTTTCGACATTTATGAAACAATTGTTGGACACCAATAGTGAAATTCCTTTGAATAAAATATTCCAATCGTTGGTCGTGGAAGAAAGTACTATCAATTTACAAAAAGAATTAAAATCAATGTATGTATTAAAAATAATTAAAAAAAACATTAATATAAAATATTGATATTAATTTATTTATTTTCAAAAATAGGTATTCATTCTTTGAACCTCAAAAACCATTCAATTTAGAATTAGAGGTTCAAGTCAAAGATTTTATTCAACGTGCCAAGTCATTGTTTGGTTATCGAGATAATATTAAATATTTAAATAATTTTTTCGAAACAAACAATTATCTGGTTATCACCAACAAGGATAAAGACTTTGCCAAAATTAACGAATTTTTGTATGACATTGATCAAGAAAAGATGACATTGGGTCAAAGCAAGAGTAATTTGGAATCTTTGAAGCCATTATTAGCAGGATTGGAATACAACGAATTGGTAATCTTTGAATACATCAATCCATCGATTTTACAGTTCTTTTCACAATTTGGAAAAGATATCAAAGAGGTTCAGAACAACTTTTCAACAAAGAATCAGATTCTCACAACCAATAACCTTTCAGACACTTATAACTCTGCATTGATGAATACATCGGTCCACACACTTCAGATGATCGAGAGTTTTGTAGAATTGTATCTCTCCAAACCAGTGACGCTTGAAAGTATCACTGATATTTGTTCAAAGATCAAACCATTGACAGCAACCAACTTTGCCAAATCACTATTCTGCTTACAATCATTTGGAACCAATTTACCACAAATCATTGGATTGTATGCATCAGCTGGTGGATATGATTCTGGATCAATCAAAGCATCGGTCAATCTTATTCTTGAAGGTTCAGAATTTAGATCAACCACCTCCAAATCTGTCAGTGGTTCTTCTGGATGGTTGATTGCCACTGGTATCGACAATGCAGCAATGAAAAAGGAACACACTCAAGAGGCAGTCAATGATTTTGTTCAAGGTCTCAAGTTTTTCTCAAAAGGAGAACAAATGCAACATGCAGATCACTTTGAAAATATTGTCATCCAACTCCGTTCCATTCACGAGTTGCACACCAACCTCGATCGTTTATATCATCAAAAATATCTTGATGGGATGGTTAGCATCAAAGTCGATTCAAATTGCTTGGCTAGCCTTCAAGCAAAGGCATCAGATTTGCAGAAGGACCTTGATGATTGGTTGGATGAAATCAATACTCTTCCCAGTCGATTGTGGTTACTCAAGATACAAGGAATATCATCGTTGATATTCAACTATAACTACTTCTTGAAGGGATTCAAGATTGTAGACAATGCAAGTGAAACTGTCAAACAAGAGTTTTTCACTGCACTAGTAAACCAACTTGCATACGCTCTCTTGCCATTTATCAAATACTGTTATCCTTGTTCATTCATCATACAGGAAGACATTCATGATGCATTAATCGAATTGAATCTATTTGAAGATATCAACAAACTTCCACTTGCAAACGAATTCTTTACAAAGTTGATCGGTTATTTGGATAAAAAGTCTCAGGAGGAAGATATTTCAGAGAGAGGACCAATTCTGGTTCCATTACAAGACAAAAACAACTTGTACAACTGTCTCATGCAATTGAACGACTGTATTCTACCACATCCATCACAATTGTTCTATGGATCATCTCTCTCAAAAGACTTTGAAATCTTTAAAAAGATTGTTGAACAATACAGAGGTTCATGTATATTCCTCGTTGGCATCCCATCAGACAAGATATCATTGCTCAACTGGCTCTCTGACAAGTATAGTAGTGGTGACTTCAATAATTTGACTCGAATTTATATCATCACTGCCACCAAAGATGCCTCTTTGCTCGACCTATTCTCGTTTATTGAACTGAATTCAACATCATTTGAAAAGAATTGGCAACCATTCAAAGATGCATGGGTTGATAATCGAAGAGGAGTACACAGCCTTCAGCTTGTATCTGGACCGAGTGGCACTGGAAAGAGTTTCTTTATTCGTTCAAAACGACAAGAGATTGCATCACAGTTCATCACAGTTCATGTTCGTCCAAACTATCAAATCGGAGGGTTTATCACAAAGCTCAAGAGTTTGGTCAATGAATCAAGTCATTCAAACAAAGGCCATGAAACGGTCACAGTACACTTTAAACTATCACCTTATTGTGACTTTGAAGCATTCAGCACAACGATCTATCCATTGATCACACAAGGATACATATTTGGTGATGGTATCAACGATTTTGTAAGTGTATCTGATCACTTGAAATTGGCTATCTTTGTCGAGATTGGTGACCCTTTGTTAGATGCTCACTACCAACCACACGAACAATACCTCCTCGATACTGTATCTCTCATCTTCCACTTGTCAATGCATTACTTCCACCCCATGACAGAGTGGCAGATTGGTGATGCCGAACTCATATGTCTTGCCTACCACGAACAACCACTCGGTTATTACCAGTTACCAGATCAAAGAAAGGCACTGTCAGTCAAAGAACCAGACTTTATCAACTTTGTGATGCGTGTATTGAATACTTTTGACTACAAACCAAAGTATTTGAAGGATACTTTATATTTGACACAGAAAAAGACATTCTTTAAATTGCTCAGCGAGAGATTAGAGTTCCTTAACAAACTCTATTACCCCTTTTACATCAATGTTGCCGCAGTGGATGAAGACAGAAAAGCATCGTATCAATCCTCATTATTACCTCCCCATGAACTCTTCCAGTTCTTTATTTACGAGTCTGCAAAATTAGCAGATCCAATTTACTCTTCAACTTCGAGTATTTGGGCCAATCCTCCTCTCATCACTGCAAGATCAAAACAAGAAATGCATGCGTACAATGAAGAACTTGGTATTTTCATGGATGGATGTACTGTCAACTACATTGCACTTGGACCATCAGACTATGGTTTGGAAAAGCGTGTTGAAACTTTGATCACATACGACATGGTCAACAACGATACAACATCCCTTAGATTGGTGATTGCAACAGCATTTGGGGTTGACAAGACCAATCTGATTTATTCACTTTGTTCCCAATTTAAATATGTCATCACAGCAGACTTTGCAGTTCGTCTGATCATCCTCCATTACAAGGCAAAGAATACCAAATCATTGGTGTTGACTGGTGACACTGGTGTTGGAAAGACTCACAATCTTCTCTTCTACTCTCTTCTCATCAATGCGATGATTCTTCCAGATATCGCATATGATATCAAAGAATATATCAACGGATATATTGAACAGTTCCCTTACTTGCTCAATAAGTATACAGTTGTTGAAAAGGTAGATGATGAGGTTCAATTGACAGACGAGCAAAAGAAAAATGATAAAATCGAAATGTCTGACAAGCGAAAGGAAAGAATACAATTAAAGCTTCTACCAGGTAGTCCTCCACTCGAGATGATACTGGAATTCCTTACTCATATTGCAGACTATGACCCAGAGGCCGAACTACAACAAATGGTTGTCTATCAACCACCACCACCTCAAGTTGAAGAGAAACCAGAGGAAATCAACTCACCAAGAAAAGTCGAACCACCTGCAATTCCAGAAGTCGTTGTTCCAAAGAAACAATTTTCATTTTTAGAATTTTGTCAAGGAATGGAAAAGTTGGTTATTGGTATACTTGAAAAGAATCAGCTCATCGATATCAATTCCTCTCAAAAGGCACTCCTCGCCGAATTAAAGTCCAAGCCATCTGGAGGTATCATCACCAAAAAGGATCAGTTGTTCCAATGTGTCAAAGAGATCATGACCGTTAACTTTAAGGATCTGTTTGAAAGAATTATTATGCATCAAAAGTATAGTTCTGATCAATTCATTGACAAGGTTAAGTCAATCATCGAGCAGGCAAACATTCTCAAATCGATTGGAGTGGATCTCAAGTTGGTTGTATTTATCGATGAATTCAACACAGCACCAGATGATACATTGGCATTGATCAATGAAGTATTTACTGATGGTGTATTGGATGGTTGTACAACTATTCCAGACAACATATTCTGGGTTGGTGCAATGAATGAACCAAAAAAGGTCCAAGGTTCTATTGACCACACCGGCGTCGATACCAAATCAACAACCCAATCATTTGTTGTCAAACCCATACCACCATCGATGCGTAACCTCACACTCAGTTATGGAGAGTTTTCAACAGACAATGAAACACCATTCCTCGAATCATTGTTCACTCTCCGTCCTAACATTTGTCCAGAGATCAAGGATGTGTACAGCCCCATGGATCAATTTAAACGATTTATTCTTGTTGGACAAGATGCACTTCGACAGGTCAAACAAGCACGTACACATGTATCGATCCGTGATATCTATCGTGTCATTGATCTTTACAATTTCTTTAGAACTCATCAAGTTGGTATATCCATTCTCAATGTTGCTATTGGAGACACAAACAATTCAGAAGAAATCATTCATTGGTGGTCAATGATCGTCAGTATGGCACTATCTTATTATATTCGTGTCGATCCAGCAACTCAAAAACGATCTTTTGTCTTGAATCAATTCAACAAATTTTTAATGGAAGAATCACCGGCTGAAATCGGTCTCAAGAAAATTGGGTTTTTGGGAGCGTTTAACAAGGTCATCAACTCATTCTGCAGTTCAGAATACACTACTCTACCAGCTGGTATTGCATTGACAGATACACTCAAACTCAATATATTTACTATTGTTGTATCAATCAACACTTGTATTCCGATTTGTATCGTTGGACCACCAGGTTCTTCAAAGACACTGTCATTCACTATTGTACTCAACAATATCAATGCCAACAAGAATGACAACACAACCACCACCATCAAAGGAAACGAATCACCTTGGAGATTGATGGTTGGTGCAGATCCATTCCGTTACCAATGCACACCGCACACCACCGATATAGAGATCAAGAACAACTTTGAAAATGCTATCAACCGTCAAAAGGTGTACAACATATCTGGTGGTAAACGAGCAACAGCATTCTTTGATGAAGCAGGTCTTGTCAATGAATTTGACTCACCCATGAAGATTATGCACGACTATCTCGATAATTTGGCAAAAAAGATTACAGAATCAGAAGCAGAGATATCAATCATCATTCTTTCAAATCGTATTCTTGATGCTGCTAAAACAAGTCGTATGATGATGCTCATGCATCCGCAAACCACTTCCAATGATGACAAGATGATGTTGGTCAAAGGATGTCTGTTCAAGGATAAAAATACCATCAATCAAATCGATATCTCCCAAGCTCTCTGCTCAGCCTACAGCAAGGTCAACACATTTGCCAAATCAACCAAACCAGATATGTTCCATCAACGAGATTTTGTTTACTTTTTACATCACTTGGCAAGAGGAATGCATCAAAACAATAACTATCTCAGTCCACAAGTATTGGCAACAAGTATCGAACGTAACTTTGGTGGTGTTCCACCCGATCAGATGAAGAAAATCATTTCTATGTTTATGGATGAAATGGCTTTCCACAATCAAACACACTTTGCCAAAACTGTCAATGCAGTCTATGAAAGAAATGACAACACGATCACCAGAATACAAGAATCATTACAAGAGAAGTTACAACCAACAGAAGATCCAGGAACATGTCCATTCAGATACATCATGTTAATCGATCCAACCGAGAATGAATCATCACTCATGGTACTCAAGGAATTAGGTATCAAACACAAGGTCATCAGAGTTGGTGGATTTGAAAACGACACACAAACCAGCAGTTTGATCGATGTTGTCTCTCAAATCAAGAATGAAATGTCAGAAGGTGGAACTGTTGTGTTGGTCAATACTCAATCGATTGATGCATGTTTCTATGATGTATTCAATCGTTACTTTACCAAAATGCCACATGACGATAAGATCTTGACAATGGCCAATGTATCATTTGCCAACCATACAGTATTCTGCCAAGTACATCCAGACTTTAAGATTATTGTCCACTTGCCACAATCTCGACTTCCCCAAACACCATTACCATGGTTAAACAGATTTGAAAAGTATCATCTTTCAATCAACACAATGGTTGACCACTATATCTCTCAAAACCTTCCACAACATATTGAATACTTTGAAAAGATGAAGACATCAGCCTCTCACTTTGTCAAAGAATTCCATACTGGATCATCAGAGTCACTTCTTTGTGGATTCTCAGAGACTGGAACCATCCCATCATTGATCTACACCACTGCCAAGAAACTCTATGAATCTGGATCCATCAACATCCAACCACAACGAGTTGATACATTGGTTGGTGTTGCTCAACTACCCAACACATTCAACTCTGTTGATCATTTTGAATTCCGACTTCTCAACTGGAAATTATTACAAATTGCACGACCTGAAAGTGTATTTAGATGTCTATCGATGCCCAAATCATATGTGGAAGAGTTCCTTCTTCGTCAAGAACACTTTAACCTTTTCCATTTCATCACCGATCTCTTTTCCAAAAAGTTTGTCAAAAACGAGAATGTTTCCAATCGATGGATCTTGTACACTCGATCTTCATTGACATTACATCATCTCAAAGATATCACATCTGACAAAACAATGAAATCATTCTATGATATCTTGTTACAGTCCATCTCTGAGAAAGACAAAAAAGTGCTCGAGATTGACACGTTGGCGACACTCAAGATTATTCAACTGACATCAATCAAGACAAGTCAACAATGTCAAGATATGATCAACGAGTTTATCAAAGATGACCGACAAAAGATATGTTTGGTCATTGCAGACATGGAATCAATCAACCAACACCAAGTCAACTTTATCAACGAACAATTTGATACCTCTCAATCCTCCAAGATTATGGTGACTATTTGTCATTATCCAGTTGAATTCTCATTATCAAATCAAGCCAAATTGAATAGTATCTTCCTCAATGATACAGAATACATGTATATCGATTCATTTGGAGTCAAGATTGATTCAGATTTAATGGAATGGGATCCAAACATCAGATCATGGTTGTCATCTGCTTATCGATTGGATTATCCAATTGATCCCACTTCATTACATGACACATTCGAATCAATGTTCTTTACTCAATTGCGTCTTGTCTCAAACTTGGCAAGCAATAACAACTACCTTGGTATGGAGGATGACCATAGACTATTCTACCTTGAATCTGAATGTCGTGGTGAAATGATCGAGAACCTATTCAGAGCAAACTCATCTTGGTACAAAGCAGTTGTCACATCATTCACCAACAAATGGTCAGAAGACGATCTTTTAATGACGATTATCTCCAACATTTCCGACTTGATTCTCACTGGCAAGTTGACACATTCATTTATTGATTCAATCAAAAGTTCATTGGAATCATACTTCTATCCAGTCATCTCACAAGTATTCAAATTGGTGACCAATTATCAATCATATCCATCAATCCAATCACTTGATGAACCAAGCAGCCAATTGGTGTGTGAAATCATCAAATGTATCAAACTACCAAAGATATCATCCAATATCGCACAAAGATACGAACCAATCCTTCTTTCTCGTTCACCATCCAAAGATCTCAACACATCTATTCCGTTATACCATTCGATTGCACAAATCCTTTCATCACTATTCGAAAAGGTACTCCACCGATCAACCAATCGCGATATCAATTATACCTATGATCGATTTGTCAAGTGTGTCAAGAAAGATCCATTTGGAAGGGTTGTCGAATACATTGATAACAATCTTTTGATGGCTTATCAATCAGACTTTATAAAGTACACACTCAATATTGACAGAAATGATTCATCACTCATTGCGGTAATGGAGAGTTTATTCTCAGTCAAGCACTCTGGTATCTTGCAATACACAGTTGCACATCACTTTGGATCATCAACCATCAACTTTGTCAACAATATGACCACTCCACTCTTACAACTATCACCAGGCAACAAGATCACCAACCAACTGACTGCTGAAAACCTAGAGAGTACACAGACCATCAAATCTGTATTCTCTCAAATAACAATAGATATCATCTACGATCATGTTGTTAAAGGTAAAACAATTGATCCAAATAATATTGTGGAATGGACATCGAATTGGGCGTCATCAATGACAGATCTCTTTAATCGAGTTTCATTGGAATCATTAATCAAGACAATGGACAAACCAGACAAACTCAAAGCCATATACTTGTCGATGGTATATCAATTGGTAATGAACATCGCAATGACTGCTGATGATATCGATATTCCAGATAGATTGAAACATGTCTATAACTCAGTCAGACCAATTACATTGTTGGACAAGTGTCTCCTCGAAATCACAACCCAATTCTCAAACAACTTTAATACATTTGATATTGGTTGTTATTTGGATGTTATCGGACCTTTATCTCACTTGTCAGAGCCAATCCTCGCTGATTTCCTCAGCATTATCAATATCGATGGTTCATTTGAACAACACAGAGATTATCTCAAAAAGATACCATTTGGTTGGTTATGTAATATCATTGCATTCCAACGACCAATTCCAACTCACAAAGCACGTTACCAAAAGTTAATCAACACCAAGTTTGTCAATCTAGAGATCCAAGCCAATCCAGTGATGCTTTCTTTATGTTCATCACAGACAACAGAATTCACAACATCAACAGACATGCTCATTCCTTCAGATCAAGTTCTTGCATTCTTCAAGATGAACATTGAAAAGTTTAGTCAATATCCAAGAAATCCACCATTGATCGATGCAATCTATTACAACTTTGTTCAAGAACACAAAGTAACATTCGATGACACCAAACAATCAGAACTGTGTAATCATTGGCTCAATCTCTGTAAAAAGACAGATGCAATGTCAAAGATTGAACTTCTTGCACTCAATACCACTATTTTAGAAGTATTCACAAGCATGTTGGCCAAAGAATCATCATTGGATACATTTGTCGAAGGTCTCAATCTAACAGAGAACAAAGCATTTGGTCAAATTCTCAAAACCCTACTTTCTACAGACAAGACCGAAGAAAAGACAGCACAAATCAGTTGCATTTGGAATAGAATATTCTTTTTCAACAAGATCCAAAGTGAATCGACATTGATTCAGCTTGTCAGCAACGAGGAACTCCTTAAACTACTTGGATTGGCTGAATTCCATATCAAGGCTGACAACATTCCAAGTCTAGGTGTCTTACCATTTGTATATTACCCAGACTCACCAGATGGTATTGTTTACAACAAGATATTGAAATCAGTTTGTGATTGTTCATTGGATGCATTCAATGAAGTATTGGCACACAACAGTGGAACAACTAAACAACAAGGATTCTTTAGAATGTCTCTCTTTTTGATATCATATCAAATGTATCAAGAAAACAAAGCTCCTCAAATCGAATTCATCAAACGACAACTCAAACAATCAGTCATCGATATCCTCTCACTTACCAACTATCTCCCACTGTTTTTCAAGATTCTTCTCGCACAATTTGATCCAACGGTCATGTTTGATGAACTTCTCAAGAGAAACAATGATTTAACACCTCGAGAGACATCAGCCAGACACATATGGGTCAATAGTGTTGCCATTGCCATTGGTTCAAACAACAATTCATATCTCTACCACATGGTTGACAATAACCCATTCTTGGTCGCTGGACAATGGTATCCTGCATGTGAAGGTCTATTCAGAGACTGTGGTATGCAGTACGATATGGGTACCACCATGAAAATAGAGTGTATGAGTGAGAGCTACCTCAACAAATACTTGATTGCCGTCACTTTTTGGAGTTCTTTTGCATGGTACGGTTCAATTTGCGACCAAGGAGTTTACGAAAAGTTGATGTCCTCAAAACTTCATTTTGTCAACGATGAAGACTTTTTGGACCCCAAACGCAAAAACGGCGGCCCTACCCACAAAAAATTTATCGACTTTATCAACCATCGTGCAACCACATCGTTTAACGAAATCATTGGCACCAAAGAAATCATCGACGACAAGATCGAGACTGACCATTTCGTGTCTGAATTGCTCTACAGCATTTGGAACGATTGTTACGACTCACCTGCTCCTCATAAAAAGTCAACCTTTGCAAATCGAGCTGAAGTGGTCGTCTATGAAAACTATCTCACTGAAATGATCAAGAATGTCAAATCACAATACACACAACTCAAAGCAGATCGTCTACAAGTTTATTTTGCCAACAGCCTCATCACATCAGTTCGTCAAAACCTCACCAACGTATTTTCATCACCACTCTATGAATACCAATCAATCTTTAACAACTTGTTCGAACAGTTTGTTATTGAAGAAAGTCAACCAGACGGGTCACCCAAGGATATGGACCTGTTAATGTATTTCACAAAGAATGTATCAGCTATTTGCATCAGCAAATATTTCAAGAATCTGATTCGTTTCCTCAAGTTGTTCTATCAAATGTTTGCAAGAAGATTACCAGAGAATTATACAAACAATACAATCTCGGAATGTATGGAATATCTCACGAATCAAAAAATTGAAGATGAATCCAACATTGAAGAAATGACCAAATCATGGGAAGAATTGAAATCAAGTTGGATTGAAATCACCAAACATCTCAATGTTCTAGAAGGTGGTTGTCGTGCTCGTCCAGAATACGAAAAGATCATTCCACCAATCGATGATACCACACTAGTCAGTCAACTAATCAACATGCCAGAGCTTAAAAATGGAGGTGGTGAAATTATTAGACTGATTAACAATTGGATGACCGATACCCAAGGAAAAGTTGTCTCAAAGATAACTATTGCTCCAAAGTCAGCCCTATTTGAATCTATTCTCGAAAAAATGATGGATAGATTGGAAACAATGGATATTGGTGAAATTCCATTCGACTATGGAGACAACTATCTCTTGTTGGGATCCAACTTTGAAGTTGCAGACTATCAAAAGTTCCTCATCGAATCAGTCTCTCATTACCACCAATTCCAACGAACCAATTTCCATCCAAACTTGGCACTTATTCAACAAAAGTTGATCTACAAATTTGCATCTGGAAAGAGTACTGGTCGACAACTCAAGAACTTTACTGGTGAATTCCCATTCAAAAGAGTTACTGAAAACAAAGATCAAACCATTGAAAAGCTTCCACACTCTCGACTCGTTCCAGAACCAATCAAAAACTTGATAGATATGAAAGATCAATTGGAATCAAAGCTCTATGCTCATGAAATCGTCACATCAACATGTATCCCAATCACAGCTACATGTCGATCTAAATTGAGTTCAGTCAAGTTGGAATCATTTGCCAGTAGTTTGGTATCAACCATTACTCGATTGGTTCACAAAGAAAAGGATGCTGAAGATATCGGTCTTCCAATCATGCATTTCAACTCAAAGTTTGGAATTGACAACACCAACATCCCATCTCAGGTCACTAAATTGTTGGAGAGCATTAAGATCAACAACATCAAGACATTGGCAGACATTGTAATTCAAGGATATCTATCTTATGGTTATTTGTACTCAAATGTAACCAAAGAACCAACTGATCCAAATCCAGACTTCATTGACCAGCTAAATACCATGAAGAGTTATTATATTACAGCCATCAGTGGTGGTGGATTAGAGATACACAAAGGTATCCAATATCTCAAAGGTATTGTTCAAGATTTATGTTCTCAAGACTGTATCAATGATATCAAAAAGTCACAACCAGACCATCACCTCAAACTCTTATTCTCACATATCAACAACTCAAGTATGCCATTGGATATCATCAAAGTTGAAGAGATGACATCACCAACTCTTCCAATGTCATACTATGCATACTTTATGAGAACATTACATGAAATCCTTTCAATTCTCTATTTGGATTCTCAAAACAGTCAAAACCAAATCAAAGAATACAACGAACCTTTTATCACTCAATTCAACGATCACACAAAGAAACTAAAAGAAAAAGAAGAGGAAGAGAAAAACAAACAACAGCTCGATAAATCTGATCAAGACGAAAAAGAATTAACAATCGAGGAAAAACAAGACCAAGATCAAGAGGAAGAAGAAGAAGAGGAAGAGCTTATAGAAGATAAGAAAAATCCGGGCAAAATCAATTTCAACTTTTATGTCAACAACTATTGTTTCTTGGATGATGATGGTGATGATACCAAGGAAGAAGAGGAGGAGGAAGTTATCGAAAATGAATTCAATTTTAGTCTCAGACCAATTCTTCCAATCAAGAATGTAGACATTGTTCATTGTCTATTCAATTGGATCAGATATGCCAATCACAACATCCCAATGATGATCTCCAAACAAAAAGACTTGGGACCACTCTCCTCACTCTTTCAAAGATTCTGGTCAAGATGTCAAAAGAACCAAACATCTCCCATCGATATCTCTAAACTCTATCTCCAATTCCCAACTGGAGCCTTCACGTTGTCAGGTGATTTATTGATTCAACTATTGGCAATACTCGCTCAAATGGAAAATGATAATGGTATCAAGAAACTTTACAGTGCAAAGATTCAATCGATTTGTGGTAAATGTAAAGCAACAGTTCCAGACAGTCAAAGAAATGAAAGCATGCTCTTTGAAAGAGTATTACCATTACGTCAAGATACCAATGTCCAAGATCTAATCAAAGACATTGTCAAAGATCAAAGTTCAAATACATTCTTGTAAGTTAATCTCGTCGACGGGGAATATAATGCTTTAAAGAAGAAATATTCTAACATTTTTTTTCTCCTTTTTTTACTTTAGCTGCAAATACTGTGGAACATATAAAGCTCCAGCAGTCAAACAATTAATGGAAGCTCCACAATATTTGTTTGTCAGTTTCAAGAGATATAATGATGAAAAGGAAAAACATCATTTACAATATCAAGAAACTATTAAATTGAATGAATACTATAATTCCTCTGGAATGAGATACATGTATAATATTCAATCAATTCTCGTATGTATTTTAAATATCAAAATATCATAATTATTTATTTATTTATTTACTAAAAATTATCATTTATGATTCTAGTGCCGTGAAAAGAACCTAAACAGAAATGAAGAACCAGTATTATATATCAAACATCGAGAACAAGATATTCATCTTAGATGTGCAACCACTAACAGTGTGATTACGTCAAACATTGAAGAGAGTCTATCAAGAAATTGTGTGTTGTTGATTTATGAAAAGGTACACGAGCACAAGATATCAACTCCAGAAGCCGCCACACCCATTGTCGATGAAGTACCAGAGAAATTGAAAAGACCAACCTTCAATCCTCCAAAGAAACAACAACCAATTGTTGATGCAAGCTTCCAACCTGGTTATTTGGCCGTTTACGATCCTCATTCAACAGAACAACAGCAAAGAGGTGATACACCTGCTGTACAGCAGTACCAGGATAATCCAAATCGCACTGTCACTCCAATCCCAGCTACCCTCCCAACAAACAGTACCCCCAACACTGTTAATATGACGTTGACCCAAACCAAACCAACCCCTCAAGTCGGACTGACGCAATCAATTGTTGATGGTACCAAGGATGCACATTTCCAACCAGGCTATCTTTCAGTAAACGACCAACTTTTCCCAGGAGGAGATAAACCAAAAACCAACCCACAACAAGATATTTCTTCCTCTTCCAAACCAAGTCATCTACGATCCACTTCGACACTCCACTTAATATTTAAAAATGAAGAGCTCTTTGATTGGATCAAAACTACCCTCAAAAATGACGCCTGTGTGAATGATTTCATTTCAGATCTACAAAAAGAAGGCATTGACACATTTGAAAAGTTGTTTTCAGCAATGGACCAAGATCTCGAGAAGATAAAATCTAAATTCTCATCTCGTTTGAAAGTAGCCAAATTCAAATTTATTTGGAGAGATGCCGAGACACGACGTCAACAAAGACCCAAGGTTTTCGGAAATGAAGATATATTTAATTGGATCAGAGCATACCTTCCAAATGAAAACAATATTGACCAAATTATCATGGATCTCGAAAGCAATTCTATAGACACCTTTGATATTTTGTTTGCATTTATGGACGAAGATTGGAATGGTATTCAATCTAAATTCTCATCTCGTTTGTCTCAAAACCATTTCAATCTCATTTGGAACAACGCTGAGGAACGACGCCAGCAACGAACGCCAATTCCAGGCCACCAAGAATTCATGGAATGGGTTAACACTATTGGTTTCAGCAAGTCCTCATTGCCTCAAATTCATGAAGTCCTCGATGAGCTTGGTGTTGACGATTACCCAATCCTCGAGGGTGAATTGGAAGATTTATCAGACTCTGGTAATTTATCAGTCTTTAGTTTAGCTCATCGTCTATTATTCAAATCTGCTTACAATAGAACCATTTTCTAATAAGATTCCCAATCAATAAAAATAAATATATAATGTTTTACAATTAATGTTTTATTATAATAAATTTTATTGTTGTATTAATCAAATAAGTAAACTATTATTATCTATAAGTTATCAAAATTAATTCTTTTTCCAAATTTTTGATAATCTTTTTAAAAAACCTATATTATTATTATTATTATTATTATTATTTACTTTATCTTGATTTGATAATTTAAGTTGTATTGATTCCAAGTATTCTAAAGTGTAAACTTGGTTTACTTTGTGTATCATATTCTTATCAAAGTGGGGTAGGAGATGAGATGGATCATTGAAAAGGTTGAATAAGAATTGAATACATTCGTATCTGACAGTAATTTCTTTTATACACTGTTCTCTTGATATTTCTTCAGCATTGCTGTGGTCATGTATGAATTTTGCCACCTCTATGTGTCCGTATTTAATAGAATAAACAAAGGTCATAGAGGTACCTCTGTAATTTGTGTTGGTGTAGATATATTGGATGGATTTATAGTCACCAGATGCTGCAATAATATCGATGCAGTGGGGTGTTAGGTGACAACAATCATGTTGGTGAAGGAATCGAATGATATGGTATGTAACTGGGTTGAACCTGCTCCTAATATTACGACAAAGAACCTTCACATACTTTTCAGTGTTACCTCGGAAGACATTGTTGTCTAGACTGTACAAAAACGATACAATCTCGAGCGATGGTGTCCCTCGTACAACCAAGTCTCTTAGAGCCTCGGGGTTTAGAAGTTCTCGGTATTGGTCGAGAACCCAAACCAACATGGAGAAATGTGAGTTGTCGATCAACTCTAGCACACATTTACCAATAAATTCATTCGAGAGTGGATCCTGTATTTTGTCATTATGATCCTTGACGAGTGGAGAAATATCCTTGAACGTTTGGAATCCAAAATAACCCATCATCCAGGTCATAAGTTCCATGTTGCCTCTTTTCGCTACCAAAGCAAATAATGAATGACTATCGACCGATGGATTCCTGCTGTATGGTGTAAGATTATTTTCCAATAAATATTTTGCTACTGAACTATAGTCTCCCTAAAAATAATTAATAAATTAATAAATTAATTCTTTTGTTTTTTCTTTTTTTTTTTTAATCTTATTACCTTTCCTTTACTACAAACAAAAGCAATTGATTGATCAGGTAAATCAAATTGAAGATTTTTAATCAAAAAGTCTACAACTTCAAGATGTCCGTTGATGGTAGCATTATGAAAAGTGGTAGAGTCTAGATAACATGATGTTCTTTCCACAATGTACTTTACAAGATTTAAATGACCCGCCGAGCATGCAGCAGACATTGCCGATTCTGTGCATGGTTCTGATCTATTCTCGTGCATGTAAGAATAAATATCCAAATATCCGTTACCTGCTATATATGACATTGTCGATGGATTGGTTGGAATGGTAAGTTGTTGTTCCAAATAAATGAGAATATCCAAGTTGGCCATATAGTCAAAGGCAAACCCAGACACTGAATTCTCTCCAAATCGTGTGTAATAGAGTTTAACAAGGTCCAAAGAGTTTAATCGCACTGCAATGTCTACAAACTTGACATTCAACAATACCTCTCCAGGTAATAATCGCTTTGGAATATTATCTATCAATAATTTTGAAATATCATATTTATCTTTTAAACTACCTTTACCATTTAATCTTGAAATAACAAATAAATTAATTAATTAAAATAAATAAAAAAATAGATAAATAAATAAATAAATAAATAAATTATAATTATAACTTACATATTTAATAATGCAATAGTTTTGAACTTTAAAGATGGATAATGTTTGAGTAAATATACAACAATGCATGTATGACCATTAAAACAAGCAATTTCAAAGGCATTTTGAGTGATTTTAATTTTATGGACGGTGTTTAGATAGTGGAGGATGTGTTCATGGCCATACTCGCATGCCATCAATGCAGTGGCTGCAGAGGGAAGGATACCCAGCTCGTTGACGACGTACTCGAGACACTCTAGATTACCACCTGCAGCGATATTATGAGCAAACCAAAAAGGTGAGCCTGTGCAATCCTTGCTCGTTTGGTCAGGCACATCATTGGTTTGGTCAACCTGATCGAATATGGTCAATGAAAGTGTATGACGAGGGTAGAGAGGAAACCTCCTAACTATCTCTTTTAGTATCTTTACATCTCTACAGTGTCTAAGAATAGATGGTACTGCTTTAAATGCCAATATAAAAGTATCATCATGTTTTAGTTTTGAATACAATAACTTTAAACTTCTTTGATTAAAGTTGTCTTTAGACTTTTGATCATTATCATCATCATCATTATTATCATGTGATGACCTAAGATCTACTTTAAAATATGATACTATATAACTTGGAAGAGATTGAAAACTATGTTTGGGTTGATTGAAGCTGATGGTTGCATGTATCTCTGGTATTGATTGAAATATCTTTCTAACTATAACCTTGTTACCAAATACAAATTGAAAGGTTCTATAATCTACTGACATGTCTTTAATCTATCTATCTATCTATATATATATAGACTTAATATTATTATTATTATTATTATTATTATTATTATTATTATTATTATTATACATGATGATAAATTTGTGTTATATCAATGATCATTGTTCGTTTGTGGATCTTTTTTTGAGGACTAAATCGATTTGGAAATTACTGAGTACAGTTATTATTAATAATTTAGTAGTGGTCTTGTTTATTCTTCTTGTGATTATATCTATTCTTTTTTCCTCCACCTTGGTAGTTATTATTATTACTATTATTATTACGCTTATTATTATTATGAATATTGTTATTATTATTATTATCATTTTGATTGTCACCCATTGATTCTTGTTCGATACTATTTGTCTCTTCAGTAAATCTATTATTATTATTTTGATTGTTATTATTTCTATTAAATTTAATTGATCTATTATTGTTATTGTTATTGTTATAATTGTTGTTGTTGTTATTATAATTATTTTGATTATTATGATGTTTATTGGTTGTATATGTTTGTTGATGGCTGTGATGTTGATGTTGATGTTGTTCAGCAGGTAATAATAATTTTCTAAGTTGATCTGGTATTAATTGAGGTCTCTTTTTGAGTGCATACACCAATCCACTCAATATAGCAATGTTACCTGCAACGGCACTAAAGTATACATTCTTGAATGATTGTTTGGCTCGTTTGTGTTTGAATTGTTCCATGGCCCACATGCCACCGATCCAACCACCTGCCAATGCAGTCAATTGCAGTGTACTCTCTCTGACACGCCATTTATGTTGAATGGCTTGTTGCTTGTCATAGTAGAACATGTATGCTGCTCCTGCATTCACTCCTACTCCGTAGGTTGTAATGATTGCCATTGGTCCTTTTAATAGATTCATCTTTCTCTCTTTCTCTCTCTATCTAATTATATCTATCCTATCCTCGCACTCACACTATTTCTCTTTTTATATAAAGTAAGTACTTTGGTTTGTAGTAAGTATCTTTCTGAACAATAGAGATTTGATTTACATTGTTCAAAGAAGAACTTCTCATTAAAAAAACGAGCGAAACATGATCGATCTCAAACATACAACAATTCATTTAAATTAGCATTACTCTTAATCTCTTATACCAAAAGAAGCAACAAACAAATTCTCGTCATCTCTAAGAGATATTCCCTCTCCTCTCTCTCTATATATATATTACCACACACGATCAGAGTAGATTAAATTTGAACTTAACACACAATTGTATAAACACCGCACCCTCCTTATTTTTTTTTGTCTAATAAGTTTGGTGGTGTGTATTTTAAAACAACAACTCATCAATGTCAATGATCACCAATCATTAAAGTCGTTGTTGACAGTTTTGAGTAAAGGTATCATTATGCACACCGGTGGTAGTAGATATATATCATCATCGGCCAGCATAGCAGATCATTTTAACAATTACACAATTTCATTCATTCGATCATTGGTATCATCAATCACTACTACAGATATGGATACCATTTCATTCTATTCTTGATCAAACATAGAAGTAGTTTAAATATGGTAATCACTGATCATTGGAATATTATCATTTACCAAAGCGAGAAGATGCTTAAAAATGGTAATCATTGGTATGTTTTCATGTACCCAAAACTAGAACATGTTTAAATAAGGTAATTAAAATGATCATCTATCAGTTCCACCGATAATTATTAATATTGATGCCCATCCTCTTTTCATGCAACCGTTTAGTATAAATAGAGCAATTTTCGATTCATTATTTAAATCACAAATCAAACAATCAACAGTTTAACAACTAATTAAATTCACAACAACTACCATACACACTAATAATAATAATAATATTAAAAATGGCAATTGAAATCATCAACTTTAACCAACTCATCCAAAGACAATCTTCTTTGGATAGATTCCCAACCACACTATTCCCAACCAACTATTTCTACATTGCTTTTTGTATCATTGTCTTCCTATACACCATCCAAAAGCGTGACAAGAAGTCATCAAGTCGCTTTATGGAAATACTCTCATCCAATCAATCAATAAGTATTTTAGAAATCAACTTTAATAACCGTATTGTCAGAACCAATAATAGTTCAGTATCACTCGAACAATTCTGTCAATCATACGTCATCGATTCAATCACCCTCCAAAACAACATCATCTCATCAATGAATCAATTCTCTCCAAGTGACGTACAAATCAAGAGCAAGAGCTGCTCTTCATACTATCGTCTCACTGGAAAGTACGATGCTTCGACCAATGTCTTCCAAGGAATCATGATTGACAACACTCAAGAGAAACAACAACTCAACAAGCTCAAGAACACCTTGACTCACGATGCACTCACCGGTCTCCAAAATAGATACCATCTCAACAACAAGATCCAAAAGTTTTGTGCCAAGTCTTCATCAGAACAATGCTCAATCTATTTCATTGATCTCAACAAATTCAAACAAATCAACGATACCCACGGACACGACAATGGTGATGTTGTCCTCAGATCAGTTGCCGATCGCTTCCAACAATTCGCCGACGAATCAGTTCTCCCAGTCCGCCTTTCTGGCGACGAATTCCTCATTGTCAAGCGCAATGTAGAATCAAACACACAAGCTGACCAATTTATCTCCAGCTACCTCTCAAGTGTCCAATGCGACACTGTCCAACTCAACAACTCAACGTCAATCAAAGTAACTCTTTCCTTTGGAGGTGTTGTATTCAACAAATCACAATCAACTCAAACCGATAAGTTGATTAAATGTGCCGATGAAAGAATGTATCAAATGAAAAAGAACCTTTTACCAAACGGCAACTCTACCGTTACCTTTACTGCTTAAATTAATAAATATTAAATAATAACAAAAAAAAAAAAAGTAGTGTACTTTTTTTTTTCTAAACACCTAAAATACTTGTCTTCTTTATTCTTTTTATATTAATTGTGCCAATAACAAAGTGACTTTCATAAAAGTAAAAACCAATTATTGTTGACGCCCTCTCTCTCTCTAGTTTGTTCTGATTTACACCCACTATCTTTTGTTTGCAAAATTGGTTTTTTTTGCAATGAGTAATTTAATTTCTTTAAGTCAAACATCTACTATGGCAGTTACGGGTAGTAGTTGGAGTACAAGATTAAAATAAATAATAGAAAAGTTTTTTACAGCAAATGAATGTCATTATTATATTCAGCACATATATATAGATATTATTGGTATAAGATAAAGTCAAAATGGAGGAATTAGCAAGCACAAAGCAAGATCAGAAACAGGTGTATGGAGAGATTTTAGGTGTTTTAACAGTCTTTTGGGAATGTAAATCAGGGCTAACATTACAAAAGGTCTTGGTGAGAGAACAAAAGGAGCGATTGGAAGCATCTGTGATGCTTACACTAGAGCACGGGGAGATTAGCAACAAAAATATTAGCTTCGTTTTGGGATTAGAAGAATATGAAGTATCAGGGGCACTAAAGAAGAAATCTATAGTACCTCGCCAAAAGACACTTACACAAGAGGAAGAGGAAAAGATAATAGCCAAGATCAAGATATCTATTCAGCAGAATAGACCTATGACAAAGACAGATGTCAAGATTTTGGCACTCAATCTCTGGAAAGAGTGAACGGGCACAAAGAGAGAAAAGATGCTGTCAGACTCTTGGTGGAGAGGTTTTAGATCGAGATACGTAGATCTCAAGCTTAGATATGTTCGCTCTCAAGATTATAAAAGGGCACTTGCTGAACAAAAAGGTGGTTCTGACGCATGGATCAAGGAAACTAGAGATTTCATAGTAAAACATGGTATCAAACAAGAAAATATATTCAACATTGATGAAAAGGGAGTTCTCTTCACAGATACTAAACAAAAGGTAACTATAGACAGTAGTGATTATACACATGCAATTGATTAGAGTTTACTAATAATTCAATGTCTTTGTCACAGGTTGTCATGTTTGTTTATAAAAATGCAAGGGAGACACTCAAACCAAAAGTTTTTAAACAAACTCAGTCCCAACACTTTACATTGGTAGGAGGAATAACAGGATTAGGTGGTAGTCTAAAGCCTTATTACGTTTTGCAGTTTCCAATCAAAAAGAATTGGTCCATTACTAGTAAAAATGAATATGGCTATCTGGAAGTTAATAAGAGTGGCTATGTAAGATGATTTTTTAAAAATTTTCTTTTTCTACAAAATCTAAATATTATAATTAATTAACACACTCTTGTCTATAACTAATCGTATATAGGTAGATGAGTCAATCAAGCTAGACTGTGTCCAATTTTTTGTTAAACAGCTGACAACACCTGGCGACAAGTTACTTTTGGTCGACAATCATGGAAGTAATTTTAGTCCTGAATTACTTCAATGGGCCAATGAAAACAAGGTTCACATTAAGAGCTTTCCATCCAATATGACACATATCTTACAACCTTTGGATCTTGTCATTTTTTCATCATTCTCTCAATCACTAAAGAATATGATACTAAAACAACTTCAAGACAAACCCAACTTTAAAATCGCACCCGAACACTACCAACAGTTTTCATGCTTTGCATGGGTCGAAGCAACAAAGCCAACCAACGTAATGGCTGCTTGGAACAAGTCAGGTATCATTAATTGTTCGCCACTCTCACCACAAGATCAGGGATTGATACCAAAACCACCCAAGGCAACAAAAAAATCTTCAAAGGCTCTTGCTCTTGTTCAAACCACTTCTAATGCATTGGTAACGACAGATTCTTTACCACACAAGCAAAGATCAATGATGATGAGAGATAAGATGAGTACAGGCACTGTCTGGACCGACGACACAAATCGGTATGTTTAAACGATAACAACTACTACCCATTTTTTACTAACCTAATTTTCATTTAAATCAAAGAGACTTGGTTATTCATTATAAAAAAGAGACACGAAAGAGAAGACAGCCAAAAAAATCAGACTCTGGAGATGTTAACCTGAGCCAAGTTAACAATTATAACACCTTTAACCAAATTAATGTGGCTACCGGCGAAATGCGAGATGAAAATAATAGACCAGCTAAAAGAATAGCCTATGAAAGCAATACCAACTCATCATCCCAACTGTCAACCACTATTCAAAATCCTTCCTTAGTCTCTTCCGTCAAATCCCTATTTAATAAATTCTTGCATTGAACTGTCTTCCCCCATATTCCCCATATAAATTGGGTCACCCCAAACTTTTTATTTTCCTCTTTGCAAAAAAAACCAATTTTGCAAACAAAAACAAGTGGGTGTTAACTAGTGTACACAATTATCATGGTTGGACCATTGAGCTAAAGAGTTGATGCACACTCATCTTCTCTCCTCTTAAGCAAGCAAGCAAGCAAGCAATCAATCAATCATGACAGCACCACATAGTTGAACTGAACTTGCAACACACACTCTGCTGCTGCTGTGCTTAGTGCACTCGTTTGTTAGAGTGTGTGTCAGTGTGTGACAGACAGCCAATGAACATCAAATTTAATTGGGTGTGTTCATTGCATTCCCCTTTTTAGTCAAACTCGTTCAAGACGACAGACTGTGAGACGTGCAACCCCCGCCACCCACAAACTCATCATCATCCAGCAATGAAAATTAATTATGCGTATCAGATATATATAAACCCCCCACTACCCACACTAACTAATATTAAAAATATTTAAATAATTACCGAGTGTTTCTTGGTATACCCTAACCAACCTGCTCACTCTCTCATACTCTATACTTATCCACTGATCATCCACTTTATTTCTTTTATGAAACTTGTTTCAAAAATCGTATGATATACAGATAATAATAGTGTCCTACTATTATCTCTCTCTCTCTCTCTTTTACTTCTCTATACTCAAACTCTTAAACTTTAATTAACCATTTAACTTTCTCTTATTTTTTATTTTTTTTTCCATCTATCTATAGTCTTAAATCAACACAATCATTACTACTACGACCTATCAACAATCAAAAATCAAATCATATATTTTACATTCATTATCCAATCATGAACCCATTAATTATCATCTTTATTTTGTGTATCGTTGTATCATCTGTTTTTGCCAATATGTCTTGCAACAACCAATATGTCTTTGTCAACGACACCAACTCATTGTCATCATCTTTTTCATTGTTCAACCATGTTGAGCAACAATCGACTATCATCCAAAATAACAATATTTCTTTGTCTATGATGCCATCATCCGTTTCATTGCCATCTTTTAATCATTTTGAACATCCAATCATTCTTATCAAAAACAAAAACAACAAAAACAACATCAACTACAACAACAATAATAATAATAGCAATAATAATAACGATATCCATTCATCTATTTCACAAACCCAATTTGATTCAAATCATATTGTTTCTCAATGTCATTTACCATCAAACCATACTTTTATTCCTGTCTATAACAACAAAAATAATAATAACAATAATTTATCTTTTAATTCATCAATTTCAATTCCTTTTAATGTTTTGTCCCAATCCCATTTCCAGTTACCATTAAATCACTCAACCAACAACCATATAATTTTCTATGACGACAAAGAGGAGGAGGAGGAAGAGGAAGAGTATGTTCAATGGAACAGCAACAGCAGCAACAACACAATCTCATGTTTCAACCATGTTAAACATCAATTAATTTCCATCAACTATCCATTGCCAATTAGTAGTTTTCCATCCTTTTCACACAACATTCACTATAACTCAAGCCATGTTTTGTGTATCTCAAATCATTCAACAACCAAAAACCATATTGTTTTAGAGGAGGAGGAGGAGGAGGAGGAGTCTGTTCAATTGAACAGCAACAGCAATACAATCTCATTTTCATATTTCAACCAATCAATTCCCATCGATAATAATAATATTATTTCATTCCTCAATGTCCATCAATCATCGATTCCATGTTTTAAATCTAGTGATATTTTAACTCATTCAACAACAAACAACCACATTCTTGTAGAGGAGGAGTTTGTTCAATTGAACAACAGCAGCAAAATCACACATTCATTAACTTGTTTAGACAATGTTAAACATCAATCAATTCCAATTAGTAATCAATCAAATAATAATAATAATAACTATTTTTCATTAATTCATTCATCATCATTGAATTCACCTATTCCATTTTCATCTGATTATTTTAACTCTGCAAACACTTCCACATCATCATCATCAACATTATCAAATACAATCAATTCAACAAGATCAAAGACAAGCCCATTTTCAAGATACTCCAGCAACATCTCAAGAATAGAAAACAACAACAACGCGGTAACAAGCTCTGACAATTTAAACCAATTTACTGATACCTCTTCTTTTATTTTTATAGATACCAAAGTTGCCAACAATTATTTTGATTCTCTCAATTGTTTCGGAACCAATCATTCAAATCATACAATAATACAACAATCATCATCACCAATCAATCATCATACAATCCTCACCACAACCCACACTCACAATCAATATTCACAAATCACTCCACCATCTTCAAATAATAATAATAATTCCTATTCATTTATTCACCCATTATTATCCATTAATACAGATTTTATTGTGCCCCAATGTCAATCACAACCATTAATTTCAAATTACTCAACAACCAACAACCTCATTCTTTTAGAAGAAAGGGAAAAGACTGTTCAATTGAACAGCAACAACAACAACAACACAATCACAATCTCATTGTTCACCCATGTTGAACATTATTCAATTCATAATAATAATAATCATAATATTTCTTTCCATCAATTAAGTGATACATTATATCAAAGTCAATGTCAATCCAATCATACATTCTTTCCTATCAACAATAATAATTATAATTTATCTTTTCATCCACAGTGTCAATTCCTTTTATATATGTTTTGTCTCAATCCATGTCACCCATTCCATTAAACTCTAGCGATGTTTTGTTTCATTGTCAATCACCAAATCATTCAACAGCCACCAACAATTTTAATTTAGATCAGGAAGAGTCTGTTCAATTAAACAGCAGCAGAAATACAATCTCATTTTCATATTTCAATCAATCAATTCCCATAGATAATAATAATAATAATATTTCATTCTTCAATGACCATCATCATCGACTCCATGGTTTAAATCTAGTGATATTTTAACTCATAGTCAATCATCATTGCCACAATTAATATTAAACCATTCAACAACCAACAACCACATTCTTTTAGAGTTTGTTCAATTGAACAGCAACAGTAGCATCACAAATTCATTAACTTGTTTAGACCATGTTAAAAACCAATCAATTCTTTTTAATAGTAATCAATCAAATAATAATAATAATTATTATTCATTAATTCATTCATCCATTTCACCTAATCATTTCAACTCATTCTCATCATCAAACACATCATATATATCAAATATAATCAAATCAACAAGATCAATTGCAAGCCCATTTAAATCAAGACACTCCAACATTTCAAGATTAAAAAACAACCCGGTAACAAATAACAATAATAATACCAACACCAAATTAAAAAATACAAATATCAACAATAATAATAATAACTATGCCAACAACAACTCATCATCATCATCATCATTCTCATGCTTCAACCATGTTGAAACATTCATCTCAACCAACAATCAACCAAAAAATATTAATAATAATAACAAAAATAATAACAAAAATAACAAAAATACAAAAACAAATATTAATAATAATATCAACAACAATAATAACAAAAATACAAAAACAAATAACAACATCAATAACACAAGAACAACAAACAATAATAATATTATAATCTTTGCCGAACACTTCAACCCACAATCAATCATTCATTCATCACCAATCCTCAAGTCAGTTGCCCGTCCCAAACCCAGTGATCAAGAGTACCAGTTTCCAAGCAACAATCACCACCATTCGTAGACCAACATAATTAACTCTGTATCAAAAGTTGATAATTAATTATAAATTTACTGACTCTTTTTCTTTTTATTTTATAGGTACACTAATCATTATTCTCTTCAACTCTTTTGGTAATAACAACATCTTAATAAAACAACTAATAATATTAATAATAACCAACCACAATAACTAATAATAATAATAATAACAATAATAACAACAATAACTAATAATAATAATAATGACAACAACCAACAGCAATAACTAATAATAATAATAATTACAACAACAACAACCACCAATTACAATCCTCTTCTTTTCTAAAAAAAAAGATATTCAATTACTTTTACCCAAGTGGTTTCCCTCTATTCCTACTCTTTTCTTTTTATACATTTTCCGTTGCCATCGTCCGTGCCCAGTCCAGTCCAGTCCAGTCCATCATCGTCCATCCATGTTCCACGTCTCCCTAGGCTTTTATACCCAAAAAAGATATTCAATTACTTTGAACCAAGTGGTTTCCTTTTAAAAAGATATTAAATTACTTTTACCCAGAGGGTTTCCCAGGTTCGCCCCCGTGTAAGTCGATTTTCTTCGCATTGGGGGGCTTTTTTTTTTTTTGGACTGTTCCCATGGTCTAAACAACCATGGGAACAACCAAAACTATATTTTTCTATTTCTTTCTTTCTCTTTTTTCTCTTTTTCCCTCTCTTTTTTATTATTTTTTATTTATTTATTTATTTATTCTTTTACCGCCAATTCAATATTATTTTTCTGACGATTTTAAAATTAATTAAACCATCATCAGAATTGTAATAATTATTATTTGTAACAAATATTTGTGACACTACAACTGTAGCAATATGTGTCTTTATAAAGGTATGCACCCAAAGATGGTTTATGGGTTTGTAACTTTAATTTATTAAAATTAACACTTTTAAAATAAAAATAAAATAAAAAAGCAACCACACCACTTCACCAACTCTGACTTTTTGATCAGACCTTTATTATTTTATTTTTCTTGTATTTATAAATATAATTAATGACTTGTTACTCACAACATATCAATATATACTGATACATATAACTATAGATAGAAAAGATGATACGAATAAATAAATAAAGACTGTTTTTATGTGCACTATCTATTTCTTACAATCATTATTTAGCTCCATCATCCCCCAACTATTCCTCGTGACACATCCTCTATAGTCCATTGCCCATGATCCACAATCATGCCTAGTACAACCATCATCCACCACTGGTGGAAAATCAAGAAAGTATAAAGTCTTATTGTGACAGATGAATTTTATAATGTTTTAGTTAGTATTGGAATCGATTGATCAAGATAGATTCTTCACAAAGGAAATAATATTAATATTAATTTATATTATTTTAAATATATTTAGTTATTTTAGAGACACCAGCAAATTACTATGTTGATACGTGATAGATTAAGGATTGCGGATTGTATATAGTGGACCCAGGCCGATGTCTGCCATCCTCCACCATCATATACCATCTATCAATCAATCATCTATAGTCCATCCACTATCCATGGTAGACTATAGTCGTCCATCTTTGTCAATCTCAGCCACCATTGTACATATTCAACAATAGTCCAAGTGGAAAATCAAGAATGCATCATGTTTTATTAATATCGATGGTTCAATGCATTGGAATGATGGATCAATTAAATAGAATCACAATAGTCCAACTGTGGATATCGTATTATTATTTGATTTACATCAGCAATGGACTCTTGTAGATACAGTACATTTTGATTATAATCATTGTTTAATACAAAGAATCCAATAAACTTATAGAAATCTTTAAACTACAATTCAATCTAAGACTAAAATTTCTATCTATTTCCACCATCCACTATCCATCTTCTATCCATCCATCCACTAACCTCTATCCATCCGTCCTCATCCATCCATCCTCATCCAACCATCCTCTATCCTCTATCCATCCATCCTCTATCCTCTATCCAACCATCCTCATCCAACCATCCTCATCCATCAGCCCTCTTCATCCATCCGTCCTCATCATCTATCCATCCGTCCGTCCTCATCATCTATCCATCCTCTATCCTCTATCCATCCATCCTCTATCCACCATCTTCTATCCAACCATCCTCATCCAACCAACCATCCTCCATCCATCCTCTAACCATCCGTCTTCATCCAACCAACCATCCTCCATCCATCCTCTATCCACCATCTTCTATCCAACCATCCTCATCCAACCAACCATCCTCCATCCATCCTCTATCCATCCGTCCTCATCCAACCAACCATCCTCTATCCATCCATCCTCTATCCATCCATCAGCCCTCATCCACCATCCTTCTTCATCCATCCGTCCGTCCTCATCCATCCATCCTCTATCCACCATCCACCATCCACCATCCCTATCCATCCACCATCCGACCATCCTCTATCCATCCAACCACCATCCTCTATCCATCCACCATCCGACCATCCTCTATCCATCCATCCACCATCCATCATCCATCCACCATCCACCATCCACCATCCATCCTCTATCCTCCATCCATCCACCATCTACCATCCATCCTCTATCCATCTACCATCCATTCTTCCACTATCCGCCATCCACTATCCATCATAGGTGCGGTACACCTTGCTTATCTTTTTTAGAGTCAACAATAATTAATTAATTAATTATGTATTTTCTTTATAACAATTGATCAAATAGGATTATATTTAGGAAAGATTTGGATATAAAATCTTATTTCTTTTTCAACATCGAATCAATGATATTAGATCGATTTCAAATTGTAGAAATGCTACATTGTTGTGTAGCTTGTCCACACGTTTGATGTTGGGGATGGTCGAAATGATATTAGACAATTTCTGGTGTACTTGGGTTTGAATGTTATTACTCTCGGTTTTAATCCTTTAAAAAATAGATTGATTGATCTTCAAATTAATTTTCATCAATTGCAATGCAACACTCAAAATATTATCACTATAGGATGCAACAATTGGTAAATGTTCCAATCCGAATCCTCTTACTATCAATTGATAATATTGAATTGTTTGATTTGTTCAACAATTGGGTATAATAATGGTAATTGTCTTCCACGAAGATGAATCATAGAAAAGATGAATTAGAATATTAAAATGGGATCAAATAAATTTTGAGGAAACCCTTTTAAACTAAATCATTATTGGATCACCTAACCCAATAACTATACTAACAGTTCCCTTTACCGATATTTAAATTAATAGATAATAACAAAAAAAAAAAAAAGGTTATTTTTCAAACACCCTAAATACTTGTCTTGTCTTCTTAATTCTTTTTTTAAAACCAACTTGAACAAACAAATAATAATATTTTAATAATGTCAACAATCACATTTCATTGTATATTCAGATCTAAATACATTAGACAAATGATATTCAATCATATTAATGATATATCAAAACAATTGTATCAAAGATCATTGGTAGGAAGAGACATCATCAAATTACCTCTTCTTGAAATGATATCAATCTACGCAGTGCCGTGGGACTTTATTCGTCATTATCTACCAACTGATATTGATCAAATACAATTAAAAGGAGTGATCAGTAAATACTGTTGTCATGACAATGCAACATTGGATAAAGTCAAACATCTATTGGAGTGGTCTCACGTTGACTTTGATTGGGATCTCTTTAAAAGTAATGGTAGATATATACCAAATAAAGAGATACTGGAATATGTCATAGAGAGCTGTCATGATGATTTTACTAGCTTTGTCATACAGATAATGAACACTCCTTTCAAACCTCTAGGTTACCAAATGGACACCATAATTAATTAATATTAAAATCGTAAAGTATTTGCAGTACACAATGGTAAGAATTCTTCATGAAAATAGAAATAAATAATAACTGATAAAGATGTAAATAATAATCTGATATTAATTAAATCATTTGATTAATCATAATAGGAACAAACTAAAGCATTTCAATCAATGAAATGAATAATGTTGCAAGATCGCCAAAATAGCTATATATATAATATTTATAAATTATATAACGACAAAACATGTTTCCTTTTGTCAAGATTTCCATTTAGTCTTTAGATCTGGTATGTACCATCTTTTCACTTACAACAAACACTACTTTTAAAAGTACTCGAGTGACAATTAGTCAGTGTCAAGGTTCTGATTCGGTAATCGCATACTCTCAGAGTTTATACCAAAATAAGCAACAAACCAAACCATCATCTCTAAGAGAATATTCCCTCTGCTCTCCTCTCACTCACTATGACCACACACGATCATATTAGATTTGAACTCAACACACACAATTGTATTAACAACGCCCCTCCTTATTTTTTTTTGCCTAAACAGTTTGGTGGTGTGTATTTTAAAACAACACTCATCAATGTGATCACCAATCATTAAAGTCGTTGTTGACAGTTTTGAGTAAAGGTATCATTATGCACACCGGTGGTAGTAGATTTATATCATCATCGGCCAGCATAGCAGATCATTTTAACAACTACACAATTTCATTCATTCGATCATTGGTATCATCAATCACTACTACAGATATGGATATCATTTCATTCTATTCTTGATCAAACATAGAAGTAGTTTAAATATGGTAATCACTGATCATTGGAATATTATCATTTACCAAAGCGAGTAGATGCTTAAAAATGGTAATCATTGGTATGTTTTCATCTACCCAAAACTAGAACATGTTTAAATAAGGTAATTAAAATGATCATCTCCATCTGATCACCAACTGATGCCCATCCTCTTTTCATGCAACCGTTTAGTATAAATAGAGCTATTTCGATTCATTATTTAAATCACAAATCAAACAATCAACAGTTTAACAACTAATTAAATTCACAACAACTACCATACACACTAATAATAATAATAATATTAAAAATGGCAATTGAAATCATCAACTTTAACCAACTCCAAAGACAATCTTTGGATAGATTCCCAACCAACTATTTCTACATTGCTTTTTGTATCATTTTCTTCTTATATACCATCCAAAAGCGTGACAAGAAATCATCAAGTCGCTTCATGGAAATACTCTCATCCAATCAATCAATCAGTATTTTAGAAATCAACTTTAACAACCGTATTGTCAGAACCAACAACAGTTCAGTATCACTCGAACAATTCTGTCAATCATACGTCATCGATTCAATCACCCTCCAAAACAACATCATCTCATCAATGAATCAATTCTCTCCAAGTGACGTACAAATCAAGAGCAAGAGCTGCTCTTCATACTATCGTCTCACTGGAAAGTACGATGCTTCGACCAATGTCTTCCAAGGAATCATGATTGACAACACTCAAGAGAAACAACAACTCAACAAGCTCAAGAACACCTTGACCCACGATGCACTCACCGGTCTCCAAAATAGATACCACCTCTACAACAAGATTCAAAAGTTTTGTGCCAAGTCTTCATCAGAACAATGCTCAATCTATTTCATTGATCTCAACAAATTCAAACAAATCAACGATACCCACGGACACGACAATGGTGATGTTGTCCTCAGATCAGTTGCCGATCGCTTCCAACAATTCGCCGACGAATCAGTTCTCCCAGTCCGCCTTTCTGGCGACGAATTCCTCATTGTCAAGCGCAATGTAGAATCAAACACACAAGCTGACCAATTTATCTCCAGCTACCTCTCAAGTGTCCAATGCGACACTGTCCAACTCAACAACTCAACGTCAATCAAAGTAACTCTTTCCTTTGGAGGTGTTGTATTCAACAAATCACAATCAACTCAAACCGATAAGTTGATTAAATGTGCCGATGAAAGAATGTATCAAATGAAAAAGAACCTTTTACCAAACGGCAACTCTACCGTTACCTTTACTGCTTAAATTAATAAATATTAATTAACAAAAAAAAAAGTAGTGTACTTTTTTTTTTTCTAAACACCCTAAATACTTGTCTTCTTTATTCTTTAAAACAAACTTGAACAAATAATAATATTCAACAATCACATTTCATTGTAAATTCAGATCTAAATACATTAGATTTAATTTGTTTGTTTCTAGAAAAGATTTACATTATATTACAATTTGATTGATAGCTTGCTTTCTTTTTAGAGTTGGCAAGAAGTGTTTTGGTATGTTTGGAAAAGTATTCTTTGAGAAAGAATCTAATGTCATCGCTGAGTGACTCTTGATTGAGTGCTCTAAAAGAGTCTAGAGAGAGGAATAGATCGTTTGGAGCGCACGGGAACAACTCTGGATTCTGGACAATGTAGAGGAGGGTGTCTACACGGTTGGCAAACACAAGGGCATGTACAATGACGGTAAAGGAAATATGAGGACAATGCTTGATGATGTGGTGGAGCACTTCTACACACGTAATCGATTGAATGTCTGGATATACTTTGACAAAGTTGACATGTCTAAGAAACTCTAGTCTACAGTATTTGGTGGCTGCTGTAACCATGACTAAATTGGATTGATGAAAGTTTGGTAGGTAATCAATTAAAGAGACAAGTCCCTTTTTACCAATCAAACTGTAATGACTGTGACTAACCAACTCTAACTCTTGAACATTAAGTTTAGTGATAATATAATCGATTGCTCGATATCCTTTGTTTACCAAATTAATTCGCATCAAGTCTGATCCGTAGGCAGCGTGGTATCGATCGATTGATTTAAAGTCGGCATTGGCACATACACCCGACAAGAGATACTCCATCTCCAAGTTACGTACTCTTGCATCGCTGGTGTTGCCGTAGGCTAGTGCTTTGTTGGTCTGGTGACTGTCAAATAAAAAGTCAAATGCCTCTCGAGTAACTTGGAAGTGTTGGTGGTCAATGATATAGTACCATGCACTCCACTCGAGGTTGCATAGCATCTTGAGCACCTCAAATGACACTACCTTTCCTTTAATCCGATCGATCAGACGAACAGCCTTGGTAGTCGCCATCTTGTACAACCAGTCTATAATCTCCAACGTCCCATTACTCGCATCTCTCTTGCTTGCCAACCCAAATAACCATTGTATCTCTTCTCTATTAAATTGACATATATCATCAAAGGTAGTAGTAGGGTCAGGTAGAGAAAAACTTGTACGTTGTTCAATGTCTAGTTGATTAATCTTTTTTAAAATTGTGATGATTTGGTCTTTGGTACAATGTTTAAATAGTGCACCCAAGAATGATCTCAGTTGTATCGATCCAGCTTGAGGGGATATTGGTGGTGCCAACGGTGGTGGATGTGGTAGTGTGTCACCATTATTATTATTATTATTATTATTATTATTGTTGTTGATGGGGACAGAGACATCGGGATACTTGGTATAAATAAGTTTGGCCAAATAATCAAGACTGCATCGATCCGGACCAAGTGTGCGTATCTCCAACTCTACCAAATTATTTAGAAAGAATGTTTTAGAGTATATCGTGATTAAATGATGATACACCAACTCTTCCAATAATAATGGCGACGACGACAAGTTGGGATGGAATTGTGCAAGTGACATTCTGATCACAGCAACCTCTTCTTGTTGGATTTTTGCAAAGTGACATGCCAACTCTACCCTCTTGTCCAACGAGTGTCTAGCAATCTCTTTTATAATCTTTTCATGTCCAAACTCTGTTGTCTCGCAAAAGGTGGTTGCCAAGACACCGCTAAACTCTTTAAACACTTGCATACATCCCAACCGATACAAAAAGTGTAACCAGTGTTTTCCATTCATTGACCGTGACACTGTAGCCGCTCCAAAGTGAGTGACAAACCAGTTAAACACCGATGCATCGTTTAGATGTGACAAACTAGACAATAGGATCTGCTCGACGATAGTACCATCCTTGTCACGTGGTGAAACACACTTTTCCTTTAATAGATAATCCATTACATGCAAATGTTTGCCTTTGGCAGCACCCACATAACATTTGTCGTCTAGGTTGAGTTTGGTTGGGTTTTGTTGTGCCACCAACAACTTGATAATCTCTAGGTTTCCAGCTTGACACGCCAATCTGATAAGATCATCCTTGTAGAATCGGTGTTGGTACTTGTCATAGACCACTCGAAACTGGTCATAATCAGACATCTTCTCGCACACCAAATCGATTGCCTCAGCTGAAAAGTAGAGTGGACAACCACGACTAATCTTGTCAACTAGCAGACTATAATGGTTATGTGTCAAGATATCCTTTGCCTTGAACCAATCATCATAACGATTAAACTCTATAGAGTATTTTTCTAATTCTCCATGACTCTCTAAACTTGATAATATCCTCTTGAATAGATATCTATTCTTGAATACTTGATCAATTGAATTCATCATCTTATTAATTTTTCCTCTCTCTTTTGTTATTTAAACATATCTACTCTTTTCTTTCTTCTATTATATAGGTAGTGGTAATAATAATTAATGGTATATATATATCACCAATTTGTGTTGTGCATGTATTTATAATTGATTGTTTGTTCGCACTACTTTTCTAACCTTTCAACAAAACCACGCACACACATGACTGTAGTTTTGTCGCCATGAAGATAAACAATTCACTTAAAAAATGGAATATTCTATGAAGTGTTTAGTAGTGATCACTATTATTATTATAAATTTTTGTTGTTGTTTTTTAATTATTTTATTATTATTATTATTTTATTACTGTATACATAATAACATGGAAGTATCAAATAAATATAATATAGATTGGAATAATAATTTTATCAAGAATCCAAAAGCAACAAAACAAATAGATTTAAATGTACTTGTATCTAAAAATACTGTATAGAATGAGGAAGGAGAGATAATTAATAAATAAATAAATAAATATTATTATAATTATTATTATTAAAAATATTTTTGTTTTTTAATCAATTTACCTTTAATTGCAACAACATTTGAAGTTAAAACAAAAACATTTAGGATGGTTCCAAAACTAAATGGATAATCCCAAATCATCATTAAAATAAGGAAACCTTTTCCAAAACTTGATAGAATGATTGCCATTAATAGATAGTTGTATTTGATGATTGCGTATCGAGAAGAGTATATAAGTTTGACTGCTAGTACAATCGACAGAGCATATAACGCAAACTCTGCAATCGCCGTCAAAAATATAAACCAGTATCTATCATAGGGTACGTCATCTTGCCAATCATAATAATAAAATGCACTCTTTGGTTGTGTATATTCGCAATCTTCTTTTAATCTTAACCATTTAATATCTAAAATCAGACAGAAAGAATAAATGATTAATAATCCATTCCAAAAACTCTTTAGACTCCAACAATCCATGTTAAGACATACATGACTCGAAAAATATATATACTATTAAAACCTTTACATATTGTATCTATAAATAAATTAAAATGTGTATATTAATAAATAACTCTCTCTCTTTAAATATTGCATCAAACCAACCAAATTGGTTTAAACACATACAGATATTCCAAAATCTCTATATAATTGTCTATTAAATAAAAGGTGTCTATATGCTTGAGGTTTATGAAGGAATAAGTCTAGAAATACAATAATGAAATCAAACTCTACATATTTATCTGCTATTTGATGACAATGAGACTATATGTATATAAATAAGAGACATCAAGTTAGTATCAAACGATATAGATATAGACATGTTAAACACAAGACACATACACATCTTGTTAATCTAATATTTCCACTACCCGATTTACCAAACTCTTTGTAGACATCGTTTACCGGTCTACCACATTCAATGCAAATCATGATTCAATCTCCTCTCTTCTCTTTGTTTATATGTTGTTGTTGTCGTAGTCGTCGTAATTATAAATATCTTGAATGATGAGATGATGAAGTTATATATTGTTGTGACTAATCATTGATGTGGACAAGAAAGATGTGATGCTTTTAAAAAAAGAACTAAAAAAAGTATTCTTTTGTGAATCATTGTAATTCTTCGTCTCTTTCATTTCATTGTTGGTTTAATCTTTAATATCACTATATATAAATTTAAAAATGGTAATCTATCTATCTATCTATATAGTACTATTCATATATAATATCACATTATGAAATATGAATATGATGATGATCAAAAAGAAAGAGTTGTATGCAATGAGAACCAATTCTAATCCTTCATCCTCCTCCTCTACCTCCAATATACACATAATAGAATATGTTCAACAGATTAGCAGCCACTGGTAAATACATCAGTAGCAATAGCAGTAGACTTGTCAACAACAACAACACAATGATGATCAATAATGGTCGTTTATCATTCCAAAGATACTACTCTAGCATCACTGAAGATTTCAAAAAGAAGGCTCAATCACAAGTAGATGCTGCTCCATGTGTCCTCTATATGAAGGGTACTCCACAAAACCCACAATGCGGTTTCTCAAACACTGTAGTCCGTATCCTCGATACTGAAGGTGCTACTTTTAGTTCACATAACATCTTGATCGACGATGAACTTAGACAAGGAATGAAGGAATTTTCGTATGTATTAACATATAATAATCAAACAAACATAAACAACATGTGACTAATTATCACCATTTATTTGATATTGTTCATTCACTAGTGACTGGCCAACATTCCCACAAGTATACATCAAGGGAGAGTTTGTAGGTGGTGCCGATATTATGATTTCAATGTTCAAGAGTGGAGAATTATCAAAGTTATTAAAAGAGGCTGGAGCAATCAAACAAGAATAAAATCAACCAAAACAAAAATCACAAATAATATATATTAGGAAAAAAACAAAATCAATCAATGATATATATGGTAAATATTTATAATGGATGATAATTAATTATAGTAGAATATTCAATAATATCGGTAGAGTATTATTACATGTATTAGTTGTTCGGAAAATCCCATAAGAAAAATGAAAAAAAACAAACACTTGGCAAGGTACTATCGTATTTGTTCGGTTTTGTCTAAAAAAATGGGTTGCTCGACATATGCTCGGGATTGACCGCATTTGATTATCTATGACCTCCGAAAGGATCTCAAAATCGAAATATAAAGAGGAACCATCAAAGGTGTAGTCGATAAGATTCTTTACGCTCGTCCCTCCCCCCCCACTTTTTTTTAAATTAATTTTAATGATAATGAAGTAATATAACAAAATGGCAGAGGCGTGATCACTCGCAGACTTTGATGACAATAAGAACGAATCATCATGGAACAGCTGACAAGAAATAGAAGCTCTTCTGGGGGGTATAAAAGAAGAAGAAGTTTTGAATTCTCTTCCAAATCTCTACCAAAAATTCATTTTATTTTAATTTTTAATTGTTTTTTTTTGAAGCAATGATAAAAATCAGAGATAGAGATATTTTAGACTTTTATATCTATCTATCTTTTTAACACTGAATTAAGATAATGACATAAGACGAAAGAATAATAACATAATAGTATTAGTAGTAGTAGTAGTAGTAGTAGTTATATATATATAATGTCAACAACATATCATTACGATGATGACGAAGAAGATGAAAGAGTAAATGGATCAGTCTTGACGACAACGACTACCACCAACGAAGAGAATGAATACAATGATCATATAGGTGGTAGTAGTGATCCAACTGCAGAGATTAATATGTCAAGTAACAATATAACATCTTCTGATGCACTATTGCCTCAATTTACTGTATGTTATGTACTATTGTAATCATATATACAAAACAATCATCTATTCAAGTTCTAATTCTCTCTCAATCTACTACTACTACTTTTTAAAAAAAGTGGAGAGCAGTAATAGCAGGTGTAACAGTTGGAGGATTAATGTGTTTTAGTAATATGTATTTTGGTTTACAGGTATGTATTTTTTTACATACAATCAATGGTTGGTTAAAATTTTAGGTTATAATACTCACAACTTCCTTCCTTTTATTTGTATTTGGTATCCACTTATTCCAGACAGGGTGGGTTACAATGGGATCACTACAGTCAACGCTGTTAGGATTCCTATTCTTTAAGTTGATTGAAAAAAAGTTGACTCTAAAATTCAATCATTTCGAAAATGTATTATTACAAACGATTGCTGTGGCAACAGCGACAATGCCATTGGCAGGTGGATTTGTAGGTATTATCCCTGCACTCCAAATGCTAAACGAACAAGAAGCAGCTGCAGCTGGAAAACCAGTCGAAACACCATCCTACCTGTCATGGTGGGGTCTTACACTTTGGTCATTCTCATTGGCTTTTTTGGTGTATTTTTTGCCGTTCCTCTTAGAAAACAAACTATTCTCGTAGAAAAGTTAAAGTTTCCATCTGGTACTGCTACTGCTCAAGTATGTAAATTGGAAAAATAATCAATCATATATATATACATTTGTTAATTTAATTTTTATTTATTTATTTAGATGATTAAAGTATTACATAAATTAAATAATAATCAAGTTAATCATGAAATGTTTGAAAATTCATCATCACCAAATCAACAACAAGATGAAAATTTATTATTAGATAGCATAGATAAAGATCCATTGGATAGCATAGATAATAGTCAAGAATTATTAAATGATATAGATATGACAACAGACTCTTTTCAAGTGGAATCAATGACAAATGAGAGTAACAAGGAATGGAGTAAAAAATGGAAAATATTATTTATTTCTTTTGGTGTATCATCTTTTTATACATTTCTCAGTTATTGGGTACCGGCGGTAAAGAATGTACCTATATTTGGTATGTACTTGGCAAATACTTGGAGTTGGTCATTGACACCATCACTTAGTTATGTTGGACAGGGTATGATTATGGGTCCCAAGACTGGTGTATCAATGATGATTGGAACGGTACTTGGATGGGCTATATTGGGTCCGATAGCACATAGTAAAGGATGGGCACCTGGAAAGGTACTGGATTGGAAGCATGGTGTTAAAGGATGGTTATTGTGGATATCTTTGTTTGTCATGTTGGCCGAGTCGATTGTATCGCTGCTCGTCCTACTCGTCCAAATGATACGTGCGAGAATGGGGTTACGTCCAGTCATTGATAGTCGTGATCCTGCTAAAGAGTCACAACGTGTACCTCGCAACTGGTGGGTCATCGGATTGGTCATCTCGTCGGCACTCTGTATTATCATTGTTTCACCATTATTTGGTGTAAAGTTTTATGAAGTGTTGGTGGCTGTTGTCCTAGCACTTCTCACTAGTATCCTTGCAGTGAGAGCACTTGGTCAAACCGACATGAACCCAGTCAGCGGAATTGGAAAGATATCTCAAATTGTATTTGCTGGTGTCGCACCGCACAATGTCCTCGCCAACCTTGTTGCAGGTGCCGTGGCAGAGGCTGGTGCACAACAAGCAGGTGACCTTATGCAGGATCTCAAGACTGGACATCTTCTCAAGGCATCTCCACGAGTCCAGTTTTTTGGCCAGTTGATCGGTTCGTTCTTTAGTGTCTTTTTCGCAGTTGGTGCATACAAGCTCTATTCGACAGCCTACACAATACCCTCACCCGACATGCCCGCACCTACCGCCAGTATCTGGCTCGACATGGCGTTACTCGTCAACGGCGGCTCGCTAGCCGACCACGTCCTACCCTTTTGCATCGTGTCGGCCCTTCTTGTCTCACTCATCCCCATCCTCGAAGCCATCAACCCCAAACTCGAACACTATCTCCCCAGCGGCATCGCACTCGCCATTGGCATGTACGTCACACCCAACTGGACCATTGCACGTTGTCTCGGATCACTTGCCCAATGGCTCTGGCACCGCTTCTTCCCCGTCACAGAAGGTGAATACATGATCATCGTTGCATCTGGTTTTGTCCTAGGTGAAGGTATCACCTCTATTATCACTGCATTATTAAGTGCCTTTTAAAACCAAAAGCACCTACAAATAAACCTTCATCCTCTATTCCAAACTTTTTGTAGAAGCAGATTCCTTTTTTTGGTAATTCGAAAAATTAATTTAAATGTCTGACCCCAATACTGATAACATAAAGCAAAGATTAGACAAAAGTAGGAATATATATTTATTCTAAAGTAAACTTTGTGTAAAACACATTACTAATAATATCTATCCACAGTCAAATCATTAGCCTTGGGTGACAAACTCAAAGAAAGTGATATCGCTGATTTACTCCAAGAAATTGGTGTTCCCTCTGGTCAAGTAGATGTCAAGTCGCTCTTGAAAGATAATTACGATTCCAAATATCGCTTACTCGATCTTATCCATACCACGGGTGTGCCAGGTTTAGCAAAATGCGACCATGGAGATCTTGAACGCATACTGTTAGAAACTACAGGTAATCACAAACAAACAATACCTTTATTCTCCTTTTATTTTTTCATGGATTCTTGATACTAATCAATTTCTAATCATCTCCACAAGAAAAGAGAATCGATTATGTTGCAACCATCCCAATCCAATTTATAGATAGTTCGCCCCAAGGAATCATGGACCAAATCAAACAATTTGAAGCAAGATATCCTGGTAAGTTTTCACTGCCAGAACTATGCATGCAACATCTGTTGGTATTAGTCCACCTACATGGATCACTTCATGAATTCCAGAAACGAACGTTGAATCGATTTCAAGCAATCCCTCTACTTTCTCCCAACCCACTATTCTATTGAGACAACAACTCAGTCGGTTACTCTCTCTCCTATCCCCCTCACATTGTAAATGTGTTCATCGTTGGAACTGTTGACATCTCGAATGAGATACCATTAAAAATCTGTCTTGCACAAAATAAAATAAAAGCTTAACATTAAATAAAGATCTTTATACACCTGCCCTTTGCCAAAATATCGTGACGAATTATTTAAATAAATGGGGATCCCCACGACCCGACCAGCAATAAAAATAAAAATCGATGATAGATCTGGTTTGGCGACCACTATGCCCTCGAATATCTTGTTTTGGGTGAGATCATTGCATGATTTTTTTTGAGACAACCGCCAACAACAATCACACTCTCTGTAGCTACTTCTCTTGACACACTCACATCGAGACACGCCCACCACACCATACTTTGTTCTATCAATCGATCACCACCAACAACAACAAAAATAATTGTATTTGTATTCTTTTAAATAAAAGATAGAGATAAAAAGATAAAGAGATATCTTTAATCAGTCAATAAATAAATAATTATAAATTAGTAGTTAGTAGTACTTATCAATAGATTAATAATATTGATAGCAACAACAACAACAACAATAATCAAGTAGTATTTCATCATCAACTCATAACAATATCTACACAACACACACAAACGCGCGCCAACAATCATACAAATTTGTATTTGATTCAAACCACCACTAAATCATAATAGTAGTAGTAGTAGAAAGTAGTAATCATATCATAATAATATCGATATTCAACCACCCACACACACAACTCAAAACATAATATCCGCAATTCGAATATATTTATACTTTCATTACAATCAAATCAGTCAAATTCAATAAGAGAGAGAGAAAAAGAAGACTAAATAATAATAATAATAATATTTTAGAATAAGAAACAAATAATAATAATAATAATAGTCAAAACTTTCTTTATAAATCACTTTTTCCTTCTTCTTCTTCTTTTTCTTCTCTCACCAATCCACCACCCATTGTAATTTTAAATTATTAATATATTTATATATATAATAAGTAAAAAAAAAAAAAAGAATAACTTGATCAAATATGTCATCAACAGAATTTGATAAAAGAGACCTACTTAAAAGGAGTGGAAGTGTATTGGGAGGTGGTAGTAATAGTAACCTTTTAGTGGTGAGCAAGAACTCACCCAAAGTACCAGGAAGAGACACAAAGTATGACGAACGTACTCTCACCAAACCACCTTTGGCCGATGGTGGTGAATCCAAACTCGCCGATTTCACTGTAAAGGATAGTAGAACCTTTTTCGCAACTAAATCCTACCCCATCTTTTTCGATGCAAGTGATGCCAACTACAACTTGGAATCTGATGAATTTTTAAAGAGTTGTCCAAATATTTTAAAATCGTAAGGAATCAAGTATATTAGATGTTTGAAACCAAACCAAGCCAAACCAACCTAATCATTCTTTTGTTTTTAGATTAAATTTAACATCAAATTCATTGATTGAATTTAGTTCTGCTAGTCATCTAACTAAATTGAAATGGTTGATTTTGGAAAAGAATAATTTAGTCGATATTTCTATTCAATCATTAACCGCATTGGTCTATCTATCAGTTGCCAATAATCGTTTGGCTCATGTACCAATAACAACTGATTTAAAGAAAATTGTTCATCTTGATTTAAGTTTTAATAGATTAATTGGTAAGGCAATGCAAAGAAGAAGAATATTAAAATACAATACAAACAACAAAAATAGAATGAATATTTATTTATTTATACTAATTTATTTGATTTATTTATTTAATTATATTTTTAGATGGATTTGAAGAATTATCAAAATTGAAAACATTAAAAGTATTGGATTTATCAAATAATAATATTAATATTCCATTGGATCAATTTAACAAGGAAGTATTGGGATCGTTGAAAAAGGTAAAGACATTGGAATACTTTTCATTGCAGGGTAATCCAATCGATCGAAACATTCAAGAGTTTCGTTGTTTTGTAGCCAATGAACTCAAATCGATCAAATATTATAATTGGAGTTTAGTAACAAAGGATGAGAGATCAAAGGGTGGCAAGTTGGAAAGTGAGAATTTTTGGGCGTCTGTCATGACCACCCAATTCCAAATCTCAACTATTTTCAATAATGCTGGTAGTGCTTTGAATCTAAAGTCGTCCCAGGGTGGTGCTGCTGCCGGTGAGGAAGAGACTGAACGAACACCTTACAAAAGTCCAATACTTTTATCCAAAGTATCACAGTCACCACTACTTAAAAAGATTGTGTCATCGAGTAATGGAAGTGGGTTGAATAGTAGTACTGAAGATTTCAGTCCTTCATCATCACTCTCTTCATCGGGCGGATTTGGTACACCTTCTAAATTAGAGTCTGTGCCATTGCGTCGTAAGCTATCTTTTACGGGTAGCTCTGACCAGGCATTTTCCAAGACCGGTGGTCCAGTTCAAGAGGATAGCTTCACGTCCAAGTCATCTGGAACATCTACCCCATCAACCTCAAAGTTGGATCTTGATCCATCGGTACAAGTTGTTGTTGTGAACAAACGATCGTCCAATGATAACCTATCACCTATCAGTCTCCAACCAACTAGTCCACCACTTCAAATGTACATTGAGCCAATCGATCCACTCGCTGGCAGAGATGATCAAAGTATGTCTGCCTATCTTGACCTACTCCTCGAGGAGCTAGGTCCTATCAACCTAGAGGTCGGTCCAAACGTCCACCACTCTACCTACCTCGACATGTTGTACCGTGCAATCGTCGACGATGTCATGATGCCCGAGCTTCTCCTCGCCGATGTTCCATCACAGGTCTCTTCTGACATTCCATCACATGTCTCATCCTCCCAACCCATGCCCATTTCACAGGCACCCATCATTCGAATGTCCGAGGATGAGATTATCAAACCTGTCGAAGAGGTGTCTACAGCAGCACCACCACAATTCCCAACAACTGCACACTCTCCTTCAGTTGCCACCTCATCACCAAGAAAGACATCACAATGGGTCAAAGTTTCAGATCAACAAGAAAAGATGTTTGGTGGAATGGATGTTATTATTAAAAAGGATGCTACCCCAGCTGTAACGACTACAACTACAACTACATCTACAACAATTGCAACCGAACCAAAACCAATTTCATCATCACCAATCATATCATCTTCTAAACCTGCAGCAGCATCTTCACCATCAATATCGACACCAAAACCAGTAGCAGTATTAAAGAAATCACCTGCTCTTTCGAGTAGTCCATCTAGTGGTAGTCCAATGATGTCATCATCACCCAAACCAACAGGAGCTGCTGCAGGATCACCCAACCCATTTGGAGTTGTTTTAAAAAAGGCACCTGCTCCAGCCAGTGGCTCACCAGCTTCTGGACCATCACCTGTATCTCCCATTTCACCAAATGTTACTTCTCCACCAGCTGCTGCCTCTCCACCAGGTTCACCACTTATCCGCAAGGTACCTGTTGCAAAGAATCCAGTCCCACCATCCCCATCTACTCTCTCAACCATCATCTCCAAACCACCACAATCCAAACCATCTCCACCAACTCAATCTCCACTTGCTAAACCACCTGGTAGTGTGGCTCCACCAGTTGCAGCTGCTGCACCAGTTGCTCCTCCATCAACATCTACTGATTTCGATGTAGATACTTTCAAAGATGATATTGAAAAGACATTAAGGGATATTGAAAACACATATAATAATAATCAACTATCACAACCAACATCACCAGTTGTTGCTGCTAAACCAGCTGCAGCAACAGCAGCAGCTACTCCAGTAACAGTACCAGTTGTAAAGAAAGCAACAGCTGCAGATTTTGATATTTTAGATGATTTATCAAATGCAATTAAACAAGATGAACAATCAACTAGTACAGCAAGACCCAAACTATCACATGTTGATTCTAGACAAAACTTGCTCAAAGAGATTAGTCAAAAGGATGTAACAATGAAATTGGATCAAGTGTCTAGTGCAACACAAAAGCTCAACGAGATGATTGAAGAGTACAACCAAACCAAGGACAAGGTGGTCGATGACAATTTGTTAAAGTTGGACAAGTTACTCAACACTTTTGAGCAAACTACTCAACTACAACAAAACACCTACTCAATGACTCCACCCACCGACACGTTGTCACCCAAGTTGACTCATCGATTGTCGACATACAACGTGCCACGTCCATCCAGCCAGCCATCGTGGATCTGCAACTACAGCGATGTACAAGTCAACGCCAAGCTTGGAACGGGTAGTTGGGGAGACTGCTACCTAGGTAGTGTCTGGCAAAAGACAGTTGTATTCAAGAAACTACGTATCCAACGATTCTCTGATCAGTTTATCGATGCATTCAAGGAAGAGGTTGACAAGTTACGTCAACTCGGTCCACATGACAATGTAGTGCCTGTGATTGGTGGATGTGCCGACACCAACATCATGGCAATCAGTCCACACGTAGAAGCAGTCACATTGCAACAGATTATTGCCGAGACACCCGCCAGTGTTACACCAGACTTTATCGTTGCGATTGCTGCCGGTGTTGCACGTGCCATGTGTTATCTCCACCAATTCAACATCATCCATCGTACACTCAAACCATCCAATATTTTATTAGATACAGAGGGACGTGTCATGATCAGAGACTATGGTTTTACAGCCATTAAAGATAACTTGTACAAGTCATCAGCCACACATGGAGGTGCAGTCAATTATTTTGCACCAGAGATTTTTGAATCGGGTGCTTCCAACTATGACCAAAACATAGATCAATATGCATTCGGTCTCATCCTATGGGAAATGTTTACACATCAAAATGCATTCCCATCGTCGGTTGCACAACACCAGATTCCCGATCTTCTCAAACAAGGGTATCGTCCAGAAGTACCATCTCAATTCCCAATGGTATTTGATCGTCTCATCCGTGCTTGTTGGAATCAAGATCCATCAGCACGTCCCAATTTCCTTACCATTAGTAAGATCCTATCACAACCTACTCAACGTCTATTTGCCAATCAAATATCAATGACACTTCCCATCCCAATCACCGATAATCATGGGTCACTTCCAACATCCCAAAAACCAATCTATCCTCATCATCAACAAACCTCTACTCCCACCACTGCATCCCCACCAACATCTTCACCAACCATCACTTCTCAACAAAATAATAGTAATAATAACTCTACAACAAATATAAAATCAGAATTGGAGCGCAAGATGAAATTAGTAACAGAAAAAGTAATGTTAATGATAAAGAATGGTGGAGAAAGAGTTATGATGGACAAGGCATTCAAGGCACTTGAGAATCTTGCAGCCAATGAGGAAAATGCAGAGACATTTATTGGATGTGGATTAGTACCATTATTGATCCAATCATTTGCTCAACACATCCATTACCAAGATTCAATCTTGTCATCGTTGAATCAACTCTGTTTGAATGTATCGTTGTGTGCCGAGTTTGTTCATAATGGTGGATTGACACAATTGGTACGTCTCATGAACTCTTCAAGTATCAATACATCAATCCTTGCCTGTAAACTACTTACAACTGTTGCCGATGAAGAATATCTCCGTGCTATTCGTGATAGTGGTGCACTTAAAGTACTCTTTGTCACTTTACAATCGACCAATGAACTGTTGCAAATGCAAACGGTTTGGGCATTATCTCGTGCCCTTTTGGATGTTGGTAACCAACAATACTTTATTGCATGTGGTGGTATTCCAATCCTTCTAGGTATGGTGTCTAGTACAAGACAAGGATTATCGGTACGTGCACTCATCTCTCTATGCTGTCTTATCACCAACCCACAATGTCAACAACAATTGGTCAATGCTGGTGTCTTGTCAAGATTAATAGAGTCTATTGACCGATCACCCAAACTACTCAAGATTCCAACCATTCGTATCATTGGAAATATTGTAGACAAGGAACAAAAGGTCGATGCCAACCAACACTCACTTCGCGATCTCGTCATCCAAAACAACTTTATCCATGTTCTCATTGACCAAATTCAAACGACCGATGATCAAGATCTCATTGATGTAGCCACATCATGTCTTGTACCCATCCTTCAAAATGATCCAAATGCCCATCAACTATTCTACCAACTTCACGGTGTCGATAAAATACTCTTACATTTTAATGTCAACTCTCAATCAAATGAAATCCTTGTCAACATATTAACCATCTTTACTTTAATTATTAATCATGGTAAATATTTAAATATTAAACAAAGAAATAAGAAACAAAAGAAATAAGAAAGAAAGAAAGAAAGAAATATTAATATTCTTTTATTTTAGATTTATCAAGATTAAAATTAAGATTTAGTATTATAAAATTGGTAGAATTATTAAATAATGGTAATGTTGGAGATGTTGATAGTTTAGTTGTTATTAAAGCATTACAATGTTTGACTATCTTTGCTACACATGTATCTTGTGTACCAATGATTCTGGAATCCAATGCAACTGCATCGGTCAAGGCATTATTGGTATCACCAACAAACCAAGATGTTGATATTAAGATTTCAACCATTCGACTTATTTCCTCGTTGTCAAAGACTGGAAATTACTTTATCAATGCTATCATTCAATCTGGTATAGTTGCAGCTTTACTCGATAATATTCGTGACCATGGATCATCGTCGTTGGTAAAGGACGAATCGATTGCTTCGGTTGCTTGGTTATCTGCCTCTGCAGAGTGTCGTCAATTGTTTATGGAAAAGAATGTGTTCCATCGTCTGCTTGAATACACTCAGGCCAATATCAATAGACTTACCAACTATCTAAAGGAATCATTGTTGTGGGCCATTTCATTCTTTGCTCTCGATGCCACCTGTCAAACCCTCATCTGTCAAGTCCAAGGAACACTCGAATTTGTTGTATCCAATCTACTCACCGACGCTCAAATCTCTGGTGAAGAGGGACAAGTATGTAGAATGCTTGCCATCAAGACTGTATTGATCCTTTCACAAAAACAAGTCAACCATAGATTCCTCAAACAAACCAACATCATCGATTCCCTCACTAATTTGACCGATCACACCTCTACCGATAATCAATCCATTCAAATTGCTTCAAAAAAGATCATTCAATTGTTACAATAAAATAATTAAATAAATAATAATACTATAGCAGCAGATAACCAATTGTTTCAGATCGGCTTTACATCAAAATAGTTCACTATTGATAATGATTCCTAGTCTCTTTTAAAATAATTATCGGGTTATCGGGTTATACTCGCGATCTCCTTTTATAAACTACTTGTGTTGATGAATATCTTGGTGAATAAATATGTCTTTAGTATACAATGCGAAATGATTGTACTATACATTGAATTGCCAATCGATTTCAATGGGAATTAGTTAAAGATGGGTTGATGTTTCTTTATGTATTTAGATAACCTTTATTTTTCTTATTCTTTTTACTCATTCATTCATCTTTGGATATGTTGATAGAATGGATATCATTGTCGATACACAAACATATATGATCCATATACATATCATTGATGATTTCCCAAAAAGGGAGTTGGTTGATTAAAACAACCAAATTGAAAACAAGTACTTTATTGATTCTTCTTTCTTTTGACATCCATCTCATCCAAATTAAATTCAATTGAATTGATTTCTTATTATTCTTTCTTGATCCTCTCCTCGAACCCAAACAAACGGGAGAGTTGAAAAAAAAAAACCAAACACAAAAAATTTTAAAACAATTATTCTTGTGCCCATTTATATTATCATTAACTTATCTAATTATTTGTTCACAAAAATCATAGGGAAAGATCGGAATATTGTACTTGCAACATAGAGGAATCATCAGAACAACAGGGTAATCCATCAGATAGGACAAGTTCCATCAAAGGTATGTTTGAACAGTTCAACAGGGACATGGCAGTAGGTGCTTGTATAGATTCAGCGTTATTCGGTCTCTTTTCAATGGGTACCCATACCAATTCCAATGAACCCATACTTGAATCCATTGTCCCATCGCATGCACAACACAATTCAAACAAGAATACCCAAGAAATTGTATCATTTCTAACTAATCTACTCGTTTTCCATATATTATATTAGAATCTCATTATTCATTCATTCATATCTATATAGCTATACAACCTACTATATTCACACTATTGAAATCGTTTCAACAACAACAACAACAGTACAATTAGCATATATTTATATATTTACTACACACAGAATATCTAAATAATAATTATCGAGAGACGACGATCATTGAAAGCGCAAAGATTCATCTTTTATTTATTTATTTATATTATATTAATACTTTTGAAAATGAATGTTAATCCACAACCACATTTAATCATACCATTGAATCTAATGCCAATCATGCATACACTGCTAACTAGTAAGCAGCAACCACCACCTCTCACCAATGAAGAAGAAGAGACTGCATGGAAAATGGCCAAAGAGTATCGTATCTCGGTGTATCGGTTCCCGGGACCCCTTGCCAGCACTGCACGTGCATTGCAAGGGGCACAGAAACACTTCTTTAAGAAGTTGTTTACCTTCAAGGAAACACCACAACACGCCATCGTCGAGGATGAAGCTGTTATATACCCACTCGACGAGATTGACCGTGAGCGTATCGTCTTTTATCAGGGATCGTTGCTCGATCTGTTGACGGACCGGTCACTCAAGAAACATGTCCACGATGAGACCCGTATTCGTTGGAATCAAGTAGGTCGACAAATCAAGGTCATGTCGTCAAAGTTCCGTGCCACTTTGAAGCGTATGGGTGGTGTTGCACCTGCTGAAGAAGAGGTTACTGCGGTAGCTAACCCTAGCAACGACGAAGCGTCTGAAGGAGAGTCTGGTACGACTGAATCCAGCTTGGACACACAAGATGCCAGTGCTATGATTGTGCCACGCGCATCCAAGGAACCCGTCCCTCTCATCACCATCATGGAACCACTCGCAGCATACAACTACACCACCGACTATACACCACCTGCCTACGATGCACAAGGTTCTAAACCTGCTGCAGCAGCTGTCCCCATGGTAGTCGAACCACAAGAACCAGCATCACCCGAACAATCAACAACAACTCCATCCTCTCCACTTCCCAAACCATCAAGCCAAACCGAATCAACTCCAACCCCAACCTCGACCTCTACCACTACTACACCTCGTGCCGCTGCTGCTGCTGCCGCTGCTGCATCTAAATCCAACGCCAACAATACCAATACCTCTACCTCTACTACAACAACCACGCCACAAATTACTAGACAACAACACCAACAGGGTTCAAAGGCAGTTTCATCTCCAGTCGTCCCTAAACACCAGCCATATGGAGGGTCACCCAAAATCACCATTGTCAATGGTAACAACAAACAACAACCACCACCTACTCTACAACAACTCAAACCACCTCTACAACCACATCATCATCATCATCATAGCAACAACAACAATAATGTAAATTCATCATCCTATCAAAATATTTCTGCTCCACCCGAGAGAACACCAGAAGAGGTTGCTCGATTGGCTGCGAGATCAAGAGAGTTGAGGAAACAAAAAATGATAGACTTTGTTTCGACTCCACCTCCACCAGTCCAACAAAATATCATCCGTCTCACAGACCAAAGCAAACAAATTACACAAATTCAAGAAATGAAGAATACATATTTGACCATGAATAGAATTGATGATAGTTTTTATAATAGAGGCAAGATACCATTTTTTAAATTAATTTCAAATACAACTAATATAATTAATCAAAGTAATAATAATAATGATGATAATAATAATAATAATAATAATAATGATGATAATAATAATAATAATAATAATAATAATAATTCACGACAACCTACTTCTTCAATTGCATCTTCTTTCAAAAAATAATAATAATAATAATAATTATCTTTTGTCCAATCGATTTTAAAACATATTTATATATATCACACAACCCGAAACAAACCTACCTTTTTTTTCCTCACTCTCTCAAGTATTGTTGGTAATTAATTTAAATAGATAACATATCAACACAATCCATCACCTATCATGTTAATAGTAATAATAATAATAATAATAATATAGTATAGTTTACTATTTGATTAATACAACAACAAAATTTACAACAACCAATATACAAACAAATAAATGAATAACTTTTTTTAAAATAAAAAGTTAAATCTGATTTAAAAAATATACAATGGGGAAATCAATCAATTACTCTTGATTGATTATTACCCCAATTTAAAAATTGATTTATTACTATTATTATTATTATAATTATTTTGATAAACCTTTTAATGCACCAGGTGACTTGTATGAATTTCCATGATGGTGATTATGATGATGATTATTATTATTATGATTTCCATTATGATGATTATTTCCATTATTATTATTATTATTATTATTATTATTTGGTTGTGGTATTGATTGAATGACTGATAATATAGAATCACTAGTTGTACGAAGTTGTTCAATTGCTTCTTTTAATAATTCCTTTTCACTCTTTTCTGTACGTTTGTTTTTGTTTTGGATTTCATTCTTTGCGTCTTTTTCCAATTGAATTGCATTTAATATTTTTAGTCTTGCTCCAAGTGTAGGGATTTCCAAATCTTCAATTAAATGTTGTTCCGTTACGTAATCCAAAATATCCACTGTAATTTCATTTCTAATAAAGTTGTCTTCGTATTTTGATAGATTTAACTTTGATAACCATTCAATGATTCCTTTGAATTTAATGTTGGCTGCTGTAGTAGCTGGAGTTGCTGCACCACTACGATTATTTAAATTAATTGTTAAATCTTGTTTAATACTAATACTACCATTCATCATTGGTAATGGAGGTATTGGTGGTAATTGAGATGATGCAGATGTAAATGATTGTTGTTGTTGTGAAAAACTAATGGTTGGTATGATTGGATTTGGTATTGTTGCAGTCGTTGATTGTTTTGGTTGTGGTAATAATTGTTTTGGTTGTTGTTGTTGTAGTTGTGATTTAATTTGTTGATGTTGAACTTCATTTGATTTACTAGTTGCTGCTGGTTTTGGTGGATTTGGTGGGATTGGTGGAGGTGGTTTAACCATGGTTTCAACTTCCTTTTGTTGAGGTTGTTGTTGTTTTGGTTGTGATACTGGTACTACTACAACTGGTTTAGGTTTATCTGCACCATCCAATGTTTGTTGTTGTTGTTGTTGTTTTGGTTGAGATGATGATATAATTGGTTCATTTCCATTTTCTGTATTTACTTGATCAGTTGTTGGAACATTTTTAAATGGTCTTAATCTAATTCTTTTTTTCTTTGGAGCTTGATCTATTTTGGTCATAACCTTTTCAGCATCTAGAATGGCAATATCTTTAAAGTAACGGTGACCGTCACTACCACCAAACATGAATATTTGGTGACTGACAATCTCGGCGGTGTGGGAGCATCTAAAGGTTGGGGTGTTATCGGCTGTAAACTGTCTCCACACGAGTGTGACGGGATCCAATACAAAGGTGTCATTGAGGATCTTGCCACCATCTCCAACACCTCCAAACACTACAAATTTGTTGTTGAATGGTGTAAAGGTATGGCCGGCACGACTGGGCAGCTTCTTGTCCTCTTCTTCGGGTGACTCTACGTTTAGACGCCAAGTAAGAGTGGTCAAGTCCAAGATGGAGAGTCCGTTGTAAGTGGGATCACCCGAGTTGAGGGGACTGGCACTATTGCCACCGTAAAAGTAGATGCTGTTGCCTGCTGCATAGTAGATGGCACCGTGTCCCCAAGAAGCTGGTGGTGATCCTGTGCAATTAGGAATTGACCACTTCATGGTCAACGTATCCAAGCAATAGAGTGAATTAAAGGTCATGTGATTATCACTACCTCCATAAATATATACATTTGATCCTACCACTGTAGCAGAGTGTCGTGATCTTGGCATTGGTACATTGCCGCTAGTCTTCATCTCCTTCCACTCCATCGTATCAACATCCAATAGATAGACATCAGATGTATAAAACTCTCCCTCTATACCTCCAAACACCAATATAGTATGTGAATTCAATGCTACACCTGAATGACCTGCTCTACTTGTTGGTTTCTTTCCATGAGTTAAAGGAAATAACCATGATGATGTTTCTATAATATATATAATAATATATTAACCATGATTAGTTAGGAGGGGGGGGGGGGGGGGACTATAATCATAGTAAATGTAATGCAATGAATATATATATATTTATGTGATGTACATACCAACATGAAATTGAGACAAATCACCTTGTACATTCTTTCCATCCCATCCACCAAAGATATAGACACTATTTGTCTTTGAACAATAGGCTGAAGAATGTGCACACCTTGCAGGTGCTACCTTGCCACTGACACTACTTCTTGTCCATGACATCTTCTTTTCTTTTCTTTTCTTTTCGTTGTAATATATATATAAACTATTGTTCTCTCTCTTTCTCTCTCCCTATTTATTTTGATTCAAGATCTAATAATAATCTCTCTCTCTCTGTCTGTAGCTGTATTTGTTCGATAGAGTAATGTAAAAAAATACATCAATAAATACTAATGATGATCTTGTGTGTGGTACTTTATTTATTAAAGCTGATTTTTTTCGGTGGTTTCATTGAAAGAGAGAAGAAATTTGTCCAAATTTTAACCCATTCAAGTCATTTTGGGTTTGTGTGTGTGGTACTTTATTATTACAGCTTACAGTATCTCCCTCACTCATTAAATAATAATAGTATTATTATTAGTATTATTATTAGTATGATTATCACGAACCGTAACATTCATTTATTACCTATAATTTGCATCAGATCAACTCACCTTAATTTAACTAGTAGTTACTAGATCATCGTCTGATGTGATCACCTCCCTCTCACTACAACCAAGTTATTTTTGCATTGCAATCTTTGCATTCCCCAAGATAAGATGGTGGGTTCTAGAAAAGAAAAACTATAGAACGAAAGAACTTAAAAATATAGTTTTAAGTGTGTATGCAAAGTAAGCTGAAGATCCAAAGAACTCTTCATTTGTCGTGCGGGGCAACCGTTTAAATCGATGAAAATATCTTGCGTTCGAGGGTTGGGAAAAACACAGATGCTCAATGGGGCTCTGCCAATAATTGGGGGGCCCCATTGACTCTCAAAGAGATTAATCGACAATGCACTTTTCGGAGAGCTCTCCAGAAATAGTTTGGTTCCTCTCTTTGCCCTCTTCATCGTGTGATGTACCTATTTTTCTAGTTTGAATCAATGTTTAAATTGGGAAAGGGCATGATGTTGTGGGTGAGTTAGCTCCTCATGTTCTTTATCTCTTTCTCTATTTATTCATCTCGCTCACTCTCTCTCTCTTTTATTCCTTCCATTTTCACTTTTATGATTATCATATTCATAACTTCATCTTTATATCAATTTATATAAATATCACTACTACCACTACTACTCACAAAATATAACACAAGAAAAGAAAGAATAAAAAAAGTAAAATAATAATGAAAGTTCTTCAAAAACATCATCCAATGTTGATGATGTTATCGTTGACATTGGTCATCATATCATCATTATTGTTTGGAATTGTCAATTCTTCATACCTTATAGATGGTCAACAACCTGGTACATGCCAAGTATTGACATCTAGTTCCTATTGTTATCCACTAGTATCACCACAAGGTCAACCAGTCTACATTCCATTCAATGTCACCATCGATCAGATCGAAACAAATATCACCTCACTCTTATCACTACCATTGAATGATGAGTGTTTAAAACCAGCCCAACTTTTATTATGTTCAATGTACTATAATCCATGTAATAATGTTACCATTGATTATGGTAATGGAACTACAACTCCTATTCTTTTACCATCATTTCCTTGTTTCAATGTTTGTGGTATGTAGCTATATATATATATATATGATGATAATGAATGGGTAAAAAAATCCAAACTAATTTAAAATATTAATTATTTTTGATTTATTTATTTTAGAAACTGCATTTCAAGGATGTTCAGATTATATTCAATATTTACCACCAAATTTTAAATGTGATATGAATACTAGTAGTGGACAACAACAATATCCACAATACCAAACCTCGTTTAATATAACATTGGAGAATGTAACCGGAACAGGTGAAAATAATTATACAACTGAATTAATACAATGTAATGATAAATATACTGGAAATATTGTTGGATGTATGTATTAAAAAATAATAATATATTTATTTATAAATATATATTTATATTTTAGAGTAGTTTATTTACTTTGATTATTTATTTACTTTTTATTTTTTATTTATTTATTTTTTAGCATGTCCAATACCATTAATATTTGCACCAAATAGAAGTAAAGATACATATTATACAATTAGTGATAATTGTGTTTTACCATGTCCATTCCAACTTTGGAATGAGAGTGAAGAGAAAGCAATCAAAGACGTTTCTCTCATTCTATCTGTACTTAGTTTTGTATGTTCTGTATTCTTGATCATTTTCAATGGAATCTTACCAAACAAAATATCAACAACCAACGAATCCATTCTCTATGTTGCACTTGGTGCATTATTTCTTGCCATTTCTCAATTTCAAAATGTAATTATAATATTTAAATCAAAATTTGAATCAATAATATTAATTAATATTTCTCAATTTAGCTTGGACAAAACAATTTTAGTTGTTCAGAAGATCCTGGTAGATATGTAACACAGAGTGATGTGGAATGTGGAATTAATGGATTTTTATTTCAACTTGGAGCGATTCTAGGATTGTTTGGTTGGGGTTATGCTAGTTATGATTTCTATAGAACTATTCGTCTAAAATCTATTGAAAAAATAAGATATATTCGTATAGTCATTTGGTCACTGGTTGCATTGATGTGTTTTATTCCTTTTGCAGGTCAAAGATATGGTTCTACATTGGCAACAAGTGGGTGTTGGATAACAGGTGATAAAAACAATCCATGGCCATACCTTTTCTTTTATGCTGAGGCTATCCCCACAGTATTGATCATTCTACTATTCACAGGATTAACAACTCAAAAGTTATATTCTGTATACAAACAAATTCAAAGTCAATCAATGTTATTATATGATGTATGTAAATCAAATCAAAATATATAAATTAAATATTAATTTACTAATCTCTTTTATTTATTTTTAGATTAAATTAATGGTAGTAATGGTATTAATTATTTTCAATTCAACATTTGTATTATCATTTAAATTCTATATGGATAAACAAACAGATGATATTAGAAGTAGAATAGCAGATTGGGTTCAATGTATAGCACAAAATGGTGAATCTAGTTGTGATTTGAATATACCAGATTATTCATTAAGAATTCTTCAAGTCATTACAACCAATAGTTGGGGTATATTAGGTTTTATTGCCTTTGCTCTTGATGCCAGTAGTTTGGCATTGATCCGTCAATCCAACAGAGCCAACAAATTACTCAAATATTTTGGATGGGAATTCAAACAAACAAAGTCACTTACAGGTACTGGGAACCATCGTCTAAGCAAGATTATTCCTTCAAATACAGCAACAACATCTATAGGCAGTACATCATCTACCAGTGATGGCACTACATCAACTATAACTATTCAATCAAATGTTCCAAATTCATAAATATAACACAACATAACATTCACAACCATCCTAATATTTATTTAAATAAAACGTGATCATCGTCATTAATCATTATTAATACTGTAACCTTAGTATCTACCTTAGGGTTAGTTTCTAAAAAAAAAAAAAAAAAAAAATATTCTATTGATAAACAGATCCCTGGGGGGTTTCTTTGATATTATAGTTTTGAATTGTAGGAAGGGATCTTGAGAACGTTCATAAAGATTATCATTGAATTGTTTGTTTGAATAAATAGATATACAAAATTTATGGGTTAATATTCCCAAAGTTCCAAAATCATTCCATGTCCAATTCCTTCATTGTTCTCAAAAAAAAAAAAAAAGAAAAAAGTCTACAAACTTTTTAATGAAACACCCATAAACGATAGTTTCAAATTAAATAGTGAAGAAATGTATATCGATGAGAGTAGGAAACATTCTCAAGATCCCTTCCTACAACTCAAACCAATCAATCATCTGAAAACCCCCCAGGGATCTGTTCTACAATACCTTTTTTTAAAATTACTATTATTTTTTTTTCCTAAAGAGAAAAACATCATAAAAAGAATCTTAAAAAAGATATATATATATTTTCTTATGTACGAAATATTATTATATATTACTAACTATATTTAAATTGATTGATGGTTCATTATGATGAGCGAGAACTTTCCAAAGGCCAATTAAATTTTCCCTCCTTTTTTTAAAAAAATCCATGCCGTTTGTGTTTGTCCCTCTCATTTTTTGTTTTGGATCATTTGCTGAGCAAGACTCGACTTGTTTGATTAAATTAGAGAAGAGTAATAACACACAAGTAATAGAAGAGAATAGAAAGAAGGAGGAGAGGATGAGTACTGGTAGTAAAAAGTCAAACTCAACAGTTATACATTACAAGAAAAACAATATATTCTACAAGATGATGGGATCTGGATTCCTCTTCTTTGAGATGACTGGACAGTCGGTCGTATCATTCTACGATCACATCCTATCATTCCCAGAGATGTTTAATAGAAGTCTAAGAAGAAAGAATGGTTTCTTTTTCAAGATTAATCAGTCTTATTTGAAATGGAGAAATCCAAACAAATCGAATATTACCATTAAGGCTGCTACCTCTACCTCTACCACCAATACTCAAGACGATTCAACTACATCATCATCATCATTTGACTCAAACAACATATATACTACTACTACACCAACTCCATTAGATACTGCCTTTATCAATACTACTGACACTACACCAACTATAATCTCTGCAACATCAACTCCATCATCTTCATCTCCATCTCCATCACAATCATCATCATCATCATCAAAAGAACAACATTTAGAAAATGAATTAGCAAGATTGAGAGCAGAGTTTTCAAAGATTATGGCTGCCAAGTCAACCAACTCAACCAATACTACTACTACTACTATATCATCTACACCAATGCCACCACCACCTCCACCACCCCTTCCACCAGTGTTCAAGGCAACAGCACTAAACATTAAGAAAAAGAATATCAATGGAGTTGCACCAGATGTCAATGTCAATGCCACACCCACAAAGTCAATGTCTATCGGTGACATTCTTCGTAGTGGCAACGGCAAGGTACAACTTAAAAAGTCAGATGTAGTCAGATCACCAGGTGGTACTCCAATTAGAGATGTCACCAATAAACCATCTGTCGTTTCAACTCAAGATTTTATTGCTATGGCTTTGAAAAAGAAGTTCCAAGTATGTCTCACACAACAAATCAATATATATATATATAATGAAGATATTAATCTATTTATTTTTCCTCCATATAGAATGTACATGTAAATGATTCACCAGAAGTCAAAAAGAAAAAGACTGGAGTGAAGAAAACTTCAAATGATTCATTCTTTTCTGATTCTGATGATGATGAATTTGTAGACAACAAAGAAAACAAATTTATTACATCCTATTAATTAATTAATTAATCAATCCAATCCAATCCAATCCAATCAATCAAAACAACCACTCTTTAATAATAATAATAATAATAAGAAGTAATAATTAATTTTACATGTAACTTACAACAACAACAACAATCAATCAATCAATCAATCAATCAATCAATCAATCAATCAATCAATCAATCAATCAATCAATCAATCAATCAATCAATCAATCACCAAGCATAATAATAATAATAATAATAATAATAACCCAATTATTTTAATTTTAATTAATTTATTTAATTGAAGTTCTACACTCTACTCTACACTCTACAACTACTAGTATCTATCTATACCCAAACACAAATCAACCTATCTTCATTATTTATACTTGGGATGATTAGACCCCATTCTAAAATAAATAATTATTTAATATAATAATATTTGATTTGTTTGATCTTTTTTTTTAAAAAATAGATACAATACAATGACCAATTTCTTTGTTAGTTCTTTTTTTTATTTCAAGAATGAAACTAAACGATGAATAACAAAAGAATAATTTGACGACAACATATACATTCATACATACATGGAAGATTTATTTGGTAAATTACCAAATACTATTATATATCAATGTTTACATTATATTAAAGAGGATGTTGATCTTATTAGTTTATTGTTTACTTGTAAAAAGTTATGGAGTTTGGTTGTTTCAAAAACAGATGGATGGCCTTTTCAATTCAAACAATACAACCCGATAGCTTTGCCAATCGTCTATGTCTCTCAACTCAACCACCATGTCAACAAGGAGGATTATTATTATGTCGGCAGGACAGAAGGAGGTTACAAAGACTCTTGTACAAATTTGAAACTACGATCATTCCAACAATACCAAAACGATGTCTTTTCGGTGACTCAACACATTGTACTTCATATGGTTAATCCCCTCCACCACGAGAAGAAGAAAAGAATACCAAGCGATACTATTCTATTTGTTGTAGATGAAGATGGTGATGAGTTTCAACAATACATTCCAAACTTGCCAACAGAGATTAAACATGTCAAAGCAATCAATCATTGCACTAAAGATTTGGATTGGTCATCTTTGTATTGGTTAGAGTCACTCCACCTGGTTGGAATGTTTGACATAAAGACGGTACTACCAGGACATATCAAGAAACTAGTGACAGCCTGTCTACCACAAGAGTTGGTTGAGCTGCCCGACTCGTTGGTTGACTTGGTTGTTTCAGATCCCTTGGGGTTGTTAAACACAGTACAAATCACACGGCTCCCAACCACCCTACTCCGACTCTCCATAAATGTCAACCAGTTGGCTGCTGGCACTACTTGTTCTCTTAAAGCATTGACGGTGCTCGAGCAATTGACCATTGAAAACGTGCCCGATCTAGTGCTCGAGTTTCCAAACCAACTGTTGGATCTAACACTATCGACCGATGGCCTTGACCACGTGATCAACCTACCACCCAACCTCCAGTCATTGACCATACCCACCCCATCCATTGTACCTGTCCTACCAACCAAACTATTCAAACTGTGCTTTAACAAGTGTCAAAATAATATTCTTGCAATAGGGTATATTCCAGAATCAGTGCAGCATCTAACATTGATTTTCAATGCACTCGGTATTGATGAAATGGATGATGGGATCATTCCATCGAGTAACCTCAAAGAATTGACAATTGCAAACTATAAACATGTCATCATCGCCAATAATGGTTTATCATCATCGTCATCGTTCCCATCACTCTTACGGTTAGATGCACCTGTACACTGTGTCGGTCGAAAAGGTCTTCCACCTAAACTAGAACAACTCTACTTGCATTTGAATGATCAGAATCCCAATCCATTACAGTTTACATATCAGTCATCAACACTACAACACATTTCATTTTCCAATTACCCATCATCTTGGCCTCTTTTCGGGTCGACTACTCCACCTCCAGACTCTCTCACATCACTCGAATTTCAAACAACCAATGCATATGTACTACTTGATGTTTCATGTCTATTTTCAACAAAAACAATTCCACCTTTGCTTTCAACCATTACATTTACTAAACAAACACCCAAAAATACTCTTGTACGAGATACTAGTTCTGGGTTTACTATAGTGTTGGATGACACACTCATTCAATCTAAAGTTGAAACAATCAATGCCATTACTTTGCAATTTAAAATCAAAAGATTGGATAACCACCAAGTATTGGTGATTGAAACGTCTAGGTTGTATGGTGGAATTATTGATTTTAAAGATCGATCAAAAGTCTACCATATTCATTGTCATGATGATTCTGAAATACCAAATCTAAGAGAAATTAAAACTACCTCTTGAAATAAATAAATCCTAAAAAAAACATATATTATATATTTTAAATATATATTATAATATAGAATATATAATAAAATATTGATAGAGTCCAGTTCAAATATTATTAATTATTAATAATTATTATTGATTATTATTTTTTGGATTTTAAAAAATAATTTATTATTAGTATCGTCAGACCCAAATATATATAATATAGGACTGATATATTTAAAGAACAAAAGTCTTTCTGTCAACATCCATATCAGCTTTGTGAAGATGTATATATTCACCACCGGTGGCATCAAAAGTACCCTTTTGAAGATACATTAATTTGAGAGTAAAACGAGGACCGAGTTCTTGAAGATACGCCTTTTCATTGGAGGCAAACTCGTAACGATGGTGACGGAAAAAGATGAAATCACGTTGATTGTGCAAGGTAACGACACGTCTACCCTTGAAATTGGGGTCTTGTGGGAACATGGATGCAAACATACGTCCTACCGTTAGACCCAAACGAGTTGTAAAGTTGTTAATGATAAGTTCTGGTTTGTGTGATGTCATCTTTCCACAGTTTTCAATTTTATCTGGCATTGTAATATTGGTAACTCTAAATTGTACTGTTGGTCCATATGGTAAATGTACCATCATCATTGTATCTATATAAAAAAAAGAGAAAGAGAAATAAAAAGTCAATAACCAACCATTTTGACAATACTCTATTCTACTATCTATTTTCTACTCTATCTATTTTCTATACATACGAACAACTCCATTATCTTCATTTACAACTAAAAGATCGGTATAATCTCTATTGGCACAAAACTTGACAATATCTTTGAGTTTGAAATCTTTACGTGGAAAGTATTCACAATTGGGAAGAATCTCTTCGATCATTTTGACAAATGGTGTAATGTGACGTCCTTGTGGTCTTGTATTGGTGGTAATGCATACCTTTGGTTCTTTTCCATCAAAGTATGATGCAAATTCATCTAAATTTACATCTTCTGATACCTAAATAGTAAATCAAATTAAACATTAATACTCTATATTCTAAAACATAACTATCTATTTCTATTATTAATTTGATTTGTTCATACTTCTTCATCTTCATCTTGTACAATAGTTTCATCACCCTTTCTTAAACGTTCGATAGTTCTTGGTAACAATTTAGCGGGAGCTTGGTCACCAAGCTTCTTTGCCTCTTTAAGTCTATCTCTTCTTCTCTCTGACTTTTCCTTGTTGGTTTGTTGTCTTAATTTGTTCCACAAGATAACTCTACGAGCCTTATTCTTTATTTCATTGGGTGTGAATTTGATATCGACCTTGCCGTCAATCTCTTCATCCTTTTTAGATTTCATTGGTTTCATCTTTCTCTATATATGTGCGTGTGTTTTAAAACAATCTTTTGTGAATTGTTCTAATATATGTGAATATGTAAATATATACTGTATGTACAAAGGGTATAAATGAAAGGGATAACAATAATAAAGTTGAAATTATTACAAAAATTTTACTCGATCGCAGGTGGAGGTGTGAGCCGACTCGTTCGTTTGTTGCTCACTTGTAATTTTCGATTTTATTTGATAAATTTTCAAAAGTTAGCTCTTAAAAAAAAGAATAGAAAGAAAGAAAGAGAGAGATAAGATAGATTAATCTTCGAATCATATAACAAACACCATTGTACATAATTATTACACACCCCTATATACCCTATTTATAAATATATTTCGATATCTCTATTAGAACTCATTTCAAACAAACTAGATCACACTCATTCACACATACATATAAAATAGACGAAAATGGTAAAAGACAAGAAGACAAGAGATTAGAATTAGAATTAGAATCAAGTTACTAATATATACTGTTATTTCTAAATATATATATTTGTAGAAAGTAAAAGTATTATCAAGATCAGAAGAAAAGGATACTAAAGAGACAAGTACAGATATTGTAAAGTCACACAAGAATTTAGATCCAAATCTACATCCATTAGAGAGACCAAGAGAATATATGAGAGCACTCAACTCTGTAAAGATAGATAAATTGTTTGCAAAGCCATTTGTTGCTAGTTTGACTGGTCATCATGATGGTATCTTTACAATGAGAAGACATCATAATACTATCAATTGTTTTGCTTCTGGTGCATGTGATGGTGAAGTAAAGATTTGGAATTTAACTACATTGTATGTAACTTTAAAATATGAATAGATATATATATATATATATTATGTATATTAATATTTGTTTGTTTGATTATATTTTATTTAGATCTGAAAGATCAACTATAAAAGCACATGAAGGATATGTTAGAGGATTATCATTTAGTTGGGAAGAGAATAAATTATTTACATGTGGTGAAGATCAGACTGTAAAGATTTGGAAATTGGATCCAATCGATCATCAGTGTGATGGAGAGGTGGTATCCGTGTTTAGAGGCAAACATTCATTTACATCGGTCGATTGTCAACGTTACACTAATACATTTGCGACAAGTGGTATTAATGTGGAGATTTGGGATGCCAACAGAGCATCGCCTATGCAGACATTGTCGTGGGGTCATGCTAGTGTGTCGCGTGTGCGTTTCAACCCAATCGAGACACACGTGTTGGCATCTTGCACATCGGACCGCGAGGTCATCCTCTACGACACACGTCAACAATCACCTGCACAAAAACTGATTACACAGATGCGTAGCAACTCGATTGCCTGGAACCCACAAATATCGCATATGTTGGCACTGGCCAACGAAGATGAAAACGCATACCAATACGACATTAGAAAGTTAAACAAGGCCATGTCAGTGCATCGTGACCATGTTGGAGCTGTGCTCGATGTAGACTATGCGCCAACAGGTCGTGAGATTGTCACTGGCTCCTACGACAAGACCATTCGTATTTTCACCAACGAACAATACAACAGTCGTGAAGTATACTTTACCAATCGTATGCAACGTATCTTTTCAGTGTTGTATACTGGTGATGCCAACTTTGTCTTGTCGGGTTCCGACGACATGAACATCCGTGTGTGGAAGGCCAACGCCACCGCCATGCTCGGTCCACTCTCTAGCAAACAGTTTAGCGACAAAAACTACAAAGAAAAGTTGCAAGAAAAGTTTAGTGAAATCCCTCAACTCAAGACCATCAAAGATCATCGTCGTGTCCCCAAAGCCATCTACAAGAAACGTTATGTCAAAAATGTCGTCCATGTTTCCAAAGAACGTCGTGAAGAGAAACAACGTAAATTCTCAAAACAAAATCTTGGTCCTAAAAAGAAACTTCTCTCTCAACATACTATTACTGTTGAAAAATAACAATCATAATAATAATAATAATAATAATATATTAATAATAATATTAATAATAATTATAATATTTTTTTTCCCTAATTTATCCATGGATAGAGAGATGATATATCTCTATTATTGATTTATATCAACCATCCCTCCTACTACTTGCCACTTTATTTTATGAACTCTTGATCACCCTCCTGGGGGATTGATTAAAGTCGCGTCACTTCATGGTGTCATGCCTTTCAATTGGATTAATGAAACTTGCCCTCACCTTACCTTCAACAACAAAAAACTTGTAAATCTCTTGATTAGGTTAGGGAGGGGCTCTGTTGACTTTTTTTGTTGTTGTTATTTATCCAAAAGGTATCTGTTAGAGGTGGATTGTCTCCCCCAAGTTGCCTTTTTGGGACTGTGTTCAAATTTTTGATGATACCACGTACAGCAATCACCCACTTTTGTAATGCATTTTGCAACCTACAAAATATTTCAAAGTAGCTAACTTGTTAACAGTTATTCTGTCAGTTTATAGTTGTTAACCCAATCAATATTAATAAGATCATTAGAAAGAAAGATACTATCTGCAACGAGAGATCAAGAGATTTCAATCATCATACAACCCAAACAAGAAAGAAGAGAAGAATGAATACAAATCAAGAAGAGAATGGTCATCATCATCATGGACATAGCAATGAAATGAATAGCAATGAACAAGGACAAGAAGAAGATGTCATTGTAGTAGAACCTATTAAACCATTCTATATGTATTTGGGAGTAGATACAAATGCTACATTTCAAGATATCAAAGATGCATACAAACAGCAATGTCTGATACATCATCCTGATCGACAAGGTGGAAATGCTGATCAATTTATCAAGGTAGCTAGAGCATATGAAGTATTGTCTGATCCTGCAAAGAGAAAGTTGTACGACATGAATATTGACGAACAAAACATCGATTTGTTGGTACAATTCAATTTCATTCATGACTTTGTCGATTCTTGTATTCCAATCTTTGCATATGCCATCGCTGATCGTCTCTATCAATTCAAACCTCTTCTTTTGGCAAGTTCTGCAAGTATAAATTGGGAGAATATTAAAAATGTATGTTGTATAAATAATATATTTATAAATATTATCCAAACCATTAATATTTATATATGGATCATATTGTAGAGAGATAGAAATCCAATGGGATTTATTTATATGATAGCATATCCATTGACAAATTTGGTGGTTGATAGAATATTATCTAGCGTGATGGAGAGATATAAAAGTAGACTATCGGAATCACAGATCAATAAACTATCGATTTTGATTGATATTGTGTCGACTACACTGGCTATCCCATTCGAAGTGGGAGCATTGTACGCATGTATTAGAGGGTTCCCAACATCATCAATTCGAAACTACTTTGCACTTGGACAGATTGATACGCGACCACTATGGAAAAGAATAGTGTTAAACAACTATGTCACCCAACTATTCTCAGTACGTGGATTAAAGTGTGTTGCAGGTGTCATCCTCTTTAAATTGGCATACAACTACACCAACTATTTCATCGCATCGATTTCAGAGTACTGTGGACATCGAGCCATCGCCACTCAAGAAGAATACAAAGAGCAGATGCAACAAAAGCTCCGCACACCTGTATCGTGGGTTGAAACTGCCAAGATTGTCCTTGCCAAGTACAAACCAAGTCTATGGCAGGGAGCTTCTCTCGCAACACTTGCCCTATCCTATTTCATTCCCTCACTACTCTTTCCAGCTCACCGTCTCATCTATAGAGTATCATTCCCATTTACAAAGTATTGGGAGCCACGCCCACTCTTGCGTTATGCTTTCCTCGACTCATTTGCCACCCTTTCAATGGATGCACTTACTCGTCTCTATATGTCAATAAAGAAATAAATGGATGCTAGAGTTGGTGGTACTAAACAAACCACGACCAACACATACCCAAGTATGATTACAATCAGACATCCTATCCACAAGTGTGGCAGGCAACATCAATCATGTTATCTGAGCTTTGCTGTTTAAAGTATAAATCATTTCAAAGAGATCCATCTTCATCATCTGTCTCAAGATCCCGCAGATTTCAGAAATTTCAGAATCTTGATGAAATTTATTGAATCTTGGCACTCGCCTTCATCTGTCCCAGTCAGTACTAATTAATTAAATCAAAAACTGTAATTGATTAGTCAACCGATTTATTATTATCATCATTATTCATCTCTTCTACAAATCTATCTTTTTGTCTCTCCTCTCTCTCTCTCTCTAACTTTTCAATATATTCCATCTCAACAACAAAAACTATCAAGGTAATTATTTATGATTATTTATTTTTAAAGGTTGATTCCTTTGATTATTATTTTTATAGTCCAAAAACATAGCTACTATAGTAGTAGTAGTTAGTAGTAGTATATATTAAGATATATTCAAAAACAGATACAAAGGGAAAGGGGGAGAACTTCTTTTGTTTGAAAAAATGGTGATTTGTCTTTTTAAAAACAAAATCGGTCCTTCTCTCATCACACTTCACACAACACGAACTTTAGGCAGCTATTTATTTATTTATTCTTTTATCTTTTCAAAGATAACATTTGTTTCTTTCAATAGCAATGAACCATCACAATCATGAACATATATTGATTATTGCCGGTTTACCGCTATAGCGGTCATAGGACATCCTTTCACCAACCGATATATCTGTCCAACCAATCAATCAATCAATCAATCCACCAAACTAACTGTTTCTTCTCCCCTCCTACTCTCTTTAAATGCAATAGATTGTAAAAGTTGATAGGTTTGAAACAAGTATATATTGCCACATCGGACGAGTAACAACAAATAAGTACAATAAAGAATATTATGTTTCAAAGTTTGGGTTCTCAACATCAACAACAACAACAACAAGATCATCAACCGATACAATACCAACAACAACAACATGAATACCAACAACAACCACAAAAATTACCATTTTCTAACAACCCTCATGCTAGTTCTGTCACGTCCAATATATTAAAATCGGCCAATAAGGTCAATAATATCGTCTATGCGCCAAAGATTGACTATTCGCAACTCACCGAACAACTTGTTTACGAACAGGTCATCAAAGGTGGCAGACCACTAATCATTGCCAACGTCACTAAAAATTGGGATATGCCGTTTGACCTACGTTGGATCACTGAACGTTACAGTAATATTGAAGTCACGGTTCGAGTCAACAATGGTCCAGAGAAACATTGGAATCTTGGTCAATACATCATGTATGACAAAACAAAGAGTAATCCACACTCTAATTATAATAATTTAACAACTACAATTAATGATATTAATAATAATAATAATAATACAATTAATGGTAATGTTGAAAATGGTGTAATGAATAGTCATCATTTAAATAATTCACAACAACAACAACAACAATCAAGATCATCACCACTAAAATCATCGAATGGTAATTTACCACAAATAATGATTCCAGTATCTACCAATGTAGTCAATTATAAAAAGGATGTACCATGTCCACCCGAGTGGAAAGGCTATATTATGGAGGAAGGTAGATTGTATCCGTTCCTAAGGGAACGTGGACCTGGTGACTTAGTGTCTGAACTACCACCAAACAAAATGCCAAACACTACCAACCTCAACATTGACTATCATGACTATTTCTCACCTGGTCGTAGAGAGGTTAGTGGATCAATTGGCTACAACCTAATGGTAGAATCTGAAGACAATGCATCCTCTTTTTGGTTTTGTACGACCACTCCAAATCATCAAGAAATTACAAAACATTGGCATGATAAATCAAGTATTTCTTTATTTGATAATGAATCAAAACAAAAGACTCTTCCTTTTGAAGGTAAATATTTATTATTATTATATTATAAATAATTATTTATTAATTCTTTTCTTTTCTTTATTTCTTTTTATATTTCTTTTTAGAATTATTAAATTCACAATATGAAATGCATATATTTGAACAAAATGTTGGAGATTTGGTTATATTGCCAAGTTGTGCAGTTTATCAATACCTGAATGTTGGAGGGAACACGGTAAAGGTTGCTTGGAATAGAGTGACAATCGATTCGTTGTACAATGGTGTCAAGTATATTCTGCCAATCTATCGAAGTATCAAACGTCGTGATATATTCAGTCTCAAGCATCTCTCCTACAACAGTTTCAAAAAGAGAATCAGATCGATCGAACAATTCTCAAACAATGGAGGTGATCTCGGCGAGTTGGTGCACATGACCGATGAAATTGTGACACTACACAAGATTGTATCAGAGATTGATTGGAATGAAACTATCGATCTTTCAATCATGTCAAATGAACGAAAGTGCAATGATATTGTCTCTACCGTCGTCTCTTCATCTTTTACCGGTGAAACCGAAGGTATGCATCGACGAACTTGTTTTGGATGTAATGCATACATATTCAATCATTTCTATAGTTGTACTGAATGTTATGCCAATCATTATTCAAATGGTAGTAATAATATTAATAACAATAATAATAATAATAATAATAATAATAATAATAATAATAATAATAATAATAATAATAATAATAATAATAATAATTCAGCTTCATCTTCTCCCAACTCTAATAATAATCATAATTCAACACAACCACCTGGACACTTTGATTTATGTTTAAATTGTATTGCAGAGGCTACTATTTGTAAACATGCTAAAAAGGTGCAGTTGTGTCAATACTCTGATCAACAAGAGGTGAGGGAATTGTTGCAAGTGTCACGCAATATTTTGCATGCGTTGTTGTCGATACATCCACAACACAAGGATAATGTCGATCTCATCTTTCAAAACTTTAGTTATGACACGATGGTTTCGTACGCCACGATGGCATACAACCAAGTCACACTGACCAACGAGGATGAGAAGGCGACTTGTCATCAGTGCAAGCTTGCTAGACCACGCAGTAGGATGGCATACTGCACACGCGAGCAGGAGCACGTTGCGAGCGTCTCGTGTTACAGCTCTCCCAGAAAAAAGAAAAAGGCGGCCAAGGCATGCCAGAAAAAGTACTGTCAGCAGTGTCTGATGAACCGCTACAACATGACGTTGATAGACTGTCTCAAGGAGAAAAAGTGGGAGTGTATGTTTTGTCGCGACCGATGTGACTGTTCAGCATGCATCAAACGCAAAAAGGAAAAGGGGCTACCCGTTCCAGCATCCACCTCTGCCAAGTACCGCTCTCCACCCCCGTCGCGTTGTACCTCTCCTCCTCCATCGAATCTAGGGTTATTCAACAATATGCCTGTCGTTCCTACTAGTATGACGTCCGCCGTCCACTATTACTCACCATCCTCCTCCCCCTCCTCTTCCTCTCACCAAACAACAACAACAACAACAAACGGGTATCACGGAGCCATTCAATATGGAAGTGATGGTACTACATACGCCTATCCAGTCTATCATGATATGGCACCACCACCTTTACCCGTTGTACCCAAGCTTGGTCTATGGGGATTACCACCTCACCAATATGACGGTGTTGTAATGTCACCTCACACTTTGATGATGTCTCCGCGATCGGCTGTCTCTTCACCTGCACTTTCCACCAGCGACTCTTCGTCGTCGCCTTCCTCTCATGCATCATCGTCTTCTCCCTCATCTCTAGTGTCGAGCATGCTAAAGCTCAAGACATCACACTCCAACTTGGCACTCATCCCATCTCCCAACTCTAACCCCCCTCCTCCACCCTTTGGCTCATCGTCAAGTGGACGAAAACCACCTCTTGGGTCAATGTCATCATATGAAGCAGCAGTGAAAAGGGACGGATCTTTCAACAACAACAACCAGACGGTTGTCCTCACACAATACCCAGTATTGTCTTCACCCGACAGACAAGTGCACGGTCGGGCACTCCTCCCCTCATCAACTAGTTACGAATCGTTCCATGGCGCGACACTATATAAACCTATCCACACACCATCATATTTTGAAGAAGGAGGACTGGAACCCCCAGTTGGCACAGACCTAACCTTGGAAGACGACAAATCCAAAAGATCACTCTTTTTGAAAAAGAGAAAGTCAGAGTCGCAGCTCAGTCTCTCGTCGGATAGCTGGATGCCACCCTCTAAAAGAGACCATCATCAACATAACCAATCCTTGTCGTCTCCCCCCTCTCAATACGACTCTACCTCGGTTGTTTCTTCACCTTCTCCAGTTCCCTTTGCTACTCCCAACTATGAGCATGATCATCATCATCAACAACATCATCATCATTTCAAACAACCATCCTACCAAATCTACGGAGCTGGCAATCAAATGGATATTGTTGGCGGATTGCAAAACATCGATGACATTACATCCAACCATAGTCAAATCTATAATCATCAACAACAACAACAACAACAACAACAACAACAAACAACTCAATATTATCAGAATCACCAACCACAGTATTACGACCATTCCAATTGGGAGGACAGAAGTAGAAGTTTGGCGAGTCATATGGGTGTACCAGATATGTTTGATCAGTTGGCTCTTTCAAGTCAACAACAACCAATTATGTCTGTACCTTCATCACAATCATCACAATCACCATCATCCAGTATCCAAGGTGATCAAGGTGATCAAGTACCATCATCACACCCAACACTTGATCCATTTAATCAACAATTTCATCCATACGACCATCATAATCATCACAATCAACAACAAATCCAGAATCCTTTCAAACAACAACAACCAATCTACCAAAGTCATTCACAACCACACCAACAACAACCATATACATATCCACCCGAAACCATTTTAATGAGTAATCAACATCCTATGCAATCACTTGATCATCAACCTTCACATTTCATGGTGAAATCACCAGACCAACAGCAACCACAACAACAACCATATTTTAATGGTTTAGGAACATGGATTGAATCATGTATATTAGATCCAATTCAAACCACCTGTAATACTACTACTACTACTACTACTACTACCACTACTACTAACAAGGAAGATATCGAAGGAATCGAATCAACCAATTATATGTTTCTCTCTTCAACTCCATACCATAATAATCATAATCACCAATCCAACTCGTCTTTTGAAAATGTCCAACCAGATGTTACTCTTTTATATTCTCAACAACCTTAAAACACTTCAATACTATATATCTCTATCTTATCAATATTTTTAATCAATAAACCATAAAGTACATACATACATTTATTTGTATATTTCTTATTACAATGATATTAAATTAAATTAAATAATTAATTAAATAATTCGGTCTTTGCTGATTTTCATTATTAATTGTTCTGATTTTTACAACCATTAATTGGTTATAAAATGTTTACCAATCAGATTACAAATAATAACAATAGTAGAAAGAAAGAAATAGATTATGATGATGATGACGATGACAATCAATACAATAATGAAAGTTATGATGATATAGGTAGATTTGATAATAATCAAGATAATGACACTGACGACACTGATGAAGAGGAACAGGAAGAAGAAGACTCACAAGATAAAGAATATGAAAAGGATCTAAATTATACAAAGAGTGGAAGAAATGTAGATGTTAATGATGATATTGGTGAAATATTAGAGTCTATAGATCAAGGAGCATTGGAGAAATTGGGAATTAGGAAAGCTGATGGCACACCCTATCAATCAATGACCGAATTGGTTGAGGATTTATCAAAGGATGGTCATACTAGACATCTTCTCAATATAACAGATACTGTTGAAAAGAAATTAGAGTCATTACCAACATCTGTCATTGATACTTGTATGTGAATGACATTTAAATCAACATAATAAAGAACCAAAAGATAAAGTATATCATATTAACAACTTCCCTTCTCTCATTTTTTTAGATTTAGAACAATCATCACAATTGGTACAATTACATAATGTTATTCAAGAGAATGACAAGATTCTTGCAAGTATTGAAGAGGTATTTCAATCATTTGATGATGAACTTCACGATTTAATCAAGGATATGCCAGACACGCATGTAACTACAATGCTTGTTAGTCAATCATTGGAAAATAGAATGAAAACAAGAGATGCAGTATCTGCAATTGTCAAACGTATCGTCATCCCACCAAGCCTCATCAACAGTATCACATCTGATGATATCAATGAGGAATATGTACAAAACATTCAACTTTTAACAAAGAGAGTAGAAAACCTAGAAGATTTAATGGGTATACAAGCAAAGTTTGGTGAAGATATTGCATTTGAAATTGATTTATTAAAGAAAAAGGTAATAATCGAAATGAAAGGAAGGATATGAAATATTATTGTACTAACAACAATGATTGTTTGATTATTAATCAATTTGTAGGCATGCTATTCAGTTAGAGATTTCTTACTGAAACTAATTATTGGTCTAAGAAAACCAAGAACCAATGTACAAATTTTACAACAATCCAAATTATTTAAATATAGTGCACTTAATCAATTCATCTATGATAATTCTCCTTCATTTGCTGTTGAAATTAAAAATCTTTATGTATGCGATAGATAGAAAAAGAGAAAGAGAAAAATAAGATAACTTGACTAACACTTTTATTTGTTATTTATTATTTATTTAGTTGGAAACAGTTTCAAGAATATTTATTTCATATTTTAAAAATTATGGAGGATCATTATCAAAGGTATATGTACCAATTGCAACAAAATCAGATGTTGTTGGGTATTATGATAATACTATTAAAGGGTATTTTGGAACAACTTCAAAAGCAGCAGTAGATACATTCAAAGCATCGGCATTTAATTTGAATGTACCTAACCTACCAAACGACATTTGGACGAGTATTCGAAGCGAAGAAATTCTCGATAAACCAGATACTACCACAACCAACATGTTGAGAAGATCTCACATCTTGTTGAGGGCTACCGATGCACCACTTATCGTTCCTCATACAGCTATCAAAAATGCTAAAAAGTATCCATTTGAACAAATATTTAGATCAATGAATATTCTACTACTCGATACTGTATGCTCTGAATACCTATTTGATCAAAAATGGTTTGCTAAACCTTTAGTTTCAAACAAAGAAACATCAGGTTTAATTAAACCAATGTTTGATAAAATATTTCAAGTTTTCTATGTATGTATCAAAAACAAAAACAAATCAAAACAATTATCTATTTAATTTATTAATTATTTAATTATTTTTTATTTTAGGAAAATATTAATCAATATGTTTCAACTAGTTATGATTGTTTAGGAATTTTATTATGTATAAAGTTGAATCAAATGTTTGTAAATATATTAAATGAGAGACGAATCGATATACCATGTCTCAGTAACTACTTTCACCAAGTCGATGTCATTCTATGGGATAAATTCAGTGAATTATTTAAAAGAAATATTGATAGTCTTAAAATTGCTCTAACCAAAGATAGTGGTGTTGTTGATTTTAGACCTCATATTGTAAGTTTCAAAAATATAAAAACAAAAGAATTGTATTGTATTTATTAATATTTCTTTCTTTCTTTTTTTAGTATACAAGAAGATTTTCAGAATTTTATGCAAGTATCTCTGAAATTATTGGTGGAGGTGTAGCAGACTCTCGTGTTACAGCTTGGGTTGCTGTCCTTCGTTCATCAATGGAAAGATTATTAGAACATCTATCAAATAATTTCCCAGACAAGAAAACAAAATCAATGTTTTTAATTAATAATTATGATGTTGTTTTATCTGTTCTTCGTGTATGTAATATATATATGTAAAAAGTCAAAACAAACAAGCAAAACTCAGAGTCTGGCATACAAACTTGTATGAGCCCCGCACAATTCTGTCAGTTCGATGATTTTGACTTTTCACATATATAAATATTTATTTTTAAAAATACAAAAATATTAATCTTTTATTAATTAATGTAGGAAAATAATTTACCAGAAAATGATGAAGGATATATATTATTTAATCAATTATTGATAGATCAAACAAATATTTATATTGAAGAACAATTATATTCACACTTTAAAACATTGATTGATTATATTAAAATCACAGAATCACAAACAATGAGTAGTCAACAAGCATCAATTGATAAAGGTATGAAATCTATATAGATAATAATTATAATACTTACATTTTTCCAAATTGACCAAATAATTAATCAATTATTCTTTTTCTTTTTTATTAGATGCAATGAATACTTTGATTTGTGATTTTTCACAGAGATGGAGAGATGTTTTACAAAGAAGTCATTTAGATGTAATGACCAACTATTCCAACTTTAATCTTGGATCTAATATATCCAAGAAAATCATCTTTCAATTTTTAATCTATTACAAGAGATTCGATGAATTGGTCAAACGTGCCTTGAAACAATCTGGTCAAGACCAAGCGACTCAATCAATCAAGACCACTTTTATCCCAATATCAACCATCACTTATGAGGTTCAGAAAAAGTATGGTAATACTGTATACTAAGACCTGAATTTCGATCATCAAAATTAAATATATCTAATTTTGGTATTAAAAAAAAAAACAAAAATAAAATTCAAAACCAGCGGTGACGAAGCAGCAGGTTCAAACATTTAATTGGGTTTAACCCGAACATTCAGTTTCATCCTCAGTTGTAGTAATAGTTTATTTATTTATTTGTATATAAACGATGAATAAATATAGAAATTTCATTACAATACTATTGGTATTCCTCCTTACAATAGTATATACATCATTTGCTACAGGTATGCAATTACTATTAATAGCAAAAACAAGAATGATAATGATAATAATATATATCTAATCTCTATCAATCAATAAATCATCTTCTCTTCTATCTTTTTTTTATAGACATTGATACAATTATAAAAGAAGCAGATGAATTATTTAAAACAGCAAGATATGATGCCTCGGTAGAGAAATATACAATGGCAATTGATATGATTGGAGATGCAAGCAGTGAGAGCAGTGACATGTCAAGCAAGTTGACATCTGTACTATTTAAACGTGCAGGTATCTACCAAACCAAGGGAAAGAACATTTTGGCATTATCAGATCTCAACAGAGCACTTCAATACAATCCAACCAATATTCACGCCAAGTTAAAGCGTGCCAAGATTCTTACATCACTTGGTCGTTTTGAAGATGCAACAGATGAATACAAATCGGTTCTAAAGACAAAACCAGACAATCCCGAAGCAAAGAAACAACTTGCACTCATTCAAAAGACATCTAGTCAACTCGAACGGGCAAAGGAATTGTATGAAGGCAACAAATTGAATGATCTCTTGCCAGTATTGAATAGTATTCTCGAATCTACGCCAGATAACAAACAATCACGTCTTTGGAGATGCGAATGTACCTTTAACATCAAGGACTATCGTCGTGTTATCGATGACACCACAGCAGTACTCAAAGCCGATGGATCAAATCTAGAAGCAATGTATTGGAGATCTAAAGCTTTCTTTGCACTTGGTGAAAAGGATGCTGCTTTAAAGTATGAAATATATATATATATATAACAACCAATATTATATCATTTACTAAACAATTATTATTACTATTATCTTTTTTTTAGGTTTATTAAAGATGGTTTGAAATTTGATTCAGATCACTCAAAATTAAAACAAGAATTAACTAGAATTACCAAATTTGATAGAAATACTAAAGAGGCAAATGATTTCTTTGTTCAAGGAAGATATGAAGAATCATTAAGAGTAAGATAAATATTATTTATATATTTTTGATTGATTGTATTAATTATCATTTTTTATTTTATTAGGAAACAAATAGTGCATTAGAACTTGAACCAAATCATCCACAATATTCACCATCACTTTACCTTTTAAAATGTAAAGTATTATTAAAATTAAGAAAGGGACAAGATGCCATCAACGCATGCGGAAAATCGATAGAATTGGATGATAATTCAGCAGATGCATACTATAATCGTGGAGAAGCATTCATGTACACGGAAGAGTATGATCGTGCATTGGCAGACTTCCAAAAGGCTCATGAAAAGAGTCCAAACGATCACAACATTATGGACGGTATTAGACGTGCACAACAGAAACAAAAGCAAGCCAAACGTAAAGACTATTACAAGTTGTTGGGTGTCGACAAGGGTGCTACACCACAAGAGATTAAAAAGGCATTCAAGAAGCTTGCACTGACACATCATCCAGACAAGGGTGACCAAAGTGAAGAATCAAAGAAAAAGTATGTCGAAATGACAGAGGCCTATGAAACACTCATCGACCAAGACAAACGTGATAGATACGATCGTGGTGAAGATGTCAATGATCCAATGGCTGGGCGTCAACAACAACAAGGATTTGGTGGTGGTTTCCCATTCGGAGGTGGTTTTGGATTTGGTGGTGGTGGCCATCATCACCAACAACAACAACATTTTACTTTTAATTTTGGTGGATTTGGTCATTAAATAAATTAATAAATTAAATAATAACAGTCCATATTCATTTATTTTAAAGTAATTATTGTAAATGAATTTATTTATTTATTTCACGTACCTTTTGTCACCTAGCCAGCTAGAAGTCTGAAAGGATTTTAGAAACTATTTAAATTTTAATAAATTCCTATTTTTTGATAATAAAAAAAAATTCCTCGCTTAAAAATTTCACAAGTAACAGCCTGTGGACCAATTCTCTCATATGATTTTAGTGAAACAAATGAATAGAGAATTAGAATGAATATAGATCGACAATTTAAATCAGTGTTTATTGTCAATACATACTTGCATAGCGTGATCATCAAACATATAAAACAAATCAATCGATTACTATCAGCACCGTATGATCGCAAAAGCTATTATTACGAACCGATCGGATACTACAACTGGTATCAATTAACCGAGTATCCTATTCAACTTGCAAGACATGGTTACTTTGATCAACTACAATCAACTCTACTAGTATTAGAACAAAAGTATGCAAATTTTAAATGGTTTGGTGATGATGATGATGACAGTGGTGGTTACCAACAAGCAGATAATTATAACCATAAACGTAAATGGATACCAAATTTAAAAGAGATTATTAGATCTTCAATGCGATACCCATTTATATTAAAGAATCTTGGTCATATTATAAACAAACCATATCAAGATGATCATAGTTGTGTTATCAACAAGAGAAACAAGTTTATTCAAGAGTTTATGTATACAAGATATGGAGTGGACAACTTGGAAGAGTTTATAGAAACTGTAACTACATTTTCTCTTAAAGCTGGTGACATGTCACAAATCAAATGGATAGAATCTATTCACAATAATGACAGTATACTCAATGTAATGAAAAAGTATACGATTAGTGATACATGTTTCTTTCAATCGAGTAATCAAGAGTTTGTCTATTCGTGTCTCACAAGATATCCAGAACTATTAGGCAACTTTGAATTGACCATGTATCTTCGTGACAGAGAAAATACAACAATGATCAACAACCTTTTCGACAATGACATGCATCGAATCGAAAATAGTCTTCCACGAACCATTCTACACTCATCCATGAAAAGAAATCATCCACGTGCCATCGAAATCATTCATTATTTTGGAAAGAATGAATCTCTTAAAAGGGTACTTCTTGGTCCGAATGCATTAGATAATGCATGTTTGTCACCTGGTGGTTTACCTATTCTTCTCAACATGGTCGAGTATTTTCCAGGCCATTTGAGAACACTGACTCAATCTGGAATGGATAGAGCAATCATTAGAGGTCATGTAGATCTTGTTAGGTACATCTTGGATAACACAAAGCTCACAATCAATATGGACATGGCAGCTACAGAAGGACAAATTAAAATTCTTAAATTGGGTTACTCTAACCCAAACGAACAACAACAACAGCAAATCACACAACAATCGTTGATATCTGCAGTCAATGGACATTTGGATACATTTAAATGGGTTATCGACAAGTATCCATCAATGTTGTTCAATATTGACGATCCTTATTTTAAAAGAGCAATTTCAAGTGAAAATAGTAATGCAGAGATGTTTAAACTCATCCCACACGAGATTATCAACTTTGACTTGGTGATGGAAATTGCAATCGAACAAGAGAGATTGGATTTTGTTCAAGTAATCGTTCAACTTGCCAATCAAATTGGATACACCTTTAAACAACCATCTTTTTTACCAATCGTTTGTCAGAAACCAAAATCAGTGTTCTTTACGTCCAACTCTAAAATAGAAATATTTAAATATCTATATGAACAAGGACACGTTAAATATTTTGGTGATAATAATTACGAACAACATTTAACTGCATTGTATAATTGTTTGGAATATGGATGGCATGAACCCGCTAGATTGCTAATTGGAATATTACAGAAAATGTGTGGAGAATATGCAAGAGATCGATACCTCCCTCGCAAAGAATCAATAGACAAGGCTCTACGAAGCTACAATATCGATACCATCAAATTAATACTCGAGTATTATTCAGTCGATGAATTTCCACGAGTAAAAGAAAATGATTTTTTCAACTATTCAATTGAAGAATCCAAAGATCCAGAACTCGTCCAATTCCTCTACCACACTTTTAAAGATCAAGATACATTAACAGTCAGCCAATTTGTCTCTATTCACAGTCATCGAACATTCAAATTTTTGCTAGCAAACCATTTAATCAATGCCAACATGTACAAAAATGTAATCAGCGTCTATTATCGATTTAATCAAATAAGTCTCGATGCTGTTATTTGGCTATACGAAACTGGTCAATTTCCATGTCACCTAAAATCCTATAAAAGAATTACAGACAAAGAAATTAAAAAATTCATTCAATATAACTGTAAACTTTATGATGATGGAGATTAATGTAAATAAATATAACTATAGTTTAGTTGCTCAACAATAAAATTTTAACTAAATATTTTAATTGGTATAACCCGAATATTTAGTTTCAGTTTGTTGTAGTAATAGTTATTATTTATTTGTATATTGTATATATAAACGATGATGAATAAATATAGAAATTTCATTACAATACTATTGGTATTCCTCCTTACAATAGTATATACATCATTTGCTACAGGTATGCAATCGATATTAATAACAAGAAAGATAATGATTAATATATATATATATATCTAATCTCTCTATCAATCAATATATTTATGTACTCTCTCTATCTCTCTCTCTCTGATTTCTATCTTTTTAGACATTGATACAATTATAAAAGAAGCAGATGAATTATTTAAAACAGCAAGATATGATGCCTCGGTAGAGAAATATACAATGGCAATCGATATGATTGGAGATGCAAGCAGTGAGAGCAGTGACATGTCGAGCAAGTTGACATCTGTACTATTTAAACGTGCAGGTATCTACCAAACCAAGGGAAAGAACATTTTGGCATTATCAGATCTCAACAGAGCACTTCAATACAATCCAACCAATGTTCACGCCAAGTTAAAGCGTGCCAAGATTCTTACATCACTCGGTCGTTTTGAAGATGCAACCGATGAATACAAATCGGTTCTAAAGACAAAACCAGACAATCCAGAAGCAAAGAAACAACTTGCACTCATTCAAAAGACATCTAGTCAACTCGAACAAGCAAAGGAATTGTATGAAGGCAACAAATTGAATGATCTCTTGCCAGTATTGAATAGTATTCTCGAATCTACACCAGATAACAAACAATCACGTCTTTGGAGATGCGAATGTTCCTTTAACATCAAGGACTATCGTCGTGTTATCGATGACACCACAGCAGTACTCAAAGCCGATGGATCAAATCTAGAAGCAATGTATTGGAGAGCTAAAGCTTTCTTTGCACTTGGTGAAAAGGATGCTGCTTTAAAGTATGTAATATATATATAACAACTAATAATAATTATAATTTTACTAAACAATTATTATTATTATATTATATTATATTATTTTTTTAGGTTTATTAAAGATGGTTTGAAATTTGATTCAGATCACTCAAAATTAAAACAAGAATTAACTAGAATTACCAAATTTGATAGAAATACTAAAGAGGCAAATGATTTCTTTGTTCAAGGAAGATATGAAGAATCATTAAGAGTAAGATCAATATTATATTATATATTTTTTTGATAGGATTGTATTAATTATGATTTTTTATTTTTTATTTTATAGGAAACAAATAGTGCATTAGAACTTGAACCAAATCATCCACAATATTCACCATCACTTTACCTTTTAAAATGTAAAGTATTATTAAAATTAAGAAAGGGACAAGATGCCATCAACGCATGCGGCAAATCGATAGAATTGGATGATAATTCAGCAGATGCATACTATAATCGTGGAGAAGCATTCATGTACACGGAAGAGTATGATCGTGCATTGGCAGACTTCCAAAAGGCTCATGAAAAGAGTCCAAACGATCACAACATTATGGACGGTATTAGACGTGCACAACAGAAACAAAAGCAAGCCAAACGTAAAGACTATTACAAGTTGTTGGGTGTCGACAAGGGTGCTACACCACAAGAGATTAAAAAGGCATTCAAGAAGCTTGCATTGACACATCATCCAGACAAGGGTGATCAAAGTGAAGAATCAAAGAAAAAGTATGTCGAAATGACAGAGGCCTATGAAACACTCATCGACCAAGACAAACGTGATAGATACGATCGTGGTGAAGATGTCAATGATCCAATGGCTGGCCGTCAACAACAACAAGGATTTGGTGGTGGTTTCCCATTCGGAGGTGGTTTTGGATTTGGTGGTGGCGGTGGTGGTGGTCATCATCACCAACAACAACAACATTTTACTTTTAATTTTGGTGGATTTGGTCATTAAATAAATTAAATAATAACAATAATCCATATTCATTTAAAGTAACTATTTTAAATCTATAACCTAAACTATTGATAAAATGATACTATCCATTGTATTATTTTGTTAATAAATAAATAATATGAAAACAGGAAATTAAACCGATTAATAAAAAAGATTTCTTTTTTAACAATTTTAGAGGACCCTACTAACCAACACAATATATATGATTTTAGTGAATCAAATGAATAGAGAATTAGAATGAATATAGATCGACAATTTAAATCAGTGTTTATTGCCAATACATACTTGCATAGTGTGATCATCAAACATATAAAACAAATCAATCGATTACTAGCAGCACCTTATGATCGCCAAAGCTATAATTACGAACCGATTGGATACTACAACTGGTATCAATTAACCGAGTATCCTATTCAACTTGCAAGACATGGTTACTTTGATCAACTACAATCAACTCTACTAGTATTAGAACAAAAATATGCAAAGTATATATGGTTTGGTGATGACAGTGGTGGTGGTTATCAACAACAACAACAACAACAACAACAACAACAAACAACAACAAATAACCATAAACGTAAATGGATACCAAATTTAAAAGAGATTATTAGATCTTCAATGCGATACCCATTTATATTAAAGAATCCAAGAAGAAGTCACATGATAAACAAACCATATCAAGATGATCATAGTTTTGTAATCAACAAGAGAAACAAATTTATTCAAGAGTTTATGTATACAAGATATGGAGTGGAAAACTTGGAAGAGTTTATAGAGACTGTAACTACATTCTCTCTCAAAGCTGGTGACATGTCACAAATCAAATGGATAGAATCGATTCACAATAATGACAGTATACTCAATGTAATGAAAAAGTATACGATTAGCGATAGATGTTTCTTTCAATCGAGTAATCAAGAGTTTGTCTACGCGTGTCTCACAAGATATCCAGAACTATTAGGCAACTTTGAGTTGACCATGTATCTTCAAGACAGAGAAAGTACAACATTGATCAACAACCTTTTCGACAATGACATGCATCGAATCGAAAATGATCTTCTACGAACCATTCTACACTCATCCATGAAAAGTAATCACCCACGTGCCATTGAAATCATTCACTATTTTGGAAAGAATGAACCTCTTAAAAGGATACTTCTTGGTCCGAATGCATTAGATAATGCATGTTTGTCTCCTGTAGGTTTACCTATTCTTCTCAACATGGCCGAATATTTTCCAGGCCATTTGAAAACACTGACTCAATCTGGAATGAACAGAGCAATCATTGGTGGTCATGTAGATCTTGTTGGGTACATCTTGGATCACACAAAGCTCACAATCAACATGGACATGGCAGCCACAGAAGGACAAACTAAAATTCTTGAATTGGGTTACTCTAACCCAAACGAGCAACAACAACAACAAATCACACAACAATCGTTGATATCTGCAGTCAATGGACATTTGGATACATTTGAATGGGTTATTGAAAAGTATCCATCAATGGTGTTCAATATTGACGATTCTTATTTTAAAAGAGCCATTTCAACTGAAAATAGTAATGCTGAGATGTTTAAACTCATCCCACACGAGATTATCAACTTTGACTTGGTGATGGAAATTGCAATCGAACAAGAGAGATTGGATTTTGTCAAAGTAATCGTTCAACTTGCCAATCAAATTGGACATACCTTTGCACAACCATCTTTTTTACCAATCATTTGTCAGAAACCAAAATCAATGTTCTTTACGTCCACCTCTAAAATAGAAATATTTAAATATCTTTATGAACTAGGACACGTTAAATATTTTGGTGATAATAATTACGAACAACATATAACTGCATTGTATAATTGTTTGGAATATGGATGGCATGAACCTGCTAGATTGTTAATTGGAATATTACAGAAAATGTGTGGAGAATATGCAAGAGATCAATACCTCCCTCGCAAAGAATCGATTGACAAGGCTCTACGAAGCTACAATATCGATACCATCAAATTAATACTCGAGTATTATTCAGTCAATGAATTTCCACGAGTAAAAGAAAATGATTTCTTCAACTATGCCATTGAAGAAGCCAAAGATCCAGAACTCATCCAATTCCTATACGACACTTTTAAATATCATGATACTTTAACAGTCAGCCAATTTGTCTCCATTCACAGTCATCGAACATTCAAATTTTTGCTTGCAAACCATTTAATCAATGCCAACATGTACAAAAGTGTAATCAGCGTCTATTATCGATTTAATCAAATAAGTCTTGACGCTGTTATATGGCTATACGAAACAGGTCAATTTCCATGTCACCTAAAATCCTATAAAAGAATTACAAACAAAGAAATTAAAAAATTCATTCAATATAATTGTAAACTTTACGATGACGGAGATTAATGTAAATAAATAAATAACTATAGTTTAGTTGTTGACAACAATAAAAGAGGTGTTGTTGTTTGTTGAAGAACGACAACAGACTTTTTCGTACATCGACAGGGTGCGACCTTTACTCGATGAAAGGATCAAACGACAAAAAACAAAAATATCTTTAAACATGTACATTGGATGTGGGACAAGCCCATCGGAGGTCTGAAAAAAACAGAGAATAATGCACAGCCAAAAAAGGGGCTGCAAAGAATGTAGGATGAATGCTTTTCCCGTTCCCTTTTCGAATGAAAAAGGAGTATCTTGTTCATTGCTCATTGGTTGTTTCAACAACAAGCCCGTAAATCAAACCCCAATGAGTATACTTGCCTGGCAGGCTTGCATTAAAGATCTTCATCCATCCAACCACACATCGATTAATGGGAATTTCGTTTGTGGATGGTCATGATTAGCAGAACAGAAAGTAAAGGAAAGGGTCTCTGGGTTGATTAATGATCATTCATTAATTTTTGTTTAATTATAAATAGGTATCTTTAAATAGATAAAACAATAGAAAGAAAAGAAATGGGTAGTATGACAAAAGATTCATTTACCAATGAAGGAGTGGCTTTGGATAGGTTGGTACTATCATATTATGTTATTAGAATCATTATAAGCTTTTTCTACCTCCTTTTAAATACTCCACAATTGTTTTACGAGTTTAAAGTACTAGTCAAAACAAACTTTACATTGACACCAAGATTTATAGTATTCTTTAGTTTAGTTATACAACCTATTAGTATGTACATTTTTTCAAAAAGTCCTTCAATCCCTCTTGTTTAAAGATAATTTTAAAAAATCTAGATCGGACCTTATCCCCCAACAATGCTAACCAACTTTATCATCTTATCTTATTTCTTTCTCTCTATCTTTAGTGAGAATGTTAGGATGTGGATTCTTTATACGTGACCACGATTATTCTGGAAATGGATTGTTTTTTATATTTGGTAATTGGAATATTGTATTTATCTTTCTTGGTTGGTTATTTATCTCTTCATTTTGGTTACAAATATTTTATACATTTTTTATATCGTATTGTATCAACAACCACAACAACAACAACATACATTATGATTTTCCAATTAATCTATTCCATTTAATTAACCATTTACTACTACTCTAGTGAACAAATAAGTTGGAAAAACAAGAAAAGAGTTTGGAATATTAGTTTATGTCTTATGGTGGGGATGATTTTATGGGGAGTACTTGAAAATATAATGTCATGTGTATCGACTGCATCGGCAGCTGGAATGGTTTCGGCAGCTGGATTTATAGTTTGTTTGGTTGGTGTTGGATTATTCCTTGCCATTAATCTTATTATCCTCTCGAATCACTTAAAGAGACATAAAGAAATGATGCTACAAAATGATAAACACTCAAAATCATCTTACAAGATTAAAAAGATGGCTTGGTTGTTGGTGGGTACCATCATTTGTGTTGCAGCAAGAGAATTGTGGTTACAAATAGGTAAACCAGGTTACAATGACAATATCCGTCATCTTTCAAGTTTTATCACAATGTTGATTGAATTCTTTCAAATGGCAGTCGTCATGCTTGGAGTTGCCAATCATCCATACAATTATCTCTTATTCCGACCTGTTAATAGATCTAAATGGTTGGGTGATTCATCGGCGGTAGAAATCTCTCAAACATCATTTGCAAAGAGTAACCAACAACAAATTTCAATGGCATCAATGGGAAAGAGTATAAATACAATGAGTTATATTGAAGATGATTTAGATTATGATGCACCTGTATTTAATCAATCTGACAATATTAATAATAATAATAATAATATAGATGGTGCTGGAGGAGGGGACGATGAAGAAATGTCAAAATCAACTTTTACTGTTAAAGTTGATCAATAATAATAATAATACTTAATAATGATAATAATACTTTAATTGTAAATTATAAATAATAAATAAATTGTAAATATATTAATACATAATCATGATGAATTGTGGTAGATGTAATAATGATGTTTAAAATATATTGGCTTGACACAAATGAGATGATGTACAAAAAGTCGGGAGTAATTTTTTGGTTGATGACGAATTCTAATCAGACCTTATTCATTATTATTATTGTCTTGTTCATTTTTAATATACATAACTAGATAATAGTAATCTTTCTGATATATTAGAATGAATCAAAAAGCAAGACAACTCTTATTGGTTGTAGCATCATCATCGACAAAGTCGACTGTATCTTCATCATCATCAGTTGCTACATTTGGTTTGGGGTTAGTTCAACCCCGAAGATCTCTTGTATTTAATAACAACGTTAATAATAAGAATAGTATTATTATTTCATCGCGATCATCTCAAAATATAACATTATATAAACCATCATCATCATCATCATTATCATCACTATTTAATAATAATATCAACTACAACAACAATAACAATGTATTCATCAAATCAGCAACACTCTTTAATAATCATAATAATAGTAATAGATATAATAGTATAATAACAATGACAAGTAAACAATATTCAACTAGTAATAATGTTGAACCACCAAAGAATAATAATGAAAATAAGAAACCAGAAGAACAAGATACCAACAATACTACAACAACTTTACAAACAAATGAACATGGTGATTTGATCATGCCAACTGGATTATCAATGGGACAAAAGATTAAATTCCTATTCAAACATTATGGTGCGATTGCTGTAGTTGTTCACTTTACATTCTACCTTTCAACACTTGGAGCCATCTATGTTGCTCTTTCCAATGGTGTTGACCTTCAATCAGTGTTTGACAAGTTTGGTTTCGAACGTAGTTCACTCGGTGAAGGATTAGGTGTATTTGCATTGGCATTTGCAATGAACAAATTAACTGGTCTCATTAGACTTCCAATCACTCTATTCACTGTTCCAATTGTTGCCAGATTCATTAGAAAATTAAGAAATAAATAAACAATCAATAGTTAACTTTAATTAAATAATAATAATAATTAATGAATGGTTATATATAGTAGTATTAATATTAGGTATGTATTTATTATTATATGTATTTTGGTTTATTGAGTTAAATAACCTTCTTTAGTTAAATAATCTAAAATTTGATGAATGGCATCCTTGACAGAGGTGTTGGTGGTATCGATACGGAGTTCTGGGTTTTGTGGAGCTTCATATGGATCATCGATACCAGTGAAACCTTTGAGTTGACCAGCACGGACCTTTGCGTAGAGACCCTTGCGATCACGCTTTTCACAGACTTCGATGGGTGTAGAGATGTGAATCTCGACAAAACCACCTTGTGAGTTGTTGACCAACTCTCTGGCAAACTTTCTAGATTCTTCGTATGGGGCGATGGGAGCACAGATGGCAATACCACCAGCACGATTGATTTCAGAGGCAACGAAACCGATACGCTTAATGTTGAGGTTACGGTGATCCTTGGAGAAGCCCAACTCACTCGACAAGAATGTGCGGACGACATCGCCGTCTAAAAGGGTGATAGCTCTGCTGCCGCTTGCAAGCAAGGCTTCGTTGAGGGCGTTGGCAATGGTGCTCTTGCCCGATCCCGAGAACCCGGTGAAAAAGATGGTGAAACCTTGTTTGTGACGTGGTGGACATGACTCGCGCAAGATACCGACGACTTCTTTATAGGTGAACCAGTCTGGAATCTCACCACCGGTTCTGAGGAGGTGACGCAACTTGGTGCCCGAGATGTTTGATGTCTCTTCGCCTTGTGGTACTTGGTCGACTGGGTAGTAACGGTCGTGGTTGGCAACATAGACCATCATTTGGAATGGGAGGATCTTGACACCCAACTCTGACTCGTATTTGAGTGCGTTCTCTTGTGCTTGGTATGGCTCGTAAAAGGGCTTGCCTGTCTTGTCCTCTCCTGGACCAGCGTGGTCACGACCGACGATAAAGTGGGTGCAACCATAGTTTTTACGGATGATGGCGTGCCATACGACCTCACGTGGACCACCCATACGCATGGCTAATGGGAGGAGCGAGAGTTCGGCAAGACCTTCTGGGTAACTGCCAATAATAGACTTGTAACACTTGACACGAGTGTGGTAGTCAATGTCACCGGGCTTGGTCATACCGACAACTGGGTGAATCAAAAGGTTGCAACCTGGGTTGAGTTCGGCGGCACGTACAGTCAACTCTCTGTGGGCTCTATGCATTGGGTTACGTGTTTGGAAGGCAATGACATTCTTCCAACCCTTTTCCTTAAACATGTTACGAACTTCAATTGGTGTTCTTCTGAGACCGTTGTAATCATAGTGGACTGGTAATTGAGCACCTTGCAAACGACCGGCGATATAGTATTCTTTGGTGGCGAGGATCGAGGCGACACCTGGGTGGAATGGGTCGATTGATCCCATTGACAAACGAGCTTCCTTGTCCTTGTCGGCCTTGAAAATCGATGACACGTTCATCAAGGCAATTAAATTACCCTCTTCGTCACGCAAGGCAATGTCACGGTCAGTGGTGGCAATGACACTGTCAACAAACTCTTTGGTAACGTCCAATGTAATGGGCATGGGGAAGAGGACACCCGATGGCAAACGCATATTTTCAACGACACCATTGTATGTCTCTTCATCCATGAATTGGTCCAATGGCGAAAAACCACCATTTAAAATCAACTCGATATCACACAAGTGACGACGTGTCAACAAGAGTGATGGCAAGTTGATGGCACGTTGCTTGAGTGCCTCTACTTGTTGATCACCACGTACCAATAAATCAACCAATTTACCACCATGTGGAATTGATCCTCCTTCTGGTAAATCGTGATATTGTGTTGTTGAAAGTGTAGATGGAATCATTATTTAATTATTATTATATATATATATGTGTGTTGGTATAAGTTGAGTTGAGTTGTAATATTATAATGTATGTATGTTTTTTAAATAAACAACAACAAATTTTGTACTTTTATAAATTAATCTATACAATAAAAAGGACGGGTTAGTTGTCAAGTGTCATTTTGTTTGTGTCTTTTATTTTCTAAGAGTCTTGTTCTTTCGTGTGACTTGGTTGATAGTTGCCGACTATTCAGCTTTCGTTCAATGCATTTTAATTCTGACCACCCCACCACCACATCATCACTTTTTTTGACTCCTCCCCCTTTTACATCAACAACAACAGCTGATTTTGGATAGTAAGAGAGAAAGAGAAAAGGGATAGGATGTATCTTTCACTTTCATTTCAAGATATACAAATATATATCTTTAAAAAAAAAAAAGTGATGATGTGGTAATGATGATCATCATTATTTGATTGCAATATAAAATATGAATGAAGTACTCACTTTACAAAAATATTAATGAATAATGAGTGAGGTGTGAAGTGAGCCTAATAAATAAAGAGAATTGTAGTTGAAAGAAAAAAAAAGAACTACTTTATGCTTTAAATTAAAATAACAAAAAAACAAGAAGATGAAGAAGAGGGGATTGCGTTGACAGAAGAATCATTGCTCTCTAAACAAACAAAATATTTTAAAATAAATAAAAGAGGATTTTTAGGAAGTTACGACCGATTCTTCTAGTTGGTCACCACCATGGACGACAGATATTTAGAAACAGTCGGTTTCATCACCATCATTGTACACACAGCAGGGGTGTATCGAGATATTACAGATTAACTGTCTGCTAAAAGACAATCCTCCAACGGACTTGTCGTTGAAAAAGGTTTTCGAAAATTCATCTTGGTAAAAACGAACAAAGGAAGCTCGAGTTGTTGGGTGTAGGTAGATTTTTTTTTTGAAAATCGAACTTTTGCGGGATATGACGTATCAAACATAATTGTTCAAGGAGGAAGGTCCGATTCACTGTATATATAAATATATGAGGGCCGGATTAAACCCCAGGGATTGTTGACAATGAGCTAAAGAGATTTTGTAAACTATGTTGTAAATGAGGAGGGTGTAGTACCCAAATTTTTTTATATTTACCATTTTTCTTTTTTCTCACCCTATTCACTACATCATATAATCATTTGACTCAAGTGTAGTTGATAAATATTTATTACTCTTAACAATTCTCATAGTTAGTTAAAGAGATTTTTGAACTTCTATTGGAGTTGTATTTAAAAATAAATGTGTATGAGGAAGAGAAAAGATTAAAGAAGATACAGAAGTGCAGCATCAGCAAGAAATCAATATTACAACGAATTACAAGTAATGAAAGGTACTTGCGCAGAGTTGCAAGGAAGCATCAATCTGTGTTCGGACAAGATGAAAAAAAACGATTGATCTAATGGAAGAGAACAAGGCACTGAGAGATGACAACTTCAACCTCCAACTACAATTAATGGACAAAAACAACAACTCTCCCTCCTCCTCATCCACCCTCATCAACACCTTGTCCTCAGCTGACCTGAAACAGTCAAGTAAAGAAGTGATACCAACCGCAGTAGTACCACTCGCACCCTCTTCTAAGACGATTAGAATCGAGGCTTGGAAAGAAACTAGTAGAGATGAATGATCGACCAATTTCAAGAAAGAATTATGATGATTTTACAATCAAAACAACGTAAGATATAGTACCATCAACTAGAAACTATCCAATTCCAACCGTCATGATCGAAGAATTAAAGAATCAAATCAACATGTTCAATGAACTATCCTTTATAAATATTATTAATATTAGGTATTCAAGGTATTAGAGCAAAGATGGTAATCATTCAATACAAATCAAAGCCAACTTCCGGATAGGTCTACCCTAAAACAGTCTTTTAGTGTTCTACAATAGTTTCTTATTCAAAGGTTCATTGATCTTTTGGCGTGGATGAGACTGACTGTGAGCATTTTTCCTTTAAAGACTATCTTGGTCACTGTCCCTCTCATCCACGCTCAAACCCAATTGTTCCTCCCAATCTGCAAATAATGTAAATTTAAATATTATTTATGATCCAATTACTAAATCCAAATTTAACTCACTCCTCCCATGGGAAATAAAGATAGATAGATAGATAGATAGATAGATAGATAGATAGATAGATAGATAGATAGATAGATAGATAGATAGATAGATAGATAGATAGATAGATAGATATTTTAAATAAATAAATAAATTGCTTGATTATTTATTATATTTGTCTTCAAACAAACTTTCAGATGGCGTTGAAGAAGAAGATAAAGTTGGTTGTGTGTCCAAAGAGGAAGCGGAAGAGGAAGAGATGGTGGATGTTGAAGATGATGGTGGAGGTGAATCAACTTCAAATAAAGAGGAAGAAGAAGAATTTGATAGATGTTGTTGTTGTTGTTGTTGTTGTGATTTTTGTTGTTGTAATTTAACAATTAATTCTTGTTCCTCTTTTAATAGTCTTTGGTATTCTATATACTTTTCTCTTTCCTTTTCACGTTTCTCTTCTTTTTCCTTTTCACGTTTCAAGTGTTGTTGGTATTTATATTGTAGTCTACGTTGCATATTGGCTTGTTGCTCCTTTTCATCGTTCATTGAAAACAATGTACGTATAATGGCCGATGCACCAAGCAATAGTGCAGCGCCACCAACCACCATGTATATTATTGTAGTTTGTTCTTTTCCTTTTTTATCTTGTTGATATCCATGTTGTTGTTGATATTGTTGTTGATTCTGATTATTATACTTTTCAAATGATTTCTTGAATGCATCAAACAACTTTCCAAAGACTGATCTTTCATCACGTACTTTTTGTTCTTGTTCCTCTTTTTCTTGTCTCTCTTTACGTAATCGAGATATATAATCAACCTTGTTCTTTAACATTTCTTCTATCTTCTTTTTTTTACTCTCCTCTTCATCGTTTGGTGGCGGTGTTGATGATGATGAGGAGGAAGAGCAATACCATCGATTGTATCTACAAATTTGACCAACATATGTTTGATTATTATTGATTGTATGATTTAAAGATCTTCCAATAGTCCCATTTATAACATTGTATCTATTACCATACTTGATAGTAGACACAACAGATGTTGATAATAATTTGCAATTCATTTCTAACTATAAAAATATATGAGTGCAAAGATGACACTTTTGAGTCTCAAAAACAAGAAATAATTTAAATGTTTTAATTAAGTAAACAAATATTTAAAGATCAGTTTGTGAAATGAATTAGAATTATTACTTCGCTGCCCAACCTATCCATTATGGATTCGAATAAGGTTAGATATCTGTTTTGATTTTGTACAAAAAGTTCTTCTTTTAAACTTTTATTATTATTTTGGGTGTTATAAGTGGTGGTGTATGCATGTTTGGTGATGAGTTGTTGTTGATTGGTCCAACCAAATGGATACCATTACTCGCTTTGTTTTAATCCTCGCGAGGTATTTTTGTAGTGTAGTCGCATGCGTAGTAGTTGTAGTCGTATATGTCATTGTTGTTATTGTTTAAATAATACTCTTTGGCATGGCAATTCCAAGTTTAGTTTCCATTTGTGAGTGTAAGGTTGGTAATGGTGTCTCTGACATTAATGGATCTAGATAAAAAGGAATAATAAATAATGATCAGTATATATTACAGCGTAGTGTAATCAAATCAAATTGATATATAGAGAGTAGTGATAATATATACCATTCAAATAATCCTCAAAATCAATATCTTCATCCAAACCAAGTACAGTCTCTAAAGCAATCATTGAACTATTTAATGTTGGTAATCTCTTGAATTGAGAATAGATTTGCTTCTCAATTTCATTATGTAATACCATATGTTGACCAAATACATTTGATGCTGCGAATGTCTTTAATCTAGTATCAACTGAATATTGCTATATTTATAAATTTGTATATATCCATACGATCAACATGATATGTAAAACAACAACAACAACAAGTTAATAAAACATAATCATCATTACATATCGATCATAACAATCAAACTAAAACATACGTTTCTTTGAATACTTTCAACTGGATGAGAATAACGTTGAACGTTTGATGTATTGTGAGATACTAAATCTGGTAGGTCGATACTGGTCTTTACTTGTGACATATTATTTATTTCTTTTATATATGATTAATTTATTTACAAAAATGATGTTTAATTTGAGAGGGTGATGATCTTCATCTCTTCATCTCACACAAGTTCTTTTTTTTTTTTTGCAAATTATTTAAAAATTTCAAAAATGGGAATAATAATAATGGAAATCAATAAAATGGAAATAATAAAAAGTAACTACTTATAAATCTCTCTCTCTCTTTGTGTCGAAGAGGTTTCAATGGTTATTAATATTTGGATTTAAAATTACACAAATATTTGTTTTAATATTTTTTTATAGTTTTATATATAAAAAGGGTATGGTTGTGAACCTCTATTCTATCTCTACAAATTTCCCCTTTTATCAAAGTTGTTGTTGTTTTCTTGTGTGCGTGCGTATATTATTGTTGATTGTTGGTGAGAGAATGTTGGTTTTTGGAACTGGGTGGAACTGTGTGGGGGACTGGGACTACGCTCTTTTGTTGTTATTTATATTTTTTGTTTGGGAGGGGGGGGGGGGGGGGGGACAATTGATTTAGTTGGCTGGGGTTTCAGTGGTGGCAACTGGGGAGGTGGCAGCTGGAACCTTGTTGTCAACGAGGGCAATACGGACGTTGAGTTCACGTTCTTCAACCTTGGTCTTGTCGACGGCGAGAGCCTTTTGTTGTTGTTCGGCGTTGTCAAAGACGACGAAACCGAAACCCTTGGACTTTTTGAAACGTGGGTTGATGATGACGTGGGCACTCTTTGGAGTGTAGTCCTTGAAGAGGGCAAGGAGTTGCTCGTCATTGTATGAGAATGGGAGGTTGTAGACAAAGACGGTGTCCTTGGACTCTTCACGTGGGGTGGTGTCCTTTTCGACGACCTTCTTCTCCTTTGGTTCACGTGGCTTACGTTCACGTGGAGCCTTGGCCTTACGTTCGGCTGGAACACCGGTGGAAGAGGTGGAGGTGGTGGCGGTGGCGGATGGGGAGGCTGGGGAGTCGGATGGCTTGGCACCGGTCTTTGGACGACGAGTGTTACGACGACGGGCTCCGGTGGTGTTGTTTTCGGCGTCACCAGAGACGACTGGCTTGGACTCTTCACCATTTGAACCTTCCTTCTTTTCACCACCGTTTCTCTTGGCAGCAGCTCTCTTTGGTGCACGTGGGGCAGCAGTCGAGTCACTAGTGGATGGGGAGGTGGCAACACGGGGTTGACGGGGTGGACGTGGTTGACGTTCCTTGGTCAACTCGACGTTGATGGCACGGCCCTTGATCTCCTTCTTGTGGAGACCTTCGATGGCCTTCTTGGCAGACTCTTCATCCTCCATCTCGACAAAACCATAGCCGAGCGAGTTGTTACGCTTGGTGATGATACGGGCCAAGACAACCTTGCCGTAGGCAGAGAATTCGTTGGTCAAGTCCTCTTCGGTCAATTCAAAGGCGAGGTTGCCGATAAAGACCTTGGATGGTGAGGCGACTGGTGCGACTGGGGTGGCAGTAGTAGTGTTGGTTTCAGTTGACATTCTTTATTGAAATATACAAGGGGTGTGTGGAGTGAGAGAGAACAACTAAACGTAGAGTGTGACAATCTAATCTGCTAATGGATGAATGAGAGTGCTGTGGGGACGGGACGTGTGTGTAAGGATATCTGTGATATACTAAGTTATATGTGTAAGATATTAGAGTGTTGGGTAAGATCTTCACAACAAAGGTGTTCAATCGATTCAGAGAGGATAACGGATACGCCAGCAGCGCTGCTGGAGGAGCATCACCCACCCACCGCTGACGGGATAGCATGTGACGTTCGTTTGGTGAAAAAAATGTTTTTTTTATTTAAATATTAAAATTTTAATAAAGTCAAGAAGAAGTTGAGGAAAGAACAAGTTGATAGTCAAGTCAGTTGACCTTGTTGTTCGTTTGTCTTGTTATCTTTGCAAGATGCTACTCAATACATCTCAAGTTTCAGTTACCAGTTACAGTCACACAGATATCAAATGATGATTTATAACTGCAATCTTCAAAGGGGAAGAGGAAATATATCATATACAATATAATATAATATAGACACAGACTATATATATTTAAAGATGGTATTAATATCAATCATAATAGACAGTCAATTTGAGAAGATCTTGACTGTTGGAGAGAGGTTAAAGAGAATACATAGTTAGTTTGTTTATATTGTTTTTCAAGGAATCTTAAAACTGAGAGAATGCATTACGAGAGAGAGAGTCATGTTTTATAATTTATTTTGATGAGACCTTTCATTCGTACTTTAAATTGTAAAGAAAGAGATATATAATATTATACACACACTATTACTACTACTATTAGTATTAATATTTAAAAATGGAAGACGATTCAGATTATAATCCAAGAATACAAGACCCAACTAGATTGAATTGGTTGGATAAAGACAACTATGATGTTATTGTATTGGGTACTGGTTTTGTAGAGTCTTTAATTGCTGGGTAACTATTATTATTATAAAGATATTTTGTGTATTTGTATTTGTATGTTAATGATTATACATTATTATATAGATCATTATCAAGAGCAGGAAAGAATGTATTACATTTAGACAAAAACGATTATTATGGTGGTTATGCAAGTTCTTTCACTTTGAATCAACTTGATAAGTTGTTGACAAAGGCAAACGAAGAAAAGAAAGAGGAAGAGGATCTAGTAGCAACTGTTCACAATATCAACAATGATACAGTTGCCCCACAATTCAAGAATATCAAGGTTTATAAAAAAGAAAAGAAACAAGTAGTAGTAGTTACTCCACCAACTACAACAACTACAACTACAACTACAACACAAGATAATGATATTGAAAAGAAAGAAGGAGAAGAAGATGTTAAACAACAAGAAGAAACTAAACAAGAAGTAGTAGTAGAAGAGAAACCAAAACAAGAAGAACAACTAGAGGAAGAGGAGGATATTTTCAAAAAAGGTAGACAATATATTATTGATATTACACCTTCATTGATTTATTCACGTGGTCCATTGGTTTCATTGTTGATATCATCAATGACTAGTAAATATTTGGATTTCAAGTGTCCAGAACAAAACTATCTCTTTTTAAAGGATGCCATTCAAAAGATCCCATCAACCAAAGGATCTATTTTCAAAGATAGTATATTCTCATTAAAGGACAAGAGATCAATTATGAAGTTTATTGATAGTATTAAATCTATAAGAGAGGAAAATGAACCAAAACAAGAAGAAGGAGAAAGTCAACAACAACAAGATGACGAAAGCAAAGAAAAAAAGACTGGTGGAGAATATGAAGAGTTGAAACGCAAATATGGCAAGTTTATTGAATACATTGATTCTTTTGCACTCTCTCAACATGTAAAATTATTTATTCTCTATGGTCTTTCACTCATTCATCAAGATATTGAAAATATCACATTTGAACAAGGTATTCAATCGGTTGGACTTTACATTTCATCGTTGTTGGTTTATGGTCCAACTCCATTCCTTGTCCCATTCTATGGATACGGTGAAATTCCACAAGCATTCTGTCGTCTGTGTGCTGTTTTTGGTGGAACCTATGTACTCGATAGATCAGCCAAAGATATTCTCTTTACTGAACCAAACGATTCCAACAATCAAACCTCCAAATATCGTGGAATCACTTGCACTGAAGGTCAAACTATTACTTCAACTCATTTCATTACAACTCCAAGATATTTAAATCCATCTTCATTTTCAATTTCAAATCAATTTATTACTAAAACTTAGTATGTCAAAAAACAGACTATAATAATAATAGAAGAAAGAAAGAAAGATTATTAATTTATAATTATTTTTAACTAAAATTTTAGTTCAAGAGCTATTTGTATAGTTGATAAGATTATTGAAGGAACAGAATCTTATTCATTTTTAACTATTCCACCAGGTTCGATTGGTGGAAATAAACAAACTATTAATATGAATCAAATGGATAAACTTTGTGTACCAATGGAAAAGACTTTAATCCATTTCACAACATTGGCAACTGGTACTGCTGAGGAAGATTTAAAGAGTGTTGTAGAGCATTTCTTACAATATGACTCTACTGCTACTACTACAGACTCTAAAGACTCTAAAAAGAAACCAACTATTCTATGGTCAGCCTATTTCAATATTGATTTGGATTATGTAAAGGAATCAGATAGTGGTAGTACATTTGATAATACCACTGGATTATTACCAGAAGGTATGATTATTTGTTCAGATGCTCCAATCTCTTCAACCATTGATTATCAATCACAAATTTCACAAGCCAAATTCATTTTTGAAAAGATTTGTCCTGGTCAAACCTTTTTAGAAAGAGTTCCAGATGCTGAAGATATTATTTGGGGTGGTGAAGATACTACTACTTCAACTACAACTACAACTACTACAGCCAATGAAACTGAACCAACTACAACTGCTACTACAACTAATGAAAATGAAACAACTCCAACTGCTGCTACTACTACTACAACTAATAATGAAAATCCAACAACAGAAGAACATCAATCATAATATAACAATATTATAAATAAATAATGATTATTATTAATAATGAGTATTGATTTTTATGTTTATTTAATTTATTTATCTTGAGCATATTGATCGATTGGATATTCATCTGGGTAAAGTTTAAGATGTTCAAAGAGTTCAGCCTTTTGTTCCAATAGGTTTTTAGTTGGTACATCATAGACATCGGTAAAAAGTTCAGAGATTGCAGGTTTCTTTTGTTTTTCGGCACGCATAAGAGACTCACGTACTTGGGAACGAACACTAGAGACAACTTCCTTGTCTTGGTCTTCGGTCCACCAGTTACGCTTCAACATGTATTGACGGAGACGGTGCATGGGGTTACGCTTCTCCTTCCAAAAGTTGATTTCTTCGAGTGTTCTGTAACGTGACGAGTCGTCAGAGGTAGAGTGATGACCGACACGGTAGGTCATGGCCTCGATGAGGACCGGTTGACCTTGCTCGACGGCCATTTCACGGGCCTTTTTGGTGGCGTTGTAGACGGCCCAAATGTCGTTACCGTCGACACGGATGGTGGCAATACCGTAGCCGTTTGGACCACGACCGGCAATACCGTCACCACGGTACTGTTCGTGCGATGGGGTAGAGATGGCCCACTTGTTGTTACGACAGAAAAAGATGGTTGGCGATTGGAGGGTGGCGGCAAAGTTCATGGCGGCGTGGAAGTCACCTTCCGAGGCAGCACCTTCACCAAAGTAGACAATCGTGCATGCCTTTTCACCCATCAACTTTTGTGCATAGGCTGCGCCGACAGCTTGTGGAAGTTGGGTGGTAAGTGGCGATGAGATGGTTTGCACATTGATCTCCTTGGAGCCATAGTGAACTGGCATTTGACGACCCTTGCCAAGATCAAATTCATTGGAGCAGCATTGGTTGACGATTTGCTCAATCGAGAATCCACGCCACATCAATACACCAGATTCACGGTACTGTGCAAACACAGTGTCTTTTAAATCCAAAGCAGCAGCACTGCCAATATGAATAGCTTCTTCACCAAATGAAGTCATGTAAAATGAAATTCTACCTTGTCTTTGTACATCATATAAAATGTTATCCATTGTATTCAATGTTAACATCATCTTGTACATCTTTGTTACTTCATCTTTACTAAACTAAAAATAATGATTGAATATTGTGTTATAATTACTATTTCTACTTTTCGTCTGTTTTGATCATATATATCACACAAAACAACAATACATACATTTGGATCGGCTGATGGTGGGTTTACTTCACCTTCTTGATTCATAACTGTATAGACTGGAATGTAGTGCTTTAAGGTTTGGAATTCTAATTGATTGGTTACTTCATATTTATCATCTTCTTCAACAACTGCACTTGAAAAGTTTCTCTGTTTTGATTGATGATATGATGATCATCAAATTTGAATAGAAAGGATGAGGAGAGGAGAGGAGAGTCAGTCATTTTATACAAGTCTCTATGTTTGTTTGTTTGTTTGTTTATGATGATTCAATTTACATTAAATGAAGTAGTTGGTTTAAAAGATCTATTTAAGAGTGTAGAGGTTGATGGTGTAAATCTAACTTTTGATGCAAAATGTCTTAGTGAGTTCATTGTATGATCGATCCTTTCTTTCTTTTCTTTTCTCTCTACTCTATCTCTATATTATAATGTGAAGAATTAATAAATAATAATAATAATAATAATAAATGGATAAACTAGTACAATTTAATGTTGTCTATTGAAAAGGAGGATGAAAAAGAATGATTGTTGAAAGAATCATTCAATTTCGTCTTGTCATAAATTCCCTCATTCAAAAAAAATTTTATTAATTTTTAAAACGTAACAAATATTATTATTTTTGTAGAGATAAATCTAAATATCCGTTATAGTAGTTCTAATATGAATAATAACCAATGACAACACAAGTGGGATAATATTTTAAAAAGAGATATAATATATTATATAACACACAAAAAAAAAAAGATAAAGATAAATTCTCAAGATAGAAATTGATATGTATCATATGCATCATTTTTTGAAGCAGCGAAGAAATGTGGAACTAGGATCCTCTCATTTATGCAAGAATCAAAGATGATTAAAACTCGTTGCCTCGAATCGACTTTCATCATTCTTCTCTTCAACCTTCTCCTTATCAATCAGATATATAGATAGTTAGTTTACTTTGTGTACTTTTTAGTTTTTTTTTTTTATAATATACTATATTAGACAATACCATTTAAAATGAATAGCAACAATTCTTCACCAGAGTCTACCGCATCCCTCATGGTAGCAGCTAGATCATTCTTGGAAGATAATAATGATAATGATGAAAATGCATTATTATTATTATCATCAAGAGTGCTTCTATATAATGGAATACCATGTAACATTGTCAGTTGTCGATTGGGTAGATGTAAGTTTATAAATAAATAAATATTTATATGATGATTGAAATCAATTTCTTATTTATCCTATTTTTTATAGTTAAACATGGAGAGTTGATAGAGTTTGTCTGTTCTGAATATTTCAATAAAAATCAAAGCCATGTATTTAGATTGGGACAAAACAAGGAAATAGAAGTACCAATTGTCACTATTAAAACCTACCAACTCTTACTTATCGATCAAGATGGATACTTGTCTCTTTTAGATGAAAGTAATGGAACGACAAGAGAGGACATTAAACTACCAAAGAATGACAAAGATCTAACATCAGAGTTGCAATTATCTTACAACCTGGATAATTCTTTAAATGTTCAAGTAGCACAAATCATGGGTATTGAAGGTGTAATATCATTTAACCAAACAAATGATGATTAATTTATTCATTAATGAATTGATTAATTCTTTGGATGATGGATTGGACAATGGAAATGTGTTAACACATAATAATATGTGATCATCACATCACTTCCAATTGTTTAGTATATCTTTTTTTTTTTTTTTAAACAAACCAATCAAAAAATAATAAACATATAAATATCTATATTTAAATACAACATATACATACATATATACATACATACATATACATATAATATATATAATATCAAATATGATAATTAATTTAAATTAAATCAAACTGAGATGTTCAAAACATAGTCGTGTTTTCAACAATGACATTCATTTTCAATTTACAAAACTATGAGTAATAATAGTAATAATATCAAAAGAGATAGAGAAGGAGGAGGAGGAGATGATAATCAAGATGACAATGAAACACATGAAAAGAAATTACAAAAGTTAGACTTTCAACTACCGACACACAAGAAATCAGGTGCTCAACAAGAGAATGAATCAAACTTTGGATCATTTATTAAAAAGGTAGGTAGATAGATTTATATATAGTTAGATATCATAGCAACATGGATATAACACTTTTATTAATACAATACGATCTATCTATCTAGAATACACCATCTTTAAATATAGTCAAACCTGCAGCCAATACAACAAACAAACCATTGGCATCATCGGGAATCAAATTCAATTTAACAACAAAGGTATTACCAACACCACCTTTGAATAATTCACAAAACAATGATATAAATAGAGGAGAGATACAGACACTACCAGTTGATAGTAATATAACTGTAATCGAATCAAAATTGGTGTCTGCTGAAGATACCAAACCAACAATTAACGAAAAAATAGACAACCAAACAACAACAACAACAAAGGCACCTGGTCCTTCAGTAGGTCCTCCAAGACCACCTGCCTCAAAAAAGAAAAATAACAATAGTGATGATGATGATGATTCAAGTTCAGATTCAGATTCAAGTAGTGATTCTGAATCTGACTCTGATGACGACGATGATGTTAAAAAGAAAAATAATAATAATATAAATACACCAATGGTTGGACCACCAAGACCTGTAAATAATAATAATAATAATAAGAAGAAGAAAAAAGATGGAGATGATTCAGATTCAGACTCTGATTCTTCAGATTCTTCGGATTCATCAAGTAGTAGTTCAGATAGTGATGATAGTGAAAAAGAAGAATTTAATAGATGGGTGGAATTATCAAGATCTATACCAATATCTCATGAAGTTGTGATGAAGAGTCATGCAAATGCAGTGTCATCGGTTGCACTCGACCCAAGTGGATCGAGATTATTGACGGGATCATTTGATTGCAAAGTTCGTTTTTGGGATTTCAATGGTATGGATTCTAATCTCAGATCGTTTAGAGAGGTACAACCTGTTGAAGGTGCACAGATACGATCGGTTGTCTACTCTACATCAGGTGATAGATTTATCGTGTTGCCCTATACAACTCAAATGAAACTGTACGATAGAGACGGTTTTTCAAAGGCAGAGTTTGTGTCTGGTGATAGATACATACAAGATCTTAATCATACAAAGGGACATGTATCTACATTGACAGGTGGATGTTGGGATCCAAACGAAAAGGAACACTTTATATCATCTTCACTTGACAGTACTATTAGAATATGGGATGTGAACCAACCAAAAAAGAATCTTCAAGTCATCAAATCTAGGAGTACTAAAGGTGCCAAGATTGGTGTGACAACCTGTGGTTTTGATATTCGTGGTGATGTCATTATTGGTGGATGTCAAGATGGTAGTATACTCATGTTTGACCAACGTTCGACACTCACCAAAGCAAAGAATCAGATAGCAGACGCACACTCTCAAATGGACGTGACTTCGATACAGTCTGTGCGTGACGGATACACATTGATCAGTCGTGGTATGGATTCCACCATCAAAGTATGGGATTTGAGAATGTTGGTTAACAATGCTACGACGGGTGACCCATCGCCCATGGTCGTGTGGGACGACATCACCACTGACTACTTGGAATCAAACGTGGTGCTTGGGTCGTACGACCGACTGATCGTAGCAGGCACATCGATGAAGGATAATACTGGCGCCAATGCATACGGCACATTGGCCATCTTTGACAGAAGCAGTTTGACCAAGATGCGACAGATCAAGGTTGAGAATGCCAGTTGCATCAATGTTGCATGGAATGCAAAGATCAACCAGATTGTAGTCGGATGTTCTGATGGACAAACACGTATCTACTATGACCCAGATCGCAGTGAAAAGGGTGTTAGATTGTGTGTCAACAAGGCACCGCGTAAAAAGGATCCGACCGATTTTGAACCAGACCATCCCATCGTCACTCCATTTGCTCTGCCACTCTACCGTGAACAACCATCAGGCAAAAAGACAAAGGCTGAAAAATCAAAGAAAAAACCAGAAACCAAGGTTGAGAAACCTTCTGGTCGTGGTCCAAACCTTACTCAACATTTAATTAGAAATACCAATATTGCAACTGATGGATCATGGAAACAAGATGCCAGAGAAGCTTTCCTTTCAAAAGCAAATAAAGATGAAGGAAATCAAGAAGGAGAAAATAAATAAACATTCAATAATGTCTGCAGGATGATGGATGATTTAAATATATATAAACAGTAGTGTATAGGGTGGGATAATAATTTAATTAAAATATTCTAAACTTGATTTGGCTTGTTCCATTTGTCTTAGGAATTGGTAAAATTGTGGTAATGAAAGTTCTACAAATAATTAAATAAATAAAAATATTAATAAATGGTACATCACAAATAAGTTATTATTATTATTGTTATTATTATTTGTTATCTATTTACCCATATGAACATCTTCTTTTTTATCATTTCCTTGATCTAAAACCAATTTTAATTGAAGGAATGTATTACCAGCCTTTTTAGATTCACTAGATGCAGTAGTTACACCAAATCTCCATTGCATATCCAACACTTGATTGATGGTAAGAGTATTTCCAACAAATGTTCTTGAAAGTCCAATAAAGTTTAATTTATATTTCGATGCAATATTCTCTGCTTGTTCCTCTGATAATCTAAAATTAACCAAATCTTCTTTTACATGTGTTGGTGTAAGATGATACTTTACTGCTCCTTTAAAAAAGTAGAAAATATTTCTGTCATTTTGATTATACATATATTATTGGGGAGAGAAGAAGAAAGGGTATTTTTAAAAATAGAATGATCATTTAAAACAAAGCGAGTTTTAATTGATTGATGATGAAGTAAGAAGAAGTGATCAATGATAAAGAATCATCTTTCTCTCTATCATTATCATCATCTATTCCATTTACCTTCCTCTTTTGATAGATTAGAGATTAAAGGTATATGTATGCTTATACTACCGCATATTATAATTAGTGAATTGGTATAATTATTGTTCCTTTTACTATATTCTTTAATGCATTCTCACCAATACCATGTTGTTCAGAGTATGATGATATAGAGGCTAATAGTTCATCGCCCTTTTGTGAAAGCAAGAATGCAAAGATTATATCTACAAGTTGATCGAATTTGTCTTGTTCTGTAAGGTTTGACAAATATCCTACTTCATTTAATAACTGTTGATCTGGTGAATTGTTTCCTCCTCCTAAGAATCTATATACAACCATCTTTCTATCTATCTCTAAAATTAATATAAATATAAATGACTCTTCTGCAATGAATCTGTCTTTCTTTTTTTGATCAATCAATTTTTCAAAAGAATCTTCCATGATTTCAACTTGTATTTCTATTAAATTAATATTATTTATTTAAATTAATAAATTTATAAAGATTATTAATTATTAAAGGATCTATGGATTGTGAACCAAGAGAAGCTTGTGCCATTTGTTTACTACCTCCACCTTTTCCAAATTTAATAGTGTTGGTTAATAATTGTTTGAGAAGTTTATCGGCATTGGCAGAGACCTCTTGTTTTTCGAGTTGACTACCAACTGTACATATCAACTTGTTGTCAGTTGCTTCAGTTGTTAAAAGTATGTGAATATGGTTTGGTTGAGTCTTGGCAAGTTTTTTTGATATCTCTTGTAATGTGTTTTTGTCTATTGTTGTCGACTGTCCACTCAATAGATGTAGACTACATGCTATACTGTTGTTGTTGTTTCCATCCAATTGAATCTTTCCATTATGTGTTTTGATAGAGTTGAATAATATTTGTTGTTGTAATTCTGATACTTGTTTTTCTAGTTGTTTCTTATTGTCAATTAATGATTCAACATGTTTTCCAACTATATTGGTTGGGACACCCAACTTGGTGGCTAGTCCATCTACAGTACTCTTGAAACTGTCTAGCCATGTAGCGGCAGCTTGACCTGCACGTGCTTCAATTCGTCTCGTTCCAGCAGCTATACTAGTCTCTGACACGATTCTAAATAATTGAATGTCACCTGTCTTGCCTACATGTGTACCTCCACAAAACTCTTTCGATACGCCTGGTACTGATACCACTCTTACACTATCTCCATACTTTTCACTAAACAATTGGATAGCGTCAGTCTTGACAGCATCACCCTGCGACATTTCTTGTACATCCAATGGTATGTCTTGTTGGATGGCTTGGTTGACTGTTTGTTCAATGTTTGTTATTTGCTTGTTCGATAATTTACCAACTGCCGTAAAATCGAATCTCAAACTCTCTGGTCCTACATACGAACCTGCTTGCACTACACTATTCTCTCCCAACTCTTTTCGTAGAGCAGAGTGTAATAGATGAGTTGCAGTGTGATGAATAGCTGTTTGTTGTCTAGTTTGTTTGTCTACCCTACAATCAACCTTGTTATCCACTTTTAGATCATCCATTACTTGATTTAATCTTTGTTTGGTACTATCAAATTCTATCACTACAACTTGTACTCCATCGTATGGTTTTAGTGTATCTATGACATTGTAAATATTCTCACCATTGCCAACACTAGTAACAATTATACCCTTGTCTCCAATTTGACCACCAGATACTGCATAGAATGGACAATCTTCCAACACAACATATAAAAGATTATCCTCTTCAGAGAAATGTTGTGCTTTAATCCTAGTTGTACAATGTAATTTTTCATATCCTACAAAATTACTTTTAATATTTTCATTCTTCCATTTTCTAAATAATAATAATATTAAATTAATTAGTTCATATAAATACAACGCGACTTTGTTTGTTTGTTAGTTTTGACTTACTGTAATATTTGATTGGTATTATTATTTGATTGATCTTTTTTCCAAGATGATTTTGATTTTTCTTTTGTTTCATCTATGAATTGTTGAACTTTGTCCATGTCGATATTGATGTTTGATTGTCTAGCTTTTACTTCACTGATTTCTAGGGGGAGACCATAGGTAGAGTAGATATTGAATACATTCCACTCGTCGAGTTTATTAGAGTCGATGAGATCGTCGAGATAGGTGACTCCACGCTGAATGGCTTGGTAAAAGAGAATCTCTTCGTTGTAAATGACATTTTGGATTTGTGGAGCACGTTGACTGAGCTGCGTGTAAAAGTCACCCATCAAAGAGGTGAGAAGTGGTTGGAGGAGATGAAGGAATGGTTGTTGGAACCCGATCATTTGGCCATAGGATAGTGCACGACGAATGATCTTTCGTAGAACGTATCCTCTGCCAGTGGCAGACGGAACGACACCGTCTGCAATGAGGAAACTGACCGACCGAAGATGATCTGCAATGACACGCATTGACGTTTCGAATTTATCAGCGTGTACTTTACCGACAAACACAGAGTCATTCTTTTCAGCAACACTTTTGATACCGTCTATGAGATTGGCAAATAGATCAATCTCATAGTTACTCTGTTTGTCTTGTAAGACGGCAGCCATACGTTCTAACCCCATTCCAGTATCGACACATGGTGTAGGTAGTGGTGTCAAGTTGCCAGCATCGTCACGCCAATACTGCATAAAGACGAGATTCCAAATCTCGAGGTATCTCTCGCCATCCATTTCATTGCCTTCTCCACGATCCCAAAACAACTCGGAACACGGTCCGCACGGGCCTGCACCATCACCCATCGACCAAAAGTTGTCTTTTGGACCACACCTAAGGATGCGGTCGTCTGTCAACCCAATCTCGGTTCTCCAAATGTCAGCGGCCTCTTCGTCACCCTCCAACACACTTGCTACGATACGGTTGGCAGGCAATCCCATCGGACCGGTGAGCAACTGCCACGCATGACGGATAGCATCTCTCTTTGCATGCTTGTAACCTCCAAATGAAAAGTTACCCAACATCTCGAAAAAGGTATGATGACGAGCAGTATACCCTACATTGTCCAAATCGTTGTGCTTGCCACCTGCACGAACACACTTTTGAGCAGTCGTCACCATTGGAGCAGGTGGTGTTTCAAGTGCTGCAAAGCACTGTTTAAACTGTACCATACCAGCATTTGTAAAGAGTAATGTAGAGTCATTATGAGGTATCAAAGATGATCCATCTACCTTTTTATGTCCATTTTCATTAAAGTAATTTAGAAATGTTGATCTAATGTTTGCAGTTGATGTCGATGATGAAGCATATGATCTAATAGCAATACTACTACTCGTCTGTATTAAACGATTAGAGTATTTACTAATAATACTATTCATCAACATTTTCTTTATATTTATCTTTAGATAAAGAAATGAGATGATTGAACGTTAAAAAAAAAAAAAGTAAAAGAGTTGTGATGCTGATGATCATTCATTCATTCACTAATTTTAACTATTCTTTATTTATTTGTTTATTTGTTTATTTAGTATATCTAAATCCTTAGATAAGATATCATAGATAGATAGATCAGTCTTATTCTTCTCAACAACCAGGGAGACGGAGAAACGATCGACATTGAATGTGATCTCAATACTTTCAAATAACTAACTACTCTTTGTGGATGGGTAAGATTGGGTTTTGAAACATCTCAATGTTTGCATTGTGTATTACCGAAAAGATCACTAAGCCTGTTATTTTATAAATATCTTTATAGATTGTCTTGTGGTGACTCCAAACTTAATATGTTCATGGTGCGTGTTTTAGAAATTTTACGAGCTCGTAAATCTTTAAAGGTTGCAAAGGGCTTCCCGATTTTGGGAAATATCGGTAAAGGTGGGATATTGAATATCCTCATGCTTTTAAATCGAGCGAAGGTATCACCGCTATCCACCAAACAATGAGGATACACCTTCTTCTTTACTTTCTCATTCTATCGATATAATCAGATACCTACAAAAAGAGAGAAAGAGAAAGAGAGAGATAGATTCCATACAAGATGAGATCAATTTATCTGTTGGCTATTATCATCTTTTTAGTCGGTTTATTGGCTAGTCATGTACTGTCAGTGGTAACGACAGTGGGACCATTTATAAATCCATACAATGGACACAACTACACAAGATATGATGGTATCAGCCCATTGAAGAGTGGAATGAATGCCCTTCAAATTTGTGCCAAGCAATCAACTCCATTTCAAGATTTTAGAAAGTATGTAAAAAGAAGAACACAACCCAACCATATTTATATTACTTTGTACACGATTAATATTGATGTATACATTAATATATTATTGAATTTAATTTTTATTTAATTTTAGTTATGTTGCAACATTTACATCAAAAGAAGAATTTGAATGGGCAGCATCAAAAGGATTAATTACAACTGTTCCAGCATTGATCAATGGTCGGACAAGCTATGAAGAATATGCATTAAACATACATTTTGATTATTCACCCGAGGAAGGATACTTGGTCTTTGACCAATTAACGGGACGTCCATATAGCTATTTTCAAGCACCTCCAGATGCCCCATCAGGATTAAGTGGTTGTCAACTGATGGCAGTCTTGGACGGAGCGTCAGCACCCACACAACTATTGATAGGATTTCAAAACCAAGAAGATTTGTCATCATCAATCATTTGTGAGTATGGTGGAGTACAAGATCCCTTCTTGTCTCAAATAGATACTACTGGAGGTATCATTACTGTCACTAGATTAAGTGGTTTCAATATTGCATCACTTTCACTCCAATTTGTCGGTACGACAAGTTTTGGGTGTATATCAATCTCCAGACTCAACTCTACTTCTGCTAGTTGTACGATTCTTCCTGGAACAGGTGCATTCAACGTAACCATTACCGATGGTGTCAAGACTGCCGTTGTACCTTGGTCATTTAATGCACCATACCTCAAATCAGTGTATCCACCTCTCAACCTATCCCCAGGTACAAACTTTATTATTTATGGAGGAAACTTTGGAACCATTACCGCCAAGATACAAATCTATGTAACTTCTCAAAAATTCCCATGTACCATCCAATCAGTTAAAATCCCAGGTCAAGCTTATGAAATATCTTATGCTGCCGATATTTCCGGTTACCAACTACTTCCAATTACCATCGTCGTTGATAATGTTCAATCTTATTTAACCATGGTTCCAATTTGTATGTACTTTATAAACATAATGTTTTGATTAAAAAAATAATATTTATTTTTTATTTATTTAATTATTTAGGGGATACAAGTTCAAAATCATTCTTTTCACCATTCCCAGTTACTATGTATTTTGACCCAAGCTTGATTGGACAGGTTATCGGATTGGCCGATGAGAATATTGGAGCAGCACTTGGGTTGATAGAGTCTCCTGTCACTGCCAATCTTCTCAAATCAACGTATCCTCTATTCTACAATACCACCAAGAATCAATGGACTCTCTTTGAAGATTTCTTTTTCCAAGGCATTTCCCCTAGAAGAGCCTCTAATCCGAATCTAGCTGCTAATTTTTACTCGACCAACATTCCCAATACTGCATTGTTTCAAGCTAAAAGCCCCTACTTTGATTTGTCAACCTTTATCATTAGTCCAGCGGCAACGTCTGCCGATTATTACAAACATCTTGCTCAGTACATTCCCAATGTACAAGTGGTTGGAGGAACTATTCTTGTCAACACTACTGGTGACTCGGCCAAGACCGTCCAACTCACGAGCTATGGTTCAAGATTTGGGTCGTCTCAAAACTTTAGAATCGATGACAATCTCATCGTACCAGTTGAATATGACCCCATCAACAACTATGGTCTCTTGATCATCAACATTGCACCAGGATATGGATCTAGTACTTTTAATATCTCTACCGACGGTAGAACCTACCAAACAACAATTGAATACGGTAATCCTGTCATTAGCGGTGCAACCAATATCGGTACAACCGGAGGAGCCATCTCTATCGTCGGATACAACTATTACATTCTAAATTCGGTCATCACCATCAAGATGGGTCCAATCACTTGCTCCAATCCAAATATAGTCGTTGCTCACAAGACGATTGTATGTAATATGCCAGCATCGTCTGGTAAAGGAATGTTAGTGGTGCAGGTTGGATCAAAACCATCGGTGGGATTCAATTGGTCGTATCAAGACCCGTTTATCTCTGGTGCCACTGTATCTAGTAGTCCCAACACGTTGACTATTTCAGGTTCTAATTTCGGACCTTTGCCAACCAATATATTGGTGTTTGTAACATCACCAAAGCTCGGTGGTGATGTTCCATGCACAGAAGTATTACTCCCCACCCCTCACACCCAAATCACTGCCAAGGTACCAAAGACTGCTCATGGACGCATGGTCAATGTCTATGTCAGTGTATCAAATGTCAAGTCAAACAATACTGCCTCTGTCATATTGACACCCTACCTAGACAGTCTCTTGTCACTACCATTCACTGAAGGTGGTTCTGTTGACATGGTAGCATACTTTGACTCTGTTGACGATGTAGGTAATCCCATTACAGCAGTTGACATGCTAGTCAATAACAGTGCAGCCATACCAGTCACCTGTAAAGTTAGATATACACCACCAACTAAAGCAATCTTGTCGTGTCCAATGCCAGCTGGATTCTATCCATTTTTAGTGTCTATCGTCACACCCTATGGTATTTCCAACCAGATTGCAGCTACCTACTCCAAACCAAACATCGTTTCAGTCTCACCACTAAAATATCTTGCACCTGGTTTGGTAACAATCAGTGGTAACTCTTTTGGTGATCTCTCTCTACCATTGTACGCAGCCATTGGTAACTTTACCAACATGCAAAACTGTACCAATGCACGAATCATCGATCCCTATAGAATCGAATGTTTCTACGATGCTTCCATCACTGCACCAGCCGACCCCAAACGTTCACTTAATGTCACCATCACCACTACCTTTGGCAGTACTACCAAAGAGATGTTTATCTATGCCACTACCTTGAGTTGTCCTAATAACTGCTCTTCCCATGGTACGTGTAACACTGACAGTGGTGACTGTATTTGTGAAAAGGGGTATCTATCAAGTGCCGACTGTTCAGTAGCAGATGGAGGAAACAATGGTGGTAAACCTGAAACCAACGAAAATGGTACAACAACCATTCCAGTTAAAGGTCTCAACTTTACCATTTCAATAACACATCTTCGGGAACTAGATATGGATGACGTACCAATTAAAACACTCCCCATATCCGATGCACTCTGGGTGAATGAGCAGTTGAATGAAAACTCTATGCAACACAATGGTATTTTTGACAATGACACTGCAGTCATTTCAATTGTCTCTACCTATTATCCAAATTCATCAACCATTATATTTGCAGGTCAGGAAATGGTCATGCCAACCAACTCTATCAAATATGAAATCACAGTCTCCAATTGGACTTGGCAAGATCAACTATCTCAACTACAAGTCATTTACAACTCTTTCACAGATCAATCATCTACCATTGGTTGTGATAATGATCAAGTTGCTCAAACCAATGTAACTACTTCTACTGACGGTGATACAATCTATTGGTTCCAAATTCAAAGTGGTAATACAATTATGAATGTATGTTAAAACAATCAAACAAATATTATTTAATATTTATTTATTTATTTATTTTATTTTCTATTTAGGCTAAATTTAGTAATCGTATGATTGTTGATGAAAGAATTATTCGTGCTAGTGTAAAATTATTGGATCATGATGATGAATTATACTTGAATGTTTCATCAACTGGTAAATTTAATGTATTGACAGCAATCACTACACCATATTTTGATGATAGAGTTGTTTTGGATCCTTCCTTTTCTGCACTACTTCAATACAAGGATCAACAACAACAAGATGAATGTGCTACAAGTGACCCATCCAAATGGAAATTGATTGTTATTGTAGTGTGTAGTGCTATTGGTGGGTTGGCAGTAGCCACCATTTCTGTAATCTCATACAAACGTTGGAAACTACAAAGAAAATCTAGAAACAAACTAAACAGATTAGCAAAAATGAACCAAGATAATGGTCTATAAATTTACACAATCCACAATTTTATTTATTTATTTATTTATTTATAAAATGTAACAATAAAAAAAACTGATTCTATTCTAAACACAACACAACAAATTCTTATCTACTTGATCAATATTAATAATTAATATTGTATTGTGTTTGGTTGTATTTTAATTTTATAATTTTTATTTAATTTTCTTTTTTCTTTTTTGTTTTAAAAAAATGTATTTTAATTTAGTTTGAAGAATCTGGAATTTTAATTTCTTGTTCCTTTTTCTCTGGGATGACTTCATCCTTTCTATTGTTATTATTATTGTTCTTGTGGTGGCTACGTTTGGAGTGGTGATGTCCACGACGGTTCTTGCGAGAGTTTGATTCATCGTCATCAGAGTCGGATCCGTCAGAGTCTTGATCACTTTCGCTGCTATCGTACTTGCGAGCCAAACCTTCAGAGAGGACCAAAGTCTCGAGGAGACGGATAATCTCACGACGGTAAGCTCTAGAAGAACCCTTCTTCTTGAGTTCGTTCAAGTCGGCCTTTTTAATGTCGAGTTCGACGGCGCCATTCTCTTCGTCGCCAACTGGGGCGGTGCCAGACTCGATGTCCTTTGGATAGTCGCTTGGGACGTGCCAGAAAGCAGAGTCTTGGTAGTATTCTTCAGTCTTGAGTTGACCGATACGGCCGATGAGCTTGAGGATGAAACCAGTGATCAAACCACCGACAATGGCAAGACCGACCGAGATAAAGGTGGCGGCAGCGTTGGCACGGGCTTGGTCGTCACCAGCTCTAAAGATGGCATCATAGTCGTCGCCATAGAGATATTTGTTGTTGATACCACGAGCACAGGCAATGATGGCGGCAATTGAGCCGAGGAAACCTGGCATACCGTGGAGATTGTGGATACCGCAGGTATCTTGGATATTGAGACGCTTTTGCAAGAGTGGAGTCAAAAAGACGTAACCCAACACGGAAATGGTACCAGCGATGAAACCCATAGTGATGGCGATGGCTGGTGAAATGTTCATGTGGGCCAAGACACCTTGGATGACACCACCGGCAAGCGAACTGTTTTGTACGTGGACCATGTCCAATTTGTAGCCATAGTGACCGAGGAGACGCGACACGATAAAGGTGGCCATGGTGGACGATGTGAGCGAGATGAATGTGTTGGCGAGGGCACGGAATTGTGGGTCACCTTCTGGGGCAATGGCAGCGTTGAAAGATGGCCACATCATCCAGAGGAAGAGGGTACCGGCCATGGCAAAGAGATCGCCGTTATAAGAGGCAGTGTTGTCTGGACACTCCTTGGTCTTGCGGTTGGTCAAGAACCAAGCGACTGTCAAACCAAAGTAACAACCAAAAGTGTGAATGTACATACCTCCACCGACGTCGACGGCCTTCAAAACCATGTCGCCAATGAACAAGTTCAAAAAGTAAAACATTGGTTCAATGATACCCAAAGCCAACATTTGAGTTGGTGTAACACGACCAAGAATTGCACCATAACTGATCATTACAGCTCCAGCGCAAAATAATCCATTAAGCATAGAATATAATGTAAACTAATAGAGAGAGGAATAAATAAATAAATAATACCGTTATTAGTATTTCCCTGTTTAATGTTATATTTTTTGTTTCTACTTTTGTTTCTACATACTTGGAAATTACTACTGAAATATTCATCATTCTTGTCGGCATGATGAACAGTTTCAAAGAAACCATAGAGTAAAATACTCCATTGACAAACCATGGCAGAAATGACAAAAGTGTAACCGAGGGCAGAATAACCATAACGTCTTAAAAAGGTCATGAGGAAACCGAAACCAAAGAAAATCATAATGTTGATATCACGGAAGTATCCATAGACATTGTCGACGTCTTCTTGTACTGGATTCTCGAGTGAACTTGGGTTCTCTGGGTCATTCTTTCTATCGTCATCATTTGAATATCTAACCCAAACGGCATACAAAACAACCATAAAGATTTGGAATGCTAAGAGTGCAATGGTAAAAGTAAAACTTTCAGTTCTCTTGGCTTTGATGCCTTGGATGAGATCTTTGTTTGCCATCTCTTTTTATATATATATTTATAAATAAAGATGTGCTACTTTAAAATCCTAAATATGGCAATAATAATCGAAAATAGATAGAAGAAGAAGAAGTCAGTGTCTGAAATGTTATATTTATTTGAATAAATGAAAGTTATAGACGACTGGATGGAACTCTACTCTACTCTCTACTGCACTGTAAAGTATAAAAAAAGTGTGCACATGAGGGGAAGAAGTAGGGAATTGAGGGGAATTGAGTGTATTTGTGAAGAATAGATTTGAATAATGTGATATAAATGTGAGATAGCCAATTGGTTGGCTAATTTGACTGGATAGACTGACTGGGAACTGGTTAAACTGAACTGGCTGACTGACTGACTGACAGGACTATCTGTCAGGTGGGAGAGAAGAGAAGAGTGTAGTGTAGTGTATTTGGTGATACATGGTAAGATTTAAAAAATATTTAAATTACTACAATAAAATTACTTGTGCACACAACTTTACAGACACCCTCCCCAACCATACTAGACTATCTATCGTAGGTGGTAGGTAGGTAAGGTAGGTAAAGTGACATTTGTTTCGTTTTATACACAATGTTGTTATTGTTTTATAAGGTTGAATTTGATTGTTGTTTGAACATTATTATTATTATTACTCATGAGTAGTTCCATTCTCTCACTCACTCACTCACTCACTATCTATCTATCTTACTTTTAATTCCTGTTGTTGGAAGTGGAGTGTTGTGTTGTGTTGTTGTGTGAACAGTGATTAAGATATTATCTATTTTGGTATTAGATTAAATAGATATTTTTTATTTTTTGCAAAACAAAACAAAAAAACTATTCAAAACACTTCGGTGTGGGGGTATGTAGGTAATTAATTGGATGGAGGGAATAAATAATATTATTATTATTGAATCTCCTGTTTTCAAGTCGACGAAATATAACAATTATATATATATATATATTTATAAATATATATTTAAATTTTGTGGATAATTACACTAATATTGTATATTGGTGAACAACAAACAACAAACAACAAAGATGGATGATAGAACAACAGGCTTGTTGAGGTACCTCCTTTTATATTAGTTGTTGTCCTATTGCCTGGTAGGTCGGTGTTGTTGTTGATTTCAAAACAAAAAAAAACATATTAGGTAAATTTAAAAGGAAATTTGAATTTCCAATCAAATCGTCGTTTGAAATTTAAAATATAATATGGTGAAGTGTAGCGAGAGTGTATAACCTATTTCCCACAACACCACTACTGATATGGGTGAGAGAGAAAGAGTGAAGAGTGTTTGATGGTTTGAGGAAGGGTGGGGGTGATAAACCAACATAACACACTATAATCACTTTGAAGTTGAATGATGAAGAGTGTACTATACGCAAAAGTTCACTGCTAAAAGATAGAATCGAATCTGTTCACTTGAATGATCGATCATCATGTGGTAAAGTGATGATGTAATGTAAATTGTTGTTGTTGTTGTTTATACCTATGATTATGATGAATAGATCGAGTTTTGTGTGTGTGTGTGTGTGTGATAATACTATAGTGTCACTACTTCATACCTTGTTTCAATTGTCAAAACTAATGAACAAGGTCTCGACTGTTCTCCTTTGTTAGGGCACCTCTTGGTTGAAACGTGTTTTAAAAAAAAAACAAAAAAAATCAAGATATCCATGTGGGGGCTGTTTAAACAGGGGGTACAACAACCATGGTCTATGGCATGAATTCAGACCTGTCGTGTGTTGAGTTGGTGTGTGGCCTTTTCGATCAGAAGTGGAGAAGTTTCGCCGTGGAAAATTCATTATAAACTTGTGTGTTACATCAATCGTTGTCTTGTTTGTCGATTGATGACACCCCTTCTTCCTCACTAAGTGGGGGTGTCATTTTTTGCTATGAGACGACAGATAGAATGTGTGGTGGTACCCAGGGCTACACTCTACTTTTTAAAAGCACGTAAATTGAGTGACGAAGAAGACAATCAGAAAGAGATACTAGTTGATCAATTCATGAATGTGTCTAGCTCTAAGGAAAGAAAGAAAGAAAGAAAGAAAAGAAGAAGGGATAGTTAGATATCTTGTAAAATGTACATTGTTGTTGATGAACGAATGTGTATAAATATCTACTTACTTGGTTCCCAAAACTCCGTCGTCATCTGATTGGAATTAATTAATTCACTCTGTTGGGGCGAGTAACTACAACTAATTGTATCAGACAATAATTTAATAATAATAATCGATAAGAACCGAGAATATATTCTCGAACAAATAAATAATGTTATTATTTATAAATAAATAAATATTTGTATTTTTGGTAAGAATAAGAGAAGTGAGTGAAAAGAGGGGGTGGGTAGCAGAGGTGAGGAAAGGGGAGCCTCGTGATTATTATTAAATCCATAAATAAATCAAGAACAATGGCTGGTTAGATTCACCATGTCATCACGCATTTGGGTGACACCTGTTTAAACTTTAAACAGCACATAGCAACCAGGTCTGTTTTACAAACCGAGTATCTAAAAAACTTTTTTCAACTGTTTTTGTGTGAAACTGGGGAAAACCAAACAATTCTGCAAAGATTGGTGAATCTATTATGAGTACGAAAATAATAATAATAATTTATCTTTTTCATTTTCTTTTGTTACTACTATTATTATTATTTATTATTTATTAATTACTACTATTAATAATTATTTAATTATTAATTTAAAAACTCTACAGTATCACGAAAAGTTAAATATTGATTTGGATAACCCATTGTTTTAAAATAAGCAGCATGTTCTTGAAGTGATAGACCCATGTGAATAAAGGCAGCATGACGAGAGATGGCAAGTGCCTGTCTAGATAGAGTTTCATAACCAAGATCCTTTGATTCTTTACATAGGTTCATAAATAGACCAATATGATCGATACGGAGGAAACCTTCATTTTCAATTTTAAAGTGTATGGGTGGATCTTGTGGCGGTAACTTTTCTTTGGTGAAACTTAATTTACCAGTAAATCCACTCATTGTAATTAATTGTAGACAAGGTACAATTGCCTTTTCCCCATTGAATGTTGAGGCAAGTGTTGACAGTGGTGCTTCAATTTCAAATTGAAAGTGTCTATCCGAGTCGGAATAGGTGTTTTTCAACTTCTTTACCAAATCTTGTAATTTGGCTGTATATTGACCACGTGAGCTTGATGTTGCCACTTGAATCTGATAATTCTTTCGGTAGAGATCCAACAGTATCTTTCGGTCTCTAAAACTATTTGGAGATTCTTGTGCGTCGAGTAGACAGAGTGGACATTCACACTTGAATCCCAACTCTTCTATTCTCTTTGGATAGGCAAGACTGGTATAGTCTCCGCGCGAGATAAAGATTTCATCACCGGCTTTGAGGTTTTTAGATGCCACCGCAAAGAGTATCTCTTCCAAATGGAATGTACCGGTATTGTAGAGACACGAGTGGTTGGCAAGCGATGCCAACGACCAAAGACCCCAACACCCTTGTCGCGTTAGAACCTTGCCTGCGTGTCGAGTAATCTTTGTGATTTGGTTTTTTGTCAGTCTCGGTAGATTGTACTGATTGAACCCTTGACAATCCTTGGATTCGTAATGTTTGATGTTGGTGATGGGCACCTTGAACATTTTAAAATCGTCCAATTCAAGCGTCCCTTTGGTCTTTGCACCAATTGTAGAGTAGAGTGCGTGTAGTTGACGATTCATGTTTTGGTGACATGTTGGTAGCTGCATGTTCATTTGTTTGACCATACATTCAGTCTCGTGCTCTCCCCACGACACTGGCAACTCTTTTTGTATTCTACATGCAGTCGTTGCAAACAAGATAGTTCCAGCTGCCACATCTTTGGTCACCTCTAATCCGATACGTTGTTGATTTACACCAGACTCTGTTTTAGATGGTTCATCTCTAATCTTGATAGGACCGATATACTCGCTACAATCCAGCCGTCCAGTCTTTATAATGTTTGCTTTGATCTTGTCAAAGTTGTATCGGCCATGGTCACGTTCAGGTATTCTCTCGACACATCGGCCAATGTTGATTTTAGCTTCTGCATTGTTTGGTTGGAATCCCAGTACCATTTGGTTGCACTCGATCGACTTTTCATACGCTTCGATATTGTAATAGGCAATAGCCAATGTTTGGTAGACCTTGATCTCTGTCGACTGTTTCACAATAGTCAAATGAGCTCCCAACTCCAACACCTCTTCATATCTGAATAACGATCCCAACGAAGTCAACTTGTTAAACAACAAACCTTCGTGGTCAGGTGATAACAACAATGCCTTTTCAAAACATGCCAATGCCAACTCGTACTTTCACTCTTGTAAATGTAAACATCCTTTTGATGATAATTCATATAATGTACTCATCCCAAAAAGACCTACTAATATCTAATTATATCTAATTATATATATCTATATATGTATCGAATATAAAATGAAATTAAAACAAGAGTTGATGATCATCACACTTTGGCCTTGTGCAAATTAAAGTTTTCGGATATTATTATTTTAATTTAAAATATTTACAAACAACCATTTATTTTATTTTCTTTTTTCTTTTTCTTTTTCTTTTTCTTTTCTTTTCTTTTCTTTTTGACTTTAGATATTTATTTATTATTAATAAACTCTACAGTATCAAGATAATAAAATATATGATTTGAGAAACCCATGTTTTTAAATACAAAGGCATGTTCTTTTGGAATGAAACCTTGGTGAATGAAAGCAGCCAATCTAGAGATGGCTAGTGATTGTCGGAATAGTGTTTGATAACCAAGTATTTTGGCCAGCCGTGATAGTTCCATAAATAGGTATGTATGTTCAAATAAAAGGTTACCTTGTAATTGGATTTTAAAATGGATTGGTGGATATTGTGGCAACTTGGTCTTGGTAAAACTTAATTTACCACTGAATCCAAAAGTTGTAATTAATTGTAGATAGATTATAATACCCTTTTTGTATAAATTATAGTCTCCATAAACCAATCCAAGTGTTCTAAGAGATGTTTCAAGTTCGGTTTGAAGTATTCGATCTTGATCTGAATAGGTTTTCTTGATACTCTTTATAGACTCTTCCAATTTCGAAATGTATCGTTCATGAGATTGTTGTGGTTGACCACAATAATATTTAAAAGTATCTATACAATCGATTCTTGTTTTGAAGCTTTTCTCTGTTTCTTGCGCGTCGAGTAGACAGAGTGGACATTCACACTTGAATCCCAACCTTTCGATTCGTTTTGGGTATGACATGGAGCGGTAGTTTCCTCGCTCCAAGAATATCTCTTGTCCTGCTTTGAGGTTGCCCGAAGCAAATACAAAAAGAAATCCTTTGATTTGAAAACAACATGCATTGGGTATGCAAGAGTGGTTGGCCATTGCTGCCAACGACCAAATACCCCAGCCTTGACATGGGATGGTACGACCTGCATACTTTGCAATGTGTGCGATTTGTTCGCGTTCCAATATTGGTAGGTTGTACAAATCGGGATTACTCTTTTCGCGATTATATGGTTTGATGTTGCTAGTCACCACTTTATGATACCTAAAATCATCCAACTCTACATTCCTCTGCATAGCTCCCATCGTCGAGTAGAGTGCGTGCAGTTGACGTTTGCAATGCATATCACATGTTGTAAAATAGTGTTGCATCGATTCTTGTATAATATCCATCTCTTGTTTGGTGACTGATGCTTCTGTTATGCCAGGTGTCGAAAGGGGATGCGTAAACAAAGTTACTACTGAGAATAACAGTGTACCAGCACCAACATCCTTTGTACACTCTAACCCTAGTCGCTGTTGATTCCTTCCAGACGCTGTTTTAGATGGTTCATCTCTAATCTTGATCGGTCCAATATACTCGCTGCAATCAATGTCTCCAGGCAACGTTTGAATGTCTTTGAGTGTAACAAAGTCGTACAAACCTTGACTTTCACGTATTCTCCTTTTACATTTATCTGCATTTCTCTTTGCTTCATTGCCCGGAAAGGTCATTGTAGTCTTGCAACACTCTAACGCTTCTTCATAGTGTTGTATGCAATAATAGATGGTTCCGAGATGATTATAGGCAGAGAATGTACACGTCTCAAAAGGATAGGTTTCCACAATGAACCGTGCCAAAGATATAGCTTCCTCGTATCGCAACAATGAAACCAATGCAGTCAATTTGTTGAGTAGAAAGTTGGGATCATCTGATCTGAGAGCCAGAGCTTTCTCAAAGCATTCCAAAGCCTTTTCAAACTTTTCTTCTCCCAACAGGTTTATCCCTCTTATACCGTATCTAAGAGGATCGACTTTTGGTCTATTTGTTGGTTTGACCATCTAGATACAATCTATCTATATCGATTACTTTACTACATTGTAAATAGATAGATAAATAGATAAGATATAACATACATATGTTAGTTATGAGTGAATGAATGAGAGGTGTAGTTGTAGTAGTAGTAGTAGTGGTATAATCAGAACCAACTCTCTATCTCTCTCTCCTCTATTTTACTTACATTATTTGTTGTTATTGTTTAATATGTACATATGTACTATTCGTAGTTTAGATTAAAAATAAAAAAGGAAATAGTTTGTTTACAACAAACAACCTCGAGGTTGTTGGTTTTGCACATTAATTTTAAAATGATTAAAATCTAAAGACTCTACTTAACTCTTTAATTATTAATTCCCTTTCTCATCCTTGGTCGCGGTTGCAAGTGACAACCCATGTGAACCAACACTTTATAAGCTAACCAACCAACCAACCAACAAATACAACTTTTATATTAAAGTTTATATACAACAACTTTACCAAGGACTGAATGAATGTAGATAGATAAATAGATAGATAGATATCAAATAACCCAACCAACTAATAATAATAATATATAATAATATATATTTATTTATATTTATATTTACCTCTGACCTGACCAGGGGAGGAAAGTTTAAAATATAACATTTAAATGTTCATTTTGAAACACACTGCAAAGAAAGAAAAACCATTCATTGATACATATACTATAGTAGTAGTTTTAACAGATTCACTTTTGTTGTAATACAAAGAAGAAGAAGAAGAAAAAAGAAAGGATGGGATGCGGTGATGGATGGATGTATATCTTGACTAGAATATCAGGACCTTTCTTTGTGGGAGGTGGTACAGCACTCATTACATTGGTTGTGTTTATGTACTTTATCGAGATACTACCATCTCTACTACCACCGTATGAATCTTATATGACCTATCTTACACAACCTCACGTTGTACTAGATATATTGGTATCATTTTATATCGCATCCAACCTTTACTTTAATTACTATAAGACTATAACAGTCGATCCAGGTTCACCTTCATTCCCAGCTACTTCAAGTCTCGATGACTCTTCTTCACCATCATTCAACAACACTGGTGATAGTAGCAGTAGTAGTGGAATCAATAGTTCAACCAATGGTAGTCAATTAAATGATAGTTTTGGTGATATTGATGACGGCAATGTTGGTGATCTTCCATTGGTCATTGATTTCAATGTTACATGGGCATATTGTAAAAAGTGTTCTAGACCTAAACCACCTCGTTGTCATCATTGCAATGTTTGTAATAAATGTGTACTTAAAATGGATCATCATTGTCGTAAGTCAAATATCAAATCATACCCTTGAATCCTTGACCAACTAGTTATTAACACTCCCATTTCTTCACTCACCTTAGCATGGATGTCCAATTGTATAGGATTCAAGAATTATAGGTATTTTATATTGACATTATTTTATTTAGAGGTTGGATGTCTCTTTGTAGTATTACATTCATTGGCATTATTTTATAATGGATCACTTGTATGTATATCAACAAATAAGATTAAATCTTTTTGAAAGAGATCTTGGAAATTTAATTATTAATAATGTATATCCTATATTTGTATTATTAGTTTGGTGACAAATTCGATGAGATTACAAGATTCTTAATAATAACATCATTCTTGTTGGCAAGTTTGTTAATGTTGGTAATGGGTGGATTTTTTGTATTCCATTTATATTTAATTGTAAGTATTCATCATCACAATGTTTATTATTATTAGGTTTGGATAATTATTTATTTCAATCTACTCTATTTATTTAGTGTACTGGACAAACAACTATAGAGAATTTAGGAGGACCTCATTCAAAAACAAAAAAGAGGAATTATAATTTAGGTTGGAAGGCAAACCTAGAGATGGTATTGGGGAAGGGGAAATATTGGTTTTCAGGACTATTGCCAACTAATCGATTACCAAAAGGTGATGGTTATTATTTTATGACAAAAGAAATGTATGATGACTATCTCCGACGACAGAATGAATTTACAGGTAATAACGGTGGTACCAGTGGTAGTGGTAGTGGCGTTAATCGTAGAATATCTTCAACTAGTACTTCATCTAATAGACAAAGTTATATTCTTTAAACCAAAACAAACGAAACAAGTAGTGCTCTTGTTTCCTTTTGTTTCTTTTTCTTTTGTATGAATAATAAATAATAATAATATATTATTTTATCTTTTCTTTCCTCATTCATTCATTCATTTGTTTGTTTGTTTGTTTGCTTTACCTATACTTCTTTTAATTTTACAATAATTTATTTTCTTGTTATATATATATGATCTATTTACTTGTTTACCATTATAAACTAAATGGTTTAGAGTTAGTTTTAATCCTTTGGTTTTCTTAATGGATAATCATCTAATTTGTATTGTGATATTTTAGTCTTTGTGAAGTTGATGCTCTTGGCTGCAACCCATTCTCCAACATTAAAGAAACCAGATACTGCTGAACGTACAGTTAATCCTTGATTCTCTAATTTTGATAATGCCATTTTTGATAAACTAAACAACAAAAAGATAACCATTAATTAATAAATCAATCTAAATGATATCATATCTTTTATCTTTTATGTGATGTTTACTCATGACCCAATGTTCTTCTAACACCAGCTGCAGCTGTTGAAATGACAACGCAATCCAAAATAAGTGAAATTAAACTGTATGGTATTCAAGCGATCACATGATATGATAGAAATGTACATATTAATAACTATGTTTTTTAAAAAGAATACTATTACTTGTTATCGATTAACATACCCCATGTTTCTTATATTCCTCTATAAACTATATTATATCTCTATTTCTATCTGATTAATTTAAATTAAACTAAAGCGACAATGAAAATCAGATGATGAACTTGAGTGTAGGGCACGGTAGCTTTGAAAAATGAGTAAAGTTTGAATTAGGTGGATTTACAAATTATTTACATCATCCAATGCTGGATAAATTTATTTATTTATTTTAGTTTGGTTAATATTATATTATATTATATTATATTTATATATACAAGTTGATTATCTATAGATAGATAATTATTATTATTAAAATTGATTAATATTTTAATATTTATAAAAACTATGAGTTTGAACTGAACCATCATCAACAGAAGTGATAACTTCAAAGTCTAAATCCTTTTGAAGATCAATGGATGATATAAAAGATAGAGAATGTGATTTGACAACCATTTTTTTGAGGGTTGGATTCTTGTTTGCATGTATGAGGAGGTTGATCAAGAATTTAATACTGTATATATGTCCACATCGAATTTGACGAATCGATTGATTTTGACCAATGGCTTCAGAGATGGGTGCCATTGTTTTGGTGCTGCTAGCCTTGTCAACCTCTTCCACTGTAAATACAGTGTCATGATACCACCGAGAAATAATGAGATATTCGAGTTTGGTAGATTTGGCAATGAAATCGGTGAGATAGATTGGTTGGATTGGATTAATTGATCCAAGTGTCAAACAGGTAATATTGTCAATATTAGGTTCTAGTATTCTAGCCCACACTGATTTAATATTACCATTTGGTATTTTGAGGTGAGTGAGTGTTGGTAGTTTAAATAAGAGGTAGTCTTGATTAGACTTGCTGTCACCGTTGCTAGCCGATACTGCGGATTGTTGTTTTTTGAATTTCTGTAAGCATATGTGTAGATGAGTCACTCGCTTTGCCAACAGTAGTGGCATCATCGATTCGGCCTGACATTTGAGTGGATAGCTCAATTGTTTAATAGGTGAGATGGTAGACGACAGGATCGAGACGAGTGTTGGGTAGTGTCCAGCCAGACCATTGCTAAATGCATTACACTTGAAAAACTTGAGTATCTCCAAATTTGGTAGTTGTCTAGTCAATACATCTACTTGTTCTACCGATATCTGATCTAAAAACATGTCCGGTAGTAGTAAACTACGTATACCATGTTTGACAAGCGATGTAAACCGATCGTTGTTGAAATCTTGTAATGTAGTAGTACAAAGTTTTAATTTGTATAATTGTATACCTTTGATTGGAGATTCTTTAAGTTTATCCAATACCAATAAAGCAAACCTTGAATCACTACCATATGATGATGACCCATCATTTACAACCGTCTCTATTAAACATTGTAATAATTTAAATAATTGTTTTCTTGGCGTCTCCTCTTCCACCAATTGATTGTTATTATTATTATTATTATTGTCATTACAAATGATCATCCAACCAAGTTTACACTTTCTATGAGAGAATTTAAATTTAGTTATTGATTGATTGGTCATGAGTAGAGAGATGAGAGGTATCAATCCAACAGCCTTTAAATCATTTGCAATAACTTTGAATGTTTGAATGGTTGACATTATATTTTCAAGGTATACCATCTGTTCTGGTATAGTGGGAGGAGGATGGTAGAGTGACGGACCGAACCGAGATGATGGAGGGTACGAATAATTACCAAGAACATGGTCCAAGAGACACCGTAGATTCGTTATCTTTTTAAATAGACATAGTGGATTCTCTGTGCGTTGGTGCAATGTTCTAATCTCGTTGTGTTCGTGCATATACATCTTGCCAGAGAATGTTGGTGTCAGTGACCGATTGGTGTTGGCCAGGTGATAGGTACGTGTATCTAGTCTTGTAAAGTAGTTTGACAACATCTTGAGTGTATACTTTGATACAAGTGCCAATCTCAATCTAAACTTGAATGGTAATGATCTATCTCTAAACAAGTATTGTATGATTATACCATAAATATAGTTTGGAAGAAGAGGTGACGATGACGATGACGATGATGACGACGACGACGATGATACTACAACATGATGATTCTCTTTGCGGTTTGTTGATTTACCAATATAACGGTCTACCAATGTTGTAATATAATAGTTTCCACTATCAAGTGGATCGAATAAACCTTCAAAGATTTGTTGTTGTTGTGTAGTATCCAACCATGAAGACGACGACAACGTTGATTGTTTTCGAGTGTCTTTGAACATTGTATTATCCATTGTGCAACCACAAGTACCGATGGTGGAGTAATTTAACTTTAAAGTTTATCAATTATATAGATATCTACACTAAATCTATCTATCTATCTATCTATCTACTATAACTATACAACAACATGACCTTGTTGCTTCAAAAAATAATGATCGATCAGTTTTAATAAACCACACACTCACACAAAACCATACCACACCAATGATAAAAATGGCAATAAAATCAATTGGTACCACCACAATCAACAAACACCTACTTGGTCATAGGTAGCATAGGAGTAGATTATGCTTGGTGTTGCAACAGCAGTATGCATCGATGAAAATCGTGTTGGTGGTGACCAATAACACTGCAAATTCAAAGCTACCAAAAAAATAATCTTATTTGGTTGATAGAAGAAATGATAAAATAATAATAATAATTAAAAATAAAAGTACATGTTTTAATAATTGTTTTTGTCAACTCTTGCAAAGGAAGCCATTACAAGATTTGAATTGATCTCGGATACGTTCTCCATTGCAGATCCAGGAGAACAGCCTTTTACTCCAATAATAGTGTAGACAGCATTGTATGGTTGTTTCATATCATATTTACATCCTCCAATCATTTGAAATGCTAATCTCTGCTCGTTGCTAGAGATACTAGTATTGGTTGTTTGACAAATTACTTTTGTTCCATCTGGTAATGATTTAATAAAATCAAATAATGTCTCTTCTACTCTTATACTTTTAACTATGATTTCGTTGGGGGAGACACTATTAGTAAGTTTGTGATTATAAAATATTTTATTTTAGTCCATTCTTGAAAATTTTAATACATACGAATTGTAGCAACTTTGATACTATCACTAGAAAGTGATCCAACAATTGTTGTATCATGTATCTTCATTTCAGTAGTGCCATTGATTAAAACAGAGTCGCCGATTTCTCTTAACATTGTATCATAACCTGGAACCCTGATTGATGAAATGGCTGGATAGTTTGGAGCGGTTGATGTTTCTCTCGGACAAAATGATTGAACTGGTGCAAAGGAAGCACCAACCTCTCCGATTATTGAATAGGATGAACCATAGTCTCTTGGATATTCTCCATAATTTGTTCCTCCAAGCCGTGAGGTTATCAGGTTTCTGGCGACATCTCCAAGGTTTTGTGTCCATTCTCCTTTTGTGGCTATTGCTATATATCCGTCCTCGACATCATTGAAATCCTCAATAAATGCCTCTGCATCACTATCACTTGTCCCTGTATCATAAGATCTTAAATAAGAGAGGCTCCCATCCGGACGAACAACCAACATGTTGAGAGCTTTTGAATAGTCAAATTTGATTTCTTGAGAATTAACATAAAACTTGACATAACTATCTCCTCCAATTTGATCACACTACAAAACGAACGATAATAAAAAAGTATAATTGTTTTGAATTAATTAAGTATAATTATAACACAAGATTATCAAGACTTTTTGTTACATATGTTTTACTTACACCTTTTCCAATTGCTTTGATTTCAAAGCCATACGGTATGGCTGGCATTGAATTTGAGAAACATCCCGATAGAGATACGGGACCAGTTTGAGATATTTGTTCTGGAGCTGAACCAGGTGGACTTCCCTTTCTTCCAATCAATGCATACGATGATTGATTATTGATTTTACTACTTAAATTGGCACCCAGAGTTTTTAATGCATCTCTTAGGTCTTGAGGAATTGTAAATGACGACGATGGTGATGTGGTCAAAGATATAGCAACGACTGATCCAACAGGAATTCGGTTTAAAATAAAATTGGCAGCTTTTGACACTGCTATATCTGATGGTGAACCATTGTTGACTTGGTCATCTGCAACTATTTTAAACACCAAACTTTCATCATATCCGTCTTTATAAATAGTTATTGATAATCCGTCTCCTCCACTTGTAAATTTGGATCTTCCATCAATGTATATGTAACTTTGGGCACTTGAATAGACTCTATTACAGGATCCTACGGATACTTTTAAACTAGAGTACGAACGAGGATAATATGAGGCAGAGCAGGTGTTGGCAGATGTTGCATGCTCGTTGGCGGTAAAAAGAGTATAGTCATAAACCGAAATAAGAACCCATTTACTAGTGCCACCAATGTATTGATCGATGTATTTACTCCCGAGTTTTTCTTTGATTGTTTGTATGGTTGTACTGGATAGACGTAAATAACTACCATCTTTGCCCTCTGGAATAATAGCTACAATTGCAATCACACTCGATTTTTTGTAGTGGTGTTGAATAAATCGGTTGAATTGAATATTGGTGGTATCAGTTGAAGAGGAAGAGGAAGAGGAAGAAGAGGAAGAGACATCCGATGAAGAAGAGGTGTCAAAGTTGGTAATAGTCATATGACTTAGATCTTTAGAAAAGACCAATACATTGAGACCAGTTTTAAAACTAGTAGTTTGATCGTTAACCAACCTGCCATTGGCTTTGACGACAACTGAATCATTGTCTTGAAGGACAATTGATAGACTCGGTGGACAGGGCTTGATGGTGTTGAGTGGATATGAAATCTCACCTGTACCTTCAGTTGCAGTTCCGATTGCTTGACCTTTGAACCCAATGATAGACAACGACGATACTAAAGTAGAGCAATTTGGTACAAACATATGAATTTCGATACTTCCAATCGATGAACATGCTCTGATGATCGACTCGTTTATAAAAGGTAGACTAGGACTGATTGCTATCATGGTGAATTTTCCGATGGGGAGAGAATCCATCTTGTAGACGAATAACAATTCATCACCAGGTGAAACGATATTGAATGATTCAACGATAAATGGAGGATCTAACTCTGGTTGATATGTGAATACATTGATGTTGTTTAAAGTACCGTTAAAGTAAAACTCTTCGTTACAATATTTGATGTAATAACTTGAAGAATTCAAGAATACACTATCCATGTTAAAAAGATACTACTATCTAATTGTTAACTTTTCTTGTGGCCATGGTCATGACACTTCGTTCCTTCCCCACTTGTAATTATTATTATTTTTTTTTTTTTTTTTTTGAACTTCATTCATAGTATTGACCACGACCTCAGATTATTCATTCAAACGATCATCTATTTTATAGTCATAGTAATAGTAAAAATAATAATATATAGTCGTAGTAATAGTGATAACATATGATAACCTTGATATCTAGAAATCGTACTGAATCACAGTTTATGTGGTACGACAGCAATAGTATCACTGCCTGTAGACCATACGCACCCTTGAAAGATGGAATCAATCTGTGGGTATTTGAGCCTGAAAACCCAATGTACATCGAGAGTGCATTTCCTTTCACATACAACCACTATCCCACCACCGATGCGGCACAGATGGAGTTGTTTGCAGCTAGTATGATGGAACTTTATCCCGGAACAAGGGTCATCATTCTGTGCTTCACTGGACTGCCATCTCCAATGCCAGACAACCTCACTCGCGCCTTTTCTATACTAGGATCGACCAACATCAATAGAGTCGGAACCAATAGAAACTATTGTATGATTGGTATCAAGGGTGGTATTGCTGCAGAGTCGTTTGGAGATGACACAGTCACTCCTGGCGCAATCAAAGCTGAAATGACACGCCTGGTATTCGATCGGCAATTGACAAATTCTTTGGCCACCTCTCTAAAAATTGAATACTCCTCTAATGGTACACCATCGATCATCAATACAAACGTTCGCCTCTTATCGTTAACCTTTCAAGCGCTCAATCTGTTGGTCTTTAAGGAATACGGGACTGATCTAAAATCTTACAAGTACGACAGCCAAGAAGACGCTGACAATCTTCTTTCTCGTCTAACGGGCCTCAAGTATGGTACAAAGTTTGCACTGTTTACTGCCAGTGATGGATTCAACAACAAGTTTAGATTCAATGACCAAACAATTGGATTTTTGCGAGACAAGTGTGGCAGTGCAAACATTGAATCGTTTCAAACAAGTACAACCGATTACATTTGGTATATGGTGTCTAAAGTTGGTGCGCCATATTCTTTTAGTGAATACGCAACATCTGGTGAATGTAGTTTCTTGTATACCCAAACAAAAGATACCTCTTTGAAAAGACAAAAAGAGACCAACGACTCACCAATCGAGACTGATATTTCAGTCTATTCAAATGCATTGACTGGATCATCCCGCATCGTCGTCAATGGAATTGTCCAAATACCAACAAGCAATCGTGGGTTCATAATGTGCGCAATCAATGAAGTCACTGGTCAAGTATATTATACTAGAGGTTACGACATATCAGTTTGCGATCCTAGCCAGAGCGCTGTGGACAATATGATTAGAGATATCCTCGATCTTTCTATTGGAACCTTTGTCGCCATCACTCTTGCCCAACCAAACATTGGTGCCTTTTCATTTGATGGATTAACTGAAGAATTAAAATTTGCTCTCGAAACGGTTGGTGCATCACGTCTCAATGAAATCACCAGTCTCTCGAAATCCTATTCCCTTATTGGTAGAAAGGGATCACGTGCAGGGTCTGCTTTCGATAAACTGGCAACATCTCCATCTCAACTCTTTTCAAGTTTTGTACCAACACAAGTAAAGTCATTCATTGATATTGAAGTCACTTCCAATGCTGTAAGTACTAGTTTCTATAATTTATAGAAACAATCAATAGTGATCACTAATAATATTCATTCTTATTTTTAGTTTTATTCAAACAATCATCAAGACTATGGATATTCTAGTTTTAAAATCAATGGAGTCTATATCACGGAATACGAAGAAAATAACTCGATCGGTCTCAATGTGATGATTATCAACCCTATCAATGGAATCATTCAAGAGTTGTGCAACTTTAACACTCAAGATAACAGCGATCATGCAATTGCCTTTGCCCAAAAGCTGTCAACATTACCTATTGGTACTATTGTGGCTGTCTCTGCTGTTGGAGGTGCTTCTAAAAGAATTACCGGTGCCATTGGTGCCATCGAAAAGTTCCTTGGAAGTAAACTGATCAAAGATTTTGTGCTCCCAGAGCCGTATTGCTTGATTGCAACTGTGAATGACAGTTTGACACCTGCCAACCAACAAATAATCGGTGAATGTGTGGCAGGAAATGACCAAGAGGTCAGCAAATCTTCTTGTTCAACAAGATTCCCACTAAAATCATTATTCAGCAATCGCTCATCTGGTGTCAATATGTGTGTCAGATCCAAAGGTAAATCAAACGACGCAAGTTGCCAAATAATAATCAATGGAGTTGATGCATCACCTCTTGGCTATTCACAAGGACTCAATGCTATCTTTGTAAAGAGCTCTGACTTATCCAAAACAATCAAGCTTTACAACACAACTGCAAGTTGGGAACAATTCTTGTTGGATGTTCAATCACTCGACGATGGAACGTTTGTTTTGGTGGCTGTCAAAAAAAGTATGCCAGCCAGCAGCACAACATTGGCCAAGAAAATGGTATTCACTCTTATTGGCGCATCCAAGTTCATCGTTGTTCCAGATGACGGATCCTACTCTGTAATAGGTATTAAAGGAATGGCTGCAGGATCCGCTCTTGAAGAGTTTTCAAACGGAGATTCTCAAGTTTGTGTTGCATCATGGGAACCCACCACCTCCTCAGCTACAACTACTACTGCAACTAATATTAATAATGGTAAAACACATCAAACTGTATTTTCTGTTCAATTGTTTGATCAATACAATCATAAGTGTTCACCAATCCCTATATTAGACAAAACATTTGCAAGTGGAAACATTTATACAAACGAACCAGCATCCAACTGGAACGGTGATAGAGAATCGAAAAGAGGAAGGGTGGTAAAGGCATTATTAATTGGACTTGAATACAAAAAAGGAGCTACCCCACCATTGGACAACTCAAGCATCGATATCAATGACCATGCTGCTGCTCTTTCCAATTGTGGCTATGTCCTCAAGGAAAACATTCATGTTTTAACAGAGAACCTCACACAAGTAACAAACAATGGTACCGCTGTTTGTGGGCCTAGTGCCAATTGCATCAAGGATGAAATAAGCAATTGGATGGCTCCCAACTTGATTCAATGTGACTCTCTCTATGTTGCCATTATTGGAAGATGTTTCAAAAAGTCAATATTTGGTGGAAACGATCCTCAGTCTGGTCTTGTATCCCTCGATCACACCTTGACCTATTCTGATTATTCGCTGACTTGGAGCACTTTCCTCGACCTCTTTAACAGTGTACCATATGGTGTCAATATTACCTTTGTGTTGGACTGTAACAACAGCCAAGACTTTTTGACTACTCTTGCAGGCAAATCATTCTACCAGAATACCATTGTCTATTTATCATCTGAACCTGGGAAAGTTGTGCCATTGGTTACCATTGGCAACTCGATTGGAATCATTCCCCAGTTCACCAAAATTCTGAAATTGGGTGGCTGTAAATCAACCCCTCTATCTTACAGTTCAATCATCACTCAACTTAAACAACAACAAGCCAAAGAATATAAATCAGTTCCATACATGTGGATCTATGGAAATTCAGAAGGAACTTTTTCGTTCCTCACCCGAGCCTCATCATCAAAGGTTACTATATACCAATATCATGCTTCTGTTGCAGGATCCAACAAGTTTAGATACTTTTACTCAAGATTCAATAATGTAGGAGGTGAATGGATATTAGATGGGCCTGTTTGGATAGCATTAGCACCAGATACTAGTGATGGATTTCCTATATACCAATACTCGATCCTTACTCGTCCAGTAACCAATAGTAGTGTAGAAACATACAACTACGACTATTGCCTAGACAGTACTCACTCCAGTGATCCTATAACTGGATACAAGTGGTACCCAATGGGTTCGGTTTGGAGAGCGTATCCGAAAAGATCTTCTGGTCTTCAACCTGTCTATCGCTATTATTTCGATCAAGTGACCAGAAGATACATGTATTCCACAAATGAAAATATTGGACTAGGTTGGACACTCGATGGCATTGCATTCTACGCTTACAGCCTTTAAAGAGAAGAGAAGATAGAACATCAACAACAAGTGTCATATAATTGACCCGAATCCCTAGAAAAGGAATAGTTAAAAAAAATAATAAATATTTACGAGTCGTGCCATCAAAAGTCACAGTAGTTGGTGAAGAAGAAGTATAGTCGTCGTTTTAAATGTAATACAATGAATGAATGAGATATCTTTGCTTTGTGGTAAGCATAACATATCATAGTATAGTATAGTATAGTATACTCATCTCCATTTAAAACCAATTAGAAATTTTGTTGTTGGTTGTTAACTATAGTGTGTGACACATTTATGAAAAGAAATGAAATGAATGTACTCATTCTTCAATGTACATTATAGATTCCCCTTTCTATATATCTTTTTTCTCTCTCTCCTCTCTATTAAATTATAGAAGTAGTATCTAAAAAGAGTCAGATCTTGTAGTTATCTGTAGTGCAATAGTGAAAATTAAACGAACGAAAATGAGTGCAAGAGTCAAGTGACTTGTCATGAATGAATGCAATCATTTCTTTTATCATTTGATTAGATATATATTAGATACGACGACGACGATGATGATCACTAGAACAACAGCATCTTCATATAGAGCTCTCTTTAGAGGTGTATCTAGCAGTAGCAGTGGTGTATTTAATAGTACAAGATCAATCACATATAATTACAACAATAACAATAACAATAACAATAATAGCAACAATGATAGCAACAAATATAAATCAATCAATCAATTATTTGAAAGTAATCAAGGTAGAAATGAATTTGTTGGTCTATGTCAACAAGTAGCCAACTATACAGTGATGAGACAAAAGGTCGGTCGTACAATGAAACCAAACATCTATATTCAATCACCAGGTCAAATATTCGAACCAAACCTTCCAGTACCTCTAACAAAGATACTCGTCACACCATCATCATGGATCGATACTATCAGATTCTACTATAGAACCTATGGATCTATCGGTGTTATCAAATCTAAATTAAAGGCATTGACTCAAGATCAATTTGCTGTAAAATCGTATGTATCTCTGGCAGAGAGTTGTATTGTATATATAATCACAAACTAATCACATCATTTGTTCCAATCTATCCAGATTCGTTGAACAAGCCAAAGAGATCTTTATCAATTTAAACAAAGCTATTGCAAATAGTGATACTGATGAAGTTAAAGAATTAGCTACCATTCATTATTATTCTGTAACCTATCATTCATCAAGATTTATCAATCATATCACTCACTGTATTATTAATCTTTGTTTCCTCCTCCTCCTTTCTTTTCTTTTCTAGATTCTAGCCAAAAATACACAATTTGACAAGGTTGATGGAAAGAAAAATAATGTAAAGAGTGAATGGACATGTGAATTGGATAAGCCAAAGATGTTATGGATTAGAGCTGGTCAAATCAGAACTACTGCCGCTGGAGGTATGGAATATTTTGGTCAAATTTGTGTAGAATTCTCTGGTAAACAAGTATGAAATTATAATATTATAAATATATTTAGATACATGTTTGTTTGTTTTTATTAATACATTCCCTTTTCTTTTCTTTTCTTTTCTTTTGACAGAGTTTAACTAGAACTGATACTAAAAAGAATATAATTATTTCTCAAGTAAAGGATGCTGAATTCAAGGATGTTTATGTCTTTGAACGTTGTCTTAGTAGTTTACCATCATCATGGAGAGTTTGTCAAACTGTTGATACTCAACAACAATAAATAAATAAATAATAACTAATGAGTCAATTCAACAAATTATTATTATTATTTTATTATTATTTATATATCTCTTTATTTATTATTATTCTAATATTTATCTATATTTATTTGTACTATTGATTTTGTTCGTACTTGAAAGCACCAATGCTCAGTCTGTCTGGCCATACCAATTCATCGTTTCGACACCCATCGTGTTGCCACAAGTCATCAAGTATGACAACCATAATTTTAACTACCACCTTCAAATCCATGAGCATATCCTTCTCTAAATTCGGGTGTCTCCGAAGTAAAGTAATTTAAAGTGCGTGTGCTACTATTCATGAATAGGCCTGAGATAGATATCCTGTGCTCCAAACGATGTTAATAGATCCTTGTGACCCCAAATAGGTTTCTTTGTTCCTCCATTTGCAGGATTCAGTCCTTGTTTGTTGATGATAGTGAATAGGAAACATTTACTATCGCCATAGAATGTATTTGTTGAATTCCAAGATTGACTAATATATCCTCCAAATACATTTCCATCAGCCGATTTAATCAATGTAACTGTTTCACCTTGATCGTCACACTGGTTATGGAAAATAGTTGAATCAAAATTATTAAATTAAAGAGATGATTGATTGTAATATATTGTGTGTTTGTGTTTGTGTTTGTGTATCGATAAACAAACCTTGTGAATCATTTTATAGGAACGATAAGAACCAATCCAATCTGTAATCATTGCAATACATGGGAAATCAATTAGATTTGAAGGAGATTTACATAGTCTATAGAAAGCCATTTCTCTCATAATCTCTTTTTTGTATGTTGATGGGAATATACTATCGTCACCATCACGTAAATAGTTTAAATAGTATATATCTAAAATGTGTTCCATCTCTAAAGATACCATGATAATATATAAAATGGTTATATATATTAGTAATGATGAATTCATTTTGTTCATTCATTCCCCTTACCTATCAATAAAGAATGAATTATTTGGTTGACCATTTGCTGATACGTTTTGAATGTCACCAGTCAAGATCATCTTCCAAATCTCTAACATGTTCTTTATAACTTGTTTCAACCTCTTGAAAGATTGAACTAAGTTCTTTAATTTTAAATTTCTCTTGTTCAAATAAATTATTACTATTATTCATTATTTGTTCAAACAAAAAAGGGAAAGAGAAATAAGTATAATTGCATAAATGACTTGTTTAAACTCACACTCTCAATCACAAAATCCATTTATTAATTAAATTTTAGTTTCCAAAATATAAAATAACAAAGTAAATATCAAACCATTATATATTTATGTACATGTAAAGAAAAGGGTATTTATTTAAATGTTAAAAAAAAAGGTGAAAAGGTATTGTTAAAAGAGGTTTTAAGGACTCTTTTGGGGTTACATTAATAATATCCTTTCGGTGTGAATGTGTTCTGGAGTGATGGGTTGGGTTGAGTCGGGTTGGTTGATTGGTTGATAAAGTCGGGGTGGGGGAAAAAGAAGGGGATGATTTAAACAAAGAGTAGTAAATGTTTACTAGTATGTTTAAGCTTCGAGGGCAGTGAAGGCAACTTCCTCAAGACCGTAGACACTGTAACCAAAGCTAAAGGTTTGACCTGGGAAGAGGACCTTGTTGTAGCTGAGCTTGTAGGTGTTTGGCTCAGAGGCAGCAGAGATACCCCATGGAGCACCCTTGAAGACGACGGATGGAGAGATGACGATGGGTGGATCAACGATGGTAGAGTTGGATGGGTTAGAGATGATGGCGTTCCATTGGGTGACGACCTTGTCTCCTCCTTCAACCCAGACGGTGGTTCTGGTTTGAGTGAACTTGAGTGGTGAAACCTTGGCTGGATCTTGACAGGCACACTTGGGGGCAATGTAGTAGATGGAGGTTGGACGGTTGCAGTAGGTACCGAACCAAGCGTCACCTTCAGCCTTTACAACACCACCGATAGCAACTGGGGCTTCAATACCGAGACCATAGGCACGGGAGAAGATGTAGCTGGAGTCAATTGGGATGTTGGACATACAGATCTTGCAGTAGAGGTCAGAGTTGTAGGTAGACCAGACGACAGTCTTGAATCTGGACCAGAGGATGGCAGAGGCACACATGGAACATGGCTCACCAGTGGTGTAGATAGAGTAGTTGGTGTACATTGAGATACCGTGGATTTCAGTGCAGTTTTGGATGGCAACGATTTCACCATGAGCAATCATGTTTGGCTTACCAGTGTTGATACCAATGCAAGCGAGGGTGCCATTTGGGAAGTAGATAGAGGAAACAAACTTCTTGTTGTTGACACGAGCAATGTCAATAATGTGACGCATTCTGGATTCGTGAACAGCGAGTTCATCAGCTGGGAGATCTGCTGGAGTTAAGACCTTTGACTAAGAGAAAAGGAATTGATAGAAATTTCATATATTTTGATTAATAACTTGAACTATTGATTTGTTTGATTATTTCTTTTCATGTCTTCTTGTTGATATTTACATCTGAACGAACTTCATAGTTGGCCTTGGTGGCAGAGGCACATTGACCATAGTCAACAGTCTCGGGGTTGTATGGGTCCTTGCAAGCGAGAACACCAGCCAAAAGGACGGATAAAATTACAAATAATAATGATAATGAAAATCTCATTGTTGTTTAGTTTTTCTTAAAGATAATCTATAGATATATAGAAAAAGAATAATAAGTAGGCAAGGAAGAGAAAACAAACAAAAGATGATTGTTTTGAAAAGGAAAAAAAAAGAAAAAGGAGAAGTGTAAGTAAGCAAGATATTCATGTGGTAGGAAGGAAAGGACATCCTTTTGATTGGACGCACGCAGAGACACCTCTAGAGATTCAAGGGAGATTGAGAGAATGGTTGATCAAAGTCGTGGTGACGACCCGTCTGATTTTTTGCATCTCCATTCCCCTCTTTAGAGTGGTGACGTGACGGCATGTTGTCTTTGTCTTTTGTTTGTTTGTGGGCTTATACATACACTGATGGATTCTTTGAAAATTAATTTTGATCGGTAGGTTGGATATGAACGGGTAGGTTTGTGGGGATTGATAGATAGATGATACTTTGAGTTGAAACGTAGTCGACTTACAAAGTACAGATAATGGTAATACAGGTAGGTGGTACAATAGAGTAATAATGTGATTTGAGGAACTGTTGCAAAGCTGTTTATAAAGGTATCTGGCAAGCAGGAGAACAGCGGAATGAGAAATAGAAAATAATTAAAAATATCACAATTAGTTGTTAAACACAGGGACAAAGAGAGAAGAGGGAGGGCGATACATCGTGTGGTGGGGGATACCAAGGTTTGTGAAATGGATTCATACTAACGGTGTAGAACCAAGTTTTAGGTATACATGTGGTTTATAAAGGTAGACTAGGGGCGTATAAGAGCAGGTAGCCCCCATTCATCAAGACATTTAATGCATCAAACCTGCCTTGGTCGAGAGCTAATCTTAGCAATGGTGATGGTGTGTGTTCTAGACTTAGGGCTTCTCCCCAGCTCAGTGGTTGGCAGCACCATTCTCAGAACGCGTGACATATCGACAGAGAAGGAGCTGATTGAGAGATTGCAATTGAAAGATTTTTCATTTTCCACAAGACCAATGCCCACCCCAACACCTCTGGGTACCATCCAACACATTAAAGAAGTTTAAAAAAAGTTTCGATCAAAAACAGATATTTTTTGTGTTTTGTCGTTTTCTGATCAGAAAAATTTCGAGTCTGCCAAAGTAACGGTGTTGTTGATTTTTGACCAGTATGATCTTTTGATCTGTTTAATCATTGGTTGGAGGCGGGGGGGATGATAACGCGCAATCACCCCATCAATTATGTCGTTTTCCTTTACTTTAAGAGCAGAGTTTCATGGTTTGTTTCCCCTTTTACGTAATTCGTCGATATTGGTTGTTTTTGTTGTTCTTCTTTAAACCTAGTTTTTAGTTGGTATCAGACCTTGATCTCCTTTCTCTTTCAAGTCGACAGCTAAGCTGATGTTGTGTTGTTGATGATCGATAAACCCACATTTGTAAAAGAAAGGAATTTTGTTAATGTATTGTGCGCACATTCCTCTCAGTATCTCCGAATTTTCGAAAATCGATCTCGAATCGAGGTTTGCATATGACGATCGACTTGTGTGCATGGGTGACGTTAGGTATGATCAAAGGTCGTCTATTAAACGTCTATAACCGCAGCGCATAATCATTTGGCGATTTCAACCTTTAAACTTGAGATCTTGTTTGTCGATCGATTGATTGGTCTCTGAGACCACTGCAAGAGAGTGCAAAGATGTAGCCCCAATAATTTGGTTCATGGAAGAGTATTAAAAAAACTATTATATCATAAATAGATCACAAGCAATCCCTAAAGAACAAAGAGAGCAAGCAAGGTGACACCTTTCATTGACCATGTTTGTACAAGTAGTTAAACTAGTTGGCGATCTCCCTTCTTCTTCTTCTTTCTTAGATATATCTGTGTGAAGAACCATTCGATATTCTGTAGACAACCGCCGTTCCATTTAGAAAATGGTGGGTTAAACCCTCCGCAGCACCGCATCATCATCGTGAGCATCAAATCGAACATTCTCTTTAATAACAAAGAGGATAAAGAAGATAAATGTTTTAAATTGAATAGACAAGATATTCTGTATATTCTGACAACATGATTATCCTACCTCATATCTGAAAGAGTGACTATGAATTCATCATCTTTGCAAACGCTTGTCGAACAATTTTTTTCGAACTTGTTTGTGTGTGCAGCCCATTGATGATGTCATTGAACGATTTCGTATGTATAATAATAATGTGAACAATCGAAGAGTAAAAGAAGTAGATAGAAAAATGTGTATACAAGTACTTGAACAAACAATAACATAAAACATATAACATAAAACAATAATATATATTTGTATTGCACACCAGATAATGACGAAAACTTTTTATTCGCAAGTTCGTGAGAGGTTTTCGAGGTCACCCTGAATCGATTGCCCACCCCAATGTTGCACTTTAATATCTTTTATTTTTTTTCTCTCTTTTTTTGAGAAGAAGCTTAAAGCTAAGGTTTGTCCACGACATCATCCGTCCGTCTAAAGGTCATTGTCACACACAATCGTATAGATATTCCCTCAAGACTAGTCAATCATTCAATTATTATTATTATTATTCTATTATTTGATTGACCCCAACCCAGCTACACTATAGAGATTACATAAATAAACGTACAGTATATTTATAATTAAACAAATACAGTCATCTGTTACATCCACCTTTCTTCTCTCTCTCTCTACTCTTTCTCTCTTCGTCTTTATTGTTATTAATAATAATAAGAACAAACAACACCAAAGTAACAGTATTATAGTACCCCCCCCCCCCCCCCCCATAAAAGATGGAATTCAGACAACCCCTTCCTCCCACTTCCCTTTCTCTTTCAGTCATCACACACATCATAATGTGATTGACTCAATTTATTAATAGTTTAGAATAGAGATAGATAGATAGAAAGAGATAAAACTATTATAATTTGTACAAATGTCTAGACAAAAGAGGAATAATAATAATAGGAATAATAATAATAATAATCGTCGACATTTAAACATTAATAATATTGAAGATGATGAAACAGATTATTCTGATACAGCTTATTTATCTACACCAGGATTCTCTATAGGTAGTAATATATTAGATAGTCCAGATCTCAACGACATTGTTTCTATAGGAGGAACACATTCACCACTATTATTATCAATGGGTCTCAAAGGCAATACCAACCATAACGGGGCTTCATTTGAAGTAGACCCACAAGATGACGGCAAGATTATCTTTTTAGGGGAAACTCATACAGCTGAAGGATACGGCAACTACAAACCTACCACTAATCTTGGTTATATCTTTTGGTTGTTTTGGGTATGCTTTGCTTTAGCAGGTGTACAATTTATTTGTATGTATCAAATAGGACAAACAAACAATCATGATTTATATTTATATTTATACTTATTATATTTATATTTATTATTATTATTAGATTCAATTCAATTTGCATTGGGAACACCATTATTTAATCAAAAGTTTAAAATGACACCTTCGACCATTACCATTATTCAATCTACTGTTGGACCAATTGCAGGTTTTCTCATTCAACCAATTGTTGGTGTCTATTCTGATAATTCAACCAGTCGATTTGGTCGTCGTAGACCATACATCTTTGCAGGTGCTCTTGCATCGGTCGTTGGTATGTTGGCTATTGCCTTTTCGCCAGATATTGGTAAGGCGTTGGGTGACAACATCAGTGGGTTGACACCACACGACTATAGAGCCGGTATTGCATTTGCAGTGATTGGCTTTTTGATTATGAACGTTGCCATCAACATGATGCAAGGTCCATGTAGATCACTCATCTCTGATTTACTTGAACCCGAGAAACAACACATTGGCAATTCAATGGTCATGGGTGTCATGGGTTTCTCTAGTATCATTGCCAATATCATTGGTGCTCAACTATCAACCTATCCCAACTCTTATAGAAATCTTTTCCTCATTGGTACTGGTTTCACTGCCGCTTCTGTCATTCCAACTTTACTTGTTGCTAAAGAAAGACCTCAATCTCCATCAAGTATGTAAAAAAGAAAGAAAGAGAGAGACAGAGAGAGATAGTAGAGTTGAGTATATTATACACAACCATACATATATTAACCGCACTGTACATTTATTTAATTAATTTAATTTTAGGTGTTGAAAAGATTAAATCACCAATTCAAGTATTTGCAAAGATTGGAAAGGCATTTGTTTCAATGACTAAACCAATGATTATTATCTTTTTTGTATTCTTTGTATCATGGTTTGGTTTCAGTCCATACATGGTTTCCGTATGTATCAATCACTCAACAGTCAAGTCATCACCAAATAATATTAATATTAATTGTATTTTTTGTATTTATTTTTTAAAAGAATACAAATTTCTTTGGATCAAATGTTGCATCTGGAGATGATTATAATCAAGGATTGAAACTTGGATTTTACGCAACAGCAGCATTTTCTGCAACCCAATTCTTGTTTTCCTTCTTTTTACCACCATTGATCAAGCTTCTTGGTGTCAAGTTGATCTATTCTTTGACACAGGCAGTTGCAGGTGTTGCTTTGGTATTGTATGCCAAATTTGATTATCCAAGTATTCCAGTTGCCATTGTTCTCACGTCGGTGGTTGGTGTCAACTTTGCAACCTTTAACTCTATCCCCTACACACTCATGCTCGAGCATACACCAAAGAACGATGCCGGTCTCTATATGGGTGTACTCAACTGCGCAGCTGTCATTTCACAAACCATTTCCATCTATACTAGTGGTCTTGTTGAAGAGTGGAAGCACCAAAACTCTGCTTGGGCCATTGCCTATGGTGGTCTATTCTCACTTGCTGGTGTATTTTTAGTTTGGATTCTTCCAGTCGATCACAAAAAACAAGATGAATTGGATATTCAAAGTGAAAACAAACCATTGTTACGAGATGATCAAATTTAAAGAAAAGAAAGACATCTAATTATTATTTATTTACAAACAACACAACAAACATCCCTCCTCCTCCCATCCTCTCTTTTATGGATTCCTCATATCCGTTCCCTTTTTTTCCAAGCTCAAAAAAGTATTAACAAACCAAATTACACATATAAAAAACAATTTTAATGTTTATTACCCATATATATTATACATACATAAATACATTTCAAAGAGATATATATATTACAATTGGATTGACTGATTCAAGTAATGTTGAATAAACGATCAGATTTACGTACTTTAAAAAACGAACGTCAAATTTATTTTTGATTTTTTTTCTTTTTTCTTTTTTGATGGGGATGATCATTGATTGTGTCATTGCGTGAAATAGAGAGAGAGAGACAGAGAGTAGAGTAGTAGCGAAAAGAAAGAGATATATAGAGGAGAGAGGATGAATAGATTAGTACGTAGTGGATTGGTGTCGGCTAGTCGCGGTCCTACTTTGCAGACTATGGTTAGCAAGAGTTCAGTATGGTATCCTTCCATGTCACACACTAGCAATGTCATTGTCAGCACTATTGACAATAACAACAATAATAATAGTAACAATAGTAATAGTAATATGTTATATAGACAGTTATATAGTGGTGGATCAGTACAGGTACGTTACAACTTTTGGAATGATTTGGTGATCAATTTCAAGCAGATTGTTGACGAGAACCCAGAATACAAAAAGTCGATAGAAGACTTTAGAAAGACATTCCTTTGGTGGCGAAAGCCACAACCTACCGAAGAGGAATTGAAAAAGCAACAAGAAGACGAAGAAGCTGCAGCTCAAGCAGCTCAAGCAGCTCAACATGAACAACATCAAGCACAGCAACAACAACAACAAGAATCACCAGAAGGTGCTACAGAGGGAGACCAAAAGGAAAAGGTATATGGGAGCAAGGAAGAAGAGTTGCGTGACAAGTATAAAGAGTATTACAAGGATTATGACAAACGAAAAGACGAGGCTGATCGAATCAACAAGTTTAGAGGTGGTAATATGAATGCAGAACAGACTGCTCAATTGGTCAACGCATACAAAGAGACGATGGGAACACGTCCACCATACCCTCCTCGCAGTCGTAGAGATTATCGTGGATGTCAAGATCTCAGAGAATTGGCAGTCAGCCATGAAATGCTCCCATTACCATCACGTGTACCCTTTACACTCGAAACGTATCAACTCGATCCCGGTTACATCGCTGATCGCGAAGCTGATAGTTTCCCAGAGACCATTCAAATGCTCAAAGAATTGGAACAGAAATTATTGGCAGAAGGTGTCGAGTTGCCAGAGATTGATTGGGATTCAATTGACTCTTATGAACAATTGGAATTGCTACCATCAGAGTTGGCAGATACTTTTGACAAACCAATCGATTACGAACCCAACAATGTACCAGCCCTCTATGTAAGATCGGCCGCCAGATTTTATGATAGTCTTTGGGAACGTCAACTAGACTTTATCCACCGTATCTTTGAAAAGATTCCAGCCTTTGGTGGAAACTATATCTATTTCATAATGGGTCGTATCTCTGGTACCATCGCAGGTTTTGTTGGTGGTTATACTAGTTCTCCTGCTCTCACAAAATTCTATTTTGATTATCGTGATTTAATCATGCCTGGTTTTGAATTTAATAAATTCCTTCCTGTATGTATAAATGAAAGAAAGAAAGAAAAAGATATAAACGAATAATAATACTAATTATTAATTATATTATATCATTTAGATTGCAAAATCAAAATTTATTCCAGAGTTTTTGGAATTATATTTTGCAAATGATGTTGATGGATTAGAAGATTTTTGTGGTGAAACACTTCATAAAATGTTATCAGGTATCATTGCAGCAAATGAAGCTGGTCATAAAGTATTTGATGGTAAAATTGTTAAAATTGATACTTTAGATGTAAGGAAAAGGAAAAAAGAAAAATAGAAAAAAAAAGATATATATTAACAATATTTATTTATTTATTTAATTATAGTTTATGGGTATTAATGAAAGCGAAAATAGAGAGGAAACATATTTTTCATTTTTGGTAGTTGTTCATCATACCTATTGTATAAGAGATTATCAATTTGAAATTGTTGAAGGTGGAGATCACGAAATTATTAAAACTCAAATGATCGTACATATGTCGGTTGATACCGATTTGAATGAATTTGGTTGGTGTGTATCCAAGTTGGATGTTCATGTAAGTACTTACAATTTAAAATATTAAACAAACAAAAGTAATCGTGTATATATTAATCCAATTTATTTAAAAATATTTTTATTTGTAAATATGTAGCCATCAGAATCTATTTATCTTTAAAAATAATAAATCAAAAATAATAATACTAAAAAAAAATACATTTATTTATTTATTTATTTATTTGTTTGTTTGTTTTTGTATTAATCACAGAGAGAGACAAGTATTCATCTAAATTTCATTGGAAATTGCGTTGGGTATCAAGCAATTTAATTTAAGCAATTGTGGTGTCTTTTGGTTTTTTTTTTGATTTAAGATGTTCCCTTTTCAAATCTTTGATACATTTAGCTTTGATATATGTATATCTAATGGATACTACTACAGCAACAACTTCTACACCAATATATGAAGATAATACAAAGAATAATAATGAATCAATAACAGCATCAACATCAGAGTCTTCTTCATCTACTGCTGTCCCTGCAGCAGCAACACCAACATCTCCACCTCCACCACCACTACCACCAAGACAAGATGACTTTCTTTTATCAGATTATACACATGTTGACCCATGGAGAGTCCCTCAAGACCCTAAAACACATTTTAAAGCTGTCTTTATACCTTACAAACAAGAAGTAGATGTATTTCAAATTTATCTACCAAGAGATACTTCTGATTCTGATGCAGAGTATGTTACTACTTACTTATTACTATTACTACTCATATTTATATTAACAAACATTCTCTATTCTTTTTCTTTTCTCTCTTCCCTTTAGAGTCAAGAAAATGATGAAAGCAACGGCCATTTCAAAGAGATATCTAGCAAAGAAAGATGAATCTTGTTTGGTGATACAAGACTTTACTGTGAAACCATCGGACCCAGTAGCTGTACATAATCACAGAGCAAATGTTATTCTTTGTTCTAAAAAGGAACTCTATGGAAATGTTGTTCTTACATATCGTATACTTGATTCCGATAGAGTTTGGGCTGTTTGTCAAGACATGACAATGGAGATGTACGAAAAACTTGTTAAATATGTTGGTACTCCTCTATTTGATTTCAAAAACAATTACAAGAAACTTGTCAATTATGTTGAAGCTATTTGTGTACCAACAGATTTTAAATATCCAAGTGAAGATGAAGTATGTAAATCAATCATGATTGAACAAACAAAAAAAACCAAGACTAATCTCTTTCTCTTTCTCTCTTTCTTTTCCTTTTCTTTTCTAAGACATGGGTATCAGATAAATTACCACATTCAATATTAAATGAATATTATGCAACTATTGGTAGAGGAACATTCCAACCTGTCAAACATGAATATGCAAATGGTGGACCATTTGCTTGTTTTTATAGTGTTGTCGATGGTGATAGTAAAAAGACATTTGCATCAAAACCATTCAAACAATTAAAGGCTGCTCAGAGTAACCTTGCACTCAAACTATTACACTATTATCTTGGTATGCAAAACCTAAAGTTGCATGGTATCCCCTTTACAGATACCGATACTAGTTATGAAGAATTTGTAGAGTACCAAGAACAATTCACAAAAGAACAAGAGGAAAAAGCATTGGCCAAAGCAAACAAAATGGAAGTAGATCAAGTTGTCATTTCTAAAACATCAGATCCAAAAATGCAAATTGAATCTCAACTAAATGCTCAACATCAACTACATCAACAACAACAAAATTTGGATAATAGTACATCTACCTCTACTACTTCTACTACTGAATCATCAGAAACCAAATATATAATGGTATTTGATAAATTTAAAATACCAGAGGATAGTGTTATTATGACTCTTGGTGAAGATAGAGTGACAAAGTTTATTATTAAACAGGGAAAGGGAGAATATCCAACATTTGGTACAAAGATTATTGCAAAGTATCAAACCTTTTTGGCAGATGGTACACCAATCGATGACAAGATTAGACAAGAGACGTTTGATATTGGAATGACATCGTGTATTAGAGGAATGGAGTTTGCAATGTTTAATATGAAACAAGGTGAAAAGGGGTTACTCAAAGTCGAACCAGAGTATGGGTATGGTAAGCTAGGTGCCATGCCATTGGTCCCACCCAATTCAACACTCGTCATTTACATTGAAATTCTCAACATCCAACACAAGACAACACCGGCACAACAAGAGATTGATAGTTTAACACCACAAGAAAAGTTAGTGGCAGTTGAAAAGTGTAGAGCCGAAGGTAAACATTCATTCGAGAGAAAGTGTTATGGAAAGTGTATCAAGATCTACAAGAATGCACTCAAATATTTGGATCCTACCAACCTTGGTACAGTTACTCAAGAGGAATGGACAAAGGTGTTGACCTATGGAACATCAATGTGTGTCAACTTGGCAATGTCCTATGCCTCTATGGGTATTTGGGAGAGATGTAGAGCTTATTGTACTATGGGTATCACCAACTTTGAAGATGAGGTATCCAAACCTTATTATTGGCGTGCTAAAGCAAACATCCATCTCGAACAATATGTCTATGCCTTTGAAGACATTGAAACTGCTATTGGACTACTAGAAGAAACCGATATTGAAACCAAAGAACGTTTCAACAAGTATCGTGATTACATCAAAAAACATCTGGATCAAGAAAACACAAAAGAAAGAAAGACCTTTGAAAAAGTATTTAATACCTTGGCAGATGAACCAGATTTCATCCCAAAACCAACATTTAATAGTCTCTATGATGACGACAATGAACTAGAGGAACAAGATGATGATAATATTGAAATGGATATGGATACTTTAAATTCAATCATTCAAAATAATAATGATGAATAAATAAATGAATCATGATTTGTAAATTTACCCAATCTTAGGATTTAAAATATTAAGATAGGAAAGTTAAAAGGTTTGATTTAAATCAAATTTTTACGTCTCTCTCAAAAAAAAACAAAATTAATTAATAATCCAGACTTTGTATCATTTTTTTAAGGCTCACTTCCCCTTTATATACATACTCTGTGTGTTATTGTTGAACGATAAGTTAACAGAAACAAAAGTATGTATATTATGTATTTAGAGATAAACAAATACATATTTAAATTTATTAATTTTTAAAAATATCTTTTTTTTTTTGTTTTTCTATCTTTCACAAAGATCATCATGGTCACACATTCAAAATCACAACCTCCTAAATCAGTACCTTTAGTTTACCCAGACAACTATGATTTAGTTGATAACGAATTAATTAAAACAAATAGACCAAGAACAAAACTATTGATTAATCATGCTGCATTGGAGCTGATCAAGAGTCATTGTGGTAATCAGAATGTCACTGTCTTGTCGGTGAATGGTCTTCTTCGTGCTGGCAAGTCATATCTCATCAGTAGAATGTTAGGATCAAGTAATGCCTTTTCCATTGGGTGTTCTACCGAGTCGGTTACACATGGTATTTGGATTGCAACAACCTTTCCAGAACATAAAGGTAAACGTGTCATTCTGATGGACTGTGAAGGTCTTGGATCAGTTCAATCTGGTGCCAGTGCCAATCATGACATGTCTATCTTTTTACTATCTTGTCTATTGTCAAGTACTTTTGTATATAATACTTTTAATGTTCCAACTGCTCATGATTTAGAACAACTTGGGTAAGTCTATATCTCTCTCTCTTATATAAAAATATTACTTATTATTATTTTATTAACTTGCTTTCTTCCCTCTCTCTCTCTCTCTCTCTCTCTCTCTCTCTCTCTCTTTTTTTTTTTTACAGAGTTGTAACAAGTCTTTATAAAAGATTAAAGATTAAAGAAGGAGAGAATATTAAGAATCCACAACATCTTGTCAAACATATGCCACATTTTGTTTGGGTGTTGAGAGATTTCCATCTACAACCAACTGTCAATGGAGTTGATGTTCCTATTCAAGAGTATATGAACCATGTGTTGGCACAAAACAATGATGTGGGTCTTAGTGATGGAGAGAATATGCAGAATAATGTCAGACAGGTACTACTCACCTTTTTCAAGTCGTTTACAACAATGACCGTTGCCACACCTACCTCTAACAAGGATATCATCAACAGAATGGATACTGCCAAAGAAAGTGAATTAAATGCAGACTTTGTTGTTCAAATGGCTCATCTTGTACAATTCCTAATTGATGGTTTGATTGAAAAGACTGGTTTTAATGGTTTACCAATTGATGGTACAAGTATGTAAATTTAATAACATATTTTGTATATATATATATTTTGATCATTATTATTAACTATTTATTTATATATTTATTTTCTCTTTTTAGCATTTACTTATTTAGTTCAAGCATATACAAATGCAGTAAATGATCCAAATAATATTCCAACTTTGGAAGGTACTTGGGAAAGTGCAATTAAGATTAGAATTGATTCAACTATTCGTGATGCTGAAAGTTTCTACATCAACGAGATGAATGCTCAGTTTGCCGAGGCACCATTCCCAATGGAATATGAAGATTTGTTGAAGATCCATGCTACAGTGATCACTGAAACCAACAAAAGGGTCAATCAGGCAGTCGGTCATTTATGCAATGACATTCAGTTGGAAGACATTGCCATTCGTATCAAGAGATTGCTATGTGACATTGAAATCAAAAAGGTGAATGGAAAGGATCAAGTTGAAATCATTGGTGGAGTATTGTACACTTTCAAGACAGAGAATGAAAAACAGTCAGAAGTACAGTGCAACAGAGTCATGAAACCATTGGGTGATACATTCTACCGAGACTTTCTCCACAACATGTCTTGTGATTTCCCACAGGTGTTGGCAGCTTTGGATCCATTAAAAGTTGTATTCCTAAAACAAGCAATTGGTCCAGCCAAGAACGCAGTCCTTGCTCATTTTGTAGAGACTGTTTTAAAGAATGAAGAGCAATTCAAAAAGCTCAAAGGGTACAACAAGGATCTCAAAGAACAAAGAGAACGTAATGAAAAGTGTGAAGCTCAAGTCAGAGAATCTGAACAAAGAATCAAGGATTTATCTGCCACTTTGGAGAATCAAAAGAAAGAGTTGGTAGAGACTGTTGCATCGTTGCACCAAAAACACGATGAGAATATGACCAAACTCCAAAAAGATATGGAACAACAAAGAATAGATGCTGACAATAGAATCGCTCAAGCTGAAGCTGCACACAGCACTACATTGGCAACTCAACAAGCTCAATTCAAAGCTGAAATGGATTCCGTGACCTCTAAAATGAATACATTACATAGTGAATTACGTGCTCGTAATGCATCTAGAAGAGGTGGTTTCTCTATTAGTATTGGTCCTTTAACTATTGGATTTTAAATGTAAATAAATAATTAATTAATTGCAAAGTATGGAAAAAATAAAATGAATGAGTCGATTGATCAAGTTCACTCAGTTTACTTCACAGTTCTTGTATTTGTATATTATATATTATTTAATTCACAATACAATCATGCAAACGATTGAAAGAGAAAGTTGTAGAGGAATCATAGAAACAGAATCAATAGATCAATGTTATAGTTTATTATTTGCAAAGAAACAAGATAGAGGTCTATCATGGATATCAAAAGAACAATATATTCGTAATGATATTAAATGTCATTATGATCAATGTATAATATGTAACAATAATAATAGTAGTAATAGTAATAATAGTAGTAGTAGTAGTACTACTACTATGAGTAATAAACAAAAGAAAGAAGAACAAAAAAAGAAAGAACTATTACAACAACAAAAACAACAAAAGACAACTATCAATGCTAAACCAATCATCATAGCAGATATTAAAGTTATATCAGAATATTTGGATATATTAGAATTGGAATCAGTAAAGAATAATCAAACATTGGTAGTATTGGAGACTGTATTTAGATACATACAGTATAATAGTGGTCCAAAGTTCTTTGATCGTTTGAAAAAGTTGATTACTAGTAATCCAAATGGTGACAAGGTTATCTACTTTACAAATGATCTAAACAAACAAACTCAATTGGACAGAGAACAAGATAAAGACAAAGGCAACAACCAATCAGAATCAATCGATACCTATGAGAGTAGAAGAATTGTAAATGCTGCTAGATGGTTTGGTCAACATTTGCATGATCAAAAGCATCTTGTCAAAGTTCCAATCTATTTGATTACAAATAATGATCAAATGATTGATATTGCTAAAAAGACAAAACAACTTGGAAAAGAGACTCAAGATGGAGATATAAAGATACTTGGATTAAAAGAATATTTGTATCAATATTATAGTGGTAATACTAGTGTACTGGATGTATATGAATCATTGACATTGATGATAAAGGAAAAACAACTAGAAGAACAAAATAATACATCGTCGTCATCGTCGTCATCATTGTACGAACGGTATTGGGATGATGATATTAAGGCCGTTGAGCTAAAATCTGGAAACATTGTGTCTGGCAAGATACACATCAACCAATTCAACAGAGAAGAGGCATTTGTAAAGATACAAAGCTCTACCATTGCAAGTACACGTGGAGGACATGGTGACAAGATTATGATCATTGGAAAGAAAAATATAAATAGAGCTATTCATGGTGACAAGGTTGGTATATTTGTATTACCAGAGTCAGAGTGGATGGATCAATCAACTAGCGCTAGTGTATTGGGAGATCTAGATGATCAAAAAGATGATATGATTGCAGAAGAAAACAAAGAAGAGGATCAAGTATTATCATCAATCCAAACAACCAAAGCAAACAACAAAAAGAATGAAAAGAAAATAATGACAGCCAAGGTAGTTGGTATTTTCCAAAGAAATTGGAGAGATTATGTTGGTACAATTGAAAGTGGATCTACGGTTTATAGTAACTTTGTTAATGTAGTTCCATTGGATTCACGTATTCCCATTATTCGTGTAGCAACAAAGAGTGCTGAAGCATTTGTAAACAAGAGAATTATAGTTAGAATCGATCGATGGGATTTGAGTAGTTCGTATCCTGCCGGTCACTATGTTTCGTCGGTTGGTGAAAGAGGTAGTTTAGAGACAGAGCTGGGATGTTTGATGGTAGAGCATGACATTTCTCTCAGACCGTGGTCCAAGCAGATTCTCGACAGCCTGCCCACATCAGACACATGGAGTATCCCCAAAGACGAACGAAAAAAGAGAAGAATCATGGCAGACTCTGGACATCGTGTGATGAGTATAGATCCGCTGGGAAGCAAGGATATCGATGACACTATATCGCTGGCACGGTTGGATGGCGACCGAGTCATTGAAATTGGTGTGCATATTGCCGATGTTACTCATTTCGTAGCCAAGGGTAGTCCTTTGGACATTGAAGCACAGAGAAGAGGCACGACCATCTATTTGCCAGACCGAAGATTCGATATGTTGCCAGCCGTCCTCTCTGAGGACCTGTGCTCGTTGTGGGGTGGCAAGGAACGTTGCGCGATGAGTGTCGTGTGGCGTATGGAGCTCGACGCCACCACGCAAGAATACAAGATTGTCGACAGCTGGTTTGGAAAGACTATCATCAACTCGTGTGGTGAGTTTCACTATCAACTGGCACAGGATATTATCGATGGCAAGGTGGTCGATGGTAAAGACCGCGACGAAGACGTAACCAACGGAGGAAAGAATGCAGGATACCGTAACCGTTTGCACAACAATGTAAAGATTGCTCAAGTACGACAAGACATGCTTTTGCTGCGTCAAGTATACCGTCAACTCAAAAAGAGAAGAGAATTGGCTGGTGCACTTGACCTCGAGAGTATAGAGGTTCGTTTCACCTTTAACGAATCAACCAAAACACCCGACCGTATCGTACTAAAGAGTGATCTAGAAGTTCATTCACTCGTTGCCGAATATATGATTCTCGCCAATGCTGCAGTTGGTACACGTATCCATCAATACCATCCTGGTGCTGCTCTACTTCGTAGACATCCTCCACCCAACCAACTAGGGTTCTCCAACATTCAACAATTATTTGATATGTTTGGTTTTCCATTTGACAGTTCGTCCAACTCTAGGCTAGCAGAATCACTCAAAAATGCCGTGGTGCCAGGCGACCCACTAGCCAACCAAATCATCAAATTGAAAACAGTCAATGTCGTATCAGAGGCTGTCTACTTTTCGACTGGTGGTTTCAATGTTGACGATTTCTACCATTATGGTTTGGCACTCAACAAATACACCCATTTCACATCACCAATTAGAAGATATGCAGATATCATTGTTCATCGTCAACTGATGGACGCCGTATTGACCAAACCTGCAGATCAAGACGATCACTCGATGGCCATATTGGCCGATCACCTCAACCTTCGTCATCGTGCCTCAAAAACACTTCAAAGAGAAGCCACTCAAATGTTTCAAAGTCTCTATTTCCAACATCATCCAAAACCAAATGTTGAAGCTATCATTACTGATATTAGATCAAATAGTGTTATTGTTTTAGTTCCAGAGTAATGTCAAACAAATAGAAAAAGAATAATAATTATAATAATAATTTGTACTTATACTTTTTTTATTTTTTTAGATATGGATTAAGAGATAGAGTTTATTTATTAGATAAAGATGGTAAACCTATAATGCCAAGTGATGATAATTCATTTAAATCAAAGATTCAATCAATGGTATTTAATGAAACCAATGTAGAATTCAAGTTGGAGGATGGTACAAAGAAACAATTGTCTATATTTGATCATATTGTAGTTAATATTCATACACAAGAGAATGATTATCATTTACCACCTGTAAAGATGGACTTTGTTCAAATATTAAAATCACAAAACAAAAATACATTGTTTAACAAGGAACAAGTTTCAAAAAAGAGTATTGTTGATCAAATTAAAAAGGATGAAAAGTCAAAGGATCAGATGGATCATAGAGATACTACATCAAATCCATATGGTTTCAATTTAAATCAACAAGAAAAGGAAGAGGAACAAGAAAAACTACAAGGAGGAAAATCATCAAAACATCAACAATCGATTTACGAATTGATAAAAGATTTGGATGATTTGAAATTGGAAAAGATTGAACAAGTTGGATCGAGAATAGATTATTCAAAAGGAAAGACGATTGTTAAAAAAGAAAAGGAAGGAAAAGTATTGAAATTATGGTCAATGAATGACAAACAATCAAAAGAATATAGAACCAAAGCAGATCAATATTTACGTGATGCAATCAGTAAACAATATAAACAACAGAGATTATTGTATCTTAAACAACAACAACAAGAAGATGGAGATGATGAATACTATGATGAAGAATATGAAGATGATAATGAAAAAATTGCACCAACCATATCAGTTAAAGATAAATATGGTGATTTAATTAGTAAAACTGAACAAGGTCATCTTAAAGCACTTCGAGATTTAAGTCTTAGTAAAAGGAAATTTAATTAAACTTAATAATAAAATTTTACACCGTTAAAAAAAACGAATCAACTTTTGCTAATTTAATGAAGCTACTTTTACATTTAACATAATTAATCTAGTACTTTCTCTCTATATATATAAAAAGATGTTTAAAATTAAAGTGATTGATCATGATGGTTCGTTGATGTCTGACATATTAGTCGACGACAATACGATTAGAGTATTCAAAAACATCTGCATTTGTCGAAAACACTAAACAAGGTAGTGGAGATGGATAAAATGAATCTATGTTTGATTAAAGATGGACAAGAGATTAGTATTGGAGAAGATGATGCTTTGCTATCAGATTTTGGATCAACAACAGATTTTATCATCAAAATATTAAATCATAAAAGTACAACAACAGATATTGGAGAAAAGAGTCATGTGCCAATAAATACAAATCATCGACGCCACAGATGCCAAATGGATGTGATGGAATTCGAGACATCTCTTGCCAAGTATAAATACTTGGTATCAATAATCAACTGCTACACAAAATATAGATGGATGGTTCCAATCAAAAAGAATGATGCTCAATCAATAGTGAATGCATATGATTCCATTGAAGATATTAGAAATGAACCCTTTGAGATACTTCAAACTGGCAAAGGAAAAGAATTAAACTATGGTAAAGTATTATTATTTTTAAATATATATAGATTTAATGTTTCATTTCTTTTCTTAAATTATAGAATTAATAGAGACCTATTGCAAAAAGGTTGGAACCAAGAAAATAAACTCTTCAATTGGTCAACCCCACTGGAACGGTGGAATAGTAAAATCAACAAGGGATGCTCTCTCCAAATATGTAGACATGACAAATTGGGAGACACATATACCACATATACAAGAATCTCTTAACAACCAAATGCATAACACAATTAAAATGGAGCCAAAAACCTGTGAGAAATTTATAGATCCAGATGGATCAAAAGTAGATCCAATTGCGGTAAACAGGATATGATATCAAAAAAATTAGATAAAGTTACACTGTCTGTATTCAATCTAACAATATATGGTTTTTTTTAAAGCGCATGGAACAAGCACAAGATATGTATAACCGTTCTCTTGCTCGTCGATCTGCCAAAAAAATTGGCAAATGATTTGGAGAGCAGTGTATTGATATCAACCACTACAACAACCCAACCAAAAATAAATGAAATGAAACCAGACATTAGTGTAAATAGACAACCTAGAGAATAAAAAAAAATAATTAAAACAGTAATAGTAAATTGAATATTTAAAATTTAATGGAATATACCAAAAACTAGTCAGTTATTTATAGTTTGATATATTAATAATTTATGCATTGGAAAATTTATTAAATAATCCAACATTTCGAGGTTTCATTGGTGATGCAGGTGGAGATGATTGACCCATTGTACAGTCTCCACCAGTGGTTGCAAATCGATCAATCTTGCATTTGATTGGTGACACATCGGGGAGTGGACCAAAGTCTTGAAGATTCTTTTGTTGTTGTTGGTGTTTGGTTCGGTTATGATTGATGGGAGTGATTGGTTGTAAAAATGGTGATTGTTGAATTGAATATGGTGAGGAGCAGTCTATGGAACTCATCATACTATTATCTGAAAATGGTGTATATGGCATGTTGTTGTTTGGTGAATGAATTTGATTATATGGTTTTAATGTATTATTAATAGGTGTTAAAGGAATTATAAAATTATTATTATTATAAATATTATTATTATTATTTGTTATATTATTATTATTATTATGTTTGGAAAATGAATTTTCATCAAAATATAAACTATTATTATTATTATTTTGATTATTTTGATTATTATTAAATGGACTACAAGGTATTCTTTGTATATAACATGATTGTTGTTTACTATTATTATTATTATTATTATTATTATTATTTTGATTAAAATTAAAATTACTCATTGGAGATGGAAATGGTGATGCAGTTGTATTTGAGCTTGATTCAAAATGATTATTGTGATTATTATTATTCTCAAGAAGAATTGAAACTCCAACATCAGAACAATCATTATCCTGTTGGTATTTACATATATCTGGATTTGGTGACATTGATTTTCTTTTAATTCCCTATTTAAATAATAATAATTTAATAAATTAATAATTTTGAATAAAATAATGATTGTTATTATTTGTTTTAATCATACATAAATCTCAAAAGATGGTCTTTCAAAAAATTCATTGGTTTTAAGTTCATCTTCAGTTTTCCATCTTTGAATTGATTGCATGTCCATGGAATCATCACAAGAGATTGCATTTGTTTGGTCCAAGTCCTCTACGGTAATATTTACAGGTAACAAGGCGGATAGTGTATCTATCGATAACTCGAGACGATTATTATTAATATTACTATTATTATTGGTTGAAGATTTATGACTATATTGTTGTTGTTGTTGGTGTTGAGGAGTTGGAGGGAAAAAAAAACTATTATTGGCCGAGCTTATCGATGTGTTGTGTTGAATATGATGATGTTGTTGTTGGCCAAAAGGAAAATCGGAAGAATTGGTAGACTGGATACTTGACCTCATCATTGAAAATGAGAGTGATTCATCCTTGTTGTAATTGAATATGGCGTTTCGATTGACGACACTGTCGGTACTGCTGCTACTACTGGCACTTGAAAAATCCCTATTGTCGGGTAGGGTCCATGATGGAAATTCTGGAAAATGGTTGACACTCGAGCTTTTTGGTCCTACAAAAGGATTAACCTTTTTCTTTTTAATATTCTTATTATTATTATTATTATTATTGGTTGTTGTTTTTGATCTATTATTAACGATACTATTTGACATCATTTTCAAAAAAAATAAAAAATACCCTTTTTTGTATAAAATAAGAATAAAAGTGTGGAAGAGGGAAGAAAGATTATATTATAAAAGTAACAACAACAACAACAAATAGATATAAATACAATAAATAGATATCTTCCACTCTTCTCTTTGTTTGTACAAATAGGAGGGTATTTAGAGTGAGAGAGAAAGATAATAAGAATACACTTAAATTAACCTTTATACACAGAGCCAATGAATGTTGCACATTTTTCATTCCGTTGGTGCCGCCCAATGAAAGACCCCTCCTAATTTTTTTTCAAATTTGAATTTTTTTGTTTGTTACATTTTTTTAGAGAAAGATCTACCGCCAACCATAGTTGTAAATATTGGTGGGTTTATTTAAATCTAGATTCATATCTGTGTGTGTGTAAATCTAACTTTTTATTTCGAGACATATCATTGACGAAATCATTAATGTAATGATGTCATATATATAGATAATATGAATATAAATCTGTTGACTAATAATTAGTCATCATCATTCAACTTTCGTAGAGTATAAATCCAATCCATTGCAAACGACAATCATTTGTTAACAATCAAAATAGTTTTAATGAAGTTTTTAGTGTCTTGTCTTTTCTTATTATCAATCATGGCTTTGGGCTCAATGGCCATTCCTGCTTGTCCATCTGGCAGTATTTGTTTATTTACTGGTGACAACTTTGATGGTAAAAGTTGGGAATGGACTAAAAAAGATGGTTATCATGATATGCCAGCTGATTTTCATGATAATGTAAGTAAAAAAATAAATATTATATCACCAACACAGTGGTTAAATATTGATTCTAATGATTAAAAATTGTTTGGATCATTTAGGTTGGATCATTTGTTGCTAGTACAGATGGTTGTTTTATTAATTGGCATCCAAAAGAAGCTCGTCCTGTAAATTCTGGAGACTATAGAATTAATTATGGTGGTGATTTTGGTAACAGAATTGACGGCGTTGATGCTGTTTGTTAACAAAATAATAGAAAAAATAATAACAATTATGATTATTATTTTTATTATTTTTAATCATCAAAAAAAAATTGATGATCAATATTCAATATTATTACTATTATTATTTATTATTATTATTATCTTTTTTTTTCTATTATTATTGTTGTTTCAAATTTTAATCATCTTTAATAATATTTTTTAATTCATCAAATACAATAATTTTTTCGATAATTTTACCCTTTTCCTTTCCACGTTTAAATTCTTCTTGTTCAATCTTTTTCCAATCATCAAATGTGATGAGGCTGTGTTGTTTTTGATGGAGAATGTCAATGATACCTTGGTAACCATCGACCTTGTGATTGTAGAGATTATTGTCGTAATCCTCTTTGATGCTCTGTGCAGTCTCTTCTGTATCCATGCTGACGTTGACAATGGTACCTGTTGGCCCAGACTTTATCCATCCACTGACATAGAGACCCTTGATGACACCTTGCTTGTCATCCTCGTGCAACACCTTTCCATGTCTGTTTGGGATACACACTTTTTTGAAATCAAATGGTACCTGTTGGAATTTAGTGCCAGTGTATCCAATACTTCTAAAAACAGTGCCACACTTTAATTGTTCACTATCTCCTTTTATAGACTCTGCCTTTACACTTCCCTTTCCATCATCCACCAATTTATTTCTTCCCAACATTATACTTGAAACATTATTATCAACACTATTATTATTAAATTCGGTTGGAGATCTAAGGAAATGGAATATTAAATTCTTTTTTCCTTCTTCATCCTTTTTTTCAGAAACTGGTTTTAAATGATTAATAAATAAATCAACTATTTTTCTTTGTGCTCTATCCATTTTGTTTACTAATAAAAAGAAAGAGAAATTAGATAAATAAATAAATAAATAATAATAATAATAATCATCATTACTACATACATTCATCTTCAGTAAATTTTAAAGTTGATGGATCATTTACATAGGCATTGATATTTGGTAATTTTAATATTTCTCTAACTTCCTTTGTTGTAAATGCTACTTGAGCAGGTCCTCTTCTACCAACAATATTTATATTTTTAACTTTGCTATTTGCAATCTTTTCCAATGCAGGCGATGTTATATCGGTTGATGACAATTCATCAGTTGGTTTTAATAACATTCTTGCAACATCCAATGCTACATTTCCTTGTCCAACAATAACAACATCTTCATTTTGTAATAAAAATTCTTTTCTACAATATTTATATTAAATGATTTGTTAATATAAATATAAATATATATATACGTATCTATTATTGTTTTTTGTTTTACTTTTGATAATCAGGATGACCATTTAACCAACTAACAAAATCTCTTGCAGAATAAATATGATTTGATTGTTCACCTGGTACACCTAATTTCTTTTCACCTTCAATACCACAAGCCAAAACAATGGCATGAAACTTGCTTTGAATGTCATCAAATGTGATATCCTTTTCAATGTTTACGTTTCCTACGAATCTACAATTCGATGGATGATCGGTAATAGTCTTTTCCAAAGTGTTCTTTACCTTTTTTTCGTTTTGATGGTCTGGTGCAATACCATATCTTATCAATCCATATGGTACTGGTAATCTAAATAATAATTGATATAACATTTAGTATATTGATGTAGATGTATCTTGTGATCAGGTGATATATATATATTACTTTTCTAAAATGGTGATATTTGCATCTGGTAGTTTCTTGTAGACTCTGTTTGCAGTGTATAAACCTGCTGGTCCACTACCAATGATGCATAGATGAAAGGGTGGTTTGTTTTCAGCTGCTGCTACTGTTGTTGTTTCACTCGTTGATGAAGTTGAACAATAGAATCTTTGAGTACTGTGAATGATCTTGTTGTTGGTGAGTAGTGATGCCGACGATTTGATACACCTGCTCCCATTTTGTAAAAGTATTGATTTAATCATCTACCTATCTATTTATCTATCTATCTATCTGATATGCTATTACTGTTTGTGTGTAATAATAATAATGACAAAGAAGTGAAGTGATCGTTAAACCAAAGTAAAACGAATCAAATAAAAGAATGCAATGCAAATGCCGAATGTTCGATTTTAAATTAATTGACAGCTAATTCACACTGCACATCTGGGCTACCTTTTGAATACAAATATTATATCCCCAAATCATGATATGTGTACAAACTAATAGATGGTGTACATTAAGAGTAGAAGTAGTGGTAGTAGTTATTGATATATTTTCATTTAAATTAAGATATGATGTGTTCAGGGAGTATGCGACAAGCGCAGTACTCCCCACTCCCAGAAATTAGCTAGTTCCCTCACCGTAATGGTTGAGGGAGCTAAAAGTCATCTCAGGTGTGCAAGAGAGAGTCTTTTTAGTCACCAAACACCTATATGATCATGTTTGACAAACCAGCAGGTAAGTATGAGCTTGACATCACCATATTAAAAATTATTTATCCTAATTTAGAACCGACCCTGCTTATGGGAGTTTTTGGTCAATGCATTGTCGAAATTTGACAAGCAATTTTGTCTTTGAGTTTCATTCTGATCTGCACCGTGGTACTCTCCTTTGTATTCTTTCAAAAAGAAATAATAATAATAATCTTATCTTTTTTTTTTTTTTTTTGATAATCTTTAATATTTTATACATTTATTCATTTTATTTTATTATTACAATCTTTATGTATTGTCTTTGTTTATCTAGATAACTTTATGTGGACCAAATAATTCGTAATGAATATTAGAGACTGGTACACCCATAGATAAGAGTTGCTTGGCTACTTCTTGCATAAATCCTACTGGACCACAGGTATAGTAGTGCATATCATCTTGTTTGATGAGATCCTTATCGAGTTGTGAAAGGTTGATACGACCAGCAAAGGTATTGTCGACTTGGAGAGCACTTGGAGAAACCTCGCTCAAGAATTGGAAGCTCTTAAACTTTGGAAGAGTGGCACCAATCTTTTCAACTTCTTCGTTGAATGCACGGGTGGATAGGTTTTGGGCAGCGTGGACCCAGTTGACTTGGCCCTGGTGTTGGCTGGTTTGGAGGTAATGGAGCATCGACAAGAGTGGCGTTTGACCAACACCACCAGAGATGAGTGTGACTGGAGTGTTGGATGTGATCGACGAGGCATTGAGGAAGAAATCACCACGTGGGGCAGCTGCCTTGATCACATCACCGTCTTTGGCAACTTCGTGTAGAAAAGATGACACTCTTCCATCTTGTTCCTTTTTGACTGCGATTCTATAGTATTCGGTGTTTGGTTCGAGGGTCAAAGAATAGTGGCGAATCTCTCGGTTTTCAAACGATGGATGGTCAATGTAGACACCCAAGTATTGGCCGGGTTGGTATGATACGACTTTGCCTCCGTCGACTGGCTTGAGAAGGAAACTAGTGATGGCATCACTTTGCTTTTCCTTTTTGACAATGGTGAATTCACGTGTACCTCTCCATCCACCAACCATCTTTTCGGCTTCAGAGTAGAGTTGTTCCTCTCGCTTGATGAAAACGTCTGCCAAAACCTTGTAGGCGTCACCCCATGCGTTGAGGATTTCTTCACCTGGGTTGAACTCTTCTCTGATGGTTTCGAGTAGATGCAAACCGACAATGGAATACATCTCTGGTGTGATGTTGAAGCTGCAATGCTTTTGAGCAATTCTTTCGACGGCTGGCAACAATGCTCCGAGGTTTTCAATGTTGACGGCATAGGCACAGAGCGAGTCAAACAATGCTTGTGGTTGGCCTCCCGAACGTTGGTTTGACATATTGAATATATTCTTGAGTTCTGGGTTATGAGCAAACATTCTACTCTCTGGCACGCCAATCGTAACAACGTGCAACAATTTCATTTTCTTCTTTTCTTTTGTTTGCTAATATACATGACCACTCTAGAGATTGATACCCAACAAAAAGTTGCTAGTAATCAAAACACGACGAGAATACTTTAATCCCCATTTCATTCTTCCTTGTTCTTCTTCCATCTCTTTGATCCTATCTTTTAATAATTCAACTTCTGCCAAAATTGCTTGTATTTGTGTTTCTAATCTATGTACAATTTCTATAGAAAATAAAAGTAATTTAATTAATTAATTAATTGTTGTAAACATTGAACAAATAATCTCATGATACAATACCATCTTTTGTTTCATAATTATTATGTTGTTGATTCGAGGTTAATCTATAAAGATTATTGGTACTACCATTATTACTCTGTTGATATTTTGATGATAGGTATGGACTCGGAAGTGTATTATTACCATTATTATTATTATTACCAATATTATTAAAAGAAGAAATGTTGAATGGTAAAAAGGAGGGTGATGGTTGTTGTTGTTGTTGTTGTTGTTGAAGGTGATAATTGGTTGTTGTAGTAGTTGTGGTTATAGTATTTACAGGTTGTGAGGAGATGTTATGAATGTTGTTGATACTTGGACTGTTGCTTAGTCCATAGTTTGCTAGATTTGGATAACTTATTGCTGTTATGTTGTAATTGGTTTCACGTGGTGTGTGACGTGGTCTTGATATCGTTGATGGAAAGCATTTGACCGAGTGACATGTTGACACCCTCCTTGGTCTTGATGACTGGCAATTGATCTCTTTCTTGTACCAACTTGATGTCTCTCTCCTTTTCGAGTTGGAGATCAATCTTGAGTTTCTTGACGATCTTTTCTGGCATCTCTTGGATGGTCAATCCTTGTTCGACTTGCTTTACATATCTTTCGGCCTTTTTTTCGATTTGAAGAGCCTTGTAGAGAGTTTGTTGATGCTCTTGTGGAACGGGACGGTAAGACATACCGGCCGATGGCAATTCGACAGACTTGGAAGCCTTGACCAATTTGTTGTGAGTTGGACGGGGATGGTAGACGTCCTCTTCATTGGTATGTAGATAGCTGTTTTGGTCGATTTCCTGTTCCTCCTCCCACAAGTCTTGTGTCTTTCTCTTGTTCTTGCCGGCCAACTCGTTCATCATTTGCTTTTTTTTGTTTGGTGTTGGTTTGTTCATGTCTTGGAGGTATTCGTTGCTGTATGGTTGCGACTTTTTCTTTTGTAGATTGTTGACGGTTCTTGTGAGTAAATCTCTTCACTCGAAAGTACATTTGTCGTTACATTCTTATTCTTTGAGATCTCTTCTACATTGTCATTTGATGACAATATTTTCTCTGCTCTTGTCAATTTATTTTTTGCCAATTCTTTCTTTTGTTCTCTTTTATTTAATAGTTTTGGTGTTTCTTTAACTAAATATAGATAGATAGATAGATAAATATTAATATTAAAAAGATATCATTTCATTCGCTTTCTCTTTCTCTTTACAAACCTGTTTTACTAATAGTGAATAATTGTTTATCTGATTTCTCTTCAACTGGAAAAACCTTCATCAATTGTCCTCGTTCGGTTTTCTCACCAAACATTTAATTTTCGATTTTTCATTCTTTTTTTTTTTAATTATAATAGGTTTTATTCGAGTTGCAAGCATAGTATATTTCGTTGAACAAACATAAAGATAGATAGATAGATAGAAAGATAGATAGATAGATAGATTTCTATAGAACTTTGTTGTCAAGGCTGGTCCAGTTCCTGCAATCAATGGAATAGTTGATTTTACAAGCTCAATAGTTCTTGGTGAAAGTGACATTTTCTAAAGTTAATAGTAGTAGGTAGATAGTGATAATTATAAATAGAATAAAGATAAGATATTAATATTTTGTTCAAATGTTAAAAGTTGATCAAGAACATCATCGACATTGTCAAAGATTTGTTTTTTTTAATGAAAAAAAATGAATTTCATGTTTGATTGCTTACTTTAAAGGTTGTGAGTTTATACACAGATAATTTTAAACACTATACAATGATGATATTGTGGATTAAACCTTTTTCAAAGGGGTATTTATAATCACTGATCAAAAATATTTAAATTATCCTAAAAACGAGTATATCGCAAGGCACGAGTATATCGCAAGGCAGTTGTACAAAAATGAGAACGATGAAGATTTCCGACATAATAAGTAATAATAGTACTAGAAAGGAGATAACAACAGAAGAGGAGGAAGAGGAGGAAGAGGAAGAAGAAGCAAAAGAGACAGAAGAAGAGACCGAAGAGCATGTCAATCTAAAAAAGACAATGATATCATTGTGTATCATTTGGGATACCAATATGGTCAACCCAAAGAAACTATCAAGATTAGTGATGATCGATAGAATTACAAAGAGACAGATTGATATTACAAACCATAGAGATAAATTGGAGAATGGTAGATATTGATATTACTAATACTATCATATGATGTTATATGTATAAGTCACTAACGCTCTAGATCTATTTTAATTTATTTGCAGCAGAACTTTCAAACTATTCTCGAATGGTTGGTACTCGACCACTATCTGTATTGTTGATGACCAAGATTATTAGATACGCATGGGAGATGGATACAATGACTGGTAGTTACAAGTATAGAGTGTTCGAACCATTTAATGAAAATGTACTTGTTGGTCGATACAAATGGGCATTGTCACTTGGGTTGGTATGCAAACAATTCTTTAATCTCGTCAAATCATCATTGTTTAAACGTCTCTGCATTTATAATAGTTCACTCACTAAGCAATGGAGTCGTTATGAAGACAACAAAGTTCGAGCACTTGCAAACGACGTATCACAACACATAGACAATATTGCTTGTGTCATTAAACAACCTACCAACCTTACAATACAGTGTAAAATGTTGATTGGTATTGCATTGAAGCCATCGATAGGTGCAGTCATTCTTCTTCAAGGTATTACAAAGTTACGATTGGTCGATAGGACATCAAATTTCTATAATCTTTTTGATAGTGTTCTTCAGGTGATGGTCAACCTCGAGTCACTAACACTTGATAATACCGGTGATCTTTCAGAAATATATCGACCATCACTCAAACACTTATCAATTAAGGGTTGCCATCCACTATTCACTCAAAAGGTAATCAACCTCATCACCACACCCATACCATCACTTGGATTATCACTATTTCCCCAAGACCGCCACCTCCAACTACCACCCAACGTCCAATCACAAATCAAAAAGCTTCGTATTTACATTAAGAATATTCCTCCAGACTTTTCCAACTATACGTCACTGCGCAAGTTACAACTGACCAAAGAAAATTACGGCTCATTCATAAATCCACTTTCATTCGCGATGATGGTCAACGTCACATATCTGTCGGGTGAAATGACAGATCCTCAATGCATCAAAGAATGGTTTGAAATCCTCCCAAAATTCCCATCACTCACGACTCTGGAGGATTATAAACATGATTTTTGTAAAGATCAATGTCATTTATTTTGTAATAATTTATTAAAATTAAATAATAATAATAATAATAATAATAATAATAATAATAATAATAATAATAATAATAATAATAATAATAATAATAATAATAATAATAATAATAATAACATAGAATTTAATAATAATGGACAACTACCATCAGCCAAAATGGTAAATGGAATCAAAACAATAATATTACGTACAAAGTACACCAAATTTGAACAACATGACCTCACTCTAGCAGGTCTGTCAAACTACAAAGCTACTGGTCAACGATTCAAAACAAATTATTCCTATCGTGGTCCCGAGTTATATGTCAAAACTCTCTATTCTTACATTGCACACCTGACCACCAACGAATAAACAATAATAAATAATATGATAGAAAAAAGTTGACAACACCATCTAAAAGAACCAATCAAACCTCTGGAAGAATGAAAAGGGAAATAATAATTTACAAGTATGAATTTTTTATTTTCTACTTTGAGATCCACTCAAACAATGTGAAAACTGTTTTGTTTATTTTAAAACTTTTTAAAAAAACCAAAATATCAAAATTATCAAATAATGTTTTGACTTTAAAAGGAAATTCAAAGGTTATTAAAAAGAAAAGAAAAGCTATCATTTAATTTAATTAATTAAATAAATAAACTTTTTTTTGTTCATGATATCTGCCAATGTTTTTTTGTGTTACTTTTTGGAAAGATCAACCGAGAAGGACCAAACCATCCAAACACAACAACAATTTCAATGAGATTATGTTTTAGTATCAAAGAATAATTATTTTTACTTTACTTTATCTACCTCTCGAGTATTAAATAAATAAAGAAAGAAATGGAAGTTGACAATCAATTAAAGAATAATGATATTTTGAAAAGTTCATTTCACAAAAATGAAGACAAGGAACGTCCAAAAAAGAGTGTAAAGTTTGTAGCTCAGGAAAGAGAAAACATAGAACAAGGAGGTGAAGCTAAACAATCTTCATTGGGAAAACATTTACATACCCAAGACGAAGAATTACCATTGGAAAATGGTTGGAGTTTTTGGGAGGACCATTGCCACACTCATCATGGTGAAATGGCTACTACAGCTCAATATGAAGCTTCTTTAAAAAAGGTTTCATCTTTTTCAACTGTTCAAGTATGTCAATGATTATATAAATATAAAGATTTTTTTAATTAACTTTGTTTCTATTTTTTTTTTTTTTTTTCTAAAACTCTAGGGATTCTGGAAAGAATTTAATAAATTACCACATTTAATTAGTGTACCAAATAATAGTTGTTACCATTTAATGAAAGAAGGTGTTAGACCTATCTCTACACGGATTTTTGCTCATGAGCTGTTTGAGGGCAATCTCAAACTTTCAAAGGGTTTCTGCTTCACAATCTGCATAAAAGTTCCGCATTTTGACATGATCTACAGATCATTCTACTCATCGTTTCGTTTTCTGATCAGACAAACAATCCACAAATATAGATTACGAGTGAGGATATTTACAAACATGAGATATGATGATTTTAGTCGGGTATATTAAACTTTCGTTTATAGTAACAATGAATCATCAATCAGCTTTTGTTTCCACATAATCCTTTGGTCATTTCGATTCTCTATATTTAATATATTATAGTCTGGCTCTACTGGATCTCTTTTGTATGTTTTATAAAAAAGGAGGAGTCGGGTCATTATTATTTTATTATTATTTGTTTTGGTTTTCTTTCTTTCTTTGTCATTTTCTCTTTTTGATTTACAAGTTTAAGAGTAAACGACGTGGATCTTCAATGACATCCTTGATCTTCTTGAGGAAGGTGACAGCTTCACGGCCATCAATAATTCTGTGATCATAGGTGAGTGCCAAGTACATTATTGGACGGACGACAACTTGACCATTGACGACGACGGCACGATCCTTGACGGCATGCATACCGAGGATGGCCGATTGTGGTGGGTTGATGATTGGAGTACCAAACATACTGCCATAGACACCACCGTTGGAGATGGTAAAGGTGCCACCCATGCTGTCTTCGATGGCGAGAGAGTCGGTACGGGCAAGACCCGAGAGACGACCGAGCTCCTTTTCAATGTCGGCAAAACCCATGTTTTGGGTGTTACGAATGACTGGTACCAAGAGACCACGTGGGGCAGCAACGGCAACAGATACATTGATGTTGTCATGGTAGACAATATCGGCATCATCGATTGAGGCATTGACAATTGGTTGGTCTTGCAAGGCAATGGTGGAGGCCTTGACAAAGGCACTCATAAAACCGAGCTTGACACCGTGCTTCTCGGCAAAGTCGTCCTTGTACTTGTTACGTAATTCCATCAAAGCAGACATATCAACCTCGTTAAAGGTGGTGAGCATGGCAGCTGTGTTTTGTGAATCCTTTAATCTTTGGGCGGTTCTTTGACGGATACGAGTCATCTTTACACGACGTTCACCGACCTTTTCACCTGGACCTGGGGCTGGAGCAGCAGCAGTCTTTGGTGCTTCAGCGGCCTTTGGAGCAGCCTTTGGAGCTTCAGCGGCCTTTGGGGCTTCAGCCTTTGGAGCAGCAGCCTTTGGGGCTTCAGCAGCCTTTGGAGCTTCGGCAGCCTTTGGAGTGTCGGCAACAGCTCCCTTTTTGATCTTGTAGAGTGGCTTACCAACAAATACATTGTCACTTTCCTTGGCAAATAATTCAGTAATGACACCAGAGTCTTGAGCATTGATATCAATAGTAACCTTGTCAGTTTCAATTGAACAAACAACATCATCAACCTTTACAGAATCTCCAACCTCTAAAGAGAAAAGAGAGAGAGAGAAAGAGAAAGAGAAGAGAGAGAGAAAGAAAAAGATCAATATTATTATTCTATTATTTGAGAAACAACATTATGTGAGAAAGAGAGAGAGAGAGAGAGAACATACTCTTGTTCCATGAAACGATAGTTCCTTCACTGATTGAATCACCCATAGTTGGAACCTTGATGACATCACCTTCAGCTAAATAATCAGTAAGTTAGTAAAAATGATTCAATGATGATGATTACATATCATGATGGATGATGATATTTACAGGTGCTATAGTAACGCTTTTGGATCATATTGAGAGATGATTGAGTGTTGAGTGGGGAAGCAGTAATGAATGATTGTGAGGTAGAGTAGTTAAAGGTAGAGTTGTAAGTGTTGACAGAGACACTGTTGTTGGTGTTGAAAGCAACACTGCTAACTGATCTAACAGTTGAGGAGTATCCCTACATATACATAGATAGATAGTGAGTGAGTGAGTGATAGGTAATATGAATGAATTAGTTGTTTGTTCAGATACCCAAATATATAAAAGTGATCACTATCATTTGATCATCACTATTTGTTCTATCTTCTATCTATCTATCTGATGTCAATCTATGTTTGATGTACATACTCTGAAAGCATTTGAAAGTCCTTGAACTTGCTTAACGAGTTGTGATGATCTCATTATATATATATAATAGGTATATAGATATCTATATAGTTTTTTAATATTAAAAAACAACAGACTTTTATCGACACAGGTCTGTTCGTTGTCTGGAGAAAATTGAATTTTCATTATTCGAAAGGGAACTTCCGTCAAGAATGAAACGATCACAACATCAAAGCCCAAATAAGGAAGTATTACCTAATTTCATTATTTCATAATGTTTGTTATATTAAATTGATAATGATTTGTGTAATTTATTTAATTATTCTAAGAATCATTACTAGTTTTAGTACCCAAAGTAAATGTCTTTTTTGGTGTTATAATTTCCTAAAATTAAATAATAAGATTATTAATATTAATATACATCTCTTTTCTATCTATCTTTTTTTTTTATATTTTGATATTTACAAATAAACCATCTGGAATAATTTTAAAAGTAATTGGAATTGAGGATTGACCCTTTGGTTTTGGTTCAATATCTAAAATGTAACGAGAGATGGGTCTGTTGTTTAATTTTGGTTCTTTATTATTTTAGTTTGGAGAGAAAAGAAATAATAATGGATAGAGGATGGAGGAAAAATAATAATTATTAATAATAATACCTTTATTACCTCATCCTCGAGGTAGACAAAAGATGATGGATAATTGATGATTGATGAGGATGGATGGATAGAGGATGGATGGATGGATGAGGATGGATGGATAGAGGATGAGGATGGTGGATGGATGAGGATGGTTGGTGGATGGTGGATGGATGGTAGGGGAATGGAAGAGGGATCGATAGATGATGGTTGGATGGTAGATGGTGGATGGTGGATGTTGGATGATGGTTGGATGTTGGATGATGGTTGGATGGTAGATGGTGGATGTTTGATGATGGGTGGATGGATAGAGGATGATTGGATGGTGGATGGTGGATAGTGGATAGTGGAGGTGGATGGTGGATGGTGGATGATGGTGGATGGTGGATGGTGGATGGAGGATGGTTGGATAGAGGTTAGTGGATGGATGGATAGTGGAGGAGGAAAGAGATAGAAATTTAAGTCTTAGATTTAATCGTAATTTAAAAGATTTCAAAAAGTTTATTGGATTCTTTGTATTAAACAATCATTATATCAAAATGTACTGTATCTACAAGAGTTCATTGCTGATGTAAATCAAATAATATTGTGATATTCAAAGTTGGACTTTTGTGATTTAATTGATCCATCTTTCCAATGCATTGAACTTTCGATCTTAATAAAACATGATGCATTCTTGATTCCACTTGGACTATTGTTGAATATGTACAATGGTGGCTGAGATTGACAAAAATGGACTATGGCTGACCATAGTCTACCATGGATAGTGGATGGATAGACTATAGACAATAGATGGATGATTGATATATGGTATATGTTGGTGGAGGATGGTAGACTTAGGATCCACTATCTACAATCCACACTCATTAATCTATCATGTATCAACTATAGTACATTGCTGGTGTCTCTAAAATAACTAAATATATGTAAAATAATATAAATATATTAATATTAATATTTCCTTTGAAGATCAATCGATTCCAATACCAACCAAAACATTGTAAATTCATCTGTCACAATAAGACTTTGTACTTTCTTGATTTCTACCAGTGGATGATGGTTGTACTAGGCATGATGTGGATTATGGGCAATGGACTATGGAGGATGGGTCACGAGGAAGAGTTGGTTAATGACGGAGCTAAATAATGATTGTAAGAAATAGACAGATAGTGCACAAGAATCTCTATCTATAGTTATATATGTATGAATATATATTGATATGTTGTGAGTAACAAGTCATTAATTATATTTATAAATACAAGAAAAATAAAATAATAAATGGTCTGATAAAAAAAAGTCAGAGTTGGTGAAGTGGTGTGGTTGCTTTTTTATTTTATTTTTATTTTAAAAGTTTTAATAAATTAAAGTTACAAACCCATAAACCATCTTTGGGTGCACACCTTTATATAGACACATATTTCTACAGTTGTAGTGTCACAAATATTTGTTTATAAATAATTATTACAAATTCCTGATGATGATGAATTAATTAATTTTAAATTCGTCAGAAAAATAATATTGATTTGGCGGGTAAAAGAATAAATAAATAAAATATAAAAAAGAGAGGGAAAAAGAGAGAAAAGAGAGAAAGAAAAAATAGAAAAATATAGTTTTGGTTGTTCCCATGGTTGGTCAGACCAACCATGGGAACAGTCCAAAAAAAAAAAAAGCCCCCCAATGCGAAGAAAATCGACTTACACGGGGGCGAACCTGGGAAACCCTCTGGGTAAAAGTAATTGAATATCTTTTTGTAAAGGAAACCACTTGGGTAAAAGTAATTGAATATCTTTTTTGGGTATAAAAGCCTAGGGAGACGTGGAACATGGATGGGCACGGACGATGGCAACGGAAAATGTATAAAAAGAAAAGAGTAGGAAGAGAGGGAAACCACTTGGGTAAAAGTAATTGAATATCTTTTTTTTAGAAAAGAAGAGTATAGTAATTATTATTATTAGGTATTATTGTTTGTTGTTGTTATTATTAATATTATTAGTTATTGCTGTTGGTTGTTGAAATTATTAATATTATTAGTTATTGCTGTTGGTTGTTGTAATTATTAGTTATTGTTGTTGGTTGTTGGATTATTATTATTATTATTATTATTATTATTATTAAAATGTTGTTATTACCAAAAGAGTGAAAGAGAATAATGATTACCTATAAAATAAAAAGAAAAAGAGTCAGTAAATTTAATTTTAATTATCAACTTTTGATACGGCGTTAATTATGTTGGTCTACGAATGGTGATTGTTGCTTGGAAACTGGTACTCTTGATCACTGGGCCGGGCGACTGTCTAGCGGATTGGTGATGAATGAATGATTGATTGGTGAATGAGGATTGTGGATTGGAGTGGTTGGTAAAGATTGTAATATTATTATGATTATTCTTTGTTGTAATTGGAATGATATTATTTGTTGGTGAACAATGAGGGGGTTGTCTGTCTATGTAGGAGGAATAATCGTTATTATTATTATTATTTGTTGGTCTTGTGTTATTATTGTTGTTATTATTATTATTGTTATTATTATTATTGTTGTTATTATTATTGTTATTGTTGTTGTTAATATTTTTTGATTGATTGTTGGTTGAGATGAATGATTGAACATGGTTGAAGCATGAGAATGATGATGATGATGATGATGATGATGATGATGATGATGATGAGTTGGTGTTGGTATTTTTTAATTTAATGTAGTTTTTGTTATTATTGTTATTTGTATTATTTAATGACTGTGGATTAAAGTGATTGGCAAAGATTGTAATATTATTACGATTATTATTGGTTGGTGAACAATGAATGGGTTGTCTGTCTTTGGAAGAGAAATAATTGTTGTTGTTATTATTATTATTATTGTTGTTATTATTATTGTTGTTATTATTATTATTGTTATTGTTGTTGTTAATATTTTTTGTTTGTTTGTTGGTTGAGATGAATGATTCAACATGGTTGAAACATGAGAATGATGATATGTTGTTGTTGTTGGCATAGTTATTATTATTATTATTGTTGTTATTTGTATTTTTTAATTTAATGTTGTTATTATTATTGTTGTTATTTGTTACCAAGTTGTTTTTTAATCTTGAAATGTTGGAATGTCCTGATTTAAATGGGCTTGCAATTGATCTTGTTGATTTGATTATATTTGATATATATGATGTGTTTGATGATGTGGATGAATTGAAATGATTTGGTGAAATGGATGACGAATGAATTAATGAAGAATCATTATTATTATTAGATTGATTACTATAAAGAAGAATTGATTGGTCTAAACATGTTAATGAATTTGTGCTGCTACTGCTACTGTTGCTGTTCAATTGAACAGACTCCTCCTTGTCTAAAAGAATGTGGTTGATTGTTGGATGGTGATGGCCAATGAAGAATGAAATATCATTATTATTATCGATGAGTATCGATTGGTTGAAATATAAAACTGAGATTGTATTGATGTTGTTGTTCAATTGAACAGACTCCTCTTCCTCCTGATCTAAATTAAGATTGTTGGTGGTTGGTGAATGATTTGGTGATTGACAATGAAACAAAACATCACTAGAGTTTAATGGAATGTGTGACATGGATGAGTGAATGGAAATGATTTCGATTTGTTGATGATCGTGGTTGTTGGTTGTTGAATGATTTGAATTTAATGGTTGTGATTGACATTGGGACACAATAAAATCTGTATTAATGGATAATAATGAGTGAATAGATGAAAAGGAATTATTATTATTATTATTTGAGGATGGTGGAGTGATTTGTGAATATTGATTGTTGTGAGTTGATTTGTGAGTGTGGATTGAGGTGAGGATTGTATGATTGGTTGGTGATGATGATTGTTGTTGTATTGTTGTATGATTTGAATGATTGGTTCCAAAACAGTTGGATGTTGGATGAATTAATGGATTATTATTTGTTTGTTTGTTGGCTGAGATGAATGTTTCAACATGGTTGAAGCATGAAAACGATGATGATGATGATGATGAGTTGGTAGTGTTTTTGTTGTTATTATTATTTTTGTATGATCGATTAATGAGTGCGGTGAGTGGATTGACAGAGTGTGGAGAGTGGATTGATTGGTGAATGTGGATTACGGAGGGATCGGCGAGGATTGCAAGATTGATTGGTGATGATTGTTGTCTTATTGTATCATTTGAATGATTCAAGCCAAAAGAGTTGAGAGAATAATTATTATTATTATTATTATTTGTTGTTGTGATGTTATTATTATTATTTGTATTTTTGTTAATATTTTTGTTATTATTGTTGTTATTATTATTATTATTATTATTATTGATGGTAAAGATTGGTTGATGATCGAAATAAGGGATTGAATTTGTTGTTCTATTGCTGTTCGATTGAACATATAAAAGAGTGTGGTTGTTGGTTGTTGAGTGATTTAATGGAAATTGAAAATTAAAACGAATTGACATTCCACAATTAAAAAATAAATAATTATTATTGTTGTCAGGAACGAATGAATGATTGGATTGACATTGGGTATCACTTGAATTATAAAATAAAATGGTTGACTGAATACTATTATTATTATTATTAACAATAATTGATTGATGTTCAACATGGTTGAACAATGAGAATGTGATTGTGTTGTTGTTGTTGTTGTTGTTGTTGTTCAATTGAAATGACTCCTCTTCCCTCTTCTCTTCCTCTTCCGCTAAAAGAAAATGGTTGGTTGTTGAATGATTTAAGAGTAATGGTGATGATTGACAATAGGTCGAAACATCACTTGAATTAAATTGAATGTACGTTTAATGAGTGAATAAGTGAGGCTGATTCATGGTATTATTATTATTATTATTTGAAGATGGAGTGATTTGTGAATATTGATTGTTGTGAGTCGAATTGTGAACGTGGATTGTGGTGAGGATTGTATGATGATTGATTGGTGATGATGATGGTTGTTGTTGTTGTATTGTTGTATGATTTGAATGGTTGGTTCCGAAACAGTTGAGAGTATCGAAATAATTGTTGGCAACTTTGGTATCTATAAAAATAAAAGAAGAGGCATCAGTAAAATGCTTTAAATTGATAGAGCTTGTTACCGCGTTGTTGTTGTTTTCTATTCTTGAGATGTTGCTGGAGTATGTTGAAAATGGGCTTGTCTTTGATCTTGTTGGATTAATTGTCTTTGATAATAAATATAATGTTGATGATGATGAGATGAAATGATTAGGTGAAATCAATGATGATGAATGAATTAATGAAAAATAGTTATTATTTGGTTGATTAATAATTGAAATTGATTGATGATTAACATTGTCTAAGCATGTTAATGAATGTGTGCTGCTACTGCTACTGTTGTTCAATTGAACAAACTCCTCCTCCTCCTCTAAAAAAATGTGGTTGTTGGTTGTTGAATGAGTTAAAATATCACTAGATTTAAAACATGGAATCAATGATTGATGGTCATTGAAGAATGAAATATTATTATTATTATTAATATCTATGGGAATCGATTGGTTGAAAAATGAAACTAAGATTGTACTGCTGCTGTTCAATTGAACAGACACCTCCTGATCTAAATTAAGATTGTTGGTGGTTGGTGAATGATTTGGTGATTGACAATGAAACAAAACATCACTAGAGTTTAATGGAATGTGTGACATGGATGAATGAATGGAAATGATTTCCATTTGTTGATGATCGTGGTTGTTGGTTGTTGTATGATTCAATGGTAATTGAAAATGAGATTGAGATAAAACATTTAAACCAAAAGGAGATAACATTGATGAATTAAAAGATAAATTATTATTTTGATTTTTTATAAAATAAAATGGTTGATTGATGTTCAACATGGTTGAACAATGAGAATGTGATTGTGTTGTTGTTCAATTGAAATGACTCCTCCTCCTTCTTCTCTTCCTCTTCCGCTAAAAGAAAATGGTTGGTGTTGAATGATTTAAGAGTAATGGTGATGATGACAAATAGGTCGAAACATCACTTGAATTAATTGGAATGTACATGTATAATGAGGGAATAAGTGAGACAGATTCATTATTCTTGTTGTAAATAATATTATTAATGATTGAAATGTTGAATGGATGTTCATCATTGTTGTTGAACAATGGGATTGATGTTAAAGGATAAAATAAAATTGAACTCTGGTTCATTGATGGAAATTGAATATAGTTCTCCTCCTCTTCTTCTTCCTCCTCCTCTTCCTCCTTTATTGAATGATTTAATATTAATGGTGATTGTGATGGAAATGGTAACACAATAATATCACTTGAATTAAATTGAATGATTATGTCATAGGACATTGATGGATAACTAATGATTGGATTATTGTCTAAACAAGTGTTTGAAAATGTATTATTGTTGTTCAATTGAACAGTCTTCTCCCTTTCTTCTAAAAGAATGAGGTTGTTGGTTGTTGAATAATTTGAAATTAATGGTAATGGTAATGGTTGTGATTGACATTGAGACACAATAATATCACTTGAATTATTAATGGATAATGGGTGAATAAAGGAAAAGGATTTATTATTTTTATGAGCAATGGAAATGATTGGAATTGGTTGAAGTTCAACATGGTTGAAAGATGAGCTGTTATTGTAAACATGATAATCGTTGATGCTAATTGATTGAAGTTCTACATGGTTGAAAGATGAGAATAAAGATGATGATGATGATGTGTTGTAAACAACATAATCATTGTTGTCATGAGAAACAACAAACGAAACAAAGATTGACAAAATAAAGAAGATAATGATTAAAGAGTGCATAATAAATTTGAGAGTAGAAAAAAATGGATTTAAATTTGTTGATTGGTATTGATTGATTGAGTGTTTTAAAGGCTATAAAAGATGGTAGAAAAATAAAGAGTAAATTAAAAGTTAATTAGTATAGAGAGACAGAGAGACAGAGAGAGATAGCAGAGAGAGAGAGAGAGAGTTAATTATTTGTATATATCATACGATTTTTGAAACAAGTTTCATAAAAGAAATAAAAGGAATAATCACACTGATATAAAGAGAGCAAAGGTTGGTTGGTAGGGTAAAGCAAGAAGTGCCTCTCCAAAATTATTTAAATATTTTTAATCAACCATATTAGTGTGTGGGTAGTGTGGGTTTATATATCTGATACGAATAAAAGTATTTTTCATTGCTGGATGGTGATGGGGTATGTCTCAAGTAGTCTGAACGAGTTTGACTAAAAAAGGTAGCAATTTAGCACTATGAAAATAAATATGCCAACCAAACTTGGTAGTCTTTCTATTTAAATATATATATATATTTATTATCATATATCTAAATAAAACAAACAAATTAGTTGATTTATATAAATATATTATATATATATTATAACCTACACCACCCACCTATTACTTTTCCTTATTGATAACCATCTTTAACATCTTTGTCGAACATGTTGAATTTGGAACTAATACCTAACAATAATTATAATGTAAAGAATACTAATAAATAAGATCGATCAAATCTAATTACTTTTATCTCTCTCTCTCCTCTCCCCTCTCTCTCTCTCTATCTGTGCACTAAAAGAATATGAGATTATAATTAATTATTAATATTTAAATATTATTATTATTTATTGAGTTCATTTCTTCAATGGGACGAACCAACTTTGTGTGAAAAAAATCAAAGTAATAAACGCGTGAAGTAGAGATAGTCATTGTGTAAATATAAATAGAAACAAACAATGACAAAAGATAATAATACTACTACTGAATCAGAGACATCAAATGTTGAAGATATCGATTGGAATGCATTAGACAAGTTAAAGAGAGCTGATTTACAAAGACTATGTAAAGAGTTTTCATTGCCTTTGAAAGCAACTTCAAAAGTATGTTATAAGATTGGCAATCTTATACACTCAATATTGAGTATTATTAACACTATATTATATATATATATATATTAGAATGCAGAGATATTAGAAGCTTTAAGATCATTTAAAAAAGATTATGATGAAAAGAAAGAACAACAATTAAAAGAAGAACAAGAAAAGAAAAAGAATGATCAACAAGATATAAAAAATATTGTAAATAATAATAGTAGTAGTAGTAGTAGTAATGATACAACGACGACAACGACGACAAGTACTACAACAACAAATGTAAATGAAGAAAAAGAAGAAGAAGAATCTAAAATGGATGATAAAGAAGATGAAGATGAGGAAGAAGAAGAATCAAAACAACCAACGATAGAAGTTGAAACGCAACAACAATTATTGGATACACTACTTATACCAGAGATAAATGAAACTGATATTGCACAACCACAACAATCTAAAAAGAGATATGAAGAGGAATTAAATAATGATGATAATGACAATGATGATGATAGAAGAAGAGTTGTTCAAGATGACAATCTATTAGATGACGATATGGAAAAGAAAATAAATCATCAGTATGTATACTTATATAGAATAGAATAGAAATAGAATAGAACTGAAGATGGATGGATGGATCTAACAAAAACCAATTAATTTAAATATTATAATAGAGGATTAAAATTTAGAAATTATGTACCAAGAGACCCAACACTATTACCATACAGAATACCAAAGAGTAAAGTACCAGAGATTGTAGAAGAGTTAATGGAGAGATTAAAAGTATTGGAAACAAGTGGATTGGACAACTCATCATTATTGCCACGAAAGGTTAATTGGGATCTAAAGAGAGACTTGGAAAAGAAATTAAACAAATTGGAAAAGAGAACAAATGTATCGGTTTATCAATTGATCAAACAATCCATTCTAGCAAATACCAATGGAACCAATAGTAATAATAATAACAATAATAATAATAATGAAACTTCGATGCAACTATTATCAAGAACTGTCGATAAATTGAAATAAATAGAACAAGTAAGATCGATAGATGATCTATATAATAGATCAGATCAAAAAAAAAAAACAAAAAAATCTCTCCTCTCTTTTTGGTCAACTCAAAAAGAAATCGAGAGAGGTTTTTCGATTACTTTGGTGTCACGCGATGTTGCCCTCTCACGATTTGTTAAAAAATTAAATTGTCTTGAAAAAAATTGGTGATAATCACCAACCCCTTTAACAACATAGAGTGAAAGATAGATATATACAGATAGAGGATGTTATATAATAATATTGCAAACAACAACATCACACAATAAATACAATAACAGAATTTATATATAATATATATAAATTAACATCTATAGAAGAGAGGAGGAGTAGACAGAGAGAGATAGATATATCTCTTTTTTTTAACTTTCACAAAGAGAGAGAGAGAGAGAGAATGAGTTCACAAGATATATCATCATCATCACAAGATGCATTGGTGGATTATTATATCGATACTAGTTGGATATTAGATGCTGCAAATCTTGTTTTCTGTATGTATTATTACATATATTAAATATAGATAAACAAACCAACTAACTCATCTTTCCTTACACCTTCCTCTACTTTTTAGTTATGCAAGCAGGATTTGGAATGATAGAAGCAGGGATGGTGAGAGCAAAGAATACAAAGAGTATATTATTAAAGAATATGATCAATACTGCCATCGGAGCAATAGGGTTCTATTGCTTTGGACATGCGTTTGCTTATGGTAATTCCAAATCGAGTCTCTCCAATAGCTTTATAGGTGTTGGTAGTTTCTTCCTATCGGATTACGATAATTACGCGTACTGGTTGATTCAGTGGGCATATGCTGCGACAGCAACTACCATTGCGACGGGCGCGATGGCCGAGCGCACACAAATGCCTTGCTATCTGTTGTTTTCGCTGCTGCAGACGACGCTGATATACCCGGTTGTCGCACATTGGATATGGAGCGCGGGCAATGGATGGCTGTTTTCATTGGGCATTGCCGATTATGCAGGTGGTGCCGTCGTACATATAGTGGCGGGTGCAGCTGGTGCTGCGGGCTCGTTTTTGTTGGGACCGCGTATTGGAAGGTTTGACCATGATAATGGAGGTCGGCCCAAAGCGTTGCCGGGACACAATGTAGTGCTCACGACGTTGGGTGCGATGATTCTATGGTACTCGTGGTACGGATACACGACGGGCGCGTCACTCGGCAATCATGTGCTGCCCGCGTCGCGTGTGTCGGTTGTCGCGACACTGTCGGGCGCGACGGGGTTGCTAACAGTACTAGCGATCGGTCGTCTGCTGACTGGACAATACGACCTCGTCAAGGGCATCAACGGGCTCGTCGCAGGACTAGTCTCATCGACCGCCGGATGTGCCTATATCGAGCCGTGGGCAGGCATCGTGGTCGGTGCAATTGGCGCCATCATATACTATTCATCCTCGTGGGTCCTTCTCAACTGGGCCCACATTGACGACCCCGTCGACGCAGTCTCTGTGCACTTGTTTGGTGGCGCGTGGTCGGTTATCAGCGTCGCCTTTTTTGCCAAGCACGGACCCGTCCGAAACCCCACCTCGACCATGCCCGACGGCATCATCTATGGTGGCGGTATTGGACAGCTCTGGATCCAACTCGTAGCCGTCACCATGGCCACGCTCTGGGCCACCATCATCTCATCGATATTCTTTCAAATTATGAAATACTTTCAATGGTTCCGAGTAGATGTTGACACTGAACTAGCAGGTCTAGATAATATGAATCATGGTGGTGCTGCTATTTTCGATTTCTAACAAGTCAACAAACCAAAAAGTTTCAAAATCTCATTTACAAACAAAGGGATTATTTTATATATATATACATACATACATATCAGATTAATAGATAATAGATAACAACAACAACAACAACAAACTAATAGGAACAACAACAACACCCGATAACAGATAAATGATTATAGTTGATTACTTTCCATAATCTTTTATTCTCCACACCACATCGCCATCCAACAAACTTTTTCTCAACAAACCAAACCAACCAACCAACCAAAGTAATCAAATAAACACAACCTGTAAAATATATTTTATTTAATCAAAACACAACACCTATCTATTTCATTTCATATCTTTAAATTGATTGACTTTTATTTATATATTATATTTTTATTATGTTTTTGAGTTTTGGTTTTCTAAAGTGCAATTCCCCAAAAAAGGGCAAACTCAACCTTTTTGGTTCATATAATTTCGTGGGTTGAATTTCATCATCATTGGTAGAGAGATAGTAGTAGTAACTGTATAGGTCAAGGTTTATTCATTCACACAGATATTAAGGAGAGAGAAAGAGAGAGACATTGTACAAATGTCTCTACAACCTACACAATATACTTTAATCAATAGAGTAGATCCAATTTTACATCAGGTATTTATAATAAACAATAATGAATGATACAAAATGAGATGTATACTAATTCATTCTGTGATGTATCTATTTATATACTACATCTTAATCTATATTAGATTCTAAATGAATCAAGAAACTTAAAAGATGTTATCATCAAAGAGTATTATGTCGAAATGTTAACAAACCTAATCATTGACTTGTCAGATCCATTGATTAGAGAGCCTTTATTCTTTATACAAGAGATTAAATCATGTTTGGATTTGGTCGAGACAATTCAAAGAGTATATGGAGCTGAAGACTATCGAATATTTGTGGTTGGATGGGTTCTAGTATCTGGTGTATTCAATACATTGGCAACATTGGAACCATTAGAAAAGGAACCAATCATCAATAGATTACAATCAATGTTTGATATATTAATTCAATTTAGATGTTTAAAAGATGTTGTATGTAATAGAAACAAACAAATCAATCAAATCAATCAAATCAACCAGTTTTAATTAAAAACTCTATTCTTTTTTTCCTTTAAACTATAGAATTCATTGGAAATATTAAGACAACCCACAACAAAGGAAGAATATCCTGCACAATTAATACCGTTTATGAAAGAAAGAGTAATGACACAATTTAAATTATAATATTATTAATTTGTTATTGACAAAACTCTCTTCTCTTTTATTTTTACTATTAGTTAAATTCACAATTACCAATCATTATTGAACATGTAAAAAAGGATTATAATTTATTAATTGCACTGATGGGATTGAGAGCATTGGCATATCATCAAAGAATGTGGAGATGTATCGAAAATATATTAAAGACTGATATATTATTACCACTACTAAGAATAGCAAGTGACTCTTATAATATAGTAAACTATATAACAGATAATTGGACTGAAACTTATTTCCCATCAAAAATACGTTTTGATTTTGGTTTTAATTTAAAACCAAGAAAAGTTATTCATTTAATTTGTGTATGTAAACACACAAAAATAATAACATATTAAAAAACTGATTATATTAATATTTGTTTATTTTTATTATTTATTATTTAGAATGAAGTAATTAGATTAATAACAAATTTAACATCAGGAGAATTTGAAACAACAAAGAGTATTGTGGATCAAAAAGCAATTCCATTTTTTAGTAAAGTATTGGATAGTTCAAGTCAAGATCTTCAACATTATGCATTGAATGGAATTGGTAATATTATTTTTGAAAAGGAACAATGGAGAGACGAGTTTATAGAAACTTATTCACTGTTGGACAAGACCAAGGCCATGTTGAGTGACCCAATCGTCAAAACAACAACCGAGTTTTTAGAAGACTTTTCAAATATATTTGCTGCAGTGACCTATGGTGACACACCCTCGATTCTGTGGGAGACCATCACAGACATATTGCCATACGTCAACAGGTATCTAATGTGTGATAGTGCCACCACTAGAGGCAATGTCACGAGGATATTAGAGTACATTACTTTGCATTCAGAGTTTGACTATCATGTCTTGGAACGATTTGGGTTTGACAAGTTCCTTGTCGACAATTTAAACAGTGACCATCAATATATACTCGAACCTTCAATCTACGCCATTGGCAATATATTCCAAAAGGCACAGGTTGGAACTCGATCGTTGGTCAGTAACAAGCTTATGGATCCCTTTAAAAGAATACTAAACAATATCGACAATCAACATTTAATGCGACTCGTTTTATGGATCATTTCAAATATGGTAGTAGGAGAAGGTGTGGCAGATTTAAAAGGATTTGTCATTGACAGTAAAATCATTCAACTGCTCTCTGAAATGGTTGCTAGGTATCCAATAGAAGACCCTCCAATGGAAACTAATCTTCCACCAGTAGTCGAGAAACCTACTGGCACCAGTATTATCATTGAATCAAAAACGGTAGAAGAGATCATGTGGGTCATTGGTAATTTGATATGCAATCCAATATCAGACGAAGAGGTACATGAGTGTGTCGAACAAGGTATTCTAATGCTATTGTGTAAACTCTACCCATACGTCCCATCAGAGACATGCTATCTCAACCTGTCAGACAGTTTAGAGTACATTCTTACACAAGACAATCATCTATTGTACATGGCCCATTTGATTCAGTTAGGGTTTCACAATCTAACGCCCAACACTCGATATGATCCTGACCCTTTCGAAGCTCTACTCAATTTTTTTAATCAAACTACAAATCCAAATGTTGAAGAGGATTATTTAAAATCAATGTCTTTTTCGAAATTTTAAAAGAACAAATAATAATATAACCAACCACACTATTTACTAACCAAAAAAAAAAAAAAAGAATAAACTACTAGAATCAATTAATTAATTTTTTCTATATATTTATATCATAATTATATTCTATTATAAAACTAAAACTTTGATTTATTTAATTTATTGAGCCAACCAAGATTGGATAGCTTGAAGAGTAACTTGTCTAACTTGAGCTAAATTGTTTGGAGTATCACAACCACCTGGACAATCAACACGAATGTCACTGCAATGACCACAGTTTCCACATGTTACCATGGCAACTGGTTCACTTGGGTATTGTTGAGTAATAATACTTGCACGTGACCATGGATCTTGTGAACTATTAACAAAAATAATGTTGGTACCAGCAGTTTGATTACCACCATAATATTCATTGGTAGCTTCAACATCTGGCCAAAGTGCAATACCAAATACTTGTTCACAATGATCACGCCAATAGGTCATATTAACAATCGATGAACGGATACTATTTTCAGCTGGAGCATTTTGCCAATATCCAAACTCTGTACATGTCTAAAAATAAAATTAAAAGTAATCATTAGTATTTATACTTATTTCTTTCTTTGTTTTTTTTTTTGTTTTTTCTTACTTGATAAAGCCAAAGTCTATCAGCAGAATTGTTAATATCATGAGTAGTATTTTGTTGCCATGCGGTGGCATATTCAGCTGGTGTACCAAGTGAACCAGTCCATACATTTGCGGTATACAAGGCATAGGTCTTGATCAAAGAAGTTCCATTGTTCATTGCATCAACCAATGGATCACAGAGTTGAGAGTGATATCCATATTGGATACCTTCGGCATTACTGTCAGCCAACCAAAAGAAAAAGTCACCATCTTCAACCAAAGTCTCTGCATTGAATATTTGTCTAATCTCATCGGCTTGACCACCAAAATAGGCTTGTTCAACCTCTTGTGTAACTTGACGCATAGCAGTAGCACATTCATCACCGGCAGCGTAGGCAACCCATTCATCAAATGCAGTGAAATCCAATATAGCATTAACAACACCACTAGATGATACAGAACCAACTGTAATATGTGGATATTTAACTCTGAACCTAAAAAATCAAAACATTAATAATGATTGACAAAAGTAATGACTCTCTTCTCTGTTTACTTACCAAGCAGAAAGAGCACCAGAATAACTACCACCAATAGTAACAACTTCAGTGGATAATGAAAGATTCTTTCTAAAATCAGAGATAAAGACGGCAAGATCGTTGAGTGCTTGACGAGAAGAGAGGAACTTGAGGTTCTCGGTAGAGAGATCTTCAAATGGAGATGAATCACCATAGTAACGATGCTCCAATGTGACAATGTAGGCACCCAAAGCTTGAGCATAGACAACGACACCATCACCTTGTTGATATGGTGGTGAGCTTACTGGTCCTTCACCGTTGATGTAGAGAATGATTGGACCGCCCTTGCTATAATCATAATAGGCATCGTTGGTGTAATAACGTTGCATAAAGGTTCTACTATCTTGTGCATCGAAATGATTCAATGTTTGATTGTACCAATAAATTGGGAAACTACTACTATCTTTGACATTATTGTTATTGTTTTGATTAAGATTCTTAAAAGTTCTTCCTCCTAAACAAACAGTAACTAATAAAAGTAATCCTAATGTTACTAATAATGATTTCTTGATATTCATCATTATAAATATGTATGTATCTCTTTTGTTAAAATATAAATGTTATAAACAAGTGTGCGCTGGTCTTTTGATAGGACGATGTTCAAAAATAAAGTAAAAAGTAATTTTTATTTTCGATATTCCTCTCCTGGAGATCTTTCATTGTCTGTCTATATTTAATTTAATTACCTGGGATATTTAAATAGATATATAAAAAGAAATAAAGAAAGAAGTAATAATAATAATAAAGAATAATAAAGAATAATGAGAAGAAACAAATATGATAATGATGATGATGATGATGATAGTAGTGGTAGTTCAAACGATTACTTTAAAGATGATTTAGATGACCAGAACAAAAAGAACAATAGAAAAAAGAATAATAAGAATAATAAATATACACCTCCTACATATGATAGTCATTATGTTAAATATATACCATTTGTAAATAATATACCTGTACCAGTTAATCCAATACCTAAACTAGTACTTTCGGTCATACTCGATTTCCTTGGATTCTTTACTCAAATCATACCAGTGTTTGGTATTGCAATGTGGCCAACAATAAGTAGTTTTCTAATCTATAGAATGTATGGTTCATCACTTGGTACTATGGTTTCATTTGTTGAAGAAACTGTATGTAATAATTTATAAATTACACCAAAACTTTATTTCCAAACTATTAATACTATTATTATTCAAAAGATACCAGGATTGGGATTTATTCCAACAGCTACAGTATGTTGGTTGGATGAAAGATACAATCTAGTAGATTATTGTGAACGATATATACCAATGTTCAAATATGTTGGAGGTATCCGTAAAACACTCAATTCAATCTATAAGCTAGTCAAATATATTACCTATTCTGTCATTGCATTCATTGCCTATAAATTATTATCCTATTTTGTCCCTTCTTCCTCTCAATATCATTCATCTCCTTCAAATTATTCAAGAGGTTATTCATCCTAAATAGAATAATATATAAATAAATAATGTAAATAATTTTAACAACCAAAGAGATAAAGGACCTCCTTTAATTAAAAATTCATTTGATGATTGGCTAACCAGTCAATTACCCCCACCCCCCCCCCCCTTTCTTTCAAGACTGGACTGGTTGGTTCATCCAATCACCTTCACCTTTTAAAAGTTTAAGTTGACTTTTTTGTAATAACGTGTTCGCTAACTTTTCATTCTTTTTATTACCTTTAGCTTCAACTTATTTATTTATTTATATATATATATATATATATAGACAAAGAGAGATAATCGATCTATTCAATATATAAGAAGAAGAAGAAGAAGAAGAAGAAGAGATGCAATACGATGAAAATGTAGTAAATGCAATGCTAATGTGCATTATAAGCGGTTTGTCAACTGCTATTGGAGGATTATTCATCTTGTTTATGAAATCACCATCTTATAAGTTCTTGGGATACATGCTTGGCTTTTCATCTGGTGTTATGATCTATATCTCTTTTATGGATCTATTACCTGAATCTGCTGCTGAAATAGGTTTCCTCCCTGCTAATGGATTTGTATGTATAAACAAATGTCATTGTGATCACAATCAACAAACTAATTATCAATACATTCTTTTAGTTCTTTGCAGGTATTATCTTTTTCGCACTAGTATTGAAATTGGTACCTGAAGCAGATGAACATGAACATGGTCCTTCTGAAGAAACTCATGAACATTCATCTGTAGAATCATCAAACACTACAACTCATACCAATTCCTCATCTACCACCTCGACAGTTGTAAAGAGAAAAAATGGAGCTGATAAAACACCTCCACAATCTCCACCATCTTCAGCCACAACCAAACAACAACAACAATCAAAACAAACCAAGAAACCAAAAGAAAAAAAGAAACAAATGTCTGATGCATATTTAAAGAATCTTGGTGTAGTCACTGCTCTTGGTATCAGTTTACACAACTTCCCAGAGGGAGTTGCCGTCTATCTTTCATGTTTGAAGAGTATGCAAGTAGGTCTTCCATTGATGTTGGCTATTGCCGCCCACAACATCCCAGAAGGTATGGCTGTTGCCGCTCCCATCTACACTGCCACCGGTAGTAAATGGGTTGCATTCAAGTACTGTTTACTCAGTGGTCTTTGCGAACCATTTGGCGCTATCATCTTTGGTTTCTTTTTCCGTGACTATATGACTCCATACCTCGTTCAAGCCATGTTGGCTGCAGTCGCCGGTATCATGATTTTCATGGCCATCAAGGAATTAATCCCTGCTACTCTTAAATATATTGATGTTAATGTATGTAAACAAACAAGAAAAAAGAAAAAAAGGTTTAGACATGCAGATACTAATTGATACTATTATTATTCTATTATTTCAGGGAGCAACCATTTCAAACTTTGTTGGTATGTTTGTAATCTTTTTAAGTATCTATTATTTACATGGAATGTTACCACATGATCTTTCTGAAGGTGATGGAGGTCATGGACATAGTCATGGTGGTGGTGCTCACTCTCACTCTCATAGTCATGGTGGTGGCGCTCATTCTCATGGTCATAGCCATGGTGGTGCTAGTGGTCACTCTCATGCTCAACAACAATCTTCAGTCAATGCTTGGTAATCAAAAAAACTTATATACTCAATACTCAATCATTCTCAATAACAACAACAAGACAATTTAATTAACTTGTAAATATGACAACTCTTTCTCTTTTTAGAGAGAGATAGAGATCACACATCGATACAACAACAATAATAATACTAATAAATAATTTGAAGATGAAAATATATATTGACGCCATTTTAATTAAACTTTCTATTACATAATATGTAACCATGTTCTTCATATTCTGCTTTTGTAACTGATAATCTAGAGAAATCATTTTGTAATGCCATTTTCATACCTCCATAAACTGGTGCCATTATAGGACTATAAAAGAAGAGTTAATGAATTAATAAAAGTTTGTTTGAGTTCAAAAAGGATCATATTTAACATACTCTTCTGTAGTATAAATTTTGATTGGTAAATCATCTGGTGCAAGTTTTCTAAGATCATTTTCCAATCTTTCTTTAAATCCTGGGTAGAGAGTAGATCCACCCAAAAGTAGAATATTGGAATAGAGAGGTTGATGCATATTAATGTTGGTTGAATTGATAGACTGTACAATACTCTCAGCAATGCCACCTTGATTAATACCAATATCAGATGGATTAAAAAGTAATTCTGGAACTGTAAATCTTTCATTTGTCAATTCCAATATTTGCTCTTCTGGTTCCTCTGTTGTTGTAGTATTTGTTGTTTCTTGATCATCTGTCATCTCTTTGTCTTGTTCATCAGTATTATCTTTTTCTTCTTCTTCTTCTTTTTGTTCTTTTTGGTGTTTATTTGGATGACCAAAGTAACTTTTTTTAGTAATTGATACAGGATAATATGGTTCATTCTACGTTAAATAAATAAATAATTGTTAGTGATCACTTTGTCTATATCTTTTTCTATTCCTTTAATTTTACCTTTATAAAACCAGTATTATTATTATTTCTATAATCTGGTAAAACATAATCGACAGTGATTGATGAAGATTCATCTTTACATTTCATCAAATCGCCCATGAAATCTTGTGATATATAGCATACGCGTTCTTTGATAGTGTTGATCAATCTAGTTTCATGCATCATATCCCAATATCTAAATGAAACGATTTCCTTTAGATAGTTTGTAAGAATCTTTCCACCAACATTTACACGCTTGACAGCATAATTTAATCGATTGCCAAGAAAGTGAGGAACAATGTGTGTTGAAGAGTATCCACAATCAACTACCAAATGACATGGTGAAGAGTATATCGGAAGTGTAGTATTTTCTGATTTATAATTTAATAATCCCAATGTTGATGCTAAACAAATAGTAAAAGAGGTTAGATTATAGTAGCTAGCAATATATATGTTATACGTCTACTTACAAGAAGTTAAACATAAAGATTTAAATTTATATTGTTCATAAACAGTTTCATATAATGCCTTTCTAATATCATCCATTGCAAATGGTGCTTCTGTCATTAATAAATTTGTTTCTGATGGTTTTACTTTGAGATCATCTCTTTTGAACAAGTAATCCCAAATCTCTTTCTCTATTCCCCAACTACAAATGTATCCATGATCCATTGGGTTACGTAATCTAATCTCTGATGCATTATGAAACTTTGCCAAATCATCTCCCAATATATATTTCTTTTCCTTTTTTGTCTTTCCTACTTGATTAGGTATTACTCTATAAAGAGAGAGAGAGAGAGAAAGATAAACAAATTAGATTAATCTATCACATTTGAGATGAATGATCGATTCACGCTTTCTTCTTACATTGGTTGAATGAGATTTGATGTATCAGCCGATGATTGACTATTTGCATATGCTATTTTGATAGAATGTGCTCCATTGTCAATAACCAATGTCTTTGATGCTAGATTACTTGTAGTAGTAGCGGTAGTGGTTGTTGATGTACTCGATGTTGTTGATGTACTCATTGATCGATTCAATAATCCAAAGGTACTCAAAATAAACACTTTTTTTGATCAATGAGTTTTGAAGATTTTTTCAAACTACAATAATTAATTAATAATATAATATTTGAATAGAATAACAATAACAAATAGGAAATTGTTATATTGTTTTTAATATTTAATTTAATTAATTTTTTTGTTTTTTTTACCAATCATTTTTATTTTAGAATGAATACTGAGGAGGGAGGAGGGGTCTATCTACAAACAACAAAAATATATTCTATGATTGTTATTATTCATATTAGTTATTATCTAGTGTAAAGTTATTATTAAGTTATTATTATTATCATTATTAATTATTTTGGGTTATTTAATATGATTAAACATTTGTTGTGGGTGGGTAATCAAAGATGAGAGATAAGTTAGTGTATTTTGGGGATCGATGGTTGGTTGAGGTTGGATACGAAAGAATTGGTTAGTTGTTATATATTCGTTATTGATCATTATTTGAATGGGAAGGATTTGTGAATTAATTTATAGATGAGGTGAGGTGAGGTGAGGTTGGTTGGTTGATTTATCATTTAAGCAGCAGTTACAGCCTTGTTGTTCTTCTTGGCGTCAGTGGTGGAGGCCTTGTTCTTCTTGGCATCAGCCTTTTCCTTTTCAGCGGTCTTTTTTGCCTTGTCAGCTTCCTTCTTTTTGGAGGCTTCATCAACTTGTTCATCTTCTTCTTCCTCTTCTTCTTCTTCTTCTTGTGCGACTTCTTCCTTCTTTGACTTGGTGTCCTTCTTGGCATCAGTCTTTGACTTCTTGTCCTTCATTTCAACATCCTTCTTGGCAGCAGCGTCCTTCTTGGACTTGGCAGTTTCCTTTTCATCTTCAGATTCAGATTCTTCAGACTCTGATTCAGACTCTTCCTTGGGGGCGTCCTTCTTGCTGGACTTCTTGGTATCTGGCTTCTTTGGCTTTTCGTCGTCCTTCTTTTGTTTCTTGGTGGTTCTCTTCTTTTCCTCTTCATCTTCAGATTCGGATTCAGATTCAGATTCAGACTCTACCTTTTTGGTTTCCTTCTTCTTTGAATCCTTCTTCTTTGTATCCTTCTTCTTTGTGTCCTTCTTCTCTGGGGTAAATGAGAGATACTCGACGCTCTTTGGACTGATGATGAATTTCTCCAAGAGTGCTCTGATGGTCTTGGAGCTGCCAGATGACTTGATCAACAAAACGTCAAGGATATTAACGACTTCATCCTTTTCCAACTTGTCAACGAGGGAAGTGAGCTTTTCCTTTTCTCTGTCCAAACTAATGTCCAAACCCTTGAACTCAAGGAGACCCTTTGAAGCACTCTTTGCTCCAGCCTTCTTGGCAGTGTGTCCATAGATTATCTTGTATAAAGTATGAAGAGCTTCCTTTTGATCTTTGTTGAGATGACCAAATCTAGACTTGGCTAAAAGAAAAGGAAAAAAAGGAAATGGTTAGATTGATACCAAATAGATTAGATCTTTGTTTGTAGTCTTTTTTTTTCTATCCTTTACATACAATCTTCAGAGAGAGTCTCTAAATCCTTGCCCTTTGTAGAGAGTTCAAAGTGCTTGTTAATGACAGATGGATCGAAACGAGCGACTTCCTTCTTTGTTCTTTCGGCCTTTCCACCCTTTTCAAGGTTCTCTTGGAGTGGTCTCATAAAGTGTGACTTTTCATTCTCTTCACGCAAACGTTCCAACTTGCTCTTCTTTGGTGGTGCGTTTGGATCCTTTGGCTTCTTAACCTTTTCTGGTGCATTTGGATCCTTTGGCTTGGTTGGTTTCTTCTTGCTCTTTGGTGCTTTCTTACGCTTGCCCTTGGTTGCTGTAGAGGTGGTTGAAGTTTCATCCTTGGCTTCAGCAGATGAAGCGTCAGAGGCATCAGATGCGGCAGCAGCAGCAACTACTTCCTTCTTCTTGTTAGCAGCAGTAGTAGTAGCAGTAGTAGTAGCAACTTCCTCCTTCTTCTTGTTAGCAGTAGCGTCTACCTTCTTGGTATCATTCTTTGTTGTCATCTTCTTTATCTATTTAACAAAATAAGTTAAAAAGTAAGTAATTTGTTTAGAGGAGTCAAGTAAGTTGAAGTTAACAACAAGAAGAAAAAAAAAAAAAAAAAAAAGAAAAGAAAGAAGAAGAGAAGAGATGATAGTTTAAATTCAAGATAGATAGTTTGATTGATTGATTGATTGATTGATGATCGTCGTATTATAAATAAAAAGCAAGAAAGAAGATTAAAAGTTAAGTTGAAAGTTATTATTATTGATGTTGTTTGTTCAAAAGAGAGAGAGAAGGGTCGTTGATATTATTAATTACCAAATAGAAGATGTAGGGGATTGGCAATGAAGAAGATGATGATGAGTAGATGAGAAGAGATATAGATGATTTGTTTGTTTGTTTGCGATGAAGAGGTAATACCTTTAATTAGTCTATCTTTGAGAGAAAACCAAAACTTGTTGTAATAATAAAAAAGATGGTGCAGTCTTTTTGAATTTGGTGGGCGCCTTCAAACCAACTGAAAATTTTTTGAGCGCCAAGTGAAGAGACCACTTTTTAAAATTAATTGGCCAGCGGGATTGGATAATTTTATTTATCCGTTGGCAACACACCCCACATATCCTTTACCTTGACAATCCAATCCATACCACCGTTGACTGTTCGTTCAATGAAAGTAAAGTACTTTAATAGAGGGTCAGATATTTTAAACAAAAATAAATAAAAAAAAAGAAACTGATTGGTGTACATACCCAATCCATCCTTCAATCCATTATTATTTATGAGATCTAAATGAATCAAACAATATTAAATTTATCATTTCTTTTTGAACGAACTGAACAACAACAATTAGATACCCAAAACTACAACAATTCAATAACCATATTTTCACAAGTTGAACTTGTCATGTGAAGTCGATGAAAAACTCCCATAAGCAGGGTCAGTTCAAAATTAGGATAAATAATTTTTAATATGGTGATGTAAAGTTCATACTTACCTGCTGGTTTGTCAAACATGATCATATAGGTGTTTGGTGACTAAAAAGACTCTCTCTTGCACACCTGAGATGACTTTTAGCTCCCTCAACCATTACGGTGAGGGAACTAGCTAATTTCTGGGAGTGGGGAGTACTGCGCTTGTCGCATACTCCCTGAACACATATCAATTAATTTAAAATGAAAATATATCAATAACTACTTCTACTATTCTTGAATAGGTAGCATCATTGCGCTCAACTGTTGAAGTTGGATTATGAACCAGTACGTCAACATATTACAATCTATTTATTATTTTACATTATGCAACCAGTTCGTTTGTAATACTTTTAAAATTTATTTACATTAAATTAAATTGATTATCAGATTTCATCATTTGTTTGGCAGCTTTAGCACGAGCTTTGAGTAATTCAAGGTCAGCCTTTTCTTTTTGACTCTTTGGAGGATTGGAAGGAAGGAGGCCATGCATGAAAAAGACACCTACACCCTTTCTGAGTGTATCGATCGATTGGAGATGTTCATCTGTCTTTTTGGAACGAGCAGACTCTCTTTCAATGAGAACGACACGTTCAAAGATGGAAAGGGCTTGATCTTCTTGTTCCAAGGTGAGGATGTATGTGAAAACGATACGGAAAAATACGATCGACACTGGATCGAGATTGTGGAAATCGACGTTACGTAGAATGGTAAGAGGAAAGATAGAGTGTTCGATAAGTCTTCCCAAGACATTGGCAAGGTTGGATACGGCAGACAATGCATTAGACATGCTTGAAAGATTCTTTAGACGATCCCAAAGATTATATTGTAATGTGGATTTGTAGGCACGGTCATGGTGACAAAGACGATCCAACAAATGGTAATAGTATGGATTAAACTTCTTTTCCTTTAAACAACAATGTAATGCAATATTAACTACTTCCTTGTCTTGTTTATCTTTTAATTCTAATTTCATAATCTTATCAAATGCATCTGAGAAATCCTATGATAACAAATAGATAGATAGGTTAGTTAGAACAATATTATTATTATTAATCAATTAATTACTTCTATTATTGTTTCTACCTACTTCACTTGACATGATAATACAAAAGATTGATTTTTGAATATCTGTAACCATACGATTGGCAACTGCCAATTTTAAGAGATCACTACCATAGTTGTTACTTTGAATAGCCATACCTCCTTTGGCATTTGGTGTTCTGAGGTCAGACATTTTAGTGGCAGTGTTGGCACCGGCCCATGATGAACCAACCAACCACCATCTACCAGTGTTTCCAACAGACTCGAGATCCTTTAATGAAATATTCATAGTGTTTGACTTCATGCTAGAATCGGATGATTTCAATAATGATCTAATAGCCTTTTTCAATTGAGTGAGTGTTTCAATCAACTTTGTATTTTGAATCTTATTGTTCTTCAAATTGGTCATCATATCCAACATAAAGTTAATCTTTGACAATTGATCACCCTTTTCATTTTTATATTCACCATGTTTCTTTTGAACCAATAAAATAATATCTTTTAATGAAGTTGGATCATCTCCTCTTAATTGATATCCAATATCTATAAAAATTAAAATAAATAATATTTAATTAATAATTAAATCAATTAGTTACTTTTTGTTTGTTTGATTTACATACTTTGAATAATTAAAGATAATAAATTAATATCCAATTCTGAAAATGTGCCAATATAACGTTTGGCCAAATCAACGACCAAAGATTTACTAAGAACTTGGAAATTGTAGAGATGACAAATAGTAACGAGATAGTTTGATACTTCAGACAAGTTGTCTGGTTTGGCGTATGCCTTTTGATAGGCTTGGAATAATTCTTCGATAAAGGCACCACCCAAATCAGTACCAATTCCACCATTGATTGCTGTAATCAATGCTGTGTTGGCATGAATAATATTATTAACAACTTGATGTTTATCTCCACAATTAATTAGAATCAATTCAATTAAAAATTGTTTTAATACTAAAAAAGAAAAAAGAGGTTAATATTTGTATATTTGAGATATATAATATCTTTCTCATGTTTACTTACTATTTCTTGGATGTTCATTAAAGAGTTGTGTGATTTCATTATACATAATATGAAAGTTATTAGTTGCCAACTTGTTTAATATACCTTTAATCTTTCTCTTTAAATTAATTTCCTTTAATGTTAATGGAGCGGCAGAGGTAGTAGTAGTACTATTTTTGTTGTTATTATTATTATTGTTGATATTATTTTGAATATTTTCAGTTTGTTGTTGTTGTTGTCTTAAATGAGGTGGGACATATTTACCCATACCTTGACTTCCAACACCAACATTATCCTTTATAATCTCTCCAGTCTCTGCATTTAAAACTCTACCATAAATATCTTCCTTTGTTATAATTTCTTTATCTTCTTTTTCTTCTTCTTCTGGGTTATCTTCTTCTTCATCTTCTCCTTCTTCTCCACCTTCAATGTCATCATCCAAATCTTCATCGTCTTCGTCATCTTGGTCTTCACCATCACTTCCACCTTTGCCCCAAGCTTCATCACTATCTATTTCTTCATCATCCTCACTATTGATTTCTGGATAATCGTCACTTAATTCGTTTGGATCAAATTCTGCATCCTCCAATGGTTCGACACCTTCCTCGTCATAACTAACGTCATCATCATCATCTTCATCATCGTCGTCAGCACCATACGATCCATCCAAAGCACTTAAAGCATCTTCCAATTCATCAAATAATGCATCTGGATCATCATCGTATTCACCCAAATCATCTTCATCCAATTCATCCATATCATCCATTTCTTGTTCATTTTCCATTTCCTCATCAACTTCTTCGTCAACTTCTTCTTCTTCTTCTTCTTCTTCTTCTTCTTCTTCTTCTTCATCTCCTTCTTGTTCTGAATCATCACCAAGAAGATTGATTTCACCTTCATCACCAGAATCTTCTATTTCATTGTCATCCAATACATCTTCAAAGTCATTTTCATCATATTCTTGATCGTCGCCATCTTTATCATCATCGCTATCTTGTTTCTTTTGATCTCCATCATTTTCAGACAATGGTTTAAATAATGCTACAAAATATAATTAATTAATTGTCAAGTTTCTGTAATATATATATAATATTACATACTATCTAAACCATCATCAACAAGAGTTTGACTAATATAAGTATCACCATTCTTTTTCTTCTTTTTGGCAATACCCAATTTAGATTCCAAATATTTGATTTCACGTTCATCGGCATCCAAGTTATCACTACCTCTGACACCAACAGCCTTTAATATTCTATCTTTTGTTCTTTCTAATCTTTCTCTTTGTTCTTGGTCACGTTCATCTTGCATCTTTTTGTCATACTTGTCCCATTTCTTTTGAGTTCTTTCTCTCTTTACCTTGATTTCATCTCTTCTCTTTATTCTTTGTTCTTCTGCCTTTTCTGGGTTTCTTCTTTCAAACTATAGATAGATAGAAATAGAAATATGTATAATTAGTTTAGTTTCATGACGACAACTCCTCCTATCTTATCCTCCTATACATACCTGTTGTTGATGAAATACAAGTTTTCTCTTTTTCTTATCATCTCTAACAGCCTTTCTTTCATCCTTTCTACTAATTCTACCTCTTTTATTGTTTCTATTAAATGATGTAGAGTATGATTCTTTGTTATTGTTATTATTATTATTATTATTGTTAAAACTTTTAAAAGCAGGACGTTCTTCATCACGAGCAGGTTTCTTTGAGTTTATTTCATCTTTTAAAGATTGTGGTAACTCTAATCCTTTACCTGGAGCTCTTTGTTGTTGTTGTTGATTTCTGAATCCAAATCCCATCTCTCTCTCTCTCTTTCTCTCTATCAACTAAATAAATAAAGATTGGGTAATGAAAAATAGATGAGGTCTCGACGATTCGTTCGTTTTTTTACATTTTTAGTTTGAAAATATGAATATGATTTTTCAAACACTTTTTCTTTCATTTTTATATTATTATTATTATCTTTTGAAGTAATAAATAAATTGTTCGAATCATGGGAACAAAAAAAGATTTAAAAAAAAAAAAGAAAGAAAAGATATTGCTTCCTCTCACAAACCTTCAGACTGGATATATATCCAAGAAGGTCCAAAAAAAATATTGTAGAGGATTATAAGAAATTGGAGACAAAACTGGATTGTCAAAAGCGAAAAGTTATGGTGAAAACAATAGCGATCATAAGTAGAGAAAATTGTCAACTGTCCAATCAAAACGAGAAACTAATTGAAGAAAGCCAAAAACTTAAAGAAGATATGGATGGAATCAAAAAGATGATCGATGACTTATGGTCTTCACATAATTCACGTGTCAAGGAGATCCAAGATAAATCTTTCAATTTTGAATAATAAAAGATTTTATAAATGTTGAAATATTGTGAATAAATAAATAAATTCACCACTAGATCCCATGTTGGCATTAAAAGTCTGGCTCAAAAATCTTAAAATAAAATAAATAAAGAGAAGACCGACCTATAGGGTATTAGAATTGCAAAAAAAATAATAAAGATTTTGATTTTATTATTAATAATTTTTGAAAAGGTTATTTGATTATTTTACTTTTGTTTTTTAAGAAATTTTGCTATTAATACTTTTGATATGTTGGTTTGGTAGTTGGGATTTGGTAGTGGTTGGTAGTAGTAGGGGAGAGGATCAACAATAGAGTTACTCTCTTTATCTTTTATCATTTAATCAACTTCCATAAGTGGTTGATCAGTTCCTTCTGGAAGTGGTTCAACATCAACTTCAATGTCGGCAGATCCAGTGTCATTGCTGCCGTTGCTGGTGGTGGGGATGGCAGATTGTCCACGTGTATTGTTGTTGGTAGAGGTAGAAGTGGTAGAGGTAGATGAGGAGGTAGCAGCCTGAGCACGTGAAGAAGCAAAAGTAGAAGTGGTTGGAGCTGATTGCAAGTTGGTGGAACTAACGGCCGATGAACGACCACTGTATCCACTTCCTCCATTCCATGCAGAGTTGCTAGAACTACTTTCATAACCGTTTGGTGAGTTTCCACCGCCACCATTACTATTTTCACCGTTACCGTTGCCATTGCTACTGTTCATTTCAGTGGTAATATCCTTTACCTCTTTAAGTCCCTTGTTTAAGTGGAAATCTGGGCTATAGGTATCCTTTCTACGGTAAAAGAGGACATAGGCGGCATCAGTGATAACGTTGGATGCGTCGACATTTTGAGTGTGACTGTCGTCAAACTTTACCCATTGATTCTCGAGCTCGTTGAGAGCATATGCAGTGTAATGACCACCACCCATCGAGCCATAGTGGTTCGAGACGGCAAAGAGGTCATAGACTGGTGGACTGTCGGATGGCGACAAGACGTGAGACGAGAGATCCAAGTCCTTGATTGGGAAACGCACAAGAGTGTCGAGCTTTTCTCTCCATGCCTTTTTGTAGCTGAAACGCTTGAGATGGATGACCAAGATGGGTGGAGCAGACCAAATGTCAAACTTTTTGGTGGCTTGTTGATGCACCTTGCACTTGCTGCAGTACCATGGGTCCTCGGCACCGAGCTTTTCAGTGCTGGTAAATAGGTCGATGCAAGTCTTGAGTTCAATCTCCTTTTCAGAAGCAATGTCACGATGGAAGGTATTGTACTGGCTATTCTCAAGTTGTCCGGCGTCAAAGTGACGGTCAAAGGTTTGTCCCTCCCAGTGAAGAGTGATCATGTCAAAGTTGATGGGGTCGAATGCAAACTTTTTGGGTGGTGCCATCATAGAGTCCTTATTGTCGACGGTCATTTGGAAAATAAATCTTGGGTCTCTTGCTGGCTTTTGGTGGTTGATTCTGTTGTAATTGTATGGTCTGTAGCCACTGTAGCTATTGTCTTCCTCTTCTTCGGATGGTTCGTTTTCAATTGGTTTTTGGTTGCTATCAAAGATCTCCTTGATTCTGTCTTGTTCCTTTAACAATCCACCCAATCTCTCTTGAATGTGGAAATACAAATCTTCAACACTTGTCAATTCGGCAAATGGTACTGAAAGTACAAATGGGAAATGACTATGATATCCAGTTTTCATTGTTACTTTAATTGTATGATTTGCTGGATCCTTTAATTCATATCTAAATTGAAAATAATAAATAAATAAAAGGTTAATAATACTGTTCATAGATTAATCTATTTATCCTATGATTTACGTACACGACGATTGGATCTCTATTATGAATACTATCAAGAGTACCAGTTGGTTTCAAATGTTTGTTAATTTGATTGTTACTTTGAGAAGTGGCAAACAAATGAGAGATGGGAGCAACGTTTGGTTCGGCGGCGAGTTTTTCAAGCAACTCTTGGACGGTTGAACTCTTGTTCAACTCGATCGAGTGTTGAGTTGGCAAGGCGTTTCCGTTGTATGGTACATAGACAACAGACATGATCTTTCTAATGTTGACTGGAAGTGGCAACGACAAGTACATGAATGGATCAAAGGTGATAGAGATGTTTTCGCACTCTGGACAAATTAACTTTGACTTGAGTTGTGCTTGGAACCAATCGACAATGATCGATTTGTTACGAGCTCTGTGCATCTCCCATTGCTCGTTGGCAATGATTTCGTCGGCTCTACCGTCATAGTCCTTGCCCTCAAAGAATGGCTTCTTCTTGACTTGGTTCATATCCTCGTGAAGACCATCGAGCAAAAAGGCCAACAATTCTTGACTGTCGTGTTGTTGGTAGCCCATAAATTGGGGAGCAAATCTTTCAATGGCCGTCTTAAAGTTTCTTGGTCCTACAGATGTCATGTCTCCCTTCCATATTTGCTTGATCAAATTGGCATACTCTTTGGCCAAATCACCATTACATCCAAGTGGATTATCAACATTTAAATCTTCTAAATGTTTTTCATTTAATAAATATCTTGTTAATGGAATTGCATTACTTAAACACTAAAGTTAAAAAAGAGAGAAATAAAAATAAAATTAATAAATATAAAAGAAAATAGATATATTATATTTCTTTTTTTCTTTTTCTTTTTGACATACTTGAAGTGAAGAATTCATAAAACAGGTATTACCAAGATTATCTAAACCTGCAATACCTGGACGTGCTGGTCCATTTCTTTGATTATATCTTGAAGAATAACCTGAATAAGATGATGAACTCTTTTCTTGTGGCCATGAACCATCTGCTAATCTTTCGTCAAATAATACCTAATAAATAATATAATATATTTTAATTAGAATACATCTATGTTTTAATAATATTCCTTTTTTCTTTCTTTATCTTTTCTTTATCTTATCTTTACATACATTTTGACCTTCAATTAATCTACAATTTGAAATGTATTCTGGATTTTTAAGTTCATTGTATTTGCTGTGATTATAGTAATCCCAAACTCTAACGTTTTGTGGCTCAACATCGAGGAGTTTGCATACTCTTTCTTTGAATTTGTTGACGGTTTCATTTTTGCTAGCAAAGATATCAAGAACGTTGCTTTGTTGTGAAGATTTAAATACTTTAAGTGGTACTGGGTAATTATAATCAATTGAAGAAGACATGAAATTCTTTGCTACCTTTCTTGATACAATTGGACTACATCCATATGATTTTAAAAAGTAATTCCATACCTATAAATATAAAAAAAAATATATATAAAAAGATTAATATTATATTTTCTATTCCTTTTGTTTTCTTTTTTTCTTTTTACATACTTGAGCAGGAACAACAGCAAAATGAGTATTTTCAGTTTGACCTGGTTTAATAAATTCAGTTCCTGGAACAAGAAGATTCGAGTTGTTGATTGGACCCAATTCGTCTGGGCTAAAAATATTCTTTAACCACTTGTCATACCATTCATAGTTGATCAAAAACCAAGACTCACCGACTATTAATGGAGCTCTTTTGATAATATCCTTGGTGTCATTGTTGATCTTTTTTCTTTCATCTTCTGTCAAATTGGCATATTCATTGTCTTCGGCGACGACAGTGGTGGTGGTAGTTGGGGTTTTGTTGTTATTGTTGTTGTTATTGTTGTTGTTGGTTCCATTACTGTCTGTTGCTACTGTAGCATCTCCATCATTAGAGACTACTACACCGTTTGACGGTCCAGCAGGAGCAACAGAATCTTTTTCTAGTGACATGTTGGATGACTCTTCTACTTGTCCAATACCGTTGTTGTTGTTTGGAACAGAAGTCGATGAGAGTGATGGTGATGAACCTGCTGACGACGTAGAGTTGATCTCGACAAACGACGAATCAGTGGTCGATGACATATTCTCAAAGCCGGCACTTGGCGAGTCAAAGCTGTTTGACTCGGCGGAATGGCTGTTTACTGCTGGGCTTTCTGTCATCTTCTCTTCTTCAAATTGCTCTCTTTTTCTTTTATATTCTAAACCGTCCGTGACTGCCGTCTTGTTGTCTTTAATTGGTGTTGGTATTCTTGTTGTTTTTTTGGTTATATATAATATATAATAATAAATATTGCTACAATATGGTTTGTTTGAAAATTATACAAAAAAACTATTATAGATAGATAGTAGAATGAATGATTATGTTAAATCTTGATTTTATACGTTAAATATATGTTCTCTCTGTCTCTGTCATATTTACTCTTTTTTTTTTTAATCTACTAGATATATATATATCTGATGTTGATTGCTAGTAATAATACTCTATAGTAATGATAATCTGTACAAGTAAAGAGTAGAGTAAAGTAATAAAGAGTTAGAGATAAGTTTAAGAAAAAAAAAAAAAGAAAATATGAAGAAAACAGATAGATTGTGGATGATGGGTTGAAGTAAAGCAAAAAAATAAATGAAGAGTAGAGTAGTAATTCGGTTCGATGGGTGGGAAAGTAGAGAATCTCGAGGATTTACTTTCTAGTCTCTCTTTCCTTTCTTTCTTTCTTTCTTTCTTTCTTTCTTTACCTACAATTTTTTGTTAATCTATCTATCTCCAAACAAACATGTAATTTTAAATTAACTTTTGTTGAAGTGATGAAACAGGAAGCAGGCAGTTGTAAAAAAAAAAAAAAATTAAATTTAAAAAGGGAATAAACCAACCTTCCTGCTGGGTGACTAAGATGATGTCAACGACAGAGTTATTTATAGATAGAAACTATATAGTTCTACTTCCTTCCAATCTTATCTTCTATCTATACTTCTCTCTCTCTCTCTCTCTCTCTCCTCTCCAACTGTGATTATTTACTCTTTTCGAAAGTTTTTGATTATACTCACTCTCTCCTTCTTTCTTCTTTTGTGTAGAGTAATTCGCTTCAGATGTTTGTAACACCAGCTTTTGCGAAATTAAATAAAATAATAAAACAAATAAAATAATTTTTGCTTTGTAGTTTCGTGGTTGGGTTGAAATCACACACGCTTTGCTTGATTCTTGTTTTTCTCACTCCATCCATCCTTCTTCTTTGTTCAAAAAATTTTCATAGTTGTACATTCATTGAACGTGTCCCTCCGTCGATCTAGACTATGATCACACTGCCGCTACGACTCGACCAGTATGCTCACCAAGCTTGCTTGTCGATATTTAAATATACAACCAGATTTATTATTATTCGAGATAGATAGAATGTTACATCACCATGCATTTGCTATTGTTATTATTATTGTTATTATTGTTATCACCAACAACAACTTCACTGTCATTGTTATTGTTATCTTTGTCCACGATAAGTGGACGATCATTATTATCATCATCTATTTGATCATTGTCATTATTATTATTAATAATTTTCTTCTTATTATTATTATTATTATTATTATTGGTATTATTAATTTCGGGATGAAGATGTCTATTAATATCCTCTAGATTCTTTTGTAGAGATGCCATTGTATCTACAATGGATTGATAATGTGGATGAGTGATAGGAGTTAATTTACAAAGTTCTTGGAATAGTAGCATGTATCTTGGACACCTGCCAACTGGCATGACAAGATAACTTTCCAAACCAAGTGTATTTGAACCTGGATCCAAACCAGAGTTTCTTCGTTTCTCTAAAAACCTAACAAATGATTTGTTCTTTTGTCTAATATCTCTCAACCGCGTCAGGGCTCTTTCATATCCAACAATATAAGTTATAAATATCTCCAATCTAAATGTACTAGAAAAGGCCAATGCATAATTCATTCCATTCTCTAGGTCTACACCCAAACTAGTCTCTAAAGCATTTAAAAATCTTTTACTCTGATCCTTTACATCGACGGCATTATTAAATACAATCATCATATCATCTTTGTTTAATACCTTTTCAACTAAACATGGTTCAATATAATTCTTTAAAATTGAAAGAATAAGAATAAGAAGAATAACTAAAAGTAAAGATAACTACTATTCATCAATAATAATTATAGGTTCCAACATACTTTAATAAGTATATCTAAATGATTATAATATGATATTTCAGTATTGAGTATCTCTTGTAATACTAGTTTTCTTCTATTGCATCGATCAGTTTCTTCATCTAAAACACTTATAGTCCTCCTTAGTTGTTGACTATTATTATTATTATTATTATCACTATCCATTCATTATCTCTATCTCTGTATGTTACATTATCGTTCTTGTTTAATTGTCAACGACGAGCTCTTTCTTCTGTGTTCAAAAGGATTATTTGAAATGGAAATTGTTTGCAAATTATAACCTTTTTTTTTCCATCGTGATTAATATTTATTATTATTATTTATTAATTCCAACACTTAAGTGTTGGATGATTGTGATTGTGATTGTGATTGTGATTGTTGTTTATGATGTTGTTGAACAACAAAGAATCTAGAATACATAAAACAAAGATCATTGATATGATTTTGAAAGATTGATTTCAAAGCTACCATGAATACATCAGAGTTTGTATCATTCCATTCTCTCTCGATGATTGTTTCACCAGAGTCTTTGTTGGTTTTGACATAGTATTGATTCTTTGAGGGTTGATTGGTTTTGATGAAATTCCAAATACTCATCAATACATAGGTAATCTCTTCTGGTGTTATCTTGGCAAACAATTCATTGACAAGTGATAGAGGATGTTTGATAAATTGTCCATTGACCAATATTTGAATCAATAAACAAGTTTGTTCAAAATGGGTTGATTGTCTTGGATCATCTATACTCTTTTCAGTAAACCAATATGACATTTCATTTACCAATAAACTTTTAATTACTTCTAAACATCTGCTTAATTCTCTTCCATCTAAAGTACCAGAATAAATTTATAAAATAATTAGAATACACAATATATATAATGTTATTTTTTTGTTGTTTGTAATCATTACCAAAAGAAATAATTTCCAATATTTTCCATAAAATAAAATCTTGTTGGAATAATTTACGAAGATAAATATCCTTTTCAAATTGTGATGGTTTTGGTATAATATCTTGATAACTTTCAAATGTTGGACTCATATGACTTGGTAATACTCGCAATAAAAATTGATCAGTTAGAATGATTAATTTTTGTGTCTTGTTATCTAAAAATATTTAAAAATAAATATATTAATATATTAATATAATAATAATGATTTCCTTTTCTTTTTCATTTTAATTTCATACTTGAATCATTTGAATGAATGATACCATATAATAAATCTACAATATCATTTTCATTTGATAACATTTGATAGTTTTCTGGTAAAATATTTTCCATTTGTTGGTGATGATGATGATGATTATCATTGTTTTCTAGTAGATGATTCTTTTTAATATTTTTAAAGGCATGATGTCTTGGATTATGCATATCTAAAAATTTGTATTGATAGGCTCTTCTTTTGAAATTTGATTCCAATAATGTTTCTCCCTCTGCATTTGAAAGGTCTATGGGGATATCCAATGATAATGGTGTATAAGGATCGAGTGATAATTGAACAGCATCGATGATAGCTGATGAAGAATTGATTGTAGAGTCTGATGACCCCATAATAGGATGTCCATTATTTGGAACTTGAACAATGATTGAATTGGCAGGTGGTATATAATAAGTGGCAGAATATTTAGTTTTAGAACAAGGTGACAATAAATAATTGAAAATTAAATCAACTCCCCAATTCACTGTTATTATTGTTGAACTACATAAATTAATGACTAAATACGGGCGAATGAATTAGTATAGTATTTTGGTTGATAGATAGATATATTTATAAAACATTCTAATAACTTACATAAAGATTTTAATTTTTGAATAATAATAATTCTTTGATATTCTGATTTTTGATTAAATGATGATTGTTGTTGACCATTATTATTATTGATATCATTTAAATTTGAAAAGATTAATGATAATATTCTTTCACCAAATATTCTTTGTTCTATTAATTGTTTTGTTGAATATTCATTGTTGGTTTCAGACAATGTTGTTATCTTGTTGTTGTTGTTGTGACAATGTACCAATCCATAGTGATTAAATGATATTGTTAGGATGGACAATAATTTAATTGAGTTGGTCAAATTGAAAAGGTCAATGACCATCCACCACTTTTTAGAACAAGTTTTAAATACACAATCCTTTAGTATATCACCAATTTGTTGTTGTTGTTGTTGTTGTTTGTCATTTGGATGATTTACAATAGTATCCAAATTTTTAATAAATTCCAATCTATTTTGATTATCAGTGTCCAATAGTAAGACTGTTTTATAGGATGTATATAATGCTTGGTTTATGACATTTTTACCAAGTACATTTGATATTTGGTGACTTGCTTGTACAAATATCTTGAATTGTGACCTAGTGGTTGATCTAACCAACAAAAATGACAACACCTTTTGAGCCAAATAATTGTTACTACAACCATCCCAAATACAAGCCAATACAATCAACTCTAATAATTGTATAGACAATGGGTTTTCAGAATCTTTCAATACTCTTTTACATAAATCCAGTATATCAATATTACCCAAAATATTAATATCTTTTTTTAAACTATTATTATTATTATTATTGGGGTTTCTATTATTTATCCAAGTTGATTGTAAATGAGTTATATAATGATTAAATAGTTTAGTTGCAGTTCTACCAATTTGATTATGATTTAATAGTGTTGAACAGTTGTATAATAGTATTATAATATCATTGATAAAGGTTGATATGTCTAGATTGTTTAATATCCATTCCAATCGAGATTCAATTCTAATGATGATGTCATTATCCTCTTGATTATGATGTTGTTTTCGTTGTGATAGTGATTGAATAGTATCAAATGTGAATATTGATAGAATCGGTGGTAAAACAATTGACAATACAGCCGGAGAAACAATGAATAATAATCGTTCCAATGATATAATCCATTGTCTATCATCGTTATCATTGATGATCTTTTCTAGAATATATTTTTTTAATAATTCAACAAATATACTTGGTTGTTGAATAATTAAATATTCTAAATTTTCTCTATTTCCATTTAGATTATTATTATTACTACCTTGCTCGAAACCACTTTTAAATAAATATTCCAATGTTTGTTTTGGATATTTTAAACCATAATAACTTATTATCCAACCATTATTATTATTATTACTATTACTATTATTGTTGTTGTTGATAAGTTTGTCCAATGATTGTAAAAAGATATTATTATTATTTTCGGTATTGATTATAGTTGAAAGTGTAAATAGAATTGATAATAATATTCTAATGGACAAGTATTTTAAATGATTGTATATGGTTGATGTAATGATAGAGTCTGATGATTGTTGATCATTGTTACTTGTTGTTGTTGTTGTTGGGATGATCCATTGACTAATGGCTTGAATACTATCGATACACCATTCAATGATGAGTTTATGCCAAACAACCGATTCCTCTTCATCGTCTGTCACCAGCTCAATAAAGAATTCGTGAATGGTCAACAATACATCGTCCATCTTTTTAAATGATCCATTTGATTTGTAGATCTTTTGGTTTTGTTGATAGATCTGTGACCTCAACTCTTTTCCTTGTGGTGATTTAATATGTTCATAATCTTCTTTGTTCTTTTTCTTTAAAGGAGTAGTAGTAGTAGTAGTTGATGATGTTGTAGATGTAGATGTAGATGGAGTGTTATTATTATTATTAATATCATCATTCATTTCATTCCATTGACGTTTCTTTACAGGTTGTGGAGTTGTTTGTGGTGATGATGTTGATGATGATGGTTGTTGTTGTTGTTGATTTTGTTGTTGTTGTTGAAAGTTCTTTGGTCTAATATTCTTATTGTACATCTTGTGTGCTAGTGATGGGGTATGTGAAGGTGAGGCTGATTGAATGCAACAATGATTCAAAAAGACTAGTTGTAGTTGACCCAATTGATGTTTGCGCATTGCAGGTATCTGCTTGATGGTTGCTAGGTATTGTTTGATCGTGTCATATGTCTGCACAAACAATGTCGATTGTTCAAGACTGCTTGATGGCGGCTTGACATTATTCTCTTTGTTTTGGATGATTAGATTCAGAGACTGTCTATCATCTTGTATTAACCTACAAATCTCTATTGTTGTAATCGTCATTATTATATAATACACTTATTTTGAATACATATATTTATATATTATATTTAATAACAATATCTGATCATAAAATAAAATGAATGCTTGGGAACTTCACAATCAAACTTGTCTTTTTGAAAACTAATTTATTATCCCCATTTTCATGAATGAATGTTGCCAAATGTGGCTAGATCTTTGATATTGTATAGACAAGTCGGATGATATTAATAATTAACAACAATTATAATTCCTTCAATAAGAAAATAATTATAATTAATCAAATTATTGAAGGGAAGGAATTATAGTCCATTATTTTTTTTATCAACTCTTGAGCGGTTGGTTTTCTCTGATGAGAGCAGCAACATCTTGAATCTGAGACAGTGTTGGATAGTCTATCTGGTACAAGAATTGCTTGACATTGAACATCGCTTCAAAATCGTCTCGTCCCAACGGCACATGTGGTGGTAATTGGTTGGCATCGTCAGGTTTGGGTGCTTTGTAAGAGAGTTTTTTGTGATAACCTGGGCCGGCTGGTGTGACTGCAATCACCAAAACCTCTAATGTAGTGTCGTAGGGGTTGATGACTTGCATATGGGCGATGTATTGGTGAAGCCAGTAGAGAGGAATACTTTTGCGATTGGTGGACACGGTCATTTGAAATAGACAGCAAGGAGTGAGAACTACATCAACCGATGGAAAGTTGGGGGGAGGGACATAAAGGGTGTCCTTGTTTGTCCATTCCGTGTGTTTCTTGACTCGTTTACTTGTAGATGGAACCAAAATATCACACATCTGTTTTGCAATCCTTTGACACAATGGTCCAATTACCTCCTCTTAGGAGAACACCCATAGCAAAAACCTCAAAGAGCTTTCCAACCAATGCATTGTCAGAAGAAGGATTTTGAAATATATCAACAAGTTTCGCGGCAGAGTGGAGAGCGAGGTGGTCGAAAACTGCACGGGCTATGTATGCAGTGCCAAACTCGAGATGTGATGAGCAAGAATCCTTTGAAGGAACAAGATGAACCAACTTGTGAGGTGCATCAAAGGTACCTGGAGAACCTATGAGCTGAGTGATTGTTACCAAAGAGTCAAACGATTTCGTCAATGCGTTGCGAATAATTTCGCTGGCCTCCGCCGGTTCTAAAAAAATACTTCTTGGAACTCCACCAAGTTTAATGAAACGATCTTCAAATCTCTCTCTCTCTCTTCATTGGATACTGAACATATTCTCTCCATCTCTATCTATATATTTTAAAATATAATATTTTGTATTAATAATTAGCCAACATATATTATTATTATTAGATATAGATTTATAATGATTAGTTTAAATTGACTTACTTTGCTCTAGACTGGCATGTATCTTTGGAGGGGAATTGGATTGAACTTTAGGTATTCTTTGGAGACAGATGGATTTGGAGATGAGATAAGCAAGGTCATCACCAAAGGTCGCTCATGAGGAGAGCAAGCATCACAGATATACCAAATGTCTGATCGATGTTTGCCATAAAACTTTTCCAAGCATTTAAGCGAGCGATTGTACACAACCAGTTGGTCGTTTTTGAATGTGAATTCATAAACACCGGCATGTCCAACTCGTTGATAGAATAGGGATCTGAATCTATCTCTTTTCTTGGCAAGTTGATGGAGGAGGAAGAAAGCAAACATCGACTTTCCTATCCCTGGAGTTCCTCCAAGAAGCGGTATGGACTTTTCTCACTTTTCGTAAATCCGTCCCAATCATTAATGATTCGAAAAGATCATAGTAACATCTACGAACGTATAAACTATTTCCACTGGACACTGGAAATTTGGTGTTGTTTTCTAATTTGATCATATCTTCAATGATATCCTTTGTTGCCAATTGCTGCCAAAATGTGGTCACTAAATAGAAAATATAAAGTTAGGGCATGTGATGGATGTATGAAGAATTCGTCTTGAAAAGAGAGAACTTACATTCGTTATCCACTTCATTAGATGTGCCTAGTAAAAACCCAATGGAAAAGAACAATTAATGAAAAGAAAGGTGGAGGTGATATGAAAAACAAAATGACTAGATTTGAATGAAAGCGATTGGTTGATGTGCATAGAAATAGACTGGCCAACAAGGCAAAATATCAAAGATGAAAAAGAGATGGTGATAAAATAAGGATGTAGAGTGATAAAGAGTGGTAGTTTGGTGAACCTACCACTTTGGGATTCTAAATTTATGAACAAGTAAAACAAAAAAAAAATGTTGGATGGTAATGTTTGGTTGGGTGCACAATTGTTAGGAAACTAGTAGTTGTTGTGGGGAGAATGAGAATGATGAGTGATTATAAAGTGAGGAGACTTACCTTTTTTGTTTTTGGGATCAGTGAATAGCTCTTTTAGATATTGGTTTACATTGTCGATACTTAACTGTCGTACGTGGACAACTGATAACACCAACAACAATAATACTATGAACATTGAACAACCAATCATCATCCAATAATTTTTGTAAGCCAATTCCTCAATTATTTGGTATGCAGGAGGGTACATGTTTGTGTAGGAATAGAAATAGTGAGGGTAATATCAGCAAATGCTATGATAAGAAATGAAGGAGTTTCAAAGGTGGAAATATAGAATTATAATACTACTTGGTTCACAGTGAAATGTACAAGGGATGGTGGAATGAATATGATTAATTGATAACTGATGATGGTATGTGGTATGAACTAGGTAAACAATAACTACAAAAATAAAAGAATTACAAATAACAAATAACTTGGGTGTAATATATTATGTAAAAAGAAGAAGAAGAACCAGAGAGGATGGGGAGACTGCTGCTTGTGTGCGTGCAGCTTATTATTTATCTAAGAAATAGCGCTGATAGTTATTAAACAAAAAATAAATAAAATGTGGTTGTTTATTAAAAATAATAAATAAATAATATAATTAGCAAATGACTAATGGGGAAGCAATGATAGAAGACTTGATTTGATGAGCGAACAAACGAATTAGATAGATTGATAGAAAGAGATAGAAGACAACTATACTATTTGTACAATATCTAGACAAAAGAGGAATAATAATAGGAATAATAATGATCGAATATGAATGGTTGATATAATATTAGGAATGGTTGGAGATGGATTGACCAACAACAATGAGGCAAGTGAGGGGCCTATAATGTGAGGAACAAACAAGCAAAACAAAATGACTAGATTTGAATGATGGTGATCGGTTGATGCACCAATTAGATATGTTTGACAAAAGGAGTGGATAAGATGGAAAAGAGACGGGTGATAAAAATAAAAGGATGTAGCGATAGAGAGTGGTGTAGCTCGGTGAATGGACAATGGTATTTGATTTGGATCAAAGGATTATAAATATATCAACGAACACAAGAGGTCAATGATATGTAAAGATGAACAAGCAAAACTAAATGACAAATGTTTGGTTGTACAACAATGAATCAAGTGGTTAAAAGGAAAGAGATGGGTGGTGCATTGGTAATGAAAAAAAAAAGATAATCAAAAGAAATGGTGCAAAAAAGAGGAGCAATGATAGTGATTTTTAATTATTTGATGGATAAAGGAAGTGTAGTTAACTGGATAGGTGAGTGAAACAAACTAACAAAAGGTAGAGGTTTTGAGTGTCCAGTGATATTAATGTGATTGGTTGATATTTAGGAATGGTTGGAGATGGATTGACCAACAACAATGAGGCAAGTGAAGGGCCTGTAATATGAGAACAAACTAAACAAAATGACAAAATGACAAGTGATGGTGATTGGTCGATGGACAATGGTATTTGATTTGGGTCAAAGGATTATAAATATATCAATGAACAAAAGGTCGATGATATAAAATATGAACAAACAAAATGGCAAATGTTTAGTGTTTGGTTGGTACCGTCCAACAATGAAGCAAGTGGTTAAAAGGAAAGAGATGGGTGTGCATTGATTGGTAATGAAAACAAAAAGATAATCAAAAGAAATGGTGTAAAAAGGGGAGCAATGATAGTGATTTTTAATTATCTGATGGATAAAGGAAGTGTAGTTAACTGGATAGGTAGGTAGAGGTTTTGAGTGTCCAGTGATATTAATGGTGATTGGTTGATATAATATTTGGAATAGTTGGAGATGGATTGACCAACAACAATGAGGCAAGTGAAGGCCTGTAATATGAGAACGAGCAAACAAAACAAAATGACTAGATTTGAATGATAGTGATTGGTGGATGTAGCAATTAGGTATGTTTGACAAAAGTAGTGGATAAGATGGAAAAAGAGATGGGTGATAAAATAAAGAGTGGTGTAGGTGAATGGACAATGGTATTTAATTTGTATAAAAAGGATTGTAAATTTATGAACACAAGAGGTCAATGATATTGTAAAGATGAGCAAAATGTTGGTTGGTGCACAAGATAAAAGGAGTGATTGATGTAGTTACCTTGATTTGTAGGTGGTTGAGCTTCTTGGAACTGTTTCTGGAGGTATTGGTTCACTTTATCGATGTCCTTGGAGTCCCCATATTCATAAACAATTCTACTGGCTTGCTTTTCATCGACGCTATCCTTGCACATTTCCTTGTTAGGATAACCAGAGAGGTCAATGATTGTATAAGCACGAGAGAATATGTCAGCCATTGTGCCAACTCAATAATGAATATTCAATAATAGATAGAGATAGATTAAATTAATACGATTAGAAACTAAAGATAAAGAAATGAATTCTAGATTAATGATGGAATGATATGTGATGAAATGAGGATAAACTAAAAAGATTAACAAATAACTTGGTGTAAAATATGTATCAGAAAGAATACATAGTGACACTGCTGCGGTATGAGTGCTTTTTATCATCAGACTCCAAGAAAAAAGCTTATAATTAAAAAAAAAATAAATAAAATGTGTGGTTTTATTTTATATAAATAAAAATCATTGGCAAATGGCTAATGGGTGAGCTATAAGACAAGACTTTAATGATAGGTTGACGGTGTGATTAATAGATGACTTGAACCACAACACACCCGAGTGACTAACCGAGAGCAACGACGAGCAAAATGATGGGTGGTAGTGGTGAGGGAATCTGACGAATGACAATCATGTGTGAACAAGCCGAATACGAGTGGGTAAATGAAATAGAAGATAGATGTATAACTATCATTACTTACCTCTACTGCTGCTGTGTTGATGCGATTGTTGTTGCTGCTGTTGTTTAATTAAAAGTTGTTGAGCAGCCAGATAGAGCTTCTTTGCAGGTGCGACGACTATGCCACATTTACCAAAATCAGCCTCTGTAAACACTGCTATACTCTCTCCATCTACATCATTATCAAGAAGCATCTGGGCATATTCTTCTCTTACTTGAACTTCTTTTGTAGCCCATTCAAAGACTTGTTTTGCTGACCATCGTTTGAAATCGCTTTGTGATGCAATTTCTGTTATTGTCTTGGCATTATACGTGTTATGATTAAAAGAGATGTCGTAAGATAATAGAAAACATGGGTTCTCCCCTTTTAATGTTGTTGTTGTTGTTGTTGTTTTAATCCTCGAGAGAGGTTGTTTGGTTTGGTCGAATAATCCAATTAAAGGGTATTGAAATTCTTTGTTTGAATGCTCCTTTTTTTTTTTTTTTTTTTTTCATTCTCTTGTCACCCTCTCTTGAAAATAACAAGACAGATTCTTTGTCTTATGTGAACCAAGATTAGTACTACTAAAGAGGGTAGTCTTCTATTATAGATATAGAGGTCCTATAGATTCAGCTCAACTTTGAACGATCGTTACAGCAATTTATATTTAATATACCAACATTCTATGATGACAATAACATTCAACCTACAACATTGATAATCAATGTTTTGTCTATTGTAATTGCTAGAACCACTCTCACTAAAGCATTCTCGTTATCATCCAATCCATGTTATATTTCAACTTTGTATCATATGTCTATTCATATACAACCAAATCCATTTTGTAAGAATTGGTAAACTGGTTACACTCTGTGTTGATTCACCTCCAACCTTGACAATGCAAACTACAGCTTCAGAAGTATATACTGATGTTTTTATTCCTGAAAGATTTAGACCTCCCAACATCCAAATAGTCACAGTGTCAACATACCAATAACAATCTCCAACTTTATTTATTCATCCATGTAGAATCTGTTGTTTGTTGAGTGGACAATTGATAATCCAAAATAGTGATGGAAGTGGAATACCTTGTGATTCCACCAATCTTTTTCCATTGATCCATTTTCTATGAGCTATGTTCTTTACTAATATCAATTTTCTATCCAAATTATAAAGTTATAATTATGAATTTATCAATCCAAAATCTAAAATCAAACCAATATATTTTTATTTTTCCAAAATAATTTTAACTTTTTTAACCTTTATAGTTTCTATCCAAAATATTAAAAGTTAATAATTAATTCTCAAAAATAATAAAATACAATAAAAATATATATTTCTAAAAATAAATTAACTATTTTAACTTATTTAATATATAATGAGCCCTGAAAGGGCGAATGCTTGTAAACTTTTTTGGGAGCGCCAGCGATCCAACGCACAACCCACACACTGTTATTCTAGTTGTCTCTTTTTCACTCAAGTTTTTGTCTTGCATACAAGAGTAGCAGGCCATATAAGAGACTATTTTATTCCTTTTCGAACTGTTTGGATCTATGCTCCCCATTCAAAAAAGTATCGAGTCAGAAGACTATTATAAAATATTCTTTTGATTCGACATCTTTTAAACTAATATTAATTGTCTTATCGGACACTTTTTATTATGATGTCATGTGGAGTAAGAACCAGAGAAAAGATAAGGATAGGATACTTTTTTGGAAGTACCAACTACCATGAATAAGAAATAAAATACAAGTAATCTTTACAAAAGCCATTCTTATATATTCACTTTTTTAAAAAAGTTTTATTGTTTTTCGAATTTTTAGATTACAAAGTATTATTAACATTATTGAGTTGAGCAGCTAAATATTCAACACCAATCTTTTGGGAGTATGGATTCCAATCTTTGTGATCAATGAAGCCAAGATGACCACCACGCTTTGTGAGTGCCAACATGGTGTTGGGGTTACTCTTAAACTTGGCAAATGGAATTGCATGGACCGGTGCAATACTGTCGTCGGATGCATTGATAAATAAGATTGGTTTCTTTATGTCTTGGATGTGGTTGGATGGACTAGCAGCCTCATAGTAATGTTGTGGTGAGTCGTAGTTGAACATCTTGTGTGTGACACACCAATCGAGATCTGTGACGGTTTGTGCCTTGATGATATCTTCTTTGGTTGTATATTGGTTCAAACGATCGCCAAACTTGAGGAACAATCTCTTGATGTTGTCTGCGAGTGGACCGCAGATCATCTTTCGGTTCAAGTAGGTTGATTCTATGGTCTTGCAACTCTCAGTCATATTGATGGGGTTGCTGATACTGACCGATGCGATAAATGGTGATGACTCTCCCGTGGCTTTGAGATAGTTGACTAGAATAACAGATCCCAAACTAAAGCCTACTAGCATGAGCTTGGCATTAGGATACTTTTGTTGAATGTGTTTGATGCACATTTGGAAATCGTCAATTTTAGTGCCACAATATCCAATGTCTGCTGTAATTTTGTTTCCACAACACCCTCTGTTGTTGAATGCGACTGAACGCCATCCCTTGGTGTCATAGGCATGCTTGGCAAAGCTACGTAGCCAAGGTTCGTGACTACCCCCAGTCAATGAATGTATATATACAACGATTGGAGTGTCCTCTTTGAATTCTCCAAACTCAAACCAATCCAATGAAACAGATCCTCCATCCTCTGGATTTACTAAATCCTCTCTGTATTCATTATTGTAATAAGTAAAGGTGTTAATATGATATCATCTCTTTCATATCTCTCTTGGTAGGTACAAACCTTGTTCTTTCAATATTCAAACGTTTCACTTTAAAAGTTGCATAATAATTCATGGCATGGGTAAAATGCAAAGAATAGGGTGGATCGTATGTGGCCCCATTCTGGACAGTTGGGGTATCATCAGCCTCTCCTTGATGGTTGGCTGGTTTATTGAGTGGTTGATAAAGTGCTGGACATTGTTTCAATGTACTAATATTATTTAAATTATCTGCATCGAAATATAATTTAACTTCTGACATTTTTTTTTTATATGTAATATGAATATATTGGGGTAAACACAATGTGTTGTGGTGAGTAAAGGTATTAAATATAGGGTGGTGATATAAATAGATGTGATACAAATAAATCTTTATTTGATTAACAAATACAATTCTAGAATTTAAAACCAAAAGAATAAGTGTTACGAGGTTTAAAATAGCAAAACAAAGAAAGGAAGAATTGTTTTTTAATTTAAATTAAAAGTTATAATAGGGAAAACCGACCGACAAACACTTCAGAGTTTAGACTATTCACATGCAATCTCCAAAAAAGGAAATTCATGCTGTCAAATTCTTTTTTTTCATTTCTTCTGGTGACCATGGTTAAATATTGCGACAAGGATAAAGAAGGATCCCGTCTCTCTCTCACACCAACAATCTTTGTTACAACTCTAGTGCCAGACATTGAACTGAAAGATGATTAATATGATGTAAAATATCATCGAAACAACAAACGACAATATATATGCCGTCATCATTCAAGTCTCTATCCCTCCCTCTTTTTTGTTATTCGTTTATTTTGGTTTAATATTCCGTTTTATTTTTTAAAAACTGTGATAGATTTATAATTAAAAGTCTCTTACATTTTTAAAAGATCAATTTTTTTAAAAATTACATCTTTAAAACACGTGATTTTTCAAAGATGTACCAATAATATTTTGTTTTTTTTTTCTTTCAATAAAAATAACTATTATTACTAGAAATAAAAAATGTACAATATCTTTTTTCCACTTTTAAAAGATTAAAAGATGAATTGTTGGAGAGACTTGTACATCAATGAAATACAAGGTGAATTGGAATTCAAGATAACAAATCTCCAACAAGACAATGACTATTTAACTCTAGGTCAAAAAGTAATGGAAATGGAACCAGATGTTGGAGAATTATATGAAAATTTTGAATTATCAAAAGAATGGTCGAGAATTTGTAGTATGTCATTTTCAAAAGGACAATTTGTAAATTGGTTTTGGGCAGTTAGAAAACAGTGGAAATATGTACACCAAGAATTACTTTTAGATTGGAACCAAGAAAGCAAGTCACAATCTCAACCAGAAGAATTTAATAGTATTAGTACTCTTTTTAACAGTCATAAAACTTGAATTTTCAATGGATGGCCTATATATATATATATATCACAAACCAACATCAAAACTGTTGCCAATATTTGTTAAAATTAATTGTTAGATTAATTATTTATTTATTATTTTGTATAACTTGGTTCACCATAAATTTGAACAAGATGTTTAATTTTAGGTGATTGTAGGTTAATTGGAATATCTGGTTTAAAAAATTCTGAAAGGAAATAAATTTCGGAATCCTTTCTTTCAAGGTCGGTAATCTTTGTTAGGTTAAATGCTAGTAGCGATGTAATACGAGGAATAATATTGAGACGACTTTGTGTAATCATATCAACTTTTTTTGTCGATTGATTACTTTCCACTGTCGATTTGAATGTATATAATATTGGATTCTCTCTCAATGACAAATCAACCAAACTTGGTAATAAATCCAATTCATCGATTGATTCAACCGTCGTAATCTTGTTGTGTGATAAATATAAAGTTGATAATTTACCAAACCCTTTAATCTTGGTAGTAGAACCATCATCCATAGTTTTTGGAAATACAATATTTTCAATTAAATTATTACTAACATTTAATTCTTCTAATCTAAAATAAATAAATAAATAAATAAATAAATAATTAATATATAATATTATTATTAATTATTATTTGATTTTTAATTACTTTGATAAATAACCAATATTTCTAATTGAATTAAAACTTGAAATAGTATTAAAACAAAGATCTAGTACAGAAAGTGAAGGAAACAATGAATTAATTTCCAATGATTCCTCTTGTTGTTCTGATTGTTCTGTTCCTTCTGTTTCTTTTAATTTAGTTGAATCAATATGATTATCAGCCAAACGTAATACTTGTAATTCTCTAAACATATATTTACATAGAGATACCACTCTATCCCACTTTATATTGGTTTTGTTTAATACCAATGTCTTTATATTATTAAATTGTAGTGTTGCCGTATTGGTAGATATATAATCTATAAATTCATCAGTCACCTCCATTCTATTTTCACTGAGTATTAATTTATCCAATGTTGGTATTTGTTTTAATAAATCAGGTATATCTTTCCAATTTGATAAAAGATTATGTGAAAGATTTAATTCTTCCAAGCCTAAATAAATTAATTAATTGTTATTATTATCATTGTTTATATATATATATATCTAATACAAGATGATACATACAAGTTAAAGTATTTAAAATAGCAGGAGTAGGATTAAAAGTAGAGATTTTTAAATCACAAGCATTGATAGATACTAAACCATTCAAATGTTGTTGTCTCTCTCTAATCTTTTCCATTCCAATCAGTTCTATTGGTACTTTGTTATCCAAATTTGAAAGAACATATAAATCATCTTTTTGGTTAATATTTATTAGTAAATCATAATCCAACATCATCATCATCATCATCATCTATCTAATCTCTATCTAATCTCTAGCATACCATAATTATCAATTTTGTGACCAAACTTTCTAAGAAGGGCGTGAATTAAATTGGTGCCACCGACAAGCTTCTCAATCTTCATAAATGATCCACTGCCCCCTCCAGTACAACCAAAGTATGTTCTCTGCTTGATAGTACCCTTGTGTTTACCACGTGTAGGATCATCCCACTCTATACCATACCACATACCTGCAAAGCCATCTACATCACCCATATATCTAATTGTACCATAGTGATCATCATCACTTGATATTATTCTATCACCAATTTGAAATGTTGTTGTTGTTTCTGATTGTAATTCTGATTCTGATTGTGATTGTGATTGTGATTCTTGTGTTGTTGTCAAAGTACTAGTCATTATCGATATATTATATTATATTATACAACAAGAATCTCGAGAGAATGAAGAAGAAATAAAAGAAGATCAGCGAGATAGTGAATCAGAAAGAGATGATCATGTGGTAACGAATAAAAAAAATTCAAACTAATTAATTAAAATGAGAGATGTGAACTACGACTTGTAACCTCAACCTTGATCTTTCCTTTCAAACAGGTTTGTGTTGTATGTAAGATCTTTAAAGTATCTATCTCTTCTTGTTTGAACAACAGTTATACATCTATCTAAAAGTGATTTCATTTAAAATATTTAACCAAAGTACCAAAAAATCATCCCAACCCAAAAAAACATCTATTTTTGTCGTTCACACTTCCTCAAACAGAAATCATTGAAAAATTTTGAGTGCAAAGGGATGGATAGGAGCTAAAACACAGAACTTGAGCAAAACACCACACCTATAAAAAGACGGACATCTCCGAATGAATCAAATCGTCAGTTTACAAATAAACAACAAACAACAACAACAACAAATAATAATAATATAATATAATTAAAAATATTTATATATATTATTAAAGCAATCAACAATCAATCAATCACTTATCTCTTTCGAACAGGTAAATAGTTTAATTAAATAATAATCTCACACACACATAATACAACTACAACAATCACATCAATCATCAACCAACAAACCAAGGAAGTTCAACATCATTCAATTGAATAGATTGGATAGGATAGATAGATACTTATCTCGGGAGAGAGTATTTTATTGCAAGTGTTGATGAGAAAAAGATTTTTTCTTTTTAAATTGGTAGATCATTGGTTGTGGGGAGTGTTGCGCAGGTTTGGTTGCTTTGCCTCCTCCTTCTCCCTCCCTGCTGTTGGTCAGTTGCGTGCTCAACTTTTTGAAACACTATGAATGGAGGGAGGCAAAGCATACCCGCCTGCACGATATTTTCAACGTTGGTGATTTTTTTTTTTTTTTTTTAGCTTTTTTTATTTTTTTTTCACACAAACTCTCCTCACCCCCTTGTCTCTCTCTTTATTCTTCTCTTCATTATAATCTAACATCTTCCTCCTTATTTTTTTATTTATCTATCTAAACAGATTTCATTGTACAATATATTATTCTAAAACACATATAAAATGACTGAATACAAATTAGTTATTGTTGGTGGTGGTGGTGTCGGGTAAGTTTAAACAAAGCAATCAATACAAACTAAATCAAACAAACAGTGTCGATACAGGAAGGTAGCAATCAACAATCAATCTCTTGTTGATGATGATCATCAACAAACAATTCAACTACAACTACAACAAAGGGGAACCCTACGAACAACAACTACTACTACTACAACAACAATCTTCGATCATAGATACAATATTTCAAGATATATGGAAAAGATATAATATTTGTCAAAAAGCCGAAAATCTGCGGATACTTTTTATTTATTTATAAATATGGTCACCAAACAACAAAATTACAATCAACAACAAGAAGAATCATAGTATAGTAGTAGTAATAGCAAAATGTTGATAAACTTAAAAGTAGTATATGATCATACCGCGCGATAGGTTGTCCCTCATCATATACTTTTTATATATCTCCATCTTCTTCTTCCCTCTCTCAAGAATTCCTTCCGTTTCGACACTGTTTTTTTTTTTTTTCTGTTTTTTTTTAAAAATTCTCGTGTTTAAACAACAATTCTAACGTTACCCCTCTATCTCTATCTATACCTTTATATACTTTATCTTTATAGTAAGTCCGCTCTTACCATTCAATTGATCCAAAACCACTTTATCGATGAGTATGATCCCACCATTGAAGATTCATACCGTAAGCAAGTCACCATCGACGACGAGACCTGTCTCCTTGATATCCTCGATACTGCCGGTCAAGAGGAATACTCTGCCATGCGTGACCAATACATGAGAACCGGTCAAGGTTTCCTATGCGTCTACGCCATCACCTCTAGATCATCCTTTGATGAAATTGCCGCCTTCCGTGAGCAAATCCTCCGTGTCAAGGACAAGGACAGAGTCCCAATGATCGTTGTTGGTAACAAGTGCGATTTGGAGTCTGAGCGTCAAGTCACCACTGGTGAAGGTCAAGACCTTGCCAAGTCATTCGGATGCCCATTCCTCGAAACCTCTGCCAAGATCCGTGTCAATGTCGAAGAGGCTTTCTACTCTTTGGTCCGTGAAATCAGAAAGGATCTCAAGGGTGACTCCAAGCCAGAAAAGAGCAAAAAGAAGAAGAACTTGCTTTCATCTTGCACTCTCCTCTAAACCAACAAACAACCACAACAACAAACATTTCCAACCTCCCAACCATTTTTTTTTTCCAAACAAACAAACCCCCCTACTTTTTTTGTTTGAAACCAATTGATCATCGCACTTTTGGATCAAATTGGATATTAAACAACAATTAACAAACAATTAACAACACAAACATCAACCAAGTTTTGTCAACATGCTGATAACAATCTAAAACAACACAACATCAACAACTGTATTATTTACAAATAACAATAAAATTTTTTCCTTTTTTTTTCAAAAAAAACAAACAAATCCTCAAATTGATCAATCAGAGTTATAACTAAAATATTTATATTAATATCTTCTTCACTTTTGTTTGTTTAATTGTCATTCCCCAGGGGATATAATATAATAATAATTTAATTTAAAATTTTTTGCATTATGAATCAAAAAACGAATCAATAGCTATTGACAATGATGATGCGTAATGATCATCCATTTATATCTTTTAAAGTATAATTAGTAACAATAATAAGAAGAATAAAAAGAAGATGGCAATTTCAATAGCAGATTTATATATAAGATTCGAGACATTACTTTATTTGGTATTGGCTATTGGTGGATTTGCGGCCCCAGGTTCAATGTTGCAAATGTTTAATGTAGACTTGACAGCAACAACAACAGAGCCACAAGGAATAGATTTAATAGAAGGACATCAATATGTATCACCATTGACAGCTCTAACAGGACTCGCTCAAATGTATACCTATTTGATGGCTATTGTCAGTCTTCAACAATGTGTCACACTCTTTTTAGCCATCAAGTCACAAGCATCTGCAACAAAGACACATCTTGTTAGAATGAATATACTATTGAACGTGTTTTTAATCGTTTACAATGGTTGGATCATTTCAACTCAATCTGCTCTCTATTCGATCGATGGTCTCTACTACTTTAAGATTTCATTTGGTGTTTACATTGTAGATTTCCTCATCCTCCTCTTTTTAACTGAAATTCAACCTTTTATCTTTAAGAAATCTTCTTCTTCTTCAACTACTCCTGGTTCAACAAAGACTAGTAAAAAGAATAAATAACAAACCCTACGCATATAATAATAGTTTAGAAATATATTATTGAAATAGTTATATAGTTATAGTTTTGTTTATTATTTACACATTATTGGTTTCTGGATGATTGGTGGATGGATGGTGGATATCATATATTACTCTGGATATTATTAATATTATATTATATTCTTTCTGTTGGTTGGGTGCGTGGATGTATTATTATTATAGTATTATTATTATTATTTCTTATTGCTTATTCTTTAGTTCAGTAAATTTACCATGTTTAGTTTGACCTGCATGAAGAGCAGCTTCTTTTTCACCTTTAAGTATTTTGTTACATTCCAAACAGATTAGTTGGAAGTTGGCAGTATCTGTAAAGTTACCTTCCTTATTTTCCCTATCGATAAAACTCTTCATCTTTTCTAGTGTCGATTTATCTTTTGAACTAAATTGTGTAATATCATAATCTTCTGGTCCATCTTTAACTAAACATATTGACAGTGCATCTATACATAAAAAGAGAGAAAGAGAGAGAGTCAACATTTTGATTGTAATAGTAGTTGATGTTTATGATTCCTTATTCATATTACTTACCATAATGAATTCCATCATAAATGACATAAACTCTATCGGTATAGTTTTGATCTTCACCATAACAATATAGAATCTTTGTAGCAATATCAAATGCACCAATTTCAATCTTATAGTGTTGTGATAGTATAGATAATTCAATAGCTCCACCCCAATGTTTTGGATCAGTTATCCATTTACAATAGTCACTATTTTCTTTACCCAAAAAGCCTTCATTAAATGTAAATGGGTCACCTAAGTAGAAATAAATAAATATTAATATTGTGTGAGGTTAGTAGCTGGGTTGGTTGGTTGGGTGGACTGACAGAATGCTAAAACATACTTTTAACAGATTGAACAATGACAGATCTAAGATGAGATGCACGTCCACGATTCTTATTCTCTAAAACATATGCAACAGCACTAAATAAACAACTGTTATCATTCTCTGTTAATCTTCTAATAACATAACCATCTGAAGATGATGAGGAGGTTCCAGCTGCAAGATTGGATGAGGAATTAGAATTAGAGGATGGTGGTGCAGATACTACAGGTGGTGGTGTAGTACTAGCCAATTCTTCAACAGTCAATGAATCACCATTTGTAATAAATGAGCTAATAGGACTATCTTGATTATTTATAGTATCTAATGGTTTAGGTGGATATCCAGCCAATACTATAATTCAATCAAACAACAAATATGAATATTAATATTAATATTATGATTAATTACAACCGATTTGATTGATAGTATTTATATATACTTTTTTGATTTGAAGGAGCGATACCAGTCTTTTGAGCAATGGTCTCTTGGAATGATTTAAGAGTACAGTTTCCATCTAACCCTTTAATATTCTCTTGACCTGCTTTACTTCTTAATCTTATTGATATACTCATTATATAAATATATATATATAAATCTATGTTTGTGTGGTGTATGTATGTATTTAGTTTGTTTGAGAGTTTAATGAAAAAAGAAGAGCGAACACAAGTGAAATTCAATAAAATTTAATTTAAATTCCTTCAACCCACTTCATCAAATTTAGAAGCGCACACTGCAAAGAAGTTCATTAGAATGATTCTTTCTTGTCATGAAAATAATTCAAACTTTATTCTTTCTAGCTCTTCCCAACAACATCCACATAACCAATCAATCAATCATCTTTTATCCCAATTAAATATATAGGTTGGGTTTGTTGCAATATCATTTTCAAAGAAGGATTGGATGCTATGTTATGCTCATCATATTCATTTAAATGAATGTGACAACCATCATAAATAACAACAGTAATAAGAAAAGAGATTTATATATGTAATTATTAAATCACATATATATATATAGTTGGTTACATCGACAAGTAGAGATTAAAGATAAAGAATAGATTCTTTAAAGTTGGGAAATGAGATTATTGAATCACAACACCAAAAGAAAAGAAAAGAAAAGAGAAAGGATGTTGGTAGATAGAACCAACCACTCTGTCTTTGATGATCATTTAAGAATTATAATGTCATAGGTTTGATGTGCACCACACATCAACTTCAAACAACTGCCTACTACAACAACAACAACAACAACAAACCTCGTGACCAAATGTTATTTTAAGTTGTAAAGATGGTTGATGACAATCTCTATCATTAGAAACATCCTCTTTGGTAAGCATTCCATTACCGTCTATATCTATTTTTATCGAATAGCTATTAATGATCATCACTATTTGTTGTGTATAGGTTCAAGATTTTAAATTTAGATTCGTCAACCAACAACAACAACAACTATTCATCACATCACATCCATCATATCATGCTTGCACAACATGATATGATAATAGTACATGGTCATCATCTAGATATTAAGGAGGATAAATGGAATATTGATGATGGTTGTTGATGTTGTAGTAGTAGTAGTTGTTTGATGATGGACGACGACGACGACGACGATAGATTCAAAAGTATGATGATTTGGATGTCGTGTCGTGATGTATACATCATGAACATGGCTTAATACCAATGGTATATATGGTTTTTAAAAGAAGATATGATAGGAGGAAGATCAAGTTAACGTTAACTTTTTATTTTTTCCACCCCCTCTTGGAAATCTAATTTTAAAAATGGTGATTGGTGGGTAAGGGTTGTGGTGTGGTGTGTGTAATCCATTAACCACCCCTACACAATTCAAGTACTACAATGCAGGGTAATAATGTCTTTTACCACAATCGTCTACTCTATTATTCATGAATAATCATCACTTTAATGACAATAATCAAAGTGACATCGATTGTTGATTGTTGATGGACGATGATGGATGATGACCGATACTGCTTCTTCCTACCTACTCGCTTGCTCAGCTCACATCACCACCATTCCCAAAGAAATAAGCAATTCTTTTAAAGATGAGCCACACACAACATAAATCTAAAATTATAATCTTTTCCCAACAACAACAACAACAACAACACCTATTTTCTTGTGAACAACAACATAAGCAAGCTCTTATTCCTATCAATCACAGACGTTCCAATTAGATTTTGGTGTTGGTAATTTCACCAAATTTCTTTTTCCTCCTCATCCGTCCTCTTCTTGTTGTTTCCCACCATTCTCCTCTTCTCCTCTCTCTGCCGACAGATCAAGGTTGCAATTTCAAAAGAAATGGCTAGTTTCTAGACACAAAGAGTCTATTTTTCAATTAAAAAACGTCCTACTCATATTGGCAATCTGTCTATTATTAGAATGAAACATGTAATGTATATATTTTCACACAATATATTGTAATTAAATTCGGCGGGCATGGCCTGACTTGCTCCAGTGGAAAATTATAAATTGCCGTAGTTTCCGTTCATTTCAAATCATCAAACATCATCAAGTGTATTTTATAAATTGTATAATTATTAAATTAAAAAAAACAAAACTAAAGGTATGAAATCATATCAAGAGATTAAACGAAACGATCATCATTGCAAAATGGATAGAGGAATTTAATTTAATTTTCCTCCAATATAATATTAATCAATTATATTAATGCCTGTTCCATTTTTAGACCCTTTTACTGTACTACTACTATCAAACTGTTGTTTTTAAAAGAAAGGACCAACATCTTAAGTTTAATTTTTTTATCTGTACTTCTAAACCCGCCTTTGCCGTTGTAATATAATATAAATCATCATCATCATTGTAAATTAACAATAACCGAATTTCAAAGAAGAAAAATTCTAAATTAGAAAATGTAAGTTACAATTTATCCTCCTACTCTCTCTATCTTCATACCCTCGTCATATTCATATTTTTTTGACGTCAGAGTAGCCTCAATCCCCAACCAACCAACCGCTGCACCTCATATCGCGCCTTGTCCACATCCTAAATCTATCATCAATTCAAGTAAAACCCTTTTTCCAAAAGGTTTGTTTTTAATTTTTTCGAAATCTCTCAACTTTATCAATATTATTATTTTTTCAATATTATTTATTATTTTTTTAAATTTCCAACCCCCCAATTCACCATAATATAACCAACATTGTCCGATATATTCCACTTGTGGAAAAAAAAAAAAAAAAATCAAAAAATCAAAATTCCACCAAGGTCACAACAATGCATCCAGATCTGAATGACAGGGCGGTTGTTCAACCTATATTCTAAAGAGTTCAATATTCTTCTTTGCATCTGTTGGTGTCCATTTATGGATTTTATTTGAAGTGCTTTCGAAACGCCAACAAACAGACGACACAAACAATTATTATTAATTATTTGCCAAATTTTCAGACGTTGTTGAGTTATTAACCGAAACTTATTTGTTGTCTTCAAATAGAATTGCAAATTCACTTTTTTATCATTTCATTTTACCACTTTTTGTACTACAAATACGCATCTCATTGCACTCATCACATCTGTTATCACACACATAAATTGTATCTTTATTTCCAAACAAAGACACATAAAAAAACAAAACCAAAAAAATCAATCTTTTTTTAACAGATTCACACACACACACACAAATTCCTACACCTATATCTATACCTTTTTATGTTAAATTTATTCTACAAATCTATACATTTATTAATATCTGATTATCTTTGCAAATTCAAGCAAAATGAATATCCATAAAAACAAATCTATTTGGTGTACTATAGCACTATTTTTAGTATTATTCTCTCAATCTATCAATGGTAAGATCAAACTACTATAAAAAACAAATATATATATCAATCCATCCCGGTCCATAATAATTAATTCTTTTTATTTATTTTTTAATTTTAATTTTAGGTCAATCAACTGATTATTGTGATTATTTAAAGAATGCTCTATTATTTTACAAGATGAATAGAGCTGGTCGTTTACCAGACAATGATATCCCATGGAGAGGAAACTCTGTATTGAAGGATGCCAGTCCAGGTTCATCTCCCAATGCCCAAGGTGACGGTAACCTTGCCGGTGGCTACTTTGATGCCGGAGATGGAGTCAAGTTTGCTTTACCAATGACCTACTCGATGACCATGTTGGCCTGGGCTTTTATCCAATACGAATCCAACGTTGAAAAGTGTGGTCTTACCAACTTGTACCTTGAAACCATCAAGTATGGTACCGACTATTTTATCGCTGCCCACACCTCTGCCAATGAGTTTGCCGGTCAAGTCGGTGATGGAAACCTCGATCACTCTTACTGGGGTCCACCAGAATCGATGACCATGAACCGCCCAGTCTACATGCTCACTGCCTCCAATCCAGGTACTGAAGTGGCTATGGAAGCCTCTGCTGCTCTCTCTGCCGCCTCTATCATTTGGAAGACCCGTGATCCAGCCTATGCCGCCACTTGTCTCACTCATGCCAAGCAATTGCACAACTTTGGTGACACTTACCGTGGAAAGTACTCTGACTCTATTCCAAATGCTCAAGCTTTCTACAACTCTTGGTCTGGATTCAACGACGAAATCGTATGGGGTACTTTGTGGCTCTACAAGGCTACTGGTGATGCTTCACTCCTCACCAAGGCCAAGTCTGACTACAGCACCTTTGGTATCGGTGGTATGGCCCAAGGAAACTCTCACGATTGGGATCTCAAGGCTCCAGGTGCCGCTCTCCTCATGTACCAACTCACCAAAGAAGCCACCTACCAAAAGGATATCGAAGGCTTCCTCAACTACTGGGCTCCAGGTGGTGGAATCACCTACACCCCAGGTGGTATGGCTTGGATTCGTCAATGGGGTCCAGCTCGTTACACTGCCACTTCTGCTTTCTTGGCCTCTGTCTATGGTGGTTCCAAGTACCAAACCTTTTGCAAGAGCCAAATCAGCTACATTCTCGGTAACAACCCCAAGCAACAATCATTCGTCGTCGGTATGGGTCCAAACCATCCAATCAACCCACATCACAGAGCCGCTCATCACTCTACCACAAACAATATCAACTCGCCAACCAACAATCTCTACCTTCTCAAGGGTGCTCTCGTCGGTGGTCCAGGCCAAGACGATTCATATGTTGATGATCGTACTGATTATGTAAAGAATGAAGTAGCTACTGATTACAATGCCGGTTTCGTTGGTGCTCTTGCATCACTTGTTGATCCAGATGGAACTCCTGCTCCAACTACAGCTCCAACCACAGCTCCAACTACAGCTCCAACTACAGCTCCAACCACTGCACCAACCACTGCACCAACTACAGCTCCAACTACAGCACCAACCACAGCACCAACCACAGCACCAACTACAGCCCCAACCACTGCACCAACTACAGCCCCAACCACTGCCCAACTACAGCACCAACCACTGCACCAACTACAGCACCAACCACAGCACCAACCACTGCACCAACTACTACACCAAAACCAACATCACAACCATCAATTGGAAAGATCATCTATGACGATTCACTCCAATCTGGATTCTCTGATTATAGTTGGGCTCAACACAATATGAAGGATACTAGAAACAAAAACACTGGTGCCAACTCTATTTCCTTTGATCCAATCAACTGGGGTGCTTTATACTTTGCCTGTCAAGGATGTGTCGATACATCTGCCTCGACTGCCATATCATTCTACATTAATGGTGGAAGTGCCGGTGCTCAAAAATTACAAGTTGCCCTCGTCAAGAATGGTAGCCCAATCAAGACCAAGTCACTCTCTGACCTCATTGGAAAGAGTCTCCCAGCCAACACTTGGACCAAGGTATCTCTCAAGTTTACTGACTTTGGTGCCACTGGATCGATCGACGGTCTCTGGATCCAAGACACTAATGGTGCTCAACAAGCTACAGTCTATGTTGACGACATTGTCATTGAATCTGGTAATGGTGCTACTCAAACTCCAACCCCTACCACCAAGCCAACTACCACTCCAAAGCCAACTTGTAAACCAAATTAATTAATTAATTATTCAAACAACCCACTTGTACAATCTAATTAAACCCTTTTAAAAAACCAATAAATATACAACCGATATATATTTTAAATAACAAATAATTATTATTTTTTTTTTTTGTAAAGTGGGCACCAAACCTTAAAGTTGCACAGTGTACCGCACCCCTTTTGATTTAATTTTAGCCCATCATGTGTTTTAAAAAGTGTCAATCTTACAATGTTGTAATCTGGCTTGTACAATTCTTTTTATAATCATCCCATTCTCTCTCATCTTCATTTTTTAAAATAAAAATAAATAGAATTCTATCAATTATTTTTTAAAACCAATAAATCCAATCTAATTTTTTTTGTAAATTGTACAATCAATTACAATCTATTACTAGTAACCCCATTTGTTTAAAATGTTGTAATTTTAGTTTAAAGTTGGTAAAGTTACAATTTATCACCATTGTAAAATGCCAGTCACATACTCTTTCTAACTATTGTCATTATGGAGACTTTGCAACTTACAAATAATTGTTAATAAAAGGTACGATGTTTCAGTCCTTGATGTTCAATCAATCATTCTTTACATTTATTATATTATATCCAATCCTATTTAAAAATGTCACAAATTAGAAAAGCTAACCCAATGAACAGTTTTGCTTGTACGCCAGAACAAGTAACATCATGTTTTGAAGGCGGATCCTATAACCTATGTATGGTTGTATGTATAAAAACTAAAATCAATACATGTTGAATTTAAAACTAATATTCAAACTTGATTTTTGTTTTTTTAAAGAGTGTACCATTTTCAAAAGGAACAGCTGAACTTGGAGGACAATCTTTTCCAATTACATTCAAGCCATCATCAGTGTATTGTCATTTAATTGGTGAGAAACAAATTACAACTCCAACTACAATAGATACTGAAAAGTTCTTTGGATTTGGCCCAACTGATACCCCAGCCTCTGAATCACAAAGAAAAACCGTCAGTGCAAACATACAACTCACCTATAATGATTTCCCAATACAAAACGATTTTAATTATGGATATTCCATTCCAAACTCTACCTCGAACCCTTTTACCACTGAGTCTGTTAATCCCGATTACTATGGGATCTTTCAACAAAAAATTCAGTACATGTATAGATTCAGTGAAGCAGAGAATGATTTTGCCACGGTTAGAGCAGAACTAGAAAAACTTGGCATGGTAGAAGGTAAAAGTTACAGCACTTACACTGATACCAAAAATGTAACCTACATGTTTTATCTTGTAGAGGTTCACAAGAACGCAGTAATGCTCATCCCAGCTTCAAAAGCTTGGAATGCTGGAATAACTTTTGATTTTGTTCAAAATAGTTTCTGTGGTAGTAATAAAAGTCGCCAAAAGGTTGTTTTACGTTTAGCTGATTGTGATCCAAAATAAATAAATCCAACCAACCATCCAGACCAGTCTCTCCTCTTTGTTTTAACCTTTTTCAATTTAAATAAATTAAAATAGTTATTATTTCCCTGTAACAAAAAAAAAAAGTATATGATTTATTTTAACAATTTATATTTTTATTTTAGTAAAGAAATTGGTTGGAAAAGGGGGATTAATTTAAATATTATTATTATGGTCGTTTTGTGTTGTAAATATTTTTTGGTTTTTTTTTTTTTTTAGGCTTCAATCAAAGTACCCTTTTTAATGGTACCCCAACCAATCAAACGCCAATTCTTGTCAACACGTCTAGAGAGGGCAATCTTTTCACCTTCCATTGTGCATACTGGAGTGAGGAGAGTTAATTTAGCGAGATCGTGCTTGACAGCAGTGACACGACAACCAGTCGAGGTGGAACCAATGTTGACCATGAGGGTATCGTCCTTGGCGAGCTTTCTGACCTTGCTTTGCTTTTCACCACCTTCCGACTTGACACCGAGAAGACGACGCAACAAGAAGAAGTTAACTTCGAGTGAGATGAAAATTTCTGGTAACTTGCCGACGGCACCGAGTACTTGACCGACGAGACGATCGGCACGACACAAACTTGGATCGATACGGGTACCGACACCAATCAAACCACCTGGTACGGCGTATTGCAAATCGTTTTCTTCGGCATAGAGTGAAAGGATACGAGAAAAGAGTGGCAAACATTTCATACGACCATCCAAATCCTTGGTGATGACACCTGGACGAACTTCAACTTCGTCACCAATCTTGAGGACACCCTTGAGGATGGAACCACCGGCAACACCACCCTTGAGGTCGTCAACACGAGCACCTGGCTTGTTGACATCAAACGAACGAATGACAATCAATCTTGGATCCGAGGTAAAGTCACGGACTGGGATTGGGATCTTCTTGACAATGTATTCGCAAATAACTTCGATATTGTACTTCATTTGGGCAGAGATTGGGATGATTGGGGCTCCCTCTGCTACTGTTCCTTGAATAAACTTGAGAATTTGTCCGTATTGCTCCTTGGCTGCTGCTTCCTTGACCAAATCAATCTTGTTTTGTAAAATGATAATGTTCTTGAGGTTCATAATTTCAATGGCGGCAATATGTTCACTGGTTTGTGGTTGTGGACATGATTCATTACCTGCAATCAATAAAAGTGCAGCATCCATAACTGCAGCACCGTTAAGCATTGTTGCCATTAAAACATCATGACCTAAAAGTATAAATAAATAGATTAATATATAAATATATATTTGATGCTTTTGGTTTGGTTTAGTTTACATACCTGGACAATCGACAAATGAAACATGTCTAAGTAATTGCATATGACCTCCACAACCTGGACGATCACATAATGGTGAGTCTTCAGTATTTGAACGGAATGATCTATAACAACCTGGACGATGACATTCTGGGTTGGTACATTTGTATATTTTAGCATTGGCATAACCCAACTTGATGGTAATATTACGCTTAAATTCTGATGTAAATCTGACAGTCTAGAAATTGATGATAATGATATTGAGAGAAAGAGATGAGATTAGATTAGATCCTATTGCATTGTATTATGATGATTGTTGTTGAATAGAATCAATTCCGACAATATTTTTTGTTGGTCGGTCATGTCGACAAAAGATCTGATCAGTGAGAGCTGAACAGGCCATTCATTGATCAATCCATTGATTCATCATTAACTTGATTCAATTTGACTTACTTGTACACCTGAAATAGCCTTTACTACAGTTGATTTACCATGAGCTACATGACCAATCGTACCAATATTGATGGTAGCTTGTCTGCTAATGACTTCTGGTGAGAGTGGAGTCAACTTTGTTGGATCCAAAGTCTTGATGTCTTGTGCGACCAAGACTGATTTAATTTTAGTTTCTGACATTTTATATTATAATATATCTATATATGTTGTTGTAGTTTAGAGTTGTCTTTTTAAAATCAATTGATTGATGATGATGATGATACTGTAAATCTAGTTTATATGTTGTTTGTTGAAAACACTGATAATACTGCTACTTGTAGTTGGAGTTTTTTTAGAATAATATTCTTTATGTATTAAAGAAGTGAATCGACTCTGAGTTTAAATAACAACAATCGTTTGCTTGTTAGTTTAAACGATACCTAAAATGAGAAAAAAGCAATAATAATAGAAAGTAGTTGGTCGCCTTTCAACTAGTACTTCACATTCATCGACCCACACAAAAAAAATTAAAAAAAAAAATTGCGTTTGGTTCGTCTTGGTTTTTCGAACTTCGACTAGGAAGCCCTCATCAATATATAATGGCGATATAGCTTTGGATTATCAACTATAGATCGATATTATTTTGATATTGAATATAAAAGGATATCTATTTCTTCTTATTTTCTCTTAAATCTATTTTTCTATCAATAGATCCGTCTGTGTCATAATCTATAGAATGTATATATATATAATATTTGGATATTATCAAGTTGATTATTATTATTCAGTCCTATACTAGTTGATCCACTTGTAAACCACAATTTCAATAACCAAACTTATAATAATAATAATAGAGCAATATGATCTTGTGTGACCCAAACTAATTAAATTGATCATTGGAAATGAGTCCATCACATGTCCATGTTGATTGATTGAAAATAGTAGTAGTGTAGTTTTGTTAAAGTTGTTATTATTTGCGTTTATATATATTCGATTGTTATTTATTTTAGGGATCAATAGATTAAATTAATTGGTAGTTGGTTCAGATTTTACACTAAAGTTTTAAATTGAGTAAGATGTTAGTGTTTGTTGTTGTTGGCTCTTTAATATTCTGCATGGTTTCACTATCTCTTTCTCTCACTAGAATTGATATATCTCTCCTCCCTTCGATTAAACATCATAATAATAATAATCATCAAATAACGTACGTTTCAAAGATTTCCTTCATATATTTAGATTGTGGAGGAGCTGGTCTATTTGCTCTTCTTCTTTCTTCTGCTTCCTTTTGGATTGCTCTAGTCTTTCTAGTGTGTCTAAATAAAAGTAGTAAATCATGCATGTCAGTATACTATATCTGTAGTTATCAATCGATAGTTCTGTATCTATTCTTTATATCTCGTTTCTCTGTCGACCTATCTAATCTCTTTCTCTCTATTAATCTATTTACCTGATAGCAGCACTAGTCAACTTTCTGCATGACATTGACAAAGAGGATGGAGAGAACATCTTTCTTGTATAGTATGTTATGTAATATATTAATGAACTAGGTAATACGAATAAGTACTGTAGAGGGAAAAAAACGAAAGGTCATGCAAAATATGATCATAAATTTTTTTATTCATTGCTCTCACTCCTCACTCACAAAGTTTGAGGAACACACATCATAGTTATTTGTTTCTTTGATTACATATTTATTTATTCAAAAGAGATAGAGAGATGTGAAAAGAGGAGATAATGAATCGTAAACGGTAGTCTTAAGCTTAAGAAGATCTGCAACACACACGTGCTGCTCGACTCAAAGAAAAAGACAATGAGGCAAATCTGGGGATTTTAAAAGCTCTATCGCGATATTTTATTTGCGATTAAAAAAATCATATGATTGCAACATGGTTTGAAGACCAACCAAACAACCAACCTCCACATGCATACAACAACACATTTTCATTCTTTCTTTCTAACTATATAAAATATGTATAAATTATCTGTATTATTATTATTTGTGTTAACTATTATTTCAGCTGGTGTTTTTGCTCAAACATGTCCATATGATCAAACACCAAGACTGGCCTCTGCAACTCATTACAGCTCGTATACTTTGGGAGGAGGATGCAGTTTTGGTACTCCTTGGAGTTCGACAGGTCCACACACCGCCTACATTGCAGCGCTTAGTGAAGTTTGGTACAACAATGGTACACATTGCGGTAATTGCCTTGAAGTGTCAAATGGCAACAAATCAGTGACTGTCATCATTCAAGATATGTGTCCTATCGAAGGTAACCCCATTTGTAAGAACGACTATCATCTAGATCTCTCGCCAGAGGCATTTGCAGTACTTGGTAACGTCAACGACGGAGTATTGTACAATCTAACCTGGAGAGAAGTTACTTGTGACAATATCTATCCAGAAACTGTACAAGTACAAATTACCAAAGGGTCAAGCCTAACATGGGCCTCTTTACTTGTATTTGGTTACAAAATTGGAATCAAACAAGTACAAATCCAACTCGCCAACTCTACCACTTTTACATCGACCACTCGTTACAGTTACAATAATTTCATTGGTATTAGTCAACAAGAATTGTTCAAGTATCCATTCACTGTAAAGATTATCTCTGATCTTGGTGAATCTATTGAAGTGACCATTCCAGAATTAGAAGTTGAAAAGATCTATGACACCAAACAACAATTTGGTACTGGTGATTGTATTGGTTCAGATTTAATTCTTTCAGTCAATCATGCATCATCATCTCTTCCAATCATTTCAATATTCTCTCTATTATTATTATCAATATTTACTATTCTCATTTTATAAATTAATTAATTAATAAACAAATTTATTTATTTATTCATTTTGTTTATTTTGTTTATTTTGATTATTTTGTTTATGAAGATGATCTTGCACTCATTTTAATATGCATTGCAATCTTTCTAAGTGTATAATTCTTTTTAACAATAAAGATGGTTATACATATGAGAGCGGCTGCTCCAACCACTGAACATACTACAATCACAGGTACCTTCCATTGATTCTTTTCACTGCCACAATCATTTGAATTAAATTTAATTAAACTACCAAAGTTTGGATCTATAATAGCTTGATTGGCAAAATTTGGAACTGTAATGGCTGCCAAAACTTGAAATGCATTATTTTGTTGTTGTTGTTGTTGATCTTTTAAAAGATTGTATAATTGATCATTTGATGGTAGGATTGAAACACGACTAGTGTAATATCTATCATCTACAATAACTCTGTCTGCAAACTTTGCGTGCATGGTAGCTCCACCAGCATAAATTTCAAACCAAGAAATATTATCATTTTGGTCGTTGAGGAATGAAGTTTCTTGATCTTCACATTGATACTCTGTTTGCTTGTCTGTGATGGCCGAATAAATTGCTTCTAAACTATTGACTTGTCCACTAAACGTCCAATTATAAATAGTTATTTCATATTTGATTGAATTGGTTGGCATTGTAATTGGTTCACCTGCAAAGTAAATAATAGTCTCTTTTGAAAAGATTGTGAGGTCTAATTGAACTGAACAAGTGTCATTTGGAAAATGTCCCTCGAATCTTTCTTTACTTGCAATGCTACTACTAGTGGTGGTCGACGAGTTGAATGGGAGCGATGATCGATTAGTCCATTTGATATCAGACATTGGTAAAGTCTTGATTGGTTGGTTATCCATATCAACCTCTCTAAGATATGATAGAGAGACTGAAAAGTTGTATCCTGTACCTGGAATAAAACTATTACCTGATTCACCAATCACTGGTGGTTTGACTATTACTTCCCCTTCTCCATCTCCATTGTCAATTAAGGTTGAACAGTTGTATCCAGTATATCCAGATTGACAATCACAACGACCAGTTTTGTTGTTACAAGTACCATGTTGAGAGTCACATTGTGGAAGACACAATTTATAAATATTGAAAAAGAACATGTTTTTGGTGGTTACCAATCCATCAACTTCAACACGTACAGGTAATGCCATTCCATTGGTATTGGATAAATTGGAATTGACAGCATTCAAAGTACATGTTAAATAGGTAGAGTTGAATACACTGACATCTGAACAAGACGTATTTCCAATAAGTACAGATACACCAACCGATGCAAAACTAGACCCTACAATAGAGACTAGACCAGTTGAATTGGAATCAATCGATGATACCAAATCAATAGTAGGATACTGATAATTTAATTGATATTTAAAAGTAAATATACTGCTGTATACAAGTGTAGCATTAAATGATCCAGTTCCAGCTGCAATAGGGCATTCTAATTGATAAAGAGGTGCACCTTGTACCGATGTACAATTGACTGAATAAGGAGGTATACCATTCTTTGATACACTCAAACCCAAGTTGAGGGGAGTACCAGATGTATCTGTATTGGCAAGGAATCTACCGGTAACTGTAATACTGCTACCACCTGTGATACTTGGTGATGGTCCAACTGACATGATGTATGGACTAAGAGTAATAATTGACAATTGAGATGTCAACGGTCCAACAGCAACTGAAAAGTTACCTTGTCTTGCTTCATATGGTATATAAGCTTCAATTTCAGTGTCAGAGTATGATAATAGTTGAGTTTGGTTGATTTGACCTGTACCTGTACCTGGACCATTACCAAACATAATAACAGGTGGAATAGTTAGAATTTGGAATCCAACACCTGTTAATATTAATTTGGGTGTTGGTCCAAAGGCAACTGATATTTCAGTGATGGCAGGATTGACAACTTGTAAATAAGTACTGGCAATTTGACTAGACCCTCCCAAACTAACGGAAACAGTGCATAGACCAGCCGATGTAAATGGGGGGACTTGTACTTCAAACTGAGTGTGTGGTACTACCATGGTTCCAGTTGGTAGTGTGACTGACCCATCAAGAGTTTGTAATTTGACCGTTAAAAGAGATGGATCGGTGTAAAAGTTGGTTCCGGTGACTGTAACCTTACCACCAAGTATTGAGATACGAGTAATATTGGTGATGGTTAGTGGAAGGTATTGCAAGTACTGAACACCCGTTGCAACTACTCCATCGACCGAGAATGATAAAAGATAAGGTCCACCATAAAACGGTGGCGTTTGAATAGATGGCGATCCAAAGGGTGGTACATACTGTCTCTGCAAAGTGACAGTTTGACTTGAAATCGTTACACTAGAGAATAAATGTCCATCATTTAGAGTGGCAAGTGTTATATTGGAGCCAGAAGTAAGAGAATATACTGTAGAGGCATTATTCTTCCAAGTAGGTGCAACATTACCAAACTCCATAAAAGTATAGTATCCTCCAACACCCGATGTGACAGTAGTTGTAAATTGACCGTTTAAAGCGTTGAAAACTAGTATACTGCCTTGTGCAGGTGTAGGTGGTGCTACTGGCGAGTATGAAGTCGTTGCCTGACCATTTTTAGGTCCATAAGACCATTTCCAAGAGTTTGATCCACCACCACCACCGCCACCTGCAGTAGGTGGGACAGCAGGTACCCAATAACTATATGGAATGGTTTTGGCGGGATCTGAAATGACATAATATGCATTGATAGAAGTAGCTATACTAAACATTGATTGATCATACATTAAACCAAGATGAGCCAATGTATTTCTCATCATTGTGTTGTTGACAATCTTTAGAGCATTGTTTAGGTCTGCACCAGACCCATAGTATGCATAAAATTGTTGTGTCGGTTCATAATACCATGGTACCTTTCTAGCACCCCATGTAACATTATTGATAGTAATTGTAATTGGTAATAGAGTCAATGCAAATGCTTGAAGTGACATACTAGGTGTACAAACCAATACCATCGAATAATCTTGAAACCAATTCAATCCATTACATGGATAGTTTTGTTTTGAAAATTTAATATTAATAGAATTTAAATCAACATTATTTCCAAAGTTTGATCCAACAATCTAAATATAGAAAATAGAAAATAGAAAGTAAAAGAAAATAAATATAAATATTAATTATTAATAAATATTAATATTAATTATTTGTTTGTTTGTTTGATTGTGAATAAACATACAGTGAGTAAAGGTTTGGAAATGGTTGGTGGATAGATATATGCTACATAGGGTGGTTGGAATTGATAAATGCTATGAGTAGTATTGGTTGGACCTATTATAGTGACGTTGAAAACACCTGAATTCGGTGTGATACTACATGTAGATTGTCCAAAAGCATCACCACTCTTCAAATTACATGAAAATACATTTTTTGGAGATGTATCATTTGTGCCCAACCGAGCAAATCTTAGTGTGGTAGTTGAATTGACCGATGGAACATAAGAACCCAATACATTGGAAACTTTAATAACATTATCTTGTGCCAAAGCTGGTTTTAATGCAGGTTCATATAATCCACCAAATTCACAAATATATCTAAATAAATAAAAAGAGAAAGAGAGAAAGAGAAGGTTAATTTAATGATTTAATTATTATTAAATTAATGAATTAATATTTTGAATAGTTACCCAGTATTTGTATAATCTAAAGGATTACCATCCCAAGAATCATAACGACCATCACGTACAACAACATTGAGATAATTATTATTGACTAGATTATTTGGTTGAGCAAATGACCATGGACAATGAGTGTAACAACGGTCTTGATACAAATCATAAAATAGGAAACCTGCTTCTGGACCATCGTCATAGGACCACAGAGAAAAGTCATTCTTTGCACTACCAGACAACCATGCACGTACATCGGTTCCTGTATTCTGTGGAAACACCTTGTCCATGACAAAACGCCATTCCAACTCTGAGGTAATCGTTACCAGGTATCCTGCCAATCCACCATATGTACTCTGTCTACATATAGTCTGTGCAGTAGAGTATGACACAGCTGCTGGTTGATAAACATAGTAATGATCATTATATTCAAATTGTTGTTGTGATTCTACATTTTGAAAGAAAAAGATTAATAATAACAACAATGATGATACGATCAATGGTGAGGACGATCCAATTTTTGAACCACTCGTCTTGATCATTATTGATTGATTATTATTGGGGGTTTTTTTTGATTATTATTTATATGTTTATGTATGTGATGTGTGTTATGTGTATGTTTGATAATAATAAGAATGAACAATGAGATCTATGACTAAAAATACAATTGATAGGAGGGAGGGTTGTAGAATCAACTACCACCTCCTCCTTTATTCGAAACAGTTGGAAGATTTCAACGTCTGTCTGTTCGCAGATGAATAAATAATTTTTTTTTATTGGGATCGACCTTGAGAGAGCAGCCCATCTCCCTCTCCCATTGTGCACAAGTCGTTTTGCTTCCGAAAGTGCCAAACTCGTTAAAACATGATATTTCTCTTTAAAAAATAAAGGTAGATGAGAGGGGGGGTGTTCAAACTCACCAAACAGACTGTTACGATCTTAACTTGAATCGACTACTTTAAAGTCATCTTGGGAAATCTATCTATCTATCAATCATTAAAAATCTATCTTCTTATCTTACAAATTGAATTGATGAAGATTGATAAATGAAATAAATTAACCGAAACGAATAAGGAAAATTTAATTTGTGAGCTTCGTTTCAAACAGTTATGTTTATGTGTGCATTGTTTGTTTTCGAGCTATAGCGCCAGAGGAATAGAAAATGATAGAAGTAGTGTGTAATGACCGTCTAGGTAACAAGGTTAGAGTAAAAGTGAATAGCGATGATACTATTGGTGATTTGAAGAAGGTTTTATCTGCTCAAATTGGTATCAGACCAGAGAAGATTAGATTACAAAAATGGTACAATGTTTATAAAGATCGTATGTAGAGTAGAGTAGAGTAGAGTCAACACAAAGTAAAGTAGTTATTTATTTACTAACATATCATTGCATTACATTACATGATGATATCTAGATATTACATTGGCAGATTGTAAGTTTATTTTTAAATAATAAAGAAATGATATGATAGATTAACAATTATATTAATGATTTCTTTTCTTTTCTTTTCTTTTCTTTATATAACAGATGAAATCAACGATGGAGACGGTTTAGAACTTTATTGTATGTACTATTAGATTTAGATTTAGATTTAGATATCAAACAAACTAACACAACTTTAATCTCTCTCTCTCTTTCTAGACAATTAATTATTAACATCATATGTTGGGGTCTATTGGGGCAAATAATTAAGACCGGTCCATATTACATTCATTGGGTAATATTGGTTGGTTGGCTGGTTGGCTGGTTGTGCGGACAATGATAAGTCCTTGACAAACATTTAACAACAACCAGTAGATATATATTATATTATCTATCAGTGCGCAATAAAATAAATAAATAAACAGAATGTGAATAGAACGGAACACCTGCACACACACAACCGCCCTCATTCATTCATTGCATCGAATGACCCACTAATCCATCATATTCTGTTGAAGATTTATAATTCATTGTCACCCTCCCTCTCCCTTTCTTTTGGAAAGTTGGATTGAATCTTCCACATGCAATGACCATAGAATCCAATTCTTTTTTCAATGCTGTCTTCTTTATAATAGCGAAACCCCTTTCTTCTTTGCTGCATTGAAATTCCCCTCCCCGTTAAACACAACAATGATATCTTTCTCTCTCTCTCTCTCTCTCTCTCTCTTTCTTCTTTCAACAGTTTAGAGGCCAACACAATAAATAAATACAATTAATTAATCTCATTTCATTCAAAGCCTGCCTTGAGCAAAAGGGATCGAACTCGTAGAATAGAAGACAAACTTTTTCCACCTCGTCATTTAATTTTTATAAAAATATTTATAAAATTTGCAGCAGGGAGTGGATGTAATATTCTAAAATTCGAATCTAGAACAAACGAACTACTCTTTTAAAAACATTCGACTACCAAACAAATAATCAACAAAAAGCAGTGGGAAAACCGAGAGAGAAATCAGTGTGTGTGTGTGTGTATAAAACAACAAGAGGATAGAGATAGAGATAATAACACAACACATAACAGCAGTCAATCATCACCATATTTATATAAATATATATTATACCCATATCATTCACCAACCATTCATTCATTCATAAAGTAGAATTCTACTTTAATTAAACAAAGAAAAGAAAGAAAGATAAAAATGACAACTTTAATTATAGGTATGTTTGTTTATCTATCTGATTGAATAACTATATCATCATTGTGTATACACATATACTTAAATTAAAAACTTTTTAATAATTTATTTATTTGTGTTTATAGAGGAAGCAAATAGATTAAGAGCAAATATAAATGATGCAGAATTTGCAAAGTTGATGGATTTAAACGATCCACTGAAATCATTTAGATCAGAGTTTTATATACCATTGTTGAAAGATATAGCAAAATGCGAAGAAAAGAAACAATGCGACCAAGAAGTCATATATCTTTGCGGAAACAGTTTGGGTTTGCAGCCAAAAGAGACACGTAACCAGTTGGACAAGTACTTGAACGATTGGCAACGCTATGCCGTCGAGGGACACATGCGTGGTGACCATCCATGGATTTCGATCGACGAGCAGGTGCAACAGCTGCTCGCCAACGTGGTGGGTTGTTTGCCAAGCGAGTGTTGTCCCATGAACACCTTGTCGGTCAACCTTCACATGATGATGGTTCGTTTCTACCGTCCAACCGCCACACGTCACAAAATTGTCATTGAACAAGGTGCTTTTCCCAGCGACCTCTATGTCACTGAGTCGCAACTCCGATACCATGGTTTCGATCCAGAGACATCGATCATTAAAATAACACCTCGCCACGGCGAGACTACACTCAGACAAGAAGACATTGAAGACACTATCAGACGCGAAGGCTCGTCGATTGCACTCGTCATGTTGTCTGGCGTACAATTCTTTACCGGACAATTCTTTAATATTGAAAAGATTACAAGTTTGGCTCACCAAGTTGGTGCCTATTGTGGTTGGGATCTCGCACATGCCGTCAACAATGTCGAATTACGTCTCCACGATTGGAACGTCGATTTTGCATGTTGGTGTAGTTACAAATACCTAAATTCTGGCCCCGGATGTATCGGAGGTCTCTTTATCCACGAAAATCACACCCGCGACAACGCCGGTCTTGGCAAGGACGACGACCCTCGCTTTGTCGGCTGGTTTGGCAACAAGTTGTCCAACCGTTTCCACAAGGAGATGATCTTCCAAGCTGAAAAGGGTGCTTTGGGATACAGATGCTCCAACCCATCGGTCGCCGATGTCACTGCCCTCCGTACATCACTCGAGATTGTCAACCGTGCCACATTACCAGCTCTCCGAGCCAAGGCACGTCTCCTCACAGGGTATCTTGAATACCTCCTCCATCACGAACTCGACACTGACTCTAGCACCGTCAACATCATCACTCCAACCGATCCAGCCCAACGTGGCAGTCAACTCTCCCTTGAAATCACCGGTGGTGCTGCCAATGCCTGTCTCCTCAAATCTCGTCTCTGCAATTCCGGCGTAGTCTGTGATGTCAGAGAACCATCTGTTCTCCGTGTTGCTCCAACCCCTCTTTACAATTCATTCTCTGATGTTTATAATTTCGTTCAAATCCTTAAACATTCTTTAAATTAAAAAAGACTTAAAATTAAAACTGTTTAATAAAAATAATAATAATAATAATAATAATATATTACTAATAATAATAGTATTTGTATTTGTATATGTTTATATTTTTTTTTATTTATTTACAATTCTCTATGTTTTCTTTTTTCTTTTTCTTTGTTTCAACAATTAATTTTAATATTAAATATTATTTGCCTCTCCTAATTCCTTTTTTAATCATGATATATATTATAATACAATGCGATTAATTGGGAATGCGTGAGTTTGGGTGTGATTGTACAATATTATTTATAATTGGTTGATGATGATCAGAGAGAGAGAGAGATAGGGATAGGATATCTATCCTATCCTATCTTCTTTTGGTCGTCAACAACTCTTATGTGTCCAAAAAGTGAGCACAGAGTAACAAGTCTACAACAATCTTATCGTTGATTGGGAATTCTGGAAGATCGGTAGTACTGTTGGTATACTTGTTCTTAAAATAAAAGTATTGAATCACCTTTTCAAGAACAGCAGTAGAGATTTCTCTGAATCTAATTTCACTGTTTTGGTCTTCAATAAAGTTTGAATTGTCTAAAGATAACATATATATATATATGTTAGTTTTTATCTACATCTATAAGTACTGTCTCTATTACTGATTGCTACATACCTCCACCAAGCATAGATTTGATTGTACCAGAAACATATGACATCTTTCTAGAGAGAACAAATTCGTGTCCTGTAGAACTATATAATCTTAATATATCATTTTGTAAATCGTTATTTTGTTCGTCAGACATCTTTTCAAACTTATCTAACTTTTGAGTATATGTATGTATGTGTATATATAAAACAATAATAAATAAATGAAATAATATCTGCTTGAGTTTGTTGATGGTGTGAGATGCCTACCAAACTTTGTAAATCAACTCTCTTTCAAGTTTTTTTATTTTATTTTTTTTTAATTTTTTCTTTTTTGTTTCTGATCTCTTGGGCTATGACACAAGACGAAGTCTTCTTGCTTTCTTTAATATATCTTAACAAATGTATGTCATAATTATTTCTAAAACTAAAATCTCCTCTCTCTATTCTTTTTCTAAACTATCGAGATGATTAACATGGTTGTGATTCGTTCACTTCCATGCACCACGCTTAAGTGCATTGCAGAGAATACCACGATATGATCCTCAACAAACAAAATACTATTTTTTTCTTTTTTTTTCTATTCCTCTCCTTTTTTTTATACTCATCTTTATATCTAACCCATTTCTTTTTTCTTTATTCACTTTTAACAGATAAATTCAATACAACCTTAAACTTGAGCTTCTTTTAAAATGTAAGTTTTAAACAAAAAAACCGAACGATTGGCAGTGACAATGATGATCAAAAGAGAAAAAGGATGTGTATTTGAGATGATTAACATGGTTGTGATTCGTTCACTTCCATGCACCACGCTTAAGTGCATTGCAGAGAATACCACGATATGATCCAATACCTTCCAATCTTTTTTTAATCTCTTTGTCACTAACCAACCAAACCAACAATCATAATTTATTATATCTCTTTATTCTAAATACTAATCCATTTCTTTTTAATAATTTACAGTTTGATTATCCTTTTTCCTCTTGAATTTGATCATTGACCTATATGTCCAACCAAACCTGTACAAATAATAAATACAAAAATAATATCATACAAATAATATCAAATTCTCTTGTCCTTTTCCTTTATCTATCTTTAAATGAATTAGCCAATTATTTGTTTATACCCAAGAGAGAGATATGTATCTGTCGATACTCTAAAAAAAGAACAAAGCGATTTTTTAATTTTTTGTGAATTTGTTGATGAAGCCAAACCTCAAGATAGATTTTAAAAGTATAACTTTGCAAAACTAGTTTACAACACAGATATTAGATAGATATATATAGAGAGAAAGATGTTCAAGATATTCAAAGGAAAGGATAAAGACAGCAGTGTTTCATTCAAGAACAACTTTAGACCAAAGAAGCACCCAGCTGGTACTACAAGATACACTTTGAGAAAGAGTTGGAAGGCTGGTTTGCTCAATGGCACCATGATCAAGGACTCTGTCAAGTGTCCACAAGGAGAAGACGAAAATGATTGGGTTGCCATCCACACTATCGAAATCTACAACACTGTCAACTACTGTTATGCTTTTGTTCAAGATTTTTGTACTGATCAAACATGTCCAAAGATGACTGGTAACAAGTATGTTGTGTGTGATTAATCAATCAATCAACCGAACAGTACTGTGATCATATGATTAATGTTATCTTTTTCTATATCTACTACTACTACTACTACTACTACTACTACTCTATAGAGCTACTTATTTATGGTCAGATGGTAAAGATAAACCACAAGAGTTACCAGCAAAAAAGTATATCGATAATTTAAGCAATTGGATTGCTGATCAAATTGATAATACCGATATTTTCCCAATTGGTGATAGTTATAGCAAACAATTTAAACCAGCTGTTAAGAAAATCCTTAGTAGAATCTTACGGTATGTTCAACTTAATGAATCGATCAACTTATAGGGTATTATTATTATTAACACATTGTCCCATCTATATACAGTGTATATTCACATATTTACCATGAACATTGGAGCCAAATTAAATCGGTTGGTGCTGATAAGCATATTAATACTTCACTCAAATACTTCCATTGCTTTGTATTAGAGTTTGGACTTGTCGATGATACTGATCTTGGTTTGATGAAGAATGTTTTCGATTCCTTATAAATACAAACAATTTAAATTTAATACTCTTCTTACTAGCACTGGCTTACAATATGGTAGTGCAACTAAACGACAACAACAACAACAAAACAAACAATTATATCCTTGAAAAGGATTTTTAATATTTTTGTAAGTGGATATCAATAACGTCCTCTTGTAATGAACTAATCATTAATTTTAATTAAAATTAGATAGGTAATTTATGTATAGATGAATAATCAAGGAAATAACAACAAACAAACAGATAGAAAAAAAAAAACCAAAACCATTTAAATAAACAATTTGTACTATTATAAAATCAAATTTGTTTTTTGTTTGTTGGTAAGTATTATTAATAATTTATTATTTATGTTTTTTAATGTAAATTAGTTAGATCTTGTACAATTTCCAATAACCATTCAAATTGATAGTATTTTGCTATATTTTTAAAGATTGTTAAACTAAAAAGAAAAAGATTAATTAAATGATCTAAATATTTTACATTGATTGAATATTTTGTCAACTTACTCTCTATTAAAATCAGAACTATTTAGACGACATTGCCATTGACCAGAGCAGGTAGCACATATTTCGGAAAGATTGTCAGCTTTGATTTGACCACATTTCTGGCACTTGAAATCTTGTAAATGATAAGAAAGACTACGACGTTGGACAGTCTCGACGAGGACACTTTCGATAAGTGATCTATTGTATGGATTGTGACAAGCTGAACATGCAAGCTTGCTGGTACCGTCGGTAGAAGAATGATCTTCACGTAAAAGATCCAAATCACGGCAATTGTAACAGGTTGGACAGATGACATCTGGCATGACAAACGAGAGACAAGGATCATTGAATTTGGCTTCATCAGAGAATTCTCTGATATTGATCATCTTCATCAAGTTTTTACGGAGTCTTTGGACATTAGAGTAGAGTGAACGATCGAGTGACAGAGTGTGACATACAAACTTGACAAACTCGAGTGATGGATTGGTCATACTCAAATGACTGCCTGGCAAGCTTGGGAAAAGATGTATAGCATCACTGTGATCCGATACTCTTAGACTTTGAACCATTTGGAAGATTCTATTACAATCGACAACCTTTTCCCATTTGAATGGTTGGAATTTCTCTTTTTCAATTTCATTCCATTGATCTTGTGATGGATTCTTTGATGGTTCTTTTTGTTGAGATGATGATGATGGTTGATCAACATCAATTGTGCCATTATTATTATTATGATCATCTTGATTGGTTTGATCCTTTTCCTTTTCCTTTTCCTTTTTATCAGATGAAGAAACCATTCTTTCCATTTCCTTGTCAATAGTTTGAGAATAAATATGAAGTTTACGAATGTAATCAGAGATGACAAGCAAGAAAGAGGTTTGGAGTGACTGTGGTAGGAAATCTGAAATATTCCAATGTGATTCCAATTTACCGTCAATAGTGTCGGGGGAGTGATTTCTTCTTTTCTCTGTGGAACCTTCTAATTCTTCTTCTTCCTCTTCTTGTTCTTGATCCTTTTCTTCTTCAACTGATACACCAGAATAGTTACTGCTATCCATCCATAAAAGATTGTGCCAACATTTAACTGGTTTGATGTTTAACCAAGAAAAGAGTTCTTTCTTTTTGATGACAGCTAGAATGTATTGGCAGTAGGCCTTTGCATCTTCGACCGTTTGTTTTTGAGTACAAATGATTAATTTGTTAAAGTTGCCATAGATGATTTTAGCACCTAGTTTCTTGAATTCAAACACCAATTGAAGGAACACCTTTTTCATGAGACCGTGGAGTGTACGATGTAGGATGGGATCGTAGAGTCCAGAGTAGGGTGAACTAATCCATCTGTAAAAGTGGGTCAATAGGATGGATGGGTATTGGTGAGCACGTTTGTTGCCCATGACGAGATCCAATGACCACTTGGTCACTAACTTTCTAAGAATGTTAAATTCCTTGTCACAGCTGTTGAGATGTGTCATTTGTTTGTTGTTGAGTCTTGACGGGGCCTGTGTTGGTGTTTGCTGTTGTTGCTGCTGCTGGTGTTGCAGTTGTGATGCTTGGGTGAATATAGTTGGGTCACCATTATTTAGTTCACCTCCAATGATACCTTCAATGTCGGCAAGATGAGCAGACTCGAGGATAGTGTTGACTGCCAGATTGGCAAGATCGAGTTCAAAGCAAACGGTGCTGTAAGAGTCGGGTTGATTGATTTCAATCTTGGGTAGTTCCTCGTGGAATTTAGCATCGTCTTCTTCAGTTCCTCCAAGGTCGGGAGAGTTGGAGTAGGACATCCAGAGTAGGTGACTCGAGTCGGTCAACAGTCTCGAAAACTCGGTGTCAGTGACCATTTGGGCATAGTCGCCACCTACAAGATTGCCAATTGGAATGTTGGAGTAACGGGCCATACCGACATAATGCATCCACCATTTATCAACCTCTTCGTATCTCGTGGCAATTGGCTTGATGCAATGCACCTCCCAATTGAATGGCGAGTAGTTGGAGTCTTGGTCGTGGTATGGCATGGCCACCTTGGGGAACTCTCGCAATGCTGGAATGTCGCGTTTCATAAACTCTGAGCACTGGGTAATAACAATGGTAGCACCTCTACGAGCACCAATATAAACTTGCAGCTGTGCATTGACCAATTTCTTGGCCCCATCAATCGACTTTCCAATCTCTAATGAGAATTTAACGTTTGGATGTTTTTCAGAGAGTGAGTTGAGTAGCTTGTCACTGATATTGTGGCTAGTGTACGGGTTGGCATAGATGATGGTGGCAGTATGATTGTGCGAGTAGAATATAGCATAGACACCATCTTTACCATCCTTTTTGGCGTTGGCATAGACATAGATGGTGTGGAAGTTTTGTTGAGCCAAATAGCTTTGTTGCTTGTCTGGTCGATTTTGGATATCTTCGAGTTGATACTTGGTGTTGTTGTTGTGGACAGTCTTGAGGTCAGCTCGCACCATTGCAGCGACACAACCAACTTGGATGATGGCACGTTGATCGAGTTCCACCTTGGTCTCATAGACACCCTCTGTGTCGGGGTCTGTAAAGATGTTGCTGATCGATCTAGACTGTGTGATATAGTCTTCTTCAGACATGGAATTACGTGTCAGATACAATCTCTCTTTGGAACGTGGTGGTGCTACCAACACCTTTTTGGCGCCTTCAAGAGGTGGTTCCTCACTAAAGCTGTTGATGTAAAACACTCTGTTGACCTGCACCTTGATTGGAACAATCATGTCTCCAATCAAAGACCAAAAGATAAACACGCCAACTGCTCCACTCGGTTCAATCGAAATGACTTGCCACAATCCCTTCTTGACTGCTTCGTTTTGCGTAGAGAATTGTTGTGCCAAGTGTCCAACACGGTTTTCTTCGCCTGTAAATCGACCCAACTTCTTTGCTTTGATTCGTTCTCTTAACTTTCTCCACTCTTTCTTTTTACAAGATAACCATCCACTGAAATTATCTTCCATCTTTGGTGCCTTTGAAATGGTTGGTCTTGCGGCAGCAGAGGTCGCGTCAACCGTAGAATCACCCTTTTTGAAAAAGTCTGTAATGGATTGTTGCTTTATCTTTTTCTTTGATTTCAATTGAACTTGCTCGTCCTCTTCATCATCATCATCATCATCATTGTCATCATCATCCTTATCCTTTGGTTGATGATCTTCATCATCTGAATCAATGACTTGAATCTTTGCTCTCTTTTTGTGCTTGGTAAAGACTGGCTTTGGAAGATGTGCGAATCTCTTGTCAAACATCGATTCCATATCCACCTCTCCTGCTGCAGCACCAGTATCCGCCTCTCCTGGTTTCTGTGCAGAAAAGAAAGATGTGATGGATGTTTGTTTACGCAACTCTGTCTGTTTTTTTAGTTCCTTTAAAATCCAGTCGGGATGGATAACACGTGGAACAGGGTTGGAAACATTTTGGAGTGCAGCAGGAATGGTAATCATCTTTTGAATGACACCACTTAGACGTTGACGATAATAGTCCCAATCGATAATATCCTTTAGTTGACTATACCCATTAGTCCATTTCTTGAGGAAAAACGCTCTTTTATCTTCATCAGTTTTAAAGATTTCAACTGGAATTGTTCTTTCTGTTACTGGTGCTCCATGTGGTTTCTAAAATAAATAAATAAATTAATAAATAAATAATTAAATTTAAATTATATTTCTTTTTTTTTCTTTATCTTTTTTTACATACACAAGAAATAATATAACTTGTAAATAAACCAGCATCTTTAACAATTTCATCACCAAGGAATTCACACATTTTACGAGCAGTACCAATGGCACTACTCTTTTGACCTTCGTATTCTGTGAGTTTTCTACTCATCTTGCTACTCTCTGTAATTAATCTAATCAACTCGTCTTCTTCGTATCCATCGGCATGACTGTCCAATAGATCAAGCCAACGATTAGCAGTGGTTGCAATAGCATTGTAACATGATTCCAAACTATCACCCTTCATGAAATATTGGAACAACTCTGTTTGGAATGATTTAATTAATTCCAACTCTCCTCTTCTTTTAACTTCAAAACCTTTAAGTTCACAAATTCCTCCTTGTTTGTTAAATACTACATATCTCTTTTTTAACTTTACATCTGAAAGAAAGAAAGAGTGAGTATAAAATATCTATATTTATCTATTTATCTATATATTTGATATTTACCTTTTTCTTTACCAGTAGGAATAAACATACAACCATAAGGACCATCAGATTCAAATTGAATACTACATTCATTACGAATGGTATAGGTTTTTGTGATGGGGTCATATTCTTGGTATTGATGATTGGTAAAAGATTCGGCAACCTTGTCATTCAAAAGAACGTTGAGGAAATTAAACTTTTTAGTTTTACCTCCTTTGGTTTTGAAAGCAAACTCTTCTGGGAATCGTTCTGGCAAGATACACCAAATACCATCGGTATCCAATTCAAGAGGTCTACCCAATTGTTCGACAGATTCACGAGCATTCTTGATAATGTTTGAACCAGTGTGTGTTACGATACCGGCCATCTCCATTGAATACCATCTCGAACCCTTTCTCATTACGTAACCATAGAAAGAATTGAGAATACACTTGTGAGCAAGTTGCATCGATTCGTACATGACCACCATACCAACACATTTCTGGTAGTCGTGACTACCACTTGCACCCTTTTGAGATTGATCCAAATTATTTTTCCATTCACTATGCAACGCCTTGTATTCATACCGACGATCTCTAAATAATTTAACAGTATCTACATAGAATGAATTCTCTCTCATACAAACTGTATCTGATCTAATTTCACTTGAAACTATATGATTTTTTTTATATACTTTTCTATAAAAAATAATATATTAATATATATGCTCTCTTTGAGAAGAAGATATATCTATATCTATATCTATTTCTATTTACCTTGAATATTCTTTTAATCTCTTTTTTAATAATATATTTTGTTCTTCATTTGGTAAATCATTAAATGATTTTTGTTCACCATTGAAAACATGATTCTCATATTCCAATTGTTGTAAAATTAATTTATATTCACTTGATGTTGCTGGAATATAATCTCCTCTCCATTGCCAATTTAATGTTCTTTGACTAAATAAATAAAATTAAATTAATAAATAAAATAAACTATTTCTATTACTATTCTATTATATTATTGATATTTACCAATTACTTTCAGGTTTGTTATAAACACAGGTGGCACAATATTCTTCACTTACCATACTGGTAGGTTGAAGACGATTGGTTAGGATAATATTTGGATACATGGCAGATACATCAAGATGGTAGATGAGTGGATTACTCATTGAATTAGGTTCGTTTCGGAGATGAGTGAGACGATCGAGAATATCTTGACGAATGGATTCATAATTGACAATATCATTCTTGTCGGTGAGTTCAGCTTCCTTCATGGCTTGGTTGAGAATACGGTCAATGTTTTTAATGTGTTCGTTGAGTGCGTTGACATCGAGATTGAATTGAGTTGGAACGTCGTATCGGAAAATACCACATTCAAGACATTCGACGTGACCACCGACATAGGTCTCAGTCTCTAGTAAATGACCTTTGTAAAACTTGCGATTGTCTTCGATATGTTTGTTGGGGTAGATGACATTGACACGGAATGCTTCAGTCATGAGCAGTGCCTCACATAGCGAGCCGGACCCTTTACGGAGCACATCTTCGGGGTTGTAGGGGATGATGTTACAGAGCGAAAAGATGAATGGATGGACATAGGTCATGTACAAGTAGTAGGTACCGACCGTGTCAGAGACAGAGTAGTTGGCAAGTGTCTCGGGGTCGTCGCGTGCCGCCGTGATCATCTCTTCGGCGTCAATCTCGACTGGGTTGTAACGCAGTTTCTTTCGGATAACCTCTTTGAGACGATGTGAGCCGTGGGGGAGGTACGAGTCACGCTTGACCCAGTAAAAGGCGTCCATGTGGACGGCTGTACGACCGCGGTACTCGTCTTGCTTGTTGCGCACGCCAATCTCGCGGAACATGTCCAGTCCGTGGACGAGTGCACGTGCTTCGATAAACGGCCAATCGAAACTGTCACCATTGTATGTCACAAAGATGTGTGGACGGATCTGACGCACATGCGAAAAGAACTTGACCAGCAAGTCACGTTCATTCGGCTCGTTAAACACCTGGAACGGACCCTCGTACTCTGGTTTGGGTGTGTACTCAAAGTCACCAACATCGGCACTCACAATCGACCTGTTGGTGATGAGGAAACCCTGGCGATCGACCATATACGAGATCATCATAATCTCGTCATACTCGGCGTTTGAAAACTTGAGTGGCAAATGCGTCGTCTCGATATCAAACGCCAAAACACGTGGGTCGGGACGGTCGACACGTTCGTGCAACACTCGTACCGTCGTGGGCATAGTTGGCGACTCTTTGGTGATTTCATACCACAGACCGACACGGATCTCCAAGTCGATGGCGCCACGTTGGTAGTAGGTAACATCGCTCTCACGCATATCCATAATATACTCGGTTGCCGATTTTAGCTGGTGATGTTGTTTCTTGCTATTATGACTGCTCGTACCCGACATGGACGATATACTATTGTACTTGGAGTATGGGTCTTCGTAGGCCTCGGTCGTCGACACTCTAATCTTATTCTTTTTAATAATTGGTATCAACTCGTTTCTAATCTCCATCAATGTTTGAACATTAAAGAATCTAATCTTTAAATATACTTTTTTAATTCCAGATAAATGATTTTCCTAAAGTAAAACAAATCAATCAGTTAGTGAATTGCAAAATGACAAAAAGAGGATATATGTACATACCAAATCCAAATCTTCTTTTTCACAAGCTTCAATACCTGCAATCTTATTTTCATACTTTCTCTTTAGATATGATTCAACTTCAGATTGATGTCCTTCTTTAACAAAGATATAAAAGTATGGATTATAAATGATCCATTCTCTAAATGCTGTTGCATCCTAAAAATATTCACAAATATTGTTAGTATATATATTATATATATTAAGATTATTGAATATGTATCTTACATCTTGAATGAAAACCAATTCCAAAGATGCTTTGTCAACTCCAGTTTCTTTGTCGCGTGTCGAACTTGGATTTATGTTGATGAGCCAACCATGTCTAATTTTGACCCATTCATCATCTTCATCTACATCTATCTTTGAGGTTTGTTGTTGTTGTTGTGTTGATGATGATACAGTAGCTAGATCATCGTCGTCAAAGATAACCTCCAAATCGCTGTCATCGTCACTTTCATCAGAATCATCAGCCTTTTTATACATTGCTCTATTACTATAATAACTAGAGTCTTTGGCAGCATTGCCATTGCCTTGCTGTTTAGACGAGTATCCCATCTTCTTTCCTTCCTTTCAACTCTCGTATTATATTATACTATTATCGATCGATTATAATCTTCCCAATCAACGACACTTAAGTAGTTGATAGTTTATAAACCTTTAATAGTACTAGTGAGTGAGTGAGTGAGTGAGATTAGTTGGGTTGTATTGTATTGTTGTTGGTATAAATATAAACTAACTAACTAAGTAATGAGTAAATCGATAAGCTGACTTAGTTCATTCACAAATTTTCCCTCCTTTTTTTTGGAGGACAAAAAAATAAATTAAATTCAAAAACTTGAAGGTTGCAGGTTTATTTTTAAAAAAAGAAAAGAATAAATAAGATTTTTAAAAGTATTATAATTATTAATATTATTTAAGAGTTTAAACTTCTTGGTATCCACGATATGGAGTACCGCTAATTTTGCCTTTGATGTAGTATACACCATCTTTGATCAATGCACCAAATCCAACCCAGAATGTCTTGTTGGGGAAGATATCAGATCCATGGTGATGTCTAATCTTCCAGTTGACAATTGATCCAACTAGAATATATACTGTTGCTGATACCAATAAACTAAAATAATATTATTATTATTAATATCGTGTCTACACACCATTGTTATTATTGATTGATTTACATACATAATAATAAATATCCAACCACCTCCAATTCCAGAGGATTTTGGTGATTCTGGTGGACATATCATGGTCATTTCAATGACTGGAAGACAATTACCATCGACAGCACCGACGACTTGAGTTACATTTGAACATCTAATGTTTACGGTAGTAGTACGGTTATTACCATTTGGACAAACACCACTAGTTGTTTCGTAGACAATAGCTACACCTCTACCTCCATCGGCAATATCAGTAAATGTCATTTGATCCAATTCACCAAAGTTGGTTAAACCACCAGCTTTACCCTTTTGGCATACACTAACATCCTATTAATAGATTATTAAGTTAGATCCAACTTTAAATAATATATTGATTTATGTGGAAGATTAAATTATACATACTTGAGTAGATTTTACACATTCATTTACAAGTCCGCATACATTGAAATAATAGATATTACCACTATTTGATGTTACTTGGTATCCTGCAGCAGCTCTAAAAATAATGAAAGTGAATCAAATATTTGTGTCAGTCAAATCCATTATTATTATAATGTCCTCCTATGTTGAACATGCATATAAACTATCTATTTTGTAGATAAACACATACGAATTTGTAAGATTTGATAGATTAAATCCATTATATGTACAATCAACAGAGTTTGTTGCAAATATAGATGCCCTTGAAAAAGAGGCACTCAACATCACTACCATGATGCTTAAATATAATCGTAAATTAAACATTCTCTCTTCTATTCTTTTTAAATATATATACTGTTTTTTAGATGTTGTGTGTGTGTGTGTGTGTGTGTTGTGTAGTGGTATCGAATAAACGAGAAGTCGTTGTTTGTTGTGAATAAAATGGGGGGTGAAGGCCGAAGGGGATAGATATTTAGGGGCTTTTCTCGAGAAAAGTCAGACTTTTGATTGTGTTTGTGCTATTTACAAAATAAAAAAAGATAATACTTTATGTTGTGTTGTATCTCTCTTGTATACCCAAGATAATGAAATGAAATGAAATGATGTTGTCAGATCTGCTTTCTAATGAAAAAAAGAGTAAATCAAACAAGACTTCGTCGGAATCTTCCTCCTACAAAAGCGTAGGAGGCTCGATTTTTTTTTTACGATTTTTCGCGTGACTAATGTTTTGTTTTTTGGGGCGAGGATGGTCGGAAAGGGGCAATACTAGTTTGAACACGAAAACCATCAATTATTTATAATTATCCCTTGAATGGCCTGGTGGTTCGGAAATATAAGTTCCTTAAAAAAAAATAGGATTTAATTTATTATTATTTTATTACATTATTGTGATTGTGTTGGTTTGTTTATCTTTTTCCAATAGTCAAAGGACCCAAACTAACAAACCATCCTCCTCCTCCTCCTCCTGTATTACTTTGAGCTTTTTGTAAAGCACTATTTAATGAAACCACTTTGGCAGACAAGATATCCATTTCATTTTTGAATCCAGTTTGTTGAGCTGCCATGTTGGTGTTGTGTGTTGCCTCGGCTTGAATGATTCTATTGTCATAGTCTATTCTTTGTTGTTCCATATCTTTGGCAAGTTGGGTCATATTCTCTTCATGTTTCTTTTGAATCGATGCAATAGTATGTGAAAACTCTTTGACTTGGTTGTCAAAGGTGACCTGCAGATCTTTGCATTTTTGATCAGATTCTCTGAGTTTGGTTTGATACATTTCGTTGGCTTCCCTTTTCTCGACGAGTTCTTTTTCAGATTCCCTAAGTTTCTTGAATTGCTTGATGTTTTTAGTGACAGATGCTTCAAATTCACTAATGACAGCATTCTTGGCTGGACCAATCGACTCTGCTAGAAACTCTGCCTTTAATAGATCCAAAGCAGCCAACATGTCAACAACATTGCATGAAATGTTATTGAAACAGTCTCGAAAGAATATTTCAGACTTTGGTTGCAAGACCCTGGTGCACTGCTCTCTTGACTGTTTTTCATTCTCTGTCTTTATCTCTCCAAGTATTCCATCAATGATTGTAATTTGATCGTTTCCTTCCTGATCCTTTGATTTCAATTTTACATAGTCGTTCCTTGACCAAAACAGCGATATGCTCCAATTCAACACGATCAACCAAATGACCAATTGAATCATTGACAATATTATTTGTTTGGTCGATAATGCCAGAGTGGATATTTAATAATGTTTCATATTCCACTGGGAGAGGTTTCTTTGTCAATTGAGCAATCATTTCCTTTTTATAGAAACGCTCTGCTTGTTCAATTGTAGAATTGATTCTAATCTTCATCGTACTTCCCCAAGTACTTTCCAAAGTTGGAATAATATTTGGATCATTTACAGCTATTGTATATAATTCAACTAAATAGGTAAATGCTAAATAATAATAATAATATAGATTTTTGTTAGAAAACGTTTGTTCATTTATAAAATAAAAGAAATATATTAATCAATTTAATTTACATACTTATAGCATCAATTGGTAAACCATTGAATCCAGTCTTTTCAATCAAACCATCAATCAGGAATTCGACCAGGCCATTTGAGAAACGAATTCGGGGTTCAAGTCTCTTGCGTCGGTAGTATCCATTGTTCTCAAGATTTCACCGCTGGAGCTAGGTGTTGCAGTAGTCTTGACTTTAAACGACTTGAAGCAAGTGAGCAACACCTGTTTGACTTGATTACGAGTAGTTTCTTCTGGAGGAGGTAAAAAATTCATATTGGTTGTCATCAAATTATTCATATACTGTTGAGCAGTGACAGTTTGTTTGTCAATCGATGGTGTGAGATAGAAATCTCTCAACACCCAAACAAAGTGTGGCATATGATTGACTAGATGTTGTGGATTATCGATTTTCTCTCCTTCTTTGATTTTTAATCTTGTGAAAAGATTAGTTACAACACTATAAAAGATAGATAGATAGAGAGAGAGAATAACAGTATTTGTTAATTACAATTGATTGTTGGAGAGCAGGGTATATATATATATATATTTAACTTACGCAAGTTTATCTAGGTCGTTAGCATTTGGAAGACTGAGACTATTATATACAAATGTACTAGATAATAGACAGCTGAGTAGAAAGATAGACATGTCATGATTGGTATTGGTGCTCGTTTCAGCCGATCCGATACCTTCACAATCCATCAATATGACACCCATACCTTTATGTTCTGGGATGTGTGTTGCTATCCAGATACCATGTGTACACGGTTCAGTTTCATTACCAAGGGAAAAGGCATTACTTGATCCTAACAATCTACTGATGAGGTATGACTTGCCCGAACGGAGGAGACCATTCACCGACAATACAGAGATACGTTGATTGCCACATTGATCTCTAATCAGTTCCAATGCAGCACGATTTACTACTAGCTTTGTTCTTGGTCTACTTGTTTTAACTAGTTTATTATCAACTAAATCATAGTTGTCTGGGTACACTAATGGTATTGATGTAGGAGGTTGTGCTTTTGAAAGTGTGCTCATCATGAAAGATACAAAAAAAATCGAAAAAAATTAAATAATTAAATAATTAAAATAATAATAATAATAATAATATAATGGTGATACTACTTCTACTATATTATAGTATTATTAAATACAATTATGATTAAATTTAGAAAGATAGATTTATAAACCAAAATCTATCCTCAAAAAAATAAGTTTGTATTGATCGTACTTTTAATTTTACCATAAATACTAGTACTAGAAATCCAAGTTTGGCAACCTGGTTTTTTAAATCTGACCTCCTAAGAAAGTATTATTTTGGAGGATTAAATAAATAGTACCTATCATCTCTTTAATATTATCGTTGATTGGATTGATGAATTGATTTTTTATTTGGAACCAATATTCCATTATTAATCAAAAGTTTAAGATGCTTCATTTTAGAAATGAAATTTGGATAGAGTTAATGGTCACTGACAGTTTCCATGCCATAGGATAATGTCAATCGAGTTGGTTGGAATTTTAATAGATCTTGCATTGAGTCGTATATTCAAATCCTAGAGGAAATACATCGTGATCTCCCAATACTCTATTGAGCAGGTATGATTTTCCCAACTTCATACCATTCACCGAAACAACCGATACTGGGTGATTACGACATTTAAATCAACCATTGCTATAGAGGATGGATAGATGAATCCTAGGTTGATCAGCTCCTGCTTCTTTGCATCATGATCATTACAACTAAACAGATAGATAGATAGATACTGAGCAAACAAAAGATAGTCATGTCAGGTCAGTTATTGTATTGGAACTTCTAAGACCTTGAGTATCTTCAAATATGTGTGACACGTTTGCAGTGATCTCTAATCAGTTCTACCTGTTTTAACCAGTTTATTACCAACTAATCATAGTTGATTGAATGCACTAATGGTATTATTGATGTAGGAGGTTGAGTTTTTGAAAGTGTGTCCATGATGAGAATAAAAAATTGGAAAAAAAGAAATAATTAAAATAATAATTAAAATAATAATAATAATAGTAGTAGTAATATTAAAAATACAATTATGATTGAATCAATTTTAAAAAAAGATAGATAGATTTATAAACCAAAATCTAACTCAAATATATAGATGATTTTAAATGGTATTGATCTTTTTGGTACAAAACTAAAAATAAATAAATAAAGTATATAAATAAATAAATTTGTATTATATAATTAACCTTTATTTTAACAAACAATAGGATTAAAAAAATAGGTCAAGTGAAAGGAGTTAGGGTTAGGGTTAACATGTACTGATCTGCTGCTTTGATTGATATGATCTTTTAGATTTCAATATCGATCTACATCTCTCGTGTGAGCTTCTTCTTCTTTTGAATCTTCCAATGGCACTTTTGCTTGGTATGAGCTAAAAGAGAGAATAATAAGAGAGAGAGAGAGAGAGGGAGTTAAAAAGACATGATCTTATCTCGATAAGAGTGTTTGTTTGTTTGTTTGTTTGTTTGTTTGTTTGTTTGTTTGTTTGTTTGTTTGTTTGTTGAGGAACTTACGTAAGTAAGATTGGTTGATGATTATCGCATCGTTGTTGTGATTAAGTTGTACAACTAAACAGATAGACAGATACATTATAATAGGCAACTGAGTAGAAAGATAACCATTTCAGTTATTGAATTGGTATTTCCTTCGAGACCTTGAGTGTCGACCAATAGGACACGTTTGCCGTTGTGCTCTGGGATGGTGGTTGCCATCCAGATATCACTCCTCACCCAATCTGGTTCGACTGAGCATCCAATTTGAAAGTTATTTCTCGGTCCAAGTAAACAACTTATGTATGATTTGCCTGAACGGAGAATACTATTCGGAGATGTGGGTTTGTCAGCCAACATGACAGAGATACGTTGATTGCCACATTGATCTCTAATCAGTTCCAATGCAGCACGATTTACTACTAGCTTTGTTCTTGGTCTACTTGTTTTAACTAGTTTATTATCAACTAAATCATAGTTGTCTGGGTACACTAAAGGTATTATTGATGTAGGAGTTTGTTCTTTTGAAAGTGTGCTCATCATGAAAGATACAAAAAAAATTGAAAAAAATTAAATAATTAAAATAATTAAAATAATAATAATAATAATAATAATAATGGTGATACTACAAATACTACTACTATATTTATAGTAATATTAAAATATAATTATGATTGAATCAATTTTTAGAAAGATAGATTTATAAACCAAAATCTATACTCAAAAATGTAGGAGGTATTCCGTACTTTTAACACATATTAGAAATTCAAGTCTTGAAAAATGGATCTCGACCCAGGAGAAAATGATTGGCGTAAAGGAAAATAAATAGAACCTATCATCAACTCTTAATATAATGATATCAATATTTCCTGGTTGAATCTTTTAATTTATAATATCTACTTTGCTAGATCGATACACGGTCGGAGATATTAACTCATTAAGATGAGGTTTGGATTTGAGAATGAATAGAATTTATTATGGGTAAAATGGGAAATTATTATTATCTCTATTCCTCAACTCTCTTTCTTTTTTTATCTACTTGTTGGTCTATGCTGCTGAGAGATTGTGATTTTAATTGCATTGCATCGTTCCACATACCTTGGAGTGATGGAGTACGAATAGGAATATTTACAGCTCTCGTATAAGATTCAACTAAACAAGTAAATACTTTATGTTATAAAGTATTGAATAATAAAGGTAAATATCTAAATCTAATAAATATATATATATGTTTTAGTTATTATTATTATTTGTTTATACATACTTTTAGCATCAATTGGTAAACCATTGAAACCAATCTTTTCATCAATTCCATCATTGATCAATAGTTTAAGATGATTCATTTCAGAAATGAAATTTGGATAGAGTTGATCGTCACTGAGAGTGTCTAGGTTACCGATAATGTCAATTGAATTGGTTGGCGATGGTAAAGATCTTGCTAGAACCGACTTGAATATACTACTTAATTCATTCCTTTGAAAACTGGCATCCCTGTCCTCCCAATCATATCGTTCTCTGGTGGTTCGGTCCATGAAATACTCGATATACTCTTGAAAGGAAACATTTATACCATTCATTGAAGGAGTTAAAAAGGAATCTCTTGCCACCCAAACCAGTTTTGGATGATCACGTATCCCAAGTTTATCTATGATATGACCTAGAAAACTTTAATAATATTAATATGATTTAATTAATATCGGGTGATAAAGTAACCAACCATGGTTGTAACATACATAAATTTATCTATATCATTTGAAGATGGAATTTCTCTTGTGTTGTAAACAAAGGTGCTTGATAGTAAATAACAGAGTAAAAAGATGGGGGTAGAGGTTGGGCCTCCCACTCCTTCACCTTCAGGATCCATCACTATCACTCTACACCCGTTGATCAATGGGAAAGTGGTTGATATCCAAATACCAATTGTTGCGCGACTCGCAGTGTGGCCTAGAGGAAACACATTGTGATCACCACCCAATAATCTATTTAGCAGGTATGATTTACCCAACCTCATACCATTCACCGAAACAACAGATACTGGATGATTACGACATTTATTTCGAATGATCTCTAATGCATATTTACAACAAGATGTGTCATTGGTCTATCGGTTCGAACTAGTTGATTGGTGATTAAATTGTAGAAATAATTATTTGGATATACCAAAGGTATTGATTTTGGTTTAGATATCATTATTAGTATTATTATTATTGAACAAAACTAAATAGATTACTACTCTAAATAGATAAATATTTCTTTTATTAATTTATTTGGACTTTAAAAAGTAAGCCTAAAAAAAACAATCAATCAATCAAATCTAACAAACAACTTGTTTTTGAACTCAAAAAATTAAGAGTTGAATTAATTTGGATATTTACTAAATACTTAAAAATGTAATATTTATCTTGTCTGGATGAAGATATCGATAAAAATAGGTGGTGTGAGAATAATGATACATTTATTTATTTAATTATTTAATTAATTTATTTGGACCATGAGAATACCACTGGACCTATTCCAATTGTAAAGGTTTCTGGTTGGTGTTTTTTTGTTGTTGTTGTTGTTGAAATTGATGATTTAATTGTTGTAGACTGGCTTGGAGATTATCCAATTCTTGTTGATGTTGAGTTTGAAGATCGGCCAATCTTTTGTTATGTCATTTTGTGATTCGATTGTCGCAGTCTATTGTTTCTCCAAAGTTGCGACGGTATCGTTAAACTCTATTCTTTGGCTGACCAACGTATCCTCCATTTCTTTTTTTCTTTGTTGCATGCCACGATTTTGCAATGTGAGCACTGCATTCAACTCTTTTGAATCTTTGAGATCTTTAGTGTACCCTTTTAGCTTTATAAATTGATCTTTGGTTTTGTAGAAGGATTCTACAAACTGAGCAATCACCTCGTTTTTGGCAGTCCCAATTGCATCTCTCAGGAAATCCTCTTCGAACAGTGTCAAAACATCTGTCACTGTCCAAAATCCAAAGATTCATTATTTAGAAAGTCTGTACGGAATGTAGGTTCTCTCTTGGCAAGTAGAATCTGACATGATTTCATTGACTCTTCGTGGTTCCTACCAATGATATCGTATAGTTTACCACCTGTGATTTTAATTTGATTGAGCTCTTCAGGGTGGTGGTTGACACTCTGTGTCATTTCAACGTTGCATAACCTCACCTTGATCGACTTAGTCATATCAACCAATTGTTGAGCATCCAACAAATGACCAGTCATTTGGGCAACCGTCTTGTTTACAATATCCATCACCTCTGTATGTATAGTCATGAGTTTGTTATATTCCATCGGTAGAGGAGTTCTAACCAATTTATCAGGGTTCATCAATTTAGTGTATAAATCTTCAGCCTCTTGAATAGTAGAATTCACTCTAATTTTAATAGCACTATCCCAAGGACCCTCCAATTAATTAATTGTTTCATGACTTAATTTTATGAGTGTTGTTTATTATTTCCATTATTTATCTTTTCTCAAAGTTTGGATCGAATCTTAAATCATCAGATTGAGGTAAATGGAAACCCTTTGGAACACCTGAATAACCTACTCTATATCTTCGTGCAACTTCATCCTCTGTCAATATACGGTAATGAATAATTGGTGTTGATTTAGTGGCTGTATATCTACTATCTATAATATTTAAACAAAATGTAAGTTAGTATAAACTATGATTATTAATGATTATTAATTGAGTTTTAAAACTTACCAATTTGTTTCTCTTTGGGTTTGTTATTATTATTGTTATTATTGTTGTTGTTGGTGTTGTTATTATTATTATTATTAATATTTTTCTCTTTTTTAATATTACTAGTATTGGTGTTATTGGTATTATTATTATTACTATTGGCATTTGTATTATTATTATTATTATTATTAATTTGTTGTGGTTTTGTTTGTGGTTGTTGTTTCTTTGTTTTGTTTGATGGTAAGACGGGTGATGCAGGAAAGGTGGCAGGATGAGCTTCTTTAGGTTGGGCAGAACCACTCTTGACCTTTTCAGCCTCCTCCTGTGTGACAAATTCAGCAGTGAGGGGTGATCTGTTTTGTGGAGGCCACACCAATCCATAGACAGCCTCTCTTGTCTTGGCAGCTTCATCCTCTGTCGTATAGGAAACATAACAATAGGATTTAATATTGTTCATCCAAAAATCGACAATATTTCCAGTCTCTGCCAACATATCTTTGCAAGCACTCTCTTTAAGTGGTCTTACAAACTTGTCAATAAACAATATATTGGTAATATTACGTGTACTTGGTGGTACTGATTGTCTTGTCTCTTGTTGAATTGTGTTGGTGTTGTTGGTTGATGATGATAAAGATGATGAAGGAGATGGCGATGATGTTTTTGTATTGGTTGTAGATGTAGTAGAGGTAGAGGTAGAGGTAGTTGATGACAATGGTTTTTCATTAGTTGCAGTAGATGTAGTAGTTGGTGTTGGTGAAGTTATAGTTGTTGATGTTGTTGGTTTAGTAGTAGTTGTAGTTGTAGTTGATTGTTTCTTAGTAGTGACATCTGAATCACTATCACTATAATCTACAGCATAATCTACATCATCTTCATTTAACTTTTTTGTTTTAGTCGATGGTTGTTTAGGTTCTTCTACCTCTTCTTGATCTACTTTTGAATCGTTCTTGTTATTATCATCATCATCATTCTTTTCCATATCCTTTCTCTTTTTATCACCAGCAACCGCTTCTGGTTTATCTAATGATGACTCTTTCATATCAGCATCTTCTTGACCACCAACCTTGTTGTCATTGTCATTGCTATCTTTATTTGTTTGTTCTTCTTCTTTCTCTTTATTATCTTCTTGTTTCTCTGTAGTAGTGGTAGCTGTTGTTGTTGTAGTTCCTTTCTCTTCTTCTTCTTTGAGTACTTGTTCGAGCTTTTCAACCAGAGCAGCTTTCAATAACCCAGTGGTTTTGATTCCTCTCTTGTCCAACTCTTCACGTAGTTCTGTTACTTTGAGTTTAGAAGGTACGATCGTCATGACTAGTCCAATGATTAGTTAGTATCTGTGAATGAATGTAGAGTAGTAATAAATAAATCAAAGATTAAATTAAAAATACCCTCTTTTGAGGTTCGGCTCAAAAAAAAATAAATTAATTTTTGTTTGAACATCAACATCATCCCCTCTCCCCTCACTAAAAAAATAATGGGTAAGCATAATTCAATAATAATAATATTATTTCCCTCCCTTTAATTATGGATGAATAAAAATATCAAGAATGGTTATTAGAATCTCTCTATCGATTGATATAATCTCTCTGTCTATTTTGAATCTCGAAAAAAGGATTGAGGATATTTCATGAATCAAATAGTTTCGATTGGTTGGTTGTATGTTTGGTTGACACTGGTATTGGTGACTATATTAATAAAAATAAAAATAATAATATAATATTTTTAAAGTGAAGGTGTGTTCAAAGTTCACTTTCAATATTGAACCTCCTCCCCAGACATTGCTAAAAAAAGAAACCCGAAACTTTTTCCTTTTTAGTACATTTGTCCTGTTTTTTTTTATAATAAATTGAAATTGATCTAAAGTCATTGGAATGAGAGACTCTGCATGTCTTTATGGGGGGTTTACGAAACCCTGGAAATGTTATTTAAATATTTATTTTTAAATTACTCTCCTCACAATAGTTCTATTTTTTTTTTTTTTTTTAATTTAAAAAATTAAAAGTAATCATTGTACGATACAATATTTAAAGAGAGAGACTTGTGGCATTTCTTGTCTTTATTTTATTTTAACTAATTCACCCCTACACATAATAAATAAATAATTAATTTATTAATAAGTATAAATACATAAATAGACAACAAGACCGAACAAAGAAAGACCAACCAACAACCAACACCAACAACCAAAAAAAAACTAAATTAAAACAATAACCCAGGTAGCTTCAAATGGTAAGTTTAAATTTAATTGTTTCTCTTTCTCTCTCTTGAGATTGAACTTTCTATCATTCTTTCATTTCTTTATTTGTTCAAAAATGATGATGAAGATGAAGATGATGATGATAATAGATAAAAGTGAAGATAGGTGTCGACATGTTTACGCTATCCTAGTTGGTAGAAAGAAGATAATAAAAAAGTCTCTCTATCATTATAAGGATATTTATGATATTTTTTCTTTTTGTCTTGTCCAATCTCCTATGCACACTTTTGCCGACCAACCCAACCCTTTAATCTCATCTATCTTTGACCGCGGTCGGGGTGTGTGTTAATTAGTTTATTTCTTTTCATTTTATTTGTTCGGGTCAATTAGCATCATTCATTATGTGACTTGACTGAAGGAGGAGGAGTGAGTGTTGTTCATTCACCACCACACTTTCACCTTCTCTCTCTTTGCTCCTCCTCATTTTTATTTTTTTAAAAGCACCACACACCGCGTAACCGCCAATCCACATTAATCAATCTCATCATCTTCATTGTGCTAGCCCCCACCTTTAATAAATCAATCAAAATAATTAATTTAATCATCATTCATCTCCCATTCTATCAATAAATTTGTTTGTTGTTTTCATTGTTATTTTTATCATTCAAACTCTCTCTTTAATTATTATTATTATCCACATATTTTATCTTTCTACATTAATATTAATATCCTCCTTTTCTTATCTTGGACATAATACAATATTGGAAAAATGATGCAGTTTTCAAGAATTATTAGATCCAACCTCCTCCCAAAGGGAATTTTAGGTGAAACTCAAACATCAATTACTGCCACCAGATCAATTTCAACTGGGTATGTACATCATCTAATAATCAATATTAATATATTAATATATTAGATATAAAGCTAACCTCTTATTTATTTCTCTCTCGTTTAGATTCTATCGTACATCGGATGAAATGTCAAAATCAAAGAAACAAGATCTCTCTGATGAACAAGTCAACGATATATTAAGAAAGGCTGAATTACAAAAGGAGGATGATGACTCTCATATTGGAGAATTAAGCACACAAGGAGAAACCGGAGCCAATGTAAACAAGGCCAACAAAAAGATTAGAAAAATGGTTCCCAAGGACATTGAAAAGTTTGAATAGAGACAACTCACTCCAAATTTATAGCAAATCAAAATACACGTTACAATAGATAATTTATAATTTGGGCCATTCTATTCTATTGTTATCCATCCTATCTATCCATCCATCCATCCTTGTATTAAAAATTTTTCCCCCTAGGACCCATGGAGTGCACAATTGTACATAGTATTTAATCCAACCCAAAACCAAATCAAACAAACACACAAACAAACAAATCACCTGTAAATAATTAATCAATCAACCAAACAAAATCAAATAAATATATTTAACCTATATATAATAGGTTAAATCATTTAAAAATAGAACTTTTGTGTTGGAAGATGAGAAGTCTGGGAGGGAAGTTGTCCTCTCAGACTTTTGAAAAAAGTCCCTCATTAAAAAAAATTGTCTTTTCAAAAGTCTGAGAGGACAACTTCCCTCCCTCAGTGACTTTGCTCCTCCCATAGTAATTTTTGAAAAGTTGCCCTCGAAAAATAATTTTTTTCATGAAACCTTGTTGCTGACCTTTGCGACCGTCAGAGAAAGCTGTCATTTGATTTTTGTTTACTTGTTACTATTACAACATATATATATAAATTAAAAGGTTAGTATTTTACGACACTCACAAGGAGAATAGTATCAGATGACAATAAATCAAGTTCAATGAATGTTGTAAACACAACAGACGATTCTTGAAAAAGATTTTTTGTTTTTTTTTTTGTCAATCTAGTATTGCATCTCAGATTACACATTATTCATTTAATTTAAAGATTTATTGGTTGTTCACATATAACTAACTTACTTTTTACTACTACTACTACTACAACATTTAGAATGGGTCGATCAAAGACAGAGATTAATAGCAAGGAAATTAGACAACTCGAAGAAAAGTTGGAAGAGATCAAGAGAGGTCTTGTCGACATTGAAGAACTCATCTTGGAGAAGAAGAGTACTTTAAAAAAGAGACCAGTTGAAGAGAGCACCGAGCAAGACGACGACGAGGAAGACACCCCCGTCAAAAAGGTTGTCAAAAAGGCAAAGGCAACCAAACCAGCCACCACTCCAGAAAAGAAAAAGAAACCAGAACCAAAAGCAAAAAAGCAAGCCAAGAAAGTGAATCAAGATGAAGATGAAGAAGAAGAGAAAGAACAAGACGAGGAAGAAGACGAAGACAATGATCAAGCAATGAGCGAAGCTGAATCACCAAAGAAGAAGACGAAAAAGAGCAAGTCTGGCGACAAGACTGACGAAGAGACTACCGACAAGAAGAAAAAGACTCGTAAAACAAATTCAAAGGATAGAGAAACAAAGGGACTCAAGACTGGATCATGGGGCGATGACGAAATAAAGCTTTTGGAAGAAGCCCTCAAATTGCATGGTAGTGATCTTGACGCCGTCGTCAAACACGTTGGAACACGTGAAAAGGTTCAAATCCGTAAAAAGATTGCCAACATGAAGAAAAAGGAGGAAACTGTCGTTGCCAATGGAGATGACAGCACACCAAAGAAGAAATCAACTCCAAAGAAAAAGGCAGATGAAACTTCCACCAACAAAAAGACTGCTGCTGCTGTCGACAACTCTCCAGCTGCCATCAAGAAAAAGGCCGATGAAGAGACTGCTGCAAAGAAAAAGACCGCAGACGAAGAGACTGCTACTGCAAAGAAAAAGGCAGATGAAGAGACTGCTGCTGCTTCCACTGCTACTACTGCTGCTGCTGCTGCAGCCAAGAAAAAGGTTGAAACACCAAAGAAAAAGGCTGAAGAGGAAAAGAAAAAGGTTGCTGCAGAGGAAGCTACTGCTGCCAAGAAAAAGGCTGAAGAGGAAAAGAAAAAGGCTGCTGAAGAGGAAACTAAAAAGGCAGCTTCCAAGAATGCTTACCCCTCAGAAGCAGAGGATGACGAAACTGACGACGATGACGACGATGACGATGACGAATCGTCTGACGGTGACGTTAAATCGGACGCTGAATCCGATACTGAAGAAGAATCGGAACCCGAAACTGTTGTTCCACTCAAAAAGTCTGCATCATCTGCACCATCTATCAAATCAGTTCCAGCCGTTCCATCTGAAGGAATCACCAAAACTCCAGCAAGAGCTTCCTCTGTTTTAAAAACACCTGTATCTAAACCAACTCAAACTGCCACCAAACCATCTGCCAAGAAATCAACCAAGTAAATAAATCAACTTGAATTCATTAAATAGTATTAATATTATAATATAAATCTAAACAAACAAAAGGAAAAGGAGAGATGGATTATTTTGAATATATTATTTATTTATTTATTTATAAAGTTAATTATCTAATTTAATTTTGATGAAATCTTTTTGGGTTGAAGTGTAAATATTAAACTCTTTGAAATCATTTGAATAAGTGACCAATCATAAATTGTCGTGTGTAATGATTGGTTGTGTTATCTTGTTGTTGTAATTTTCCATTGATATAAAATCTACAACAAACCATTCCTTAATAATAGGTAGTAAGTTATTATGAAAACCTTCAACTTTAAAACGGTCAAGATGTTCTTCTAGTTGTTTGTCATCACCATTGCTACACACTATATCTAAGGCCCATTGATTTAATCCACCAATGTAAAAGTCTATATCTTTAGATTCACAATTGAATCTTTTACCAAGATTGTTTGCACTCACATTGCAATGTGACAATGGACCAATGGATGCATAATAAAATTGAGTTTGCCAAACATCCTCTAATGGTCGTAACACATAATCTTTCTCTAATTGATATCTATCTTTAAAAGATCTAATTCTATTTGGTTTAAAATGTTTGATACTTTCGATAACTAATTGAATGAGAGATTCTTGATGTTTAGGATCGAGGGGGATGATGGTGTTGGTGTCTGTATATTCTTCTTCTTTGTTTTTCTTTTCTTGTGCAACTCTCCATCTAAAGTATTCTCTGTAATAGAGTGGTGATACAAAGTCGATGGTCGATGAATCGTTATAGTCGTAAAAGTCTAACTTTGTTCTGGCCAGATACCCTTGGTTGATGAGGTATTCGGCAGAAACACCATAGTGGCAGAGAGAACCCGTAATACGAGCTTCAATAACTTGATCGATAAATTCCAATTGCTTTGTTATTCCAGTGATGTTGGGTAAGACAAAACACTCTGGGCGTGATGGTGAAGCATTTGAAGATGCAACAAAATCAGCACACTCTTGTGACGTGAGATACGAGTAGATTGCTCTCTCTAAATCATCTCGAGTTGCAATACCAGTCAAAACACTTTTCATCACCTGTCCAATTGTAGCATCTCTGACAAACTGATTGAGTAATCCAGTGACCAGTCCAACATGTCCAGCAGTATCCTTCCACATCTTGGTTACTATATTTTCTGGTAGTTGAGTGTGCATTGATCCAAAGATATCTATTATTTCTTTAAACTCTTGATTTGAAAACGTCATGAATGTGTGATCATAATCAATGCTTCCGTAGTTTTCTAATGACATATCAGAGACACGTCCTATAAAGGTGGTAAACATCGCAACATAGATACTCCCCATAAGAGATCTAATGCCATTCCAAAAGAATTTGTGGAATGGGTGATCGACTGAATACAGCAGATGGCAATCGTCAATGATCAGATAAACTGGGGTTCCGTGAAAGGCAAGTAATGTCCAATCAATACCTCTTCCAAAAGTCGTCAAAGTCACTATAATCATGTGGATCTGTTGACTTGGGTGGCTGTGTATCCCAACTATATGATATTCTTTGTACGTTTAATCCTGGTTTGGTTGCTATCAGGTGTCTCTCTAACAATTGCCCAAACGATGTCTTTCCACAGTCAGGAGGTGATTCAATAAATATATAATGGTATTTATCGATATGCTCAACGGTTTGAGTAATCTTTTCATGTCTATTGACATTAAATATAATCGTATCCTCTTTTTTGATACCTTCATTCATACCTATAAATATTAATGTATAATAATTTGATTAGTTATCTTTCTTCTTCTTTTTATACTTGTTGTTTTATATAACATACCATTATCATTTATAATCATAATAGAATGATCATGGTGTAGACCTTGTACAACAATAGTAGTATCTTGCTTTTTAAAAGAAGGGGAGGTTATTATTTGATCTTGCATTCTTATTTGTAGTAACTCGTATTACTATTGATTATAAATAGTTAATGAGTACTACATGTGATGCTTTTATATTGATAAACAAATGCGGTTGGGTTGTCTTGATTAACATTTTTAATCATCTAATTATCAGAAGCAAGTGAGTGTCTTGGTGAATATATATATACTTGTGACCATTTTATCTGATAATTAATTTTGAACATCTCATCCCACTCCACCAGTCGATCGATGTTTTAAATTAATTAACTATATACATAGATGTAATAATAATAATAATAATAATAATAATAATAATAATTTATTATAATAATAAAAGATAGAAGATAAATAGTTTAGTTTCAAGACAATAAGATGCAACATCAACAACAACAACAAAGTAGAATATCTATTGTGATTGATTGTTTGATGCCATCGTGGAACGAAGGGTTACCAGTGACTGGCCAGACATCACCACAACTATCATCACAACAACAACAGAGAAAAGAGCTACCCATACAGATACAACGAACAGTTGCATCACACATTATAGAATCAGTCATAGAGTATAGTCGTATCCTATACGACCTATTCAATGACACCACATCCATATCAATCTTTTCATCACTTGATCAAGCATCATGTATCAATGGTAGAGACACTCAAGAACAATCATTAAGATTTGTAAGTGTTATCATCACTCTAGAGTCTAAGAGTAATGTAAACGGTACAAATAAACTAACTAATTACCTTGTTTAATTTAGATGGTACAATCAATATCAAATATAAACAAAATATTAAATTATAATATTGGTAAACCAACACCAACCTATTCATCAAGACCATTTCATCAATACCTTGAATCATCGATTGAATCATTACTACATCAAGATGAAAATACTCTTCAAAGTAAACCATTCACAATGAATAATAATATTGTAGTACTTGTATTACCTGATCAAGATGGTATTGGATTAACTCAGTATGTGTGTAAAGGCAAAGACATAATAATAATAATAATAGTAAGAGTATTTATTTTAACCATCCTTTCATTTAGATTTAAATCAGATAACAAAATATATGATATCCCCAAAGAATCACAATTGATAATTGATAAATTAAATGTACAAGCTTTTAAAAAGAGTAATATTGGAAATAATAATAATAATAATAATAATAATGGTGGAAATGATTCATTTGGACATTTAACAATTCAAAAGTGCGAATTGGTTGTATTTAAAATAAGATCTGGAAATGGAAAGAAACAACAACAACAACAACAACAACAATCTACTCAAGATGAATCATACTCTTATCAAAGAGTATCAAATCAATTGGATTGTTTTGCAAAAGATGTAAATATTGTAAACTTGTTTCAGGTGTTTTCGGATTTGGCTATTATGCAGTTTAACCTGTCTTCGATTTTGGTGACTGGTATTCCCATGAAGGAGAGTACCAACTCTCAGTCTCATCGAAGTGTGTATGATGTGGTGTTGTTGTATGCTAATCAGTTGTTGCTGCCTAATAACGGACAGGGTGCAAAGGAGCGGTATGGAGACTACGCCAACACTGTAGAGTATCGAAACAACCAACATCTGCAACAGCAGCAACAACACCAAGCGCTGCTGAGTGTGCCAGTTGGACAACAGACGACTGGCAAATGGAAGAGTATCGACAATAAGAAGCAACAGGCTGGTACGAGTGTGAGTTTGGAGACATTGACGTTTAGTGCGATGAGTCGTGTCACGCCACTACACGTGACGAGCAGTCCGAGTGTATGTTTGATGAAGCATATATGCGGGGGTCGACCAGTCTTTCTCGTGACGTTGCCTGCCGAGGACATCCACACGTACGTGCTGCAGCTGCACAGCAACCATGTCTACCTCAACACGCTACACTCACCACTCGATATTGCTTCCATTGTACCTATCCTCAACTGCTACAAGGAGGGTGGAGATACTGCCAAATACCGTCTACGCGACTTTGCCAAGATCATTGACAACTCGATCATCCTGTCGGGTGCCATTGCCGGCTGCCCCACCGACACGTTCCAAGAGGTGCGCTTGCCCAACCCCTTCTTTGTGCCTGCACAGCCACCCGCCATCGACAACCAGCCATCCATCCAGACCGTGTCGTCCAAGATTGTCGAAAAGTACACGCGGTACTACCCCTGGATCGAGAATGAAACCATCCTCTTCTCGGCCACTGAGCAGGCCGAAGAGCTCAAGCAGATATTTGAGCCGCTCAAGTTCCTCTTGCTCAAAGACACGCTCTCACCCGAGCCTGCTGATCAGTTACGCCAAATCCTCACGCATTTCTTTAACTTGGCGGCACTCAACGAGCAAGCCCTATTTCCACACATCACCAAAGCCAACATTCGCAAGGAATACTATAAAAAGTTGATCCATGAACTCTACTTTTTTTCTAAAACCTGTCTAACCACTCAACTCCATTACGATGTATTCCTAATCATCGAAAGAGTTTATTGTCAAATGACAAATACTCAACCTTCTCCACCTCCTCCCCATATTTTAAAACAACATCAACAACAAATTCAACAACAGCAACAAATGCAACAACAACAATTACCAAATCAACAAGGTCAAAAGGGAGGAGGAACATTGTATCAAAATTTCCAACAACAACAAAATCAACAACAACAAAATAATTTCCAAGATAATAATAATAATAATCAATATGATAGAGCTAAAAAGATGATTAAAGAGGATGACCTAAGAAGAGAACGTGATCGACAGATGAAAGTTACCAATCCAAAGATGGAATTGGGTAATGTTGGAGATGGTTCAACTAGTAGTTTGGTGGAAATGTTGGAAAAGAAGAGAAAACTATCAAATTCTCCACCACCAAAACCAAATAATCTATTCTCCATGTATACTGATAAACAGAAAAAGACTCAATCCATAGAGTTGGATGGTAGATTATAATAATAATAATAATAAATTAATTATATACATGTATTTTTTAAATGTTGCCTCTATGTGATTATCATCAATTCATGAAATCCATTAATAATTGTGCCATGATCTTTTCAAGTTGTTCCAAACCAATTTCACTGGCTTCGTCGATCTCTGCTTGTTTTGTCATTCTTTTAAAACATTCTGCTATCATCCATTCCAAATAAGCTGCTGTTAATTGTGTTGATTCTTTTGAAACTATTTTAATCATAACAACAAAATTAGTTTAAATTCTAATGTCTCTTTCATCCTATACTACTATACTATGCTATACTATACTATACATACTCTTAATCTTATCTTTAATTGCTAGTCTTAAAATTGACTCGACTGTTTTCTAATATTAAAGAGTGAAGATTCATGTATATGTTAGCAAGATTTGTTTTATAGTTTTGCATGTGCATATGTAAGTACATACAGGGTTAACTAACAATTCATTGTTTGTTGTTGTCGTATTATTATTCATTGCATTATTACTTTATATCTACGAATAAGGTACGTATAATATCTTCGAAACACAAAGTAAAGTTAAATTAAATTAAATTTAATATTTTCAAAAAGTGAGGAGGGAAAACAATAATATATTCGTTTTCTTGCGAAGATAATAGTATTGTTATTGTTGTTGTTCAAGCTGTTAATGAAATAATAATAACAATAGAGAGAGAGAGTATAGATAGATTAAAAGATATGACTAGATCAACAAACATTGAACATAATCAAGATCAACTCAATAATAGTAATAATAATAGCAACAACAAGAATGACAACAATGATAATTTAGGAGCTCGCTCACCAACCGTAGACAACAACAATGATAATTTATTGATGATGTTTAGTCCAGGTATCAATAACAATAACACAAACAACAAACCAAAGAAACAATTTACACCAAACATTCGTAAACATGTCTTTAAAAACAATAATAGTGCATCTGCTGCAGCAGCTGCTGCTGAAGATAACAACAAGACAAGTTTGTTTGATATAGTTTCACCAACCAATAACTATTTAAACAAATCAAACAATATAACGAATAATAACAATAATAATAATAACAATAATACTATCAATGGATTGCATCGAGAAGAAATAGATGTTGAAGAGATGGAACAACAAATAGAATCGATTTTAAAAGCAAACCAAGAACACCGACCAACTATTATACCTCCAAAACCAATGTTTCTTAAAATCAAGAGAAAGATTGACGAAGAGCCATTGGAAGAAATTATCATTGAAAGACCTAAAAAGAGAGCATTGTTGGATACATTCCAATCTTTTAATTTAAATTCAAATCAAGAAGAAGATGATGAAAATGATAATAATAATAATAATAATAATAATACTGAATCATCACCTGAACCAAATATAACAAATAATAATAATAACAACGCAATTACTAATAATAATAATAACCAACAACAAGATAAAGAAAAGAAATTATTTAAACTTTTTACATCTGTAGATGAAGCTAATCTACATCATAATAGATCAAAGATTGAAGTATGTACAAATAATCTATATAATATAATTATGAATGGGAAATAATAATGATATTAATATTTATTTATCCATTTTTTGTAGCAACGATTTATTGAATTCCAATCCAAAGGTCATGTTGATTCACCAAAAATACAAAGAACAAAAAGAGAAAATGTCATTGTAAGTATTATTATTAAATATTAATATTATATAATATCTAATAGATAATATTCTTTTTTTAATTATAGAAAGAAAGAAATGAAATTAGATATAAACAAATTAGATCAAATAGAATTATATTTGATCAACAACAAACAAGCGTAATAGAGTTGGAAAGAACCGAAGTTGAAAAGGATGAATTATTCCCAACTGGACTAACAAAGGAGGAAGAATCATTAATTTGTAATTACCGACCAATGTTAAAGGAACATCTTCACCACAACAACAACAATGACCAACAACCTAATACCCAACAACTTCAAAAACAACAGATACAAGAAGATTCAATGGTAATTGAAAAGAAACAAACCAAAAAGATTGGATATGTTTACGATTACTATTATCTCAATTCGGATCAAGTTGGTGAAAATCTCAAACACATAGAGACTATCCAGCTGCCTGCCGAAGACGACTATTTCACAGCAAACGATGACGATCAAAGTGACTCGAGTACAGACTCTGAAAATTGGTACACCGAGTATCCAGATGGAGATGAAGTGTACAGCGACAAGGAGGTTGATAGTGACGACCCCTACCAAGAAAGTGACGATATGTTATCCGAGAAAATAAGTGATTATGATGGTGACTATATGTATGAACAAGAATATAGTAGTGATGATGATGAAGACTATTATTAAAAAATCATATATAGATAGAGGTAACAAACCGCAACCAACCTTTGATTACAACAAATTAAAAATAACTATAATTAATTCACATCACAAGATATTAATAGAACAAATTGATTAAATAATATTTATAATCAATTTTATAAAGTATATTTTTTTATATTATATATTAAATAATAATAACTATTATGTAAATATTCTTCTCTGCATACATTAAATTAGATTTGTAAACACAATCCAGAAAATAAATAATTAAAAAAAAATAATAATTTCAAAAGGAAGAAAGAAAATAATAATAATTATTAATTATTATTTGCTGTTTCAATGTTGTGAATTAGGGTTCGATTTGAATTCTTTATGTATAATTAATTAATTAAGTTTGCATTACAATTTTTAATAATAAACTTTCTCTCTTGTCTTTTTAATAGTTGGTAAAGTAACCCATAGAGACAACAAAGGTAGTTTGTGGGGTGGAAGAGAGTTGCTTGTTTTGGGAGAGATCGATGGTAACGAATTGGAGGTTGGCATCGTTGTTTACGTTGGCATAGATGAGTGAACCATGAGCAGCGTGGGAAACAACAGAGACTGCTTGTGATGGGGTAAAGATACCGAGTGGCTTGACAGTACCACCAACAATATCAATGATAGCATAATCCATACCAGTGTTATCATTCTCGTCCTTGATTAAAATGTTGCAAACTAAAACATCCAAAGTTGGAATGTAAAGAAGGTTGTATGGTCCACCAATAAAGTCTAAAACGAAATAAATAAATAAATAATTAATTAATTGGTTTCAAAATTGATTAAATATTCGAATATCACATACTTTGTGGGAGCAAAAGAACAACATCACCAGTTTCTTGACCGGATCTAGTGTCGTAACTGTACATGAGGATTTCTGGACCACCTTGTTGAACTCCAACAACTACAAAGTAGCTGTGGTTGTATGGTGAGAGACCAGTTGAAAGGTAAGCACCTTGGACCATCTAAATGTTTGACAAAAAGATAAAATATCAATTAATTAATTATTTCCACACATATTGATCTTGATAATTATATATATATATTTTTTACATACACCATAGGTATCATAACTAGCAGAGGCTGGATCCATTTCACCAACCAACCAAGTGTTGTTTCCACTTCCTTGCAAGACACACTTCATAGAGTTGACGTCTGGGTCGTACTTGAGACCGTATGGAATCTTTCCTTCTGGGATTGGGGCAAAGTAGAGAACCTTGTTGGTGGCAACGTTGACACTAACGAGGTATTGGATGTTGTTGCTGCTGAGGACAAAGGTAAACATACTGGTAAAATTGTTCATGGCAGAGTTGCCAACGTGCCAGTTGGTGTAACCTGGGAATTCCAATTTCATGGTTGGGACACCTAAATAAATAAAGTTATAAATAAAACATATTTATTGTTAGATTATTTCATGATTCTTTCTTTTTGTTTCTGGTCGAGTGTTTTTATGATTCGTTGTCAGTTATTATGTATATTAATATTAATCGTATCACCCAGATATCTGATATAATCTATCTCTATCTATCGATATTGATATCTGATACAATTGTTTGTGCCTATGACTATGATGATGATGATACTAATCTAGAATGAGTGTGTTTGTGTGTTTGCATGTACATACCAGTTTCACTGATAATACCAAAGTTGGCGGTATTACCATCTTGCCATACACCGTAGAGGTTAGCAGATGCAACAGAGAGGAAGAGAGAGAATGTGATTAACTTAATAGCAGTGTTCATCTTTTGTTGTTTGTTGTTATATTTATCTATTATCTACACGTAGACTAAATCTAACAATTGTTTAAATGTAGGGTATGAGCGAGGTCTCGTCGAAAACCATTCTTTCCGATGTTTGATTTTTTCGAATTTTTTTTAGATATTATATGACAACCCATTCCCGCTCTCTCTTTTCGTTGCTTGCATTGTTTGTGGGGAAAAGAAAAGAGAATCTGTGCGCCCGACAACAACTTTTCTGTTTTGTTATAACAACTACCTACTATGTTTGTTGTTTGTTAAAACTTTAGAACGATAATGTTAAGAACGAATCTATGCTTTTTCATTGACAACTCTTCTACACCTCGTAGACTACTATTGGGTTTAAAGAAGAAGGGGTTTGGTAAAGGTCGATGGAATGGTATAGGAGGTAAAAAGACAGATGATGAAACTATCGATGAAAGTGCAATCAGAGAATGTGTAGAAGAGGTTGGTCTAAAACCAACTAATTTGGTTAAAAGGTTTGTTGAACTTGGAAGGATGATGAGAAGGAAAGGAAAGGAATGATATATAGATGGATGGAAGGAGTGAATGAATGAAAGGATGGTTGTGAATCAATAAGAGTATTAATTTGAACATACATACATGCATACATACTCCACTCATGATAGAGGAGAACTACAATACTATTACAAGAATCAAAAACATATGAATACACATTGTACCATTTACACGATCGACATGTGGACCGGAGATTTAATAGAATCCGATGAAATGAGTCCAAAGTGGTGGAATCTAGATAGTGATAGCAATAGTGATAACACCGATCCACTTCCATATGACCTCATGTGGGATGATATGAAGGTTTGGTTTCCATCATTTATCAATAGTGACTTTAAAACAGCAACAACAACACCAACAAAGTTTACATCAACAAACTTTTACTTTGATGAAAATGATAATCTAATTAGTCATAACTAGCTCTTCTCTCTCTCTCTCTCTCTTTGATTCTAAATAATATAGTGAATAAAATAATTATAACAATTTTGTAAGAATAAATATGAATTTAATTTATGATTTTAACAAACAAACATTTGCCACTTCAACTTTATTAGTAGTTTATTGTTCTAAAAATCAGTATAATATAAAAAGAAGAAGAAGAAGAAGAAGAAGAGGAGAGGTTAGTGTAGTTATTATTAGAGTAACAGTAGGATTCATCATTCATCGATCATCAAGATGTCAAGTTCAACAATATCAGCAATGATGATGATGGTTGGGGACATGTCATCATTGAGTTCATTGCCATCATTCAATACCAACCATATAGACGATATTGGTATGGACGATGACACCTTTCAAAAGAGCGAGTTTGACCTCTACATACCAGAGACATACGATAAAGAGCTTTGGGACAACTATGACTACCTCAATGCCAATACTCATCGATTCTTTGATTGTGTATCAAGAGACTATTTAATACAAGGTATATATATATATATATTTATATATTACAATACTTACTGTACATGTAGCAACATTCACTAACATATATATTTATAAACAAACACATCTATTAGGTGAATCACTAAGACTATTTTTAATTGCAAGAGTTCCACAATACCAATCACCATCTACATCATTGGCATCTTCACAATCAAGCAACACCAATAATAATAACAATAATAATATTAGTATAAGTAGTAGTACTACTACAATGTCTGCACCTACTAATACAACGACAACAAATAATAATGGTGGAATGGACAACCTATCTAAAAGTGGTGGGGTATTCAACAACAATATAACAGTTGTACCTCCCATGCGATCAGCATCACAAAATCTATCATTTGAAATTCAATTAAGATATTCAACTGAAACATCCAAAGCAACTTATAAAGATTTTCATAATGTATGAATGAATGAATGAATGAATAACACAACTACAATCAATTGTAACTAACTATATATTTTAAATTTAATATAGGCAGTAAATGTTACAGAATTTAATCCAAAACATACACATGTTTCAACAGACATGAGAAATAATTATTTACCATCAGCAAAATCTTCAACCTCTTATTTAAGATCAACTACTGCCAATGGTAGTGGTAGTGGTAATGCAACAAATAACGCCAACAATAATAATAATGGTAATAATAATAATGGTAATACTAGTCCAACATTAATTGATAAATCAAAAAGATTTATTGGTGAAGTGATTGATATTAGTTCACCATTTGAAACCAATATACCAAATAGGGATTCAATCAATCAGAAACCAAATTATTTTAAATTATCAAATGGTGATATTATTTTCCCAATTGAAATACCTATTTGTATGTATCATCATTCAATTCAATCAAATAAGATTTACTTATTCTTTATTTCCTTTTTTTATTTTTAGATATAAAAGAGATTTATGAAGATAAACAAATTACATTTGTAATCAAAGTAAATCGATCGAAAAATTATCGTGTATTATTGACAAACGAGAACAAATTGGATCGTTTGTTACAAACTGATACATTAGCATTCCCCAAATCAATAGCATTTAGATCCTTTTGGAAAAATTTCACTTTGGTTCAACCTCTAAGAGTAAGAAGAAAAAGAAGAAGAAAAAGAAAAGAATATGTTATTTACCTACTTTCTCTATCTCTAATAGTTAAATTTAAAACCAAATATTGTAACATTGGGAACCAAAAATTTAATAACAGTTGTGGTAGAGAATAATCATCCATCGATTACATTGACTATTCGTGATATTAATACCTATCTATTCCATGTTTTAAATATGGAGTTGTCAGTTACAGTCGATCCTGTAAGTGGACAATCAATACCAACTCATCGTCAAAAGGGACATATTATCAAAGCAAACGAACACTATATCCTCACCAACCTCACTAAATGCACTCTCCCTATTCTCCTCGAACCCTACAACAAACACTCGTTTGTATTGTCGGTCGAACCTTCTGCACTCCAAAAATCACTTCCTCCTCTTGACGGCTTTTACACCAAGATCAAGTTGTCATGGGATTTACCAATATCCTCTGGTCAAATATTATCTCTATTTGATTTGAAAATATCTCCTCCTCCAGTATCAGAGTTAATGGTTTCAATTGACTGTTTGTATCATAATTTATATAATTTTAAAAATTAAATCAATTATTAATTAATTTTATATATATTTGTTTTAGCTCCATCACCTGTATTGTTATATCAAAAATTCAAAGTAATATTCAAGATTAGTAATTTATCAACCAAATCCAAACAGATAACGATTAATATACCATCATGTTGTAATCAAAAATATACGAGTACTGCTCAAAAGGTTATTCCCAACGGTGCTGGTGGAGGTGGTGGTGGTACAGCTGCAGGTGCATCAACATCACATCTCAAACTATCATCACTCATTGGAAACAAACGGCTTCAATCACAACAACAATCATCAAACTCTCTTATCAACCAATCATCCACTACTACTACTAGCACATCTACTACTGCTTCCTCCTCTTTGTCAACAACTACATCTACTTTGAGCGAGTCTACTACTAGCAGTGGTGCACTCAAATCAAGTGGAGCATTACCAAAATCATCAACTGGTAAATTGTTACCATCTACATCATCTCCGATTGGATCACCAGTTGTAATGAGCAGTGGAGGTAAATATGTTCCAGCCGAACCACATATCCAATTTAGTGAAATGACTCAGAGAACATTGACAGCTTTTGATGACGTTCAAGATAATTCAGTTAATATTGTTTGTCTTCAAAAATCAATTTATGTTGGGTATGTAAATTAATTCATAAACAAAACAAAATCCAATAATGATATTAATATTAATCTTCCTTTTTTTTTCCTTTATTTCTATAGTGATATTGATGCCAAAAGTTCAGTTAGTATTAGTGTAGATTTTATTGCATTAAAGAGTGGATTGTTTGAGATATCAGATATCACATTGTTTGATGTGATTGAAAAGAAAACATTTAGTCTCAAGGAATCACTACAAATTTGTTGTATCGATCCATCACACCAAATTAGTGATACTCATCATCAAACCAATCCATTTTAATTTAATGGTCACTATAATCTATATAATAAATTAAATAACCTTCCCCAAACATAATAATAATAAGAATAATAATAATAATAATAATATATATAAATAATATTACTTTTTCCCTCCCCACATTTTTTCAAATTTTCAACAAACTCGGGGAATGATGATCAATCGTTCATTTTTCATTATTAATTATTATTTAATCGAATTAGATAGATAGACAGACAGATAGGTTAGATAGTCAAAAAGGGGTGTGACTATACTACTACTAGAGGAGAGATATAGATAGAGGATGAGTACTAAAGAGAACAACTCGGTTGTTCTAAAAAGTAAAAAGAAACCCGAATCAACAACTACAACAACAGATATAGAGATGGGGAATGAACAACCAACTTCAACTTCAACTTCGACGACTACAACTTCTACAACTTCTACAACTACCACTACCGATAGTAATGGTGACGTACCAATGATAGAAGAAGACACAACTACTGAAAATACAACCAATAGTAGTAATGGTGATGGAAGTACTTCTACTTCTACTACAAATGGAGATGGTACTACAACTACTACTACTACTGATACAAATGGAACTGAAAAGACAACGACAGGAACAAATAGTAGTATACTTGATAGTGCAAGCAGGATGGATCTTGATGATGGTGAAGATTATGTAGTTCAAGAGGTACCTGTCTACCTCAATCAACAATTGAGCGACAATCTCTTCCTTTTCCAATATCCACTTAGACAACCATGGCGTCCATACGATATGACTCAATTGGATTCTATTCGTATCAAACCAAGACAACAACGTGTAGAAATGGACTTTAACATGGATTTGACCAATGAAAACTACAATGAAAACGCTGATGTCAAGACTGAAAAGTATACACTTGGTTCAACTACTGTTTCACATAGAGCAAATTATGCTGTTGGTATATTTAGAAATGGTAAAATATAAAAGATAGATAGATAGATAGATAGATTTATTATTACAACAGAATATTCTAACATTCTTTTAAATATATTTTAGATGAATTTCATATTACACCATTACAATCAATTATACAATTAAGACCAAGTTTTGGAACTGTAGATAATATGTGGGAGAGTGAAAAGGAGGCAAAGAAAAAAGAAAAACAAGATATGGGAATTGAAGACGAGGAAGAAGATGGTGAACAACAACCCACCTCTTATCGAAAACCAAATGCCGCCAAAACAGCTGCTGCTCAACCAACAAATCAACTTAAAAAAATGGAAGATGAAGAAGAATGGATTAATTTGGAATTGGTTGGTGATAAGGTAAAAAAAATCAAAATAATCATTATTAATAATTATAATTTAGAATTAATAATTATTAATATTTAATTTTCTTTTTCTTTTTAGAATGATGAAGATACAATTAAACATATTGATAAATTAGTTTGTCAAAAGAGGGAAAAGATAAAGTTGGATTTAAACGAACACCAATATGTAGATATACTTTGTCCACGTACCGTCGAGACATGGGTACCAAAGGCAATCCACAACAAGGAGATTGTGTCGCTTGAAGCAATACATCAGATGGACTGGAAGGCACAGGTCAAGCAGATTCTGCTCAATGGACACATTATTGCGTTTTCAAAGTTGTTCCAACTGCTCAAACTACCTTTGGGTCAAAACATTATGGAGTATGATGTGGCCGAGGAGGTGCAATCACTTGCACATTTGATCAGAGGACGATGGGTGGTAAAAAGCGAACACGAGTACAAAGAGGAGCAATCACAGATGCGGGTGGCCCGTGACTACCTATTACTCAGCTTCTTTGAAGTTGATTGTGTCAATCGTCAAGAATTTGGAGACAAGGTGTTTTTGACAAACGATCAAGCAAGAGACATAGTATCCAAAATAGCTACACTAGACACTGTCAATAGAACATGGCATCTCAAAGGTGAACCAGATGATGACTTTTTATATAAATATAATAATATAGTTGAAGTTAATCGTAAATATTTTGTTGATTCAAAGAATGAGTAAGTAAACAAAACAAACAAACAAACAATATATACTTACTTACTTTCTTTCTACTTTCTTTTTTTTTAGGATAATGAAAAAAGTTAAAGATTTATCAGATCCATCAAAGAATTCATTCCTTGGAGCATTGTTGCCAAAGGAATTTATGCAAAAGGCAGGACCAACCAAACCAAACCAAGTCCAAAACATTGTACCAGAGGATTACAAAGAGGGCAAGACACTCGAACAACAATTGCTCTTTTTCCTCTACCATTTGTTCAAGACTCATGGTGTCATTACCAAACAGTTTATTATCCAACAAATCATCAAACAGGGTCAAGAAGAAGAGGAGGGGTGTCTATTAAAGGACGTTCAAGATGAAATCATCAATGAAACCATTCCCAAGATTGCCAACACAATGCACAACACTATGTACTTGAAGCAACTCGGTCAACCCAATATCGACAAGTTTAGAAACTGTATCCTCGAAGCATTCCAAAAGAAGATGATCTTGAAAAAGGCAGAAATCACTGCTATTTGTATGAAAAAACTAAACGAGGATTGTCCAGGTTCTACTCTATCTGTTATCATGAGAGAACTTGCTCATTCCAAAGGTACTTCAACTTGGATATTTAAAAAACCAAATTAAATTATTTAATATTAAAATTAAATAAAACATACATATAAATATATAAACAAAAATAATAATAATAATAATAACACTAATACTTATTATTTATTATCTTGAAATATATATATTTATATTTATTCTAATCTTATCTTGTCTTGTCACACGATAGTGATCTATTATTTATTCAAACCCCTGGGTTTTTAAAAAACAATGCTGCAAACTACGGTAGATCTTCATCGACCTTGAAAAAGAGATGCATTTGACCAGAGAATTCTCAGGAGAAAAATTTTCAAGTCAAATTCAATTTTTGCTTAATATGGATTGAGATTAGATATTATATTTAATTATATACATAGAGAGAAATATAATATATATTTGTGTACAAATAGTAAATCAATAAATATTTATATTATTCGATATTCATATTAGTGCTATGGACAATAAAAACTAATAGAAAACACACTTTGTATGTTGGAAAAAAATATTATGTGTGTCCAAAAAATAACAGACGACCTCTCCCAAAGACAAGAGAAACTAATTAATATCAGCTTTCTATTCTTTTGTATTTTTCACATTTTAAACTTTATTCTTTTCTACTACAACAACAACTACAACTACTAAACAAGGTCCAATCAATCAATCAATCTATTTAGCAGAGGGTTCAACATCAATAGTCATTATTATCTATCTATCTATCAAACAAACAATCTCTTTTTCTTTTCCTCTTTTATTAGCAATATATAAACAACACTTAGAATACAAATATTAACAATAGCATAGATAGCGTAGAGTCGACAATCAACAACAACTACAACAACAAACAACATATATATATAATTTTCAATCATGTCTGAAGCAGAGAAGAGTTTCAAAGTAGTCCTTCTAGGTGAAGGTAAGTTTAATAATAAATGAGAGAGACTTGTGGATTGTTGTTGATACTAATCTCGATTCACATTATCATTCATTATCATTCTTCATTCATTATTATTATTATTATTATTATTATGACAAATCAAAATAATCATAGGTTGTGTTGGAAAGACATCAATAGTTTTAAGATACATTCAAAATACATTTGTAGATAAACATGTTATGACACAACATGCTGGTTTCTTTCAAAAGAATATAAATATAGCAGGAAAGAGAGTTGGTCTAACTATTTGGGATACCGTAAGTAGATATATATATATATAGCTAGCTATAGTTTGGAGAGAGAGTAGACAGGACAGTGTCAAAGTCGACAAAGAAGAAGAAGAAGAAGATCGATCTTTGACACTATCACTCTAAACTACAACCATACAATACGAATTGTTGACAACATCACTAACAATAGCATAACACCACTTTGCACCATCTCCTTTTATTTCAGGCCGGACAAGAAAGATTCCATGCTTTAGGTCCAATTTATTATAGAGGTTCACAAGGTGCTATTGTAGTATACGATATTACAGATGCAGATTCATATACAAAGGCAAAGAATTGGATTAAGGAGCTAAAGGCAATGTTGGGCAATGATATTGTGCTCTGTTTGATTGGAAATAAGTGTGATTTGGAAAAGTCTAGAGTAATTACTTTGGAAGAATCGGAAGCATATGCTGCTTCAGTTGGTGCCAAACATTATGGCACATCTGCAAAATTAAACAAAGGTGTTGAAGAGTTATTCTTGGATTTAACTAAAAGTAAATTTAATTACATTATAATATATTATATTTGACTTAGACCTCTTCTGGATGACTAACATTTCTTTTTAATTGTATAGGAATGTTAACTAAAAGTACAGCTATACCAACCATTTCAGGATCATCAAATCAAGGAGCAACAACATCGAATAGACAAGACAGAATCCCAATCGTTCCAGAAAATGAAAATAGTCAAGAGGGAAAGACCTGTTGCAAATAAAATAATAATAATACAATTGTTCATAGTTTTTTTAAAATAATCACATAATAGTCAAAGTCAAAACAACAAATTAAATCCAACCATGAAGAGTTAACTCTCTCTCTCTCCAAATTACTTCTCTCCTCCAAAAGATAGACGAAGGTTCATTTCCACCTGTCGACGGTCAAACAACAATAATAACAACAAAAAACAATCTTTTCAAATAGAGATTGCTAGGGATGATAAACTCTTCCCATCTCCTCGTATATAAATATAAATGTATAATAATATATTATATCTTCTTCTTCTTTTCTTTATTATACTATAACTTTATTTGATTAAAGATCTTTTCAGAGACAAATTTAATATTAAGATTTTTTTATGACCCCGTATACTTAGAAATTGATTTTTTTCATTGTCTTTGCTCTTTCAATTCATTTGACAAACAGACACAGATAGAAGAGTTAATTATTCAATTTATACAGAGAATAGAGATAGATAGGTAGAGTAGAGAGAGAGATTTAATTATTGATAATATTATATAATCTTTTTAAAAAATGAGTGCAAGACCAGTTGAATTTAAAGCAGGTATGGAGTCTGTTGATTTGGAGATGATCAATAGCATGTTGGATGCCTTTTCACAAGGTTCATACTTTCAAGCAAAGTTTAGAAGAGATGAAGAAAAGACTAGAAAGTATTGTGAAGGTTTATTGCGTAAACTTCGTACTATTCCTCGAACCAATGACTACTTTGAAGGCGTAGACAAGTACATTGCCGATTTGGAAAGAACAAGAGACATGTCTAGAACCTATTTACATCTAGATATGGACGCTTATTATGCACACGTCGAAGAGAATGACAATCCCTCTCTAAAGGGAAAACCAGTTGCCGTCGGGTCAATGGATATGCTGGTCACATCGAATTATGTGGCAAGAAAATATGGTATTCGTTCTGGTATTCCTGGTGTTTTGGCACTCAAAATCTGCCCATCTTTAATCATCCTCCCTCAAAGAATGGATCGTTATAGAGAAGTCAGTGCTATCATTAGAAATCAAATGCAATTATTTGATGAAAACTTTATTGTATGTTTTTAAAAAAAGAAAAAGGAAAAAGGGAATCATTATTTAATATTAACTAATGTTTATTCATTTATATTTATAGTCACCATCACTGGATGAAGGTTGTGTTGATATTACAAATGTATTAAAAGACAATCCATCTTTAAAATCAACTGATATTGCAAAATTACTTCAACAAAAGATTTTAGAGTAGGTTAAAACTAAAAAAGAAAAACAATTCTTTTAAATCATATTAACAATTAGTTATTTTAGAAATACAAATTTAACATGTAGTATGGGCGTAGCACCATCACCATTATTGGCAAAAATGTGTAGTGAAACAAATAAACCAAATGGTTATTTTGTTTTAGATAAAGATCCAAAGAAATGTAAAGAATTTGTTTCAACTATTTCAGTATGTAGAAAAGAAAAAAGAAAAAAAAAGGATTTATTTATTTATTTATTTATTTATTTATTTATTTATTTATTTATTTATTTATTTATTTATTTGAAGGTAAAAAAAATACCAGGGGTTGGGTAAAACTAGACATAGATTATTAGAAATGTTGGGATTAAATAATGTTGAAGATGTATTGGAAAACAAATATGATCTATTTTATATTCTACCAGAGACACATCGTGATCTTTTATTCAAGCATGCTCTATGTATCCCTATACCACCACAATCAACACAATACTTTTTACTTCGAAAGAGAACTCAAATCTCAAAGGAAAAGAGCTGTAAAGAAATCTATGATGAAAACGATCTCAATGATCTTTTAGAAAATATGTATTTGGACGCAATCAAAATGTTATATAATGAACAAAAAATCGTATGTCAAACAAAATGTTATTAATATTTTTAAATATATTTTATATTTATACTTTCTTTTTTCTTTTTTTAGGCTTATGGAATGGTAGTTAAAATGACTGATTTTAAGCTAAATGTACAAAATTATCCATTTTCTTTGCACTCTGCAGTACCAGCACCAGTCATTGATCAGGATGGTTTTATTGTTCGCAACAAAGATGACCCAACACCCAACGATCTAGTACCAGAGAATGAAATCACCTTTCAAGATAATTGTCTATTCATTCGTCAAAACTTTTTCACTGTTGCCAAGACTGCACTGCAGTGGGCACAGGTCAGAAGTGTTGGTTTGAGATTGGTCAATCTTTACGAGTTGGAATAATCAAAAAGTTTAATATTCTTACTTTGTTTTAGATATCAATAACACCCACCATTCTAATAAATTGTGTAAATTAATTAAGTAGATTTATTTTATTGATTGGATTTGGATATTATTATTATTATTATTATTATTATTATTTTTATTATTATTGTTCTTATTCTTCCTAGAATAAACCCATTTACGATATAATTTGTTTGCACTCTTGTAAAATGTTCCAATGAATTGAAAGTTGCTTTGAAATAAACGGGCTCCAGTGCCTGGGGACAAAGTCAAAGGTGATCTTGTGGAGCCCGTTTAAATTGATCGGTCGAATGGTGGTTGTGGTGCAATAACACCAATTCTTTTACTTGTGGATTATGTTTGCTGATTACGGCAACATTGTAGTTTGGTGACGCCAGACGGAAGAATGGATCGCATTTGTTCGTCTCTATATCTCGATGACCCATGTTTTGGTGGACGTTGGTAGCCACTACCGACAAGGATTCTGAGATGTCTGAGTTTTGGTAATCTATCCAACATTGGAATGACACCAAGTGAGTTGATTGATACTGCTTCCAATGATTGCAAAATTGGCCAACTATTTGGATCGCCAGTCTCTTGTTGAAATAGAAATTGGTTATCTGGGTGGAAATAGTAGAGTTTTTTAAGTGGTTTAATTGACTGATGGCTTTACCACTTTCCACGTCTATTTTCCATTTGGATAGATCCAATGAAGTAAGAGATTGCAAACGAGCAAACGAGAGTAATAGATTTTCGGCACCAGGTAAAAAAAATTGAAAGACACGAGTCATTTGTTGTCACATATCGTAAGATGGATAGGGAACATAAAAGGTATTTAAGTTTGGCATTTGTTGTGGTGGATGCATCTTGCTGATTTGAATTGTGTTGGCTAGATCTGGTTTGAGTTTGATTGGATTTTCACACCAATCCTTTGGAAGTATGAGTTTCACAATCCCTGGTTGAAGAATATCCAAGAGTTTGCGTCTCTTAATAGTCGGACATGTCTTTACTTTTAAACTTATCGATGTTAGATTCTTGAATTGGGCGATCCATTCGACTTTAAATAAATTTTCAAATAGTGGTATGCGTGCATTGGACATTCATTTTTGATTCTTTGTGTTGCTCCAACAGCGGTTGATAGACTGGCCACATTTGATAATGTTCAAACATTTGATAATTTGGTGGTTGCGATCGTAGAGTATCAACCAATCGATGACTATAGTAACAAGTACATATAGAAGATTCATTCCAAACTAGATCGAGTATTTTACTTATGATTGACCACGGTAATGAATATCCAACCGATCCTGATGTAATCACATAAAGGATTATTGAATTGAGCCATTTTTTCTTTTAATTTCATTCTATCTCGAACCTTTTCTTCTCGATAATTTTGTATCTCTATAATAGTTTTGATAATCCTATCTTTGGTATGACTCTTTGGCTCATCAATATCTATTGATTGACAAATCAAAGTAAATGTTTCTTTTGTTTACTTTTCAATTCATCCTCGGTGTAGTACATTTGTGTAACTTGATATTGAAAAAAAAGGGTTAGTCATATGAATGCATGTCATTATTTCTTGTATCGATATTTACCATTTCCTTCATCGTCATTGTCATCAACATGATTATCATTTATAATTCTCTTGTTGTTCATATTCATCATCATATATGATGATGTTGTCTTTGATTGCAATATTTCTATTTGTTCATCGATGGAACGCTGATTTGCTATACTATTATACTTTTATTAACAATGTTTGGTAGTATTTAGAATGTTTGTCCTATGAGTAGTTGTAGTTGTACTTGTTGTAGTAGTTGTTGTTTCTTCTTCCATACCCGACAATATTACATCATCATTATTATTAATATCATCGTGTTCTACATTGTTATTGGTATTATTATCAGTGTTGCACTGACCCCTGTTTACAAATTGAAATGTATTCCTTCTTTGTTTCATTATTACTTGAACATATAATTAGAATAATAATAATCGTCTCATGCATTTGTGATGTTCATTAAAGTGCATAAATTGTGCTTTTGCAAAAAAAACAAACAAAAAACAGCAAAACTAGTTAATCTGAACTTCATTTCCAGGATACCCCCTTTACTTTATTTTGGATTTAAAATATTTAGAAAGATTAATATTTATTGTTTAGTTATTCTTTCTAATATAAACCCATTTGTAATGAACGATACCATTATCTTGAGTACTTGTGTAAAAGGTGCCAATAAATTGAAAGTTGTTTTGATGTGAAATAAATGGACGGCTATACTTGATGACATATCTTTCTGATGGTTACCTTTTGGATATTGTCATAGGGCAGATAAAATTGATTGTCAGACAGGTTATTGCGTGTCATATTATTGGGTAACAACACCAATTCGTTCACATGTGGATTGTTTTTGCTGATATTGACAATAGTAGAATCGGTGAATGATAGTTTGGTGACACAAGGTGGAAGATTGGTTGATTGTAGTTCAGCCACATCCAGATAATGATATCTACCACCGACAATGATTCTTAGATGTCTGAGTTTTGGTAATCTATCCAACATTGGAATGACATCAAATGAGTTAATTGATACTGCTTCCAATGATTTTGTTAGTGGCCATTCATTTGGATCATCTTTATCACCACCATCTCGATGTGCTTTGAATAGAAATTGATTGTCTTTGAAATTATAGTATAACTTTTGAAGTGGTATATTCTTTAAATCGTCGATAGCTATTCCACTGTCCGTGTCGAGTTCTAAATTTGATAGATTCAAACAAGTAAGATATTCAAAACCAACCAACCCGAGGAATAGTTTGGTAGGACTAGGCAGTTTTGAATATTGCCACTTTGATTCGAATTTCAAACTTTGTATCTTTGAATAGTGATCAGCTTGAAGAAACTCCCATGTATTTTCCACAAAATGATTTGGTAGGTCGATTGTAAAAGTTTCTATTGATTTACCCAAAAGACAATATTGATTTGAAAAGTGTTGATGTTGTAGTTGTACGTCTATTTCCGATACTTGAAGCAGACAATGAGCATTCTTGATTAGATTTTTTGAAATAAAAGAAAATAGTCTCTTGCATGTCATTGACAATCCAAATCGAAGTCTATTTACTTGTTGTAGCACATTTTCACATGTGTATGTATTCATATTTGGGACAGAATCCTTGTGTATGGGACATATTTATTTGACTTTGATAAACTCTTGAGATTGTTTGATATAATCTGCAAAAGTTATATCCCCTATTGTCTCATTTGCCATCTCACATGTACAATAATAACTATTCCAAGAGTATCTGACTATCTTTTCGATTAAATAGTAGGGAAGTGTTGGGTTGTTGGCAATTGTTATTTTACATAAATTCTCGACTTCTTCAAGTGGTGGTTTAATGATTGTTATATCTGGTGTTGTTGTTGTTTTAATAAATTGAAGATTTCTTTTTGATGATGTTGATCCTTTGAATCTAGCTCCATGATATTCATATCCAAGTCTTTTAAATGAATTTATCGTTTTATCTGTTATTTCTTGGTGGGTGGTGATAATGAGTTGATCCACATTCAATCCATTAAAAATATTGGTTTGAATAGAATTGGGATTCAAAGAATTTTGGGTTGTAGTGAGTTTTAAAATTGAAATGTTCGGTGGAACAATAAGTTCTATTGATGGTTTGTGATCGCATTTAACTAGTTTGGTCACATTTGGATGATTAAACGATGACATGTTGTATTCTGAAGAGGGGATGTGAAATGTGTGCAAGTTTGGCATTTGATTTGGTGGATGAATGTTGCTCACTTGAATTGTGTTGGCTAGTTCAGTTTTGAGTGAGATTGGTTCAACACACCAAAGGTTTGGAAGTAATAGTTTAACCATCCCTAGTTGAATAAGATCCAATAATTCTTGTCTATTTGTATTTTCAGATGAACATTTTAAATTGAGTGATGTGAGATTCTTGAATTTAGACACGAATGATAGTTTCATTCTATAGTTTGGTATTGTGAGTGATTTGATATTCTTAAATTGACGGATTATAAACTTGAAATACTGAGGTTGGGGTATGATAAGGATATTTTGGAAAGAGATCTTTTCAACATGGGATAACATCGATGTGTTCTGGTTGGCAAATACATCTTCGGTCAGGCTTTTAGTCAATTTAAGTTGTTTTGGTGCTTTAATTGGGCAATATTGATTGTTGAGGTGATTCCATGTGTCTGGAGTGAATCCAAGTCGAACATTGGCAAAGTTTTTGGATGACAGAAATTGGTTGACTCTTTTTGAAATACCAAGTAGTTGGTATCTCCATTTGTTGGAGTCATTGCGAGAATAGGCAATGAATGGTGTATATATGTTGATTAATGGCTCCACACCATTCAAATAGTGGTATGCGTGCATTGGACATTTCATTCTTGATTCTTTGTACTCGTCCAACATTGGTTGAAAGACTGGCCACATTTGATAGTAATCAAAGGCGCCTAAATGTTGTTGGGATTGTTGCGATCGCACAATATGTCCTTGTGGCAGTTGTAGAGTACTCGTGAATCTATCACTAAAGTAACAAGTACAAATAGAAGATTCAGTCCAAACTTGATCGAGTATTCTACTGATGATTGGCCACGGTAATGAATATTCGAGTGATCCCTTGTTAAAGTCACATAAAGGATTATTGTCAACCATTTTCTCTTTGAATGTTAATCGATCTTTTTGAGTCTTGATAATCCTTCCAATGATCACATCTTTGGTTTGATTATTTGGTGCATCGACACCCAACTCTTGACAAATTAAAAGTAAATCTTTTTTAAGTTTACTCTTTAAATCATTCTCTGTGTATATTGCTCTGCTTTCTTTGATTCATTTGATTAAAAGTATTTGTGTTAATTATGAATATATATATATATCTATCGTTAATAACTTGCTTGATATTTACTCTTTTCTTCTTCAACATGATCATCATCTTCTGCATCTTCATCGTGAAATCTCTTGTTATTATTATTAAATTGTGATGCTGATGATCTCTTTCTTTGTTGATCGATGTCTTTTGTTTTATTATGATTGATGTTATTATCAGTCGTTGAGTCTACACTATTATTACTATTCTTTCTTCTTTTAGTAACATGTTTGGTATTATTGTTAATCTTTGTAGTAGTAGTAGTCGTTCGTAGTGAGAGCAAAAATGGGTTTTAATCATTTAGGGTTGAAATGAATCTAAAACCACTTGATTTTTTGACAATCGATCATATTTCTACATTCTATGATATAATATGTCAATTGTGGAAAAAAAAAAAAAAAGCATCATCTCTTTCCTCATGTGGCAAATTTTGCTGGAAAAAAAATATAAAGAATAAAATCAAAAAGGTGGAAGTAGGTGAAAACTCCCAATAAGGGTATTTTGCTCGAAAAAAAATAAAAATAATCGAAAATAATAAAGTTTTTCGAAGCTTCGCTCAAAGTCCTAAATGATGACCACTCTTTCTACGGTTTCCTCTAAATCTATATCTATTACTTCATGATTCTTATCCAAGGTTGCATCATCCTCCTCATTGTTATTATTATTATTGCTATCACTGTTACTACTATGACTCCTGTTTACAAATTGAAATGTATTCTTTCTTTGTTTCATTATTACTTTAACAAATGATTAAATAAAAAATTTGTTGCCTGTCTTGAAAAAATGATATCACCATCTTCCATTTTCTTTATTGTATAAATATTAATATTATCATTTTAGAATAATATTTATTGATTTGTTTGGTTTGAATGATAGGATAGATAATTTTGGTTATTATTCTTTCTAATATAAACCCATTTGTAATGAACAATACCATTTTCTTGAGTATTTGTGTAAAAGGTGCCAACAAATTGAAAGTTGTTTTGATGTGAAATAAATGGACGGCTATACCTGCGAGCCTGATAACATATCTTTCTGATGGTGACCTTTTGGATATTGTCATAGGTGAGATAAAATTGATTGTCAGACAGGTTATTGGATAACTGCACCAATTCATTCACTTGTGTATTAAATAGGCTGATCTTTGCAATATGGGGATCTTGGAATGATAGTTTGGTTACACGAGGTGGAAAATTAATTGATTCGAGTTGTTTTTCCCATTCATGATATTCACCCAAAATGATTCTAAGATGTCTGAGTTTTGGTAATCTATCCAACATTGGAATGACTTCAAGTGAGTTGATTGATACTGCTTCCAATGATTTTGTAAGTGGCCAACTATTTGGATCATCACCATCACCATCTTTTTTTTGTGGTTTGAATAGAAATTGATTATCTTTGTAATTGTAGAATAGTTTTCTAAGTGGTATTATTTTTAATTGACTGATATCCATTCCACTTTCAGGATCCAAATGAAAATTTGATAGATCCAAACAAGTAAGAGAATCGAAAATAACCAACATGAGGAATAGATTGGTAGGAATAGGCAAATTTAATTGTTCCGACCTTGATTCGAATTTGAAACATTGTATCTTTGAATAGTGATCGGCGTCAAGAAAATCCCAACTTTTGATTTTTGGTGGTAGGGAAGGGTATGGTAGGTCGATTGTTAGAGTTGAGATTGACTTACCCAAAAGACAATATTGATTTGAAAAGTGTTGATGTTGAAGTTGTATGTTTGATTCTTGAAGAAGACAATGAGCATTCTTGATTAGAGATTTTGAAATAAAAGAAAATAATCTCTTGCATGTTAATGAAAATCCAAATCGAAGTCTATTTACTTGTTGTAGCATATTTTCACCTTTGTATGTATTCATATTTGGGGCACGATCCTTATGTATGGGACATATTGATTTGGCTTTGATAAACTCTTGAGATTGCTTGATAAAATCTGCATAATTTCTAGATTGGCTTGTTTCATTTGCCATATCACAAGTACAATAATAACTATTCCATGAATATTTGACTATCTTTTCAATCAAGTAGTAGGGAAGTGTTGAGTTGTTACCCACTATTGCATAACTTGTATAACTGGGACATAAATCTATTACTTCAAGTGGTTTTGGTGTTGTTTTAATTATAATGTCAGGTGTTGGTGTTGTTGTTTTAATAAATTGAAGATTTCTTTTTGATGATGTTGATCCTTTGAATCTAGCTCCATGATATTCATATCCAAGTCTTTTAAATGAATTTATCGTTTTATCTGTTATTTCGGTATGACATGTTATAATGAGTTGGTTGACATTCAATCCATCAAAAATATTGGTTTGAATAGAATTGGGATTCAAAGAATTTTGGGTTTGTAGTGAGTTTTAAAATTGAAATGTTCGGTGGAACAATAAGTTCTATTGATGGTTGGTGATCGCATTTAACTAGTTTGGTCACGTTTGGATGATTAAACGATGACATGTTGTATTCTGAAGAGGGGATGTGAAATGTGTGCAAGTTTGGCATTTGATTTGGTGGATGAATGTTGCTCACTTGAATTGTGTTGGCTAGTTCAGTTTTGAGTGAGATTGGTTCAACACACCAAAGGTTTGGAAGTAATAGTTTAACCATCCCTAGTTGAAGAATATTCAATAATTCATTTCTATTTGTATTCTCAGAGGAGCATTTTAAATTGAGTGATGTGAGATTCTTGAATTTAGACACGAATGATAGTTTCATTCTATAGTTTGGTATTGTGAGTGATTTGATATTCTTAAATTGACGGATCAAGTATTTGAAATATTGGGGTTGGATAAAGATATTGTCAAGAGAGATCTTTTCGACCGAGGATAACATCGATGTGTTCTGGTTGGCAAATACATCTTCGGTCAGGCTTTTAGTCAATTTAAGTTGTTTTGGTGCTTTAATTGGGCAATATTGATTGTTGAGGTGATTCCATGTGTCTGGAGTGAATCCAAGTCGAACATTGGCAAAGTGTTTGGATGACAGAAATTGGTTGACTCTTTTTGAAATACAAAGTAGTTGGTATCTCCATTTGTTGGAGTCATTACTTGTTTTGGCAATGAATGGTGTATATATGTTGATTAATGGATGTACATCATTCAAATGGTGATACGTATGCATAGGACATTTCATTCTTGATTCTTTGTACTCGTCCAACAACGGTTGATAGACTGGCCACATTTGATAGTAATCAAAAGCAACAAAACACCAACCATATTGTCCTTGTGGCAGTTGTAGAGTACTCGTGAATTGATCACTAAAGTAACAAGTACAAACAGAAGATTCAGTCCAAACTTGATCGAGTATTCTACTGATAATTGGCCATGGTAATGAATATTCAAGTGATCCTTTGTTAAAGTCACATAAAGGATTGTTATCAATCATTTTCTCTTTAAATGTCAATCTATCGTTTTGAGATTTGATAATCCTTCCAATGATAACATCTTTGGTTTGATTCATTGATGCATCTATCCTCGATGATTGACAAATTAAAAGTAAATCTTTTTTAAGTTTAATCTTCAATTCACTCTCTGTGTAGACTCTACTTTCCCCTTTTAAAAAATGAAAAGTATATGTGTTAATAATGAATCTATTTAATATATAGTCAACAATGGATATTTACTCTTTTCCTCATCATCATCATCATCATCATCTGTTTCATCTTCATTTTGAATTCTCTTGTTATTATTATTGATTTGTGATGCTGATGATCTCTTTCTTTGTTGGTTGATATCTTTTGTTTTATTATGATTGATGTTATTATCAGTTGTTGAGTCTACACTATTATTACTATTCTTTCTTCTTTTAGTTACATGTTTGGTATTATTGTTAATCTTTGTAGTAGTAGTAGTCGTAGTAGTAGTGGTCGTTGTTTCTTCTAAATCTATATCTATTATTTCACGATCTTATCCAACAAGATTTCATCGTCATCTTCCTCCTCTTTACTATCAATTTTACTCTTAACCTTGTTTTCAAATTGATATGTATTCTTTCTTTGTTTCATTATTACTTGAACAAATGATTAAATTAAAAATAATTACTCACAGTAGCCCGATCGAAGATGGCTTTGACAAAAAAAATATATAATTAATTAAAAGTTCTGAAACACGAACTTCAATCCCATTTACAAGTAAAGATAGACATTCCTATATAATTTGGTTATAATAATCTTTTTTATTTATTTGGATTATCATTTGTTCTTTTGATATAAACCCATTTGAGAGTTCCGATATTAGAATGTGTCTGTTTTGTTACAAAGGTTCCAATGAATTGGTAGTTGTTTTGGTATGAAATAAATGGGTGAGAGTCCAATACCGATGATTTGATGACAATCCTTTGGATATTGTTATAGTCAAATACGTATTCATATGGCTGATCGTTTGAAAGTATTGTCAATTGATTGATTTGTGGATTTTGGATCTGACTGATTTTGGTAACAATGATTGGATCATCGGTTGATATCTTTTGAATACCATTTGGAAGTTTTGTTGATTCAAGTAGTTTATCATTATTAGCATCTCTATTGTTATTATTATTATTATTATTTATGATTCTTAGGTGTCTAAGTTTTGTCAGTTGAAATAGACACTTTGAGATGTCTTGTAAGTAATAGGTATTGATTGATACTGATTCTAATGATTGTGAAAGTGGGCATTCATTATCAGCTCTATCTTGGTACTTTGGAAATACAACTCCTATTCGATGATTGAAATAATAAAGTTTTACAAGTGCAATATCTTTTAATCCTTTGATCAAGTTTCGATCGATACCATTGTAAATATAGCTAGTGTTGTAAACTGGAAAGTCAGATACATCCAATTCAGTAAGTGATTTAAATGCCAGGATAGAGTTAAATAGTGTTGAATAGAAATCTGGGATTTTTGAACGGCTTTGTTCGGGACTTTCTACAAGTTTCAGTCTACTGACATTTGAATAATGACCAAGTTGAAGTATGTTTGGGTGTTGTAATGCCATGGAGTTTTTAAACTCTAATGTAAGTGTTTCAATTGATTTACCAACCAAACAATATTGATTTGAAAAATGCAAGTGTAAAGATGGTATGTCGTGTAGATTGTTTGAAAATATCATTCTCTTGACAAGATGTTTTGAAACAAATCCAAACAGCCTCTTGCATGTGATTGACAATCCAAATCGAAGTCTATTGATTCTTTGAAGAAGAGGTTTGGTTATAAAATCACCTAAATGTGGAGACCGATCCTTGTGTATTGGACAAATTGATTTGGCTTTAATGAGTTGTAGACATTGCTCCAGAGTAGGTATATTGTCACTTTCGTCGTCAGAGGTTTCAATTTCACAAGTACAATAATAACTGTTCCATGAATATCTAACAATATTTTCGATTAAATAGAAAGGAAGTGTCGGGTTGTTGTAGCAGTTATTTTGAGGTGATTCTATTTTTGTTGTTGTTTTGTTGTCTACAATTATTATTTCTGGAATATTTCTTGTTGTTGATTTAATAAATTTGAATTGTCTGGTTGAAGTTGATCTAGTTTTAAATGTCGATCCATGATATTCATAACCTCTTTTTGCAAAACTATTTATCATTATTTCTGTCATTTCATAAGCAGAATCAAACAATAGTTTCTTGATATTTAATTGACCAAATGTACTCTCAATAATGAAGTTGGGATCACTTGCTGTTTTGAATTTAATAGTTGTGATTGTTTTTGGAATGGTTTTGATATTTGGGAGGAGGAAATAACTGTCACGAGTATGGTCGACTATTTTAGTAAGTTTTAGGTCATCCAAGTTGTATCCAACCATCATATGGTTAATATGAAATGTTTGTAGGTTTATCATTTGTTGAGGTGGAAGGATGTTGCTGGTGAGAATACTGTTGGCCAATTTAGTGTCAAGAGTGATATGTGATTTACACCAATCCTTTGGAATTAATATTTTAACTAATCCTCCTACTAATCTTGGTGACTTTGCTAAAACATCTAAAAATAAATCCGACTTTGTAAATATCCCTCTATAGTATAGTAAATTGATTGATGTGAGATTGTTGAAACCTAATAAGAATGGTTTAAATGTGTTGGAGTCGGTTATATTACTATTTAATAAGTAGATTGGTGTCATTGATTTGATATTATTATTAAAGATTTTGGATATTATTTTGTTGTTGGGTGGTTTAATATTAATGTTTTCAAGTTTAAGCTTTTCAACAGAGTTAAATATCATTGTACTTTGACTACCAAGGTCAAGATCATCCTCTGAACCATACAAGGTAACGACCTTTGGTTTCTTGATTGGACAATATTGATTGTTGAGGTGATCCAATGATTCTTGATTGAGTATCAATGCTATATCATTAAAATAATTTGATGACAGAAACTGGTTGACTCGTTTTGATATGCTTAGTAGTTGATATCTCCAAGTGTTTTGGTCATTTAGAAAGGTGTGAAAGATTGATGGAACCAAATCATTCAAATAGTGGTATGCGTGCATTGGACATTTCATTCTTGATTCTTTGTACACTTCCAACAGAGGTTGATAGATTGAAAACATTTTATAGATAGAGTCACTTGAATTACCATACATTAGAAATTTTCTGGTTGCTTCATCATTATAGTAACAAGTACAAATAGAAGATTCAGTCCAAACTAGATCGAGTATTTTACTGATGATTGGCCACGGTAATGAATATTCGAGTGATCCCTTGTTGTAATCACATAAAGGATTATTATCAACCATTTTACGTTTAAATTCTAATTGATCATTTTGTATCTTTAGAATCTTTTCAATGATTTCATCCTTTGTTTCTTTCATTGATGCTTCAATACCCAACTCTTGACAAATCAAAAGTAAATCTTTCTTTTGTTTACTTTTCAATTCATTATTACCCTCTTGCAAATAATTAAATTAAAAAGAGTTATTAGTGACTATAGTAAATAATAACTGTACGTCATAGCTCGATATTTACGCTTATCTTTTTCATCTTGAATTCTCTTGTTGTTGTTGTTGTTGTTGTTGTTGTTGTTGATACGATAAGATGATGATCTCTTTTTTGTATCATTTTGACTAGATGTTGAATCTATCTTATCACTTATACTATCGACACTATTATCACTATTCTTACTTCTTTTAGTAACATGTTTGGTGTTTACATTGTTTGTAGTATTCATGCGTGTGGTTGTTGTAGTAGTACTAGTTGTTTCTTCTTTATTGAATAATGTTACATCATCATCATCACTATCATTATCTTCATTATTATTATTATTAGCATAACTTTGTATCTGACTCTTCTTTCTTTGTTTCATCTTGAATAACAATAATGAAATTAAAAATAATAAAAAATAAAAAAAAATGGAAGACCTACAAAGAGTCCTCTACAACTGTTGGAGTTTAACAGAAATAATATTTAAAATAAATAAATTCACTAAAGAGAATAATAATAGTTCCAACAACAAACTAACTCTTTCATACAACTTGATCGAAAAGATAGTCAGATATTCATGGAATAGTTATTATTGTACTTGCTGGCGATCTTTCAGGAAAGTATGGATAAAGAGATGGAATATCTTTATCATTTCAAATATTATATCAAATAGTTTTGCAATCATTGGAAGCAGTATCAATCAACTCACTTGGTGTCATTCCAATGTTGGATAGATTACCAAAACTCAAACTTCTTAGAATCATTATTTTAACGACAAGAAAATAGTCAAGATCAGGAATTGGCAGACCAACAACAACTTCAATCGATTATTCTTCCATCTAGCATCACCAAACTATCATTCATCTATCATGATAAGACTAAAATCAGCAAAAACAATGACTCCTACTAATACAGTGTGTGGGTTATGTTTATTTTTTTTCTCTTTATCTGCTGATCTCTCATAACATTGAACTTCATTCATTCATTCGTTGTTCACCAAATAATAATAACAACAATGACTACTCTATTACAGTTATCTAATTTATTATTAATACATATCATATCAGAGATTGAAGATAATGTAGATACAATATGTTTGTTAATGACATGTAAAAAGTTATATCATAACAGTGGTATTAGAGGATCGATTAGTTTTAAAGGGATTGGAATAATAGATACAAACAAGAGAAATGAATCAAAATCATTTAGAGCAACAGTTAAAAGATTCAATCTAAACTCTTTCAAAGATACCTTGGACAAAAGTATATGAATGGAGTATAAACTGGAAAGTCTGATACATCCAACTCGGTCAGTGATTTAAATGTCAGGATAGAGTTGAATAGCATTGTAAATAAATGTCTATTATCCTGTTCATCTTCTGTAACTTTAAGTCATTGTACGTTTGAATAGTAATCGAGTCAAAGGAATTTTGGATGATCTTGTGGAAGACTATCATCGTTATTAATCTCGAGAATTGAAAGGAGTTTTTAAACTCTAATGTAAGTGTTTCAATTGATTTACCAACCAAACAATATTGATTTGAAAAATGCGACTGAAATTCTTTTAAACAAGTCGATGTGAGATCATCTCTCTTGACAAGATGTTTTGAAACAAATTCAAATAGTCTCTTGCATGTTAATGACAATCCAAATCAGAGTCGATTGATAAATTGAAGAATATGTCGCCCACCATATGTGCCAGTATGAGGAGCACGATCCTTGTGTATTGGACAAATTGAAGTGGCGATGATGAGTCGTTGGAAATCCACTTGAAATGAATTATCATTTTCTGTATCAGTTTCAACATTTCACAAGTACAATAATAACTATTCCAAGAGTATCTAACTATCTTTTCAATTAAATAAAAAGGAAGTGTTGGGTTGTTGTTGCTAATAATGATTTCCTTTGGGTTGTTTTCTGTGGTTTTTTTATCTGTTGTTTCAATTATTATTTGTGGTACATTGGTTATTGGTTTTTGATCTCCCTCGCCTGTTTGAGTTTTAGTGTTGTGATGGTTGGTGGAACGTTGGTGATAGTTGGTGAATGTGTGGCCGGCGATTGATAACCATTTTCTTGATAGACCAATTTGGTCAGTTTTGTACCGGCCAAGTCGAATCTACCATGTGGGATATCGATGATATGGAATATTCGCAAGTTTGGCATTTGTTGAGGTGGAAGGATGATGCTGTTGACAATGTTGTTGGCCAATCGAGTGTCTAGTACAATTGGGTCTTTACACCAATCCCTTGGAAACAACAATTTTACTATTCCTACTGTTGTTGACTTGTTGATTGCCTCCAAAAATGAATCACTTGTCGATGATGCAGTTTGGTAGTCTAGTAAATTGATTGATGTGAGGAAACATTTTAAACTATTAAATATGAATCTGACTAGAGTGTTGTCGTAGGTTTTTCTTTTGAATGAATTGTTGATTGTGATTGATTTAATATTCTTAAATATCTTGAGGATGGATGGTTGAATACTGTCAGTTTTTAGTGTGATCTTTTCAACTGAATTCAATGCCATTATGTTTTTTAGTGTTTTAATTGGACAATATTGGTTGTTGAGGTGATCCAATGATTCTTGGTTGAATGGCAATGCAAAATCATTAAAATAATTTAATGACAGAAACTGGTTGACTCGTTTTGATATGCTGAGTAGTTGGGATATCCACGTGTTGCAATAGAAGATTCAGTCCAAACTTGATCGAGTATTCTACCAATGATCGGCCAAGGTAATGAATATTCCAGTGACCCCTTGTTGTAATCACATAGAGGATTATTGTCAACCATTTTACGTTTAAACTCTAATCGCTCATTTTGTATCTTTATGATTCGATTGATGATTGTATCTTTGTTTGGCTTGTCATTGATCTTATCTCTAGTGGTTGACAAATGACAAGTAAATCTTTTTTAAGTTTACTCTTTAATTCATTCTCTGTGTATATTCTATTTTCATCTAAATATTAAAGAGAATTGATATAAATATAAAAGTGTTATAATATCTCCAACTCTATATTCAAACATACTGTTATCTTGTTCAACGGCAATAGCAGTACTTTCTACTAAAAAGTCATTATGACTCTCTTTTTGTTTGATCTCTTTGTTTGTTTGTTTGTTTTAAAATATTATCATCATCATCAACATTAATATTGTCATCTAATTTCATTGTTGATTGATTGGCTATATTATTATTATTATTATTATTATTATTATTATTATTGTTGTTGTTATTATCTGATAGTCGTCTGCAGATTATCTTTCTTCTTTTGGTATCTTGAACAATCTCTCTGCTGCTTTCTATAGTTGTAGTATCCTCCTCCTCATCTTAGTATCATTTATTTGTACTCTTGCATTTGATAGTATATCTAACAACAACAAAGTAAGTCTTGCAAACTTGAAAAAATATAAAAAAAGGCGGGAAAATAATGTTGATAAATAATTATTTCTATTGATTTATTTATTTATTAATAACAAGTTTTGATTGGGTAATTGATTTGAATAATTAATATTATTATTATTATTATAGTCTATATTATTGTTGTTATCTGTTGGTATTATTATCTATTAAATAATGATGGATCAAATAAAACTGCTGGGTAAAGATCGCTGTGGGATGTCTGCACAATAATCGACAATGAATGGTTGGAGACCCTGAATTACTCGTTGCAATGGTGAATAGTGACGAGATCGATGGATGATCAGTCATTTTGTCGTCTCTCTCTCTCTCTCTTTACATGCATAGATACATTTTGAATAGTCTTTGTTGTATCTGTTTAGGTATTTGCACTGTTGTATAAAAGTTGATAGTATTACTAGAACTGTTTGTTGCTATATATATATAGTGTTCTGATAACTCCTCTCTGTTGCGATGTTGATAGGTATCTAATCATTTGAAGCTAATTTATCTAAGCTACTACTGTCGGGATGACCAACGTCCATATTTTTAGTGATTACTTGGCTTCCCTCGTCAAATGATAAAAGATGTGGAGAAGAGAATATGAGGATACTTTGTCTTTATAATTAGTAATTATCCTAATACGGTTTGATACCGAATCATCAATATGTTTACATTATGTGCGGCGTTGTATTGAGAGCAATGAGAAGGAGAGGGGAACTACTGACTGCGTTGTGTGTTGTTTTTAGTGACGTGCTTGAACGATACTCCTTCTTCTTCTTCTTATACTATTACTATTGTTGTTGACTTTTATATTCTTATATCATCATCATAATAATCAATCCCTTCCCGTCTCTATGGTGCTACTGGTATTGGTGGTTCTAACCTTGTGAAATGTATTTGATTGAGGGAATTTAATTTAATTTGTTAAAAATCATAACACTCTGTGTGAGAGAATTTTGCCGTCTCTCACAAATTTATATGAGTTTCCAAAACCCAGCACAACTGTTGTTTTGACTTCTCACCTCACATTTACCTGCTGGTTTGGCGCGCAAATGTGTCGAAAGAAAATTAGTGATGAGAAAGGTAACTTGTATTTTCTTTTGCAACATTTCGATGTGTGTAGTAAATAGCTAAAGTAGTATATATTCATTGTGATGATGATGATGATGGATATCAATCACATTCATACCACACCACACCATTCCATCTCGAGATGAAAAATCATATGAATCAATGGATAATTATTGCAATACACAGCGGTGGGGGGCATATATTGACAATACTGATTAAATATTGGATAGAAGATGTACATTACAGTAGCAGTGGAAGATGCGTTACTGTTGTAGAAGATGCATTACTGTTGTAGAAGATGTACATTACAGTAGCAGTGGAAGATAGACAATTTGAAATTTGTTACAACAAGAATCAAGGAAATTATCTTTTAATTAAAGAAGATAATAGAGCTATAGTACACTAATCAACCACCAAAAAAATGGTACAAAAGAACTATAATTTATTAGCTTTTTTATGTTGTCTTTTACTTCTTTTTTCTATGATCTATGGTCATCAATTTACAAAGGCACAAGGTAAGCTAAACAAAAAAAAACCAGATATGATTAGTTATTTTTATAATTAACTATTAATAATAACCATTTATTTATTTTCTCAAAGAAAATTATTATTTTTATGATGATGGATCACCACCCGTTATTGGTACGTACCAATGTCAATTTGCTAGGTATCCAGAGGAATGTGAAAACAACAGAGATTGTGTTTGGACAACTATGGAAGGATGTTGTGGAGAGGTAGCTGGATACTGTTCGGATAGAAACGCGACTCAATCACATCATAACAGACTCACAGACAAACCCTTTTGTCTCATGGACACACAAACCAAAGCCATTTACCAAGTACATGGTCATCATCAAGTGATTGAAGGTTATGAAAGATTTCATCCTCGTATTTGTATGTGTGTTTTGAAAGAGAAAAAGAAATTACAATTTAGTTATAATAATTATTAACATTATTTTAATTGTTTTGTTCCGTTCATCATCTACTATATATGTTTTGTTGCAACAAAAGATACTTGTGATAGTCTGAAATGTGAAAAAATGGGATTTGAGTGTATTATGCGCGCATCGACACCATGCGTTGGCACTCAGTGTTGCACATTATCGGCGTTTTGTGCTCCACCAAGGCAACTTGCTCCTACGTTGGCGAGTGTATCCGGCTTGGTGGGTGGTAGTAATGACATTACTACAACGGCTACGACGACGGCGACTACGACGTGTTCGACCACAGCATCGACCATGGGAACTACCACTGCGTCGACACTGGCTACTACAACCGATTGGCAGACGATTGGCTTGACCGTGCCCATTACCACGACGGCCAGTACCACGGCTTCAACACTTGCCTCTACGACTGCTTCCACCACTGCTTCAACCACGGCATCAACGATAGGAGTTGTGTCTGCCTCGACTACTGCTACAACCACGGCCACCTCTATTGGATCGACAACTGCGTCGACGGCGTCAACCACTGCGTCGACCACTGCAACTACTCTGGCGTCGACCACTGCCTCGACCACTGCCACTATGCTTGTCACTACGACTGCATCCACGACGGCCTCTACTATCGCGTCGACAACGGCATCTACCACCGCTTCAACCACCGCCACTACCACCTCTCCCCAGACAATTGGTCGTATCTCAACGACCGCCAGCACCAGTGCAAGCACGACAGCATCCACTTTGGGCACTACAACTGCCAGCACTCTTGCCTCGACGACTGCATCAACCACTGCAAGCACAACTGCTAGTACAATGGGCTCGACTACTGCCTCGACCACTGCGTCCACCTCTGCCTCGACTACCGCCACAACCACGGCCACTTCCACGGCGACCACAACGGCTAGTACCACTGCCACAACCGCATCCACTACGGCCTCTACGACAGCTTCGACAACTGCCACAACAACTGCATCCAGTACGGCCACCACGACTGCATCAACCTCTGCCTCAACTACTGCTAGTACGACAGCTACAACCACCGCGTCGACCACAGCCTCCACCATTGCCAGCACTTCAGCATCGACCACTGCATCGACGATTGGATCAACATCTGCTTCTACGACTGCCAGCACAACAGCAACGACCACTGCTTTCATCACTACTGCGAACCCTACTACAAACTTACCTTTTTATTCTTCAACAACTACTAGCGACATATTTGATTCGCCATCAGCAAGCGGAACGACATCAGCAAGTGGAAAAACATCATCGACTCCAACCACTACTGGTACGGCATCAGCAAGTGGTACTGCATCATCGACTCCAACAACAACTACAGCACCAAGCACTGCATCAACATCAGCAAGTGGAACTGTATCAGCAACAGGTATTACTGGTACTGCATCAGCAAGTGGAACTGCATCATCTACCCCAACAACAACGGCACCAAGCACTGCATCAGCAACAGGTTTCACTGGCATATCAAGTGGACGTGGAATTGTAAGCGGCAGTGGAGGTGGTGGTGGTGGTGGTGGTGGTGGAGGTGGAGGTGGAGGTGATACTGCATCATCCACTCCAACTTCAATTGATATATCAGCAAGTCCAACTTCAATTGATATATCATCAGAAAGTCAAACAACAACTGGTACGTCATCAGATCCAACTACTACCACTGGTACTTCATCAGCTAGTGGTACTGCATCAGCAAGCGGAACTGATTCATCCACTCCAACAACAACAACAACCGGAACGGCATCATCAACTGATTCGTCAACTCCTACTACTGGAACGGCAACAACAACTGGAACTGCATCGTCGACTCCGACTACCACCGGAACAGCATCGTCGACCCCAACAACAACTGGAACTGCGTCATCTACTGACTCATCATCTACCACCACTGGAACTGCATCAGCAAGTGGTACGGCATCAGCAAGCGGAACTGCAACGACCACTGGTACGGCATCAGCAACTGATTCATCGACTCCAACCACCACTGGAACTGCATCATCGACACCAACTACCACTGGTACTGCATCATCAACTCCAACAACTGGTACTGCATCAGCTAGTGGTACTGGAACGGCATCAGCAACTGGTATCACTGCATCAGCCACTGGTATTGCAACTGGTGTCACTGCATCAGCAACAGGTATTGCAACAGGTGTCACTGGAACTGCAACAGCCACTGGTATTGCAACAGGAGTCACTGGAACTGCAACTGGTGTCACTGGAACTGCAACAGGTGTCACTGCATCAGCCACAGGTATTGCAACAGGTGTCACTGGAACGGCATCAGCAACTGGTATTGCAACAGGAGTCACTGGAACTGCATCAGCAAATGGTATCACTACAACAGCCACTGGTATTGCAACAGGTGTCACTGCATCAGCCACAGGTATTGCAACAGGTGTCACTGCATCAGCCACAGGTATTGCAACAGGTGTCAGTGGAACGGCATCAGCAACAGGTATTGCAACAGGTGTCAGTGGAACTGCATCAGCCACTGGTATTGCAACAGGTGTCACTGCAACAGCCACTGGTATTGCAACAGGTGTCACTGGAACGGCATCAGCCACAGGTATTGCAACAGGTGTCACTGGAACGGCATCAGCAACTGGTATTGCAACTGGTGTCACTGGAACGGCATCAGCCACTGGTGTCACTGGAACGGCATCAGCAACAGGTGTCACTGGAACGGCATCAGCAACAGGTATCACTGGAGTTACATCAGCATCAGCCACTGGTATCACTGGAGTTACATCAGCATCAGCAACAGGTATCACTGGAACGGCATCAGCAACAGGTATCACATCAGCATCAGCAACAGGTGTCACTGGAACGGCATCAGCAACAGGTATCACTGGAGTTACATCAGCATCAGCAACAGGTATCACTGGAGTTACATCAGCATCAGCAACAGGTGTCACTGGAACGGCATCAGCCACTGGTGTCACTGGAACGGCATCAGCCACTGGTGTCACTGGAACGGCATCAGCAACAGGTATTGCAACTGGTGTCACTGCATCAGCCACAGGTATTGCAACTGGTGTCACTGCATCAGCCACTGGTGTCACTGGAACTGCAACTGGTGTCACTGGAACTGCAACAGGTGTCACTACAACAGCCACAGGTATTGCAACAGGTGTCACTGGAACGGCAACTGGTATTGCAACTGGTGTCACTGGAACGGCAACTGGTGTCACTGCATCAGCAACAGGTATTGCAACTGGTGTCACTGGAACGGCAACTGGTATTGCAACTGGTGTCACTGGAACGGCAACTGGTATTGCAACTGGTGTCACTGCATCAGCCACTGGTGTCACTGCATCAGCAACAGGTATTGCAACAGGTGTCACTGGAACGGCATCAGCAACTGGTATTGCAACTGGTGTCACTGGAACGGCATCAGCCACTGGTGTCACTGCATCAGCCACTGGTATTGCAACAGGTGTCACTGGAACGGCATCAGCAACTGGTATTGCAACTGGTGTCACTGCATCAGCCACTGGTGTCACTGGAACGGCAACTGGTATTGCAACTGGTGTCACTGCATCAGCCACTGGTGTCACTGCATCAGCCACTGGTGTCACTGCATCAGCCACTGGTATTGCAACTGGTGTCACTGGAACGGCATCAGCAACTGGTATTGCAACTGGTGTCACTGCATCAGCCACTGGTATTGCAACTGGTGTCACTGCATCAGCCACTGGTATTGCAACTGGTGTCACTGCATCAGCCACTGGTATTGCAACTGGTGTCACTGGAACGGCATCAGCAACTGGTATTGCAACTGGTGTCACTGGAACGGCATCAGCCACTGGTGTCACTGCATCAGCCACTGGTATTGCAACAGGTGTCACTGGAACGGCATCAGCAACTGGTATTGCAACTGGTGTCACTGGAACGGCAACTGGTATTGCAACTGGTGTCACTGCATCAGCCACTGGTGTCACTGCATCAGCCACTGGTGTCACTGCATCAGCCACTGGTATTGCAACTGGTGTCACTGCATCAGCCACTGGTGTCACTACAACAGCCACAGGTATTGCAACAGGTGTCACTGGAACGGCATCAGCCACTGGTGTCACTGCATCAGCCACTGGTATTGCAACTGGTGTCACTGCATCAGCCACTGGTATTGCAACTGGTGTCACTGCATCAGCCACAGGTATTGCAACTGGTGTCACTGGAACGGCAACTGGTATTGCAACTGGTGTCACTGCATCAGCCACTGGTATTGCAACTGGTGTCACTGGAACGGCATCAGCCACTGGTGTCACTGGAACGGCAACTGGTATTGCAACTGGTGTCACTGCATCAGCCACTGGTATTGCAACTGGTGTCACTGCATCAGCCACTGGTGTCACTACAACAGCCACAGGTATCACTGGAACGGCATCAGCAACTGGTATTGCAACTGGTGTCACTGCATCAGCCACTGGTGTCACTGGAACGGCAACTGGTATTGCAACTGGTGTCACTGCATCAGCCACTGGTATTGCAACTGGTGTCACTGGAACGGCATCAGCCACTGGTGTCACTGGAACGGCATCAGCAACAGGTATTGCAACTGGTGTCACTGGAACGGCATCAGCCACTGGTATTGCAACTGGTGTCACTGGAACGGCATCAGCCACTGGTGTCACTGGAACGGCAACTGGTATTGCAACTGGTGTCACTGCATCAGCCACTGGTATTGCAACTGGTGTCACTGCATCAGCCACTGGTATTGCAACTGGTGTCACTGGAACGGCATCAGCCACTGGTATTGCAACTGGTGTCACTGGAACGGCATCAGCCACTGGTGTCACTGGAACGGCAACTGGTATTGCAACTGGTGTCACTGGAACGGCATCAGCCACTGGTGTCACTGGAACGGCAACAGCCACTGGTGTCACTGCATCAGCCACAGGTATTGCAACTGGTGTCACTGGAACGGCATCAGCCACTGGTGTCACTGCATCAGCCACAGGTATTGCCACTGGTGTCACTGGAACGGCAACAGCCACTGGTGTCACTGCATCAGCCACAGGTATTGCAACTGGTGTCACTGGAACGGCATCAGCCACTGGTGTCACTGCATCAGCCACAGGTATTGCAACTGGTGTCACTGGAACGCATCAGCCAGAGGTA